TCACCCTCCCCCTTCCTGAATCATTCCCTGCTGAAGCACCTCGCAAAATTACTGCCGAGGAGCGTGAATTTGAAGCTTATAAAAGTCTACGTACCGCTCGCGCTAATGCTAGACATGAGGGTGCTCGCAAGGCTCGTGCTGCTAAGGTCAGTTTCAAAAATCCTCACACCTGCAATACCTCACATTTTTCTTCATCTTATACAGAAGGAGGAGGAGGAAGCTGCCAAGAAGAAGTAATCAATTCCATCTGCAATATGATTGTTTTTTCCGTACATTTTATGTCAGCCTCTCCGTCAAAAGTTTGCGTCGACCTCTGTTCGTACAATATATGCCATATCCCGCATGTTTATATGATGCTCAATATGAATGTTCTGGTCACCGTCCTATGTTATGTACAAGGGTTGGACCAGTTGTTTGGACTCTCTTGAACTGGAATTGTCCGTTTTTTGTGGCGATGTGAGTATGTAGATCCGACGGAATGAATTGTTCGTTGGAGCTCCAATGGTCTTTCAAATGTTGACACCAATTATCCGCTTGTCTCCAATTTTGGAAGCGCGTATTGTCTCTACGAGAGTGGGTGTTTATGAGGTCCTATCATGCTTCTTGGCTTCTATGTTGACGTCGTTATTAGGCTGGCACTTAGCATTTTCCATTGTGGGATCGCTCCCGCAAAACTTTGGCAAATTGGAAATTGGAAAGGCTTCGGGATAAGTATGTAACTTTTGTAACTCTGCAGCTGTCGAATGCTGTCGACCAGTTACAAGTTGGTTCTTGGAATTTACGGCTCAGGCGTCGGAGGTCGGCTCGTAATCCTAGATTGATAGTGATAAGTACGACGATTTTGGGACAACCTCAATCACAGATTCTTTCGATAGTGGCCACTTTGGGGTGGTATCGGATTCTTTCCGTCGTCTGGTGGGGTCCCTTCAACGCCTGCATTAGTTAATGCATCGAGATGAACTTCCACCACTAGGAAATTATGGCTGCGTAGCTCCACCATAGATATCTAAATGCTCATAGATGGTACCTCTTGTCATTGAACTAATTTGACGTTTGTTTCTTCATTACGCTTACGCCGTCAAGAACCGTTCAAGCAGGGAGATGTACGATCCCCCGAGACCATATTGACCAAATTGAGATAAAGATTGACGAATAGATACATACAATGGGATATCACCATTCGGGAGAAAAAGCAAGTAACATACACTACACTATACACGATTCAAAGTAACAAGACTGTTGAACACCGGTTGAACATAGGGTACAGTAGATAAGCTACAATACACCAAATCAACTGGAAGTGGCAAAAAGGAAACAGAAAGAGTGGGGGATATAAAAATGACCCGTGATTAATGTTGGATAGTGGCTTAGAAACCAAGTGTCAAAAGTGTGCAAGAAATCCAGAGAGGATTTCAAGAGGGATATAGCTATAGGAAGGCGGAGAATAGAGCAGTATCATTGATCACGGGCACGAAGAATGAAGAAAGATAGGGCAATAGTTGGCAGAGAGACTCAAAAGAATCCCATTACAAAGAACACACCCAAGAACGGAGATCATTGCAAACCTGCGGAAGTATGAGTATACATGTCCTCAATCGCTCAGTGACCCGCTCGGAGGATGAAGGTGCCAGCTGCAATTCAAATTATCAGTCCCGTCAGAGGGACGCATAAAATAAACTTGCTAATGCGTCCTTTCAGGGCCTTCCCCTGACCACTCTTCCAACTTTCTTCATCAAACTTGTCTTTCTTCCGAGCCCGCCCCCTGGAGAAGATCCCGCCTCGAAATAGGCAGCGGAGCCGTTCTCCCTGGGCGAGTAGCCATCAGTTGGTGGTGGGGGTAATTCCTTATCCACAACACCATTGGAAGGAGCGATGAAGATGAACGGCTCAGACAGCGGATTGTCGGAAACGGGCTTGGGCGAGCCGAAACGCCCTAGGAAGGAATTATTCGCGCGATGAGTAGGGCGCTCGCGAGAACGTTCAAGTCCGTTTGCCGCAGGAGGAGAGGAAGGGGTATTTTCATAATCTGAACCTACGGGAACATTGGGGTTGTCTCTCATCTTGCGGATTCGGTGCATTAAGGACTTGCTACGTTTGGGTAGCCCAGGTGAGGATGGCGAAGTACCCATCGGTGGAATATCGGCTGAAGGCGTGCTGGCATCAGCAACAAAGATAGGTTGAGGGGGCGGAATATCGCGGCGGCGAGTAGGCCTGGATCGTGCCTCCTGATCATTGAGGTATTCGCGGTATGCTTCACGAGCCTCACGAGCTTCACGCCCATCTTTACGTTTGCTATGAGAATCCCTGCCATTATAAATGGAACTAGCGGGAGTATCGCCACGAGCACCACCACCGGCGAAAAATTCTTCAAAAGGCTCCGGTTCATGAATACCCCAAGCCTCGGCAATAGCGTCTACTTTGTTCTTTGGAGGTTCGTAGTAAGCGGTTGGATACAGATCCTTGCGAGGAGAGGGATATGGGCTATCTGAGTTTGATTGATCCACATGTGCTGGATCCGCAGACCATGCCATCATAGGAGCCTTGGTGCGATGACGATTGCGAGAAGGAGCACAAGCGTCGAAGGGTCCGTCGTGGTGAAACACTGTACATAGTTAGATAAGGAAACGAAAGCATATTTCCAGAATAATGAAAATGGACGAACTTGCTGGACCGAAGCCTGTAATATCGAGACGGTCAATAGCATCTTCATGCTGTGAGCCCTTTTTCTTGGTCTTGGGGGTGGCCAATTTCTGCTTGTCTGAGGGAGTAGAGTCTGTGGACTGAGAGCGAGGACCAAGCTGAGGAGCTTTACTGGGCGGAAGACTGTTTTGTACCGGATAAATGAGTATGTTCAAATTGCGGCAGAAGCAGAAAAAGACATACGCTGCAGTGTTGCTTCTGCCCATTCGACGACCGTTGATCGTTACTGTATCAACGACGGCATTCTCGAGGTCGGCAGGCCTAGAGGGCATTCTGTGTTGACGGTTTTTTGGAGGAGGTTGTGGTGGATCAGAGAAGGGGTTAGATGATTGAGGGCTCATGGTTCGTTACCAACTGGTGGTTTGCTTGGCAATGATTATGGAGCAAAGGGAGACTAGTTCGGAATGTTCGGCTTGACAATGCCGAATGTGCCGAATATTATCAGGCGATATTTAGTAGGCTCTTTTCTTGTCGCCATGGTTCAGTTCACTCGTTCTGAGCTTTGCACGCGTATTCTCGAGGGTCAGCATCTAATCATCTATAACAGAAACGTCCTTCGCATTCCGCCGTCCTGGCTCGACGCTCATCCTGGTGGTTCTCTTGCTCTTCTCCATTTCGTTGGTCGAGATGCAACCTCTGAAATTGATGCGTACCATAATGACCAGATACTTCCAATGGTAAATAGGTATTCCATAGGAACATTAAGTGAGCCTGGCCCTTGGAATCCTCTTCTACCTCCAATTGCAGCAGGCTGGGCGCGTAAAGATGGCAAATGGTCGAGCGAAGCCGCTACCTGGAACGCCGATTCCAACCAGGTCTTCCTCGTAGCGAACAACTCTCCGGTTCTTCAGAAATCAGCTCCCACAATTGAAACCCTTACCCCTTTACCCAGTAATATATCTCTTGAGGTACAGGAGCAGCATTCTGTTGCCTACAAGATGTTACACAAGCGTGTAATTGATGCAGGTCTCTATAACACTCCATATCTCACTGGATACGGGCCAGAGTTTGTTCGTTACATCTCCCTCGGTTTGATCTCAGCCTATGCCTTCCAACATAACTGGCTTCTGACAAGTGCCCTGGCTCTCGGTCTCATGTGGCATCAACTGATGTTCTTCGTCCACGACCTCGGGCATCTGGGTGTCACTGGAAATTGGAATATCGACCGAATCATCTCGATTATTGTGGCCGACTTCATTGGCGGTCTTAGCATCGGCTGGTGGTCTGATGTAAGTCCCGGCCTTACTTCTTTCTTATTTAGATTTCCTGAACAGTTACTGTAGAATCACAATGTTCATCATCGTACGTCGCCTCTTGCACTATAATAATACTTCTCGACTGATTCATTCTTCCATCTTTAGTGGTCACCAATCATCCTTCCCAGTGCGTGTTCATGTAACAAACAATGTGGTTCGACTAACTTCTTCCCTAGCGACCCCGACATTGAGCACCTTCCCTTCTTTGCTATTTCGCCCAAGTTCTTTTCCAACCTATATTCCTCTTATTACAAAAGAGTCATGCCTTTTGATTCCGCGTCTCAATTCTTCATTCGCCTCCAGCATTATCTGTTTTATGTGGTGATGGCGTTTGCGCGCTTTAACCTCTACCGTCTCTCATACGCCTCTATGTACTCGAAACTATTCGAGAAACGGCGCGCACGAGGTGGAAGATGGGCTGTTGGGTTGGAATTTATCGGTGTAGCCTTCTTTTGGTGGTGGTTCGGCGGTATCGTTCTAAGAGGCTGCGGATCGTGGAAAAAGGCACTTGCTTATGTTTTTGTCAGCCATGCTGCTACGAGTCCCCTCCATGTCCAGGTAAGGATTCTGTACGCCTCAGGCTTCTCCGATAAATTGATTGATGTCGTAGATCGTTCTGTCGCACTTCGGAATGTCGACTGATGACTTAGGCCCTGTAGAGTCATTCCCTGATCGACAATTGCGTACTACAATGGATGTGAAATGTCCTGAGAAATGGGGGTTCATTCATGGCGGTCTGCATTTACAAGTCGCACATCACCTCTTCCCTCGACTGCCACGACACAATCTCAATAAAGCTAGCCTTATGGTCAAGGAGTTTGCCAAAGAGGAGAATCTGACCTACGTCGAGTTTGGTTTTGTATCTGCCAACCGAGAAGTAATCGGTGTTCTACGCGAGGTTGCTGGCCTTGTCAGTTCGCTTGGTCAACAAGTCAAATTGGTCGCAGAAGTTGCCAGTACAGAGGCCAAAGAAGCTGTCAACAAGAAGATAGCCCAACAAGAAGCAGCGTTTACACGGAGTCGCTCAGGTATTTCTCCTTCGAACATCTAGATCAAGTTGTTGGTACATTGTTGATTTAGAGAAAATAAATACATGGCTCAAGCTATATGAGTCCTGACTTTGATATCGTGTTGTGCTAAACATTCTTTGACTTCACCAATATCTACCTCTCCGCGATGAAATATACCAGCCGCTAGCGCCGCTTCAACACCGGTTTGCTCGAAAACATCGAGAAAATGTTCCTTTCTACCTGCACCGCTGCTGGCAACCACAGGCACTTTTACACATCCCTTAATGAGACGTAAGAGGTCTGAGTCGAAACCTAAACCCGTTCCATCACGGTCAATGCTGTTTACTAGAATTTCGCCAGCACCAAGAGTCTCGACTGCACGCGCAAGTTGACAGACAGAAATCGACCGGGTCTCCCGTCCTCCCGATACTGTACAGGCGTACCACCAACTCCTTCCTCTGTCGGATTCGAAAGCAGAATCTAGGGAGCCAAGAATTAACTCGTCTTGATGGGGACCATCATATGTAGTGGGATCCACGTAGACTCGTCTGGGATCGATAGATACGACCACGGCTTGTCTTCCATAAGTATGAGCTATTGTCTCGATCGAACTAGTCCCGTCACCGTGTTTCTGGCCGCTCCCAAGTAGTTTTTCTGCAGCATAAACGGCGTCAGATCCTATGCTGACTTTGTCCGCACCGGCTCGAAAATATTCTGAAGCAACTTCGAGTGCACTTCGTTTCGTCTTATCTGGATCTATAGTGTCTTTGATACCGCCACCTATTGTGAGAGGGACAAAGACGCACTCCGCAGCCGCTCGGACTACAGCCAACATTGGTTGGTCTTGTAGAGGAGAATGTCGGAAGGATGTGATGTTCAATAAACAAATCTCATCTGCTCCCGCTGCATAATATTTTGATGCCAAAGTGACGGGTTTCCCGAGGTTGCGCACTGCACCACCAGTTTTGACCCGCATGGAATGGCCAGATGGCACCTTCTCCCGCACGTCGTATTGATCTCCTTTCGTGACAATAAGGTTTCCATCGTCATCACTCCGTACGTCCATACAAGCGATGATACGCTTCGATAGATTATCTCTCGGTTTGAGAGACAGCGTAGGAGGGGAGCAAAGAGATTCAGGTTTAGATGCTGATCTTTCGGCCTCTGGAGTCCTCAGCCAATTATCGATCAATGCAAGACCAGCAGCTCCGGATTTCTCTGGATGAAACTGGGTCCCAAATACATTTCCTCTGCGAACGGAAGAGATGAAGATTTCTCCGCCATACTGGGTCGTGGTATATGCCCAGGAAGCTGCGTCCGGCCGGTCTGCGGGACAATATTTTGCGCAGTATGAATGTACGAAGTAGTAGAATGCTGGTTCAACATCGGAACTTTGTACGAGGTCCGCGGAGTTCCATCCCATATGCGGGACAGTCTTAGCAGAATCGTCGAAACGGTCAATGGTAGTAGGCACTACGCCCAGACCATGGAAATTTGGCGATTCTTCGGAAGCCTGAAAGAGAATCTGCATGCCGATACAAATTCCGAAGTAGGGTTTTCCAGATTGCACATACTCTTTCAAAGGTTCTAGGAGGCCTTTTTTTGTCAGATTTTCGACAGCGGTCTCAAAGGCTCCGACTCCGGGAAAAATGAGGCTCTATGAAGATATCAGTAGAACCAGTCACAGTTTCGAGAATAGTACTTACAGTGGCTTTCTGAAAATCAGTAGGCGAGGAGATCCATTGAAAAGAATGCCCGAGTTTCGTTAAGGAGTTCGCGAGGCTCTGCACGTTTCCGGCACCATAGTCAAGAAGAAAAAGACCCATATCGTCGAGGCCGAGAAGGTGAAGATGATATGAATTTTCGTATCCAGAGATCGAGTCATTGCTGTGATGTTACATATGTAATTCTATTTTCTACCATCTTTGCCTGATCCTTGCGTGCTCAAAAACCTGTCGAGTCACTTCATTCCTTCTTTTTTTTGTACCACTACAACATGTCTTCTCCAATCCGAATTCCCGGTGCTGCAAGAATAGTCGCCGCGTCGGTCTCCCCTACTGCCACCAACATCCACGACCGCTTCGCGAGTGTACATCGCCAAGACTCGTTGAATGTTCGACAACCTCGAGTTCTTCATCCGGTTGAAAATGAGGGCCTTCGCCTTCTTATTCTCGAGAACATCAGTATGGAGGCTGTGAACGCTTTCAAAGCTCAGGGCTTGCATGTCGACCACCACACGAAAGCCATGTCTGAAGATGAGCTCCTCAAAAAGATCAGCTCGTACCATGGAATTGGTATTCGTAGCAAAACAAAGATCACAGAAAAAGTCATTAAAGCCGCTACAAAGGTATTTGATCGTGATAACGTCCTATGATAACTGTCCACATGAGTTATGTATTAGCTTCTGGTCATCGGTTGTTTCTGCATAGGAACAAATCAGGTCGACCTCACCGCTGCTGCATCTGCTGGAATACCCGTTTTCAATTCCCCGTTCTCAAACTCCCGATCAGTCGCAGAGCTTGTGATGTCCGAACTCGTCGTTCTCTCCCGCCAACTCTTTGAACGTTCATTCGAGCTTCGTCAGGGACTGTGGAACAAGCAGTCGAAAGGATGTTGGGAAGTTCGCGGGAAAACATTGGGTATAGTTGGCTATGGTCATATTGGATCTCAGCTGTCGGTGCTGGCTGAAGCGTTTGGAATGCGAGTCATATTCTTCGATGTGGTTAACCTTATGCCCTTGGGTTCTGCCCGCCAGCTCGAATCGCTAGATGCTCTTTTGTCAGATGCGGATTTCGTCACTCTACACGTTCCCGAGCTTCCGGAGACAATCAATATGATTTCTCGAGACCAGCTTGCGTTGATGAAGAAGGGCGCGTACCTCATCAATAACGCGCGCGGCAAAGTCGTTGACATTCCTGCTCTCATCGACTCCTTAAAGTCTGGTCACCTTGCCGGAGCAGCCCTCGATGTCTTTCCTTCCGAGCCGGGCTCTAACGGGTCACCATTCGATGATCAAGTAAATTCTTGGGCCAGCACACTTCGTTCGTTGCCCAATGTGATCCTCACACCGCATATTGGTGGATCTACAGAAGAGGCTCAGCGAATGATTGGTCAGGAAGTTTCACAAGCTCTCCTTCGTTACATTGGTCTTGGTTCGACCATTGGGGCGGTGAACTTCCCTGAAGTTGATTTACGTGCTATCACAGCGGAAGAGGGTGATCATGTCCGCGTGTGTTATGTGCACAAGAACCAACCTGGTGTACTCAAGCTGGTCAACGAAACCTTTGCACCGTACAATGTCGAAAAGCAGTACTCGGATTCGAAAGGGGAAGTGGCATATCTCATGGCCGATATTGCAAATGTCAGCCCGATGGACGTTACACGTCTTCAGGAAAGCATCAGGCGTACTGATGCCAACATTCTTACACGATTCCTTGCTTAGAATGTTACTATTTCAAAAAGGCAATCTTGGAGGTTCCGCCCTCATAGATTCATAGTGCCTACCACATTCTTGCATTCCATTCAACTGGACTTTTTACATATGTAATCACCTATCATTCATTGTACAAAAATTCTGTGCTTACATCCTTGATGAACTAGCAAAATATTATCCATTGTAAGAGAACCAGCATATGATACAGTGAGGATTCGGGGCTGAAATTGAAATTGTCAGAAGATTTCAAACCTCCTCTTCGGGATCACCAATACCACTCGCCAGGATTGCGAAGTGGGTCTCCATTTCTGGGAGGCATGGAGAGTCGTATATCTTGCATGATCGAGTGTTACCCCTAGATTTTTTGAGTTGCAATCTATATCATAGTCAGAAGACAGGGTGGAAGAGTATATTAGAGGCATCACCGAGTTGTAGAGGCATGAGCCATGATGTTTCCTCCAATGGGCTTTTTCTCGTTACCAGCGTACGGTCCTGCAGCAGCGTCTGGACTGGACATGACTTGGTTGGTGACGACCACTGCGATACCATACTATACGAGAATTAGCTCGACTCCGAATAATGGGCGGACAGCTAATGACGAACCTCATCCGCTAAGCGCTGCAACGTTCGCAGGAATTTCCCGAGATGCGTTTGACGCGACGCAAGTTCGCCACGACCGCTGAAGTCCGTCCGGTACAGGGCAGTACAGGAATCGACAATTAGAAGACAAAATCTATGGTGTTTAGTGTCAATAAGATATTGAACACACGCATATATACAGGAAAGACATACCTCGACTCCGACATTAAAGCGCTAGCATTCGTTAACAAGGCGTTCTGATGATCGGCGTTGTATGCTCTTGCATAGGCGACATTGTCCAACACCTCTTCACCGTTCAGTCCATATCGTTCTGCGACAGCTAAAAGACGGACGGGACGGAATGTACCCTCCGTGTCGATATACAAGCATTTCCCCTCACCACCCCCCATACTGACCGGAAGTTGACAGGTAACAGCTAATGTGTGGCATATTTGAGATTTCCCGGTTCGGAATTCACCGAATAACTCAGTAATTGCCCCAGTCTCGATGCCACCTAAGAATTTGCTTTACATCAGCGGGAAGCGGTGCAAATGCACATATTGTATATAGCACACCACCAAGAAGCGCATCCAGTTGCTTTGATCCCGTAGTGATGTGTACCAGCTCCGAACGACGGGCATGAACTTCGGTAGCACTCTGAAATCCAAGAGGGACAATTTTCTGAGCTTTTCAAGTCGTGAGCTTGAAACCTTGACTGAGGTTGTGCACTGCTCGCACCTTCAGCCAGAATCTTATCTGCCTTCAACTCAGAGATCCCTTTGATTGTGACCAGGTGCTTCTTTGGGGTGAATGCGACTGATTCGACGGTATTGAGCCCAGCGTCCGATAACTTTTTGATATCATTAGGGTGAATTCCCGCTTCTTGGAGTTTCGATACGAGCAGAGGACCAGAGAACTGGTAGTCTTCTTCGTTTTCCGGAATCTGAGGGTCTTGCGGGTCTTGCGACATTATTGGACGGTGGTGAGAAGGAAAAGCCGTGTCAAGACTTCTATTTGATTTCTCATCAACGCGTAATGCACGTGGTCGTGCCTTTGTTCCGAACAGTGACTGAACTCTATCTAGGGTGTTCCAAAATGACATCGCAGGTGCGTCCTGTCTTTGGATAAATTTTTGTGCTGAATCTGAAGCAACTGCAGCAGTCCACTTCTAACCCGTTCGATATTCTTCCCAATGAACTTATTATCGACATTTTCATCTTGATCCGGCATGAATCAGCCTTCTACATGAACCCATCCGACAAATGGATATCATCTGTGGTGCGACTCTCCAGTGTCTCTCATAGATGGCGAGATATTGCTATTACTACCCCCCAATTCTGGACTTTCTTCGTATTATCCACACCAAACTCCATTCAACTTGCACCGTTGTTCTTTGAACGGTCGAAGCCCTTACCTATTGACCTCATAATCTTGCACTTATCATCAAAGGATATCTTACCGCTTTCATCTCCTGAGAATAGCCGTATTCGATCGCTCGATTATCGGTTCATCTCACCAGATGAGTTGAATGAGTCCTTGCTTGTCGTTTCTCCCGCGACAAACCTTGATACATTGAAGATTCGATGTGATCCTAGATTTGACTGGGATTGCCACAGCTCACAGCACTTTGCTGTAGTCAAAAATGCCGCCCGTTTGCGATCTGTAGTGCTCAAAGGAATCTGCTCGCGGCTATCTCCTCCTTTGGTCAATCTCACCCACCTCGAAATACATGGATTTTCACCCACATTTCCAGAGTTTCGTGCCTTATTCGACTCGAATCCAGCGCTTTCTACTCTGTGTCTCCCCCGATTTTTTCCAACGGAATGGTTGTACGAAAAGCATCCCCCAGGCCCCATCGATGCTTCCTCGTTGCGATCATTTTCTGTCGGGTTAGGTATGCACTGGAGCCGTGAAATCTGCATGTTGACGTTCCTGAGGATGAATAATCTTGAATACCTCGAGATTGCCGGGAGCTATACAGGCCATATTACCAACCATTTCTCTTCTGCAAATGGTTTGTCGAGAGTACGAACGTTGCGTCTGCACAACTTCGTGATAGATGTTGTTCACGCTCCCGACGCCCCACTTTGGAGCGCGTTGAACGCAGTGGCTCGTGTGGAACTGAGTGGTGTATCACGTTTCTCCGACCTTTTAGCAGCCAAAACCGAGACTGGAGATAACGAGGTCTATTTTCCGAATTTGACCAACATTTTTTGTGACAGTTACGAGTCGTTGCGGGAAATCGTCGAAATCACACGCTCGAGGAGTGCGGTGGGATTATCTCGTGTCGAGGTTCCATCCCACTTTGAGTTTCTTCCCCAACAAGAGGTGGCGACTAAACTGAATGCAGCTAATATCGAGCTAGTCTTCGTCAACGACAAGGATGCAACTAAAACTATAGTTCATTATGACTCTGAAGACGAAGACGAAGATGAAGAGGACGAAGAAAACTTGGATTTTGACGAACTTTCTTGGAGTGATGACGATAACTACGACTACGACGATTACGATGACTACGATGACCATGATGACCATGATGACCACGATGACTTGTTCGAGAGATTTGGACTTTTGGAGGGATCTGACATCAACGGATGGGATGAATAGTGAGATGAATATTTTGTTACCAATGCCAATATATTCTATTACGAGTACCTACAGAGATCCAGATGAAACTACATCAACAATGGAATGCGTTTTGCCTAATGTCCGCTCGAAGAACTCTACAGCTTTTGCATCAAGCATTACGCGAGACCATTTCAGCATCTCATAAACGTTAACGTCTTTGCTAGTAGTTAATCCTGTAAGCGGTATATTTCGGATCGCTCTCTGAAGCATGATCGGCACTTCCTCCTCCCCGGTGATGAAAAGGGTGTTCTTAAGGCCCAAAGAATCTATCTTGTGTGACAAATGTTTTGTTTTTCCACTAGGCCAGTCCATGGTCTTCATCACCCCGAGATTATGCTCCAGCATTTTGGAACTCAATGCAACACGCATACCCATTTGAATGACCTTCCTTGGCAGCTTTGTGCTGAAATCGCGGGGTTTGGGACCGAACGCCACACCTCCGCCTCTTAACATTGGACTTTGAGCATCACCAAGACGTGCCCTACCAGAACCTTTTTGGGGTCTGATCTTCCTGCCTGAACCCCGAACTTCCCCGCGAGTCTTGGTGTTAGCTGAGCCTTGTCGTAAAGAGTCGCGATAGTGATTGACGCAAAGATGAAGAATATCACGGCGGATGGGATGATGAAAGACTGTGGGGTTTAAAGCGACTAGCCGGTTACGTGTCGGCTCGTGAGGTCGATGCAACGAAGCAGTGAGACCGACATAGACTGACTCAGCAGGAGGAGCAACTATGTATCGAGCGTGAGAGAATGAATGCCAATGCCCTAGTGGGGACGAACGGACGTACCATTTGTTGTAGGTGCAGCAGGTAAAAGAGCCGCTCTCTCTGGCGGCGCTGCCTTCGATATTGACGAAGGCCCGAAGCGACGGACGCGTCCTGTAGTTGCTGGTCGCTTTAGAGATTGAAGGTTGGGTATCTAAGAATTGAGACGTTGGTTATACGATTAAGACTATCACAACAAACCCAGACGTACAGTGGACTTTAGCATGAAGGTGAGAGGCAGAATTCAAGCCGCTTAGTCATATCCGAAGCTCCGAGGCTCACGTGATAGAGCAGCTTACGAATCTTTGATACCTGTACAGTTGTTCACACGGAAAGCTTGCGGCAGACTAACTTCCACACTGGGCGATTGAGGCGACTTCAAGACTAGGTAAGTCGGCAGCATCGTCTCCTATATCAGCTCTTAATCGTCTCGTCACATAGACACATCGTCCCTTCGACCTCCTGTATTAAAATGGTATCCACAAAGGCCGTTCAAACATTCGGCAAAAAGAAGGTCAATCATTGCATTTGTTCGACATCTTTCCTTCACTGACGGGTCTGTGTCAGACTGCTACCGCTGTGGCCCACGCAAAAGAAGGTCGTGGACTTATCAGAATCAATGGCTCGCCCATCAACCTCCTCCAACCTGAAATCATGCGTCTGAAGGTTTACGAGCCAGTCCTTGTTGCAGGAGAGGAGAACTTTGCACCCATGGATATCCGCGTGCGCGTCAAGGGAGGAGGACATACCTCTCAGGTTTACGCTATCCGACAGGCTATCGCTAAGGCTCTGGTTGCATATCATGCCAAATTCTCGGATGCGTACAGTGCGATGGAGCTGAAAAAGAAGTTAGTCGCCTACGACAGAACACTTTTGATTGCGGACCCCAGGCGGATGGAGCCCAAGAAGTTCGGAGGTGCTGGTGCCCGTGCTCGCAGACAAAAAAGGTACCGTTGCCTGCGTCTATCACTGGCTCCAATACTTAATCATCTCCGCTTTCAGTTACCGTTAAACGGCCCTCGTTGTACCTATATCATGTTTACCGCCATGTCTACGTCACATTTGCTTTCCTCATGCCATGGTATTATGATAATCTCTATGAGCCATCCAATAAATCGTTAAGTAATGGCGCTTAGAGAGGCGTCTTTTGGTCTGATTTGTACTCCACAATGCGCACGGCGTCTTATGTAGGTCGCGTTCGTTGTCAATGCACCCCTTGACTTGTTACTTAGCCTATGTAGCTTAGCCCCTCGTCTGAAATTTTGAATGAATCCAGAAACAAATGCCACGTGCTGCTTTTCTTGTGGTGTTCTGAAATTGCCTGTCAACTTGTTTCGCTCCTTCACTAGCACTTTTGAGCGCTCCAAAGCTATCTTGGGTTTAGTTTCTTTTCTCACAGACGAATGGACGCGTCTGTCACCGAGGAGCCCGTTTCGAACATATTTGTTGATTTATCTGGTTCACCTCTGCGGATCTTTGTTGAAGATTCGCCCCTTGGACCCACTTTAGTCAACCGATTGAAGGTGAGTGCTTAGCATGCACAAGTCCCTGGTTATGCAGTTTTATATCATTTTGTAGATTCATGGAGCAAGGATCACCCCCACAATTCAGAATGCACAGTACATCATTATAGAATCAAACTCTTCCTTCAGCGGCCATCATTACGAAAGGAATCTTGAAGGGAAATTATTAGATTCTAGTTGGATTGGAAAATGCATTGGAGCGCGTCGGATTTTACTTGAGGATGATGATTGGGGCGGGTGTGCGATCACAAACACTGCACAGGGCGAACAAGCTCCCCCTGACTCGTTCGTCGTTCTTAATTTGCGCTGTGAGCCACCTTCTGACCGCGTTTATGTAGACAATACCTTCCTCCCAGGCTTATGCGCCGCCCGGATCCTCGTTCAGGTCCTCTAGGCACTCCAGATATTCCTTCTACATTTCAATTCAACCCCACTGCAGGCGTCATTCCCTTTCTACCTCAATCGCATACTTCCTCGAACACACCTACTTCATCCCGCGGGACTACCGCAGAGCCTGCCTTTGTTGCTCGTCAACAACAAGATGGACAATCACCATACCCTCATACACCTCAAATTACCCCTAGTCCCAGCTTCCAAGCACCCTCATTCATGCAAACCGGTGCTATGATGCCCTCAGCCTTTTCTTTGAACCCACATTTATTGCAAATGGTTCCCAATCAGTTTCAAGATCAAAACTTCTTTATGGCATTTGCAGATGTTTATAGAGCCAACATGATGAATCTTGCTGCTCTCTCACAATTCCATCAACCACAACAACCATCATATTCTTTTCCAGAGGCTCCACCTGATACTACACCAGCACCAGTACCAGCACCGGCGTCTAGTAAAGCGAAATCCACGGAGTCACACAGTGGGTCATCTATGGCTTCTTCGAGTCTTCCATCGAAAGAATTGTCACGGAATGACAAAGGCAAACAAAAGGCTTCGCCACCCCCAAGCAGTTCCTCTACCAGATCCTTTTCAGAGCCACAGACACCCATATTTACTCGCAATGGGAAGAGTGTCATGTTTTTTGTTCAAATAGACCTCAGTCAAAGACATGATCTTGTGAATCAAATCAAGGTGAGATACATTGTTAAAATATTTTTGGTGATGACCAACTGCTTCAGAAAAACGGCGGTGCTATTTCGAATGAGCTAGACAAAGCAGACTATGCTATACTTTCTTCAAGGTCAAAAACCTTTGCCACTCTGTTTCGTACATCCACGGCTTCAGGGACACCTGCAGTCATTTCTTCCTTTGTACATGACTGTGTTAGGAAAGGAAGGGTATTGTCCCATGATCCAAAGTATCTTGTAGAAGCACCTAAAAAACAGGGCCGACCACCGTCGGATGATGTCGGATCCTCGAAAAAGTCGGAAGCGGATGATGTGCGCAAGGGAAAGGCACCGCATGATGATATTGGGCCTTCGAAAAAACGGAAAGTAGAGTTCGCACGTAAGGAAAAGGTGCAGGATACTCCGTATGCAAAGAAAAAGCTGAAAGCAGAGGCTGAACCAAGAGGAACAGCCTTTCAGGACATTCCATCGGCCAAGAAGTCAAAGGCAGAAGTCGAGCGTGTTAGCAATGAACGGGAGCAGGTTAAGAAACGAGAGATCTCTGCCGTCGATAAAATTTCGGAATCCAAACAACGGATTCCTTCGCCTCCTCCACCTCCAGAAAGTACAAGAGTATTTTCGAATAATGGAGGTTATGCATACCCTCCTTTGGAGCGCGAATATGTCGAGACTTATGCCAAAGTCTTGTTCGAGCGGGATCATCTAATCAGCAATGCCAAAATTGCCCAAAAACTTTACCAAAAGGTATGTGCATAATCAAAAAGATTGCTTCTAAACCACTAAGTTCGGGAATAGATGCCTCATCATACTGCAAAATCATGGAATACAACAGTCGGCGGACAGCTGCGCGAAGTCATCGACAAAGCCCGTAAACGTGCCGGAATAGCCTACAGAAAGAATGCGTACAACGAGAAACTCGGTCTGCAGCCACCAAGGACCGAGGACGGGGATAAATTTGCGAAACGCCAGGAATTGTCAGGAAGTGACTCCAAGGACCGAGATATCGAGTTCATTGCGCAGTTCTTCGCGGAGGGAGAAGCAAATGATGTGGATGATCAGGATGACAATCGCGCGGCACTATGGGAGCGTCTGCATACAAGGGTGGGTGCTATTCTGCTCCGACATTAAAAGACTGATCTCTCTTCAGGCGAAGTGGAGGACGGCTAGCTCATGGGAGGAATTCTATGAAGAGAACCATTTGGAGGTTAAGCGTCATTTTGGCGAAATCACAGGTCAAGAAACGGAGTAGTCAAAAGCAAAGGCCCAAGGCGCGGTAGGACAAGTGGTCGCACATTTCCAATATTGATGTACTTAACTCAGCACGTCCGTACAATAGTGTATTATGATTGAGAAGATGATTTCAAGTCTAACGGCTTCTTGAAAAACTTGCTACGTTGGTCATCCGACAACACTGATTTCGTCCCGGTGAATGCTCCTGCCTTGTCAAATATCCCCACAGTAGTCCCAAGGAACGCACATCCTCCTAGAGCTATTGGTAATGAACGAGCTAAGCACATCATCAGAATTATTGAATTAGTCCAAAAGCTCGGAGCGCACCTCGTATCCCAGCCAAGAAACCTGCTGCGCAACCGGCCGCTGCACCATTATAATGGTCGTTCTTCTGACGTTGATTTGCAACTGTAGCCTCCGTGAATGCGAACGCAGCTCCCATCGCAGCTACAAACAGTTTCATACTTTGGTTTTGGAGTAGGACCAAGTTCACTTACCGAAAAATGTTATTGTAGATCCTGTCCGTGTGAACACGCCTAAAGCCCCAGATGAGTGTTGTCCGAGAGCGTTCTGGAGGGTACTGGAATATGTGATTAATTGTGCTTCGGCCTTGGGGAGGGAGTTTCATGGTCTACCTGTAGACAAGTCCTAGGGCACCTGTAGCGGATTTTCGTTCAGAGGCTTTGAGTATGTTATTGTGAGCAATACGTACCGGCCTGGAGGCCAAGCATTGAAGCATTCTTCAATGCTGATTTTGGCTCAAAGTCATCGGGCATGGCCGCTGAGAAAGAAAGATGTATGTTCTCACGAGATGAGTGGCGTCACGGACTCAACGCATCCAATGATCAACATGATCAATGACTGAGAGCTGAGCTTCTATTCCATTGCAAAATTACAAGATGTCGCAAGCCGCTCAACCTTGGTATGAAGATCTTCAACAGCCTCACCCTTTTATCTTTCGCACAAGGATAGGACTGGTGCGTTCAGTTAGAAGTAAATTGGTTCTGAGTGCTTAACCACCAAAGCGCGCAAGGATTCGCTGCATAGTACCATTCCCCGAGCTGTGGTCAAATTATTCAGCCATGACGACTGTTTGGAGTAATACGAAGCTGTTCGATTCAGAGCTTGCTCAGCGCTTGGACTCCCTCGCGCTTGATCAAACAAAATGGAAAAAAATGATTTATCACTTCAGAGAAACTCTTGTCGTTGCTGAAGAACAAACATTGTACATCATCTGGCCATCTGGATCTGCACGTTCTATCCAGATAGAGCTTGATAAACTTTCAAAAACTAAGGTTGTCCCAACCGACAAGGTCAATGTCGCTTGGGCTCTGAGTCCAGATAAGCCATATGAACCCTTCGTGTTATTTTCGTACAGCAAGCTGGTCTACATCTTCAATGTACACACAAAAGTAATTGAAGGATGTCTCCGGGGTCATGGAGGAGCAAGTTTTGTTCCTTCCGTTTCTTCCGACTTCAGGCTAATTACTAATGTAGGAAATCACGTCGATAGCGGTCCATCCACGCGCTGCTCACATTTTCTGTACGACTTCGCGAGACTTCACCTCTAGGTTGTACGATCTTACACGTAGACCCCAGCTCAAACCGAACAATCCTCCCTGGCCACCGTCACTTGAACCAAGTCTTGCAGGACCCGCACATGGCCTGGACATGTCTTTTGAAGAGGGGAATGGAATAGGACGCTGTGTCCTGATCCTCATGGGAGGCCGCTCTGGAGGTCATCAAGCGGAAGTTTTTGGCGCGGTAATTGAATATGCCACATTTATTTTCACAGAACCGGGCTCACCAACTCTCAAGGCTTTTCACGACTCCTACCCAATTATAGCGACATGTGGTGTAGGTTTGATTCCTCCTCTGAAAATTTAAGAATTCATTGGCTTTTTTCCAGATGGATCGTACAATCAAAATCTGGCACATTTCCTACTTCTCGGATCGTTCTGAACAAAAACTACTTAGGGAAGATAAACCACTGTTTAGTAGTAGTATGATACACAAAGCAAGAGTTCTTTCTGTCAATTGGCAAGTTGAACCGCGTCGATATTTGACTATTGTTTGATGATACTCCAAAACAGGTTAACTAGTGATGTTCTACTCACTCATAGTGCCCCTGCAAAGATGCTTGTGATAGCCAACCCTCCAGCATCTACTGAAGGGCAAGCAAGCACTCAATCTTCAGACTCATCCTCTACTATGCAGTATGATCAGGATGAGCCTGGTTCTCTTACATTATGGAAATGGCTATCCATCAAAAGATTCTTTCCTCTGGGCTGGGACAAAGCAGCTTCTCGACAACAGGTACTACGCGGATTCGGCAGTGACTACCAAGAATCAGGTATATTTGGCTCTAACGATGACATTCGAGATTACTTACGAGATTCTAGCGTCGTTCAGGATGCTCTCCAGTTACTTCTTCCCTCCACAGACAAGCCAATATATAACACCGACGTTATATTTCAGTCGAGGAAGCGAAGTACCTTTCGTCGTTTACTCATATCCGAATACTCGACATCTCAATATCGTGAACATTGAATTATTCAAACCACTTTTACCTTCTCCCTCTCCGCCGGATGAGGGTAACAAATCAATTTATCCGGTTCAAAACAGACAGATACAAGGTTGGGAGATTGCTCTTGGCTCTACGTCCTATACGGACGAGACATTGGAGACTTGTATCATGATTTCAGGCGGGAAAATGATAGTTGCCGGAGGCTCCAAAGGCTCCTTATGGTTTTTAACCGTCAGATCCTCATGAAAATTGTTCATGTTTATTTGATTAGGAACTACTATGAAGCTATACCGAAGTACGGTGAATATACTTACACGTCAATCGAACTTGCCTAGTCAGCTGTGCTTTTTTTCTTCTTACGCTCGGTCCGCTACGGTTCGATAAATGTTCACCCTTACCACTTATATGAATACCCAAATCTTATATTAATCTTTAATCCCCCTATCAACCAGTGCAAGCTTTTTCTCTCCCAGACATGGCTCTGGTACAAGACAGAGTGGTTGTAATTACTGGCGCGTCTCAAATTCGACTATTCTAGCGAGGTGTGCTGACAGTCATACGCATGTTGGCGTAGGCGCGTCTCGAGGAATCGGTCGATCCTGGTGTGCTCACTTCGTTCAAAAGCCATGCATTGAGATGGATTATATTATGAATATCTAGTGCTCAAGAGTTCGCAAAACATGGAGCTACCGGATTCTTGCTGCATTACTATGGTGATGCAGCTACTGAAGCCGAGATCCAATCCTTGAAGCAAGAACTTATCGATGGGGGCAGCAACCGCAAAGTTGAAGTAGTTCCTGGAGACATTGCGGATCCAGAGACTTCCAGTAAAGTGGATCTAACTCTCAGCCATGATGCGGCACGAAATATTGACTTTGGAACTATTAGATTGTTTCCAAGGCTGTTGATGCCTTCGGAAGGATCGATGTACTTGTCTCTAATGCAGGTCGGTGCCAGGCGCCGCAATCTTCTGCGATTTAGCCAAATGACATTCTCATCATTTACCAGGCATTTGTCCGTTCGCGGAGTTTTTGACGATGCCACACGCTACTTGGGAACGAACGAGACAAGTTTGATTTGTTTGCTTCCCGCACTTAAGGGTCTTTCTCATTCAATTGTGTAAAGGTCAATTTGGATGGCTCCTTCTATGTCACGCAAGGTATGTATCTTTTTTTACTGTTCTAACAGCTGAGTCCCCTAATAAGATTTATCAGCCGTTGCAAATCAGATGAAGGTACAGAACCCTCAAGGAGGCGCGATCATTGGTGTTTCTTCTATTTCTGCTCTAGTAGGCGGAGAATTCCAAGTGTGAGATTTTAGCAGAAGTTTTTTTCTGGAGACATCTAATAATGACCTTCAACAGTCATTACACTCCTACGAAAGGTACGGTGCATCTATCTCTATCTGACCCAGTCCGAAGATGTTAAAGTATATCGCCACAGCCGGTATCCTTTCTTTGATGCAGAGTTGTGCGGTCGCTCTAGGGAAATACGGAATCCGGGCGAACGCCGTTCTTCCAGGGACTATCGCGACAGATATCAACAAAGAAGACCTCTCTGACACAGTCAAGAGAGACGGCATGATTAAGAGGACGTGTCTAGGTCGACTTGGACAGCCTGATGATATCGCTGGACCTGTTGTTTTCCTTGCTAGGTGCGTCCACGTTCGACCCAACATTTGATGGAACATTAATACTTCCCCAGCGATCTTGCTAAATACATTACTGGAAGCTCGTTGTTGGTTGATGGTGGTCTTTTCGTGAACCTGCAATGAATGTTTAATCTAGGATTACAACTATGTGTTTTGTATACATTGATGCTACTACTTGATCATAGGACCCAAAGCCTCGCCGTTTACAACGACAGGATCAGCAGACATCAAGACTGTCATCCAACGGCACCACTTCGTTGACGAAGGATTCTTCCAGAGGTGCATTCCACCTTTCATAACGACAGAATCACCAATTTGAGTCAACGCGGTTTCGTTTCCATCTTCCATGACAAGGACGAGTTCCCCGGCCACTGCAGGTCAGATATAGAAATTTGAGGGGACATGAACAAGTTCACACACAGAGGAAGTTGCAGTCGAGAGAAGACGTCCGATGCTGCAATTGAATAATTCGGTTATTGAAAATGCAGATAAGAGATTGGGATAATACATTTGGCGTTATAGTGCCAGGTGCTAGTTCCGTGATTTGTACGTTTGCACCATTCGCTGGTACCAAACCCTCTACTTGCCTCTTCGCCCCGTCGTCCCTGTTATGGTTCGGGGCGGGTTGAGGATAATCAATTTACGATCTGACGCACGAGGTGTTGTTGTTTCCAGTAGGAAGCCCATCTGTGATCTTCCAGATAGGTGCGATACTGATTCCTGGAGCGATGGGGGTTGTCTAAACAACTTGAGTATTATCGCATGCTTGAGAACGCATAGGCTCACTTCGGAAATGACCTGATCGTCGCTTTCGATCTTGCTGATGCTTTTGGAGTCATGCGAAGTGACGATTCGCCGTAGGAGGGGTAGATCACTACGCGACATGATGGAAGGAAAACAAATCGTTAAGCCAGCAGAACTGCCTGGCAAGTGATGATCACATGTATAATATTATCGCAGCTATTGTCGTATGAATACATGGGATAGATAAAACATAAATTTCTCGCGCGAAGCACAAGCCTATTCAAGGAGCAGTGTCTATGTGATTTGGGGCATTAGTGGTCGATCAGTTTATGTCTATGGTAATGGAAGCACGTACAATAGTGGTATTCGTCAATCAAAGGTATCCAGTCTTGAATCAAAGTTCCGAACAACCCTACGATTGGAGTAGTAGAGAGGTTTTCAGCGAGGGATGCTATCTTGGGTCTGTGGCTCAAAAGTTAGGACATGCAGAACAGAGTGATGGCATATAACTGCGAACCGAGTATAAGACTCCCATATGGTACCGCGGAAGAGATACCAGAGTATATCCCGATCTCTCTTTGCATACTCGGAACGCTCGAGGCTGGCGGAAGGCGGTACATTCCGACGCAAGCTTCGCGAAACGAATTCCATGGCCAGAACAGTGATGAGAGGGCGGTTAGACTTGCGGTCAGAGAATAACATCGTGGCTACAAAGGAGTATTTTAGCAATCATTAATTAAACCTCGACAGCAAATATCGTTACCATAGACTAAGGGACGCAGTATGTATATGACTTCAGATATCCATTCCTGCGGAGATGAGAAGGACCGCACAAGGGATAATGGCGGTTTCACGGAAGTGGTTGTTAGGGCTTTCGGAAGAAGATATTCTTGAATAGATACATCTGAACGAGGAGGGGGCGGGATAGCCGTCGTCGAGTGTTGCGGTAAAGGAATGCGGTTGTTTTTGAGGTGTTCCGGGGTATCAGGCAAGGAGGATGGTAGTGAAGAAGAAGCAAGTGTAGGAGAGCTTTCGGTGGAAGGAGGTAATGTAGTAGGATCTATATCGCGCTCCGGGATAGGCGGGGATATAACCGGTCTCCGGGTTATGCGTAGAAGCATGAGACGAAGGATTGCCCTAAGTTTCCCTATTCATATTGTTCGAAACAAGCAAGATGGTGGCAAGATTTACGTACTTGATTATTTCCAGAATTATGATACCTCTGTATCTATTCTTCGCTGATACTTTTCGTCGAAGGCCCATTTCGATAAACAGTTCGGTGAAACGAATTGTTTCGAGCAGACGTGCGGCCCATTTATACCGCGAATTCTTGTCTGCCCAGGCTCTCGTGAACCGTGTATGTAACGAGAATGGTATAAGAGGTCGGTATTTTGGATCAGACTGCACCATCCGCGCAAGTAGGGTGTCATGATACATGCTCATCATGTTCAAAGAGGCAGACACTGGATATCGAGTAAACATGACAATGTACATATTTTTACGCCTGTAATCTCACTTACAAGCTTCGGACGCCAGTTCGGCATCTTTGAAACGACCAGGAAGGAGCCAAGTTAACGTTCTCAGTGAAGATTCCAAGGTCGATATAGTAGAAACATTCTTGAGAAGGAAGGACTCGTAATGCGCCAACGAGGCGGTCATGGAGTAAGAGTAAGAGAGTGAAGAATTATAGAACGCGGGGTTACAACGTGATTTTCGGTAATTGAAGCCGCTTCACCGAAGCAGCATCAGATTCAACGCTTTCCCCCCGAAAATCGACATTTCATTTTACAAGCTCTGCGAGGTTCATCGACGTAGCTGTGTCGAGATAGAATATAATTAGTTCGTACTAGTTTGAGTATTATACGCATGTAATTCGTATTTCCGGAGGTTGGGACAGCTTGGGAGGCTTTGGGAGGCCTGGGACGATGTGCCAGGTTGTGCCTCGTGAACTTTGCAGATGAATTCCGACATTCACGATGATCTCAACAATTTTACATTTTCAAACACGAGGTGCTCGGCTCGAAAACTATATAACAATCATCCATCCGTTCAGATTGTTCTCATTTTTCCATGCTATTGACGGATCCCTATGCTCAGGAATAATAGACCCAACTCCTCCCTGGAATATCTCCGCCCCAGTCCAGTGAGAGGTCAGTTGGAACCCCAAGATCCCAAAACAACCAAAGGATGGCGATATCTTCAAACAACTGATACACTTGATGAATTGAAGGTCAGTTTACAACCTGGAAAAATCGTGATGGCCTTCATAAGCCCATAGGTCCTCATCCCGCCTAATACGGCGTCAATGTACGAGCAACTACTGAAGTTAGAGACTCTGGAATTGGCCAAAAAGTCTGTGACTTGGGACCGTCTCTTAGAAATCCGGCACTTGAAGGATCGAATGATACGCAAATGCCAGAAACTGTCCAAGACTCCTCCAGCTAGGCGGATTGGTCATGGAGACCCGTTTACTTTCCAGACTCTCGTTGCTCCCGTCGATTTTCGGCTCAAAGAGATGGAGAAATGGTTTCGACAACAACAGACTCGAATCTCTTCAGTGGGCACCCAACGACCGACTGGTCACACACACAAAGCCAATCCGCGGAACTCGTATTGTTGTGCGCGTTGTGCATCCAATCCACAATATCGACATCATTCAAAGGCCAAACTGTCATCGTTTGACAATGTGACTCCCATACCAGCTTTCACAGAGGAACCAGAGCCTATGATTCCTAGTCCGTCCCCTACCCCTCCAAAGGCTATTTCCCCAGAGCCTCTTCCTCACCTTCTCAGGAGCAGCATGGCGATGGCGCTGATGAATCAGAATTACACGACAACAACGGTTACAACAACGCTACAGGCGGAGACTGCTACAAGGCCGGAAGGCACCGTTTCAAAAATCGAGAGCACGTCCCATAAACTGCGCCATCAGAGGAGCTGCATTAAACGGTCTAATACGGGGGATTCAGTCAAGACCGTGTCGTGGGCAGACGATCGAGACTTGATGGAACGGGTAGGAAAGTTCACGAACGCGACTAAAGAGGCCCAGGAGATAGGCACGTCAATTTACACATTTCTTTATCGTGGTCGGACACGCGTCTGATATCGTTGACCCCTCGTAGACGATGAATGGGAGGACATACGGCAAGCGTACGTGAACCACATGGATCACCTCGAGTCCCTCGAGGAGCAGGTTCAGAACAGCCTGCGGCGACTACAGATCGAAAGTGAAACCCTACAACAGGTATGCGCCAATATAGGCCAGCACAAGGAGAGTTTACGAGAGGTAGTGGGTCGATTTGGACGGAAACAATCTGATTATCGCGCTAAAGGTTCGTCGTTATAGAGGTCTTATGACGTGAACTGAACGTTGTATTGTAGTGCAAGAAGTTTTGAGTGAGGCTGATGGGCTTCTCTCGTTGTACGGCACGAGGGAACCTCTGGAAAATCGGAATAAGTTTATGCCCATTATTGATGAAGACTCGAGAGAAGAACCTGTGATAGAATAAAGGAAATTGATTCGATTATCAACCAATCAAGACTTCGTAGTACCATTTCGAGTCATAATATGTATGAAGCAAGAGAGAGTAATTTGCCTGCTGAAGCAAAGCTTTAACCTAAAGCTTTGCCTTTTAGTTTCTTCGCATTGAGCCACCACCGTCGAACTACTGCTAGGTACACCGTAAGTACGACGCACTCTACCGAAATGACGATACCAAAGACATGAAAGGAATCAGGGCTAGCAGGTACATTTACATTTTGTGAAAACATGCCTGTGATGAAGAACATCAGTATTCCGAGAAATCAATAACGCTAGACACGCACCAATGACTGTCTGAAGACACAAGACTGCCATACTGACCGTTGTGAGATATACCAAGGCCTTGTCAGCTCCAGACTTGGTCAATGAAACATGGGTTCGTAGCTGTTGCAGATATGTTGGGTGTGACTGGCTCAACATACGTTCATAATGGGCAAGTGAATGTTGGAGACTGAGAATGTGATCTTCGGAAAATATAGGTTAGGAACGATATCTCCAGGATAGTTATGTTCGGTTACCTTGAACATCACCCATGTACATAGCGACCTCAGCTTCATCATTGTTGACTGAGGTTCCATTCCCCGATCCAGTAAGCAGCCGCTTCCTGATTTGTGCGACAACTTCTGACTTGGCCGCGAGAAGGCGAGTCAACGACGTGACTAGTCTGCGTATCCTAGCCATACGCCGGAGGGTGATCATCGTAGAGCTTGGTATAGACTTTTCGTTGGAGAGAGAAGGTTGCCAAAGGGAACGTATGTATCGCAGAAAACGTCGGTAAAGCAATGGGAGAGGAGGTCGAGGAAGGGCGAAATGCGTACGGGTACCAGAAAAGGTACCTTCGAGTCTCAGCAGATTCTTTTCGTTGAGAGCAGGCAGAGGCTCCTTTGCCGGGACGACCTTTTCTGGAAGGACAAATTCTGATCTTGCTGGAACATCCGAGGCCGTTGTAGTAGTACCTGAAGGGTAGACCAGCTGTTCCATGGCCATGACTTCCTTTTCTATCTCGTCCGAGAAAGGAAAGAAGGAGTCTACAATTGAATCAAGTAAGCTGTGTGCGATCCAAGCTGAAGACGATGAGCATATGTATAAGCCATCGAATCACTCAAGCTTACCTGAAGACATATTTATGGTCTTCTCGAGAGATATTATACGGTTCCGCACTCGGTCAATATGTTCTAACACTGCTCAACGAAATATTTCATCGAAATTGGGAGCGAGTACCTACCAGAGGCGTCCGTGAAATGAAACTGCAACGAAACAGTCAGCAGAAGTATATTGGTCCTAATTCGCAACTTACTGAGCACACGCCTTCGTTGAAAACGACCAGATAGACATTCGACTCCAGAAACGGCCCCTCATCTCCTCCGGTGTCGGTGCCAAAATCAATCTGACGCTCAATCTTTGTTCCCATAGTACGACTCTCAATCGCTCGAAATGATATGAAGTAATACCCAAGTTTCGGAAAACGCTCCAACTTCTCGCGAGGGTCTTGCTGTAGAATGTCCTCAAGCGTCAAAGGATGAAGATGTAGAAGCTAAGACACGTTGAATAAAGATGATACAGGACCAACAAGTTAAAAACTCACCTTGCCTATGGCACGCATATCTTCCGAAGTTGGTGAAGCCACATCCAAGAACCAGGGATTGTAAGCATGAACAAATTTCTCGGTTTCAGACAAAACCTCGATTGCCTCCCTGGTTTTTCCCTTCTTCGATTTCCGGAGAGCAGCAAGATCTGTGAACGATGCCGCACGGCTAGGTGCCTTCAAGTTCTCGGGGAGCATGAGATGTTGGTGAGTATCCGCAGTAATCCCCGGAAAGTTACGAGAGGGAGTGAGGTCTTTTCGATTACGTCTGGTCTTTGTGGTTTTCTTCAAAGCGGCGTCGAGTTGACTGAGAACAGAATCCAACGAGGAAGTCAACAGCACTCTTTGTGGGTGATCATCAACGCCCCCAGGTCTTTGAAGGAGTGCTTCACCAGCGGATCTCAATGCAGGAGCAAGATACAGCGAGAATTGTCGGGGAACTATGCGGGATTCCTCCCGAGCTTTGATGAGAGATATGCGTGCCGTGAAATCCCTTTCTGATTGCTGATGTTTAAGATCGAGGGTGCTTGCACGACGCTTACGCCTTCTGGAGAGCTGTGAACGGGTCACAGTTGCAAGAGAGGGATGAGATGATGAAGATGATGTAGAGGATGAGTTTCCCCTCCACCCACTAATTGCTTGCTCCAAAGTTGATACTAGATTGGTGAATGCTCCGAGCCTTCCATTGAAAAGAGACCAAGAAGAGGAGGAAGAGGAAGAAGAAGATTCGTCCTCAGAATCTGGCGAGTACGAATGGGGCGAATGAGGATGGGAACCGCGGTAAATGTCATCCGACTCTGTTTCTTGAATATTGTTTCTAATGGTATCATGAATTTGTGAGGGGGTATCTCTGCCGTCTTCGAAAGAAGGCAACGGTTTCACAGGTGGTCGTTCAGGAGAATGTTGCATGTTCAACGTTCAACTTTTAGCTCATGAGGATCATGACGAAGTTGCGTTGGAGCTAAGCGCTCATGAGCGGTAATTAATGAACGTGTAACATTTGAATAAAACTCTACAAAACTACTCCAATTTCCGCCTCTTCTCCCTATTTCGATCATAACCATTATCGAAAGGGCGTTTAGAAGACACGCCCTGCGCAAAACCACCCTTCTCAAACGGTCTAGTTTTCTTTTCCTTCTGCTCAATTTTCTTTCGCTTCTTCTCGATGACCTTCTTCACAGCTCTTTGACCTCCCTGTTCAGCGATGGAATCATACCTTGCCCTCACCAACAACTCTTTCTTTTCGTCTTTTGGAACGACGTAGTAAGTTAGAGACACCCAGATGAAGATGACTCTTCAACTTACTTTTCTTCATATACCATTCACCTTTACCAGATTCCTGTTTCTTCCGCTCTTCTCTCCTCGCCGCGCGAAGTGCTTCATGTTCAACTGCGTCTCGACGATCTTTGTTGACTGTACTTTCTGCTTTTTTCAATGCTAGTTCTAAGCGTTCGATTTCCACTTCACGTTCATGTCTTGTATCCCGTGGGGATGTAACAAGCAATTTCCGAGCTCTTTTGAGGTTCCCCCGTAGAGTAGAAAGTTCAGTTTTGTGAGATTCATTCAGAAAGTGGTAATTATCGTTAAATTTTTGTGACGAAAATTCCCCTGTCATGGGCAGAAATCGAGGATCTCTCATTTGCTAGAAGATGATCAAAGAGATGCTTAAACAGTAAGCAGGAGTATTAGACGCACCGGAGTCTGAGCATTCACAACAGTCCTTCGTCTAGTTACGGGCTTCTTGGAAGTTATTTCCATTGGACTGTTTGTAAGATCAACACATATCGCAATATACATAAGGGAAGAAGCTCTACGCATGCTTGTCCTTTCGCTTGTTGATGTCTGTCCTTGGTTTGGTACCCCATTCTGGCTTGGAAGCAGCATTCTCTTCGTTAGAGTCTTCGGATGATTCCCTTTCGATGTCAGAGGCATCAGATATATCTTTGACCTTGAGGATTTTCTGCGCGCGCCGCAGGGTGCCCATGGGAAGACTGGATAGATCTGGTGAATGAAATTTTACTCATGAATTCTAAAACCATAACTCGACAGCAAGGTACCAGTTTCAAGCAAGGTCTACAAGTCCTTCAATGTTTGGGAAAACATACAGCAGCAGCAGCATCTACATACCAGGTTATTCTTCGGTGCCTGAGAATACTCGGCTTCAGTAGCGTCTTCATCCAAAATATCCTCATCGACCCACTGAGCAACTCTGGGGGCATCATAGTCAACTTCATCTTCATCTTCGGGTTCGCTGGACGTTTCGTTCATCCAGCGATCTTTTTGCTCTTCTTCCGTTTGACGACTGCTGTGTCTTTCGTTTCCTCTTCTTATGGTAGATATAAGTGGTCGAATAGGCATAATAGCGATGATTGGAATGTAAAAGGCTGCAGGCGCTAATTTGCATCGCACACTTGACCGTGAACGACTTGCACGGTACACCTCCTCCTCATAAACTTGATAAAGTCCAGAGACCACTTATCTATCATTTCTTCCAATATTCTCTCACTTTGATATCGCATCAATGGCTGCCAATGATCCTTGGCTAGATTTCGAGGTTCGTCCAACTTCTACTCACCTTACCTTTCAATGTAACACATTCCTCGTACAGCTTGTCCGCCATAATGTGAAGCATAACACTGTCGACAGATTGAAGCAAATTCTGGGAGGGTTCAATGACGAATGTGGAACCTCTCTCTCAAAGTCGGGGAAAAAGCAGGAATTGATTGACAGAATTGTACTTGCTATCGATAGCTGGAAGCAAGCAAACAGTCTGGATAAATGGACGAAGGCTAAATTAGTTATGTATCAGGTTCGGAACTCTGGAACGTGAGTCGTGAATTTGTTACGGTTCTATTCCAGACCGAAAACTTCCCTTTGTTTTGTTCTTTGGAGTCACGCTGCAAATTAATACTATCACATTTCTAACATCTTGAACCACAGGTACGCTCCTGTGCGGCCATCCACTCTTCCTACATCCTCGATAGCATCCAACTCCTACGCATCATCATCTTCAATTGGCAAAATGGCAGGGTACAGCATTCCTGGTGTCGGTCTGAGTTCGAACAATTTAAATAAGCCATACCCTTCCAGCAAAGTTCCTCTTCCTCTGGGTTCCTCAGGATCTCCTTCTACTTACAGACCATCGAACCCCTCCCACAATTCTAAACCGGGTTCGTCTCCAAGTACTCTGATCTTTCAAAGTAAGACGCTCATTGTTTTCCAGAATTACGATTCAAAGACTCTCCTTTCTTCCGAGTGCACGAAACAATCACATCTGTTATTGAGTGTCCTGGTATGCTTTGCAGAACTCCACAAGCAAGTTCTTCCCTCATACTCCACTTGCAGAGTCCCAGAGCGCTGGAGATCGTAAGCAAGCGGTTGCTTCTTTCACTCTTAATCAAGATCAAATAAGCAGGTTAACAGGCCCCAAGTAGGTTTTTAGATCTATGTTCTTGATCAACGATAACAGGTTGTTTCTTGGCGCAGCACTCGATATCGCATTCGGCTGTTCTGTACATCATCCACCTTCTACTCCCCCGCATCCTTTCGCACGTTTCCCTCACAATGCCCGATTGAATTCCCTACCACATGCGAAGTCCGTGTAAATGGCAAAGCAATCTCTGCTAACCTCAAAGGATTAAAGAAGAAGCCTGGTACTGCACCCCCTCCAGTGTTGGATGAGCTTGTGAATTTCAATACTAGTCCTAATCGAGTGGAAATGATATACGTGAATAGTCAACAACCTGCGCAGCCGAAGGTTTGCTAAAATCCTTCACGCAGTATGCGATATTGACTCATTTTCTCCTGCAGAAATTTTACCTCGTAGTAAAGTTGGTCGAGTCTACATCGGTTGATACTCTTGTGGGAAATCTTAAACAGAATTGTTTTGAAAGTAGTGAAAAGATTCAAAAACGGAGTATGTCTTTTTATTTCTTCACTCCTGATCGTCATTTCCACTTTTTATACAGTGCAAGCTTCTACTTTTGAAGATGATGACATCGTTGCTGGGCCTCAGAAGATGTCCCTAAAATGTCCTGTATGTGTATGACATAATGAAGTAACCTTCTCTCCGACATTTTCTGGTTATAGTTAACGCTTGCTCGCATCAACACGCCTTGTCGTTCGTCGAAGTGTGTTCATGTCCAATGTTTCGATGCAACGTCATGGTTCAGCGTCAATGAACAAACCACAACGTGGTTATGTCCAGTGTGCGAGAGAACACTCGAGGTCAACGACCTCATTATCGACGGGTAAGTACACTTTCGGCATCATAATGTCCACATTCCCATCTTCTCTTAGATTCGTTGAAAGCATTTTAAAAGAATGTCCTGATAGTGTGGAAGACGTGATGGTTGAGGCAGATGGTGAATGGCACACGTCTGATAACACATACGGGTCTCCCAATTGGAAGATAAAACATCCCCCAAAGCGGTCGGACCCTCCCTCGCGGAAACCACCATCTTTACCAAAACCACCACTCACAAATGGGAATACTGCATCTTCAAGTACGATTCCCAACGGTGTACCCAAGAAATTTGATGTCGTGACGATCGAAGACTCAGATGACGAGGACGAAGGGAGAGTAAAACGGGAACTTTCACCTTCCTTCGGCAATATATCCTCCGCCTCTGGCTCTCAGCCATCTGTTCCCATATCCCGCTCACAAACCGGGGACGTTATAGATCTGACCATAGATTCGGACGATGACGAATCCCCTCCTCCCCCTCCTAACGCTGGTAAACGCAAAGCACCTGAAACCATTTCTCCCACCGAACCAATCTGGAAAAAGACCAAAACGAACGATTATTCTTTACTGAACAATGGTTCATCCCGTGTCTTCAGCGATGAATATTCCCGCATAGCCCAGCATAGCTCCCGGCCATCTGCCTCTACGGGGGCTTCTCCCAGCATACATCTATCTTCGTATAATCAGCCCTCTACTTCTGCCTCTTCCTCGCCTTCACTTCCCCCATTTCATGAGTCATTTCCGGGTAGACCTCCCTCTGCCAATGGTGCACCCCAGCTTCCGCCTATCAATGGTTATAGCTCCCGAGGATCGGGCGGTTCAACGTCTCGCTGGGTTCAATAGACTGTTTTATCTACGGTTTTCGACTGGTAAAATTAATGTTGATTATTGGCATAATTTTGTAGTTTCTGCACGTACTGTATGCGTACGAGGATACGAATACTTTACATACAATCCACGCCCCGGAACTCCCCGGAGCAGCTTGAGATAGCGTCATTGCCTGCTGACACGAGCACGTGACCCTTCGCGAACCTGAACAGCCTCATACCGTTTTGTATTCAACCATTATTGCAGATGTCTTCTCGATTACCACGGCTTCAAAACTCGTCGCCAAACAGAAATCAGGACTTGGCTCTTAGTTCCGTCATGCTTGGAACTTCCACACTCAAACGGAAAGTCATTCCGGAAGAAGATGAAGAATTGAATCAGCCCACGAGAAAGCGACCCCTACAGGCTTCTCGCACAGCAACGAATCTTAGCAAAAGCTCCTTGACTGCTCCAAAACATCTCACACAGCCTCGGGCTCCTAAACTAGGCACTAGTAAATCAACCAGCAGAATCACCAGAGGCACCAGTGCGCCGCCTCAAAGCACAGTGCCTAAACCCTTCTCTTCTCAGACCATTGCGACTCGGCCTACGGGATCTGGACGTGCAGGTCCCTCACGGACATCGAGTGATCAGCGTCTCGATGACCTTAACACCAGGATCACTTCTATGGAGGAGGCCAGGGCTGCAGACACTGCTAGGGTGGCTGCAGACATGGACGAGGAGCGTGCGAAGCGGATCGAGTTACAGGAGGAACAGCGCGCTCTTTCTCTCCAGCTTGTAGCCTCACAGCAACAAGAACTCAACCGTCGTGCCGAACTCAACATCATCAGCGACGAGTTGGAAAATTCCCGCAAGAAACATGCGCGGGAGATCGCAGACCTAGAGTTTGATTTACAGAAGAAGGATAGACTTCTTCGAGAGGCGAATGAGGACCTGAGGGCTTGTCGGAATGATCTTGAACAGGAGCGGGAAACAGTGTCCTCGCTCAAGTCCGCCCTCAACGCACAGTCCAATGCACACCTCACTCTAACTGCCGAAAATCGGTCATTCCAAACACAATTCACCGCTTTGCAGGCTCAGTACGACGAACTTCTGCGGACGAATGCTAATCTTATTCTCGATCTCGAGGCAGAACGACAGGAGAAAATTGAAATGAGGAAGGAAGCTACGGAAAATGAGGCCGTGCGACGCAAATTGCACAACATGGTACAGGAATTGAAGGGAAACATTCGCGTCTTTTGTAGAGTTCGACCAGTTTTACCATCCGATATTACACCATCTAGTGGTTACCAACCCACTAACAGTCCAAACCCGTCCCCTAACGAGGAGCTTGAACTCATTCGCCAGGAGCTCAAGGCTGATATTTCTTTCCCCGATCGAAGAGACCACCGCGAAATCAATATTTGGTCCTCCAGTGAAAGTGCGACTGGCCAAGAGAGGAAGGAGAGTTATCAGTTCATGTTTGACAAGGTTAATTGCAGTTTCTACTGCTCTATCGTAAACTCACTCGATCGTTGTATAGGTGTTCGAACCCGAATGCACTCAGGCAGAAGTCTTCGAGGAAATTTCGATGCTTGCTCAGAGCTGTGTGGATGGATACAATGTTTGCATCTTTGCATATGGCCAGACAGGTTCAGGCAAATCGTTTACAATGGAAGGCGGCGCAGTGCGTGTCATCGTCATTCTTGAAGCCTACACTGATCCCCTTTCTTAGTCTAATGCTACTAAGGGTATGATTCCACGAGCAGTAGACCAAGTTTTCCGCGTCGCAGAAGACCTCCGAAGCAAAGGCTGGGAGTATCAAATGGAAGGACAATTTCTTGAGATTGTGTGTGCAAATTTGCTACTTGCGACTGATCCTTTAATCATTGCATCTAGTATAACGAGGCAATCAACGATCTTCTCGGAAAGCACGAGTTTGACAAGAAAAAGCATGAGATAAAGCACGATCCAAAGACTGGCTCAACGCGCGTCACTGACATTACTGTTATCCCCCTGAGCTCCCCTACACAAGTACGAGCTCTTCTTTCGTCTGCTCAATCACGCAGAAGTGTTGCAGCTACGCTAATGAACGAGCGCTCTTCACGATCGCACTCTGTGTTTACACTTCGAATCACCGGCTCAAATGCGGCCACGGGTGAGAGCTGTGAAGGATGCTTGAATCTTGTAGACCTCGCAGGGAGTGAAAGGATCAATGTCAGCTTTGGGAACGGATTCGGAACTGCTGGCAGTAACGACAAGGAAAGGCTGAAGGAAACGCAAAGTATTAATCGAAGTCTTAGTGCGCTCGGAGACGTTATCGCTGCGCTCGGCGAGAAGAGCGAACGGGGCGACAAACATATACGTTGAGTATCTCCTGGACAGGCTTCTATCACTTGACACTGACTTTCTGCTCTCCCGTTTTCTTGCTCTTTGTCCGCCCGCATTAACACCTTTCAGCGTACAGAAATTCCAAGGTCAAATTTTGTGTCGCTTTCGCAAATGTGGCCGCTGCTGAGTATCTTCATGACAGCTCACTTATCTACTTCAAAATTCTTTGAGTGGGAATTCTAAGACCTTGGTCAGTTCGAGATTTTCAGATTTTTTATAAAGTTCAGTGCTGATATTTCCCAGATGGTTCTTAACCTTTCGCCGTTAGCCTCACATCTTAATGAATCATTGACTTCTCTACGATTTGCAACGAAGGTAGGAGCCAAGATCATTATAGTCGTTGAGTGAAAGCTAAAATATTCTCATCTAGGTCAACAATACAACGCTGGGAACGGCAAAAAAGCAGTCCCGGTAGAGCTGAGACATTTTTGTATCACCGTAGCTGTTTGACGGCCTTTCCTTCATGTAACTACATAGTTGTAAATGTCCCGTTGAATGGTTAGACATGTACAGAATATGCAGGAGAGGATTGCTAGTACATAGCCGGAGTATCTATGTGCTGGAGCAGGAATTATATTGAGGGTGGTAAATTGTGACGAAATCTTATGGCACATTTTACGAACAAATCACTCAGACTCGCTTTCTAGCATATCCTCCATTGTGGTCTCTTCGAAATCCTGCTTGAGCGCATCCGTAAAGTCTTGTAAAGCATTGCCCTCAATGACAGAAGATAAATTCATGATGCTCAGGCCGATTCGGTGGTCTGTGACTCGTTCCTTTACAAATAACATCAGATCAGTTGAAACCAGATATAATCGTTTTGCACGCACCTGTGCATAGTTATATGTACGAATCTTCTCACTACGGTCGGCACTTTTGATGAGACTATTCTTCCTCGCTCGGCGTTCAGCAATTTCGCGAGTGATTTTTCGGTCCATGAGTCGAGCTGACAGGACTTGGAAGGCTCGTCGTTTGTTCTAACAATGGAGGTTCAGCATCGGTCCAGGGTGAGTGTGAAAAAATACTACTTGATGCTGGCTCCGCTCATCTTGCATTGATACCGTGATTCCAGTAGGAATATGCGTTAAGCGAACTGCAGATTCCGTTTTATTGACATGCTAGTGGATGTTTTAGGAAGTGCATTGCTAAACTTTCAGAATTAAGCACTGACCTGTCCTCCAGCACCCCGAGCACGCATGACCTCTAATTTGATGTCATCCATAGAATAAAGGGCTTCTTTCTGCGCGTCCTGTTCCTCTATTAGAGGTAGTACCTATACGACATGAATCTTTCTTTTTCGGAACACGAAAATCAAGAAATACACACGATGACGGCCACCGTACTAGTATGTACCCTTCCCCCTGATTCTGTGGCGGGTACTCTTTGAACTCGATGGACACCACTTTCCCAGCGTAGAGTATCATATGAGTTGGATCCCTTAATTTCGATGATAGCATCTTTGATACCCCCGCCTTCGTTCTCGTTACTGACTACAACATTTGCCTTCCACGAATGACTTTGAGAAAATCTCGTGTACATTCGTAGTAACGTTTCGAGGAAAAGTGATGATTCAGTTCCCCCGACGCCTGACTTGAGCTCAACAAAAGCGGAAAGATTCGCGGTCGTCGAGGGAGGGACTAGTAGGGAAGGGAAAGTGTAGTTCAAGATGGTCGACAGCTTTTGGTCCAATTCGGCTGCTTCCTCTAAAGCAAGAGCCTTCATTGCAGGGTCAGGGTCATCGAGCAAAAGCTTCATATCCTCGAGGACCTGTTCTGCGGTGGGTACCATCTGAACTCCGATGTTGAAATAGCGCAGAAGGAAGCCTGACCTTGAGAGTAGATGTCCAATGATCCCAGGCATCTTGAAGTGGCTCAGATTCCTTGAGCTGGCGCAGTCTTTCTATATCTTCGGGCGAAGCCATATCATCCGAAAGCTAAATTGTGTATGAGGCATTTATTTGCAAAAGATAGAATGCACGATTTACTTTAGACAGAATTCTGGCGCGTTCATCTATGCGTCTTTGAACAACACCTAGAATTCGGGAACCATGTTTCAAGACGTCCTTGGACGCGGCTTTTTGTTGTCGTAAGTAAGAGAATGTCGAAAATCTACGGAGTGAATGGCAGAGACATGATGGTGCGAAACGAAGCATTGAGTTGGATCATCATCAACTAATATCACCTTTATGATAATTTTATGCTTCCATGCTCCCATGGTTTCGCACCATTCTTCGAGGCGGACGACTTTTTAGCACTGAAGCTACTACACAAACTATTACATTAAGACCCTATCAAGAACATTGTCTACAAGCTTGTCAGGATGCGCTAAATGCAGGCAGCAGGTGAGTCTGCACGCTTTCGTTCGGCAGTTTCTAATATCCATATCAAGTCGTATTGGATGTTCATTGCCTACTGGCTCCGGGAAAACCACAATCTTTATCTCTTTGCTTTCTCGAATATCCCCTCCAAGCTCGAATCCCCGAGCATCAAGGTCTCTCATCATCGTGAATAGTATCGAGCTCGCCAGGCAGTCTGCCGAACAAGTTGCACGTTTGTTTCCCTCCTGGACTGTTCAAATCGAGCAAGGCGTCAAGCACCTAGCTTCTGGCACTGCTGACGTGTGCGTATGGCGAACGCTGACTAGAAACTGCATCTGAACATATTATATAGCACAGTTGCCACCTATCAAACGCTGCTACAGCCCGAACGTTTTGCGAAATTCGACCCGACGCGTCTCAAGGCAGTTATAATTGATGAATGTCATCATGCAGCTGCGCCTAGCTATCTCAAGCTTCTCTCCCACTTTGATTCCAATATTAGAAATCCAGATCCAAATTTCGAACCTCCAACTCTACAACACAAGATCCCAATCATTGGGTTTTCAGCAACGTTGAGTCGTCACGATGGAATTGCGTTAGGCTCTGTGTTTGAACGGATTGTCTACCATCGCGATTTCCTAAGCATGATTAAGGACCAATGGTGACAGTCTCTTTTACAGATGCCTGCTAGTTAATTCTAATATTTTCAAGGCTCTCGGGAGTACGTTTTACTACAGTACAAGCGAACATCAATTTGGATGGAGTTACCGTCAACTCACGCACTGGGGATTTTAATGCAACTAGTCTTGCTCACGTTATCAACACCGATACCATCAACCAGCTGGTCGTTCAAACTTGGCTGGATCGAGCAGGTGGGGCGTTTTATGATTTTATACACTTGAGTTAAAGTCTTAAGCAGCGGAAAGACGATCTACGCTCGTGTTTTGTGTCAATATCGCCCACGTCCGGGCTTTGACTCAAGTTTTTCGTGGTTTTGGAATAGATGCCCGTTACGTTTATTCAAAGACGCCAATCGCTGAGCGTAAAGCGCTGATTGCATCCTTCAAAGCCGGACAGTTTCCCGTACTAGTAAACTGTGGTATGCCCCCCACAAATCTGTGTCGATGGAAACATTTTTTACTCACAAAATTCGTAGCAATTCTTACCGAGGGTGCAGACATTCCGAATATTGACTGTGTCGTTGTTGCAAGACCGACGCGTTCAAGAAACGTTTTTGCTCAGATGGTAATTGTCTTTCCTTGCGGCTGGCTCGAGTGAATCTTCTAAATATCCGCATGAAGATCGGACGCGGCATGCGGCTTTCACCTGACACGGGGAAAAAAGACTGTCGTATCATTGACTTTGTGGACAGTGCAAATCGTGTATCTGGTATCATGTCTACCCCTACATTGTTTGGCTTAGACCCTGCCGATTTAGTGATCGAAGGTGAGTAAAGAGCGTATTGTCGTTTTTGCTATTCTTATTCTTGTAGACGAGACGCTTGAATCTCTCGAAGAAAAATCGTCAGCGCAAATCGCATTGCAAGATGCCGACAACGTCCCCGACCCGGAATCTGTGACCTATACTGACTACGAAGACCCCTTCGCATTTATTTCCAAGTTCTCTGGACTCTCTCCGCACATTAATCAACTGAGCAGCTATGCTTGGGTTGGTTGTGGAAGCGACATCTACGTATTAGAATGCTTGGGCAAGGGATTCATACGTATAGAAAAAGTTGAAGCAACAGACGGTGGGTGGCACTGAGCTTCTATCGCGACCTTCATTGACGCTGGGTCAAGAAGTACCTGCTCATTTTTCTGCTCGCTTCACACCAGCAGCTTTAGATCGTGCTACAGCTGCAGGTTTAAAAGTTTCGCCCTTCCTACGAAGTAGACGTATTCTACAATCCGAGGATTTGAGCGAGGCTATCAAAGGGTGCGACACATATGCAAAGACGAAGGTTGTGTTCGGTCCAATGGCTATTGGGTAAGGTTATTTTTTCAGAATGGGGAATGTCAGCACCATTGATTATGTATCATAGTCTATTGAGGTCCGCTCGTTGGAGGAAGGCACCTGCAACCCCACAACAAATTGCACTTGTCACTAAGCGATTGAAGAAAACCTTGGATGATGATCATGAACTGAAGAATATTACCAAAGGGGAAGCTGCAAATATTATCACACGACTGAAGCATGGTGCAAAGGTGTGTAATCAATGTAATGCTTTTCTTTCCTTGCTGACCACTAGCGTAGCGTCGACATGATCAAAAAGTCAAACAAGCGTCGGTTGCCACAAAAGCTGCAGAGAAGGAGCGAGCGCGTCGCGCCCGAGAGGAAGTACGAATTGGACCGTTGCCACTTGTCTAATAATGCCAACATGGACTGCCGGAATGATCATTATTGTGGATATTGTAGATTTTTAATCGCCTCTTCTAATATCGAGAGTTCTGGAGACACTGCATATGGGCTGCCTAAAGTGAGGGCAGCTGCACGTTGCGCAATCCCAATGGCTTGGGTTAGAGTCTCCGAGCTGTCGAAAGCATTTGGGCGCTTCACTAAACAGCTGGCGAGAGCCCCTACAAACGAATCTCCCGCTCCAGTAACGTTGGCCAAGCTTTCCACGGGTAAGGCGGAGAAGTGGGAGAGAACAACTGTGTCTGAATCACTGTGATTTACAATTTGATGTCTTTGAATATTGCTTTGCTCTGAACGCCATTGTGAGGTCGGACTCTGTCTCATCGCTACCAAGACGCCTTTGTCGCCGCATTTGATAACGATATGGCGGAAGAAGGGTAATAGTCTAACAGCCATTTGCGCAGCCCCTTGGTCTAAGAGGAAAGACAATGTTCCTTTTGAAGGGTCTTTGTCAGTGACATTGACGCGAGAAAGGTGCTCTAGATCCATTCTATAGCGCGATGTCAAGGAGAAGTTATCCAATGCTGTCCAGTAGTCAGGCTTTGAAGATAAACTCTTTTCGTTCGCAGATTCAAATATTTCGCGCAGCTCAATGAGGTTTGGGGAAATGAAATCGATGGGTGAGGCAGAGCTAGACACATTTTCGACAGCTTGTAGAATCCGTGTGGACTTCACGACTGACGTGGGCTCGCTAGCAAAGGACAGCGATTTTTCAGTGCTAGAGTATGCAATATGGATTGATTGACTTACAAAAAGACTAGAGTATCAGTGATTAATAAATGCTGTAGTACGCATAAAAAGCTCGTATGACGAACCTTTGATGCCTTGCTCAGTGCACAATTTTACGACTGTTGAAATTATCTCTGGCGAGCAGTTGCCATCGATGATGACTAAAGTGGGATTCACTCTCTTGATCATTCCAATGGCCTACAGACATGTTTAATATCCATCGCCTGATGGGGTTTATTCTACGCACTTCGGTTTGAAATTGTTCAATTTCGAGTATTGCCATATCTGCTATCCCTGTAGTCAACCCACCATGGCTATCCATGATCATATTACAGACAGCCGTTCGTTGATTCTTCTGTAGTAACAGACCATCGGTCCTCATACCAAAATTCGCGGTTCCTTCCGTCAACAGATGTCCGAAGGCGTCATTTCCAATAGGGGCAACCAACAAGACAGAGCCTTTTGGAGAAACACGATGTGAGGCTTCAGCGATGTTTCGAGCCACTCCCCCGAGAGAAACGGCAATAGTCCCCGGAACAGTCGAACCTGAAGCAAAGTTGGGAGCCATTTCGAACGCATTTGCAGAGATGTCTACTGCTGCAGCACCGAATACGAGAAGTGATGCGTGGTCATTCTCAATAGTAAGAGGCTCCTTTTTTGAAGCCAATGGTTGTGGTCGGGAAGATTGTTCGGAAGTGGCAGAAAAACCGACGGTCACATAATCACTGGAGCATGACTTTTTCATATAAGAACATGGGTGTAATTTACATGATAGGTTTGAGTTGGTGATTAGTTGCTTACTTGCTCTTCAACTAACTTTTGATATTCCACCGCAATCTCACCGCCTACACCTCAAGATCAATCATTCAACCTCGAAATACATGAAAAGTGTACTTGCCTATTCGAACGTTGTTTTCGAGTAGAGCTATGTTTGATGCGAGCGAGGAACCTTTCGAAAGCTCACTGACACGCTTCAGCAACCAAGGAGTAGCTTCTTTTCCTCGTTTGCTGATGCCATTCGCCTCCGACTCGGCCACGGCTTGGTCAACAGCGAGTTGAATCTCTGCACCGGCAGCTTCAAACTTACCCGGTATAGGCACAGCAAATAGAGCACCATTGTTCATCCTGAGTTGTGACTGGGTGTCTGAGAATGACGGGTTAAGAATTAGTGTGCATGGAAACGGCAATTGGCTTACGAAGTATGTTGGCAGCAGTGTTTGGAGAATGGGTATTCCACGGGACCTGGTCACGAATCAGTATTTAGGAATTACGAAGTGATCCTTGAAAGGTACTTGAAAACCACTTCTTGGAGCGAAGAAAGCTGGGAATTCTTTCGAGGGCCCGTAAGAAATGACAGGAACACCGAGTGTTTCCTGTGTACTGTAATCAGAGAGGATTGTATAAGGGCAGCAGTATTTTACATACCAGATACTCCAAGGTCCTGTTGCCACTTCATCAGCTAGGTGCACAATCACATAATGGATTGATTACTGACCGACCAATATCCAGAATAGACTTGGCACCAGAGGAGACAAGGCCTACCGGACAACGGGCGAGTTCTTGAAGATCAGCAGAGATATCCATGGCTAGAAAGAATCCGTAAACAATGCATGGAAGGTTTTGGCATCTAATCTACCGTAGCCGTGCACTCACATGATTCTCCTCCACGATGCACGCCACCTAAACTAAAGCACATCTAAGAACTTTGAGAGAAGTTTGTGTCTGGCGTACTAACTAACCCTCCAGTAGCAAACACCTTTATTCCTGCCAAAGCAGCAAAAATTAGCGTCGCGCTGATAGTGGTACCTCCGGAAGACCTCAAGGCTACCGCGGGGGCAATATCACGACGAGAGATCTTCACGACCGAGCCAGGTTTTTCAGGATTAGCCAAGCGCTCCACTTCTGCCATCTCTAGCCCTATCTTGATCCGCCCTTCGATGATTCCTATTGTAGCTGGGATAGCCCCCGTCGATCTTACTATGCTTTCAAGCGAATTTGACAGATCATAGTTTGTTGGATACGGAAACCCATGAGTCACCAAAGTGGTTTCAAGGGCGACTACGGGCTTTTTCGAGGCTAGCGCGTCAAGGACTTCCGGATGAACATCGAGAACCCGCGTAAGACTGGAATCCAGATATCCTCTTGAGAAATTGGAGAGCTTGGAGAGTGTGCGACTAGTGGCTCTGAATAACATCCTGGCACTTCTCAAGCTAAGGATGGAAGCGAACGGAAGAAGGTAAAGAAACTGTAATACTTAGTTGTGTTTTACAAGAACCCGGAAGTCTTGTGATCATGAGAGCCTGGTCGGTAGAATGCCGGTTACATAAATGTGAATCGGCAAATCACCCTTGACGCGATGTTATCTCCTGGTTCATCAGTGGAAGGCACCCTTGAGCTTCCTGGGGCAATTTGTTCCATTAAAAATACGCTCGACCCCATAGAGAATACCATTGAACAGGTCTCTGATGATCGATTTGGCGCTGTGGCGACCTTCATTGGCACTACACGGAATTCATTCCAAGGTCGCTACTTAGATCGAATTTAGAACATCTAATAGCGGACTCACCTTACATTCAGGCAAAGTTGTAACAAAGTTAGAATACCAAGGTAACGAAGCTTCCGCAATTCAAGTCCAATCAATTAACTGTTTAACACCCTAGCGTACACAAAGCTCGCTCTCAAAACGATGGCTACAATTATAACAGAAGCCCGAAACCAGACTGCAGAATTTCGAGCAGTTGTTCAGCATAGAATCGGTGTTGTGGGAGTGGGTGAGCCGTCAATAGGTAGGCATCAGTATTATTCGACTGTCTGCTGCCGACATAAATTCCACAATAGTGATAGCTGTCTCCTCTCCCCATCGAAAGGAAGCATTCCATACTTGCGAATTCATCCTGGAAGAGGTAAAGCGTAAAGTGCAAATATGGAAAAGAGAATACTACGAGGGGGAAGACGAACGCCAGGCAGAGTGGAAATCCAATGTGTAGCGGAAAAAATCGGGGTGTACAAAAAAATGTGCACTACTATTCAACTTTCCAATCCTTGACAACATCATCGTCAGAACTAACCACCAACTCCACGCCCCAAAGTACGAGTGTGAAGAATACGTTTGCCCATCGCCACCAAACAGCAGAGGACTGGTCGAGGACTTCACAAAAGAGTAATTAAAATGATGAACATTCAACTTAGAAGGAAAGACATACGTAAAAGGTGTGAATACACGTTGACGAACAGGAGCTGTCTATAATTGAGTAATATTCGGATCAATGTAGAGGTTGGTCGATCTTCCTCTGTACCATTATCAGAGTCCCAGTTATCTGTACCGATAGTTGGCAGGATACGCGATGCATATTGAAGAATACTGAGTCGATACACAAGGGTGATCAGAAGAGGTTTAGGCAACGTGTTGGTCACGAAATTCTGCAGAACGTCAAAATGCGGTTTTAGGTTGCCAATAAGTGGAACACTGTTCATTCGATAATAAGAAAAGGGCACGACAAAGAAATAATGCAACGCACTATGAAGATGCGGTTTCGGGAAAATATGCCTGATTTTGATCAACCCCACAGAGCCAGAGATTATAAGCAATGAAAAGACTGATAGCGGAGGACTCTATGATATTTGTCTTCTTCAACACAAAACCGATGAGTGTGAGGAACACGAGCGCGGTGAGTGCGACCCCGAGGAAAGTCGACGACAACGGGGAAGAGGCCGCGGCAGGATAAGCCTGAGTACGGGTCAAACAGAATTACAACAACACGGATACTGAGATTGAAAAACCCACAATCACACACCAATACGCGGATAACACATAGGTCACCGCGGCGGCGACAAGGAGAGTGAATTGATAGACTTCGCTATCGGCTTGCTCAATAAGTCTCTTTCCCATCTGTCCGAGCCTCTGAGCTACAATCAAAGACGATAGTCCTTCCAATAAAAAGAAGAATGGTCCCCACTGTATCAATTTAAGTAATTTTACTGCACACGATGGATCGAGAACGCACATACTAGAGACAAGGTATAAGCCCACCACCGCGAAGCAGTAAGTATCCACGGATTGACATTGGACGAGAAAACATTGAAGCAGAGGAGAAGCAAGAATGGATGGATAGGTAATTGGAGCACGGTTAAATTAGGTGATCCCCATAATAGAACGAGAGTGCCGTGTATGAAGGCATGCACAGCGTGACAAAGGGAAAGGAAAGAGAATGCAGGCGTTGATAGAGTTGATAACGTCAATGGCAAGAATAACAGGATCTGAGCGACAGTCAGAGATCTAAGAAAACAAGTTAGCGATACGAAATTTGAGGGTATCTCGAATGTGTAATCTACCTCGCTGCGCTCGACACAGCTCTCCACAAAAGGGGACTGGGCATTACAAGGTCGTGAAAAGTAGAAAGGATAGGAGGGCTGCTAAAGCCAGCCACAAAGTACCATGAAATTACGAGTCCAAAATGAAATGTAGGATTCGTCCTTGTGGTGACTTTGAACGTGGGAAAACGTGATGAGTCTCTTTCTTGACTTCGGTGTAGTCATAGGCGTCTAATTCACTGACTTGTTGCGTGTGGGTCTGACTCTTTAGGGGATGTATGGGATGTCATTACATCTATTTGCATATCCCTGCACAGTGGATTTCCATAAATACCGTAGTAGTGTGCCCGGGCAGTACTATGTTATGAGCTATTATTGAATAAGTTATTCCAACGCCCAAAACACACTTTTCTACCGCGCGTCGCGATAAATTGATATACAAGACATTATCAGTGCAATTCTTCCGATTCCATTGTTTCCATGCTTCTTGGTACTAAAAGACCTTTCTCTCGGGCAAACTCTGTCGTACGGGTGAGAGATGCTGGGTCTGAAGGAGGTACATAAAACTTGTCGACAATAGGTATCTGAAGTAGATTCATCTTTGGGGTAACCACGACCATGTTATTCGTTTTGATTTCCATCCAATCCGCTGGGAGAGGGTGAAGGGTGAGCTTAAACTTTTCAAGGCTACTGAGTGAAGATGGTCAAATACCTCTTTCAAACGTCAGAGGTTCACTTGCGACCTTGCAACACGACATCAGTTTTCATTTCCAAAGGAAGAAGATTGGAAGTGATACCATGATGATATTTTCTCGTTTGTCAGCTTTTGACATTTTGTAATGACCTCCTCCACCGAATTCGCTGAAAGTTGTTCCAGAAGAGTACCACTGAGGCAGACAGATAAACCCTTCCTATGTATCCATGCATTAATTTGAGAGACTAACCAGTGACGCGGCCTCGTCTGTCTTGGAAGATATATAGCGAGTGGCAATAACCGTTTCTCCATCAGTGACACAAAAGTTCATTAAACTGGGCTGGAGAAAGATCGTCCAAAGGTTATATTGAGGAAATTGTGTGGCCCTACCTCTGTAATGCCCGCTTCTTCCGCATAATGGTTCAAGGAAGCTATGGTTTTAAACATAGCATCCCTTAACATGGCTGTGGTGAATGATTTCGCATTGGGGTCTGGAAGCTAAGGTATAATAGATTGAGAGAGGTTAGATTCAGTGACGCTTGGATGAACCTTTGACAAGAACAACGCGAAAGCCCATTCGGAGTCTGCAAAGAAGTTCAGTAACACATCGAATAAGGTATTATAAAATTCCTCGCCTGTATTCCCTTGCACTTTATTGAAAGCGACATCAGGTAGATCAGCTTGGAGTCTTCTCTTGACAAGTGGAAAGTCCGCGATCCCTCCATTGTGCATGAACTGCAGAACAAGGTTGGCCTAGATTTCCCAAATATCGTTTAACTCTTACCATTAGTCGTCCATGAACAAAAGGATGACAGTTATCGAGGGAAAGCGAGCCCGCTGTTGTTGCTCTAACATGACCACTACGATCCAAGCGGTGAGATATTGATGTTATCGGGAAACTTGGTTGGTACACACAAGACCAGAGGAGACTTGATTTTTTCGGCTAGCCGCACAAGATTCACATTATTCCATGCCTGAACAGTATCATCAATTGTGAAATTCAGAACTACAGAATGAGATCACACAGACTGGAGTTATTGATGTAAATATACAGGGCTGGTAGGATTCTTCATCATAAACAGAGTCATACCAACCTACAGCGAAGCAGTCAATGAAAGGGTCTGGCTTGAGTTTTGCGTAACTTGAATGCTCACCGACACCGAATCCATCACCGTTCATGGGTCTCCGTCGATCGAGTCGAAGTCTCGAGTCGAAAGCCTGATTAATGATGGAATGACATGGCTTGGTGAGAAGCTGGTGGATCGATTCAGCACAGTATGACTAGAACCGAATGAGAACTATGTACATGCGACAATTCAACGGGAGACGTCCCCTTATAGACAACAAAGCGGCACATTCGAGGAGTGTACGAGGATTTCTTCGGAAAAATATGTATACAAGCACAAGGGAGAACAGAGGGAAGGTGAGTGAATTTATCGAGTTATACCAGTGTTCGCTGTTAGTAACCCATCACGAAACATGCCATTGGCACGTGCTTTCGCGTTAGAAGCACAGCATTGTCACGCCGGACAAGCAGCGACTTAATACTGACGCGGACGGTTTGCATCCAGGTGTGCCCCACTGCTTATAAGATGGGACTTGGCCCGAATGCGTTTTACATACTAGTATGTACCCGTGATTTGCTACAGTGACACGGGAGTCAATATACTAGTCTGAGTCTAGAAATACATACTTATCACGAATAGATCAGTTTCGTAGTTCTACAAGAATTCTTTAGGTCGACTAGCTGCCTCTCCACCTGCCTCATCATATACCAACCCAGCAACGCGCATGGCAAGCTCTAAAAGTATAGTAGATGAGTAGAAAGAAATTTTGCCCAGGAATGCGATACTAACCGTCAGCTTGAGTCCTAAGTGCCGCTTCAGCATACACTCTAACAACATCCTCCGTCCCACTTGGCCGAACAAAAGAACGTCCGCCTTGATATCTGTTGATAAGCTCGTCTATTTTTGTTTGAAGACCAGGTGGAGAGACCAAGCGACGCTCCGCATCCTCGGTTCTGAATGTATTCCGGTCTGGAACGGAAACTTTTGCTAGGCGATTAGGAAGGTCGACATATAAGGAATTCCATTCCTCGCCGCTGTATGACTTGTGCGCAAGCACAACCTCTACCAGGAGCATGTCCGAGAGCGCGTCTCCAACAGTTTGGTTGATGAGCTCAGTTAAACTGACAAGATGTTCGACAGCTCTGGACTGAGCAGGCGTGGAGGGCTGATATTCTGCGAGTTTGTCCAAGGTTGGTTGAGAAAATAGCACGGTCCCATGGCCATTTGCCTCAAAGTAGACACCAACGTTGTACCTTTCGGCGGCGTGATGCAGGTGTTTGACGCCAGTAGGAACACATTTGACGGGAAGACGCTAACAGAGAATCTCAAGATTTGTTTCCGAAGAATGATAAAATCTCATACCTCTTGTAAATATCTAGTGGATGCCCCATTCGCATACGCTGTCTGGACAACACCTACCTTTATCTGATCTTCTAGACCGGCGACCTTTACCAAATCCACAATGAACGCGGCCACGAGTGCGGCGATTTTATCGCCATCTAACATATGGAAAACACCGCGATCATCAAGATAGTAATAAATCAATCGATCCGCGTCTCCGTCAAGACTGCAAGCACGTTGTCCTGGCTTGAGAACGCTGGACAAAGAGGGTGGTAGTTTCTGGGAGACTTTCACATAATCTGCACCGCAGGCATTATTCAGAGCGCCTGGCGTAGTGATAGATGTGTTTTCCAAAACAAGTTGTAACGTGTCTCCAAGATATTCGTTGAGTTGTTCAGCAGCCAAAGCCCCGACCCCGTTCGCACAATCCACAATCAGAGGCGGCTGGACGGCCTTTCCTGCCTACTACAGTGATCAACTAAGAATGAAGTAAGGTCTGAAGTTCGACGCACAACAAGTTTCTTGTAAGAGGTACTGAGTTTTCGATAATAACCCTCTTCGGAGTCGTCGCCGTAACTGTATTTAGTCCCCTTCGTATTGATGCACTTTACGAGATAATGGAGGATGGGAGTGGTAGCGACTCCGGCATTTCGAGATGTCGCGCTCATAGCCTTGAAACCATCTTCGAGGGCAGAGACTAGTCCAGGTCCCGAGGGACGCGTGTCTCGCGCATAGACTACATTGGCTGGCTTGGATAAGTCGATCTTGGCCGTTTGTACCAGACTCTCAAGCGCCTCGATTAGATCCGAAGAGGTGGACGCATTGGATATTGTCGTGGCGTGACCCTCCCAGGCGGCTTCTAGCATCTCTCCTCGAGGATCGACCAGTTTCACACCATTATCCTGTCATAATATGTTGAGATGAATGAATATCATTTCTTGCGCGGTCATGAACATACTGGTTCCGGGTTATGAGACGCAGTGACCATTACACCAATCGTTCTGCCATCGAGTTTCTTGCTCCTCAAGGCAGCAATGATACCTACTCGGAATAGCGCGGAGTCGAGCGTGCTGCCGCTGTATAACGATTAGTTTTGGGCGCGTAAATGCTGTTGAACGACGACATACAGAGTCCTAAAGCCAGCAGTACCATACTGGAAATGTATATGTGACGGTTTGGGGTGCAGATCACTGAGCGATTGGATCAGTTTGGTTGGAAGGGATGAAGTCATGGTAGTAGGAAGAGAAGAAAGGATTGTCGCAGCGGTGCAAGGGTGCTGACCGTTTCTCTGAGAGAACAGGAAGAAGCGCCAACACTGCCACTGCTATCGGAGAAGTGTCGTCACCAGCAACCACGTATCAAATTGATCACTGCTTTCCTTTGTACTTTACAAGTGCCACACAATCCCTATGCCATCCAAATCCCCTGCCCAAATCCTGCTAGAGAAAGCGGATAAGAAAGCTAACTCATCCGGTGGCTGGTTCAGCTCAGCCACAGCTAAATACGAGGAAGCTGGCGATTTGTATCAACAGGCTGCCAATTCGTTCAAGCTTGAAAAGCTCTTCAAGGAAGCAGGCGATTGTTTTGCGAGAGAAGCAGAATGCAGAGAGAACTGCAAGGAGACCAATGAGGCTGCTAATGCTTGGTGGAACGCCGCCAAAGCATACAAAAGAGGGTTTCCAAATCGTATGTCCTGATTGCACCTTGATCTGCCAAGTATGTTAACTACTAGCCAACCTTAGTGGCAATCCAAGCGTTGACTCACACCATCATCCATCTTACCAAGAGCGGTCGATTCAGGCAGGCAGCCGATAGAGAGAAAGAAATCGGTCAGATTCATATACAGGAAGCTCAGGATATTCGCAAAGCTTGCGAGAGCTTCGAACGAGCAGGAGATTGGTATGCACAAGAGGATGCTACTGCGTAAGTGCACTTGCATTGCATTTTCTATAGAAACGGCCAACCTAAATGTATCCTCTAAAGAACTGCGAATGCATGTTATAAAGACGCCGCGGACCTTCACGCGGAGATCGACGAATTTCCCCAAGCCATCGCTCGCTATGAACAGGTAGCAGACCATTCGCTTACGTCTGCGCTAACGAAATATAGTGTGAAGGAGTACTGGCTCAAAGCTGGCCTCTGTGCTTTAGCCATGAATGTGAGTATAGCCAGTGTTGTGGGAGTAGCTCATCTGATTGTGAGCATTGTGTCTTCCTTCAGGACCCTGTAAGTGCAAGAAGGAGTATGCAGAAATATTGCACTCAAGACGCGACTTTCCCCTCCACTCGTGAAGCCAAATTTGTCAATGCTCTTATCGACGCTGTCCAGGCTGGTGATCCAGAAGCCTTTACTGGTGCAGTGGTCGAATTTGACCAGATTACAAAGCTGGACAACTGGAAGACTAACATTCTTCTCAAAATCAAGAGAGGGATTCAGGATGAACCTGGTCTCACGTAGGCACATTGGATACGGTGTGTACATACGGACTATTTACAGAGTCCCGATAATTAGTTCAGACGTGTATGATAGTACTATGGAATTATATAAATAACTACGTGGCTCATACTAGATAAAGACTCTTGAATACATTTGAGGAGCCAGTCAAACCGCGAGCGAATTGGAGTGAAATTCCAGGAAATTCCATGCATGTCATTTATGATCAAATCTGACACGTCGCGATTCGACTTGACTAGCTTCTTCATTGACCTCGACCATCGAAACTTTCACCCATAGGCGGAAATGGTGCTGGCTTACCCTTTCTTAGCCTTGCTTCATGCCATTTACTCGCTCGTTATATTCTCGATTTCGTTTTGCAGACATATTACCAGACCAACCCCGTCCGCTTTGAACGCTGCGCGCGGACGGCTGCCTAAACACCTTTCCATTATCTTCGTATCAGATGCGGATTTTGACGAGCAGACCAATGAGTATTGTATCATGAAGAGCATATTCAGGGCGATTAGTTGGTGCCAGCAGTTAGGGATACCCCAGTTGTCGGTATATGATGTTGAAGGTGTGTAGTGTAGTGGGATTTCGCGCCATTCATTTATTGAAACAACAACAGGGATTATTCTGAACAATGTCGAAACAATCAGAGAGGGTGTGGTAACCGAGAGTCCGTTCAAAGACTCAGAGTTCGACCGGAGACATATACATTACCCGCCTACACCTCCATCTTCAGATTACTCTGAATCCCGGCCACTATCACCGCAGGAAGACGTGTCTGGAGGTCATATTCCTTTCCTTACCCTTTGTATACCCCCCCTTCAGAGTGCTTCTCGAGGTTGGTCGTGGTTCTTCCGACATGTCGTCATTTATCTAACTCTACATACATTTACAGCGTCGAAAACCCCGCAGTCATTAACTCTTAACGTCTTATCGCGGGAGGCCTCTAAGCCGGCTATTGCTAGTGTAGCACGCGCAATAGCCAGAACTGAACGTCGAAACTCCAAGTTTGGCGTAAAGGATCATGGTTTCAAGTTGTCTGTCAATAATTTAGAGAGTTACCTAGAAGGTATAATTTTCCATTTCCTAGTGAGCTCAACGATGGTAGATGCTGAACCTCATTAGAGAAAAATGGACTGGCCCCTCCAGATTTTATGATTATACACCCTGTTCATCCCTCAAAATATCATAGATCCCCTATAGGGCTGCATGGATATCCTCCATGGCAAATTCGATTGACGGAGATATAGTGAGTTCTTTCTGTCGGTCGTCGGACACGGAATTGACGAATGCTTGCGTGTAGCTGTAATAGGTTTCGAAAACAATACGAAGCTAGATTAATGTGGTTTCTCCCCTCGCATGTAAGCTCGACTCTTCTTTCGTCGAGTTTTACGGAGTGGGAGTTCCGGGAGGCGCTCGACCAATTCGCGTCTGCTGAATTCCGATTAGGGAAGTAGAAGCCAGAATACGGTCAATGGAATCTTACCTTGCACATACCTAAAGTGACCTTTCACCTCAATGCAAGAAAATACGTTCATCATAATGTTACATAGGCCCTGCCCATGCTGAGTGGATATGTGTTAACACTTACAACGTAATTTCGTATACGTTATAGCTATCTCCACATCGTCTGCTCTCCCAAGGGTAAACCCGCTTGTATCTTCTCGATTAAGGCGCGTTTCATAAACTGTTCTTCTGCCAAAACACGAGTGGTCTAGAATAGGACAAATTAGCAATTGTTTCGAGTATCGCTGGTTTCCATCCGGTTGCAAACATGCAATTGGATACCATAAACCAAGGCATTCATTAACTCACTTTAAGAAACCTATCGAGATCGATGCTGCCAGAGTTGAGGGCACGATGGAGATGGTATATTGTATCCTCTATAGCGTTGTCTTCAGCGACAAGATCAATTAACCTAATGACCAAATCAGATCCTGAAAACAGAGAAGGCCGTACTACTAACTGATTATGCACAATCGTCGGCCCACAAATCAACTCGTCGACACTGACATCCCCTTTGTCTCTCAATACCTGGACATTCCTTTCCGCTGCCTCTACCGTCTGTCTCAACCGACTACCAACATTGAGTGACACAGCTTTGACAGCCTCTAAACGGGCAATCTCATCTTTGATCGCCGGTTCGCCGCGGAGGAGATCGTCTTGCATCTTGCGCAGGTGCTCCGAACTGTGATGCAATGAAGTCTGAAGAGACTGTAAGGCGGATGTAAGTTTCGCATGAACTGAAGAATGGAGGGAAAGTAAGATGGGATTTGGAGGAAGTGGAGGGGCGGGGGAGGGTCTAAATTCGGGTCCAGGGTTCGGATCGTCGGAATCTAATAGATCTGGAGCGGGAATCGATGGAGGCGGAGGTGGTGATTGTATTATCATGGATTGCATTGGTGGCTGTATAGGTGCAGACTGTATTCGAGGAGGCGGAGGATGACCAGGTGTCCACGGTGCAGTCGCTGGTGGTATAGGAGCAGCAGAACGGGTTTGCAAGATTGGAGGAGGCTGAGGAGTCCAGCTGGTTGAGGGCATAAATGCTGGTCGAGGAGGAGCAGGCGGAGGAGAGTAGGTGGGAGGTGGTGGACCGGCATGATTTGAAAAAGAAGACGAAGGTCTTGGACCAGCATGGTTCTGGAAAGGCGGACGAGTGGGAGATGGCGCAGGAGCAGGAGAAGGTTGGGGATTCTGGGCTGCTCTGGAGTATACCGGAGGATCTTTTCCGAACCAGGCGATGAGGGCATCAATTAAACCAACCAAACCAGGTCTGGTTTCAGTTCTCTTCTCTCCTCTGTCTAGCCAACTACCTTTAGTTCCTTCGTAGTTAGCTACATCACATCTACCGCTCAACTCAACAAACTTGCTGTTCTTCACCATCATACCTTGCGCCGGTACAACATAGACTATTGGCGGCCCACGGGGATAGTTGAAGGGTATCCACATATCGACAGGTATGTGATATGTGGAATCTCGATAATTTATTGGAAGCAGTCCATGTAAACAGAGCAAAAGGTGTGTTCGGCCATCGTCGTACGCTGAGTGTGTATCAATCCAAGAGTTGAGAATAATGGAAATGTTAGATCGAATACACTTACTGTATACATCACTCTTGACCTTTAGCCAACCATTAGATCGTCCGTACAGTCCAAAAGTCTCCAGTGCTGTGTTTACTTCGTTGTATACTTTCTCTTTCTCTTCGTATTTGACGCAGTTTTCGCGAAGCCATTTCTGAGTGCTCATGGAAAGAGAGTAACAAGACGGACAGCAGCGGGCCGTGTCGGCGTCGCCGTAATTCCTTGGTTCCCCTCTCAGCTTCTCTCCACCTACATAACTTTTGTTATTCTGCCGTATGTTTAGGATTAAGTCGCGTACCAACTTTGAAGCGCGAGCACTAAGTCGTTGCACTTGCCTTGGTCAAGATTGTGCGCACATGAGTCACGGTAAATTTGGGGATGAAGCTATGAAGTAAGAATACGATGATCCTCGATAACATTTTCTTGCATACTCTCCGATGAACCTGAAACGGTAATTTCTTTGAAACACGCAATATCGATAGAACAAGGAATACTATAATCAGACCGCATCCTACTACATCGGGCGTCGAGTATCTCGTGAACATCATCACACAAGGTGACAAAACTATTCTTAATGCCCGGATCCGGATAACTAGGAATGCCATTGGGAAACTATAAATGTTATGTTTCGCCAATGAGTCGGTACAATGCTGCTCTTGATTCCGGAATGGTGGCCTGCGGCGGTTAGCGCTAGCGTCTCTTAGGCTCCCAGAGTAAGAACAGTACCTAATGTACACTTTCATCTCAGAATAGGACGTTTCATCAATCGGGGTCGTTGAGAATCAGATCATCATCATCAATAGCAAGTTATCAATCTGAGGCAGTGAAAGCCTGTATTGCTCCGGAAATTCCTGCTTCCGATCTACACGAACAGTCCCAGACGGTTGAACATATTAATTTCGTGCGATTATAACAATGAGACAAACCGGTTACGGTTTTGACGTTCACATTTCTCTTTCCTCCCATCTGCATTATCTTCCATCCTGCCTGTCAGTATTACAATGCAATACACAAAGACCCATTCTTTCATAGAGCCTTCTTCCATTGGCGACGAAGACCACGCATCGACGCGCTCCAGCTTACAACGCGTCATGACTGATCCTGATTCCTTGGATGCTGTCGCTGGTCCACTGAAGAATGGGAGAGTGAAAAAGAGGATTATCGTTTGCTGTGATGGGTGAGGACTCATAGCTTGTAATATTAGAGAAACCCTGCTCAGTGATTCTGTATTCGATTGATTCAGGACATGGCAAGATGGTACGTGATATGATGATGAAGCCCTCCGAATGAGTCCAAGCGTTAATCTGCAACCAGGTGTCACAACACAGAATCGCCTGTCATATACAAACGTCTTGGTGCGCGAATTCATGGCAACATCCTTATTGTAATAACTGAATCGAACTCAATACCGTAGCGTCTCGCCCGAACGATAGAGCACGAAGACTTTCGTACAGTTCCTCCGACCCCGCAAATCGTCTTTTACCAATCCGGGATCGGTGCATAATCTTTCTTCCAATCGCGATTTAAATGATGATCCTCAATTGAATTTAGGTTCCGCGGACAATTTCTATTCCGAATACGTTGAAGGTGAGTGGCAAAGGCACTATAGGCACTATGCGCATATATCGTAATCTCTTACCCGTTCATACTACGCATTTCAGGAACTACCGGAGACACGTTAGGTCGCGTTGTGGTTAATTCTGCCTCGTCTATAATGATCGCTCATTCCTCTTTTCATACAGGCGACAAAGTTGAAGAAGCTTATGCGTTCATTGCCCAGTAGGTTTCTTGTCCAAACCAATCAACTTGATAAACCGACCTTCGCGTTTAGTAACTATTACCCAGGAGATGAGGTGCTTTTCTGATTCATGAATACATATAATGCAAGCACTTATAAGTCGTCAGGTCTTTCTCTTCGGCTTTTCTAGGGTAGATTCATGCTTTTGAATTCAGCGAATATATGACTAATTCCTCACATAAAAGGGAGCATATACTGCTCGAATGGTCGCTATGTTTATCGTTTGTGTCTTTTCTTTCATGGAACTCGTAGGGAATACAACTGTTGTATAGGGTGCGATAGGTATCCTTGATCGCCAAAACATGGATTCGTTCGCTGGGATCTTCATTGCATACCAGAACCTAGGTAAAACCACTGATGAGAAAGGTGCGCGTTCTGATGACATTATTAAGTGCACTGTCTTGTTCTAATGTCAATGCCATTTCACAGAGAAGCAAAAGCTCAACGCTCAATTGGCTCCATGGAACGGCCCTAACTCCGCTGGAATTCGTAGGGCGTATGCAGGAGGTAGAGATTTTTCTGTAAAGTCAGCCATTTTTCCACATCAAACTGGGCCACACAGTCTTGACGAAATTTTCTACTTAGATGCCTCGGAGTTTTCGAAACTGTAGGTAAGTACTACTATAATTTTCGAGTCTCTTTGGCTCCATTAACCAATTCGGGTTATACCAATAGGCACACTTGGATTGCCTGAAGAAATAACAATGCGCTCTCCCAAACTCAAGCGACTCTTCGGATTCCCAGATCGACTGCTTGGTCCGCATATCGAACGCGCTTACCAGGCGCTTGCGTTGAACGAGACCAGAGCTGATTTCGTAAGTTTCCCTTCAGAATTATTTTCAGAGTAAGTTTCGGTAAGGCTCAATTTTTCTCGTTACAGGTGTGTGCCAAGTTCGAACAAAAAGAAGAAGGTAGGAAGAAGGGTCAGATATTGAAACAAGTAAGTGAATGTATCTTGATATTTGGCAGTCGCTCAATGATTTTTGTTGACAGTATTGGTTCACAGGCAAGTACATCTACGATCGTACACTCTTCTTCGATTGCTAAATGATGTTTTCACCCGGCAGGCTGTCATTCGGATGTAAGTTTGGTTTGTCGTTTTATATGATCCTTGCCTCACCCATTCCAAAGGTTGGAGGTGGTTATAAAGACCATGACTTGGCTGATATCAGTCTGACATGGATGGTGGTACGTAACATCCTGAAATTGGATATCCACACTGGAATTTCTGACCTATTTAATGACTACAAGGCGCACGTTAACGACAGTCTTGCGATGGATATGAAATACCTAGGCGGTCTTCTTGACCCGATGGCTCCCTGGGGAACTCAAAAGCCGCATGAGTGCGTATAAAAAGCCATATCCACCATCTCATTCAATTGTGCTTATCAAGTATATCAGTCCAGAGACTGGTATCTTCGCACTTTCAATAAGAGCTCAACGTCCTTTACCAACCAAAACCGACGATACCACGCATGAAAAGATTCACCCGTCTGTTCTACACCAGAAGGACCTGTATCCAGCGTTGGCGCAAGATATCAGAGACCATCCCGAGCTTATAGGTATTCTTTTGCCTTTGGAGGAAGAAGTTAAGCAGAACTGGCCGTTTAATCCGACTGTTGCTGCTGCTACGCTGAAGAGCGAGGTTCCGGATAAAGGCCCTGGACCGCACCCTCTTCATGAGCATCGGTCTTTGAGTGGGAAATTGGCTCATGGGATTGCGAAAGCGACTTCATCGGTCCTGCATAAAGTTTCTGGAGATGATGAAAAAGAAAAGAATCATAAGAGCGCTTGAAGTTCATGACGCCAAAAAATAGACAGATTGATGTACTTGTATCATTATCATTAGGTAATCTAAGCTCCACCCCTGTTACTCTCTCTTCGTTCTGCAGTTGGTGAAAAGACCTACGCGAACTCGATGCATGCGCAAAGGGAACATGGCTCATGAACAGGATGCTTCTCTTCCTTCTGTCCTCTCATCCGACCAAGGTGCTTCCGCTCCTTCCCCTCTTCCATTGGCTACTGTTCCTGCTCCATCCCCTGCACGATTTATCCGACACCCTCCGCGTAGTGGTACCTCCAAACCAGTACTCTCTGATCCTTATGCTTCTGCCACGACAAATTTTACGACAATAACGAAGAATAATCATTATGAATTAACGACCTTGGATATAACAGATTCAATACCCCGTAGCGACACTTTGGTCTCCAACGGTTCTGAGGATGCTGGTGATGGGGCTGAGAATTCGGAGTCTCAGAGCTTGCTGCTGCTTGAAAAGCATTCCCTTTCCCATTCTATCAGCCCCAAGCCTTCCATATCTTCCACATCAACACTCGTAGGCTCATCGTCCCACAACCCTGTCCCCGCCACACAGGTATTTGCTAGGAATGCTCTACCCTTGCATCTTCCCAAACTAGATGCTTACCTTGCTTCGTTACCAAAACCTCCGTTCTCTGGCGAGAAAACGTCTTCAAAACCTCTTATGTTCCCCCCAATGGATAAACTAGCAAATTCAAACCAGTCATTGGAGGATATGGAGATGAATTCTAAGATACCACCGTTTTGGCGGAATAGGAAAACATCGCTCGGTGCCGCAGTCAGCCTTTTTATGGGTCTGACTGTAAGTAACACACAGTCTATTTGCGTTGCTTTGTCCACTAAACATTGAAATTCAGGGATCTAGCGCTATTGCTACTTACTACAGTCTCCAGGGAGTTGTTAACACTGTTCAGGTGTTTGCACTCATACTGAGCACTTTCGTACCTGTGACGGGCGAGGATCTAGCAAATGAATGGAGGACGCTTTTCCTCGGTACTATGTGTGTATCGCGCGTTTTACTCTTTGGAAATGTCTCCTGATTTTTGCGCAGTCCCAATGTCCTTGCTCTGAATTTCGCGTCCACTTTGACGCAGTCGCTCATATTCTTGGTCATCTTTATGATCATCGCAAGCGGGTTGCTCTATTACTTTCAACAGCGCGCGCGCCATTGCGACCGCTATAATCGACTGGAAGGTTTGCAGAAGCGAAGTAAAGGAAAGCATTGGAGAACCGTTGTTGTAACTTTCCTCCTCACGGTGATTTACCTGCCAATGAGTATCATGGCGATACATGTTCTAGTATGGTCCGACGATCTCTGGGTGGTCCCAAATCCTTATGTCAACGCTACTTCTTTCCCACCTGTCGTAGCTCCCCTTGGGCCTACAAGTGAATATCGCGATCCTTTGGATTTCTGCTGGACTACAACGATGAAGAAAGATGAAATCAATTATGCTCCTGTACTGATCATCCTTTCCGCAATAGTTGTGGGCATGGTGAGTAAATTGACTCATTCAATAGATGCCACTTTATTCTCACTGTTCGTTGCAGTTATCGATAACCTTTCCGATAATGTTGCGACGCGTCATCAAGCACTCCGTTCCCCGTGTCGATCGATTCACTGAGTTAGGTCGCCCGCGGACAAAGGCGGACATGGACGTGGAATACCATCGCGTCCTCTCCCGAGATCAGAACCCATTCGTCTTCTTATACTCAGGTTAACACTGTTAACAATATTCCCTTATTTCTTGTTCACAATTTTGCAATAGGTTTTCGTAGGGGCTGGGGAACCTACGAGTCCACCTACCTATTCGCGAAACTAAGCACGCTAGTCATAGTTGCGGTCATCGATCCTGATAATTGTCTATTCCGCTCTGCCTCTCGCACCGTGACACCCATTGTACGCCAAGTGTTGCTACTTGTCTGCACCTTTGGATTCTTCCTCGCACAATGTTTCCTCGGTCCTTTCCTTGACCCCACCAACAACGCCGGCGAGTGGGTATCACGTATGAACTATTTGTCAACCTCCCTAGTTGCCTTATTAGTCGCCTTGGATGTTCCCGGAACTGACATCCTCAACAGCTATGTGCTTTATGTGTAAGCACTTTCATTTCCACCGTCATGTTTGTGTCAATGCTCATAGAAATCTATTCTAGTATATATATAGTAACTTATGGTTTAACATTTTGTAATATCATATGAACCTCATTTCTTTCGATACGACTAACTTCTAACATAGATTTCACTATAATAAATCTATCCCCAATACGGCGTTTCGTGAAACGTATTTGCATCATCACACTCATATCTTCTGTCTTTGTTCTTATCGTTCCTTTAGGAATTACTCGGCGTATCGATTTTAGTGAGTACGAAATGACAACGATGTGTTCTTACTCTAACGTGGTTTTCAAGGCATCGATGTTTTCTCCCCGCGGTAATGGCTCTTACAATCTGGGTAGTGCTTCAACTTTCTGACGTTATATCCCTTCAGCCTCGCTATATCGTACCTATCTCCACACGTAAAACGAAGAATCTGGCAAGAATCTATCACTACCCTTATCCTCACAAGTCCAGAATGCAAGATTCCCTCGAAACAGACCATGACATTTGCGCAAGCCCTCGATTTCGAATTTCCTCCGTATCTATTAGGTTTCGCTGGTTCGCCTGGTGAGAGACATGTGGAAAATTTGAAGGTACAATTTTCCTGCTTTCATTGCCGTTTCATTTCCTGATCACCATGACACAGATCCTCCGCGAAATCGGTTCACTCGAATATCGTAAAGCTGCTACTCTAATTTCAGGTCCTGATTTTGCACGATACAGGCGTGTCGAGGCAGAAATCCAGAATCATTTTATCGGGCCCGATTCTTATTGGAAAGATCCCGACGATACGGTAGTTCCAGGATGTTCGGGCTCTTTTGGCAACGCTTGGTTTATTCCATTTCCACCGACCGTGGTATGAGTTATCACTTCCAAATATCAACTAGCATTGATTATTAACGTTCCTCCGCTGCAGGTTATGCGCTACGATAACGGTAAACTAGTCGTTCTCCGAAATCTCAGGAAATTGGAGGAATATGTTGCTCAAAATTCCTCCCGTCAAATTCAGCGGAAACGTGAGGTTCGGATGGCTCTGAGGGCTCTTGAAGGGCAGACGGTACGGTGGCCTTATAACCATATCTCTGTAAGTGTGCTCGAACCTTTTCGAGCAGTCGTTCTTACGGTTTGGTATGTGTAGTCCATCGGGGCCCAATACCTTTGTTGCTGTTTCAGACAAAGATACAATGCCGACATGTCTGTTCATTATGATACTTGTGTCCTTCGAATCAAACGCAACGGATATCTCACCTGGGACAAAACTCAACTGGGAAGCGGATTTCAAGTACAGTTAAATTACGACAGGAAGGTTGTTTTAGATGGCGATCTGATTGGATTAACTGAAGATTTTGAGCTGACTCCTCCACTTGCTCACTTCTTGGCGTTGAACGAAGACGTGATCTTCTCAAGATTGGGAAAGCTGGAAGCTCTCATTTCCTCTTATCGACGGCATCACCAAGTAGAATGTCGCCGCAAAACGCAAGTCTTGAGCTACCAATTCTTACCAAATGTATATGACCACCCTCGTTCTACGACAAGGCTAGCACGAAGCGCTTTCGAGTTCGAACGCGACCTTCGAGTCCGACAGCTCCTGGTAGGCAGTGACGAGATATTCGAAACTGCTTATGCTCGGTTATCCGCTGTGTCCACTACAGAGACTGCTACCTGGTGGTACATATTCTGGGTCATTATCTTATATGTTCCGCGTGTTGCCGTGATTACTTACTATCTTCCTCAGGATGATCTATGGCGAAGGAATCACGGTACAATCTCTAACCTCCAGTTACACGAGGTTGATTTCAATCCATATTACCCAACATCGATCGCGTATACTCCCTTGTCTCGCCCCATTTTGGAGTCGTTTTTGATACAGCGTGGTTTGCTGTCTACGCCCTCCAAACGAGGGGATTTCTTCTATTGTGGATTTTTGAATAAGTTATACCTTCGCTTGAATGAAACGGCCTTCCGTGGATCCAGTAAAGTGAGCGCAGTTTTATTTTCGACATATATCATATACAAACAAGGTTCATTGTAGGTTATTCTATTTCACCTTGGGGACGACAAATCTGAACTTGATATGGATGGCGTCGATCTTGAAATACAATTGGAAGGTTTATCTTCCATGCTGGGGACTGGTGGTGGAACGGATCATGATGATTCTTCTATCATTGTGCGCCCGGAATACAAATGGGAAGGTGTTTTGACGGATACCCTCCAGCACCATCGATGGCGAAGGAAGAATTTCTTCTCTAAACTCGGAGCTTGGTTCGGTATCACCCCTCTGTGGAGGGCTGGTGCAATTTCCCCCGGTGTCGCAATTGACGTTCGGTTGCAGAATGGACGGTATATCTTACTTGACGATGTACATTCTTAAATTTGTAGTATTTGGTAGAATCATACATACAAAATCAATCTCAATTAGGTTAGGGTTTTGCCCTTTTCATATCTAAACGTCCATCTCGATGTCTACATCCGTGGAAGAGTACGATAAAATGTCGGAGGAAGAGAGGAAGGCCAAAGACAAAGCTGATAGGGAGAGAGAAGTAGCTGAACAAGCTGGTAGGAGTTGATTACCATCGACCTTAATGCAATTAGTTTTCGATCAACTAGGGCTCACCAGCCTTACCTTACAAATGGACACAATTGCTTGGAGAAGTTGATGTTCACGTTCCCGTACCTAAAGGTACAAGAGGAAGAGATCTTGCGGTCGTGATACAAAAGAAAAAGCTCAGCCTTGGTTTAAAGGGTGCAAAGGATAAGATACTTGAAGGCGAGCTTTGCAAAGAAATCAAAGTGGAGGACAGTACCTGGACCCTTGGTGAGTTTTACTAGGTCTTACTTTTTATCTCCTGATGTTCTTGATACTGATATCAACTGTAGAGGACGATACGGTCCTTGTTCACATCGAAAAGCTAAACCGAGAGCAATGGTGGGAGAACGTTCTGACTCACCATCCCAAAATCGATACGACAAAGATCGAGCCCACCGATAGCAAGCTTAGCGACTTGGATGGGGAGACCAGGTACGTGGAAGTCCTTTCAATATATCCGGAAACTGATCAAAACATCTGGTAGGGGTATGGTTGAGAAAATGATGGTAAGCAGCAGTTCTAGTCTTGAAATGCTATCGTGAGTATTCATTGTATCAATAAACAGTTCGACAATCAGCAGAAGGTTTGCTCTTTTCTCTCTACTGTGGACAATTGACTCAACCATGTCGCAGCAAATGGGGAAGCCAACATCTGACGAGCTCAAGAAAATGGAGGTCAGGGTTTTTGCTCGGTTTTTTTTAGTTGCGACTCAAAGTCCCTTCACAGACTCTTAAAAAGTTTCAGGCCGCACATCCCGAGCTCGATTTTTCCAATGCCAAAATTTCATGAAGAAAATGTAACAAATCTCAGGGGACGATCTATGTCTATTGACTCCTCGTTTTTTCGAATGCAATGTCATGTACTATTATAGCTTACGACGTTTGCCAACTATCGGTGTAACCGAAGAAGTACTCTTCCTCTTAACGCTTGCTACGAGACTTTGTAGGCTCTGGCCGCTGCTTTCATCCTGTGGTTGTGTATCGGAAGGGTTGGTTCTTTGTTTCGAGCGAGCATCGAGCAAGGTTTTCATCGCTTTCGTCTTTTTGAACCTGAAGATAGATCAGTACGATGACATTAACCTCGAGAAAGAAACATACTGAGGATTAGAAGGATCAATGGCGAAGTCGTGGTTTTCATGAACTGCCTTGAAACGGTCATCGTTGACATCGATGGAAAAATCCTCCTGCAACTCAGCTTCATCGACCTCCTTCTTCTTCCCCCTTTTCAACTTCTTCCCTTTTAGTTTTTCGGCTTTGATAACCGATTTTAGGTTGAAATGTTGAGGCTCAACGTTACTCGACCCAACAAGAAGAGATAGTTCATTCTCAGTGGCGACATCCTGTGTCTTCGATTTCTTCACCTTCACCTTTCCGCTCTTTCTATCCGAAGAATTGATTTCACCGTCGTCGTCGCTTGCAGCAGCGAAGAAATCATCAGCTCCCACGACCTGTTTCTCGTCCTCAGTAGCCTTCGCAGATCCATGCTCCTTCTTTTTCTTTCTTTTCTCCTTCATTTTGCGTTGATACTTCTCGAGGGTCGTCTCCTCCTTGTCTTCGTTCGTTGTCGACAAGCCTGGTGCAAAAGTCACCTCCATATCAACGTCGCCGTCATCACCACCCCCATCTCCGTCGTTCCAGCCCTCCGGTAGGTCATTCCCACCTCCGAGCAACAGAGAGCGCAGTCTCTCTCGCGACCCTGACTTCTTTTTGTCTTCACCGTCAGACTCGGATTCTGAAGACGAAGAAGCAAGATACGCTTTGAAGTCCGCTTCCTCCAACTCCTTGCGTGAAATTTTCCGACGCGTCATCTGGTTTCTAGTAGGATCGTCGTCGTCCCAGGTGAGTTTGACTTTCGAATGACGCAAAGCCTGCGCGAAACCGAAAGTTAAATTCATTGGAAAAATTCGATGGATGGACCCAGAACTTACATCGGTGACAAAATCAACGCCTTTATATGCAGAACCCTCATCTTCGGTAGCTTCATCTCTAGTTGATCATCAGAAGTGCATGAGTAGTTGTGCAAATAACAATCACCTGGGCTCATCCTCGAAAGTCATATCAGTCGGAACAAAACTCAGGTCAAAAACATTGGCGGAACGTTCTAATTCTGTGCCCTCCAATTCATCGTAAATGTGCGAAGCGGCGTCGACAGTGTCACACGTAAGAATAGCATAATAATATCTTTTGAGTGTATAAGCCACAACTTGTGTAAAATGATATTTATCAGCGTACCGCAACCTCTCGAGTTGATACTTCCTCAGAGCATCCTCATCGAATTCATTCTCGTCACCGACTTGTATAATATTTTGATCTGTAACCTCTTCATCATCAGTGACCTGCTTTCTTTTGAAGATCTCTGGCGGAGGGCCCTCCTTCTCCTCTCGAGCAAGTCTTTCCTTTCCGAATTGACTAAGATAGATTTTCACGCTGAGAACACGACCACGAACGACAGTAGTAGCGCTACTCTTCACATTCCGCTGCCGCTTCTCCGAACCAAAGGATGTCTTCGAGGAGGAAGAAACTACCGAAGCCGTTGGTGATACCAAAGATGAGCATATCTTGTACAGATGTACTGCACGAACGTGGTCCCAGTCAAGATTGACGATCGCTAACCTATTAGTCCTTGAGGCCTCTGGGATGGTATCAGTTTCCAGGTTGGATTCATTGTATGCGGCAGCCTGAGCATCTAAATCCTCGAAATTTGATTCGTTAAGATCTATTTCCGCTTCATCATTCCTGATGGATATAGGGCGCGATGAATCCTGTCCAACAGTCACAAAGGTGTCTTCTTCATCACTGTCATTCTGTTCTTCCTCTTCATCGGAGGATTCAAGTAGAACTTCACCACGGGCATAATCCAACGCTGAAGGCTGACTTTCAACAGATTCCTCGTTCTCAAGGCGATAGAACCGCCTCAAGTTTTCTTGGTCATGATCATCAGAGACAGGACGTCCATATTTATCCACGCGGCCTGATGATAAAATAACGAGATGATGAGCGCAAGGCAACCAATTGATACAGCTGTTAGCCAACCAGATTTGCCCTTGCTTTTTTTGTTTTTGGAGGGTGCAAAAACAGACTTGAAGCGGTCATCTACAACGATTTTAGATTGCTGTTTCTTGGGACGACGAAACCGAGGATCTGTTTTAAGCCTAGCAAAACGGGGGTCCGACATGTTGGAGGAGAAAGGAACCAAAACTTTGAACGTGTGAAAAACGAAAATACGACATGTCGGTTGTTGGGCGACCATCAAAGCTATAAATGATACGTACACACCCTTGCCAGCCTTCTTAAACTCGTTCTTTCACCCTCTTCCTTTACTCCTCTTTTCCTCCTCTACTTCCAGGTGAGCCTAGTCATTCTTCCATTCCTAAAGCCTTATTAACCTTGTCACGACGTAGTTTACTTTCATTTATTCCTTGCCAGGCAGCAGGAACCTTCTAGCACTCATTTTTCAAACCTCGTTCCAATCTTCACTTTTTTCCGACCCTCAAGATGTTCTCTCGTACGATTATCTGCGCCTTAATGGCTTTCTTTTTGGCTGGTCTGGCAACCGCCTCGCCTTTGCCCATGCCGGTGCGTGTCTGCTGCTGTATATCTCGTTGGCTTGACTAATCTATCCTGCTTTAGCTCCAGTTCGCTCGTAGGGGTGGTCTTGGACCTGTTGACACTATCGAAGTGTACCGTCGTGAAAACCTTGTTGTGAGAGACCACGGTAAGTCTGCGTATCATCTGTACGAGTTTCCCTTACAGTACTGAAAATTATATTGTTTAGGTATTCAGTATCTCCCAAGACAAATTCCGACTGAAAATGCTGTCAAATCACCAGCTGGTTTGTTAAACTCTTTCCCGAATAAAAATTCATTCTAAGCGCGCTTGTAGGTACAATCGTACCATACGACAAGAGACAAATTCCGACTGAGCAGGCTGTGAAATCGCCATCTGGTTAGTAAATCCTTTTCTATCTGAAATGAACCGCTTTTAAACATCCTAAACAGGTACCATCGAGCCCTACAAACGTACCATCCCCGAGGAAGTCGCAGTCAAGGCGGACACTCCAGGTAACATTGTCCAATACCGTGATGTGCCGTCTCGTGCACGCAGAGCCACTATACCTGTGGAATCTCCAGTGAAGGCACTCACTCCCGGCGACATTGTACCGTACTAGTTCTCTATTAGAGGTATTGGAATACCCAGTGAAGAAGGTCATGATTTGTAGAAGGACGTTACCGACATTCTGCATAAACATGAATAACGGCTAGTTCGTATTTTGTGTTCAACGTACGTCGTGCACTGGTTGTCTTCATTTGGAATATAGGAGGAATGATAAAAGTGGTGTGAACTGTACATGTATAAACCTGAAGAGGATGTTGTTCCCTGAGGTTCAGCATTTGCCCCGATATTGAACGACCACTTGGTCATGGGCACAGAGCGCCCTAGCAAGCGATTTTCATCAGACTGAGACAGAAATTATTTTTAGAACAAAAAACCAATTCTCAGAAATCATGCATGCTGGTTGAACTCGCTGTATCAATCTTTCGGCTGTTCCTCAATGGGACCGTGTCGGTTAACCTACCTACCTACCTACCTACCTTTCAATCTACATATCTGTTGTAACAGGTTGTACCTTACTGTGACTAATGCAGGACCCTGTTTCTTTGGACGGAGCCGAGTATATCTATCTATCAAGACAGCCTATCTGGGGACAAACCGAAGCCAAATAAGTAAGCATGGCCAAGTCAGATTTCTGCAACTTTGCCCTGGACCATGCTCAATTGCAAGTCAAATACCTTGATGCCCCATGCGACCTTGCCAACACGGATCTACACTGATTTGTCTGGATCCTGTCCTGGTTTCGAGGTTATATGAGCAAGGAATTAAAGAATGAAAGATGGGTCCACTTATCGAATATTGATGAGCTTTGACATGAATTAACGCTACATTAAGCAGCTCTTACTTATGTATAGGCTACGTCGTTCAAAGTGGATAAGCTCCGCCTTTTTCTCTTGTGCAACACCAGAATTAGATATGTAGTAATTCAAAAGCAAGCCCACTTTCGCAATACAACCTCTTGGATCTTAGGGTCATGAAACTTGAAGATTGTACTTCGAAGAATTCCATGCATATGAAGTCCAGGATCAGACATAGTGGTTTCCACCTTCACAGGTTTATCCCGCTTCTAAGTTTTTTGAAAACCCGCCACTAGGTGCCACCGGACTCCAGTGAGTGACTAGCTAAATCAGGACGGCGTAGAAAGCGCATTTCTTTTGCACACATAATTTTCCAACTATAATTCTACTCTATTTTATCATAACCTTCACTGCTTCACGATTTATATCTGGCAGTGATAGGATAGGATAGGATAAAGGCAATACGAGGTAGGTGGTTCCAGATGAGGACATTGCCAGCCCTTTTAAACTCGTTATTTCACTACTTCTCTTCGTTACTCTTCCCTCCCTCCTCTGCTTCGAGACAAGTGTTGTTTGATTTCGACTCCTGGCGAATCTCGTATCCGATTCAAAATGCCTTCTCGCACAACTGTCTACGCCCTCTTAACTCTTGGCCTGGCCACTCTGGCAACGGCCTCCCCTCTGCTCGTAAGTACACATTATTTGTTTAGTCAAGCTGACATATATCGTACGGGGGTCTGTCCTCCCACGCCAGTTCTCAGACAGTTAGTGATGTTCTTTGATTCCAAATTACAAAACCTGCTCTGACTAGCTCTTTCTTATAGATGTCGGTGGTTTCTATAAGAGGGACATTCCAGAAGAGCAGCCTGTTCAACAACCTGGTGGTCAGTGATCTGGTTTAAGATTCCAAGTAGAAATCATCTTGAGGATGACTCTCTTTAGGTGTCATTATACCTTATAACAAGAGGCAAATCATTCCAGTCGAGTCGCCTGTCCAGGGGCTTGCTCGTTAGCATTTTTTCCATGAATTCGCAAATAGAATCAGCTCTGAGTTTTGAACTCTCTTTAGCAGGTCACATTGAACCGTATGGCCGAAGGCAAACTCCAGACGAGGAGCCTGTTAAATCTCTGAATGGTCGTTGATTTATCTGATTTACAGTCAAAAGAAATCTTACTGCTCAGGCTTTCTTTAGGTAACATTGAGCCCTATGGTAAGAGGCAAACCGTTCCAGTAGAGGTGCCTGTTGGAGCACCAAATGGTCAGTGATCTTTCCAATGCCAGTCAAATCAACTCAGTTGAATAATCTCTGGGTTAGGTGGGATCGAGCCTTATAGCAAGAGGCAAATTCCAGCCGAGCAGGCTAGTAGCGCACCCAATGGTCGGGGATTTATCTGATTTCTAGTTAAAGCAACTCAGAGAAGTACTTTTTTTGATTTAGGTGAGATTGAGCCCTATGGAAAGAGGCAAATTCCAGACGAGCAACCCGTTCAAGCTCCGAACACCGGTTAGTATCTCTTTCACGTCTTAATGAGGTTGTCGACGTTCAAGTATTCTCATTAGGTGGAATTGTGCCCTTCAAACGTACCATCTGAGGACGTCGCGTCAAGGCAGAAAAATCGGGAAATATTTTTTGGCTCGTTCACGATGAGCCAGAATCTATGGTGGGGTGCTCACAGCCCCTGGCGAGATTGTGCCTTTTTTCCATCTGTATGTCCCCAGTGAACCCTTGGAGATATTGCCTGTACTACTTCACTTCTTTTTCTGACTTCGCTTTCCTGTCTTCTATATTTAGTTGTCACCTCTGTCCGATTTCGTATAAGCTTGTAGTCTTCTGGAGCTTGGCCTCCCTTGTATTTAAATTATGATCTGTAATCTTTTGTCAGTGCGCCTTCTTGTGTTTCATCCACGCAATGCTACTATGGTAATTTAAGATATGCGAAATAAGACGGGATCTCTTGCCCACCTTGAACCACTGCAGTTGCTGTTAAAAAAATTGGATAGATGGATTCCACATAATTAAACACGGCTATTGTGAGTTTCTGGGATTTTCTGTGAATTTCCTGCTGGTGTCGGGCAATGTCCGAGCAAAATTAAGGATATGCAACCGGTCGGCCTTAACCCGGGTATGATTGCACTTTTTTCTTCTTATTTTCCTTGTCATGCTTCATCCACTAGGTCTATGCCCTTCAAAATTCATATTCAGGGCCTTCGGAATATTGTCTTGGACCTCCATGCATTTTTTAAGCCTTATATCTTGCTCACCCTCTGTTCCTGGATGATTGATGGGAACCATCAATGCAGTCTCGAAGGTATTCCTTCTGGTACTCAATAAATGGATGAAATTATAGGCTAGATATGAAGTATAATATCTGATGATTATCTCAAAAAATCCCCAAAGCGCTAGAGCCAAGGGATGCTTATGAAAAAAGGCATTTTTGACGAGTTGCATATCTTTGCACAGTGCATATCCATAAATACCATAGTAGTTCATTGTTTTTGATTTAGCATACATCCGTTGCATTGTCAGAATATGAGCGCTCTATCCGATTAGGAATGTATCATACGTGATAAAAGCATCCTTCTATATGTGGAGAGAGGTGGACACAACGGCAATACGAGGGTATCAATGATTAAGTCTATTTGCGGCTCTAAATCGTTTTGCGACTTTCTCCAGCTCCATCGACCACCTCGCATCTGATATCAAACTTGGCAAATTCCTGAAGCCGTTTGACGATAACATCGCCCAACGCTATTGCAGGAGTCAGGACACCTCCATTCTTCGCCAGCGCAGGTAACGTTGGTTTGTCCAACAGCAAAGCGAGCCCGCTTTCTGCCATCATGACTGTGGGCCCGAAGAGATTAGCATCTAAATGAGATTCGGGAAATGTTATTAGGTAAAACGTACTCGGAGAAAGGTAGTATCCAGGATCACCCTTGGCGGATATAGTGGTTTCGACCTTCACAGGTTTTGGGAACGCTGAAGAGGGTAGGGAAGTGGTTACGTTTATGACATCCAAACTTCCGCTTTCAAGTTGTCTGTTCAAGTATCACGGCCCACCAGTCAGTGAGTGTAACTCAATCAGGACAGAATGATCAACCAACCTATCGAGATCGATGCTCGTCTCTTTCATGCCTAGTCTCCCGACAAACCATCTAACCTATGGAAGAAAAAGGTTTCAGTGGTTGATGGCGACCTCGCACGAAAATATGAGGGACTAACCGGAGACAGTGTCATCAAACTGAACCCGACTAGTAATGTTAAAGTCAATAAGACACTGCTAAATGTGCTTTTCTGGCGCATAAATTCCTCATAGACCATTGGTCCATATCGCTGTTTCTTGGCCTCAGTAGATTTAGTCGTCAGCGAATTCCATTCTAGGTAAGTGAAGCATCTTAGCGTCAATTGCTTGGATGACTGAAAAGGCTAATTTCACCTAAAAGGCCCCATGAACGCTGTACAATTGCTCTGTTTGCACTTGACATCATGAAGTAGCCACCAACTACTGCCTCTCGGGTGCTAGGAAGCGACATGGAGTATTTGAGACGTGGAGGTGGAGATGGTTTGCCTTCAACTAGGATATGCAAATCCTCGTTAGTCCGGCACGCGCGTGGAGAAGCTAGAAGCAACGCACCTGGACTAAGGTAATAGTCTCGCAATGATTCTGCGAGCTTGTGCTTTGGAGTACTTCCAAACGCTGTTAGTATGGTCGAGATTGTGCCGTTCGAAAAAACGCCGTGCAATTCATGCGAAGTAGTAGACGTGTCGATTTGCAGAGGTTCGACGGCATCTTTGGAAAGTTGTTTTAAAGCTTTATTGGCAATGTGGACGGCGATGTCAGAAGGTAAAGAGTCCATTCCGCACGAAGGGACGAGGATGGATCCTGTTTTAGTGGCGACGTAATCGTACCTAGAACATAGTTCAATGGTCAAGCTGTACCTGGAACTTTCAACAACGCACTTTTCTATGATATCCCTCACGAATATCTGCTCTCCAGTGAGATCCACGTAACTGAAAGTGCAAATGAGATTGAGAAGCCCGACATCAGGATGCACACTAACTGCACACCATTGCGAGCACAAGCACTGAAAGGTATCAAAGCTCAGTGATGTCAATTAATTAGAGCGAATCCCATTTACCGAACAACAGGAGATCCCCATTTCGTGTATGGACCAACAGTATTGAGGACTATCTTTGCATCTTTCACTAACGCTTCGACTTGTTCAAAATTTGTTACGTCCACGACTTGAATCTGGATAGATTTTGGAAGAGACAAGTCCGAAATGAGATTATCTGTTCCAGGCAATAGTTATGAGTCGAATACGAGCCAAACGCATTGAACGAAGTAGATACCAAGTTTCCTCCTGGATCTTCCGGCTATTGCCAGGGTGAATTGGGAATGTTGAGGGTGGGAGTTTAAATAACGCGTAACCTGTCGACCTGTAACGCCAGTTGCACCGAGAACGAGTATATCCACCATTTTAGTTGTTGCAAAAAAGGTGGAAGGGTAAGTACAAGGATTCTGACGTCACCCACGTTACATACAGTCGGGAAAAATTGGACTTTGAAATTTGAAGCTCTATAGCAGCAGCATTTACATTTCAATACAGGGGAAAGTACAACAATGTCCAGTAGAACAAGTTAATCGTCAAACACTGTGCCATCCATCCTGACACCCATATTCTGCTTAATGTCCATGCCTAACAACTTCATTTTTCCGGCCTAGGAGGTTTCTAATTAGCAAACACAGAAACAACGAAGAGGGCAAGTAACGAACCTCCACACGCTCATTCTGCACCTTTCTAAGCTCCATTAGACGCTCCTTGCTAAGGTAGGTAGAGCTATCGGCGCCCTTCTTCTTGTGAGCATTACTTAGAGCTTTCATGTCTGCCGAAGGGTCGTAATGATCATCTGCAGGAGGCAGATATTCTCCAGCACGCAGTGCAGACATCCTCCTCTCATATGCTTCCATATTGTAATATTTCTCATGCGGTAGCGTTGCTACTTCGAATCAGGAGGTTGTTGGTCACGAAAAATGAATTCGCTCACCGGTATTGTAGTCCTCTATAAATCGCGCAAATTCCTTTTTATTTTGATCTTTCGAAATTGTTTCGGGATTGATTTTGCGTTCTTCGACGAGCCATGTTTGGAATTCCGAAGTCTTTGAGAAGATACTGAAATACGTGAAGTTAAGTTTGGCAAAATGGTGAACAGGAAAGATACATACTCGACCTCGGAAATAATACCATATTTGCCCCATTGTGATGCGTGGGCACCAGCTTTCTTTTTCTACAAGTGGAGGCCACAGTTAACACAGAGTTCCCTGTCTAAGGAGCTAGCTTTTTCACCTTCTCTTTCCTCTCTTTCTTCTCTCGTTTCCGTTCCTTTCTTTCCTTTCGCTCCCGCTCTTTGCTCTTACTCCGTTTTTCGTCCTTCTTCTTCTTCCGCCTCCTCCGCTCAGAGTCCGAGGATGAAACACTAGAGACGGAGTCTGCTCTACCTTTCCGCTTCTTTCTGTCTCTCGATCTTGAACGCGAGGGAGACGTAGAGAACCTACGCCTTTTGGTGACGGGGCTTCTGCTTCCACTGCGACTACGACTCCTCCTGCTTCGTCTTTCCCTATGGGAGTCTCTTTCCCCACTCACATCTCGGTATTTGGTGGAACGTCTCGGCGACCTCGAACGAGACGGTGATCTGGATTTTGAGCGTCGTGAAGAGTATCTGTCTCGAGTATTTCCTTGTGAATCACGTTTCGGGCTTCTTGAACGTGCGTGACGATCATCATCGCGGTCTCTAGGCATTTTCGAACACGGAAGTGGACAGCGATGGACAGTTGGTGAAGAGGACCCGAGGGGACCAATCTGGGACTAAAATTGGTGTGACACAAATGTATTTCGTAACATCTTGCGTGTGACCTCTATTTTCCTTTCCCTTACCTTTACCACCACCTTATTGCTGTATTTAACCTGATCTATCAATATGTCTACTTCTCCCAATGGTAAGATGGATGTCGACAAGTCTCCGAATCCCAAGTCGTGAGCTTTCCCGTCTTTTTTCCTTCGAAAAAAATCGCTCCAATGATAAACAATCTTGTAGCTCTCGCAATCACTCGACGGATACACGACACACTCGTCGTTCCCTCAGGTCTACCTCAAGAGAACGAAGTGATCGCAAGGACCGAAGACGTGATGACAGAAAACGACCAAGCCCTGACAGAGAGCGCTATGAGAGAGACCGCTCGAGAGAGAGGTATCGCGAAAGGGACCGCGAACGGGACAGGGATAGACGACGTGGTGAACGGGACTATGACCGTCACCGTAGTGATAGGCATCGTGAAAGAGGTGAAAGTAGACATAGCAGTCACCGTGATGACCGAGACAAAGAGGATCGCAGAAGAAAACGAGTCGACGACGACGAAGTAGATGCTTCGGAACGCCCCAAGAAGAAGAAAACTGACGACGACGACTCAGTAAAGTCTGCTGGATCTCCTCGCTCATCCGACCGCCGTAGGCGTCCTCCTCGCGATCCTAGAGACGAGTTTGATGACGGTCCACGTTATGGTAGGGACCGGTATAGGGATGACAGGCGCAACCCTCCTCCTCCTCGACGCTCTCCGTCTCCGCCAATCAGGCGAGTATCTTTGTGTGATGTTTCCGAGCTCATCTTTAACTGTAAATTTTTCAGACGTCCATCTCCTACGTATGAAACCCCCGTTGATGAACCGTACAACCCAGATGAACCTAAAGAAGATGATTCCGAAGCACGGTCCGTATTCGTGTCGCAACTTGCCGCTCGGTTGACTGCTCGTGATTTGGGTTACTTCTTTGAAGAGAAACTTGGCGAAAATACGGTTATGGATTCACGAATTGTGACTGACAGGCTTTCTCGGCGTTCTAAAGGGTGTGTCTCTCCATCTCATAGTTCGCTTCAAGTCTAATAACTTCTCTAGAATTGGTTACGTGGAATTTCGCTCTATGGATCTTGTAGAGAAAGCAATGGCTTTGACAGGCACAGTGGTCATGGGTCTTCCCATCATGGTTCAATTGACTGAGTCGGAGAGAAACAGGCTTCATCCTGGCGATGGGTTAGTCCAGAAATTTCTCATTATTCGGTAATTTATCAATTCTTTTCACAGCAATCTGAACTTGCCCCCTGGTGTCAACGCTCCTCATGGAACTATGCAGTGCGTTTTCTTTGTATAAACTTCAGTCTCCCAATGTTTGATCACTACATTAGGCTTTATGTTGGGTCTTTACATTTTAACCTAACGGAATCCGACATCAAGCAGGTATTCGAGCCTTTTGGGGCTTTGGAATTCGTCGACCTCCACAGGGATCCAATGACTGGCCGCAGCAAAGGTTACGCTTTCGTGCAGTGAGTTATTTCTTTTGATATTTTTTTGAAGACGTTTAGAAGAAAAAAATTCTCACCGTGCTCAATCTCTATATAGATACAAAAGGGCCGAAGATGCCAAAATGGCTTTGGAGCAAATGGAAGGCTTCGAGTTGGCTGGACGTCAGCTTCGCGTTAATACTGTACATGAGAAAGGAGCTACTCGTTACACCCAACAGGATACATTGGATGAATCTGGAGGTAAGCTTACCCAATCCATCTTTTTTTATTCAAACGTCACACTGAGCCTGTTCGTGTGTCTAGGCGGTAATCTGAATGCAGCGTCCCGTCAGGCACTAATGCAGAAACTTGCTAGAATTGATACACCATCCTCTCTTCCAGAGCCCACGTAAGACTTCGTTCTGCTGTCTCCCTTCTTTCTCATTTACAGAATGCTATTCATTTGCAGTAAACTAAACATACCTCAACAAGCTATGCAATCTCGCTCGGTGTTGTTGAAGAATATGTTTGATCCCGAAGAGTGCGTTTCGCGCTTTGATCTCTGTTTAGTTACCGCTCAACTTTTCGCTTCCAGGGAAAGCGAAAAGGACTGGGATAAAGACCTTGCTGATGACGTCAAAAGCGAATGTGAGGAAAAGTATGGCCCGGTTGAAGCTATCAAAGTCGAGAAAGAAACTCAGGTGTGTTGGTGTATGGACTATAATAAACGGAGGCTGAATTCTTTTCTTTAGGGTGAAATCTACGTCAAGTTCGACTCTGTTGAAAGCGCCAAGAAGGCTGTTCAGGGCTTGAACGCGCGTTGGTTTGGAGGAAGACAAGTGTCAGCCGCGTTCATCTCCGATGCGATTATGCAGGCTCATCAATAGGTTATTTCTATCGAAAACCTCGATGGGACAATGCCTCACATCAACGATTCCTCTATCCGGAGAGCCAAAAAAACAACGAATCAAATTATCTAAAGGTCGACAGTTTGTGGTTGACAGTTCCTCTTATTCTTTCTTTTTCTTGTGAACAGGTAGACGGGACAGTTCATCTCATCTCTTCCAATTCATCCACCCAGTCCATTATTGTGTTTTTATAACACACGCCGTATATTTTGGGCGCCGGTATAGTAATGTTTAGGATCGCTTACTTTTTATACTGAATGGAAATATGAACAGATTCTTTGCTTGCCCCCTTGACGCAGTTGAGATGGAAGTCCTTTCTTTTGCCCTTACCGTAACTCATCACTCAAAAGTCCTGTGCTTGTATACAGATCTGGGATCCATCTTTTATTTTAGCAATTTCACTCGTACGCAATTTTATCTTCAACGCCAATGGATTCGATAATCTGTTGAGCACCGCATTGTGCGTTAGTTCGATCTCGAGAAGGGAAACCTTGAAATAATTAGACAAACATAAGGTAAGTAGAGTGAAGAACGAAAGTGAGATGTATACACGTATCATACATATGGAGAGTCCAGCTAGTCCGATTGCATGTCGTGAATAGATGGAAGGAAGCAACTGAATCTAGGTGATGAACATATATAACGGTGAACAGTAGAATCCCCTTGGTAGGAGCTACACACTCGTAAATATAGATATATGCAGATGCGTATGTAGCTTTATATCGTTTATATGTTGTGGATGCAGAGGGATATGAACATGCGGGTAATCATGTAAAACGTCCTTTGGGAGTAATATGCAAGGTCATAAACGAAAGTGGCATGAGCAGAACAACGAGAAAAATGATTGAACATGGAAGCAAAGAGAGAGAAACATACTGTCCATCGACCCAACACCGAAAATTGTGAATGACAAGGCAGAATGAAGAGGAAACAGCCATTGCCATTGTTACAAGGTCCGTCGATTTTTTTTCTGGAATCCCAAGGTGTGGAAGGAAGTGCGAAAAGAAATTTCCTAAACCTATGAATCCATGCTACTGCGGACACTCCGTTCGCGATCCAAATCAGTCACATTCCTCACTCCAAGAACACCGCCGCCTCCGACGCGCTGGGAGTAATCTTCGTGGTCCCCAAAAAGACTCGCATCCTCAGTCCCTTCCCTCCTCGCTTTGCTGGGACCTTGTGCTCTACTCTTAGCCCGATTTAGGAGCGTCTTCCCGACATCGAGGTGATTGTCGTCGTCATTGGAATATACAGAGGACGAGTCGTCCTTGACCCCACTACCGTTTGTCTTCTTTTGAGCACCCCATGTACCACCGGACGATAACGCTCCAAGTCCCAATAAATCTTCGCTGGGCTTATTTCGATGACCCGCGGCGGGAGGCAGTGGGGAGGGAGTACCGGGATCTGCAGGAGAATCGATCAAGCGACGTGGATTGCGAGGTGGAGGGGGAGGAGCACCAGATTCGTGGCTACCCCGCTGGTTGTTCTCAGCCGCCGCAACAGGAGGCTCGTCTTTTGTAGGGTTCTCACTCTGAGTTTGACCTTGACTTGCCCACCATGTACCCAGAAGAGGCTCGTAGCTGCCTGCACTAGCATTGTGCCCGTGACCTTTCTCTCCCAACGCTGCACTCCCACCGATGCTTGGTCCAGGAGAGTGCCCCGGCACAGGACTACCTCGTTCTCCATTAGCCACAGGGATGTACCCAGGTCCTGAACTAGCACCAGGAGGGACGTACGATGACGGAGGATGACCAGGGGGCGAAGTAGGAGGACCCATAGGTACCGCGTAGCCGAATTCCGTGTACGGATTAAACCCGTTGCCGGGGTTTGCAGCATTAGCAGAATATGCCGAGTTTCTGCCAGAAAGATGGCTCGAAGACCGTTGACCCATCTCTAAAACCCCTCCACTTCCTGCGGAATGATTAGTACTTCTGTTGGTCCCAAACGGATCGCCATCAGAGTCTCTATATCTTCCAGTAGCAGTACTTCCTGGGCCGTCGTCCAGATCATCATCGAGGGCCCTTCTCGTAAATCCGGCAGCCGCGAGTGTCGCACTGACAGCGGTGTCGTGCTCAATTCGGGCTCTTCGCCTCCGGCGACGTATATAGAAAGCCAAGAATATGATGATTGACGTTGCCTAATAAGGAAAAATGTCCTTGAGAAATGATCTGAAAAAATGTGTGGTATACGAACAGCTAATCCGACCAGGACAGACACACCGGCGACAGCTGGGGTATTTTGCAAGAACCTGGAAAGAGGGTAGGAGGGTCAAATTCTGACATATCGCGTAGATAAGATAAGAAGAAGATAGAAGGACTTGGAAAGCATGGCCTCGTTTGACGGGCGCAGCTCCACTGGGCTAGACAGCGCGATATCCGGCCACAAATGAGAGGCTGGGAATCAGAGGCGAAAGAAGCCCGTCAGCTAGTATTAAACGCAGCGCACAATTATGCGGCGCGGGAACAGAATACCGCAAAGAATAGGCCGCAGATAAAGCATAGTTCGACGGAGTAGGACGAACACCGAATGCGAGGTGGCCGAAGTCTCGTTGATACCAAAAAGAGGAACGGAAGAGCCATGTTTCATATAACACTTACGAGTTGTTCTTCCCGCTATCTGAAGAAGAGCCTAAGGTTGGATTGGCCCCAATAGCCGTGATAGTGACGATAGCTCCGTTCGAGGTGGAGGTGGAAGTGAGTGTGACTTGGGACGGGGCGGATGTTGTTGTACGACCAGAGGAATCTGTGGTTGTAACGAATACCGTAGTTGAAAAGGTCGTTCTGTAAAAATTGCGTTAACGGTCTCAATACAAAGAAATACAAAGAAAAGGCCGATCTTGTTTCAAGTGAACAATGGAAACAAACGAATTGAGATATGATATGGCAAAAACTTACGTGGGCGCAGGTTGTGCAGGAGTTGAGGCGGCTGCGATGGGAGAAGAAGACGAAGTTTTAGTGGAAGTTGCCGCGGAAGAGGAAGAGGAGGAAGAACTTGTTGTGGTATCCTCCGTTGAAGTCGATGTTAATGAGGTTGATGGGGTTGTCGAGGTGGTGGACGATGTTGAAGACGTGGAGGAAGATGTAGATGTAGACGTTGTAGAAGTTGTGGTTGTAGAAGTGGAAGTAGTGGAAGTGCTCGTAGTGGACGTCGAGCTAGAAGTGGAGGTTGATGAGGAGGTGGTAGAGGTGGTAGAGGTTGAATCTGTAGTACTGCTGTCAGTCGTGGTACTACTCGATATAGAGGTGGCTGTGGATGAACTGGTGTCTTGGCTGGTGCCAGAACTTGTATCAGACTGCGTACTGGACATCGAGGAAACAGTCGAAGTCGAGGTCGGAGTAGGAGTCGGAGTCGAGGTAAGGGTGTCTGAAGAGCTAGTCACCGTGGTCGCTGTGGAAGCGAGAGACTCCGAGGTGCTAGTCACTGCTGAAGTTGAAATATCCGACGTGCTAATTTCTGTCGAAGTTGAAGACTCCACCGTGCTGGTCACCGAAGTAGAAGCCTCCGATGCCGAATCTGAAGTGCTGGTCGGTGCTGCTTCTAATTGAGAGGAAGAAGAGTCCGGAGTGGCGGTTGTACTTGAAGAGACTGTGTCAGTTGTCGTCGGCCCTGAAGTAATTGAAGCTGAATGGCAGAAGAAATTAAAGAGTCAATATTTTGATTTGTTTAGTATTTTGCACTCACTAGTCGTTGGATTTTGGCGAAGACCTAATCCCATATCCTCATTGCACACTTCAATAAACTCAGTTTTTCTGCCGGAATCGTGATTCGGTCTATGCAGTTCAACAGAATGAAGGTAAGGAAGAAAAAAGGATCCAGCACGAGCTGGAACAAGAAATGGAAGCCAGGTATCACAGCCACCACGATGTCATCGTTCCTGATTTTTTTGGTACCAGCGGCTAAAATCTAGGCTTGCTCTTGCTATCCAGTGCTATCCTCAGTCCTATAGGCTACACTAAATATTTAGTTCGACTTCTAGTTCTGCCTCAGTGCTCGAATTTTCGGTACATCTTGACATATCGTCAGAGACCTTGCGACCGTAGTCCTGCTGCTCCTGCAACGTCCTATTTTTTCCGATTTTTTTTTTCGTTGTCGTAAACCGACAGAAAGCATGGAAAGGCATGTAAATCCGGTCGCTCTAGCTTAAATGCGACCTTTCAGCTGTCTACCAAGTAAATGGCTCTCGATGGGCTCCAACAACTGATAATGCTCTTTGGTCGGCGAAGAACAAGAGATAGAAGACTTCATCTCCCCACTTTCAGGCATACTCCTGTGTAACACGACGTCTAACGCCGTTATATCGCAGTCATAGATATCACATCAAGAATGAACAAATACAGCTGATTGTAAAATTACAACTCCTGAAGTTCTCATGCCCCAGCCTCGTATCAGCGCAACGGGGCCGTCTTCCATATATCATGATAAGCATACACTCAGTGTGTGTGGAATCAGAAATCACATCCTTCCAGAATTTTGTACATTATCACGACTTCGAGGACGAACCTGCGAAGGGAAGGTAATCGTTGTTAGTGTTGTTAGCATGAGAATCATACATCTCCAAACAACTTACATCAAGTAATGTCCGTCTCATTACAATGTCCTCTATACTTTTGGACGCAGAACGAGGACGCTGTTTCTGATTAGTTTGGGTGCTAGAAGAATACTGAGGTCCAGGGGTTACTGCTTCAGTCGATGACAGACCACTAGTCGCGCTGGGGCTGGGCGAGTCCGCATCTCTACCCGTTACGTCCGGTGCTGAGTTCTCATGTCCAGAAAGGGAAGGTGGAGGAGTGGCTAGGGTTTGATGATTTTCCCTGACCTTAGACGCTTCTCGCAATGCCGAACGAGTAGGCCGGAGCGGTGCAGTTGAAGCCCTGGGCCCGGGCAATGCCACGGGAGGCGGAGGATATCCAGCAACAGGAGTAGGCACGAGAGGCTTGATACTGTATAGATCGTCAAACGGTCCGTCACCGGGGCTGATCGGGCTCGGAGGACCAGCGACAGCCTCACTAGGATAAATATACGGGTTTGGGATTGTTACTGTCGGCTCATTGGATTGACCCATTAAATCAATGTCTTCGTATACACTAGCATTGTCATTGGGAAGAGGTATACTTGGAGGATATATCGAAGGACTAGATTGAGCGAGCGAAGGGCGGGACTGGTGAGCAGGAGGACTGCTGGTAGTGACTGCCAAACCAATATGTTCCTGATGAGGATACTGGGAGTCGCTAAACGGACTCATACGGGTCGCATCGATCGAAGTGAGGCCTAGTGAGTTGGACTGAACGATACCTCCCGGAGGTGAACGGAACTCCTCATCAATATCCCACGGATTGCCGCTGTGGAAGAAAGGTTGGGCTGTCGTCGGGGATGGTGATTGGAAGTGGTAATGTTGCTCGTTCCGACTAGTTTGGCTCATGGAACGCATCACTGGAGCCTCGCGGGGGTTTTCAAACGGATCCTCTGGTTCAGGGAGACGTTTCTGGATATTATCGATCCATTGGTTCCTTCTAATCTTTCGCCGACGTCTACGACGACATATCATGAAAATCGCAACCACAGCGGCCGTGAACGCAATGCCAACGACAGTGAATACGCCGGCAACTGCTCCCTCGTTATGGAGGAATCTGAAACAGATTGATCAGGAATTCTAGAACACGTATAGTAGCCAAAGGCTCACGAATGAGCGTCCGCAACATCCCCTGAGACCTCGTTCGTCGGGTTGGCTACAATCGACGTCCAAACCGTTTCCGCTCCATTGGCGTTCGTGGACGTAGAAACAACCGTTATCAAAGCAGGGAACGTGGTTGAGAGGCGCCCATTAGAGGAGACGGTGATCCCGCTAGGTGTCGAGAGCGTGGAATCAGGGTGCCCTGTTATGGTACTTGTCACAGTCGAACTCGGGAAGGTCTGAGTAGTGACAACTTCAACTATAATTATGACATTGATACATGAAAATTAATTCAGCGGAACGCAGTTACATACTGCGTACCTGAGGTGGATCCTGCTGTTCCTATGGAACCGGCGCTATTGGCAGCGACTTGTCCTCCATCCACACTGCTTTGAGATTGACCAGATGGAACAGGCGGAGTAGAACTTGGACCTTTGCTGGAACTGTTAGAAGTCGAGGATGAAGTCGAGGGGACAAGAATACCATTCGCCGCTTGTGTAGAAGAACCAGCAGAAGTTCCAGAACTTGATGGCAAATCAGATTGGGAACTTGAAGTTGGGTCAGAGGGGGCGGACGAAGATAAACTGCTCAAGCGTTCGGAGCTGGTAGTAGCGGTGGCGGTCGTTGTGCTTGAAGCGGAGGAAGTCGACGAGTTACTGATGTTGGTCGGTGCCGAATCATCACCACTTCCAGTTGTCGTGGAGGTGACAGAAGCAGAAGAAGACGACATACTGTTATCGTGATCTTCCCGTCAATTGATCTATTCAAACGAAACGAGCAAAGGTCCTACCTAGCCTTAGAGATAACGGATGTGGAACTTGTGGTGGGCTGGGATGACAGTTGGACACTAGTTAATGTTGCGTTTGCAGGAACTTTAGCGGCTTCAGTCTGAATCAAGGATGAGGATGATGCTGCTATTCTCTGAATAGAGCTGGAACTAAAAGCGCTCGATATTGGACTCGACGTGGATGTTGACAAGGCGACGGACGAGGGTGAAGAGGACAGTATTGAGGAAATTGTTAAATTTCGATCTCCCCCCAAGGAAGCACTCGATGTAACGACAGCCGATGATGAGTTGACAGATGAAAACACAGATGCAGACACCAGCGATGGAGCAGACGATGCACTAATGGCGGTAGAGTTGACAGACTGTGACAAGGGGAAACTTCAGAACATGTAATGTAATTATGGATAACGATAATACTCACCAAGGTCAAGTTATTTGTAGGCACTGGTACTGATCCTACAACACATCAGTTCAGTAAGGCACGATTCATAGATCTCAATACTCGACGATAGTCACAGGTCCCTCGGACACTGCGGCGCCGAAGCGTCTAGCTAGGCTAGAAAGAGGATACGGGATTGTCATACGAATTACTGACCCGATTTGGAGGCAGCTATACCCATCCTTCAGAGACCAGAACAATTGACCATGACCACTAAGCCAGGGAGGGAGTAGGAACGAGCAAAGGGGAAAGGTAAGGATTTTACGTTGCATAGAAGGTCTTGGTTATAGGTCGCCATACGTGTCAAAAGCTGCGTGAATACGGTAAAATCTCGAAAGATTACTGGCGAAAGATAGTCAGTTGATACCATCCCAATTCTCATCGACATGGTATCCTGTTGTCCCACAAGGTACCGTGCCGTTAACCGCACTGTTCATATGGATAAGAAGGGATAGGTCAACAAGGCAAGCTCTGAGAAAGAGCCGGAATATACATGTGAATGCACCAGAAAGGAATTACAGCATGCAGTTTTTGATGGTTGACGTTTGTGAACTGGGCCTGTAAATTGAATATTCTCTTCAGTGTTGTAAGGAAGTGGAGAAAAGTCATAAGAAAGGTGTCTGTAAATTGACTGATACATACAATATTATCCAGTACATGAAACAACGATTATGCAAAGATATACGATCTAAAGAAATATGAGAAAGAGTGTAGTATGTAGCTGCGGTCCATGTCAGTATGAGAAATTGTGTATAAACAGTGATTTATCCACGCACTGGAGTGTGAATGTGCAATGGTATAGTAGCAATGTATCGGGTATGGGGTAGAGGAGCGCACAGGATAACCGGAATGGGGTAGTACTCGGAAAAAGATGAGTTGAAAAAGAGGATCGTTGGAGTGCGAAGTGATAATACCATCGATGCACTCAGCACTCAGCAGCATTTGGATCCGGGAATCCAACCTTTCATCTTTAGTTTTACGGTTCCTTTTTTCGGCCTCCCACTCAAACTTCCAAAGCTCAGTCGACTCGAACTGTTTACTCTGCGCAGTGCCCGGTCACCGTAACTGACGCCACTACCAGCTTTCTCCGGATCTAGAATACCGGATTCTATGGAGAGTAGGATGGATCGAGCCGCGAGCATAAACGGAGCTTCGACGTTATCACCCGTTAGAGATGACGCTTCCAGAAAGTGTACATCTACACATAGAGTTGATTCAGTTGAGTATGAATCGAAGGAATGGCGTGACGTACCGTTCTCAGCAGCCCACCGGCTAGCTTCAGCCCATTCCACCTCTCGATCTTCTTCTCGGTCTGCCTTGTTTCCCACAAGAACAGTAACTAGATTAGGGCTTGCCAAAGCTCGAGCATCCGCTAACCATTGGGATAACCTTGTAAATGAATCACGGCTATTTGGAATGTTAAATAAAGGCCAATATCCGGAAAAACGAATGAAGGGCAACTTGGTAATGTCATAGACTAGTATTGCACCAGCAGCGCCTCTATAGTAGCTCCGTGTAACGGAGCTGATAGGACATCAGATTTGGAACTTATAGGAAACGAGTATAAAGACCGCACCGAAATCGTTCCTGACCTGCCGTATCCCAAAGCTAAAGTATATTTGCAAGTCAAGCACAATTGAGGGCAAGGTACAGGCAGCAAACCTGGAGCTTGATACGTTTCTCTCCCAACCTTATTGTCCGACTGGAAAACTCCACTCCGATGGTGTGTTGTGAATGATCCTTAACTGGAGACCTTGAATTAATTGCTGCAGGAAGAGCATTACGGTTTGTCACGGACAAGAGTTGTGGGTAAATTGGTGCAAAAGACAGGATTTTCCTGTTCCAGCTTCGCCTTGAAGCATGAAGGTCAATTGCTGTAGAGAAATCCAAGAGGCAACCGTACCAATGATGATATATTTCATGAGAAAATCTAAGGTTTCAAAATGAGTTTAGTTTCATTTGACATTGCCAGCCAGGTACCGTAGGTTTCCAATAGTTCTGTAGCGTCATCCCAGTCATTTACAGCCATGGTGGTTAGAAAATTAGAGTGGTCGCTGTTCTGTGTTCAGCCGAACTAGCCGTGTATAGATGGTGTCACGTTTCTTGTCATCAACTAACCCGCCGATTGTCTCGCGTCGCGTCCTTCAGACCACCCCAAATGATCAAATTCACTGTTAACTCTACGTGATTCGACTATCTACCATCCTTTCCACGGAATCCATATGTCCACAACTTCCTTACCCTCATTCACGTCAGAATCAACAATATAATACCATGGGTATGCGGCAGCAATAAGGCACGCATGCTGGCCAATAATTTCTACCTCATCGCCGACCTTCAGTTCCTCATTCTCAGCCGGTCCTTCCCTGGTTAAAGTACCGTGCTCCTGTGATATTCGTCCTAATTTCCATTTCGTACCTATCACCTCCCCAAAACTCCCAGATGGCCCGGTATCTTTGCTGAATGCAATGGCACCTCCATCTACAAGCACTTCGTCTGTTCCGTTCACTCCCCGGCCTGGATAGCATGACACAACAGTGACTCTGACCCGTTGAGCCACCTTGGAACGGTCGATTAGATTCGTGTGCTCTTGCTGAAGGTCCAACATGGGATAATTGCCTTGACGAAAACCGAACTGCATCAGCTATCTCTCTGGAAGCTATCAGGGAGCACGACTCACCAGCATGAAGCTCCAAGGGTCCGTGGAGTAAAGACGACAGCTTTGCCTTGGTTTCTGCACTGGCAGCGTGCGCGGTAGGGGTGGATCCTACGGACAACACTAAAGAGTGGTTATCTAACTCTACTCCCATTGCACTGGCAATCTTCAGTGTCAACTCGGCACCCGCGTTCACGGATTCAACTTCTGCAGACAGAAATGACGATGCTTGATCTAATGAAGTTGAAGCGTACGCATTTCCTGCGTGTGCATAGCATCCATAGATCGATATGGCTGGGGAAGACAGCAAAGCCTTCACCAGATTCTCAAAAGTTGATGTGCCAGGTGACACGCCCGCACGCCTGCAGTTATTCAGTGCATGAACCAACTCAACGAATGGTGCTCACTTTTGACCGCCATCTATCTTCACGAACACTGACCATTTCCGTGGCGTCTGTCGTTTACTTTCGCATTCTTCCAAGAATTTGATCTGGTCCGGATGATCAATTAACAGTCTCACAATCCCACCATCTTGAGCCACTTCGTCCCATAAATATGACAAGTCGTTGACTTTGTTCGGTGCAATAGGCAATCCGTACAGAAGCTGTGATGTTGGTCAGATGTATATGTGACATGCGTATGTCCGGTCAACTGACGTCCTTCACAGTTCCGTCCTTGAATAAACCACTTCGAGCAACCTCCCAAGCTTCCATGAGCGTCGAAACTACAACGGCATTTGTCCTATCTGCGGTAGAAATCATTTGCAGACGCGTTCCTTCCACCGTCTAGATTTTCATGAAGAAGTTCTTCGGCAAACGAAATCGTGTTTACCTTGTGTGTTTTCAGATGCCCTCTAAACGCGGTTCCCCATTCCCTCGCCTTTGAGTGCATAGCAGCGCAATTCTCTGCGAATACCTTACGATTTATGATCATTGCGGGGGTTCTAAGTTCATCGAGCCCTTTGCCGACGAAATGGCCGACAAGTTTGCTCTTTGAAGGCAAGGTAGCGAAGTCCAAGGGAGTTTCAGTTTGGTGCATGTTGAAGGCAAAGGTGGGAGGAGTTCGACTTCGTGAATCGTTAAATACTAATCTTTATCTCGATCATCGGGCCGTTCAGTGTATTACTATCGTCACTCGGAGACAATTCTCCGCTTTGCTTTCGATATTTATGAACGATGGATGAACTATTTCTCTTCTGACTACACTTAATCAATAAGCCGCAATAGCCTCAATTTCAACATCGACGTCGTTCGGAAGCTTTCCAGCCTGAATGCAGGTCCGTGCCGGTTTAGGACTGGGAAGCAACTATGGCGAACACGCTGAGCAGTGTACCACACAACTCATAAGAGACAAGCGGACCTTTTCGTAAACCTCGTTCATTGCACCAAAGTTATCCATGTCCTTGAGATAAACATTGACCTTGACGACCTTTTCCCAGGAAGATCCGGCGGCACTAAGGACGTTTCCGAGGTTTTTGATGCATTGAGTCTTTGCGCATGCGAGTCGGTCAGCGAAAGTTGTGGGCAAAAAGATCGCACTAACGGTATGCTCCTTAATTCCACCCTCTACAAGCTTTCCGTTCTTGTCCACAGGTGTCTGTCCACTGAGGAATATGAGGCCGGGGACTTTTGTGGCATGTGCTATATCCTCTCGTGTTTAATCAAAGGTTCAAACATGGGACCCATAGAGCGTATGAACGTACAAAGGATGTGGGTGAACTTCGAGTTTTCGTCAGAGTTGATACGTTCAACAGACATGGTCAAGGATGCAGTTTCGCAAATACAAGAGATTCGAACTTTATAGATCGGTTCTGATAACGGGAACTTCGGAAAAGCCTCCGATAAAGAGCTTGATTTGTCGCAATTTGAACCTTCTCCTAAAGCTTCTTCCTTAATGGCCAATTGGACGCACCGGAAACTGCCAAACTGAATGTAATTGCCTCATATTACGCGGCAACATGAGCATATTGACCACGGGACTCCTTCAGGTGTCTAGGTAAGAAACTCGGCATACGGAACTACTTCTACCTTATTTTCAGATCCCTTTTTGACGTGGTTCCCCCCATTTCTTAGCCTTAAGGCAAACCTCAATTACCACTTATTTTCTCTCTGTGGCACTTTCAATGATTCAGAATGATGGGTGAGTAATTCTAATCCATTTAAGTAATTAGCAAGTGGCAGCAATAGCCTCAATTTCAACATCGACATCGTTCGGAAGCTTTCCTGCTTGAATACAGGTTCGCGCCGGTTTAGGACTGGGAAGCAACTATGGTGAACGCACTGAGCAATGTATCATCCAACACATAAGAGACATGCGGACCTTCTCATATACCTCATTCATCGCACCGAAGTTATCCATGTCCTTAAGATAAACATTGACCTTGACGACCTTTTCCCAAGAAGATCCAGCAGCACTGAGGACATTTCCGAGGTTTTCAATACATTGAGCCTTTGCAGATATGAGTTGGTCAGGAAAGGTTGTGCCGGGCAAGAAGATTACACTGACAGTATGCTCCTTGATTCCACCTTCTACAAGCCTTCCGTTCTTGTCTAACGGAGTCTGTCCACTAAGGAATATGAGGCCAGGGACTTTCGTGGCATGCGCTATAGTTCCCGCATGTTTGAGCAAACTTCAAACATCGAACATGGTACCTATAGGGCATATCAACGTACAAAGGATGTGAGTGAACTTTGAGTTTTCGTCAGAGTTGATACGTTCAACAGACGTGCGGAGGTGGGCCATCGCGCTTTGTGCGCGGCATATTCGAGTCCTCATAAACATGACTCCGACTTGCGATTCACTTACCTGATTAGAGAGTTGCAAGAGTGGGAGCGCCTCTTGAGCGCGCCGAAACTACGCGTAAGTGCCTTCAACTTTCAAGCTTCAAGTTCCGCAAAATCACATATAGTCACAATACCATCAGATTAAACAGTTTCTCACGTTTTCCCCTGTTCAAACTCGCCATATGGTCAAGACTCAAGGCTGCAGCTTCGCCAATACAACTTTATAGAATCGTTTCTAATAACACGGTTTTTAAATGAGGTTCCGGTGCATAAGCTGATCTTCAATTGGCTTATCTGTTTATCGCCATTGAATTTTTTCCGAGAGCTTAATGGAGGAGAGGATGCACCAGAAGCTAATCCAGACTGAATGTATATTAGACGGCAACCCCACGGGCTGTGACGAGCAGATTGACCACGGGACTCCTCCCAGGTGTCCATAAAACCAACGGTCAACGGATGCCCTTGAACTTGCTTCTTCCATCATGGACAAGGTTGAAGTACCGCGCTCAAGCGCCCCCGGGCCCGTTGATCTGGAAGTTTTGCCGAGACTGGAATCTTACCGTGGTCATAACAGGAAAGACGAAGAAACCGAATTCGGTAGCACTATAACGTATGATCCAGTAGTTCAACGCTCCCTCCTTCGCAAATGTGACTGGTTCATTCTTCCTCCATTAACCTTCATGTAAGTCTCCCCATAGGTCGAATTACGAAGGCTGCTCATTATGACTATTCTCTCCACTAGGTATCTATGCAATGCTTTAGATAAGGGTAATGTGGCGAATGCTAAAACAGATGGATGGGATAAGGTAATGTTTCTAGTGCATACGAATTCCCCAACCTGTTTAAGGGACTTTAACAGGATATTGGTTTAACGGGGGACCAGGTTCGTTCTCAAGAATAGGTTTCAACTTGAATACATCTTGACGAGCTCCAACTTTTTAGTACTACCTTCTTGTTATGATTTTTTACGTGAGTGTTTCATTTGAGGTTGGAAGAAATGTCGGTTTAATTGGTCCTTCTTGGAGGTCCCATTTTGTCTGTAAGTCCACTTCCACTTCGACGCCAATCTATCCTAAGTCAGACTGATCTTTTCGTCAAACCTGCCTGTGTGTAGTTTTGGGACGCCTATCTCAATATTCGTCAAGAAATTCTCAGCAGCACGCGTGCTCCCGCTCATGATGATAGGCTTCGTAAGCTCGGATTATTAACTCGCTCTGAGACTTCCTCGTATACTAATAGATCTTTTACACAGGGTGCAATGTGAGTAGTCCCCGGACCAAATACAAACATCCTCTGAGATGCTGAGCGGATGGTATTTGCATAGGTCTCTCTTTACGAGCATCGCCAAGAATTTCTCGCGTCAGTAATCCCTCCTCGATTCATCTAGGTACGAACGCCCCACTGAAATCATTTCTGAATACAGAGATTTTCGCAATCCGGTGGTTCCTAGGCATCTTCGAATCTGCCATGTTACCAGGTGTTGTGCGTACCAATTTGAATTCTCGACTCGTTGTCACGGTCCTCGCGCTCCGAGTCAATAATCAGTACTAATGTTCATCTCATCAAGGTATATTACTTGTCCACGTTCTACAAACGCGGAGAACTCGCTTCAAGAGTGGGGTTATTTTATGCCGCTGCTGCGATAGCTGGCGCATTTTCTGGTGCGCTGAATATACTCTATAAGTATACCCTTTCGCCTGAGTCTGACTTAACTTCAACCCAGGTCTTATCGCATTTGGGGTATTCCAGATAAAAAATCCTCGCCACCATGCTTGGCAATACTTATTTTGGATTGAAGGTACGTAGTACATGAATATTTTTGCATCCCTCAAGGGTTCGTAGCTGACGCTTTCGCCGAAATCAGGTTCTGGTACAGTCACCTTTGCACTCTTCGCATTTTTCTGGCTGCCTCGGACCAGTGATACATGGTGGATCTTAACAGAAGAAGAAAAAGCCGTCGCTCGACGAAGGATTCTGGAAGATAGCTCCTCAGAGATCAACGAGAAATTTTCGTTCCGAGAGGCCTTCCGACCATTTAAAAACCCGCTATACTGGGTTTGGGCGATGATCAGTCTGTCTCTTGGCGTTCCATTGGCGAGCGTCAACAATTTTCTGCCTCAGATCGTTGCAAGTCTCGGGTATTCGACTGTCAAGACAAACCTGTTCACTGTTGCTCCAAATATTGTTGGTGTGTTTCAACCTTCAGCCATTCATCACACACATTGACTTCACCTGATCTCTCTCAACACAGGCACTGTCGCCTTGCTAGTCTTAACATTCTCATCTGACTACTTCCGCGAGCGTTCCATTCACATAATGATTCCCTTGGCTGTGTCTCTGGCTGGATTTGTCCTTTTAGGATGTATAAACCCCTTAGCCCATCGCGGTGTAGCATATTTTGCATGCTTTCTATTGACAGCTGGGGTACGAAGTCCCCTCCGATTAAACTTACGCACTTGTAATGAAGGCTAACTACTACTCATTACTGGGTATGCATGGCAGGCATCAGCGCCATCAGTACTAGTAGCAACTTGGTACAACAACAACACACCCCAAGAATCTAAACGAGCAGTGGTTACAGCGGTGATGGGTATGGACAGTTTATTTAACCTAGTAAGGATGTAGCTAATAGCATATCCTACAATAGTCGCCTTGGCCAATGCTTCAGGTTTGATATCCACCAATGTATTCCGAGCACAGGATGAACCCAAATACGTCCCAGCTTTGGCAACTTCCGGTAAGCTAACCAGCAGGTAATTGCTGAAATGTAAATGCAATGAAGTTCTCCTTCAGCTGCTTTTGGAGGGTTGTGTTTGATTTTGGTTGCGAGGTGTGTATCTACTCATACTGTAACTGCACCTCATGGCTGACCGATCGTTAGCACTGGGATCTGGATGAGATGGGAGAACAAGAGACGTGACAAAGTCCAAGGAGTTGTTCTTTCAGCTGGCGACATTCCAACAGAGACCTTGAGCGAAGGTCCTTTAAATCCCTCATTTAGATTCATGTATTGAGAAGCCAGTTTCCTTATACAAACGCCACGAAGGAAGAACGTTTATTGAGGCTGCGATGCTAAAGAAAGTAATGTGTGTATGAATCACATAAATTACCAGCGTCCGAAAAAGTCTCTACAGTTACAATAATGTTTATTTTTATCGCTTGAAAAAGAGTGTAAATGTAATTGTCAAAGAAAGAGACTACTTCGTATATTTGATAGAAAAGCAGTAACAGAAAGAATTCCATGGATAAAAACAGACAAAACATCAACTACATGAAAGTGAGTGCCGGCAAGTTGTATTACAGGGGTAGCGGTTTACTGATAGCAATAGATGAGGAAGGATAAGATACTTCGATTGTGTGAAAGCAGATGACGATGTGCAGAAAGTATCCCAGTGAGAATGAAAGTAGACAATCAAAATCAACTCGCTACCGACGCCCATACCTCACTGTTTCAGCATAGGTAGCGAATGGCAAATCCAAAGAACCGATAGTCCGTTGACCATCGAAGATATTTTGAGTCTCATCAGAGTCGCAATCCTCCAAAATATCCTGTTTCTGAGATTCTGCCTGGGTATAATCCTCCCCCTCGAGTAACGCCAAAGCAGTTTCCAAAAACCAAGTATTTTGTTTGATGAAATGAACCACAATCGTTCCTCCAACCCGTTTTCCTTCATAACGTGCGTTGCGACCTTCACGATTTGCCCAAGCGCGAGATACAGCATCTTGCGTTGAGATTGTGGATAACGAAGAGGTTGTATCCGGCTGTATTGAGCTCATCTCACTGCCTTCCACCAGAGCTTCGATACTTTCCAAAGTACCGAGGTCGGAAACAGGTGGGGTATAACGAACGTGAAAGGTTGATACACTTGATTGCGCCCAAGAGGCAGGGGTACGTCCGTACGGGGTGAGCAGTTCGTTTGTATCGAACTGCTCAGAATCTGATGATGGCAAAGCGATAGCTTGCGTTTCTGTGTCCCAAGATAGAGATGAAGGTAATGAGGATGAGGCTGCGAATTGGAGTAAATGTTTTAAAGCTGAAGACATAGATTTCCTGACGCGGCGAACTTCTGAGGGAAAAAGGAAACCATGGCCGTAACTAAAAGAAACACATGTAAACCAAACGAAGTGACGTCAGAATCAAAAAAAAAAATACGCACACAGTCCCCGCTCTCGGATGGTCGTATATCCAACATCGTTCACTAATCCACCGCACCTTTTCAGCTTGAGGATGCATTTTCATCCATTTGGCTGTTTGTTTATCCTCTGCACCTCGTGTCAATTCCTTAACTGAAGGATCTCTGGCTACCCAATCGACCAAGCTCCAACTGAGAGCATACAGTTCGCCAGCCATGAACCGGTGTAGCCGATTCGTTACTAAATACCCCCAATAGATAAGTGGATCCTGATCTTGAAAGGTGGAATACGTGTTCGTCTGAACATTGAGCAACTTTCGATAGGATCCATTATTATGTCGTGGTGGTGTATCGGAACGACGATGAATGGTATTTCGTGGTGAGGATGAGCCATCTACAGGTGGTTTGGCGTGCATTTCCAGCCTTAGTCTAGCCTCAAGTTCGGCAAGCATGACGAATGCATCATCATCAACTTTTACCACGAAATCGGGTCGGACCCAGGCTTGCGGCTGCGGAGAAGAAAGATCTTGCCATGCATCGCTGGGGTCATGAGAAGCCAGCGGGGGAGGAGGTTTCGAAGCATTGGAGTAAGAGAAAAGAGGAGGTGGAACAGGGGTTTTCATGTACACAGGTGGAACCCAAGCATTGATGGAGGCCCAAGAGAAATAAGTATGCGATTTCCCTGCGTTCATATTTTCAGCCACAGGCAGTATGATAATATCGTGGTATTCTAAAATGTTGAGAATATATTGAGCGCGGTGAATAATTTCAACAGAGCGTACGAACCTTCCATCTCCAACTGAATCCGCCTCTCCCAATCCTTGCGAGGTTGCCCAAGGATGAATCGGACTATTGTTCGAGAAGTACCTACACCGTCATCACCATCTCCAGCTCCTTCCCGACTACGAGGATGTGATGCCCAAGTAGAACGCACTAAGGCTCTACGTTCAAAGGCCGAGTCTGTAGAGAATACCCCAACAAATAACCCTGCAGGTGGCAGAGTGTCAAGTTCGTCGTGAGGGAATGACGGTGCACTCATTCCAATAGAATAATTGTGGAAAGGATCGTGGTATAATGAAGGATTGGTAGGGTCTGGTGGTGAGTTCATGGAGGGCATCGAACAATAGGCTCTCCAAGGCAGCGGGTCCTTGTCGGGATTGAGGATGTAGATCAAGAAAAGTGTGAGGAGAATAGCGAATAGAGAGAGGAGAATGAGAGACAAAACCTGCAACAATTCAGAACAAAAGACGCGTTGACGATACAAAGGGACATACGATAGTAATCGGCTGTCTTGGAAATAACGGATGTCGAACAATCCTCTTTGCCCATCGGTTAAGAAATCGCCATGTCCTGCCATGTCTTCTACGACTTCTGCGTGATATTTGCCACCAAGACCGTCTCTCCTGCCTCCAAAGGTTTCTATTTCTAAGCGGTGTCGCAGTCGTAGGATCACTGTCTGTGTCGGAAGTCGTAGATAATACTGGACGAGAATTGACTAAAAATTGGGGAAGAGGAGAACCAGAGCGTGAAGGAATAGGTGTTGAAGAAGCACTGGAAGCAACTGAAGAATGGCCGGAAGGAACTGGACTTGGAGGAAGTAGGAAATGTGAACGTCTTGACTGAAATCTAGACATGTGTGTCGACTCCGACGAGGAAGAGCTGGTATAGTCTTCCTCATAAGACGGTCGACTTCTGGTGTCGACAAGCTCAACGGAGTGCGGCATCTGACTTTTCAGAAGCAGAAGTAGAAAATTACAGAGAATTTACAAAGATAAGAGAATTATTTGCGGGAAATTGAAACAGCCTCCTGTGCCAAGTGCTTACGTAAATCAGATATCATATGCCGAAAAAATAAAGCTGTTCACTACGTAATCTTATGTCATATCACCCAGACAAGACGCGTCCTGTCTGGGAACCGAGCCCGGACTTCATACTCAAGTACTCGAGCTTCAAGCTTCAAGCTTCAAGTACCAGGTTCTCCGGATCTCTTTGCTGCTTGGTTTCGACTGCCCGAAACACAACAGATAACTATGCGATACCCGCTCTCAACCAATTACATCAATAGTTATCTCCACCGCTTTGATACAAATCTCAATGTAGTCCATGTCCGTAAACCTTCTTCCAGCTTGATCTTTCTTTCACTGTGTCCCAATAGATACCCAACTTAGTTCGTGCCGGAGAGCGCTCTGCATCTGTCCGTGGAGCATCACTGGGAACAACGTTCGGAAGCACCAAGCTGCTGCCGATATGCTTCTCCAGTTTCTCAATCACAACATTTCCGTTATCACTGGAGCCACCTCCTGCAAGCATAACCACCCTCGCAAGCCACGCAGTCAAATGAGGATCGGCAATTGAGTATTGTTCTCCTACATGATACGTGCAAGGTCACAATGAACATTCAAAGTCTTTTTTAAAAAACGACTCAACTCACCAAGGGTATAAGGACCGATGATTTTTTCATTCAACTTTGTGAGCACATGCACCAGCGCCACCTCCCATGAGGTTTTGGCAGCCTTGAAGTATTCTTCGCGACGAGCTTGAGCACTCGCGTCCAATGCAGTTGAAGGTACTTTGGCATTCTCGTACACCTCCAAAAGCATTTGCGCCACTTCTTTCTTGGATGTCCAGAATTTCACTACCTTATCCGACGCACGGATATTACCGGCTTGGGCATCGGAGAGACACTGATTGAGCGCGTGGACTTTGCCTTTCATGAGAGGTAGAACCGAGTCTGCAAGGGTACGAAGGGACTCCTCGTCTCTGGCGTTCATGTACAGGAGGTTATTGGGATCGCCGTCCTCTGAATGAATCAGGTCTTCAATGAACAGTTTGCAGGTAGCTGCGAAATCTATGGTCGCTGGGGTCAAGATTGGTGCGGGAGCCTGCGATGTCGTGTTCGTGTGCGATAGAGGGGATCTAGGGTTTGCTTGTCTATTAATACGAGTAATGGTTCGCGCAATAACTAGAGAATGCACCTCGATTTATCGAGAAATTCAATGATCGTCTAGATGAAATGCCTGAGTCAATATATGGTCGCCACAAATTCGCGTACTTACCTTGGTTTCGGTAATCGCCTTGTACCTACTCTCAACGTCAACAGAAAGTGATTTGTCGAGAGGGACCACAAGGGTGGGGACGGTAGCTATCGTTTCGCGTATCAGGATAAATAAAAGTCTTGGATACTGTTAAGATTTACCTTTGGAGTTGAGACGTAAGAACTTTGGTCCATAATTTTCACCTTTGGCTGTAGTTGGGACGTGTATTCAGCTAATTTTGACGGTATCAAGAGATCGGAAGATTGCATACCAAGGTCAACAACTTTCAACACGACTTCATCCTCTCCATAACCCTTTTCCTCACTGCAAATATCGATCAAGACTTGTAATACATTGGTTATTACTTGTGAACCCACAGAGCTAAAAGAACTATGGGGAAAGTGTTAGACACAGCATCGGGCGCATAGAGAAATAGATAGACAGACCAGCACACGACCAGATAGAGTCATTATAATAATATAAGACGGCTTTTGGAATATCTGACATGATGGTACAGAAGAAAGCAACCTGAGCCTAGTGCATGACGTCGATGGAGGGAGTCAAGAACGTGATTGTATGCAGCATTCCACTTGGTTCCTTTTCTACTTTATGTAGAGAGTCCTTGAACGCGTAGCGATGTAGCTCTGAATGCTCTTCCGCGCCTGCAGCCTTGCAGACCAGCAAGAGGTTTCAAGAGGTTTGTCACAGCGAACAACACGGTAGCACGAGGCCCGTGTGACACCTTCTCGAAAGTTCGCAATAAATTTAGTGATAATTGTAGGTTATGTAGGAATCTATAAGCGCTGTATACTCTATCCTCAACTACACTCAATCATGTCACTCCGGTGAGTCCAACAGTTTCTCTCAGAGGATTCTCGCGTTTAATCCTCGTTAGACACGAATATTATGAAAACGATGAGCGCACAACCATTTCGATCTTCGATCGTGGCGCTGACCCGGAGAAAGTTTCTATCAAATTCGAGCCTCGCAAAGTACTATTTATCAACTTCTTCTTTACTCTAGTGATAACCCTTTCTTCCAGGTTACATATACCCACGGCGAAAAGAGTCTGACTCTAGAACCACTAAAAGGACAAATTAATCCGGATGCTTGCGATTACACTGTTGGTAAAGTTAAAGTCGAGGTTCGTTTAGCCAAGGTTGCGCAAGGACGGTGGGGAGGTCTTATTGGCGACAGTCCAGATCGTGCGCCTTCTTCAACCCTATCTAGCTTGGTAACTTTCTGATCGCCGCCACACAACAGCTCTAGCAAACTCGGCTAGTACATCCACACCCACTCCGGCTAGGTCTCAGAAGAAGAACTGGGATGCACTCACCACTGACATCCTAAGTGCCGAGAAAGAAAAATCAATGGAAGAAGATCCGAATGTCGGTGGAGACAGTGCAGTCAATCCGTTCTTCCAGAAACTGTTCGCCGATGCAGATGATGATACCAAACGTGCGATGATGAAAAGTTACTCAGAGAGTGGAGGCACAACATTGAGCACGAACTGGGATGAAGTGAGTAAGGGTCACGTTGATGTGAAGCCTCCAGAGGGTCAAGAGTGGAAAAAGTGGTCATGAAGTGGGAGAGGCTAGTATTCAGCCAGGTGAAACGTTGACCTGAGAGAAATTTCTTTCGTCCAAAGTAATCCTTCTTTGAATGAATTCTTCCAAGACGTCTGATCAGCCGATGAAAGTAAATTGTGGCCGATTTGAGCGAGTAAGTCTTGCAAATTCAATCAGTGTGCGCATGAGTGCTTATCGATACATCTCCACTGACGCCCGTATTGTGACAATACGTTCGTTATGTAGCTATTGATAGATCAGCTTTTGAATAGGATACATAAGTACCGTCCATCCATCACACTTAAACTCTCTGTCTTGTTATGGTGTCCGACAGCTGCCATCCGAACCTTTGCCACGAAGCCAGCCATTTCTGCCTATTTTCGTGTTGGTGCAACGCTTCATTATACCTGTTTTTCATTACACTGCCAGAAATACTTGTCCTAGTAGATCTTTCCACACGCTGTCCAGGGTGTCATTATTCTGCGTCATATCTGCTCCTGGTGTCTACCTTCGCTGTGTTGGGACTAGGGGTCGATAAGGAGGGGCTAGAACAAGGTTGAACTTGTGACTTGTTATCAAAGGCAATCAGACACTTCAAGCTTCTCTATTTCCAGATTAATACCCCTCTCAATCGTGCCACAAAATTCTCTTCTCGAAATGTCTAAACTCACTCTTATCGTCGCAGCGACGAGAACGAATGGGATTGGTGAACATGGCAAATTACCCTGGCACCTTCCAAAAGAAATGAGCTATTTCCAACGCGTTACCTGTAATGCTCCTTCAGGCCAGAAGAACGCAGTTGTCATGGGTAGACATACTTGGGAGAGTATACCAGAAAAGTTCAGGCCCCTTAAAGACAGGGTGAATGTGGTTATCAGTCGGAAGGAGAACTATCATTTGTGAGTGCCTAGTCATTTCACGATGAACCCAACAATCTCAAATGAAAGCACATTAAAGCGGCGAATCAGTCCAAGTTCATCGCGACCTCGCATCAGCCATGGAGCAACTTCGTAGTCAATCAGATCCTGCTGTTCATCGAACATTTCTCATTGGTGGAGCGATGCTGTATTCTGCATGTTTGCAGTTGCCCAAAACTTCGCCCATCGCTTTCGTGGACCGAGTCCTGCTCACTCGAGTGATAGCGCCTTCATTTGACCGTTGCAATGTATTCGTACCGGATTTCCTCGGCGAATGGATAGGAGCGCCGGACTTTAACGGCTGGAAGCAGGCTACGCCAGAGGCAATGAGCGAGTGGGTGGGATTCGAAGTTCCCGAAGGTGTTCAAGAAGAGAATGGAGTGCAATATGAATACCAGCTTTGGGTTCGCGATTCTACGTGATATTGCTCTCTACCTCTCCGTATATCCCTGCTTCTCATAATTATACACCACCTCCATCGTGCACGTACAACCCCTCGTTGCATATTCATATTGCGTATCAGGAAATCCTCTTCCATTGCCAGGTATTAAAGAAAACGGACATCGAACATTTTTTTTATCCCTGTCGCTATAACATATACACACGTCTTAGTACCATAGTTTTTTTTGCAGCAAAGCTGGACGCTCGCACCTGCTTATGTTTTGGGTTCTTCGAACATACCACGTACACTCTTCCTTTACGCCTCACAATACTACATCCATCACACATAACTTTTACTGATGACCTGACTTTCATTCCGCGAGTGAGATGGGGCACCGTAATGGCTGCATGAGCCCGATGGATATGGGGAAGTTGACGAGGAAATGTATGCGGTCCTAGACGGGATAGCAGCGGCCTACTGGAGGCCAATAGAGCTCGAAACATTTGGGATGATGATGACCGAAGACGGCAAAAGTACAATTGCAACTTGAACCTCGGCTCCCACTCTGATGGCCTCAAGGCCGTAATTTGCATCCTTCATCATTTTAATGTTTTGCACCTCATTCTGGACACAGTCCAGCAGGGATGACAAGCTAGCCATTTTCGTATTCACCGTTACTCTCTTCGCGTTTGTGGTCGAAAGCCAGCTCACACAAGTAAGTTTCTGGCTTCTTTTCTTCGTGACAGGCTGCAGTTTCTCATGCACCCAAAAGTATATTCAGACGACATTGAACTATAGACACCCCTTCTTGTTGTTGTGAGCATGATCTTTGGCATTTGCTAAACTCTTGAAAACGGATAGGGTTGATGATATCTTGATATCGTACCAGCTGGATTGTACACTCATCTTTCGTGATTTCCCTTCCTTGTCATCTCCTCTACCTTATCCTGGCAACGCCTCATTCCTTCTCTGCCCTTTGGAAGGGCCTTGTTTTGGCAAATACACAACATCTCAATGGTCCTGAACATTGCTCTTCAATCAACTCTCAGACAAAGTTTCCTGTGAACAAGTTTACCTACCTCATGCTCACATTAACTGCCGCAATCACAATGCCAGCCTTACTCTGGTTCGCTGCCATTGAAATGACTTCGTGAGTTCGTTTATCACAATCTACATTTCAATGCTCATGTCAATTGATCACTTTTTTCTGGGAAGTGTGACGGATGTCACCGGTAAGTCCCGTTCGTTTGTTATAAAAGCTTTCTTGACTCTCTGCTTAGCTATCTGGAATACCAACGCATTTTTCGCGTACGTGTTTTCTGTCAAGATCTTCGGTCTTAAATGGGAATCGCGAAAGTTGGGCGCAGTCGTACTTGCTACTTTGGGTGTCCTCGCCGTTGTATATGGCGGAAGTACTGTATCATCACCATCGGATACAGTTGAAGAAGCTGACCTGTCTTTTCCAAAGTCGACTGGTCCTTTGGTTGGTGATATACTGACCCTGATAGCGTCGGTTGGTTATGCAGGGTATCAAGTCTATTACAAGAAACATGTTTCGCCTTCTTTCGTTCCGGAATTCGCTGAAGACTATCGACCACTATCAGCGGCTGAAGGAGATTCAGAGTCTGATACATTGCATGCAACATCCCACCTGAATGAATCTGAGCAATCCATAAAGGACATTGAAACAGTCTACCCGCCGCCTTTCGGCCTGTATTCCAACTTTTGGACATCGGCGATCGGGGCATGTACATTTGCTGTTCTTTGGATCCCTCTTCCAATTTTACATTGGCTTGGAATAGAAACATTTTCGTTGCCTGAAAATCTTACTACCGTCGGTGCTATCGCGGGTATTGCACTCACTGGTTCCCTTTTCAACGCTGGTTTCATGGTACGTACATTACATATGTATGGTTCTGGTACCAACTTACGCGGTTCGAAAACAGATAACACTCGCGTTGTGGGGTCCTATTATCACGTCTGTCGGAGGATTGCTGACAATTGTTCTTGTCTTCTTTTCGGATATTATACTCGGGGCAACCGAGTCTTTGACGATATGGGGTGTAGCCGGCTCTGCTACCATCGTCGTCGCGTTTGGTGTACTTGCCTATGATATGTTCCAACAACGATAATTTGGTTAACGGCGCTCTGTTCCAGTTAGTATGGTAACCTCCACTAATCTTGATGTATCCAGTATCTAAGTTTCGTCGAATCAATCTGTACTTTTGTTATCGGCGTCTGTACTTGATCGCCTCAGGAATTGAGGCTCAAGCTTCCCGAAATCTCACCGCATCGCCCCGAATGCCGAATCACTAACCGAAATGAGCGCACGTTGGCTTGTCTACTGGCCACCATGAACTACCCATAAACTCGAAAAACGATGGTTAGTTATCGCACACGACCTGCTTTCCTATTCTGCCATGGTCCATCAACGAACCAGTGGTCATCGAAAACCCTTTGTGGCCCTAATTCTAGCGCTGGGCGGTTTCGTCGCTCAAACGCAGCTGACGCATGTAAGTGCTTTTGGACCATTCAACGCACCCCCCTCATGCTTCGTTATGCTTATACTTAGCGTGTTCTGACGGTCATGAACTATAATCGTCCTTTCTTCGTGATGTGGATATATCCGTCTCAGTCAAGTACTGTGATCTGATTCGAATATCTTCAGATATGTCACTCAGTCGGTCTTCACTGCTTCAGTTCTTGTTCACTTGGTATACCTCGCGATTACCACCAAGAATTCGATTTCCAGCTTGTGCAAAGGCTTGAAAATTACAATCGCTAAACGGCTGCGCGCATCGAAATTGTTGCAACGTATACGGTTTCCTTGTATCAGATTCTTGCTGATCACTCTTACTTTGACTGCTGGATTCACCACGCCGACGTTACTCTGGGGTGTTGGGATATCATTATCATCGTGAGTAGCAATGTATGCCAATGCTTAAGCTTGTACTCGTTAACAGACGCACCCTTTGTAGTGCCAGCGATGTAACGGGTAAGTTATGCTTTTCGCCACATGATCGTCACTCACACACACGACCGTGCTCAGTTATTTGGAACACCAACGCGTTCTTTGCCTATCTAATATCGGTGACTGTTCTCGGACATCAACACCAACATAGCAAATTTGCTGCTGTTCTCCTCGCAACTATGGGCGTTGTCCTTGTTGTTTATGGCGGCGTTGAACCCGGAAACAGCGTTCTGCATCATCGTAGACTACCCTCCCGTTCGGTCGGCGATCTATTCGCGTTGCTTGCATCTGTGCTATATGCTGGATACCAATTGTTCTACGACGGATTCATAGAGCTCCCACTCGTATCACCCCAGGTCTTGGATGACTTTTCCTCTGAATCAACACCTTTGATAGAGCCTGAGGAGCTTGAGGAGTACAAAGACGCCATATACCCATCCCCCTTTGGATTGGAGTCGAGCTTCTGGACGTCTATGATTGGCTTATGCACGATGTCACTTCTCTGGGCTGCATTCCCAGCCTTACAAAGCCTCGGTATTGAACATTTTAGCTTCCCGACCGACCTCCCTACTGTATTGGCAATCCTTGGCGCAGCGATGTCTGGTGCAACGTTTATGACTGGTACTATGGTAGATATTTTGCTTTCTGGATCAATCGTCACACTGGTCAATACTAAAAAACTTCACAGATGCTTCTGGCTTCGTGGGGGGCTGTGACGACCTCCGTTACAACCTTACTGACCACGGTTCTCGTATTCCTGACAGATTTGTTATTGGGTGCTGTAATTAGCGTCTGGAGTATTATCGGTGCTGCTACAATTGCTGCAGCATTTCTGATGCTTCTTCTCGCTGACAATTCCCCCGCGTCCATATTGGTACATGCGACACAAGAATCGAATGTTTGATTGTATTGTAATGTACGCCAGAAGTTTTGTAGAAGTATAATTATAGCACACACAAACGATAGAGAGCAGCCTGAGTCAATAGATAACGACCACGGATAAAAATGAATGGAAAGGATCAGGTAGAAAGTTGGAAACCGTATGAGTACAAAATGTGAGTTCGGGCGAACAAATGCTGACAGGATGAAGTATTTCGCTACAAGAAGGTGATCAGGAATCGGAACCGCACCACCACCACCACCATGGATATAGAAAGTCCGCCGCGCAATCTCAGCCTCGACTGGAGGAATAAAGCTACTCGATACTATATTCGTATACACCCCGTAGATTAAAGATGGAAATGCCGATTATGTAGCGGTGTTCATTACACTGTGAACGGAATCAATGGGTTAAAAAATCATCATCATGGACGAGAATATGACAAGTACCTTTTTCGCTTGGCCTTCGTCATTTCTTTCCGCAACGCGGCACCGTCTAGGGGCTTGAGCAGTTCAAATGCGCATAGCAGATCTTCGGAAACACTATGAAGGAGGGTAAGCCATGGAAACAGCATGGCGATCGCCAGAGTATCTACGAACCTCATACAAGCTCCGTAATTGTCGAATTCTAGACACAGGGGCAAATCAGGAATGTGTGAAGATGGATCAAAAAATAAATACTCACCTCCACAATAATTCGGCGCACTGAAAACCGTAACAAGTGTTCGATCATTCCAGAATTCGTATCCATCTTCTACCACCATATGTGCCCGACAGATGAGATCCATATCGTACCGAACCAAAAATTCATTGATAATCCCTTTGCCAAAGCAATAACTAACGCCACGCTCGTTATCCTCCCAATCTAGCGCTGTATCTGAAGGGTCGGACCACAGCAGATCATTCAGCAGACCGTAATCGGGAACGTCAGTGGGGCGTTGTATTCGCTTAATGTCCTCCATTGAATGCAGGGAAGGAGAAAGCCCGCCGTGAACGCAGAATATCTTCGAAGCGACTATTGCAGCGATTGGAAGGCAATTAAACACATCGATAAAAGTCTTCCATGTCTTAATATTGCATCGTCTTTTGCACTCGTCGTAGAAGCCATACACTATGGAAAAATCAACGAAGATCGTGAGGAAAAAGTTCTATAGAGCGCACCTCTAGTAACGTTAGCGCACTCGTGATTTCCACGTAGGAGAAAGAAGTTTTCGGGGTATTTGATCTTGTAGCATAGGAGAAGCAGTATGGTTTCAAGACTCTGTTTCCCGCGGTCGACGTAGTCGCCGAGGAAGAGATAATTGGCCGCAGGAGGAAAACCACACATTTCAAACAGTCGAATGAGGTCGGAATATTGACCGTGGACGTCTCCCACAATCTTTACAGGGGGTGAGAGTTCGACTAACGTTGGCTGGCTAAGGAAGACGTCGCGAGCGGCGAGACATATAGAAGTAATCTCAGTGTTTTTCAAACACAGAGATTTGCTGACTTTGCCCGTGTAGCCGACATCCAGAAGGCGTTGTATCATGTCATCGACATCGAAGGGTTTCAATTTTCCATTCATGTCCTGAGCAGTACTAGTGGTAGTAGATCCGGGGCTAAATGCACTAGCATTCGCGTTAGAGAGTATGGTCTGCGCGGCCGGAATATCAATCGGAGCTGGAAGTGGTTTTGGTGAAGGTTGTGGCGATACGGAAGTCAGAGACGAAGGGTCGATTGAAGAGGGGTTGGGATATGGGGACCCATGGACACCGTTCAATGGTTGAGCCGAAGAGCGACTGGGTTCTGGTACATTTATTGCGGGAGTTCCATTGGAAAGCTTGGGATCCGAAGCTGAAATAGCATGAGCGTCGGTTGAAAGATACAAACAGGTTGGGATCACTTTCTAATGAATCGTCTGGAGAGGTATCCAGCGAGACGTTATCCGGAGATGATTCACTTTCCTTGTCCTTGGAGGCTTTCTTTGACTTCTTACTCGACTGTTGAGCAGTTTGGGACGGGGAAGCTGCGGGCTGGGGGACGAAGGTCGCCCTTTAGACAGCCGCGATGTGAATACTGAAAGTAGTGTAGGAGCCAGTGTGAACGACCGGTCAAGACGACGATGAAAGTTCAGGAAAGAGAACAAAAGGCAAGGAGGCGGTGAGAAAGTCGAAAGAAGGATGAATGGATAGAGCAACGATTAGTGTTCTCCTCAAGTTGAGCTCAATCGTCACCGGCCTAATCGCCTTTGTATTTGTTCATGTTTGATCAAAACTTCCTTGGCACTCCAAGTAAAAAAATGCTGTCGAAAGTACATATCATAGGCTGGCCACAGCTCAACATCATAGATTTTATTGTTGTGCATAGCATAGGTACGAAGGGAAGATAGAAGACATGCGCTAAGACCTAGAACTTTCCGAATGCCTTTGCAGCAGCCTTGTTCTTAGATACCCGTAGGACGTTGAACCGCACAGTTTTCGACAGCGGCCGACATTGACCTGTCGAACACGCTGATGAGACGCAATAGACCAAAGAAACATGATTTCAACGCACCAACTGTGACAGTGTCACCCGCTTCAACACGGAAAGCAGGCGATACGTGAGCCGCCAAGTTTTTGTGTCGTTTCTCATAACGGTCTGCACGATGATTGTAAATAAATAGAACTTCATCGAGGAAAGATCACGCACTGTATTTGGGGATATAGTGAAGATAATCTCTTCGGATGATAAGCGTGCGGTTCATTTTTGTAGACACGACCTTGCCAGTAAGAATACGACCGCGGATGGACACTTCGCCAGTGAAGGGACATTTCTTGTCTGATAACACATCAGTTTCTTCACTCTTGGGTGTGATATTACGTCTTACGCACCGATGTAAGTACCATTGATTGCCTCTGCAGGAGTTTTGAATCCCAAACCGACATCCTTGTACCACCGTCTGTCCTTAGTCGAGACCTTCTTTCCGGCTGTGAGTCAGAATTCAAAAGCGGGCGCAAAAGATTAAGACTTGTAGATATCATAACACGAATGATTAACGACGGACCCTTGACTTTGGCGTTCTGGAAAAGCGGCTGTTTTTGGAAAGCTTTTTCGATCTAGGTTTCGGTAGCAGTTAGCACAGTCTCTGCCCCATCATACTGAGGTATCCTACTTGTTCGGCCATCTTGCGCGCGAAAAGGTCTTGGAGGGTACAAATTTACAGGTCTTGAGGGACTGAAACAAGTGTGTGAAAGAATTCAATGTAACTATACAGCCTTAATAACATGTGACTAAAGCAGTTTTGGGCGCTAACTGACGGAAAAAGTTTGATTTCAAGGTGTCTCAGAGGTGTCTTCTGTGGTCTTTCTAGAGTACAAATCGGAGTGAAACCTGACTCGGCCTGACATCCCACCAGCAAATGTACATTGATATCTTTTGATCTTGAATCTTCGCAATCGTTGTGGATGCCTCCCTAAGCCTTCCATACTGATTGAGCCTAGCTCTTTGATGCTTTAGATTTAGAATTTGGGGCCACTTGGAGTCTCCGAGAAATACATAGTGACAGAAGGAACTAGACTGTTGAGAGGATGCTCAATGTGGAAGGGTCTGAAAGACCGTCTGCCGCTAGCATTCGTCCTCATGAGACGATGTTCTAAAACTTGCAATGAGGAGTCAGACAGATAGGTAAGTACTGGAATATTTATGTATCAAAGAAGAACTTTGCTGTCGAATTGGTTTCCCGCTCTTGGCTTCGGCAGCGGTCAGATCATCTCTTCAAAAGTCTTTCGAAGTTCAACGTTGCAACATTCTAACTGAGTGGCGAAGTTCACTGGGTTAGGGTTTGAGGTCTGTAACTAGCTCGTGGCGTCACAGCTATCACATGTTCTCCTGTATTGTCTTTCGACCCAGTGTTAGTAGAATGGGAAGACAGCAAACCCTTGGTTGGTTTCTTGCTAAGTTTTCGGAGCATAATCTCACTCAGATTCAGGAAAGTTCCTTGAATTGCCCAAGTCGATCAAGCCTGCACCTCCTCAACAATCTAACCTGCATGAGATGTGGAAGAAGCCAGCTAAGAAGGAGGCGTCGTTACAAGAACAGTGCTCAGCGGTTGAGAATGCAACGCATGATCTGTTAATAGGAGCTGAAGGAGAAGGTAGCAGTACGCGTCGGGATAGTATGCAGGACCCCGAAAGCTCAAAGCGTAAACACGTCGGGGGGACAGGTATGTTTAACACGCGTCTTCGTTTAGGAAACCTGCTTGAATCGACTGTGTCAACGCTAGCTAGCTCACTCAAGTTGAAAAAGAGAAGAATTATCGACTCTGATGACGACCATGAAGCAGATACTACTACACTGGTGTTAGGTGCTTGTAGTTCTTTGTTTTTCTCAATTCCCTACTGAATGCTACGGCAAGCTAGTGGCGTCATCACCAAAGTCTCCCAAAACCAGATCCCTCCCTCTATCCCCGTCGCCCAAAAGTAAGGGTAAAGCGAAAGCAAAACCGGAGCAGGAGAGCGTTCATGTGGAAGAGGCAGGAGTTAGCAGTGCAGAAGAAGATCCTGATGAAGAACTTGAGGAAGAGGTTGAGGCGAAAGATGCTGCCGCCGCGTCGTCTAAGAGGTTTCATTATTTCTTCGGTCCTTCTTAACTCGAGCATGATTCGGACTTTACAGTGCGTTGACTGCTTTATCAAAAGTCAAAGATGTAGATATAAAAGGAGGATGGAAAGTCGGTGAACCGTAAGCATTTAGCTCGCCTTATGCTGGTTTCTGATGGCGTTTTAAGGATTCCGTATGCCGCCCTTACCAAAACGTTCTCTATGATCGAAGCAACGACCAAACGGTTAGAGAAAACCGCAATCTTGACATCATTTCTCCTTCTTGTTATTCAACGGAGCTCTAAGAAAGACTCAACAGCTCTCCTTCAAGCGGTGTACTTATGCATTAATCGCGTTCGTGATCGTGTTTTTGATATACTGATTGAATCTGAAAGCAAATTCTAGTTGAGTCCAGACTACATCGGAATAGAGCTTGGGATCGGCGAGAGCTTGCTCATCAAGGCTATATCCGAATCGACTGGTCGAAGTCTCGCCATGATCAAGGCAGATTTGAAGAAGGAGGGCGACTTGGGATTGGTTGCGATGGTCGGCTTCGTGTCCGCTTTGGGATATTTTCGAGAGGCTTACACTACAGTGTCCAGAACTCCAAGAATAGTCAGAAGACCTTGTTCAAACCAAAGCCACTGACAGTCGCATTTGTTTTCTCTAATCTACGCGAAATTGCTTCTAGCTCTGGACATTCTGTGAGTGGATTATGGGATGACCTCATCACTGTCACTAATGAGATGTGGTGTGTTGGCCAGTCCCAAGCTAAAAAAGTCTCAATTATCACAAAACTCTTAGCTGCTTGTCAAGACTTTGAGGCTAAATACATAGTTCGTAGCCTGGAAGGCAAGCTTCGCATTGGTAATGCCGAGCGATCTGTCCTTGTAGCGCTTGCCCATGCCGCAGTACTTGCAGAACATGAAAAGGGTGTGTTATATTAGGCCGTCATTATACACTGAGAGATTAATATCATAACAGCTGGTAAAAAATGGAGCACGGAAAAGTTGGCCACAAAGCTCGAGGAAGGCGCAAATAATATGAAGTCCGTGTACAGGTACGCGTAATACACAGGCTATTTTTTACATTCTAAATGTATGAGATGGAATAGTGAATTACCTAGCTACGACGAGGTCATTCCAGCGTTACTTAAACATGGCATTAATGGTATTCGCGAACACTGCAAACTTACTCCCGGCGTTCCGCTGAAGCCTATGTTGGCGAAACCAACCAAGGCTATCGGCGAGGTTCTTGATAGGTTTGAAGGGAAGCGGTTCACGTGTGAGTACAAATATGACGGGGAACGTGCTCAAGTGAGCCTTGGTCTGTTTTTTTTGGCTGATATTCTCTGATCTCAAAACGTCGCAATAGGTACATAAGCTACCTGATGGCTCCGTTAGCGTCTTCAGCCGAAATTCAGAAGATATGAGCAAGAAGTATCCTGATCTAGTTGAACAACTGCCAAAAGTAAGTGTAAGATGTCGAAGGTTCGCATGTATACCTTTGACGCCTGCTTCCTTGAAGTGCATCAGAGAATCCACGAAATCTTTCGTGCTTGATGCTGAAGCAGTAGCATTCGATCGCTCAACGAACAAATTGATGCCCTTCCAAGAACTCAGCAAGCGGAAGCGGAAAGACGTCAAAGTCGAAGACATCCAAGTTCGAGTATGTTTGTTCGCGTTTGACCTTCTGTATCTCAATGGGGAGGCAAGTAGCTCTACATAGGGGCCCACCGTCACCGTTATTGACTCACCTCTGCAGCCTTTACTTCACAAAACGCTTAACGAACGTCGCAAACTGTTGCGCGATCACTTTACTGTCGTACCCGGGGAATTCGATTTTGCCAAATCTTCAGACGGAGAGACTGTCGATGAAATCCAATCCTTCCTTGAAGAGAGCGTGAAAGATGGGTGCGAAGGACTTATGGTGAAGATGCTGGAGAGTGATGCAAGTTACTACGAGCCTAGTAGGCGTAGTGTTAACTGGCTGAAGGTGTTACCCTCGGTGTACATTTTCCAGATCCTATTCACTCAACTCTGGTTTACTTGCAGCTCAAGAAAGATTATCTGGCTGGTGTGGGCGACTCATTGGACCTTGTCGTCGTTGGCGGCTATTATGGAAAAGGGAAACGAACCAACGTCTACGGCGCGTTTCTTCTCGCTTGTTACGACGACAATTCAGAGGAGTATCAAACCATTTGCAAGATCGGTACAGGATTCTCAGAAGAAATGCTGCAATCGCACTACGACGTCCTCAACCCTCTTGAACGGGATACCATGCGAGGTGACGTTAAGCCGGGTGGCGCGAAGCCCGACGTATGGTTTGAACCTCAGGTCGTTTGGGAAGTGTTGACGGCGGACTTGAGTCTCAGTCCTATCTACACGGCCGCACAAGGATTGGTGACGCGGTTGATAATTCTGGTTGTTCTCCTAGCTCATCATTTCCTCCTTAGATTGATGAAAGAGGAATCTCTCTGAGGTTCCCGCGTTTCATTCGAATACGCGATGATAAAGGTGCAGACGACGCAACCGGCCCGGAGCAGGTGAATATGGGTTGCTTCGTAACACCATTCGCAGGTTCTGACGTTATTTATTCGACACAGATTTCCGAGATGTACGAACGACAAGCACTGGCGGCAGGTAGCAGTAAAAAGAAGAAGGGTGGAGATGATGATGACGGATTCTGGTGACGATCTTGCATGGCATAACTGTAACCCTACGTACGAGAGAAACTTCGAGTGCAGTATCTTTGTAGGCCACACTGTTCACAGATCTTTGGAATCGAGCACTTCCTTCGTATTAGTGACAAACCCGTAGCTCTAGGAAGTCGGTGGTGATGGTTCAGTAAACCTCCAAAGCAACGACTCAAATGGGCAACTCACATTCGCAGCATTATATATAACAGCCTCGAACGCACCATCCGGGGAGGTGGTAGCAGTGGCGTCTTCGAGTAGTATGCAATCGTATCCTCTGAAATACGCATCAATAAGAGTTCCCAAGACACACTGATAACACATGTATGCATCAGTACATAGCATAAGCAGTACGCGCATTGCGATTTTTCACCTGGTCTGCATTTACCCCGGCGAAAAATAGTGTTTTCAGCCCATTCTCTTTGAGGAAGTTTTCGAGTAGCGTTTGGTCCCATAGGCCGCTTATCCTGAAATGGGAGGGGGACGTTCGTACTTTCAGAGCCGACAAAATAGCGTCGACATTCACCGGTTTTTATGGATCCAAAAATCTGTTCCCTTGTCCCTCCCATTCTCATACAGTCCTTGCAACGGACCATACAATTCGGAATTCCTCTCACCCCTCATCAGTAGTTTTCCGAAGTCTCCCGGAAGCTCCGATCCGAATCCTCCCCCTCGAGGAGAACCATGTTTCGCGAATCCTCGAACGAGCGACGGGGGAATGGTACTGAGCTCAGCGGCGGTCAAACCCCAGTTGCTGCATGAGAAAACATACAACATGAAAATATGAGTTGAGAGACGGGAGTTGTTTGTTCAGGCACCTACACCCAAAGAATCTTGATGTTCTTCTCCCTGAAAAACGGTACGACCCTCATCAACGGATCTACACAAGCCAAGCCCTTGGGATGATCCCGGATATCTTTGTGCAGAAAGAAATTCTGCATATCAATAATTACTACTGCAGTCTTCTCTGTGTCCAAACGAACAGTCTTCTCGCCAGTCACTTGAACATCAAGTTGACCGGGAAGTAGAGTCGGTGTAATGGTATTGGAACCTGCGAGTAGGATGTTTTGAGCGCCAGGCTCTTTGGTGGTGTCGATGTCGAGCTGCTTCTCCGCAGAAATCTTGAGGTCTTTGAGATGCGTAGAACGAGAGAGGTCAACGAGCCCGTGGGGATACTCGACCCAGAAATTGTTCGACGTTGGGTCACCGTATTCAACGGGTTGTGGGACACGAGGTCGAGAGGTCATTCCAAGTATCGGTGTGTGGTATTGCGGGGTAGTATCGGACATTCACTTCGCGAGCGACACAAATTGTGGTGTCAAGCTTGAGCTTGAGATGTGTCTAGTGGGAAAGACAAAGGATGAAGATAAGTGTGTGACACAGATTATGAATTTCTGTCCATGAGATATTCCTGCGGAAACTTGGAAGGAGGTCATACGCATACGTGAGAGCTGCAGGACATACGGAGAGTAGTGAATCACTTAAGCCGCAACATCATGCACATGCCGCAATGTCAGAAGTTCAAAATCAGACAGAGATACTGTAGCAACTCAATATTGCATTAATGTTCATTGATGTCGGGAAGTTCAGCGCAGGGGTGACTTAAGAATTGGAGGAAGGAAGCTTCAAGGTGCCCCAGATTTTCTGCCTCGAATGTATCGCGGTTTCAAGTTCCAGCGAAGAGGCTAATTGACGGTGAATTTCATCGCAAATCCGTTTATCGCATCAAAAGAAGGATATGAAGATTATTCTAGAACAATAAATATATCATATCATTAGATGAATAGGAAGTTTAGGGTTTCTGAGTCTTGTCTTTAACAGTGTTGGCAGTCTCCGCAACGGAAGTTTTGACATCTTGAGCAGCATCCTGCGCGGCACCTGTGAGACCCAATTTCCTCTCCCTTCCACCTCGGTTCCAGTACTCATTGAAGCGATACAGCTGTATCGACTGTGCTGTGACGTTCGTCATATGACAAGCGAGGAGGAGATAATTCCGAGGTTGGACGACCCATGCTGAGGGAATAAAATCTCGTCAGTTACCGAGCTCGAAAGGAACCAAATGGAAGGAGAGCAGACCAAAGCGCGAGAATGTCAGACTAGATATTCAAATTATTAGCCCAGATGAAGTTATAGAAAGAACAGGGTAAACGCACGAATAGCAGGTCAAAGCAGTAGTCATAGTGCCTGATATAACCTCCTCGTCTTTCTTCAAATCAGCAAGGGCAGCAAGTGGTAAGCCCCAGTTTGCAAGCTGGTTGGGTTTTCTAAATAAATGCACGATTCTAAATGGCGGATGCGACTCACAGGGCCCCAGAAATGAGTACCTAGACAGGACGGTATTCATGAGATAGATTAATTTATCGACTTGGAAACATACTCATCAGATATTCTCTACTCGCTGGAGAGCGCAGCCAGGCCATAAATGTCGACATGACGAGGCAGTGACGAGGATAAAGTCAAAAAGTTTGACTGGATTTTGAGTGAAGAAAACAAAGGGAGTTATTAACTGAGGGGCCGACAAATAATGTACGTAATACAATTGCGGTAGTGATTTTTGAGACGTGTTTTGCTCAACATCTCTATTTTCACACCCGTAACGCGAAGCAGTGCACTATCTCTAACTCAAGAAAAAACAAAAAATCATTACTTTCTCCTTCTCAAAAATACAATTAAGATAGCTGGGAATTCCAAACAAACGGAATGTTTGCACGTTGCGCGCTTTTCGGAGATTCCGAATTTTAACCGGGCCTCATGTTCCTTGGCTTTTCACATCCATAATCTCGCCTGAATAATCATGCAACAGTACTATGGCTCGTATCCTACCCAATCAAACTATTACAGTCAACCTTACGATGGCGCTGGCCCTTATAATGGATACACACCGTATACACCACAGCCTCAGGCTCCAGTATGGGGCTCGACTCCTTACGCACCTAACGCCGGCCTTCCTCCCCCAATGCAGATGCAATCCGGTGCACCACCTCCCACTCCCACTGCCCATAGGTCGAGTCACCGGCGAAGAACTACCATGCCCTCAAGAAACACGAGTCATCCGCTAAAATCCGCATTGAAGCCAAGTAACAGCATCCAGATGCCTACTCCTTCTTCGCCAGCTCCCCTTCACAGAAAGCGTGCGATGTCCAATCCAAAAAGGGATTATCAGAACATGGGCATGCCAAACGCTGCTGATTACACCACGCCTTTCAGCAATCAAGGCTTTCATCTCCCCGAAGACGAATCCAGTTCGTTTCTCGTTTCATATTTCTTCCCGCATTTCATCATTGGTTGTCCTGATATTGACCCGTGATCAGCGTACATGTTCGTGTCCTTTCATGGCACCAACGAATTGCATATCGAAAACCTAGCTCACAAGGCCATGGATGAGATAAGGAAAGAAATATTTGGCATGTGGCCAGGGGGTTTGGAGCTGGACGAGCTACAAAACACTCAATGGAGGGTGCGGTTCAAGAATGCTCCTTGGTCTCTTCGCGATGAAAATGTACAATGGTACGTCGCTGCATCCATGCTTTCGCCTCACTTCTTTGATCCGCTCTTCAGGGCATGGAGGATGTTGGTAAAGCTTTTCACGTTATTCGAGGAACGGGTTCGTGAGACGTCTCCTCCCAGCTCGTGCTGCTGCTCATCATTACGGTATAGGGATACTCGTACAACACCACCCTTGACGTTGGAACCTCCGTACGCTTTTCTTGTGCTTCAAAACGTCGCTTGTGCTAATCAAATTTCGCAGAGTCCTCGCTTGCACTTTGTCGCCAGTTCGCTATCCATCTGTCGATTCTTTCTCGCCACAATCTCGAATGGTGGCCGTACTTTTACACTGATAGATCCTCCTATGGATGTCATGCGAGATTTGACTACTGGATTGCAGGGTGCACTTCCAGGTCATATATCCAAAGACGAGTTTGGTAGATTGGGAGAAACCAATCTACGTATCGTAGAGTTGAGGAGACCTATCTATGGTGGTGAGGTCGTGTCATTTTCTCTGTTGTGATCCATTCCAATGTGCTTGATATACAGGCAACGAAATTACATGTAACCAGTTTCACTGCCAGATATTGCGGATTCTCAAACATATCGGTTATATGTTGTGTGCTACTTTACCGATGGCTCGCAAGGGTCCTCTCTCTGCGATCGGCATTGGGACAAAGCAGGAATTGTTGGTGCTCAAATCAGTCAAAAGCTCGCCGGTTTCTTGACTTGATCCATATATCGTGTCCGTTTGCTTTGAGGTTATCTATCGTCGACGTACGTGTTCTATGTATTGTTCTATATTACGCCCAGTTCTCGTGTAGCCTTATGTACCATATTGCTTTCTCTTCATCGCATTTCTACTGATCTACGATGGCTCGATGACAGCTGCTGCAGAGGGCTGCAGAGCTTCCCAGCACATGCTGTGCTTTGTGTCAGGGATCTAGCAAAACAAACTCTGTCTTCAGTTGTTATCTTGGGTAGTCATCTCAGGCACTTTCTAGTGCTTTCTGAATACCCCATTGGGGATAGGGTACCGTAACTAATTCTCAAACTATTACTTACATTTGTTTCTAACATTGAAGTTCTGAATCCATTAGTTACACGCGTAAGTAACAGTAACTAATTAGTGTAAGAAACAGTGTAACTAATATGATGTTACTATTTGTAACTTGAAGAATTCAAGTAACTAAGTGTAACTTATATTCCAAGGCTTTCCCAGTTGACTGGCACATCCCTTTGGTTCACCTCTTCACTGATCAGTAGTTGAGAAGAACCGGAGGCCATGGCTGACTCTGGGGTATCACAGAGAGTCTGCAACTCATCTGATGATATCATTGCCAGCAAAGCAGGAGATGCGAGGTTGATCTCATTTTCATCAACAATGATGCACGAAGCAGACAGAATGACTCGCTTTTTACAGCCTCGCTTCTTGGGCATCTGAGCCTCCTTCTCTCCTTCGGACTGTCCTTCTTCATCCTCTTCATTATCCTCGCTGTCATCAGAATTGTCACCAAGATTACATGTGGGATAAGGCTCGAACTGAAGCTTCTTCAAGTAAGTCTTGTCGAGGTTGGAAAACTTAACCACAGGATGTTTTCAAGGTGTTTCTTAGTGACAATTAGTTACACTGAAAATCCTACACCCTCAACATGACATGTAAGTAACATGTTAGTAACATGAATTAGTTACATTTGTAACTTGAATTTGAATAAGTTACGGAACCCTAATTGGGGACATACACCTTGCTCACAAAGATAAGAAATAGTGGACGTTTGTTTCAGTAGACATTGTGCAGGAGACTTGTGGCACTGGGAAAGTTTGTTTACTAGGGTGTGGGATAGAAACTGATAGAAACAGCAAGAGCAGAGAGGAACCATTTGAAATGAGGAACAATCATGTAAACAAGCGGAAAAGCTTAGGTACGATGGGATATGGTGAGAGAGGCTGTTGAGCCACCATTGGATGAAAGGGCTGCAACCGGAACAGGGTCACATGATTGCCTTATAGAGCAAAAGGGATTCGCCGTCGGGACGGAGAGAGACAACTTTGAAGGGAAATTTTGCTTGAGGTTCAATGACCATTGCAAGCAAGGTGAGCAATGCGACCTGTAGGCGGAACCAAAGCAACCAGGCCCACATCCATAAAAAGACTGAATGAGGGAGAGGCAAATCAACCGCTGGTCGGATTCCAAGTTTTCTTCTGTCCTTACAGTTCGTATCTGGGACTTCTTCTACACTTCTACCCCGCACTTTGTACACATTCATGATTCGTCTACAGACCTTGCCAAAATGTATTTTCACCGCCTCAGAAATGTCGCCTCCCTAATATTCACCCTTGCCCTTTTATCAACTGTGTTGGCAGCAGTAATTCCCGCACCTTCCTCGGTGGGTACATATTTGGACTTTTCTCCCTACAATTCAAGATTGAATTCGATTATAACCCATTCTAGGTCAACGCTCAACCACCCAATCCCCTTCCTTCGACCCAAGCAGGAATGCACCAAAAAGCGACACGAGCTTTGGTTCATTTTCCGGGAACAGCTCCGCGAGAGAAGAAGAAATGGTACAAAGCTAGCTATTCGGACAAAACCATCAAAAATGTCGCAACTATGGAATTTCTGTTGCCAGTGATAGAGTATCAACTAGAACTTGGGAAATTGAGCGAGGCAGACTTTCAAATCGACGGTTTCCCTTCAGAGCCCAATATAGATGGGGATTTCGTATTTGATGTGACCCTTCATCTGGAACCCCCGAAACAGGTTTGGAGGGGCAAAGGAACGTTTAAGTTCAAAGACAAATTTGCGCAGGAGAGGCGAGTGTGGGGAACACTGATGAATGTTGATGGGAGTGTCGTCGGAAAGGTACGAGACAACATGCTCGCACTGGGATACAAGCCACTACTGAAAGAAGATGTCGTCGAGGATGGCGGACAGAAGATTCTCCCCTGAAGTTCCATGGTTCTTGGGAATGCGCTTTAACACTGAAGTGTTCCTGTTCTGTGTTCCTTTTGTACACCCAATCGAGTCTTTTGATCACTTCTCCTGCCTGCAAGGTTGGATGCTCACCGGAAATCATGATATATATTTGATCTGCACTGACGATGAGAGCACTACCGTCTAATAAGCGATCATCAAACTGTTCTCAACGAAAATTTCTTGATTTCGTGATTCATCTATGTATTGTTAATTTACGCGTACCAATCATTACACCATCTTCACCACTTTGGATCCATCTACGATACCTGCTAGACTCTTGGCGGAGACTTTGCCATCAGCACCTTTACGGAGTAAGAGTTCGTCCCACCATCCGAAGAGAAAGTCACGAGCGATGAGCTTGAACCAAGGCGTGAACAAATTACCTGTTAAAGAAGATAAGAACTATGGCTGGAAGTCGTCGCCCTTTAACAAGTTCGTACCTGTCTCCTCGAACATTGACTGTAATTCTGCCTTGTCGACATATTTATGGTCGCATATTTCGTTCTCGTTGGGTGTAACAGTGACATCGGCAGTGATGAAAAGAATATAATCCACTAAGATCTTTGATCAATTGCGATCCTTCATCTAGAACGGAATACTGACCTTCATGCTCACCCCACATCCCATTCGAAGGAGCCAGGTAGTGTATACGTGTGAGGTATTGGAACTCGTCTACAGGGGTTTGACTCTGTGGGATTCCAAGTTCATGTTCTAGTTTCCTTGATGCAGCGACCCGAACACCTAGTTGATCTTTCTCGATCTTTTCTGCTTCAAAATCGTCTAACGGATGCGAGCAGCAGGAATTTGTCCACATATCCGGAAATGTGATCTTTTCGGGAGCGCGTTTTTGGAGAAGGAGCTTGCCATCTGAAGGCCGAAACACAAAAGCCGAAAACGCGCGATGGAGGAGACCTTTGTTAATGTTCTCCATTAGATGGCCTGTGTTGAAAAGAATCAGTAACAACTTTAAAAGAAAGCGAGGAGGAACACGACTTGCATGTTTTCTTATCCACAGCTCCAAGAGCATTGTCATCCTCATCGACCAAGATACATCTTTCGTCCATCAACTTGGACTGAACGGGATCATAACCGGAAAGGTCGATACTGGTGAGAGCGGCTTTTGCAGCGAGAACGGCTGGGGAAGACATTGTTCGAATCACTAAGAGAGAAGGTGGGAGAAAAGATGGGGGAAATGGTACGATACGAGGTCGTATCAGCGGAACAAATAATCGCTGCAGATTGGCGAGCGAGGTAACGGAGAAGGGTTTACATATATCGCCAACGCGGCTAAGCCTGCCGTTCTTGTGGAAATGAAACCAAATCCCTCTTCATTGTCCTGACTCGTCGCTGATCAGAATAGAAAGTTCATTCCCACAATATTTTTACATGTTGTGCCTTCTTACTCCTGTCCTGCTCCTCTCTTTTCGACACGATAACTATCTCTTAGCGTGTGTTGTTTCCGTTACTCCCGGCTTTGTATGTATCCCTTTTCAAGTTATCAAACCTCAAATCTAAAGACCAGGGTGGTCAAACTAGTGCTGCACATAATTGTTGTCGATGATTCTGCGCAATCTCTATATACGGTGGGCCATTCGTCTCTGAAGTCCATCTACCTCATCCACCAACAGCTGAAATTCCGCACTAGTGTCCATCTACCTCAATTAACAAAGACTTTAAGTGATATCGCTCCATAGGGCTGTGCTTGGTGGACCTTTAAGAGGTCCTTGGTCGCCAAAACTAGATTGCATGAGCCGCCATCAGTCAACACTGAGGTTCAGAACCCATGACGATCATCTTACCCAGGCAATGATAAAAAGCGGCAGCCGCTACGTGTCGTGTACTAGTCAACTGGGGAACCACAACGTCGAATGAAATGTTTTCGCTTCCCGTGGGCATCGCTTGTTGTTGCATCTTGGCATACCTAGGTGCAATCACGTCAACGACAATCTATGCGCTGTATCGTCTCAACCTCACTCTAGGAAATTGAAGGAATTGCGCTCGAGCGTGATGAGGTTCAAATCAGACTTCTGAGAATCTATCTGTGTGTTGGTGTTCATCGTCTGCGTATTCTGTGTATTCATCGTCTGAGCGTTTTCCGGTTCCACTGTGAGTGTAATTCAGCACAACAGGTAAACGGTGACAGGCGCGAATACTCACCTCCACTGAAGACGAAGTCTTCACCGATGACCTGGGATCCTCGTATCCTGATATCTCCAGGTGATATACCTCGGATACCTGTGCTACCATTTTGGCTGGGCACAAGGGAACTTTCACGCCGACTGAAAGAGCTTCCCCGGATTCTAATCTCGGCGCGATCGATACTAACCCTATCACTTCCACCCCCAAACGCGTCGACACTAGAGGATGGTCCAGCCCCTGCATTATCCCACGGAAAGAGAGAGCTCCTCTGCGATCCCTCCTGACGGCCAAGAGATCCTAGATCAAAGCTGAAGTTTGCTCCTATGTCAGAGGGAGGTTTCGACATTTGACGCGCTTGGCCTGGTTCCTACAACAAAGCCCGCAATTCAGTTTTATCTTGAGCACAGCCCAACAAGCTTTACCTCAGAGGAACGTAATCGAGGTTCAACATCGATGTCGTTCCACCCAGTCTCAAAGAAATTCCCTTCGTCTAATGTAGAAAATCATTAGATGGGATGAAAAAGTTACTGATGTAGGTTGTACCTCCTCGACCCATTTCTGCCTCGTTCTCCATGTTTAGTTCAGGCTGTTCCATTTCATCTACCTGCATGTAATCCTCGAATCCTCTGTCCCGTGCAGCAGCCACCCTCCTACGTTTCGTGGGAGGTTCATCCTCCTCTAATGAGAATTGTCAGACGAGCCATGAAGCACAGCAACCGAAAGTTCTCACCCGACATGTCCAAGTGTATCACACCCGTCCTGGTTTCGACTTGAACTTTGAAGTTTCGTTGCCAGAAATCTATCAAAGCCGGGGCTTCGACTGGAAACAGAATTACAGAATCTTGACACGAGATCGTAAAATGGCATACGTACTTCCTTTCGGGACGCCCCAAATCAGGTCTTCCACCACCCTTCCACTGTCCTTTTCTAGTCTCTTGCTTATGAATTCGCGCCGCTGGAGGTATTGGTCAGAGAGATATTGTGCACGGGCAATCTGTGTCAACTCGATCATCAGAAGCAGCGCAAAAATAAGAGGCTTCTCCACCAACCTTCAGTTCGTCGTCAGTAAGTTCAGTTCGAGCATCAAGCAACAATCGGGTTCGTTTGTGTGTTTTCTTCTTTGGAGGTTTATCTACGTTTTTATGACCAGAAGTGACATCTGCGAGCAGAGCTGGCTCTAGCAATAATCCATCATCCTGCGAAAGCAACAGTTGAGCGAATGAATTCGCAGGGCTTGCAGGTGGTGGAAGAGCTTGTAATTGTTGTGAAGACGGTGCAGGGTTTTCCTTTCCCTTTGTGACCTATATATACATAACAATTAGCAAAACAAAATATGACTTGTGGCAGAAAAGCCCTGCCTTTCTTCGTACGGGCGTATGAGGTGCGAGAGACGCGACCCTACTGGCTGATGGTTCATCTAAACCTTGCCCGCCAGTGCCATACTCATCTCCGCCTAGCATAAAATCAAATTCAACGCCTGTTTCTCGATTCTCGAAATGGATAGGATCAAGCGATTGCTCGTCCACGTCCATACGATTTCTGCTAGGATTCTTCAGATTAATAATCATTGTGGAAGCTCATCGTAATCTACCTATCGGCGTTCTTGAGAGGAGAGGCACCCCAACCTTCTCCAAGTTCCCTTGCCAGATCCTCCCCTAAGCCAAGGTCAATGCCCAGGCCGTCGTCGATTCCTAGAAATACATTGTCGTCGAAAGCAAAAGCAGGTTCAGCTTGAGAGGAAGAGATATCAAAACCACTTCGTTGGCTTCCTTGGAAAGAAAGGTCGAAGGAGTTCGAGAGAAGGTGGTCGTGGTGCTCTCTGAGAGTGACCATGTCTGCCCGAACCTGTTCGGTCAGAGACGGGGGTTTCGCAACATTATGCTTCTTTCTGGCTTTCTTGGAACCGGTGGGATTGTATTCTTGTTCATCATCGCCGTCTTGCCTTCTCTCATTGTTATCTACGCGCACAATATATGTCCATACAGTTCAAAATAAGAAGAGGGATAGCTACCATTCAAGTTCAGAATCTCGTCCCAATCCTGTAAAAAACGCATATAATCAGGAATTGGAGCCAGATATCACATTGGAACGCACCGAAACGAAATTATCAAATTCCAAAAAATACAGAGCTTGCGGATCAGCAGCAATCGTGAAAGCAGATGGTCTTTGGAATTAAGTCAGTTATAGGCGCATTCTCGGTTCAAGAACAAGCAAATATTGACCGAGTCTGTTGTTGCATTTGAAGGGACGCGTCCTTGGCGGCGATGGTATGAATGTCTTGTACAACTTTCTTCAAGGATGATACACAGTTTGTTACATCGTTCATAAATAATTCTTGTTTGACTGATGAAGACCGTCAGCTTCGAAATGCATCTCCAATTTGAAACAAAGACAATCACCTTTATATACTCTAAACATCCGTGTACACTCAGAGCATATAGGAGAATAGTAAGCTTTTGGATACGCACCGAGCCACTCCGACCATGAGATTACTCGATAATCGCAATGCCAGCGGTTCTTCTGGTTGAGCAATGAGTTCACACAGTTGCGAGATATCGGCAGTAAGTACGGAGCGTTTAGGGAGTTTTTTGAAAGTAGATTTCGAGCCTAGAGTAGCTGCGAGCCTGCATGATAGGAGCAATTCTTTGAAAAGCCTGGCATAGATGACGCATACGAAAACATGTACCATAGTAGGCCAAATCCACTATCTCTCCGCGCGAGAAGCTCGGGAGTGAAAAACATATCGGTATACTGAAAACTTGAAGCAGACGCAATGAAGTGCGATTATAATAAAAATTTTAAAATATGAGCAGAGAGTTTGAATCTGTCGGGAGAGGATTGATGTTAATGGTACGTTTTGTCACGATCATCTACTAGCATTGTGCACTCACGCGATGTGGTTCAAATAAGTATACAGCAGATGAATCGATGAAGTCCTGGATTGGTCGAGCGAAAGTCAGTGAAACAGAAAGGAAAGGAGAGAAAGACAGCGAATTAGTCTGAACCGAATTAGCAAGATTGAAATAAGGTTTGATTTGCGGAGTCCAAAAGAAGATGGCTGAAATATCCTGCTTTGGCCTGCTACGAAGAATAAATTGTACGGATACACTAACCACGAAGGTATACACACAGCTGCCCTACAATCATAGAATATTCACACTTTCATCCAACGCTTGACATCTGTCCCTATCAAACGAGCGAAAATCTCATCCCGCCCACCTACCCAAGGGAAAACCTCCTCTTTATGTTCGCCATTAGTCGCATCAATCCATTTCACAGTAAGGCCCTTGAGCAAACCCGTCTTCTTTACAGCTCGTATATCCGCCAATGGAATGGCGACCTTCGTCCTTGTGGATGCGATCGGGTTGAAGAATAGCATATCCTGAGTGAATGTTAACAGCCCCGGGGAAGACGTATGCTGGCATGGGAAAGCTGACAGCAGGTGAGCAAAAGAGGGCTGCAAGGAAATCACGCGAAAGCTCACTGTGTGTTCCGCCTGAAGGGAGAGGCGCATCAGGTAACAAAGTAGGTTGTGATGCTGCAGCTGAAATATCTGAAGTCTAAATCGAGACAAGTCAGTGACAGAGGGAAAATGCCATGGGAAACACTCACATCTGGTTTTTTACTCACAAGTTTCTTGTCGACCATCCATGCCTTACCAATGGCTGCTCGCTCACCCCATTTCTTCCAGTCGACGTCTTTACCCTTTTCGGGTTTACTACCGCCAGGAGTTGTCGGGGTGCTTGAACTAGTCGCATCTTCTGTTTTGATTTCGCCCAAAGCGACGGGGCTAGGCCGACTCTTCTGGGATGATCTTTTGGAAGGGTTGACATCGAGGCCGGCAGCAATGCGTCTGGATATGATTTCCATCGCGAATTCTGCATCTGTAGGAACGTCTTGGAAGGCAGGTGGAATTCTTTCCTGTCTTGAGTATCTCAAAACACAGTTCATGAGCGCGAAGACGTACCTGGCTCTGTCTTCTGAAGGTAAGGCCGCGAGAATAGGTATGATATGCCAAAAGAACGCTCCGCCTAGAAAGTACACGAGCTTTGCGATGTATTGCGCAGGTAGCAATAGAGTGAGAATGCAACAAAAGCAGAGAGCCTAATGCACGGATAATTATTCGAAGTACACATTCACTGTCACGAATCCTTGTTACTCACTGTTCCGTAGACTTTGGACGATGCTGGCCTGCGCCAGATAAAGATACTACATGACAATCAACAAAGTCTCTGAAGATCGTGGAACACTGATGGAACAAACTTTTTGATACGTTCATGCAGGTCTGCAACATCATTCATAGCTAGCAACACAGCACGTTTTACATCCGTCTCTTTCTGGCTTTCCCTTGTATTATCTAGGACAGTAGGATCATCAACACCGTCGTCAGGTTTGTCCAGCCCGGTATTGGATTTCTGGGTCGATTTGTTTCTATTAGATTTTGTAAATATCCGTGAAATTCTCCAGATTTCCTTTAAACCAAAAGACGAAGTAGAGAGCCTGAGGGATATCTCTTCGCCCAACTCGTTAGCCTTATCAACCTGTTTTCGTCTTTGCTTGAGTTCCATGAGAGTTGGATACGTGAATATCTTACGCCGTATCAAGGCGTAAAAGATCCGGAAGAAGAACGTAGGTAGAAGGAGGTTGTAATACCACAATACCCAAAAAATCTGAGAAAATATGCGGCGGGAGATGAGGTATTAGCTGCTATTAGCTGTCAAAAAAGTTTTTTGACTTACCATGCAGTATCTTGCGCTCCTTCTGCGATCTCTCCAGGTACACAGTGCAACTAGATGGTGAAAAAAAGGAACATAAACAGGCCATATGGACAAGTATAACCGCTGTGTTGCCAAACGTAATCGACCAAGTGCGAATGGTGGAGGAGGTAGAGGCGGCGGTGGTAAGAGAGGAAGAATGTATCTCTGCAGCCTGATGAGTTATTTCATCGTCAATGGCCCGTGGAGTAAAACATACAAATGCTATTCGCTCTGATAATGTCTGCTTATCTTCGGATGGGTTGAAGTTGGGCCCTACTTTGCCGTTCAAGTTTTCCACTGTACTGGACGTTTCCTTTGGCCCCCTGTCGGACGCTGTAACGTTTTGTGTTCCCACAGGCGTGGATTCCGGAAGCTGGACTTCTGTGACGTGCTTCACAATGATAAAGAAGAAATTCGAAGGCAAAGAGAGACAAGCTTACTGCAGCAAACAAATGTAAGAAGCGCGAAACTTCTTCTTCGTCGTATAGCCGCCGAAGCTGCTCTTCTGAAAATTCTTCGGGTTCATCTGTATCCATGTTCAACGTGCGGAAGGTAAATAGAGGTAAATGGCTCATGACGTCACGCGGTACTCCCGGCAAATCTCGGGCAAATTTCATTTCTCTCTTCCTTCTAAACTCCAAGATATTTCTGGTATTTTCACGCAATTCACCATCCTCGAGATCAAGTCTGCTATCTTCTGCTATCTACTGTACTAGCGGCATGAGCCCTTTGGGCTCCGTGGATCACAGGCATTCAATTCCGACTTCAGCTGTCGTCAGCTGTCGTCTTATTGTCTTTTTGGGCGATGGCCCCGCGCGTACAAAGTTCTAAGATTAAATTCTCAGAATCTGACAAGGAAAAGACAAAAAAAACAATGATATTTAGCCGTGAAGTGGCCGTAAGCCCCGTTGGATGAGGACAGTGACCAGATCTTGATTTTGACGACCTGTCTTTTTGTTTTGCGGTCCGTAGGACCATCGTTATTGTGTTTCTGAACGTATATATCCAGGTAAGCTAGCGATGAAGAAGGTTCCTCAACTTTATCACGCCCACAATACCAACGCGCCATACACCTTACGTCGACTTCAACACACTTACCCTTCTCAACATGAACTCAGTCACGGTTTTCTCAGTTGGTTCTTCCGAGGCCTTCTCTTTACTGTCCTCTGTCTGGACATCCTCCTCTTCCGTTGACTCGGACGACGCAACAGAAACTTCTCCTGGTCCTACTGACCAGGAAAACGAAAGCTCTGCGTGTAACAGCTGGTGTATCATATCATAATCATGATACAGCTAGCTGCAGGACATTGCACTTTGCTGCTGTTCGTGTTAGTAGTCAAGTGCTTGTTGTTTCTTATTCATATTAACGAACTACACCGCAGAATATCGACGACACCCATGTCCTTATCTAACATCACCTTCATCGTGGCAGACTGCTGACGACAGGTGACGCGCTTGCGATGCTTCACGACCCCAATGAACAAACACGGAAATCACGAGTCCTAGGAGACTACGTGGCTAAGCTGCAACGAGATCTCATATCCGACCCTCCTCGTACCGCTACGCTTAAGGAGCCAAACTCACCCTTGTATCATGCCCTGATTGTACATATTCTACCCCCAACCAACCCGCCGAGCTACCTCACCGCCATAACCGCTTATAGCTTGATGCTACTCCCTCTCAATCCGTGAAACCCCCTCCCTTTACCTTCCCTGTGCTTTCCTTTTTTCCGCGATTTACTTATATATAATCAACATTATTCTCTATACGTTAGGAACAAACTCTCATTTTTACACTTTCAGGTGGACTATTTTTTTTCTACATTTAAGGATTTTACCTGGACCAATCCATATGTATTGTATCCTGAAATCAATGCACTATTCAAAATAAGTAAAAGTCGAAGAGTTTGCGACCAAGCTCAGCAGCAGATTCCATCGCGATTCTTCCTGTTCGTCCATCTCTCTGTTTTATCATCTGGCATGAGAAAAAAATCGCGTCTGTCAGCGTGTTCATGCGACGGAGAGGAAGGATCTGCGGAGTTTCATGCCAGATATAAGATGTAGTCAAAACCGACAAGATCAGGACTTGAAACTGACTCAAAATTTAAGGTTGCACAGCCTATCTAGCAGTAGCTCAGGCTGCTGAGGATCAAAAATTCTCAAATCATTGTTTTTCTTACTAACGTCTTCGTCGAAGTGCTTGTCCTACACTAGTAAGCCCCCTTTGCTCCATAATTGCGGGCTCATTTACTCCACCTCTACTAGTTCTCACCCAGAGATATTCGCTGGTCGAATCTCGAAAGTCACCCCAGTCGACTATTGTTGACCTATTTCTCCGTCAAGCAGTATTCAACTTCAAGCTTGAAGCTCTTTACCTTGCGTGTTATCACATAACACCATGCGCCTCCTCCTTCCATCCCCGTATCGACTATACATTGCATCCATTCTCTTGGTGATCACCCTCCTCGATGTCGCCGTAGTTTCCAGGCCAGTGGCTACTTCATGTCTCAAGCTCGAACGTCGAGGTAAGTTCACATGTTGGAAAGAGTTTGTCCAGTGACCAATTGTATTTAGTCTCAGACCCGGCCACCCACGAGTCGCCCGAGGATTATCAAATCTATCTCGCGCGTTGGAATCCTGCTCGCAGAGAATATGTCTTGAAGGATGCTGCATTTGACGAGATGCAGGTCGTTCGCTTTTTCATGGAAGGCACTGTCTCTAGTCATAAAGCCGGATTCGAATTCGTCGCGACTAACAATGGCAACAAAATTGAACGCGTCGAATACCCTGCATCATCCGGACAACACAGTTTAAAGTCTTTCATGCTGCGTGTGGATCAAGTTCAATTGGGCAATTTCGCCTGTGTGGATAACATGTTCAATATCGAATTTCTTCAAAGGGTGACAAACAAGCCTATTGATTCTGACCTGATCTTCGTCTTAACCATTTTACGGAGTATTGGTCTGGGTTATTCTCCTGTATGGAGAGGGCTGTACGAAGAAATGATTCGTGTGAGGAACGCATGGTTTGCCCGCCATAGCCACATTTTGTTGGGGAATACTCCGTACGCATAGTTACAAGACAGACGGTGTTATACTTGGTACTGTACAGTTAGTAGTCAGTATATCATGCATACAGTGTTTTCAAGACCCTCAGTTGATTTACTACCAACTGAAATGAGCCCACTAGATATCTGTATGAACACACGATCCTAACCTATAATAGTTTATCTTAACAGGTATAGATCATCAATATAGCTGATTTACTACCAACTGAGTTTATCTACGCTTGCGTACCGCTTCGCAGTTATTTCTGTGTGTATGCATGCCTAATGTTAGTCGTGAAATTCTACGAGCTCTACCATCTAGCTTCCAAAGTAACCTATTCCAAGGTAAGCTCCTTAGTGCATCACTATTTGGCAGTTAATGTCATACATTTTCAGTCATGTACAGCCTCATCCCTTTTTACCATACACCGCTGCCTCAGCCTGATTGCTTAATGCTTGTCCTGTACACTACCAGTGCAACCATCTAGTTTCCGAAGCAACTCTCCAAAAGCCATTTATCTACAACTCAAAATCTTGCTCTTTGCGGTAGAGATGTACTGCCCAAGTCTCGTTTAATCCCGCACTTTTTTGAATAAACCGTCTAAACGGCACACTTAACTTTTGAACGGTAGCGGGCCCTGCCGTTCGCCGGCGCTACCTGGATATCTTAACACATTTTTCCTTCATACCCAAAGTGATGTTGGTTCGATGCCTCTCCGTTCTTTACTGCTTAGTAATACGACCTTATTGCATATCTAAAAATTTATTGTGATGCAAGGACCACTCACTCGTCTCTCAAAAATATGAACCATGCGAAATCTGTTGGTAGAAATCATTGTTATACGCGTTGCAAGGCAGGGTGGAGGAGACTTATATTCGCAACATCCTGTATGTATGCCACGATTTAAGAAAAGCCCATGAGATTTTGGGATCCTCAGGAGATAGTCCTCTTTTTCCCGCCCTCAAGCTTTGCTAGAGTGTATAAGTTCACGTCCATGGGTCTTCCTAGACGTGAAAATTGGTTTGGACAACGGCACAATCGTAGCTCTGCAGGACACACCTTGCGTGAAGAGGGCGTTATTGAACACATTATCACTAATCTCGGCGATCCTATCCCCACTGGTATCATTCAGCGTACCCCAGATTCTCGTTTTCTGCAAAACTTTGTTCGTAAAACGCACTGCTGCCTTACCCTTCCAATCGGACGTCGGGGGATTCAGAGAAAGGATGACGTCAAAGTGGTACCGACCCTCTATATCTGGCTTAGACGGGGAACCGTAGAACTTGAAGTTGTCCTTCAAATCTCCAAGTTCAAATTGTGATTTGATTACTTTTCGAAGAAATCTTTTGATGGCAGCCTCGATGTGTAAGCCGTTCTTCGATTTGATGTCAGTTTCAGTTTCAGTTCCTGGAAACTTTACTGAAGCTAGCGTGACCTTGGGGATATAGGATGTTGAGGTCAAAGAATGGCGTTGTTGAACCTGAGAGAAAATCGTTAACGCTCATCACTCTTCGCGCTGTGGAATACAAAGCAATAAATACTCCACCACTCACTGGCCTAATACCGGGAGCTGCTGCTGCTACTACAGCAGAGACAAGAACGAGGGCGAATAGTAAAAAGTGAGAGTCGGTTCGCAAGCAGTGAAGATACATTTAGGCAAGTTCCTGCTCTTTGTGTGTGGGTAAATTACTTCGAATCAAACGTAGAAGAAATCCAAAACGCACTTGGGGACAGGATCGATTGGCCGACCAGCGGTTGAGATCAGTTAAAACCGTTTTCTGGACCACCTTTTCTCTACTTATACGACGGAACAGAGGCCTATAGGGGGTCGCGCCACTCCGTTGTATGGCAACCACCGCCTTTTCCTGTCTGTGCAAATTTGGTTTTTATATTCACCGGCTGACCATCACAAGATCAAGAACGCGTCTTTTTGGCTCGAAAAGGTATCAATATGAAGGCCCAGAAATCATCAAGGTCATAAGCTACTTCAGTGTTCAAACTTCACAAGGCTTCACATACGACCACATACGACAGTAGACGACAGCATACGATGGAGTGGTCAGGCTGTGATCTCGCAGACAACGATAGCCAATATGTCGTGGTGTCGTGTTGACCAGAATGCTCCTACTAAACTAACTAAAGCCCTAGCTAAACATGACCAAACTCCGGCCCTGAGCGCCTCCCACTGCCGGGAACCCCTACTACATGTGCCCCCATTCAAGAACAGACGTCGTCCTCGACGGCCACGCCCTGGACCGACCCGTGTTCTGCTCCTCCGTAACCTTCAGCTGTCTTTCCACTGCCTTCCAGACTCCTCAACTTTTCAACCTCTTGCTGTTCCACCCACAAGCTCGTACCCGGGTTAGGTGTGAAGCTACGGATGCGACGTGCATGGAAAGGTCCGCCATTCACCTTTGTTCCGTCCCTCTCTACCAACTCATATGAATTCTCCAGTTTTTCCGCTACCCGAACTGGTTTTGACCACCGCGCTGCTAGTTTCACTGCTGTTGAGTGCGTATTGTCCATTTGATTGAACCGGTACTGGACTAAATCGCCTTTCGTAAACTCAACCAATCCTTCCTTGCTCCCCAACACTGCCTTATCAAACAATGACTTCCTCCTCTGTGCATGGACAACTGCCTCCTCATATCCATCCAACCGCTGCTGCTCTGCATACAGCATGTGTGTCATCATGTCGCCTTCCTTGGTGACTGACGTCGCTTCCTCTACACTTGTCTGCCGTGTATTGACGGCGAGGCCTAGAAGGATCTCTTTCGGCGAAAACTTGAGGGCGGGTAAGATTCGGTTATTCAGCACGGAGATAGCTTCTTCAAAGTGGTCCGGCCATGTCTGTGGTAGTTTTTCGAATGTATCCATTGCTTTCCATTCGTCTGAGTCCTCTCCAACATCTGGTGCACACAACCTCTTCAAGACATGTAACAGCAGTCTGTTCGTGCCCTCCACGAGACCGTTAACCCAAGGTGAGTAAGCTGGCGTTACTTGGTGTTTGGTGCCCTTTGATTCGCAATACTGAATGACGTCTTTGTTTTTAAAGTGTGAGCCTTGGTCTGACATAAACGTTTCGGCAGTTAAGAACTCGGAGAAGATATGGTTTAAGCTGGAAACGGTTGTCCTTGCAGTGCCATGAGTCTTGAATTTGAATCCCCAAACATGCTGCGAGCATGTATCCAGATACAGCCCAATGTTGTGGTAACCCCCTTTGCCCTTTGACATAGACAGGTAATCACCAACAACCAGCTCAAATGGATGCCGACGTGTTATAGGACTGAGTAGGGAGTGAAGGTGTGCCGGCCCAAAATTTTTGCATCGCGGGCATTCCCTAATTGCCTTGAGTATAGATTCGTCGAGTTTTGGACTGCAAATCCGGTCCAGCAGTGCTATTTTTACTGAATCCCGTCCCCAGTGACCGCCATCTGCATGTTGTATTCTTGCTAACGCCACTGCCTCTTCCTTCGTTACACACTCAACCCTTGGTCGGGCGCGTGCGCCACGGCCGCCAACCTTCCACAGTTTGCCATCTTCAATCATGTAACCCTTTGCCCGATGCTCCGCCCTTGCCTTCACTCGAATGCTGGCATTTGACTTAAGGTTCGCCAGTGCATTAACGACCTCTGAGAAGACTGGCTCATCTGAGAAACGCCTCCTCAATGCCACAAACTCGTTTGATTCCTCTTCCTCTAGGGCCATCACATCCTGCACCAAACCCCTGGATGACTCCCAATCCTCGCTAACGGACCACGAGCTGCCATCCCCTTCAAACTCTGGGAGTCCTTCATCCTTGCGACTAATTCCATCTGCAACCACGTTCAACTTCCCAGGTACATGCCGGACATCCACTATATGGTGAGCCAGTATTCCATCCCGCCATCGCGCGTGTGCTGCATTGAGACGATCGCTTACCAGCACGTCTCGTAGAGCCTGGCAGTCAGTTTCAATCTCGACAGGGTACCCCCACACGACATCTGAGAATTTGTCCAGGGAATACTTCAAGGCTGCAAACTCAAGCAGGAAGGGCTTGTAATTCCGTTCAGCAGCCGAGGTACGTTTAGAAGCGAAAGCGATTGGGTGAATCTTCTCAACAACCTTCCCATTCTCTAGTTGTGTGGTGAACCGCTGTGCCAACACTCCCGCAAACCCCTCCTTACACCCATCTGTTGTTACAATGAAGTGTGAACCGTCCCACCGAGGCGAACGCAGCAAAGGCTCCGAAACCATAAGCTCCTTCAGCTTCAAGAAGGCACAGGTATGCTCCTTCCTCCATCGGCTATCCAGTTTCCAAGCCTCTAATGTTGAACGATATTTAGATTTTGTATACTTCAAAGGTAGCACTACTTCCTTCAGCAAGTCCCGCAGAGGCCCCTCTATTCGCGAGTAGTTCTTGATCAGGTCTCGGAAGTGACCTGTGAGACCCAAGAATGACGCCAGGTTCAGAGCATCCTGTGGCTGGCGCCACTGAACGATTGCAGTGAGCTTACCAGGGTCGGTTGTAACCCCCGATGCGCTAACTTTTGCACCTGCAAAGACACCCTCGTCGATGAAAAAAGCTGACTTTGCAGCAGACAAGGAGAGTTTCTTTTCTCGCACACGTTGTAGGATGCGCTGGATTTTGGAAAACATGGTCTCGAAATCATCTGCGGCCGCAGCTCCATCATCCACAAAGAGCTCCATTGTTCCGTCATTGGTCAAATCACCCAGCCTTGTTGCTGTCATATGTGCGAATGTTGAGGGTGCCCCTGTGAGACCAAAAGGCATCCGTCTGTACCAGAAGTAGCCTCGTCCTTCAACATAGAATGCTGTGTATGGCCGTGACTCCGGGTCGACATCAATAGCATAGAATCCTGAAGCAAAGTCAAAGAAGCAGAGGAACTTATGACCACTAATGGAAAGCTGCTTGGCTCGGATGTCCCCCTGAGGCATGGGTGCGATCTCGGTGAGTTCGTTGACCTCTCGGAAGTTCTGGCAAATACGCCATTTCTGAGCTGCCGGTTTATCTGCAGGCTCTGCAGTGGGTTTCGGCCGTGGCGGCAGGTCGAAGCAAGAGGGTAGACCAGCCTCGATACACTCGTCATTCAGACGGTGCTTTAGCTCATCAACGGTGAGGCCGCCCCCTTCATGTGCCTTCTTAGCCAGCGTAGTTGGTGAAACACACTTCACCTGACTGGGGTCACACTGCTCAATTATGCCAGCTGCCAGCAACTCATCAATCTTTCCATGCATGTACTCTTTCTGTGGTGGGGTAAGAGGCTTCTGGTGGACCTTTTTACGGAACGTGGCATTCTTTGGAATGTTGAGCTTATGGGTAGCTCCAGGGATCTCACAAACTTCCCCAACGCTTAATGCAAAGCAATCAGCGTATTCCCGAATGAGCGCCGTGGCACGCAGCTTCTGCTCTGTCGTCAGCTGGTTACCGATTTTCACCTGGCGGAGTACTTCTTCAACCCGTGCATGCCTGAAAGCACCCTTCCCACCTTCACTACGGGTGTAGATTCCTGAGGGTCCATCAACGTCGAAGGCCTCTGGGATGATGTCAGAACCAAGGCCACTGGGGACTGTGTCCTCTTCCACTATGCAAACTGGTATGGCTTCTGTATCTGCTGGAACACTGGTGTCAATAGATTCTGTGGCAGGCATCTGTTCAAAAGTGGAAACTCCCCTCAAGGGGGGCACGTCACTTCCCCCCACTGAGTTTTGACGCACTGCAGCTCTCCGCTGCTTTAACCTCAACTTCTCATACTTCTTCCTCCCAGGGCTTCGCTTCTTCTTTTGCCGTTCCACCCTTGGCGGTAGACTTCCCTTGCATGTGCGTATAGGTGTAAAAGCTCCCCGCCTGCAGGTGAAGCGAAACCTCTTTGCACTATGCACCCTCCAAAACTCCCTTGCTAGTTGTCGTTCCTTGTCCTTTGTCTGTCTTTCCTCTTCTTCTGCCTCCACTCTCTTTTGCCTCAACCTCTCCTCTACCTGGAAATCCTCATCGCGCCTCTTTGCTTTGCGTTCTTCCTCCCGTTGGTGGAGTATTTCTTCCGCCAGTGACCGCAATAAGCGATCCTCCTCTGCACGCCGCCGTTCTTTCTCCCATAACTGCCTATGTTTTTCCCATTTGGTATCGAAACCCAGGCTTTCGCCATCAAATGGTAAGTCTGAAAATGATATCAATGAAGGCGTCAGCTCATTCGACAGTAGCTTTGGAGTCTCAACATCCCTGATCCTTGGGGCTTGTGATCTCTCACTCCCCCCGTCACCGGTGCGCGCTTTTTCTCCCAACAGGTCCAGCATCTGGGTGCCCGCCAGCTTCATATCCTCGTCCTTATCCTCTGCCTTGCAGACCTCCACTTTCCTCCCCAGGCCATTTTGAAACATGTCCAATGCTTTTTTCTTTATCACCACCGAGTCATTTCCGAAATCATGCACAACTCCAAATGCCTGCAACAGTGGCTTCCCAAACAAGACATCCCAGCTGCCACCACTATTAAAGACTTGCAGAATCCCATCAACTTCTGAGCCCTGGAACAACACCTTTCCTCGCCACTGCACTTTGGCTCGTATCACGGTGCCGTTTGCCATTCTGAGACGCTTTGTTGAAGGCTCCCATCCCGAGATCTGGTCCTTCACCCTTTCATACAACCGCTCATCCAACCCTGCCACCATTGCACCGCCATCCATTAAAGCAACCTCCACTTCCTCTGCTCTTCCTTCGCTATCCTTCAGTGTGATTGAAACAACTTTCGGAATACTGCTGCAGCTTACGTCGGACTCGATTGAAAAAATGTCGATAATATCATCGTCATTGGTCAAGATGTTACAAGATGTGATCTGTTCGAGTCTTCCGCCTGTCAGGATCATACGGTCACTGCTTAATCCGTTGATCCTCCCCCATTTCCCGAGCCCCCACTAAGCCACCGGTCAAAGTCATCGTCCATCACATTATTCACCTGAGCCGGGCGTGAACGGAGCTCCCTTCCACATAAAACTCTCCACTCTCTCTCACGTGTCCCAAGGGCCCGCTCTCCAGTAACATCGCAGAACCTTCCCTGGTGGCCTTGCAGTCCGCAGTTGTAGCACTCCCCAGATGCAATCGGAGCTGTCCCAGGTTTCAAAGGTACTGGCTTCTCGTAGTTGATTACTGCCTCCCGACCCCACTTGTTTGCCCAAGTTGCCAACTGCTCGCGATAGGCCTGGAAACCATCTGACGTCGCGGGATGATGGGGTAGGAGTCCCACATTCCGAGTGAGCACTGCAAGCTGTTCGGTTGTGAGAGGGGTGAGTGATCTCGGACCTGGTCCCCCTCCCCGGCTTCCATGACTGCCTCTGCCCAATCCTCCACGATAACTCCGGGTATTTCCACTGCCGTATCCCCTGAAGTTGCCTTCGTCGATACTCATACTAGCAAGGGATCGGCTTAGATTTTTCGATGGTGTCTCCGGCATAGGAGGCATGCGATTCCACAATTTCTTCTCTGCCTCCGCAACTTTCTCTTTTGTCTCATCAAACATGCGCTGTCGCTCTAAACCTTCTTCAATCTCCTGCTTCTTGACCGCTTTGATTGCATCGGTGAAGGCTTTCCAGTCTTTTTGCTCATCACTAACCTTGACCCTTAGTGCAGCCGGAAGAGCATCACGAACAGAGATGATGGAGGAGCATCCGTTTTCGATGCCGGCCAGTTTGGCATAGCGAAGGAGTTCATCAGCAAACCACCTCCACATGTAGTTGTTTGTTTCCGCATGGCGATCAAGCATTTTCTTTGTGTCGAGCCTGAGCTCCGTCAAAATCCGTTCGTACTCCATCGGCGTGCGAGCCTGGATTACGGGAGCTGGGAATTTAGCATGAAACCCAACGGCAAATGCATCCCAGTCTGCGGCTGCAGCCGCGGCACCTTTGTACCAGTCATCGGCTGGACTACCATGTTTTAGATAGAGCTCAAACTCTGCAACAAAATCTTTTTTCTCCACTGCTGATGCTCGCATAGCTCTTAAAAATGACCGCACAAAATCTACCGGGTTCTGCTTCTCTCCGATATCGCCACTGAAATGGGCAACGGTCTCGGCCATCCTGTTCCTAGGGTGTACCGGCGGTGTGGCTGTTTTTGGAATATTTGGCAATGGTTGTGATTGTTTTCGGAACCACCGGTCTAGATTCGTCTGTGAAAAATCGATGGTTGGAGTAGATGCAGGGCTGATGGAGGCTGGTGAGACAAATCGGCCACGAGCGTTACGAGGACGAGCCAGGCTGAAGGACCAAAATCGATGGGCTGGGAAAAGCAAGCAGGCAGGCAAAGAAAAGCACAGCAACAACAAGCAGGGCAAGGCCAAATTCAGAATCGCGCTCTCGTCACCAAAATGGAGTGGTCAGGCTGTGATCTCGCAGACAACGATAGCCAATATGTCGTGGTGTCGTGTTGACCAGAATGCTCCTACTAAACTAACTAAAGCCCTAGCTAAACATGACCAAACTCCGGCCCTGAGCGCCTCCCACTGCCGGGAACCCCTACTACAACGACCAGCAGTTGTGAATGAAAGACTTCAACCTTGCCGAAGGCAGTACCACCTAAGCGCCACCTAGTGTCACTCCTTGGCGGGACATGATCTGAAACGCTGTACACTTCAAGGGGGAAGCAGGGAAAAGCGACGGAGAGATCTCGCTGCAAATATGGAAATCCTTGAGGGTTAGTCTACTCAAACTACACTCACAAGCAGCAGAGAACAGGGCAATTGCGACAGAGACGACACAGATGAATTACGCAAACCCGAGAGCAGAGCAGCTTTTCGAACGGAGAGTCCTTTGATAAGAGTTGTTGCTACAGATCCTCTGAACCTAGAATTTCGCCGTGGACTGGTGCCTGCCCGAACCGAACAAATTCAACATGGATGACAGTGATGTGGTCACCCATCGAGGATTCTTTTCCTCTGCTTCGTCTTCTTCACACTGGTGATGAGGTTCGCAGAATGAGGAGTGGAAGTAACCCCCTAAGAATCAGTGAAGGGAAATGGGGAGATGAATATAGGGATGAGAGATATGTACAGTAATACGAGAGGCAGATATTAAGCATACCTAGTAGAATCAGTGAAGGGAGAAAAAAGAGAGGAAGCGAGGGGAGAAGACTACGATGTGAGTACTTATATTGTGCGAAGTTCAACGGCGTATATGTGTCAAGTACGTAGGCGAAGACAAGATGGAGCGTAATGTTCGAAGTGCAGCCCGCTGCGACACTGCTAAGCGGCCATCTCACTTGTAGACCTCAGGAGGGCGGACCCATGTGAACCTGTAGGTGGGGATGGCCTTAGCGAGGTGTGTGTATCATACCTGAAAGGCTAAACTCACCTGCTATTAGTCTTGCGTAGACTATCGTCTAAGCTCGAAGAATGAGGAGTGGCGAAACATGATTTCGACTCATGAGACTCATGAGAGGGAGAAATTGCCTTCGGATCAAGCCGCTCGGCACTCCGGTTTATTGACACAAGTTTACGTCCCTTGTACTTAACTTACAGTGTTCACCATCATGCTAAGCCGTAGCAGCTGCGCTCTGCTCACCCAGAACAAGAACAACATTCTCAAAACCCTTTCTCGCGCCGCTTCATCCGCTCCCATTACTTCTAACCATATCACGACACCCACTCCCGCCGGGTCTACCCCTTCAACGCCAGTTATCGGCACTCAAGCACCAAATTACCCTTCAACCTGGTCTGCTAACCAGCGCACACGCCCTACATCCGGCTCAGGGCCTCGTTTCGAGCAAACGGCGATGGAGTTCCAGCCGAATCCGCCTAGTGCAATGGCAATGATTGCAGAGGAACCGATTCGAGTGGTGGAAGGCAGGAAGGCGGTTTGTGATGGAGGTATGGTGTAAATATGATTGTAGAATTGACATAAATTAATGTGGTGTCAGGCGGTGGACCATTGGGTCATCCCAAAATCTACATCAACTTGGTACGTTTATTGTCGTCGTCTATCCCCGTTTTTCTCCAGAATTGAGACGAATCACTATAGGACCGACCAGGACCTCGACCTTGCGGGTGAGCTTCGCTTTTGGATTCATTGTTGCTCATGCATCACTCACGACACGTACTCATTATTTTTTGCTTCTTTCCCTTCTCCATCACAGCTACTGGTGAGCATCACCTCTTCTGATTGCATGTCTCTTCCTTGTTCAAATTCTGATGTAAATCATACTTCATCTCTTTTTACAGCGGTCTTCGCTTCGAACAACATCATCACTGATCTTTCGGGTACAATTTTTCGTGCCCACATAGGGTGATCACCAATCTTAGGATAGGATAGGATAGGATAGGATATGAAGTAGATTTGGGAAGGGCGGTCAGATAGACATCATAATAACGCATTAGCGACATTGTACTATTGCAAAAAATTAGTGTATCCGCTGCCTCGTATCGTGTGTGGTACGCATCAGAGCCTGAACAAGCGCTATGCACTCATGTTGAAACGTTCCAAAGAATCGAATTCCCTCGCATTCACTGATGAACAATACTTGACTGCTCACATGCATTGTCGAGACGGGGAAGACCGTGCACGTTTCACGAGGTTTTTTTCTTGCTTTTTCCTCATCAAGTGTGAGAGTGGCATAATCGCCCCCCCGCATTAGAAATGTGTGTTCCGTTACTGTAATCTTAAGTAGTGATTGTACAGTACGGTAAACTGGTTGTTCGGGAATCGGACCTAGCCAGTATAATTTAACTATCCTATCCTTGAAGAACAGACTAAACCACCAGGTGCAAGTTGTGTAGTCCGCGAAACAGAGAAATTCTGAAGACTACAAGGGAATCTCAGCTAATTTCAGGAAACACACAATACAAAGTCAAAAGTCCACCCGTTGGTCAGTAGTAGCCGTCGGTTGGCAGGATCGCGGAACAGTCTGGTACAGTCTGATATATAAGTCTGTAATTATAAGGAACACCGCGTTCTTGAACTAGGATTTTCTCCTGCTGGCCAGAGAAGATATCTTGAGCGTTCTATCACAGCATCGTTTGTGCCTCTGAGCATTGTTCTTCTACAATCTCATTCTACAATCTTAATCGACGATCAGCATGCATTTTGCCCCTGTTTTTCTTGTCGCTCTGGGTGCTGGTCTGCTGGCATTTGCAATTCCTGTTGTTCTGGTGAGCAGTTTTCAACTTGATTCGCAGAATCATCTGGGACTGATATATGTTGAATTATGTTTCCTTTCTCCTTAAGACCGATAACATGCAATCGCGTATAGAAGAGAACCCCACTCAATCGGTGCAATTACAGGCTCGGCATCACTCTCCAAGCTGTCAGCGTGTTTCGAGCCATCCGTCTTCGAACCTATCCCCAACCCAGTATCGCATCACATTCATCCCAGGTATTGGTCTGGGTCATAGTAGGAATCCTAGTCGTGATGGAGATGATAAGACCTCTCGACTTATGCAAGACCTAGTTGTCTCTTGCCTGAACCAGAGATTCGAGACATCCGAACGAGCTCTACTAGGACATACCATGGCCAGAAAGTTCGATGTCAAGAATGCTGATCTATGGAAAAATGAATACTCCGTTCATTCGCCTGACTCAGGACATGTTCGATTCCAAGTTGCGTATGCTGACGGCGGCAACAGTCACGGTGGCGGGCATTGCGGAAATGCGATGTTCCAGTGGATTGGTGTAGTGGACAGGGATAACCCTAGTGATCATGACTCTATTCGTTGTACTGTCATGGACGCAACCCACGCGGATGGGGGTTTTGAAGGCTTGTTACGCGTCCACAGAGCACGATTTCCGTCCAAGTAGTTGAGTGCAACAGAATTGTTTTGGGCTGTCCTGGTTTATTCTATGGACCTAGCATGTTACTGGATGACTTCCCGTAGGAATTATTTGCAGGACACCAGACAATTAATTTGTGCCACCAATATAAGCGAACCTAAGCGAAGATGGCCGGACAGCGGCTTCGCAAAAACTGCATCAAAACCAACTTACAACGGCCTCCCTACCCTGTTGTAAACTGGTTTTTGGTGTAAGCGAGGGTCCCATCAACAGTCCGTACGTCGCATCAAATACCGTTAATAGTTAACTGCAGGTTAACTGCAGAATAATTGCAGCGGGAAGTCACCCACTGTTGCTGAGTAACCTCCGGTATCTTGAATTTATCGTCATCCTGCTTTGAGTTTTATTGTGTAGCAGCTTCTAGACATACATAGTCAAACCGGCAATGGTACCGATGGATCTTCTCCGGCGGGTCTTCGGTTCTGAATCGGAGGCCCTCGGAGGGTTTGTGGTGATGACATCCATCCTGCTCCAGTTTACTGGTTACGATAAATATCAGACGGCTCCCTGAGATGATAGGGGCTGCGGGCGGTTGTTGCACCCATCGGGTGACCAAACCTATTATGGTGAAACTCTCCGCTCAAGCGAAACTGAATCTGGTGAACTATAGAAAACTCTCCCCTAGTTCGTCCGCAAACTATCATTTTCCTCCTGCTGGTCAAGGAAGATACCTCGTGTTACTCGCTGAGCGCTCTAGCACATTCACGTTTGCAATTCTCACTTATCTATCACCTCAACGTACTTGGAAATCATGATGCGTTTCGCTCCGGCTACCTGCCTTGTCACTTTGGGAGTCAGCTTACTGTCAGTTGCGCGCGCGATGCCTGTTCTGGTGAGTGTATTTTCATAGCATGGCTTACTTTTGATTTACCGCCATCATAGAATGACAATACTTTCCAATCACTCACCGGTCGCGAAGAAAGGAATGCGGGGGGTTTTGACCACACTGGTCTCACGCCGGCGCCATTAAAACAGCCACAATTCGCTGCCGGGGGTTCAGACGCACTTCCCACGATTTCCTTTCGATCCGGAATAACTGGTAACGATGAAGGTGAACCTGCAGATCGTTGGAATGTGCGGGACGTGGTCGTAGAGTTTCTGGTGCAGAAACATCTCTATGATGATGCTACGCCTGAACATTTTCGCTGGGAGAATGGATACCGACCAGAGCGAACAGGTTTCATTCAATTTACATTGAAAGATCATGGGCATTGCCATGAAGGTTGTCGTGCCGTGGTGAACAAACCACACAGCCAATGGACAGCAGGCCAACCACTTGTTGGTACAGTGGGCTCGGGCGGAGAGAGCTGGCATACGGTACACGTTACTCATGGCAATACGTAGCTATAGTATGTACAGCCACTTCGTCGAATGGCGCGGGCCTCGGCTCTCGGTCCGTTCCGTTCCATTGAAAAGGGAAAAAATTTTGCTACAATTTCCTTAGACACCTTCACGCCACAGTACATCAACTCTCGTTGTCTCTGCCAGCCAGTGCTTCCCTGTGCTCTCGAATCAACTCTTCGACCTGTTAATGGCTAACTAGCCTCCCCTAAGCTCCCCCAAACATCTTCGAGTCCTGCTACTTATATCTATCAGCTATCTATATTTCAATCGTCCATCTAGTTCTGCTTTCACCCTCTCACAACCAGCTGTACTCTATTTTTGATTGTAAAAATGTTGAACGGAAGCGGTATCAAAATCTTCACTGGTGCGATCCGTTCTGTTTCACCTCTCAAGTTCCACTCCTCATAACTCTACCTTTCAGGCACCAGCCACCCCGAACTTGCAGAAATCATTGCTCGTCGACTCGGCCTCACTCTTGGCAAAGCCTCCGTAACCAAATCTTCCATTGGCGAAACTGATGTTTGCATTTTCGAATCCGTCCGCGAAGACGACGTCTACATAATCAACACTGGCTCAGACAAACCCACTTCCGTCAACACCTCTCTGATGGAAATGTGTATTATGATTCATGCCTGCAAAATTGCTAGTGCAAAACGTATCACAGCGGTGATGCCGCTTTTCCCGTATGCGAGACAGGATAAGAAGGATAAAAGTCGGGCACCAATAACGGCTAAGTTGGTGGCGAATATGTTGGTGAAGGCCGGTTGTGACCATTTAATTGTGAGTTTTGTGTTTCTTTTCATTCTACAATCTCTGTTACATATTGACGAATATTTCTCCCATTCTCCACCTTTATCGCGCGTGCCGACCAACAATGATAGACTATGGACTTACATGCTTCTCAAATCCAAGGTTTCTTTGACGTACCAGTTGACAAGTGAGTCTTCACTCGTTCCATTTCCGACAGCTTGCTGACTTCTACTATCCGCAGTGTGCGTAATAACTACATTTCATTTTATACAAAGCTCATTCAATTCGCTGCCTCATTGTTTCTTCTTTCATGCTTCATGTACTGCCACTTTTCACGGGAAATCCCCTTCACCTTTGACTCACTCCTCCCCCCCCTCTTTGGATATTCTCATACGCGGTCGTGGTACATTTCCTTCGTGATCGTCCGGTCATCCTCAATTCCGCCACCGGAAATTGCGATTCTACGAATAGCTATACGCAGAGCCATCCGCGATTCTCTACATTCGATCGCATTTTAACCTTCAAGATGTGGTGATCGTCTCGCCTGATGCTGGTGGTGCTAAGAGGTGGGTAACTTTTTATGTAAATTTTAATGAGTTATGCTGATCAATTCTTGACTTCTCGCTTGATCTTTCTCTGTTCATCTGTGTCATTTTCCCATCGGCGGTGTGCTTCCACTTTCTTGCTCGCATTGCTATTATATGTGACATGCATTCATCGTCTTCATTTCGTCATATTCATCACCCGGAACTGTTTCTTCTATCTCCCTTATCTCCTTCCTATATTGCCTATTCTATGTTCATTTTGTCTTTCGCCTGCAAAATTTCATCTCCTGTCATCTCCGCCTGTTCCATCGGGCGCTTTCAATTTTGCTTCACTCGTTGCTGTATTCTTTCCGTCATTTCGCTTCATTTTCCTCCCCCTTCTAATTCCCCCAAAACTTCTTCTGCCAATCCCTTTCCACCTGGTACATCTACAGAGCAACCTCCATCGCCGACCGCCTCGGTGTCGACTTTGCACTCTTCCACAAAGAACGCAAAAAGGCTAACGAAGTCTCCCGGATGGTCCTCGTAGGGCACGTCAAGGACAAAATTGCGATCCTTGTCGACGACATGGCCGACACATGTGGCACGCTCTGTCTAGCCGCGCACCACCTTTCTGAAGCCGGAGTCCGCACTGTCGACGGTCGGCCGCAAGTCTTTGCGATCGTGACGCACGGGATCCTCAGCGGAAATGCGTTGAAGAACGTTGAGGAGAGCGCGTTAGAGAAGTTGATTGTGACGAATACGTTGCCGCAGGGAGAGAATCAGAAGATGTGTGCGAAGATTGAGGTTATAGATATTGGGAATGTGCTTGGAGAGGTTATCAGGAGGAGTCATTATGGGGAGAGTGTATCGAAATTGTTTCACGAGGTGCCATATTGAGCATGTTATGGTGAGTCAGCGAGGTTTGGACGTGTAGGATGGGAGGTGATATCTGAAGTATTTTGGACAGGTAAGATAAAGGTGTGCTTGCTGCTGTAGATTACGCGACAAAACATGTATGTAAGTACATAAAATAGATCTTGAAATCGAAGTGTTTAGCTCAGTCTGAAGTGGAACGTGGCATACAAGCGAGTCCCCCACCATGTAAAAGATTTGACTTGCCGCAACAAGAAAAACATGAAAAGCCGACAGGCGGCACGGATAGGATAGGATAGGATATGAATTATATTTGGTTGGACTTCAGTCCGTCCAACGGCTCGCTTCATCAACGAGGCTGTCATCCTGTGGAAGAACTTCATCAAGCAAGATTTAGAGGGTGAGGAGGAGGATGGAACGAGCGATGAGGACGCTTGAGGAGCCGAAAACATCATATCTTGGAAGTTATTGATCTATTGTATTATTATTCTAACTCTACACTCTAATGCTTGTACTACGTACCTCTGCCTGCCTCGTTGACCTGGCCGTAGTCTACCTTCTCCTTGCGGGTTGAGCTCGCTGCCGCCAGTACCTCGAGACCGGCTGTTCCGCTTTTGGGACCACATCTTCGGATGGCGCCGTGTATCTATCTATCTATCTATCTGGCGGTAAACTTATAGCCACTGCTGACTGCCACGTACTACGAAGGTCCAACAGCTACCATTTTTCTCAGACACACTCCCAAGTTGCTTGAGTGTTGGTCCTCTAGTCGTCGAGGGGCGTTTAATTTATATTAGCTAGGTTAGTATCTCTGTTGTTGTCGTAGACTCGTAGTCCGGATCCTGTAACAAAGCGGGTTTGATCGCGCTCGGATGATTGCCTATAATTGCATACTTCCTTGACAGAGGCTGTATGTAGGAGAGACCGCCGCACTTTTTTTTCCTGTCCCTGTTACGTAGGGACACGTTTGTTCAAGGTGACACTGCCAAAAAAAACAAGGATATAAAGACAACATTCCCGATGGCCTTCGAACCCACGAACCTTTTCTTTGCTGGTCAAAGAGAATATTTCGCTCTATCACTCCCTGTTTTTACGACAACTGCGTGCTATGCGTCTCCGCCATTTTACCACTTTTGGCGTTAGCCTGCTCTCTGTTGCATGTGCGATGCCCCTTTCGGTGGACCGTTTTCCATAGTTGTGGCAACTTGCAAGCAATGGACCTAAGCTTTCAACGTATTCCTTATCCAGACTGGTAATGCGGTCCATTCGCGCAACAGTGACGATGGTTTGAGGCCGGAAGATCTTCCCCATTTACTACCAGAACTTGTCGGTGAAAAATCGGAAGATACTGAAGACCCTGTTTCCGTGAACGGGGAGGGCCGGACGCCGAAAAAATCAGTGAAATAGACCCCGACCCCACAGTTATCCGACCAACCACATCCCTTGCGAATTATATTTCAGCCTAATCATGGTGGGACAGGTCAGCACAATGTGAATGTAGAGGAACGAATCATATAATTGCTACGTCATGCGCATTATCCTACATTGGATGCTGGAGGCTGGAGATGTCGAATGGGAAAATCGAGAGCAACTGGGATCAGAATCGACTGTGCATTTCCGAGTGGCAGATAACCGTCAGGGAAGGTATTGCAACAAGGTTTGTGATTGTTCATTGGACACATCGAGGAGCACTGCGGGACATCCCATTGGGTCGATTGGGACTCTGAACGTAGCGCGTACGACGTAGACGTGAACAGGAGGTTGTACCACCGATACTACACCCAATCATGATAGAACGAGTTCATCTTCCCCATTGCGGAGGCATGAACGTAAGAGCATTATGTTATTATTCCTGCCTCCGTCGACGACGGTCTGGTACTCTGCCTCTCCAGGGAACTAAAGTTAATTGGCTAGCTGTTCTCAGATAATTTCTGTTCTTGTTCTGCCCCTGAGGCTTTTTTGCAAAAAAAAAAAAACTTGATTCTGTGTTCTGAGTCCTTTTGTCTCCCGGTACTTGCCGGTCAATGTGGATCCACCGCAATCGTAAAGTGCAAGGGTATGCCATGGTATGCGTATCCGCTGGTATCCGGTGATTTTTTTGCGAGTGATTTTGGCCCTTTTTCGCCGCACCTACAATTGAAAGTACCGACCGACAAAACGAAGAAGGAAGGAAGGAAGGAATATTAAACGGCTTAGTCCAAAATTTGGTCACCGCATAGTCCGGGGATTATCTTGGCGTGGTAGACTGAGAGGAATGTTGTAATGAGTAATGAGCTCATTCCGACGGCGAAACACTCTGACCATAAATTGACGCATAATTGACGCATCGCCTGGGCCTCAGTGGAAAACATATAGATATGGTTCAATAGCCCTCAGAGTCACGAACCACCATCTTCTTTTGCTGGTCAAAGAAGAATTCTATATTCGCTCTATACACACCCACTTCCTCGCGCCGTCCGACTACGACAGTTACCATGCGTCTCTGTCTGATTCCTTTGTGCATTGGCTTGTTTTCAATCCACGCGTATGCGATGCCTGTTTCGGTGAGTCTCTTCAGAAACGTAGCAAGTAAAACAAGACGATTTGGAACTCACTTCACTTTTTCTTCCCATGCACATTTATTTCTTCTCAGGATGGCAGCACAATTCATGCACGTTCTGGTGTGCTAGCATCACAACCTCTGGAACATGGAGGGGTCATTGCCAAACAGGATCCATCCCGCGACCCAACAGATCGAAACCAACCTATCGATAAATCAAGCGCCCAAAATATCCCAGGCGCTCTGGTTACGATCACATTTGAAGAGGAAGTCCACGAGCAAGTCCCCGTCCCAGGTGAAAGGAACGCAACTGTAGAGAACTTTGTCGTATCGCTCTTACAGAGGCAATACTATACTACAGGAACGTTGAACAGTCAGACTCATATCCAATGGGAACATAACGTGCGAAGTGACTGGTCCCTAGCCCAATTGCTGTTTCGGGTGGAAGATACACGTACGGGGCAGCATTGTCATAAATTTTGTGATGCTGCGTTGGATGTTCATCAGAGTATGCAGACTAGACAGGCTGTGGGTGAGATAGCGACTCCGAACACCGAATGGATCAATTACTTTATATCTCAGCATGGCGGGCACTAGGCTTCATAGAAATAGACGAGATTGTAGATCGAATAAATCGTTATGCCAAGACTCACAGAGTGGTCGTATATGTCGAGAAGAACAGGCCGAGGACAGCATAGAAGTCGTCGCTTCAATCCGTTGTACTGAAAATACTACGTGGAAAGAGGCAGCGAGCTGGGTGAGGTGTACGATGGACGTTTACCATGGAAGACCATGAAAGTACATAAAATAAACGTCGCTTTGGTCTATTTCGGTTACCTTCATTGAAGGCGAAATGTACGTATAGCAGCGCTTAACATGAGTACAGATGGAATGGACTTAAGGTTCAAGCTAAGGCTCGGATTCAGAGTTTACCGGGGAGCTGAACATGTTATTGCCCCCAGAAAATCCACCGTGGCTCTCATAGCCGGTAAGTTTATGGTTGCTTGGGCTTTAAATTTGGTGGACGATCTGCGGGATGAATTTGATCGAATCAAAGTTATCAAAGTGGAGTGGAGTAAAATACAATATTCCGGTCATCTTGACTGAAAAAAGCCAGAAACAGCTTTTTCATTTCTGCCATCATTAGCCGAACCGAAAGATTTGGTTGTTACGCAGAATCCGCAAAGGCCTTTTTCCTCAAACCTCCAACGTGGTTCTTTTTTCCAGTCATCAGTTTTCTCTTCCGTGGAAGCACCGACAGTACCGGCATAACGGCGTTCTGGATCTCTCTCTTTTGGACTCCTTCGTAAACGTCAACCCTAAACTCTCACTGTAACGGCCACAGCTAACCGAGACGACGGCCACCACACAAATCCCGAACAGTGACTACAGAGACAAACTCGGACTTTTCCACTTTTGCTAACGGCGACAAGGACGTCGACATAACTTTGGTTGCGAGATGCGACTATGAACGCAGTCGTCTCACCACAAAATAATTACACTCGCCAACACCATCACAATATAACATTACCTCCACATGCTCAGCACAATCCACCTGCACCTCAACCTAATGGCAACAATAATAATTCCAATGGAAATAACACCAACAAATGTATCTCCGTCGTCGGTGTACCTTCAGTACACATATCCAACAACAGACTCGTCGTTGGCTCGTCCTCATCATCGTCTACACGGTCATATACGCCGCTTAAAGTTCTTGGAGACGGCTCTTTTGGAACGGTCTGGTTATGTGATTGGCATGGAACTCTGCCGCCTAATACACCTTTGTCGCCTATGCAGTGTGGGGCAGGTGCGAGGCCCGAGTGGGTGGGAAAGAGATTGGTGGCGGTAAAGAGAATGAAGAAGAGGTGGGAAGGTGGTTGGGATGAGTGTCAACAGTTGAAAGAGTTGGAGGTGAGTATACTATTTGTGATGAAGAAATGAATATTCATTCAATGCTTTGCTTCAGAGTCTCCGCGCTATTCCTTTTCATCCCAATATCATTCCTTTATACGATTTTTTCCTAATGCCAGCAACCAAAGAACTGTACTTTGTATTCGAATCTATGGAGGGCAACCTGTACCACCTCATCAAAGCTCGTAAAGGTCGTCCACTCGCTGGTGGCCTCGTCGCCTCCATTTTCTTTCAAATCGTCTCTGGTTTATCACACATTCACGCCCACGGGTACTTTCACCGTGACATGAAACCCGAAAACGTCTTAGTCACCACTACCGGTTTATTCGACTACACTACCCTCTCGCCTATCGCTCCTCCACATGCACCGCCAGAAAAAGATGTGGTTGCGATTATCAAGCTAGCTGATTTTGGTCTGGCGAGGGAGACGAAAAGTAAGCCTCCGTATACAGAGTATGTGTCGACGAGGTGGTACAGGGCACCAGAGGTATTGTTGTTGAGTAGAGATTATTCGAACCCCGTAGATATGTGGGCGTTGGGAACGATTATGGCAGAATTGGTCAATCTCCGTCCGTTGTTTCCTGGATTGGACCAGGTAGATCAGATTGCGAAGATTTGTCAGGTCTTGGGCAATCCGGCGGATGATCATGGTGTAGATGTGTCAGGTGCACCTATGGGCGGTGGCGCATGGTCTAAAGGATTGGAGATGGCTGCTCACGTTGGGTTCGAGTTTAGAAGAGTGAGTGCAATATATTTGTCGTTTCTAACATCATTTATTTAAAATTTCTATTCAGATGCCTCCACAAGATATTCATTCACTGTTCGACCGATCTATCCCAACGTCTCTCATCCACTGTATCCGTGATCTGCTCAAGTTTGACCCCGACGCTCGACTCACGAGCCACGAGTGTCTTCATCACCCTTATCTCGTCGAGTCGCTTCCCCGCAACGACATACCGCTTCCTCCCGGAGTTCGGCTTGCCACCCCACTCTCTTTGAATGAACACGGTGTTAACGGCCTCGCGCCTTCAATCAGCTCACTCTCCCCTCGATCCATTCCCCCATCACACTCTCACACGTCACAGCTACAAATACCTTCTGTTACTGCTTCTCACCGTACTTCGTTTTTTCAGTCCCATTCGCCCACACCTGGTCCAGCTGTCAACGGTGCTGCTGTTACTCATGTTGGCAACGATGGCGATTATCCAGTACCTATGGAGATTTCCCCTCGAACCGAATCTCCCGAATACGCTCTACTAAATGGCCATTCTCATGCCAATGGTATGTCAACTCACGCCACGGACCCTTCCCTCTCGGCATCTCAATCTCAATCTACCAAACTTGGCAAATTCTCAGGCTTTGGCAAAAAGTTTGGTTTAGGCAGATTCGGGTCCGATAAACACGCCACAAATTCGCAGAACCATGAATTGCCTCCCGTGCACGATATTGGGTCGAGCTCTACAGGGTCCTTGAAGCGTACACAGTCTGACGGGTCAGATACACGGTCTATGCGCGGGGAACCTTCCTCTCCACGAGACCCTCAACCTCCTGTCCGTCATGAAGATGGTAGACGGTTCACGAAAAAGGAAGCCGAGCATAATAAGAAAGAAGCCGAACGTCTCCATCGTGAAGCCGAGATCCAGCGTCGGGCTTTGGCTGAGAAGATGCAGAGAGAGCAAGCGAGAGCTGTGATGCAAAAACGTAATTTCCTCATCCAGCAGAACTCTATGAAGGGCGCGAAAGGCGCGACTGGGATGGGCAAGGAAATTGAGTGGAGGAGCGGAGGGAGTGAACACCCAAGTATTCCGGTATCGTATACGCAGCAAATGCAGCATCATCAACATCAGCAGCAGCAGCAACCGACTGCCGGACCAGCGGCAGTTCAACCAGGTCTATCTGCAGTGGCGAAAGGGAAACAGCCAGTGGGACCTGGTCCGATTCGCACAAGGACGAGGGATAGAGAGCATCATGCGAACGGCGTTACAGTCTCCCCTAGATTGCACCATCCACATCCTTCACATCTCCCAGTGGTTGGAGTCGGAATTGGAGTCGCAGGGCCTAGCAGTACCCATTCACACGATACTATGGATTGGCGAGATAGCAATCCACCAGGCGAACGATCGACGAAACTTCGTCGAATGGACCTTGACGATGATGTTTCTTCCGTAGTGTCCTCTTCGACTGACGTCCATAGCACCGGTCGATCTTCTATTTCGCGTATGTCTCAGCTCTCACAGATGTCAGCGATATCGTTCGCTTCGGTGGGTACCGTGGATACTTTCAACACGTTCAATACGATTGGTTCATCAAATACTGTGGATTCTGTGGGGAGTGATCCTGGTCCATCCAGGCCATCAAGGTCAAGGCCGGGGATTCGAAATAGACCGAGTTTGCTGGGCTTGAATAGGGTTACTTCGGCGGGGGCCTCTTTGAGACCGTCCTTTGATAATTTCACCACTACAGCTCCTGCTCCACCTGTTCCACCACTTCCCACCAATTTTCCGCCGAATTTCCCATTTTCGCATTCTTATTCACCCCATTTGCATACGCATACTCCATCTCAGCACTCACACAACTCGTACCACTCATACCGCTCCACGCATACACACTCGCCCTCCACGCCCTCCGCCCGGTCCTCGAACTCCTTCAATAACGCGCCTTCTTCCATTGACGGTCAGCTCGTGCATGATTTTCGGAATTTGGCGTCGATGGATCAAGAGCACCTCACAGTGGCGGAGTCTCCTCCTCAGAGTATCTCTCCACCTCCAATGCAGCTGTTATCCTTGTCATCGCCTTCACGTTCACAGACACGGTCCCACTCCCACTCTCATTCCCAATCACAGTCCCGTCCTTCTTTGTCTCCTCTAAGACCGCCATCGCCCTCCCTGTCGCCTTCTCCGATGCCCATCTCACCACAGTCCCAATATAATGGTAGTTTGCAAGTCCCCCAAATATCAAATCAAAGAACTGAATCGCTCTCATCTCGTCGTGGGCAGGCTCCTCCGCCATATTTGAACGTATCTCTTCAGCAGAGGAGTACATCGTATAGCCCGAGGAGCGTCAGTGGTAGTGATACTACTCCGAATACGTATGAGCCTGAGAGAGAGTATGGGATCCACGGAGTTCAGTATGGAGGTCAGAGAGAATTTAGTCGAAATACTGCATTAGATGAAGAGGCATACGAGCGAGGGAGGGAAAGGTCAGAAGAATATTATGGTAGGAGTGGACCTGATCCAGGAGGAGGGGCTACAGGACCAGGATACACTGACTACCACCATACATACACCAACCACTCACCAAATCCCAAGCCTAATGATCCTCATCTGAACCTCAATCCGCCCACTCAACCGATGCGAAATAAACGATCCGCAGATGAAATCTATAGTAATAGCTATGTCACTACTATCAACCCCAACACTAACGACGAGATGATCAATCCCATATTCAAAGTGGTGAGTTATAGTTACACCTCATGGGATGTTGATATGGGGGGATTGACTGTTAAACCTGAATCGCCCACCTCGTCTTCGACCACAACCACGACCACTACCTCGCCCACTACGACCTCGCCGTCCTCTGCCACCTCGTCCTCAATGAAATTCGTTGCATATTATGATGATGATAACGGTGTTTATGGTGATGATGAGAAGCCACCATTATCTACGCCACCATTGCCTACGCCCACGTCGGCTAACCCCACAGAAGATTCGTTTGATTCGGTAGATACGATGGATACTAGGGAGACAAGACATTCTATCGACTCGATGGACACTTTTGACAGTGGTGCATCATACGACAGCACGATGGAGTACACCTTCCACATTAATCCGACATATTTTGGCAACGGAGCTTCGAATGGCACCCTGCACAATAATGCCTACTCCGGCAATGGTAATGGTGTCGCTTACAATAATACTTATGAACGGTCGCCATCGGCATCGTTAGCACCATCATTAGCACCGTCCTTACCTCCATTCGCGGAACTCGACGCTGTCGCAGGAGGAGGTGGATATGAGTATCCCCCGTTGTCGCCCATGTCGTTCACCTCGCCTTCAGAGGTGGTGGAGGAGGCTAGAGCAGTGGAGAATTAGATTCTGGCTCATTTCGTTGTGGTGACTGTTTGGGTCGTCTTCGGGGAGGCTAATCGGTGGTACATGAGCTTGTGGGACTCTCTTGTGGGATTTGTGGGATAAATGAGATATTGTTGAAAACTTCGTGCGTAGACTCAGGTCAGATCTCCTTTTGCTATTGGCTAGTGTGTACTAGGCCTTCACCCTTACTTCATTTGCTCCTTCATTGCTTCCACATACATAAATACATAATGTGCTCTGTGTCTTCTACCTTCTACTTTTGCTCTTCTTTGCAACTCACCTTTCGCTGGTTCATCCTTTCATGTGAGTGCTATTTTAATTTTTCCTCTGCTATTTCTTACCCTCAGTTGAATACTCACCTCCGTTTCTATTAGCAACAGTGGTCCCCCAGCACCAATCATTCAACGCTCATTTATTGAAAATTCCATGATGCATCTGCATGTATGCACTCGCTCGCTGCCAACAATCAACTCAACACCACCACTCTTTTATTTACTGCTTATACTTCTTCCACTCTCTACTTATTGCATGTAGGCCACCAGGCCCTGGTGGTTTGCTCGTCGCTCCTTTATCATTCAATATTCTTACACCTGGAGTTCTCTCACCATGATACCTTCAACTTTGCGTTCTTATTGCACATTATCCCACATATCCATTCCATACTCTCTATCCCACCCTATCCTCTTATTGCCTATCGCAAGCCGCATCAAATCTATTAGACCTTTCGTTACTCAGCTATTTACTCCCTCTGTCGCTCTCTCTCGTGGTCCTCGATTGCTCTTCTTTCCTGCTTCGTTTCCATCATTACTTGTTTTCTTATTATATTACACCTTGCGCTTACAATCTTCAACAATTTCTGTTTCTCTCTTTTCTTCTCGTTTACTCACATCCTTCATAGGTACCTTTTCCTTTCGATCTCTGCCACGAATATTCACAGTACTCCCCCGCATAGTTACTCGATCTTTCTGCTTTCAATATTCCTGCAATATCGCAAATTTTCTGCATACACAAACATATTGTATCATCGCTTGGTATCACTTGTGATCAATTATTTGTTGAACGTTGAAGTAAATCGCTGCTCTGTTGTCTGTCAAGTCAATGTCCCCACACTTGCAGTTTTTCATTCAACCAACATACTACTACAGCTGATTCCAAAAGTTTAGGACGAAACCTCACATCGTTGGAGCACTGCTTGATACATGGCTCCGTATGACGACCGACGGGACTGTCAGCAGCTGCAGATCCAAAGCAACTGTTTCTGTTGGCTCTATAATCCTGCGGAGTGCGTCAATAAAAAGAAGCGCTAACATTTTGTAAACCCCATTCCCATTCTTTTTTTGCTGGTCAAAGAAGAACACTGTGTTGGCTACCCCGCACACTCATTACAAACACGAGTGAGCCCGTTGCCATCCTCACTGCTCCACCAAGTATTGAAACGCCCTCCCCTCCGAATCTCGTTCGAACAATTTACCAATGGACATGTCATGGCTTGGCCCCACGACGAGCAATGGAAGCTCGTGCAAGATACAGTGCTACGACTTTTAAATCTCATGTCTACAAAGGCCAGGCACTCCGGCCAGTCCTACCATAAACGCGGACGATGAACATCATGTCCATTGGGTGAACGAATATCGATGGCAGGCTCTACGATCTGGCGAGAGTCTAAGAGAGGTTTTCTTTCGAGTGGAAGATGATGATGAACGTGGGTTTTGCCACAGCATTTGTGTTGGAGTTGTGGTTCCGGGAACAAGAAAGTGTGCACTTTCAAACAACGAAAACTGGGACCATGTGCGTCAAATGAGCAACAATATCGGGTTTAGGTAGGTTTAAGTCTAGGCAGTAAGATGTACAACTTCCGACGAGGCTAAAACTGCTTAGAAGAAAAAAATATTTACCGTGGGAATTTATGCTATGTTACAAATTTGGCTTGGTTGCCTCGACAATTGGCAGACGCCGTTAACGTTATCTACAAACGAATTCACGCGACACACGAACCTCGACGAGAGAGCTGGCCGTTTATCACCTGGTCCACATATACACGGCCACACGTCTATACGGAGAACCTCTGTACGCTCGATACGCTCTTTACGCATTTGTACGTTGATACACCAGGAACGGCCAGCCACGACCGCCACATACATACACCAGCATACGCCAGTATCACTAAAAACGCCCCCCAAAAGAACGAGCTTTGATGAAAAAGCGCCTGCGATAAAAGAGAAACACATTTGTACAGTTGTTTCCAATGGCTGCGGTGCTGTCTAATATGGGTACGTCTCTTCTCCTTGTATAGACGCGTCGGTTCGAGGTCGATCTTCTTATGGATTCTGAACTCTGTGTAGAGACCGCTGAGAATTGGGATGATGATTTCGAGTTTCAAGCTCAAAGTCAACAGAATACGCAGAATACAAACGGTGGTAATGATAGTCGAAACAAGAAAAACAGGAATAAAAACAAAAGTCCACCTCATTCACCTCACACACCTTACTCTCGTCGTACGCGTAATCCATCTTCACCTTCTTCTCCATCGAAACCCCGGATCTCCATGTCAACCACGGGCTCACAAGTGACGATGGAAGCGGAAGATTGGGATTTGGCAACCCCTGCGCATACACCTGTCCATTCGAGGAATTCTTCGCATAGTTACTCGAACCAACAGCACCAGCAGAAAGCCAAGACATGGGCTGAAGCAGGTCCATCGACACCTACACGACGTCTCGTGAGCTCTGGCTCTGGTTCACTTCGGGAAACAGAGACAACGACGACAACAACAACAACAACGGAGAATTGGGATGAAGATTTCGAGGATCGAGTTGATTCTCCTCCTCGGTCTCCCCGTTCTCCTGGGTCACCTGGATCTCCTAGGGGAAAGGAGAGGAAAGACGGGAAAGAGAGAAGGAAGAGTTCTACGACTACGACGACTACGAGGAAAACTACCACTACAGAAAACTGGGACGATGAATTCCAATTCGGTGATTCGCCTGCACGGTCGATGCGGCATCGACACCCGCAGTATTCTGTTCACCAACATCCTTTCAATGGAGAAGAGGACTCTGACGATGATGATGAAGCAGACTTCCACTTCCACGGGTCAGACAAAGATGAAGATGATAGAACTGTTACTGCGAGGTCACGTAGAGCCGCGTTATCCAGGCTCGTGTCAAACTCCTCCTCATCGTCACCACCACCTCCGGTTCCACCTTTACCGTTTTCCCTTTTGCCCGTACCGCCACAGCACTCTGCTTCTTCCGACCATGACCACGAACACGTATTCCCGCACTCCCCGACTACGTCTGTATTCTCCGTCCCCACGTCTCATTCGGGCGGAACAGACAAAGATAGAGACTCCATTGCAGCTCCCTCGCATTATTCATACGGTTCGTACAATTCCACGACATATCTGCGTCCGACTGTCTCCCGTTCTTCTGCCGGAGGCGGAGGGTTAAGTCACCTCCCTCCGAGCCCACCGATTCATAAAGAACGCGAGCGGAGACGGTTGAGGAAGAAGAGTCGGCCGCAAGAGCCACAGGGACCTGTGTTATCTACTGCGATGAATACCATGAACAGCATGAATGTAAGCAGAGAGGGTATGGTTCACATGATGGTGAATTCGAGCAGAGAAAGCATAGGGAATACTGGAGTGAATGGACGTCCTGTCACACCGCTATCTCTTAGGTCAATGAGGTCGCTGAGTCCGCCTGCAATAGGAACAGCATCGACAACATCGAATAGGAATAGTGTGATGAGTGCCAGTGATGATGGGAATACTAGTTCTGGGTTGGGCCATTCCAAATCGAATGTGGAATCCGGACTCCCATCACTCTCTAATCTTCCCAGTCTCCCTTCATCTCCACCACCGCACCAATCCCATTCCCAAGCACAAGGAACCCCAGCACAAAAAACTCCACTCCTAACTCGTATCGGGAGCGTTAAGAAGAAATGGGCTGTGCGAAAGAAGAGAGCAAGTTCGGCACCGAGTGAGGTTGAGGTTGAGGGAACTGGGTTTGGGATGGAGGGTGAGTTCTTTGGTTTTACATTTTTTCATGTCGATATCAACTATTTGAATGATTTCGTTCGTTTGATAGAGGACCAACATCAGCAACAACAACCTTCGAGCTCGAGGGCAAATTGGTTTTTTCGTGCTACGAGTGGAAATGGGAGTGCCAATACCAATACCAATTCAAATTCCAAGATCATGGAGGACGAGTACAGCACCAAGTACGATGCGCATCAGACGCCTAAAGCGTCACGGACCAACGTGTACAACACCTCTAGTATCAATCCTCTAGATATCCCTCCTTCGATGCCCTCCACTCCCGCGACTCCCACAACACCATCGAAATTAATGAAACGCAAGAGTTTTGGGTTCGTTCAGTTGAGACCGAGAAATAAACCGATAAACGACGTTGATACAGGGAATGTTGTTGGGATTCTCGAGGTGGGTGTTCCTGCGATGCTCCTACGATGTTTCTAAATCTCACTTTGTCGTCTCCCTTTCCTCTTCCACTACCGTTGTTTCCTTTATATTTTAACCGTCTTCTTAACAGTCACGTGGCCATGTTCCTCCGCCTCCTCCTCGGAATCCCAACCGCCCCAAGAAACATTCCATCAACCCATCATCGTCCGGTGGTGGTCATGCAGGTAGTTCAACGTCCGACCTTCCGTCAGATCTGGAAGCGGAATTGCATCTGCGCGCGGGTCTCGGTGGTGGAAGCCTCAGTTCTTCGTCAGGTGATTTGCATGTTGGAGAGACAGGTATACGGCCCTCCCAGTCGAGACATGCGTCGTACGGTGGGTTAGGGCTAGGGAGGGCTCCTCAGGGTAGTTCAGAGAACTTGGATAGAGATGGAGGTGGAGATGGAAAAGCAAGAAGTAGACGGAGATCGTTCTCAAAATCATCTGCGATGAGTAGCCATAGTGGGAGTCAAATTCGTAAGAGGTCGAAAAGCCGAGAGACCAAACGCGGGACCCTTAGGGAGGATAGCGCCGTGCAAGAAAGCAGTGAAAGTAAGGAAGCTGGTAACAGGAGCTTCATGGGCTCCGTTCGGCGGATATCGTTCATTGGGAGTTCGAGAAAGCAGGGGAACGGGGATCAAGCTAACCAAGAAAAACAGCATAAACATAAACGGACAAAGAGCGGTGTTTCTTTGGCCTCGTTGGCGAGTGTTGCGATTGGGGATAGTGGCGGGACTATCCGAAAATCGTTTGACATCGACCTACATTCACACGACGAAGACGACGATCCACGTCCACCTCCAATGCCCCATCAAAAACTATCCCAGAATCAACCTACCCAGGCACTTCTTCCACCGATTGAACTGCTCCCGCCTTCACCGCCGCAGCGTGAGTCTCGAGATCCTACAAAATCTAATGCTACCACTACCACTACCGCCAATAATAATCCTACTATTGCTAACACTACCACTAACCATTTGAACTCTCACACAAAGCCTGCTTCCGTATCTCCCGTATCTCCTCTCACTGCCTCCCTAGGGAGGTCGACGGTCGCTCCTTCGATTGGCGGGAAGACGATTGGTGGTATGTCCGCTGCTCTGTCTTGGTCTATTTCATTCAACTGACTCAGTCATTCTCTATATAGGTGTTTCCTCTGGACTTTCTAACCTGACCTCCTCCACGAGCATGCCCGCTACCTCTGCCTCGTCGAACGTTCCCCGGCGCAATTCTTTGGGCGACATGCGGAACTCCTCTCCTGGGGACATGCGAAATTCTTTGGGCGGGTTAAAGATCCCTGCACGAATCAGTCAAGCCCAGGTGGGTCTGAAAAGGGACTTGGGGATGGTTAAGGAGTTTGCTGGGAGGGTTGAACGTGAGTAGTGTTGGTGTTTTTGTATTCACTATCTGACCGGGTGTCTTCTTTTGTTTTGTTTATTTCATTTATTTTGGACACGTTTATTTATTTCTAACAATTTCTGTTTAATTTTTTGCTCACATAGAACTAAAAACCCTACAAACGACGTATCACAACCTTGTTGCGGAGGTGCAGGGGATACTTGATGCTCAGCATGCTGTTGCTCATGCTGCTCAGAGTCAGCACGTACAATACGCTCCTCGTCCGGTGTCCCGTCCAGCGTCTCCGTCCCCGTTAGGTCCTTCTGCTTTATCTCCGTCAGCTACCTCAGCACCATCACCATTGGGTCCTTCGTCTACCTCACCTTCCCTGCCTTCCTCTCCCTCCTCGCCCTCTTCTCCTTCATCGAAAAACATTTTCCGTCCCTTATCCAGGATCAGATCGAACACGGCTAGTACGGTGTTGCCCTCTTCATATATTGAGGCTTCGTCTTCTTCGTCCTCGTTGGCGTCTCTATCTTCTCCCTCCGCCTACATGGGTACCTTAGACCCTACGCCCACACGCCACCATGAAGACACATCCAATGCAAACACAGATCGCGGAGACTCGTACAAACATCTCGCGGCGGCGTTTTATACCATCAACTCGCGGTATAAGATCGCCTGGGAGTGCGCGGAGCTGCTGATTGAGCTTGGAGGTGGGCCGGTTGGCGAAAACGGTAGTAGTAGTGGTGGTAGTGGAGATGGCAACGTAGGGGGCAAGAGCGGTGCTGAATCTGTACCGAATTCTCCTCCTCCACATGGGAGTGGAGGCGCTGGGTTTCCGGGGTCTCAAGGGCAGGGACACCCGTCGACGAGTATTTCTGCGCCTGTTGCGCTCGCTTTTGGCACATCACAACTAGTGCAAGGGAGTCAAGCGAAGAAGAGCAGGGAACGAGCGATCACGTTGTCTGGGGATGAAGCGTCGTCGAAGCCTGGGACGCCGACGCCTGGAATAGGGATGGGTGAAAGGAACTATACAGGATCTTATTCGTCGTACGTTTTCCTTTTTTGTGGTGGTTTTTGACCTGAGATTGAGGTTTGATATGTTTTTTTGTGTTTCTTGTAGGTCTACGTACACTACATATAGCTCTACTGCTACCTCTGCTCCTTCTATGACCACTCACATTACTACCCATGCCATTGCTTCCACGGTACCTACTCCAAACATGGCCTGGAGAGCCTCAACCGGACGTCACGACCTCAACCAGCGCCAGCTGTTGTTGTTACGCGAGATGCTGAATAATGAAGGAGGGTCGGGTTTTGTTTCTGGTGGTGAGGGGTTTAGTGGTGGAACTATGCAGCCTGGAGGCGGGACAGTACATCCTTCTCAGCTTGGACAACATCCGCGTTTTGATGATACTCATCATCCCAACTATCCCTCATCTTATCAAACCTCCCGTGAACAATCGCAACATTCTTCCCCTGTGGTCACTACGCCTCCTGCTCTCCCTACTTCCACCACTTATACCCACACTCCCCATACTCATACTCATACTCATCCTTCTGTACCTGCACTAGAAGAAGAACAACAAGTCAACAGGGAATGGCGCTGGGGCGACGGCAACCACGGGATGAACAACACCAATAATAGCACCATCACCCTTCCCTCGGCTCCTTCAGAGGAGAGTAGTTCCATGCCCAGTTCTGGGTTTGGATTAGGAGGTGCAAGAAGAGTAAGAGGAATAGGGGAGGGCAGCGGCGATGCTGTGAATAAGAAAAGAAAAAGCAGTAGGCTGCGAGGGATGAGCGGATTGAGAGATATGTTGAGGTCTTTGACCAGGAGTCAAAACCAAAGTGTCCCCAGTACGATGAATGGCATGGGTGCGGTCCCCAATGGAATGGCGCCACCCTCAACGACGTCGTTTAGCACAGAGTCGTCTTCTGTGGACCATCATAACCAACAGTATCAACATAGGTATCCGCATGGTATAGTTCCTGGATTACCTCATCCCTTAGGGTTAGGCGCGGGAGCCGGCCCCGCTCAAGGACCTGGAGGAATAGGCTCAGCTTACACCACCTCCGGCCGACGAAGGGCAAAGACTAGCTCAGGTCCTGATGCTAAGAGCTCCGTACATGAGCGGGACCAAGAGAAAGAGAAAGACGGGAGATCGACGTCTCCGTACATGCGTTCTACGTCCCCTTACACAACGTCCTCGCTTTCTGTAAAGGCGTCCCCGAGGAGACCGTCGTTAGCGTCGATTTTTCGAATCGGGGGGAGGGATGGGAAGGAGGCAAAGGAAACGAGAGATGGGAAAGCCCCTCCTCCATCGTCAGCAACCTCATCCACTATGCCTTCGGCAGCGGCTTCGGCTTCTTCGGCATCACCTTCGTTGTCCGTCCCAAGTCCTGTCTCACCGAATAACGCGCATAAGAGGGAAAGTACCGGCAAGACTAGCGGCACCAGTGGGAGCGATGAAGAAGATTGGGATAGGTTGGAGGAATATCCTGATGGTATCAACACACATCACGCTCATAACCATGCGTCTAATTATTCGTCTAACACATCCACCACGATCCGTGGTCGGTCCCCGTATTCGCACCACGATGGTTCTCTGCCTCCGGTACCTCCGTTACCGACAAATGCATTACAGGCAAGTGGTTCACAGACGTCGTTGTCGTTGTCGTCGGGTTTGGGTTTGTCAGGAACGAGTGTAGGTGTCCCTGGTGTCCCCGCGCGGGCAACACGTTTGTCGAATGTCGAAGAGAATGAACATCCCGAGTATCCTTCTGACTCCCAGAATGACCATCCGGACAACCACAGGGCGTCCAAGACGTCTCTATTGAACCGTACCAGATCTGGGTCTGGGACAAGCAGCCCAGTTCAATCAGCCCAATTTAAGACAATCACCTGGGGGAACAAGAACCTGACTGGCTCAGTGCGTTCGATGCCTCCTCAGATGCCGCAGGCGTTGGCCCCGGATTCAGACGCTCTGACAACGAGTCGGTCGAGGTTTTCGTATAATCCCCAATTCAGTCACAACAGCGAGGGTGTTCCTCATATTCCGAGTGGCGCGTCAACCCAACAACATACCAAACTAGCAATGACACCGGAAAACATCAAGCCCCTGCTGGAGAACGCGAACGAGGTGTATGCAAGGTTAGGAGAGTGTATTGGGGAGATTAGGGGGTTAGTTGGGGGATTGGTGTAAGGAGAAGGAAGGAGGCCGGGGGAGGTCAACTAGAGTTCGTTCGTTTGGTTTTCTAATTTTCACTGGGACTGTTCGTCACTGACAAGCCAAATGCACATACGTTCCCCAGAATGCAGCATCAATATAACATCTTTATCGTTTTCGTTAGTCATTTTGCTCGCTCCACTCCTTCATAATACAGTCGTTTACAAGCGTTTTATTACTTGTGTGTGATCATATTTACTATTTTCTTCGATATATCGTGTACATATCTTCACCTTCGATCCGGAGTCTGTCTCGAGCTTGAATCTTCAAGCGATTCGATTTCTATCCTTCAATATTCATCTTCATCCAATCTCCATAATAACACAGTCTGTCTTCGCCATATGTACTACATAAATGTCGTTTTATCCAAATTGAATTTTTAATAACAAACAGCCATAGACTCGAAAGTGCCCACAGATGAATCCTTCCGCCTTTGTAAGACTATGAGATTGTGGCTGATTGTGGATGGTGGCTGACTTGCAGCATGTGGAAAATCATAAAGCCCTCACCTCCTCGTGCTCTTCTCCTCCAATGCGATTATTAGCACTATAGTAGACCGTAGCTGGCATCAAGCCTAACCTATTGAGGTCGTTCATCAAAGATGGACAATAGTTTGAGCAGGTTTTACTCACTAGCGATGAGAAATGACTCTGAAAAGATTAAAAAAGGATCAGGCCTACCGCGGGGAAACGCACCTCATAAGTTAAAAAGTATATTAAAGGCCTACCTGTTTCGACCTCAAATCCTCAGAATCTTTCTTTTGCTGGCCAAAGAAGATAATCTGCTGTGCACTGCTATATCCGACCTATCATATTCTCGTTCGTGCTTTCTTTTGCAGACCCTTGCCTCATTCACACTTGCTCCCCCGCTCAGTAAATGCTTCTCGTTCCCGCATTCTTCCGCGTCTTAGCCATGGCACTGGGCATCAGCCTATTGTCCATCGTGTCTGCGTTGCCTTCTAATCGGCGTGTGAGTAAAATTCGAAAATCAAAAAGATAGCACTGACCGTGATTTGTAAAGACCGTGATTCACGTCACATTCGACCCAGGGGACGCCTATGAGGGAGTTCCGTGTGAACAGGAACAACGAGTCGAAGAGTACTTGAAGAAGAACTTTCGTGGCGAAATCTCTTGGACTAATAGATATTCAACCGCACAAGACCCAAGCCATGCTCGAATCCGGATCAGGACGGATATGAGTGTAATGGAGACGTTCGCCATTGCGATTGTGGATACAACTGAATTCAAAGGTGGAAACGTGCTTGGTGTGTTTAAAGCCACAGGAAATGCTGAAGATGGAGACTTCGATGGGTTGCTGAAGACTTTCAAGCAAACGTATCCTGCTTCAGCGGCTGCCGGTAGGATGTAGGAAGTGATGGAAATTTGGTTCTCTTCATGTAATTGGATCTGATTATGTCGAATTTTGAGAATGATCATGAGAACGACGAGGACGAAGACAATATGTCAAGTTGCACAAGAGAAGCCAATACTTATTTATGGGGAGGGACAACGCACGCCGACAAACCCCGCCTCGTGTGATTCGGATTCACCCCTGCAATGATCAGTCATCTCTGCTAATCTGCAATTCATTATTCAATTTACCCAACCATCTAATATCTTTCTTTATGCCTGTTCGAAGTCCGGCGCCAGAGGCTGAAGATATGAGTCGTTTTGTGAAGGACTCCAAACTACCTGAAGTTTAAGCTTCAGTAGCGGGTAATCAAAGGGATAGCAGTTTTGGCAGACCGACCCGTCGGAAACGTGGAATCTCGCAGGTAACGAACTGCACAGTGCAATGGCTCGATATCGCTTTGTGTAAGCGAGTGGTCTAGAAGGAAGGCAAAGACACTATATAAGAAACCCCTCTATCCAACTTTCTTCCACTGAAGACCTCTTTCCTTCTTTTGCTGGCCAAAGGAAACACTGTGCTGAGCGCTATACATACATACATACATCCTCTTCCAGGCCTTTCGCCACTGCATCGCCAACAAACCCAAAGATCCGAAAGTTCACCGTTGCGTTCTCTCAAAGAAACTCTACCAATGCGTCTCGTTCCCGCCGTCCTAGTTGTATTAGCCCTAGGCGTTAGTAGCCTGTTGTCCGTCGTGTCTGCGTTGCCTGCCATTGCTCCTCTGGTGAGCGAAATCTGTTTACCAATTATTTGATCGTTACTTACGTCGACCATTCTGATTTCTTGCTCATTTCCCTTCTTCCTTCAAACAAGCCTGCCACCGATTCCGAATCTTCAGTGCATTCCACTGCGCGATTCTCTCCTCCTACCTATCGTCGCGCAGTTCCAGTCACCCCTGCGCCTCCATCATTTTCCGGCACAACTCGCAAGTCCAACCCCGGAAAATTCTACATCACGTTCGTCCCGGGTATCGATGAGTCCCTAAACAACCGTCGGGTTCCTTTCTCCCACGGGGACCATTCCACCGCGAGTCGGATGAGGGGACAGGTACCGGTCGAGACGTTCTTGAATCAGAGACTTTCGATAACGCGGGACCGAATTACTTGGATGAATTCATATGCAATGGATGATGATCCGGGCCATGTACGATTCAAGATGAGATATGAACATGGTGGGCCGAACCCAACGTTCATTATTGGGATTGTGGAAGCGGGCACGACGGGTGCTGGAGCAGACAGTGGTCCCGTTGGTAGTCAAAATACTGCTATCGTGCGCGGTGTGTATAGTAACACGCTCACCGAGACAGCAGAAGACTTCGACCGGCTGATGGAGACTTTCCGGCAAGAGTATACCCAGCGGTAGCTTAGCGCGGAGTGTGAAGTTGTGAATATCTTGTTGGTTGAGTATACATATAGATCGCGTGCACAGAACAAGTAGGTGGCTCGCAATGAGTGAAAAAGAAAACTAGACCCGTCTTAACCATCCCAGCTTCACGTCCACTATCACCTCGTCCACCGCAATAGTCAACACCGAAAAAGACTCATCCAAGTAAAAGAATATTGAGGTAAAAGAATATTGTTTATCAAAGATGGTCGTATAATCACTTCATACTCACCGTACGCGTAGTCCAAGTCCGCCCATGCATTTCAATTCAGCTTCATTTTAACACCGAGTCTCGAATAGTCAGATGAGAAATCCTACCATTCATGGAGATTAGTTTTGGGGGTACAACCTTCTTAGAGCAAGATTTTAGAGAAAAGCAAAGGGGTTCAGTGTAAAAGGCAAGCAGGTAATTGTAGCAAATAGCGAATAGAGAATTCTAATTTGATATTGTTCGATGTGGATTGGAAAGTTAAGAGTGCGGCGTCGGTCTAAGATACAAGGAGAAGTTTTGAGTATGATCGCAATCACCAAACTAGATTTGGTTCTTGGTAGCGCAAACTCGTTCAAAGCAGTGCAGGCAGAGCTGATCAGGGCTTATCAGTGTTGGAGCATACTCCGTACGTACGACATAGCCGTTAACTCGGGGAGGTAGGTAACCGGAGACGGCGTTATTAGCAATACTGTAGTACCACCCTTACATTACGAGTTACGGCGGACTCGACTCCCTCAGTTGCTATACAATCAACTGAGGTGAGCTCGAGTATACTTACAGATATCCTAGACACTGAAACCCTTCATAGATTTACTAGACTTAACAGGTACACTACAGTTGCTATACAATCAACTGAGATTTACTAGACTTAACAGATTATGAGACTCGTGATCTAACTAAAAGGAAAAGTCTAACCAAAAGGAATTCAATTCGGAGGTATTAAAATACAAAATGTCATTCGGAAATAGCCCGAACATACCGAGACTCCCGGACGAGAAACAGCTCGTCGGTGAAGATAACTGGAGGCCATTCAAACGTGAAATCACATTTGCGGTCCAATCGAAGGGATTAGCTGGATACCTAGACGGAACAATTGCCAGACCAAGCAAGTACCCTGACCCAATATACCCACCAACACAATCCACTGGCACGCCCTTATTCAGCCCGACACCCTGCCCAGAAGAATGGGAAATCCAAGACCGACTGGTAGCAGGAGCTATCGTGTCGAATATCACAGACCCCGTAGGCTTGGGGATAGACGAAACAAAGCGAGCGTCGGAAATTTGGCAAGAGCTGATTAAGCGGTTCGAGAAGAGGGACGAACAGCGAATCCACCTGGCAGACACGAACCTACGCCAGGAAAAATACGATCCCGAGACAACAATGGAGGAACATGAGAAGAGGATGAGGAACCTGCTGAAGAAAGTACACGATCTCGGGGGTACGGCGACAGATGCGCAATTCCGCCGGATCGTAATCTCCTCCATGCCACCAGGATGGAAGCAGGATGTTCGAAGTGTCCCAGGAACGTCTAGTGCAGACGCTTTCACGTATCTCCACACGCTCTGGTACGAGAAAGAAGAGGAGCGGAAGGAGGAGGAGAGGGACTCGAAGCGGGTGAAGGCACTAATGGCGGCACACCCCAACACCACTCCCCAGGACAGCCAATCGCGAACGGGAGGTCGAGCCAGCATAACATGCCACAACTGTGGCAAACCTGGGCACATAGCCAGAAAGTGCTGGGCTAAGGGAGGTGGAATGGAGGGACAAGGACCAAGACAGGGAACCCCGAACAAAGCGAAGACCGGAGCGAGTGCAAACGCGACACAGCCGGATAATAACGACATGTCGACGCCAATGGCTACCTACGTAATGTCGGCGCAGGGGGACAGCAAGCCAAGTACGTTCACGTCCGTCCCAACCCACGAGCCAACCGCTGACCCCACGACTAGACAGGATAATCCCGTTCTAAAAGGTGTCAGTCAGTGGGGGGCAGGGGAAAGGGACGTAGATAAAAACGTAACTAGGTATCAGACAGTATCAAAAGCAGAGTGTACAATCTGCCATGGTAGCACGTCACTGTATTCCACACCAGTCCCAGCAATACGAACATTCATCGACTCAGGCGCTTCTGAACACTGCTGGGTGCAACGATCCGACTTCATTGAGTACACTAGAGTACAGGGGCAGGGCGGGAGCAGCGCAATATCCGGTGAGGCAGGGAGATTTCAAATCCTGGGTATGGGTACAATCCAATTCGTCACGAGAATCCAGGACGAGGAGAGGACGATACAACTCCGGGGAGTGAAACACACCCCATCGTTTGGCCACAACCTCATATCCTTATCCACGCTCGACAGCCGCGGAATGCGAGGAGAATGGGGATTAGGAGTGATGACAGTGAGAGCGCCAAACGGTCAAACAATACTGCAAGGGTTTGGTCGGAATAAAATGTATGAGGTGGAGGTACTAGAATCCGGAGGAACGTCAGCGAATTACTCGAGGGCCAGAGATAGGCCAGCAGACATCCTCACCTGGCACAGAAGACTCGGCCACATCGCAATACGGCGTATACTGAGAATGTCAAACCGTAACCTAGTAGATGGGCTCAATATTACGAAGCGGGACGTCCACGGGATGTGCGAAGACTGCCTATATGGGAAGGCCACTAAAAGACCCTTTGACGAAGTCCTTACGCACGAGTCGGAGGTACTGGAGAGAGTACATATGGACCTGTTTGGACCATCCAGAACGCAAAGCCGAGGAGGAGCGGTGTACCTAATGTTGTGTACCGACGGGAGGTCATCGTTCAGAGTACCGTACTACCTGACGAACAAGAGGAAGGAGACCGGGCTCAAGGCACTACACGAATATCGTGTTATGGCCGAGAAGCAGACAGGGAAGAGGCTGAAGGTCATCCGAATCGATGGGGGAGGGGAGCTGAACAACAGTTTGGTGGACGAGTATTGTAGGGAGAACGGGATCCTCATTGAGAAGGTACCCCATGATTCGTCTGCGGCAAACGGAGTTGCTGAGAGGTCATTCAGAACAGTAATGGAAGGAATGCGCACCTTACTCGAGGAAGCAGACCTGCCATACTCCTTCTGGGGAGAGGCATCGTCAACGTTCATCTACGTCAATAATTTTGTTCCCTCAGCCCGATTCCCAGACGTGGTACCAGTGGAGGCCTGGACCCAGAAACGGCATGACATATCACATCTGAGACCGTTTGGATGCGATTGCTGGGCCACACTACCACGGAGAAGGACTGACGGCAAGCTAGGAAGACAAGCAGTAAAGGGGAAGCTGCTGGGATACATGGGCAGGCGTGGGTACCGTGTCTGGATACCAGAGTCGAAGAAGGTCGAGGAATCGCACGATGTGACGTTCGAGGAAGGGACCTCACACAGGACAAGGGCGACAGAAGAGACAAACAACGAGGAATCTTTTGGGGAAGAAACCAGAACCCCGGCCGTCGACATTCAAAACTCTCTGGACCCACGACCAAACACCCCTGCACAAACTACCGAGAATCCTGGCAACATTGATCAAACTCGGGCACGAGACGAACCAGCCCCGATGCCCAAGGAGAACACTCCAATGGAGGTACCTACATTGCTGCCGCCTACATCAGCCATTGAACCGATACGCCGGAGTGAAAGAGGACAAATACCTTCACGTAGACACATCGAGAGCGAGGAGTACAGGGAACGCGAGCGGACAGCACAGGAGAGAGGGGAAAGCTGGACAGAAGATACCCCACTAGCGCTAATAGCTCAACACCCATATGCCTTTGCCGCTACATCCGGGGAACTCTGGGTACCTCAATCCTACAAACAGGCAATGCGACGACCAGATCTCTGGACAGCCCCGATGGAAACGGAATTCAACACATTGGAAAACAAGAGGTGCTGGGAATTAGTACCCCTACCACCCGGCGCAAATCTCACAGGGGGCCGATGGACCTACGCAATTAAATTCGACGCCGCAGGAAACTTACTAAAGCGGAAAGCCCGATATGTCGCACAGGGGTACACCCAAATCCAAGGCCAGGATTATGACAAGACGTACGGCGGGGTAGCCCGGATGGAGTCAGTACGTATAGTATTAGCCATTACAGCTGCCCTGAAGCTCTCGATCTTCCAAGTCGACTTTACGGCGGCCTTCCTGAACAGTCCAATCACACACGACGTGTATATGAAGCAACCTGAAGGTTTTATCAGACCGGGGACCGAACATCTGGTATGCAAACTAAAGAAATCCATCTACGGGACAATGCAGGGAAGCCATGACTGGCAAGCAACACTAGCAGCCGGCTACAAGGAGGACGGGTACACTACATCGAGAGCTGACCCCTGCATTAGATACAAACGAGTGGGAGGCGAATACACCATCACCAGCACATACGGGGATGATATCTGCGGCGGATCATCGACCAAAGCCGGGAGGGACAGGGCAGTAGCAGACCTTGGGCGGCGATGGGAGGCAAACGAGGTAACATCAGAAGTATTGCTGGGAATGACCATCCGACAGCACCCGGAGACTAAGGCGATTACGATCTCACAAAAGACATACTTCCAACGCATGCTTAGTCACTTCGAACTCGACAAAGTACGGAGACGGAACACCCCACTGCCCCCAAACGTCAAACTCAAAGAATCACCGAACCCACTACCTGAGGACGAACGTCAGTTCATGGCAGATAAGCAATATAGGGCAGTCGTGGGCTCAGTCCTGTGGGGACAGGTGTGCACGCGACCCGACTTAGCCTTCGCAGGGAGTTTACTGGCACGCTACCAGCTTAACCCCGGTCGGACGCACTGGGACTGCGTTGAGTGGGTAGCGGGGTATATCCTGAACACACTTGACTACTGCATCACATACCAAGCACCGACAGCGAACCCAGGACCAGGGACAGGCCTACAGCCATACGCGTACGTTGACTCAGATCATGCAGGATGCCAGGACACGTCTCGGTCGACGTCGGGATACATTTTCTTCATGGCAAACGCCCCCGTCTCGTGGAGCTCCAAACGACAGGCAACAGTCGCACTATCCACCACGGAGTCTGAATACATTGGCCTGTCCCGAGCCACACAGCAGGCGGTTTGGCTAACATCCTTTCTGAAGGAAGTGGATTTGAGACAGGAAGGGCCAATGGATCTACTAGGGGACAACTTCGGGTCCGTCTCCCTCACGGAGAATTCCAAGCGGCACGCCTTAGTGAAGCACATCGAGATGCGGCACCACTACGTGCGGGAGAAGGTATCCAGCGGGGAGGTGAACATCAAACGAATCCGGTCGGGAGAAAATATCGCAGACATTCTAACAAAAGCCCTCAACGGCACGACCCATTCGAAGCTCGTATCAATGCTAGGTATAGATCGTACGGAGTAGGGGGGGTGTTGGAGCATACTCCGTACGTACGACATAGCCGTTAACTCGGGGAGGTAGGTAACCGGAGACGGCGTTATTAGCAATACTGTACAGTACCACCCTTACATTACGAGTTACGGCGGACTCGACTCCCTCAGTTGCTATACAATCAACTGAGGTGAGCTCGAGTATACTTACAGATATCCTAGACACTGAAACCCTTCATAGATTTACTAGACTTAACAGGTACACTACAGTTGCTATACAATCAACTGAGATTTACTAGACTTAACAATCAGGGGTTCCATCATCGAGAAACATCGTTAAGCGACGAAACATGACTCCAAGAAGTATATAGATACACCTTCTATTCGTCCTCAAAGTCAGGATCTTTCTCTGCTGGCCAAAGTAGATACTCCGCTGAGCGTAGATCACCATCCCCATTCGCGCTTTCTTTTTACCTTGCTCTACACTGCGTGTCGTTCCCGCCTTCTTTGTAGCCCTGGGCATCAGTCTCTTGTCCGTTGTATTTGCCTTGCCCGTAGTGTTGCCGGAAGGGGAGGTCAAGCGGGGCGTGAGGTGCGGACCCGGGTGCCTTAAGGCCAATTTTTCGAAGGTCACCTCAAGGTGATTGATCTCCACAGCGGCGCTGCCGCTGTGGCAGTCGGCAGATGTACAAGATAGATTGATAGTTGTACATCGTACAGTACATAGGTCTTATGAATAGATTCTTCTTTGCAAAACTTTTGTGACATCATTGAGAGCTTAACAAAGTTCTCCATTGCTAAGAGTATGTAGAGAGGCATGCAAAAATTGGCAGCAAGAAAATGTAAGTACTATCGAAGGATACGTGTGAACAAGTGGGTGAGCATAGGTGGGGCACAGTAACTAACAAATTTGAGCTTGAGCTCTAGCGAGGAGCTTTGCATGCAAATCAAATAACTGTTGGTACTCCCGCAGCTCGTTCTTGACTTTACTGGTTTCCTTCTGCGCAGCATCGCATTCCAAGACCGCTGTGTCCCTCTCTACTTGTACTGAAGCCAACTTGTTCTTTGTTTCATCTCGCTCTCAATAGATGAGAGCCCGGGCCCCTAGCAAAGGGAGAAGATACAAGGAGAAATGGAGAGACAAGTTACAACACAGTGAGTGCAATTGTCAGCGATGATTGATTCACAAGATAGCTGATATCAATGGATGGACCTTGAGGTGCCTCAAGGTAGCGGAGTTCCAAAATTTGCACCTCACCTGTGAAGGTAGCCTTGCCTGCCCATCCTGTAAGTAAATTTCAGATTGAAGTGATAATCCTTACTACAATCGTGCTCACTTTGCTTTTCCTTCTCTAACTGTTGCTCTATCATGGACGATAGGACGAAGCATTTCATTCACCTCAACTCACACATCTCGGTGCACGTGCGAATGCTAAAAAAATGCACGTCACATTTGTCCCAGGCATCAAGTTCGGTCGTAGGAATCCTACTATTCATGGAAATAGCGGCACTGCTCTGCGTATGCAGAAACTAGCCGGATCCTTCATAATCGATAACTTCCAGATAACAGAAAAAGAAATTTCCTGGAAGAATGCATATTCAAATGAACAGGATTTGGAGCATGTGCGATTCCGATTGGAGAATGTGGTGGGCGGGATTAGATCATTTGCGATTGCGATTGTGGATGCGCAAAGTCCTGGTAGTGGCGATGCTGTCCATGGTGTGTACAAGCCCACAGTCTCCAAGACAGATGGAAACTTTGAAGAATTGTTGGAGACCTTCTGGAAAAAGTATCCTCAAACTGTAGCTGCGGAGGTGGAATCAGGAAGGGAATGAATTTTCTTCACAGAGGAGAGGGTAGATATATTGTCGGTTGAATACAGAAATTGTCGTGCGCAACCAGAAATTGTAGAGCTAAGAGAAACAGTTCGAGAATAGTGAAGTCAAAAATCATTACATAACGCGTTACGAGTCTCCTCCGCTCAATCTTTACACAGCTTTACACTGCCAAAAACATTGCTTTTCCCTAGTCGAAATTTGGCTATGCACTCAAAACATTTCGGCTAATTACAAAGTACTTTGAGAACGACAAAAGGACGATGCGACCCGTCCGTCAGTCTGTCCTTTTTTCTCTTGCTGGTCAGAGAACAAACTTGTGCTTTATCGGATTTCCGCTATATACATGCGTCTCATCCAATCTGTCTATGTTATGACTCTGCTTATTGGCTTGGTCTCTATAACGTCTGCGATACCCATCTTAGTGAGTATTCTTCTTATTCGTAGTGGAGGTCACTAAATTTATATTGGACCCGGAGAATCCTCAATCTGGAAGACATCTTCCAAACACTGAATTCCTAGTCTCACCTCGTCGGGTTGCTCAACAACCTTCTTTGCTCCAAGATTCGTCCCCAGGGGACTCGTATTTTCCCTCTGCAACTTCTGGTAGACATCCCAATAATGACCGTCCAAACATCCAAACTCCTACCAACCAATCTACACTAATACGCTCCCGCTTCCAACTTATCTTCCACCCTGTACCGGGCGGTGACCTCGACGATCCGTCCACATTCGAAAACACTAAGCGCATGGTAGATATAATTACTCGATACCTGAACCAAGGCGTGCACTATCACCAGCTATCGCCTTCCGACTTCACTTTGGTTAATGGATGGGTCGCGGACGGAAACGGTTCTAGTCCTGTTGTCGAATTCCGGACAGAGGATTCCAATAGGAGAGGTCATTGCAACCCGTTTTGTCTTGGGATGATAGATGTTCCGTATGACGCTGGAGATGAATCTGAAAATCCCGATACAACGAGGATACATGGCACACTTGCTCAAGATCGATGGCAGCTGCACTTGGATCACGCCGTGTCACGAACCCTGTCGTAGTTTGTTGTTTCTTCATATGAAAAATGTTGAAGCTTGGGGAGATGGAACCATTGGGACAGGATAATGCGACCGCGAAGGAAATGAGCTACTCTTCCTCGATTGGCTCGTCTTGTCAGCTTGCGTCGGTTCTCCAGCTAAAAAGGAGCTTCTAGTGTTTCAAACTTTCAATGCTCGTGTAATTTTTTTCTTTTTGGGGTACGTTATACCGCCGGTCACTAATAAGCGATGACATCAACTATATAAACAACCCTTTTTTAGGACTTTTCCCCCTCTACTTTGCTGGTCAAAGGAAATATACATACTTCGCCGAGCGACCCCGTCTTCTAATTTCTCTTTGCGCCTCACTTTCCCTCGACGATCACACCATGCGTTTCGGCACCCCCGGCTACCTGGTTACCTTGGGCATTATTCTGTTGTCCACTGTTGTCCACGCGATCCCTCTTGCTTCCTCAGGTCAGTATTAAAATCCAACGATCTCATAGCAGCGGCAAAAAAAGAGACTTAAAAAATTTCTTCCTCCCCTCAGAAAGCAACTACGATACTTCATTGAAATCCGTTTCCGGCGATGAAAAGTTTCAGCATAGTGTGTCCCAGCCCCGATCACAACACTATATATTATCGGACAGCCTCGGTCAGGAATCCGAAAAGCAGCAATCACTCAACGTCACATTTTTCCCTGGCGTACCCGAGGGACCTAGGGATACTGCTGTTCATGGAGACTTTGGCCTGGCGTTGAACATGGAGGAATTAGTTACTTCGTACCTGAACACCAAACTCGTCAACTATTTTCCAAAAGGGACGTTGAAGCGTAACAATATCACCTGGGTCAACACATACTCCAAATCAACGGGGTCGCAATCCACAACCGCCGTTACCAATCCAACCTCTGTTCGGTTCCTCGCGGAATATAGGAGTAGTATTGAAGAACTGCGGTCTGGTTCCACTGCTTCATGGATGGGTGTGGTGGATGCAGATAGCCCAAAAGGTGCCGCTCGCGGTTCGCTTCAGAATATTAATCTGGGACAAAAACCTCAGACTGAGGCAGACTTTGATCAGTTGCTGTCTGCTCATCAGTCACCGGCAAAGGTTTCGAAATTTGCGACACTTCGCTCAAAGGTTTATTCGAAGTTTGGGAATTCGAGAAGCTCTTCAGCTCGTAGTGTTGAGTAGGATGGTTGTATAATGCAGTTATCACTTGATGTGTATAAATACGTGCGATAAATGAGACACACCCCATCCTCAAATGGTACTTGACCTTTGATCTCAAGTCCCCAGGACAGCCTAGGACAGCGCGTTTTTTCTGCATAGCATCCTAAGCGAGCTTGCCCGATCAACGAATTCTGAGCAGAATCAAGAGGTGAGGAAGATTCAGATCGGTGACACGAAAGGACACGACCCGTAGATCAGAGCGGTAGCAAAACTGTCTCAAACAGTGCTTTGTGAAAAAGTTTGGTTGTACAGCTGATTCCGAAAGTCTAGGACGAAATCAGCCTCCTCACATTGTTGGAGCACTATTTAGCCTTGTTTGTGGACGAGCTTAAGCGCATAGTTACTAGCCTCTTTCAGAAATAAATCCGAGCAAGCAGCTCTGTCTTTCTTACATAGAGGCAGCCCTAGTTTACTCCAACAATGTAATTACAACAATTCTTTGCATCCATCTCTGGGTTAATCTTCATTATCTGGTCTACATCCACAAATAATGCTAAACAGTGCTCCAACGATGTGAGGAGGCTGATTTCGTCCTAGACTTTCGGAATCAGCTGTAACTTGTATGGATTTTTTACCGTATTTATCGCTGTTTATTTGTCACAATATATTGGACAATAGATAAACGCAAATAGATGGACAAAATCCAGGCACCCAAAGAAATACGCAAAGCAACCCTATAGTGATGGGATCGATGAAACCGAGCGTCGCAATCCTGAGCAGGTATAGGTATACATATAAGAGCAGCGCACCTGTTCGCATTTTGATCAGAACTTTTCTCTTGCTGGCCAAGAAAGGTACTCACATTCACGCCTCCCATATCCTATCATCCAAAAGTTAACTCGGGGATCTTTCTCAAAATTCACTGATGCGTCTCACTCTCGCCACCTATTTTTTGACTCTGGGTGTTAGCCTTTTCTACGTTGTATGTGCGAGGCCTGCTCTGGTGAGTAGTAGTAGTAGTTTTCTATTAGTGAAAACAATTTGCATTCATTGGGACTTACATTCAAATCTCTCAGATTACTGAGTCGTTGAAATCGCTCTCACTGCAGCCTCGAAACCCGACACAAGCTCTGCAACCTCACTCATCCACCCTTCGAATCTCATTGTACCCACCTGGCAACCCAGATGACCCCGATAACTCTTCGAAGTTTAACAGCAGAAAAGAGCAGAAACCGATCTGCGCAGAAAGTTATCATCCGATTTCTCCACCAAATGCGATATCGTCTTCACGCCGATTTGGACCTTACTCATGTTGCTTGGCAAAACTATTGGCACCCAAAAAGTAAAGATATTGAGTTCATTGTGGAAGACGATGATGTAGATGGGCGTTGCCATTCGTTTTGTCTTGCTATGGTGGACATACCGTCGAAGGAACAGTATCGTAATCCTGCGTTCCAGATCCACGGTACGCTTGCTACTGCGAACTCTGAAGATTGGAAGGAATTGCACGCGACTCACGAACAGAATAGACCCAGAGGACGATAAATTGTATTTGGGACGACGATGGACGTTTTTATCACGAAAAATGATTACATATTTTGTATGAAATGACAGATTCTTCGACGCACATAAATTAAGCATCCAGGAAGCAGTATCGTAAGCACAGAGGAAAAGTGGTGAGTACAAAGCTGAAATACACACAGTTGCAATTGTGTTTGAGTACCAAATGTACAATACAAGTGAGCGATATCTTACAGATCGAGGTACATAAGCATAGCGAAGTCACAAAGTGAGGAAGGAAATCAACGAAATATACTTAATTTTCATATCCCCCAAGTCTCATGCCTTCCTCGTTTTAATCTCCCACATCCCTGAACTCTTTCTAACAATTCCAGTCCACACCCACTCTTCCTCCATCCCCAACCAATCAACCCTTCTCACACCCTTACTCATTTCCCTCGCCTCCCCTTCACCGAAATGCCCAAAATCAAGCTTCGCGCGCTTCGAGTCCCCAAAAAGCTCTTGTCCGACAAATTTGCACCGTGAACGGAATGCCATCGATACTAGATCCCGAGCTGTCTGAGTTGGTTGAGGCTGTGGTTGTCCGTACATGTCATAGCCGTGACCAGGAGATAAAGGAAGTGCGGAATTCGACGATAAAGGTGTCAGAGGCATATGTGATGAAAATGGTGAATGTGATGTCAAGCTCGTACTTCGAGTCCTTCCTCCGGTCATGACAGTTCCCATTTCCTCATTATAAAAATCTCTACTCGTGATCTGTTTTTGCAGTTCCCTCCACACGCCTTCGATGACCTCCCAGACCGTCAACCCAATAACACCATACCCGACCCCAAATCCCGGTGTGCTCGGACCTGCGCCTGCTCGACTGGCTGCAACAGCAGACGCCGACATAAGGTCAATATACCACGGCAACCTCGGATGATATAACCGCATATGCGGAGACGCAGGTTCGCATGCCATTTGTGCGAAATCAATACTATTAGGAGGGCGGTTGAGGTAAGGGAAAATTCCCCCGCTGCCATGTCCGAAATGAGTACGTTGTTCGGCGTGCAGTTGCATTTGAGTTTGGATGGGAATCCGGAGATCAATGAACGTAGGGGGGTGGGAGGAGGATGTGCGGTGCAAGAGCGAGTTAGGGACGCGTTTGACTGGATCATTCATCTCAATGACGTCTGAGCTATGCCATTGACGAGGAGAGAAACGGGTAAAGATGTTGGGTTTGACAGAGTATTCAGCTCGCCAGTCTCTCGGTCGTCTGACTCGGTCTTGAGGACCGTATATTTGGTTTTCTACGAGTCGATTATTAGAGCCGTACGGGCTATCTTGGCTTGGCCATGCCAATCTATCCATCCTTTCTCTAGATCTGGGCGGTTCCATATTGAAATTTGTCGATGCCTGTGGCGCCATGTCGTTCGAATAAGACCGTTTCATTGCAGACTTCCGCCTGTGCCTGTCTGGGTGCCGACTACGAGAGCGCGAACGACCCCGATGTCTCGAGCGGTCGCGTTGGCCATCCTGAATTCCCATTCCACTGAATGAATCTATGAGATCCCAGTCTGCAGAACCCGAAGTCGCATTCTCGTGTCCACGATCCATGCTTCGCATCAAATCCGCTCTCGCACGACGCATTCCTTCTTCCTCCTCGTCCTCTTCATCTAGCTGATCTTCGCCCCATGCGCCCGCTGGTTCCGCGCCCCAACCATATGCATCCTCCCTGGGTTCCTGTCTTTGACGCGAACGTGAGTGATTTCGAGAATTTGACCGATGATGACGACCGGCGTTGGCAAAGTATCCTCCGGAGTTCATAGGCTGGTCTGTATACGGATTTTCACTCCCCCCTCCTGCTTCAAATCCAAGCCCAAGCCCAATACGAGGCGGAGCACTGCCAGGTGGAGGACCTCGACCATAACCATTAGCGTAGGCGCCTCCGCCATATTCTACGTACGAAGCACGATCCATGTCATAGTCCGGCGGTCTCCACGCTAAGCTTGAAAATCCATCTTCCCGAGGTGTGAACGTCGATTGACCTTGACCGTGAGCGTGCGCCCATGGTGAGTGCATGTTGTTGTAATGAGCCGGCATTTGTGAGGGATGAGGTAAATTAGGATGGTAGAAGGCTCCCGGAGCGCTATGGGGTGGTGGTGGTGCTTGATAATCCCAACCTGGCGGTACTTGTTGTCGAGGATGAGGTGTACTGAGTATCGATTGTGCTTGTGTGAGTCATACGGAAGGAGAGGTAGATAAAGAACTCACCCGGGCCTAACTCCCCAACCACTTTCTACGATTCCTGGAAACGCGCCCATGCTGAGGCCTTGGCTAGCCTCAAATCTTGCTCCACGCGGTGGTGGGATATTTCCTCCGTCGCCGCCACCAAAGCGCGCTGGTTCTACCAATGACGGCATGTCAAAGTTCCAGTCCTCGTTGTTGTTTCCCCAGGCACACATTGTGGACAGCGAAATAGTTGAAATGAAGCGAAGTTATACTTTAGATGTGAATCAAATGGTGAAGCAAAGACGATTTGAGAGAAAGGATATTGCAGAGTTTCGGAATCAAGTTCATTATATATATAAATCGGGTGGGAAGAAAACAAAGCAACCAACCTTGTTTTGCTGTACAAGTGATATAGTACAAGGTATTGTAACTTTGATACACTGCCCACCGTTGTAAGCGATTCCTATGTTGATTTGATGAAGTAAAGCCTTTGATTCACTGAGAACTGACATGAAAGGACATGGTTAAGTACAACAGATGAACGGGAACAATGGGCAATATAGTTCACGTATTTCAAGCTTCTTCGGCCACAATAATAAAGATCTCCAAGTCTTCAATGCTTCAGCTGTGCACCGCCCGCTTTGTGTTGAATGAATGTCGAATGATAGTAGAGGCAGAGCAGAGCAGATACTCAGGACAAGTCGCTTTCGAATCCGGATTTGATTTTATACTTGCGTGAATCTTTGATTGCTGCTCTGTTGAAGATGGTATGAGTAAAGCCATTAAGCAAAGAACGTTAACCAGCGCTGAGGTGCTTGGCAGGCAAAACGTCGGTGCCGATTCTCGAATAACGTAATCATTGTAATGTCGGCGTCTGTTCTCGGGTGATGCCTTCATGCGTAAACTGAGACTCCGACGGAGCGTGATTAGTAGCCTGTTTGTGTTCGAACCACGATCTTCTTTGCTGGTCAAAGAAGAAATTTTGGTCTATCATATTCTCCTGCTTCCCCAATAACCACTCTACCCCTCGGTAGCCATGATGCATGTCACCGCTGCTGTTGCTTATCTTGTTTTACTGGGCGTTGGCCTGTTCTCCGTCGTGTGTGCGATACATCTTCCTGTGAGTCGTCATTAATTACTGCAGGGATCCAGAGACTCACTTCGACTTCTGCTTTGCTGTGCTTTCCCCCAGACTGGTAATGACATTCATCCTCCCAAACCCGCGCCACCCCTCCCGAAACCGCATTATAACCTTCGAGTCTCATTTTTACCCCATCCTGATCTGCCAGGAGAACATCTTCACGAACAGTCTACGACTCCGGTCTTAGCTGAACAGATGAAGTTGTTTGCGCGAAACCTCGTCGTAGCGTATCTGAACCAAATACGATATGATTCCTTCGGATGGAAGGTCAATAATATCGGTTGGGAAAATGAATTCGAATTGCATTCAACTACATTGGTTCAATTCATACTAGATGATGACATTGGAGGTGCACTGTGCCATCCGTACTGTCTGGGTGTAGTGAATGTACCGGTTTCCACCCGGCGTGCGCCGATCTTGGGTACGCTTAGACCAAATGCGAAAACTTGGGAGGAAGTACTCAAAATCCATGATGCTCGCCATCGACACTCAACGAGATGATTGGAACATATCTTGCGCCGGATAGGGGCTCTTTGTAATTTTTACCCTTACATCCTGTATGTCGTTTATCACGCATCCTTTAAAAGGGAGGTGCAGACGGTGGTTTTTTCGAAGGAAGAGAATCGAGGGCAATGTAAATATGCTTATGCAATGAATTTATGGTCAGATGGGTGGCCCCATTTTCAACCTAAACAGATACATCAATGGGTTTGAAAGTGGAACTATAGTTGGTAACGGGAAGAAGTATGTAGGATGTATGTGAGTGAGTGGTGAGCGCCATGTAAGTAGTAGTCAAAGACTACATTGACTATTCGGGGAGGGAATAATGAATGGACAGGTTTACGAGTCGTAGATCAATATAGAACTCGGGTAGAAAGTGAGAATATAAACTAATAGTACTTGTACTTGGTAGAGGATATACGTTTGCGAGCGACAAATATCGAGCGTTAAACAATACAACTAAGGAAAGGAAGCGAGCGACTAGTGCGATGTATGATCGAGAATCAAGAATCAAGAAGAGGAGATAAAAGGAAGAGAGAATGAAGAGAAAAAACAGGCAGTTATGGTAGCCATAGAACAACATGAATGGAGGGATCGTCGGTAAAGTGGGGAGGGTGAAGTGGTAGCAGCAAAGGAGAAAAGATAGACTCAGAGCAAATAAGATAGTGATACCAAAATCGACAGCGAGGGACACGTGGATATGCAGGAATAAGATAGAAACGGTAAGCGATACAAGCGTGGATTGGACTATATGACACAAAAAAGTGAAATAAAGAACGTTGTGCTATAACGAAGAGATAGACACAGCTCATACAGGCCCCCGGTATGTACCAGGAAGTAGCGCATTACCGTTTTTGTTGAGATTCCCGTTCAAAATAGACAGCAGAGGGTTTCCAAGTAAGGTAGACGGGCCTTGGTAGGGAAAAGAGGGGGCATTGAAGACGGGGGATAGCGCTGGAGCGGACATCGGGACTTGGAGAGGAAGAGGCGGGACTGACCCAGTAGGGACGGGAACGGAATGTTGAGTGGTGGCGTATGAGGCGAAATAGTTAGGCGGTGGATCAGCAGTGGCAGCAAAGGGTGTATAACTTGATACAGAAGGCGGGAAGCGAGATTGTGCTTGCGCTGCAAGCATTTGCATGGGAAGAGCAGGCGAAGCACGTGGAGGGTTCATCAAAGCCGAAAGTTGACTGTGGGTCATACTCATACTACCGGGCATGTTCGGAACTCCAGCATATGATGCACGGTGGGAAGATTGACTTGTACGAGGTCTCACTATGAAGGGATCATCGTGCATTGATTGATAGCTAGTATTCCCTAGGATGGGAGGCGGAGGGAATCCAGATCCTCCCATAGAAGTAGAGGAATAGAGCAGATTTTCATCATGGGAGGCCAACGGTGGTAAAAAAGGATGAGGAATAGACTGCGATACAAAGCTTTGTGAATACCTCGCCGCTTGATCTTTCGCCACACTGTTTACAACAGCATCCCGCATCTGCAGCATTGGGGACATTCTAGCAGATTCATTCGCTACCGCTTCTAACAATGCGATTTGCTTTAGGTGCTTGGCAGAAGAGGGAATTTCTGGGGCCTTGGACAAGTACGGCGATATATCTGCGGTACTCGACGTGCGTCGAGACGTACCCCGGAACGGTCGGACCGGGGTTGTGGAGGTGGAAGCCGAGGTGAGAGAAATGGGGTTTGGCAGCGGCGCATCTGACGTCATACGCAAAGGAGGAGATTCGAGAACGACACGTGCATCCCGAGAACGGCGGCTTTGCCCTACTGGAGTGACATCTAAAGCCGAGGTTCTCCCGGAGGCTGTAGTCGCTAAAGTTCGTATGGGGGCGATTTCTGGTAGAACTTCGGGTACGCTGGTCATATACGAAGATAGCTGCGGTGTTGAAGATTTCTCCACAGCTTCCTCGTCTACGGCAACTGTCCCAGAAAGGGTGAGACCGCTCAACAGCCGGGCAAAGTGTGGATCGAGCGTCGCAGTATCAACCACACCCACATGGTTCGCACTTGTCGGAATAGATCGTGGAGAAGGAGTTTGGGGATCACAGTTTTCCGCTGATGACGATTGAGAGCTTGACTCCTGATTAGCTTCCTGTGACGAGCTAGAAGGCGAATCAGCAAGCGAGGGCTGATGTTTATTGGCTGGACGTGATTCGTAATTTTGAGTTTTCTTGACCTTCGGTGGCTTGCGAGGAATATTGACGGGTTTGTGTTCCCTGATGAATTGCTTCAATGCACTAATAAGACCGTTCAGTATCATCGGACGAAATAATCAAGGAAGGGAATTACCCAATGAAAGGCGATATCAGATAAAATTTCCCTGGAGTCGTTTTGTTACGCTTCCAGGTAGGAAGGTCGGATAGACGGAACCATTCTATTTTCTACAAATCGGAGAATGACCATTTGTGATACTGAAAGAGCGACAAAGACGAAGACATACACTGATCTCTTTCCGTGTCTTCGTCTTGAACAAGTAGTCCTCCGGAACACCAGGAACAATGTATAATGCGATTTTTTGCTCCTTGATGGACATTTCGATAACGTGATCAGGGTTTAATTGACCAGCCAGGTTGTAGCCTGTCTCTTCGAGGACCTGAATGATAACTTTAGTACTGGAGCATTGGATTCATGCTGAAACACACTTCGCGGATGGCACAGTTGGGTTGAGGTTCGTCTTCATTTATTTTTCCTTTTGGAAACCCCCACCCTGAGGACGACTTCCAACCTTTGACCAGGACACACTAGGCATAAGTCTCAGAATATGAGGAAAGAGCTAATCGATTTGGAAAGCACGCACCTTCTCCCAAGTGTCATTCAGCATTATCGCACCACAAACAGGTACACGGGTTTTGTACTGCATGAAGTTGTAGAATGCCTGCTCGTGGTCCTCTCGGTGTAATAAGGGACACGCATTGAACAGCATGGCAGAAAATTTCTTGAGTGGTAATGAAGGGAATTTCGGATTTGCTTCACGGATAAAGTCCTCGTAATACCAATGTCTGTCATTCGATAGGTGGGTCAGTTGCTGTTTAACAGCTGTAAAGACTTCAATCCTACGCTTGCTCCACTTGAAAAGAGATTCGTTCTATGGAATTGAGCTCTTCATCGGGAAGATTCAGGATAAATCGACTAAGAGAGAGGTCACTGTGGGCTTCGGCAAGAGGTGATAGAAAGAGGGCTACCTAGTCAGATCTTCTAAGACGTCTTCCTCCGTCTCGTACATGGTCGAATAGCGGCCTTCAGAAGGATCCGTTTGTGTATGTATACCGGAAGATAGTTCCGGAGAGGATGATGATGATGAGGACATGACTATCTGTCCAAAGTAAGAAGATGGTGATGGTTAGAGTGGTGAAAGCGAGAATGGAACTTGAAGAGGCACGAACGACAAAGAAGGGAGTAATATCACGTGGTCTTCGGCAGCTTCATTTGTGACTAGCTTTAGAAGTCACTGAGTAACAGTCACCACTATGTCACTTGCTTTGTCACGCTTTGCCCAATCTACGACAACGAACAGTGGGTCTATTTGAACGTTTCATTGTCTCATAACCACGAATACTCATAAGATGTACAGCTATAATATACGAAAAAAGGGCTTCTGCTTCTATCAGTCCGCTACCGAAAACCCATCCTTCTCGCGTATTCCCGCTCTTCCTCCAAAGTCAGCTGATCAGTACCAACCCAGTTTGCAGAACTTGTTCGGGCTCTGAATCTGTTATTCCTGCTTCTAAATATCTCCTCCATCCGCAATGGACGGATGGGTCCAAATATATTATCTGGATTAATTGAACTTTGGTCCACTAGCGCCTGCCGAAGCTCCGGAGACTGCGCCCAATGAGGAGGATCAAATTTCTTGACACGGTCTTCATCATCTGAATCTGAATATTCGCTGTCAACTTCTGGAAGTTCAATGCTTTCACTCGGAATCGCAGGTTCCGGGCGCGCAGCTTCAAGTTGAGCCTTGACTCGAGCAGCCATTTGGTTCTGAACGTGTTGTGACGGGTGTGCGATTTCGTCGTCAGGAATAGGGACCTTGACCGGTGCTTTTAATTTAGATTTGGCAACGGCCGGGGGTGCTTTATTTGAAGGCCCGGCAATGGCAGATGACTGCAGGGGATTGGTACTTGTCGAAGAGTTCAAACCATGTGCTTTCTGAGTCGGCTTGAACGCCGTCTTCGAGCTCTGAGCCGGTACCATCTTGGACGGAGCCTTTTTAACTTCGGGCAATTTTCGTTTGAACGTGGAGTCCTCATCCTGTGATTCTATCAGGATTTTATCACTGAAATTAGTTGATGACTTGCCTTCTTAGCAATGCCATTGTTGGGAATCTTCAGCGGCCGTTTATCGGTGTGGTCTTCACGTTCCCGCTTACGCCGCTCAACCTCTTCCTTTAATTTCTTCTCTTCTTCCAGCTGTTTATTCCTCTCTTCTTCTGCCTTCCGCTGGATCGCCTGCTGACGTCTGATTTCCATGTTCTTGAGCACCGTGGCTTTCTTGTCTTTTTCTTCTTGTTCCTTATGTCCACATCCGTTTACTCAATATCGGGTCAGCGAAACAAGATAGAATTGATTTACCTTCTTAGCCGCTGCAGCTGCAAGCTGTAAGCTCTTCACTTCGGTCTTGCTCTTCTTGCTTGTACCAAGGATGTTATTCACAAACTTTGTTGCTTGACTGAACACTCCTGCGTTCGACTGTGAGGACGATGTAGATGTCATCGACGATTGACTCTGGCTTCTGTCCAGTTTCGGCTAGAGAATTTATTCTCGGTAACCTCATTGTGTAGAAAAAATGAGCACTTACTTGCACAAGACTGACGGTCGGCTTTCCTGGATCGATGCTGAGGTCTGCCGCAGTAAACTCATCGTCAATGTCATCAATATCCATCTCGAATGCACCAGGCACAGTACCCGGGCTAGGTTGGCGATTGAGGGATTCAAGTGGCATAGTTTGAGTGCTCGTATGCTCCGGGAAGAGCTTGTCCGTGTGGTTGGGTTCACTGCTACTCCATGTATTGGTGCTGTCTCCACCGAAATTCCAATGCACACCTTCCGGAAGCTTCTCATCTAATGGCCAACTATCATCCTCGTCAAGTTGATTGAGGTAAGTCTGGGGTTGAGAGTCTTCGTATTCAGTCTCCTGCGTAGACGGCAACCATGCGGGAGCATCCTGACTATCAAAGATCATTTCTGAACGATCCGAATGGATACTCTCCAACGTGGGTTGAACAGAAACAACTGGTGGTCGATTTACGGGAGATAACCTTAAACTCGGCGAGAGGCCCACCGCCATCGATGCAGGTTTTGAGTACTTTGATGGAAGTAATGGAGGATCGTTGGTTTTGGGCACGGATTTAATCACCGGTGAAGGAGGCACGAAGACAGGCGGAGGCTTGTTAAAGACAGGCCCCGAGGGAGGTACGAAAACCTGGGTCAAAATCACGTCCTTTTGTCGAGAGGAAGTTTCTCCTTCCTGGACTTTCTCTTTGCCCTTCACATTCTTATCCAAGACTAGTTCAGATATGCTAAGGCGGTCAGAATTCGACTTGCGCTTGAGCACTGGAATCGAATTTTCCTTCAAGAGAGGAGCGAAAAGAGCCTCTGTGGGGGTAGGGGGCTCAAGCGTCCTGGTGATTTCTTCTTCGCCCATCTGAATCCGTTCTGCGACTTTGGCCTCCGCTAGGGCTTTGGCTTCTGCAAGTGCACCGGCGGCTGCCGCTCCACCCAAGGATTTGCCCTTGCCCTTACCAATGCCCAGACCCTGGACGGTCTTTTTGAATTGGTCTAGCACGCCGAGTTGCACTGTTGAAGAAGGCTCTGTTTCTTCAGAGAACACTTCCGGCCCTTCCTCGACGACAACTTGCCTTTCTTGACTCGTGTTGGCATTCACAGGTGCAACATCAGCAACTGCTTGCTTGCTCGCTTTGGGCTGACGTTCCTCCTCCTCCCGCTGCGATTGTGAATGAGTGTCACCTAACATGATTGAGCTCTTCCTCTTAGCAGAAGATATTTCGTGCGAGGGGCCGACCACATTTGTCGGTTTATTTTCGAGGGCTTTGACTTCCCGCGCTTTCATCAACCAGGATGTCCTTTTCCCGACGGGCGCACCGGGTGTCGCAGTCGCCATACTTAAACCTGCGGACGGATCTCGTGGCACGCGTATAGATTTACGAAGAAGCATCGGTCCAGGCAACGCGGGGAACGCCGGAGGTGGGTGTTGGGATGAGTCGACGATCATGTCCTCATCACGCAGTGGAAGAGTTTCCTCACGAACAGGGGATGCTCCACGAGAAACTGAACGTCTTAACTCGACTGCGGTTGCGGTAGCATCATGAGATGGATGCGCCGATGCCTCCACCCCTTGTGTGCCTGTATCTGCGACGAAGGAAGACGCAACATTTGTCTGTGCGCTATGCGCGTTCGAGAGCCTGGTCAATATTGGGGAAGAGTCGAGAGATATTGAGTGAAATGTGTTCGCGGAAGACAATGTTGACATGTCCACAGGGTGTATAGGGTAGGTCGTAGCTTCTGTTGTATCTGCAAGGCGGTCAAGAATTAGAGTATCTGAGGAAATGCGAGAGCCGGATGGCGGTGAAGGTTGAGAGGGTAGATTGGAAAGGCGTGAACGCTCTGCGGGTTCATCATCTTCAGCGATCATGGAAAGCTCTACGGGCGCAGATGGGTTATCACCGCTTGCCTCAGGAACATCGACTCGAACGACCGGCGAGGGACATGGACGAGGTTCAACATCAGAATATATAAGCGTAATTGTAGTGCGCGTCTCTGGGAGTTGAAGCAATGGAGATTGTTGTAACTGAGCTGTATCAGCCGGTTGAAGTACATTGGAAAGGTCACGAGAGGATGGTTCATCCTCCGCTTTCGCCTGGAGTAACGCTTTTTGAAAGCTATTCACTGACTGTGGGTTCTCCTTCTCCTCATCCTGCTGAAATGTGATGCAATTGTATATGGGTACTATATGTAAACGCACCAGTGCTTCGACCGCGTTCTTGAGTTTGGAGGATGCATGAATGAACTTCTGTTTCTTTGAGGCTGGTCTCTTGCGGCCTGGGGTTTTTAGCAGATTAACGACATCGCTAAATGTAGGAATAGTAAGCTTTCAGATATCATGGTTTCTGCCAAGTGGACGAACTCCTCTCTCGTCTTTCCAAGAATGTTATCCAAATAGTTGTCAAGAAAATCATAGCCCTGTCGCTGAATCTGGTCTTGAAAATATTGGCGGCCTGGATCGAATGCCATAGAGCTTCGAATATAGTTCGCCCATTGTACGATGTCGATTTGAGCGGCCATAATAACAAGTTGAAAGAAGAACGGGAAACCTACAAACGACACAGGTGTGTGAACGTTTGAAGGAGACGCATCACGTGGTCGTTTCCTTGCTCAGGTTTGACCAAATAAAAGATACATGATGTTGTTAAAGAATGTACTGTACATGATTGAAATGCTACTCGTAAACTAAAAAAACAAAATCAGCGCTGCCCTATTTTTAGGTAGTTGGCTGTTCCGGCTTAAACCCCATATACAGGTTTATACCCCAAAAAAATCCAGCGATGTAAAACTACATTATTGATTTGCTACACACTAATTAGTCCATCTCTTCAATTTCAATATCGTCATCATCTATATCCATATATTCGTCAGATGGATTTCCCTCATGGTTCGGAATAATTGCGAGGCGATTATGAGGTCCGTCGAAGGTAACACGAACAGTCTCGCCATCCTGTACGCGATTAGCTAATATCATAACCGAGAGGGGATTGAGAAGCTCTTGCTGGATGGCACGGTTCAAAGGACGAGCACCGTACGTCGGAGAGTATCCAATAGAGCTGAGATATTGTTTCGCTTGGTTATCTAATTCCAAGACAATCTTCCTCTCTGCGAGCCGTTCTTGCACCTCTTGCAGACGTATATCAACAATTTTCAATACGTGTTTCCGAGATAGGGCTCGCTGCAATGGGGATTCAGTAAATCGTGAAGAAAATGATGATGCTAAGCAAAAAGAGACTCACGAAAACGATTATCTCGTCGACACGGTTGACAAATTCCGGAGGGAAGTGACCCTGTATAGCACCGAGAACAAGTTGTCTTGTTTCGGGGCTGACCGGTCCATCTCCCATATCGTTGAGGTATACCGCTCCCAGATTGGAGGTCATGATAATGACAGTGTTTCTGAAGTCTACAACACGCCCCTGTCCATCTGTAAGACGACCGTCGTCCAACACTTGGAGAAACAGTGTGACGAATTCTCGTGAAGCTTTCTCAATTTCGTCGATAAGGACAATGCTGTATGGTTTTCGACGTATATATTCGGTAAGTTGTCCTCCTTGATCATGTCCGACATATCCAGGCGGTGCCCCAATTAGACGAGCGATAGAGTGTTTTTCGGAATATTCAGAGCCGTCGATTCGGATCATAGCGTCAGGGGAATCGAACAACAAAGTCGCAAGCTGGGAAGGTAAATCAGCATCGGGGGAGTGAGGAAACAAATACGGAAACTTACCGTTTTCGCCATTAGCGTTTTACCTGTCCCAGAGGGTCCAGCCATCAAGAAGCTGGCAATTGGACGCTGCGGGTTAGATAGACCGCTCCTTGAAAGTCGAATAGCGTTTGCAACAGCCTTGACGGCCTCAGTCTGCCCGACAACACTCTCCGCAAGAATCCTCTCCATGCGAAGAAGTTTCTCTTTTTCCGAGGACATTAGCCGAGTAACTGGAATCGAAGTCCAACGAGCGACGATCTCAGCAATTTGTTCAGGTGTTACAGTGTCTGCACCTCCACCCTGCTCTGCATCTTCTGCAGCCTTCTTTTTTTCGAGCGATTCGAGGCGAGCTTGTAACTCGGGTATGGCGTAGTACTTGAGGTCGGATGCTGTTGCAAGGTCATACCTGAATGAAACGCATCAGAAGTCTTGGAACTTCAATTTGGAGTTCAAAAACTCACTTTCGTTCAGCATCTTCCGCTTTTGCCTTAAGCTCGTCGATCTTTCTCCGAGCCACATTGATTTCATCGCCGCGCTGTTTTTCGCTTTCGTAAGCCGCTTTCAGGGGCTGCAGCTCGTCTTCGACGTCAGCGATGGCTTTCCGTGCAAGTTTGAGCCGCTCTTTGCTTGCATTATCTTTCTCCCGTTCCAAGGCATGGATTTCAACTTCGAGTTCCAGCTTTTTGCGCTGGAGTTTATCGATTGCTTCGGGCTCGGTTTCACGTGTAACACGAACGCTGGAAGAAGTAGATTTCAGTAAGTCGCAGGAATCTCGCTGAAATGAACATAGCTCACCTTGCACAAGCCTCATCAACCAAGTCGATGGCAGCATCAGGTAGCCGTCTGGAGGTGAGGTATCTGTGAGCTAACTGAGCCGCCGAAATGAGGGACCCATCCAATATCTTGACACCGTGGTGCACTTCGTATTTTTCTCTGATGCCACGAAGTATACTGATAGTTTCTGGCACGGTGGGCTCATTGACGACTACTTGAGCGAACCGACGTTCCAGTGCAGTGTCAGTTTCGATGTACTGACGGTATTCTGCCAGCGTGGTAGCACCAATGCAACGTAGTTTTCCTGTGCACAATTAAGATCCTACAGTAATCTTTTCAAACAGAATAAGACCTACCTCGAGCGAGGAGGGGTTTAAACAAGTTTGCAGCATCCATACCTCCTCCACTAGCGCCACGTCCAGCCATAATCAAGTGAAGTTCGTCGATGAAGAGGATGACCCCGGGACCACCATCCTCTGCAGCTTTCTCGACTTCGTTCAGAACTGCTTTGATACGCTCCTCGTATTCTCCCTTGTATTTTGCACCAGCCATAAGGGCACCCATGTCCAACGAGTAAAGTCGACAAAATAGACTCGCCGGTACGTCACGTTTGACAATACGTTGAGCCAGTCCTTCGGCTATGGAGGTTTTACCAACGCCTGGTTCCCCAATCAAGACTGGATTGTTCTTGGTTCTACAGCGAGAATTGTCAGTATAACTGGGTAATAACATCAGACGGGGATCTGGTGTTTGTCACTCACCGTCTACAAAGAATACGAATCGTACGTCTGATCTCATTGTCACGGCCAATGACAGGATCGATCTTTCCTGCCTCTGCTAGTGAAGTAAGATCGATAGCGTACTTGTTAACTGCAAAGTAGGGATAAAGTTAGAAGGTGTTCCATGATAGTGACTTATTTCACTTACGCGCATCGAATCCTTCCTCTGCGGTTTTCGATTCCACTCGACGATTGCCCCGAGTCTGTTCAATCGCAGTTTTCAACGTTGCCTCCGTTAGGCTTGCTTCTTTGAGAATTGACGAGATAGTGGAATCTTTCAAAAGGGCAAGAAGAATGTGATCTTGGGCAATGTAAGAATCGTGCATTGTCTTCTGAATGCTTTGAGCTTCGCGAAGGACTTTCAGCGATGCGGAGCTCAATGTAGTGTCATCTGGAGGAGGACTTTGGGAAGGTAGTCGGACAATTGTCTTTTGAAGTGCCCGCTTGACGATGGAAGGTTCACCACCAGCCTTCTCGATGACAGAAGCGAGCAATGACCCGTCCTCGTTCAGAAGGGAAAATGCGAGATGTGCCGGATGCACTGAAAAAGAAGCGTTAGTACTTGCTACCAAATCAACAGATCTGTACATACCTTGGGCATGAGAGTAGTCCTTGGCGCATTGGATGGCGTTAGCCAAGGTCTGCTGTGTTTTATCGGTAAAATCAAAGTTAGAAGTCATTGTTTTCAAGGGTATATTGTGATGAAAGTCGGATGTACTGAGGGTCTTTTATGCGGAATAGAGCATACTTCGAGGCTCAACTAGAAACTAGTCGAAAGTTCAAGAACTTATGACGCAGGGCGCTTAGATTAGATTGCATAACGGGTTGATTAGATGCTTAATTGTGAGGTAATCAAAATAACCACGTGAATACCTAACAAGCTTCTCCCGCGCTAGCGCTCGGCCTGCATGCTGCTCTGATTATGGACAGAATTTCCATTCCTTTAGGAATATTCATTGGCCTCCTCGCTTCTTTTGTTCAATCTCTGGGACTCACAGTTCAACGCAAGAGTCATGTTCTCAACCAACGTCTTCCGGAACACGAGCAGCGTCTAGAACATCGAAGACCGTAATTATCTGCTGAAACTCAATTTCCTTCACGTCTTGTCTCATTCTGACTTCTAGGCTCTGGATATTCGGCTTTGGCATATTCATATCCTCGAATATTCTTGGCTCTTTGGTTCAGATCGCTTCTCTACCAGTTGTAATCCTAGCACCCCTTGGAGCAGTCTCGCTTTTGTGGAATGCTTTTTTTGCCAGGTTGATCCTAGGCGATGTTTTCTCCTCCTGGATGATTCTAGCAACGCTCTTCATTGCCGGAGGAGCCGTACTCATAGCTATATTTGGCATCGTGCCAGAACCCACACGATCTCTTGAAGATTTATTGGAACTCTTCCGAAGACCGACGTTCGTTGTATATTTCTCCCTGTTGGGCGCTGTGGTCTTTGTTAGCCTTGCAATAGTGCGTCCATTTACTGATGCGATATAGTCTGTTGCTAATAGGTGGAGTCGTACTAGACTCACCTGAACGAGTATCGACTCAACCGCAGAATCGCGCAGACGATTACTCCGCTCTCCCAATCGCCTACTGATATTACTCCTCCGATGGCCCTGGAACCTCCTACGAATCCTTCTGTCCTCAATACCGGGATGACAGACACTGTCACCGATGCTATAACAACCGAACGTACACCGCTTCTGGACTCCAAATCTCGAGATTCTTCGCGTACCCCATCTTTCCTTTCGGTGAATAACTATACGACAAACTCACAGATGCGCTCTATCAATCGCACTAGACTTATGCTCGCCATTTCCTATGCATCTTTCTCGGGCATTATTTCGGGCATGTGCCTCCTCTTCGCTAAAAGTGGCGTTGAGCTTCTGCTATTGACCGTCCAAGGTCACAATCAGTTCTGGAGATGGCAATCGTGGATATTAGTCCTCAGTTTGATCATATTTGCTTTACTGCAACTATGGTATTTGCATAAAGGTTTAATATTAGCTGATCCCACATTAGTTTGCCCCTGTAAGTCGAGGTTGCAGTAGTATGGTTGCTTTAACATCTGATCATTCTTTTTAGCTGCTTTCTGTTTCTACAATCTATCGTCGATAGTGAATGGCCTAGTCTATTTCGATCAATTTTCTCTCATATCTCCCTTACATCTCGGTCTGGTGGCTCTCGGAATTGTCGTCCTTCTTATTGGTGTTTGGGTCGTCAGTATCCAAGCTGGTGGAGAAGGAACTTTGGACGTGCCATGGGTGGAGGGGTGTGCTCTTGACGAAGATCTGGCAGTGGAATCCTTCGAGAATGAAGACGTTCAAAGTCCAGGCGAAATAGAATCTGGTACAAATGTGAAGTACGGCCGACATGAAGGTCGCAGTCCGTCTATGCAGTGGGGAACGCGGTCGGAGCCTACGAGGGGCATCGCGCAATCTCCATTGGATTTGGGAAGACCCATGAGTCCTTCGTCGACCTCTTCTCGATCACCATTGTCTCCAGAATCTTCCGAACACTCATCTTCAAACATTCGCTCGAGCCGTAGAAGGCCTACTACCGTCATTGATACCCGTCATATTCGAACACTATCTAATACCCAATACCATACACTAACTAATAATAGTAATCATCAACATTCTCGACCTCCATTATCACCGACTCTTCCTACCGTCTCCACCCTTGCAGGAACGGGATTCCAAATTGGTCTCTCGCCGTTTTCTCCCGGTTTCTCCGTTATGCCCCTGGAACAGAAAAGAAAGATTAGCAGCCATATCGGGCCAGGCCTGCCTGCTAGCACTAGTGTTGCAAATACAGGTACAGTAAGCAGCGGAGTGCGCCCTATAGTCTATGGGGCAAGACAGAAGGAGGGTGATAGGCGAAGGACTGTGAGTGAGGGAGACATCAAACAGCGCGCTATGCCGTTGGAACGAGACAGAGAAGGTGATGAAGTCCATCACGACCTTCAAGGCGAGAGCGTAGAGGAAAGCGGTGAAGACAGCAATGAAGTTGATGTTACCGCCGTCGGAAAGGGTAAAGGAAAGGATCCTGGGTTAAGAAGACCCTGGTGGAAGAGGATTTCTAGATTGTGACTTTTTTTGTAGTGATCCCACGTGTCTGCTGTGCATGAGCTATTTTCTCAATATCGATGTATCATCTTATCCCCTTACGGGGCGAATTGGTGTCACTGTCCTCTGTTGAGCTTCTTTTGAATCTTTTCCCTAGCGCCACTGGGTATTCGGACCGTAAAGGCACTACAGTGTTGATACTGGTAAATAAAGAATCAAGATAAATAGCGGAATACTCGTCAACTAGCGTCAACATTTCTTTCTATTTAACCCCCACCATGGCTTTATCCCAGACCATTTTGTTCATTCTTGTGTCCACGTCCCAATAACACACGCAGCGCTTGTCGCTGGCGGGTGCGCTCGCACAGCGTCCTGCTATTTTACAACATGGTAGCTCATTTTTGTCCACATCTCTTTTCCTTTGTTATCTGAACCATCCTTCCGTTGCCCAGGTTTTAATCGAATCTAAGAAATATGCCTGGTACGCTGACTTTCCTTTTTCATTTTATTCTCTAGTATCGTTGATTTATGTGCATTATGTCTTTTTTCATTCACAGTGACACCTGTATCAAAGGACATCGCTCGTCTGCTTGCAAACATACTGACCGACCCCTCTACGAAATTAAAAAGAAAGGTCGACCGGTCACTCAATGTGAACACTGTCGTGAATTACGCAAAACGAAACAAGTTCATGTCAAATGTATATGCCATAAAGAAGAAACCGTTGCTGGAGGTGATCAAACCTCTGGCTGCAGCAACCAAGGTGTGTATCTCCACTCCACCTATACGACGACGGTTAGCTTAGCCATAAGTTTACTTCTCTTTTTTCACATCCCGGGTTCCGTTCTGTAGGTGTGAATAAGATGTTGGAGAGCGCCGCGTTTCCTAATGGCTTGCCCAAGGCATTAGAGGCGTCGGTTGCTGTGCAACTCTTATCACAAGGAGCTACCTCTGATTCTGACCTTGGTAGGTTCTTTCCATTTTCATTGTATTGTTACGGATCTGATCCTACCATTGGTGACAGATGGTTGTTCCTGCCTCTCTGGAGACGAGTGTCATTGCTGGACTCCCCGAAAGGCGGCGCCCAGGGTCAGAAGGAAGGGCAAATCTGTATCCGAGTTACCAGCATCAACCCCTTCTCCTTCGGAATCCCAGACTGCTCCGAAGGCCCAGAACTCATCTAACGTCTCTAATCGGCTCGCTGATTTTCGCGCTTTACTGCCGAAGCCTGCGCATGATCCTTCTTCGAGCACAGCTCTTACAGTGGGCCGTTATCACCCCCATGAGCTGTACAGCCCATACGGACGAGCTCATGGTCAACTTCATCCCAATCAGTCTACTCGTCATACCTCTCAATCACCGCAAGTCGACAATACCCCTTCTGCACTTCCAGCTGCACCCTTACCCGATGCTTTCGATCACGTTGATCCTCCTGCTTATCCACCCCGCACCCTACTGCCGACTCACGACGCACGTTTGATACAAGCCGTTCACCCCGAGTTCGACGCAGCTGACATTGAAGCGTGGAACTCTTTTCAGATGACGGGAGCCGCTAACATCGCAGGGTCTCTCTGTGGGTGCGGCGACGAATGTGCATGCCCTGGCTGCATTGTCCACAAGCTGAATGACAACCGCCCCCGCCTCAATGCTTCTAAATGTGGTCAACCAGATGCCTGCCGTAATTGTATAGATTGTGCCGCCTCATTTTCGTATCAATCAACTCGAGATATGCCTCCTAATACCGCATTGTCAATATACGACAACACATACGCTTTACCTGAGAGAGGCTCAATTGATGACTGGATCCGCCAAATGCAGAATTCTATCTCCCCTTCGCAGCCAGGTCTCGTTGCCGACCTATATAGTCAGAATCGGAGTAACTCTTCGACTAACTTTACCTCCAACTCACCCTTCACTATCCCACTACGCGCAGAAGGCCTCGATCTTCGAGACCCGCCTTCTGGTGTATTGTATCCCAATGAATCTGCAGACCCAAGCGTGCTCTTTGGACGCAGCCGCAGTTTTGATGACTTGCTATCCACGTATTCCACCTTTGATACCAGTATACCCCTCGACCTCTCATTGTTCAATGGTAGCAACAGTAACCCTGATATCCTTTCTACCTCCAATTGGAGCCTGGAATCTCTGCAGGATGTGGCAACGATGTCTGACGGTCTGGATTTGGCAGGTCTTTATCGCAGCCGCTCTGCCTCCGAAGTCTCATCGGAAGCGAGTGGGCAGAATCAGAATACATCTTTGGACACTTTCTCAGACTTGGGAGAAATGTCATCGATGTCAATGTTCTATCATCACAATGGGACCGGTGCTGGTGGTGGTCGTTCTTCAGTAAAATCTCTGCCAGATACTTTGGGTTATCTTTAAGGTTCAGTTCGAACATGGCAAAATCTCTTGATTTAGTGTAATCTTTCTCCTTCCGTATGAGTTCATTCACCCTTTTTCTTTTCTTCTCTCAACAGTGCGGTTCCCTTGAAATACTTCTTGCCCTTTCTAGTTCTGTTTTCATTACGCACATCTACTTCCAAGCTGCCTTTGTTTTGCTCTTCAAATGTATGGTGTTGGTGGTTCCTAGGCATAATCGAAATTACCAGTCGCGGTCACTTTGATTGCTTGTGCTCCAAAGGCCAAATTCGCTCTCTGTCATACTATCATACATAGTCACTGTCAGCAGCAAGGCCAAATAAGATTTGACTTACTGGTGCTCCAAGAGGATTCCGAATTATTAGAAGATCAGGAGGTACTGTATACACATTGAGTTGTAGAATTTGAAGAAATATTGGTCCATCAGCATCAGATATTTTCAAGCATTTACTGCATATGATTATGGAGTTCTGCTGGGTCGTGCCATTGCACTGGGTTGAGTTGTATCATGCAAGGATTTGGAGAGTCTATCAGCAGAGCTCACATTGTCAGAGGCGACAATTGGCACGTGATCGCGTATGAATGTTTGTGATCTCGCGTATGTACGGTTGTACGGTATGCCTATCGTGAAAAGAGAATTTGGAGTCAAGCAGAGGGCGCTAGAATGACGAGCATTTGGACAGGAACTGACAGGAACAGCGAAGAAAAATATATTATATCTTGAATGAATGAGTTCCGAGTGTTCAAAAAAGGAGAGCATGAGAGTCTTCTTAAGCGAAGGGAACTAAGGGTCAAATAAATGGAAAAAACTAGACAGTTCACATATAAAGCGGATAACACGGCGAGAACGGCCTCTTATCCTTCCCTCCCTGTCTCCTGAACCTTGGCCGACTTGCTGTCTACAGCTCTTCACGTTCCTTAACAAATCTGGAGGTAAAGAGTAGAAAGAGAAAGGTGTGAGAAATGAGTCGGAATATAGCAGAGAACATCATCAAGCCTCGACTTTCTGAGCCGACATTAGGTGGGAGCAGAGGAAAAGATGCGAATATCATTCACGAAGAAATGGAAGACGACTTCATCAACATTTCGCGTGCCGCGGGAGCAGATTTACATTCTTCCCACACTGGAAATAAAGCAGCGCGCGTTCTGGGCCTCATTCAACCACCTATGTCTCCTGTACTTGCCTCGGGCAGAAATTCCATAGTTTCCACTCGCTCAGCCCGTGACGTCCTTCCTTCAGCCTCTATCACTCCTTCTCTTCCTCTTGCGTCTCTCTATCTCGTCTCTGGCCTACCAAAATCTCCTCATACCTGGACTTTGGCTGACCCAGATGCCGTACTCGGCCTTCATCACTCTGATGGTGCTGTCAATCGCTGGTGGCGTCCAGAAGTTCTGGGCAGCACTGTAAGCCCTGGTGCTGGTGGAGGGAAAAAGAAAAGACGAGGAAAGGGAGAAGAATTGAAAGGTGCTGGCGCTTTGAGTAAAAGTGAAGTCGGTAAAATGTTATCAAAAGCTTTGAAGGTGAGTGCGACGCCACCAATTCACATTGAATGTCACCAAATTCAATTCATTTCGTCTTTTCAAAGTTATCTTTCTGTCGTGAAGTAGAAGTTATTGCCTCAACTTTGCAACCTGCGTCCACTGTTCACACTTTTACCTTCACTCTTCCTGCGCCAAACACCCCTCTAGGTCCCACTCCTTCTGGCGACCTTCTTCGTGCTTCTGTTCTTTCTGATAATAGATCCTCAGTTACTCCGTCTTTCAGTCACCCCTATTATGGCGATCCCTTTGCTAGGCCATCTACTACTTACCTTGGTGGTCCTCGCCCTGGTTCTTCCGCTACAGAAACCCCTGACATGTCTTCTTCGGGAGGTACCATCACTTACCATGGTGTATGTCTACTTTTGTGGTCGCACGCAGACGCAGAAAGGTCCACTGCAATCCGGCGTACTCTTGAGGCCAGTAGATCTCGTAAAGAGTCCAACCAATCGTCTCTCGTCACTTCAAGGTTGAAAAACCTTCGTTCAGACGCTCTTGACCACTCCGACCCAACCTCTTTGGCCCGAAAAAGCGCTCGGAAAAGTGCGCGAGGCCCTTGGGCCGACGCAGAGACTGACGCAGAGACAGAAGCTGAAGGTGGCATAAGCGAGAGTGAATATGAAGTTGCAAGTACCGTAGGCCATGGTCCTGGCGAAAGCACTCTCTTCCTCCCTGGCGACACTGTCTTTTGGTTACCCTATGCTCTCACTCTCGTTTCTCGATACCCGGTGTATGATCTTATGCGCGACTATCTGACGCTCTCGTGGGCACGGTTCTCCAAAGATGTCCAGTCGCACACCCTCCAGATTTCAAAGATACTTGCTCATCCTGCTCCACGAGCCGGCGAATTGATAAGGTTAGACGCCAGCCCGGGCGGTGACTCTGGCAGTGACAATTCTTTGGAAGTCATCGCTCGTTTCCCTGGTGGCCTTGATTTCGGCCGTGGTTTAGTTGATATTAATTTCACGATGTTCCCCTTGTTCAAGTGCCTGAACATTGAAAACATTTTAACCATCTGCGAAGTCAGTGACAGGGGTTCATTATGGCTTCATTGTCGATGTCACAAGCTCATATTCTTGTTTAGATTGCACTAGCACCCACGGGTAGAATTCTGTTCTTTTCAAGGCACCCAGCCATGCTCGGGGTGCGTTCGAACTGTTATTTGAATCCTAAAGGCCTGTACCAACTTCTGGCCTTAGATCGCAGTCATGACTATAAAATACCTTGTGGAACTACGCGGATGGAATGGCGTTGCTCTGCCTGCTGTCCATTCTCGTGATGCAAAAATTTACATCGACGACCCTGGACCTTGGATAATTGGTCTCGCCACCGAGGCCAGGTATAGCGTCCGTCCTTCTCCAGAAGTTTGCATCTGCGACTTGTATGTTTATGATTTGTTTGTTTCCAACATATTACTGACTTTTATTTGACAGAGATATAAACTCTGTGTAAATACTTTTGATCTAACGACTAACAATTTGTTCTTACTGAAGGTTGGTTTCAGGAACTGCATGTCTCCTCCTCCAGGATGCGTTTCTACCAAACAGCAGAGGGAAAGGTACAGGCAACGCTTGCAGACTGCATTTGACCAGCATTATCATCCCGATCATTCGATTCCTGTGTAAGTGTCCCTGTCCCTCAACAATTTATGCCGTGCCAATCTAGTCCACAGCGAATTCAAGGAAGCCTTTCCTGCTGGTCGTTTCCGACCTCTATGCAAAATTCAAGCTAAGCGTGGGGCTTCTGCCGCTGCTGTTGCGGACCAAATCAAGCCCCCCGACTGGTGGCACTCGACGAGAATCATCCAGGCGTTTGATAGCGTTTTGCAAGAGAAGGTGAGTTTATCTATCACTTGAACAGTCTCAAGCTCATGACTTCCTTTCATTGTGCAGTACAAAAAGCCGTCTCTTCTGAGACGCATCGGGATGTTCGGTGCAGTCAAACGACCTCCTCAACTCACCGCTTCTGAACAAATGATTCAACTCTCCATCCGCAAGCGCGCCTCCGCCTTTGTGGACGCGCGCGACGATCTCGAAACCAAAATTGGTCGTCTGTCCCGTAGATTGAACTTCCTCATGACCGAGAGTGATTTATGGAGAGACAAGTTTGTTACCTTCGAGCAGTATGCCGAAAAACTCAGTTCTGAAGCAAATCAACTCCGTGCGAAGATCAACAAGGAGCAAAGGGAAACCAAGAGACTTTCAGGATTGGTGACCATGACTGCAGTGGAGAAGAATAAATTGCAGAATCGTGAGTCTAATAACGAGTCAATATAGTCTTGTCTAGTTACTCACAGCATGGATTTTCAGAACTCAAGGAAACTGAAAGTGCACATCAAGAAGCGTTGAACGAGTTGGCGAAGATGAAGGATGCTATGGACACCATGGAACTCGAGCGTGCAGACATGATTGCGGAAGTAGAAGCCCAGATTGAGCGTGCTTTAGCTTCGATGGCCGTCGGCGTAGATGACTCGGATTACGGTTCCCGTCCGAGTAGTCGTCTGTCCAATGCCTCAAGCGCCCCTCGCTCGCGTAGACCTAGTGATGCCGCCAAAAGCAGACATCTGCGCTCATTTGGCACCGAATCTACTTTAGCGGACTCTTATGAAGGCGGTGAGTTTCGGGGCCCTATTCTGGCTCCTACTGAACGAGCCAACGGCACTATTCAAGAAGACCAAGAGGAAGACGAGGATGGTGCTGATACAGCCGAGATCAAGAGGAAGAAACGATTCTCTGCTTCCGAGGTAGATGCTCCCCAAGACGGGATGGTAGCCGTGGACCAAGGAATCACCGAAAAAAGTGATAAGATCGCACAGAAGGTGTTCGAAATACAAGCCAAGGTAAGTCTATCGCTTCAGTCTCGAAACATGTGACTAACTGTGGTCAAAATTGCAGCTGGAAAACGCCCTTTCTGCCGATCGCCGAACTGCGAAGTGGAGGGGAAATGTTTCTAACCAAGAAAGTGAAGGAGAATTCGAGGATTCTGAATCCGTCCCTTTAGCTCCTCCACCTCGCCCTCCTCGGGCACATCGTAAAACAAAGTCAGGCGAAAAGAAAACTAGGAAGAGAAGCGACACTGCTTCCTCCACACAGACATCTCACAGTACAACCACAACTCAGGCCGACGATGACGGCATTTCTACTCCTCCGGCATCGATAAGTCGAAAGCCACTGTCTGTGAAAACCTCGGGAACATCAACCCCGACGCACCTGGCCACATCCAATCGGGAACAAGCCTCTGTTCGGAAGATTGCGTCTGGTGCTTCCCTCAGTGCAACCAGACCTCTATCACCTATTCAAGGCACTCCTAGTACACCTGCTCTTTCTCCTGGTCTTCCTGGCACCACAGACGAGTCCGACACAGACTTTCAGAGTGCTTACTCGGTCAGTCCTCGTGGAAGTTACCACGAATATGATCAACATTCCATAAGCGAGGAAGAACAGCACGTGATGTCAGCAAGTGGCCTTCCCGTTGAGTTTGGCAAACATGCCCCGGTATTCGTGAAGCCTCATCGTGATCGATTCTCCAGTACCAGCACCGCCACTGCTACTGGAAATGATCTTCCCAGCCCAACTCATAGTGAAGCTACTATAAGCACTTGAAATGTCGACCTCCGCAAAGCCTTTGATTCTTTTGATCTATTCGTTTGTTTTGGCTTACATTTCTTCCGTCGCGTAGTGTTGCTTTCTACATCTTTATCTTATTATATCTAATTGTATATTTGCCTTCGCAGAATCCTTCCGTTATAGTTCTTTTTTACATCGTTCTACATCATTATTCCAAAGCTACCCATCCATTCGTTTTCGAATATTGAACGCCTTCACAACTCCTGCCACGCGTTCAAAGACCCATGATTGGGTACTTTTGTCTGGGATAAAGACGAATTTGTCGTGCTCCCTTCCTGATTTGTGTGCAAAACGTATACCAGTGTCCTCTACAGTAATGCCTTGTACTTGAGTGAGAGGCAATTCCCAATCCAAGCGAAGCTTTTTTGACCAGAAAGACAACACTCGCGACATTGTCAAAAGCACGACGTTGTCACTCCCAGGAGTATCTGTGCAGTATGTTATTCCTAGCAAGTCATATATTGATGCCTGAACTTACTGATGTGTGCGACATAAAGTTCTCCACGATACGCTCCATTATTGAGGTCTCTCATCCAATATTGACCCATTGCTTCCCGGGCTGAATAAGGCTGTGAAAGACATCATTACCACCCACTACTCTCAATCAGACAACTTACCCTCAGTACTTGGTCATGAGGAACCAATCTTGGCTACAAAAATCTCAGTAAAACGCGCCGCCAAGTGTGCCCGTTTGATATGTACTCACCAATCTGACTCGGTCTCGATCCGGACTATCAAACACAGTGGTGGTATTGCGAATACCTGCTCGATATTGAGTATCGAACAAAAACAAAAGGCGAAAGCCACTTGCATACCTTCTGATACGTTAGAAGCCAAATCAAACACCCCGACGACCGGTTTGGTGACAGCACTGCTTGCATTTAGTTAGCAGAAACAAATTCTTTTGGACGGAAGACACACCCGACTAAGCCTTTGCCCATTCCCTTTAAGAAGCCTACTGCTCCTTCAGACTCTGCACCTTCTAACGGTTTCATCAAGACACCTTCCATGGCACTGGCCACACTGCTCGCTAGAGCCTCTCCTCCGGCAGTAACACCGTAACTAGGTACAGGCACTTGATGAAATCGACAAGGGGAAAAACGTTCGGATCCCACTTACATAGCATGCTTGGGCTTATTTCTACGCTGAGTCATCCTACGGCGAGCTTGATATTCCGAATCGAAAGTCGCAGCGGACAATCCTACAGACAAACTGAGACTTTCAATGAGAAGATCCGACGCCATTCGAACTTACCTTTTCCGACACTGCTGGTGAACTTAGTCATACTATCACTGAGCCCAAATACTGTCTTTTTGACGAAACTCGCGGCACCCTTTGGACGCGAGGGAAAGTAAGTAGAAAGTATCATCCGAGATGATATACTCTGACCTTTGCGATACCGATACCTAGCTCCTTGTTTCCATGCATGACCACACCGTTGAATGGTTCATAGAATATATCGGCCACGCCAGAACTAACGTTCGTGAATAAGCCGACAGGATTACCGATGAAATCCGCGGAACCCAAGATCCGGTATAACTGACGAATGACGTCCTGCCGATAATGTAACATTATACGACTCTGAAGCTCTGGAGTTTTAAGTCTCATATCCTTTATAGCGAGCGCATTCATCTCAAGAGGTGCATCGTTGATGTTGCCCACGGCCATAGTAAAAGCATTGAGGACAACAGCAAGCGGGTTTCTGATGCTCAATCTGAAGGTTGAATCTCCTCAGTAAAACGCGAACCGGCAACTATTATATGATTACTTACTTTTCTTCACTGCTGACCCTCTCTGTGCGCATAAAAGACAGCGAGAGTTTGATCGGCTGTAACTCCAATACTTCAAAGTACAGCGTTTGTCCAGTGGAAGTATCCTGAGGTTCCGGTATGTCTTCGCCATGTTCAATGAGAATACTGAGAGAAATCAACATAAAGGGTTGTAAGATATCACTCCGAAGCTTACTCCTGAGTTTCCTGTTCCCATGAAGCACCTTTGATCTGCGTGAGATCATATATTGAGAATAGCAGATCTTCGTCGGCCTCGATTGTTAATGCTTGCAGAAGGATAGAGCAGTATTTCACGAATAACACTCCATGATCTGTGACCATATTAATCAAGTAATTGAAGGCTCCCAAGAACTGAGCCACCAACCTTCATCTTGCAGTAAGATGATAGACGCTTGTACAGTGGGTAGCGCGGCTGAATCCTTTGGTAACGGAGTAGGTTGGAGGATGACAGGATAAAGAGCATCATGAAGCTGGTTGTCTATTTGCAAAGTCCCACACGAAATAGTAAATGACTGCGCTACTGCGCTGTTCGTGTACTCAAGTGTCAATGAGTTTAACGAGACGTATATGACTTCAACGAGTCTTCGGTTTACCAACGATATGCCAATTCCACTGAAATGGATGCTAAGCCCTAACGCAGGAGAAACCTCTTCCGTGACAGCCTCGAAGGATTCTCCGGTACTGGAAATAGTATCCTGTCGAGATAATGATCCGGTGTTGCTTCGCTTCGGTTTGTACAGACTTCGTTCAGCATTGTAATTGGTGATTGACAGTACTTGCTTGTCATCGTCGGCTCGAACGTCAAGTGAGACGGCCTTAGTCTTTTGTCCTTCCTATCTACATCATCAAACCAGGTTCATGCAATGACAATGAAAGACATACAGTGAATCTGAAAGGAATTAGGTCACCAATCTCTAGAGGATCCACGGTTCTCCTGGAGCCATTGATACTAAGGCAAATCTTTTTGTCCCTGGCTGCAGGTTGGTCCCAGGCATAAGAGAAGTTGGTGTGTGGTTTAACAGTATAGGTGGTAGGAGATTTGGACAAGAGGTTTTGGTCTTCTCTCGACGCATCCTTTTGAACTTTTAGTAGGGAGCAGTCATATTTATCATCAAACGAACCTTTTGTGACAAAGAGAATGTGTAGTCGCTGCCGTTTTCGATAATGAAAGGCCAACCAGCTGCGGAAGAGAAATGGACAAAGATAGTCGATCCATCAATTTTGACGTCAACGCGGATCAAACGTATCTGATCTGGGTTGTCGCCCGGGGCCTTGAGTCGGAGATGTACGAAGCCAATGTCTTCTATGTTGAATGGCGGAGACCTAAACTCTACATCAGAAGCCGGAACAAGAAAAGACAAAATGAGTACCATTGGGCATTCAATCCGGGGTAAGCAATGGTCAAAAGTTTCCCTGGGCTTGCCCGAACGAATTGCAATGAACAACGCTCGCCAGGGCTAATAACAGACTTGTCCCTTGGCGCTACACCGTGTTCACGGAAGGATATCGGCTCGGAAAGATTATTCTTGAGAATGAACCGAGGTGTTAGGGTTATGATCTTGCTAAGCTTATATTTTCCGAGACCTTCAGTCCAGGAAATGCCAACATGAATCTCCTCTGTCTTTTGTTTTTGAGATGGTATGACGAGTGCGATTTCCGCTGCGGGGGCTTCCACGCTGATAGGCTACGAAATTGCGGGTTGAGACTCGAAGAAAATGGAGTGGAGCATACGTTACCTTTGACCAAACGGAATCACCCAATTTTAAGGTGAACTCATGACCTTGCTCACTTGCATGAGACAGCACTGTAGAGAGGATAAATGTCTACAGCTGCACAAGCGGCAATATCGATAACTTACTGAATGGAATCGGCTTTGTTAAAGTATCTTTATTGCAGAAATCAATTTTCCATCGAACGTGATAGATCCTTGCGCTCACTTGTATTTGTGTCTCCGGCTACATCTTGCGGTGCGACAGCCCGATTGGGTCGGGCTGATTTGACACCAAACGGAAGTCCAGTCTTATTCATCACAAGATACGGACTGTAAATCTGAACTTTGAAAGCTCCCCCAGAATCTGGATAGCGACTAAAACAGAATTTTTAGCATGGGCCAGTGTAAGATACGGGGAGCGACGTACACATAGTTCAGTTTGAGGTTCAACTTTCTGCCGCTTTGATCAAGTAAAGTAAGACTATTCTCGACGTCGAAATCGCCATGGCCATCAGTGTTGATAATAGTAAAATCACTCGGTTTGAAAACTGGTTTGCATAGGGATGAGCGAACACATATACTATGCTTTAAGTACAAACTCACTTGTATCTTGCACCTCGATGTTGAGCAGAACCAGGTGCGCGAGCTCAATAGAGTGTACTGGCATTATTCCACCTTGACGCAAATAGCTTCTCCAATTCTGATCTGTGTCTTTATCGTACACCCGATATTGGATGTTGTAAGGAAGAAGATTCTCAAGTTCCAATGGCGCACGAAGTTTAAGATTTATCTTAGGGTATTTGCTACATATTTGTCTTAGTAGAACGAAAGGTAATGATGGTGTTCGACTCACCGGACTAACGAGTCATTAGGATTTAGGTCACTCTGGACCCAAGCCTGGAAGCGGAAAGCAGCTTCTCGTGGGTCTCCATGCGGGCAACGAACAGTGAAGTTCTTCTTGGTTACAAGGTCTTCCCATCGGACAGGATTGCACCATTTATATCCAAAGCCCTCTGTAAAGTAAGGTCAGTAGGATAAATGACGATGCAAGTCAAAACTTACGATCTGGTTGAATTCTGACCTTGCTCGTGTTCACGGCTTCGATTGGAAGAGCATAATCCTGACCTGGTGCTACCTTCTCCAATGAATACACTGGATGACCCCTTTCATCAACCAGCGTTACTTCAAGAGGGTACAGAGTTTGGTTTTCCACCTTGTAAGTGGATCTGATTGTCACTACCTTGACGTTGTCCTCTACCTTGACCTCGCATAGTAGACGATTGGTATGTTTTTCCGTTCTAGGTTTTAGTGGGAAAATGAATTCACCCTCCCGGTCAACGGGAATGCTGCGAAGATGTTCCCAAGATTTGTTCACAAATCGGATACCAATGTTATGTTGTCCAGAGCCCGAAACGTGCTAGAGGAATGGTTTAACCAACACATAGCGCATCCCACAATCTCCCTGCTTACCTCTCGCATTGTCTTCCAGTCATCAAAGCGCCAATCAATGGTCTGATCATGAGACAACTGCACTCCTGTTGTATCCGATTCCTTACTATTACTGCTACCATCATTATCGGCCCAAATGAATACCGGATATCCAGTACGGTTTCGCATACGATAAGGGGCATAACTACCCCGAGCCTTTCGCAGAATTTGTTCGCCCTCTTGACTCCACAAGTTCACAGTAGTCATACCCAATTCTGCGAATGTAGTGCTCAAATTGAGATCGAGTCGTTCGCGAGCCGATAAGTTGATATTCAAAGCGCCGCTGGAGTTTTCCTTTGAAAACGAAACCGAGAAGGTCCATGGATCGATCACTAGGATGAATAAATGAGAATTGGCAATATAAGCAATGTGAGTGCTCTCACGGGGTTCCCAATGTGAATTTGTCAGGTTCCAATAGCTTATTTGCGTTGCAAGTGTAGTGATGGCGGACAACTGACGATAATGAATTATGTTTCTGAAAGGAACAGAACTGGGAACTTACATCCCCGGACCAGTCCTTTGCTCCGATGATGAAAGGTTTCACTTTGAGATGCAGCATAGGTTGCTCATGCAAATCTCCAATGAGCACCAATCGGAATCCATCGAAAGACCCCTTGAACTGGAGATAATTCAATAACTTTCCAGATTAGTTTGAGCAAATAAACCTACTTGCTCCTTCGATGTCAGGATACGGGCCTTCCCAACGGGTCTGCTCTGCGTCTGATTCGCTCCAACCATCCTCGAGGCACTTGAGCGGGTATGACGCCCTCCGGAGCTCTTTGACCTTATGGTTGGAGCGTCGAGGCGAGACGCCTGGGATCCTGATTCAGTTGAGCGATTGGAGAGTTCTACCGCTTTATTGACAATTGTGGAAATCAAGGTGATGTCTCGGTATGAAGCGCGGAACACGATCGGTCTTGTGTTGAGCTCTATGTTAGTCATAAGTTGTGACGATGTTGAACGACTGTCAAGCGAGAATGTCAAGTCGAATTCGTCTAGGAATCGTACAGTTTCCGTTGGCCTCCCCATTTGCATTAAGGACATTCCGAGCTGTTTGATGGTGAGGGCCATGATACCCTTTTCCAAACGTCAGATCACATAAATAAGCTTGGCAATAATAGTTACCTGCTGTGATAAGAGTATTTGTTTGATAGAAAGTTGAATGGACTGGGAATCAAGATCGGAGTCATTTTCGAGTACAGATATCGAGACATCGTGGAGGTCGACACGAAAATCGAGAGAAGATTTTCCCGCCTCCGCCTCAAATTGATTTGATCGTGCGATGTCCACCTTTTCTATTTCATGTTCCGACGTGTCCGATGTGGAAGCACTTGTAAAGAAGTCAATCAGGCCGAAGACAAGATCCACTGCAAATATAATCCGGGGTGAATCAATGGTCAGGAGAGCCAATGACGAGAAATCAGCATCGCCAGCCATCGTGTAAAGAATCATAAACTGGTTTCGAGTATGGCTCGCCGCAGGTATGATTTCTCGAAACTTTGTATTCCCAGGCCTAGTATTATTGATGGTGAATGATTTTAGTATTACCTGAACTTCTCCGCCACCGGCAGAGAGCAACTTCAAGCGAAGGTTATTATGGTTTAAGGCGAATCGCGCTATACCATGCTCTTTAAGATTCAATTCTTCGGTAGCGAACTCATCGTATAGATGAAGTTTTACTGTATCGACATCCACCACAAGGTCCAAGGTAGGCCACGATTTCGGGGCATCCTCTGGTGCTACGTCGACCAGAGTTTCACGTCTTTCTTTTTCCGCCAGTTGAGGTTGCGATTCGAAGCCAACCGCGGCTTCAGCTCGAGATGCGCCTTCAGGTGCGCCAGCGAGAACTCTGGAAATAGATTGCGACAACTTGATCAGAAGTCCGTATTGAATTTGAGTCAGATGCAATTTAATGTCAGATATGTGTATAGACACCTAGAAGAACGTATCAGATAGGTGAGGAAAATAAACAAGGTTGTACGCACCCCAGTATCGGGCTGCTCGAGCTCAACAACACGGTCGATGGCTGCAGTCTGTACAACATCGGCCGTGACGTTGATGTCATCAATAATCTTGAGAGCGAATACATTCTCCTTGTGCTTTAAATACGAAACGAGTTGGATCCCTCGAAGACTAGCACTGATCTTATTTATCACTCCTTCGCAGGAGTTCTTCGCGGAGACCTCTCCCAACCGCATGACCATCATATCAGAGGAGCGCATGGGATCAGAAGGGAAGACAACAATTGGTGATTTGATAGAGATATTGAATTGCAAGAGTTCTGTGTCCATATCGGAAGCAGACTGTACTGCCGCATGGGTAGCAGCATCGTATAATCCTTTGAGTTTGGAGAGTTTCGCGAGAAACAAGTATATGTCATGCAGAGGCCTCTCTAGAAAATGGAGCTTGACCGATCCTGCGTCAAGCGAGATGGAAGACTTGATGCCAGCGTAATTGGCGTCGTCTGGGTCATACGTTTCATAGCGGAATTCCGCAAAGTTATGCCCCTCAATCGACATCAGTTGATCGAAGTCGGTTCGTATGGAATGCATTTCAGAGTCATTACTCAGAGCTAGACTTCCCAACCGCCCAGAAACAAGTAATGACTTCGGCCGAACTACCACCGTGACATCAGCGGTTGAGAGCGACAGAGTGGCTATATTAATCATCTCATTCACCAGAGCGACTAGAAGACGGTCAGCGTCGTATGAGTATCATGCAGGAGAGATTTAACGAACCTCGAACACTGGCCAAATTCACAGAAACTTTGATTTTCCTCTCATTTTCAGACGTCAGTTGTGCGGAGAGATTAGATTCGCTGCTCGAGACCTGCGGGTCTAGCTGCGGCGAAGAGTTATCAGATTCAGGGACAAATGTTGTCATAATGAAGTCGTAGAGCATCAACACTGGCTCAGGTGCAGCGTGGAAGATGAAAGTAGATATTTTGACATCTACACTTTGCTCGATTCCGCCATAGACAATGGCAAATTCTGGAGATTCCTGTTGGACGCGAACGTATGCAACGCTCAACAAGTCTTTTTCCTCGTGCGATTCCGTGGACATGAACTTCATTGTACCAGATTCACCTTGAACCAAATCCATGGACATAGACCTAGATAAGATAAGATAAGATAAGATCTCAATCAACGAATCGTTTTTGGTGCTCCCTACCGGAGATTTACATCGACCTTCATGTCGTATTTTGCTAGACCAAACTTGAGGTCAAAGCGTTCAAGGGTCACGCTACCCAATTGATCTTCGCTTCCATCTTGCCCGTTTTTCGATAGCGAGGCTCCCAGTTGGTCAACTTGAAATGTCAATTCGAAAAGACGCTGGTGTATCTCTGGATGCTTTGCATCACAGTTTAATCAGCGATATTTTTTAAAAGCAAGCAAGCCACCAACCTCAGCCACACCGTCATCAGCTTCGAAAAATTCCTCTTCTCCTTCCTGAGAACCCGAAGTGTTTGCAGCGTTCCTGTCACCGTCATCATCTTCATCGATATTATACTCATGTTCGGCCTGACTGAAAAGTGTACCGGCCACAAGAGGGAAATGCGTTATCTCAAGTCCTTCTGTAGGGCGTGATGAACTTTCAACTTCATCGTTGAACTTGGGAACACAAACGTCCACCAGACGCATCAGAGACTTGTATTTCGTGTCAGAAAGATTGACTTGAAGACTTGGCAGTTTTCCCGAAATTTTGAAGCGAGCAAGATTGAGAGCGGCTGGAACTATGGAATTCTGAATTTGGAGGTCGATGCTTATCCGCTCCAAAAGGTGAAGTGTGTCGTGACTATCGGCTTTTAATGCTTCGCGGCATGAGCCTAAATCATTCCCAATTACGAACTGGGTAAAGTCTGTCATCAGTAAGGGCATAACGACAATAGTTCGATTCCTTACTTGAGCGGATTTTAGTCTCAAGGACATTTTGTCGTACATCAAATCTTCCAACCGTTTGTAATCCTCGTCACTGTATTTTTGCGAGCGTTTCAAATGTACGGCGCGTATCGTGTCTTTATCCGCCAGCTCGCTCTCTATCGCAATATGGCCAGCGTCGATGATGAGATGTCTGCAATTGACTGTGGTAACACTTCGAATCCGAATCAGCTCCGTTCCTTCGCACACAACCGACGACTCACTCTTCGGGAACGATGATGATTGGTGCATCCATGTCCATTTGGATATCAATCGTTTTGTGATTCTGCAAAGCAAACTCCAATCCCGCTCTTGTCTCTTTGCGTAATCCTTCGAGTGTTTGGCTGGCGACACTCTTTAATTCGTGTTAGCATTGACAAAGAAAATGGTATTTCAGGTTTCATACCAAAAGCGCCTCTACCGACTCCAGCTGACTCGCCGGAGGCTTCAGAAATTTGTAAACCGCTTCCACGTAACCCTTGTGGTAGATAATTTCCATATGTCTCATCCGAACTGTGATTGCATTGTCTGCGCGTTCATCAAGAGGATTATTTTCAAACTTAATGAATAGGAAAGGGTCGTCCTTGTCCTTGTCAGTGTCACGAAGCTCCTTGGTATTCAGCTCCTGAACCTGAACTATTTGCGGATGTACGCTGTTTTCTGTCGTTCCGTCGAATACAGCGAAGCTACCTAAAGACACCGACGCTTCTAAATTATCGGGTCGTTGGATGACATCCGCCTGGAAGACGTCAAAATTGATCGAGATGATGTCCTGCGCCTTGTTGTGGGGGCCAGCCCTAAGTGCAAATGATCCTCGATTGAGGGTGGCTTTGATATGAGCTTTCAGTGAATCCCTGGGGGCTTCGAGCGCTTCTGTGACGGCAGATTTTTCATCGTAATCGAGAGCATCATAGAGTTCCTTTCGTTGTTCCTCGGTCATAGGCCCACCAAAGGCAGAATCTTCTTGCATCTCGTTTGTGGATGAAGAAGAGCCCCACAGCCAACTTCCCCACGACTGCTTCTGAGGCTGTTTTGGTTTCTCCGCCTCCAGCCGTTTACGAAGAGCAGCGTCTTTTCTTAATTTTGATCGAGCTATCGACCGGTAGAAGCGAAGGTCTTCATAAGTAAGCTTTCTTTCAAGATCATGCAGAATTTGAGAATCCTAGCGAGGGTGTATCTTGTCAGCTTTGGAGATGACCAAACTTCACGCAAGCATCCTTACTGGTGGAGACAATACATTTAAGACTTTCTTCTGGAATACCTCGACGTATTTTAGCCTATCGTCGCGTCGTTCGGCAAAATACTGCCACGTCCATTGTCGTCGTCGCTGTCGGACATTTTCAAGAATAGCTGTCCCGACGTATTTCAGCCGGGCACGGCCGGCGTTAGTACGGAATTCCTCGTCACTTGGGCGATACTTGCGGTACTATAAAAAATAGATTAATTACTATCTTGGGTCCTGTGAGGGAGCTTACCTGATGCTGTCGTATATATACATGGTACATATCGAGCAAGGAGATGACATCCCGGTACTGATTATCGTCTAGAGCCACCCCAATCTCATTGAACAGGAGTTGTACGTCGAAACGAGGGGTGGCGTTATCGAACTGCTGGTTCATAATTATCTAAATATAAACCTATCAACGGTTCTGCTCCAATTACTCTCTAGAAAGGAAGTTACCCTTCCTTCTCCAGAGACTGGCTTCAGGATAAATTGATGTGATGAATCTTGAGCATCGTGCGCAATCTGGGATCATATCAAGTACAGTCCAGGTACCGGTAAGGCTAATAATAGCTCACCATTTTATTGAATTTCTCGACAGCTTCCTTGAGGGGAAGGCCAGCCATACTGGGTGAATCTGTATCGAAATACAACGCGAGAGATTCAAGTTTGGCCAACTAAAGATAGATAGACAGATCAGATTTCTCATAATAAATAGTGAATGAGTGAATGTTGGACCTTATGAATAGCACCGGCACTGCTTTCAATGAATGTAGGTCGCCATTCTTCGTTGACCGACACAGCGGTGAAGCCTGCTAGAGTGACACCCGCAGCGAAGGGATGCTGAATTGAGAACAAATGAGGATTCAGTTCGATGAAGTACTACGTTGACGTACCCCAGGAACGCTCATCTTGTCCTCATATCGAATATGAATATTCTGAACAGTGATCTGAAGATTGTTGATTATTTTGGCAGTCAAAGATCCCCAGAGACCCTGCTGCTGAGGTGAATCATCTAAGATACACGCGTTATTCGCTGTGAAAGTGATAGGTAATGGAGGACGCACCGGAAGATTGCTCTGGCTGTCCACGCATATGCAGTAATTCCGCATTTTCGAGACGCTCTAACTTGGCAGCTTGTGCTCGCTCTTCCTCTTCTTTAGGATCATATACAGATTGTGTAGACGGAACAACAAGCAGATAGACATCTTTAATCAGTATTTCCACCGGCTGATTGCCAAGGTTCATCCAATGTAAGGACAGCGTGAATTCCCCGAGATGACCTGAGATTCCATGAGGGCGCGAGAATGGATGATAGCGTAGGCAATCGGATGCACACCTTCAAGAACATCAACCGGTAACCTGAATTTGTCTAATGCACCCTTCTTTAATCGTAGGTTGCGGAGTGTAAGTTGCCCTATAACAGGATTACTTTGGCAAATTCGTGAGCGAGAATACAGTCATGCCTTGTCCGATTCCATAATTCACTTGGTTCATATCCAGATTTTCGACATATGGGGCGAGGATCCGGTTAAAGAGCTGTAGAGTGGTCAAGACTAGATCATTCGGGTTGCCTGGTTCCCAAACTCACAATATTCAAGACCTATATGAGCGCATTCATATCAGCATCGAATTGGTACAGAACATTAAGAACTTGCCTCTTTCCCCGGGTCTAGCCACCACATTATTGAGCTATATATTCAAATCGTATGGTGAGGAGGAGAAAAGGCGAAATTTCGAGTGTACGTTGTAAGAGAATAGCGCCTCTTTAGCGCCCAGGTATGGAGTGAATCAATTATCGCGACGTCATCATTTTATCAAGTTCGGCATCTCATATTTTTCGAAGTTTTGAGTTCCATCGGTCTATCCGCTTTGATATACTTACAGAAATGAGTTTATTCACATTGGCACTGTTCCCCTTACGCATACGATTGTATATTTTTCCTATCTTCATCCATCGCTCTAACCATTTATTCCAAGATCAAGTACCGAAGCGGATGATGGATCTCAGAATTTGTAGCCTCCAGGCAGGCAGAGAAAATCTCAGAAGAGACAGGAAAAATCTTGGTTCAGGATCCGAAACTGGTAAATCTTACTCTGTGGTTTCTAGTTCCATAATCTAGCCACAAATCTGGATCCCTTTAACGGACCGTATCTCTCACAGAATGCCCCCGGAATACCCCAACGTGTTCTGGGCGGTGTTTCTCCAGCCTGAGAGCCTCGAGCTCAGACTGCCATTGGTGCCCGCTCTTGCCCACCATCCGATCAGATTTTTTCATTCCGGTTGTACCCGCGTGACCTGCCGTTATTTAAGTGCTTGCTTCAAATTCTCGATGACTATATTCTTTTGGCCCTCCCTCCACCTTTCTTCTTCACCTTACGACCAGAGATGACTTCCGTTATTGTCCCTCAAATGCTCTCGACCTCTCTTCCCCAGTCTCTAGAGCTTGATTCCAAGGCCATGAAGCCTTACCATGAGGTACAACATCGGCCAATGGTAATTCGTCGTGTGACTGACTTGGTCGTAGCTTCAGTGCCTTGAGGATGCAGTACAGGCTTTCACTCAGTGAGCATATTTGCCATTAGAGTTGCAGCGATCATCATCTCAATCCCTTTATCTCATTCAGGGTTCTTGTACAATCGGGACGTTCTACAGTACGGCTACACTGTAGTATCCCAACTTGGAGTGCTGAATCGAATCTATGTTAGTAAAATTGCTAACACATTTGCCGCCCTTGTTGATTTTTATGTTGTACGTAGGTCTCGACCTCCACGACTTGAATCACTTGAGGTCCAAGTCCCTTATGCTTATTCACGACTTGGTCAATTCTCTTCGGTCGTCGGGAGTGAGTCTCGTTATATCCTCAAGAACAAGAGTGCTTAACTATCTCTTCAGATTTTCGCGACCTACTATCTTGCTCCTGCCCATTCACCAATGTGTCTCGTTTGTGCGTCGTCTCCAGGTTTTGACGCCTCGCGAATCAATACGCGTGCTGTTACCATGCTACAAAATGCAAAACTCGACATCGGGTATGTATCGAACGCGCTCATGATCGATTCCTTGATTCAATGATTGATCGTGTTTCTTGTACAGGGAGCATGTGCTGCTCGCTGACTTAGAACGTTGCTCCAGTCTTATCATCTGCTAGCGCCTTTGTTCCTCGTTGTCTTGTTTCTTTCCATTTCATGGACTATCTATTGGAACATTGTACATATATAGGCATCTTGAACACGAATTCAATGTTGGGTCTTTGTCAATCCTGATCAGCGAATTTACGAAGTAGATAACCTGAGCGTCTACGAAAGTATGTACCGGCAGTGCTGTTGCAAACTGAATACAGATACTGTCGTGGTTGTGAGATGTGGTAGCTGGCTGTTGTACGTGTCCGGAGTAGTCTCGACTTGCGATTCGAACGTACCAATGACTCTGAGCATGTGAAACTCATAATTCAAATCACGTTATACATCCGATTCCGGAATCGGTTGAACCGTCCCCAAAAATTTCTTTTAACTCTTCCTGTCATAATAATTACCCTGAGCTCCTTCGTCTCTGACTGTCATGGCACCACTCGCTGACTTCCTTTTGTCCGTCTTACCTGTTTCTCTTCCATCCTATCTTACTTCTTTTATACCCGGAAAGACGCCTCTCTCGACCAACACTGAGGTCCTCACCACTTTGGCTTCATACCTGGCCGTGATATTTGGGATTCAGGCATACAAGAAAAACCGACAACCCCAGAAACTCAACACGCTCTTTCAAGCCCATAATGTCATTCTGAGTTCAGGGAGCTTGCTACTGCTCGCCCTCATGCTAGAGGAAATTCTTCCTATAGTTTGGAAAAATGGCCTCTATTTCGGTATTTGCGCGCCTGAGGCATGGACTCCGGTAAGTTATAGTGTATCCTTGTCTTTTTTACGTGGCGCCGACCGACACCTACAGAGAATGGAATTTTACTATCTAGTCAACTATTACTTCAAATATCTCGAATTGCTGGATACAGTGTTTTTGGCGTACAAGAAGAAACCGCTTGGTGAGTTCCTGCCAACGCACGATTCTTGATCATCGAACCTTACCTGCGTCTAGCATTCTTACACGTCTTCCATCACTCTGCCACTGCTTTGCTCTGCTACTCTCAACTTGGCGGCAAAACCAGCATTGTAAGTCCTTACTCGCGCGTTCATTGCCAATTTACTGACTCATAGTCTCGCATTCAGTCCTGGACCGTGATCACACTCAACCTGTCCGTGCACGTTCTAATGTGTAAGTGGACGTTTCGTCCCTCTCGGCACGAATGCTCATATTGACGCGACAGACTACTATTATTACGCCACTGCTGGCGGGAAGCGAATTTGGGTATGTCCCGCTCATATTCTATCACCAAAGTTGGCTCACTCAATCGGTTCAGTGGAAGAAATATTTGACCTCAATGCAGATTGTTCAATTCATAATCGACTTGTTCATCGTGTACTTTGGCAGTACGTTCAGGCTCCATTCACTTACATGTCCGTTCATTCTGATATAACTTCTTCCTCAGCCTGGCAACACTTCGCATTCAGATATCAATCCCATCTACCTCATGTCGGTGATTGTGCCGGATCAGAAACCGCTGCACTTTTCGGTTGCGGGCTTCTGACCAGCTACCTCGGGCTTTTCATCAACTTCTACATCCAAACTTACAAGAAGCCAGTCAAAGGATCAAAAGCCACGAATGGACATGCCAACGGAAAAGCGTGAGTAATGCTGCTTGGTCTCCTCATGTACTATGGCTTAATGTCCATACACATAGTGTTAAGGCGGAGTAGGTGAAGGGAAAAAGATGGATCTAGGGTGGTCAGAAATAGACAGAGACGTTCGGAACCTCACACAAAAACTTTCATACTCTTGGTATCTTATATACTATTGTTGTCAATAATACCCTTAGAGTTGGAGATGTATTACCTTAGGTGATGTCCTTAGAGCGATGCCACACATGAACAACGAACTGACCGTCGGTCCAACGATGACGGTCTACACCTTATCATTTATTGTCGTTATTGTTGAGCCTCAGTCGAGAGATTGCATGGAGATTCATGCTTCAAATTACTCTGTTATACGCATATATGTCTCATCTGTTGTACACATTCCTCTTATTGCTCTTGTTCCGTTAGCATTGAAGAATCTAAACAGCTTTCAGCCAACAGTGGCGGTGTGAATTCGGTGATATCAAACAGTTTCAACTTCCTTTTGGACTCCCAATTCTCCTCTTATTTTTTCTTCAAATGGAATCCTGGGGTGAAGTTGAACAGAGTGGTGAAACGAAGGACTTCATTGTTTCGGCCGAGTTGTATATATCTGCTGCTGCTGGTGTAGCTCTACGACGAGTGAGTTCTCTTTGCTTCTTATCACTTACTCAAATTAACAATTGCTTCTGTAGCCTCTCAATCCGCGAAAGAAGGGAGATAAACGAGAGTCTGTAAAGCAAGTAAACGGGAACGTGGACGATAAGAAGCTTAAAGGTTCCTGTCGGGATGAAGTCATAAAAGTTCCAAACTTACGCTTGTGTACAGAGAAACCTAGCTGGCTTTCTGGATCTAAAGATCCTCCAGGTGGAGGCCATTGGCGAACAGCGACTTGTAAACTATCAGAACAAGGAGAACGATGTTTATTGAATATATATGTTGACGTGAGTAGTCGTCGATTTTCCTCGAAATTTTCCTTTCTCATTCTTCATTTCATCCAGCAATCCATTATGTGGTGTACTGCCTATATTCATCTCCTCAATCAGACCGACATCCGAGAGGCTTCTACTTCACTTTTTTTCCGAAAAAACTGCTTGTCAATACACTGTGCTGCGTACGTCCAGGATACCTTAATTCGACTCAACCTAACATATGGTTCCAGTGGTAAACGCTGGGCTCCTTCTTCAGGCATTGATGAACCTATATACTTACAGTTCAGTTCCACCAATGCTTGCAATGCATGGCTTGCTCTTCTACGGTCTTACGCTCTCCCAGAAATATACGGGCGATGGTTCTTCCCTACCGAAGGCGGCTCATATCGGATGTGGCGCCAGGTAGATTTGACTGTCATCCAAGGTCGCAATCTCGGGAACAGCAAGCCTTTTGAAACCCTTGATGATGACAATGATTCTGCGTCAGAACCAGATCCTATCGATTTGGATGTATATTGCGATATCTTGTTTAGTGAGACGCTATGCGCACGGACAACCGTCAAGAAAGGAATAGGCTCTCCGCAATGGCATGAGATCTTCCTTTTGTCTGATCTGCCACCTTTTGAAAGCCTTGACATTTGGGTGTGGCAGGAGAAGAAGCTTTTCAAACCCTCTATACTGGGAACTGTACGGATTGCTTTGAACAACTTTCCTCGAGGGGAAGCCATTGAAGGCTGGTTTCCCGTGCTACAGAATGGCTCAATCGCAAGTGATATTCAGGTTGGCGAGCTTCGATTGAAGATTCGAGTAGACGAGTATGAACGTCAGCTTTGTGCTGTTCCGCAATGACTAACAAACCGTTAGAGAAATCATACTACCTTCCAGTACATACCACAAGCTACTTGAGGTGCGACATTTTCTTCCGTCTTCCGAAATATCCCCAATCCTTCCATCAGACCTTCAACGCTCGAAACTTTTTGGACTGGATGGCAGAATTCGAGACAAAATTGAAGCTCAAGTCACTTGGGTCGCAATTGATGGCCATCTCAATAGCGAACAACACAGCGATAGAACAGGTTCAAGAGATTGCTCACAGAGAAGTGGATGGCTCGCAATCATGTGAGTAGAAGCAGTGGAAACAATCCTATCCCCAACGATGTTTATGTTCTGGTGTGTGCTCCAGCCCATACGACTTTGTTCAGAGGAAATACCATACTCACTAAGATCGTGGAACTATGTATGAAATGGTACGGCAAGGCGTTTCTTGAGGCTAGCGTTGGCCCGGTCATAAGGCGCCTCATTGCGGAGAAAGTTGCTATTGAGGTTGATCCAATGCGTACTCCAAAGGGCGCAAAGGAAGCAGAAAAGGGCGTCGATTTGCTAATATACTGGTGCCAAGAATTCTGGAAACAAATTTATTCCGTTCGGGAAGAATGTCCACCGTGAGTAGTTCTCTGCGAAATCTTCATCGCAGAGCTGATTTTCTTTCAGAGAGATGCGTCGACTCTTTTGTACAATCCGTGAACTTGTCGAAGAGCGTTTTGCCGGTGCATTCCAAGAGAAACGCGATTTGCGGTGGCAAGGCGTTTCTGCTTTCTGCTTCCTGCGCTTCATCGTTCCGGCGATATTGAATCCACATCTATTCCATCTGTACCCGGGTTTGTTTTGCCTTACTGTCTCTCATGTTGCTGTAGTTGAGCCATGCCGCAGGTTTGCCGACTCCGCCCGTCCAGCGGAGCCTAACGTTGATTGCAAAGGTTATACAGAGTCTAGCCAATCTCAATTATGTAGGTCGGCTTAAACGCGTTTTCTCCTAACACTCTGATCTGTTTGGTTTGCAGAACGTTCAGAAGGAGGAGTTTATGCGTGGGGTGAAAGGCTTTTTAGCAGACAGCGTCCCAGCCATGGTCGATTACATAGTCGTTGTCTCCACGCCGGTAAAGGATACTCGAACGGGGAAGACGCCTGACTGGCATGAACGCTCCAATGTGATCAATGCCCTTAAACTAAGAGTATCAAGTATGCCCATACTGTATAGGGAGTCTATACCCACACTACCTCACACCTTGGATGTGCCAAGGCACCTAGCTCTTGTCACATCAGCAGTTATTCGCCATTCCCGAACATACTTCACGGAGGATAGACCGAGCGCTGAAGACAAGGATTTGCATGAATTTTGTGCACGTTGCTTCGAAGTGGAAGAACAAGCTCTTCTACGAGTTAGTCAACTAGCCGCGCAGCTATCTGCGAACCAGCAACGGCGGCATTACTCCTTTCCTTACCCATCAACAAATCCTATATATGCTCACCCCTCTTCTCCTGGCCCTTCTTCTCCTTCAGGCCGTTCGGGTCGTCCGTCGACTGCACCTGACGCCGAACATAGTCGAACTCGGCTCCTTCCTGATTCTCCTGAAGTAACACCTAGTGGGCCCTCTTCTCCCATGACGTTCCAGCCCCGAAACAAGCTTTTACACTTCAAATCGAGTTCCACTGACTCCATCGGTTCACGCTTCGCGAAGGACGCTCCATCATTACCTTCTGTTTTGGTGAGCACATCGTCGTCCATTGACGTCGACGATGCTAAACGCAAAAGGGGACTCTTACGTGGCATATGGCGGCGATAGCCTGTGAATGGTTTATGGTATGGCGCTGTACACATGTTTCCTAGGGTATACACATTACATATATATTACTATTAGACTACTGTAATCGTCAGTCTCAATTATGTATCAGTCGTTAGCGACTTTTGTAAGAGCTTTTGGGCTTCCTTTGCCACGTTTTCAGATGTACTTCGCACCGTTAGACGACAAAGCTATCAGCTGGTCAGAGAAAAAGCAAGACCCCAATATCGGGACGACGCACTTTTGCTTCCTTATTGGGCTCTAATCGCAACAAGCATCCGACTTTGCCCTCGACAGATGTGTGTAAAACTCCAGCACCAACCAAATTATTTGGATTGGGATCAATGTCGTCCAGAAGATTGAATTTGTGACCAGCAACAACCTGACGGAACTTGGATAGGTCAAGTTGACCAGCGTTGTTCAATGTAACAGGGAAGATCGATTGAGATTCTCGAGGGGCGCCACCTATCAGTTTCCATCGTTCGAAGAAATCAGCTTGCCCAAGTTTGACATGCTCAAGGAATTTGGTGAGTACGATAGGCAGTCGTATCGAGGTTGTTTGATGTGAGCCTGCCAAAAACGACACTGTAAGGATTGGGGGTGTGGAAAATGCTTTTTTGCATTCAATGTGCAAAAGCTGTTGGGTCTGAGTGCGAGGCGCGATCACATTTGGAGGAAGCTTTGCGAAAGTAACAGAAAGAGCATCTGGGTCGTCAACATGGACAGCAGTGATGAAGGAGGTCAACGGTGTTGGGACCTTATTCCCTATGTATATGGCCAACTGTCCAATGTGACCTTGATATCTGGATTTGATTCCGATCTGTATCTGAACATCCTCAAACAAGACACCCTCGGAACTGAACATTAATTTTTCATACCAACGGTCTATGTTGGGCCCGACAGCCAGATTGGGTCGCTCGCTCGAGTTGGCCACTTCTGTATGTCTTAAGTCCAGACCAACCAGTGAACCCATGACATCCTGGGTCGATGGCGCGCCAATAGCAATGTGAGAAGCGGTAGATCCGTTGGCTTGGATGAGGGTCTTTCGCCGGGTCAGTTCCCGGTCCACATTGGCGTCCTTCCCACCGTGAATCCAGGTCCGCTTGTCCTCTGTGTCCCCTTGATCCTTGTTCAAACGACCAAGGAGCGCGCTGGACCGAGGAGGGAAAGGCGGCATTTCCTCGCATACGTTCTGTAAAAGTTCATCCTCTTCCGGCCGCTGAGCTAAGGCATAAAACTCGCTGGCGCGTTGCTGGAGTTCTGAATCCAGAACATGTCTATAACGTTCAAATATGAGGACAAGCTGGGGCTTGATTTCAGGGAAGACGTTGACCCATTTGATATATGTTGAAAGCAACAAGGAACGAGTGGCAGCCATGCAAAATTGCGATTTTGAATGCAAAATATGGAATTGTTCGAGCGGACTATAGCCTGGTTCATTGGCAATGAGATGACCATATTCCCCTAAGATATAGCCTGTATTCATATTGTCAGCAGGATTTTTCCTTCGAAATTAATCATTTCTCACCCCCAACTTTAACCAAACTTTCGTGAGCAGTTGGTGCCTTCAGATGTTCGAATACAACTTTCGCAGCATATTCCTGCAGGTCCTCCGTGTTGGTGACGATTTGAACAACTCGATACCAGACTTCTTCTCCTACATGATCTCCGGCAGCACTAATTAACCGCAAAATGGTATCAACATACCACTTGTACGATGTGGCATACTTCTCAGTCAATATGGCGATCTTGAGTACCATCTCCTCGCGCAGTGCGTAATCAGCAACTCTGAGATATCGAAGAAGCTCCCCGACAATCAACTCGGAATTGTCGATATCGCACATGCTGTACAAAAGATCAAGAGCTCGTCGTCGAACTGATATATCTTTATCCCGCAATGAGAGAATGATGGTACTTTGGTGTTTCTTGAGGGGTTCGAGGGACTCGGCCCTAGCCGCTAGATGAGCCATAGTGTCAAGGCCCAGATATCTAACATTTGTCTCCTTTGAGGAGATGAAACGTGCTAGCAGTACGGCAGCAGTGTTCACTAAGGGTGAGTTAGTGTCAAGGTGAATTGCTAAACCGATAGCCTCAAATAGGACGGCGTGTTGGGCATTGTTATGCTGAACATTGCGGGAAGGTTCTGCGCTATTATCCATGGTGGTTTGCAGGACCTGGTGCAGCACTGAGCGAATGGCTGGATCCTCTGTGAGATAGCACCAGTTTAGCTGATCGAAGATTAAACACGGCAAGATTGGCTCTACCTGAAGGAGGGTAATATTGAAGTAAACGTAGAAGCTTGACTTGCAGCCAGGGTGAAGGTACTCTGTAATATGCATAAGTAGCAGAATACTCGTGCTCAATGACAAGCTGTGATTCAAGTCAGTGTGAGTTTTCCGAGTAGAAAGAAGTGACTGACACGATTTAGTCGGTCTACGGCTTTCGTGTAGGAAACAGCATAGGCATGTAGATGATCTTGGGCAAGAGCCATCACAAGACTTGTAACGCATATTACGACTCCCTGGAACGGCATGTTAGTTTGCTGCAATACACGCTAGTCTGAAATAGGTACCAAATCCTCATCGTCCATGAGAGAAATGATGCGAAGAGCCCATTCAGCAGCAGGAATGACATCGGGGTGTTTGCGATATAGCCTCAGCAGTGTCAAAGCAGCTTTCTTCTTGACGAAGCTTTCTGATGTTCTAGAGGGAATTCTGTAAGTACGGACTGTAAGGCAAAGTACGTGAAATATCACTGACGGAGAAATGAGGAGTCGGTGCACATCTTCTGCTAAAGCCTCGGCCATTTCACTTCCTCCAACGTTTGCAATAGCATGTAATGCGAGGCAATTGTCGATCTCGTTGTTTCCGTGCAAGTCTTTCCGTATAGAATTAACCACTAGTCGTAAGAAATCTGAATTTTCGTGCATTAGCAACGTGACAGCAAGATATCCCTGCATTTCATTTCAGCAAGAGAAACCCCAGCGATGAAAAGAGTTTACAATCTGCTTCTCGCTATATTTCGGGCTGGAGATGAGATTCACGGCTTCCATATGCCCAACGTCGACTTTGTACCCAAGAATATACGTGAAGATGATTTTGGCCACATATCTGCAGCGGTGGTTCAGCAAGACCCCGAACGGTCTGTAGGAGTGAATTGTACTTTTTCTTCTGATATCCGTCCAAGTTACCGTCTTTTGAAACCATCAGCCTCAATCCACGACAAATTGCATGGCATGCATGCGCACCTTTGAACTTTTTCCTGATATTAGCCATTTCCTTATTGATTCTCTTCTCTTCCAGTTCGCGGACCCTCGCGCCTCGGATGTCCGCGATGAACTGTCCACAGGAATTCAGTCTCTTCCGGCTATGGTACAGTATAATTACTTGCCTGGGTCAACCCCCGCATTGTGGTGGCCATTGTGGTGAATAAACGAGAGAGCAATCACCTTGAAAGTTGAACAAATTGGATTGAACAGCGTACATATAATTCATTGTTACTATTTAGTATTACTCAGAGGTGCTATGCCCCCACGTGCAGTGAGCGTTACTAATAGTTGCAGATATATGAGTGGAATGGGCTTGAATTTGTACAGTAAAATTAGCGATGTGTATACAGATGAGTAGTTAAGCAAAGATAAGTAAATCCGGCAGCATGAACGATGTGGTCTTACTGAAGCCGACGCCAAGCTCGTCCGGTCGGTGTGCTAGCTCTCGAGTTGAACTGTGAATGTGAATGCCCAAAAGGTGTGGTATAGCCGGAACCAGGATAACCAGACCCGGAAAATCTCGGGGTGCCAGGTCTGGTTAATGGAGTGCCAGGTCTTGTGGCTGGGACCGAATCAACACCTCGTTCAGAACTATACTGGTTAAGTATGTTGACAAGGTCACGACTGAGTAGATCAAGCTCCTTGACTTCCGTTTTTGATAAAGAGTAATCTCTGCTGTCATCTATGGTATCGTCTCCAGATTCTGAAACCTCCTCTTCTTCTCTTGGAAGCACTTTTAAATTCCGATGTTTCCGTCCACCCATCACGATACCCTCAAAAACCCTGGACATGCAGCTGTCTAAGTACTTGCGGAGATCGTATATGTCGTCTAGGGAATCAAGGTTGCCTAAAAGGTTGAGCCAATTGTCGAGCATAAGCCCCTGTTCTTCTTTCTCCATTTTGTGTGCTCCGAACAAGGCAAACAGCAAAGGCTCAAGTCGGGTTGTACCCACAAGGAATGTGGAAGATGCACTACCGGCAGAGACGTTTCGACGCTTCTCAACAAATGCGACTATCTGTTTCGAGAAATCTTGGTTGCCTTCCAGGTGCTTTGGGTGATTAACGCTCGAGGGATGTATCATAGTCGCCTACACATAGTAAATATACTTTTTTGTAGTGTACCGAACAGGAGCTCACCTTTTCCGTTTGCGTGCGCCAGATTCTGTCACTTGCACGAACAGCAAATTTCGGTTGGCACGATATAGCGATCAAAGACGCTAACAACATCATTGAATCGCCATTCTGATTTAGCTCAGGTGGGATTTCATATCTCGAACCGTCGCCAAGTCCACCACCGGCAGAGATATCTATAACCCCAGCCGAATATAAAGACTGCAAAAGATGAGTCTTCAATTTCTGGATCAAAACCAATGTGGGCTTTGAGAGGAAATTATCAACAGTGAATCGGTTCGCGCTCTGGTATTGCCGCGTCGACTGCATTTCCTCCCAGGCGTTGTAAGCTCTAAGAGCTGTAAGCGGATCTGACTTGATACCGGGGGGGCACCATTTGTTCTTCGCAGCCGCTGCAACTTCTTTCATGTGCATTGGTGATATGAAAGGATCGCGGTTTGTCAGAAGAGCAGCAAGGGTCAAGGCCTGGTCAAGACATCGGAAGAAACTGCCCATCAGCACTAAACGACCGACTTGCACATCCACAGGGATCTGCAAAAGAACGCGACCGAGAGAGGTCAAGTTCTTGTGTTCATCAATGGCCCCCACCATCTGCAATGTCTTCATAGCAGCTGCGACTCGATCGGTCTGAGGAGGCTCAATAGTGGCCTTCAACACTTCTTCCACGCTCATACCAGGGAAGTTGAGCGCCTTGATGTGCATGACGACGTTACTCAAGTCAACACGACTCATCTCAACGGTTTGGTAAGGTTGTAAACTCTCGGCATGCTTTTGACTCAGCACACCGTAATACTCCCCAGGTCGATGCCTCCCAGCGCGCCCAGCACGTTGGTTCAAGTTTGAGGAACCAACCCAGGCGGAAACCAAAGACGATATATGCTTCTCGGGGTCAAAGCGTTGCTCTTTCAGCCTGGCAGAGTCGACGACATAAACAACATCAGGAATAGTAACGGATGTTTCAGCTATGTTAGTGGCAAGAATAATTCGACGTACGCCCTCTTTCGGTGGATCGAATATGACTTGTTGTTCAGCCAGAGGGACACTGGAGTGAAGGAGGTGAATGGAATACTTTGGATCATTGAAATTGATGGAAAGAGGACCGGGAGGGTTCAGTAGTATTTTCTGCACAGCGCTAATATCATCCCAGCCAGCCAAAAAGGTTAGAACGTGGCCCGAATCCGAATTACTGAGTACATGTGCGATAGTAGCCGCAATGAGAGGATAGGGAATTTCGACCTCGCTTTCAGATTCGGCGTTAATCCGAACTGGGTCGAATTTCTGTAACGGCACATATGGCGGTAGTGCCTGAATTCCCAATTCCCGAATGACATATTTGACAACATTATCCTCGTTGAATAACCAATTCGACGGGCCATTGCTAACATTCTGGAGGAAATCTTCCAAAAAGTGTCTTTGCACCGGGAACGTACGTCCTGGTACTTCAATGACTGGCGCAGGAAGATTGTTGTCATCAGGGAAGTAATTTCGGAAGAGGGTAGGGTCAATAGTAGCGCTCATGAGGATGATCTTCAAAGGTTTGTTTCGCGCTTTCCTGTCGTCCAGTAAGCGCTTCAGAACAACAAGTAAGAGGTCTGTGTCAACATCTCGTTCGTGCACCTCATCCACAACAACATGCGTTATAGAATCCATCTGGCCTTGTCCCTGCGACAATGCATTCTGCAACATCTTCAAAAACACACCTATGGTGCAAAAGTTGATGGAGCCATGAGGCTCAGGAGGCTTGGCCTCGAAACGAACGACATAACCCACGGAGCGGCCGAGTTGCTCTCCTCTCTCGTTCGAGACACGATGGGCAACACTGAGCGCGGCCAGTCGTCGAGGCTGTGTACATAGAATATTGCATTGAGCACCTCGACCTTTTTCGATGAACGAATCGAGGAGCAGCTGGGGCACTTGTGTCGTCTTCCCTGAACCAGTAGCAGCCATGAGAACGGTTACGTCGTTGGCTTCGATCGCAGACAAGATCTGCTCTGAGCGAGAGTGAACGGGAAGTGATGCACGTGTGGCGCGCATACGCTCGAGGGAAGGGTCTTCGTTGTATTGCTTCTGACGCTCGCGTAACTCTTGAGATTTTTCTGAAAGGATGGAACGATTGGGAACGCGGTAACGTGTTCCCATAGCAGTTATACTATCTGAGATAGTCCCGGAAGCGAGGGCAGGTCGGTTTTTGTATAATTCGCTGGACCTGAGGTCAACGATGAGGTCACGGATCCGGGCCTGTAAATCGTGAGTGAGGTGCATGTTTACTCGTTGAATCTGGGTATAACCGGTAGACGCCTTTTCTTTGAAATCCTTCCACAACTGTGGGTCACATTGTTCAAGGTAATGCACGACGTCAAGATAACATCGTTGCAAGGATGTTTTTTTCGAAGTAGCGATACCCATACCGATTTTTCGCGATTGTACAGTCATCACGGTTTCCCAAGTATTGCCTGAATTGGTGTATGTGATTTCAGGAGCAGCAAAATGAAATCTGTGACAGTAGTAGTCCATGAAGTTCCTAGCTTGTTCGTAGTCTACGGAAGTACCATCACTAAGAGCAGTCATATCTTTGCCCTTGTTGCCGGATTTCGCAGGGTAGAGCTATTTGAAGTTAGTATGGAAATACATTGAAAAGGGAACGAGCACACACCATACTGCGTTGTTGTAACTCACATATCAAGGCTAGAGTAGCAACTTTTCGTGACTCTAGTTCAGATCTATCGTCACCAATACCAACGATAGGTGATTGCGCAAGGATTGAAGCCTCGGTTCTAATCAGAAAAGTGAGAAGGACGAGAACGTTGATTTCGTGAAAAAGCACACCTGAATATAGTTTTAAATTTTTGCTTTTGCGAATGGCTGTCATCATCCTTCACTCGAATTTTCGTAATTCTGTAAGACATGGGTTGACCGGTGAGATTGAGAGAAACATTGTTCGGTAATGACATGGGATCCTTGACGTGTTTAGGTTCTATAGTAGAAATAACATCGGAGTACTTTTTGGTGACGAAAGCACGATCTTGAACTTCATTCACAAAGAGAGCGTCGCGTGTAGAGACATGGGTCGCCACGAGCGACTTATTGCCAACGGCTTTCTGTTTCTGTTTGGGCTGCTGATTGGAGGGCTGCGCGGAGGATTTGGGGTGTGATGAGGGCATTTTCTGAAAGTCGAAAGAGGGAGTGACGAGGAGAGGCTCTGTATGATGCCTGTGATCAATTTTGGCGGTTCTGGCGAATTTTGTGGCTGCACTGGCGAAAGTAGCTTGGTCGGAAGTACGTTTAAGAGAAGATGAAGCGGACTTTGCGGTAAGGTCTAATTGCATGAGGAGGCGGCGCCTGTGTCGAAGAAATGGAGCAAGGCGCATAAGGAATTGTAACACTGAGTTCGAGAAAAGAAATCAGGTCCACCGAGTGAATCCACCACTTGACTGGCTTGCAGAAGCTTGCAAAGAGTCGTCCATTAAATTATCGAAAATTTGGTACAGATTACTAAGCAAAGTGTATTATTATACTCTCTTTAGTTTCATTATGTATTTGTTCAAGATTTTTCCATTGCCGCCTTGCGAATACCGTCTAGATACTTCAATCGAATCCCAGCCTGCTTGGCTTCTGGCCATCTTTGCTGTTCTACTAAGGATTCTATCTCGGATACTGTATCGTCTATCAGGGCTGAAAGATCCTCACTCAGAATGCGTGAACACAAATTGCTTGTCGAGCTCACCTTGGTTTTCCCGTATTACCGGCTCAGCCTCTTCTCTTGTGTCTGCCATCTCTATTTCTTCACGAGCCGTCATTATATCCATTAAGAATTCATTGTCCTCAAGCTTGTCGGTTTCCTCCATTGGGTTTCCGTTAGCACTCAGGATGTACTCGATGCGCTGCATGGGTTGTAGCAGGGTCTGGTACGCATGGTTGACAGCCGATGAAAGAGCATGGGCAGCGTCTTGTTTGTCCTGGAAGCAATAAGGATGAGAAATAGTAACGGAAGACACCCTGCTCTCACAAGTCCTCTGGAAGCCCATGTATCTGGATGACATGTAGCCTGCATCTGACGAAACCGTTGCTTCAGTAAAGCTGTATCAATGACAAACGGATTGGAATCCTTTGGCAAAGCGAATATATCGTGATAAGATGTATCGGATGGAATATTCCATATGCTCCAGCAATTCGGACATGCTGGAAGTGAAGTAGGCAGCGTCTTTGAGCACGAAGGACAAGTTCTAGTGAGCCTGTGGGTTGAAAAAGCTCTGGCAGAAGATAAGGAAATTCTTTGAGCAAAGAAATGCTGTCGAGTAGAAAGTGGAAGTCGAAAAGACATCTGATTCTTATTTGGAAAGTATGACATAAGAGTCGATTTTGACCTTGTATCCACAAAACGCCATGACTGATACACTCCAATGACCACTGTCCCGTCTCCCCCTCCAGTGCCTCACCTGGAGCCTTCCAGTGCTGCCGAACCTGCCTGTCAGCGCCTGATACCCAAATCCCGGTTTCCGTTTTCGATTTCTCTCCCTAATCTTCGTGCGCCACCTTTGTCCAAGTTGAAATGGAAAGGGAAACAGAAGGAAACCGACGTCGAACAAGATTTGAGTGCTGCTGCTGCCGCCGATGACGAGAACGCTGAGGACCCATCGACTATCAAACTTAGTGCCCCTCGTCTAACCGACGATGATGAATACCAGGACAAGTACGAATGGGCAGTGTTGTACGAAAATCAGCGAGGGTAACGTCTTCGTATACATCTTATTCTGTTTTGTAATTCATTCTGGAATATACAGGCTGACTCTATTCTCAATACCATATTATTCAAGCAATTCCCTCCTTCCTTCTGACCCAGCTCCATTCACCATGCCAAGCGCCGTCTCCCTCAAACGCGCTCACCAGCCCAGCGTCTCACTCAAAGAATACCCTCTCCCAGACGGCAACTGGTGCTGGGTCTCCAACTCTTGGATGGTCGATATGCGCTCCGACTCTGGCGAAGTTCAGCACGATGGGTTCGAGTACAATTGGATATTCCGTACACATCATTGGCACCCTCAGGTTGGTCCTCTGAGTGCTGCTGGATGGGTCCGTCGACGACGCTGGGTTCGTTTGATGATGCGGCCGGGAAAGAAACGAAGGATGGTGACTGAGGAAGGAGATGGGATGAATGACGGTCCAACACCTACGATCACGTCGCTTTCGCTTCGGAGTAGCTGGAATGGATGGGATAAACGGTTATCAACGACTCCCTCTTTGTTCACAAATACTACTAGTCAGAGAGATACGTTCTATCTGCCGGAAGTCTGGCAAGGAAACGTCGATGAAGATTGGGTATGCTTTCCTATGTCCTACGTTCAAATTTATTTTCACGCGTGTTGTAGTTCATGTGTCGAGAGCTCATGAAAATGGCAACATCTGACGGTGCCAAATTGGAACTTTGGAAACGATGGCTTGGGCTCGCAGAGTCTACTGATCCCTCCGAGACTATTACCAAAGGAAAGCAAAAAGCAGAAGGTCTTGACGACGATCAATCATTCGAATGGCCTTCTGTCCCCCCTTTGGAATACGTCATTGCTGTTATTCGTTCAAAGGTAAGTCCCTTCCATTTGTGTCAAATCTTCCATTGACTAAATTATAAATATGTATTTACCCCTCTAGTTGACCACCATCCTCAAAAACTTTTTCGTCTTCCCGGAATCTCGACGTGTCTTCATCGAATTGTTATTCAAGGCAGAAATATTCGACCGAGTTAGCGGGCTCGAGCATAGCATGACACTCGTCAAGGCTTTGGACTTTTGGAGCTTGAATAGCGAGTTGGGAGATCTGAAATCAATATCTTCTAATCACATTCGGTCGTCAAAGAGCATGGACGTCTAATACTCACTATACCCTACATTCCCTCATTTAATGCATGTATATACAACTGGAGTATGGAGCAAATGGTTTGTAAATTGAAAGTATACGTTTACGGAATTCCACATTGTTAACAGTCATAGGTTTCCTACCCTCCATCTTGCCTTTGTTCCTTCTGGAGTATTTTCTTTCCTTTGAAGAAGCGCTCACATATCTACTTATAGGTACAGCTTTTCATTTATGACAGAATTTGCTGTTTGGCGCCGCGACACTGCCTGCATTTTGATAGATTCATGTTAATGCAAAAGACACTTCGTTCTTTCGCTACCGCCATCATTCACTAACACCTTTCCTTCCCCGGGCCTCCTTGGAATATCTTTGTTTTAACTCTCAGTGTTCCTCTAATATCCACCCTGCGTCTCATCTTCTAATCCGATGTCCGAATCACCTCAGCTCGGTCCTCTCCTCGAGCCATTAACAGCATCAGCCCATGCTGTTTATCCGGAGTCAACCGCCGAGTCGATCTCTTTCACTCCTGGACCCTCTGACAGTGCTCTCCCACCAACTCCATTCCTCGTCCTATGCCTAGAAGACTACCACTCCGATGACCCTATCTATCTATCCTTCCGGAAGGATGAATTGCTTCTAGTGTTGGACTGGGATTCGAGACCCGGGTGGTGGCAAGCCCAGAGAACTCAACCCTCAGAGTCTACGGATGAGTCCAAGACAGACATCGATATTGCGATTGGATGGATACCTCAGGCGTACGTGCAGCCGTTGCCGGCGGAAAATTACGGGTTTGAGCAACTGAAGACTGAGGTGCGTACCGCAGATCTCTGGATCCTACTCATATTTAAATTAAGTCGGGTTTTGCACTAACGTCCTGGCCATAAGATGAATTTCGCATTGGAACCAGGGATGCCCGATCCTCCGGCCAATCCTGTCGTCGACTACTGTGACGATTTTCTACTATCCACTGATGAATGGACGTATTCGGAGCTTCTGCCGGGCTCGAGCTCTAGGTTGAACACAAGGGTTGAATTGAAACCGAAACCAGCTTCAAGTTGGAACCGTCAAGTCCGATTCATTAATGACTCGGACACTGAGTGTGATGACGACATCAACCTGGAAACCTCCGCTGTCCCCGTTCCCTTTGATGCCTTGAAAACACGATATACGGGAGGAGGAGGAGATATACAGCTCCGAATTTGGATAGCCGGAGTGGAAGCGAATTCACTTCGTCGTCGATTAGCTTCACCATATTACCCAGACGAGAGTAGTCCAAACTCCGAGACGGGTGGTCCGAGTCCTGCTTTGTTCAACGGAAGTGAACAGTTTAGCATCAATGGAGGAGCGTTTAATGCCGTTGGTGGGGATATCCATGAGACCAAAAATTCTGGGAACACATCGTTCTTCAACTGCATATTCAATTCGAAGTCGAGCTCGGATCCGAGAAAACAATCTTCTTCTTCAACGACTACTCCTCAGAATTCTAAGTCCCAGGAGAAGAAGAGGAAGCGGCGATGGTCTATTACCAAGTTCACGCATATATTCCATCACGTTTATCATCATCACCTTCAACCAGCGGTGATATATTATCCCATGTCATGGATGATGTATTATGTTCCTTGGTTCGTGCCGTGGTGTCAGAAATGTGCAGTGATTTCTTAGCGCAGTCCAAGTAAGGGCCTACCTACTCGTACTGAACGTCTTTTGACTTGAAATTTGGTATGTGATTCATTCTGGATTTCTGTGACGCGCTTTCAATAGAGTGGAAAGTAGCTGAATATGTAAGAGTAAAATTGCAAGTGCTGGCTGTAGGGGTTTCAAGTTGTATATTTGTTTGAGCTATTTCTTCCTGCTTCTTTTCTTTTATAGTTTCCTCTCTCAACTTTGATTTTTATTCCGCGTAGACAAGTTTCCTTTGTCGTTACGATCGGTACACTACGGTATCATGTCCTGTATTCCTTGATACATGTGTCTAAAGACAAATCTCCATCTACATGACCCAAAATGTGTTTGAGCCCGATCCCCGCTTTTCTGTCCCAATGTCATTCGTGTTTCTAGCGCTTTTCCCCTTTGTTTTCCTCTCCGCTTTTCTCTCTGCTTCTATTTCTCGACTCTTCAAGTAGTTGCTCGAACTTGAAGATTTGATTCAAACACATTATGTTCCAATACATATATGATGGGTTCTCTGTTCTTGCGCCTGTGCCATCTCCTAAAAAGCAAGCTGCACTTTCTGAGCTCGTAGTGTAACCGCGCGACCAGTCCGTTCAATAATAATATTGACCCCAAACTGTTTACGCTGGATCTTTTTCTGGAATTTGTTTGCAACAAACGCGAATGCAGATTTTTCTTGTGTACAAAATTCTAGTGACCATCGACATCCGCGGGTCATCCGACTTCGTGGGAATTTGAGCTACAACAGCTTTACTTCCTGCTTCTCTAGCCGAAGCGAAGCACTAAGGCCTAAGGCCTATCAGGATTCTGGATATATCAATTCTAAAGCTCAGACGCATACCGGCCTGACGTTACGGCCATTCCACGATCGACGTCGATCGAGTTCTTTCACCATGCCAGCAGAACAATCTGGAGATCGAATTATCTTGAAGCACAAAGTACGCAGCGTTACAATGTACAGGTTCTTATTCACTGATGCGCATATACTTACCAGGGTGCTAACGGAGAAATTCTGCTCTGTGGAACGACACTTATATACTGGAAAACTGCAGACAAAAGCCACCCTAAGCCTTCTGAGGATCTCTCCGAAAAACCCGTAGGAGACCTCGACGACGCCAAGTTTCAAGATACAATACCCGCTCTCTTCTTATCCTTTGAAGATGCTACTGATTCCAACAACCCGTGTTTGGATCAGCTTGGCTTTGTGGGGAGGGAAATTTGGACTAACGAGGCTGGGGTATATGTTCCATTGAGTGGGTTCTTTCACAAAGCTCAAATCATATAAGTTGTACTTATACATACATTATCTCAGCACTTGAATCAACCATTGCACCACTCAGCGAACCCTTTATTTCCTACGCCGTGCACCGACACCTCATGAACCATAAACCAAAGACTCTTCTCTACGTCGATGATACCTCCACAGGTACCTCTCCAAAAATCCTTTTCTTTCGTCTCCGTCTAGCTTTCTTCCGCGAATATACTCCCACTGCAGATTCCTGCGGCGTAAAAGGTGTTGTCGCGGAATCGGATTCGATTCGAGATGAATTAATCCGAGCATTTGTGACCAAACTATTTGATCCTGATTATGAAAAGAAGTCGGGAAGTTCCCCGACTTTCTTTAAAGAAAGTGAAAACTTCAGCATCAACGGAGGAGTATTCAATGCCGTTGGTGGAGATATACTGCACAAGACCACGACAGTAAATACGGGTGACAATAATAATAACACATCTTATATCAACTGTATATTCACCAACTCGGCTCTTTCGCAATCGAAGAGTTATTGTACAACGTCAAAGTCAGGGAAAACAGGTTCGGACGAGAAGGAACCACACGAGGAAGAACAAGAGCGCGTATCCAGGACACCGACCTCGACTCAAAAATCCAAAAATACCCAGAAAAAAAGTAATACCATTGGGAACACTGGGAACACTGATAGGAAACGGCGCTGGTCTATTACGAAGTTCACACACCAAATCATCCACCATGTTCATCATATGTATCATCACTACCTACCAGCGGTGATGTATTACCCAGTGCCAACTTGGGTGGTTTACTACGTGCCTTGCTTCGTACCTTGGAGTTTGAATTTTGGTTTGTGATAGTAGGTGAGGTGTATGCACTAGTATAAAGGGTAGCCTCTCCGATACTCTGATCTTTGATCTCTCTCTCTCTCTCTCTGTATCTCTTCCACTGTCTCTGTCACTGTCTCTCTCCCTCCCTCTAGACCCTCTATCTCTTTGAGCTCTCTTCCTTCCCCTTCCTCATCACTTTTTTCCACGTGGGCAATGGTTTCCCTCATCGTCGAAACACGATCGGTTGTATGCGCATATGTGATGTTTTGATATCAACAATGTATCCTTATTATAGTATACCTATTTCCATTTGTACAATTCAGCGACAAGGAATAACTTGCAATACATGGGATTAGAGAATTAATGCGAAAGCGTTAAAGGTTCGTGCCCCCTTCTTCGCGAATAGCGGACAAAACCTGTTGTCCGATCCACGTCTTTCCAGGCTCTACCTTCTCAAAACCACGTACGTATCCAGGTTCCAGACAAACATACCGTTCCCTGTACATTAATCCAATTAGATCTGTGACATAGCAAAGTCAATGGTGAAACTGACCAGCCTCCATCTTCCATATCACCAATCTTACTCCCAACCTCTTTCTGCGGATTCCACACCACCACATCTTTCAAATTAACACTCCTCAACTTGACCCCACCCCCGGGCCACGTAACTTGATAATTCTGCGGCGCATCCTCGTATACCGAGTCCGTTGATTTCTTTACGTCTACACCAGTACGCGTCTCGGTTTTAAGTCCTTGATGAACGGGATCAGTCTTGTCGAAGTATCGGAGATTTTGAAGCGGATGGATGAGAACATCGTTGGAGGAGGGAACACGGATGTAGTTGTGGAATAGGGCTTGAAATTCGAGGATGTCGGATGTGGATGCATTTTTAACGTGGAGATCGGTGCTGAGTTGGTGCTCGGCGAGCGTTACGACATAGGTTAGATGGAAGGGTTTGCTGTATACTGCTGTGATCTTGGATGTAGGTTCGAGTGCTGCATAGGTTGTTCTATGAATAAGTACAATTCACATTATGATCTGTGGCGAGAATACTCACTCAATCTAACAGACACCCCAGCCTCATTATCCATCACAAGCCCATCCCATTTCCAAACCTCACTCCGTGCAAAACCATGCTGACTTAGACGCGAATGGTCGGGATGGGTAGGAGCTCCAAAGCACGGAAAGACAACCGGTATTCCACCACGAACTGGTTTTGAGCCATCGAGGAGTGCTTTGGACGATACGAAGAGACGCTCGAAAGGCTCTGGGTGCTGTTTGTCTGCGACTTTCCAGGATATGACTGTTGCTCCGTAGAGCAGGATTTCTGCGCTGGCACCCTTAGTATATGCGTATCAGTGTTTGGGAATTTGTACACGGATTGCTCTTTTGCGTACTTTGGGGTGCTTCAAGGTGATTTGGCCTCCGGATTGTTCTACTGGCATGGTGGTAAGGAAAAACTTGAGATTCTGACGCTGCTTGGTGTCAATCGAAATGACGCAGCGGATTACTTAAAGCCGATAAACCCGAAAGTCATGATTAGTATTGAGTTGATAGGTATCTCCTCCTCCTCCTCCCACTTTTCGCTCGACGTCAAGTATTGCTAAATTTGCTGGCCAAATTTATTTTTTGTACCATTAACCTGCACACCATGACCGGTATCATCTGTATCTGTTAGCATCAGATTAAGCTCAGTTGATTGGTGTCGTTAGAGAGATGAGGTTATGGCCGAACGATGGGGTATGCTTCACCCCTCGTAGCTGTATCACTCTCTCCTCGCCGCCGATTCGCGTTACGAATTGCACAGTCCCCAGTCCTATGATCTGGAACCTCCCTGCCTCGCCTGATACTGCGCTGTTCCCCCTTGTCCTGCACTTCTGTGTACTCAACGAAGTCTGCCTTGTTAACCCAGCAGTGTTCCGACGCGCCGGAGTCAAGGAACGTCTTTATTGTAGGCAATAGAGGTGAATACAGAGAGGTATGGCCATGTCATATGGTACAATCTTTTGATGAGACCATTGAATAGCTATGTACATCCTCTATCCCATTCCCAGTCTCCTTGCGCTGATCCCCTCCCTTCAGAACGGTATGAGCTTGCCTGTTCATCGGGTCAGCGTCTGGGACTGGGCACTGATGGGTTTCGGACGTACTCTGCTCGCTGTTCGCTTTTACCGACATCACGTAGGTCGCCATAGGCGACGTGAACTCTGTTTTGTCGGTTATCGTTGCGTTTGAGTTGGTATTCACCCTGGGTTTGGCATTTTGTCTCGGTCCCTGGCCTTCCATGCCTCCACCTTTTGCCCAACACTTCTTGGCAATGTGTCCTGCCTTGTTGCAATTGTGGCATATGATCGAGGATCTGCCTCCTGTCCGCGAGGTTGGCCGTGCGTCATCTGTGGGTATGCATGGGCTGCCATGAGCGCCTTGACCCTCTTCATATCCCTTTCTTCCTCCTTACGTTCTTCCTCTCTCTGGTACCAGAGTGTCTGGAGGTACGTGAATGCTTCTGTGCTCGAGGTGCCGGGGACGGTCCTAACGTCTTGTCTCCAATCGGGAGGCATCGAGAAGATTGTGATCTGACGGAATTGGGCATCCGTCATGGTACCTCCGAGGTCATGTACCTTTCTAAGGAGGTTCCGCATTTTCTTTTCGTGGGCCTCCATCGTGTCCGTCAGCGGGTCGAATACTTTGTGGCGGAGGCTGGTTTCTGCCAGGTGGATCCTCTGCTCGTCGTGCTTCTCAAACCTTTTGATTAAGCTCTGCCAAATTTCGGAGGCTCTTTTTGTCTTGTCTACGCCTAGGCCTATGGGGTCAATGATGTTGGATACTATCACCCCTGCGACTAGTCTATCGCGTACTTCCCACTCCTCTGGGTACGGTGTAACACTGTACGCCGGGGTTGGTACCACCTGATATATTGACCTCGGGTAGTTTTCTGTGGTTGGGGTTGGCTTCGGGATTGTCCCATCCATGTATCCGGTCAGTCCTCGAGACTGCACTGCAAACAATATCTCACGCTTGAAAGGTCTCCAATTATCCTCATCGATGAGCTGTTTCTCGTCCGGTAACCTAGGTATGTTCACCATACTTCCTGTCGACATCTTTGCTAGAGATTTCTGATTTTGTGTTCTTTTCGCTGCGGGTAATCTTTTTCGGGACAAATCGGAGAACGAGTCTCATAATCTGTTAGCGTAAGATCAAGCTAACGGGTATATCAGTAAGTGCGGATATCCTGATATGCTATTGAGCTCACCTCAGTTGATACAAAAGCAACTGAGGGAGCTCGAGTACTCCGCCTGCGTGATCTACCTACAACTGTACAGTACCTAGTAATCTTAAACGGCGTATACGGAATGGGAAGGTCAAAGCTGTGTGTACGTACGGAGTTCGCCCCAACAGTATCTATCTGACCGTCAACACACCTCATCAACACAACGACCAATCACGCTTTCTTTTTTTTTTTCTCAAAAATTATCAACCATGGTCTTCTTGCCATCATTAATGCACCTTTGCTGCGCGCTCATCTTGTGGTCGACTCTGGTTGAGACCATAGCTACTCCCATGAATAACCTCGCAATAGCACCTCCGGCATCACTCGAACTCAGTTAATTACCAGGGCACCCCGAGTGGACGGGATCTCATCCTCGGCATTATACGCACCCGACTAAACATCGAAGATGGATCAGAGGTTGCTGTCAGTCGCCAATGAGATCTGGCGCCGACGATGAGAAGCTCAGTTGTGCTCGGGGCGTTGCGTTGCTCCGCCCACTCGCTCTCTTCGCCCGTGCAGTGAGAAATGAGAGAGAGAGCGACAATTGTTTCCATAAAATGCTCAGAATATCCGACCAATCATAATTATCGTATGTTGAGGACAAACGGCCTTTGTTTGTAGAATAGATGGAACACACACAAAATGAACCTTCTAGCATCCACTTACCCTCCCAGAACCCAGAACCCAAATTCTAGATAGTAGCATACTGTAGCATATTTTCAACAAATTGTATTTCTTGTGACATGATCACATACTGTACAACACAATGGGGGAGCGGGGACGTTCTCAATTCATAGTTATAGTGTTCGTAAGGTCAACTATCTATGCATATACCTTTCTAAGCAGGCTCATGTACCACGACATCCATAACAGATCTTCACCCACAACAATGGTCAGTCGCTGTCTACATACATCGAGCAAAACAAAACCAAATCAACTCACCTCAAATTCATTGCTAACCCACTCTCTACATCCGTCAACGTGAGCGTATCGATCGAATGCACACCAGGAGACACGGCGAGGAACTTCATCCTGACGGATTGACATGCAGAAGGTAACAAGGGTCCAATACGAACTCGGTTTTCGAGTGGGAGAACGCCTGGGTCAGGAATTCTCGTAGACAAATCCTTCATCATCCCTGCTCTTACATTCTCTGATCGTCGTTTTCCAGGCCCTCGACTAGCTGCAGTCAGAGTTTCAACTTCTCGCCTCTTCCTCCTAGATCGCAAATCAGGACAGCTTATTTCAAATCTGCGTGTCCATGTAGACCGATTAAACACGAAAATATCGAGAATAAATGTTGAAAGGGGGTATATTAATTCTGGTTTCGTAGATGTGGTGTGTTTGGAGAAGTTCAATGTATCTGCGTTGAGGTTATCGCCCTTGGACGGGTTTTCGTGGAATTCTGATGGTGAAGAAGGACGCGAGGACGGAAGAGGAGTTGATGATTCGAAAGATGTTTTTGGAGGATGGATATTTTGTTGAGGTAGTATACCGACAGAGACAACAATTGACTGGCTTCCGTTCCCTCCATCAATATCAATTTTACCACCATATTCATCATGCCCACCCCCTCCCTGTACATCACCATCGAACGCCTTCCCCGTCCCTGGCCCCCCTCTCCTACCTGTAGGCGCCGGAGTACCAAATCCGATTGTGGGGGCTGGAGTCTGCGGGATCGCACTCGGTATAGCACTCCCCAACGCGCTTCCCATTCCTCCATAACCTCCATACCCACCATATCCACCACCAAATCCCATACCCACACCCATCCCTCTCTCACGCTTCACCTCCACACTAGGCCCGACGTACCCCACTCCCGACACATTCCCGCTATTCGGTGGAAGGTTTCCGCCATGCGGGATCAGCGGTCCTTGGGAGAGCGGGCTAGGCGGAACAGTGGCGGCGGCGTTGTGGTGGGATTGTAAAGCACCGTGTGCTCCGTTGATATTATTTGGAAACGCAGGATACGCAGGTGTCATTGGAGGTGCATTCATTGCTGCATCAGGCGGTGTCAAACCCATGGCTTGGTCTATAGAGGGTGGGATCGTTACTGATAATCCTCCTCCTCCTCCGCCTCGGTCCTTGAATGGCGGTGGAGGCGGCGCCTCATAAGTCGTCGGAGATCTCAAATTCTGCGCTGTTATTGCTGCACTCACCGACGGAGGGGTGTATTTCGATGTCGATGCACCCGGCGACGAAATTGGTAAACTATCTCTTCTTTGTCTACCCTGCACTCCTCCTTTGGCACTATCCCTCCGCTCCCTCGACGGCCCAAGAGCAGATCCCGGACGCTCAATAGTAGAGCCTAGATTATGCCCTAAGTTATACCCAAGGCCCGGACCAGCAGATTGAACATGCGAAGGCAAAATTCTCGGAAGATCAGGCAACGTATGTCTCTTTTCCGTCGTTGCCATACTAGTCGTAGCGGGTCCCGAGGCTGAAGGGAATGCTAAAAGACCCAAAGAGCTTTTTCTGTTCCCTGATCCTGATCCCAATCCTAGATCCAACCCGAACCCAAGAGACCCTAGCGCCCGACGCTCGTTCGGAGAGACGACGGATGCAATGGAGGGAAACGATGAAGAAGCAGGAAAATTTGAAGACGCTGCGGAAGTGGAAGGTGACAAACCCATATTCGCAGATACGGGAACAGGAAATGGAGATGGTGGTTCCGGTAAGGCATTTATCGTCGGTAGAGGTGTATGATCATAATCATCATTTCCAAAGTCGTCCCTTCTCCTGGGGACTTGTTGTGACAGAGATAAATCCAAAACGCAATTCCAACGCGAGACAAACGTAGGAGTGGGGTAGTGGTATTTGTTGGATTGTTCTCCTGTACCGGCAGGTACAGTGATGGTGGTATTACTATTAGCATAACATGGTTTCCCAAAAACCTCGATCGTCACTCCTCGTTGGAGAGCTTTATCGGGGCCACCGCCGGGTTTAATGCCTCCAGTAGGACCTAAGACGCCTGCACTAGGGAGATCGTTCATTCCTACACCTGTAGTTAGATTGGCTGCTAGACCCATTGAGCCGATTCCATTCAAGGCAGCATCTTCCTGTGGTGAGTGCAGGAATGAGACAGCGTATAACAAGTTATGCTGTTCATGCGGAGCGAGGTATAAGGGAAAGCTGGCTTGACTTTCGGAGGAGGAATGTTGTTTTTTCTTTTTCTTTCTCTTTGCCCCTCCTTTACGAGCCAAGGCGTTCGCAGTATCCCATCCAATCAACCTCGCAGTAGCTCCTTCCTCCTTCCCACCACCTGCTGCGTTCCCAGTGATCGAGATGTCAACTTTTTCGACGATGAAATCTGGTGCATCTGCGGGTCGGTAGAACGGGTCTCCTTCTGTTTCAATTTCAACGCAGAGGACGACCGTGCGTTCTGAGGCGCCGGAGGTTAGGCGGTCTGGGTCTTCGTCTTCGCCGTAGTTTTCCGAGTTTTCTTCTTCATCGTCTTGGTTCCCGTTACCCTCATCGCCGCTATCCCCTTCATTACCAAGTTCAACATCCTCGAAATCCTCTTCATTCTCCTCCCCTCCTTCGTCCAATAACACCGCAGGCACAAACACCGTCCTCATCCTAACCTTAAACCCACTCGCCGTCTCCAGAATCTTCCTAAAACTCTTCCTCAGGACCGGTTTTCCTCGTCCCCCGATGGTATGTTGACGGTTATGACCTGTAGTGCTTAAAGGTGCACTAGGAAGCGCACTTTGACCTGGAAGAGGCGTAGGCGTGATCATCGCAGACGATGTCGGCGTCTCTGGTTCGATTGGAGGGAGAGCGAATAATTTGGCGCGAGAGATCGGTCCCAGACGTGTTGAGGGAAGGGTGAGTTCGTCATTCCCGATGTCAGAGGACGTGCCCGTTTTGATCTTGGATGTTGGTCTCGTAGGAGTACCTGTTGGAGTGCTGTTGTTCGTCGATGGAGGGCGTCTACCCAGGGAAGACGCTGGAGCAAACGTCGGTCCGGCGTAAAGACCTGCAAGGAGGTTGATTTCAGGAGGACTAATCTCTGTGTCGGTCTCCGGAGTTGGGTTGATTTCATTATTATTATCATTAGCGTTGACAGGAGTGGAAGGTGAAGTTGGAGAGATAGGATCGCCAGGAGTGGAAATAGCATCAACAGATTTGAGATAGACTGCCAGCGGGCTTTTAGAGGAAGCAATCGCTAATGGTTTATCGCGCAGTGTTGCTGAAAACGTCAGACAGAGGAGTGGGGAGTTGAAATTGAGGCGGAGGAAAGCTTTGAAGATATTTATCAGAATAGAAATTATGTATATAGTTGTACAGACTCACCAATGTCCAGCACAGTCCTATAGACTGCAATCCAAGCCCGGTCCCTCTTCGACCAGAGTAAATAAAATCCCTCTCGTTCTTGTTCAGTACCCTCAGAGTCTTTATCCTTCTGATCTTTCCTGTCCAACAACCCCGTTCCACTTCCACTAACATCCTGTCCCCAAATTCTAGACGTCAACACCACACCTTCCGCCTGTAAATATCTCTGGTCCACAGCAGCAGACGCTGGCATAGGATTCGGCGTCGACGGAGGTAAGATCGACGGATGGTGTGACGCAGACCCAAAGCCCGAATTCGGTGACAACAACCCACTGAGATTTAAATGAGTAGGTTTCTTGATACTAGACGTTCGCGGTGGCGGTGAGCTCGGTATGTTTGGATTTAGACGCGACGACGGTAAGGGAGATGCGGATACGGTGTATTCAGAGCTATCGTCATTCGGCGCGATGGGCGAGATGTAGGATGCTTCGAGGAGAATTTGGACGTGCGCGAGGAAATCAAGCAGATTCCGAGAAGGCTCTGGAGGGTCTGTGTCCAAATTTTGGGGTAGTTCTGATTGTGGAACGCGTAAAGTAAATAAGGTTTGTAAATGTTCGTCGAAAAACGCTTCTTTTCTATCGATGATGTTGAGTTGGTCTAACCATTCATCGGTATTTGTGCTAGGAGGATAGGTTATAGAAGATTCTGGGACGATTACATCTAGTTCCAAAGAGGTGAATAGGTCTTCGAACGAGGACATGGAGGGAAAGTTTAACTATAACTAATAAGGCATGGGAATTGTTCCCATCACATTCCCAATTTCAATCAGAACGAAGGAAACCGTTTGAGTCATGGGTAAGCACCAGCCAGAAGAGACCAGGCTATTTTCGGGCAGGGATTGAGCAAATTTTGGGTCCTAAATGACGCTATTTTGGGTGGGGTTCTGCAGTAGTTTCCGGGTGCCTCCTACAAATGATATTATCTAGGGATATATATTATTATATACGATTCAGAGGACACTCAAATAACTTATCCTTCCAACAACCCCGTTGGGACATGCACCTTGTGCATCGCTTCTCACTTGCCTGATGATCTATTTTCATCAGTTGGACTTGGTTGACTTTACGTTCGTACTTTTAGAGGTGTCTCTATCCGTTCCGACGACGGAACAGAGGGCAAAAGGGAACCGGATGCAGCCCTTTTACCCCTTTATCTAACGGTGACTCCGAACCCTGCACTCTACCTGCCCCACAACAAATTCCCTCACCATATTGCATCGGCGCCCCTAAGCACTCCCTAAGCTTTTCCACTTGCTGTTTCTATCACACATCTTATCTCGAGACGGTGCCGTGTATCAATCAATCTATCTATCACAGTGCCACAAGTCTCCTGCTTCCACAATTTTGCTTAATGTCTATTGAAATAAGCATTCATTTCTTATCTTCGTACCAATAGCTACCAATTTCATAAAGTCAACAAAGTCCAACTGATGAAAGAAGATCATCAGGCAAGTGAGAAACGATGCAAGCAAGGTGCATGTCCCAAACGGGGTACGTTAATAGACCAACCATCAATATATTTGATACGTGATTGCAGTCACCAACTTGTAGACTCGCAGTGAACTCTTCTTCTCAGTCTCTTTGCTATAACATGTCCAATCAACCTCCACTACTACTGTTTCAACTAACGAGATTGCGCAGAAGGAAATCAAATAATAGATTTTCGTCCGCCTCAGCCTTCAAAACTTCAATCGTGAGGTCTCATCATTCATGAGTTATATCCCGCCACACAGCTTGAATCAAGATTCCTGATAATCTCTTGGGGTCTTTGCGAATATATAAGTTATCACTTCCATCTTACACTACATTATTCCGGTAGGGCGACCTTCTTGTCCTCCTCCTCCTTGTTGCCTTCTCCGAGTCTGACCGTACCTCGTTTGACATAGTGCTGGTCTCCATCAATATCTACACACACTTGCGAGCGACGTAAATTTGCTGGCCAAATTTCTGTACACTTGCAAACCATCAACCGTCACCGGTATGTATCATCAATGGACTGCGATCAGCTGTAGTACTTTACTTGCTATTAGTGCTGTTATTCGACACTGTTTTCTTCACTTTTTGCGTTCCAAGCACGCCTTTTTCATCAGAATCACCGTGATGGTCCACTTGTCGTCTTCGCAACTTTGCCGCGCGTTTCTTTGGTTGTCTATCGTTGTTGGGACTATAGCTGCTCCTGTAACAAATGTAACAGCACTGCGGGAACGACCTGCGAGGGGCAAGTCCAGTTGGATAATTATAGCGTCTCCCTACCTGACGAGCTGGATACCAACATTTAGGACATGTCAAAAATCTCACACTGGGCATTAGACGGACTCTGCCAGGCATACATGTGCCAGAGTATGTGGTCAGACAGAATCAGAAGCCAGTCGCCACGGAGATTTGGAGGTTATACTTTGGTAATGATGGGCTATGGGCTCAGACTGTTGAAAAAGAAGGAGAAGAAGGACATTGGATAGGGCAGGAGGCTCAACGTAATGGTCCAAACGACAGAGTCACAAAGATCGGTCACATCGACTTCGACTCGCATAACCTCAAGAAGGACGTATTACATAGATTTATTGGGTTCAAGGCTGTCTCGAATTTAGAGTTTATCAAGCATGTTTTGGATACGATCGGTACGATGCACGGAGTGAATGTGAGAAGTGATTGGGAGAAATGGAATGGTTTGTATCATGATATGGCAGAGGTACATGGCACCGCAGGGGGTTTCTTGAGCTGTAAGACTTGTCATTCCAATTGTTCACCAATGTTCAAAAACCCCATTTTTTTTTTCATTAGGTCAGGTCATGATCAAACGCATCGGACACGAGTTTTCACCTGGTTTAGATATGCCGAAGGAGAAAGAGATCACTGCTCCTCAAACTGCCAAGGAGGTCCAAACTCCAGTTCACCTTCTCGAGGTTTGGCAGATCTTTTTTGGCGAAAACAAGGGCTTTTGGGCTCAGGATCACCCAAATGGGAAATGGTTAGGTGAAGTAGCTCCTGGAATCTGCAGGGACGCGATTGTGATAGGGACAGTTGCCTCTAAATCGGTCGAATCCTGGGACAAAGTATTGAAAAAACTTGTTGGGATGGAGGCTTCTTCGAACCTGGATTTCATTGATAATGTCTTGGGTGATCTGGACACGGATGAGCAGAAGGAGAAGGGTGTCACTGTGAAACTAAATGGGAAATGGAACGGTTTGCGTCAGGAAATGATACAGCAAGGGGGAAGCGCAGGGATACCCTTCTTTTCTTCATTGAACCATCCGTTTGCATTAACGACAATGCAAGAGTCATCTATCGTACACTCTCCCTCCCCAAAACCAAATTAGAGCTCTGTTGTACCTGGAGAGTAGCACAATTCCCATCAATCAAACTCATAATTCGGTAACGCTATGTAACGTGATCACATTTCGCACTTGTTGAAACAACCACATACCACGACACGACACGACGGGGAGCGGCAGCGCGTTCGCATATACATACCCTTTATATTTAATATTTCCCTTCACTGTATCATATTGCCATGGGCACTCTTTCTCCTTCGTTCGGTAATTTGCGGGTCCAAATCAATCAAATCGACTATACCCTTGCTCCGCCCGGGCCTCTGGACAACTCGACGCTACCGATGGTCCCTGTTTTACGAATATACGGACCTTCAGAAAACGGAAAAAAGACCTGTGTGCATATCCATCAAGTTTACCCTTACTTTTTTGTTGAATACTCCGGAGTTCTGGAGGCCAATCATGGCGAGTAACATCCTGGACTGTTTGTCTACATTCAGCTGAACGTGTACCAGTGAAAAACTATGCAACAAAGCTTAGGCGGTCTTTAAATCATGCAGTTGCTCTGTCACTCCGAAAGGAACCTGCATCGTCAAAATCGCGCTACATTCGCTCAGTTGTTCTAGTCAAAGGCGTGCACTTTTATGGTTTCCATTCTTCCTACTCCCCATTCCTCAAAGTCCTGGTTGCCGATCCTGCTTTGGTTTCTCGGGTAGTAGCTATGATGCAGAACGGAACGGTTATGGGTACCCGGTTTTGTATATACGAAAGTCATTTGAATTATACGTTGCAGTTTTTATCCGACTATGGACTCTATGGGTGTGGTTGGCTTGAACTCGACAATGTCTTTCAAAGGGGGCAAGAAGAAAACGCCGAAGGCATTCAGCAAGAACCTCTGTTTCCCCTTTCCCCACACTTCCGTCAATCGCGAATGACTCTAGAAGTAGATGCGGTTGCTCATCAAATACTGAACCGAAGAGGGCTTTCAGCGCGAGAATGGCACCATAAACTCGAGATTCCTTCCCCTCCACTCCCTAGTGATCCGTTGGTTCTCAGCGTGCGCGAGCTTTGGGAGGACGAACGAGCGAGGCGCCGCAGTCGTGGTTTAAATCCTTCTCCAGAGATCCCGGTCGATCTCAGCGAATCTTCTCGAGGATCAGGCGGTAGCTGGGTAGCTGAAGCGAGGTATTGGGACGAGATTGGTCGCCGTATCGAACAGGAGCGAACCATGACACATGACATTGAAGATGCACAGAGTTGGGAGGGAGCTGTAATGACGACTTTCGAAAGCATTGAAGCATTGTGGGAGGAAGAATATAAGACTTGGAAACCACGAAAAGTCGAACATGATAAAGCTACCCACTCAGAGACGGAAGTCACTGCAACAGTGGACTTACTACCCGGCGAGGATAGTGTGGAGGATGATCTAAACATTGATGTTGATGTTTCGTTCCTCTCAGTGGAGGAGCCGCCAACGGATGACATGGAGAACGTAGATGAAGACGAATATCTGGATCGACCGGAGTACAATCAGCCAGAGGACGAGTTTGATGATGGTGTCGATGACGATGCCGTCTCGCAGAACGGCGCTCGCTCCCCCGAAGGCGAAGAAGATGAAGAAATCTCAGAGTAAGGGTCTGATCCAACCCAGTTCTTCATCTTCTGACTCAGTCCAAGTAGTAACCCATTTCTCGACAACCCAAGTGGAAGTGATGTTGGTAATATATTACAATTCAAGAAGTGGGTCGACGCATTATTACCCATTGCTTCCCTAATTTACGACTATAGTTTGACGAAGAGGGCTATTTCCGAAGACTCGGATCATAGGTGCTTAGCAGTGTTTTCTTCCTGCGCTCTCTTAACTCAAGTTTTCTCTTTTATAGTGACAGAGGGTCTCCGACACCAACAAAGTGAATACACTGCCTTGCCTGAAAGCCTCGTTAGCTGATTATGATTGAAATGTAACATGAAAGGAGGCCAAAATTGGGCAAGGCTAAACTAAGCGGTGATGCGGTCGTTGGCGAACCTACTCGAACGTCAGTCCTATATCAACCTCAAATTCCAGGTGCTCTTTTGACCCCAACAGCCTATTGCCATCTCTTGAAGATCCCGTACCTAAAGCACCACTCCCGATCCATTCCCTTGGAGCCCCCGGAGCACTAATTGGACCTGTTCCAGCAACAATCAAAGTCGCAATACCACAGACGATCTGGTCTCGGGCAAAGATCCTCACACCTAGCAACTATACGTATATGTACTCCAACCCGCCACCCACCACTTCTCAACTTTTATCTACCATCGAGGATTTCGGGCTCAAAAGCAGGATTTATCGTGCTCCATACTACTCCAACGAGAAAGATGCGCCGCTTAGACCGCGAGAGTATGCTGGTCTAGTATATAACCTCAAAGGTGGTGAGGGAATCGCGCTTCTCGATGATTGGGTGTCAGAATTTAGCTCTCAGGAGACTAGCAACAGTACGTTTTCTTATTTCTTGCAAGGTGATTTGAGTGCAGGTGGCTGGGAATATGCTGGAGCTCCTCCCAGTGTAAAGGAGGTTCGAACCTGGCTTCGTTCCTTCGAAGGACAGCTGAAACAACAATTACCTAAACTTCCATCTCGGACACAGGTGAGCTCATCTACTAATACCTTAGGCGCTTCCTAATTTTCACAGATTCAAGGCCCTACGCAAGTAAACAAGTACGGTCTCAAGGCTTCACCGATGAAGATAGAGGGTAGTGTCTCTCGGGGAAAACAGGATATGAGCATCCTGTCGTTGGAAGTCTTTGGTGAGCAAGACGACTCTCATTTCTAATTCATAGTGATCGATATTTACTATCAGCGCCGTCGAATACTGGGAGATTACCTCACGCAGAGGAGAACGGTAACAACTTATATACTCGCAACCAATGTCTTGAAATTGAATAGCGGTTTAGAGCTTGTTGCACTGTTCTATACATTCCAAATGGCCGAAGACGAGGCTGAGCATTTGATACACCATGTGGCATGTGTAAACTCTGCACAATTGAATGCTGCAACACTTCCAGGGATCGCACTCGAAGCGTTCTCGTCAGAACTAGATCTGATCAACTCGTTTATAGACATTGTCATAGACTTGGATCCGGATATCATAACCGGATGGGATGTTCAAAATTCTTCCTGGGGTTACCTCGCAGCTAGAGCTCGCTCATTCGGTAAATCTCGAAAAAGTTTAGAAATCCGCAGACCAGTTTCAATAATGCATTCCAGGTCTTGAGTTAGAGGAACTACTTGCCCGTGCGCCTCCTCGTTATTCTTCAAATAACAACATCCAGTGGGATGCAAGGCATACAACAACTTTCAAAGTAGCCGGACGCCACGTCTTCAATTTGTGGCGAATTATGCGTTCCGAGCAGACGCTGAATATCTACACGTTTGAGAACGTGGCTTTTCATGTTCTGGGCCGAAGGTACGCCACATTGTAACAGCGGTTCTGCTGATATGTTGATGCTCCTAGTTACAGAGTCCCTAAATACGGTCCTTTGATTTTGAACAAATGGTATCAAGGCAAAATTCCCGCTGGAGCAGCCACCTTGACAAGATATTTTGTCCGTCGCGCATCCCTGAATATCGAAATCTTGAACCGATCAGAGGTTGTCACCAAAACAGCGTGAATTCTCTCGCCAGAAGCGCTGAAAGCTTGCGAAGTACTAATCACCGAATTTCAGTGAATTCGCCCGAGTTTTTGGTGTGGATTTCTACTCTGTGATCAGTCGGGGCTCGCAGTTCAAAGTCGAGTCATTCATGTTCAGAATGGCGAAACCAGAGAGCTTTGTCCTAATCTCCCCTAGCAAGAGCGATGTATGTCATCTTGTCCTTCGCGTACTGTTTTTGATTGAACTTTCCGCACTAGGTGGGAAAGCAGAATGCAGCCGAATGTCTTCCTTTGATCATGGAACCCCAATCTGCGTTATATACCAGCCCGCTCGTGGTCCTTGATTTTCAAAGCTTGTATCCGTCATTGATGATATCTCAGGTAAACATTATGTCTTTTCTCGAATGCTGTCTACTCACTACCTGAACATAGAATATGTGCTATTCTACTTGCTTAGGTAGAGTGATGGACTTCCAAGGTCGAAACAAATTTGGAGTAGTTGACTTGGATCGACCCTCTGGGTTACTTGAGAAATTAAAGGACCATATCAACGGTAAAGATTGAAAAGACGATACAACTATTACACGACTAAATCCGCCAGCAGTTGCTCCCAATGGGATCATGTTTCTGAAGCCAAATGTCCGTAAGGGACTCCTTCCACGTATGCTGACAGAGCTCCTGGATACCCGTGTCATGGTAAAGCAAGCTATGAAAGGATATAAACACGACAAAGTCGGTGGTCTGATACAAGTTATTCCTTCTTGCTCAATATCTTCAGGGTCTTACAAGGGTCCTTAACGCTCGACAACTGGGCCTCAAATACATTGCTAACGTTACCTATGGATATACTAGTGCAAGCTTCTCAGGTAGAATGCCTGCAGTAGAGATGGCAGATAGTATCGTGCAGAGTGGTCGAGAAACATTAGAGAAGGTCCGGAGTTCCATTTCCCAGGCTGGATGGGACCTCAAACTAATTAACTTACACTTAGGCGATAGCTCTTGTTCATGAAACCAAAAGATGGGGAGCTGAGGTACTGAAGAAGCCAGTGTCTGTTTGATTTGTTCTTCACCTCTGAATGCAGTTTCATAGGTGGTATATGGTGACACAGACAGCATGTTTATGTAAGTCGCTGCTCGTCGTCTTGTGCTCCTCGTCAACGTTTTAGAAAAAAGCTATATGCAAGGCAAGACTCGGGAGCAGGCCTTTCGAATCGGCCACGAGATCGCGGACGCCGTCACGGCTCTTAATCCTGCCCCCGTGAAATTGAAGTTTGAAAAGGTGCAGCTTGCCTCCTTCGGTAGGTTGACTTCATACTGACCCTTTGTAGGTCTATCACCCTTGTGTGCTTATGGCAAAGAAACGATACGTAGGCTTCAAATATGAAAACGTGGACGACAAAGAACCCGTTTTTGAAGCCAAAGGCATTGAAACAGTCCGCAGAGATGGAATCGTAGCGCAGCAGAAAATGACTGAAAATTGCTTGAAGTGAATGTTCCTCTAGCGAAGTCGGACCACAAACTAATTGTCGTTCGTAAGGATATTGTTTCGAACACAGGATCTGAGCAAAGTAAAGGAATATTGTTATGATTCCTGGACCAAGATATTGGAGAACAGAGCGCCAGTTCAGGATTTCATTTTTGCGAAAGAAGTGAAGATGGGAACTTACAGGTGAACAGCTTGTACATCCCGAATCATCTGCTCGATATCGTCCTGACTCTCATGTAGCGACAAAGGGCCTCCTCCACCCGGTGTGGCCGTGGCAGCGAAAAGAACACTTCTGGACCCTGGTGACGAACCTCAATATGGCGAACGTGTGCCCTATGTAATTGCGCAAGGAGAACCCGGTTCTAAACTCGTGGATAGAGCTACAGATCCCTTGGAATTTCTGCGCAATCCGTGAGTAGACATCTTTTTCAAGCTAACACTCGTTTATCCCTTGCAGTCACACCCAGCTCGACGCGACGTATTACATATCTAGGGTGCTCATTCCACCACTGGAACGTATCTTCAATTTGGTCGGAGCTGATGTTCCCCAATGGTACAACGAAATGCCCAAAGCCAGGCAGATTGAAGTTGCTTCGCCCAGCAAACGAGGGCGCCCTCAGGTCATTGAGTTGGACCAATATAACATAAATGAACACTTTGACCGTTCCGAGTGTCTTATTTGCGGCTGCCCTGCTCTGCAAGGTCAGATCCTTCTACTTTGCATGCTTTCAAACTATTGAATGACCCAGGCCTGTGCACCCAATGCCGGAGACAGCCGCAATCGACCCTCGCGGGTCTCTCGAATCGGATTCGATCGAATGAACAACGTTTAACTAACACCCGCAAAGTGTGTGCATCTTGCACGGGAACGGCTTTAGATGATGCAGTCCATTGTCAATCCCTCGATTGTTCTTGGCTCTATGCTCGCCATAGAGCGGAAGCTAAGATAAGCTTCCTTGGGATTCTACAGGACCTTGTACAAGAACTAGTAGACGAAAACATTCTGGCATCAAAGAAAGAGGTGATCGGCGAATTATCTGAGAAAGCTTTCTGATAATAGTAACTGACGATCGTACAGTGACTTTCCTTGCACTACACAGTTTGGTACGCTCCAGGTGCAGCCTGGACTGGTGCTGTAGGGCCCGAAGGAGGGGCCACAGTTCTGGTCGCCGGTTGAGGTGATATTTCATCATCAACGTTTTGATATCCAGCTGTACTTGAGAAACCTCCTGGCATTGCCCAGACTAGATATGCTTGTCAGTTTCGACAATAAAGCTAGTTGATTGTCTGACACACCAGTGGGTCCGTTGATGTCATTTCCTCGAATTCCCAGTCCAGCAAACTGTGCACCTCTTTGCCGAGCGGCAAGTCCAAAAGCAAGGAAGGTAGGAATCTAGTGATATGTTGGTAACCAGTGCAAGTCATGATTTAAGCTACCACTCGCCTTGACAAGCAGGAGTATAATTGTTAAAAATTTGACGAAGCCTCCTTGTTCGTTTCTAAACATCCAAATTATGTCGTAAAATACTGAAGCTCCAAGAAGACCAGTGAACTACGCGCAAGGGGTCAGCCGAAGCCAAATGCGGGAATTGGAGAGACAACACATACGGTTTGCAAAGACAGAAAGGCCGAGTCAGCATTTTCTTGTGCGTATATACCAAATAGGAAGATTGGAAGGTTGTAGGGCGGAGCTGTAAATCCGGAGAGGAAAAAGGAAAAACCCTGACATTGAATGCCATTATTTCAGAGAACGCACACAAGTCGCGTGCAAGGAGCAAATAATCACCGCTCCGAATAGGGCAAGTTTGGAAGGATCAAGGCCTTGAACAAAATCCATTATATTCTGTGAGTTGGAAGTAGAAAGGAAGGTCAAATTATCTGAGGATCTGTTCGTGCCACGACGGTCAAGAGAGAGCTGTCAAGTACAGCGCGCCTAAGATAGACGCTCTGCTACTCGCATGTTTGATACCATCTTACCCGCGGACTCTATCGAATTTTGTCCTCATCCGGACGCTCTGAACATCTTCGTATGTGGAACGTATAACCTCATTAAATCAGAAGAAGCCATCAGAATTGGCCCGCAAAAAAGAAATGGTCAATGCCTAGTCTTCAGATGCCAATATGACCTGGATGATATCGCTCAAAGTTCATTGTGTGTTCTGATTCTCAAAATCTTGTATTAGAACCTAAATCGACGATAAATATAGCGAGAAAATACAAACCATAGACTATCCTGCGCTTCCGGACATGAAATGGTATCATTAGGCATCAGTGGACCTCTTCCGAAGAGTTTTTCGAGTGATGAAGGTGTCATAGATCTGCTGCTAACAAGGCCACCCTCGGTGTTGCGAACTCTGAAGGAGAGATCCATCTACTCGAATGGGACTCGGAAGAGGTTCGGGATATTGAGTTTATGATTTTTACATCAAACTCAAAATTTTAATGATCTAGTCGCGTCTCGAGGAGACAGCTCGCAAGCGAATCGTAGGATCTCCGGAGACGTTATGCCTTTCTTTAGATTGGTCAAATAGGCGGAATCCGACCTCGTAATTGCCCAAAACCCTGTGTTAAAGATCGGTACAACAGCTGACTGGACTGAAGAGATTTAGGAAAATTAGTGGTGTCCTGTTCGGACGGAGATCTTGTGTTGTTGGATCCCATCACAAGCTCAATAGTTGTCACTGACAAGTGGACAGCACATGAATATGAGCCGTGGATTGCTGCTTGGGATTATTGGAATACGAACACGATATACTCAGGTACTCAGGAGAGGAATTGTCTGCACGTCAAATCTCACAACGCCGCACTCTCCCAGGTGGTGATGATTTCAAGCTGAAAGGATGGGACATAAGGACAGATCTACGAAATCCGATGTTCGTTAATAAACGGTTCGCCTTCTTGATCTCGTTGATTTCCACTCCAAGACCGATGTGTATCTTCAGTTTTGGCGCAGGTATCACCACAATTCAAAGTCATCCGTACATCGAGCATCTTCTCGCTGTTGGAAGGCAAGCCGATACTAATGGGTTCCTTCATCTCACTCACACTCAGAGCACAGTTATGATTCTTCAGTCAAACTCTTCGACATGCGAAAACCCCTTCAACCACTATCACAAACTGAAATTGGCGGCGGAGCATGGAGAGTTAAATGGCACCCTTCTGCTACAAGAAAATCTGATCTTCTCGTTGCATGTATGCACGACGGATTCAAGGTTTTGCGATTCAATGAATTGGCAATAGAAACCCTGGAGGACATGTCGTCTCCACTCCCAGCCAGCATTGTTCAGCGATTTGATGAGCACCAGTCATTAGCGTATGGTGTGGATTGGTCTTTCGCGCCGTCATCAAATGACCAGAAGACAGCGATAGCCAGTTGCTCCTTTTATGATCATAAATTACATTTCTGGAGTGGGTGAGCTACAGTAGATTGACCCTGTGTAGATATAGGGTATATAACAACATGATCCTCGATAGTGATGTGATTCGTTAATGTAAGGATTCTGCGATATTGTCATTTGATGCCACAGGTTCTGGAGTGCCGGGACGCGTCTCGAAATTCTTTTTTCTACGCTGCCAAAATCCTGCGTGGGGACCTTTCATAATGAACGCAAGGCCCCATCGAGACAAACCTCGCAGAGATTCTGGTTTATGTATAGCAGCAGTAAGCAGTGTGGATAGAGATAGAACAAATGTTAGCCTTGAAGACAGTAATGATTAGTCGGTTCAAAACAATCTTGAAATCATTGACACACCTCTCCAAAGCTGTCACAACGCGGTTTCGGCTCCTGATTATTTTATCCGGGATACATGCTCTGATAGCTCTTGGCAGAACGTACAATGCCATCTCGCCTCTTCGTCGTCCGTTTTCCAGCCAAATACTACTCCCACACATCAGACATCCGGCCAGAATGCATCCGTGGGGTCCGTCCCAGAAATCGTGTGATACATTGGGAAACAAACGTGCGAGAGCGAGTGTTCGAGTGAAGCATACCGAAAGCCAGAAGGACGAAATGAAGGCAGAAAGGAAGGCCGCACTACGGCAAGTTGCGAGGAAGGTAGATAACACTCGGTGAGGACGCAGAAGGACTTGAGGACGCGTTATTAAGACCGGGAGAAAATGGGCCTGGTACAAAAGAGTGAGCGTGGGGGGCGCGGAAAAATGGGAACAAGCTAACCGGAAGGTAAACAAGTACGGCTTCGAAGAAAGCTTTAACGCCTCGTATACTCGAGTTGCCTGTGCAGCTACCGGCCAAGGACATTTTGGAGCCGACTCCTCCATGTACCAGTTCACATGGAACCCCACCGAGGCCATGACGTCCCTTCACACCTATCAGTTCCCACACCCTTTCTGCAGAGGGGCCCCCGAATGCAGGGACACGTAGAGGATCACCCCATGAGGAAGGATAACCTAGATCTTTTGCATAGGTAGTGAGAAGAGTGGCTTGAGTAGGGGAACCACGCGTATAGGTCCATTCTCCAGAGCGTATGAGTCGTAAAACGCGCAGTAGGCGATTATCAACACCCGCAAGTGTCCGTATCCATTTCACGTACGTCGATGGCAGTCTGGGTTCCGAAATTTTAGTTTTCAACGACAGCAAAATGGGTGAGAGATCACCTTTCGGGCTGGTAAAAGAAACACCACATAATGCTGAGAAGAAAATGTCAGTAAGCGTATCACACAACACTGTAAAATCTCGCCAGCGTACCGTGCGCTACAAGCCCAGAAAACCAGAGCATCGAGTCTAGTCGTCAACAGAAATTTATCCTTATTGAAATTTCGCTTTCCCTTCACAGGTTCTGGCGTTTCTGCTTCTGTTTTAGAGGTGAACTTCAAGATCATCGATTGAAATGCGACATCTATAGCTCGTACAAGGACGAGCAAAGTGAGATCTAGAGTCGGCGAAGGGGGACTCCGCACAGATGGTGTGAGGGAAGGATTAGATGGGGTATATGTATATGGAAAGGGTATAGCTCCTGGGCGCGGAATGTTCCGAAGACGTTCTGAGCGCCGTCTGCCAGCTTGAAGGAGAAGAATCGATATGGAGGATGTAAAAAGATTGGCGATGAAAGTCTTTTGACAAGATGATAGTCGTGAATTGAAGTACAAAAGCCATGACCTTGAACATCTATCACTACCCATTTGCTTTTGCTCGAAGTTTTCGTCTTCTTTCACTTCCAGTGATTCCCATAAACGTTTTAATGCAGCTCCTCCGCCTATAGCCAGTGTCACGGCGGAAGCAAAACTATCATATCCCAACTCTCTGCGAAGGACCTTTCTCAAGGCTGCTAAGCCAGTTTTCTGCGAGCGCCGGCCTGTGATAAATGATAGAACGAAAGGGACTAGAGATGGACCTAATGACAAAGACAAGGATAATGCGAATGTTCGAATTGCCACCTGGCTAGGATGTGTTAGGTCGTCGGAGAGCTCAGGAAGCTTTTCGAGAATGTCGTTAGGGTTAAAATCCATCGCTGTATTAGTCGTGGTTGTGGAGAAGGGTTCTTGTTGATAATAGCAGAAACACTGAAAGCTCCATTCATTGTAGCAGAATCAAACCTTTTCATGTGATACTGTAACTTACTCTCACATCTTTCTTCGCCGCCTTATGCAACGTACAAGACTGTACAAAATGAACTCCAAACAGGTTACTCAGTGGATACGAGTCTTTTATAGACTGGCGCTTGAGCTCACTAACTCAAGTTGTGCTCTCGAGACCTAACAAGTATTCAATCATCATTGCAAGGCGCATTGCATAGTCGAGTCGATCTCTGCCTTCTACCGATCCTTATAGATAGTCCATACCAATGTATACTAGTGTCTGTAAAAGTGGATATTGAGTCCGTAAATCTCCGTAAATTCTGTCTTGTCAAGGCCTGCAGTGGTGTGACTAACACGAGATGTCACGATGATTGTGACACAACGCGTCTCTTTCCTCCTACTCCATGTCGCTCCCCCATATAATTGCTAGGAAGGCTCATAGCGATGGGCATACATGTCTTGCATTCTCATCTGATGGAACGTGAGCTAAACCGCGCCCGGACTCTCTTTTCCATTACATGCTCAATATTATCGCAGCCACGCTTTTACTGGTGGCTCAGATTGTGCCGTTCGTGTTTGGAAGGCTGCGGAGGGAGCTGAGCAGGAACCGGGAAATGCAACAGATGCAGAGCAGCCTGTTACAACCCTTGCAGCCTCAGTGCGCCAATGTTCTTCTATACTGCAACTACCAGTTCTCATTTTCTTCTCGTAGGATGATTGCTGGCTATCAGGGAGTGAGGATGGATGTGTTCGCCGATATATCAAAGATAAGGATGAACTACACGGTAACATAACAGAAGAAGCTGCTCTCGCTGTAAGATGTATAGCTCTGAACGAGCAAGGGACGCGACTAGCAGTCACTTCAGAGTGTGCCATTAAATTATTCTCAGTCTTCGTCAAATTGAAGCGATCTTTTATAGCAATCCTAGCGCCAAAGTGATTGATATGGAGGACACCTTGAAACTCACAACATTGTATGGTCATAGGCATAATGTACGCAGAGCATCCTGGCGTCCCAAATCTTCGATACTTGTGCGTAGCTATCCAGGAAATAGTACAACTTCACTCACTCTGTACAGAGTACTTGCGCTTCTGATGGAGAAATAATTCTTTGGGATCTTTCTGGAGAGGAGCCTATGATTTTGCATACATTAGATGGCATGATACCTTCAGTTACTGATCCTAGGTGTGTTTTTTGCATCGTCTTACTGTTCTCACATTCATGACTGTCCCTCAGTGCACCGGAGTTTTTGCACGACTGTTCTGTCATCTGGCATCCATCAGGCGAACAATTCTATGTCATCTCCAGAACACATGGTACCCATCTTACGCTTTGTCATCACCTCTCCACTCACCTCGCCAAATCTAGATGTCATAAGCATTTCGGGCAAGGATTGGGCGCAGTCAGGGAAGTTCGTAGACAAAGAAGTTGCAGGAACGACCACAGCGTTAGCGATATCTCCGAATGGCGCATATCTTGCAACAGCTTGTCAATCGACCGTCTATATATGGACCACCGATAAACGACAAGTTATTGCCAAGTGAGTACAACTCTTGCATGACATATCCGGTATTCTCATATTCTACAGGCAATCAGGGACTTCTGGAGCAGTTATCACTCAACTTGCGTTTTCCCCAAAGGAACACCTGATTGCTTGGACAGATGCGTCAGGAAACTTTGTACGATGGCGCGAACCTATCCCTTCTAATCTACCGAGCTCCATCAAACGTATATCCCCTGCAACGACCGCGACATCGAAGTCTAACTCGGGTGCCCCGCAAGGTGTCGATCTTTTTGACGAGAATAATGGACTTTCTCTGGATGATCTTGAGGGCTTCGAAGAGCTAGATGACCCTACCGCAGGAGATGAAGGAGGAGACGGCTTCAACATTGACGATGCAGATTTTGTCATCGATGATGTTGGTGGTTATTTGGAGGACAAACCCGCAACGTCTCGAGGAAATGTTCACGGTCTTGTAAAAGAAATGGGTAAGATGCTTCCTACTTTTCGACCAACCTTGTTCTTGATTGACATCGGTTTCAGTGAGCATCACCAAAGCTCAGCCTGCATTTCAACCCGGAGCAACGCCGTTCCAAGGAAACAAGCGATATTTGGGTATAATTCTTGTATATATTCCTGAACTTCGCTCATATCATTCAACCTGAATAGCTTACAATATGCTTGGTGTCATTGAGACAACTCGATCTGAACAGGAGGAATATAACCTCGTCAGTGTGGACTTTTTCGACAAGTCAGCCCGGAAGAGTTACCACTTCAACGATACTCACAAATGTCATCACGCGTACTTGGGTTAGCCGATTTTCTTCATTTGCATGGGTTTGTATCGCTCACCTGTTAATCTAGGTGAACGAGGGGCATTATTTGCCAGCGACACGCTTGTTCTATACAAACCTTACGGGTCATGGACAACCTCGCAAAATGATTGGACCTATTCGTTGAAGAAGACAAACACAAAGGTGTTAGGAATCTGTGCAGGGGGTATGACCCCCTCTCGAAGCTTCAAGAACGATTCCGACAGCGACCTTATGGGCTTCGGGAATATCGTTGTGGCAACATCCGAGGGTCATCTAATAGTTCTCTCCGGGACAGGGCGGGAACGGCGGATTATCGCTCTGGGTGGTGATTTTGTCACCATGGTGGCAGGGGATGAGTGGGTGTTGGTAATATACCGACCGGGAGCAACGACGATCGACGGTGAGCCATTTTACAACGGTGCGGTAATTATCATCTGATCATCTAAATAATCCAGGTTCTCAATCGCTTTGTTACAAATTATACCATTTCGACGATTTAAGCGTTCGACAGCGAGACGAACTTCCTATTTCAAAAGGACATACTCTCAAATGGATTGGTATTACTCAGGAAGGCGTGAGCTGCGTCTGGATTTTAGACAGCGAATGATAGATACTGATGATTCATTCAGGCGCCCGTAATCTTTGATAGCTCTGGATTGGTGCACCTTGTAGTCAAACATCGTGTCCCCCACCACGCTACGTGGGTCTGCATTCTGGATACGAACCTTTTAGAACGCCGAGCTGGGAAGGATGAGTCGTACTGGCCGATTGGTATAACGGGAAACACATTCATGTGTCTGATTTTGAAGGTAAGCATGAAATGACATCTAGCAATGGCTGGCAGTCCCACGTCTAACTAATTAGGTTTCAGGGTCGCCAAGAGCATCCTGGATTTCCGAGGCCCCTTGTTCAAGAACTTCCTCTGCGTATGCCTTTCAATACGCAAAATGAGAAAGAGGAGGAGTGAGTTTGTCACAAGTTCAACAAAGTGGCGTCGACTGAATCTGGAATAGGATTGAGAGGGAACTTCTGTTCAAAGAACTGGCAATGGAGAGCTTGGACGGGGACGAGTTAACAACAGATAATATCCTCTCCAAAGAACGAGCAATCGACAAGGAGCTTGTCGTACTTATTCAAGGAGCCTGCAAGGAAGACAACATCAACCGAGCGGTGGAGTTGACGAAATTGCTCCACAACCTTCAGACTTTCGATATTGTGGCAAAAATTGCCGACTTCTATCACCTTGTTGGATTTAAAGAGAAGGTTACGGTACTGAAACGAATCAGAGAGAATAGTGAAGATCGCTTCGAGGCGGCACGAGAAAAGCGTCGCCGGTGGAATAAGATTGATACTCGTCCTCAGCGACTTCCGGATGTTGATTCGAATGGTACAATTTCAAAACCGAAAGCATTCCAGGATTTCGGCCCGCCGCCAGCTATTTATAGACCAGGTTTGACTCGTGCTACGCCTTCAGTAGAGGGTACAAAATTCTCATCTTCCACATCTCAACCTCCCTCTGAGGACACATGGAGCGACCCACTAGCACCATCCACCAACGCTCCGTCATCGGAGAAGCGTAAACGAATTGACTTTGAAGACGTAGAGATGGAGTCCCAAAGTGATATCGGTGTCCCGATGCCTCCGCCGAAACAAAGTAAGTTCGACAAACCTTCCCGATGTTACTCGATGAATACTTACGCCTCACGCCCAGAGACAAATCCCTTCGCTCGTAAGCCTGCAGCGGAAACCAATAAAAATCCTTTCGCAAGAAAAGCAGGTAACAAGACCATTTTGCAGAGTGAAAGCTTTTTCGAAAAAGTCGATGCGGCTGAAACTACACCCGCGAAGGCTAAGAAAAGTGAGTGACCCAGATCTTGCTCTCAATTTACGTCTGACCTTCCAATCCAGAAAGTAACAAAGAGAAAGATAAACCATCAGAGAAAAAGGAGGGACCCCGTCAACAGACGTTGTTCGGCTTGTTTGGTGCGAATCAGAACGAGGGTGCTAAAAAGGGCTCTACGAAGAGAAAAACCGGATTGACGCCTCCTCCGGACGAGCCTGAGTCTCAGGCCAGCGATATCACGATGGCAGATGCGTCGCAAATAGAGACGCAACCAGATGGATGGGAGGAAACGCAATTGATTGACGATGAACTATAGGTAACTTATTGCTCGGACATAATATGTGTTATAATATGTATCGCCTACCTTTATACCATTTCCATGTATCTAACTCTAATTTCCTACATAAACGCAGCATCCGTCGCGCACAACAGTTCTATGCACGTCGCGCGGAGATTGTTCCTTGCAATCGGTTCTCATTCTTGCCTCTTTGCAGGTGGAAAGATGTGAGCAGCTCGGGTGCTCGATTTTACTTGGAAGCTTCTGCAAGAAGGAGGAGACATGAATGATAAATCAAGTCCATGCTTTCGTTCATGTGACTACTATTCGCCTACCATTTGGAAGTTGGAACCCCGCCCTTTCCACCCGTGCCAGCACTGTATTTGTTCACATCTCATATGCCTTCTGTTCTGCACCAACCTCTTTAATCTTCAAAGCTACTCCGGGTCCAGCACTCAGTCAACAGCCTCGAATAACTCGAGCTACTATCATATTGACTAGGCATAGTTGGTAATAAATGGAGATCGTAAGAATCGATATTGGTACGATATCGAGTTTGCATTTGGACGAACGCGGTGAACCGAAGATAGGTGGTTCAGTCGGAGGTACCATATTTTCTACTTTCAACTTTGATACATCCCGTTCAATGTCCTCTAGGCTTCATCGCCCTTGTTGTTTGCCTAATTCTTGTCATCATCATTGCATGCACTGCTACATTTTTTCTCTTGCGACTAGAGAGATTTGAGGAGGCAATCGCCTCTCGTCATCGGCGTCGTTTACAACATCAGACCACACAGCCTTCTTCCTACATTTATCAACCTTCTTCCACTCCTTCTAAATCATGGCTTGCGTCATTGAAAGGCGTGTTCTCTGGTGGCCTCGACTCTATTAGACACAGTGCTGGCCGCAGGATGAAAGGTCGTGATGGCTGGATACAAGCAGGTTTGGGTGATGAATGGGACGATGATATGCAGGATGTTGAACGGCTGAGAAGCATCAAACTTGGGGATAGACAGTACATGACGCACTCGCGCCCGCTGGATCCACCTTTTCATCCCCCACCCGGTTATTTAAGCGACTCCTCCCTTCCAAACCGATTTGCATCCGAGTCTGAAGAATCAGAATTCTCTATACCTAATGTTCCTCCCGTCGACATTTCTGCGATACCACGGTCAGCTTCCCCTAAAGCCATGGCCATACCTTACTCTCCTTCCTCTGTGTATTTTAAGCCGGAGAACAAGAGAAAGAGTTCGACAAACTCTGAAATTTCTACGAGAACATTTAACAGCGGCACCAGGTTCGTGGAAGGCTTGTAACTCCCAAGTGACTCTTTTCCGCTGCCTCATTGACGACAATCAAATAACGACTGTTTTGAATAATTTGTTCCGAATTCTTGTTGTATATACTCAAAGTATGTACTGTTGGTACATATGATATCGTATTCTCTGTAAACGTACCTATAATCTTAGTTATCTGTAGTGTATGATTTTTGATCTTTGCAAATTGCACACACGCCCTTTCATTGGTCTGGTCGAAGTTAGCATAAATTGGAGGTCGGTTGCTGCCTCATTGCCATTCGAAGATGATTAAAGTTACTCGAAACTTGGTAGTTTCAACCCTTTTCAACCTCTCCTGCTCATCTGTCCATCATGCTATTTCATTCCATCATTCAAAGTGTCATGAAGAACTGGACCGTAAGATATTGTAGGTACTCTCCAGGCGGTAAGCAACCGAGAAGTTCCTGAGATTGACTGGTTCACTCAGGGTTCATATCTGATTAAGGTTTTCTAGTGCCGAGGTTGCGGCACAGTGACACTGGCCGTAAAGCCGAAAATTGGTTGAGCAGCATTTTGAGTTAAAGAATGTTTATTGAGACTCGAGTAAGTAGAAAAAGTGGGTACATATGATTTCTTGGAGAAAAATGACATGTTAGATATAATTTCATCTAATTTCTGTTCTTTTTCCGTCGTCTATGAGAAGTTGAGGCAGTGTTTGCTCGTGCCCTTGCAACAATAGACTGTGAGTTGAGTTCTGCCAAGTAGAATATCAAGGCTCTCATCGGTACATAGCAGCGAAGAGATGGGCATAAACAATGAACGGACGACGAACTCGAGCTAACTCGAGGCTGCCTCACGTTGTCAATGCCGATGGTTGCCGACCACCTGGCAGACTCCCCCCTCGACCAGTTGATATTAAGCGCTCTTCGGTTGCTTAACGCCTGGTACTCTCTTTCAGTTCTAACGTGTCGGTTAAATGAAGTACGTCGGGACTGTTTTGTTCAAATGACAGGCGGGGATACGGGCACGGTGTATCGATACTCCGAGAGGCTAACCAACTTACTGGAACCGCAGGCAAAAATGTATCGTCCGCGTTAGGCCTACGGCGGATATTCAACGTGTTCTCATGAGCGCGTACGATTTCCCACTTACAATTTTTTTCAGACGTGAAGATTGAGTATATCCTAGTATATCCTGGCATTCTTCTAAATTCTCGAGTGTCTCCTCTAGTTCCACCTCCCTACTTGTAATATCATTCAGTCTCTCTGGACAGCCCATAGTATGTCCTTGACAATTCCACCCAGGTTCTATGAGGTTCTATGCTGTTCTATGTGGTTCCATATGGTTTACAAACCGGCGGAATTCGGTAGGAACAATTGATTAATGCAAATACAGACGACCTGATGTTCAAGTTGAATGCTGAGGCACCCAGTAGGGGTACCTTCCGGTTTGATACCAGTCTCTAACGATTGATCCTCGAAACCGTCCGAGTCGGTCGCTTGAGGTTGTCATGAAAGTCGACCAGACTTTGCTACTACTTTGAGGAAAGCCAGAAGAAAGGTCAAAGCTCTTCCAAGTAGTACTATATTGGGATGGGTTGTCATAGGTCGTCATGGTGTAATTTGCAATCCAGTCATTTGTCGACTGCTCGGTAGAAATTTTGCCAAATGGGACTATCTCCAAAGCTTAAACAGATCTGCACATGGTTGAGCATACTCAAGCATACTTCTGCATACTCCCATCCCTCTACAGTCTCTTTCCAGACAAACATGGGCGAAAGATGTGAATATGTGAAAGTTGCCCCGTTTGAACTTGTATTATTTGTCCTGACTGACAGTTTTTTCCAACGTTTCTCCCTGTCTCTCCTCATCCCTTCTAGACATATACATAGCATCAGAAGAAGGTTTACCGATCCCTGCAATCAGATGAGCGCCTATGCTAATTGTTTATTGCATTCAGTCCAAACGATCGTGATCGAGGGCAATATCAGAAGAGAGAAAAAGACCCGATATTTTTTGTTAAGCCTTAAGAGGAAGGCAATCGGCGATTCCATCGGCTTTCATTATACATATAGGGCCAACAGGCCTGCCTATATATTCTCTGGATTTCTCTGTCAATTCCCTAGAGTACTCTCGGTCGAATGTCTCGCGTCTTTGGCTGGGAGCCGCCATCCCAACAGGGCAGGGAAGACGTCCTTTGTCCTGGTTCCGGACAAGGGTTTATCACATTTTCCATCGATCCGGATAGTTCTACTGGATACTCACCGAGTCCCACCTCAAAAATCGAGGAAGCTGTCTCGCGCGACCCTCCGAGAAAAGGTGATCCAGGCTACGTGCCTCGCCCTCCGAACTCCTTCTTCGTATTTCGTAAAGAGTACTCACGTCTAAATGCTCGCGGTCCGAAGGCCAATCGCTCCAGAAGAAAGTCCTCTGATGTCAAAAGCAAAGGATTGTCTCGACGAGCGGGGGACGCTTGGAAAGCGCTTCCCCAAGGTGAAATAGACTACTGGCAAGCCCGAGCGGAGGAGGAGAAGGTTATGCATGCACGAGCTCATCCAGCGTATCGCTATCAACCCAAGAGGAGCAAGTCCGTTCACGGAAATCGCATCCCAAAGGTAGCAATGGCGCCGGCCCCTTCATCTTCTAAACATCGGTCCCCCCCTGGCGCTGGTACAAAAAATAATCTCCAGAGTTCGAAGGCCAGATCTTCCTCTGTCCCGACGCACGTTTCAGCACCTTCGTTTTTGCCGAGAGGAGAGGAACGAGTCACTGGTTCTTTGCGCCGCGCACGGTCGCATGTTTTGGATATTCAGCCACCACTTCCAGCCCCTTCCGAAGCCGATAGTTCTGAGTGGTACGAATATCCTGGAACTTTGGAGGTAAACTTTTCGCATGGTTCCGAGCATCAGGAATACTTGCCCGAAACGCAGCAGCCCCCCTCTGTCTCTGGCTATGGCTCTGAACCTAGCTCCAATACTCTCACCCTCCCAGCCGAATACCCCCTTTTTACGACAGGTTTATCGTCGCTTGCAGGCTGGAACGGAGAGCCAATAGCGCCGTCTCTCACTCGAATCCCATCGTCTACACTATCAACTTCGCCACTATCCTCCTGGTCAGCGAGCTCCTCTCCTTATAATTCCTATCACGAAGCGTACCAGTACAATCAAAGCGATGAGCAATACACAGGATTCATGCCCGGTGTAAACCAATTCGGAATACACGAATCTGCACCTGCCGTATACTGGTGCCCACAAGTGGAACATGAACCACGTTACGACCTAAAAGGAGGATACGATTCCTTCTCCTCTTATGGGAATGATTTCATGATGCAACAAAACGCGCTCACTAACTTTAATCTTGGACTGGCTAATGAAGTTTCGGCTCCCGGAAATTTCATGCCTTTCGACATGTCATATGTTGACGAGCAACGAGTTTTCAACGAGTATCACAATACCCAATTCTGACATTCCTCTGCCGAACGTTTTCGGACATAATCTCTCATCAAATACTGTATCCCCTATGCTTCGTTGATTGTTTCTCTGTAGCGATTTTCCTTGAACTGTATATTAATATTCCTCGGAGTACCTATATTCTATACTCACTGATGCTCACCTTCAATGTATCTATACATTACCAGACATTACCTAGTTTCTTCATATCTCTGCGTGGCTTGACTTCGAGTCATGAACGTAAAACACTTCTCAATTCAAATTCATACTATGTACAAGGAGAGGTACAATTCTTGAAGCAAAGCGAAGATGAAAGATAAAAATGAGTGATATATCAATGAACAGTTCAATGATACCATCCCACCTATCTCACGTCATGGGACCGAATTAATACAACGTTAAACCTGCACAAAGCGGATTTGCGCGTAAAGAGTTCTGATGGTCTCTTGTGATGGCTTGTTCTTCACGTAGAATGCAACTTCTGTAATCCCTGAAGTATCCTTTTCACTCGCGGAAAGTAGCAAACGACAGCTGTGTCCTCCAAGTGTTTTGACAGTGTCTAGCGGCCATTCACGCTCAGCATCGGCGGAGGTGACACCGGAATACCCAATGATATAGTCGAGACTTCGGGATAGCCCGTCCCATCTTTCCGAGGGGACCTCGAATCGTACATAAGCAATCCCAAGAGCCGTGCATGGATGTTCGAAAATTGCAGGTGGTTCATTGGGTACCTGAGGACGATGGATCACTTGATAAGACGAAAGATCCACTGGCGAAAAGGTACAGTATAACCTAGTATAACACGCACCCTAAGGTCACGGGGCGTCACGTCCCCGCAAAAAAATGGGAGCGGGAGCCTTCGTTCTATTCCCTCAGCTGGGCGTCGTGGAGGAGTTATGAGCCATTTCAGATCTTGACCATCGGGGCGCTTCCGACCACCTGGCATCTCAGGACCATACAAGCCATCGTCGCCTCCTTCCTTGGCACGGCTGTTGATAACGTCGGAAATACGGACAGTTTCTGAACCATTCCCGAGAAATGCATAATCTATCCAACCTGGGGCCTTTACTGCCCACGGATGATTCTCGCGAGCCAAACGTGCTGGGCTCCCAGGAGGATATGCATCCACAGGATTTACGAAAGAAATAAGCTCCAAATAAACGCTATCACTCAGGATCTACAAACGTAGCGATTGATAGCAGTACAAGGACGAATCGTCCACAGCTCACGATAAGCGAGTTTTCAGTAAGAGCATCAGCGTGTTGCCCGCCAGGGAGTACGCTGTACAGAACAAAGTAGAGTAAATCATGATATTCAAGGGCGGAATCAATTCACTGACTGGAAACCGAGCTTTCGAAAATCTTCTGCAGTCTCATTTACCGATCCTGGAGGTGTAAGATACACAATGTGGTCCAAGCATTTTGTAGAGGGTAGAGCCATATCGGAGATGAGATCGAAGCAGTTGTCAGTATGTGCGGGAAGGTGGACAAGCGCCGTTAACCGGCAACTTACCTGAAAGGCTGAAGTTACCATTTTAGGATAGTTTCGACGCGTTCTTAACAACCACCATGAGGAGTTTTTGGTTGTTACCTTTATTATCTCTCCCCAGCGCACTATCCAACTCCGCTACCGAGCAGATAGTTTTCAGCAATGGGTACCATCCAATTGACCAGTCCGTGGTCAAGAACGTTGTTGACCAATTCTTGAGTGATGCTAAGAAGGCGATCCTCAAAGGGAAGAAGAACATGCAGAATTGGATTCATGATGGAAGAGAGTATATCAAACAGAATGATTTTCTTTGTACGCGTTCCCTCACGTTTCCTCAACTCGTTCAACTCAAACGTTCCTCCAGATGAGCTCGTGTCACATCCGGCTTTCGGTTCTCATCAACTTAGGCTCACGGAACCAACGTTGTGCGATCCATCTGTCAAACAGTACTCTGGTTATCTGGATACTCAAGAGGACAAACACCTTTTCTTCTGGTATGTTCCGACATTCTGTTTCGAATTTACCGCTTAAGTCAGTATTCTAGGTTCTTCGAATCCAGAAATTCACCAAAGGACGCACCTCTAATAATGTGGTTGAACGGTGGACCCGGTATGTTATTACGACCATTCTTTACTGCGCCCACTTGAAAAACTTACTTGAAACTCAGGTTGTAGCTCTTCAACTGGATTGTTATTTGAACTCGGTCCCTGTCGTATCAGTGACGAAGGCAGAAACACTACCGTGAATCCTCACAGCTGGAACACGCATGCCAATATCATCTTCCTTGATCAGCCAGTCGAAGTTGGTTATTCTTACAGCTCGAGTGGGAATTCGGTAGACACTAGTCCAGTGGCCGGGAAAGATGTCTATGCTTTCCTCGAACTCTTCTTTGTTAGATTTCCCGAATATTCCAGTCTTCCATTCCACATTGCTGCGGAGAGTTATGGCGGTACATACGCACCAAACATTGCCAACGTCATCTACAAGCAGAACAAAGAGCTGTCTTTGGCTACATCTGGTTCCTCCCAACTCAAGATCATCAATTTGGCGTCGGTTGTTTTAGCAAATGGGCTTACAAATCCCTATGTTCAGATGGGTTCTATAGCCGACTGGGCTTGCGAAGGTCCTTATGCCGTTTACGATGATCCTAGTGGTCCTCAATGTGAAGCGCTGCGCACGAAGATTCCAACGTGCCAAAGGTCAGATTCTGAACTCTAACGCAGACAGTATTATTTGTTCATATCAATTCTAGACTCATCAACTCCTGCTACTCATTCAATTCGCGACTTACGTGCGTTCCTGCGCTCTTGTATTGTAACTCTCAATTGTTTGGACCTCTCATGCGTAAGGATATTCTTTCTACCTACTGTTGCTTCCCAAATTAATATACTTCATGTAGAACTCGGACTCAATCCATATGACGTGCGTCGGAAATGCGATCGGGCCAAGGATGGGGAGCTATGCTACCGGGAGATGGATCATGTTGCAACTTGGATGAATGACGGGAAGAACAAAGTTGCGCTTGGTGCTAATCCATCTATCGAATTTGAAGCCTGCAATATGGAAGTCAACCAGGCGTTTTCTAGGCAAGGCGATGGCGCACACAACAGTGCGCTTCTTTTACCCGACCTTATCAACGATGGCGTCCGACTATTGGTCTATGCTGGAAATGCTGGTAAACATGATAAGATGCTGTAGCCGGTTATAGCGTGTACTAATCAACCATTCCAGATATGATGTGCAATTTCATTGGCAACGAACGCTGGGTTGAACAACTAGATACCAAATTCTATGATGAGTTTGTTGCAGCTCAGTCGATTCCGTGGATCACAATCGAGGGTGGTGTTCTGGCCGGAACTGTTCGTTCTGCAGGGCGTGGTGGATTCGGTGCTGGAAATGTTACTTTTGTAACAGTTCACGAAGCAGGGTGCGTATCTTAGTTGTTTTGCGTAATGCATACCTCAGATCTTTTCTTTAGCCATATGGTTCCATATGACCAGCCCGAGGCGGCACTTGTCAGTGCAACTTTCGGTTCATCTCTGCATATTGAATGACCTTCCTTCTAATCAGGATCTGATAACAAGATGGATTCTGGATTCCCCTCTGTCTTTGGACTGATTTTCTAGGTCAGGCTTTACCCAGTCCATGCTGTCTTGTACATATGACCAGTCGACTGACGCTTCCCAGAAGCTTATGATTAGACCCAGGATCTTCTATTCTTTGTAATTTCTCTACGCTGTATCAATACTTTGTCTCGGCCTTAAACGCCCTCCTTTGAAAGCTCGGCTTGTGACAAGAATAGTTCTGGTCTATCTGCGTGAATATTTCCGGGACGGAAGGATCAATATTTCTGCTAAGGCTTCTTTTCGCCGTTTGCATTGATCATCGAGCTTTTTCGGCGGGCAAACTTGACCTATGTGCCCTGTGTGCGTTAAAATGCCTCGAATAGCCTGGAATGGATTCACGAACACGTCGGGTAAGACCGACCATGCTCTTCCTATAAAAGAGAGCAGAAACAGGTAGGAAAAGTCAGTATCTTTACTGGTCTTCGCAATCCCCCAAACTTTCTTCATCCTCCAACAAATTTGCCATGAAATTCTTCTCCCTCTTTGTCCCAGCTATTGTCGCTGCCTTCGTTGCCGCTGACACCCTCCAGTACGACCCCATCTACGACCAAGGAAGCGAGTCATTGGATGTCGTTGCCTGCTCCGATGGTGCCAATGGTCTTCTGACCAAAGGATTTACCACATTCAACTCACTCCCCACTTTCCCCAACATTGGCGCTTTTGGTGCCGTGACTGGATGGAATTCCCCCGAATGTGGCACATGCTGGCAAATCGTCTACACCAATTCGAACGGGGCTCAAACTACATTAAATGCTATTGCTGTTGATCATGCCGGTGCTGGCTTGATTAACCTTTCTGAGGAGGCCATGAATACTTTAACGAATGGAAATGCGGTTCAGTTCGGTGCTGTACCGGTGACTGCCACACAAGTGGCTAGTTCTGTGTGTGGTTTGTGATCGCGATGTAGTGGTGAGTTGGTCGCTTTTCATCTAGCGAGTTGATGCTAAGAATATTTGTAAGTACCGTGGAATTGAAATTGATTGGACTCTACTTTTCTTGGACTATTGGACTTGTAACAATACTTCGCAAATGGACACATAACGATTCTCATCGATGTAATAGCCCCCTATTTTGTATATACTCGTGGGCCCTCAATGTTGTATCATTTCTGTAGTACTTATACCGAACCTCCCTTATTGCTCCAACACTCGGAAGCACCACCAATTAATTTGAAATGTTTTCTAGTCCAGAAATTCAAGATGGATCAATATAGTGGATTAGAGGAACTATCATACATTGTTATTCACAAATCAGAGGATAAGCTATTGTAGAGTAATGCAAGTACATCAATAATGGATAGCGTTGAAAACAAGTTGCAGGAGGTATATGTAGCGTAAGTAATGAGAATTATGTGTGTTAGGTCAACCCCTGTAACAAATAAAGACAAGAACAGCGAAAGCATGTACAACGACGGACAAAAACAAAGACACATGCCTGATTGATCGATACCGAGATAAGGAAAAGTTAAAACTAGTGTTTTAATGCAGATGTAAGGGTAGGTTCGCAGAAAATCTTGATTTGAGACTTGCAAAATTTGGAAACTATTTCATAGGGTTTGCACGACAATGGAGGTATCATCAATCCATGCGATATCCATATCAAGGGTCAATACCCTGGAGACACTCGCTTGATCGTCTCCACCAAGTGCACGTCGTAAGAGCCTCAGCGCCATATTGCGGGACTCATATCCTGGCGTCGAAGGCGAAGATGTAGGAGAGGAGCTCAAGGATGTCTGTGAGAAAGACGAGACGGTGGGTGACATGGGAAGGATATTGTTGATATTGCTACGGTCGACAGAAGAATCATCTTCATCCATCATCGACTGCGTGCTGATGACGCCGTGTGCCCAATCGGAAATGATCCGCTGTTGACCCTCGGTACTGCAGAGGTCCGTGAATCCGTCAGAAGACAGAATAAGGAACCGAGGTAATGATGGCGAAGAAGAAGAGCGAAGACTCTCACCACCCGGAACGGTGGAGCGTGGGTCGATATCGTTTAAAAGAACATGAGTGATTTCGGGTTGTGCGGAAATATAGGGAGGTGTCCGGTTCCGAACCAGGAATTCTTCCCATGGAGAAGTATCGTGGAAGCCGGGAAGGAGATTATAGAGGATCCTGCGAGTAAACTCTGGCGGCTGTTTGAAGGGTGTGTCACCGAGTGCTAGCCTAGTTGTGAGATAATCGAACAGGAGAGATGAAAAGGCGCGACATACAGCGGAATGGATGGAGTGCGCCAAGTACCCGCCGGTCTATCACACATTCCGGTTCATTGGCGTGTTCACGACGAACGCGTTCCACCTCCGCCTCATTATCACCGTTGTGTGCTTCAGTTAGAATCTGGATATCCCAATCATCAGAGCCTTTGGGTGAAACCAGGACTAAAAAAACGCGTAAGTTATGAACCAAAAAAATAAGGAACAAAAACGCACTCGCTTGACAGTCTCCTACGTTCGCGACCCAAAGATTCTCGTGCGTATCATCCACAAGGGCAACAAGGGCAGTAGAGCCGTACATGTTCAGCCTAGCTTTACGGTAGTTCTTTGGGTCGTTGATTATCTCCCGGATTTGCCTGTCAGTATAACTGGAAAGACCCTCAATTCCCCCGAACAAATTCAACACATCACCAGCGATAGCTTCATCGAAAGCGATTATCGAACGCGAAAAGCAGTCAGAAATGAAACCTGGATCACTTAGGCGCGAGGGGTCACTATCAAACGCTTTCTGGAGGAATTCACCAACGATGATGGGTAGATGGTTGGAAACGTGGTCGACTGTTACATCCCCCAGATGTCCTATTTTCCGAACGTTTCAGCTGGCGATCAGCGTGATATACCAGTATGCGTCACTTACCATCAAACACACCGGAAAGGGTCCACAACTTCCCATTGATCTCCAACTGCTTGACAACGTATCTGTCCTGCGTCTTTGTCGTCGGTGAAGGTTGAAAATTGACACTATCTGCCCTCCAGCCTTTTGCAGCATCAAATTGTGTACTCTGAGGTTTAGCTAGAAACCGCAGTTCACGCCAAATCTCTTCTTCTTGCAAGAAAGCATATGAACGAGGCCAGCCCGGTCCGTCGTCAGGACCACACCTTGAGCCAGGAATATCTTCAGAGTAAGCCCAATTGCTTGATGGAGTGCCTGGAGCGACCAACGTGGTCATCGTAGACCAAAGCCTTTGAAGGCCTGTAGAAAATATGGAGATAATGGTGGTAGGGAGTTAAGCGAAGAATATATGTAAGCACGCGCGATGTAAGTTCACCTCTTCGTGGGGTCCGGGGAAGGAATGATTAAAAACGTGCTTTACAAGTTTATAAAGCTATCAGACCGCTGACCTCCGTGGATTGAGATAGAATTAATGCCGTACTGATTCATCATCCCCTGGCATCCGAAAAAGCGGATTGCAACAGAACTGTAATGTTGGACAACTGGAATCTGGATTGAAGTCAGCAGACCGCGCTTCCCGTTCTGCAATGGCATTCAATGTTTGATGCTTGGAAAGGATGTTATTTGAAAAAAGGAGATTAAAAACAAGGCGAGCACTGGGAGACACTGAGATACGGGTTTACTACTCATTCATGACAATATCCAAAAGTATAACCGATTGTCAACCCGAACGTATCCGAATGCACAGCTGGCTGCCCCGCCGGGACAGGAGTTAGCAACAAATCGCCTTAGGCTATGCATATACTCGAAGAACGCTGCTGGTTTACTCCGAAGGCCACGTCAGATCTCAATCGAGTCCATCTTTGGGTCAATAATGCCTCCTGGCACCTGCAGTGATGCATGTAGCACTAGATGATGCACGACTCGTCATTTGGCTTTATCCTTCCTAGGTTAATATTTTGCATCGAGGATAACTATATTATGATAAGCAATAAGTCCAAATGGCGCAGTGCACACTGTATCCAGTGATATACCAGATGAAACCAAGGTACTTACCAATACCATGAATCAGCCATGGATAGACCTTTGTAATATTTAAGGAAACCTTGTACGTTCAAACCATGTTCCGAGATAAGCATGTAATCAATTCGCGTTTGTCATCTCGGAAAAGCTCCTTGAAGATGAAAACGCGTCGACAATCGACAGCGAAATACATACCGAGTGAGTGAGCCATCTGGAAACTCCGGTTCCACTGAACTGTACCATGCACGTCGGTTTTGTATAGTTGAAAATCCCGGGCCGTTCCCGATTTATACGACTCAGAAATTCCAAAATAGATAGATAGATACGCGTACGACCGGACGCCGACGTCTCTTGTGGTTTGTGGTTTGTGGTGTGAAGACTGAATGAAGCAGACTGGAATTTCAAGTAGCCGTTTACCTTGAATCCTGAACTTTGCGTTATAAAGCTCCATTATCTGTGCGCACGGCATTCTGAGGGCTCTGGTGTCTACGCAAATTTGGGCCTGGTCAGGTCCAGTCGGGATGTCAAGATACATACGTGTTGAGACATGATTCCCAGCGACACCGACGATGACTGAGGTTGGAAATTTTTGACGCTTTACTGTGATTCAGTTCAGATATCTGCTCATTGCGCAAAGCGCGAATTCTGTTTTCGTTTGCCAATATTTTGAGACGTAATGCGAGCTAATGTGAGGTGATTTGTCCTAATACGCTCAACGGGGGAGATATACACGATTTGGAGCGACATGCTCAAGCATGCTCACCTCGAAGATACCATCGTACGGTTGCACACGACGGGTGACTGACGGGGTGAGGGTAATGGGTTTCCGGTACATATAACAACTCTCAGCAACTCTCCCAGCTTAATCCCAGCGATGAGTACTTGAATTTCATGGTATTCGTGGTATGAGATTTGTTCTTGTAGTAGGCAAATAATCGCTAGTCTCGCGAGCCAGAATTCACGATGAAAAGATGCTGCGATGAATGAGCGCTTGAGCTTTGAGATTCGTTCACTCATGACCGTCCGTCGGCGTGAAGTCCGAACCAGTGCTTATATAATAATGTATGCCTTCTACTGTGCGATACACCTTGTAACTGGAAATAACAATCCTGCAAACTCATCTGGAACTGGTCAGGAAAATGCTGAGTCCATTTTAGATGAAAGGATGGCAGGACACGGAACAATGACAAAACAAGCCGCTGTACGTCTCGATACTTTCGATTTTTGAATTGAGTGGGCGCCGCTCGAATGAGATTTGGAACTAAATAACTGATAGGAGAGAGTCCGTATTCGCGCTAAACCTCAAAGAGCCTTGTCAGTCGCCAGCGGAACATGGAGGAAACCACATGAGCGAGTCACCAGACGCCAATCGCTGCTCCGCATTCTTTATTTATACTCCCGCCACTGTTTGCTTTTATCCCATGTTCAGTAACAACGACGCCGACATTGTCCCAGGAAAGACCTTCGCGTCTCAAGATAAGCTGCCAAAGCTACCGGTGCCTCCATTGGAGGAAACATGTAGAAGGTACCTTCGCGCACTCGAAGGTCTTCAAGATCCGGAGGAGCATACAAAGACGAAAGAGGTCGTGAGGGAGTTTCTAGAAAACGAAGGACCAGAAATTCAACAAAAGCTAATGGACTGGGCAAGAACCCGAGACAGGTATACCCTAATTGCTCTCGATCGAATTGGCTCTGTACTAATTCCGATAATTTGGCTTGTTGACAGTTATATCGAAGAGTTTTGGTACATATTCCATATCTTCGAGTGCATCTGGTGTTCAAAAACCCATTGTATTTCAGGTACGAATCGTATCTATCGCACAGTGACCCAGTAGTCCTTGCTTTAAATCCCTTCTTCGTCCTCGAGTATGTCTCCCATTTAAGTTACAGTAAATGACTACTTATTTATCGTCATCAGAAATGATCCTACACCGAATCGAGGCTCGCAGCTTCCTCGGGCTGCGTCTCTCATCATAGCCTCGTTGGGCTTCATTCATGATCTTCGTGCCAAGATACTTGAACCTGACCATGTACGTTCAACCCCGCTCGACATGGATCAGTACACTAGGCTGTTCGGTGCTGCAAGAATACCTACTGATGTGAGTGGCCTCTCTGTGATTGATACGTCTTCTTGATGGACGTTCGTAGAAAGGCTGCCGAATGGAAACCAGTACAAATTCGCATCATATCGTAGTCCTTCGGCGTGGACAATTTTGTGCGTACTCATCTCATTTCATCTAACATGCTATAGATTCACCCTCTCTATAGACTGGTTCGATGTACTTGACTCTGAAAATAGACCTCTTCTTACCGAACGAGAGATGATTCGGCATCTACAAGCCATCGTCGATGACGCTTCCACTCTTTCTACCAAGGATGTCGCACAAAGAGCTATGGGTGTTCTTTCTACTGAGAATCGCAAGATATGGTCCAAACTTCGTGCCACCATTTCTAGTGACAGACACAATGCCTCCTGCCTCGAGATCGTCGACCGCGCCTTGTTCATTGTTTGCCTCGACGATGGACTACCCATGAAGGATGATTTACCGCAGCTGTGTAGCAATTTCTTGTGTGGAACGTATGGACTTGAAGAAGGTATTCAAGTTGGGACCTGTACTAACCGTTGGTACGACAAGCTACAGATCATCGTTTGCTCTGATGGGGCAGCTGGAATAAACTTTGAACACACTGGCGTAGACGGTCATACCGTATTGAGGTGTGTTCTTAATCTGGGACCTGCGCAGCCAATGTGCATTAATGATTCTTTGCATAGGTTTGCTGCCGATATATTTACAGAGTGTCTCATGCTTCTTGCTCGATCGATAAATCCTGCTGCGCCAACTCTCTTTCACGCTCAGCTCTCTCCGCATGCTAAATCGTACAAACCACCCAGGAATGCAAAGACGACTGTACCGGAAGTGGAACCTATCGATACCACACCCAAGAAACTCGAGTGGGACCTTACCTCAGAACTACGAGTCGGGATTCGCTTCGCCGAAACTAGAATTAGCGATTTGATTTGTCAAAATGACTGTCAGGCTCTTGAATTCAAGGGCTATGGAAAGAACTTTATCACTAGTCATGGATTTAGTCCCGATGCATTTGTCCAGATGGCGTTGCAAGCAGCTTATTTTGGTCTATATGGAAGAATTGAGTGTGTCTACGAACCGGCAATGACAAAGGCCTTCCTACATGGACGAACGGAAGCAATCAGGTCTGTTCAATCGGAGAGCATCGAGTTTACCAAGGTCGATTTTATATTCCACTACATATTGGACATCCTTTGATAATCACTTGCTTAGATATTCTACTCTGAAGCACCAGCAAGTGCGAAAGTCGCTGCGCTTCGAAAAGCTTGCGAGCGACACGTTAAGCTCACGAAAGAATGTAGTCAGGGGCTGGGGCAGGATCGACATCTCTACGCACTTTACTGCCTTCTTCAACGAGAGCGCCAAGCAGGCGGTGAAAACCCACTCCCTGCCATATTTTCCGACCCTGGATGGGTCGTTCTAAATACGTCAATCTTGTCCACGTCGAATTGCGGTAACCCTGCGTTGAGATTGTTTGGTTTTGGTCCTGTTGCAGCTCCTGGATTTGGGATTGGGTATATCATCAAAGACGATGGACTATCCATGTGGGAATAGTGCATCTTCACCAAGCTTTCTGTACTGATCAATTGTTCTATTTACATAGTTGTGCTTCGTCAAAACATCTTCAGACCCGCCGATTCCTTGACACACTCCAAGGTTTCCTCCTCGACATTCAACGTACCGTTATACACCTCCATCGAGCAGCAAACGAACGTCCATCACCCTTTGTGGACCATTCCGGTGTTCTAAGGGATGCAAGAACTGGGCGACCGATTAACGGGCGCGTGTTGGATGATGAGGAGGAGGACGAAATCGCTCTTCGTAAGTCTACATACCTTGTTTTCATTGTGTTGTACCTCTGTCTAACAACGTGGCTTCTACTTTGTGTATCAGCTGGGTATTCGTTCTTCGGAAGCGGTGATGTTGAGAAAATTCTTGGTCAGAGAAAGAGAGCTGAACAACCATATTCACATATTGGTAAGTTTTAGCTGGCTCGAATTCATGCCCCCGCTCATTCTCTCTATAGGTAAAGTTATACAAATGGCCGAATATTGAAATATCTAGATCGTTGAGGGGAATATTGTGGTTGGAAATAATGTACCATACATGTAATATAATCTGTACTGAATGGATAAATCTCACTCTGATACTAGCATTGAGAGTCGAAACTGCAATGTTCAATGTAAGTATTGTGTCCTTGTACGCAAAACGAGACCACCGCAGTCGTAATGCAGGCGGTAGTATGGAAAACGTGCTTTTTGATGTAGAAAAAGGAAAACGTGGGTTCTTATAGTGGATCCACTACCCTAAAGGTAGCGGGAACTTCAGCTTCAACCTTGAATGTTCTGAATGACCATGTTGAGCGCTGAAACCAAGTGATTATCCTTCACGTCTCAGTGTCTCCTCCGTTGATGATTTGACAGGTTTTCTGACTTATTTCCTCCTGTATTGGAGCCTATTGGAGCTAAATTCTCCGCCTCCTATATCCAATATGCCTGTTGAAAATATCCGGACCCCCATATTTTAACTGTGGTGTTCTATCTCCAAACTGGACCAAGATAACAGAAGATTCACCTGTTTTTCAAAGACATCCTCAGGGGGTCATCTGCACATCATATAAATGTTGGGCCCTGCTCCTGACTTTACTTTGAGTGCAGGATAGGATAGGATAGGATAGTTAAATTATACTGGCTAGGTCCGCTTCCCGAACGACCAGTTTACCACACTGTACATCTTCTACATAGATTACAGTAATGGAACACACATTTCTACTACAGGGGGGCGATTATGTACTTTTCAGTCTTGATGAGGAAAAAGCAGAAAAAAAACCTCATGAAAAGTACACGGTCTTCCCTGCCTCAATAATGCATGCTGAGTAAAATCTATACAAATATCCACTTTCCAAACTCTGTGCTTTAGGCAAGTTGCAGTTCATATCAGTATGCACAAACACCATGATCCTTTGTTAGTAGACACATAAATACTTCCAGGAAAAACATTTGTTGCAGACACACCCATAAACCGGTGATGACAACAAGCCGGCACATCCGGGACGGAAAATGTGTCCGAGGTCAGACTTGTCATCATCGAGCTCGATGTCCAGAGTGCCAAATACATTGAATAGCCACCAGACTTGTAGATAGGATACAACAAGGCAATGCTGAGCCACAGATCGAATTTTGGAACAGCCCAATAACCAGAATGTGGTGGATTCAACAAGTACTTTTCGGATGACCTTTCTAAATTTCTCTTCTTCATGAAGAATCCCTCAAGCTCTTAGGTCTCGAGTCTAGTGGTTTTCCAGTTGAACAAACAATCTCCAAAACAGGGTATTCATCAACTACACTGATCAAACTTCCTTTGAAAAAGACAAACAACCAGGTCGCGTCGAACATTCACAAATCCATATATGATTTTATTCAATCTTTTTCTATCAACCTTGTCGAGACATTCTTTGGTGATCATATAACCTTGTCGAGACGTTCTTTGGTGATCATATAACCTTGTCGAGACATTCTTTGGTGATATTATATCCTTTCTATCGAGCTACTCTAACACCCCCACCAAGGCTTGTTTCGACGATTTTAGTCGTGCGAAAAGTCAAGATGGTGGTGGTTATGGCAGTGTAGCAGGTATATATGTCCACCAAGAGTAATGCATTGTCCCAAGGATGGTGTTCCTCCAGATGACGACTTCACAAAGTATGTCATAATCTGCATTGCACGCAACAGCCCAAGTGAAGGAATGGGCTTATACGAGGAACACAAGGAAGACAATGAAGACCATCGAGTTTCCTCCGGAGAAGCGAGCTAAATTGAAATGGTACAGAATATAAGTAGAACTTCGGACTGGTAGTTAATGTTTTAGAACTTGCCAGTCATTGCTTTTCGTGTAAAATGTATTCCTGTCCATCTAATGCTCTCGGGTATTGCAAGGAGGCACAGATCCATGAACCCCGACCAATCATTCAATATTGTGACTCCTGTAACATGTACAGTATGTTCCTAATATTTCTCTCTCATTTGATTTATTAGTGATTTTTTCAAGTGGTGCAATCGCCACCCGAAGGGACTATGATTGTCCCACAATCCCATGTTTATCAATTTACTCCGCGCTGATGAGTCAATTGATACTCCCTCTTGACATCGATGTCGGCGAACGCGAACACTAAAAGGAGACCTAGAGTCCTGTTGACAGTGAGCAAGCAGCGTTGATCACATCTAGCGGGGTCCATATCAGTGCACATAGAATGATGATGGTCCGCCGGATACTAAGGAGTCGCCGTACATTTTCGGTTTGTACAAGCATCTTACTGAACGCCTGGGTATGTTCATTCTTATCGCTCCATCCACCTCTCCAATAAATTATGACCAGGCTGGGATGTGGAAGTTGTGGTACCGAGCTCTCAGAAGTCCTGGATAGGTATGCATGATGTTGTCCCTGTCTGGTCACAGATTTCGAGTGCAGTCGAGAACAGGGAAGGCGTACCAGATCAAAGAAATAACGAAGGGATCATACTTTTACCCCACGAACCCAGGTCTCTATCTTCTTATCCACATACAACCATATGTTTTGACGCTGAATTGCAACACAGATGGAGAAGGAGAGATATCTCCCGTGTCACGTCCGCTGAAGGAAAATGAAGTGGTCAATATAGCTCTTTCACCAAATTCATTGCAATGTGCTAACATTATAATCAGGCTGAGTGGATTTTGCTGGACGCAGTATGTCTGCGTCTGTCTGTTTTTCCAGTTTACCTATTTTTCCAAATTTCCAAACCATGTAGACTCCAGCGACCTGCGCTAACATTGGTATCCATAATATCTATCCTAACGAGATTGATCTAGTGGTATGTGTACTCAGCTGTCAAGAATTCGTTTCCCCCAACTCTCCGTAGGTATCCGGGCCCAATCTTGGTCGCAATTCCTCATGTCAGTCATCTTTCGAAAAGGCTTATGTTCTTCCTGACCCTGTCATGCCCAGCGGCGTTCGCACTCTCATCTGGCACTGTCGGTGCAGCAATGTCCTCGTCTTTATCCAAAATTCGTTCCATTGCAATATCATACGGTACCGTCACCCATCCCACGCCGACCACGTACTTTGAACCAGCTCATATACTTGGTGCAAATATCATTGAACATCTCTGGCACACATGGGGTTCGGACGAATTTGGTCTCAAGAACAACGAAGTGGATCTGTATAATGTGAACATTCCCCTCATCGAGCCGATTCTCAGCAATGAAGGTCTTAAGATCTACTGGACGACGATGTGGCGAACAAGCTACGGACGCTTGTTCAAGCCTATTTCGGGTGATTCGCCTCAAAGCTCAAAGGTGAACCCCGCCGGACCAGATACTTCCACGTCGCCCGCTGAACAGATCCAGAGTTCAACGCCTACAGAAAGCTTAGTTTTCAAGTGGTCTCCAGCAATGGAGGGTTTAATTCGTCCTGATCACTCTTCGCTCGTCGTAGGAAGTGACGGTTGGGCTTTGCATCACGGCGCGGTCAGCGTAACACCCCTTAGAGCCAGCTTTGCAGAGCCTGTCGAGGGTATCCACCAGTTTGCCAACATCGAGGATAGAATATGGAAAGTAAGACTGTAGTCTACTGTGGATAGATATAATGGCATTTTGATTACAATGTAAGTACATAGGTAAAATGGTCCGACTCCTTAGATTATCACTGAAATCATGAAAAGCGCAGCGAATGCTATCACAGCGTCCCATCTCAGATTTGAACGTACAGTCACGGCTTTGCCTGTTATTTGACCGCTCAGGAGTTGCTTGCGATATACTTTGATGGAGTTTATACTCCAGGTAGCATTCTGTAGATAATGTCAAATGGGAATACCAACACAGATACTACTTACATCAAAATTGGATGGCTCCATTAGCTGCTCTGAGCATGTCCCTGGACAGCCTGATGTTGCGTATGAGTTGCCTGCCCAGTCGCCTGTAACGAGTCAGAGAAGGACAAATGATGATGTGTTCCATTGCGACTCACCGCAGAAAGTGATGTCTATATACAACGGTAATTTAGTTTTCGTATATCATCTCAACTTGATTACTTACCAAAAATAATGGAATGATTCACAAAGTTAGAGATGGGGTCGCATCCTCCGGGCTCTAGCGCCGCGACAGGATTGCCCCATCCTGACGGGTTTGGACTTCCTGCCTGGATATCCTGAGGGATCGCTGCGCGATAAAATGACCCTAAGTAAAGTGAGCAAGCTCAGCCACGGGCAGCATTAAATAACACAATTTGCTCACAGACTGCGATACCGTTCTCGTCCCACTTCATGGCGAAAACACCACCACCTTGTTGGTCAAAGAACGGGCCATATGAGGCTCGGCTCCATTCCGTGACACCGCAGCCGGCATTGTCGTTAGCATCGCCATCGCAATTGGTATTATTGACACCATTGGTTTGCTTTAGGAGCTGGTGTGAATCGCAGAATTGTGAAGACCAACTGGGGGGAAAAACGCACCACGATTGTGCCAGTAAAGTTGCCTTCTGGAGTTAGAGTGCAGTTGGGACCTGTGTGCCAAGTGACCTGGTTATGTTCGTTGTCGTGAACTCCTTCGATGATATCTATTTCCCCAGTCTAGAAGAAGTATCAAAATCATGATGTTCACAATGCGTGCGGAGACACACCAATGGCCAAGTGCCTCCTCCAACCGTCCAAAACGCTGGCCACACCCCACAACCCCAAGGTGCTTGGTTGGTATCCAAGATGAAAAGTCCAGTATTGTATTGCTTGTTACTGGATATTCGGACACTGTACGAAAGATTGTCAACAAATCATTCCGCGGAAGCAGATTAAGCACTGTAACCTATTCCGATTTACTCCCTCATCCAAGGTCGTCGTGTTATCACCTTTCATGATCACAACACCGTTGTCCTGTACATATGCCAAACCTTCCGAAAAGGCAGCGGTTGCATTAAGAAAGTTCACAGTTCCGCTAACAAAGATACTTAGGATGGAGCCGAAGGATGCCGATCTTCTACACGTACTGCGTTGGATCTGCACCAGTATAGAAGGAAAAGTTGCTAGGGTCGTGTCAGAAGGAAATAAAGGTCACAATGGAAGGAACCCGCACGCACTCGAAAAAGGTACTTCCGGAATACTCGTCTTCGGGCAGCCAAAGAAAGGTCGTGCCATTCGGATTGACATCAAGAGCACTGGGGGAATAAGATCTCGATTGGAGATTCGGGCTGGGAGGCAACCATGATAGGTTCAGCGAAGGCAATATTGAGCGAATTCTGGATCGGATGGAATTTGTTGACGGCCTAAATGATCTACCAAAATTTGGTGAAGCCAATGTCGTGTGGATCAAGAAGGCAGCGAAAAAGAGCTGGTCGTAATACATGAGCCAAAAGTCGTGAATGTAGATCGTAATTTAAGCAAAGATTCAGAAACTCGTGTTTGCCCGGAGGCTTGATGCAAGTTGGAGCCATTTTACGCGCTCAAAACACGTTTTGCCACCACTTTTCCTAAGCGCCCAAAAGCTTCGGACCGAGTAGCTTCAGCCAAGCTTATCAAAGCCGGTCATTCTCGCTGACGATATTTCCGTCAGTGTCCACAATGTCGGTTTAACATTCGCTGTGCTTCCAGGCGTTTCTCTTTCTTTACCTCTACATTCACGAGCTGCTACGACTCATAACATTATTCTCCCATACGACTTCGAATAAGCTGGACCGCAATGGCGCCTTCCAAAAGAAACCGTTTCTTAGAATTCTACACCAAGCTCGCTTCCTTCAATGTTGAAAACCTCTTTGTTAATAAAAGAAAGCCGGGACCCCCTAGGAGGATATTCGTCAGTGCAGATCTTCCTCAGGATTATTGGGATAACAAAGGGAAGGCGAAACCTGAGCACGTCTATAACACGAACCAGGTGAGTCTTTTGAACCGATTACCCTTCAATCATTTCAAGGTCTGATACAACATGATTTTTGCTAGGTCATCACATCTAAATATACCCTGTTAACCTTCCTACCCCGAAATCTACTGGAGCAATTTAGAAGGATTGCAAATGTGTGAGTACTGATCCACATTCACCTGGAGCTAGATCCGGTACATCGTCGTGATTTATAGCTGGAATAAATGCACCTTGAGGCTCGCTTGAATGTTCCAAGGTGTACTTGCTGTTTGAAAGGTCAAAGCGGCCGAAGTTCACAAAGTTATTCTGTGCTCTCATTTACCTTTAACGATGAAAGTTCAAATGAAGTCGTCTCACTTCCAGTTGCACTGGCAATCGTCTTCCGCGTCCATAATTATGTTTCTGACCTTATTCACAACAGCTTCTTTCTTTTGATTGCTGTGCTTCAATTCTTTGGCGTCTTCAACACGATTTCTCCAGGATTGGTTATCTTACCTCTACTCATCGTTGTGGGCATCACTGCAGTTAAGGACGGCTATGAGGATGTGAAGCGGCATCAGAGCGATAGGCGAGTCAACCACACCTCAGTGATGGTACTGTCTAGCAGCGAATGGAACAATCCCAACATAATGCAGCCCAAAAGCCGAACATTTGTGCGGGGACTGATTCCAAAACGTTTACGACCTCAGGCTGTGAAACCGAACACAGTGAACGTTGAAAGGACTGGAGGCGTTAGTGATGGCTCCAATCAGGACCAGCTTGCTATGTTCCCAGAAGATGTTGAATTTGACGAAGAAATCCCAGAACATGAGCGACGATTTTCGTTCCACAGTCATCATGTAAAACGGCCTCATTGGAAAACCATCATTTGGGAAGATGTCTGCGTAGGCGATATCGTAAAGATTCGTGACAACGAGTCTTTTCCTGCGGATATCCTCATTTGCGCCACTTCAGAAGACGAGAATGTCGCTTTCGTAGAGACGAAAAACCTTGATGGAGAGACTAATCTCAAATCCCGAACATCAGTCCCCGAATTAATTCACATGCGCACTGCCGCAGCCTGCGCGAATAAGGAGAATGCGTTTAGCATCGAATTGGACCGACCTGATAACAACATGTTCCGGTTAAATTCGACAGTCAATATCGCTCACGCAACTCCCTCTCGCGTCTCCGCGGATATGAGCAACATACTTCTTCGTGGGACAGTGCTTCGGAATACCAGCTGGGTTATTGGCGTGGTTTTGTTCACTGGCGAAGATACAAAGATTGTACAGAACTCAGGTGGAACGCCTAGCAAACAGAGTAAGGTTGAAAGACAAATGAATCCACAAGTGTACGTTTCATTTATGTATGATTGTCCTTCTTGACTACATTGGATTTTAGGATTCTGAATCTCATCCTGCTCGCCATGATGGCAACTGCTTGCGCCATCGTTGACTCGGTTCTCGAGAAGAGAGATTACCCTGGCGGTGCCCCATGGTTATATGATGACAACACTTCAGGCGACAACCCGTCGATTAACGGACTAATAACGTGCGCTTTCTCGTAGATGCTGCTTATTCAAACACTTACCAAAGCTTCCAGTTGGGCCTTTGCATTGATAACCTTTCAGAATATTGTTCCGATCTCTCTGTATATATCCATTGAAGCAGTTCGAACGTGTCAAGCGGCTTTTATCTACTTTGACTCGCATATGGTTTACGAGAAAACCGGTCAAACAACATTGGCAAGATCGTGGAATCTGTCCGATGACTTGGGGCAAATCGAGTACATATTCTCTGACAAAACCGGCACTTTGACTCAAGTAAGTCATAATCCACCGTTGGCGGCGTATAACTTATTCTATCATCACCTAGAACTCCATGGTGTTCCGACAGTGTTCTATCGGAGGCCAGATATATACTGGTGATCCCGAAGACGATTCATCTCCAAAGGCTAGGGAAAGCATTCCATCCAATTCAGATTCGATATCCGAGGACGCTCCGGACCTTCCGACCAAAGAAACTGCGGCTGCGACCGGCAAGCAGCCGTTCTTTCATTCAAACAAACTGTCCAAGGATATCTCCACCATCCTTCATTCTGACTCGACCTCTCCAAACGCAGCTCTTGCACGCGCATTGAATGGATTCTTCACTGTCCTTGCTCTATGTCACACTGTACTCACATCCGTAGACCCAGACACCGGAAAGATCGAATACAAAGCTCAATCTCCCGACGAAGCGGCTCTCGTGAAGGCTGCAGCCGATGTTGGCTATGTTTTTCGAGGACGCGAAAGAGAGATATTATATCTTCAGACACCTTTTACAAATGACAAGGATCACCTTGCAGATCAAAAGGATAAGTATGAAAAATACGAGCTTCTCAACATTTTAGAATTCAACAGTACCCGAAAGCGAATGAGTGTGGTTCTCAGGAGATTAGACGGGGATGACGGCCGTGTGTTCTTATTGATGAAGGGCGCAGATAATGTCGTATTCGACCGATTAAAAGCAGGGGTTGACCAGCCACTTAAGGATCAGACAGAGATGCATTTAAGCGAATTCGCCAATGAAGGCTTACGCACGCTCACTTTGGCGTATAAAATCGTCTCCGACCAGGAGTATGAAGCGTGGTCTCATAGGTACCACGAGGCTACAGTGGCTTTGGACAACAGGGAAGAGAAGATAGATGCTGTTTCTGACGAGCTGGAGCAGAATCTCCGTCTTCTCGGCGCTACTGCCATTGAAGACAAGTTACAAGAAGGAGTCGCAGAGACTATCGCAGATTTAAAAAGGGCTGGGATCAAAATCTGGGTTGCTACCGGGGACAAACTGGAAACCGCTATCGGTATGTACCAACTGTTACCTGATCTGTTGTCACTGACACTCGTCTAGCCATTGGACATAGCACAAACCTCATCGGAAGTGATTCCAATATCGTTGTAATTAGAGGGGGGCATGGTAGTTCTCGTCCGGTGTATGGGCAGATGGTCAGTGCCGTGCAAGAGTTCTTCCCCGAAAGCGGAATCTTGGATGACAATGGGGCAGTCACTCCAGGTGTACTTCATCGTCAGCAGTCTAACTCATCTATTCATGATGTTCAACGTCTTATTCCTCTGCAACGTGTCCAAACTGGTATCAGCTCGATCGTCGGATCCGATAATGGTTCCAGACCTGGAGGCTTTATTCTCGTCATAGATGGCGCAGCTTTGGGCGACGTGAGTCGTTTTCTCTTGCTCGTCGCATTAGCAAAGAATTTTGCGCTAATCAGTCCTCTATGTTTACAGGCGTTCGCTGACGAAAACAACAAAGATCTCCTTCTGCGTCTAGCAATGCTATGCGAAGGAGTGATATGTTGTCGGGTTTCGCCCTTACAGAAGGCACTCGTTGTGAAGTTGGTCAAGGACGGTTTGGGGGCGATGACTCTCGCAATCGGGGATGGTGCTAACGACGTTAGCATGATACAGGTTAGTCCACAAATCGCATCAATGTTCCATGTTATGAGATCGATGCATGTTTCACAGGCTGCAGATGTAGGTGTGGGCATTTCCGGTGAAGAAGGTCTGCAGGCTGTCAACTCCTCCGACTATGCTATTGCACAGGTGAATAATCAATATGAACATGTTATCCTAAACTGTTGCCCAAAAATTCTCCATAGTTCCGTTTTCTGAAAAGGCTGCTTCTTGTACACGGGCATTGGTCGTATGCACGTAATGGTAACATGTACGTTGTCCACTTGCATCAGCTTTCGAGCTCCCTCTCAAAATGCTTCCAGGATCTTGAATTTCTTCTATAAGAACATTGTATGCATAGGGGTTTTATGGTGGTTCCAGATTTACGATGCATGGAGTTCCGCTTAGTGAGTATTTTACTTGCATTGTAATCAGTTGGGCTACTACTAATTCACTGGACTACCAAGTGCTTTCGAATACACCTATCTTCTGTTCTGGAACTCGTTTTGGACGATCGCACCGGTAATTGCTATAGGCATATTTGATAGGATAGCTGGTCAGTGCTTCGCCAATCGCAGAAGCTTAAGTAAACGACGACACCCAGATTCTCATATCCTCATGGCACTCCCTGAACTGTACCGTTTCGGCCGCGAAGGCTCGTGGTTCTCGATGAAATGGTTCGTGCTGTATATGTTGGATGGCGTCTATCAAGTATGTTCATCACAATTGTTTTTTGTACTTCAACTCGAGAATATTGAGAAATCTGTTCGCAGTCTACCATCATCTACTTCTTGATTAACTACACCTATTCTTCTACGCCAACATCTCGGAGTGACGGTTATGGTCAATATCAATATGAGTTCACCACGGTAAGCAGTTTTTTCTTCCCAGGGCCTTCCTCTCAAATCATCTGCGCCTTGCGCAGACTATGGTTTTCTCAGCGGTCTTAGTCGCTAATTTGTTCAATGGATTGAACACTGCTGTTTGGACTGGCTGGGTTTTCTTTGCGGTTTTCATAGGCATCATCCTCGTTTGGATCTATACGGTGAGTTGCTACTATTCTTCGGCGAGGATAACTAGCTGATACAAGCTTTAGGCGATTTACGACCTCATATCACCTGGTTGGTTCTATACGCCTGTATATGGCAACAACATCTTCGTATTTCATTCAGCATACTTCTGGCTGTGTCTCCCGCTCACTGTCTGTCTCGCACTCGCCCCTCGGTATATCCTCAAAGCATACAAATTCATTTTCACGCCGGATGATCTCGATATCATGCGTTGGGCGAATAAGATCAATCCTGATAGGGATTATGCAAAGGAAGCCTATCTGCATAACGGTCTAGCAGCTCTGAGAAGGAGTTCAAGTCGGGCGATATCTACTCGTGATGTTGAGGGATCCGCCAGTAACCTTTCGCTTCATACGACAGACTCCTACAGGCGATCGCGTTCCGCACTTCCTGGTCCACAGCAGTCGACAGCTTCCTTTTCCGCAAGCAGGACAGATATGTCTACTGGTATACGCTCGGTGCATCGTGGGTTCGACTTTTCCGCTGAAGAAGGCGGGCCGGCGATGCGGAGAATGCAGAGCAATCTGTCGGAGAGGAGAGGTAACTCACAATTGGGAGGTCCAAAGGCAAAGAGCGGATCTAAACGATCACGAGTACTGTCCCTCATCAAACGTAAACCTAACGTTCATGCGCCTCCAACGTAGATCGTTCTATCTATCCATTTATTCACTGGGACCTTTTTATTGTATACACACTAGTACTTTTTTCTTCACTATATCCTTCGATATCCTACTCACACCTTATCGTGTACACAAGGTAAACATACAGATCCTAATTATACTCCACGTATAATATATAGACGACATGCGTTATTTTTCTTCATACTCTAGTTTTTATTGTATCTTTTCGCCTCGACCTGTATGTAACTTGTAGTATGTATACTGAGGAAAAACTCAATTTTGTCGGCGGTACAGACAGTTTTGTTCCAGTACGCTAGAGTTGCAATCTATCTGTCAAATAGATGGATAGACAGATAGATAAATGCAGCTCCGTCTCAGTGTCACTGAATCAATTGTGAATAACTGGAAATCTTGAAATGTAAGTTACCTGCAGAATGTTAAATAAGGCTTGAACTTGAATGCCCCAGGCCAAGCCGTATTGGCGACCCAGAGATCTGACATATTTGCACATCACAATCCTATTCGCGAAATACGCTGGAACAAGCAACTATGACGGCTATGGTGAGAGATCTTGTATAATTTGGATCGTGCCGCAACGGTTGCTACTTCATTTATTTTGATGATGATGATTCTTTCAATCTTTCTCGCCTTCTACTACCTCGACGGTAAACAACCTGGTATGTTTAACAATATTTTTTGCTTTCTTGCTAACATCGCAGTAGGCCTTCAATCTGAGATAACTATAACTATCGCTGTCGACTGGCGTTGTGTTTCTCTACGCCGACTGCAGTCCATTCTTTAATCCATGCTAAATGAACAACGACCACGACACTTACCCGCTGCGCGGGAATTCCTTCGCAAACGACGTCCATTCCTAGATCCTAGAGCCACAGCGGTCGCTACGGTTGATGGCGAAGTTGAATCCTTGACCGGACCTGTAACACTCACCGAAATCTCCACCATCTCTGCTGCAACAACTTCGAGCAGTTCCAGACTTTCCACTACTGTCAAAAGTTCGACGCCATCGACTATTGCTAGTGCGTCTGTATCAAGCGCCTCTATCATACGGTCCTCGTCTTCAACCTTGTCATCAACGATCTCCTCCTTCTCTCAGTTCACTTCTGTCTCAACGACCTCAGTTTCACCTTCTGCCTCAGCTGTAGCCAGCTCATCAGCAACATCAACAGGTTCGACTGAGAATGTGATCGGCGCCGAGTCAAACGGGAGCACCTCTGAACTCAGCGGAGGTGCCGTCGCAGCCATAGCTATCGGTGTTTTAGTTTTGGTGACCGCTGCTGCTGTTCTTATTGGACGCCGATGCATGGTGATGCGCAGGCAGCGGAAGCGAACCACCGCGAGATGGCTCAATGGATTCTCTGCTCCCAACCCTGAAGCTTTCATCGTCCCCGATAGAGCCAGTGCACAACCAACGATGAGCATGGTAAATCCCAGCTATGGAGATGGATATGCGTATACTCCCACATTGAACGGTGCTGGCAATGGTACGAGGGGTGCAGTCGCAGGTTTCGCCGCTCCCGCAACCCCTGCGGCTTCGTACAATAACGCTCCGACAACTCCTGGCCTCACTCCTCGGACCGCTATTTCTAATGTTGTCAACCGAGCAGCCGTGCGATGCACATTTGTTCCGAATCTACCAGATGAACTGACAGTTCTGAACGGAGAGGTGCTGAACGTTTTGCAAGAGTATGATGATGGGTGGGTATTTTGTTCGAATGGTAAGGGAGAGACGGGCATGGTTCCATTAGAATGCTTAGCCTACGAGACAAGTTCAGATTTCTGGGGTGAAAGGCTCATGGCAGGCTCAAGACGAGTCAGTAGCATAAGTGGAAGGGTTTGAGGTCTTTCGTAACAGTTTGCTGTAACTATCCTGTTTTATTTTGGTCAGACTGTGACGGTAAGTACATAGTTTCGCTCACGCAAATAACCGCTCTTTTTCTCTTCTCTCTTTCGGAATCCGTCACGCATACATATGTTATTATTGCTCCGCTTCTCCTTCGATTATTCTTTCACATTCATTTTGGGCCTCAACCATAGTCTTTTGATTTGACGTTGGCTGTTTTGACGAATGACACTGTATCATCGATATTATTATCTGTTTTACATATTTCACCCAGTATGTGTTTTTCCGAAATTGAAGCGTTGTAACTCTGGGTCTTAGTCCACATAGTAGTGTATCGTGGCTGGGAAGTGCATTGATTCTCACGGTGACAAAGCTGTGTATTTTTCAGCTTTCTTTCGTTCCTCCACAAGATGAATACTTCTATCTGTTTGTGTGGTTGTCTCCCGTATTCTGCAAAGTCCCCCCGCTCTATTACCTCTGCGTCGTCAAGCCCGTTTGCTCTATGCAACCTTCTGCAAGCAGGAACAGTTCAAATTGAACTGAAGTCTAAAAATATGCTGTGCTGCAATACTCATGCTGAAGACGGCTGGCATCTCTTCAATGAAGTTGACCTCAATGGCAAGGTCCAGGCGTCTTCTGAGAACCTGATCGAGTCCCTCCAAATATTAACAAGCCAGCGATTAATGGTTGCGACTTTCTGTGTTAACAATGTGCATTCGGACATGCCATCACTCGTGATCCGAATTTATCTTGTACCATACGATTTGCCTGGCATGAATGGAAGTTTGAGCTACCATGCTCGAAAGCGTGAAAACGCTCAAGGGCATGGCCTAGCTAGGCGACACATGTCAATATTGCTTCCACAAATCCGCCGAGATCAATCAAGTTGGAGTTTCGGAACTGCAGACTTGAATCACAACCCTCCCTCGATATTGAGTAATTTAACTGTAAGTCTTTCGAGTCTTTCTTTGCTGTCTATCTACCCGCTGTGGGTTCGATACTTGCACCGACATTTGACTCATTTGGTCGTTTCCCAGGACCGAAAACAGCTTGCTGAAATATATGCGAATATTCCCTCACCCACTCCAGGAAAACTAAAAAACAGCTCGTCTCTGGTGTCACGACTATTGGATCCTGGTGATGCTATTGGGGAGAGTTTAGGGCTACGATCGTTGTTGCTCCGCTATCAGCGAGAGTCCGTGGCAACAATGCTAGAACGCGAGGAACACGCCCATCTGAGCACACCCAATCCGCTTTACTTGACGTTGAAGACTATGGACGGAAGTATATTTTATTATCAGCCGGGTACAACGGAAATTTTACGGGAAAAGAGTATGGTCTCGTTGCCACCTGGTGGTGTGCTTTGTGAAGAGTTAGGTATGATGCTCTTATCTCAACAGTGCTCAATCCCTGTCCCTTACTGATTTGGACTTAGGAACTGGAAAAACTCTTATAATACTGGCTCTCGTCCTTGGGACAATGAAACAGCTTTCAAAACCAGAAGAGTCAGTCATCGACACTCGACCAGTCTTGACCCCTCTAGCCTTCCAACGCTTTCCCTCTGGTGAAATTTCTTCACTCCGAGAACGATTCCCACGGAAAGCAAAGATGACTGAAGTGAGCTCAGAATCTCGAGTACCCTCATTTCGAGAGCTCTTACTTCATCAACTCTGCTCCAATCCTGATATCCGTGTCCCCGACACAAGCACGGCGACAGGTGTAGCCCTAAAGGAAAGACAGCGGCATCTTTCCGAAACATTCGATCTACCAGCGTTCGAATCATTGCGGAAATTGCAGAAGGAAAACCTTCCCTTCTATTTCCACTTTCAGGATGATTACACTCTCACCGATTTTCGTACAAGCGATCGTGGTCGAGATAATCCCGGACCTCGAGTAATGTATCTCTCAGTTGCAACACTGATTGTAGTTCCCCCTAACTTGATTAGTCAATGGGACAGGGAGATCCACAAGCATTGCAAAGAGATGCCCAGGGTCCTCATAGTACGATCAAACACAGTCCTTCCTTCAGCAAGGGATCTTGCTGCGAACTACGATGTATGGTTTGGCTCCCGTACGGATGTTTGATAATCTGATTGATATCTTGTTTGCAGATTATCCTCATAACGTACTCAAGTAAGATGTCGTTATCCATTTCTGCAACGTTGATGTAGAACTTGAATAGGATTTTGCGATGAAGACCGAAAAGCTAACATTGCTAATGCTCATACTTGGAAATTGTGCAAGTGTTTCGGAATAGAAGATTTCTGCATTTCTCCTCGATGCAGATGCAAACCACCAGACATCTCGCCACTGTTGCAAATACGGTGGAAACGACTCGTCATTGACGAGGGACATATCTCTTCATCGCTTTCGACACGATTTACCCCTTTCGCGCAGCAAGTCAGCGTGCAGGCAAGATGGATTGTTACCGGAACACCTACGACAAATCTGCTTGGCTTGAGCTTTGGGGAGTCGGGCACTGAGGAGATCAACGAAAGTCCAAAACATACGCCACCTCAGTCACTATCAGAGTTAGAAGATGAATGCTCTTTATTGAATAGCGGTGAGCGGTTTGAGCTATCCCTGGCCAAACCTCATACATGTATCTCAGCTCGTATCTGGAATGCTTCCGACAATCGAGATATCACTAAATTAATGACCATGATCTCCCAATTCATCGGTGTCAAGTTTTTAGCGGATGGTCAAGTAATTAGGACGCACATTAAGGATGCGTTGTTTACCGAAAAGGGTCCTCTGCCAGGGGGGGTTGATATTCTAGTTCAGATCATGAGAGAAATGATGATTCGGCATCAGTTTGTCGTTTGTGCAATTTTATCTGAATACACTCACCAACTACTGTTGTGTGCTACCTGCAGAATTTCTGATGTAGAGAAGGAAATTACCCTCCCCAAGCTTACTCAAGAGTCTGTATTGTTAGATCTGGATCCACTCATGACCATATCCTACAATGCTTTACAAGCTGGGATAGCACTCAATGCAATAGACTCTGAACGCAAAGACCGAGTACGTATACAAGTCTCTAACAAACAGGAGCTGATATGGATGATTTATAGGATTATCTATTCCACCCTACTGTAAGTTCATGTCCGTCTCTGCTTTGTGGCAACTTACCAATGCATGAAGGTTCTTACAGAATGCTGAATATCTCCAACTTACAGTAAAAAATATGTCACAGTATGTAATGCTAACTTTCAAGTTGATTATTACATTTCGACACAGGATAACTCACTACACCCAGATTGATGTTTTGGTCGGTAGATTCGAAACTCTACAATATCAAGGATATCGTTAAACAGGCCGAAGAATTACTATCGAAAGTCAAAGAAGGGAAAAAGGATATACCTGAGTGTGATGTAGTTCAAGTGCGAAAAGCACTGAAGCACTCGTGAATATGATCCGAACCCATCTCACAGACCTCTAATACTGATTAGATTCTTCCTTCGTGCAATGCATAGCCGTATAGCCTCTCAAAATAATCTTTGGAACCTGATTCAAATGCATGATTACATGCCCTATTTTGTTATCAATATTCCTTCTCCAATCCTGAAGGAATGGTCTGGACTACCTGATCATCTTATCCCCGCGGACCGTCTCCTCCAACTGCAGCAGCGAGTTCATCGTTGGCCTCTAAGTGACGAGGTTCAACTATGCTCCTTCGGACGGGAAATGGGCGAAATTGATGTCCGGCATCGTCTCATTCTTGAAGAGCTCACGCAGAAGAAAGAGAAACGAAAAGAAAAAGAAAAGAAGCCAGCTTTTCCTGTCGTTTCGAGCGATTTCAAAACACGGACTGCAAAAAAGAAAGCATCATCAAATGATCGGGACCATCGGATACGTGAAATGCGGAAAGATTTACAGGCCTCATTGGCTCGCCTTGATGCACTCGAGGAAAACGGAAGTCCAGCTGGCTCCAGCTCCCTCAAGATCAAGATTCCTGCAAGTATGAATCGGAACTCCATTTTGCTGCATCAGTCACCAGTTGCCCATGCCCATGTCCAGAGCACTGCTTCGAGTAAGCTCAACTACATCTTAGAGGAGGTGAAACCCATTTGGATCATGTATCCATCAATGTTTACTCAATCTTCTCATACGCTACAGGTCCAGAAACACTCTGTGGAAGAAAAGTTCCTGATCTTTTCTGACTCCCCGTTGACTCTATCCCACATTCATGAGGCCCTTAACCTCCTCCAAGTCAAGAATCTACAATTTACAAGTCAGACTTCAGCCTTGGAGCGAGAGCAACTTGTCCTGACCTTCGAAACTTCGACCACTTTTCGAGTCTTTCTCATGGAACTGAAACACGGAGCCCGAGGCTTGTGAGTGTAATAATCATGGTGCCAATCTTTTATTTGGGTCAACGCATTCACAGAAACTTGGTCTCTGCGTCGCGAGTCATATTCTGCGAGCCAGTATGGCAGGCTGATGTTGAATCCCAAGCAATAAAGCGAGCACATCGTATTGGTCAAGTCAAGCCTGTCACCGGTACGTACCGTACATAGGGATTCCGGTCAATGAGATTCAAGGAGCGTTTTTCTTTTAAAGTGAAAACCCTAGTCATACAGGGAACCGCCGAAGAGAAGATGATGGAACGACGGCAACAGCTAAAAAGCATCCCAGGCAAGGCGCCAAAACTTTTAGAGGAAGCAGGAATGCGACATTTCATTGCAGTAAGCTGACGCCAATATCGACGACAGGACAGATCATTCATAAATCTTTCAGAATCCGGAGTTCATCGAATCCCATGGCCACCCTGGAGTGGCCACACCGCGAGGCAACTTTCCACTGTTCCGTCTTCCTCATCTTAACGAATCGTCACCACAAATTACAACCAGCCATAAACGAGTGCGTTTAGAGGAACCAGTCCAATCGTCAGACACCGCACAGAAAAATAGAAAAACTGTACGCTTTGTTTGATTGATTTGCATGTATGGTTGGCGAATGCACTTGTGGCTGCTGGTCAAGTTTCGAGAGGCGACTTTGGAGCCGGAAAGTGCGACGATATTTAGGATCTTTGTGACATAGATGGGGCGGGAAGGCATAAAAGATAGGAATAGAGAAGCTCATATAGTAATCGTGAACCAGCCACAAGTCTGGGACCATGATATCCAGTATGATAATAATACAAATAATCGATCTCACTGTTATGTCACTCTCCGAAGTCATTTTGAGGGTGAACCTCAATAGGTTTGGTCTCCGAGAGATAAACTGGAGAAAGACTACCGTTGGGGTTCGAACAGTTATTTCGACTGTCAAGAGGGCATATCGCATGGATTCATGAGGTTGTAATGATACGACAAAGCATATGGAAATGGTTCGCAAGCAATCAAGTTAAAAGGTAGGTACCCAATGCATGCAAAAAATGCAATCCAAGACAGCGTGATAACGCAAAAGGGAAGGAGATTGAACAATGACCCATCGGCGAATAATTTACTTGCCCTTCTTGGCGGGTTCGGAGCCCTTGATCTTTTGTGTACCACGGAACTGATGGTTAGATTGTCAGTACGCAGGAATATAAGCCTCAGAGCTGAATGGAGTATAGTATATACCTTCTTCGCCCGGTTCTTACGCTCCTTCCGTAGCTTACGAGAAGGTTTGTCAACCTTGGTCGCGAGTCCTGACTGTAAACGTTCATCAGCCTATCAAGTCCTCAAAGCTACAAGGAAAAATACACGCACTCGAACTAGACGATATTTCGGCTCAAACTTTTTCTGACTGTCCTCGTCATCGTAGATCAAAGCAAATCCAGTGCTTCGACCTCCACCAAACGCCGTACGGAAACCAAAAGTTACAACACGCTTCTTGTCGGTTTTGTACATGGCGGCAAGCTTTTCAGAAAGCTCTTCCTTGGAAACGTTTGGTCGGGATGGGTGTAAGACATCAAGGACGAATTGACGTCTGGCGAGGAGACGGTTGGTGATGAATTTCCGTGTGCGAAGGGTGACGGGGGCTGAATCGGCCTGGGTGTGCACATAAAGACAGGGAATGGAGGAATATAGCAGTCAGCTCTCTTATCGAACTTGGATTGCCAATCTACCACAACAACTTTATCCGAGATAAAAACCCACCATTTTGGGAAGCCAAGGGTTGAAAGCTGAGCGCAGAGGGTTAGTACCAATTTGCGCAAGATACGCACAGACTACGAACCTTGATAGCGACTTCGGACTTGCGGGCGGCTTCGATGTGAGGGTTACAAAATTCGTGGGTCAAGCCACCGATGAAAACTGTAAAGTACCACGTGAGTTTTACATGCCGAGAGACTGACGTAAGCCGTCTGATTCGTTACTCCCATTAGGCCGCGCGGTGAACACTGAACACTGAAGTACAGAACAACGATTGAGAGCATTTAAAGTACTTTTGTCTGCGCGGCTGCATTTTTGAGGCTTCTATACTCACCGCTACTCATTTCTGCGATAATACTTGAGCCAACACATCGCTATGAGTTCTAATAATCTTGCGTCATTCGCTCCTTATGTGAGTTCCTACTCTCCTTGTTGATACATCAGCTCATTTGCATTAAGATGCCCCCTCCTGATGACCCAGCGTACTCTGGGCGCTCAAAGACTTCTGCCACAAAGGGACCTTCTCAAAGCCGACCATGGTTTCCACATCAACAGTCCTCACAAGGTGTCTCCTACCAATCTGGGGGTATTCCAACATTCAATGACTCACAAGCCGGTGGATCTGGTAATTCTGCGTCTGAGGAACTAGAGAGCCACAATCAATGGGAAACTCGATATGGAACGCGGGTAGATATGTTGTCTGCATTCGCCTATATTTTGGGCCCTCTTTCTGGTGCGTAATCGGCATCGGCTTATAAAATAGATGTTAGCCTAATAAAATCACCTTGAATAGCTTTGGCAGTCCTCATCATCGAAACGCAGAATGACTACGTTCGGTTTCACGGTACGAGTTCGGAATACAATTGTGTCTTCAGACTATTTAATTTTGAGTTCAGGCTACCAATCTGCGCTATTTACAACGCCTATCATTGTTTTCCGAGCTTTTCTCTCTATCTTGCAATTCCCACAATGGTTCCGAACGTTCGTCACAGTCCTGATATTTGTTGGTCAACTTTACATGGCGTCAGTTAAACCTGTTCAAAATTGCTGTCTCCGCTGATTTCTCCGCCTATAGTTTCAGGGCTTATATCGACGCGTCGCAGAATGGGCTATCACGGTTTCAATTGCCTATAATAGGTCCTATAGCCTCGCAATGGTTAGCAGACGAGTAGTCATCTACTTGTCTTCCGCGAGCCAAGTAGTACGGACATGTACAGTAACCACTACACTATCGTCTATTCATGCATACATTGTACTTTTTAAACTTACTTTACTTTACATACTTAGTGACAGATAATAATGCACTCATAATGCACTCCGTTACTCTTTCTTTGGAACGATTATATATGCCATCAGGCTATAGTACGCATAGGAGGGTATATACTTTGTATCGTACATACCAGGAAGAAACGCTACAAACCAAATCTAGAGCTAGGAATCGGACTAGTAATGTGATACAGTGGGCGAGAGAGATAAAAAGATACCAGAACCCTAAACTTATAACAAGCATGTGCCCAAAAGACAGTCTCCAAACTGCCCTAGGAGAGCCCTCAGCGAAGGCGCTAATGCGTTGAGCGTGGCGTCAGTGGCGTCCTCGCATATATCGAGTAGCCATTCAATAATACACTTAAGTTCGTACACAACTGACAAGACAGGTTAATTATGATGGAGAGCTAGCGAACGAAACCAAAACGTACTGGGACCGAGAAGTGCGCTGAGTAGAGGATAACATTGGACGAGATCGTTGGTGTAATTGAGAATATACTTGGTCTCGTCGATGATTTTTCGAATTAATACCTCCAAGCCGCTATTTTTGTCAAAGTAGGCGAGACCTTTATCACTAACTGTGTGTTGAAAGCCGAGTAGACTGTTACTGAAAAGTGACAAAGAGGAAGCAGACGGTTGTTGTTGCGCTTCAGGCGAACCAGGGCAAGATGCAGCGCATTGCTCTAAATTGAATATATTGATACAAGTTTTGTAAATCAGACAAGGTGCCCACGTACGGAGATCATTTGCGTGAAGACCTGCATCAGACACATATATGGTGAGCGCGGAAATAATATCTTGTTGGCGAGGGTCGATCGAACGCGTGGAGAGGAGACTGCGAGAAGCGTGGGTCGAGTGCGAAGAGTTGTGACTGGATGTAGTTTTCAAAGTCTTTGAAGGAGGACCAGCCTCATCTGGGTAGGAAGCGCTGTAGTTCTTCATCAACGGCATAGGTAGAGGATTTGCAAGAGCGATGTTCAAGGAAGGCGTGAAACCGACCAAGGCGAGATACGCGGCAGTATGGAAGGCAACGAAGACGCGTGCGATAGACAACATGTTGAGCGGAAGCTGAGATCTTGGAAGAGCGCGATGATTTTGAAGGGACAGGCTGAAAGGCGACTAGCGCGACGGTTGACGTTGAGGAAGGAAAGAAGGCTTGAAAGATCGTGGTTCGGGATTAAGAAATTAAAACAGGTTCTGGCGCCCTTATATGCGTCCCAGATGTCTCAAATGGGAATCACGTGGTCATGTACTGTCGCGTATTTCGCACAAACAATTTACCAAGTCGCTTCGCTGTTTCGCTGACCAAGGACATACAGTGACATCTGGTTCTCACTGGATGACTTCCCGCAAGGATTGCTATAGTAATTCAAGATATCCAAACGGGATCTCTTGCCCACCTCCTCCCACCTCCAACTACCACAAATACTGTAAGAAAATTTGAACAGATGAATTCCATGCAATCAAATACACATAGATACACATACATAGTGTGAATTTTTTGCTCGTGTCGGGCAATATCCAAGCAAAATCAAGGATATACAACCTGGTCTGCCGTGGTCCGGTTATAATTGCACTCTTTTTTCTTCCAATCTTCCTTATTGTACTCCATCTATTAGAACCTTTGATCAGCTTTGATCATCGCATTCACCTAATTACACACAACTCTGCTACAGACGTTACGATGTATGTAACATCGTAACAAAGCGTAACTTACATATTACATACTCAAAATACTTTATACGCTCTCTCTCTCCATCCACGCTCCTCAAAAACTACATATTTAGGATCTTATGAATATTGTCTTGGACCTCCGTACCTTGTTCAAGCATTGAATTTTGTTCCTTCATTGTTCCTGGAGGATTGATGAAAGTCAGAGAGGTAGCCTCGAAGGTAACATTCCTGGTATGCAATATCTATTCTCCAAATGGGCTATATCTAAAGTATAACATTCAATAATCGTCTCAGAAAATTATGAAAGTCCCGGAGCCAGTGGATTCAAAACTGTGCAGTACATTTTTTCTACATAACATCCTGAGCAAGCTCGTCCAATAAGCAAACTAACGGTCCATGGAAGCATCCGGACTAGTCCGGACAGAAGTATTTTGCAGTGTGCACTTGCGTATTGCTTAAGCGACCAGCGTATTCAGTGTTCACTGTCGGTCTATCGCATCAGACCTCATCAGACTGGCTTAGGAACTATTTACTCAGATTGTTTGTGCCGAGGCTTACAGGAAGTCATCCACTAGCTTCAACGAATCTAAGGACAGACCAAGACTAAGATTAAACGCACACACGCAAGTGTAACGGTAGAGAGGAACAAAAGGAACAACAACAGTTGGCGAACACTATCAGACACTAGAAATTGTGTAGAAGCGCGCGGATGTAATAATGCAAAACAATCGAGATCAAAGCCTAAAACGATAAAGACCTATGTACTCTGCGTCCAAGAAGGTAAATCGGAAAAACTCAAGAATGCATTCGATAAATAGCATTTGTGACACGAGTCATCGCGCAACAAGTCAAGCATTGGAATCAAAAGAGAAGTAAAGACAGGTAGGGCAAATGATAGGAAGATTGAAGACCGTACGATCAGTAGATGTAGAATCTATAACGTTGCCGGGTCGATATGATGGAGAGCCACAATCTAGAGCGCAATGCAGGAGGTGCCATCAGAAGACAGCTTGAATCCGGCAAAGCAGGAATACACTACGAAACAAGAATCAGAATTTAATTCGGCCTGCATTGATAGGGGAATTACATACCTTTGCAGCTACCGCGGTCACAGCCTACATTCCAGGCACCTTCAATAGCAGTACAGTCCTGACCCTCCCCAACTGAGGCACAACCGCCACAAGATTCAAGCTCGGCTGAGGTATCAAGACACTCGTAGTCTCCAAGAGATGACCCCGCAATTGGGCAAGCATCGAGACCCTTAGGGCAAGCAGGAACTGCACGAGCAACATGTGCACGTTTATAATGGTGACCATTTCCTTTGTTGGGGGTAGCGGAAGGCTTGGGAGTGCTACTGGGCTTGCTGGGAGAGGAGGGTGTGCAGCATAACAAGCTGCTGATCCAATCCCAACCATTGGAGCATTGAGGCGGAGGCGTGCTGGTAGGTGTACTTGAGGGGCTGGTGTGCGTGCTCGTGTGGTGGGCGCTCGAGGGGGTAGGCGTGGGAGTGCTCGTGGGCCATTTAGGAAGACAGCAGGTCTTCTCGTCGTTCCAGTACCAACCGTTAGGGGGGCAAGACTTTCCTGAAGGGGGAGTAGGCGTTGGCGTATGAGTGCTGCTCGGGGTTGGTCCGCCTGAGGGTAAACAACAATCCTTTTCCTTGAAACTACAGACCCTTTCCGTTCAGATCGCGAAGTAAAAAAAAAAATTCCAACCCACTAAAATTCTGATTTAGAGCAGGACTCCGAGGTTTTGGATGAAGATGTGTTGGTTTTGCTAGCAACGGTCCCCGCTGAAACAAAGGGGACGATAGCAAGAGCAAGCACGGACAATGCAACGACGCGTTTAAAGACAGTCATTTTAATCTAAAGAAGGGTCTCAAAAGAGCGACAGGACAGATTCGTCAGCGGACTGGTGCAAGAGAGGAGAGGGAGAGAGATGAAACAATAAAAACGAACAACGAGTTTATATACCCTGATTATGAAGTTTATCATCATGGGAAACAGTACCTTATGCTGTAATTGGCTCTAATTTACTCAAAATCAGAGGATCAAAGCGGTTTCGTTGGACCGCTGATGGAATATGTCGCTCTAGGTTCGGGAATTTGTAATTATGACTGCAGGATGATTTGTCGAAGAGTTTCTGCAGCTCTCTGTTCATTCCGCCCAACACACGCAAGCCTGCGATTGAAAGTAGGTAAAAGTAACTTGAAATTCGACCCAGCAAAAAAAATCTCCCTACCTTGGTTCACATGGTTACGGCCACGATTCAAATCTACAACCAGAGAAATTTCCGCAAAATGATGAATGTGATTCGAAAATTGAATTCTGTCAAAAGCCGGATAGAGTGAGCTGTCACTCCACCGACGGGAGGAGCGACGTCTGCGGTCTAGAGAGGGATTTACACGAATGAATAAAAGTTCAAGTGCATCGTGCAACTAAAGAGGAAAACAGTCATTATTCGAGTTACAATTGTGTATACGTTTTAAAGAATATCCAGGTAATCTGTAATCTATCCTACCTACAAAGAGGTGAGATCCCCTGTGCAAGGAACATCACATACAACTCACTGATTAAGTCACCACCGCAACCTTTTGGAGAGCACGAGCAGCAAAATATCGCACATCGGCATCTTGATCATTTTTCTGCTGTTCCAGGACAGGTAGAATCCTTTGTTGAACGAACGCTTCCCCTTCAGGTGTGTTTCCATATGCAGATAAAAGGACTTCGAGAGATTTAGCAACGTTGAAGCGAATATTTGGGATGGGATCTGAGGCAAGCTGGAGAAGAGATTCGATGATTTCTGAGCGTACGATGTCGAGATTCAGAGACGGCATAATGATCTGCGAAACCGAATGAGAGCGCTGAAATGAAACAGAACGGGAAGAGGCCAACGGACCGTGATTGCTTGTACCGTCGTCATTCTAAACAAATAATTGGGATGCTGTCCCATACCCATCACCTTCGGTACAATCGCAGAGCGAGACCAATCAACACCAAAAACATCTGTTAAGTTCTTCAAATTCACAATGGCAGCTTCACGAATGCTGTACACTGTATCCCCCAGCCATGACATGCAGAGATTGCCTAGCTGTTCATCGAAAAAGGGTTTTCCGAGCTGTTTGGCGAGTGGGGGTATATACTCAATAATCGCTTGACGTACACGCCATGACTTGTCCTCTGCGAGTTCCACGATTGCGGGAAGGAGATTTTCTGATAACAGCTCGATACCAATCACTGGGATAAAGTGAGGTTCGAAGGCAGTGGAACATTGAAGAACTGGGACCGTACCATTATTCACGATTTCCAATTTACTGATGATGTTGAGTCGCACTTCCGGGAAGTCGTCCTTTAATAGTTGGAGAAACAGGGGAAGCAGGTGCTCAATAGTCGATTCACGACCCAAAAGCGGGGCAAGACCGCTTATTTGCATTGCAAGGGCGGCACGGACGTGCTGAGAAGAATCTTGAGAGAGATCGCGAACACATGGAACAATGCGAGCCAAAATGACTTCCTTCTCCAGGAGCTCTGAAAAACCTAGGAGAATCGTCGAGTAGCGTCACAACTTCAACAAGAAGAATCTTACCTGGGATCTGAGAAGAAGCTGCTGTTCGAACTTCTGCCTCATTATCTTTGAGCAATTGCACATATTGACCAATAAGCTCTTCGCGTGTAATCTCTTTTCCAACGGCTTTGGCAAGCTATAGAACGATTAATCCTTATTGAAACCGATTTTATCACGAAAAGGACGAGCCTCATTGAAATGTGTGGCTGCCATGTAACGAACCCGCCAACTCTTATCGCCAATACTGTGTCGAATTTGTTTCAATAGCTGCTCCTTAATTTCCGATTGCTTTAGCTTCCCGGCGATGGCGATTAGGTCTTCCACAGTCAAGAGACGAACAGAATCCTGGTCATCGCTCTCTAATCGACGATAAATGGGAAGGGCGTCGGACAAGATGTGTGGATCAGAGAACTTGAGGAGGAGTGGCTATAGAACGTGGTGAGCTTCATGTTGGCTTTGAACGAGATGTTGAGATAACTTACACCTAGCCATTTCGCGGCAGCTCTTCGTACCATAGGAGTATCATCCGACCCCAAGGCGGCGTACCCTTTGCGCAGATCGTCTTGGATAGCAGTGGGAACTCTATCGTAGACAGCGGGGTAAAGGGCAGCAGATGATGTCCGTGAAGTAAACCATTCAGCTCCGGACAAGCGCTTCAAAAGAGGAATGCAATATTCCTCAATCTGAGCGTTGGATAGCACTGCCGCAATTTTTGTGATTGACTCGGCAGCCTGTAGGTCTCATGTAAAGCTTTAAACGGAGAAGAAGACTGAAATGCCTCGTACCTTGTCCCGAACAAGGGTTTCTTCTACTGACGACAAATTCTCCAATGGCGCAAGCAAAAGATGCGCATATTCGCTGCCACCAATGTATTGTTCAAAACTCCTCCCTAGCTCTTCCGCTAACGCTAGAAGAACTTCGTCTTCATCGTCAATGGAGTCTTGAAGGAAGGGCACCAACTCGTCTCGTGCACGGTCTGGCCCCAAAGCCAAAGCAATGGTTGGAATGCTGTGAATGGCGTTTAGCCGCAGCTGAACATCTTCAGAACGCAGTTCGTCCATGAGAATGGCGATCGGCGCAATCTGGAAAGAATTATGATGAGTACAGCAAATCAACGACGATGATGCCGAGGTATACCAACATCGTCAGAATCCATGATATCGTTCAGTATGTGACTGTGTTCTGAAAAAGGTTTGAAGGACACGAAATGACTTAGAATGGTAGTGGGACTAAAGGTAAGGATGAAGCTGAAGGGAATTGATGTTCGCGTTTGTATCAGAAAAGAAATGACAAGACCGATACCGCCACCGTGACATGGCTGACGCCTCTGAATCTCTCGAACAAACTTCCTTACTTCAAAGATGCACTGTGTTGAACAATACAAAAAGCACTAATAAGTATACGACTCAGCGTGATAATAGCGATCGTACATAGTTATACTGCATTGTGTATTTGTGTATATTCACTATATTCACCGGCGAGGCCAGCCATTAGGACGATTCTTTACAGAACTCTACAGAACTGATTCAGAAAATCTCGACTTTCCGCTTTTCCAAGGCATAATTCCATATGGATGTTGCGGTGCTCATCTTTGTAAGATTATTTTTGCGATTTTTACAGTGTCTTGCTAACATTGTCTTGACGTGTTCTTGGACCATTGGATTTTCTGGCCTCGTGCATTCTGTTCCACAGGCTGAAGTAGTTTTTTTTTTTTTTTTTTTTTTGAATCTCGTTTATTCACCTGTGTGCTAGTGCATATGTAGTGAACATCGTACTGTAGTAGAACCATCTTTTTTTTTTTTTTTTTTTTATACTCTTTATTAACCGCAAGCAAGTAAGACTATGGTACTAAGGCGCGGGGAGCCGCGGCGACCCAATGAATACAGTTTGTCGCCTGCCTCCGTTACTTGGTTCTGGGTCATGGTGATGAGTCTGCAAGTGTGGGTGTAGCTATGGGTCATATTGTAGTGTATTGTGTAGGTGTCGCGGTAGAGTGTGCTGTGCTCGACTGCACATTTGTGCAAATCTTGTAGAATGAAAATAAAAATGAAGTCGCAGTTTGGCTCAGGGTCACGTCTCGGCTTCCGAATCGCTGGAGTCAACTATCTCGTCTCTCCAATCTGCTTCCTGAGTTATGTCTTCCTCTTCCATCCCTCGAGACATGGCGTTTAAATCCTCCCAAATCCCTAGTGGCATGTAGTTGATCTCCGTACGCTTGGACCGCGGTTTGCCTGTCACAGTGAAGGCACCGCTTTCTTTCAGAAACTCAGTCAGGGCTTCGATGCCTTCACTGGTCCCGAGTATGTCTTTCAGGCATATATCCTCTGATGCTTTCCGTAAAATGTACCGGAAGTCTTCATATTTTGGACATGCCCTTAAGATATGTTCTCGAGTCTGCAATTCTTCGCCACATGGGCAGTCAACGTTCTTATTAGGGACAAATTGAGAGTAGTACTCGCCTAGGAATGCATGTCCTGTCCTACATTGCATTAGGCGTCCAAATAATTCTCTTGGTGTTTCTCTGAGTCTGGAAGTAGGCTTCAAAGAAGGCGGTATTTGGTTTGCAATAGCGAAACGACCATGTACAGACCTCAGTTCCCACAATTTCTTCCATTCTTTTTCGGCTCGTACCCTGCTCATTCGATAAGCGTTGGATAAGGACCTAGTCCAGGTGGCCTCGCTTATTCTCTCAGTTCCGGCTTTTGCAAGAAAGTCCGCGCGTTCGTTTCCTTGTATTCCTGCATGGCTGGGTACCCATGCAACTTCAACTGTGTGTGCCGGATTGGAATCTAAAAACTTCGTCACTTTGTGGTAGAAATTGGAGCAATATAGCTGGCCTGGTTTCGGTGATGTATCGAAGATGGTGTCAATGCTAGATGCATTGTCTGTGAAAAATTGCCAGTGAGTTATTCGGGGGTCTTCAGTCGATAACTCTGTTGCCATTCCCGCCGCATAGCTCAAGGCCACTATTTCTCCATCATATGATTCTGCATGGTTTCCCAGCCCAATGCTACGGCTGAAGATTTCCTGATTTCTCTGGTATGCAACAAGTCCTGCTCCAGCTCTTTTAACCCGATGAACAGGTTTGAGCGAGCCGTCAGTGTATATGCAGATGTTGTGTGTAGAAGACTGAAGAGTACTCAGCTTTTTTTTATGCTCTTCTACGCATTTCTGTTGCCATCTCTTCTTGTCATCGTCTTTCCCTTTCAGAGGTGGCGGTATAAGGCAAAGTCGGTTCCCGAAGTCTGATTTGACTCTCCGCCATGGCGGTGTTGTAAATGGGAGAATGCGTTCAGTCGAAGAACTTGTAAGTTGCGCTATATTCTGTAATTGCGTTGTGCGTCTTGTGTCTTTCTTTCCCTTCCGATTCAATTTGTAATGTATTGCAGGGGGGTGTGACGGTGGGTGACCTGCTCTCCAGGTGTCATCAAGGCGTTGGATGATTGGGTTGGATGTACTTAGCTTGTTGAATCTCAATGCACAGTTCCGGTTTAGGCGGTTGAGCTCTACCCGAATTGGTGGGATGGATGCTTCAATCTCCATTGCAGTGATCGGAGTAGTGCGGAATACTGCACAGATTAGTCGTAGTCCTTGGTGTTGAACTTTCTCCAGCATTCTTTCGTGGGCTTTCTTTCCAGTCCACCATGCGGCGCTTGCATATGTCATAACTGGAATCACGCAACTTTTGTACATCATGCGCATGTGGTATGGAGACAGACCTTTGACTGTGTTCGCAAGCATAATCAGTGACCCTACTGCTTTACCGGCGCTACCTGCTAGTGTCCTGACGTGGTGATTGAAGAGTAGCTTCCGATCGAAATATACTCCTAACCATCGAACTATTGCTTGCGGTGCTACGATGCGGGTTTGGCCATCATCATCATCGAATGTAATGGAGGGCGATATGTTGTTGTCACATTTTCGTCGGGTATAGTGCATTAGTTCGCGTTTGTCAAAGTCATATGATAGGCCCACCTTCCTCCCCCAGGGTACAATCACTTCAATCCAGATGGCTTTGAGGATTGCTGTGTTGAGCTCTAGGGAGTGTGAGCAAACATGTAGTTTTCCATCATCTACGAACATAAATAAGTTTGGGGGCGGTGTAGCTTGGCCCTCTGAACCAGGTGCTTGTTGGTATTCCTGTGATCTGCATTCCAAGATTTCAAGGAGTTCAGCAGCATAGAATGCTGACAGTATTGGTGAGAGGGGTAGTAGAACTATCATACTGGGAAAGGGACCTGTATCTTTGTTGGGAAAACTGTCATCTACGTCAGGCTCCATAAGGAAGCCTCGACGGGGACCTGTCTAACCGCGAGGGTTTGATTAAGCACGGACATTGTGCATGTGCCTGGTAGGTATAGGTAGGAGGGAGTAATTTGTAAGTTAGTGGGTGAAATGGAAAAAGAGTATAAGGAGGCAGGGAGGGGGGCACTATCCTCCACACGTCTTCATTGATCTTCCTCGTCCTCATCCTTGAGCCTCGGGAGGTCACGGCTGAAGTAGTGACCTTCAGAATAGGAGCCGCGTATATATATATCTATCTATCTATCTTATAACGACGCAACCCACAGCACATAAGGCATTGATGTTCTCCAGGTATATGATATTAATGACATAGCGACATCCAGCAAGTAAGTATGTAATTGTCTAAGAGCAACAAGAAACCGTTTAAATTATATCTAAATCGCAAACCTAAGCTCTATATAAACACGTACAACCCTGATAACACGAAGTTATAGCCAACAACCAAGCTTGTAAATGGAAAGTTGATATGAAAACCTCTATTGAAGATCTGCTGAATGGAAAGCCGGTCTCAAACGTCGACTTTATCAATGCCCTCAATGAAAGTAGAAGCAGTACTAGATCTTGACGGGGGGTCTGGCCGTTGGATGTGTTGCATTGACGTGTTGACCTTTCGAGCTAAACACCATACAGCCCAGGCTCCATATCTACATGTGATGCGTCAAGCACATATAAGCATAATCCATACCAAGGCTTACATTTGTGTACACATCAGAAGCAAGATGATAGTGACAAGGATAACAGAAAGAGCGACATCGTCTCCTGTGCTATGAAATTGCTCGAGCTTTTGAGCCCAGAAGGCCAGAAGATATGCAGCGAACCCGATTTTGAAGATACTGAAAGAATGTTTCTTAGCAGTTTTCATATGATTGGGGCGATATAAGCAGACTCACAAGGACTGAACGGCTCCAAACCGGAGCATATCCCGAGTCCACCTTAGCGGAGCACGAAGACGGTCTGGTCGCAAAGATCAATTTCAGATAAGACGGAGGATAGACATTGATGAGCTTACACATAAAGAGCCCAACAAAGACGGTTTGTTCTGTGGTAGCCTGGAATAGCCAAATTTCACCAGCTGCAATGAGCGCCGGATGCCCCGTGTAAGCGAGTACACTGAGGAGCAGAACGATGGCGAAGATTGTGCAAAAGTGATGAATGAGCAAGGGCCATCGCATGGACGGTCGATATGTGAGTTCAAAGATGTACAAGCCAGAAATTAATAGTGCAGCAGATTTTAGCAGGTTCACATTGTCGAAAGTGTATTTGTCCCCAAGGATAGGTGACGATATAAGCTGGAGGATGAGAACGCCGCCAGTGATGAGGGTGTCCAGGACATAGGTAACAGTATTTCTCTGATTGTCAAAACACATCTCCCGATATTGAGCAGAAAGTCGACCAAGAAAAAACCCAGTGGCCTTGCTCATCATATACAGGAAGAGCATGTAAAGGACTGCAGGAACTGAAAACTGAACGAAACGAACAAATCAGGATCAACACGATTTGCGCAACTTATCGAACGACTTACGAAGGCGACAGTCGTCATTGAAACAGTTTCGGTTTGGACCTTAACTAGTTCTGCGATATTAGACGTAGGAATGCCTTGCATGTCGGCCGCGTTATAGCTGGAATTGTACGCGAGAAGGGTTTGATTGAATGGATTGGTGTCCACGACTTGTGCGTAATCGCGGTCGATACACATGTCACCTCCAGTCGGTCCGATATGGGGACAATGGACCTCTGGTCGATATTTGACCATATCTGAGATGATGTCTCATGAGAAATGGGTTGGAACATCGAAGATAAAACGACCTACTTTTGTGGATGTAGCGACACCAACCTGTATTCATTCCACCTTGCCATGATTCACCAAATGGCAGCGCAGTCATGAATGACATACACACTTCATGAGTTTCATATTGCCGATTGTCACCGGTGCAGTATTGAGTAGACACTGCACAGACATCGGTCGCAGTCTTGAGTTCGATGAGTTCAGTTACATTCGTTGTAGTGGCGTTTAATTCCTGAGCGATTTGAGGTGCTAGGTATGGGACGGTGTACGCCATGAATTCACCCACGCGCCGGAGTATAGCATCATAGGAAACAATTCTCATATCGTTGTCGAACGCGATGAACATGTCAATCTGAAGAGGGACGGTCATGTTCACTGTGGGGAAGGCCATTTCGCTAATGTAGCTAACGGCGGCGACTGGCGGCTCGACCACAGAGGATTGGATTGTGACAGAACGAGGCGTCCCAATCAACTGTGTCGTGTTTTCATCCGATCCTTGAAGGAAGAGACCGAAGAGATATTCCGTATTGAGCTCTTGCCCGACAAAGGTGGTTGTCGCGTCAACTCGACCAACAACATCGACAGACAGAGGTGTGGATAGTGTCCCATCTAGGACCGACGCTGGATCTGCGTATCTATTGAAAGGATCCGTGATTAGATAAAAAAAATATTACAAACAGGAATTTGGGTACTAACGCTGCGGCCAAACCTTCCAGGACCTCAAGATATTCAAAAGGCTGCTTGTATCCAAGAGAGAGACGAGCAAGTAGTAGTACCGAGGCGAGTAGTGTATGAGAAAACATCCTGGAAGCCTACAATGCTTCAAGGTATACATGAGTGGACCTATATAGCTTCGCAATTTCAGGAACAGGGGAACCGCAAAGGGTAGTGTTCGATCAAAGTCCAGACGACGCCGTACACCGTACATGTCACAGAAAACCGGCAGACCATCTTCGATACTAAGGTTGAGACTGAGTATTACGAAAGTGGGCCCTACTTACTTTTCATTTCTCCTCTCACCAGTACAAGTAGAGAGATGCGCGAAGACCTAAAGCATACCAAAGTCTATGCGAAAGTAGTCGGAATTCTATTGGCCGGGTGAATCTGACATATCACAATTGCTTCCAGGTTAGATAAATACGTTCCGTTCGACTCCTAAAGATTTAAGTAAAGACCTGGCGAAGGGCGATATCATATGAAAGCTGGATGCACAAGCAAGAAGTACATCGTTCGTCCCTCTGCAGGCAGGTAAGCTTCGACTGTAATTGCGGGAGAAAGATGTAAAATCTCGCTGAAGAGGCCGGGGTATACTAAAGGGGAGAGGGAAGGTGCTTCTGCGCTCGCAAATACTTGAGTCCAAGTCAAACTAATTGACTATTACCCGGTGGTTCCAGAATTTAGTTTAGAAGCATGTAGATAGAATCATTTCGTTACATAGATGAACAGATACTGACACGCTCCGCACAAGCGTTTATAGTTGTGTCCTATCGCTTTCACTCTTGTTTGCGGCGGGGGCAGGATCCGAAACATGTAGCTTGGCTGCGAGCGCTCGGGTTCCAAAAAGCACAATGAGAACGGCTGCCGCAAGACATTTGCCGTCCGAAGAAGAAAATGGTTTGACAGCTTGTATGTCTACCAATGCAAAAGCGTAGGCGTAAGGAGCAAGGACAGAGAGCAGGGGACGAAAGGCTACATGAAATGTGGAGAGGCCGTATATAACCGCTGCCGCAGTATGAACACGCAATGAATACAGTGAAATGATGTGAAAGTTAACAAAAAGGACTGACCAACTAAACCGCCTCCCCATACATCAAGAGTGCTGAAGGCGCTTTTCAGAGGGGATCTAGGTCCTTTCCTGAGAAAAACCGGTGTGAACCCACCAGAACCCCAATTCGGGTTCCATACGCCGAGAGAAGCAGCGGTCACTCCTCCTCCGGCGCTAGCAGTACACCCAAGAATGAAATGGAACAAAGGACTGTTGATTAAGACTGGACTGATTGATTCATGTGACGGAGATCCAGGTGAAAGATGATCCAAGGTCCCCACGACAGCATTTACTCGCAACATGGCATCGAGGGGAAATAGAAGAAGATCCATCGTCGAAAGGAGGTCCGCATCAGCAAGAAGGGGAGACATCCGGGAAAATACTAAAGTGAGAAAGAGGTGAACAGAGATATAGTTGACCCAAACTTGATATGCATAGAGCACAGGTGGAGGTAAGTTGAGGAGGATATGGGACAAGATCATCCCGCCCCATGACATCAGGCAGAATCCGCCAATGTAGGTCTTCCAGCCAAGGACCGAGTGTGTGCCTAAGCGGAAAGTATGAGACTGAAATAAAAGCGAAATTCTGAGAACGAATATCATGTCAGACAACGAATAGTAGAATGAGTTTTGGGCCACCTTGTTGCGTGGAGAGTACTGAACCAGGGATATGGGTATAGTGAAGGGTTCACGGCATTGCCAAGGAGCTTGAATCCATCTGCAATAGAGCGTAGGATTTGATGTTCTATGAGAGAGTTCATCGTTGTCCGAAAGCAAAATCGTATGTACCACGTGCAACTTATCGCGAAATTCGGAAAAATTCGAACAACTCTTCATATATCGCATAGCTAAGCCTTGGAATATTTAATTACGCAGGGAGTCGCGATCAGGCTGTAGATTAGCGTGGTACTGAGTACAGGGCTGAGGCCTTCAGCGACGGCGATGAGGCAGGACATATAGTCACGTGACTCACATTTGTTCCATCATGACATAATATGGATTCCCACCAATCGTTCTTTGCTTTCACCCTCCATCCCCCACCACCTTATTCAATCTTAGATCAATCATGTCCGACATTGATGCTGACCTTTATGGAGGTACGCTGCTCGTGGTATAAGGTTTATCATCAGGTCGCACTAGTTGACACTCTTCACAGATCTATACGAAACCGACTTCGTTGACCAGGCTGCAGACGAAAAGCTTACTGAAACACCGGTACAGCAGCCGCAGGTCAAGACTGAGGTACCGGCGACCCCCAAGGCTCCAGAAGCTATTAAAACCGCATCAAGCAATAATCATTCAGTCCCCACTACGTACGCCTTCTCGAATGTCCCAACAACCGTTGCACCTTCAGTACAACAGATACCAACATACGAAGAGGTCTCAAATGACTACACATCGTCACGTCTAAGCGGCATTCAGAGTATCTCTTCTTCTGAACAGCGTCCTGTCCGTCCTTCAGAGATGAAAGACGATGGGTAAGTTTTCTAAATCCTTGCTGATATTCAGAACTATCGCCACACAAATCTCTGTCACTGTATTGTGTGCTGGTTGTTGGAGTAGTTCAAGCCAATGTGTAATCTCGTCGTCGCTGCTGTCACCATATACACAATATCGTATCTCGCGTCAGTCGGTACACGAAATAGGCTAGGCTATGCTAAACACAACGCAGTAGAGTCTCCATTTTCTACCCTCTCTTTTGGATGTCTTTATATTCTAGCCTATCCATGCTAATAACATCTTTTATGTCTCTGTTCTGTTTACCCGTTCACCTCGCCCTTTTAACATACATCTGGAATCGAACGCTCGGCAGGAAGATGTTTATCGGTGGTCTACACTGGGACACAACTGATGGTAGATATCGCCGATCCACTCTGCCAGTTTCAGACGACTGAAGCGACACTTTCAGATGGTCTGCGCACATACTTTGAACAGTTTGGCAAAGTCGAAGCTTGTACTATTATGCGTGACCAAGCTGGTCGATCACGATGTTTTGCCTTCCTTACCTTTGAAGATCCTGCTAGTGTGAATGCCGTGATGGTCAAAGAGCATGTGTTGGATGGTAAAATTGTAGGTTATCTGGTCAAGAACTTATTTCGCTTCTCACTCTCTACTGAATAGATTGATCCCAAACGCGCGATTCCTCGTCAAGAACACCAACGTGCAACGAAGCTTTTTATTGGAGGCCTAGCGGCAACGGTCACATCTGAGTCGATGAGAGAGTTCTTTTCCCAATTTGGTCGGGTTGTGGACTCTACCGTTATGTTAGATCGCGAGACCGGACGAAGCAAGGGCTTTGGGTTTGTGTCGTTGGAGGATGCCAATGTTCAACCATTTCTAGGATTTGGTAACCTAGAGATCGATGGTAAACTGGCGAGTATACATTTTCCATGGTGTCTCATAAAATACTCATCTTTGCTCTAGATCGACGTAAAACTTGCGCAACCTCGATATCAACGAGAGCACTTCCAAGAAGATGAATCGACTGGTGGAAATGACGGCGGATTCAACAACCGTGCTGGAGGCGGTTACGCAAACAATTTCCAAGGCGGAAGCGGCACTGCCGGAGGGCCTTTTAACGCGCCTGCCACCACGGGTCCATCGTTTGACCCTCAAGCACTCGCCGCTTTGTACACCAGGATGTTTCAAATGACTAGTGGAGGAGGTATGAACATGATGCCCATGATGGTCATGAACAACATGGCAGGGCGCGGAATGGGCATGGCAAGTGGCATGGGCAGCATGGGTATGGGTAGGGGTGCTATGCTACCAGAAGGAGCGTCAGCAGGGATGGGTCAAATTCCCAGAGGTCCCAGGGGTAATCTGAACGGACCAGGTCCAGCGAGGTCGCAGAGGGGACAACATAATTATCACCCCTATGGCCGGTAGTTATATTTTTTTCTTGCAATGTTGTGTCTATGTGTTGTAAATCAACTGTCGATATCAGAGTAGACCTAGGTTACTTAGACTGTAGTAATATTTGATAAAACACCTACTCAAGCGCTCATGATTGGCAGACTGGTTTTTCGATCTCCTTCGCCACAATCACTCAAGAATCCACGATCTCTTACTCGTTTCTCAATCAACAGATTCCGAATGGCCAGCGATGCACCAGTAGCGAAGAAGGCCAGAACCGAGAAGGTATGAGATGCTATTAAGTGAAGCCCGAGCGACTCGTGATTTAAAAACCAAAAGATTATTGGCACCCATAATGGCACCTTTCACTGCGACGAAGCCCTCGCTGTCTTTCTCCTGAGGCATACTACCGCTTACCAAAATTCCGGTTAGCGTGCCTTCCATAGACTGGATGTTAACGTTGACGCTCTATGTACAGAGGTCAAACGATCTCGCGACCCAACCGTTCTTGATGCTTGCGATATTGTTGTTGATGTTGGCGCCGTGTATGACGAATCTAAACAAAGATTCGACCATCATCAAAGAGGGTTTGAGGAAGTCTTTGGCTGGGGATTTACTACCAAGCTAAGTTCGGCCGGTCTGGTGTACAAGTACGTTCTCAATCAGTGCTACATTCGGACTCTAATCACCTCAACTACAAAGACATTTTGGCAAAGAGATCATCTCAAATCAAACACAGTTACCTCTAGATCATCCTGGTGTTCAGACCCTATGGCTGAAGCTATACAAGGTGAGTTTGCCTGCAAGTTGACGTCCCGGTAGCTATGGACATCTTCTATTTGCAGGAACTCGTTGAATCGATCGATGCCAACGATAACGGTATATCTCAATACCCCACTGACCTCAAGCCCCGGTATAGAGTGCGCACAGACCTATCTAGTCGCGTTGCGCAGTTAAATCCTCCCTGGAACAAGTCGTTGGACGCTCAGGGCATGGATGTACGTCTTCTTTCCCCGTCGATCTATATTCATAGCTTGACAACTTTCAATTCAGATTCTATTCGAAAAAGCTTCCTCATTAACTGGGTCAGAATTTCTTGGTCGTCTGGAATATTACGCCAATGCCTGGCTTCCAGCAAGGGATCTTCTCATTTCCGCTATCCAGAGCAGTAAAAGCAAAGTAGACTCATCAGGGAAGATCATCCTCTTGGAAAGCTTTTTGCCTTGGAAAGTATGTCTCTCAATGTTCGATCCACGATATACGCTGATCTGTATAACAAGGAGCACCTTTTTGACCTCGAATCAGAGGATGCTTCGTCAACACCTCCCGCAGCAACGTATATTGTCTATCCTGACGAATTTAGCGGAAACTGGCGTGTTCAAGCTGTTCCTGTATCTCCAGAGAGCTTTGAGAGTAGGAAGGCGCTTCCGGAAAAGTGGAGAGGTTTACGAGATGACGTTTTCAGTGAGACCTCTGGTATACAAGGAGGTATATTTGTTCATGCAAGTGGATTCATTGGAGGTATGCACATTTATGTTGAGACTTAACTCGAGATGGAATTATTGAGCCGTTTTAGGAAACAAAACCAAGGAAGGTGCTCTCCAGATGGCCAAAGTTGCTGTGGAGATGTAGTTGACTAGCCTTGCGCCTGATAAAAATCCATACCTCTTGTCATGCTGTAGTTTGTCGATTTGAATCCTCCGGAGCGCGTTGACGTTCAACACTGGAATGCTTAGCGATTGCTTAGCGATGCTCGATCGCCTATGGAAGCGACACGCTTGATCTGCATGTAGTCTCATAAGACGTGACTACAGTGCACTTGCCTCATGGAATCGAATTGCATCCTGAACCAATCTATTCATCGGTTTTACATCGCGGCCGTAGACCCTCGATGGTCCCTACAAAGCGTTTCTCTTCTCGCAACTCGAAGCACAAGCCCGACTTCTTACCATTACCCTATTACAAGACATTGTCTCGTAGGAGAAGGGTCCATCGGATGTCCATTAACGTTCAAGGACACTTCCATCCTTTTCTATTCACTGTGATGACACTCTGCGCCGCTGCAGAGCTCGGTCTGACTGCTTTTCTGATAAGTGCAGGAAATGCGAATGGGACTTGGCCCAGTCCGAGATATCATGCACTGTGGGTTTATTGTTCATTGTAACTGGGTTACTGTTCATCTTTTCTCGGAAGTTTGATCATGTTCGCATTCAATGCGTCCTGGACGCTACTATTCTCAACAGCGTACATGTTGTATCTCTTTGATGGAGCTACGCATTTTCTTGCCAATGTTGCTAGTTCGGTTATTTGGGTTTTACTAACGGGCATCCTCTGGGTGAGTGACATTTTCAAGTCCGAGGAATGAGCTCACAAATTTCACGCACAGGGAACTGCTACTGGAGTGATGCACAATACTAGGACTGGTACTGATTGTCCAGATGTCCCTCCAATATCCAGGCGCGTCCTGATCTTCCTAGTAAGACGATTTTAACTGATTCAAGTAGGTGCCGTCAGTCACTTACTGTTGAGGCCCTTGGATGGACAGAATTTGGACTTTGCACTGTGAATGTCCTGGCGACTTGTGCATGGGTCTACACTAGTAGTACAACGAGTCGCTCCCGAGTTTCTCTCGTCGGTGACTCCAGAAGAATGGTTTAGGTCATTGATTGGTCTGAGCTTCGTTTAATTTAAAAATAATTGGACTCTATAATGGACTCTGTAATGGTACTGCGTCTTTCAGTATACATGGATAGACACAGGAACCAAATACTCGTTTGTCTGCATTGCTGCTCTGTCCCAACGCGAAGTAGTTCACTTTTGGATTATTCTCTAGATCGTCTGTATGTAGATCAACGGATTCTCGGGTCCCGGCAGGCCTAGAGTGAACGCAATCACTCCTGACTGCTACGGGCCTCACATAATTCTTCTCCTCTCTCTTGCGAGGTCCAAATTCTTCGCCCGGTTATGCCTGAGCCAAATTCGACTTCTCTGGAACCTCCGAACGACTACGGCCATGACCATCGACGGGCGTCGTGTGACGAACTCATTGCCCAATCATATACGGAAGACCTTCAGGACGGCGGAGAATTATCAGATAACGAGCCATTAGATAACCAGAATCTGCTTGGTCGGCAAAGCATCCTTTTCACCGATGTCGACTCGGTCGGTGATTTCCAGGGAGATAGGTCTTCTAGGACCAGTATCCATCGACATTCTGGCATATCAGAGGCTGCCATCAAGCGTAAAGCTTTTTTTGTCAGATCTTTGGCGTTGTTATGCGCCTGTTTTCTCAGCGTCGGCAGCCATTAGTTCGTCGTCTGTTTCCAATCGCCGTTCCTATCTAGAACTCACTTTATTTACAGTGCTTCTTATGTGCTAGGGCCTTTGAAGAGCAGACTCTCAAGAGAGCTCGGTGCTTCGCATACGGAGTTTAGTTTGCTATTCTCTGCCTACAGCTTGAATAGTACATGGACTCCGTTGATAGGAGGACTTTTGGCTAGCACAATGGGCACGACTTTTACCAGCATCCTTGCTACGGGAATCATCCTTGCAGGTCCGTCATTCGCTACATCCACTTAACTGTACTGACAGCTTCGTGCATAGGCCAGGTGCTCCTTCTCATTGGTCAAGTCTGGGGCAATATACGTATGATGGCGTTTGGTCTTTTCATCTTTGGTTTAGGCGTAAGCCCACTTGCTGTAGTGCAAGAGACCATCATTGTCCGCTTCTTCAAATCTCATGGATTAGGCGTTTCCATGGCTTTCGGACTCATTGTGGGCAAAGGCGCATCCTTTGTCTCCGCCCGGACATCTTATCCTCTAACAGAGCACTGGGGTTCCCATGCTCCATTCTACGTCGCTACCTTCCTTGCCGCGATGTCCTTTTTCGTCAATCTACTCTACATCATGTCGTCCAAATGGTTCGTTGATGGTGCTTGCGCGGAATTGGAAGCAGCAGATATCTCAGAGGAAGCAAAGCTGAGGTCGCGTCATAATATGAGTGAAGCTCAAGCGTTGGAAAAAGTGGCCAGGAAAAAAATGGTCAATTTAAGGGATATCACAAAACTGGGCGATGTATTTTGGGCGTAAGTTTTTGCTTTCTTTTTGCTTCGTTATGTCACTAAGTTACCTAAAGTTATGTTGGACTGAACGTACTTTGTGGAATGATTTGGTCCCCATTCACGCATCTCAGCTCGTGAGTCAATCTTCACGCAACGGATCTTGCAAAATGCTTAATTGTATACAGTAACATCATTGAAAAACGGTATCAAATGGCGGAGAAAAACGCAGCCAACACTGCTTCCTATCTCCTCGCTGGCAGTATTTTTCTATATCCTGTGGTGAGTAGTTCAAGTTGTACGTTCTGCTTGGGACATTGGCATTGAACATCTTTTAGTGCGGATTTCTGGTAGACCGCTACAAACACAGGCCGATTATCGTCCAATTGATGTTGGTCTCCTCTACGCTGACTTTGCTTGCGTTTTGCTGGTTAGTGCTTCCACCGGACTCCACCGGTACTCCGATACCTGCCATCGCCTCGTTCGCCATCGGACATGGGTTCTCCCCTTGTGAGTTCAAGTTTTGTGATGCATTCCTTACCACTGACCTTTACGCAGTGCTTCTTGTCGTTCTCGTTCCTAAAATCGTTTCTCTTAAGTATGTATCCACTGCCCTTGGAGTTCACAAAAGTGTAGGTCACATGCTATCTCGTCGTGTCTATGTCTAATCTCAGTTTATATCGCGCCCGCAGCTGGAGCAGACAGGCTCGACTATATTTCAAACTCTAGCAGGTTTAGCTCTAGACAACCACGTTAAAGATCCAGCCAAAGGCGCACCCATAGGAACCGAATATGCCATTCAACGACTTTTGAACGTCTTCCTTGCACTTAATGTTTTACATATGCTCACCATCGTAGGCTTAGCACGCCTCCAACGCAAGAAAGACTCAGAAGAGGAGGCGGAAGTGGAAGCACGTAGGCGGCTTTCGGGGAGTGCATCTGTCTCAGTTTCGCCTCATCCGTCCGTAATAAACCGCACGTCTGTTAACTTGGGAACCGGGAATGATGCAGGGGAAGAGCAACCCTTGTTACAAGCTACGAACGCAAACAGCCATCTCTACGGCCATCCTGCGCGAAATCATAGCCTTTCCTCCGGCGGGTCGAGGATTAGACAGTCGATGAGAAACGAGAAAAAACTGATGCGGGAGAGAGTGAGAGGTGGGATCTTTGCAGGATGCAGCGCAGCACTGATCTTGTTTGCTTGGATATTGTTTATGGGGACTGCTTATGCGAGGCTGGGGCTAGGCAAGAAGCACCTTTGAGTTTTCAAAACAAGTTCGAATTATAATGACCTCTCGATGTATCAGTATGTTCTGCAAATGGAATCATAATTATCTATTCATTCTTTCGAGTCAATCCAACCCAGTTGTGACAACGTATGTAGTCGCAGATGTCATGATTCACACAAGTCAACTACTAATTGCTTCTCCTACTAAACGCAAGAATTCATCAACGCTTGCGGGCTGACTGGTTGTGGCTTTCCACATCTCGTGCACCCCGCGGATGACACTCTTAGTCACCTCGTCTACATCATTGCCATTAGCAGTTGTTGGAGGTCGGGGTGTAAGAGAGTGAGAACGATCATTTCCGTTGACGGCAACTTTTAATGTTCCTGTGTTTGCCGCCGGTCTGATATAGTCGTCGTCGTGCAGGACGGTGCTGCTAGCGTTGACAGGACTAGGACTAGCTGAATCTACATGAGGGGAAAGTGACGTGCGTGGAGGCAACGAATTGAGACGATCGGACAAGTCTGTTGGACAGACCCCGTTTACAGCAGATGTTCGGGATGGATGAGTGGACGGATGGGGAATGTTCAATGTGTTATACGATATATTGATGACTTCCTGGTCCTCATGATGATCCTCTAGGCGATCGTACATGTCCGAATGGCCTTTGTTGTGCAGTCCACGAGCCCTTGCCAGAGCATCGTCAAATGTTTCTTCACCATGAGTTTCACGTCTGGGAGTAGGAACCGTGCTGTCGGCCGTGCCTAGGGAAGTTGGTCTAATTATTTACACGTGGATGGTGAATGGACGTTTCATACCTTGGACACTTGCATACTGCGCCCAATATGCATCCTCTGATCCTGAAATATCGCCGTTGGACTTGTTTCTGGGAATGTGCTCCTTGGTAACGTCGCTTCCGTATGAGTTCCAGTAATCATCATCTTCATCTCCCTTGACCTGGATCGCCAGGCTAGGGGTTTGTTGCTCGACTGCGTCGGTCACATTCAACGTGGCACTGATTGGGAAAGGCATCGAGGCAATATTGTGATATTTCCAAGAAGAGTCCACGGGGTCCCACAGAAATACAAGTCGAATTTCTGCAGACGCGTGAGAGGGCCAGGAGCGTAGCTCCGCGTGTGCATAAATATTCTCCTTGTCTGCGGTGTATCTTATCCCAATAACTGGGTCTTCATCGCCGGCTGTAGGAGGCGCAAGGCCCTCAAGCCTTGCAAAAGCTTTATCATCCTCGGTAGCCCACATGAGATAGGCCTTGAGATCGGTCTCAGGATCTAGTCCGAGAAAGTGATGCCTTTGAAGAAGTGGCCTGGAAATTAGATGAGGCGAAAGAGGTGAGAGGGTGAGCTGGGAAGGAGGGCATATGTATGTTAGTATTAGAGATACAGTATATGGTTTCAAGGGAGAAGACATGGAAAAGAAGAAACCAGAGTACTCGTCAATTGGCAATCCATCTGTTGACGGGTTCTCGCCCCTGTTGGCCCTGGGGAAAGTGCTAAAAAACCTTGTACGTACACGTGCCATCACCTTCCTCTTCGCAACAACCTCAAAGTCATCATTCGAGACTTCAGTCAATCGGTATTCTTCTCTTTTTTGTCTTTGGAAGAACAAGCTCAGATATCGTTAGCAAGTGCGATGTTTCTCAATTTGAAAAATTTCCTTCTGCTTTTCTCCTTGGCATGCGTCGTGTTGGGTCAGGTAGGCTTGTTTACCTGCCGCCGATTGCCACACTCACATTAGTACAGAATAGTAGCTCTACTTCCGCTTCAGGCTCGTCTTCGGGCTCGTCTTCGGGCTCGAGCTCAAGCTCCGGGAGTACTAGTACTTCTGTCCAGCTTTCAACCGCAGTCACAACACTGGTGACAGTCAACTCGAATTCGCAAACAACAACTATTACTTCCTCTGGTGTCGTTACACTTACACCTACTGCCTCATCCGGCTCCTCGTCCAATTCCTCTAATTCCAATTCTACCACAACCACAACACCGACTACCTTTCCCATCGCATCCGCAACCACGATCGATGGTGGAGGTGGGTCGGATGCAGCACCGGACCCTGGTCAGACTAGTAGCAATGGCAAATATGGTCCAAACGACGGTTACATAGCTGCTGCTGGGAACTTGGTCATCAATACTCTGCTTGTCACTGTCGTTGGAGGATTGGTCGGGGCCGGGCTGGTTATTTTCTAGAACTGTATGACTAATGATGGACAGCTAGGAAGGCATTCGATTCCTTCGCGGACTTTTTATTCTACATTACTATCACGGTAGCTAATGCCCAGCACGACACAGTACGAAGAGCATTTCTGGACGTTATGGATTTTGATTGCATGTTATCTATATCGCGCTGCGCTGTACAAAACGTCGTTCCTTTGTCGCTTGTAAGAATAGTGTGGGTTAGGCGTGGCATGTTGAAAATTAAGATGGGTGATTGCAACTTCTATGCTACACATAGGATTCAAAGTTTTGACTTGGTATCGATAGCCCTACCCTGCCCTACCCTTGGAGTCTTGTCCAAGTTTGTGATTGTCGTGTCCGGAATATTTGCGGATAAGATATCGGTAACGGTGGTCCGTCCGGCTGGACATTACGCATCACTTGATTGGGCTATTTTTGCACGCCTTTCCCGATTTCTTTCCGGTTTCGATTCAAGGTCCAAGCCCAGTGTATTTCAGGGCATCCACTGATATTCAACGTCTTATACATGCTTGAATCTGGTTCCCTTCTCTCGAATGATGTCCGACTTCTCTTTCTTTGAATATGATCTCGGTAAAAACTTTCGTGTTTTCATGATCGATATTCTCCGTAAATAATCTCGAATAACGTTTGATTCGTCTAATGACCATGTAGTGACCATGTACCTGAAATCGTGTATGGCTGACAGTCAATATCATGAAGTTGAAGAAGATGCTGCATAAGGTACGCCAGCTGAATCCGTGTCATGCTCATCCTAATGTTTCTTTTCATCTACTTGGTTTTTGCGACAATAATCCGCTGGACAACCATAAAAACGTTCCAAGAACGCGGCGTTATGTATATTCCGTCAACAAAATGATAGCCTTTACTAGCTCGTTCGTCTCTCTCCTAGCCTTCGTCTCGGTCGCTGCTGCTCAGTCGGCTGTTTGGGGTCAATGTATGTCTTATTCACCCAGTGTAGCTCGGTGCCATTTTTAATCTGACTGTTCTTTTTAGGTGGGGGAATTGGCTGGACAGGCCCTACGGTAGTATCGGCTCTCGTTCGAGGGCGTACTGGCTGACTTCTCAATGATAGACATGTGTCGCAGGATCGACTTGCGTTGAATCCAATGCTTATTATTCGCAATGTCTTCCGGTATGCAATCTTTTCCTAACATGTAGTAAGGCTATTCATCCCATGTCTGACCATAGAGCACATCGACAAGCAGTGGCTCAGGCTCCACTGGTACTTCGACTGCTGCTCTCCCAACCTCAACTTCGACTGCAAAATCCAACACCGTTGCGCAAACTGCAGGAAAAAAATACTTCGGTTCCGCTACAGACAATCCAGAATTCACCGACGCGGCGTACCTCGCGATTCTCAGCGACAACACGTACTTTGGACAGATTACACCTGGAAACAGCATGAAATGGGTGAATATCACTGACTCCTGTTCACGACATCCAACGACTACTAAATCGCTGCAACTAGGATGCGACGGAACCCGAGCAGGGAACATTTACATTCAGTGGAGGAGATGCTGTGGTGAGCCTCGCACAAGGCAACTCACAGTTGGTTCGAGGTTTGCCACTCCTGCTCTTTTGAAATCTAATCTTGATGCTTACTGATTTTGCAGGACACAATTGTGTGTGGTATAACCAACTCCCCAGCTGGGTGACCAGCGGATCTTGGACGAACGCTACCTTGACCGCAGCGGTACAGAATCATTGCAGCACATTAGTTAGTCACTACAAGGGAGATATGTGTGTACCACTTTTTTCACAATCAACGTTTTGGCGCTAACATGAACTGACTAGCTGTGCGTTTGTTTTTCCGAGATTCTGATCGGTAAATTAACAATTTCCTGCAGACAGCTGGGATATCATCAACGGTAAGTCTATATTCCTTGGCAGTACCTACGATTGAGCTTAGAACTTTCAAAGAACCATTCAATGACGATGGAACCTGGAGATCGGACGTTTTCTACAACACTATGGGGACTTATTTCGTGGATGTAGCTTTAATTGCCGCCCGAGCTGCCGATCCCAACGCGAAGCTCTACGTGAGTAACATCTTTTCATTATGTGCATTCCTGAAGATAAACTGTAGATCAACGACTATAACATTGAGGGCACCGGGGCTAAGGCCACTGCGATGATGAACCTCGTTTCAGATCTCAAATCTCGTGGTATCCCTATCGACGGTGTCGGTCTTCAAGGCCATTTCATCGTTGGTGAAGTTCCCACTACGATCCAAACAGTTATGGAACAGTTTGTTGCGTTGGGAGTTGAGGTCGCAATCACTGAACTTGACATTCGAATGACCCTTCCGGAAACCGATGCTCTCTTAGAACAACAACAGACGGATTATAAGAATGTCATTTCCGCGTGTAATGCTGTGGCCGGTTGCATAGGTGTAAGTTGTATTCCGTGATACATACCCTAGGTCACTTACTCACTGCCTGCGTTTCTAGGTAACTATCTGGGATTAGTGCGTCTTTTCCGCTTTACCTTGTGTGCCAAGAGTCTAACACGGTATCAATCTATCTCAGCACCGACAAGGCAAGGGACCTTTCTTCGAAGTCTTCTTCCGCCACTGATGATGCTTTTTCAAACTTAGTATTCTTGGGTACCGAGCACATTTGCAGGACAAGGCGCGGCCTGCCCTTGGGACGCGGTGAGTGCTATGAACGGTTTCATGTCACGCTATCAACTGTTCAATAATCTTGCCAGAATTTGATCAAGAAGCCAGCGTACGACGGCATCATCGCTGGCTTCAGCGCGTAATCATGGCCGACCGTTACCTGCAAAGACTTTGACGGTAATCATGCAAGATATACGTATCTGATGCTTCATGTGTACTACGTTCAAGTCTATCTGTGTTTTTTGCGTAATATGACAAAAGTACACAACGATGTAAAGTGTGTGCATCGTAAGAATAATTCAGCGCTACTTGTTTTTTCGCTTGATATTAGCGCCCAATTTGTTGGATTAATCTTTTCCCGCGGTGAAATCTTCTCGGAACACGGTCGGTCTCTCGAAGGCCATGAATGAACCTCAACTTGAATCCGCTCCTGACTCCCATGAATCCATGATTGACGACGCTGCCTTACCGATGTCTGCGCATGTGCCGGAACCAGAACCAGAGCCAGAAACAATACAAGCAATACAAGCCCCCGTCCAAGCACAAGCACCAGATTCAGCGATGACAGAGCCAACGACGGAGCCAGAGTCCGTGACCATGGAATCAGAAGAACTTGAAGTTCAATTAACGGAGGCTGAGAAGTTGCATCTTCGTCTACGTCAAGATCCACACGACACAGAGGCATGGCAACGCCTGATAGCTGAAGTAGAAGAGAGCGGAAATCTGGAGAATATACGCGACACGTACGATGCCCTTTTGAAGCAATATCCAAATACAGTGCGCTTCAATGATCCCTAGTTGAATTTCTAATAATCTGTGCTGTCAATATAGCCATCCGCACAGATTCGCTACATTAGTCACTTCTTGAACAATCAAAGGACATTTGCTGAAGCAGAGCATCTTTTTAAGCGGTTCTTGAAAGTCACTAGTCCGTCCGTGAATATGTATAGGTACTACTTGACATATATCAGGTATTTTATTTGAATCTTTTCTGCACCATATCGTTGAGATACATTGCAGACGCATAAACACTGGCACAGATACTCAGTCTCGAGAAACTATTCGCAAGTCTTACGAGTTTGCCATCAATTCTATAGGGAGTGACAAAGATTCTGGTGACATATGGAGCGACTACATTGCGTTCTTGGACTCGGGAGAGGTATGGGTTTTCTTCTTAGTTTCTGCATGTTAACGATCTTTCTGCAGAATTCATCGACATGGGAAGAGCAGCAAAAAATGGATATGGTCCGCAAAGCATATCAACGCGCTGTGCAAACACCGCTCGACAATATCGAGAAACTCTGGAGCGACTACGAATCGTTTGAAGTCAAGCTAAATCGCATTACAGCTAAAAAGTTCATGAGTGAACTCTCGCCAGCTTACATACAAGCGAGATCAGTCGGGCGTGATCTAACGAAGCACGTTGCTGCGCTCTATCCTTCTGAAGCCCCTTTAGCTGCCAACTCAAAACCCGAACTCTCTCTACCAACCGTACCTTCCTTTACAATCCCCGAAAGACAGCTTGTCGGAAAATGGAAGGCGTATCTCAAGTGGGAGGAGAGCAACCCTCTGATGATAGAAGAGAAAGACAAAAAAGATCTACACAACAGAATTCAACTCGTGTATAGGAAAGCTCTTGTTCGAATGCGTTTTTATCCTGAAATATGGTACACCAGCTTGTCTACTCTCGTGTGTGATTGTTTTTGCGACCGACATTGTCTTGTTTAGGTTTATGGCGTATAATTGGACGAATAGCGTTGGAAAACACGATGAAGCATTGACAGTTCTTAAGACTGGCCTGGAAGCAAATCCATCGAGGTAAGTAGGGAGTGTGATGACTGATCACCTTAAGGTTCAAATTTTTCAGCTTTCTTCTTACCTTCGCATATGCGGAGGCACTTGAAATCAAGAAAGACTATGCACAAGTTCACACAACCTACACCGACTTCCTCCAGGTTCAAAAAGTTTCGCTTGCAAAACTGCAAGAACGGGTAGACGAGGAAAAGGCCAAGTTAAAATCTGGTGACACTGACGAGATTGCCATTGACACTGACCCCGATCTACCCAATTCGACCGAATCTTCATTGTCTGTCCTGAATAGTGATCTTGAAGATAGAAAGAAAGAGTATGCACTCACGTACATTATTTATATGCGTTTTGCACGAAGAGCCGAAGGAGTAAAAGCATCAAGGAGCCTCTTCGGAAAAGCCAGAAGAGATAAGTACGCCTCTTGGGAAGTTTACGAGGCCGGTGGTTTGTGTTTCATTAGCTTAACTCTTGGGTATTTTTGACCCCTCTGACAGCACTCATGGAGTACCATAATACCCAAGACAAGGAGGTTGCAACTCGGATATTCGAGGCCGGTATGGCGCAACATGCGAATGAGAAAGAGTTTGTATTACGATATCTCACGTTCTTAATCTCTGTGAATGACGAAAACAGTATGCGTTTGATATTTTGGTAGATATTCGTCAAACTCACTTGTTGTCCCTAGACGCTCGTGCCCTGTTTGAGCGCGTTATTCCTACCTTCACTGCCGAAGAATCGCGGCCGATCTGGGAACGCTGGGCACGTTATGAACACCAATATGGTGATCTTGAAGCGTCCCAAAAGATTGACAAACGAATGGCTGAAATGTATCCTAATGGTTCGTCGCATTTGTATTGCAATACTGTTTGACTCATACCCAAGATATGTCAGATCCTCCCATCAAACGCTTTGCTCAACGTCATATATATCTTGGGCTAGATGCTATCGCTTCGCGTGATATTGGAGCCAGAGTCCGAAAAGAAAGTTCGAGCCGAGGAGATTCTCTTACCAGCATCGCAAGTACCAACGACCGATCTTCAAACTCGACCTCTTTGTTGAAACGCCTACCATCTCCGGAGCATGACAAGCGACGTGGAGAGCACGGGGGACACAAGCGACAACGCAACTTGTCACCATCAAGGGAGCGTGACCGCGACCGATGGGATGTTCCATCTCGAAGAAGGTCTCCCGGACCAATTCCTGAAAAAGAAAGGTCATTTAGACGGAATGAGAAGGAACGCGATGAAGAGAAAACGGTCACTCTGCCTCAAGCACTGTCGTGGTTTATCGGACAACTTCCTGCACCATCTGTTTTCGATGGCAAGTATCGTCTCATTCAGATGACACTGTCAACTAATGTCGCATTTCATAGGACCTGTATTTAGAACGGACGATCTTATCAATTTATTCAAAAATGCTGTGATTCCTAGTACGACTAAACCGAGATCACCGCCTCCTCCTCCCCCGCCTCGATCAGGTTTGTCTTGCGTGATCGTAGTTTGGCTTCCTCTGACTATATATTCAGGTGGGCGACCGCCACCAGATTATAGTCCTTACCAAGGCCCGACCGTCAATACTGCTCGAAGGCGGTACTAGTAGTAATATATTTATCGTACTTGTCTCTGTGATCAAAAAGTTCCATTGAAGATCAACGTTTCAACGCTTGCCAGATTCATCCACACAAACTCGACACCGAGCAATTATTGGACATTCAATTGATGAGCGAGACTCTGACGCGCGCTGCGATAAACTGAAGTCCATTAGTATAATTACAGATCCCTGACTCTGGTTTCACACTCTAGGTCAATTTTAAAGCCATACTATTACTACACCTTACTTTGCATCCTACAATTTTGACAGTCTTGCACACTACTTCAGACTGTTTTGTCATTTATACCAATAACATCATACCTGTATCTAACACCTTTACCTCCAACAATGGTGAATGTTGCGCACAAGGTTCATATAACCATCTCAAAATGAACAAGGGAAAAGATTAGCTGCTAGGGAGAGAGAGCTGGAGAGGAGAGTGTGTGTGTTGATTCAACCGCGCGCCGCAGGCCACTATTTCGGAGCCAAGACCGGGGAAAACTATGTACAAAGTACAAGTAACACCAAGTAGATAGCTGCTAGGGTTGAACACTCTGAGTTGGTCTCAGTCAATTCTATAGCTAAATCTGCAGCTTTTGCAGATGTATATTGTTTGCCTCAAAACTCGAGTACACTGTTTTGGACAATGAGATTTACCACACAGAACTCATCAGCAAGGTTTTTGATTTACCAAAAGTTTCAGTGTGTACAAGCTTGTACAAGTTACTTCAAATTTTGTGGTGCAATGCCAATGTACCAGCCTCAAGAGTCAAGTAGGACATACACTATTTAAGACAAAGTCTGGCTGCAATGGGGTTATTTGAGGTCTTTTGATTTACTTTACTATACTCACTCTCTAAATTACAGTACACACTTATGAGAGAGCAAGTCATGATTGAGACCAATGCTAGAGCGTCGACGTACTTGATTTGTGAGGTGGCTGTGTTCCCGCGTTTGATACCGCCCGACTGCCGCCAAATGAATTAAACTCACTCCTCTTCTTCCCACTCATACCGACAACTTACGACCATTCTTGTATCACTATTATTCTGTGTAACCAACTCACGACCTCCCTTTCTCTATATGGCTCAGCTTCTGGAAGATACCCATTCACCGACCAAGGCCATTCTATCCGACAGCCAGCTCAACAATTCTCTTCCTTCTCCAGCAGGCTCATTTGTATCCAAAGAGTCTTATTCCACTGCCATATCCTCTCCAACCCACGTCGATCTCGAAATTCATCCCATAACTAAATCTACTCCTGATACGAATTCGTCTTCACTTATCTTACCGCAAAATCTCCGAAAGTCAATATCGGTCGACTCCTTCGTACACTACGGACGCGAGACGCTTTCACCAGTCGTCACCAGGCCGAACCGAGGTCATACTGGGTCCGCTCTAGAACCACCAACGGGACTGGTTGGGTTGAGACGAGAATTCAATCATGTCAATCAACCTGGAAGGTCCAGAGGGGATAGCATCAGTTCTGTCAAATCGTCGTTAGCTGAAGATTCTGATGCAGACCGCTCTGATACGTACAATAGCTCAACAGAGCGGTATAAGCATACCTTGAAGCCACAGGATCAGGTCAGGTCTTTCGTTCCCGGTGGAGAGTTGCCATTACCATCAAGGACACCTACGTTGAGCACCACCTCCAGTATGAGCAGCATTATGTCGTCAACTACCAGCTCCAGTACCCAAGAGGCTACACCCTCGCTACGATCAGCATCGTCTTTACAGTCACCAGCGCGCCCTATAGCATCTGCGGGGAGAACAAGGAGCGGTAGTCTTGGAGTATATTCTCAAAATACAAGGAGGATACAGATCAATACCCAGATTGCGTCGGTGAGTATATATAAATTCGCGGTACCATTTTTCCCATGTATATCACAGGAACAGAATCAAGCTATCACACTCGCTGTTGTTGGAACAGCAGGGTGTGGAAAGTCTGTTGCCATCCGAAAAGGCTTGAAAAACAATAACCTATCGGAGCCAAGCGGACCTCTTCCTGGTCCACATCCATCCATACGTCGTATGAATTTCTCCTGCATTTTTATATACCGAGTGCTGAATTCTCAACAGACACACGTAGTACCGGAACTTTCACTCGAGATGAAGGGGTCGAGTGTCCATTACATGTTATAGAAGTTGACGTTATATCTGAGATACTTCAATCACCAATTACACCACTCGACTATCTTCCAGAGGCACTCAAAATTGATGGTGTAATAGTTTGTTACGATGCTTCCGATGAAAATTCCTTCAGGCCTGTAGAAGACCTCCTCAGTGAGTTTCACTAAGATGCTACTGCTGTATACTGACAAATGCTTTATCTCCATTCAGAGGCTTACCGCTCTCTTCAATTCCCGGTTATAGTCATCGCCTGCAAATCGGACCTGGAAAGAAAAGTCGACCCCCTCTCGGCCTCTGAAATCTTACTGCAATATGATGTTGGATTGGTGGAGGTGAATCATAACGAGAATGGTAAAGAAAAGATGAAACGGTCCTTTGACTATCTGTTGAGGGCCATACTCAGGGAACGCCGCAATGGTAAACCCAGATCATTCCATTTTGCGATCATCACTCACTGTTCTCCAAGGCTCATCTAGGAGTAGATTTTCAGAAGACTATCGGAATCCTGCCTCTCCAGAAATTGTGAATGCTTCTCCCTCATGGGATCGACCCGATGGATCGAGGACTGCCACCCCAACTGCTTCTTCAGCTTCTTCACTCAACCATATTCCGATTCCCGGTCCAATAGTTGTGCAATCTTCATTACCCACCATCCCTGCATCTCGCACGACTTCAGTTCCAAATTCGCCAACACGTGCACGATCGACTGGCGATTTGCTCTGCGAGCAGAGTTCGAGGTATAACGAACCTTCCGAAGTCAATCAGCCTACTATTGAAGCTACTATCTCCACAACAAGTATTGATAACGAAAATGCAAACGTTGATCATTCTCCAACGAGCGAGCTTTCTCCGCCAACAAAAGTTGAGAACAAAGACAAGGAAATGTAAATGATTGGTATTTTTTAAACAAAAGTTGCTCACATAATATTGTAATTAGGCGTCCTGCTCAATGGGCCACGCTGGATGAGTTGCTGGACAAACTCCTGTTCTTATCAGTGAGCGGTGACGGTATGACTCCTGCCTTCGTGTTTTTTTGTCATTGACAACTCTTTAGATCCGACGTTTGTAACACATTTTCTGTTAACCTATCGTCGATTCGCGAGTCCCCGTAGCTTGCTTCTTGCTATGCAGAAGCGGATGCGCCAGCTAGATAATCCGTCAGGCGATCCCATGTTTGCGTGTTTTGCTCAGATGAAGTGAGTTCATTTCCTCACTCTTCTTTTCATATCTCTTCAAACCCCTATATGTATGCTCATTATCCCGATAGGATCTGCCATCTGCTGGAAATTTGGATCCGAGATTACTCTTACGACTTCGCTGTCCGTGGAACCGCTGGGGCCCTTTCTGCGCTCATCAAGTCAATAATCTCAAAAACCTACCTTCTACATTACGGTTCCGACTTTCTTCCATTCTTGGAAGTGTTACCCACACTGGTAGATCGAGATAGCTCCTGGGCTTTGAAGGTTGACGATGCTGCCGATAGCGACGACTCATACAGTCTATTAGAAGATGACGATGAAAGTATCAAGTCTGCAACAAAGTTGACTTCTTCCCCACCGGAAGACCCAGGAAAAACTTCTGTAAGCGTTCCCTCACGTTCAAGGAAGTCCAGCATCCCTTTGCTATCAGCCAAAGTCCTGTTCCCAAGTTCCGGTGCTTACAACGGATCAATCGATTCTGATAATGCGGAATTTACAACCAAGCAACAACTAAGGGAACTAGTGAAGCTGGCCAACGAGGTCAACATGATTGACTCGGGGGAAATGGCGCAAGAGATTACTAGGATTGAGAAACAATCGTTCCTAGAAATTGAGGTTCGCACTGTAGCGTTATCTGTGATTCGATTTGACTGATCTTTGTGAATCTTAGCCGAGACATTGGCTCCATTTCACTTTGGTATCTGGAAAGAAGGATCCTGAGACGAATACCATAGCACGTTTCAACGCAATGTCCAATCACCTCGCAGACTGGTACGAGTTTTTTAGTAATGAGTTTGAATGGAACTTATTATTATCTTCAAGGGTCGTTTCCCTTATCTTATGCCATGACAGACCCAGAGATAGAGCGAGGCAGATAGAAAAATTTGTCGATGTCGCTCAGAAACTCCGAGGCTTAAACAATTACTCTGCTCTCCGAGCCTTTGTAGCGGGTATCAACAATTCTACCTTCGCAGGTGATCAGACCATGGAGAAATTTAAACAACGTTCTCCCGATTCCGCCAAAACCTTGCGATCATGGGATGTCCTTCTTCAAGCAATTCGAGCCCATAGAGCGTATCGGCTAGCCCTGCGGAATACGAAAGGGGCAACAATACCTGCTTTGTGAGTTCTGATGATCTTTACAAGTTAAGGTTTTCAACGAGTACAACAGGGAAGTGCATATGTCTGATCTCATTCGTGCACATGAAGCCAACGACGATGTTAAATCTGGCGACCCAACAAAGATTCACTGGGGAAAATTCAACATGATGGGTCGATTTATCACAAGCACTACACAATGCCAAGCTCAATGTAGATCTGCAACGGACTACAACTTCCCAGAACGACAGCACATAGGCAATCTGTTTATAACAAAATACCTCATGGACGACGAGGTACGTTTCGTATAATTCTGCCTTCTTTTTCGCTGATCTGTTCCTCAGATGCAAAAGTCACGGATTGCACCCCCAGATAATGATTATGAGGAATTTTCCGGTGGTTTCCCTGCCGCCACTACTGCGACTCAATACAAACCACCAAGGGATATGGCACGACTCCGTCGCATATTCTTTCGGTGATTTCTTTATGTTTGGTTTACTTTACAGTATATACCTATCGTGGATCATGTATTTCTTCCTCGTCGTTTTTGGTTATCATCCTCAGTACATATGTAAAAGTTTGTTTCTATTACATATACATACTCAAAAATGGGTATCGTGGAATTTAATCTAAGCGCTCAGGTTTTTAGCAAGCGCCGTCTCGTACTATATTTTCTGTTTTCATCCTCCTCTGGCCTGTCAATCATGTCGGGCTATGTTATGACCATAGACTCTGACGCAGAGGAAACTCCTTTGGAAACACATTCCCTAAAGGAAATCAAAGACGAGGCATTGAATCCCGACTTTACTTTTGATTTATCTGGAGACCCATATTCCGACCTACTAGAAGAGCGAAGAAATGGGCCAGATATCTTGAGGGGAACTAGACCGGTATGCACAAAACCTCACTCCCGTGTCCCATGAGTCAGCTTATGATACGAAATTATAGGAACCCATTTCTGTTGACGATATCATTGCGCGTCGCAAAGTTGCAAAACGCAAACGAGAGCATGAAAGCGATGAGGAAGATGAGGAAGATTCTGCTGAGGAAGAAGACGGGGATGGAGAAGATTCTGATGGCTTTGACGGTATTCACGAAGATGTTTCCGACGAAGAGGATGACCCTTTGGCCACTTCCGATGAGGGAGAAGATGAGGATAGCGGAGAGGAAAACGCCTTGGGACCAGATGAAGCAGACCTTTCAGACGCCGAGTCTTCTTCTTCGGATGATTCTGAACCAGAAACACAAGCGGAAAAGGAACGTAAAGCAGCATACTTTGATTCCGAAGTCGGTCCTTCCGACGCTCACGAATCTTTCCTCACTATGAACATCTCCCGGCCAATCATTAAGTCTCTTACCACCTTAGGCTTCCATCATCCTACGCCTATACAGGCCGCCACAATACCAGTTGCTCTTCTTGGCAAGGATATCGTTGGTGGTGCACAGACTGGTTCCGGTAAAACCGCCGCCTTCATAATACCCATGCTAGAGCGTCTATTGTATCGTGAAAAAGGAAAGAAGGCAGCAGCGACGCGATGTCTAATCCTCGTTCCCACTCGAGAACTTGCTGTACAATGTTACGACGTTGGGATCAAGCTAGGAACACACACAGATATAACGTTCTGCGTCGTTGTCGGTATGTCCTGCGAAACGCGGCTTGCTGAGATTTAAAAATTGTTTGTAGGTGGTATGTCCATCAAGTCGCAGGAGGCATCTCTCAGGAATAGACCAGATATCGTCATTGCCACACCGGGTCGTCTTATAGACCACATTCATAACTCTCCGTCATTTACTCTAGACTCCCTCGACATCCTCGTCCTGGATGAGGCTGATAGAATGCTTTCCGATGGATTTGCAGACGAACTGGCTGAAATAGTAAAAGTTTGTCCCAGGTCTCGCCAGACTATGCTGTTTTCGGCCACAATGACTGATTCTGTGGATGAGCTTGTAAAAATGTCGTTGAACAAACCTGTTCGCCTCTTTGTGGATCCAAAGCAGAGTGTCGCTAGAAATTTGACGCAAGAGTTTGTCCGTGTACGTGCAGCGAAGGAGTCTGAGCGCTCTGCCATGCTAGTAACACTATGCAAACGGACGTTCAAAAGTAATGTTATCGTCTTTCTTCGTAGCAAGAAACTCGCGCATCAAATTCGAATAGCATTCTCGATACTGGGAATGAAATGTGATGAACTTCATGGTGATCTTACACAAGAGCAGGTTTGTGATACGATTTGCACTTCACTCATGCGCTCACATCGCCCGATATAGCGTCTGAAGGCTTTGCAACAATTTCGAGATGGTCAAGTTGACTACCTGATGGCTACTGATCTGGCTGCCCGTGGTCTTGATATAAAGGGCGTAGAAACGGTCATCAACTACGATATGCCTGGTCAAGTTGAGCAGTATTTACATAGGGTTGGTAGAACTGCTCGAGCTGGGAACAAAGGACGGTAAGTGTCATGACGATTTATTTATGCGTCCAGTCCGTTCATTTCATCTAGGTCTGTAACCCTGGTCGGAGAGGCAGACCGGAAGATGCTGAAGGCGGCTATAAAGCATGGGTCAGACAAAGACAAAATTCGTCACCGAATTGTACCCCAGGACGCAGTCAACAAATGGGCCGAGAAACTCGAGAGTCTCAAGGAAGAAATTTCAGAAATCTTGCGCGAAGAGAAGGAAGAAAAACAGGTGCATATATCTGCGACTGATTCTCCTGAATTAATATTTACTAGAGGACCAAAAATTGTAGCTTCGACAAGCGGAAATGGAGCTGAAGAAAGGTCAAAACATCATTGAACATGAAGCCGAGATTTTCTCGAGGCCCGCGCGAACGTGGTTTCAGACGGAGAAGGAGAAGAAAAACGCCGAAGGTGATTCAGATTATCGTTGAGCTTCAAGCAGTTCTTTAAATGTCCGAATAGCCATCAGCAAAGCCCAATACGAAGCAGGCCAAAAGATATCGTCAGGGAAAGGAAAACAAAAAGCGTCTGCTGAAGAGGCCAAAGTAAATAATTTTTCCTTAACAACGATGGCGTGTTAATCTTGCTCTCTAGCTACAGCCCAAGCGAGATAAGTTTTCTGGTCTTTCCCGGAAAGCAAAGAGGCGGAAGATGGCGAGGGAAGAAGACGAAGAAATGGGAAACGAAGGCGCTATAAAATCGGCCATCCGATCTGCTAAGAAGGGCATACGACCTTCTAAAATTGGAGAGCCCGAACGACGTCCCGTGAAGACTTCGAAAACAAAAGAGAAGAAAAAGATCCGAAGAAAACTAACTTTGGGTAAAGGGGGGGCTTTCGAACGAGATCTTGGACAAAGTCGACATGAGGGCGCACGAGCGAAAAAAGGGGATATCATTGGGGCATGGGCAAAAAGAAGGGGTCGAAACGGAAGGCCAAATAAACATGCTGCATCCACATTGCAATCTTGTATCTATGTCCTAGGAGCATTACCCTGATAAAGCGGTATTCGAATTATCGTCCCCCCATTTTTCGGGATTTTTTGCTTCTTGAGAAAGGCGTGTGTGATGTCAGAAGATCATCCGCGCCTATTTTGTTTTCTTTGACGTGAGCCATCATGGGTTTACTTTGTTCTAAGCCTTCCACGCATTCTGGTGGACACACTGTGCTCGGGTCGACTTCTGATCACAATAATGGCGCATCTCGCACGAATGAAGCCGATCCTCGTGCAGCCGCGGTTCGTACTTTCCGGCTTCTCGACCAATTTTCGTTGGTCTAATTCTAGAGATGATGAAAGGCAGAAGCTGCAGAACGTCGTCTGAAGGCCGTCAGTTTCCTTCTCAGTCCCTTCTAGATCTCATAACTCATTAAAGGCTCAGTCACAGATGCGGGGAACTCATTCATCGAATCCAAATCAAGGTAAATTGGCTGCGCAAGCTTCGAAGCCTGCAAAAGTTGTACCAGAGTCACGACAAGAGGAAAGATTAGTGGTGAGTCGTGCTGTAAGCTGGCCGCAAACCTAGCTCATGCCTTTTCCTTTCCGTGAGTGGGACTAGCAGCCCGTGCCCGCGAGGAATTACCGGCGGTGGTCAAGGAAACTTTCCGTCCGCTATGGACAGATATACATGTTTAGGATTTAGCAATGATACCCGCTTCCTTGCAATGTACTACAACATATATTGAACACGTTGGTCTGGTTAGGCATTCCTAGGATTCAGGATCAAACATGCGCTTTGGCTCCTCAATAGTCTTCGGTCCGACAATCTGCAGTAGTAAAATTCACTTTCATGGGGATATGATATCCTTACGGTCCTTCAATGTACATTGTGCTATGTACATAAAACACGAGTTTACATTTAGTTTTTTTTCTTGTCCGTTTACATTGGTATCATTCTTAATAATGATGATGCATTTTCGTGGGGTTAAGCGCATTGATGGTGTACATACCTTTGCTTCACACCACATTGCGATACATAATCTAGTTGCTGGGTTGCGCTACTTGTAATGAATGAGCCCCGTAACGCCGCCATGGGAGAAAGTCTTGTGGAAGAAACAGCCTTATCCTGATAATTACATTCCGGAAGGCGCCTTGGACTCGTCATTGAGAAAGAATCGTATGTGCCAACTTCTGGATCAGCTTTCGAAAGCTTTCTGAGCTTGCTATCTTGTTCAAGCTAATTTCAAGCCATATACCTATTGGCCTCTGGTACATCTATCCACCGCAATTACCCAGCACCTAGCGACCATATTCATCTTTCTCTGCGTTTTCGTTCGGCTGAAAGACCATTCTTTGGATCCCCGTGTACTCATTTTCTTATCTTTGGGATGTTTCTTCCTGGGTTATCTTGTATGGGAGGTTCTTCAATACACACAAAATTTGGGTGGCAGCAATCACGGCAATGAAAGAAACGAACGCATTCGCCTTGACCGTGCGTGATTATTCTTAGGTTTCTCTTTTCTTCCTTCCATTCAGCAACTCACCGTTGTTCCTGACAGGCGTAAAAACATTCAAATCTTCTATCTTGATATTTCTCGCTCTGATGTCATTGTCTCCTGTTCTACGAACGTTGTCTGCGGCCACTTCGTCAGATTCCATCTGGGCACTCTCAGCATGTCTGTTCCTTCTGAATATACTACTAGCCGACTATGGTTCATCGAACCCAGTGATTCAAGGTAGACACGAAAGGTAAGGGTGGGGATTGGCATCCATTGGTTGATACATCTATGGAACTTCAATTGCTTACTTCTGACACTCAGACTGACCTCCGTTTTGTCCATGAATGCTGCCATATCATCTTCGGTCGTCCTAGCTTCTAGGTTGACCAATGATTTGGCTGTCTTTGCACTGATACAGTTTTCTGTGCAATCATTCACCTTATTTCCGATGCTTAGGCGGCGACTCCAAGTGCGTGTCGTTGATTTTCTTGCCAAATCCGAACAAGTATAATGCTAACCTTCTCAAATTGCTGTTTGTCTAGGCTTTCAGCGACAAAAAACCATCGACACAAGCAATGCAAACTCTTCTAACGTTGATTCTGTCAATATCTTCCTTCCTTTTGGCAATACCACTCTCGAGCACAATCGCTTTCCTGGTTCTGTTCGTTCTTCTGGCGGTCACAATGCTTGCTCCTGCGGTGTTGGTGTGGGCGCAGAAGTATAAAAAGTGGGTAGAAACATTCATATCTTTGCCCAAATGCCAGTAACTGATTCACTTGTTCGTTCGCAGTGAAATTAGGGGACCATGGGATGTTGCAGTTCCCAAATTGAATTAAACCTCAACTGATATGGTGACTCGCGAGCTGTATAGGAACTCTACCTTTGGGGGTCGTTGACCCAATAGCTATTCCCCAACCTCTTTCTCGTATCTGGTCTGGGGAGTACGAGCTTGGATAATTGACCCAGGTTCACGATGATCACGGATTCCCATTAGTTCCCATTCGGTTAGATATCTGCCTTCTGTTCGCACTTGGCTGGCTCGGAACGTTTTTGGCTTTAGCGATGGTCGATCAAGCACGAGATGGATCTTGTTCTTGTGCCTTCATCTCATTTGTTGGTGAATCATTCATTAATGTTTAGCGGCGGAGTTGGCCCGAGTGTAACTTCTTATGGCTTGTAGACCACCATGTATTGATTTTCACCCTGAATTCAGTTTTCTTCAGGCAACGAGGCAAGAGCTGTGAGATATAGAAACAATCGGGTCTTGGGTATGGTACGTTACAAGAATTTCAAGAGATATACTTTATACAGAAGAGCTATTCACAATACAACTTGAGATATATACAATAAACAGTATGCACAATGCAATAATCTATACAACAAAGCTGATGTCAGAACCCAAAAAATTGCTGAACGAGTGCAAGCAAGCCAAAAAAAAAAAGAAAGGAGAGTGATTAGTATGATGGTATGTATACAGTCCTCGTCCTCGTTTGCTCTAGTAAAGAAACACAGATGGCATGGCGAAACATCATGAAGGCGCGTCAAAATCATCGCTGTCGTCGTTCATCCGGCGTCGCTTAGCTGGTCCCGGCTGGAGGAGAGAGTCTGCAGACACGATGCCTCTAGATTCGAGGACGTCGCGAGACACTTTGGCTGGTCCATCTGCAGGCCTTTTAGACCTAACTCGAGTTCTGCGCAAAGCGCCGAAGGCCTGAGCTTTGATCACCGCCAGAGTACCCGACAGCGGAGCCACGCCAGGCGAAGGTGAGCGAGAGGAAGGCGCTGTTATCCGACGTGGACGAGCCTGGTGTTGACTGGAGTAGGAAGAATCGCCACCATCGCTGCCGTGCTGAGACCCTTGCTGAGAATCATTCTCACTTCCTGCGGTACCGCTTGTTATCGGGGGAAGGAGTGGAAGTAGGCTGGTACGGTCCAAAATAGCATCCATGCGTCGATTGTTTCCACCAAGTCTGTAGCGAACTCCCCCGTCGTTTCCTGAGCTTGAGGCGATGGCGGAAATATCTGCAGTGCCACCATGAAGAGAGATAACCTCAGCGCCGTGACTCTGTGTCGTTTGACGACGATACTCAAATTCTGGTCGATCCTGTGCGGCACCCTGCGCGTCGTTGAAGGCAAAAGGAAAAGGGGAAGTCAAAGCGGTCGTAGATGAAGAGGGTGGCGTAGATGAAGAAGGAGAAATAGATCGACTGTTTGGGAAGACGTATGGAACGACCGTGGGTTCTAAATTGTTCAAAGGTATTTTTTGGTCATCGGGATATCGATTGCCAATGAGATTCATATCGGATGCGGAGGTGAGTGTCGGTGATTCAACAAAATGCGGCGAATTGGAGGAGTGGCTACTGGTCTGTGTCCAAGAAGTATATGGTTGATTCTGGTGATTAAATGAGACTGAAGGTGAGGCAGGATACTGATTAAAACCCAGACTGTTATCAGGGTATTGTGTGCTGTTGAACGTCGTAGACGGCGGGGACGGGTAAGAGGGAAACTCTGATTCGGTCTCCGAATTTTGTCCTCGCTTTGGCCAAGACGCTCTCCAAAAGTTTTCTTGATTTCGTAGTGCTTGTCGCAGCTGATTGTTCTCTTGCTGTAATTCCTGAGCCTCGGTAGTCGCTTCCCGGCATGAGTCCTGAAGTACTCGGACAACTGATTCTAGGTTCACGACCGTCTCCTCTAGGGTAAAGTTAGCTGAATAGTATGCCTCAGTTTTGCATGACAACTGACCAAGAGTTGTAATGTAATTTGTGCGACGAGCTCGAAAAGCCGCTTGAGCATCAGCATTCTTTTTTTTCCTTAGTGCAATATCGGTCATTCGAGAAGGATTCTGTTCATCCGACTTGGTCGATTGGTTTGTCGTCGTCGTCGAAGAGGACATGGCCACAGTGGCGATGGGGAAAGTGGGATCCTACGAATTGCCAATAGCGGAGATCTAGAAGAGATTTAAAACACTTTGCATGAAATGCCACGAAAAGAATTCGAAGTAGGGCACGAGGTCAAACCCCTCCGCGGCTCTTTCAATCCCATCGGCTAACTAAACAAGAAGGCCTTACCATACAAATTAAGATTGAGACAACCTTGCGGCGCTGAATCCTGACAGCCAAACCTTTCTGGAAGCCTCCTCCTCCCACCTGCTTATCTCCATTAACTTTACGGAAAAGCTATCAGCCTTTTGATCCAGCCTCCGAGTTTAGTGACAGTCACCCACAGTCAGTCGTGACCGTCACGTAAGTCACTTACATAGTATGGATTCTATGGAAACGTTATAATTTGAGAGCAAGATATATTCGCAAACTTGTGGAAGATCAGAGGGCACAAAGACGTGTGTAAAATGCATACAAAATAATCAGAATGAAGTTAAAATAGGGCCGACAAGAATGGGATGTGGAGTGTGACTCCTTGCAGTCATTTTGTGCGAGTGTATGCGCATATATCCGAGTATCTTTGTGAAAGTGGTGAATACTGCATATCTTAACGCAGCGTAGCTAATTTTTATCTGGATTGACAAACACAATGACTAGGAAAAGACAGAGTTAGGCCGGGCCGATAGGACCTCATGGCCTCATTGATTGTGGAATGGTGAATACTCCGATTATTCGGCAAGGATTTTAATCTGAGAGACGACGTGATCTGGGAAATAATCCAATGAACAGTAGGTAGGTTGGCTCTTGTCGACGATTACTGTACTCACTGCATTTCATGAAAAGGAGGGCATGGGAAAATAAGATGTGACAATCATTATCACTACTCAATTGACCTGCCGGACGATTTCCTTTCTAGAGGGTCTCCCGATTCAAATCAGTTCGACTCAGATAACTGTTTAGCCTCGCGGTGATGTCTTCTCATCTCTCCTCGTCTAATGTGGTATCGCCTTCTTCTCCCTCATCGCCCTCCAGATCGAACGTCTCCAGCGTAGTACCCTTGCTGTCCAGTACGCATGCCACTCTTCGTCCTACTCGTCCATTCACTGCCAATGACACTGCTCCCGACCTGCACCCTTTTAATCCCCGGCTCTGCCTAATCGGAAGATATCCTGATTTCAACTGCAACAGGTTTGCTTTCAGTTTCCTATCTAACAGATGAAGCCTACACACATACCTGCCCCGCAATCAAACCTTGCGATGCGCTCTCGATCAGGCTTTCACGGGACAACCTTACGTACCCCTCTGGCTGAAAATCTGTGTACTCTAATTCACGATACGATAAAGTGCCAATGTATGCTTCTCCTGAATTGGAAAGAATTTTTAAGTACCAGAGAAAATCTTTCCCAATCGCCGGAGGAGTATTATTCAACTTTCACTCACCTTCATCGGTCCGATAAACAATTACGATAGTCTCATCGTCGAAGAATTCCAGCGCAAGCAGGTCCACGCCGACAACATCCTCTTCTTCGCCTCGACGGAGACAACATTCGTGCACCGCAACCTCGACATGAGAACTGTTATGTCCGTACCGCTGGCGTACAAAATTCACTGCATAGCCATTTGTTTGACGAGTTACACGAGAGCTGGAGCTATAAACTTACCAAAGGACCGATGTTCCGAAGTTGAGGCAGAGGGTGCGTGCATCACTAAATATTGAACGTAGTAACCGTCCTTTAGCGAAAGACTCGAATTTAGTTCATGAAACATTTGAATAGAAGTAATTACAGCATACCTCGCGCAAAGTATCTACCGTGATTCTGTCCCGAATGAGGAGGTCAGTTTGATTATCTCGCTGCGAGGCTGCTGTAGTCTGGTCAATTACGGATCCAGAACTTGCGGAAATGGTAGCAGCCCGTGTAGCTGCCGCCGAAGGGCGATCAAAGACTTCCCTGCAAGAGCTGGCGAAGGCACCGATGAGCGCAGAGAGATTTCGGTCAATAGATTCAAAGGGCTTGTCATTAAATCCCTGTGTGTCCCAATGATCAGTAATCTAGTCCGTGTATTATATGATACGGATGGATAACGCACGTCTGGTGGGACGGTAATTGGTGTTTCAGAGGGGTCTCGATGGTCTAGATACTCACGAGCCTTCTGAAGAGCAGCCCTCACAGTGAGATCGTACCCCGGAATCCCTAGGTCTTGGGGTACAAATGTAGGCACAGGACCCATGAACCATTGGTCAATCACACTTTTTTTAAGGCCCGACATAAGATATTGGTTGACTTCCAATATATCATGGCGGAGCGGAGTAGGAGTAGGAGTCTCACTCGAAGGACCGAGAAGGACCGTTTCTGATAACGCCGTCAACGCCACAGAAAAAATAAAAAATTTCTCACTCACCGTATCGAAGCCAGGTCATGAATTCTCTGAAACGGTTATGTTCACGTCGGGCAGCTGCAGCAAGCCAGCTGCTTAGTAGAATAGCTTGCTTGAGCATGATTAAACATTGGTCCACGGCTTCGCTCGGGATCTCAAATGACGAGTATAATGTCGGCCTTCAAGAAATCAAAAAAGAAGATGAGAAAATCGGTGATATTCAAGTTAGACAACTTCAACTCACAGAGACGCCCACCCTCGGACTTCCCCAAGCACCAGATGTAACCGTTGGCAAGCAGGAACCAGACGTTTTTCAGAATAATCACGTAACTTGACGAGGGCTTCTGTGACAGCGGAATCCCACTTCTGCATACCCTGTTTTGTGAAAAGAACCATATAGTCAGATCAAACATCCTCAACCTCGAATGAGAAGGGATACTTTACTCTCTCGCTCATCTGCGGCCCACTACCGAGGTAATCGCCCAAAGCCTCACTCGGACGGTCAGTCACTAGCAACGTAGTCAGATCGAGAATCCCACTCGGTCTTACTACAGAGGTAAAGGTTCATAGTTTATCTGGGAAGGGAGAAAGCTACATACGATGGTAATCATCTTGCTGCTTGGTTTCGTAAGCTGCAATCCACTTTGGGCCCAAATCCCGAGCACCACTGTTCGTATCTGAGCCGATCCAAGCTGCGCGCATTTCTTCAACGACCCGCAAGGCATACCAGCACAATTCCCTAGCGGTGGTGGATAACTTTGCAAAGTCCCGGACCTTACGTTCTTGTAAAAGGGACAGGGATACGTGAGTTGGCAACAGGTCCGTAAAGACACCGTCGTGGATTGGATGCGCCAAAAGAACGGGACTTTTAGGATTTTTGAACAACGATGCAATTGTAGTATTTGAATCGCCCAGTTTGAGGGAGCCTAAGGGATATGTCCCGTCCAGGAAACATAATAATCGACCAGAACGATCGGCGACGGCGAGTATACTATCCAAATTCGCATCGTCGACCTCATCCATAATCCCATTTTCTGCTGTCCTGTTAGTATCCGGCACGTTTATAGACGCGGATACAGGGTCCGGATGTAGCGTAGGCCATAATTCTATAACATCTGGGACGGATGCTACTCGACGAGCTGTTGTTTGTGAGCCTTGAAAGGCAAAGAGGTCAGTGGCGCTAAACTTTTGGGTTTAAATCGTATAATTATGCAGTAGAAGACGGTCAAAATCATACGTTAATTGCTTGGACTCATCCCGTAACTGATCCAACAGAGGGAGTGTTCGAAGGACGGAGTGGGCACTACCCGTCTTTAGAACGATATAAGGATCTAGAATGGAGTAGGTGAGCCTTCACTGACAATGATGTTATTTCTCCTGAATATGTCCGGTATTGGAGATTTTTCAGGCTTTTCTTGATGAAACCACCAGATGTTGGTAAGCTGCGGGATCGGTACATCGGAGGTGGGGATATGTATAACGCGTTCTGAACGGCCATCTTGAATAGAGTGCAATGTAATCGATGGAGGATTATGCGCAACCGCGATACTCTGTCCTATAATCTTGAGAATGAGCCAGAAGGTCGTAAAACGTTGAGCTTTCTAGAACATGCGCACCATCCGGGCTCCATGCAACTCCGACGATGCGCTCACTGCTGGTACTGACATCGATCTCCCAAGTCTTTGAGCCCTGCATCTTCCATAAACTCATCCTATCATGGCCTCCCAGACGAGTGACAAGAACAAGTAAATCTTTGTCTGGACAGCATGCTGAAGCTAGTAACCGGGAAGACAGAGGGAGCTGAACAGCAGCCAAGGATGCGAAATCATTTGAGTTCATGTCTTTCGGGAATTGTTGAGACAATTTGAGATGGCTTGGGAGTGCTCACTGTTCGCGGTAGAAAAGAAAGATGGACATGCACACATGACCGTTACTCTTTGCAGAACTATAAGATACAAATACAACGACAGCCTCAATTAAGCAGCCTCATTAGACACATGAACATATTGTTCACTCCTACTACGACTACCATGACCCATACGATTTCCCAGCCGAGAAAGACTGAGTTCTTCTACTGGCATTCGTGACCTCAGATGCTAAGTACAAGAACGAGTAAGTGGGATGTAACGCCATAATTAGGACTGTATACACACCTCCCACCAAGTAACACCATTGTTCCACGTCGAACCAACGTCAAGTCCAGCCTTCTCCAACCGTCTCTTTATTCCTGCTCCAAGTAAAAGGCCAAAGACGACTAGTAGAAATATAGTGACCACCAGTTGATCCCTAGGCGAATCGCGTTCTGAAAGACATCTGCTGAGTTCATCAGACCGAGGCAGAGTGAGAACAGCACTCACGGAAGCACCGAGCTTCAACGTCGCCCTCTTTCCCAGTCGCTGTATCAGGATCCGTATCCCCAAGAGAGGCGCCGGCACAAATAGCTAGATTCTGGTTTAGACACCACTGCTTTGTGCAGGAAAGACAAGGTTGTGATGGAGTATCGGGAAGAGTCAGGTGTAGGATCGAGTAATTGGACTGGAAGCATATGCCTAAGAAACCTTATTAGTTGTGGCCAGCGAGTACACCGTTCGGACTTGCATTTGCAAAAATTAGTCGCTTCCCATTTATTCAAGATGGCTTGAGTACATAGCTACCTCAAGAGTAAGTACTCAAGTGCCAATTCAACAAAGAGGGTGCAAATTTCTCACAAATGATGAACAAACGAGGATGAAAGTCAAGATCCATGGTTTTGTCATCGCAAGCGGGAATACAGGCGCATTTGGTGGCTGTACCGTCCTGTATGATCATTGCCGAGGAGTCGCGGCAGCTGCACAGTATGTAGAGTATTATATTTGATTCTCTCCGTATTGTAGGCTCTCCTTGGACAACACTATCGGGATGTATATATGTTCACCGGTTTCCAGCCACTCACCCTCCGCCACCTCGTTTCCTTCCAGCTCTCAGACACAGTCCCCTGTAACATCAAAGCCCTCCCGCCACTCCTAATTCTGATTTTCCATCTACTGATACACCCCACACTACCTCGATCCAGTTACCTGAAGCTTATGTTCGGCTTTGTCACCCATTCCTTGAACTACTCATCAGAGTTATCAGATTTTTGACCCCCACCCTTTCAGACCTCGAGTTTCATGTCGAACAGCGGGATGTCCCTTTGTCGTGTGGATGAGCACAAATCCGATGACGTTTACGAATAATGCGTGTGGTCAAGAAGAAGGGAAGCTTGGCAAATGTACGATGGGTCTCCTCCTTGTCCGAAAAATTGAATTATTTGCATTTCGATTACGTTCGTAGAGTGGAGAATACTTTTGTCGACTGAGGCGATAGAGATCTATATACTCTGTCGCGAGATGAGTGAAGAGGATTGGGAGATGTGCAATGAATTGTAGTGGGGAGGAGTAAAGGGACGAAAGACGTGGGATGGATATGAATGGTTCCAATAATTTTATAGAAGCATTGAAGTTCGAGGAGGAAATGCAGACTAGATTGTGAAGGGATCAAAGCCAAGACGCCTGTACGCTTCTGACATGGATTGATTGTCGGCCAGAAGATAAATATGGAGGTTGCACTTCGATAGAACCCACCTGCTAGTGTTTGGGTGCTCCTAGTATGAAAGTATTGACATCCTACATCTGGTTAACGACAAAGAGTGACAAGTAGTAGATAACGCATGTGTATATTGTCATTGAGTCTAAGGCGTTGTGGAATGATAATTGAGCTTGTTGTAGCTAAAGATTGGCTCGTGTAGAGTTTACTGCATTCCAACTTGCTCCAAATGATTGATTGAGCTGTGCGAGACCTAATTCGACGTTTCTGGCGATTTTGTTTTTGAGGCTCGAAAAAGAAAACAAAGAATGAAGGAAATTCCTGTGGCTGTGCTATTTCCTCCTTCAACGCCAACTTTAAGTTCCACGGACCAGCTCCCTTCAGCCTGCTGCAGAGATGTCTGCGGAATTCGACGATGTCCTCACAAATCAGCCAGTAGTCATTGACAATGTCAACTATCATCCTCTACTCAAATCTATAGCTTTGAACTGAACAAATTACCCCAGGGTTCCGGAACTATAAAGGCAGGTTTCGCTGGTCAAGACCACCCCAAATGTTTCTTTCCATCGTTGTACGTTGTGACCGTGTTTCTTGATGCCACACGGATATCTTATTATCTTTATCTGTACATTGTACGTGATTCAGTGTAGGCCGACCGAAACATGTCCGTGTATTGGCCGGCGCGCTTGAGGGCGACGTATTCATCGGTAAACGCGCACAAGAGTTCCGAGGATTGCTCAAGATCAAGTACCCTATGGAACATGGAATAGTGACAGATTGGGATGATATGGAACGGATATGGAGCTGGGTGTACGCTGAGGAACTTGGAACATTGAGTGAAGAGGTGCGACGGCTGCACTTTAATGTTTGATTAAGGTTTTAATATCGTGAACTAGCACCCAGTCCTACTAACAGAAGCGCCATTAAATCCAAGAAGTAATCGAGATATTGCAGCGCAAATATTCTTCGACACATTCAACGTACCAGCATTGTACACTTCCGTACAAGCCGTTCTTTCATTGTAACCATCGTGCATCCTCTCTGAGCCATGCGTATAAATTTACTGTTCAACTAGATATTCATCCGGGCGAACAACTGGAATCGTGCTAGATTCCGGAGACGGTGTCACACACGCAGTACCAGTATACGAGGGATTCTCAATGCCTCACGCCATAAGACGAGTGGACATCGCAGGACGGTGCGTCTCTTTCCTGTAGAATACCAATGCCCCGCACTCACACGACCTATCATATTCCAGAGACGTAACAGATCACCTACAATTATTACTACGAAAGTCCGGCCACCACTTACATACAACAGCAGAACGAGAAATAGTTCGGACGATCAAGGAAAAATGTTGTTACGTCGCGCTGAATCCTGCAAAGGAGGAAAAAGATGCGGTTGGACATACCGAGGAATTCAGACTACCGGATGGGGCCGTCATTCAGGTATGAACTTCCTCTTTCCTTGTAAATATTTCCATCTAAAGCTCTTCATAGCTGGGCGCTGAGAGATTCCGTGCCCCAGAATTACTGTTCAACCCAGAGATAATCGGGCAGGAATATGCCGGTGTACACCAGGTTATCGTTGACTCGATTAACCGCGTGGATTTGGATCTGCGGAAGAGTTTATTTTCGAACATCGTGCTGAGTGGCGGAAGCACACTATGCAGAGGCGCGTCTTCCCTTGTCCTCGAGGATTGATTCTAGACTGACCGACCGACTAAAAAGGCTTTGGTGATCGACTTCTAAACGAAGTGAAGAAACTTGCACTCAAAGATGTCAAAATCAAAATTTACGCACCTCCTGAACGTAAATACTCTACTTGGATAGGCGGCTCGATTTTGGCGGGTTTGAACGCTTTCAAGAAGGCAAGTTCGACCTTGATCTTGGTTTCTGTGCAAATGCTAAACCTTTGCTCCATTTCACAGATGTGGGTTTCTGCAGAGGAATACCAAGAGGATCCAGATATCATCCACAAGAAAGCTGGCTTTTGATGCAGCTCTATTTTGGCTTTTTACCATCACCGATATGATACCCGTATACTTCACTCCGACTTCACACACTTAATACGACGTCTTATGCTACTGTAATGGTTGTATAAATATGGGACTCGATATCTTGCTTTCGCTAAATAGATAGTTCGTCCTGGACTGAACGCAAACCCGTAGAACCACAAAGTACCATGACCAAAGGAAAAAGATGGAGTTGGTATCGAAAAGAGGGTATGAGTATGTTATCAGTTAGCCATATAAGCATTAGCCGTAAATTCTCCTAGTTGGATGAGAGCAAGCTGTAGCTGAGCGAGAACCTGAGGACCTGCACTAGCTGTAGGACTGGCGCTAGCAGAGGAAGAAGTTGAACTCGAACTCGAACTTGAACTCGTGGTAGTAGCTATATCTATGCTGATCAGAAGTCTGAATTATATGAGATCTGCGAATGACTGACCAGAAGATGAAGAACTGGAGGTTGATGTCCACGAAGATGTACTCTCGGTGCTGCTGGAGGACGAAGACGTGGTGCTCGGTGGAGGAGTCGAGGTAGAGGTAGGTGTTTGGGTCGTTGAAGGTGGGGTATACTGGGACGTTGATGAAGTCGATGTGGATGATGAGGAACCATCTGCAAATGACCATGTCCCGCCGTACATTTCGCCAATCTGATTCGGATCACCGCCCGACAAAGCAGCGAAGAGCGAATACGTGAGATCTAATTGACCATAAGCGCAAGTCGGGCACTTTGAACGACGTTAGACAGAGTGAGGAAAGAAATATATGGAATAGCGTATGAACACGCACTTCATCCGTAACCTATGAAAGGGATTTAGTCTTGAGTTTTATGAGAAAGGCTGGAAGAACTTACCTGAGCCGTAACTGTTTTTCCTCCATAAGAAAGGGTGACCATTTCGTAGCAGTGTGAACCGCCGTCCCATTGCTGCATGAATATTAACCCCAAACTGCCAGGTGATAGGATTGAGGCGAAATTTTGCTCACATCACTGTTCAACGCCACGATCTTGAGGCGAGTCAATACTCCTGTCAGCCAACTATTGCGACAAACTCACGTAGTCACTAGCAGTCTAGAAATCACATTAAAACGACAGCGAATGTGGGAGAAATGTGGATACCTACATTTGTGGTCCCGCATGCCCCTCTGGACTCAGATTAGATAAAGAAATGTCGAAAGCACTACAGTTACTCACAGCCCAGCAACATAATAGGTGAAGTCTCCGGTGGTTGAATCTCTTTTCAACTTTGACGCGGGGGTAACGTTCCTGTTGACATGACTAACCCGAACTTTGCCATGTCCAGGTGATGCTTGTGTAGGAGAAAAGAAACACGAAATAGCAAGACAAAGTAACGACAGGTAGGAAAAAGAGTGCATAGTTTTTTGTTTTGGGTGATTAGGTTGGGTGTAACACTTACGAACGTGAACAAATCAACCTGTCCAGATCGTTCACGGCAAAGTGACTTTTCGGTGCCTGGCGCGGCACTCGCAACCAATTATTCGAAAAAAAATTATCGCATTCGAATCCCGAAACAACTTGAACGAATTCTCTTCGAAGTATACTCAGTCAAAAGGTGCATGGAAAAGGATAAGTAAAGAGAAAAGAAAGAGAAATCGGCTGCGGCGCAGCTTTTGCTTATATGTATAAGTGTTCATATACTATTATAGAATAATACAGCAGCATGGCGCAGTGGTAGCGCGCGGGGCCCATAACCCCGAGGTCACTTGATCGAAACAAGTTGCTGCTATGAAATTTTTGCTCTTTTTTTCCCTTCATACAGGCAAATGAACGAGTCTTCTGCCTCAACATGGCTGCTGAAATGAAGAACTACATAGTCCTTTAGGATACAGACAAAAACTTGTGATCAAAAAGCAAGTATGATCCAAAATCTGTCCCTTTGGGTTGTAAATATTAACGATTATACATTTTATACAGTGTGATAACTTGAGCGAGTACTTGTGTAGATAAATTTGAGAATAGCAGATACGGAGCCTGACTGGACCTAAGATGTCTTCATGTATCAGATGTATCAGATACTTCTAGCTTCAGCCTTCTAATCACCTCCAGACATTCGAACAGGTATTGGAGGTTGATCAGGAAGACGCTGAAAACCTCGATTAGCGGTGGTCATCGCTGGAAGCCGCAAGAAATTCACCTTGAATAAGTACTTGCAAACAAGATAGCCCTTCGGGTTCAGACCTTTTTGCATCCAAGCCTGCAAGACAAAGATGAGATGCCACAAAGGAACAACCCGAAAATGGAAGTTGCTCACAGATTCAACCGTGTATAAACCATCATAGCGGTAACTATAATAGTGAGAAGTCAGCTCAAGCCTAGTGAAAGTTGTACATTAGTCACCCTTCGGTAGGTGCATAATTAGATGTTGATTTGAAGCCCCGGATGACTCGCACTGGTTTCTTTGTCTCAGCAGATTTCTACGTCGTTTTGTTAGTGGAGTTAAATGATTTTGCGCAGAGTAATAGTACCTTCAATGCAGCGTTGAACTAGATTCGCATAAATTCAGCGACAGAATGACGTTGCGAGAAGAGAACACACGAACAGAATGATCAAATGATTGATCCGAGCTCTGAGGCGCAGTCCGAAGCTACGACGTATTCAGTCAGCGAAATCTTGACATTCAACACTAATTTCCCTAACATTTTTGGGTGCAGTCTTTGTTCCCCTGAGGTCACGACCGCCTGGAGCAATTTTGAGGAGAGGGAATGAATGGATGAGGAATATAACGGACCAGATCCAGTATACGTACTGTCAATGGTAGCATAAGCAATGGTCTGGTTCATATCCAAACCCGGGACTCACAAAGCGTATCCATCGTCTATATCATCGTCATATCCACCACTCAAAGCTACACTGTATGCACCCTCCGGACCACCCGAAATGCCTGCGACCCAGGGTCTAAATGGTAAAGCTAAAAAGGTTATCCTGCAGTGCAAACACTTCGAAGCTCACGCGTGGATCGAGTCAGCGCTACACCCTTGTCTACTTTCCCACCATGTTCCGACCTCAATTCCCGGTATAGCGCCAAACTTCTTACTGGTGAACGAATATCAGTTCAAATGTGAGTTGAAAAAGACTCAAAACCCACGGGTCGTGCACTCGCTTGCCATCTTCACGACCTAGTGGTCCAGTGTTTTTGGTGACACGAATTCCAGCCTTGAAAGAGTCGGGAATATAATCCTCCGAAATTATTTCCGCGCTATAGTCGATGGCTTTTCCACTATTACGCGTGCTTCTGCGGAGGGTGGAATTTTGGCGATCGGACGAGGCATCCAAAGTTCGAGATGACTTTTTCTGTGGAGAGTCGTTGTCTTCAATTTGCTCGATTTTGCGCTTCTTCGCGGTAGCTTGAGGCTTTCGGGGTTTCTCTACAGGTTCGAAGAATGGTTTGTTAAGGCCCAATTCTTCCAATAACTTTTTGTTCCTGTATCACATGAGTGCTCAGCCTGCAACCATTTCGAGTAGCAGGAATACTCACTTGGCTATGTTTGCAAGACGTTGCTTCTCATATGCGGACATCGAAAACAAGAATAAGGCAAGAAGTGGGGTGACTCTGAGGACAAAAAGAAATTATAATTCAAATTAGAAAATGGTTCCGTTAACCCGTGACGTGATAGTGTGACAACGCGTCTGGTCACATCCTGACCGGAGGTTCCTACCCAAACAGCACTCTTCCTACGTAGATGATGATACTGTTTGTCACTCAACTAAGCAACGTCAAATCATTTTCACCAACCATGCATTAGGTAAAATATACGGTACACCCGTATGAGCGAATGAGTATGTACACATATAGCTAGGTACTAGACTGTCCCTCAGAATCGGACCAGCCGATGCTGAGACAAGACCAATAACAAACTAAGTATAAAGACAGATTATTGTAAGACGTCAAGCACTGTAAACTACTTGATCTTCTTGAGCTATTATCGAAAAAGATGTTAGCAGCTGGCTGTCGATTGCAAAAAAATGCATACCCTTTCAGTGTTACGGAATAGCCTGGCATCCAAGCCAACCGCTTTCTGCTCTATGTTGTCAATATGTTTGTTCTGACTCTCCAGCTCTTGGTTCATTGTCATTCCCAGAGCTTTCAGTCGTTTGGTCATGTCACCTATTTCATCCAAGTTGTCGTCTAATTCATCCTCGAGTTCATCGTCGGATGCAGTGGCTTCGAATTGAAAACGCTTCCTCTGCTCTTTCCTTGCTGCGAGCTGGTCAGCAGATCTATAACGCCCGCTGGCGCCAGTGCCAAGTAGCTCTTCATCACCATTACCACGGCCGTAACCTTGCGCGCGACCAATACGATCTTGAGTCTCGCGAACACGCATCATTGTTTGTTCCCTCTCCCCGCGCTCCTCTTCATATCGAGCTTGGATCTGAGTCTCCTGTGCAACTCGCTTCTTGTCTTTGTTGAAGACGATAACAGGCCTAAAAATGGAACGGTTGAGCTGCTTGAGTTCGTCGGTTTTGTCGTCAGCTCTCCTGGAATGTCCCTTAGCGACGTCCAAATGACGCTCGGTATTGGCCAATCGTTCTGTTTGTACATCAATTGTGAGTAGGGCGCCTGCCTAACTAAAGAGCCAAGATAGCTAACCTGACTGATCACCAAGTCTATTGAGCGTGTTACGAGCAGTCTCCTCAGCTTCCCTGGCAAGGCGAAGAGCGTTACGGGAAGAGTTGAGACTCTCCTGCTTGATGAAGCGTGTTTGTTTCTTAATACCCTCGACATCATCGTCGTTCTCTTCTCCGGGGGGAGGGTCTCTAAAACCTCCCTGCGGGCCGTCGGAAAAGCGACCAGAGCCAAAGGACTTCTGAGCGTTGTAGCCAGAAAAGAGCTCATTTCGGTCCTGGTCTACATTCGCCCCTCCACGGGTATAGACGTCTCCTACGTTTGTATTTCGGCTGTAGTTGTCTCTAATGGTGGAAGCACCATCGACGGAAGGGTAAGAAGATGATCTGCTGGCAGAAGGAAGTGGTGAGGAACTATTCCCCGAAGCCTGGCCAGCAGGTTCAACGGGAGGAATAGAAGTGTTCTTGCGCCAGAAGAAAGACATGAATTCGAAATAAGAGGGTAATGTGATGGAAGGGAAAATGAGAGGCTAGTCGAACGGATGATATTTATATATGTTCAAGGCTGTTCCCACATCAAGGTTCACCGGAAACTAAAAGCGGGAGCGGCAGTGATAATAATAGTTATCGGTGGCCGCTACATCTGGGCGTATCGTACTTGAGTATCAAGGGCATTATATCCACGTAATCCAGAGGCCAAAGTTATGGACATATTACAGTCTAGAGGTAGTCATGATAAAAGTAAAAATCGCGCCTCTCTAGTTACTATTTAGGAAATTGGAAGCAGATGTGTATCAGTCTTATAGCCTTGCTCAGTTCTATGAACCATTAGACTGCTTGTGATTTCTATCTTTCTTTCCCAGAATATCCTTCTTCTTCTTGCCCACAACAGTCACCCCCTTTCCAGCCTTCACGACACTTTTCAGTGCATCCTCCTTCTGCTTCTTGAGGCTACCACCCTTGTGCGCTCTCGCATACTTGTCGGTACTTAGATTGAGGGCGTCTCGTGTCTTTTTCTTGGCCTTTCTCTCCTTCCGACGCAGAGACTGCTTTTCAGCAGGAGTGAGTTCGCTTCTAGCGCGGAGAGTGGATGAAGAAGGCGCAAAGACCTCTTCAGGGGCAAGCATCGTGCTGACAGACTGAGTGGTTGGCAATGCAGACTCCATTGTGGCAGTAGACACGTTTGAAACCGTGGATATTGTAGCTTTCGGCTTATGAAAAATGGGAAGTTAGTGGAGTACGTAGACAGCGATGAGCATAAACATACCTGTTTCGGGGTAAAATGAGTGTTGCACAGAGCATCTAACTTGTAGCTGATGCTCTCCCAGAGCCTTTCTATTTCTTCATGCTCTTTTTTGAGCTTTCCATCACGATCATCCCCTTTGACACCGTCTGTTTGAGCGGCGACGTACTCATCCTCATATATCTGAGCCAAAGATTGCGTCGACTTCGTATCCTTCAAATCGAAGAAGCGAGAAGGAAGGAATGGTTTATCATCTAGAGGACGAATTCGTACAACGTCGTCGAACCGATTTTCGAGGATTCTGGCTTTGATTCGCTCTTCCAAGCTCTTGACGACCTCTTCGGTAATCACTGGAATTGCTTTCATCACCCGGTCGAACTCTAAGTCTTCTTCTAGTAGGGAATTCTGAGGTCTTGAACGTGAATCTGCTTCTCCCATGAGAACCCAATCCTTAGGCCCAACATTCTCCGTCTCGAGCTCTAATATTTGTCTTTTAAGAGCAGCCATTCGCTTTTCGTGAGTCGAAAGATCTTTGGAACGGATTAGTAACTAAAATGAAAACATTTGACAGGAATTTGCCTTTTTGTGGTTCTTCGTGTTCATCATCTGCAAACAAGTCGTCCTTTACCCGAGATATTGCGTCTCTCTGATGATCTGCAAAATGTTCTGAGCCGTCACCATCGTCCTCATCCTCCACCCCCATATCGGCATCTTCGTCCTCCGACGAACCGTCACCGGCCCATGCAATGTTTTCTTCCTCTTCTTCTTCTTCCTCCTCCTCCTCTTCCTCATCATCACCATACAGACCTGACAGTGGCAAATTCTTTCCTTGAGCCTTGATCTTCTTGACACGGACTTCATCACGAAACCGCACTGTTGTTGGCTTCAAAGGTTGTTTGGATTGCTTAGGTGGTTTGAAAAAGTCATTATAGTACAGCACTGAAAATCGATAGTAGTTAGCAAGTAAACACTGGAATATGGAAAGTTCTCATACTGTTACTATTATTTTCCGAATCCGAATCCTCCCCCTCTTGGAGATCGATAGGAGCAAACAGGTCTACCTCTTCTTCCGCGTATTCTTGATTCTCGTCATCAAGAATACCAGATGAAGCATTCTTGGCTTCGAATTGCTCCGTCTGAGAATTGAACGCATTCAGGTCAAAGAAACTATCGTCCAGTTCTGGGTGACCAGGACGAGCCCGCTTTCTGTTTTGAATGGAACTCTTACGAGTGATAACATCTCCCCTGTCGGATGAGGAGTCCCGCAACGCGACCTCTTCTTCGACGTTGTCATCTTCGCTGTCGATCGACCTATCGCCCTCTTCTTCTCCATCGTCGTCCAGGTCACTATCATCTTCGTCATCGTCGAATGCACCTTCGAGAACGAGCTCTTTCAAAGATTCATCCAAGCCGAGCTCAGCGAAATCAACATCCTCTCCACTTTTCATGCGTCTGATAGCTTCTTCTAATTTTTCGTCGAATTCTTCATCATCCTCCTCGTCATCCCCTTCTTCAAAGCCTGAATCTTCTTTTTCCAAGTCTTCCTCGTCAGGCTCCTTGTCCAAGATCTTATCCAAAACTTCACAGATATTGTTGGTCCGAAGATCTAGCTGAGACCAAATCTGATCATCATCCATACCCTCGATGAACAAGGAATCAACGGGCGTCGTTTTGAAAACGACTTCCAGAGAGAGAGGGTCAGGGCTTCGTTTTCGCTTCCGTGCTTGTGACCGCGTTTGCGGTGCCTCCGATGGGCTTACAGCAGCCAGGAGCGTCTCCAAATATGGTTTGCAAATGGTTTCCGATTGCACCGCTGAAGGAATACGGTTGGTGAAAAGATAGAATGATTATTGTTCATTCAACACTTACACAAATCGAAGACGAATTTAGCTGCTTGAAGAGCGGCATTTTGTGCATCGGAATTTCCTGAATAAAGGCTTTCGGGTTGTTTGTCAGCTGTCAGTGATAGTTGGTCAAGCAACGGAGCAGAAGATAGGACACTAGGCGCAGTGGACATCCTTCAACGTGAAGGCGTACTACTACTCAAATGCAGAATTTTTTTGAAAGCGCTCGATACCACGTGGAAGCTCAAGCGCTCATGAACGCCACAGTTCACACCGAAGCACCGACTCAAGCGAGATTACGCTGTACGCGTCTTTGGATCTAGCTACGATACGGAGACTTTGAAAGCATCCAGGAAGCACTTGCGCTGATTCTGCTCTCTGTCACGACCTAGGTAACGCAATTGAATTCCCAGGGTTTCTGTACCCGCCTTCTATATTTAATTCCCTGCTACGTGTCCTTCAGTTCGCCTTCAGTCTGCGGAATGAAAGTTGATCAAATTGACGAGGATCATCCTCTTGTACTCGAAATATCGAGTCTCAAGGCTGCTGTGAGCCGTTTCCAGGTACGAGATATTATTTCCTCTATTTCTCCCGAACTTAAAGTGATTGATACAGGATGAAGCTCACAGTGCATCTTTGAAGCTACAGCGCTTCTCTTTCGATGTTTCTGTGGCTCAAGATCGCGTTATAAAGCTTGAACGAGAAAACGCGCTCCTCAAAACTGAACTCGCTACTCTGCGAGCTAATCCTCATCCCGATTTATCACCCACCTCGCATCCAGCCGTGCTGCAATCGCAGGAGCTCACGCTATCCCTACGCCGGCTATCCGACAAGCTCTCCTTCACCGAACAGACCCTATTAGAGCGAACAACCGAGTTAACACATGTTGCGAGTGAATTAGCCAAGTCGAATCTCATAATTGAAGGCGCATATGCGTTGGCGGCTCGTACTAGAGGCCGGGAGGAAGATGGAAAGGTTCGTGAACGAGCATTGGAGATGAAGATCCAGGAACTGAAAGAAGAAGTCAAAATGGAGGACTTAGTGGTGAAACAGTATGCTGATCTTGTACGGTCCTTAGAAGGTAGGAACAGCTCAGTTAACGCTGAACCCACATCAATGCACAACAACAGCAGTGCTACTCTTGTAGACGGTATTTCCGAAGACAAAGTAGGCTTGCAGAAACTTTTTGCCGAGTTCTCTGCCCAATTCGAACCGCTTCAAGCCGAGGTGGAGAAGCTCAAGGGAGAGTTAGCTGTGACGAATATGCGATTAGAGGCTGAAAGGAAAGGAACCGAGGCGGATCACAAGCTTCTTGCGGCCGCCCAGAAAGAACTTCAAATACTCAAGATTGAGGACAAATCGGCTGCAGCCATGGTTTCGAGGTATATGTACGCATCGCTACCCTTACCCTTGACCCGCGGTTAGATGATATTCTGTGCACAGGAAGTTCTCTCAAGCATCGACCAACATGTTGCAGAACTCACTCAATACCCTCAAAACCCGACATTCTGCGACGATAGACACACTTTCAAATCAGCTAGCCAATCTTACCACACAGCTGCAGTCATCTCAGGCAACCTCGGACAAACTTCGCACTACTCTAGACGAGCTGGGCAAGGACATAATGCGAGAATCGTATGGACGAAGGAGGGAGATCGCACTACGACTGAAATTCGTTGTGCGCGAAGAGGCATTACAGGAAGCTCTGGGCAGATGGATCCGGAAAGGTAAAGAATTGCTCAATCAAGAACATGAACACATCTCCCGTCAATCTCTCGAGAAATTGCTTTCCGATGCTAGAGCGGTTTACGCAGTGCTTGACACCCCTTCCGCTTCAATATCACCTTTACCTCCGGTATCAGATCTCGAATATTCACCTTATTCGGCACCAACTGGCTCATTAGCTAGAATTATTGCCATAGAAGCATCGGTGAATTCACTTGCTGAAGAGTTACACCTTCAGATTTCTCGCAGACAGGAACTGGAATTAGCCGTCGCTACCAACGAGTCGCTTCCACCCGTACCGACAAAAGACAAGGCTCGTCTGGTGAATGGCTTAGCAAGGCCAGAGCGTCATTCTGTTGTGGAGGATTCCGACACTTCCGCACTCAATTCCGATGTCGGTCCTTACAAAGATCGGCAGCACTCAGAAGTGGTAGATGCTCATGAAGATTTCCCTTCTGAAATCGCACTTGAAGTCATTCCTTCACCATCTTCCGACTATAATGAGATACCTGATACCTCCACCAAGGAGGATCAGTTGATCACAGTAACAGAAGTCCAGTCCGTCGCACTGCCAGATATATCGGAAAACATTGATTCTGATTCGGCAGGCAAATATGAGCTTCCTGCCAACCCTCATGTGCCAACTACTCCTCCCTTCTTGGCGGAAGAGACCTCCAATATCTCAGCCTCATCTGACTTCGCGCAGGATATGGTGAAGCCCGATTCCGGAGTTGTCGCGTCACAATCGCTCATAGCGGAGCTCAATCATGTCAGTCATCGCTACGACGACTTGCAGCGAGCGTTCCGAGACTGTCATTTAGCGTTGCAAGAACTCAGGAAGACGTTGTCGTCCACGATAATTTCAGACAATGTCACCGGAACATCGATACACACCGTTAACGGAATCTCATCCCAAATCTATCAAGCTGCCATTGAGCGTTTAGATAATTACAATGAAGACGCAAGAGTTGAGCTGGAGATAAGGGCTGCCGACGAGGCTTTGCTTGCACAAGGTTACCAAACAATGTTGTCCGTATCTGAATCTCACGATCTATCGAATGTTTCTTCGTCGAATCCATCATATGCATTGGCGCATTCATTATCTCAGGACCTCCACCAAGACTTAGAGCCCTCAGCAGGCGAACTGGAAGCCCAGATACGTGGCTTCATTTCTGGTGCAGATCTGAATATTCAACGCGCTCGGCAAAGTCTTTCTCGAAAACTCGCGGATGTCCAGAACGACATAGCGGTTCTCAAGCGCGCAATGCATGATCCCGACGCATTCGGGCTTCCTTCGCCTGCAACAGCCCCCATTGAGGATGGCACGAATAATGGTCTTAACGGAAATTCTGGCTGGACGTCATGGATACGAGGGACATCCGCTCGACCTGCTAGTCCTTCGCCGGCACAGACATTTGGTCATGTCATGACTAACCCTAGGTTAAAACATTCATCTTCTTTCCACCAAGACCTAGCTCCGAGAAGGCGCGGATCAGTCACAACCTCACAACAAATGCATCCGTTCGCGAATTTGGATTTACGCGTTTCAATGCCAGCTTTATCGTCTCCCTTGTCTTCGGCAAGGTCGGCGGTCTTCTCCCCGCCTGGATTAGATTGGAATGGGCCCAGAACAAGAACGGTCTCAACAATGAACATGCTCGGACTGGGTACAGCAAGATCTGGTACTGGAGGAAGTTCCCGCCCACAAGCATCTTCAACCTCCGAGGAAGAAGGAAAGGAGGATTCAGATGATGATGTAGAGTGATACTAGCAGCGTCAGATCGTATATACTTTTACCTATGTGCCGCTAGCTTACAATACTTTCAGGAATACGAGAATATTACATATCACAATTCGGTCAATGTCATTGTCCTGTCATGTCTAGACATGTAGTTGAAGCCACGTGAACCTCTCAAATCCCGCTGCCAGTCACAACAGTACTAGTGACGGCTCACCCATTCCAAGTCCAGTAGCATCAATCGTGACCTGATGCAGCGTTACCCTACACTCTCATGGACACCTCCAAGTCAGGCCATTGGGAATCTCGGATACCGACTCTGGACAAGCTTGGGGTCAAAGACCTTGGACAAATTGATGAATTGAAGATCGCACAGGATTGGTTTCAGGTATTCTCGTCGTATGTCACAGCTGGAAACGTGGAAGAAATCGTTGGTCTCTTCTGTGATGATTCTTTGTGGCGTGACTTGCTTGCGTTGACCTGGAATATGAGGACCTTCGATGGATCTTCCAAAATCAGGACTTTCCTGAGAGATCGAATTCCACACGTCCATATGCAAGGCTTCAAGCTCAAAGAGTTTGTGCGCCTACAGAAACCTTTCCCCGACTTGACCTGGATTGTCGGAATGTTCGAGTTCGAAACTGGCACTGGGATGTGTTCTGGCGTTTTCCGCCTCGTTCCAACAGCTGAAGGTCCCTGGAAGGCGTACACAATTTTCACGGTACTTGAATCCCTCAAGGGCTTCCCGGAAAAGATTGGAGCACTTCGTGACCCTTCTGCTCTCACTGGACGGCAGTGGAGGGAGAAGCGGGATCGTGAGATTGCCGTTGAAGACGGTGACCCTGCGGTGCTCATCGTCGGGGGTGGGCAGAGCGCCCTTCAGCTTGCCGCCCGTCTCAAGTTCCTTGACATCCCCTCGCTAATAATAGAGAAAGATGCCCGTGTCGGGGATGTATGGCGCAACCGGTATGATGCATTGTCACTGCATTTTCCTGTTTGTAAGTTCTGTGGTGTTTATCAATATCACTTTCCTGACGTTCTTACCAGGGAATGACCATATGCCCTATATTCCGTAAGTCCAAGAATAATTGGATATCCTTTACTAACCACTCACTATCTAGATTTCCTCCCACTTGGCCATTGTATACACCATCATTGAAGGTCTGTTACGCCTTTGTTCCGTTTACAGATTGCTCATACCCGGGGATAAGATGGCCGATTGGCTCGAGAGCTATGCGACAACACTGGAGCTCAATATCTGGACCTCGTCTACTGTCATTGGGGCAACCCAGGACACTGACAACAAATGGAGGGTTCGTGTGCATCGGGATAATGGCAGTGAACGTGTATTTAGAGTGAACCATCTCAGTGGGTCATATCGACTTTGCTAGCAATTCTCAAAACTAACTAATGCTTCAGTTATCGCTACTGGGCTTGGCGACGGTATTCCTACCATACCCAACATACCGAACTCTGTGAACGGAACTTTCTTACCGTGACCTGCAGAAACTGACTTCAATACTTAGGCACTGTTCGAGGGAGTAGTCGAACACTCAGCACGGTATAGAAGAGCTTCTGATTACCAGGGAAAGAAGGTCATCGTCATTGGAGCAGGCAATGCAGGTGAGATAATGCTCGACATTGGCAGAATCGTGCATATTCTGACTTCATAGAAGGTCATGACGTTGCGTCTGATTTGGCCAGAGCTGGCAACGGTAAGATGTCTTTTAAAGATTCTGGTGTCCATATCGATCATATAGTTTTCAATCAGATGTGACTATGTTTCAAAGAAGCTCAACCTTTGTCATGAATCTCGACAAAGGGTGGAAGTTCATTGGTGGCGGTATGTGTACAACTCTATTTTCTCTTTGTATTATCCACTGAACTCTCCCATAGCATTGTATAGTGAAGACGGTCCACCGGTTGACATAGCTGATCGGTTATCGCAGTCATTGCCCCATCTTCTGCTTGAAGGCGGAATGGCGCAGCGTACGGCACAAGCGATAGTGGATGACCAGAAGTCAGACATTCCTCTGTGTAAGATTCTCGAAATTAACGAGTGTCATTAGAGAACACCTGGATAAGTTGATGAAATCTGGATTCCGCATCAACAAAGGAATCAAAGATGCAGGTGTGCTCCTTCAGTTGAAGGAGAAATCAGGTGGCCATTATTTTGGTAAGAGACTCTATCATGATTGAGCTATATTGAAATGTTGCTCATGATGATCAAGATACTGGAGGGAGCCAGCTCATAATTGACGGAAAGATCAAAGTGAAGAATGACAGTCAGATCAAATCGTACTATCCAGGAGGACTGGAGTTCGAAGATGGCAGCAAGGTCGAAGCCGACGTGATCATCTGTGCCACTGGGTGAGTATTGTGGTCATCCGACAGCATACAATCCACGTTGAATACTTTCACAGTGTTGGTGATATGCGTAACTCAATCCATCGAATATGCGGCGAAGAAGTCGGAAATTCATTCCCCCCGCTTCTCGGTGTAAACGCAGAAGGCGAGCTGAATTTTTCCATTGCCCTTCCCCGTCCTGGACTACGGATGATGGTCGGTAAGTGCCATCAAAATTTATACATGGTGTTCTGTAATAAATCTGGAATTTTCGCATAAAGGCTCCTTGCAGTTGAATCGTTTCTACTCCAAGTTAGTGGCCTTGCGTGAGTGTTCTCTTTATAGAGGATTTCACAATTTCAACGATGTTTCGGTAACAGAAATTCAAGGCATTGAGAGAAAGATCATCGATTGGGATTCGCGTTACTAACGGTAGTCATTGGGTAGAAGACCTTGTATTATCACTTACGGATGAATGAAGATACATAGTATTAGAACCGATTATCAATTAACGGAGGATGATTTAGAGGGAACATGCGTACGAACAACGTTATTTTACTCATTATGTACTTTGACTACAAAGTGGAAGCTTGCCAGGGGGACTGGCAAGCAACACTGAATAAAGACTCACGAGATCAGGCGAGTAAACAGGCTGCTGTTACAGGCAAGTAATCTCGATTGAGAGAGAGAGAGAAAGATATGTGAGAGATGATGGTGGTACCAAGTCAAGTGTCGAGGATGTAGGTACTCTATACATATAGTCAGGAGTAAGACTAGTAGGAGACGCGTCGGTATGAATGTAGGAAACACGTGGTCGTGCTTCTACAAAGTGTCGACTCAGAGGTAAAAGAAATCGTTTTTATTTTCCGAAAAAAGATCATTTCACAGGAATTCCCGTCTCGGCGCAGAATTTTACCGCAATTTTCCTCGAATCCTGAAGGAACTCTATATTGGGTCACGAATGTGAACGAAGAGCACGGCTCAAAACTTTCGTGAAGGGTTCTGCAGGGTTCTGCCGCCTGCGCATCTTTCATAATCGGCCGACCGTCTTCAAACACCCTGTTTCAACTACTTTCCTCTATACTTGTACATTACCATCCCTAGTTGCTATACACTCAGATACTTTCTGAGGAGATGGTTGACCAGAAAAAGAACAAGACAGTACAAAAGCAATATAATTCAATCACGTAACAAAGTTCCGTACCAGCCCCGTACCCGACCATTGTTCTTTCTTTTGTTTACAATTCGGTCCCCAAATTCCTCCAAATACATTGTAGGCGACTATTTAAGACTATGGATGTTTTCAAGAATCCATATCCTCCTGCCTTTTCTCTTATTTCTGTCTGCTTTCGCGACATTTTTTTTCTATTTTCACGACCATTAGAATAAGCCCGCAAGTCGAGCCTTCACAATCCAATCCTTACGACCTTCATTCTTCACATCGGAAATCATGATTGCAGGCCTCTCTAAAGCCATTACCCTCTACCTGGCACCTGTGTTGTCCCTCACGGCCATTTTGTTATCCTTGTTTGCGTTCCTTGCGCCCGTGGTTATGCTTAACGACCGCGTTTCGCTGCTGACCGTCTCTCCATCGACTGTTTTAACTCAGACTAATGGTCCGAGTGTCGATGGTGCTAGCGTATTTCTTGGAGCTCTTGGTATGTGGTTCGCGTCGTTGAAGCGTCTTTTATTTGAATAATATAACTTCCACTAGGCTCTTGTTCAAGATCGGACAATGCTGCTCTTATTAACTGTACAGCACCATCGCTGTCACCTGTATATGGTGTGTAGCTTTTGGTTCCCGAGATACGGAGATGTTTGACTTTCGCGAACAGACCTTTCTGTCCTTCCTTCGAACGCCCCGCAACTTACTCTCACTGCCCCTCCATCGAGCTCTCCTGCGTTCATCGCAGTCTCCTTGGCTTTCTCCATTGTGTTTTTCATTACATTTACCATGATTTCATTACGACACAAAATGGGTGCAAAGCTTGGTGCCGTGTTCGAGAAGCCTGCAATCCAACGATTCTCTGCTTGGATCGGATTTTTTGGATTTTTCATTGGTCTCACAGCCTTCCTTATCCTTAGGATGCTGATGGGAAAATCGGTTGACGATTTCAACAATGGCATTGTATCTTTGGGCTCAGGAGGTCCCCAACTAGTCGCCAGCAGCGGTAACGGTTTCACAAGTGAGTACTTTGCTTAACTGATCCTTGAATAAAGCCTGATTATGTACCTTTAGTGATCTGGGTGGCATACGCGTTCTATGCGGTCCCCGTCATTGCGTCCATGGCCAAAATCAACGTTACACAGACAAAAGCTTGAGCGGTGATTTGCTAGATGCATTCACCTCTCTGCAATCATGACTTTTCATTACTCTTTCTTGGGACTTACAACGGACCTGATTTATTTGTAGAAGCGGTATGTATATCCAGACCATAATATTTGTACTTAGCAAGCAATCACTACGTCGGCAGTCGCTAATAACGGCTGGGATTTACAAAGGGAAATCTGAGTCAAAACTTTGATTTCCCATCTGTGCTTTTGATGTATTGATCTTCCGGCAATGACTTGATTTCTCGGCTCATCATTGATAATCTTTCCCATAGATAATTAATAATCTTTCCCATAGATAATTGATAATCTTTCCCGTAGATAATTGATAATCTTTCCCATTGATGATTGATGATCTTTCACATCTGAACAAAATTTTATTTCCCGGTTCGCGAAAGTGAATGCCCGACTTCTGAGCCACTGCAAATACTAGTCTGAGGGTATCATGCAATCAAAAAATTAAAGAGCAGGACACTGTGCTAGCCGTGATATGCCCTTACAGTCACAGTCACTCCGTTTATTTTGCTCGTCCTATTCTCCGAGGTGCCTTGCTGGATCAAACCCACGTTAGCGGTGATGATTTCCTTTGCAGTTTAGACAACGTTCTCCTTCGATGGTTATAACTAGATTTTTTCTGTGTCACCATTTCCTATCGTAAATTTCTAAACCAACGCGACAAATTCTTACTCTCGCACTGTGGCAGGTTCCTCTTCACTGAATTTTGTAAGGAGATACCGCCTCTCAATAGTTCTGGACAGTGGCTCAAAAGTCGGGCATTTACTTTTGCGAACCGGGAAATAAAATTTTGTTCAGATGTGAAAGATCATCAATCATCAATGGGAAAGATTATCAATTATCTACGGGAAAGATTATCAATTATCTATGGGAAAGATTATTAATCATCTATGAGAAAGATTATTAATTATCTATGGGAAAGATTATCAATGATGAGCCGAGAAATCAAGTCATTGCCGGAAGATCAATACATCAAAAGCACAGATGGGAAATCAAAGTTTTGACTCAGATTTCCCTTTGTAAATCCCAGCCGTTATTAGCGACTGCCGACGTAGTGAATGGAGATACTTCAAAGATTCTTCATGGACAAATTGGACAGTCTCATGTTTTCATCACTGTACAGCACCCTCTGCAAATCTTCAAGGGATGTGCATCAATGAAGTTACGAAGGTAGTAACTTAGCAAGGACAAAAGCGTAAACAAAACTCGAAAGCCAACACTATAGATACAACAGATTCTAGTCATACAAGAAGTCCTTTGCAGATATAAGCAGAGACACGTAGTTAGATGTTTCCTATACCGTCGAAGAAATATATAGCACCATCCCCGTCGCCACTGTCAAGAGAAAATTCAGCAACTCAAAACTGGTTGCAAGAAAATAAAAAGAACCCACACGACAAGTTCATGTTCGCTTTGAAAGCGATCACCAATAGCAAAATATCCCACATCGGCATTAACTTGAGCAATAATTCTACCTTGTTCTGTGATGCGGGGTGCCCAATGAGGCTGCCAAAGCCGAACACAGCCTGGTGTAGCACTATGAGCAACATCATCCATTCGCAGAGTTAATACACAAACCATCTGGCCCGCCGGTCACCAAGCCTAAACGATTTTGGTGTAAAATCCTCCATTCCATGTGAGTTATCCCATAGGATTCATTTCCAGGAGAGACAAGAGAAGAGCCATCGTGTGCAAAGTCGTAGAGTACCTCATCCATAAAACGCGAGTCGTACAGAAGAGTACTACCATTCAGTCTCCCGATCGCAAGATAAATGCCATCTGGGCTAAATGATGCACACTTGACTTCCGATGACTCCAATTCGATCTGGTGGGTAACCTCTGCTTGGTGTCGGCCATCCCTGCGCCGTACGTCGTATATCCGGAGGGTTCTTTGATAGTCGGATTGATTTTCATTCTCAACCATGCCGTCGTCATTCTTCTTGACAGTGACAATCGCAACCCTTTCGCCTGAAAAAATAAGTAATCATTAAATCATCGATGATGAGAATAAAGTGACACTGACCGAAATCATCCACTGCCATAGCATCCCCGTCTTCATCGAGGTCAAATTGGAAGGACTCTGCTCTTCGAGACGCATCGAATGCCTTGTGATACCCAACACCTGAATCGTCCCCACAAGACTCCGATGATGCAAATAGCAGCGAATCGGTAAGTCCACATCCCCATTTTAGAGATCCAGCTCGAATCCCTTCTCGAAGCGTCAAAGTTAGCTCATAAGAATCCCAACCCAGCCTCTCAGAGTGCAGAAGAACCTGGCTATGCATAACGAGGTCAGATATTACGAAGGTTCAGAAGGAAACGAACATACCGGCCGGAGACAGCAAACATCCCTCCGCCAGGCTTCACAGCAATGTCAATTGGTTGTAAACCAGGTGTCTTCTTATATCCGCGACCTGGACACAAAATTGTGGGACAAAAGGTATCTACAGCCCCAAGCAAGTACTTACGTGAAGATGAAGGGAATTGAGAATATGATCCATCTGCTGACTGCTGCCACATTTTGAGTTTGTAATCATTGCCAGTGGTGACCACTATGTGGTCTTTTGTCTGATCATAATCGTCGCCGTGTTGCATCGTTGGACATATCGCTACATCGTTCACTGTGTAGTGCTTCGGAAACGGCGCTGGAAGCCAGTTAGAGAATGTTCATGACATAAAGTAGCTGCATACATTGTCGAGAGTGACCATCTAGAACGTGATGTTCTGAATCTTTCCATGCAATAAATGTTCCTGGGCGATTATAAGAATTTTCGGTCTCTAAGGGCTCAAAAATGAGATAGACGGTTTGAATAAGGTGAGTGAGTGAGCTTACCCCCAGGTTCATCAGGATAGCCTCCAACAACGGAGCTAGCAACGAATGTGTAATTTTTATGTTGCACTATCTTGTTGATCGCTGTGAGAAGACCTATCAGCAGATTCAAAGCATAAGCACGCTAATACTTGCCGCCTGCCGACGTTTTGAAGGTAGATGGAGCAGGAGATCGCATTCGATTCAGACGAGCGAGAGAGTCTGCATCCACAAGACGAAAGGAGTCGAAAGGTCGCTTTGCCCTGCCTTTACTACGCCGGAGCAATTCAATTGTCTGAAATGGCTCATGAGGAATGAACTAAACATATGCAACAAATACATACAAGTTGAAGCGAATGAAGTTTGTTGGAATTTGCCGCAATGTTAACCGCTTGTGAGCGCCCAGTACTATAGTGGATATGGTCGCGAGAAGATGAGAAACGAGGAGGATCATCTATATGCAGGTTGTCGAAATTTGGCAATAATTCTTCTTGCGCCATCGATTTAGGGACGAAAGGCTTCCACTAGCATTTGTATGAGAACAGAAAACAAGAGGGGAAGGCAGTGAACGCACAATACGATGGTCATCTAAAGATGGGGCAGCTTGATGGTACATTTCCTCCTCTTCTAATTCTTGCTCTTCTCGACTTCGATCTTGATCCTTCTCATCATCAGTACTATCATATGAAACATCTTGACCTATATCCATATCTTCATGATCAACTGCGGCTGCGAATCCTACCCCGTCAGATGGGTCTATATTATGATCACACAGTGCATTGGATGCTAGCTGCCTGACCGTCGTTTCCAGACGACTGGACGAAGCCACTATTTCGGAAAAGATAGAGACAGTGTTTGACGTCTTTCTCTTCTTCTAGTGTGAGTATGAGGACATCAGAAACAGAATTTCTTCTAATCCGTGAATTCGTACTTTGGGAGGTGGAGGTGGCAGATAATCTTCAATTATTTCGATACCATCGTCTTCTACTATCTCAATAATATCATCGTCTGAGTCGATATTGATTGGGGTTTGGGAGGGTGTAGGCAGGTGGTGTGTGTGCGAAAAATTTCTCCTGGAGGTTGAACTGTGCTATTGGAAGCGGTCAGATAGTAAAGAGGTTAATCCAAGGAACATACCTCGCGTCTAGGATCTATCCTCAACTGAGATGCAGGATAACGAGGATGAGTTCTGCGTGAAGTAATGAAGCCTCCAACAGCATTACCGACCTTAGTGACCACTTACTGAATTGGCTCGGATACGCAAAATCCATCTGTCTCAATGGTTGGCTTGCGAGTCTGGATCTGTTCTAATTCTCTCTGGCGAGCTTCTTCTAGCCTCCTCTTCTGTTTCCTAGAGCTATTTGGTAGAGCTGTTCTCGAGAACAAGTCTTCAAAGTACATGCCAATATGTGAATTGCTGGGATAGAAGGGTTGCATCACGCGTGTCAGAAGAATCGATATTTAGACGCGCTACTACATAATATTTATTTGCTTCAAGCGTAATCAGCAGTGTACATCATGAATTGCAGAATGGAAAGCAGTACATATAAAGCGCGGTAGATACATCAGAAAGCCTCGTACTCTGGCTGCTGGGCCTGGTAGGTAGCCGCCTCAGCAGGAGCGTAGGCTTCTTCTTCCTGTTGTACTGGAGGAGCAACAAGGACCGCAGGCCGTTGTTCAGATGTCGGTTCCGAAACGATTTTGTCAATCGGGGGCTCAAGGATCACCACTGAGTCAGGAAGAGGTTTACGAGGACCGATGTTGCCATCAGGGTCCGAGCCCTTCATGCTGAAAAATCAAGAATCAGGATGAAAAGAAATAATGTTGCCCGACAAATTGCACATACATTTTAACCTTGATACCGAGCACACCCTGCTTAAGCAGGACGTGACGAACGGCAGAATCAACAAAGTCAACAGCTGGTTGACCTGAGTGGATCATGAAACCATCTGTGAATTTCATGGATTTTGCACGAGCAGCACGGATCTTCCCAGAGACGATAACTTCACAACCTTTGGCGTTGGACTCCATGACGAAACGGAGAACACCATAGCATGCACTGCAGACGGTTTTCTTGAGTTATTTTGCGAAAAAATTATCTTCCAAATCATTTACGCACCGACGGACAGCAAGACCACCGAGCAGCTTGTATCTCAAGCTCTCGCACTGTGCGATGGCAGAGAGACCACGGTATTGAACTTTCTCAGCGTAAAGCTCGAGAGAGTTCTCGGGGAACTTGAAACGTTTTTGAACGAGAGAAGTCAGCTCACGAATGCGGCGTCCTTTCTCTCCAAGAACCTCCTGCGTGTGTGTAGCACGGATGATAATCTAGCATGACGATTATGAGAATCTTCTTGTTCAAGGTCGACTATATTCTGCCTCACCTCGGTACGGGCGTGAGTGACGCGGACATCACAGCCAGAATAACCCTCCTCAGCAAGCTCACGGGTAAAGAACTCGTTGAGTTCAGCACGGAAGACACCATCGGCAACAAACTTTCTCTTTTTGCTGATCTGGGCGGCCATTTTTGTGGTGGTTGTTTGAAGTCTTGTAAAGAGAAGATCTTAACCACCAAATCGATACAGATGATAAGTATTACCTTGCTGAGCTGGTGAGTGCTTGGTGAGCGTGAGAAACAACTGTAAGCCACAACTTGGAACGCAACTGGCAACTCTGAACCCTAACCCCACAATTTCTCTCTGATCTTTCACATCTTTCCTGCCGTAGTCGGAAGGCTCGAAGAAACCTCAAGTTTTATCCGGCGATCCCAAGCAACCAGGTTGCTAGCTCAAAAGACCACCGTCCCAGATGTCGGTGGCGTCGAAAAACCCGTTTGCTCTTCTCGATGAAGGTACATATCGATTTGTTGTGGTACAGATGAATCAGGAAAAATCTAACTTGTAATCGTTCAGGCGCGGAATCCCGCCCTTCTTCGCCCGCTCCTGCCACCAAAGCGCCTGCTCCCCCTGCGCCTGCGCCTGCAAGGGATAACAAAAGATCGACCCAGAAAGGTCCCCGTGGTGGTCAAGTAAGTTTACGCTTTGTTCCTGCCGATGTGGGAAAAGAATCCAACGATCTCCCTCACATGTTGCAGTATTACCCGCGCGGCGGTGCTAAAGGCTCTGGTGCTCGTGGTGATGGTAATCCCAACCAGAATGGCGTCGAAGAGGCTGAATCTGCCCCAAAGAAGTGTAAGATCATCATTGCGGTGCTTTCAATATTTGATCTCGATCTCATCTCTCGTACCCAGTCGACGGTAGTCGTGGCCGCGGACGTGGCGGAAGAGGTCGCGGAGGAGCACGCGGAGGCCGCCCTGATCGTCACTCCCAGACCGGCAAAACGTACGCTGGTTCTCCGATCTTTCTCCTACTTTGATTTGACGATTTTGATAGTGACAGTGAGAAGAAGATTCACCAAGGATGGGGAGGCGACGAGGGTAAATCCGAGCTGCAGGTCGAGACTGAAGCTACTGTCGACGCCGCGGCCGAACAAGCTGGCGCCGATGCATGGGGTGCCACAGGCGGCAATGCTTCGGCGTGGGATACCCCCGCCGGTGAGGCTGCACCCGTTGCTGCCACTGAGGACAAGCCTGAGCGTGAAAACCGTCGCAGGGAGGAGGAAGAGGAAGACAACACGTTGACCTTCGATCAGTACCTCGCTCAGAAGAAAGAGAATGACGCTCTCCCCAAGCCCCAGGTTCGTCAGGCTAATGAGGGCGCTGACGGTGACATCTGGAAGGATTCTGTCGCCCTCCAGAAAGATGAAGATGCCTACTTCGTTGGCAAGGTGAATTTTTAACCTCTCAATATTCATCCGATTGCATTTTTACCTGTTCTTGTGATCCAGAACAAGACTACTGCTCCCAAAACCCGAGTCAAGAAGGAGGATAAGGTTTTCATTGAGATTGAGGCACGATTTGACCGTCCTTCTCGTGGTGGCAGAGGTCGTGGTGATGGACGAGGAGGTAGAGGTCGTGGTGAAGGTCGTGGTGAGGGGAGACGTGGAGGTGCGCGCGGTGGACGTCAAAACAATGGTCCCACCCCTGCTACCATCAACGTTGATGATGAAGCCGCCTTCCCGTCCTTGTCTTGAGAGTCTTCGTATCTCTAGGACGTGCTTTGGCTTCCTGGACCAAAAGAATCAATGATAAAAAGCGTAAAACATTACACAAATTGTTTTGTTTCTCCCAAGCTGTCGCTTTGTGCTCTTCCTGGTATCTATGTTTTATGTCCTGTCAGAGTTGCATGTCTAACCATATCTTTTCTTGTTACTTATGATTTGCTGAATGTTTTCCTTCCAATGTCTTTTGCTTGAGGAATGTGTCTCGCATTTTATTACTTGATCTCAACGAAATCTGTGGCATTGTTCTTAAAAATCAAGTACACATGTGCATGTAACTGTAAGTACTAGGAAAACAGAAATGTACGAAGTTGCATGCAGATCCAGGACAACGGAACACATTGAAATGAAGAATGAAGAGCATGACACTCATTCTTAGTTTGTACTGAAATAGGCTGAGATAGAGGTGGTACCGTCACACTTGGTCACAACTGCACAGTCAAATTACCTAAGCGCGTTTTTGATATTAAGTCCGCTTCGTTGTTCCGACTTTTTCAACGCAATTTCCACAGGCAAGTTCCCTCTTCTTGATTCTACGAAGAGGAAAAAGCTTATTATTTTTTTTTTTCGGTTGCAGTCACTCAAAAGCATCTCGACGATGACCTGCTCGCCTTTCGGGGACATGGTGCAGATCCAGGACCTTGAGACCGTCATATCTGGCTGGAGAATGAATCCCACAATGGGACTTGGGTGCGGTGGATCCGTGTCAATTCTTCGCAATTGGCCCATGGATTTCATCGCAGTGTCTCGTTGTACAAATGTATGGAACACAAATCAACTGTAGTTTATCTCGGTAGAACTCAAATTTAATCTTCACATGGATATGCAACACATGACTTGAGTCCCTGAATACCGATATCCGTCTTTCTCTCCCTTCCTTCATGTCAAGAAGGCTGACCATATCTTCTCTTCTCTGTGACGACAACAACGACAGCTCAGAGCCTCGAATCGTCCCAGAACCAGTCGTCCTTGCCCCTCATCTTCGACGGTCCCCTCAGCGTGTCGAAGGAGACTCGACGAGAAGTTCATCGCAGTCGACAGCGAGCTCGAGTAGTAAAATTGGCCTGGATGCCCTGGTTCATGCAGCTTCAGCCGTAGCTGCTGCTGAGGAACGGTCTAGGCTGCCAGCACTGAGCCCGTCGTCTTGGTCAGCAGAGAGTCATTATACTCAGAGTCCCAGCTACACATACTCTCAAGAACATCTCCAACGACATCAGCAGCAGCTTGAACAAAGGCACGTTCATCGGGAACAAATTTTAGGGTACAATGAGCATCACCGACCTGGACGGAAATCTGACCCTTTGCCCGGTCCTGGTATGCGGAACATCCTCAGTCCTTCCGTGTCCACATCGGATCCTTTTCAACCTTCGTCTACTAGACCTTTAGCTCCTCGATTTCCCCACGAGGCTGACGAGCACTTGAACAAGAAAAGGAGGTACTCCCAGGAGGACTCTATGGTTGATCTACAGCGAGAAAATCAGGCGAGGGAATATGAGCGTCTCAGGCAGCAGGAAGATACGGACCGATATCGGCGAATGGAAGAGGATCGGGAACGGGAACTTCATCACAGAACATTACAACAGGAAACAACCGACGATATGGATCGTACCCGGCACAGAATGACCGTCAATAATCCGCCATCCAGATCTTCCCTATCCGTTATCACTAGTCCCACCGTTGCTTCTATTACCACCAGTCCTCTTCTTCCTTCCCGCAGAGCTGGAGCTGGTTATGACCCCGTCCATGAAAACGATCATCATGCAAGGTACAATGTACCACGCACTTCGTCTCATTGGGATCGAATACAGAGCCCGTCGCAGTTTCCTTCTGCACAACATGTTCAACGGTCTCGGCCACCCATGGAAATGATCGAAATGACCGAACGAGAATCGGAGGTGCTAGTTGAGGATGGGAGGGTCAGTACGGCGAAGCGGACATGGAATGGTCATGTAAGTCGTGCTCCAGCGTTCAAATTTACTGCGTCTGATCGGCGACACAGAAAGAGTTTCCTTCTCATGCACCTTATAATCTCGTCTCTCAAGAATCACAACCTCGGACTCATGCTCAGTCCATTCCCTCATCTTATCGTGATTCGTATCCCGCGACGCTATCCCCCATCATCAGTCAGGAACGACCACAATCACGGTCTGATACCCCCATTCATCCTGTCTTTCCTCGTGAAATACTTTCTCCTACCTCCGCGGCTAGTGGTAGATCTCCGCACTTTCAACACGATATCATACATAGCTCGGAGAGTCCCAGTACTTTACATGTTCAACACATTCAACGTGATCCGCCCCTCCCTGTGTCATTGGCTGCACCTCAGCATAATGCCCGAGAGTCGCAATCGCTCGCTCTTTCCCATACACATCCACAACATCCACAACATCCACATATTCCTCACCAAGTTCGGGACCTTCCGCCGCAACATCGAGTGATTAGTCCTGTGGGCCGGCGGTCTCCTCCTGGAAGTCAAGCTGGAAGGGCCATTGCTGCAAAGAAGGTAGAACATGAGCATCAAATGCCAAGTCTGGAATCTGTCCTTCGTACAGGTACCCCTGCTAGTTCCTCGACCCATCCGATTGAAGAGGCACAAACGAAAAGAGATAATTCGATGGCTCATGTTTCAACCAAAGAGGCTGATCTCACTGTTGTAAAGGATCAGGAACCAGTGAAAAGCAAAGAAAGGGAGGTAAAGAAAAAGGAAAAGAAGTCATTGCGTACGAAAGAAGTTTCCCAGTTGGGACCCGTGGCCCTCAAACTCGAGGACGGTATCTCTCGTCCTACTCTGACTCCATCAAGTACCTCTGCACCACGTCAGATTGCGCCTCCACCTTCAGTATCTCTTACCAGTCAGACCAATCAGCAGCGGCACCAAGACGAAGATCCCCACGAATGGCTTTTGGAACATTACGCCGATGATGATGATCGCCGGAAAATTAAGCGACCCTCTAGCACATCAGTTGCCGTAATAACGAACTCCGACCCTGGAAGACATTCTACCACAAGCCCTCTCACTCGCAAACCTACCAGAAGTCCTGTCATGCCCTCTACGTCGAGCGTAAGCAAACGCGACGACGCTCAGAACGACAAGGACGGCGACGACGCTATGATGGCTCTTGAACAAGAGTTGGATGCAGAACTCGCGAAAGGCGTTGTGGATCAAAAGGGGTCAACGTATGACAACGATACGATGGATGTTGACGTGGACCTGGCTGTTGCCGAACTTGTCGACGAGACGCTCAGTATTGACGCGAGTGCTACGGTCATCATTAGTGGACGACAACATCTGACAGATGAAGAATCCAAACTTGGTATACGTGACGAAGATGGTAGCGGACGTGAGCCAGCGCACAAACCACAGCCTAATGTCGACGATAAGGCAATGGATGTCGATGTCGAGGATGAGTTGTTAAGCCTCCTCGATGATCGACCGAATTCACGCATGTCCGCCTTAGCTCAGAGTGTGGCACCCAGCGCTCCAGAGCCTCAAAGAACTTCAAAGCCCATAGTTACAGCGGCTCTTAGAATGAAACACGAAGAACCAACATCGCGTCCTTCATCTCCTCTTGCAGTGTCCACTGGATCTCCTTTCAGATCATCTAGTACGACCGGTGCGAGGCAATCGTCCGCGAAACCTTCAGAACAGGATGACAGGGCAAGTATGCCACCCCCTTCTACACCAATAGAAAAGCCTGAGGGCGCCGTTGTGGCAGCTCAAGCCAAAAAGAAAGGAAAGGTGCGTGGTAATAGTGCTCCAATAATAGTCTGAACCTCACTCTCTGTCCCTCGAACCTTTATAGCCTGGTCCCAAACCAAAAGCTAGAAACAGTGATGGTGCGATGGTGGGAGCTCCTCCGCCTAAACCTCGAGGGAAGCCTGGTCCAAAACCCAAACCTCGAGACGAATTTGGCAACATCATCCGCACACCCTCTACTTCTGCTACTCCTGCCCCTCCCACCACAACCGTCACTCAGAGTGGCCGCGCTAGCTCCTCTTCCACTCCCGCACCTACTCTAGTCAGCAGAACCGCTTCTGGTTCCGGCGCCGCGGTAGGTTCCACATCGGGTGCACGCTCACGTTCAACCTCCGCTCATCCTGCGGGATCTGTTGGACCTGAAGTGGAGGGTCAGACCAAGGAAGAAGAGAAGACCGAGGACAAGGAGGAAGAGGTAGATGATAAACTCTATTGCCTTTGCAAGACGAAGTATGACGAGGATAAACCGATGATTGCTTGTGATTCGTGAGTCTACCATTAGTACCAGTATTCGGCCCGACCTGATTCATTCACACTCTAGTTGCGACGAGTGGTACCATATGAAATGCGTAAAAATTCCTGAACACATGGGAGACCTGGTGGATCAGTTCTTCTGTCCTCCATGTATCGCGAGTGAGCGTTATGTCCTTAGTCTCTTTCTGCGAGCTTTTCTCACTTAGTCGTCAGAAAATCTGTCTGCCGACCTGAAGACGACCTACAAATTGCGATGCTTGTTCGGGCTGAACTCCCTAGACCCTGGTTCCACAAAAGCTTGCCACAAACCTGCTCGTGCTTTCTCCAAGTATTGCTCCGACGAATGTGGGGTGAAGAATCTCCGAAAGCGAATTGATACCTTCACGAAGAAAGGTGGGAAAAAGGAGGATCTTTGGGACAGTGTGAAAACTGCCTCGAAACGGGAAGGTTTAGTCAGAGTTATCTCGCCATCTCCAGCAATGCAGGTTGACGGTGTGGGTACTGACATCCTGAAGCCTGTTATAAAGGAGGTGAAGCCGACGAAAACCAAGCAAGAGCGCGAAATAGATCGCTTGAGTGGTCTCCTGGCAGATATTGAAAGAATTAGGGATGAGCTTCATCGAGACATGGACATCATCTTGTCGCGAGAAAAATTATTGCAGCTTGCCACTGATCGCTCGGAAAATCTTGGGCAATGTGGCTGGGATCAGAGATTATGCTTCTCAGATGGAGATTGGGCGGATTACGGCGAGGGTGTGTTGGAGAGCTATACCGAGCAGGATGGTTCCGCTGAGGCGGAGTGGTGGTGCCCTGGCGATCAGGAATGCGAGCGTCATGCTGGGTAAGTTCGCCCTGACTATTCGATCTTCCCAGCTTGAACTGCCTTTCGTTTCCCTTTAGGTGGCAGAACCTTCGGGCCAAGGATTTGGACAAGGAGAAGGAGAGAAAAGAAGAAGCCCTGTTCAAGTTGACCTCGAGAGAGAGGGAGATACGCAAACGCATCGACCGAATTGAAGAACAAGATACTGGGCCTCTACTAGGCAGTGCTCCGCGTCGTGCGGGTGTCCCTCCTAAGAACAACAAGCTTAGTAATGGACACACAATAAAAACCAAAGTCAACGGCGATACCTCAAAAAAAGGCAAGAAGCGGAAGGCGCCTTCTTGATCATTTCGCAGTCATCAACAAAAACACCAAACCTATTCGTATGTATTTTATATCTTGTATTTTGAACACTTGTCACTCGACCATAATCTTATCATTCCTGAATGTGTCTTGTAGACTTCGCTTTTCTTCGTGTCGAACATCCATACCTTTCCCGTACTTTTCATTCTTGCTATGGTATACACTTAATTTCATGTATTATAGTATTCTACAACCGTGTGTAGCTACTTAGCCCTTTGTGTTAGATAAGATCGTCCATAATGGTACTAGCCTGAGGATTGTACATCGCAAACGCGTTGATATAGTACAATGTGGTACTGAATGTACGACGATCATGCTGGTAAACGATGACCAGACTCCATTATGTCCGTAAACCGTTTGTTAACTTCTAATATCCATCACCTTCACCGCCTTCCTTGCAGAATCCTTTTTGTTTATAGAGTATGTGTGATTTGGCATCGTCGTTCTGTTTCTTAAGCTCGATAGCGCTCTTGTGGAATGGTTCAAGCTCGTGGTATTCCACTTGGCGTAAAGGTATATCGTCCTCTCGGTCAAGGTCCTTGATATAAACAAGGATTGGTATGCGATAAAGTAATGCTCTTATCATCGGAGACAAACTCACAATTTCGCCCAGCAACACAACGTTTTCTCCTCTGATTAGAAACAGGCCATGCCAACTTTCTGCGAATAGGTTTTCATGATATATCCGTTCGACGGTGTCTTCTAGAACTAAATTTGCTGTGATAGAGGTGCTGTCAGCGTCATGAAGAGAATATCCAGAAGGACATACCAAATTGGTCGTAGGATCGCAGAACGCCATGCAGCTTTCTCCCATCTCGCAATATTACCAGCATCTTTCCTATTTCAATATGGAACGTTATTGAATGTTGTTTCGAAAATTGGGCGCGAGAGGATTTCGGGTGAATATGTAGATGATATACATGGAAAAGTATTGAGGGATAAGGAGGTTATGACAGTCCAAGGGAGAGCGTAAAGTTTTTAGAGACGAGTAGCGTTGAAGTATTGACTGTGGGTAGACGTACTGTCCACGCAATCCACAAGAGATCCCGACGTTGTAAAAGGTATTAGAGAATCCATGAATGAACGAGTTAATGAAAGTCTGTGTGTACAAGACGAAGCTTTAGATTTTTGATGAGCGTAGGTGGCAGTGACTTTGATTGAGATGATATTTTATCACGCCCGCTATAAGTTCGTCTAAGTACATAGAAAACTTAGGACATCTCATGCTCCAGAAAAATGAAAGCTAAGGTTATAAGTATATGCTGATGTATTCGCTACCGGAAGAAACAATCGACAACATTTTCATTTCAGGGGAAAGTTCAAAGGGTCTTCAGGGAATGCGTACATACTGTAACTGAATTATGTTTATAGTGAAGTCGGTGAGACACAGTCATGGGAACTTATGCATTATGGGTTGTGCGCAGATGAGCAGCCTCATGAAATAACTTGGTAATTGCCCAATCTGATCGCGCAGTGAGACGATCGATAGAGTCAATGCGCTACTAGCGTCGGTGGGCACGGGTTTGCACAGAAAAGAAGGTTCAGCTATGTAGAATACATTCTGCAAATTGTCAGCGAGTATAATAGAAAGAGGCAGAACGGCGTACAACGCGAAACCTATGTGATCTTATGACAATGTGTGAGTATCCTTTTTCCCTGACTTCCATATTCTATGAAGGAAAGTATAACATGTTGGACATAAATGGTGCGCGAGTTTTGGACTTCCGCATCCTGGACAGTGGACAAGATCTGGTAATAAAATATTGAAAGGATATCGACGTGACGAAAATCCCCAACTTACTGTGTTTGTCTTTCAAGCCCTTGTTTGCAGCTCGCATGGCTTTGCGGGAGTGAGAAACCTTCTTTTTCGGAACAGCCAGGAGTATACGAGGGAAAAGCTCTTCGAGGAGCGAAGCCAATGAGGGTAGCTTGAACGAGCCGCCTAGGAAAGTTGGTAGTGGGAGAAAAGCAGATAACAGAGGTCTAGAAAACGGAGCTCTGAAAGCTGGGAGGAGTATGTTTCGCGACTGTTGGAAGACCAAAGACGCCATGGTGACCGAAGAATGAAAAGTTGAGATAAGCGCCCGTGGTTTTCCATAAATCATCACCACCAACTCATCGATATCTTCTACGCATGTTTCGTCTCACGCGTCCTTTATTGCAAGTTGCAAAGACTACGACCGGAATTACTGGTCTTGCTGTGCACCCAAATCCTATTCCAACCCTTACCCAGACATACAAATCCACCCTCGAAGCTTTAGCTGCTTTACCATCCACCTCCGCTTACCGACAGGGAACAGAAGCTCTGACACTGAAGAAACTCAGCATCGTGGATGCGGCGAAAGGAGACATTGCAGCTATAGAGAAGGGGCTAGATGAAGGACAGATTGAGGAGTCGCTGTTAATTGCTTCGGACGAGCTTCAACTTGTTGGTAAAATGGCTGAATGGAAGGCGTGAGTAGCAAGTATAATTGTAGATTCGCATTTGTGCTAATCACTAGCTGCAGGTGGGAGCCTCTAGAAGAGAAACCTGAGCCAGGTCAATGGGAATACTTTGGAACAACAACATCCACATAGTATACCGTACTTTGTGACAGAGTAGTGGATACAAAGCTACAGAGTGTACATCAATGCAGCGCGCTATATGGCATTCAATGAACAATTTGTCTAACGAATCCATAAACGGGCTTGAAAAGGCTTGACTGAGAAATTGTTGTCGAGAATCTGTCCGGAAGGATCGGGTGACCAATCGGATCACTCACAATTAATCCCGAATTGCGGAGGTTTGCCCTTAAAAGCTCTGGCGCGTGTCGGTTCTTCTCTTTCCCAAGATGCTCTCACGAAATCTACTGTCGTCGTCAAGGTCCATCCGTGCAATGAGTACCCAGGTTCCTCGTGGGCTCGCCGCTGTGCTCGAAAAGAAACCTGACGATGTCGTAATTACTTTCGCAAAGAGAACAGCAACTGGTCGTGCGAAGAAAGGCCAGCTTAAGGATGTTCCCGTCGATGAGATGCTTTACCATTTGTTCAAAGTTTGTCTTCGCAGTTAACCTCATTTGTTCTTGCTTCCTGAGCCTTGGCACAGGCAACCATTTCCGGAGCAAAGATTGACCCCGCGAAAGTCGATGACATCTGTGTCGGTATGCACTGTTTAAATCAATGCCTAGCGAATGACCGAAGTTATTTAAGGGACCTGCCATCCTCCTTCACCCCTCTACCTTTCAAGAGCTGCTGCATTAGCAGCCGGTTTCCCCCATACCGTCCCGATATCAACTGTGAATCGACTATGCTCATCGGGCCTCATGTCTATCCGTAACATCGCACAAAGTATTAAATCTGGTGAGATCACGTTGGGTATCGCTGCTGGGTCCGACAGCATGAGCTTAAAGTACGTATTCATTCTCCATCAAATATTGCACTTGTGAATAAGCATTCTCCAAATCCCTCAGTGCTCGACCTACCCCGGAGATTTCTGCAGTCGTCGATGAGCACCCAGAAGCTCACGACTGTGTACAGGTGTGTACCTCTCCTCCTTTCAACAGCCGCTTCTTCTAATATCAACGTATCCTAGCCTATGGTAAATGACTCAATAGATACTTTCATCCTCGGTCTTACTAATTGTCTACGAATGCAATCAGGGATGGACCTCAGAGATGGCAAGTGATATTCATAAAGCGGCAAGTTGTCTATTTACAAAATATCAGGTCGCAGAAGTATATAAAGTTCCAAGAGAGAAACAAGACTACTACGCTCTGATCTCACACACTCGTGCGAACGAGGTAAACTTCCCTTCTTTCTAATTGGTGTCAGTACTCTATCTTCCGTTTAGGCCTCTACGAAAGGGATCTTCGCGGAAGAAATTGTCCCCATTACCGTCCGCGGAACGACTATCTCTGTTGACGACACTATCCGGCCTGGCGTGACCGCTGAAGGTCTTGCAGCGCTCAAGCCTGCTTTTCCACAGTGGAGCCCAGGTACAACGACTGCCGGGAACGCATCTGGAGTGGGAGACGGGGCAGCTGTCTGTGTCCTGACCACTCGAGCTAATGCTGAGAAGGAAGGTATGGAAATTCTAGGAAAATACGTTACCAGTGCCGTTGTTAGTGTTGAACCTAAAGTTATGGGCATTTCACCTGTCGTTGCTGTTCCAAAGGTTCTTGAGATGGCTGGACTGACGAAGGAGGATATCGATGTCTATGAGGTATGCTTATGCACTAAGGTCAAGAGCTCCCAATCATCCCATGCTTTTATGTAGATCAACGAAGCATTCGCATCGCAATTCGCCTACTGTGTGGAAGAGCTTGGGATTCCTATCGAAAAGATCAATCCCAATGGTGGTGCTATTGCCATCAGCCATCCTCTCGGAATGAGTACGCTTCATCTACTACAGGATACTCGGTGTGCTAAAGTTGTTTTTTTCCTTTAGCTGGTACCCGCCAAGTTGTAACTGGTTTAGCTGAACTGAAGCGCAAGAACAAGAAGCTATTGGTGACAAGTATGTGCGTTGGTAGTGGTATGGGAGCTGCCGGTTTGTTTGTGAACGAGGCGAGACATGGGGCCAACTTGTAGTAATCATATTTGTAGCGTGACAGAGATACACCTAGGCAAAAAATAACTGCATTAGTCTCAGCGACAATGGGCGCTTACTAACTATAATTGATTTGTTCTCCCTTCACCACCATGATCGAAACTATCTACATTGCCAGACACGGTATAGTATCTCAAACCCTTCGTATTTCAAAAACTAAGCGTCTAATCGAAAGCACAGGATTTAGACTGAACTGGGTGACCACAAACTGGTAGGTATTCATAGTACTTACATTGACACGATCTCTAAATTTACCGCTAGGGAAAGCCCGACCGGCCTACCTAAAGATGCTCCTTTGACTGCATTCGGTGTGGTAAGTCATGGAACTTGTGGCCCCGTCACCGCGAAGATCTTCACCTAGTTGTTAGGCTCAAGCTCGGGAGCTTGCTAATTACTTCAGTTCATTAGATGAAGATCAACGACCGACATTGATATTTTCATCTCCCTACTGTGAAGAGCGTTAATTTTCGCTGGATATAAATGTGCTAAATAACAGATCGTCGTAACACAAGATCGCTGTCTTCAGACTTCTCAACCCAGCGCTCAGGCGTTAGGATTACCGATCTACGTAGAGCATGGTGCGTCCATCCGCATTCGGTTTCACAACAAGCATAAAAACCACACCACCAGGAATATCTGAGTGGTATTCCCCTGTTGTACCAAACACAGGATTACACCCTCGTCCAGCCTCTGCCTCTGCTCTCAAAGCATATATCTCAGAAATAGACTCGGATGCATGGTCCTCAATCTACTACCCTACCAGAAAAGGCGAAGACGTGGACCAAATCCATGAAAGAGCCCATTCAGTCTTATCTGACCTCATCTCCGAAGTTGAGTCGCGTTTCCCAAATCACAGACGCGTGTTACTTGTAAGCCACGCTGCAACAGTGATTGCGTTAGCAAGAGATCTAGCAGGCGATAGGGAGCTGCCGTTGAGGGTAGGATGCTGTACGCTCAGTGAGTTTTCCAGGAAGGTTGGAGGAGCCGGTAGTGGTTCATGGGAGGTCAAGAAACTTGCGGAAGCCGGATTTCTGACGGGTGGTGTTCAAAGAGATTGGGGACTTGAAGATATACAGATTGCGGATGGAAAGGTCAATCTCCAATCTGGAGATGTTGTCACTACCTAACCGACAATACTTATTGATGATATCTCCAGGTTATCGAAGACCCTGGAATTCCTGGATCAGAGTTAGAAGTCGATGAACCTGTTGGATCCATGTTACGAGCTACCTCGAGCGTCGCGAGCAATCTTTAGAGAACGGTAGAAATGGTCTACTTCAGATCTAAATAGCGCATAGAAAATATACATAGTACTTAGATTGCATTTGATACAATGTCGGAAATCCCTGGAACTCCTCGGAGCTCGTCGATTTACCCATTTCGTCATCTGTAGATTCCTCCCTTCGTCCGAAACCCCCATCCTTCTTTAATTCTAGGATACTTCATTATTCTTTTACTACTTTTACTACTTCATGATCCAAACACTTTACATCGCTCGACACGGTGAATAATTCAATATCTCACTAATTACGAATTGTTGATCTTGGTAGTGCGTTCTCGACATTTGTCGCAGGTTTTCGAAGTAGCTGGACTAATGGGGACCGGTAAGGTATCACGTCCAAACGCTCTTTGTACGCTGAACTTTGTTCCAGGTCTGATCGTAATGATTCACTCTCCGAGCTCGGACTAGTCAGTTACTAGACGATGTCCCTGCATGCTCGAAACTCACCCTCAACCTCTTTCTCTTCTATTTTCCCAGAAACAAGCCCAAGATCTTGCAACCTATCTGGCGTCCCTAGCTGAGGATAAGAAACCAACAGCGATATTCTCTTCGCCTTTCCGTGAGTGTGCCTCTGCATGCAACTCAGTGCGCGAACCGAATTAGAGATTCCGCTCAGATCGTTGTCTTCAAACTAGCCAATTCACGTCCATTGCCCTTGATGTTCCGATATATGTTGATCACTGTGGGTTTCCTTCTGAATGCTTCGCCAGTCCCTACTTCGACTCATATCGTGACCAGGGATTTCGGAATGGTATTCTGACTTGACTGCCAGCAAAGCTATCAAACAACCTGAGCCACCCAGTGCAGATATCCTTCGCGTAGATTTCCCTGAGATAGATGCAGATGCTTGGTCGAGCCTGTGGTATCCTCCCTCAACTGGCGAAAACGTTTCCCAAATTACGGAAAGAATGTCAACGTTCCTTTCACGGTTCATCCCCAAAGTGGAATCAACCTTGTCTCCGGCGAAACACGAACGGATTTTACTTGTTACCCATGCAGCACCTGTGATCGCGTTGGTCCGGAACCTTCTGCATGGAACGGAGTCGAGGGTTAAGCCTGGTTGTTGTTCGATCAGCGAATTCGAGCGCAATTTGAATTCTGAGTCTGAAGAGTCAGGGTGGGTACCCATACGTATTGGAGATTGTGCTCATGTTAGTGGAGATATCAGAGAATGGGGTTTTGAGGATTATTATTAGAATCTCATGGACTTTATGCATAGTTTTGTAGTATACATACATTGTTTGACAATTTCTCTAACACATTCAACTATACTTGATTTAATACTCAAATCTGAGAACACTGCCCTCAGAATCTGATCCAAGCACAAGCATAACTGACACTTGAGTCTCTGATGGTCACGCAGGCACTACTTTGCTCATAGCGCACCCATTGAATAGTCGGATGAACTTCCTTGTTCTCCTCGAGTGTTGCCAAAACGCCGAGGAGGACGCCGATAGGATGCCTGCCACATATTGTGTTCTTCGTCCTTGAAAGATACCTAGCAAATTCGGCATGCACTTCAGATGCAGAGGAAGACGGAATGGTGAGGATATCCATTGCTTCGTGGTCTAGTCTGCTGATGGATTCATGGATCGGATGGGAGCTCAAAGGTGCGATAGCGCGAGATAGGTGGAGTGCCGGCTCACTGCTGGGCTTAGGTTCTGGGTAGTAGTAGGTATATGAGAATCGGCTTCCCCTGTTTCCTAGTTGAGTAACAGTGTATTTGCATATTCTAGAATCTCACCAATGACAGAAGTCACTAGATACGACGCAGAAAGTGTCTTCTCTGGCAAGATGGGGCGCAAGGAGCTGCCCGTAAACAACTTCCGACTGTTTTGAGATCGCGCCGACCATGATTGGTATGATGGAGATGTCCATCCTAGACCCAATGTCACTTTATCATCACCAGGGATGCCAGGAGACAGGAAAGATGCTCTTACCCTTTGAAGATCGTCCTTACATACGGTAGGTGCATTTCAAGGCTATGTTCTGCCTCGTCAGCTTCTATATCAAGGTCCTCAAATTTCCCCGTATCCCGAAGTTCATTGATAGCTGTATTCAAGGAATTCAGGAAGTATGTGAACGACGACGACAGCACGTACTTTCGAGGTCAAGCGGAAGATTTCCGACAGGCGTAGCATATTCCTTGCATCTAGATAGAGCACAGCCGTCCACATACAGGTGATGAGAGGGCCCGAGAATGAATACACGCTTGCTGGAAGAGGATCAGGGAGTATTGGTCATGGAATGTCCTGTTCCTCACATTCCAGTAGTATCTATGCTCTTATACGCCCATGCAGCAGCAGCCCCAGAGTACGAATATCCAGCATGTCTGCACAGAATAAGATCAGTCGAGAAAAATGCTTGTTGGAAGTGCTGACGAACGGGGCTATCACTGCTTTACATCCTGCTATGGGATAAGGCGGATGTACTCCTTGTACTTGAGTCAACCATCCAGAGATCTCAGTGGCCAATTCTTCGCCTGGAAAATCGCATTATAGATAAAAGTAATATCAGTTGCTCGAAGGTGTACCATCGTCGGTGTACCAGCTGCCTGCGTGAGACGCTGAGCGTAAATCTTGTCGTCTGAAAGCGAGGGTCAGTGGCGAAGATGATGAGCAGGTTCTAGCAGTATTTCTTGCTTTTCTCTACGGAACATTGTGAAAGGGAAAGCACTTGATAGTAAGTGTTGCAGTTGGTATCCGATTGCCATCATTATCAGCCGGAAGGGCTAACTAGGCAGTTCCACGAGGCTTTCAGGGAGGCTCTCAAAGATTCTGAAGAACAGGTCGGCTTGAGAAGATTTGGAGGAGCGTGGCATGGTGCATGTTCATGAATGCATACGTGTAGGATATACATGAGAAACGACTGAATTGATAAAAGCAAGCACTAGTACTCTACTCCTCTGACCGCAGACGAGCTGCAGAATTTGTCACCTTCACACCAAGCACTTTGGCACTGAAGATCGGAAAAATCAGATAAAGGAATATCGAGATAATTGCATAGACGGTGCGCACCGTTCCAGTATCGTCGTACGGTTGCGGCTGCTGACGTTGTGGGCAATCTCAGCGGCATAGCTTTTGTTGTGCATCAAAAGGAGATCGAGCTCCCTCACGTTGCTGACCAGGAATTTCTTCAGACCGTTAGGGAGGAGATGTCTCGTCTTTTGGTTGCTACCGTAACCAATCTGAGTGATAGAAAGAAAATCGTTAACTTGGGTGAACAAGAATTACAGAACATATATTACGCACCTTCGGCATGGGTGTCTGACCCTTGAAGCGACGCCTAACCCTGTTATCGATACCCTTAGGCTTTCTCCATGCCTCCTTTACGCTGTGGTAACGGTCGGACTGGTGGCGCCTGACGATATAGGAAAGGTAAGAAATCGAACAGATCTGGTTTAAGAATACACAGACTTGAAATGTTTGGTGCGCTTCTTGACGATAGGGATCTTGATGGCCATTGTTGTCTAGGAAAGATAGAAAAAAGTGTAAGTAACGAAGCAACATCAAGTCCCAAATCGTCATCCCAGTGTTGGAGACCCAATCCAGCTCGTTTTCCATCGAAATTTCACATATTTCAAGCTTTTCAGGACTTTGAGCGTGAGTTCGAGTTACAGCAACACTGGTAGCGAATCGATACAGCATTCGAGGACAATACTTACTGGTTGGCTAGCGTTTTACTGGAGCGCACTGGGTATAGAAAGTTCTTCAGACGGACGCTTAGTCAGGTCCGTTTGGCCGTAGTATCCGGCGGATGATTCCGGGATGATTCCGGGATGACTCAGACTTATTTCGCATTGGGTACCTATATAAGTGCTTACTTCTCTTCTTGCGTTGAATTTCTTACCTGAGAGAGAAATGGTGGTCATGGGAATCGGGCCAATCGTCTCGCATTGCCTCATATTCTTCGCATCGTTCTATCCAACAACAGGCTAACAGCTAAAACTGATACTTCCCAGAATTTCGAAGAGTTGACAGTCGGCGGTTGTGGATCACAAATCGAGCGATGACTCTAGCTCAGTTCGGTTCAGGTGTATTTATATATCGAAAGGGGACCCAGTATGTAGTTTCAGAAGGCGTACAATGTTTGCCTTCTTGCAAAAGTTCAAGATCTTGAAATCGCGGTGCTCCTTCGGCCGTCGGCTAATGAAGAAGAAGTGCTTCCAGTCACACGTGCGATGACCGTTTCTGCGTATATTGTGGCACTTTCTCATCTGTTGCTTTGCTTTAACGCTTTCATAATCTCTCTCTTTCTACGAGCTAGAGAGAAATTCCATGCTATCTACGCCGCAACTAGATTTGGCCTTTGACAACGATGATTGGACACCACAAATAGCACCTCGATTGTTTCGTTCTACCAGCAGTGCTAGTAGTGTTTCGAGCTGGGGCGTTACTTCCATTGGCAGAGGCTTTGAATGGGACCAGAATGATGACGAAAATTCGATTAAAAGCGCGCCACCTCAGAAATTTGAGAAAGACGACTATCGATTGGCCTTTGACTTGAACAACGACGAGGAGGAGAAACCTCGGAAGCTTTCCCCGAACAGTGCCGGAAGTTCTTCCAACATAATGCGCCCTGTAACAAACGTGACCCCGATAACGACTACCTCCGCACTTTTATCAGAACCTTTTTGCATGTCTCCATCACAATCCAGATCTACTTCACCCGTAATATACAGTCCTACGCCATCGTCTGCGCCATCTTCTTCTTCACCTAGACCAGGTTACCCTTCACGAACTCCTTCCACTCCACGGCCTAGACGGCGTTCATCCCAGCAGCGAGTTTCTCTCGTCGCGGGTCGCGTCATGATTGCCCCGCGAGATTCACCAACTCAGTCGTCTTTAGAGCCACAATCTCTCAATGGCCTCCAGCGCGCAAACAGCAACAGCAGCTTCTTGAGCGTCGCGTCCAGCACTCGAGCACCTTCGCCCACGTCCCACGAGTCTTTCCTTGGTAATCGCAAGATTTCCGAATTCGAGATCGAGGGCGAGATTGGTCGCGGGGCGTATGGATTGGTCAAGCGAGGGAGGGAAAAGCTTGAAAATGGATCGTTAGGGGTAAGATAATCCATCAACTGTATAATGTCCTTTATGCATTTGTTGAACTCTGCGATAGCCCCCACTTGTTATCAAACAGATCATCAAATCACGAATACTGGCCGACTGTTGGAAGAAGCATCCTAAATATGGCACGATTCCAATAGAGATATATGTCATGTCTGCGATCTCAAATACCTCATATGTCCTTCCAGCACGTAGACCTTGGGATCCGCTGCGATTTGCCTCTGCTGATTCGGTGGAGAACGACTGGATAGAGAAAAAAGTTGTCAGAGGTCATCCTAATATATGTCCACTCCTCGATTTTTTCGAAGATAATCATTACTATTACCTCGTTCTCCCATCGACTACTCCGGAACCCAAATTAGGCGAGGAAAGCGTTTCTTCCGATTTGTTCGACTTGGTGGAAAGTTTTCCGCAGGGACTACCGCCGAACTCTATCAGAACATATCTTGGTCAGATAGCCGACGCGCTGTGTTTCCTTCACTCGCATGGCATCGGTACGTTGCACGCCTTATCATCGATCCTTATATCCTAACTTCAACTCTTATCGGACAGTTCATCGTGATATCAAGGATGAAAATGTCGTTCTGGGTCCTCATGGGAGATGCATTTTAATTGACTTTGGGAGCTCCGGGTTGATGAAGAAGAATGGCTGGGACTCGTTCAGTGGAACGTATGTATATGTATGAATCGCTCTGGTGGGTCAAATTTCTCAACAGTCATTCAGGCTTGATTACGCTGGACCCGAAATTCTACGAGGCGAACGTTATTACGGCAAAGAGCAGGATGTCTGGGCATTCGGGGTTGTTGCTTATGTCCTGCTCGTGGGCGAATGTCCATTCATGACCGCAGAAGAGGCCCAAGATGGTTTAGAATCGCCCTTTGCTAACGCCTCGATTGCTCTGGATGAACGATGTGCAGAAGGTAAAGAGCTCGATGGGGAAGAACCCGACGGGGGTAGCGCATTGGGAGATGCGGCAGCCTTGGTGCGCGCTTGCTTGAAAGTGGAGGTGGCTGCGCGTCCGACATTTGAAAAAATTCTTCAATCGCGGTTCCTATCTGGAAATGGTGGCTGGACAAAGCATACCTAGCTCGATGATAGTCAAATCTGCTCGTACGTTTATATCCTCACTAGTTAAGCGAGGCCTCTCTGCTGACCTTATCTCAGTCTCGCTACTGTATGCTATCGATGTGCATCCGTTCAAGCAAGTCTCTCCTTGACACGTTGTAATTCTACTCACTTAATCAATCCTTATTTATCAATCCTTAACCTCTCACCGAACAGCACGTCGTATGTAGACTGTAGCACAACCTATATAGCCAGTGGAATCAATATTCTGTTCCTGAGAGTGCCGGTGGCGGTGTACCCAGCGCCGGCTAGACCGGTTACGGCCCCGTTGCTGAGTCATCAATAAACCCCAAACCCTGGTGATGAAAATTTCATCGATCAGATACGCACGCGGTATAAAAGCAAATATTTTCATCGCCCAATTGGTTTTCTTCCATCTTCTCCCTCTACCACCATCTCCCCATCACTTAAAAAGTAAGTACATCAAAAGGGTTTTCCTTTTCAACCGCCTCAATCGATCAGGCCATTTATATCTTCTCATCATCGACAAGTTGGCTTTCCGCGCTGTCGTTTTTTTTCTTTCCTTTGAACTTTTTTCCGTTCACGGATTCGTTGCGATCCCAATCAGACTCTGACATATACTTACTTTTCTCTGCAGAAATTAACCAGTAAGTAAATATCCGCCTCATCATCGGTCATTTCATTTTCAATCATCATTCGTTGATGTCCTCTTCCCACTTTTTAACATACTTCCTCTCATTCAGGCAATGGGTAAAGAGAAATCGCATGTTAACGTCGTCGGTACGCCCATTTATCTTCAATGCCTTGCTCGATAATTGCTCAGAACGATCTTCATTATTATCAGTCATCGGACACGTCGATTCTGGCAAATCTACCACCACTGGACACTTGATTTACAAGTGTGGTGGTATCGATAAGCGTACCATTGAGAAGTTTGAGAAGGAAGCTGCTGAGCTAGGCAAGGGTTCATTTAAGTATGGTGCGTGAAAAATTCCACATGGTCCGATTCTGATCAAGGCTCAAAAATATTTACAGCCTGGGTTTTGGATAAGCTAAAAGCCGAGCGTGAACGTGGTATCACTATCGATATCGCTCTATGGAAGTTCGAAACTCCCAAATACGTGGTTACTGTACGCGATCGCCTCCATTGTTTATCGTTTCCATCAACTAACTCCATGCGGGGAACAGGTGATTGATGCTCCGGGTCACCGTGACTTCATCAAGAACATGATCACAGGTACTTCCCAGGCTGATTGTGCTATCCTCATTATTGCTGGTGGTACTGGTGAGTTTGAGGCTGGTATCTCCAAGGATGGCCAGACTCGTGAACACGCTCTGCTTGCCTTCACCCTTGGTGTGCGTCAACTCATCGTCGCCGTCAACAAGATGGACACTACCAAAGTTTGTATTTTTTGCTTTGCCCCTCTTGTTCGTGAACTGCATTGCTTATGATCGCTACAATCCATCCAGTGGAGCGAGGACCGATTCAACGAAATTATCAAGGAAACTTCTACCTTTATCAAGAAGGTCGGCTACAACCCGAAGGCTGTTGCATTCGTTCCTATTTCTGGATGGCACGGTGACAACATGTTGGAGGAGTCCGTCAACATGCCCTGGTACAAGGGCTGGACCAAGGAGACCAAGGCCGGTGTTGTCAAGGGAAAGACTCTTCTCGATGCTATTGATGCTATTGAGACCCCTGTCCGTCCTTCCGACAAGCCTCTCCGTCTTCCTCTGCAGGATGTCTACAAAATCGGTGGTATCGGTACGGTGCCTGTCGGTCGTGTTGAGACCGGTATCATCAAAGCTGGAATGATCGTCACCTTTGCTCCTTCAAACGTGACCACTGAAGTCAAGTCCGTCGAAATGCACCACGAACAGCTCGAGCAGGGCACTCCTGGTGACAACGTCGGTTTCAACGTCAAGTGAGTTATTTCCAGTGTTTGAATTCCCTCAACTAAATGTTTTTTAGGAACGTCTCGGTCAAGGATATTCGTCGTGGAAACGTTGCTTCTGACTCCAAGAACGACCCCGCAAAGGAGGCCGCTTCTTTCAACGCCCAGGTCATTGTTCTCAACCACCCCGGTCAAATCGGTGCTGGCTACGCACCCGTCCTCGATTGCCACACTGCCCACATCGCATGTAAATTCGCCGAGCTCATCGAGAAGATTGACCGACGAACCGGTAAATCTATCGAGAACACCCCCAAGTTTGTCAAGTCTGGTGATGCATGCATCGTCAAGCTCATTCCTTCCAAGCCTATGGTTCGTATTGCTGTAAGGGGTTCCATTTCGAGATGCTAACCCATTCAATTAGTGTGTTGAATCGTACAACGAATACCCTCCTCTTGGTCGTTTTGCCGTCCGTGACATGAGACAAACTGTTGCTGTCGGTATCATCAAGTCCGTTGACAAGACTGACAAGTCTGGTGGTAAAGGTATTGTCGCTTTGTTGATAATAGTAATAGGCACTGCTCACGCGCGTTGTTTTTAGTGACGAAGTCGGCCGAGAAAGCTGCCAAGAAGAAGTAAATAGATGTAGAATTATTGTATTTTTCTCTCATCTCTTTCCTTTTCTCTTGTTGTCTTATCATTGGTGCTCCGCATACTGTCATTCATTCATCCTGCTGCAATGTTTTTGTATCATTTATAACGCTGCTCGTGGAGGTATTGCAACCCCTCCGCATGTTCTATTACGCTAATGTCATGACATCTTGGGAGACCATCTCAATTGTGAACTGAAGTCAGTCAAAGTCAGTTGTTCATTGACGGTGAATAAATGAATACCATTATGGACGATCACGAACGTGCGCCAATTATGCATACTTAAGTATCTGTCAATAATCATGGACGTCGTTCCTCTTCGCCCTCGCACAAGGTCATCCATTCACGATGGTCGAGCCGGTTGCCAGAATCCGCCCGTACAAGACCGAGGATGAGAAGCAAGTTCGGTTCTTGATAGCGAAAGCAGCAATGGAGGGATTGGCTTCTGCTAACATGAAAAGTGCGTTTGTTCAATATTTGGCTCTAATGTGGAACCTATCAGATATTTCCTAGCTATATTGAACCCAGTATCGCTGAGTCTCTGGGTTCTGTTGACGGCCTTCCTCATACAGTATATGGGCTGGTGGCCCAAACCAAGCGATGGGATCCTTGCATATATCAGTCTCATGCTACCGTTTGGGAGCGCAGTGGTCCCTATAATTTTGTTTTCAGATTGGTCTGTCGATTTCATATGCTATCAATACACGACGTCTCGTATTCACCACTGCATACAGGAATAACAGGTGGTACTTTGAAGATCTTTCCCAGCGCGTCCTTCGTGGGCCTGATATGGTCAATTTTCAAGAATACTACTCCAAATATCCAGCGTCGGGAATATGGATTCTTGAATTTGCGGACCGACTCATTGGCCTAATAGCCCTCGATGCATCTCTGTCCGAAAGAAATAATTCTGAACACCAAAACTCCGAGATAAAGACTGCATTGGTACGACACGTCTTCATCGACGAACCGTATCGTACGACGGGCATACAGAAAGACCTCATTGACTATGCGGTACAGAGTGCCTTCACGTCGGATCCTTCTGTTGCACAAGTCAAAGCATCGAGTTCTTCCCTTCGAGAATATGTACAGAAAGGCTTGGATGAAGCTGGATTCAAATACGAGGGCGTAACGGAGACTGCTGGACTGCTCAGGTGGAAAGTAAACGCTCGGGTTTTGACGAGGGATGATTGGAAGAAGAGACAAAATCATGCATCATAATAATGTACATACATAGTAATTTTACACGCAATTCATAATTATCTCGAAATGTAAATGTCACTTCTTTCTTACCTCGACTCACCAGGTCCAAATCAAAACCTGCTTCTCCTGCAATCTTCGATACCACAATCATCTTTACCTCTTCTCCGCCATGTTATCGCGCAGAATGCCGGACAAAAGGGGCCAGTAAAGAAATTCTTGTTTTGTTTTCTTCATCCTCCATCAAGTTTGATCAAAAATGCGGCTGAATCCAACGTACAAGTTTACGATTATCTGGATCGCATACCAGGATATAACGATGCGTGGTCAGAATCTTGTCCTGAAATTCTTAATCTTGTCGAAAACGGTAGGTGTCCAACTTAGATGAGTTATCTCCTCCACTAATGCTCGTGACATTCAGCACCTGCATCTATCCCTATTGAAGTCATAGTAGATTCAGTAGACACTGTTCTAGCAGACAATGAATCTCTATCGGGGACGTACAAATTTCTACGATCTCTTATGACTTTGATCTCTTCACGATCAAGTATGTGTTTCTCCTTACATTGCATTCATTCAAAAGTCTTTCATTTAACTTTGTGCTCATTCCTAGAAGCATCCAGACTTATTCTCCACATTTCCGCGCCTAGCAAGCTCCTCCCACTCCTCATCTCCACTGCATTCTCACCTACCCTGACCCAACTCATCGCACATCCTCCTGTTCTCTTCACACATATCACAACCGAATATATGACTCCACCGCCGCCTCTTTCATCCGATGCAAAATTTTGGGGCATATTCATTCCAATCAGTGAACGCGGACGAGATGCAGAAAATCTGGTTTTCGGACAGGGAGGCGATGGAAGTGGTGGGCAGGACGAAATGGTCGTAGAGGTGCTGGTTAGAGGCCGGAGCGACGCGTCTGGGAGGAGGAAGGCCGTCGAAAGATTTCTGGAAGGCTGGGATATTCAAAAGAATCAGCCGGTGAACTTGAGTCAGATGAGTAGTTTGGCTTCGATATATAGGAGAAAGCCCATCGTGGAAGAGGTTTGTCTGATATACTCTCAGGCTATTCAATCATTATTCAAGGTTTCGTTTTGCAGGCAGCCCCAGATCCCACTCAAAACGTATCGTTTAATCTTCACCTTACACCCTCGCAATTAGAGTCCCGAGCACGGGTACCGCTTCCTTACGTGCATGAAGGTAAAAAGCTGTAGTTTATATCCCCTTTCGTTTTTCTAACTTGCAACAGGCCTTTCTATAACTCAACCTGCACCCGGTGCCATATTGTATGACCCAGATTCAGCAGACGACATCGACGATGATGATCCAGATGAAGATCTTGATATTTGAAGTAACATATACTTGGTACAAAGAGTATTGGCTGGTCTACATATTAATACAATGTCAATGTCTGGCTATCCCCATGCATGTCCGTTTTTCATGCTTGTCGAATCTACAATACATTATGGCCAAGGGAAAAAAGAAGCTCCAGGAGAAATAAATGCAATCAAGAGGTATCTTCACGTTTTGTGCTTTCAAACCTCGCCCAAGACCCATGGTCCACCAATCCTGCAGCAAAACTAGACAACGTCGAGAGTGAACCCGTCAGTGAAAACCTGTTCTGATTTCGGTTCCTTTCGCTGCGATTGTTCTCCCGGTCCACGTCGGGCACTCTTGAAACCTGAGAAAAATTCCTAGTCATCATGCCAGTGGCGGCACTGGAATTCAAGCCATTGCTACTGCAGCCGCCAGTCGCAGGACGAGAATGCGACTGCGAGGGCGTGGAAGAGGATTTGGGTACAGCCAGGCGTACTGTACGTGTTCTGGGAGGGACGTGCGTGTCTAATCCTGGTGGAAGCGGATATATGCCAGAACGGTGGTAGACTGGTCCAATTGGGTTTGAGATACTCATGCGATTCGGAGTGGTTGCAGTCTGGCGTCGGGTTTGAGGAGACGATGAGTTCATGATAGAAGGCAATATGAGAGCGGAAGCTGGTCGAGGTCTGCGTTGTCTGACAGCGATATGTGTAGACGGACTAGATGGAGATGATGGCCTCGCCAAATGATTAGATATCGCAGAGAGTGACAAGCGTTGTCTGTTCTTGATCTCATTCAATGTCTTGGGTCTAGCGTAAGCTTCGATCTGTTGCAAAATTTCCTCAGAATTTGTTGAAGGCGAGACTGGATCTTGTACCGTGATTGCACCAGCATCGGCATTTGGAGACGGAACACGAGTAGGATGGTCGTGATTAATTAGAGAACCATCATGTGCAGTGGATGACGAATATGTCCCAGCAGTGATACTAGGACGAGGCTTCCGGAGACGAGTCTATGCATGATGTCAGATAATTTAAAGAGACAGATATAGTTATAGCAAGTCAATAACTCACAGGTTGACTAGTCGAAAGAACGGGATAAGGCATCGGTATATGCTCCTCTAAATTGAAAGAGCCGAGTTCAAGTTCCAGAGTTGGAGGAGTAGCTTGAACGGCCATGGATTGTTCACCGAGCGTGGTAGAATTATTAGCAGAAGTGATCGGTTGCATTGGCAAATGGGTACTGTGTGAATTCGTGGTCTTTTTGCTGGAGGAAATCTCTATTTCTAGACGTTCCTTCGATTTTCCCTGCAATATATGCTTTAATTTGACGCCGAACCGCCTTACTTTCGACAGAACACCGCGCTTTTGACGAGACCCGTTCGAAGTAATGATAGTTCGCCGTTCGTGACTCGGTGCCCCAACTAGTGGATCTTCGACCTCATCACGAGCTAAGGTATCCGTCGCACGGGTGAGTTCAAGACCGATAGGCTCAAGCTGAAGACCGGCAGATTCCCATGAAGACATCATTACTGCAGTAGCGTATTCGCCAGCATTAGCTTGAGGAACATCTGGGGAAGGAGGTAGTGTGACAGCCGGAGAAGGGAAATTTACCACATGGGTAACAAGAGGATTCTGAAGTCGATCCCGTAGAGAAGGCGAAGGTGAGATAGATCGAGCAACAAGAGAGATCGGAGAAGTAACGGAGGTTGTGTATGGAGAAAAACCAGGTTCAGAAGTACCAGTTAGTGAAAGAGTCCAATCCGCGTCTGGTTGTGTGTGTTCATTTGTAACACGCGGAGGAAACGGGGCGACATCAGGAATGCTATCGTCTAGATTGATGCTTCCAGGAAGCGATAAGGATGTCAACCGACGCTGGGAGGAAACTTGCAGGCCTTCAGTAGACGAGTTGAGATCTTCAGAAATCGGAGAAATGTTGACCACTGAGACATTTTGCCTCCACGCACGAGCTGGTGACGAGAATGTCGATGATCTTGGGGTAGAAGGTAAAGAAGCCGGTAATGAGGGAGAACCAAGTCGTAGAAGACCGGAATCGTCATATTCTCCATCTTCATCGGAACTAAAGCTATAAGACTGATACTCTGTTCTAATTGCAGGAGGCGTGCGATTGGATGCGGTGGGCGAGACGAAGATCATGGGTGACATGGGTGATCCTGAACGGCTTTGAGATGGCGTGAAATGAAAGGGAGGATTCGGACTTGAGGACATCTCTGAGGACCGGGACGCATCGTCTACTGATTCGTCTTCAATGACAATTTGCTGCTGCGATTGATCGACTTTGACGCGTCTGCCAGTTGTGTATACGACGTGGTTGTCAGAACTGGTTTCTGGGCTTGGAAGTTGATGTATGCGCGTTTCTGAGTTTGGTGACGCCGTCTTCCAGTGATCAGTTGTTGCGGTCATGCATTCTTCCAGTGTTAAAGTCGAAGTATTGAGCGAAGCTTTCTAAAACGCGTGAATGAGAAATGTGTTAGAGCCGGAATATTGCAGAATTACAGTCATAGCTGATATTGAGCTTCCGCTGAGTGTCTGTATGTTGTTTTTGATGAGGAACAGATCTGTGTATACGCGAATGAACGAACAAACCTGTGTGAAGTTCGTCAGTTCGGAGACTCTAGATGGCATCGAGCCAGTCGTAGTGCTTTGAGCCAGTGTTTCATCTGAGGCAAGAGATGCTGGCTGTGAAGAAGTCAGTTTTCTTTGACCGGGGGCAGTATCAAGATGCATTAAATCCGGGCCTGCAGTTAGGGTCGGATAAGTGAGCGATCTACTTCGAAGTGGTGTATGGGGCCAGGCGCCTGGCAAAGTTGGCGATGGCGAGCGAAGGATAATCGTCCCAGGTGGCATTGGAGAAGAAGCAACTTGTAAAGAAGGCGTGACTAGCGCGAAATAGTCATTCCGAAAAAGGATTGGGGTCTACCCGATTTAGCTATGTGTATCGTCTCTACTGTAAATTTAATCTAAATCCTTTATCCGGATCCAATGATTAGATTAAGATTAAATACTCCATACTTTTGGCTATCCAATCCATAGTTTAAAGGTTACCCTTGACGGCGGAATCAACACTGGTAGCAAAGTGTTCGATGTTTCCGCTGTTGAGACCGGCCATTGAGATACGACCATCCCTGGTCATGTACACGTGTGCCTTCTCCGCAAGGGCCTGAGTGTGCGCAGGGGTCAGACCGGTGAAGCTGAGGGTAGTCGTCAGTTAATTGTGATATGAACACGGTTATGGAATACTCACGAGAACATTCCAATCTGGCTTTTAATATGTCCCCATTCTCCAGGAGTCTTCAAATCGTGGGTGAGCATGTTGTATAGCTTCTCCCGCATGCTGATGATTCGGTCAGCCATGCTCTTGACTTCGGTTTCCCACTCTCCGTAAAGAGCTTCGTTAGACAGGATAGCATTGGCGATCCGAGCTCCGTGAAGAGGAGGATTGGAATACATGGGACGGATGACAATCTTTAACTGACTGTCGACACGGGCCTTTTCTTCTGGGTCGGCTGTGGTCAAAGAGAATGCACCGACACGCTCCCCATACAAACCCATATTCTTCGCGAAAGATTGAGCAAGAGCAACCTGGTGACCTTCAGCAACAAAGTGGCGGACAGCGAAAGCGTCGTTCGAAATGGAACCAGTGGCAAAGCCCTGGTAGGCCATGTCGAAGAAGGGGAAAAGGTTCTTCTCCTTGACAATGTTGGATATCTCCTGCCATTGCTCGTGGGTAGGGTCAATACCGGTAGGGTTGTGAGCACAAGCATGGAGCAAGACAATGGATTGCTCGGGGGCAGCCTAAATCTATTCAGCCGACTGTCGTGGAAGGTAGATAGAATCGCACCAATAGATCAGTCTTAAGACCTTCGAAGTCCAGTCCGACAGTCTCTTTGTTGAAGTACCTGTAACCGCGGACTTCGAGGCCGGAGTCACGGAAAATCGGAGTATGGTTACCCCATGAAGGAGTAGGGAGGTAGATTGTTTTGGCATTAGGATAATGGCGAGCAAGGAATGCGCCTCCAATGCGGAGCGCGCCGGTTCCAGAGATGGATTGCGTAACAGCAACCTAGCATGACATGAGGAACAGAGCAGGCCAGAAGGTTCGCTACACACCGCCCCTTGGGTCAAGGGAATACTGTCAGCGCCGTACGCCAGTTTAGCAGCGTTTTTCGTGAATCCCGCATGACCAGTGATGGGGAGATACTCTTTGTCGGGGTCAGAAGAAGCGACGAGTTCTTCGGCCTAAGGACAAGTCAAGTGGGTTCCAGTCATTTAGTCTGCAAATACGGACCTTTTTGACACTAGTTAAAACGTAGGGCTTGCCATGTTCATCTCTGTACGCTCCAACGCCAAGGTTAATTTTGCGCGGGTCCTTGTCTGCTTTGAAGGCCTCGGAGACACCTATAAAGAATAATCAATTTGAGAAGCAGGCCATTGAAAAAAGAGTTTAAACCTAGAATTGGGTCTGGAGGACCAGCCGGAACAGCAGACCATACAGAAAGTGCCCTGTAAGCAGTTGAGCTTACAGGTGCAGAGCGGCGTGCAAGAGATAACATGGTACAAGAGACAGAAATTTTACAAGAAGGTGGAAGACTATGTAGAAGATATAAATATTGCGGGGCAGAACGGAAGTAGACTGCTCTAGGCGGCGCTAGAACGGCCCGAGATCATCATGATCATGATAGGTCGGCCTTCAAAAAGTTCGAGTCAGTATCTTGAAGTGACCCCATAATGTCTGAAGCTGCTGAGCCCACGAATCAGCCTCCTACAGAGCAGTAAGTATTCGATCTCATCCTTCAACTCAGCATTTGACTTTGTTAGGCCCGAAGCTGAAGGCCAGAATGGTCCATCAAAAAGCGAACTGAAGAAACGAGCTAAAGCCGCAGAGAAAGAGAAGAAAGCCGCAGAGAAAGCCGCAAAGCAGCAAGAGATGGCAGCTCAGAAATCCGCTACAGAAGTTGTCAGTAAATTATTGCTTTCGATGATGTATGTACAAAACTCACGCAACCTTGCAGGATTATGCCGCAGAATTTTACGGAACACTTCCCCTTCATCAATCCCAATCGCGACCTCACCGACCTCGCGTCGACATAGCATCTCTTCCCTCTCGCGATGGGGAAACTGTTCTTCTACGTGCTCGTATACACAACTCTCGTGCTCAAGGCAGCAAGATGGTGTTTTTGAATCTCCGTCAACGCATAGAATCTGTACAAGCTTTGATGATCGTAGCACCTGAGAAGGTATCCAAACAAATGTTAAAATGGGCTGCAGGATTGGCTACAGAAAGTATCGTCCTCGTTGAAGGTGTTGTGAAAAAGTCTCCGGAGATTATCAAGAGTGCTACTGTAGGCACTGTAGAAGTCGAGGTATCAAAGGTGAGGATCCAGATCCTATCAATGCTCGCAGGAATTCTCATTTTTATGTAGCTCTTCCTTATATCTGGAGTCGAAGCTCGATTACCTTTTACGGTCGAAGATGCCGATCGTACTGAGGCTGAAATTGAGGCCTCTGGCGATCAATTCAATCGTGTCCTCCTTGACACGCGATTAAACAACCGTGTCATCGATTTACGAGTAGGTGTTTCTTCATTTCTTCTTTTCTTGACACATATCATACGATATCCTAGAGTCAAACCAACCAAGCGATTTTCAAACTTCAAGCTGCTCTCGGGGATCTTTTCCGGCAGTTCCTCCATTCAAATGGATTCATAGAAATCCACAGTCCAAAGCTGCAGGGTGCTGCCACAGAATCCGGCGCTTCCGTTTTCAAAGTTAGTTACTTCAAAGGTCAGCGATTCCCTCACTGACAGGTGTAGAGTAACAAGCTAACTGCCCTACAGGTGGTGCTTTCCTTGCACAGTCACCTCAGCTCGCGAAACAGATGGCTATCGCTGCCGATTTTGAACGTGTATACGAAATCGGTCCCGTTTTCCGCGCTGAGGATTCGAATACACATCGTCATCTCACCGAGTTCATGGGGCTCGATCTGGAAATGACAATCGAAGAACACTATCACGAAGTCATGGAAATGCTTGATGGTCTCTTTATCAGCATCTTCCATGGCCTGCGCGAAAAGTACAAAAAGGAAATTGATGTAGTCAACAAACAGTTCCCTGCCGAGGAATTTAAATGGAGAGAGGGGCCAGATGGTACACTGAAGCTCTCGTTCCGAGAAGCCGTCGACCTACTCGTCGAAGACGGTGTAGCAAGAGAAGATCTAGACGACATCAAGTTCGTCGGCCCATACTTTTAACTTTTGTGCTGATATCTAATCACAGTTCGCTAGCACCGAGAACGAAAAGCGTCTAGGCAGAATAGTTAGGGCCAAGTACGAGACTGATTACTACATCATCGACAAGTTCCCTATGGAGCTTCGCCCTTTCTACACCATGCCTGACCCGAACGACCCAGTGAGTTGCACCGTCCGTGCATGTTACCGTTTATAAGCTCACTTTCTTCAAAGACACTCTCTAATTCCTACGACTTTTTCATGCGTGGAGAAGAAATTCTTTCCGGCGCGCAACGTATACACGACCCCAAACTTCTCGAGCAGCAAATGCGGAACAAAGGGATAGACCCGGAATCCATGAAAGGTTACTTGGATGGCTTCCGATTCGGTTGTTCTCCTCATGGTGGTGGTGGCATTGGTCTGGAGCGCGTTTTGATGTTATTCTTAAAACTCAACAACATCCGCCGTGCTTCTCTGTTCCCCAGAGATCCGAAGAGGCTTGAGCCTTAACGCAAACCTTCAGACTGTGAACCGATCTAATATGTTTATGCTTTTACTAGGCGCAAAAATTAACATTCTGGCAGAGTTACAATGATTGTTGCGTGTTATCAGTAAGAAGGGGTACAGAGGGAATGCACCTTAGCACAAAACTCTACTAGGCAGACTGGGCTTTCGACTTCAGCCTTTTCAAACAAAAATCGAGCTGTGAGAGATTGCCGAGACATGGTCAGGGAAATAGACAACTAGTGATAAGGGAACTTACGACGTCGGCTTTCTTTGCATTTTTGCTCACTAGGTATGTATCAGGAGTCCCATAGTCGATGAGCTCGACGGAAGTCACGGTGTTTCCCGACAGTGTGACAAGGCCGTTCGCTTCGTGATTATCGCTGTGGAAAACAATTGGTGAATCAGTCGTTGAGTGTATCATATCTAAGCGAAAAGCCTACAGATGCAGAATATGTCGGGTGACAGCTAAAGATGCTACCCGTTCGCATTTGATCGTATTACTCTCCGCTCGCATCCGCTCCCTTATTGCGACATTGGCGTCCTGGTAGGCTTTCGTCGTGCTCAGCACGTCGCCAGATTTCTTCAACATGATAATAACTGGTACTGGGTTTCTTGCAACCAATATATCACGCAGCATTCCAGAGGCGACCAGATCGCCTACTTGATGGAGCGCTTTGACTTCTCCAAGAGCGGCCTTGTTGGTCGATTTCATGACTTTCAAGACTAAGCTGCCTTCAGGATGACCTTTATACGTCCCGCTCAATAGATACAAACCCGCGTTATATTTGCCTCTTGGGGTCAAGCGTTGACCGAGTTTGACACCCGTCAGTGTAGTCGCTTCAGGTAGATGCAGGTAAGACGCAAGTCGAGTCTGTCGATAGTTTACTTACAAAAGGCTTCCTTGTCCTCAGGCTTATTCAGGAATACATCACTGCTAATACTCGCCTCAATCCAGGTGGTCTGAATATTGTTCGTTCAGTGTTTGCGAGTAAGAAAAACGATGAGAAACTTACACCCAACAGGCCTCGAGGTACAAGAAGCGGGGCCGCATAAGCAACGAGCAGAAGCGGGCAAAGAATTAAAGCGATGGAATTGCGAAAATATTGCATGTACCACAAGGAAAGGACCTCCTATAATTTGTTTGACTTCTGGCCTGCAGAAGAATGGATTGAACGATCGGATTCCCGGGCACTGATATTCGACTCCAATATGCTCAGAGTATTTATGGGATTGGATGAATGAAGAATCATGGAATGTAAGTACGCTTGATTTGTTCTTTGACTTTGAAATTCAAATTGAACCTTTCCCGAGTCGAGTCTTACGGTCTAGGACCGGGGTACGGTTTTGTACTAGGCGGGAGGAGTTGGGATAACATAGATCAAGAACAGCCTTATGTACTCCCCCCAAGACACAGAATCAGTGGTTGAAGAGATCAAGATACAGCGAGAATTTGTCCACTGGGCCGATTCGTAACACCATATACTACTCAGATGTATGAGTTGACGATATAAATTAAATGTTCTGACCATGGTTTTACTGGGCTAACAGGACATTTCGGTGGGTTACAACGCCCTTGAACCTACAACTGGTAGAATATTAACAACGCGTCAGTCTGTGTATCCATCCATAATGGTGCCCGATCACGCAACTCGTGCATATAGCGTAGAAAGCAATTACAGACAGAAGCAACGAACGTTTCATCAAATCTGTGTTGTTCAATTTAACGAAACGTCTGTTTCTTCCTGAGGCTGACAAGTTGCGCGATCACAACCATGATTGATACTATGATGGTAAATCGGTGTTGCAATCAAGTGAAATCAAGTTGCTATGTGCCAGAAGCTCGAGACTGGCAACTAACCTTAATTAGCATGCTGAACTGCTCAAAATATGATATGAAATGCAGTCCAAAAGCTTTATATGTATGCCTATATGCTCAGGCTCGTCCGAACTTTCTCGACCGCTGTGCTCAAGCGCTCATCAGGCGTCCGGCCTATCCTATTTAATTTCCTATCTTCCGAAATCCGGACATAATCTTGCTGGATTTGGTGTTTTCAACAGCTTAAATGCGGCGGGAAGTCATCCAGTGTACATCGAAACAAAAAGGCTACATAACTATGCTACAGAAGTTCAAACCAGCAAAGCAAGGGCCTGCAGAATACAGGCCGCAACCGAGGCGTTTAATACGGCGTCACCTTCCTTATATATCACAGTATTTCCCCGATTTTACTTTCCTTTGGCCTAATCTCAGCCTACGTATGATATAATTAGAACGATAATTAGAACGAATTCTGGATTTTCCAAATTACCTTGGGTCTACTTATTGAGTTTCCTTCATCTCAGGCTCGAGACTCGGACGTTCACGCCGGCTGTTCTCTCTTGATCACTTGTTCCTCTGACTCTCAAAGCACGCAAAACAAAGCATCAACGAAATATGCAAAAGAATACTACACAATAACTTCATATGTGCAAATGAATTACTTTCTTTGCTTTTGCCCTGTTGTAGTATTTCAATTCATAAGCGCACGTCTCGATATCGACGTACTGTAAGTACTGATCTACACATAATCGTCGTTCACTTTCGTTCTCAGTCTGCACGTTGTTTCCACTGAAATAAACATTTATCGGCGTCCAAAAGTTGCTTTGACGATTCAAGAAAGGGCGATTCTCGAGGACTTATGTACTGAGGGCGTATGTTCTTCCGAGAATCTGATTTATTTATGGTGTACGCACCAGAAGAACAGAAGAGCTTCCATCTATGAGTAAATACGTAAATGAGCCATTGGCAAGACAAATGATGATCAAGAATGTCCATTGTCGATCATTTAGGCTGAGGATTCGTCTCCTAACAAGGAGCAACAAGGTTTGTGGAGCCAACCGCGGGAGCTTGAGGAATTAGATTTACATACAGTGATACTAAAGTTTTCGCGTAAGTTCCCCGTTTGGTGTACATAACGTCTTATAACGTTCAATGTAAATCCAAAATTCGCGAATGGAATCTTCCGTGTCACCCGTCACACCTTCCTACATAAGTATCATAAGGACGTTAAGAAGATTTCTTTCCTTCCTGGCTTTTTCCTGCTCATACCACTGGTAGCCTGCATCCCTTCGCATCAATATGGCGGCCTTGTTATCCAGGCCGCATCCACAAATCAGAGCGCCTCCTGATGATAGCGGTGATCCCAGCACCACAGAAGAAGGAACAGGAATACACGCGCAGTCGGGGTCGTTAGAACATAGGTTGATCGGGGTGGCGATAGTCTTAGCCCTTATACTTCTCGCATTCATCCTCTGGCTGGTTTTAGCCAAACGACCGCGACGAAAACTGAGGAGCTGGGGGTGTACATGTTTGCCAGCACCCCCAGAACGGATTGACGATGGAGAATATGCAGGGAATCGAGACGGCGGCAACAGGTCCCAAAGCTGGGTTACCTCGCATGATATGGAAACTCATCAAATGTATGAAGTTGGCTCGGAGCCGTCGTCTTTCCAAGCAAAACATATTTCACAATGGGAGGTTGAGCCGAGTAACAAAATTCAAAAGGTGCGTCAGGGTTATGAAGGGTTGAAATGAACTAATGAAATATTTGTTAGGGGAATCTGCAACCATAACACAGGCATAATTTAGTCGAGTAGCTTACCATCTTGTGTGTATGTACAATCTGTAATACCGTAGAATCATGATAATTGTCTGTTAAATAAGATGATAGATATGAATACAGTGAAATCCGGGTAAGCTGAGAAGGGAGGGGTAAGATTTCAAGACCAGTTGCCGTTCTAGAGGAGAGGAGAATAGAATGAATTTATTACAACACTTGTGAAGTTAGATACTGTGTGTAACAAATAATGTCCAATCAATTACACTTGCATGGATAGATGTGTGGGGTAGAGAAAGGTACAACACGAACCATTATATAGCTTATGCCCTGGGAGTCTGGGTTATTAACGTCTTCTGCTTCGTCGTCCGCCGGACCGTGAGCCATTCCCCTGACCCATTACGCTGGCTGGTAATGTATTTCCTTCCAGGGCAGCGGTGATAACCTCGGCGGGAAGATCAATGTGCACACCATCCGCGTAGGTAAAGGCATCCAGAGGAGAATAAGCAGGAGGATCTCGTCTCGACAGAGACTCAGAAGAATTCAATCTGTTACTATCTCCATCAGGACCATGTGAAAGCGTTTGACTACCAGAGCTGCCTGTTCGACGATGATCTGACCGTGTGAGGGCCTGCAAATGGATATCATGTGGGTTAGGTGTGACCGGAGGTGGACTCAAGGGAGAGTCAGGAGGCGGGTGTACCTGAATATAAGTTTCTGCGCCTGAGTCGGACAAGGATGTGGCCAAGTGAGTGAGGGACCGACGCATACGCCGAGGCGTGGAGAAGGGGTTAATCGCACCTGCAACATCAGGAGATGATGGCCTGGACGTAGACGCAGCTGAAGAGTAATCATCATCATCCGAGTCAAAACCATCGTGCGGACCCGGAGATGGAGGTAGATTGGTGTTAGGCGGCGCATGGAATGGCAGGTCAGTAGGTGATATGTATCTTGGAGACGTTGATACATTACTTCCGCTAGCGGGTTCCTCATCTATTGGCGTGATGGGCGGAGGTGGAGTAATAGGTTCAGCGGTTCGGAGAGGGGATGAAACGATGGGATCACCGCTGTTGGGACGAGGCCTCCTAGAGCGATGAGTTCTACGGGATGGAGTGGGAGAAGCTGTCCCTGAGGGACTGGAAGCCGAACTGTCTCTTGGGGAGCGTCTCCGACCCCCGACATCAAGTAGTATACTACCTCGTTCACTACCATACGCTGGGGGTGGGGCTAGAGTTCCCACGCTCGGAGCAAGTCCCCATTTCTTGACGTTAGCCTCAACAAAGACGAACCCTGCCTGCCCGAGATTGACATGCACACTACAAGGTCCATCTGCACCTATAGTAGGGAAAAGATTGTATCGGTTTAAACCGGTAAACGCATCTTCCATTTTTCGTCCGTTCCGAGTGAAGAATACAGTGCCTGAGCGCGGGCGATACCCAACACCCAATACATCGCCTTCCTTAAGTGGAGACCCAAAATTCTGAGCGGTGAATGGATAGTTGTGAGACTTGTCACCGTTTGAGTGGTATGCGATAGAGTAACGATTGAATCCGGGCAAACGAAATGAAGGATAAGGTTTAGTTGCCAATCCGATAGCAACATTGGTGGACTCTGGAAGATCAAACATCTTAACCTCCCAGTAGTAGACTTCGTTGAGCTTCGGTAAAGGTAAGTTAGATTGTACGCAGGACGCTGATGCCGGGTCTGGAAGAAAAGTAATTTCTGTGCGAGCGTGGACAAGCAGAGAGTTTAGAGTCTCTAGATCTGGCTCGAAAGACCAGGCAGAGACGCCCTTCTCCTGGATAGAAAGGAACTGGGACAATGTGATATCTGAAGGGAGCGAGTTGGGTAGGTATTGAGACTGGTAGTCTTTGACAAAAATCAGTCCAGTGACAATACTGAACGAGAGATACGGGCAGACCTTTCGCTCGCATGTAAGCACGACGGGAATTATCATCAGTGAGACCCTCCAGCCAACGAGCTTCTATGGTCTCAAAGCCGCCGTCGCCCTCGACAAGCTCTTCTCTGCTCATGTCAACTGGCCCATCGCTGTCCCGCAGGACGATGCCGCGTCGCCGTCGTATGAGCAAAAGACATATCAGAAAAAGAAGCAGAAGGAATAGGAAGGTAGAGAGGACAATAAGAAGAGGAAGAAGTATCAACCACGTTGATTCTTGAGGATCAATATGATTCTGGTCAACGGCCATGACTTCAGGCTGGTTGAAATGAGCGTTAGCTGAGGAATATGTCCTTGGTAATTCTGCCGGGCCGTTCAGGTGGTTTTGCCGAGAAGTATGATTGACAAAGCAAACACTTCCCACGCCTTCTTAGAGTACTTCCATGAGTAACAGTCTCCTGCCTACATCGCCTTCTATCCGCAGGGCATCTACTAGGCGTAGAGCGGGTTCCAATTTACCGCCTCTTCAGGACAGTCATCATGGTGCTCTCCAGGCCATCCGGACTTTTCTGAAGGGCCGTATATGTTATGACGCTTTTCCAATCAGTTTCCGCCTTATTGTCCTTGACACAAAACTCAGCGTCAAACGGGCTTTGCAGTGTCTTCTCATGAACAGTACGTATATATCAGTGATATCGATGATCATCTCCTAAGGATCCTCCGATTTCTCAATTTCAGGTGTTGTCTCGGCTCCTCTTTGGAACAGTGACAAATCCGAATTCGCCGGCATGCTCACAGTTCTGGATATCATACACCTCATCCAATACTATTGGCGCACGACGGCGTCTTATGATTTTGCTACTGAGGATGTTGAGACATTACGCCTAGAGAAATTGCGGGGCAAGTCGTCTTGATCTTCTGATGGGCTTTCTCCGATATCGTTCTTCTGTAGAAATTGAGATAGAACTTGGAGTCGCTCAACCTCCGCTTCTCCGCAAACATCCAGAAAATACCCTGTATGAAGCTGCCCAGGTTTTGGTACAAACTCATGCTCGGAGATTACCGCTTCTTGATTATGATTCGGACACTGGCCACGAAGTTATTGTATCTACATTAACGCAGTATCGTCTTCTCAAATTCATTTCAATCAACGTGAGTACTTCTACGCTCTTCTGTAAATACTCACAGATTAATACTCTATCCAGTGCCACCAAGAGATACAGAAGCTCAATCTTTCCCTCCGTAGACTTAAGATTGGTACTTACGTCGCCGCCTCCTCCCCAAACGATGTTCCCGAGGGTCAAAGCCCCTATCATCCTATCGCCACTGCCACATTAAATACCACCGTTTTTAGTGTTGTACATATGTTTTCCGAACTTTCAATATCTGCCGTTCCAATCGTGAATGAAGATGGGATCGTCGTCAATTTGTATGAAACCGTTGATGTTATGGTACGAGTGTTGTTTCGACAACCAAATTCATACTCACCGGGCTCGTTCATTTTACAGACGCTGGTTCGTTCTGGCTCCTACCAATCACTGGACCTTACAATATCCGAGGCTCTAAAGCAAAGATCAGTGGACTTTCCCGGTGTTGTTATCTGTACCGCATCAGATTCTCTTGGAACTCTTTTGCAATTGATAAAGAAGCGACGTGTACACCGGCTCGTTGTAGTAGAAGGAGAGGTGAATTGTCCTGCAATCGATGGCTTGGATTTCTACTCATACGATGTCTTTAGGAAGAGGAAAAGAAGGGAGGCAGAAAAGGCCGACTGCTGGGTATCATCACACTTAGTGACGTCCTGCGATATATCATGGGTGCTGGCACTATCACCGAAGCGCATGAACCTCGGCAGACGCAGACAACCTCTTCATCTGGTCCACCTTCGGAGGGACCTTCTTCCCCAACCATTCTTACCAGCCCGAGCATTTCCACAGCACCCCCCATGTCGTAGAGTCGGCTTTCTCGTTATCCTCTTCGGCCAAGCATCTATTCATGTCTTAGACTTCACATATCTGTATGCTGTATCCTTAGCTGTCATGTCGATTGTTATCGTCGTTATGTCCCTTGAAATTGCTCTAATACAGTGTTGAGCGCTACAAGGCTTCATTTTCTCGTCTCTTATCATCGATGTATTTTTCTATGTACTTACAATTGTGCATATGTAACGCATGAGTCTTGCGCTGTGTGCATCATAGCTGGATAATTGAATAATTATTAATGGAACATCTCAGTATCAATTATGGTTGTTGTATATTCATTCCTTCGCCTCATTCAAAGATGGTCTCTGAGTGGCCTTTCTTCCTTAGCTTTACCAAAACTCACGCCAAAACTATCTCTGGATCAGATATCTCAGTCGATGATGTGCTTCGAATTCTTCACGATCCTCCTGCATTAGCCGGCCTGAACGCATTGGTAACCAAATGCCAGGTTTTGGATCCCTCGAAGCCGAATCTATATACTCTGCATGATGATCTGCGTATCTTTGGTTTGTTCAAGAAGGACATTGTGTACACGGTGAACTTCTTGCCAACGAGTTGAGCACTTTTTGAATTCGGAAAGTCGAGTCAAAACTCATTAGATGGTCAACTTTTCTGCGAACATACAGGTGACGGAACAGACACAGAAGTCAAGGCTGGTCTCTGGACGACGCTCAAGGAGCAATGGAGAGTAGTGAAGAAGGGGGAAAATGGAGAGGTGACCGTTTCGGAGAAGGTGACCGTTCGAGTAAGCGGCAACACGCGTTATTTTTCACTTTCACTGACGAACTACCTTGACCTCCTTAGTGCCTCTTCCTCTTTCTACCCTTCATCCTCTTCACCATCACTGGCGCGCATTCTCGTCTACTGGAAAAATTAGAAGAAAAGGTGATAGCGGAGGCAAAAGCGCCTAGTAGCATAGCGAGGGTTGATCCAAGTTCGGTGTAATTCCACTCTGGTGAGTTCGTTCTTAACGTTTCACTCATGAATACCTATGATGAATAGTCTTCCTATCAATAGGAATAAAGCATGTTTGCATACATCGCGATACTAGTAGCGCTTGCCAGTCTTTGGTATTTTGAAACTCGAACGTCCTTCGTTTCCGCCGGAATATCAACATCGTCAAGTGTTTGGCTTTCAACCGTTTGCATGCCCATAATGATTGGCGTTTTCCTTTGGAGATACTACCATCAACATCACGGAATCAGAAAGAAAGCTTCACATAATGATCCATACGGTTTATTTCATCTATCGTTGAACAGACGATCGGGTGAAGACGAGAATGAGCCCCCGAAGACGGAATGGTTGAACATGGGATATTGGAAGGTGAACGCTGTAAAACGAATCAGGGGTTTCACCACTTGACGACGACTGGATGCAGGATACGAAAGTCTTTCCAGATGCATGCCAAGGCTAGTCAAGAAGCAATACTGAATTAACCTTACTTACATTCTACAGCTCTTGCTCTGAAGCTCATCCAGACCGCACAATGTAAAGAGGGAGGGAAGATACTTGGTATGTCAATGCGTCCCAACTAATTTGTTTCCTTCTGTCTTGATTTCCGCTGCTACGGTAGACGTCGGTCATGGCACTGGCGAATCGCTCATTATGCTCCTTACCCATACCTCCGTCCCCCGTCCTGGATATTTGTCGGGTATTACAAGCATACCTATGCATCATCAACGTTCCCTCGAACGCGTTAAATCTATCGTTGCTGCAGACACGAAAATAACACTTCATGTTGGAGACGCCGTCTATCATCAAGATGTCAGCGCCGCAAATCATCCGCTCAATCCTTCCTCCGCAGTCACCTTTGACAATATTTTAGCATTAGACTGTGCGTATCACTTTCAAAGCAGGGAAACATTCTTGCGTCAAGTGAGGCTCTGTTGTCAGATTTAATACGACGCTGTACACTTACTCAGTCCTACTCGAAAGTCATTTCATCAACTCGACCCAGGTGGACGGATTTCCCTTGCAGATATCTGTTTCGCCAATACACCACCAATGACATGGAAGGCCAGGCTCGTCCGTAGATTCTTGAAACTCATGCCCAAGGAAAATGCTATAACCATAAGCGAGTACGCGAATTGTCTGGAAAGAATAGGATACGTCGATGTGAAGGTAGAAGATATCAGCGAGGAAGTCTTTCCTGGATTCGTGGGGTTTCTCAAGCCAAGAGGTTTGGTGTGGTGGATATTTGGATCTGTACTGTATTCTTACCACGGGGCAGGAGCGCGATTCGTGATAGCTAGTGGATACCGATCTAAAGAGAGCAAGTAGTGTAGATACAGGGTAAATACGCCGTGTAACTTTGAACAAATGAAATTGTACATCTGTGGCGTCGATGGAAAGGCTTAAGTTTACGATTCTGAAGGGGCATTTCACATATGCACATGATTCGGCACATCCTCTCTTCATTTCATGACGGCCATACAATCTGTGCACATTAGTGGTCATCAGGAACGTTTGGAGCCCAAGACCCACACTGTGTACCAGATAGACATCCGAGGCAACGTTCGCTCATGGTCCATCTGGCGACGATACTCGGAATTCGATGATCTCCATGTTGAGTTGGTGAAAGGTACCGGTTCACCGCCTCCAGTTCCACTACCACCGAAACACAAGTACTCTATCTTACGATCTCATAACAATCCATCCTTACTGGAAGAGCGAAAGACGGGACTAGAGGCATACTTGCGTGCGATTATTGGTGCGAAGGAGGACAAGTGGAGAGAGGCCTTTGTTTTCAAGGAGTTCTTGGGTATTCCTGTAGGACGACAAGGCGGTGTCGTCGGAGGACCCCCGACGCAGTTCACGCTGACGTCTTGGCTCGATGAACATCAAGAACTGCAGAATCGGCTACGAGATGTCAGAGCAGACATCAACAAACGTGAAGCACTGTCTAACCAAGGCGACGTCAGCGCCTCTCACAAGTCTAATGTCAGTGCCAAACAGAAACTGGCCGGCGTTTTGTCCAGGATTGGAACATTAGGCAAGGGTTTACACGATTTGGCGATGAACGGTATGAGTGAAGGAGAATTGCAGAGACGGACGGACATGGTTGCTCGACTGCAGGATGACTGCGAGAAGCTTGGCAAGATGGTTACTGTCGCTCGGCAGTTCAACCGTTCTGGCACAGATCCTACTGCACCCTACTCTCCTGCCTCCATGAATCCTGCATCAGCTTCAGACCGAGAGGCCCTGTTAGGTCCCACAAACACGTTCACTCGTGTGACTCGGGTATTTGGCCAACCATCGAAGCCTCAGGAGACCGAAGTTACTAGACCATTAGACGATCTTGGCCTGTTTGGGCTACAGAAGACTCAAATGCAACAACAGGATGACCAGCTTTCTCAACTCACGACCATTCTCAGTCGACAGAAACAATTAGGGCATGCAATCAATTCAGAAATCAATGAACAGATAGCTGTACTGGATGGTCTCGCAAACGATGTGGATAATGTCGGAGATAAGCTTTCAAAAGCATCTAGACAAATGCATCGTTTGGGATGAGATGAGGATCCATTACGCATTGAATGACTTTTAATACAGACATTAGGACATTCTCTGTGAGATATACTTGAATTGTGTACAAATGAGTGGTGTAGCGTAGTGTAAGTACTGTCATCTAGATGTGTGATTTCATCAATGGTCGGAGAGCAGCCGTCCGACTCCCTTCAAAAAAAAGTCAGCAACGAATGGATCTCGGAACGATTAATCACAATGACATACCTCAAAACATGCAATCATAATTCCACAAGCCGGGGCAATCTTAGCTATACGCGGTGCAAGTCCAACAAAGAGTGTGCTCACACCCTCGGACTGGATGATGTGCTTCACCAGAGGGAACGTAGCCGTAATTTTAGACACGGATCCGGACATGACGAGGGCTTGCCGGCGTGTTTTGATAACATCCATTGGGGATGTTATGAGAGCGGCCGCGGAACCACTGAGGGCACCACTCACAAACGCAACCCCAGCACCTTGGTAACCGTTTCGAGCAAAATATTTTTTGAGTGTTTCGTACGTCGCCCAGTATAACCCAGAAAATGGTATATCCCGCCATAGAGTTGCGCCAAGACCTCTGTAGAGTACTGGTATTCCCTGTGCCCGGACAAGGCCACGGATTGACGAAAGAACAGAACGAAGAGTATGCGGATTATTTGGGGATGGCGGCGTTGACTGAAGATTCGTCCGTATCATTTCCAAGGGCGAAGCTATTGAAGATATGACACTTCGCGCGAGTATACCGGCCATAAGAGGGACTGCAGGTTCAGGAAGTAAGGGAGGTAATGTGACCTTTAATAAGTGGTCATACGTCAACATGTAGGATGTTGAAGATGGAACACCAATTAGTCTATACATGAGGTATTAGGAAAGAGTCACCAGGACTGAATATGGGAGCTCACAGCGTAGTACCTGCACCCTTCCAGAGACCTCGTATACCTTCCGCTCTCCAAACATGTCTTATAGCATCTGAGAAACCGTGTACGCGTTCTGCTCGGAATACTCCATTTTCCCAGACGCATACAAGTTCTTCTTCTGCTAAAGGTTGCGCCAAAGAGGACATGTTGCGGACACATGGTTTACCAGAAGGCTGACAGCATGAGTTCGGAGGCGGTCGAGGAAAAATCAAAGGTCGTTGTACCGGTTTTTGCGTTTGTAGCCGGGTCTTGACCACATCGAATGGAGTCACTATAAGACTTGTGAGGATAAATATCAATGGCTTTGAATAAGACACTCACTCGTTAAAGCAGTCATAGTCGACCCCGTGGCGGCGCCGGCAAGCTTTGCATAAGATTCATGCATGAGCGAGATGACTGGGAAAGAGGGAAAGGGTAAGACATAATTACCTCGAAGAATCCGGCCGAGAAATTCTCAATCCGGCTTCTCGGCAGAGTCAAAAACCTCATCGAATCGGAAAATGATTTCTTCACCTAATAACCTTGTAGCACCCGCCTCTCAAAATCTCCAGTTTCCACATATCTTATCTTCTCTGCTTATATCCTCGTCCTAGGATCTCACTTTCTTGACTCGGTATACAGTGTTGAGCACAAATTCTTCATCCTATCGACCGCCTTTCCCCAGCATAAATCTTCCCTACATTATCAGCGATGGTTTCTGCTCTCAACGGCCCCACCCTTGCTGCTAGTAGAGCTGCGCTCTCAGCTGCTATGGCTGATGACAATCCGAACATCTCTGATGATGCCGAATCCATCGAGCCAGGCGAAATCCAGGAGGTAAACATGGAGGCCCAAGCAGAGGGCATCCGAACAGTGTTCAGTGATCCAACTAATTTCAACGTCAAGGTGTGCAGGGTGGCCTTTTTCATCTTCCTTGAATCTAAATCTAACATATTCATTGATGCACAGCATCCTCTGTACTCTCCTTGGACTTTATGGTTTGATTCGCCCATGACCAAAAACCGTAATTTGCCACAAACTCCGATATCTGCTGTCCCACAGACACCTGGGCCTCTTCCACAAACACCTGGTGTGGCCGCTGCACAAGGTTGGATGGAGGACATTAAGCGTGTCATCAGCTTCGACAGCGTGGAAGAGTTTTGGGGGTACGCCGTGTGGTAAATTACGGTCCCATATGCTTGACTAACCAGCGGTGGATGATTTTCAGGCTTTACAATAACATTGTTCCCCCTTCAGCATTACCCCAAAAAGCAAATTATTATCTTTTCAAGGTCGGTTTGTCATGCTTTCTTTCCGGCAGTTTGTCATTGAATCACCCATTTACAGGAAGGGATCATACCTGCGTGGGAGGACGAAGCCAACAAGCACGGCGGAAAATGGAGCATTCAGCTTCCGAAAGACAAGAATAAGCCTCATGTAGACAAGATGTGGTTGTACACAGTACGTATTGAGCATGCCTGTTTGTTGCTCCATATTGCTGAGCCTATTCGACAACAGATGCTGGCCGCAATCGGAGAGACGTTTGATCCTTCCCTCACGACTTTGGATCCCTCAGGGTCTCCTCCAAACTCACTGATTACAGGCGTTATCGTCTCGACGCGCCCGCAATTTTATCGTATTTCGATATGGACTAGACTTGCCCCTGGAATGCCGGATGATGATGACGGACTCAGGGAACGAATCGAGGGTGTCGGCCGTCATTTCAAGGTGAATGTGTTAGGATACACAGAAAGTGCAAAGCTGGCAGGCCCATTAGCGACTGATGTAGAGTTCGTTTCTCACAAGGACTCTGAAAAGAAGGGGAAGTCCAAGAAAATCACGATCTGAAGTGGGGGCGTCGAGGAAGTTTAGTTGCTTATCGCTGCTTATTGCTTTTGTTACAATGCAATGCAAAGTTATGAATATTTACACGCAGTTTTTTTGTGAAAATTACAGCGGATAGCACAGCGTTGACTTTTCACGATGATGTCACTCTCTGTATAAGTATATGTCCGTGTCAAAGCTGCGGTATCGCAGCGACCCTTCCACAACTTGATCAGCTACTCCCATGCCAGTCCCAGGATTTATCTCGTCTTTCGCAGACAAAGCTCAGTCAGCTATTGCTGAACATATCCCAGGCAGTCACAAACCAAATTCTTCTGATCCCAGCGCTCAGTCAACGAATACTGCTGCGCAAGGCTCCTATGGTGGCGTTGGCCATAAGAATCCCACTCTGGAGGTCATCCAGCACCAACTTCGTACTCTTGGTCAACAATATGGGTAAGAGATTTTAGGTGATCTTCCAGATAACATTCTCACTTATCGATTGAAGTTCTGGAACAACCCCAGTTCAGAAGATAATCACTACTGCAAAGGGCGTTGCGATCGATTTAGACAGTCTTGCTCGTGATCAAAAGGCACAAAGTAAGGAACTCTACACTTGGGGTCAAGGTGAAGAAGCAGATTTGAAAGATGGTATTTGAAATCAGCCTTTGTTACTTCACACCGCTAACTTCTCTTGATTCAGTTAGTGATAGACTTGCCTACCTCAACTTCGTCTCAGGATCTTTGGCTAGCTCTTTGGCAGTAAAGCTGGATGCTGCTCGCTCACCATTAAAGCTCCTTCGTGATGCAGAGAACGCTCTTGCGCCTCGGCGCAACATCCGAGCCTCCCTACATCAGCAGCTCGCTCGTCTTGAGCACGACAATCAGAAAGGTATGGAGAAGAAGATTGCCGAACTCAAAGACCAGATCAGAAAAGCAGAATCAGACGACTTGCCTCAAGAGAAAGAAATTGAACTTCTGAAGCGAAAGGGTGTACGTGAAAGTGAACAGCTTAAATGGGAAGCTATCCGAGAAGTAAGATCTACCTTAATCGCGATCTTCTTGGTGCTGACTCATTGCTCTGTAGTACGGCGAAAAACTCGTCCTTTTATCTCAAGCGGCGTATCCTGTCATCACTGCGCTACCAACGCTTCCTCCATCTCCGGAATCCCCTTACACGGGTGCTCAGGCCACCGGTGCCGCGCGCGCTTCCCTTCAGAGAGCGCTTGATAACTACAAAACTGGGCATATTAACCTTCCACCTCAGTCGGCAGGTTCTGATCTCAGTAGATCTGACACTCGAAGTTTTGGTGAAAGTCATGCTAGCGAATTGTCAACGATTAGCTCTGAGACTACGCAATCCAATATCCCTGTGACCCCTCCTCTGTCTGCAGTCAAAACTCTTCCCGCCGCTGCGGCTGTTTCTTTCAGCAAACCGTCTACTGACTCGACTGGCCCTGTATCTTCACCAAATAAACAATCTCCTCCTCCCATCAATCCATCCGCTCTCAATCTTTCCCCTGCGCCTCTTCCTCCTTCATCGAACAATTCTAGCGCTATTTCGTCGAGTACATCGTCGATGCCTATCACGTCCCCCGACTCTGTGAAGCCAATTTCCCTTCCTACAATTAGTGACACCCCAACCATTGCAGAGACGGGTGTCCCGGTTCTCGCTAGCGAGTCTGGACCTGGCCCTGCCAGCGGTTCTCTCCGCGACGTCAAAGCTGCCTCTCCCACGGCTGGTCCTCGGAGCGGAGGTCTCCCATCCGGTGACGCTCCACTGACCAGCTTCGGTGCCATGGGTACATCTGCCACTGGGAATGATAATAAATGGGAAAGCGCCGAGGAAGAAAAGAAACGACTAGCCGCAGAGTATTCACAAGCACATTCAGGGGGGTCCGCTCCCGCACCGCATTACGAGAGTGCAGAAGAGGAGAAAAGGCGGGTTGAGCGTGAGGAGAGGGAAAAGTTGTTGAGATCTGGAGGACATGGTCCTACTGAATCTGGCGAAGGTAGATCGTCGAAGAAGGAGGACGATGACGAACTTCCTCCTTATCAGGACATGTGAAAGGCTTTCTAGATCCATCGAATGAAGGGATCATCTTGAGCTTGGTCACTCTACCATCTTCCTTATATCTTAGTTGCCAAGGACTGTCGAACGAAATCTACAAAAACCCATTTGTGCGTTGAATAAGAACTGTGACTATATACACTGTACTGTATTAATTAGAAAATAGGGTAGTTAATGCGTAAGTATGTGCAATGAAACAATTACTCTGAGAAGAATCGATGTCCATCAAGCAATTAACCCGTAAAGGACGATAAACATTGTACATTTCGAAAGCGTGGAAAGTAGATATTGGTGGAGGGGCACAACAAGAGCACAAAAGACGAAAAAAAATGTTTTTAGTGCGGTTTGCTATAATTCACGGCCCTGCGGAATACACCTCCTCAAAGGAAGAATTTACGTTGTGCGTCATACAGAGCTCTGTAGAAGTATCAGGGCCATTGAATGCATTGCTGGGGCGGTAAGGGCCGGTAATAGCACTGTCAGAAGAATTATTCGGGCGAGTGTGAGAGTGGGCGTTGTCCAAGTTGGAATAATATTCTCCTGTTTCAACAGAGGTTGCGACGTAAGGGTCCGAGAGTGTCCCGCCTTCTTGACGAAGGTAAGCGTCCCGAAGTGCAAGGAACTAGAAAGGGAGATCAGTCTAAATTCATGTTTGACTCTGAGAGAAAATACTGCGACGCACCCGCTGTTCTTCAGTTTGTGTTTTGGCGTTAAGTTTTGCTGTCGACTGTTCCATGTGCACAAGTAAAGTCTGCGAGTTGAAAATTTTGATTCAACGATGTTATCAAGGGACGTGGTGAGAATATTCACTCTGATAGAACGGCTGGTGAGCCCACGATACGAGGAGAAGCGTTCAATAGGCATAGGTTGAGCACCGACAAGCCTCAGTTGTTCGTGCAGGTACAGGACGTACTGTTCCAAACATTCGAGGTACTGTCTCTTCTTTTCATGAGAAGTGATTGCCTCACTATACGAAGGTCATCATTATATCTTCCTCTGATTGCGCGGAAGAGCACTTACGGTTCAGGAGGACGCAAGGTTGGAATTTTCAAATCACGTTTGTGAGAAGGGATGTCGGCATTTCCAGAGGGACCAGCCACCTCCACAGAGCTAGAGTCGGACATAGAGCCAGGGCTGGCACTACTAGGGTCACTACCAACGCCAAGCTCACTAAGGAGTTCACACGGAGTAGGGAAGGTTGCTTGGACAGGGGGTTCAACGCTGAAGCGGTTCATGAAGGTTTGCATTTGAGGAGGTGCAGCTGCAGAGTCGTATATTGACTTTTCTTTATGGGCATCAGGAGGAGTCCGGTTTTGGCAAGTTTGAGAAGAGATCGGCCGGTTTGCCAGATGAGGTGATGGCTGAGAATAATGAGTGCTCTCAACATCAGTGAAGAGAATGGACGAAGGTCCGGGAAGCGGTACTGGGGCATGAAGAGGCAATTGACAACCTTGAGATTGCACTGAAGGATCCTGTGGGTATGAATAGCTTTTTGACCCGCCATCCCAGTTACTCGTAGCCTGAGGCGGGGCTGGGTATTGGGGTCCGCAATAGTCATGGTCATTGAGATCGCGCTGGTTCAAGGCCTGCTGGTAATGTGGAGCCCATACGTATCCTAATCCGTAATCGCTCGTAGCAGCCTGAGCAGCCATCAAATGATTTTGGAAAGCAGAATGGCTTGATGAATACGAGCTTTCGCTGCTAGTCGGAGACTCGAGAAAGTAGTAAGGCTAGAAGAAAACTATCACACGACGTACAGGACGATTACCGATGAATTACTTACAGAGGTGGATTCGTTGTTCATAGTTTATCGTGTGGGTCCAAACGATGGTCGAAAGGCAAAAGGAAGAGCTCAATATAAACAGGTCCCAATAATTGCCGCGAAGAACCACTGGGACGAGGATTACATATAAAATAAATCAATGGCAAGTTCCTGGTGAAGAAGTCGGCGGAGAGTTAAGGGCTTAATGCAAGATTAACGATTCTAATTCGGCTGCGAAAGCAGAATCCCAGATCGATGATCAGTTTGGATACTAGTGATAAGTATTCAGGACAACTAAGCAGCTATTGACCTGAAATTTTCTGTGTGAAAAGCAATAAAAGAAATCAAAAAATCGTACGAAAAAAAGCTGAAGAGAGCCTTTTACTGAGTTCATCCAACTTCAGTTTTAGACAGAGGTACCGCGGCAGGGAAGCAAAGTTCTATCGATGGTATACGCGCTTGAATCGTGCGAGTTTTTTTTGACGGTTACTGGAGAGAAGCCTTGGCTCTTCAGCATATACCCTTCCAGAGTTGGAAAAAATCTCTTGTTTTTGCTAAGCCTCACAAAATTTTACAGGGGCATATGTCTTCTATGACTTCGTTATCACATCCATGTGCTCTGTGGGCAGTGTTCGGTTTTCGAATTGTTTCGTTCAATTTTTTTTTCTCTTTCGCTCGGAGGCGGCTTCTCTGGATCACACGAAGTTAAGAATCCCCAAGATGCTTCGAGAACTCCGGCGCCAGTCTTGAACGCTTGACATCCCGATCCTACTCTGGGACATAATTTTGATTTGTATGTCGCCGCATTGGCAGTAAGTATATAAAGTCTCACTCCCTTCATTTTCACTTCCCTCAGCTCTAACATGAACTCGTACTACCCTGACTCCAACGTTTCTATATCCAACAATCTTGTTCCTCCGTCTTGCCCTGCAATCAAGACCGAGGTTTCCCAAATTTGTCTTCCTGATGCCTCATCCCAACGCGTCGCGTCATTGGTGGCTTCTGCCAATCCGCCGCCGCTGTCATCTGACTCAAGCAGGTCTATCCAGCGTGATCCTTGTCCTCGAGGAGGCAGTAGCAGCGCCAATTCTTCGTCGTCCAGAGCTAGCATTGTACATCCCTATGCTCGCCTCTACGCCAAGAAAGAGGAAGGTAAACGTCGCAAGATATGGAATCATGCCCTCGAAAAATCCCTTTTTAATCCGTTCGAGTTGTAAGTATCATCTCTAAAAAAATCTTCAATAAGTCCATCCTCGGTTAATGACCACGACAGATCGAGCTTAGGTGCACCCCATAGAAGGACTATCTATATGGCATCCCTTGAAGCCCACGTAGACGAACTGCATGCCCAGTTGTTAAGGTCTGCAGTCTGATTGTTGGAAATGTGAAAAAAAATTAGTCCTTACGCGTATCTAGCCTCGGGTATTGGCCTGTATCTTTCGAATCATTGGAGCCATTCAAAGGCCTAAATTCAAAGACAGCAAAGGTAAATATCCAGATTCCAGAGGCACACAAATCCCGACTCTGATTCCCGAGCCTGTCTCTTTTTCTATTCGCTGATGCTACTTCTGATTTCAGAGCATGGTCGCGGGGTTGCAGTACGATTCTTCACAGACGAAATTGAGACTTTTGGAGTTGCAGAGAGCCGTAAGTGTTAATTAATCCCATTCGTCAGAAGATCCGAAATTGTTGACCACATTATCATCTAGAATGAAGGGCTCGAGCGATCGTTGATGAATCGAACATTTTCAGAGACATCAAAAAACCATGAGCTACCGTCATTGAATTTTGATTATTCTGAATATGCCGATTAGACGAAAGGGACATGCTATCACTTTTTTAGACATTGCTGCACCATATCGCTGATAGGGAGCTCGAGGAATGTTACTTACCGTTCAGGTCGGAAATTGGGTGCCGAGCGTGTCCTAGAAGTCCGTTTCCCAAAATCCATAGCGACCTCATCCTGTACTTCTGTGAATCGCATTTACCTATTCATTCGCAATTTGTCAATCTCCAATTTTGTGGTTTTTGTGGGATATTTCCGAACACAGTCTAATTTTTTTCATTCACTGAATTGGTCCAAATTTCCTTTGTGGACCATAAGTAGCCAACATGTGTTACAGTACTTTATACAAGCAACAGCAATTGATATCAGTTCATCCTCGTACCCCGCACCCCGGAAAATTTCATACAAGTTCGTTAAAGTTAAAGGAACTGTATTTGAATAGCCGCAAAGAGTTTGTTTACGAGGATCGAGGATTACTGCACAGCTGTTTGCACTAAAGCAGAAACGCACCGGATGCTGACATTGGACGCAGCCTGGCCTCAAGCCCATCTGTACCTTAAATAGAGTATGCATTGCACCGTAATAGAGAGCCATCATTAGTGGTTTGTCGAGCAAACACGGATGCAGAAAACAGGAGACTTAATATGTTCAGGCCCAAGCCGCGTATTTGACTCCTAGGGCACATCTCCGAGGAGGAGATAAGGTCGGAAAGAGTGAAAGTGTAGGCGATGGTTTGCGCAACTACTGCAGATCCGAAAAAAAACCGGGCGCAGTTGACACAAAATATCATCATTCGTTATGCAGCAGGTAAGAGATAGAGTGACGATGAGGCACTGTTGATACAGGAATAAAAAATAAGGAACATCACATATGTTTGGAGCAAGCCTCGACGGTTCCACGCGTCACAGACATAGGATTGCAGAAAATCTGTATGGCGCAACTAAATCAGACAATATGTTTGCTGCAGAAAAACTCATACTCTCACCTAGACCGCAACAGCTTATGGATTGTCATCTTCAGTCGGCGCAAACTTGTGCTTACCCAGAAGGGTTACTTGTGTCATGCCTTTCCCGCTTCCAGTGACTCCGACTCAACGAAAAGAAGGGATTTCAGAAGATGTATAGTTACATCTGGGGTATAGGGACGATGCTCACCTTTCCCTAACGGATTATCCGGCGTTTTGAATATGCTCGTCCCAGATACGCCTGCGATATGCACGCCCTTCTTCTCAGACTTTTTGGCGAACTTTTGCCATGTGGCCTGCTTATGATTCTGCTCTTTAGCCTTTGCCGCCCTCGTCTCCAGCTTCTTCTCGTTTTTCTTCTTCTTCCGCTCCTTTTCATCATCGGTTTCATGTTTCCTCTTCGTCGCGGACACCGTGCTAGTGTAGCTGACAGGGAGAGGCTTCAAGTCGGATGGCTTAGCCTGTTCCGTGGAGTTATAGCCTTTGAACATTACTGTGTATACACGGTTTTGTTCAGAGCCTGCTACGGAAGTGATTCGAGCTGGATACCAAGCCCCGTCAGCGGAGTACTTGGCCATGCATTCATCTCCTGCGGACCAAGCGAGACTTGGAATAGATGCTGTTTTGCGAGAGGACTCGACCTTTGAGGACGATCCTTCTGCTGCCTGAGCAAGCGCCGTTTGGGTAAGGGCGATTAGCTCCTGTAACTCCGCGCGAAGGGAGGCAAGTTCTGCATTAGCAGGTTCTGCTTGGAGGGCAGTGTCAACCTGAGAGAGTTGAACTTGGTATGTTTCGAGATCTGTGCGGTCCATTGAGATTAAGGAGTTCTAAATGCTGATAAGCAGAAGAGACGGGGCAGACAATGAGGGAAGAAGTAAACAACAATAAACAATGATCATGTCGAAGTTCTAATCTACAGACTACAGCTACATGACTTGTAATACCAGGTGCTTAATCCCAAGTACTATCCAGCTTGACCCGTGTATCCTGCTTCGCTTTGCTACCCTGAGCACGGCCAGCTTGCCGAGTGCTACGTTTTGAATGATATTTTCTCTGCTGTCTCGCTCGAGATTTATCTAGATTCGACTTCACAATATCTTTGACATTACGAGCAGAATGATCTGCAGCAGGAGAAATAGAACGAGACCGGGGAGGAGATCTCGAAAGATTGCGAGTGCTTTCGTGATCACTCTCGGGCGGTTCTTCGTCGGAAGCGGTTGGGGATATTGAACGATTCTGAAGCGGAGGTGGGCTGTGAACACTCTCTTTTTTTGAAGATAATTCCGGCACATCCTGCATGTCGTCTTCGCTTTCTTCTGACTCGACTTCATCAGAGGATCCGGTATCTGCCTCTTCTACTTCATCCATATACTAGTAAAATTGAATCAACGATATTGACTCCACCAAGAAACCAAGACTTACTTCCTCTAGAATCTTCATGTCTTTCCGACTAAAGCCGCTTGCCGCGACTACAACATCAAGCTGGAAATCTTCGCCTCCTTCCTCATTGGCCAGAGTACGCCGGAATTTCGGATACAATGCACTTTCATACTTGAACCGACGCCGGAAAAAGGTCTTTATGCATTCTACATCCCGATTGAAGTACCTGTGCTAGAAAAATCACTAAAAGTTACCTGGAACTGGATTCTGCCACTGACCATTCAGCGTTTTCATGAGAAGTGCTCACCATCTGAGGGAAGTCGATGACCACTGGTTCACCGGTTTCGCGTCGAATCAGGATGTTGAATTCATTGAAGTCTCCGTGTATCAAGCCTGCCCGTGCAAATCGCACTATGATATCCATTAAAGAGGAGTATAACTTGCCGGGAGAAGGAATGTCAGCTATCTGGCGACTAAGTAACCAGCGGTGCTAGTCAATACTAAGTGAAAGCTGGAAGCATAAGGGCACTGACAGTGGGTAAGCGTCGATGAACTCCATAAGAATGCAATGTCTTGCTTGGTCGACTGGCGTTGGGACGGGAAAGCCATGCTCATGCAGTACCTGAGATATGATGAGGTTATAATCCGAAGAAAATAATGAGCTATGATAACCTTCATAAAAGCCCACTCTTTCTGCGCCGCTAATCTAGACATATACATCCATGATGCTGATTTCCGTTTCCCTAGGTAATCTCGATTTTGTTTGATTGTTCGAAAAGAAATTCGTCCCAGACTGTTTATAGTTTGTATTTACTGACATGCTGAGATATCATGCCATACCGGTGTAGTTTGAGGACCATTTCCTTTCCTTCGTTGTCAGCTACGATGTGGATATCTATTCGAGTATACAGCGTCATCCCATACATGTCGATAGAGAATATGACTGACCTGACTCTTTGCCTACGCCGATTTGATTACCAACTGAATACATTGAATCCCTCTTTGATAGAGCACGCATAGCAAGAAAATCGTAACCCCCGTATGTCAGTCTGTATCCGTCGTCTGTTCAACGTTAACTGGCAGGAGCAGAACACGCTGGTAAGGCTAACTCACATCTCGAATTTTGAACCTTGGCCACAAGGTTGCGTTTCGCAAGGGATCCGATGATTTTGTTAACGCCTCCGTTTCGTAAACCAGATATTTGTGTAATCAAAGAAGTAGGGACAACTTCATGATTCTTGGAGCCCATTTCTACCTTCCGCATTCGTCAAGCAGCGCAAACCAAAAAAAAAAGATGGGAAACGTACTGCTGTAAGCACCCGAAATTCATCTCCAGTAACATATCTGAGATCTGTTGCATCGAGTTTCATCTATACTTCTGCGTTGGAGGGCCAGCAGATGAGCGAATGTCAGACTTGAAGTCGATCGTGACAAAATTCTCGAAGTTTCAGAGAGTTATGAGAACAAGATACAGTCTGACTTCAATTTGATAACTCGCATGGGCGGCTGTGACATTTTATGTAAATAATAAAGACGCCCAAACTACTGTGGCACGCCACTCACGTTCAATCTACAATATGGCTGAAGACGAAGAGAAATCGTTGTCTGAAGGGTCAGAAACTGTCATACGTGCCAACAAGGTAATTATGTTCGAGTGAAGTCGTATTATAACCCTACTGACTTCTGTCCTTTTCAGAAATCTGCGAAGCAACTCCGCGTCGCGCTTAAGTATGTCGATGGGCTGCCTACTGCGTAAGTACGCGAAGTCCAGTTCCAATTTACGAATCACTAAAATTTTCTCTAGCTATACCTGCAATTTCCGGCTTGCCAATGAGCTGTCCGAGAGTATGCGAGCGAAGATATGGGAATTAATAAACGGGAATATGAGTGAACTGTTTAGTAGTCGCGCTGTAAGTCTTGGCGTTGCGACTAACAACATTTTACAGATGCGCCAACTCTTCTCTGGGCTGGAATGCTCTCGATAAACAACAGGAACTTTTCGATCCCTTAGCCCGTTATATTATACTGAATCCTGTCGGCCAATCAGACCAGATTGCAGGATATTCTGTACTTCGCTTTGAGCACGAGGCTGAAGAGGATATTCTGTATTGGTGCGTTTGACTTTCATGCTGCTTCATTATTTTTTCTCTTGCTAATATGCAATATCGTCTAGTTATGAGCTCCAGATTAGTCCTTTGCACCAGCGGAAGGGCCTCGGTAAATTTTTAATGAAGTTACTTGAAGTGATAGGCCGAAGAACGAAGATGGAAAAGATTATGCTCACCGTATTGGACAGTAAGTTCCCAATCAAGTTCATGAAGACCGGTTCCGGAATATTATATAATTTTTAGACAACAGCGCGGCCAATGATTTCTACGCAACAATTGGGTCAGTGCGTTGTCTTCCTTGACCCACTTCGTTGACCTTGCGCACTTAGTTTCCAGCTGGATGAATGCTCACCGAGCTTTGAAGACCCAGAGAACGAAGGCGATACCGAAAAAGTCGATTATCAGATCCTATCCAAGCTACTGGCATGACGGAATCAGGCTGGAGACGAGTTTGTGGCAGTAATATGTTATCATCAGATACTCACCTGCCATCTCTAACGGCTTTGCAGACTTTTTTTGACACCGTGAATACTGGTAATATGATCTATGGTGGTCGCTTCTCTGGAACGTCTTACAGTGCAGTGGCCACATACGTACATAATTGATGTATCAGAACAGTTCTTTTGAATCTATCAGTCCCCTTTTCGTTGAACCTCGAGGATCACTCTCTGTTTGACCAGTCTCATAAGTTGACTACGTGCTGGTTTGATACTCATTCTCACACCCTCATTCGAAAAATGGAATCCCAATATATTATAGAAAAGTAAAGATCAATACTTTGAGACGAAGCCAAAATCCCAGCCTGGGTTTGAAAATCATTCAGAATAATGATTTGAAGGTCATATTGATGAGTCTAAATTGGAATTTCATGAAGTCTTTGGAGGACAGAATTATGCACACCAAGTTCGAAATTTTAGTGTAATGTTCTATCATGTTATATACAATTATATATAGGCAAGCATATAGTTATCAGATTTAAAGTCCCTGAGTAAAAGATTGTGACAGTAGAAAGCAAGCAAATCCAATAAATGAAAGTCCTTTTTATGTTTGTGATGGACCATGATGACGAGAGGACCCCCCGATTACGATTAAGGTCGTGCTGCAAGAACGGATGAGCGACAGCATAGAACGGAAGAAAGGGGAATTGATTGGCTCACCGAGTTCTTCCCTTCTGTAAAACCAGAAGTAGCCAGCGACAATGATAAGCTGACAGACGAGGCAAACCCAAAACATAGGTGAAGCCATTGGACTTCCTGAGAGCCCATTTTGAGGATCCCAGATGCCTGGATCAGGGAATACTGTGCCAGGACCTAAGGCATCTGGTGCTGTTGCCCGTGCAATCATGACTATAGCCGATCCCAATACTTGAGAAAATGCCAGCGTGACTGTAACATGCAATCGAGAAAGAGTTTGGAGGAGAATTAAACCAAGGCCGACACCCTGCACAGCGTCGAGAACACCGAGCCAGAGCCAAAGCCCCACTGCAAGATATGGTCCCCCAGCTCCAGCCCAAGGAACATAGGTTGCTATGCCCGAAGTTCCCCAGAGTATCTGTGGCGAGGGGCAAGATTCGTTGAAACTAAATTTCATTTGAAGAGCCAAACCAGCTTACCTGACACCATCTTGGGGCACCAAGTCCCACGGCAAATACAGGCAATAGCCATGTGTGTGTCTTACTAAAATGAGTTAACACGAAGAGCATAAGGGACCAGACCCCAATGAAGAACGCAAGAACAAGGAGCAAGGTTTTCCAAGTTGGGATGTCGGAGTTCCATAAGAAGTACCAATTTTGACCATAAGGCTGTAAAAGCAGCAACTTTAGAGTAGTGTAGCGATGAATTCAAGATCGACTTACGCCACTGAGCCAGTAGGTCTGTAAAACGACAGAGATAAGGAACCAAACAACAATCTTTCTACGGAAAAGTGTCTTCATGAAATTGGGAACCTTAGGGGGTGTTTGGCGGTAGTATTCTAATAACACGCAATTTAGATCCGTTCGAGGAAACATAAGCTGCAGTAGCTTACCGGGAAGGCCATACAGCATGAGATAGCAAAACAAGAAGCACATGACAGCTAGCGGCCAAACTATGACACAAATCCACCAAGGTGGAGTGTAGTTGTCGGACTCAGTGTTCAACTTGTAACCCCAGTACCAAAGAGCCGCGACCCAAATTTGTTGAGATCCCTGTACGATACATGCTCGGAGCATCCAGACCTCTGTTGCAGCACCCTAATTGAGGCATCAGCTTGTGCTACGTGTGGGATCATACGGAATACTCACCGCTTCTTCACCAAAGTTAAGACCGAAGAATAAGAAGGCAGCAGCAGAGCCAACAGCATAAAACCATGTCGCAACGTTAGATAAAATCTTATGTGATGGATTGAGGGCGGAAGAAATAGAGGGTAGTCCAATTAAGAAGAATGCAACACCGAAAAATACCCATGGTGCGGCAAGGACATAGACTGATGGTTTGAACCGGAACAATGGATACCAAACGGCAGAAGCAACCAGGAAGATACTGCCAATAATGTAGAGTTGAGCACTCGACTGCCAATTGTGCCCAGTGAGAAGTGTTATCTGGAAACTTGTCGCACATAACGTCTGTTGTAAACTAAGTTAGTAGAATGCAACATTAGAGTACTTTGTCCAGACCTGTCCAAGGGCAATGATGATCGTGTAGAGTGGCCATCCTCCAATTTCCCGAGCCATGAAAATTTGAAGACCTGTCATGGGAACTTGCTCCGGTTGAGGCAGTGTAGTTTCCCAATCAGCATGGCCGACACCATCACCCATAGGCGCTAGTAAAACGATGTGAGAAAACAGCAGATACAGGAGCAATTTACTCACAAGACGGACGAGAGTAAAGGGAAGGGTCAGGTGTTCCCCATACTGAGTCGCGTTGGGAAGAGCGCAGGCTGGCGGCGCTGTCTAATTTGTCTTTCTTCACTTTCCCGAAGAACACCTCTTCGCTCTTTGTGAGGTACTTTTCAATAGAGAGCTCATGCTCGGAATTCTTGGCATTCAGTTCTTGAAGCTTTTGGACGAAGTCCGCTGCTACACCTCCGTCGGCATCCGTAAACTTCGAAAATATTAATAAGTGAGCGGTGACGAATGGATAACGATACTTACTGATGCAATAGCTTTGTTTAGTGGAGAACTCGAGTGCTCATCGGCAACATCCGCGAGGGACGAAGCAGAAGAGTTCCGAGAATGGGAACTGAAAGGTCGAGCGGGACGCTTGAAATCTCCATTGGGGGCTTCAAGGAAGGGATCGGGAGCATTACGTTGATCACGAGCAATGATACGGTTTGCCCGGCTGAGGAAATCATCATAATCAGCAGAACTGTTGTGACTCCCATGAGATACCGAATCTCCTTCATCGCCAACAGAATTAGCGTTAAGAAGTCTAGGAGGAGCATGGGCTGGATCGTCCATGGCCAAGGAATCGGCCGAGTTATTGAGGCGGGGGCTTCCCATAGGACTAGCCAAACCGCTTTGCTGGTCCCAGGCTGGTTGGGATGGCTGAGATTGATTGACGGGATTCCAATCGTCAGTGTCCGCCATTGGACGAAGGCCTCCGGTACCACCATCACAATCACTCTCCCTCCAAGCGTCCGCGCCGGCAAGATCACGACTTGCAATAATGCTCCGTCTATGGAAATCTTCCATGCGTTGCCGCCATTCTACGACCGGGAATCGTTGCACAGCAGAGCGAGCACGTAGCAGAGCACGTTCATCTTCAGTAGACTTGAGCGCCATTTTGATTGTTTTCGTCAATTGCGACAACATATGAGCGGTCGAGCTGGATTCGACAGGGAACCACTTGATAAGGCATCTATGTGAGAAGAAATCTGACATATAATACACAGAAAACTTACCCAACCTGGCATAAGACCCAATCCACCAAGACGACTGCCCACTCCCAGAGCACCCTTACGACCAAATTCAACTGCAACCAAACCAAACGGCTCATCACGCGAAGGGATGAGGGCAAAATCAGCACCACTGAACAAGAATGGGGGAAGGGCAGTGAATTCTGGTTTGGAGTAAACACGATCAGGATAAAGTTCCATGAGACGAGCCAGCTTCTCGGCGGCGAAACGCCCATAAAGATCAATGACGGGTCCAACAGTTATAAGTTGTATTGAAGGTCGTTTCTCCAACCTTTTCACGGACACAAATTAGTAATGTCCAAGCAGAAAACTAAGAAACGTACAATGATGGCATAACATCGGCTATAAGATCGACACCCTTCTGCTTAGACCAACGACCAACGAATACGAAAAGGTCTGCGTCAGGATCCTGCTTGAGTCCTGCCCATTCTTGAGCTTGCCGTTTATGTTCGGGTCGAGCAGCCTCTGCTGACTGGTCGATTTGAACTTTCTTAGCATCAGTGGGACTTTCATCTAAAGCAGCTATATCCGTGGGATCGGGGTTGGGAAGGGAATCCACATGCTTCAGTGTCCAAAGGGCAGGATAACGAGCCCAGCTACGTTTACCATACTTGTCGGAAACACCAGCGACACCAATGCTCTTTTGATGAACACTGATGAAAGATGCGGCGGCGTGCAGTAAGTTAAAGGTGTTACCGAATTGCACGTATTTTGTACAATGCTCCTTGCTGATGTTGAACGCTGAACAGACTTCCTTCATTTCCTCTTTCGTTCGGAGAGGCCAAAGTCCTTGGAACTCAGCGTTATGTAGAGAAAGACAGACCGGAAGAACCTTGGGAAGTAGATAGATGGGGGCGAGGGCACCATGGTAGTCATTGACGTGGTAGATGTCGACTGTAGGGTTTCGTCGGACAGTGGCAGCGATAGCTTGATTCCACGTAGAGTAGAAGATAGCTGAGCTAAGATCGTCCATGCGAGCAGGATAAGGATCCGCTTTTGTTTGAGCACGAAACACAGGGCTGTCGAGGATTACGTAGGTGATGTTGTCCAGGGTGTGCGTTTCGACCTCGATGAGATATGGTTCTCCAAAGATGATGACTTCGATGGGATCGGCTGGATCACCAGCAGGGTATTCAATATCCTTGACTTTGGGTACAACCCAGAGTAGGTCAACATCGGACATGGCTTTGCCTATCAAACTCGACATGACACCAAGCCCCCCAATTTTGACTTTGAGTTTCCAATCGATGATTTCATACTCAAGCGTTGCAATGAGGACTTTTCGACGTTTGTTCTTGTCCTCGGGCCAACCTATGATATCCATATTCTGTCTGTGAACCTTCTTTTCGGACACGACGGCCCCGTCTTTGGCATCGGATTTCCCACCAAGGGCACCGAGGATAGGAAAGTAACTGGTCTTGGCCTTTACACCATACTGATTGTACCTGATGCCATAGAAAGACCACATGAAGATGAGAACGGCAAGAGTCCCCGTAATGAGAGGAATTGAAACAAGAAGCGCGTATAGAGTAGCGGCAACACCCTCTCGCCCATGAGGTTCAAGGTACCAGGTCATTGTACTGTCGTCGATGAACACCGTCCAAGAGAGATGAGGAAGAGGAGGGGCTGACATGTTCAGATAGTTGGCAGCCGCACTGTTGGGTGGTAGACGATCGAGAACACCATCCCCATCGGTGTCACCGTAGAAGTAGTTATCTTCACCCCAGACATTGACCTGGAAGTAAGAGGGCCAATAGTACATGAAAGTGAACTCCCAAAGGCCGTCTGCACTTTGTGAGAAAGTATTTGCGATTCCCTTGTTGGAACCCCACTCGTTGAAAACACCAGTGGCAATGAGCTGTGGCACGCGACGAGCGTATCCGGACCAACCATAGTCACTGTGCACGACGTGTGAACTAGATAAGGTAGCTGCACTCCAATCTGCGATACTCATTCAGTGTATGAAACAACAGTGTGTGGTAAAACATACATTGAACCACGACATGGTCACCGTCCCAGAACAGATTCGCATCAGCGAAGGAACTTAAATCAAGGGTTGTAGTATCTTCCCAGTTCGTCCAATTCGTCCAATTCTGCCCAAAATTCCACGAATAACGGAACATGTCTGCGCCGTACGCCGAATGAGTGAAGATATAATCGTCGCCATTTTTCGTGAGGGCGGAAGCGTTGTAGTCGTTATCCGGAAACACCATGACATTACCGGGCAAACCTTTTCGTAGAAGTAAAACATCTGTAGTCTGATAGGCAAAGCAACGTCAGCATAACATTCCCCTCTTTGATATGTACTTACTCCAGTAGAGTTACCGCTACTAGAAGAGGGGTTGTTGACCGTGATATTCAAGATACCATCTCCGAAGTTAGTGAGTGTCGCGTTCCAAACCCACTGCGTGCGGGAAACACCTTGAACAACAACGTTTGCGGAGCTATTCATGTTGGCGCAATTTGCATTAGAGATTGTAGGGATCGAGCCAGTACTCGAGCTCGACATAGCCAATGTGATACTGTTAGTCACGCTGTTACAGTCCATCTCCGTGCTAAATTCCAGAGAAATGTCGACGCTGGTGCCACTTGTTTCACTGTTTATACGATAATCATGGCCAGGAGTGAACGCAGTCAAGGCAGGAGGAGGGGACAACCAATTCGCCACGGGGACTAACGCCTTGAATCCGTAACCATCCATCGTGATACTACCCAAACAACCGAACCAAGGAGCTTGACTATCATTGTTAAATGACGACGAGGATTGTTCAAGCGTATAGGTCTCGTAAGGATAAAAGAGATTCTGAACAACAGTTCCGGACTCGTAAGGTGATGAGATCCAAAGGGTGTCGTTACAGTCATAAGTCCAAGTATTGGTGGAATTCTCGTTGGTGAAGAACATCCATACCGCATTGGTATTAGTTCCAGTCAGGTTTTGAACACCGGACATCTCGGCGCGAGAGATAGACCACAGTCCCATTTCAGTCGCAGTGTTATTGGAACCCTCGCGCTGAATGTAGTAAGTCCAGTTGCCGAGCTCGGTGAGGGTGTACCCGTCCTGGAGAGCGACAAATTGACTCCGTAGGTAGTTGAATTGAGCGAACAGACGACGCGAATCAGCTGTCGGATCGAAATGGTCGAGGGCGTTCCAGTCATCGTGACAACCGAGAGTCGATTTATCGAGGGGCATATTGTAATATTGCTGCGATCCAAGCTGGTAGCATCCATGGCGCTTCCAGGCCAGGTTACCAGGCATTGCTTGACGACTGGTTGGCATGTTCGTTAGAATCCTTTGAATGTACATTGATCATGTAACACACCCATAGAGATAATTGTTCGCGGTGTCATCATAAATGTAGAATGCCTGCTCCTCTCCATAATAGTACTAAAACGTACGAACACATTGTCATAATTCAGTACAGCAGCAAGGGAGGCAACGGACATACCATAACTATCCCGGGCATGACCAAGGAAGTAACGAACGTTCCAAGGGCGGATCGTTGAGTCCCATTCGCCAAACTGGGCCATCTGAAAACATCGAAATTACTGGTACCGTACATGTGACGGGGATCCACTTTGTTAGTCTGTGAGTTGATGAGATCGTTGTCCACGAAGATTTCGTTCCATGCAGTGACAAAATTAATGTCAACATCGTAAGCCACCGCCAAATTACCATCCATTCCGAGGAACCTGGTAAGGGATCGATAAATGGAATAGTGGAAAGCGCAACCGTCGAGGGCGACAGTGCCATTGTCTCGCAGAAAATATTGTGACTGATCAGAAGTAAGCTCAGCTACGGCTGTAATGTTTTGCAATCGTTGGGACGGAGTACGACCTCGACCACTGGAACAACGGGAAGGTGATGAGTGATCCATCTAGGGACAATCAGATTTACTCACATGTATATCGAACCAAAGGTATCTCCACCTGTAACCTCGCCCGGGATGAAGAAGTTTGTTTTTCCAAGATCGTATGCACATTGACGAGTTGTAGAAGCCCACGTAGCGAGGGCATCCACAGTGACCTGGGTGGCCTTATCGATACGGATAGCGTCGATGTCTAATGCCTTGATAACCATACAGGAAAAGGTAGTCAACTTGGACATAACTTCTGGTCTCCATTCACGTAGTCGATCTTGCACCGATGCAAACTTGGACAGTTGACGTTGCCAATCTGGATGTACACCGAAAGCCTCCATGTCACCGTACTGATCAAAATCTGACTCCATACAGTACGTTGCACCAATGGTGTCTGGATCAATGACAGAGCCGTCATCATCATAGAAAGTAGGCATGACACATGAAGTGTTCTTCGTATTGCCAACCTATAATCCAGATGTGTTTCAGCATACAAGAAGAAATGGACAGAAACACATAGCCTTACAGAGAAGTCCCTGTACTCGGAAAAATTCCATGGGATGTAATTTGGGTAAGTATACTCAGCACCATACTCGTTTACAGTGAACGGAGCACTCGTATTCAAGAATCTAGGGTCGAGGATAAGAATGTAAGTAGGAGATTGAGAAGCTAAACTGACCCTGTAAAACCCAAAAGGTCACCCATAGTTCCCACCGTCAAATCGGCCATGAAGTACATTCCCTGAGCGTGAATTTCATCAATAGCTGCGACCCAATCATCCCATGTACCCCAATGCGGATCGAGCACGGTCATGTCGAGAGGAGAATAACCTGAAGTTCGTCATTAGAACTGTTTAGGAGTTGTACGTGAAGCAACTTACTGTCGGCTTGCCATAACATGTTGAGAAAAGGGGTACCAGAAATGTATATGACCTTGATGCCCATGTTCTTCAGGTAGCCCAAACGAGCGACGAGACCTTTGAGATCACCACCGAAACGAAGTTGAGTTTCCCGGTAATCCCATTCATACATCGTTCCAAAATAGTCATTATTAGAGGGGTCACCGTCTGCCCATTTGTCTAGAAGAATTGTGTAAACTGGGAGAGAGCGCCAGTTGTCTGGGGAGGGTGTGTAGGTTGTATTAGAGCGGGTGGTAGAGTACTGAGTAGGATCAGTAGCGTCCTTGTTGGTGTTCAGATTCCAAGCGGTCAAGTCATCTCTATACGGCGAGGCTTTCACCAGAGAGGAAAAAAGGGCTAGTGCTCCGACAGCGAAAGCGAACGCGCCCATAGCGCGAAGGTAAAAGGAAGGGAGGGGTAATGATTGGGCAGGAAGGAAAATTGTAACGTTAACGTCAAATAACCAATTTCTATGAAGAAAACATGTCCATCAGATCGCATACACAGCCACCCGCATGTATGTAACTGCCGAGCGGCGATGGTGTCGGAGAGCGGAAGAATAAGGGCTATTTTGTTATTAGACCGTGTTCGTCGTTTATCGTAGTTCATGCACAAGAACTGTATGTACTACCTGGTCTGTACGGGTCAGTACCCGAGGAGTGAACACTATTCCCGAGCAAACAGTAGGCCATATATGCTGATTTGATTTAGTATGTGAGATCAATGATACTGAGCTACTTACAACAGCAGACAACAGCGCGCGCGATCTTCCGGGCTAATGTCTCCGTACCTTGAGAGTGTTTTGAATTTGAAATCCAGGCCTGCGCCGATATTCTATTGAAGAAGGGGAAAAGTGACCGTGTCACCGTTATCGTCAACTTTAACACTTGAAGTCACAAATGAAGTTGAGCAGATACATACGTAGAAACGATCATGTCTGAATCGTTCGCTGTAGCAACGGGTTTTCCTGTGATTCTTGTGGCTCTGAGAATTTAGGAAGCGAAGCATTTCGGGTGTCCGCATTGTAATTTGTATGCTCTTGTATGACACGGGCGTGACCTTGGCGTGACAAAGATTCACTGTCAAATGCTACAATCATCTCAAACCGTGCGCCTCGCAAGGTTGAGAGCTCAACTTGGAAGCAGACGACTGGCTTCTCATGGGGCACCTCAATTCAATGAACCTTCTGGCTACCTTTTTGGCGAAAAGGTGAGCGCCGGTGCCTCGTCTTTGTTCATGCTGTTCATAGCCCGGTTTTAGCCGCTAGCACCTGGTCAGAAGCGCGTGAAGGAAAGTTGGGAGAATATCTGGTACATTGGGATGTTTGGATCGATGGCATTTGCTGCAGTTATGCTATACTACAAGCCAGATAATGGGTACGAGTTGTATGACTTGAACTCGTTCCTTAATAATTCACCTTACATTCCGCAGTGTCGAATCCTGGGCTCTTCGCGAAGCAAAGGAACGAATGGAAGCGCGGGGCGAGAAATACAAGTATGAACCGGTATCGTCGTCGTCGTCATCTTAGAATGTTGCCATGTACACCATTTTCATCCCATTCTATTCGAGTTGAATCGTGCAAGGACATAAAAATCGGCTCTAATCTATTGCGCAAGGTCTATTAATGCTCATAACTGGCTTCATATTCCTCCTTGTTCATTAGTTTCTCCAACTATGATCATCAACATTCAGTTCCTAAATCATCGTATATATACCCGATGTACTTGCCTCTGAAGGGTCAGACAGCTTGATTTTACAAAGCCAACCTGTTTCAAGTCAGTCAATCTTGTCGTTCGAAAGATTCCAAATATGCCCACCTTTTTCTTCGGGAGATTTGTTCAGTAGACCGGGCTGGTCCGCCAGAGTCTCGTTGATCTCTTCTACCTTACCGGACACAGGGGCGTACTGTACAGAACGATGACTCAAATGATCCACAAAACGGATTCAAGCACCTACAATATCAGACGCAGCCTTCACACTTTCTACTGCGCCAATTTGGTCTGAAATATGCGTATATCGGTTAAAGACCCATGAAGTAAAGGTTGTACCACGCACCATGTTGAGCAACCACTGTGCCTACTTGGGGAAGTTCGACAAAGACTACGTCGCCCAGAGATGACTGGGCATGATCTGTGATGCTGATAACTCCAAGTCCAGTTGAATCGTCAAAGGAAACGCATTCATGTTCGACAGTGTATTTTTTGGCTATCCCAAGGCACGTCAGAAACAATTCAAGCGGAAGTTACGGACAAGTACGCACTGACAATAGTCCGGAGTCCGAAAGGCCTGAATGCTCGTGGTGTTACATTAACCTGACACCTTAGTAGAGGGTTGGAAGGAGCAAGTGTACGCCTTAAGATAGACTGCATGTGCGATGACCTGAACCAAGAGGATGTAATTAAGAAAAAGCCAGCGCGCAAATGCGAAGAAAATTAAATGCGGAAGTCCGCTCCGACTCATTCAACTGCCAGCCGGGCAGATAACGACTTTCAAACTCTTGCAACGAAACCCAACTTCCTGAGGAATGCACTGGACTTTGCTGTACATACAGTAACAAATGTTTTTGGACCAGGACAGTCTTTTATTCCACTGTCTATATAGTACAAAAGCACGAATCGCGTCGCCCTACAGTCGACGACAGCAGATATTTGCGATAGAGATTAGCACATTCATATAGAGCTGGGTGCGAGATGCCATGCAAGATTGTAGGTGTGTATGTAGAATAAGATAACGGTATTGGGATTGTCGGTCCGGATGTAGAGGAAGGAGCGATGTTTTTTTACCTACTCCAAAATCTTTGTGACGACACCAGTTCCGACTAGATAGACTAAATTAACAGGCGGATCGAAATATAGTAGTAATAAGGACTCACTGGTCTTGTTTGCCTCCCGCAGAGTGAAACGTGAGCCGACTTCGACGGCAAGGTCAAAGATCAATTCACAATCGAGCTCGACATTGTCACCGGGCATGGCCTGTAGTCGCAATTGTACTCAGAAATCAAGATTATAATACAAGTAAGGTTAAAATCTCACCATTTTTTCTTCGGCATCGGGTGTACCCTCGGCAAAGTTCAAGGTAACAGTTACGTCGGCAGTACGAAGATAGAGTTGAGGACGGTATCCTTGCATGAAGGGAGTGTAACGTCCGCCTTCATCCTTGGTCAAAATCTATCGAGGAGGTAGTGAGAAGTGGACAGATCTGAGAGCTAAAACAAGTACTCACATAAACCTGAGAGCGGAACTTCTTTACGGCCTTCATTGAGCCAGGTTCAATGAGGACCTGTCCCCGACGAACTTGGTCACGCCTGGTACCACGAAGGAGAGCCCCCATGTTGTCACCAGCTTCTGCCCGTTCAAGCTCTTTGTGGAACATTTCTGTATAACATATCAGCCTGGTCGTTGATTAATTTTCGGAGAATAAACGGACCAATGCCAGTAAGTGTGGTTTTGAAAGAATTCCCGAGACCGAGAATTTCGACTTCCTTACCCTTGAGGGCAGTCCCACGTTCCACCTGGATTGCGAAGTTAACAAGCGTCCCGCAACAAAGGTATGGACTACTCACACGGCCAGTAGCGACGGTGCCACGACCAGAGATAGAGAAGACATCTTCCAACAATTGGGTCTAAGTATGACAGATTAACAAACAAGTAACGCGTAAATCACCTTCGATGGGCATTAAGAAGGGTTTGTCAAGATCACCTAGAAGAACGTCATGAGAATAGAAGCAAGTTACGGACAAAAATACAACCCACGAGCAGGAAGGTCGAGCCATGTGTCGCAAGCCTTGACGAGTTCCAAGATTTTGTCAACGCCAATTTCCTTATCACGGCCGTCTAGAGCAGCAAGTGCCGAGCCCATAACGATAGGTGTATTTTCTCCATCGAAGTTGTATGTTGAAAGAAGGTCCCGAATTTCCATATCCACAAGTTCCAGCATTTCCGGGTCGTTGATCATGTCGACCTTGTTGATAAACACAACAAGCTTTTTTATTCCTACTTGTCGAGCTAGTAGCAAATGTTCACGAGTTTGAGGCATTTGACCATCAGTTGCAGAAACGACAATAATAGCACCGTCCATTTGCGCGGCACCAGTAATCATGTTCTTGATGTCTACGCGCGGGTGGAATTAGAGAGAAGTAAAAGTGATGATCTAGCTCACAATCAGCGTGTCCGGGACAGTCAATATGACCATAATGCCGTGAATCCGTCTCATACTCGACATGCGAAGAGTTAATGGTTATACCACGGGCTTTCTCTTCTGGTGCTTTGTCAATTTGGGCGTAGTCGGTGAAGGTAGCACCACCAGTCTCGGCAAGGACCTTGGTGATGGCTGCCGTGAGGGTTGTCTTTCCATGATCGACATGACCTGGAAAAGAGGTTGAAGCAGAAGATTCAGGATTTGAACGTATAAATGACATACCGATGGTCCCAATGTTCATATGGGGTTTTGTACGACTAAATATCTCTGCATATCCTCTGCGCGTGACTAAAATACCATTTGGTGAACCAAAATGCGAACCATAGGCAGATTCACGAACCAAAGTGGATAGGTAGAACAGCTCTTGAAACTGTGAACCGGGGAAGAATGGCTGTGTACACGTATACAATTAGAGGAACCAGCTGGGAAGACAGATAAACGCACAGGAAGAAGAGGCGAAAACGGCCGGTGCAGCCCTACAAGCAGCGACCCGAAGCATGGTGGTCGTCTGAATCAGAAAGCTTTAGAAACTAGAATCGGAGCGCGAGCAAAAATTTGACGGCAGATTTCGGCATCCGGCTCCGGTAAGCCGGACTAATTTCGCCGACACTCGATTTTTCTCTTCGCCATCCCTACTCAACCTCATGGTACGCAGGAATCGACATCGACCTGAACCTTACAGTTCCGACAACGAGCTTTGGAACAATGCGCACAGCACTTATTAGGCAAGTTATGGTCTATATCGTACAGTTCAAGTAAAGGGGTGGTACGGTTATGTTACTGTAAATCTCTGTAAATATACAACGTACAGAGTAACAGTTTTGTCATTGAGCCAACTGTACAGCACAATAGTTATGGTAGCCTACAAATCGAGCAAAAAGAAGGATAAATGAAGCGATTATGATGTACATAATGTAGGATTCGTGAGAGTAGGGTACTATCAGTGTAATTCGGATTTGACGGGTCGCGATACAATCCCTGAGAGATAGGGAATCTAGAAGCAAAATCGAAAATGGTTATCAGTACAAGGGAGTGAAAGGAATGGATTCTGTAAAACAGAAGGTTCAGAGAGAGTGAAAGTCAAAAAGGGTATCTATATTTCCGCAAAAGTTAACATCTGATACGACATTGGGTTGAGGCTAGAACAACTCACAAAAATATCGAGGCTTTTGCCCGTTCGATTAGGCCCTGGATTTTACAAGATCCTTCTCTCCACCAGTTAAATTCTTCCAGAATTTCTTCATCGTCCCCACCGTCCTCGGAATTGCCGCCTGAGCCTGATTACTGGGCCCGTCTAGTACACCGAGCAAATTCATCGCCTTTGCGGAAGCAGCCCCTGGGAGTTTTGGTCTGGACGAAACACGAGGAGGTATCACATTATCATCCCCGATGCTTAAGAAGCTGGCGGTCGGTGAATCACGCAGCGGAGATGTAGAGGATAAGTCCAGGGTTGAGGCAAACGGTCGTCCACCGAAGCCAATATTCTGGGGAAGAATCTGGTCGGGAGTTCCTCGTTTGAAAGCCTTAAAAGTGGGAGTGGGTGGCGACACCAGAGTTCTAGACGATGATCCAGTTGGTGATGAGGGAGTGGGCGTTCGAGGGAGAGGGCTTCCCAGCCTTTCATTCATATCCAACTCAGGAGGACGGGTTTTCGGAAGAGCGTGAAGGTTGCTACGATTGTGTTCACCGAGGGGAGCCGGGAGCATGGATGATATCGCATTATAATCGATAGAGGGAGGACGCGGGAAAGCATCGTACAACAGCTGTCCCGCTTCTTTTTGATAATCAATGTGAGTGTCGTCGGTAGCAAGGTCAGAGTCAGAACTGGTATCGCTGATAGTTGTCATACCAATGCCATCTGGGAGTGAGCCTGGCACGGGAGGAACATGGAATGAGTGTGAGTCATCCGAACTGGAGAAAGACAGAAAGCTAAAGCCCTTTACGTGTTTACGAGGAGCCACGAATGGAGAGGAAACAGTCGATCCCAGAATGGGATCTACACTAGAAGAAGCTCGTGAATGCACAAAGGATCTGCTTTTCCTCAAGACATCCTTTGTACGCCATTTGAAGGCCCCAAAACTGTTGCGAGAATCAATAGAAACTGTGCTGGATTTTGAGGTTGTGTTCGATGCTGAGCGCTGATGATCTGGAGGTTGGAGGGGAAGTAGGTCCGCACTGCCTGGAAGAACTAGATCAGTGGAATCAGGCTGAATGGTTTCGGCATCATCAACGATTACAAAGTTCGAGATGAAGCTTTCACTGCTGTGTGCGGAGTCGCTGGGAGGAAGAGGAGGGGGTGAGGAAATGAAGGAATCGTTATCAGAAATATTTTTTGTGGACGAAGAAGGTCGAGAAGTGACACTTCTAGAATATGGTTGACGTGGAATGGCGTTGCCGCAAGAGTCTGCCACATCGGTGTCTAGGCTCATGATAGCGTTGGCACGTTGACGGACTTTGCTGGGGAGCGATGATAAGCTTCTTCTTGGCTGAATAGTCCGCTTTAAAACGCCATCCTCACGACGAACATCGCGAGTTCTATTTGCACTGCGATCGCGAAGGCTGGGTTGAGACTTTACGCTAGCTAGTGACTTTCTTCGGTGTTCTTTGACCGATACGGGCATCACAACGTTGGACCCTTTATTAGGCCTGCTAAAACGCGGCGTCTCCTCGTACGTACTGGTAATGAGCCATGTCTCACCGGTGTCATGGAGGGAGGATGAAGTCCGATGTGGCGCATGGGAAATATTTTGTGATAGGGAATGTATATTTCCTCCAGAGGACGGTCGAGGAGGTTTGGAAGGGCATGATGAAGATGTCTTTGGTAAAAGAGGAGTGGAATTAGATATAGTCAAATGTGCGGGTGGTAAAGATTTGCGTTGATGGGATTCCGAGACTGGAAGAGGTGGAATAGATTCTACCCAGTAATCAGTGGATTTCGAGAATTCTGGTAACGATGAAATCCTAGACGGCCTAGGTCTACCAAGAACATGATCTTCTTGAATGACAGCACCCTCGCTGGAAAGTGCGGGACCAGTCAGTGGAGATGATTGTAAGGGACGACGAGCATTACGACGCCCTATATGAGAGGTGGTCGGAACAACGCTCAACGCTGGATGAATGAGTGGAAACAAAATTTCATTTGAGTGCATAACAATCTTGATTCGGCGAAACTTATGGGAGGTCAGACGGAAGGAGACCTAGGCACAATTTGGTGACTTACTTGTAATAAGTGATGGTCTGGTGATGGTCGTCGTTGAAGGAGGATTGCGAGAAGCTTATCAGTATTCCTGAAAGGAATTTATTGTTTGGACAGAAGAGGGGCCCGAGAATCGAGATTGTCAAGAATCATGATTAATGTTAATGATCAGAAATTAGCGAGTTGGACGTCCAACAATGAATGTTGGATGATTTTGAACGGAAGTCAGGGAAGGCGATATCAATCTGTCAGTAGAGAGGGTGTATGATCTTGTATGATCTTATACGATCCCCTGGTAACATGAAGGTTTTCGAGTTATTCTTGGTGCGAGCTATGTATGTAAATACATGAGAAAGGTGTCACAAACAGTTGAGCTGGGGTATATTGTTGAACGGACCTCACTTATAAGACAGCGCCGATCAAATTGAAAGAGTTCATTTCCAATAGTCGATGTCAGGCAAGACGGAACCATTCATAACGCGGCGCTGCAAGTAAAACGATGACCACGGGGCCATCCAATCCTCGAACATTCTGTTGGACAGCATGGACAGAATTCCTTCGAACTTTTATCCTCACCAAGTAAGAATCGGATAATTGTGTGTGGCTACTATGGTGGTGGTGATTCAAGTTGCAGGGCGATGATATGGGCGCTTATTTTTACTAAACTTTTACACTACATTCATGTCGGATCGTGAAGAGCTCATTCGCAATGCTATTGCATTTCTTTCAGATCCCAAAGTAAATTCTAAGATTCTTCTCTCTTAACTCGTAACTCACAACGATATGATTTAGTCTCAATCATCTCCACTAGCTCAACGTATTCAATTTCTCGAGGCAAAGGGCCTTACCCCGCCTGAAATTGACTTGGCCGTTCGGCAAGCAACAAATCAGTCTGCTGCTGCTGCTATTCCTTACAACCCAGGGTTCCCTCCTGCGTTTGGCTCACCGTATCCTGCTCAGCAGTGGGACTGGAGGGATTACTTTGTACGTTGCGGCCGATGCGGCTACTAATAATCACGTTCAACTTATCTCAACCACAGATTACTGCCGTAGCATCCGGGACTATTCTTTATGGCGCAGTCTCCCTATTCCAGGTTTGCTGCACGGCGTTCTTCCTGTCGTTGCTTCGAAAAACAAATAATTGTCCCCCTTAGAAATACCTTTCGCCGCACCTTCAGCCTCCAGAAACGACTGTTTACGAAGGCGACCGGGATGCTCTGACAGCTCAATTCGATGCAGCGGAAGTCCTTCTCAAGGAAATCCAATCAGAAACCGCCGCCGTCAAGCAAGCCGTGCAAGACCAGAAGGAAAAGGTGGACAAGACAACGAGAGACGTGGAAGCAGCCGTTTCGGAAATGCGGAGTGCGGAAGCTAGAGCCAGGGACGAAATGCGGGAAATTAGAGAGGAGGTCAATACCATTCGCGATATGCTCCCTAAAGTGAGTGACAATGGTTTTATTGTCCCCTAAGGATCTGCTTAAATGCATTACAGATGATTGAGAAAAACAAAGATACGCAGACACAGTCCCTTGCTGAATTACAGCAAGAGCTCAAATCTCTCAAAGCCTTGCTGCTAAGTAGAGGACCGAATGTGTCTAGTACTCCTCCACCTGCACCGATGGTTGGTCGTCCATCAATACCAAGTTGGCAGTTGGCCAGCAATAATAATCCAAGCAACCCGGGGCCCACATCATTTACTACACCATCGCCCGCAATAACATCACTTTCACCAAGCAATACCGCCTTCACAAACGGGAAAGGCAAAGAGCGAGAGGAGCCTGCATTGACTATAACTTCATGATGATGTTTTATTGTAGCAATGTAATCTATCTTGAATGTATCCATCCCATTCTTACTAGACATTATGATATTACGACGTATAAAATCGAGGGTATACAAATTTCCACACTACAGTAACTACACTTTGGCAACCAACCGGCGTGTTTCTTGTGGAGTAAAGTGTAAGATGATCGAGAGCACTCGAACGAGATTGGGCTAAATTATAAAATGAGCCATTCAGTATACGAAGGCTGAATAACACTCACTCTCATCTCCTTATGCTCTAGGAACTGAAGAATCACATTCCGGAGGTATTCTAAATTGACCTCTTCTTCCTCTTTCTTGACAGGGGATTCACGTGCATTATCCGACGACGTGCGACCGGCAGGAGGAGACGAAGAGGAAGAATTTACAGAATCTGACGACGCAACAGCAGTAGATTCGCTTCTAGAGGTCCAATACCCAATACCGGGATTCCGCTGACGTTCAAGCAATGCAGCAGAAGATTGGACCTTGCGTAGTTCTTCACGGAGGGTCTGGATGAATGTAGGGCGTCGATACAAATGCGAGTACGCTGGTTGCGTCACCCACCTTGTTGTTGCTCCGCAACTGACTCTCTCTCGACTTGCCCTCCTCTAGTTTTTGTTCGAGAACCTTGATTTTGGTCTCCATCTCAGTCTCACGGGTATTGAACGTATTCTAAAAGATGTCCGACATTCAGTACTTCCCAAAAGAGAGAGTAGAGAAGAAAACGATACCTCATTTTCTTTAAGCTGTGCTATCTGCATACGCACCTGAGACATCTCGTTCTGGCTTATTTGGATCTGTTGCTGGAGGTGTGATATTTCCACCTTCAGATTTTCCACAAGCCCATGGTCCTGAGCCTTTGACTGAATCGCTGTCCCAAGTCGAGTACTAAGCTTCTCCATCTCTTGGTTCTTTTCACGAAGTTTTCTACTCCATTCAGCATCGCTCTCGTTTCTTTCTTTCTCTGTATTCTTCAACACCCTTTTCAACTCCGTCAACTTGGCTTCGTATTTGACTTCGACCGAAGAAAGCAAGTGTGCGGTGTCTTCGGGAGAGGTGGAGATAGAAGAATATTTCGACGAAACTGTATCATGCTCGCGCCGCGCCTCGAGAAGCTCTTCGTTCAAAAGAATAATTCGATCGCTTTGTTCGCGGAGTTGATACTGAAGTTCTGCGTTCTGGCTCTGCAAGGACTCGAGGTGAGCCTGTGAAGATTCGACTTCTGCCTGGCGTATCTGCACCTGCTCGAAAAAAGAATTCTTGTCCCGGACGACGGAATTGAGTGAGTTCTCAAGTTGAGTGATTCGAGAATTTTTATTGGAAACTTCTTTTTCAAAGGTTGCCTGAGTGCATCTTGATGGTTAGAAAACATAAAACGTCTCCATAGTAGATGATCAGGTGTGCATACCTTGACGGTCACAGTTTCAAGTTCCAGCTCCGCTCTCAGAGCGGCCAGTTCCTTCTCATGACGTTCCCTAGCCACTACAAGCTCTTTATCGAACTGAGTTCTCAGACCAGCGATTGCTCTATCCCGTTCTGTGTTGAGTGAATCAATTTCACTCTGGTGCTTTGATCTTTCCGTCTCTTCTCTGGCTCGTTCCCCCTTTTCCTTTTCCTTCAAGGCTGATACTTCTTTGACCGCATCATCTCTGTCCTTCTCAGCCCTGGTCAGCTTCTGTCTAACAGTCTTGAGTAAGCTAATGGCTTTCATCCTTTTCTCTTCCTCGTCCTTAGCCAGTTCCTTCCCTTTCGCGACCTCTCCGTTCAACCGTTCATTTTCAGCTTTGAGCTTTGTTACCTCATCTGAATTTGCTTGAGAGGCTTTGATGAGGAGCTCCGATTCCTCCAGTTGTTTCTTGAGGTTGTCAATTTGGTCGATCTGAGAACGAGATTCTAAACGATGAGTATCGCGTAGTTCTTCGATGCGACTCTCTTGTGCTAGAGGATAAATTTGGCAGATTATGCACAAGTAACCGGATACTAAGGGTCAGCTTACTCTGAAGTTTCGTATTGAGATGCTTGATCTCATCTCGGGAGAGCTAGGGAATAATTTTAAAGAAGAGAGACGCTGTCAATTATACGAAAGGCTAACCTCAGTTTTTAATAAGACATTTTGGAGATAATCCCTCAATGCATCATTTTCCCGCAATGATTCAAGGGGGGTAAATTCCCGTAGAACGGTATCGGCTGCCGTTTTTTCAGCTTGAAGACGTTTGAATGAAGTAGACACGTCTAGAAGCGGTACTGTAAAATGACGACAACGATATATACGCAAAACCTTACCTGTGAAGCGCTGTTCAACGAGTTTGAGCCGTTGCTGCAACTCCTCTACCGTGGTTGTTGTTGAGCTTGGAACCAATGTAACAGAGGTAGATGAGGATCCCTCTGAGTCTAAGGCTTGGACCTTATTGATAGGAGAAATCGGCGGTTCTTCCGGTGCTTCTGTGTCAGTTGCCTCCTTCGTATCCTTAGACGCGTTCAACTCGATGGGGGCAATCACTTCATCTTGGGCAATTCCTTCCACTATTCCATCAACGTGCTCCTTTGTGTTTGAGGAATTCTCTCTAGTCGTCCCTATTACATCTGGGTCCGGTCCTGGATGTGAACGTGAACGTTTCTCACTAGTCTCCGAATTACCGACAGCCGGATCCACGGACACAGTCGCGTCAGTCGGTGGCTCCCCTCTCCCAGAAGGGTTTACATCAAGAGAAAGGTTTCCCAGGAGATCTTGGGGGGGCTCTGACTCTGTGGAAGGTTGTGACGATATCGGCGATTCCGGAAGAGGAGTAGACAGTGGCGACACAGGTGACAGTGGTTGATCCCGTGGGGCAATGGAAGGTGCAGGAGAAGCTCTCGCTGACGGTTGTGGTGTAGTAGTATTAGACGCTTCTCCAATAGTGAATGCTGTTGCTGCCCGAAGGCGTTCTTCAAGGGTAGATTTATAAGGCCGCGGAGTAGAAGGTCGTGGAGTAGAGGGAGATTTTGCATTTGGAGGAGAAGGCGTTCCAGGCAGAGTAGGAGAGAAGGATTTGCGCAAACTAGACAGACTGGATAGAGCGTTTTCTGCCAGCTGTGTGGGAGAAGTCAAATCTATAGACTGTGAACGAGGATTAGATGAAGGACTGTCGCCATCGCTGTGAGGAGGTTCGTCAGTGCTGATCCTTGGGTGCGGGGCCAATGTCTCTACAGCGTGTCTGAACTGAGAGAACATATTGCGATTGCCAAATCAAAGAACCCTGAAAGAACCTAGACGAATATTAGTTGTTAACAGTTAAGCGCCCATCTAACTTGCCTTTCCCCTCCTTGTTGAAATGAGATGACCATCCCGGAACTGACCAGGAATTGCTTTCAAAGCGGAATTTCGGCTGTTAAAGTCAGTCTTTGCGTGTACTGTCTTTCCACGTCAACATACAAGTCGCCTTCCCCTTCTTTAGTGGGCCAAGCTTTGCAAATTGTTCATATCAAAAAGTTCTTCTGATCAGAGTTCAGAGGCCATTGAAAACTCCATAAGCAGTCTGTGACAATAATACTCATTATTCGACGGTCATTGAAATGCAGAGCGCAACAGATTCTGTTCTTGTCTTGTACCGGTCTTATCCTGGAGACCCTGCTCTTCATGAGTATCTCAAATATGCATTGAATGATGGAATGATATCCCTTGCAGTTTTCATAGCAACATTACTTCAGGCTGCGCGCAATCCCGAACTCCATAATGCTGCCACATTGGACATGCTCTGTCGAATTGCTCTGGACGCTCATTATTCATCTGGGCAACCCAATCCCATTGGTTCTGTTGTAGCATTCGACGAATCACCCATTGTCGTTCTCGGAGTCGTACAAGATGCTCTGCAACTACTGGAAATAGCTCATACCCTTCCAGTATCGCATTTCCACCAACTCACTACCTCGTCGTCTGAATTATTAATCCGCAAGTCATTTCCGTTTGCCTCTGACCCGCCCTCTCATCGTATGTGCCCGTACAGTTCTTTTGTCATGCAATCCAGATATGACGCAGATATCTACGACTCAAGCAGCTGTCCATTATCAAACTGTAAATGACCTGCTACTGAACTTTCAACTCTTGCCAGGCTTGAGGGAAGTTCTAGAGCACTTTGAGAGGCAACTTAGAAAGCTGATGGGAGATGACGCCAAACTCGCTCGGGAAGCACAGATGATGCATACGATGCAATTAACCCTCGGAAGGGGCGATATTGTCGGCTCAAGCTCAAACAGTGATCTTGTTTCGCTCAGCTTGACCCTCCACACTCTTGTGGGTAGATCCATTCCTTATCTGCACCCATTATGAATTTACATTCCTCATTCTTCGCAGATCAATTTCAGAGCCGGAGATTTTGGCGCAGCGAACTTGCAATACTGTGCAGCACTCTTGGTCGGTTTATTTAGATGGTCGTCTTGGTCACCAACCGTGTTTTACACCCAATTGTTACTGTGTGCTTTCGTGTGTCTTTCACAAAGCTCCACTGTCCCGACTACGACGTGGAAAACCTTCATCGTTGGGCGGGTATGATTATCTCCTACTTGTGAGAACATTACTTAAGGTTGTTTATAGCTTCCTCAGCTACTGGTGGCTTTCGAAAAGTGTATCAACACAGAAAATCCCAGTTCCGAATCTGACTGGGTCAGTGCTCGTTCGTATACCTGTCAATTTCACTAAATTTACGTCTCACTAGAAACATGCCATGCAAAACGCACTATTCATCGTGCTTCGACGCAATGATGTTTTGAGTGTTTGTGACTCTATGATAGCTCAAGCAGAAGGAAATTCTAGTCCTCCGTAAGTCTTGAAATGAAATACCTAGGAACGGGCACCTGAACACAACATATATCCAGATCACAACCTCTCGGTCGGTGTCTCCTCAAGGAATTACTTGTCCATGGGCTTTTAGAGCAAAGGGTTGCGGTGACTTTTGACCACGGAATTGCGAACGACAATACACCTAGTTTGAGATCGGAAGCCCAGGACGCTGGAATGACGCTGGAGGTCAGGTCTCTTTGATCTCATAGAGGCTTGAACTTATTTTGAATGCACATAGACATATTTGGAAACTAAACTTTCAGGCGAAGGCGACGAGCCTCGGACGTTGCTAAGTCGCATCCGACGCGAACCTGGCAGTCATATAGCATTTGGTGATTTCGTAAAGCAAGTAAGTCATTGAGCAGTCAATTGAGATTGGAATCGTAATTATCAGCAGCGTTTCGCCGACGCAACGAGCCAACTCGATATCGAGGCCATGGGTCATATATGCAAACTTCTGTACCATGATCAGGCCTTGGACGCGCTGTCTCTACACATTAAGACCTCGGAACTGGTGGCGTACGCGTTGCAATTTTTCGAGTTGTACACCTGCGAAACTGTTGGTAAGCACGCCTACGTCGAACACTTCCACTTCTCCCTCACTCCCCTCTAATTTCGATTCAGGTGACCCACAGACTGCACTTAGTCACATCGGTGACGTGGTTATGTTTTTACAATCAGTGCTTGCGCGGTTTAATGTTATTCCTTCAGCGCTGCATCTCATCATGAGCTGACATTTGACGTAGTTTCAATCGAACACATTCTCTGTGGATGGCAAGACTACGTCTTCGGAATTCCTCAAATTAACTGCAGAGGTGTATCACTACAATTCATTGACAGGAGGAGATCTTACAATCTTCAATGCTTGGTTGAAAGCACTATTCGAGAGCGAAGGTATTGAAGACACGGTACGGTCTCAAGTTCTGATTAAAGGCGCTCATGTTCAATGAAAGATCATTGCAATATTAGATCCTGCGGTATGCAATCAAGAATTAGCGCACGGACCATTCAGCTAATCATAGACTTCGACCAGTTCTACGCAACCCAAAACTTTACTCCGCGTTGCCGCGTCTCTCGTCTTACACGCCATTGGATCAACAGTCGAAGGGAAAATGAACATGGACACGCTGAGAAATGGTGTCATGTACTTTACCGATCCTCTGCTCAACTGGACGTTGGTGGGCGTTATAAAGGCTTTGCTTCAAGAGATTCACCAAAAAAGGTGAATTAGTTTTTATCTCCTTGTCGAGACCAAAGCTTATTATCTCAGATTCAACGCACCCATTCATCTTGAAGTTCTCCAAACTCTCCTCCTGTCTCCGTCATGTCCGCGTCTAGTCTTAACACTATGCGGACCCCGCGTGATGTCTCTTCTGGCCAATCGTGCGCGAAAGGAGCCTATAGCTTCGGCGACTTTCAATAGTGAAGATCTTCAGCGTGTTCTCACAACAGCTTTGGGGGCTCGTGAAGAAGGTCCGACTCCTCTACGCTGTTTACACGACTGAGCAGCTTACTGATATATTTCATTTCCCAGCTCGAATACGAAGTGCTATCACAATGGGTCCTCGTGTATCATGGCAAGAATATCCTCGACAAGCCATACAAACAGCGTTGAATATGGCTCGCACAAACAAGCTTCCTTCGATTGACGTTGAACGCTGCTTGAAGGTCGTGTCACCTTCCAAATTCCTACAAGTTCTCTGGTCAGAACTTGTTGTGGTGGCCAATGTACCTTCAGAGATCGAACATAGCAGGCGGCTTGCAGTGTTTATTCTCACCGCGCCACGCCCTCCAACTACGCCTCCGCTGCTTCCCATATTTTTGCACAACATCGTGCCCTCCCTTATCATCCACATCGACAGTCAGCCAGAACAGACCATGACTATGAGTGCGGAACTGTTGGTTGCGCTTGTTTCGTCGGTGCTGACCGCTGTGATGCACTTGGAGTTGGCGATGCAAAGCGCAACCGTCAAAGTTCAACCGGTTTTCGGACAAACCAGTTCTGCAATGGCTCGCCGCTTAGTATCTGACCTTCGCACACGCAAGTTCAGTTACACTGGTAGTACATTAGCACAAAGATTGAGTTCTTCACAATCATTCCTAGCTAATTTTCCTGTCTTCATGGAGTTGGGGACATGATACATGATTGAAAAAAAGACTGCCGACATTTACTGTAGTAGATAAAATTATTGGTAACACATGCATGTTAAACATCCGTTATGGGAGGCGCTAAGTATGAATGAACATGTTTGTTAACCCATGGGGCAGATTGAAAAGGTTGAAAAAATGCTCACGACAGCATGCATTCTCCTGAGGATCACATTCCTGATCTTCAGGACATAGAATTAGACACGAGGTATCTTCGGAGGTCTAGCGAGGACATTTTGAGCAAGAGTCACCTAAAATGCATCGACCTATCTGACTCACCATCAGTTGTTCCTCTGGAATATGTATTCTCGCATACTCTGGTTGAATGGTGCTGGAATGAATACCATGATGGTGAAGAGCCTCTCGTATTTTGGCAGCAACAGGCATGAAGTCGTGTTTTCGAGATGTCATCACATGTACAGAGGCAACTATCTTACTTTCGGACAGTTGCCAGACATGCAACTCGTGTAACGAGAGCACACCCTCAACGGCGAGAACCGACGAGCGGACTTCGTCCAATGAAACTGTAGAAGGCACGCCTTGCAAAAGGATGAAAGATGCACTGCGGACTGATAGAATAACGGACATTAATTATATGATAAAAGGGGAAAAGATCAAGGAAAAAACGCAGAAAACACGACTCACCTAACGGCAGAGCAGATGAGAAGATAATCACGGTGATTACTAAGCTGATAACTGGGTCAAAGTAATATTTGAATCCCCAAGAGGAAAGCCAGATGACGAGGCCAGTTGCGATAACTCCAATATTACCCAACGCATCGCCGAGAACGTGGAGTACTAAAGCACGCATGTTCATAGACCCTGCATGGGAGTGTTGCGAACGGGGTCGCGGTGATTCAGGGGAGGATAAGAGGGCTGTCGTTTCACTGGGTGTAGCTGCGTTATAGGCCGTAGCGGCTTCAGAATCAGGGCCTTCTGTTAAAGTCACCTTTCCGGCCTGAAAAAGAGGAATGCACAAGTGGCTCACCGGGTAACCTTATTCGGTGGGATGGAGAAGGAGATCGTGCGTCTGCAATTTCTTGTGCTGTTTGAACGAGGGAAGCGCGGGTGGCCGCGGGATGGCCATATAAGGAAGAGAAGGATTCGGAACGAGAACGAGGAGCGAGACTTCTACCGGCCCGCAAAGGAGATGTTGGGCGTGAAGGTGTATCCTTTCCCGATGACGAAGAAATACTCGGAGTCGATGGCTGTTTATGAGGATGTTCATGCGAATGACCATGCTCTGTGACAAGATTATGGTTTAGTTATGGATCTAGATTCATCAAAGAGTGCTATGGCCATACCATGGAACAAAAACAAGCCTACAATATTAGAAGCAAGCCCTAAAGATCCGACTACCACGACAAGACGCGGATTGGAGACTTCTAGAAAGTGTGGTTTTTTTTTTGAGAAAATGTCACGAGAGTGACGCAATGAATCGATTTGTACCTGGGGTATTGAAGAACCGTTCTACTGCCTCCAGGAAAATGGAGAAACAGAGTGCTAGAAGGAAGACACCGTTTACGAGTGCAGCGAGGATCTCGGCTCTGTGCCATCCATACGAATAACGTGAATCAGCGGCATTCTCTGCTGTCAACTAAGTAAAGAATATTCGATGAATGTAAGAGACACTTGTTCAACCGAAAGAGAAAACTGGACTGACCTTTATGGCGTAGAGTGCCACTATCAAGCTCATTACATCACTAAAGTAGCCATGAGAGTGCGATGGTTGAGCGAGAACGATTTAAGCCGTACTTGAGCATGTGGAAGCTATCTGCCACCAAGGCTAATGAACCAACAGCATATCCTAGATTGACATCGGTTACATGGGAAGAACTCATCAATCCATGAACGCGAGCATACCAACTATAAGTTCCACAAAGAAGAAGAGGACGTCGATAGCAAGCAATATCTTGATCCGAGTTGCGCGAGTGATAGTCATTGCGAAATGTGCGGTGTTACTGCGACTTAAAGTCGCATGAAAATTTATCAGGTCACTTGAGTGATGAGAAAAGCAGAATAAAGAGAACTTTGTTTGACAGTCGAACGATGGATGATGACGCCATACCAATTCCAAAGCGCACAAATCACGTGCGCATTCCTTCCCATGCAAATTTTCCTTAGCGCTCGCTGAGTACGACGAACGACTTTTACTCTCGATATTATCATTATGGCCGCTCCCTCGATGGCCGCCGCTCTTGCGGCTTCCCTACCTGCGCCCTCAGCCGCGCCAACTCCTGCGGCTCCTACATATGAAGCTCTTCCGCCATCCATGTCCACACTGATTGATGTCGAAGCTGAAATACCTTTACGATTCGTTCAACTTGATGGATTGGTCTGCCAACACTTTACTTTGTGCAATGCATCATATTGATATTGCATCAGGTTGTCTCAAAAATACTAAAGCATGCGTGCGACAGCAATTCTTCTTCTCCTATCGGTCTTCTTCTCGGTATCGATTTAGACGGTGTTCTCGAAGTTTCCAACTCGTTTGCACTTCCTCATCACGCTGGAGATGATGACGACAAATCCGCGAAATCTGTGGGTACGTATGTTGCTGTGTAGGCGATTGCAGGCGATAATCAGATGTGCTTGTTAGCTCGGTATCAAACGTCTATGCTACGGTCCTTGAAGGAGGTGCAAGGAGATGACAGTATCGTTGGATTTTACCAGGCATCAACGCTAGGAGCTTTCTTCAACCAAAATCTGATTGATCTCCAAGCGATTCATCAAGATAAACTTCGTCATGGCGGTGTTGTCGTTGTTCATGGTTAGTTATGGTGCAAAAAACTGCCATGTTGTGCTAAGACGGGTCTGGACAGATGTCTCTCAGACAGCGCGGGAGAATGCCTCTTTCCGCGCGTTCCGCTTAACGCCCGCTTTTAAGGATGCTTATAAAAAGTCTAGCTTCAATACCGCAAGGTCTGTCCCTACTCCATTTGCTACATACCGTGAAGAAGTTGATAGAGGAATTAATTCATAGTCTTGCGAGCCATCAGCTCACATTCTCTTCAATCTTGGAAGAACTTCCTTTGAAAGTCCATACCAATCCACTACTGAGTGCCTTCTTAGGAGAATTCAGCACTGTATCTCCCAATACCGCTCTTGGATCGGCCTCTGCACTGCCGCCGTCGTTCTCGGCTCTAGATCTGAACTCGGGAGGGCTCACTAAAAATCTAGAGCACATCGTGGATGCTTTGGACAACTATCGAAACGAAGAGGGTAACCTTGCGTATCTTTCCCGACAAATTGCACGAGAGCGGGCAAAAGCTGACAATTATGTTATGAAACGTAAGGAAGAGAGCGCAGCAAGAGTTGCACAAGGATTGGCACCGTTACCAGAAGAAGACGTGACACGTTTGTTCAAAATACCGCCCGAGCCGAGTCGTTTAGAGAGCATGTTGTTGCTGGGTCAGGTAGATGCTTACGCGAAGAGTTTGGCAGAGACGACAAGTACAGGATTAGTTAAAATGTATGCGGCTACGGCTGGTTCTGGTGCATAAATATTTAATAGGAGGTTATTTGTGGCATTTGCCGGTCGCACTGCCAATTTCTCCGTTGGAAGGACACGCGGCTTGCACACTCCGGACACTGCCACGCCCTTCCCGTGTGCCTAGGAACCAAAAATAGTCCGGCAAAAAAAAATTTCTCTTTGATGCAAACACTTCACAACAATTCACGTTCTCTTTAAACTTTTTTGACAGGGTCGTTCCGCCAGGTCTCTTTCTTCTCTCCCATCAGCGTTTTGTATAAAACGTCTCGTCCCTCATTCAGGCCTTCTTCAGCTTGACACCCCTCTCTCTCTCCTTACGCACTGCCGCTTCCTTTACAAACTCACGATGTCTTTCACCAAGTCTGTCGTTATCCTGCTTTCCGCATTCACTTGTGTCCAAGCTCTCGCTACCCCTCATGCCATCCGCGATGTCCACCACCACAGAGCAGTGGCTGCACGTGTTGCGCAACCCACTTCTGGACTAGACAATATTCCTCCCTTAGTTCTTCCTAAGAAGCGTGACCTTAGCAAGCGTTCTTTGAGGAAACGATGCCAGGCACGACCTGCACCCTCTGCCAGCAGCTCAGTTGCAGTTGTTTCTTCGTCGTCATCATCGTCCTCAGAAGCTGCTTCTTCATCAGCTGCTCCTGTGAATGTTGGTTCAGATCCTACCAGCATTATCATCAGCAGCAGCAGCACCTTGTTCACAACATCCGATACTCCTACTCCTACTCCCACGCCAACCCCGACCCCGACCCCCACACCAACCCCATCAACCTCATCTGAGGCTCCAGCTACAACATCGAGCTCTTCTGAGGCTGCTGCTACCACATCCAGCAGTTCGTCTTCTTCCTCTGATTCAAGTGCAGCCAACTTTTTGGCAGGAACCAATTCCGGTCAAGGTGTGAACTATTTTTAGTACCTCGTTACCATATCCCAAGCTAATATTGGCCTACCAATAGGAACCTATTATGCGAGTGAGCGTCACATACTTGTCTTTTCACTTTTCGTTGTGCTTATCATTCTCAATTTCAGCCGGACTAGGAGCCTGCGGCATTACGAATGTTGACACAGATCCCATCGTAGGTTAGTACCTCTAAACTTATTTTAACTTACCTAGGTTCATCTTATACTCATCTCTGTCTGCAGCTGTCTCCGAAGTTCTCTTTGATGGATATCCGTAAGGAATGTTAAATCTAATAACGTGCTAGTGCTGATTGTTTCTTGAACATAGTGGATATGACGGCGTCAACCCGAATAACAACCCTGTCTGCAACAGGCAGATCGTTGCGACCTGTATGTTCCTAACACACTTCACTAGCATGATGGCGCTGATAATTTTTATAGATCAAGGCGTGTCAGCCACAGTCACCGTTACTGATAGGTGTACTGGTTGTTCCGAAACGTCACTTGACTTTTCACCTTCTATCTTCTCCCAGTGTAAGTAGTCGATGTTGATGCTGTGCACCACATATTCACGAGTCCATCTACAGTGACCAACAATGACCTCGGCTTGGGCCGTATCGATATCACCTGGGAGTGGGCATCATAAAGCCACTATACCCCTTGTCCACCCACTGTTTCTCTTTCCATCCTTCAGACGGATTATTTATCCATATTCTTAAATATTGTTTTGTAACCCTGAGTGGTTCCTTGCGTCCAAGAGGCGTTCTTCCTGGCACTCCTCTGCGCAGTGCGAATTATGGGTGTTTGGAATGGCTAGAAGGGATCACTGTGTTATGTTTAGATCACACTTGTGTGTTTTTTCGAGCTTGCTCATGTCATCTCTTGTTTTCCCTTAGATTAGGGATCATAGTATATACTCGCTAGTCGTTGTCTCATGTTGTGTCATTCAATAAATCGGAAAGTTCTCAGTGGACGACTGGCAGTGTGTGGCAATTGAGCAGATCGAACTCAAAGTACGTCGGTGTCGGAGATTCTGTGGATCACTGATTGCAATGGCCGTGAAGCCCTCTCTGGTTCGCCTTAACATTCATATCTTCCTTCCCTCATGTCGTACATACCATGGTAAGACTGGCTTCCACACTCCTATGACCGCCATTATCAACAAGAACGTTCGCCATAAAATGAGCCGTATGGGGAAATCCGAGGGCTTTGCCGTATTGGTGGCAGTGGTACCCGTGGCTTATGACATTGTCGAAGTCCGAAGATGCGAACAGTGCGAACAAGAAGTGCGAAGGAGGACGAATCAACGAAGCCAGAAATTCACAGCTCCTGGGTGGTTCAATTCCGATAAAATCGGGGGCATTTACTGGTATCTTTTCCCTTCTATTTCTATGTATAATCGCAACCAGCAAATCGGAAATAACATTACTGGTAATCGCACCAGAGGCCGGTACGAAGCAAAGCTAATCTGAGTATAGACATCATAAGGCAGTTTGACTTCGGCCGAAGTGGTGCTTCAAATGTGCCCAATACTCATACTCTTCCGTATTCACCAAAGCACTATCCACGGCGCTTCGAAGCACTTCGCCAGAGGAGCCACCAGTACACAAAAGGATGACCACATCGAGAACACGGCGTCGGAGTCCAGAAGGCGAACTGAGGCCGTTCTTGGGCAACTTGTTGAAAGGACCTAGGATTTCTCCACGAGTAGGATGCGTAATATGGAAGTAAGGTGCAAATCGTGTCTGTAAAGAAGCTAAGGTCTGGAGGTGGTGCTGCATGAGCCACTATTTGAGCGTTGGTAGAATTGGTGAGAACCTACATTCTCATGGAGAATCTTTGACCGGCGCTGGAGCAGTCGTAGAAGAAAAAGAATAATCGCCTACAGGATTCCATTATAAACACTTAATCAGGAATATGATCAAATGTACCTCTGATACCGAGGGATTACTTGAACCCAACTCCCATAGGATTTGCGGTAATTGAGTTAGCCATTCTTCAATTAACTTGTCTGCCTTCGTACTAGTCTGAAGTCGAAAGGCTCCTTGATAGCGTACATCAGTTTCGAGCTGAATTAAGTATCAGACCAGAGAAATGAAAGGGTAACATCAAGCGAAACGAACAAGCACAAGTCGGGCCACGAAATCGAAAGTAGACCTTTTCAACGCCGACTTGGACCCTACTTTCACAGCGTGCTCCACTACGGCCTCAAGGACTTCTCCGGATCGCTCCAGTTGCTCCTCATTTCGACCCGAATAGTTGAGCAAAGACCATATTGTGGGTAATAACGAGTTGTACGCCGTAGATGTTAACCCACGAACTAGCTGAGAACTCGACACCTGTTCTTGGAGAATTTCAAGGACGTATTCTTGAACTCGATTCGCTTGTGAAGCATCGTTACCAAAATGTCGTGCTTTTTTGCCACGGGATGTAGTTGGGTGGGAAGCTGCTGCTGATGTGCGAGAGGCTGGAACGAGACGCGAAGTCAGGTCGCAATATGTAAAATTGAGGTCTTGGAAAGTTTGTTCAATCTAAATAGATTGTGTGAGAAATTCAGAAACGGAAGATTATCCGCACCTTCACATCTTTTCGGCCATTCGAATGGAAAGGGAAGAAGGGAGCCATGTAACCAAGCATTATTTGAAGTTCCTCGATAGCAGCCGAGGCCTAAAAACCGATTAGAGCGCCACAAAGTATATAAAGAAAGAGGACGAACAGGCGAGCTATCTTGCATGATCAGACCATATAGAGTACGAGTGATTGATACTACAGCTGAAATTGAGTCCGTCTCTGTCTCTGGTGGACCATTGCTGGGTGAAAAAACTGCAGGCGCACAGTCCAAGAAAACGGACACTAGAGTAGGATGAAGGGTTTTGGCTAAACGCTGAAAATACGTGGTTGAATCACGGTGTAGACTCGACAATGACTGAACGAACGACATACGACTACAAACGGATTTCCACTGCTGGTAGAAGCGCCTAACTCGCAGAAGTTCCGGCATAACACAACGTGGTCTGATAATTCTTGGAGTTGGCATGAAAGATTACCGGTATGAGTAGCCATCGCAGAGGCAATAGGGAAAATATCAGCTTCCGGTTCCATTTCTAAGGACCATGCTTTGTGAGGCAATGATTGCAATGTTGAGGAAGGTCGAAGGAGCCGATTGAATGTAATATAAGCTTCTGTGGTATGGAATGAGGGCGACAAAAACCAGAAATCCTCAGAAGTCAATAAAGTAGATTGAATTCCTGTGGCAGCCTCTAAGAAGCGTGATAATGATTGCAGGACGACGAGCTTGGACTGGGAAAAGCATGATTAGTAAATAACACGCATTGTTGAGGGGAGTGTCTTGAAACTTACAGCCGGTGTTAACATCACACTCGCAGTCGAAGTGGCCACCGGAGGCCCTGTTCTAAATGAGTACGTAGCTATCAAGTATTCCAACTGTATCACCTTCCGCATCTCCAGTTATAGTGCCAGCACTGAGAACACCTAGGTAGCCCTCCAGGACTCGACTGCCGCTGGAGTTATTAGCTGTGTCCCATCCACGGACGATAACCTCTGGGAAATATTCAAGAAATATGTTCAGAAAGCGGATAGCGTCAATACGTATTTCAGGAAAGATGTGGGTTTGAGCGGAAGTGGTAAAGAGCAGAATCAGAGGGGCATGAGGGACAAGGTCTTCCTGTTGATCATTGAGTTGCGACATTTACGGTCAAGAGAAAGACGCACTTTAGGTATCCTGGGTATTAACCAAGAGTAAAACGACAGAAGTGCTTTCCGAACACTTGCATCCTAAAAGATATCTAAGTTTCTGAATGAACTCGTTACATGTAAAAGGAAATGGACCTCATCGCCAATGATTCGGACCGTCACATTGATGAGGATAGGGAGTGATGAGTCGATCAATTCCCAATGAGCATCTAGCAATTCCCGAAAGCCGAATATTGTGTCTGCAAACGAGAATTAAGAACATACAAAGTTCCAAGAGTGCTTCGTATACCTTTTCGAGTACCAGGATTGTGGTGTTTGATATTGACGATGAGATCATCGAGGGAAAGTTTTCGTCGGGTTGTAGGCGCACTATCATCTTTTTCTACCGCAATACTCTGAGATGGAAGTGCAATAGCTAAATTGATTTGAGTAAATTTCCGAAAAAAAGAACAGGGAAACGTACAGCGGGCCTTGAATGAAGTGTCTATTGCATTGCTGGGTGCTTGTTTTCCTTTACCGAGTTTGAGTTTAGCTTTCTGTTCTTGTTGGATCTTAGAGGATTTAGCGCAATGATTCGAATTGTTCGTACCGCGAAATCTGCGGCTTTTTCTTTCCGTCTTTTTGCACTCTTGGGCATCGGGATTGGACTTAGCAAGTGGTAGTTCTCGTCAAGTTATTCTATTCAAGTTATCCGCGACCACATGACCTTGATAATACAGTAATCTACACAAAAATGGATATTTCAAGATGTCCATCACCACATTCATCGCGCTGCGCGCGTGGCAGAAACAAGTCCTCAGACTGGTCACTGCAAGACACTGGTACATCAGTGTAGCGAAGTAGACTTCGCTGAAACAAGAAAACCTTCATTTTTTCATTCAGTAATCAAGTCTAATCAAGTGGTGCAGATGAACGTACGAGTTAACAATATTGCCATGATTTGCACGATAGGCCTCTCGGTAGCTCAGATCCAGATAGTGCGCTTGACGCGGGGAAGCGAATGTCGCTCCATGATTGTACTCTGGTGTACACAGTATCCAGCTTCAAGACTTCCAGGAGTAAAAACACACTACACTCACGATATTTGGCAGGCTATATTGTCGGTGAGCAGCATGTATTGGTACGTAGAACCAGCGTCCAACACAAGAGATATACCCCTTCCTTTTCCAAGCAAAACGCTCTTCGTAATCCGTCCAGGAATGCGTGGCGTCATTTCCAATACGACATTCGCACCGGTATCGTTGGTCATATCGAAAAGGATTTCAAAGGATTGAGTACTAGAAGGCATTGGTTTCGATGAGTGCGATTCTGGCTTTCGTTTCCCTATCGCTCTACTTAAGTACCTACTTTCTGTATTGAAGGACTGCTTGCTTATTGTGTCCGAATAGAGAAATCTCTAATTGTTTTGTCTCTAAGAGCTTCCGTGAAAACAGTACGCACGACTACGTAGTCATTCACAAAAGACGAGTTCCGGAAGAACATAATTAAACACGAGTATCAAGTACAATAACTACACACGAGTTACTACCAAGTACAAGAAAGTAGCATCGTTACGCCTAGACAGTGACAGCCTAGTTGAATGAAAGACGGATTGATTATTCACACGTCATTACTGTCTTCATAAGACATAGAGCGTTGAGGCGATTACATTGCCGTGGCTACCAGAAATGTTTCTTTGTGAAGTCGATAGTAAGGTCCATACACATCAGGTCATCTTCGTCCACGGTATAACCATCAATGTGAATAATGAATTTGGCTGTCAAGGGATCAGATGTGTTCCGAGATAAAAGTACTATGAACGAACCCGGGGGTATCTCCTTGGGTAAATCCACTGTCTGTTCCACAACGTATTGGCCTTTCTCTACCGGACATTGGACGCTTGCGTTAGCATTGCGACTGAAAAGGAAAATGGGCATTTTGAAAGTAGATAAGCACCAAAGACACATACGCTTCTTCGCAAACATCGAAAGTCTTTGACAAGAGCTTAATAAGCCCCAACTTCACTGTCACGTCTGCAGTAGCGCCCTCCTTCAAACAATGGTAAAATTCTGCATGGATGACTGCCTGAGGGACCTACCTCGATGACTTCACTGGCAGTACCCGTAACTTTCACAGTCAAAGGCTTGCCAGGTAATGGAGGGTCAGGGGAGATTTCAATGCTCTGGATCCGAATAGGGTCCGTCTCCATGCCTATTGTACGAGAGTGAATAAAAGTGAGTAAAAAGATAACCACTCAGAATGATACAAAAACGAACCGCAATCCTTCCAACTCCACTTGTCAGAAAAGTTCTCGACCGCATCGAGGGGGGTTTGTGTTACAGAGGATGCAGCACTGGTAAGAGAAAAGAGGCATAAGGAAGCAATGACAGATGAACGGAGTATAGTCATTGGAGAAGACTGAGACCAAGTCTTCCAATTTGGGTGTTATACTGGCTTTCGCCACGTGGGATCCTCCAGTATGACATAATAATTTGCTGTGTCCTTCTCCGCAGCGCCCAGTAACACTGTTACTGGCAACTTACTCCTTACTTTTCCCCTTGACCAGATTAAACCATCTAACATGAAGGTCCGCCAATACTGCTGCTGCGCTATTCGTGAGGCTTTAAACCCGATACTCTCAAAATATACACTAACCCCTCATCAGCAATCGTTAATGCAGGAATATACGCTGCTTTGACCGAGCAACTAGTAGCTGCTGTTTTGATCGGTGTCTTGTCTTTTGCCACCCCTTCAAGTTCGTTGTTTGCTTTTATATCAGTGTATTTTTAAATTCATTGTTGTCACCAGTTGTTGGTGCGGCAACACCGTCATTCGCTCCATTGCTCTTGGGGATCGTTTGCTTGGTAGCAGGCGCCGTACAGTTTCTTGGTTTCTTGGGGGTTGCAAGCGTGTGTAACAGTCATCAAATTCATAAAAGCTACCTACCTCATTCGGATAACAGGAAAAGCCAATACTCTTTCGACGATATGTCACACTTCATGGCTTGGCCGTTGTAGCTGCGTTCGCTTTGGCCGCTGCATGGGTCATAATATCTGCGTCAAAACATTCAACTGCGGAATCCAATTGCATCGCAGATTTCTTCAATACCACCGACTCGACCGAACAATCCGAGGGCAATACTCTTTGTAACATCTTCCCCTGGGTTGATATCGGCATCATGGCTGGAATATGGGTTTGGCTCGCTATCATGCATGTACGTAGACATGAAAGTCTGGTCAAGCTTCTAATGTGAAACCTTCTAGATCTATCTTTATGTTGTTATTAGTTCCTACAGTTCTGCACAACAGCAAGACCACATCAAATATGATGCGCTGAACGACCCTACCAACCCTTTGAATGGTGAAGGCATTCCTATGAACAGCCGCGACCCATGGGACGCGAGAACTTCCACTGATTATCCCGGAGGATACACCCATGGACGCCAGGCAAGTGCTTCGAGCATGAACGATGTCATGAATCAACCTGTTCGTCAACCAAGAGACGGATTTTCATATTCTGACGCTGCTGCTCCATACGTTCCGCAGCCCAACTACGAAGGTTCTTTGTCACATCCTAATAATGCCTACACCCAAGATCCTGGTCCTACCCCGAAGTTCAATGATCCTTATTACGATGATTCGTCAGACTTGAATCGCCCATCACAAGCCCAGGCCCATCCTGGTGAGTTTTAGTTATATTGTGGAGGCAGTCCCGATTGGGCGACGCATGGGCGTTCATGAGGGGTCTGTCGAAATTCTATCCCCAGAGGCGTAGATCGCTCACGATATTCTCAGCTGAGGGAAGTTTTGGCCGCAAGACCCCACGCTTGACGAAACCAACCTATAATATGTGATTTGAGAGGTGGATTTTTGCTGTATCATACTTACTGCTGGACATTTATTATCCTATCATCTCAAGCAATTATAAGCTACCGAACTATTGATCGTGTTATATTTTCGAGTCAATTAGAAAATTTCATCCTCTTCCCATGCCCCTAGCTGCAGTGCAAACTTTCTTTCTTCTGCTATCCTGGTCCATCTTTTCCCGCGCCCCGACATTGCCATGACCTCGTCTCGAAAGTTCACAAAAACAAATTTGAGTGGGGGTCTCCGCTTGATGATCAAATCCTCGACAGAGTCACAGAGTTTGTGCTCTTCTTGTAGTAAAGGATTTGTATACCATGCGTTGCTAATACTGACTTTTAGTACTATAAGAGAACTAGGAAACGCGCCAACGAAGTCACTATCCAACTCGTGAACAGAAACAAACGAAAGAGCCAGATAACGCAGTTGATCCAAATGCCTCAAACAGGATGTCAAGGTTAGGCTAGACAAGCGACTGCAGCCTAATAAAACTAATTTGTGCAATCCAGACGCTGATCCAAAGACCAAAGAATTCAGATGTCGATCTCTAAGCTCGAAATGCGCTCCTGCTTTGGCACCTTGCGTATACTGAAATTCTTTGAGCTGAGACTGGGCAAAGTATTCCTCCATATGTTGTTCCAGGTAATGTCCTGTGACCCCATTGATTGCGAGATTGGTGAGCCTGGGGAGTTTCGTGCCTTGTGGAAGTCCGCAATCCCCTGAGAGACGAAGCCTTTGCACGCTATTACAGGATACAACCTGAAAGATTCGAGCTGAGCTCTTCAACGGGCTCAAATAAAGTTCGTAGGAATCGAGTTGTGGCACTCTGCCAGAAGGGAACATTGCCTTTTCGAATTCCACAGTGAAGCGAGCTCCCAGGACTGAGGACCACGCGGTCAGCCAAACTTAGGTATGGTGCAAGAGGGAGAAGGTACTCACTGAAATCCTTCATAGGCCTGGTTCGGTTGCGTTCAAACACTCGTAGCCTGCGCAGGGATACGAGTTTGGATAACACGAGATAGAGTTCAGAGACAGGGACAGACTGCAGATTAGGAATAATACAGTACTCAGCCCAATGACTCTTGAATAAGCTCGTGCTGTCTTACATGACCAGACGCATGCACCAATCTTGAATCGTTGGCAACATCGGCATGCAGGATCCTCGATGCAGCCTCAGTACTGATATTCGCATTGAAAGCTGCGATCTGATCCTCGTGAATGAGGGATACATAAGAACGGAAGTTTGCCAATTGACCGGCCTCGTATGAAATTTGTCTGCAGACATGCAAAAGTCTGAAATGGGTATTTTTGGGTTGCTGATTACCAGGAACGTGTTGCAGTTCTGAAAGGTAAAGGGCATAGATTAGAATACGTAGTTCCACAGGCAGTGACAACATGTAGAGAGCATGTAGTCACGAGATGGCTCGTTAACTGTGAACATCCATCCACTGCCAGCATCTATCTATTCTGAATCTCTGAAAATATCTCGTAACCGGCTCCGATACAGCATAACACCGCAAAATCACAATGACAACACATTGTACTTTTTTGTTAGTCTCATAAAGGCTCATAAAGGGCCCGGGGATGGAGGAACTTGATCCTGTCCCAATCTGTCCCAATCTTGCCGTAAACTCGACAGAACCAACTCACGTTTCTACTATTGACCACCCGGAGGACTTCTGCAAGAGAAATTTCGGAGTCCCCTTCGTGTTAGGGCACCTGTTCCCATCTCTTCCAGAATTGGAAGCTAACCAGGCTTCTATCGCCGTATTTTATCAGTAATCTCAACTCAAATAGTTCTTGATTTACTGTCCACGCTCACGTATGCCAGCTCTTCTACACAACTACGAAGTCCTGCTCGACTTCAACAATGATACCAGCAAGCCAGTGTCAATACAACTGTCTGAAAACTATGGTCGCAATACCAACGCGATCGTCTTGCTTCTACCCTCAGAAGCTGTCTCCTTGATTTTGCAACCTGGTTTGCTATACCGCTACGCTGTTAAAATCAACTCTGGATCTGTTTATAAGGTGGCTGACGTGAGGTGAGGTTTCTTTCCCATATCACTACTCGAACGAACGCGTAACCTAATGTAACCACACCTCTGGAAGTGCTCGTTCATGGAGAGATATACATTGCGACATATCACACCTTTTCTCTGGTGGAAGCAGCTCCCGACTTGACAATTCCTCTGCACCACTGGATGGTGTAACGGTCACTCGTCTGTGGCGCGATTACCGAATCTCTTGCTTTTGGGGCGACCAGCTCTAGCACTGTCGAATTTGCGAAGTCAGTGTATTTTCCAAGCAGGATGGATACTTAGTTGAAATGACATCTTCAGGGCGCTGTGCACGGGTCATTATCGACGAAGCCACGCTCTTGTAGTGAGGCTCCTGTCCAAGCAGCACGCTACATTTCGGGAGTCGGATTGAGTCGGAATGTATCATATCTAAATCGAGAACTGTTTATTGTGTTTCCCCTTAATCACAAAGCTATTCTGTCAATGTCAGTTTCGCCGTGCGTCCTGGACGAGAATGCCTTGCGTTTGCGGCGTGTTTTCGCACCCATTCACATAGTCTCAAAAGTCTAGGCAGCTTGCACTTGGATGTGTTCCTTCCACCTTTTGACCAAGAAGCTCAATCGGGAGGGCCAGCAAGTAGTTTGCGATTGAATATCTTATTACTTATGGAGGTGGTATAAGGAAAATATTTTCTCCGGTTTCCATCTGACCGGTTTCCGCGTTCCAGACGTTTTTCCTTGCACCTCTAGACTATCGTTAAGCTCTCTTCTTGCGTCAGTCGCTTCGGCAGCATATACCGACCAAGATAGAGGAGGCTTTTCAAGCAGATGGTTCCCTCCCCTGTAAAATATATTCTGAACTCTCTGCCATTTTCGATGGACACAACTTCGAAGATTTTTGTGCTACCCCTAGGACGAGTCTTCCACTTGAATAACGATGAGACCTCATAGATAGATGGTTATAAACTCAGTGCATCGAGCTTCTGCATCGAAAGTGATTTTTATACTTGACCCAACGGCCAAAGCGTGAGTTACCGGCATCTCTTGGGACAGATAGGATGCCCGATAGGGATACATACTCGAGTACATATACGGAGTCGGAGAGGTTCTCAAAGACACTATAAATTCATCGCATGGTTCTGTCGTGTTTCCTTCTTCATTTCAGCTAGTCATACTCAATGAGAAGAAGCTACATGTTGCAAGTTGTTTGTATGTTTTTCGTCTAAAGATCTCATTGGAGAGAGTTGACACCCGGTGTGTCACATAGTATGTTCAGGAGTCCTTTGTATACGCATTCCAAAAAGAATGTCAACGAAATACCGATTATCTTGTCCAACCACGGGCTCGCAATTGGTTTTTCGATTCGTAGTTGATTGGGATTGATGGTGTGAAACCTGGTTCATTTGATGAGGATGAACACATAGTAGATTGTTTATATCCCACACATGTTGTAAGGACGAGATTATATATGGGAGAAAGTGTGAATATGCTACCATTTGATATTATGTTTTCTTAGGCTTCCGTCCAAATATGTAGTTCGCAGTGAGAACTGGTCCTGCAGTTGGAGGCCGCTGAATACCAAGTCTGCCTTGAGAGAGGTCAAGAACGCTCCGAGGGTCACCAGGTGCACTTTGACCTGCTCGCAATGCAAATTCGCCTGTGACGGTTTTCCTCCTCTCCCGATCATGAAGATTTTTCATGGATATCGGAGTAGCCATTAAGTGGTCCTGTGGCAAAGAAGCATGAGACAGACGTACAGCTGGAGAGATAAAGCGCACAATATAGTTTCCAACATTTCGGCTCAGTTGAGAAACGGCATCCTGATTTCGGAAACGCAGCATTTTCTGCATATTCCACCGAGTCTTTGGGCGTAACAACCCATTTTGGCCATATTCCAAGGCCCTCTCGGATTCTATAACGTTCTGAGTGCCGTGGACGCCAGTTTTGATAAGGTCCAATGGTTTCTCTGCACGTAGCTTGTCCTGCAAAATTTCCCGTCCTATTGCACGAGCAGTGATTTCCCATCGAAGGTCTTTGTGATTGTCAACAAGCTCTAGAATTGCGACTGGGGCATTGTCGCCTGGTCGGTTCCCAAACTTGTGTATTCTGGTATACCCGCCGGGCCGTTCAGCATAGCGACTGGCAAATGTTCCGAAGAGTTTAGGCAAGACCTCGGGCTTTAACAGAAAGGCAGATGCTCTTGCTTGGGCTGACCGGTCCCCTTTCTTGCCCAGCGTGATGATCTACAGCATATGAGAAGATGTGCGGGCAAGGATTCTGGATCTGGGTACCTTTTCCGCTAGCCTTGCGGTATCTCTCGCCTTCGGGAGAGTTGTTTTTATCTGCTCATGCTCGAAAAGGGAAGTGACCAAATTCCTGCAAGGAAATCCGATAAGTAAGAAGATGGCGCGAGTTGGGCATTACTTGCCGAAGCATAAGCATTCTGTGGGATGTTGACCGCGAGAATTTGCGGAAAGCAACGCCATGCTTCATGACGGTCAAGAGTAAGAAATATTGCGCCGAGAATGTAAGTCATTTACGTAACGCGCTTGAACGTTTCGTTTCGAACGACTCTAGTGCGACAATCAGGCGACAAGATTTCTGAACTGCGGTGAAATTCAACCTCTATATATAATATCGAATAGTATCATCGTGTATCGTTAAATGCTCAATTTATCGGAGAGTTACTATACTGACTCTAATTTGAAGATATTTGAAGGTCGTGGGAAATTGGCACTGACCGGGCGTTTTAGCGCGGCTCCGTCTTTTCCTCAGCCTGTTCTTCCATCTTGAACCATGTCTATTTTCCGAATTGCTGCTAGATCCTCAATCATTCCGCGGGTTGCCTTGAATGCCTCTTACAGGACAAGACAACAAATACTTCTGCGTTCTTACTCTGCTGCGGCGGGCCTCTCCAAGTCGGATATCGAGTTGCGTGTGTTGGATGTACTGAAGGGTTTTGAGAAAGTGGATCCATCTAAAGTATGGGCTGCTCTATTTGTCCTATGAAACTGCTTACAGGGTTTCTCTCAGCTTACGTCAACCGCCTCTTTCGAAAAAGACCTCGGGTTAGACAGTTTGGATGCTGTTGAGGTGGTCATGGCAGTAGAAGAGGTATTCCCATTACTCCTCATCCTCCTCCTTCTTGACGCGATTATAACGCAGGAGTTTGCGATTGAAATACCGGATGCAGAAGCAGACGAAATTCAAACAGTGCAACAAGGTTTGTTCCCTACACAGGTGACCTGTGCTCTTACTTATGTTCGCGCGTGAACTAGCTATCGACTACGTTGCCAAAACTCCCGAAGGTTGGTCGAAATGCATTTCATACCTCGCTCTATATACTCATACCTTTCTAAGCTCACTAAAATGCCCTCGGAATTATCCGCCAATGTATTCGTCTACCCTACCATAATCTAGGTAGTTTTTAATTGCGGGATTTCACGGACCGGAAATGTTGAGGATTGTTCTTTCGTCCCGCTGATCAGTGGCTGAGATAGGCGTTTTGGACAAGGGATTTCTTCCCGGTGATCGAAATGTAGCTTCTACACTGATACGGCGTGGTTTATAGAACAGCTACCAAAGACAATATTATTTCATATCTCCTCTCCTGTTTCCCTCACAATCAAACGTGGATGTCTCCTTTCGTCAATAGAAAGATCGTCGTTGACGAACCTCTCTTGAAAGTTGGATGCACACTCGGCGAAGGTTGATTGAGAACTAATGAGAGGACTCTTCTGAATGCTTCTTCTTGTTCACCTCTAGGTCCTCTGTATGATCCGGTCACTGCTACATTACATTTTGTCGACATAATTGAAAGAAAGGTGTCGTCTTAGCAATGTTCAATATTGCGATTCTCTGCCTATTAAACCATGCTCGATTAGGTTCATCACTTCAATACCGTCGATTTCACTCTTACTACGGACCTATACAACGTACCTATAACGAGCATTGTACTGCGCCGGGATGCTCCAGGAGTAAGGATGATAGACATCGCAAGTCAAGCTTTGTATTAAGGGTTTCTTTGTTTTTCTTAGTTGGCCGCTACCACGGCTCGAGGTTTTGCTTTACTCGATCCAGATGGTTCTGTCGAGTATCTGGCCCAACCGTTACCTGAAGAACATGTCCCCTTCACTCGTTTCAACGACGGTACCTGTGATGTTAGAGGCCGATACATTGCTGGAACTGTATATTCTCCGGAACACGGAATCCCTGGTAAATTGTACATGTATGACCCCGATAATCAAATTTGTACAACTGTTGACGAAGGTCCCTTTACGGTATGAATATTTGTAACCTCTATCTTTGAAGGAAATCTGACAAGAATCCTGACCCAGGACTCCAATGGATTGGGGTTTAGCCCCGATGAGAAAATCCTGTGAGTCCATATACTGTATACTATTCATGTGTTATTCTATTAAGACCTCATCCCGTCCCCGACTAGTTATTTCACAGATTCTTTCAGAAACATCATATTCATGTACGACTACGATGTCCAACACGGAAAATTGAGCAACAGGCGTAACTTTATTGAAGCCAAGGAACTAGGTTATAGCGGATTTTGTGACGGCATGTGTGTCGACGCAGACGGCGGTTGGTCTCTAATGTTTACTCTGATTACACGGTAAAACTAACGATCCATACGTGTGCACGCTGCATAGGTGTCTGGAGCGCTAGGTAAGTCAATCTTTTGCTCATATCCTCTATCGGCACCATGTCTTCCTATCTCAGGTGGGGAGATTCCCGGGTCTGCCGATTCACAAGTTCTGGCGCCGTGGACCTGGAAATCGTTTTTCCAAGGGTGCTAAAAGTGACCTCGTGTTGCTTTGGTGGTAAGTTGGATAAAAAAATTACTTCGAGCTGTTTTCATTCATCCAACAATTCGAAGGACCTGGGAATGACCAACTTTATGTTACCTCTGCGCATTGTGGAGCCAATAATGTTGAGGAAAACGGTCTGCAATCTACCTATCCCGACTCTGGACACCTTTTCGTTGTGAATCTTGCCGGTAAGTATAGAGGACGTTCCCGACATTCGTTCGCCGGCTAGAAACTCGACAATCGGTCTCCCTGAAGGCGTTTTTGGCGGAATCTGTGTCTCGCAGTTGGTTCACAGAGGATATTTGTCATTCCATAGAAATAACGTCTTCTATCAGTAGTTTGCTCCATTCCCTTTTTATTCTTCCTATGAACCCGTTCTTGATCTAGTATGTATGTAGATTTTACTTGCTATTTTCCTGAAACTCACCAAAGTGTCGAAAGATATGCTATGCTGACCAGAGGAACTCTGGCGCATTAATCAACCCGAGAGTCAACCGCGGGGGTACTAAATAGGGGCTACGCTCAGCTCCGGGTATACTACTATTAGTAGTGAGTCACCCTACTGTGACGCATGACCTGTGACGTAGGCGTGATCTGTGACTGTACAGTTGAACGAATGGCTTTCCCACATTCGTTACACAATCCCATCACGACAATCGGCATATCACTAGGCCTTCCACTCAAGACTCTGCAAGGTATGTAGCTTGTAAATCTGCTACTTTACACTCAACTTAACAGTATTCCTCCATTCTCAATCATCAGGTGCGACTTTTGGACTTTGAGGAACAAATTTGAACTGGAACTGACTTGGAGAGGATAATAGACAACACCATGGCCACTTTCTCTTCGACACCCATCGTAATCGATGGCAAGGGACATCTTCTCGGTCGGCTGGCCTCGATCATCTCCAAGCAAATTCTTTCCGGACAGAAAATTGTTGTTGTAAGATGCGAGGAGATCAACATCTCTGGAAGCTTTTTCCGAAACAAAGTTGGTTACTTGTTCAGTTCAGAGGACAGTCGGACATATCCTTAACATACATTCTCCAGCTCCGATACCACAACTTTTTGCACAAACGCCATATTGTCAACCCCAAAAAGTCCGGACCCTTCCACCACCGCGCTCCTTCCAAGATCCTTTACCGTGCCATTCGTGGAATGACCCCGCACAAAAGTCCCCGTGGTGCCGCTGCCCTTGAGCGTCTCAAGCTTTTCGAAGGTGTTCCTCCACCATACGATCGCAAGAAGCGTATGGTTGTCCCTGAGGCTCTTCGGGTCCTGAGGTTGAAGCCCGGCCGCAAATACTGCACCGTCAAGGTACGTGAATGCGGGCGACGAAGGATAATCTCTTGTTCAATTGTTATCCATCACAGCGTCTATCTCATGAAGTCGGCTGGGGCTACAAGGATGTTGTTGACCGTCTGGAGGAGAAGAGAAAGATCAAGGCTCAGGCTTTCCACGAACGCAAGGTATGAGGATCGCACAACTATTTTGTACAGTTCCTCAAATATCTCCATTCCTAGACTGCAGCAATCAAGCTGCGCCAAAAGGCTGTCGTTGACTCCTCGTCATCTTTCCCCAAGTTGGCTGAGCTTGGATATTAGATGGTTGAATATCATTATCATACCTTTTTGCCGTTGCCGTTATGCATTTACGGGTCATGTAACTGATATGCCGACTACTATACACTATGACATGCTTCTGAGCGAAATTATCAGTGAAAAAAATGTTCATAAATATGATTATGTATCTAGTTGGATGGCAGAATGACTCCGGTATGACTGTCAGTTGACGTTACGCTTTGTGCCGCGAATTGCCGAAAGATCAACTTGACTTCCTCCTTCAGTAAACTTTTTCTCCATCCTTTTCTTCCCTCCGTTCCCCTTCGTCCTCACATGTCCGACTCCTCCGACCATAAACGAGACTCCGGTAAGAATCTTTCTCTAATCGAGACTCAATATCACCAGCTGAAGCGTCGATTCTTTTTAATTTTTTTTTTTCGGTTAATGTCAGCTTCGCCGCCGCAGTCTCGTTCCCCTTCGCCGTCACCTCAGGACACTCTTACTCTGAGAGCCCTAGTGAGCACCAAAGATGCAGGTGTAATTATTGGAAGAGCTGGTAAAAATGTTGCCGAACTGCGTGAACAAACCGGCGTCAAGGCTGGAGTAAGCAAGGTCATCCAAGGTGTTCATGAGCGGGTCCTCACCGTCACTGGTCCTGTAGAGGGCGTAGCAAAAGTATGCCTGCTATCTGACCTGATTTCTACTTTTTTTCTAACGTAAAAGTATCCAGGCGTATACACTGATCATTTCTCAACTCGTCGCTTCCAATCCTTCTTCACCAATCACCGCGTCTCCTTCCTCTTCCCATACTACCGTGCGGCTTCTGATCTCCCATAACCTTATGGGAACCATTATTGGTCGTAACGGTCTTAAAATCAAAGCCATTCAGGATGGCTCGGGTGCCCGTATGATTGCATCTAAGGAAATGTTACCTCAGTCGACCGAACGTATTGTTGACGTTCAGGGTTCCCCGGAAGCCATCGGGCTTGCCATTGAGGAGATTGGAAAGTGTCTTCTTGAGGATTGGGAGCGAGGAATGGGTACCGTCTTGTATCACCCTGGAACCTCCGAAGAGAGAACCGGTTCCAGACGCTCTACCAACGGCCTTTCTTCCTCTTCCTATAGCGGCTCTCGTCGTCCCAACGGCGACGCCCCTCGCCGTGCCACGTCACCCAGCTCTCAGCAGGCTTCCGTAGCTGCACAGCCTACCGCTAACCTGCGCACGCAGAATATTTCCATTCCTTCGGACATGGTCGGATGCATCATCGGCCGTAGCGGTACGAAAATTACCGAAATTCGTCGCTTGTCCGGTTCCAAAATTTCGATCGCCAAGGCTCCTCACGATGAGACTGGAGAGCGAATGTTTACCATTGTCGGTACACCTGAGGCGAACGAGAAGGCCTTGTTCCTGCTTTATAATCAGCTGGAGAGCGAGAAGGAAAGGAGGGTTGGACGCGAGGCTCAACAGCAACAAGAATTGCAGGACTGAGCAGGGTTCTTTCCGAACCATTGACAGCCTCTTCAGGCTATTCCTCTCCCTATCAATCTTATTTAAATCCCCTTGATTGAAGGGTGTCTATGTAGAATGTACCAATAATCCCTCAAACATCGGTCCGATTTTGGACCCTCTCTTTATCTCTCTTTCCTGGCCGACCAAATCACTCGTCTGCTGGCTATGCGCCCTCACATCCAAATCCATCATCTTGGTGCTCTAAACTGGAGCCTTTCCCATTCCACCAATTTCTCCACGATGTCTCGCGTCCTTTACTCTCCTGGCCATAATTGAATCCTCTCGATTGCTGCAGCAATATACGCTGGCCACTGTTGTTGTCGTCGTTGGAGACGGGCTCTTCGTAAAAGTATGCATACTTACGTTATAGCTTATCGGTCAGGTAGTTGGTGTATATATATATGTATTTCATTTCGTTACATATATTGTTCACTGCTCAGCACCATTATGTAGATATTCTTGGAGAAATGGACATTTTGTAAGAAGAAAAGTTCCTTTTTCAGTTGATCGGAGAACTTCTACGCGTTTCCATGGATCCGCCACCATCTCTTCCTCCCCGACCAGGCGTGTCACAAAACAATATCATACCGCCGTCTCAAACAGCTGCTTTTGTTTTACGTTCTGCTCTCACAAATCCTTATTCTCAAACATATTCTTCTCATTATGCTCAAGCTTATATGCACCAATACAACGGGATGCCTTTTACGAACGCCCAAGGATATACGATGTCCTCTACATACGATCCGAATGCATATGTGAATAATAACCAGAACCAGTACTTCACCCAATCCACAGCTGGACCCAGCTTTTCGAGGCCACAGAACCAGAGCAACGAAGGGATCAAAATACAGAGTTTTAACCAGGCAAATTCGGCTTGGTATCAGGCTGGATACGAGGGATGTACATATAGAGGCTGCAAATTTACTGGTTCTGCTAAATGCGTCGAGATTCATATGATGGATCGGCACTTGATATATCCTCCAGGCTGGGATTCACGCAAGAAAAAAGACTGGGACGCTGACCCCAGTCTCAAAGGGTGTGTTTGTCTCTTTCGGCAATTTCTTGATTTGACTCATCCTTGGATATCTCAGAAAACCCATTCTAATTCAAGGAACGAACCTGACACTCGATACGCCGGACGCAATAGACGCATGGGTGGAAGAGCGGAAAAAACGCTGGCCTAGCAGCACGCTGATCGCTGAGAAAAAGCGAAAATTCGAGCAGGCTTCTGCAAGAGGAGAACTTTCCGTAGAGTCTCTGGGATTGTTTTCCACAAAGAAACGAAGGGTACAGGATCCTTATGAGGGTAATGAGAGGAATGATCATGCCCGTGGTGGAAGAGCAAGAGGCAGGGGTAATGACTGGACTCCGAGGGGTTCATCAGATTCTGGGTGGAGAGGAAGGGGCGCCAGGGGTAGAGGTAGAGGAAGTTCGTTTGGTCCTCGAGGAGATAACACGATCAATCGCGCGCTGGTGCTCGAGCGTGAAGTGTCACCTCAGGTGCAAATACACGAACCCTTGAAGGAAGAGAAAGACAGAGATGGTTCTGCCTCAGACAGCGATAGCGAACCCGAAGTCCTATCATCTAAGCCTCCTCCAGTACCAGAAAAACAGGTGAATGTACCCCAAATTACGTCCTCCGTTCCGACTCAGTCTAATCCCAAAACGGTGGCCAAAAATCCTCGACCTCAGCCCAAAAAACCACCACCCAATCCGTTCGCTCCTAGGACGAGCTTGTTACGAAACGTGAGTTTGGCTTCATTCTAGTTCGTATCATTTATCTGATCCCCAGAAATCAGCTTTTACTTCCTGAAATACGAATGACTGTGTCCAATTTGTCTCAAGCCATCCGATTTCTCGTGGATAACGATTTTCTTGACGGTGTAGAGCTTAAGCCAGGAGAAGCGGACGCAGTTCCCATCCAAGTCGTTGGCTCAGTTTCGACTTCCGGTGAATCATAACCCATCAGGCCCTTATAAATACGCTGCAGTTTGTCCGTTCAGTCGATATAGCATTATAGAATAATTTGCACAAAATATAAGTATTGAAAGCAATTATAAGATATATCGTATAACGCGTTAGTGCAAACCAGATTCATCACTCTCACTACCGCTCTCACTATCACTTTCGTCCGAGCCTGCCATTTCATTGGGATCAATATCCAACGTCCTTCGTTCAACTTCAAATCCATAGCCTGCAAGACCAGCGTCAATTTCATCAGCTTTGGAAGGAGCAGTTACTACCACTGCAACTGAAGATTGAGACTCGAAAAGGGGTAGGAAATGGCTGCGGAAAACGGAAATGATATCTTCTTTGGTTACAGCTTGGAATTTCTCAAGCAGCTCCATTTGATGATTCTGCGGTACACCTTTCAGGGCCTGATTGGTGAAAGACACGATGGCAGCTCGACTAGCTGTGGATACAGTTTTGGTAACTCCATAAACGATACTGCTCTTTGCTGCATCCACGGTAGTGTCATCAAGAGTTACCTGAAGATGTTTATATTAATGACGACGGGCAGTTGAGAGCAGGAAGACCATACCGTGCCATCGGCGAGGCCTTTGATGACCGTAGAGGCAGCCTTGAATGCACCCATACTGTTTGAGCTCTAGACAACACTTGGTCAAATTTTCGCACAATCAGTGGACCAATGATCTTACTCGATAAAGAGAAAAGCTAAGCAGACCGGATTCCACATCCAGCGATACGTATGCGCCATAAGCCAAACCAGATCCCCGGATATAGCGCCATAAATAACTCTCAGTTGCGTTTAACACTTCAAGAGCTACACGGAATGCAGGATATTGAGGGTGGTCGAAACCCTGGATTCCTTTTGATGTGTGGATCACATATGAGCTCTCAATGGTAGGAAGACTCATGACGAGAGCCTGAGATGCGATAAGTCTGGGACGTGAGCTCTGGAGTAGATAGACTTCTCGTACCTTTTTGACGGGATTAGCACCAACGGGACTAAGGACCTCGGCAGAAAATGGGATGGGACTTAGGGGTGCTTCCTGCAAGTATAGAATCATCAGATTGTTGGCGAGAAAAATGGTTTGAAACACATACTGGTACGTCTTGGAAATACTTCCTCCATGTGCTACGAGGGTGATTGATCTTCAAAACATTACCGCTTACGGAGAAACGCATCCCAGAAGGATCAATCACTATGATTAATTAAATTTTGAGGAAAGAAGGTAAGTGGCACGAGGCTTCTCACTGTGCTTTCTGATCTCGTCAAAATCTGCGATAACTCTTTCTGGAGACTCTTGTAACTCTTTTGCAAGTTTAGGGACAAACTCCACTTGAGGGAGGACACCACCGGCACGAGAGGTAGACTTCTCGCTGAACATTAAATCAGCCCATAAGGAACTGAGTACAGTGCTTCCATCTCTCTTCATCTCTGGGAGAGATTGCTGTACTTTAGCGATGGTGACCGCTAACCTGAAGATACTTGTTCAGAAGGTTTCTTGTGTAATCTTCATGAAAGACTCACCGTTCCTTGTCAAATTCACTACCATATAGTAGGTCCTTGAGCCAGGCGATTGCGGTTTCATAGGCGGCATTTTCAACTTTGATGGTAATGCGAAGCGTTTCGGCGAAAGAGTTCGCAATACCCAGTCCGACCTCATAAGATACAGTTTCATCATCGAGTTTGTTAATCACCTCTTCGTGACTAAGCCGCTCGCCAGATTGACGCTTCACTGGAAGGGCGAAGAAGGCAGAGAGGTATGTGGATATGTGTCTGTATATATCATGAGAAGAAGCTGTAGAATAAAGCCTTGCGGCTTACTTTCGTAACCGCTGAGGTAAGTTCTCTAATGAGAAAAATGCGGTAATGCTAACAAAGTCAGACTTGATGTTGGTCAGTATGAAGTACGATGAAATTTGGAAAAAGGTATCCACCTCTACGTGATCATATTGCACGAAGAAAGGCAGCTCATCTCCGTCAGAGGCTATGATTTTGGCTAGATCTGAACTTGATGGAGTAGGTAGAGCAGATCGGCCCCTCCCTTTCTGTTGGACACTTTGCACAGGTATCCAAGAAATACTCTTCACACTGGGAATCTGGAATTGTGTAAGAACTTCTGTGGGAATGGGCTTGTCATGTTCAGCCTTGGCTTCCTCGAGTTCTTTCGCAGCAGCTTTGATACCCTCAGGACCAAGCCTCTTGACTTGTGCAGCGAGGCGTTTCTTCTCGTCCTTTTCCAGCTTTGCAGCGAGGGCTGCAGAAGGACGTCCGATGACAACAACAGATGAAGGATCGATATAGTACCTACGATGTTTCAAGGTGAGTGAGGGTTAATTTTGGAAGACGATCCCCTTACTTTTGAAGGAGGTTAGTCCATTGATTGCTGGTCCACTTCTTGACGGCAGCGTATGCATCAAATTCGGCCATAGAGGGCGCAAGCTCCGATCCATCCTCAGCACCATACAGATGATCTGTGATCACAGTCCCAGAGAAAGTGTCTCCTTTCGCAGATTCCAGTTTGCTTCGGAGCTGGGAAATTGAGAAGGTCTATTCAAAGCACATGGAAATTCAGACGTACTTGACGTTCGTCGCGGTTAATGACCATAGCCATACGTTCCATATCAATACCCTCATTGACAATTCGCTGAAAGCTGGCCTTGAGCTTTTGATCAAAGGTGTCAAGGTTTTCGGTCGACACGGATCCAACATAGATAGGCATAGAAACACGCGTCGCTCTAGTATCTTCCGAAAAGTAGATGTAGGTGCTTGAAGAACACACGAGTGAGCGAAAAAACTTGAGGCGAGTGAGAAAGACTCACCATAATGGTGACTCAATTTCGACATATTCTTTATTCAAAGGAGCAGCAGCAGATGAAGTGAGATAAGTACTGAGAACATCCAAGGCCTGCAACACGATTAGCGCAAAGGAACCGAACAAATCAAGTTTACGAACCTTTCTCTCTAAAAATTCATTTGGAGCCGGGCCTAAGAAATTGATGATAATTTCACCGACACCTAAGTTTCAAGGACAGGAAGTTATGAGTCTGTGGGTAAAAAGGTCATCTGAGCGGACGTACTTTCGTCCTGTTCAGGAAATTCTATAATTTTTTTGATAGACTCTTTGATTGGGGGTCTGATAGCACTTGGTGTCTCTAGGAAAGGACGCTTCCAACCCTCTGGCTTTGGACCGCGATTCTGACCGTGTGCTATGAGGCTAGGTTCCACTTGCTCTTGCACAACCGATAACAACGATTCAGTCCCGCTCGACAGCTTTCCCGCCACGATCAGAGACAGATTGTGGGGCACGTAATAAGATCCATGATACTCCCGGACTTGGAAGGAAGTATGATTAATCATTGCCAATGTTAGAGCGGAAAAATATGATTACTTTGCTCGACAGTTAATCTCCGAAGCGCTTCCATCAGTCCGCCAGTTTCGCTGCGGTATGCACTACTGGGGGGATCAAGAAGCCGTTGCATGCTGTGATTGAAAGTAAGTTGGTGATTGTTCAACGAGAAGGAAAGGACGAACCCGAGCGCCATAAGATCGCCTGAAGTATTTTCTCTTCCTTGCATTTCGCTGTAGACAACCCCAGAATCATGCCCTTTTCCATCTATGTGATGAACCTAGATACTGTTGAGGCTTTGATGTGCTAGAGGAAGATTTATCGCCTTGCCTCTGTAATGAACCTTTCGTCTCATGATTAGCACAGCTAATTTCCACGTAGGGAACACGATACATACCCAGCCTTGGTTATGGTAGGATAGAGAATATGATCTACATATATCGGCAGTAACTGGAGGAATCCTTGTTCTCCAGCAGTGGAGACAGTGTAGGCAGTATGGTCTGTGTCTGTCCAAGCGTTTGTTCCATTTGAGAATCCACGGTTGGCCAAATGATCGATGATCCCTTTGTATGGGTACTTCTCAGAGCCCATAAATACCAAGCTGTGGAGGAGGATTATTAAAGAGAAATTTCAGGCAAGGATTGTGAACATACTGTTCCAAGGTATGAGGACATCCCGAGTCATTGAAAACTAAAAGGAGCGTCAGAACCAGTGTTGGAAGAGAGGACCTTGCGCACTTTCTGTGGGCACTACAAAATAGCCATTTACGATAGGCGCTGATACAGAGTGTCAGACACGAAATCAGACGCGACCAAAGATAATGCACACCTTCATAATCGAGATGTACAATGCTTAAACCAGTAATTCTGCTCCTGTATTTGGATACGACAACCTCTGCAAAGTCTAGTTTAAACTTCTGAATGAGATCGAAGTTGCCAAAGACTTGTGGTGTAGTAGACATGGCGAACGATGTAGTGGTAGAAGACAAAGGACGAGATGCAAGCCGAAACGGGAAATTATTTAAATGTTTCCTAATGCCACCGCAACCGGTCTGTTTGTGAAAAGTATAAGGAGAGGATGGAAACCCGATGCTTTTCAGGCTCCGCCTGGCAAGAAGGGGTATACAACGAGAGATAGAGCGAAGCATCCACCACTGTCCTGACCGCGCTCGAAGGGATGATTACGTGATTCGAAATCAAATTTTTCTTCGATCACTTTCCGGCAGTCGTCGGCTGCACTCAAATCATCATACTCTTCCGAACTTTTTCAGCTTTCCCCGGTAGACCTTTGTTTACTAGTCGAATCCATGTCATGACCTCCAAAAGGCCTTCTCTCACTGCCGAACAACTAGCTCTCTCAGAAGCTCGCAAAGCGAAAAAGGCGAAGCAGAACGTGGCAGCTCCGACTACGGCTTCTCTGGTCGACGAGGTGAAAGGGCGTATCATAGATCGGAAGTGGATTCAAATCAAGGACGCTGATAATGTCCCAAGTGGCCATCGCGTAAAAATTCTCACCTGGAATGTCTGTCGATTTCGCTTCTAGAATTGACAAGATCGCTTGAAATTGACGTTGAATCAAAGTTACTCGCACAATGCCTTGTCAGTACGTTGTGATATGCTTCGCAATCCGATCCATTCCTCTCATGAATTAACCCACAAAGGACGAGAACTATTCCCAAATAGCGATTGTCTAAAAGCAGTCCAACGGGAACATATGCTTTATCGTGAAATGTTACAACACAACGCCGACATTTTATGTCTTCAGGTATGTACATGCGTTTATGACATGCATTTACGAGGCGACCCCATATTTATTTCTTACAAAGGAAGTAGATCGTTTAGAGAAATTACTTCCCGTTCTCGAGAGCGCAGGTTATGCTCATAGATACGCAGCTGGTCCAAACAAAAAACACGGTTGCTTAATAGCGTTCAAGAAAGACCTTTACGAAGAAATGGGTCTAAAGTTGATATTGTATGACAAAGAGAACGTACGCGATACGGACGAGGAAGGAGTTAGCCTGTGCGGAAGCACTTTCCGTACAAGAAATATTGGTCACATTGTAGCTTTGAAGCATACGCAGTGCGATGAAGGCTTGGTCATCGCGACGACACATCTATTCTGGCATCCAAAGTTAGTGACGTCTAGTCCTCTTCCTGTGTCATTCTAACATTATGTATATAACCATATAGATATGTGTACGAAAAAGCAAGGTTAGTCTTAAGTTCCAAGCACCTGAAGAAGCCGGTGCCATCGCTGATTCACAACGCAGACAAGCGGCAATATTGAAAAGGGAAGTTGTGCGATTCAAACAATCCATAGGCCACGATGATTGGCCATGTATCATCAGCGGGGGTGGGTGAAAATGCCGAATGCCTCAGTTATTGAATTCCAACCCAAGATTCGACCAGACTTTAACTTCACTCCCGACGACCCTGTATACTCACTCATAGTCGGTGATCCTGTACTCCCCGTGCAGGAAGAAAAACTTAGGCCTTCCTATGTTGTCCATACAACGATAGATCCCGTAGTTGCCACCGGAGCTAGTGAAACCACCGATGGCAACAATGAGAACGAGGAAGAGGGCGCTGATCCCGATAAAGTCATCACCAACGCGCGCGCAGCCCGACCTGTTGATGGATTACTCTCGTTATCAGAGTTGAAAAACCTGTTTCTAAGCTCTGGTCCTCCGCTGAAAAGCGCCTACGACAGTAGTTTGCGGGGATATCTGGAATCTTTCAGCGAGTCTAACAAACCAACAAGGACTTTTGGGGATAGGGTTTCTATTCCATCTTCCAGACTAGGTGGATATGAACCAGAATGGACAAGCTATACATTCTACTGGAAGCTAGTTCTTGGTGCGTTTCAACCGAGAGAGAGTTTTCACTGCTGAAGTACTGTATGTATTGCAGATTATATCTTCATCTTAGATGCTCCGCAGAGTCAATCAACGATCACCGGTGTCCTATCCGGACATCGCACTGAAGACCTCCAGCCAGGACTCCCGCAATTGGGAGTCTGCGGGAGCGATCATGTGTTGCTCAGTGCGGAAATAGTTTTCACGCCTACTTTGACGTAGCCAGTGCTTAGCGTACTTGTAAGTTTGAACATGCTATAACACTATAGAGCGCAGCGATTGTAGCGAGAGACATGTAAAGAATTTAGGAATTAGGATGCTTGTAATGAGCGACTGTCCATGGTAGGTAAAAAAAAAACAAAATAAGTGGAAGGGGAAAATGTATCGACGCTGCGGTGTTCCGAGATAATATTAATACTTCTTCAAGTCAACTGATGCGGCCCCAGATCTATGCACATACCCAGAAAAGACACAAAGAAACAAAAAAAATCATCCCCACACATCTACCGCGCCCTGTCTGAACCATCCAATAAACTATCGAACAGCCCCCCTGCCGACTTCTCATTCCGCAGCTGAATCATATAAACGATACCCGTCCGAGCACCTCTATCGCTCAACTCGACCGCCACACCAGTTTTCCCTACCCTCTCAACACCATCCGTTAAGACGATCGTCGAAATCAAGACGGTGTTATTTTTGTCATCGGCCTCGACTACAAGCTGCTTCACGTTTGTCGGGCTCTCTTTATACAATTTGAGCTTAGCGGTACCAAGCGATTTCCACTGGGCATGCTGTTGCTTCAAAAAAACTTTACATTTGAAGGTAGCCGTTATGGATGATGTGACAGGCCCGGTAGGAAGCGAGGAGCTTTCGGCTACTGGAGAATTCGGGGGACTGGGATCAGCAAAGGATGTCTCAGCGAGGGCCCGATTGAACGTTGCTGATGGCATCAGGGGCCGGGGCTGGGGTGCATGAAGTGGAGTTCCAAAGGACTGCTGTCTTGTCATGGTGTCGTTGACATTCATGTTATTCGGAGGATAGCCATTAGGAGGCATGTTGTTATAACGAGGGTGGTCCTGTTGCGCCGAAAGAGAACGAGTGGACGGAGATCGCCGGCCAGGTGGGTTGGCCTGCATGGGTGGTTCAGACGGAGGTCGCGGGGGCAAACCGTCCATGAAAGGTGCGCGAGGTTGTGGATGATCGAATGGTGGACCACCTTGCATAGAAGGAGCGGCCATATTACGTGCAGGACCTCCAGGATATGGATGCTGCATAGGACCTTTCATAGGAGGAGGCGGAGGGCCGGGAGCACCACGACCAGGGCCAGGGCCATATGGAGGGTACGCCTGGTGCTGTGAACCGAGGCTAGGATTGCGGGAAACCGGGAACACTTGCCCAATACCAACAGAACCGCTATTTGCTGACGTAGGCCGTTGGTCATGGAACGACGGGAGCCGTTTTGGTGCTGATGGAGGTGAAGCCACATTGGACATACCCATCCTCGAAAACTGATCGCTGAGGGATCCACTCTCCGAAGACCGTGGAGATTGTTGGTTGAACGATGATGTACGGGAGGCTATTGATTCCATTCCTGGGGACGGTTGCGATGGAGGTGAGGAAGTTCGACTTATAGGCGGAGAACTAGCTTGTGAATGTCCACTTGGCGAAGCAATCGGGACCGGCGACCGTGGAAGTCCACCCATGACCGGAAGTGGGGGCACAGGGGGAGGAGCTTGCTTTGAAACTGGACCAACTAAACGGGAACATAAGCAACAAAAAATCCGTAACGAAAATTTCCTACCTGAGCTTGCAAATTCAATGCATTCCCTGAAATCTTTCATCGCGGCGTCTCGTTCTTGACGTGTTTCTAAGCATAATGTAAGGGTCTCTTTCCTCATGATGTGAACCTGCATTTCCGTGTCTGAAAGAAACTGTCAATAGAGTTTGCAGGATCATATTGGTTTGATCTTACCTGATCCAGGTACTTCCGAAGCGCGTAAAACCTTACCGGTCAGGGGAGGATAACAAAGCCACATATCAGGTCCGTTTGATCCCGAAGTTGCGCGCTCCTCGAGAGACATGCGCTCGCAAACAAGGAATAAGTCGGATAAGAGGAAGATATGCCCGCGTCTGTGCACAATTTCTTGACCAGTGACTCGAGGAGTAACGCGGATGACCAGATCCAACGAGCATCGCATCTCCCGTGTATATGTCAGTGAAGGAGGTGACATCTGCAGTTTGACAACCTGTATATGGATGTCAGTACGTAAAGTTTTTTTTCAAAACATATCTATGTATGAACAATGATGAACGTGCCTTATGGGTCATGGTAAAAATATCTATGCAACGCGCTGTGGAAAGCCGACGTTCTAAATCCGCGATTGGCATGGACAACGTAGCTGTAGAACTATGGCTCGTAGTTGTAGACACTGTTTCTCGAGACATCCGGTCTCTGTTGTGCAATGAAGGGCAGAAGTCGAAAACAAGTCAAGAAACTCACCCTGCAGATACTCCACTATCCCTCGTCGAATCACTTCCGCTGCCAGGAGTAACTTCGACCTCACTTATTCTATGAGGCAAGACGGGGGGGCCAGATTCGGTACGCATGTCGAGCACAACCTCGTCCTCGAGTTCATGGGCAGCATATTGTGGAGCGGGTGAATCGTCAGGGTATCCTACTCGTATGCTTTCTCGCTGTTCTAACGTTTCAAGTAGCCTTTCGAGCTTGTCGACTGCACCAACAAGAAGCTTGTAATCGCTTCTTCCAGGGGCAGTGCTCTTGAGCAATCGACCATAGAGTTTCTTGTAGTATTTTAAACGAGCTTTTGGTAAAAGGAAAAGCGTGTCAAGAGTCCATACTTCGTTGCCCGTAGACAGAGCACTTGATGATGACATATTCGCAAGTATGGACCCAAGTTTTGGATTGGACTGGACTGGGTCCCACATATCAAAGCCCGACAAAAATTTTGAGCAATACGTGGAGTATGGAGCTTCGAGGTCGTCAATCTATAGAAATAGTTAGGATCAGAAGATCAGAAGAAATTTTTGAAGGATCACTCGCCCATCGCATGAGTAAATCGCCTAAGGCCTTGGGAGAAGAGGGATTTGTTCCAATCTCCTTGAGCTTCTACGGATGAAATACATAAGCCACGAACACGGGTATGTATGGGAACTTACTGTAAGTAATGAACGATTGGCCTTGTAAACTGTCTCTATACTTCGAAACATTGAATCTAGCTCCGAAGGTGGAAGATTGGACCTGGACCATGCTGCAGCAACTTTCTGAAGGAATTTGAGGACGAAGACCAGGAACGCGTCACGCAACACGAACCCGTATTATAGCCGTCAACTGATCAACATATGCCCTTTCCGTGTCAATGAGATCGTTCAAAGGATTGGTCTTTTTAGGCTTCGCTCCCTCGAATGGCGTATTTGGGGACAATGGAGTAGTTGGTGTCAAAGGTACGGCTGTAGGTTGAGTTAAAGATGGTCGGCAAGAAAGAGGAAGCTTTGGACGCACATGAAGGCTCATAATTAGGCAGTGAACCTGGATGAGTAGGTCGTAAAGTAGGAGAATCCGAAGACTTGGATGGAGTTCGCGGAGGTGTCAGTGGTTGGTCAAAATCATCGGGAGGTGGCGGCGGCAATTTATTCCTGAGGACGCTGCTCATGAGTTCAAGAAACAAAGTTGCTGGATGCTTCACAGCAAGCAATCATTCCAGTCACATCCGCACGTGGCACTCTTATATATCGAGAATCAGAGATTTTTGGGTCAACCACGTGCATCGACCGATGTCTTTCGAAATCACCGATGTCCTCAGAACATGGAATACGCTGAATCCCCAAGAACGAAATCAACTTCACAGACTTTCCGCAGAAATGACCTTCCACCCACTCCTAATAAAGGATGAATCAACGATGCGCAAGCTGCTAGCTCCAGCCCTCGCCGCCGGGTCAATTTCCGACAAAGACTATGCCTTTGCTGCAGCGCGTCTTGGTTCATTGTCCAACTTTTATTATTTCAATGCTAGTCCAACTTTTTCCACTCATGGAACTCGTCTAATGATGAATGTTCTGCTTCCTGTCAAATAGTATCATCATGTAGGCCCGGCCATAACCGCAGTAGTTGTCTGCGAAACCGGCTCACTGGTTTTGCGAAAGCGTCCATCAGCCTTTATACGCGGTTTCTTCCTTTTTCCTATCGCATTTGCTGCTGCAACACTATCGACTCAGTCAGCAATAGCTCGACGAATAGATTCACTTTGGGAGGGCCTAGACAACCCTCTAGGTGTTGGCAAGGTCATCCACGCTCGCATACGAAAGAATGAGCAAGGGGTTTATTCGGGTGAGTCCAAATGTAGCTTTTGCGGAAGTGCCGTCAGCTTACACATGCAATTTGAGAACCCTCGTCCTCTGAAGGGCTGAATCCCGATTTCGTTTCTGACACCGTCGAATCATCCTTTGATGGTGAACCGTCCAAACCTCTATCATCGCCAGAACCCGCTTCTCCCTCTTCTCCTTCTCCACCTACACAATCAAATGCGTCCAATCCTAACTCCCGATGGGATGAGATACGTGCTGCTTCCAAAGGCCAAAGTGCTGTTTCTACTTGGGACGAAATCCGTCAGCAGAATGCGCGCGCGCAGATTCCTGGCACCCACGATAACCAAGATCGCTCTAGTTCATAGACTATGATCATCTTATGAGAAGGAAACCATGAACATAAGAATACAATTTAACAAGACGCATAAGATACATGTAAAATAAGTGATTTATATTGTCAACAATAGGCGGAAACATTACATTGATGCCCGTAAACCATGGAACGGAACTGTCTGTAAGTACACAAAAGGTACCAAAAAAAGTACGAAGGCAGCAAGGAAAATAAGGTATGTCGGCGGAAAGAAATTTCGAAAGCTTTTGGATATAATACAGAATAAAATTGCGGGGAACATTATTCAGTAAGATGAATCATGACTGTGGTGGCTTGTGCCTATCGCACTTGCGGAAAACCATCCAGGTGCAGAGTGAAATTCAGGAGGAGTTGACCTTGAGTGACCGTCTTCATCGAAAATCGTATTGGCAGGCATAGGAAGTCCAGCGGTGCCATCTTCCGGGACGTTGGAATTTCCCTTCCTCCACAATGACGACGACGAAAATGGATACAACGGTGCACCCACCTCTAGTGGTTGTTTGTGGGCCGTCATCCTGACGATTTCTCGCATAAGTCCTTGGAGAAGTCGTTCCTGTCGAGCTATGAGAAGAGATACCGCCGGTATTAGCTTTCACGCATGAAATAGACAATAGCCCAATTTACTTCCAATTGGCGATTTTTCGCCATAAGCTAACATAGCAAACCTACAAATGTACAAACATGATCAATCTAGTTTCGGGCTGAATTCAAAACTCACCTCAAGACGTTGATCTCGCCCCATACAGTGGATTCTCTGTCACTATCTCCGACCTCAATGAAATATTTGCATAGCTGGACTTGTACGACAGCGGCTAGATACCAGCAGATCTACAGTACAAAACAGTCAGCCGTTTCATCGCAGCAACTAAAGTAGCACCCAGTAGCACCCACAGTGACAAAAGGATGTAACCTCGTGATATCCAATGATGTGGCCGTTAACATGTAATATGCCGCCAATATACATCTTGCGGAATGAATGCAACGAGCAGTAGAAACATTATCTGGGTCATTAAAGTTCACGTATGGATTGTGTAGTGTGATCACGGCACTATAAGCCAATGGTGAGTTTACAATTCATCTCAAAAGATACCGAAAAGAGAAAACATGTAACTCACGCATGGGGAATGATGTGCACCATGTAAAGGTCGGTATCAAGGTTACTGCCATCGGGCACATCCGTGACACCATTGTTATTTTTGAAAATGTGCGGCAGGCTATCCAAAAATTCACGCGAAACGAGGTTATCGAGGGCCTCGAAACCTTCAAGATAGAAAGGGTTTTGATTCTTACTCGGCGCGGTTGGCGCGCGAAGGCTGCCGCGGACATTAAAGTCAGTGACTCTACCGAAAAGCATGACTGCTTTGACAAGGAGGACGAAAGAATCGGTATATTGAGGAGGGTGGCGGACAAAAACGTCAGGCGTCGCGATATCTTGAGGATTGCTTGGCATTGGATTCTGTTTTACGGATTGATACTGTCACCTGGACTTTAATGTGAGCCTTACTTACCTCGGATGCAAAGTCTTCATTGCGCAAAGGGAGTTCGGTTCCTATATCGCGTTCGTCAACAGAGTGGATCCAGCCTCCAACGGATGCTATTCGATCGAAAAGAATGGTCATCCACCAGGTGCGGCGTCGTGACTCGAGATCGCGAAGATCTTTCGGCGGGGCAAGATATGCCCCAGGAGATGTATTACCATGAGTAGAAAATGTCCCGGGATAATTGAGACGGAGAGGCACACTAACCCGCGTTTGAAAGGCGGCAAAAATCCAGACTTCAACCCAGCGACCCTCTTGATAAAAGTACCAGGAAAGCAATATACATGCTTGCATGACGGAAAATATATCTTCACCTGTCAAATAGCTTGAGATTTTGGTACAGATTAATGCTACCCAGGCCTTCTCACCGGTGCTCATACACTTATCGATATAGTGGCGCGTCTTTGAGGCATGCCAGTCTCCGAAAGTGTCGCTATGATAAACGAGCAGGAGTGGATCAGATGGAGGGCAGCAGAGCAGATTCTTTCATACCGGCGGGTACCATCAGGTAGAATGACAATATTATGTGGTGACCACCGTGATGCGGAGGCACACTGAGCAAAGTTAAATTGATTTACGATCAATGCACCACAATCTACTGTAATGCTCACAATAGCGTGAAGGATGGCTGAATGAGGGAAGCCCGGATCTTTGGGTGACAAATGCATTGAGGCAAGGAAAGAAGGTCGGTGGAGAACTCTAGAACCACATGGATCGCATCTGAAGAATACATCTATACTGCAAAAAATATAAGCAATTGCCCCGCATATCTCACAACGATAGAATACTCACTAATGATTGAGCGTTGCGGGATCAGGCAGGTCGGGGTTCCATCCAATAAACAATAGTTCCATGAAGGGGTCACCATTTGCACCAATGTCAGGGCTTGAGCTTTCAGCGCGATATGATGGGTCCGCTATTGATAAAGCGGCATGAGGTAGTGATATTCCTTTTGGAGAAGGGCTTTGTGAGGGAACAGAAGCTGTGGTGCTAGGTTGAGTCGGAGAAGTGGATCGGGCGTTGGCGTCCTTTTCGTATAGCTTGCTCTTCAAGGAACCTAAAAGCGATGAGGAGCCAGAAAATGCATACGACACGCACACAACGTACTGATCTGTTCCTCCAACTGTCTAATCTTCTCTAACGGGTCGGTCTCCGGAGCTAAGGTTAGACCTTCGACCGGATCATAGGAACATTGGGGTTCGGTAGGATGTCTATGTAGTATGCAACAACCTTCAGGTAAAGCTACAGGGTTACGAGGAGAACGTACGCATAGCCAACTGGGGCTGGCACAGATATTAGGGCCTGCCATTGTCTGTGCCGAGTAAGCTGTAACACCAACACCGATGAGGGCGGGAAGGGACCCACTTAACGCAAGTACCACAGTGAGGACGTGCGGCATCACATTTCTAGCAGAGAACTTGGAAGTTGAATCACTGAGACCGAAGAAAATTGAAGCACATACGAGTTTCCTTTTCACAATGAGGACGCGACGCATCACATTAGTTTTCTTTCCACAATAAACGCTAAATTCCACCTTTTACGACAGGAGCGACATGCCTGAAGAGCCCGACATTTGGTGAAGTTAGCAAGTCTTTCACGAGGTTTTAAAGACGTAGGAACCTGGTTTCTACGAAGAGCTGGTCTGCCTTGTGAGCTCGTTGCAACCTTGGGCATAAGGAAGTGTGGCGAAATGCTATCGATTAGTTGAAATAAATGGCAATATCAGAGGAAATGGGATATAATCCGTTCAAGTTGGATCCTTTGGCAGAAGATGGAAATTACGAGCAAAGTACTAGCGAAAGAGACACGGACAGAACCTTGAAGGAAGTTCAAGTTTGCCTTTATACACTTCACGTGAATTGTACACATACATACTCATTATATATACTAACATCACCAATGACCATCGACCCGATATATACAACCTCTTCGACGACAATCGTTATCTATAATATAGTAACGCGAATCGCACAGTGTTCGTATAATGAGTATTTCCGACCTAAGTGTTCCAGCTAGAAATGTGGGTCCTCTGATGAAATCATTCAACAAATCCTTTTCCGCCTGCATACATAGTCGGTTATCCATCATAGTGAATTACGAGCATCCTTTCATGAATTCGGATCCATGTTGTGATATCAAGATCTGCAAAACGACTTCAGGAACCTGGAAGAGCAGTCTCCGTTGTGCTCGATAGTGAGACTTACAGGATGGTTGCTACGACGGTTCTCGTGTGAGCTAGGCGTCGGAATTCCGTCAGATAAATTCCTGTGAAAGACCAAAGCAGTCAATGGTTACGAACAACGGAAACAAGGGGGGTTATACCTTGCCAGGTTCCGAGATTGAGTGACCCGTTGGTTATAGGTATAGATATAGTCGATCCGACCAAAGACGATTTGGTATGAGAAACGCTGATGGATATAGACTTGCATGAGATAATGCCTCTGGAAGGATCCGTCATTCCTTACGAATCACTAGGATGAGAATCATGAATGGATGCGGCTATCAAGAATGGAAAGGACACACTCTGGACCCTCATCGGTATGAAGCCAATCCAAGCTTTCCGGAACAACGCAATCCAACGCCATGTCCATATCTAAAAATCTCAATTTTGCACGGCATACCATAATGGTACAGGAGATATCAACGGACCTCTTCGAACATCTGCATCCAGATCGCGCCGGGGATGATGGAAAACGAATTTGAATACCCACTGGATACCCATCGATGATTGCGAAAAGAAGCAACTGACCTGGATCCCAGTTTTCATTCAGAGTTAGAGCACAGGATGTATGCTTTCTGTGGATCCAGCATCAGTTCAGGATTTGAAAACTGCTGTAACCGTTGCTTGCACAAAGAGAAAGAGCATCCCGACCTAGAACATTGAACAGTGTTAAGAATTGGATGCTCATATATAGTCAGCCGTCCGAACCTACTTGAACATCCTTCAACCCGGCCTCAATTTGAGAGGTGACCTCGTCAGTAATTAGATGACATCCTTTAGACCGTCGACCCAGCGAGAACGTCCGTTGCCATCCCATGATATAGTCAGGATATAGTTCAGGTCCAAGATGAGATGGGAGTCAATTATATTCTTGACTAACTGTGAAGCATTCTGTAAAATTTTCAGGTCTACATTGTACATATTAATTGCCCCTCCAAGGACATCCACCTTGGCTGCATGACCGTAGGTTATTGCATTTACATACATGTTGTACAAATCAAAAGAAATTCTCGAAGAAACAGCCGATGAAAAAGAATGAATTGTGTACAAATAAGAAATAAGAAAGTGGCTAGTGTAAGACTCGATGCTACTATGGTTCACAGGGTACTTCCGATTTCTTGAATATTGCGAATAACGTCTTAAATTTTTGAGTAAATAAAAATCTGAGTAGATAGTCTTATTTAGAATCATGTTAAGCTTGTCTTTTGTCTTACATGTTAAAGCAGATAAGGCATAAACAGAGCGTCGGACCATGACCGAGGGAAAACAGGGTACTTGGGTCACACTGAGTCACATCAATGCCGCTGCTCGGCACTCTGGCACACTTGGCCATTTGATGCTGGGTTGAGGCAGAACTTGTGTTGATCACGCTTTTGGAGAGTGTCAGAGGTTTGCCGAGGCTACGGCATGAAGCTGGAATCAAATATTGTCACGTCGCATACCCTCTTCACTTTATCTGCTTGTCGAATTTTTACAACACATTGGATTGCTTTTAAATTTGCTATGCTAGCTGATGAGAACCTCTACTTAATGCCCATGTCATTTTTACAGTTATCTACCAGCTCTTCGTACAGTTCCTGAGGCTTCAATCTAAAGTCACACTTGTATATTACAGTATTTTGGTCTTGTACATATGCATCCCCTGAATACAATCTATTTCATATGGTACAGTATGTTTATAGAGAACATAGAAAGTACTACATAAAAAGTCTGGGAGCATTTATCGACCTAAAACATTCAAAATATGAGATTTTCGAAAATGCGGAAGTACCCTGTTTACGGAAGTACCCTGTGAACCATAGTATGAGGTTCTATGAGGATGATAGAAATAGTGAAGCCTGCGGAGGAATATGTGGAAGCAAAAACCAACAGACGAAAAGATTCAGCTGAACACTGGTTCTTGGAATTACGGGCAGTGAAGGACCTTAGCAAAGCAAGATGAATTACCCTGGCGACCAAGCCCTTTATAGGTCGTCCTTAACATAGAAACCTCTTTAGTCGTTTGAACCGCCAACCTCATCTTTAGGCCTAGTACGTGATACATATGTAAGGACAGAAGATATCTCAGCGAAGAGCGGGCCTTATCAATTTTCCCCGTTGACATCGAGGAAGGTAACGCCCTTCGCATCAGAAAACGCTCAATTAGGAGCTAGAACGCCTACTGGAAGGCTGGCCATGGATTAGCATACTCTTAGAACCAGAGATGAATACCATTATCATCCAAGTCTAAGAGCATCCAATTCCACAGTTATGAGTAGGACAATAAGGCAAAAGCAGCGTGCTTCTTATTATTCGTCCACCCCAAACTTTCGTCTTTCCATCCCGCCTCGATTACCTGGTAAGTTTCGGTTGCGACAATGATTTGCGTAATGACCTTTCTCTCCACACTTGAAAAAGATCACGTAAGGGAGCGTATGACGAAGACACATCATGTACATACCTTGAAGCATAATACTTCGTCTAAGTTCCTTCGAGACGCATTGCTGTTGGCTCCAGCGGCAGCATGTTGTGTAGCAGGAGCATTTGTAAAACTACGATCAAAGTCCGCATATCGACCATAGCCGGGCGGGGGAGGTCCTAAGTCACGCATAGAGAGTGGAGGTGCTTGATAGGCTTCAGGCTTTGGAGGGCCAGGCTTGGGACTACGAGCGATCAGGAATAGTTAGTTCAATGGTTAATCTTGAAAACTTACTGGCCTTTGGGACATTCCGGCCCTAATGGGCAGAATCCGCTAAGATACAACTGGCATGCGACGCGACGAACATGTTTCCGGGGACATGTAGGACCTAGATCTCTGAATAAGCTTGATTAGGATGTATGTGAAAATGGCGTGGAGCTCACCGAGTTTGCAGAAACCTCGATTATAGTCTGGACATTCCACCTTGCGCTCTTTCGGATGAGCATATAAGCATTCATCTCCAGCTGAACAGTATCCGTACTTTGCATACCACCAGCATTCTGGCATACGCCTAAGGTTATACTCGTGCAGAAATTCGCAAGCATCTCCCTTCTTACAAAGTCCCCGAAGCCAATGTTTGCAGACAGTTGCGAGCCGTTCTCGTTCACGAGGATGTGTTGGAAGCTGCTTGGGTGGCTGGAAGTTCTGTGCTGAGGGAGAAGTATGGCGTAAAGGACAATGAAGAGGTCCTAGTGGACATCCAGCTGGCGTCAAATGTAGACGGCATATCTGTTCATCTATTCGTACGTTGAGTTTGAACCACACAAATTTTCCTCACTAGACGTACCTTTATCGAGCTTGATATTAAGTTCAGATTTAATGAAGTTCTCAGCAGAGAATATGTTTTGATGGAATTGCGGATTAATAATATCTCTGAGGGGTGAAGGACCGGCAAGAGGATTCGCGGTCGACATCGAGGTTACAAACGAAGAAAGGATGAGTTGGCTGACTAAACACAACTCTATTCATAAGATAACTCAGACTCTTTTCTACTCGTTGTGGAGCAATTGTCACCTCAATTTTGTTTGTGTTAAATCTCGAGCCCATCGACGGACACAGAAGAATGATTACAGTTACAGTAAAACCATCAGGCCGAGGCAAAGTTGAGGCAAGTAAGCCCCAGGTAAATTGGAAAGTGAAATTGTTGATATCGTGCTCAATAATCACCCCAAGTTGTATGTTCTATCGGATTATGAAAGGATACTGTAACTGTACATATATAGAGGCGTCGTGTATAACAATTTTGTATAAAGTCTAATGCATATGGAAATATCATCTACCAAAGTCCAATGCTTTCAGCGAAGTGGCCATTGTCCCGGATTCTCAGAATTGAATGCGACACCTGTTCTGGCCATTCCGAAGGGTTATGTGGGGACGATACGACCTCCAGGAAATATATGTCAAGAAAGGGGTCGGAAGCTGGTGCGGGTCTTCGGTCTATACGTTTCACAGAAAGATCAACAATTTTCAAGAGTTCTGCCAAGTCGAAACACGTCTTTGAAGGAGTGACACGTATTAGGGCATGTGTGGGTCGCAAAGGTTTGAAGGGTGGTCTGCCTTCAGAATCTTTTCCCAGAATGAAAAATCGCGTGTAGTTGACTGATGATAGTGGAACAAATGAGCATGAACGAATACTAGTGGAACACAGATGATCTTACTGTCTTCATCTTGTATCCCATCCAGAAGAATTTCCAAATCGTCAAACATCGTAATACAGATCTTGGAGCATATCGCGGCCACATTTAATTTCTGCAGTTTAGATACTGTTTCCGCTGCAGCCGCAGTCGATGTCGTCTTGGAGGTCGTAGCAGAAGGCAAATGTTCACTGAGAAATCTTCGGCACTGTCCTAAGGCCTGTTCGCGATGTCATTGGCACATTCAGCAATAATTTCAAGTTTGCAGAACGTACCTGCTCATGGCTAATGACACAATCAATGTCCGAAATTTTTGCGCCCTTTTTGACAACAAGACAGTGTTGGATTTTCAGCACAACTTCACCTTGAATCAGTCCTTGCTTCAAGACTCTAAGACCATCAAAAGTTTCGACAACGGAGCCGAAAATGGAGTTTTCTCGAGGTACAACGGCATAATCAAGGGTTTCGAGGGACTCGAGTGTGGCTGAAAAGCAATATCTTGAGAAATCTGAGATCCGGCAATATTGAATGGTGTACCAGCTATCGTCTGTCTCTCGTTGTAGATGGCCGAAGCTTGAAAGTATTCATGTGCTGCCTACACAAGTTTACAGCTTGAGATAAGGCAGAAAGGACATGGTTACAACTTGCCTGGTGTGTGTAGGTTCCAAGAGGCCCCAAAACTCCGACGTCCACTTTCATCTCGAAGACGCTTTAAATCAACGAGATACACGTTGATCGCTGTCAATCATCGTAGGACTAGTGCCGATGCTTCCGAAGAAAAGATAAAGAAAGAAATCCTTCATATTTATATCATAGCTACAGACAACATAAAATATATAATGCTAATAAATAATATCAAACCACCACCGATTCTAGTGCCAAGGGATGCGCCGTGGTTGGAGACAATGTTTCCGACCAACGTACTTCCGACTTAGCAGTGAGGTCGTCCAGCATTCTTAGTAGATACGAAGCAATTCGATGACGAGTTGACATCTGCTCAATGGCAGTCCTAGATATCGAATATTAAATCAGCATTTGCTTCAACATCGGGCGGGAAACTCATTTTGACCTAATGACTCCCATTTCAGAACGGAAAGTTTTGATTTGATCCTCGGCCTCTTCTTCGAGTGCAGCCTGCAGAAACCTCGAGAGGACTCGCCCACCAGCAAAGAAACAGAACTAGACCTTGGATCAGCATGAGCAAATGAAGTAGGATTCGTCACCTACCGATACAAAAGATTCAAAAAGGGAAAGATCAAACGTCGTTGACCAAGCAGTATAAATCAAGTCAACGATAGACCTAGTGGCAGTAAGAATTTTGAGAGCAGAAATACAACCGCGACTTCTGATGTCCGCATGAGGTTCATGAAGGACGATCATAGCACTAAACGACTGTATAAACGACTACAACCATGATAATATCGATAGACGTACACGTGTGACATCGCCATCGCAGCAAACAGCGTACAATCCATCTTCTCATCCTTTGTCAATGGGTTTCGTAGATGGGAAGGGAATGTGGCAATGAAGGAGGTGACAGTTCCATCCAAGTCAATGAACGACATCGTGTTTCGGGGATCCACAGGCTCGTCAGCACGAAAAGTATTGTAGGAAAGGCTACCTTCTCCATCGCCAGAGAAGTGTTTCGCTCGGAAACGAAGATTAAAAGTCTTGACTTTCGCTGAAAGGTGGGTGAGATGAATTCTTGGGGAAAAAATAGGCCCCAATTACACAGGAGAATAGAAGCTTTGATATACAGGATAAGCCCATCCGTTTGATGTTCCGGGTGGACTGTGAGTAAATCATTTGAATGTGCCCATTGACGTTCGCTCGGTGAAACAAGTTTCTGCAACAGAAATTAAAATTTCAGAAGCAGTGGGATACATCGGTTGAACGTACTCCGTTGTCAAATTGATCGCTCTGAACTGGAAGTAATTGCGAAATGTCATTATCGTCCAAGCTGAGCGCCCAGCCATTGCTGCACCCGTGCTGCCGCTCCATAGCGTAAGCGAACCAGAAGACATTTCTCCGCAGCTCGTCTTCTACAACATTCTTCGCTGGGTTCAAGACAGAAGCTGGTCTCGTTGATCTTGAAATGGTGTGGAATGGCGGGCAAACGTTCAGACCGAGTGGAACACAAAGACGCATGGAGTGTGCGCAATTGAGGAACAGCTGCTCAATATTGTAAGGTTCCTCAAACAAGGATATTCAACTGAAATGATGCGGTACCTCAGCCCAACTGTGAAGCAAGTTAGCAAGAAGACATGATGAACAAGATTCGTCAAGACTAACACACCTTGCATTCGAACAATAATACCAGCTTAGAAGGATGGTGCCTACGCAATGTGTCAATTGGACTGTGACGATATCCACACAAGTCACAAACTTTGCAATACTTGAATGAGCTCTAGTCCCATTATTTCCATACGTTGAAGCGCCTCTTTGGCAAGCGTAGCTTGTTGTTCTGCAAATGAGTCGGGTCGATTCTCCTTTATCCGATAACGCTCCGTGAATATTTCGTCTTGATCGGTGGTCAGATTTGAGTCCATCTTTCGGCAGGCAAAAGAAATTCAGCGTACCAGCAGGGACCTTATCGAAATTTACTGGAGGAGCAGAAGTGACTGCAGAGGTGTAAAGACTGCCTACTGCACAGATTGCATGAAGAACAGGCACAGCAGGGAATTTTGGATGATCCGGAGGGAGGGAGAGTGAAGTCATAAACGTGGACGTATGGAACAGCTGAGATGCGTGGGGATGGAAGGTGAAGAAAACATCAATTCTGTCTGAAGGTAAGTTCGCCCGAAAGAAACCAAATACAGAAGATCGCTGACAGATGTCGAAGAAGATCAGGCCCAGGTAAGTCTGTGGGCCAGTGAGTCCAAGTCATGTCCATTCCCGGCATCGACAATGACGTCGACAGGGCTGCTGGAACTAATGCTGGAGTAGAACCAGACGAGCGGGAGTCAGATTCTGAGCCAAATCCACTGTCTCTATCATGATTCGACGAAGCCGGGCTACCGTTTTGAGGACTCATGAGCCTTTGCGTTCCATTCTTCTCTTGCAGTAAGGCTTCAAGTTCGGCTTTGCCAACATATTAGAGAAGGTGGGAGACAGCAACAAATGCAACTTACCAATCCGGTTCTCCAACTTCTCATACTTTGTCCTCGGACCATCTACGCCAGTGTTAAGTTCCAATGCTTTTCGATGAGTCAGAGTCTAGGCTGAGCGTTAAGAGTAACCTTGATTCAACGTACGCTCATCGAAAGTGCATTCAGGTTCTGTGGGATGTACGGTCCCTGCAGGAGAATGCGCAATGGCATGCTTGTGAGATCGGACACAGGTCGAACAAGGTCTTTTAGCGTCGCTGAGATAAGGAATATGTGTGAGCCTGGAAGTAACTTCGAAAGGTCGTCGTATACCATTTCTGCGAGAGGAGAACGAGGTAATAACGGGTCAGCAGGTTGTATTGTGAGACTGAAAATGATGCATACCAATTTCCGTCTTCGACACTGGAGCAGAAAGGGGGGAAGAATCAGCAAAGAGCGAAGGCATTAGGTGGAACGAGGGGGGAAATTACCTGATGGCAAGCCTAATAGACCATCACCGAAGGATGACCGAGAGGGTAAATTTCTGCACAATTGCAACTAGTGAGAACACTCATACCTGATTCCTTTTGAGAACATTTAAATTAGGCCCTTGAGAAGGGGAATGAGCGTGGCTCGAGGTCGAAGGGACTTTGGGCATTGCTCGTAGCAGAGTCACGAAGTAGAAAAGTAATCAATGCATGCACTAGGTGGGGTGTATATTATCGAAGGTTTTATTGGCTTCACGTGATAACAGAAACATGTATTTGTCACTAGGATGAATTGCATCCAAAACTAAGTGAGCAAGTGAACAATATAGCAAGTAGGAATGTGCAACTACGGTACAGCAATGCTAACGGATAAACCAATTCCAATGAAGAGCATACCATACATAAAGAGTATGTACCACATATGCAGGGAACAATAAGAATACTAAAATAAATGAATTCGTCATGAAGAAAATTTTCCTGTAGATTGCAAAGAGCTCGTAATATTCCCCACACCGACATTTTGCACATTGTTATCAATGGCCAAAGCAGCGTTATCCCAAATTGCCTCGAACGTTGTGTCTGATAGGGAGGAATCTCGAACCACTTGCGTCGAAAAAGCGCTTTCGGCCCAAACGACAGAGGTACCTGTGCCGATGATAGCCCAATCGCGCATAGATTGCCCCTGAGTTGAACCAAAAAAAAGAGCGCCAGTTGGTGTCACGAAAGATGAGATTACAGAATTTATATCCGAGGGAAGTACAGATCCAAAAATGGCTACTTCCAAGGACGGGATGGTTCCGATGGAATTGGCTAACGTAGATGTATTGGAGGGAGGAGCGGCATTCGAAGTCGACAGAAGAAAGGACGCCAATGCGGTAGCGACATTGACATCTGGGATAGAATATAGATAATCGAGTAGAACATGGTCAAAGTTGTTGAGGGTACCATAGCTCCGAGGGTTGCTTGTAGCTGCGGTGAAGGCAGAAGCGTTGGATGACAAGGGTAAGGCACTCAGGACTTCACCTCTGCGGACCACAGCTCTCGGGCTGACAACGTGCTGCAGGGATACCGCTTGCATGGCGACCCCAGTGCGAGAGTCAACGAAAGGAAGACGAAGTCGCAACACATCCAACACACCGTACAAGGGACGGTCAGGATAGCAAGAAGTATCGAAGGAGGAAACAGGCGAGACCGCGGATAATCCGTATACTGTCTGCTCAATATCGTTTATCTGCTGAATTTGTGTGCTATTCAATCCAGGATAACAAGAGAGAGGGACCGGAAACGCCTGCGTGGTGGAATTCGTCATTTGGTTTGCTAGAGCTTGTGAGCTCGCATTGTAGGTGGCGTCAAAAGGGATCAAAATCGACGACGATATCACGGCGGATCGAAAATTGGATAAGTCGCTTGCTCTTTGACCTAAAACATTCACCCAGTAGAGTTCAAGCGCATTCGAACGTTGTGTCGAAGAAGCTATAGAATCAGATGCCACCCCGGTGAGTGACAATGGCTTGTTTGTTGAAAGAGGTGAAACTTACCAGCTGCATAAGTATACATACGATTGAGTGCTGCTAATGCCGTGCTTCCTATTCGAGAAATTTGTGCACTGACCGGTTGTCCATTGTCAGTAAAGCTCACAGCAGGTTGAGTTATAGTCTGATCGGCAAAGTCGAACGTGAAACCAGACACGGTGACAGAAAACGACGAAGATTTCCCGGTGATGGGTCCATCAGAGCTAAGAGTAGACCATGGTGCACTGTTTGTGAAAGACTGCAGATTATGTATAGCGGTGACATCCTGAGACTGAACCAGGTTCCAGAGCATGGCAGACCTTGCCCAGCTTGTACGATTGGGAGTAGTCGCTGATGAAAGGCCGGGGGTGTCGATAAGAAGAGCTTGAGATGCACAGTTGCTACCGGTAGGTGAACCGTCCGCCAGCCATATAGCTGTATATACCTCGTCCACAGAATAATTTATATTGAAGAGCTGATTCATGGTAGGCGTTAGAGTAACGACGCTTTGCGCAAGGCCGTTACATTGTCCAGACACACTCGATGTACACACACAAGTCGCATCTAACAAATTTCATCAGAAGTTATCCAAAGTTAGACAGTATAAATGAACTGACCTAGGTCACAAGATAACCCCGTGGTATTTGCGTTGGAACACACGGGTACTGTAGAAGAACCCTTGCGGCTGATGGACACACCAACACCTGCACCAATAGCAGCTGCAGCAATAACAATGAATATAGCAAGGACGATGAGGTATCGCTTTCTGTTGGGGTTAGGAGGCTTCATTGCTCTGTTGGGTTTGAGCTGACCCGACAGATCCGTCGATAAGCTTCCACCGTCTTGTACATGCACATAACCATCGCTCCCTTCTAATGCCGACGTATGCGAATCTTCCTTGGGTAAAGCACCGTAATACGAGTCAATGCTCTGATGCGGATGGTAGCCTTTTTCTAATAATCCATTCAACATATCTGCTCGGGCGACTAGTTGAGGTAGCGGGACACGCGATTCTTCGAGACGCGACTGATTCTCGGCAGCAATTGGTATATGAGGTATTGTTGGCACAGGAGGCAAAGGTTTCCTTTTCCAGGGCAAACCTCGGGCTATAGAGCGTCCAGTTTCTGATATTCGCGAAATGACCGATGGAACAAAACTTTTAGTAGAACGAATAGACTGCCGAGATGGCGAAACCCGTGGATAGTCAGGAGGAAAATTCGCTTGCATTGAAGAAGAGGGTAGGGCTGCGCTCTGATGATGAGAAGAGATATTCCCGAATGGGCCGTATGACAAAGTTCTATCATCACTGGGTGTCAAGCAGTCACGCACGTCAATGGGGGTGCCACTTGAATAACTCTGTAGTCTAGCAGGTGCTACACCTACGACAGAGGCTCCCACTAAGCTGAGACCTCGGGAGATACTTGCAGATCTGATTACTGTTGTCGTAAATTCACTGTTTGAAGCGAGTGTATCAGAATCATCCGATACATGGCCAACAGCTTCAGGGATGGGAGAAAATGCACTGGGTGGTGGACGAGCGCCTTGCGGTTTTGAAAGGGGTGCTCTCTGTGATAAGGGCGTAGGAAGAGGCGGTGGTCTTTCAGATGGGCCAGGATACCGCATGACCGGAGGGTAAGTCATTTCTGAGAAGCCACTGTACGCGTCGCTGCTTATCGAAGCACGTCGAACAGTTGTATTTTCTTGAAGGAGTGACGTGATGAAGTTAGTGGGAAGGAGTCGGTCCTCTGCGGCATCCACATCTATACTAGAAGCTCCCTCGTGCCAATCATAGGGTGATATTGTTCGAGACTTTAGTGATGATGGCGGTGATTTAACAGCCTCCGTGGGTTTTCTGTTGTGCCCAGCTGAGAAATTCGACTTAGGTGAAGGTAGTGGCCTATGTACAATAGTCGGGGACCCTGAAGCTGGGGTAACAGCATTCGATTTTTTCCGTCGCGGAAGAATGGGTGTTGTACTCCCAGTTCGATAAGAAAAGCCTGAACCAGCGATAGAGGGACTGTACTCAGACTGTGCGGGAGTACCGGGAATGGATAATGGAGGAGCAGGAAATCGGCCGAGATGAAGTGAACCTGCGAAGCTTATGGTACTGTCTGCCAATCCAGATGCATTCGTATCTATGGAACCAGAGGTCAAGTGTCTCTGTGCAGTCGGACGTGACTGCAGCAGTTGTGCATCAGGCGAGGAATTCTGTGGTTTGGTCGGGAGCTGGGACATTTACTATAAACATATTGACATTAACATACTAAATACACTTCAGAAGGATGCTTGATTGACTTACAGAACTCAGCAGTGGCAGCAGATCAAGAATTATGAGCATACCAGAGACGAACTCCGGCGGAAATACCGCTTGTCAAGTTTGAAGGCGAGCAGCAAAATCCGTCAAAAACGAATGACAGGGCTATAATAACGAACGGAGGGGCTATGTAGTAGTGGGATGAAACGAGCGTCAGGCACTTTAGCAAAAGTGGTTTTGTAGGAAAATGCTGCCGCCAACTGATGATCATCAATAAGTTTCGCTATTACATAAGTGTCTACTTTGTTCCTGAGGCCCTGAATAGATTGAATCCTCAGTTACGCAAACGCCCCTACCATAGGCATTCATCTTAGAAAATTTCGGCAAGGTATACACGATAGTATGAACAGTGAATCAACGGATATAGAGGAATGTCAAGAACGAGTCTCTTCAAAATCCATCAAAAGAGAGAATATACGAAAACATCAGTCATCATCAGAGGAGCAGAACGTAAATTGGCATGATATGATATGAGAACGAAAAAATAGTGGCCCATCGAACAAATGTTATATGTAACTTCGTACACTGTGTACTCATGCGATGATGCATTTGCTGCCCTTCTTGCTCCCTTTGTCGTTTTTCGGAGGGGGATTCACTGATAGGAGTGTTTGTTGGGAATAATTACTGTGCAAACTTGAAACACCACTCACAAACAGCACGGATTGCCTCGTCGAAGACGGTCTTCAAGCCCTTCTGCGTAAGGGCAGAACATTCTAAATATTTAACAGCGTTGATATCTTTGGCCATAGAAACTCCTTGAGGATACTGAATCGGAGCCATTCGACTGCGACGAATGTGTGAGAGGCTGAACTGAAGGATACATCTTACAACTCACCGGTCCCTCAGCTTCTGAATCGTGGGAGGGTCATCACGAAGATCGAGTTTTGTGCCAACTAACACGATAGAAGTCGATGGTGCATGATGGGATATTTCGGGGTACCACTAGTATAAAACATCCATTAGCTCTTGGAAGTTGCACATGTAACAGTCCTCACCTTGGTCCTGACGTTCTCATAACTGGGAGGACTCACAAGAGAGAAGCATATCAAGAAGACATCTGTTTGAGGATACGAAAGGGGACGGAGACGGTCATAGTCCTCTTGCCCTGCAGTATCCCAAAGACCAAGCGAGATCGTTTTTCCATCCACCATAACATTCGCGGAGTAGTTGTCGAAAACTGAACAAGCAAGATAAGCATCCCGAACTATAGAACGGAAAAGTGGAGCTACCAGTCGGAATGTACTCTCCCTAAAATCAAGGTGAATCTAAGGTCTTTCCCCGAAACGATACATGAAAGGCTTACCGGGAACGCATTAGTGGTGTATGAAATAAGGAGACATGTCTACCAGGCGGGTTTTCAATGAGTTTTCTACTGGGTGAGGATCGCGGAGTACCAGACTCACCTTTCCAACTGCACCATCTCCCACAACAACACCTAATCATCCACAGTTTGTCAACAAGAGATTTCCAAGAAGCCCAAAGCGACACCGACATTTAATGGCCTGCATTGCTGATGTAGTAGTCTAATAGCCGCTCCTGAAGGGTACTATATAGATGTGTTGGTCTTGTACAATATTGTGTATTCAGGAAGATAAGAGAGCAAATGGTTGCGTGAATATAGAGACAAGGGATGTGTCTGAAACGGGAAATGCCAAATGCGAGGTAGCGAATCAGCAACCGTGGTTGCCAAGAGCAGATAAATTCAACAGACCTAATTCGATTCAGCGAAGTGGAACAACGGTCAGCCACACAATGAGAAAGGCAGATGGTAAGTATACACTGGGTTAAGCGTTCTGCACCTGTCGTCTTGCTAGATTATTAGGTAAGCATACATACCATCAAAAGTCCGATCTGGACCAGAGTCTAAAACAGGTCTAAAATAAAAATTTTATTTCACAAGTACGCTATACGATAACTGCGGTAAAATAATCACTACATCGGCAAGAAAGTAAAAGTTATGGGGGGCGCGCCGCAAGTGAGAAGAAGGGCTAGAACGGTCATGCAAGAAATTCAGAATGATAGGTGATAAATATAAGGCGAAAGGTGGGGGGGGCATAACTACACAGATCATATCTCAGAAGCCAAAAAGTTTGATGGATTACAAGGCTGACCACACATTTACGTAGATAATCGGATGAGAAAATGGGGGGACATAGATTGTACAAACATGAGTTCAATCACACACATAGCAAGACGAGCAGCAAAGCAAAACGAAAACAAGGAGCGTAACCTTCCTCAAAGAGCAGAAGTCCTTCTCTTCTTGGGAGGCGGAGTCATGGTTTCCGTGTTACCGGATTCCAGATTCGGACGCGAGCTAGTCAGGTTGTCCATGATTTCGAACTCGTCCTCGATATCAGAAGATGAATCGTTGGCGTGGCCACGGTTCCCTGGCAGCGTGAAAGGCTCAAGCAACCCAATTCCAAGGCCGCTGCGATCGAGAGGATTGTCACGTCTCACCACAGGACTTTCAGTTGGATTTAACGCGGGATTAATAAGCCCATGCGCCACCGGACTGGAATTGTTTTCCGAATCCCAATCGTTAAGGCTAGTCAGGAATGTCCTAGTAACGGGCAGGGAAAGCCAATCGTCCAACGACAACTCGGAGCTGTTTCTGTGATGGCTGCTGCGACCAACAATGCCTCGTCCCAATGGTGATTCTTCTGATAAAGCTGGTCGGGTGGAAGTGGAGCTCTTCAAGCCAGTCAAACGCCTGTTCGTGACGCTATTTGGAGTGTTCAAGTCGGCAAAGAATGATTTCTTGCTGATTAGAGAGCTACTGGGACTAGAAATGTCGTCCCGCATGAGACTAGGTATAGGACTTGGACTATCGACTGTGAGACTTCCTGAATTACGCAGTAAAACACTAAGTGACAGATCTCGTGCTTTGGAGAAAGGATGGCTGGGGCTCGGGTAACGCCAGGGTTGATCATACGGTGTGGGCGCGGGCGAGTGCCGGAATGCTGGTGTCGCACGGGGATCATAAGGCGAAAATGGAATTACAGGTACAGGGGGTGTTGAGGTTTGAGGAACGTCGTCGGACGCGCTGATAGGAACTGACGACGACCTCCGAGGTGTCAAGGGTGGGGTAAATAACGGTGGATTCCGTTGTTCGGTCGAATCCTCGGTTGAGGTTGATGGCGTAGATAGGACATTTTTCATCGGGTCACCCATGATCGCAGGACGAAATCTAATCTTCTGTTGGGTTTGGGAAGTGTCGGGTGCAAAAGGTTGAGGAGTGACATGAATGTTGACAAGCTTATCATGCATTTCATCCCCGGAACCAGGCTTGGTAGTAGGTTTGTTCTCTTCTGCAGGAAATATCAGTATATTGATATCATACTTTTTTTGAACATACTGGTAGAGCCTCTGCCCCTAGGACGATCACCACCATCTCGGCGGTTGGACATGGCAATTTTGTGCTTTTCAAAAACATGTCGTCTCCACATGCTCTTCGCGTTAACGCCAGCATAGGTGCGTCTGCAAAAAGTACAGCGTAGTCTAGGTTCCTCTCCATCTGGCCAGCCTTCAGAGCCAAGGTCTTTCAAATCCTTCTTCTTCGCAGGACACCATCCACGAGGAGGCTCTAGATGAGAGGGGTATGGTATCAACGAAGATTTCTCAGCGGCAACTGAGGTTGGTACACAGGGCGAGCTATCCTCGACGCGAATGTAGTCAGCAGCATCCAGGAACCACTCTGGGTTCTCAGCCATGACTTTGTACGTCAGTCCTTCCGGAAAGTTCTGTGCATCAGGAAAATTGTCGAAAGGAGGATGAATAAAAACAACATCGGCGTCTACTGGTGATGGATCCATACTGGCCGGAGGTATAACATGAACTTCGGGTCGGTTGGTGTGACGCGGGACCTGAGAGTATCTGCTCTTCGAATGAGTGCTGGATGGTGGATTTGCACTGGGCGTATAAGGTCGTGGGTTGAAAGATGATTCTGCTGGCTTGAAAAAGTCCAAGTCGGAAGTTGATGTGAGTGCTCGTTTGAGGGACTTCGGAAGAGTAGATGATGTAGAGGAAGAGCCGGAGAATGAGTATGATGGGGCCAACGCTGGGCGAGAAGTCTCGGCTTCCATCGTACGTCACGTTAAACAGAGAGAACGATGAGAAAAAGGTAGGCAGCTCCAAACCAGAAGTAGCGAGATGCTGGTAGGATAGTAGTTAGTATGCAAAAGGAGAACGGGAAGCGCACAGGCAGATTGATGGAAGATGAAAGATGTGTTGGGCGGAGAAGAAAGGAGTGTCAACAAATTTGACGTTACAAAGTGACTCACGGTCGTCACGTTACCGTCGCGTCGCGCGCCTCGTGGCACACGATTTATTTATTCCAATCAGAATGTTCAGAATGTTACTGTACTTAGACGGCAGAACAACTATACGGACAGAAGAATAAAACTTTAAGAAGGCATTCGCCTGCTGCTGGATTAAATCATCAACCTGAGAGTTGCGAGGTGCCGCTTCTTCTTGTCTCTACACAACTGCGTAAGCCATTGTCTTGAAAATTCTTCAGGCCCAAGCGTCGCGACTAATTTAAATCTCAACTTATGTGCTGAAAGCGCAAGTGTACACTTGTTTAAGAGGATATACAAACAACTCATCTGCCCGAAGAGACTATCAATGATTGGGTATGTACACAGCTTACGTCGAAACCCATTCTAACAGATTCTAACCTATAATTCCTTGCTTTTGTCTTCGCAATAAAACATACTTTGGTAGTTCTCGGTATCCATGGTTTGACATAATGGTTCGGTGCCCCACAATTTTCAACATAACACGATGGATTGTATCGTGATACCGTTCTGGATAGCGCAGGTCTTCCACTGGCGTGTTGAATGTTAAAGCTTCAGTGGTCCTGTAAAGGAAACCGCTGGTCTTGTATGTAAGATTGATTCAATGCCTCAGGTAGATGGAAGGCAACAACGAACATGAGACAGAGAGCTTGCCTTATCACGGAAAATGCACACAAATAGAGCCAGAACCACGATCAACTCGAAATTCTGGTTGAGGCACGAAATTCTGATGACTATGAGCACGATATCTAAGGCAGGTGAGTATATACAGTGATTACAGAGCTAAGGACATGTAGCTGAGAGCTTATCAGTTACTGATTTAGTGAGCTGTACACCACAAACTCACCCCGCAATCATTATGACACCACCCATGGGAGTGACTGGCCCAAGGAATCTCAGGTTATGATCAAGAGTCAAGGCAAAGATGGATCCAGAAAAAAGAACAGTTCCAGTCAGAATCGCCGGGCCAGCAAACCGATGAACAGAAAACCGCGGGTGTAAAGAAACGAGCAGAAGCCCGAGTCCATTGAAAATCTTATGCAAGGTCTAGATAGAGATCTTCACTATAGGGTCAGCATCTACATACCGCATAATGAGCAGCAGTGTTCCAGGCGTTTATACGATCCGGGTTGATATCTTTGCGTTGCTTCAGGCCGTGGGCGCCAAAGGCACCAAAACCAATTGCTGTAGCGGCTGTATCGTGCTTGAGTATAACGCAGAAAGTGATGAGTAGGATCAGCACTTAATAGAGCACCGGCTCGCCATAAGAAATTACTTCCAGCAGCAACAGTGCGTGGAATAGACATGATGGCTTGAGAGAGAGCTTGAGAGATATTTGTGAAAAGTGACATAAGTTCGGCCCGACATTAAATCAAGATACACAGCCACAAGAAATTTACTTTTGTTAACTCCTGGTTAACTCCCAAAAATACTGTCGTTAATTCAATATGGGGAAGAGTCAGAAAAAGACAGGAAAGGGTCGTCTCGACAAGTACTACAAGCTTGCAAAGTTCGTATTCTAATCTGTTTCTTTACCACCGCTTATATCCCATTCTAGAGAGCAAGGCTATCGGGCTCGTTCAGCTTTCAAGCTAATTCAACTTAACAAGAAGTACAACTTTCTAGAGTCTGCACGCTGCTGCATAGATCTCTGTGCCGCGCCAGGAGGATGGCTGCAGGTGGCTAGTAAGTATATGCCGGTGAACAGTGTGATCATAGGTGAGTATTGTACAGATATCGTCCACCCTCTAATCCCATGTTTTCTAGGTGTCGATCTCGTTCCTATCAAACCCATACCTCGCGTAGTCACTTTTGCTTCTGATATCACTACTCCCCAGTGTCGTAACCTTATCCGTGCGGAAGTAAAAGACTGGAAAGCAGATGTTGTCTTGCACGATGGTGCACCCAATGTCGGGACTGCTTGGATTCAGGACGCTTATGGCCAATCAGAGCTTGTGCTCATGAGCTTAAAGCTCGCGGTGGAGTTTCTTGTCAAAGGAGGAACGTTTGTGACAAAGGTTTTCCGGAGTGCAGATTATAACAATCTCATCTGGGTGTTCAATCAATTGTTCGGAAAGGTTGAGGCTACAAAACCACCTTCGTCTAGGTAATTTTGACTCTTACACTCGCAATCCTAACCTCACTATATGGATGTACTTCCAAGAAACGTATCTGCAGAAATTTTTGTTGTGTGCCGCGAGTTCCTTGCGCCCAAATTCATCGATCCCAAATTCCTCGACCCAAAACATGTTTTCAAGGACCTCTCTGCCTCCATTCCTGATGGCTCCGACAAGCCAGCTCGCGCTCACAATGCCGAAGCCAATGTTTTCCAGCCGGAAAAGAAGAGACGGAAACGAGATGGATACGAAGATGGCAATTATACCTTGTTCAAATCAATCCCCGTCTCGGAATTGATTCACAGCACTGATCCGATATCTGTACTTGGGTCTGCCAACAAGATCACGTTCCAAACCGACGAGGAAAAAGAGTTAGTTCGTTTTGTTGCTGTTCATTTTCCATATAACCTAATGAATCTACGTTTGAAGATGGCTCAAATTCGAAATCACTTCCGGAGACGTCAAGGCAAACTGCGACGATCTTAAAGTTCTTGGAAAGGGTGATTTCAAGGCGCTCATCAAATGGCGTCTTGCCCTTCGTGAAGAGGTATATTTTTTCTATAAGTTCTTCACTATCATTCATCCATTTAACAGCTTGGATTGGACGTGAAACGTAAAGACACCGAAGATGCGACTGAAACTGTCGAAATTATCGAAGAAGCTGATGAAGAACAAATGATACAGGACGAGGTTAGCCGACCCGTGTTCACGTCGAAGGTACCAATATTAATGCTGCGAAATAGCTGGAACGATCAAACGCAGAAAATGTCGCTCGCGCCAAACGAGATCGACGTCGTGCGAATGAGATTAGAAACAAGACTATTCAACGCATGCAGCTACAAATGACTGCCCCAATGGACATCGGGCTTGAGCTGCAAGATGCCTCTCTTGGGGGCCAAGATGATTTCTTCGACCTTCAAGGTGCCGAGAAAGGCATGCGGAAGCGAGGTGGTGTTTCTAACCTAATCGGAACTGAAGGTGTTCTGTCACAGGAAAGTGATGTTGACAATGATAGTGACAACGCAAGCGACGAGGAGATCTTGGATTCTGAAGAGGAACGGGAGAAGAAAACCCGCGGACTGGAAAACGAACTGGATGGCATGTACGATTCGTATAGAAGTCGATTGCGGGAGAGAGATGCCAAGTACAAAGTCAGAGAGGGTAGAGAGAAGAACAAAGAACGGGAGGCCTGGTCGGGGATCAAAAAAAATGATTCTAGCGATGAAGAAGATAGCGATGCGGAAGGGGGCGGATGGGAGGAAATGGAACGAGCCAAGGGGCACAACGACAACTCTTCATCTAGCGGTGACAGTGACGATGAACCTGAAGGACCAAAGACCTCTACAAAAAAAAGGTCTTTACCGACTACCGGGTCCTCGAGAGACAGCAAACGCGCCCGGTTACTCACCAAACTTAAAGAGCCTATTCCATCAGGCAGCCAGGCGTCCAAGGTGTGGTTCAGCCAGGACATTTTTGCTGGTATTAGTGATGATGTGAAGGACATTGAACACGAAGTTAGAGAGGAGCAGGACGTGGAGATGGTGGATGTTGAAGATAAGACTGTCGATATTGAGGAAGAAAACACCGACACAGATTGGGACGACGATGAGGTCAGAGTGATTGCTGGTCCAAAGTGCTTGTATCTCACAGTCTCTTCACATGTACAGGATGACTTTGAGGTGGTGCCACAAGTCGGCGAGGACGTCGATATGTGGGATGTCGCAAACGCTGATGAAGATGCTTTGAAGCAAGCTCATATAAAGAGTCTGAAAATTCTATTGATTTCTTGTGCATTGTTACTCATGATTGCCTCAGAGCATGGGCTTACTACAGCAGAGGCAGTGACCTTGGCTCAGCAGCTCGTCAATCGTGAAAAAACCAAAACACAGTTGATTAACGACGGTTTCAATCGTTATTCCTTGAACGCGAAGGATGGGTTGCCGTCGTGGTTCCTTGACGATGAGACCAAACATTATAAACCCAATATACCGGTTACGAAAGAGGCTATCGCTGCGTTACGCGCGAAACAAAGAGCGCTGGATGCACGACCCATTAAGAAGATAGCTGAAGCCAAGGCCAGGAAGAAATACAAAGCCGCCCAGAAGCTTGAGAAAGCTATGAAGAAGGCTGAAGGGGTCAACGACACTTCGGATATGTCAGAACGTGAAAAAGCCTCCCAAATCGAGAAACTTATGCGCAAAGGTCTGTCAAAGGGAAAACCGAAGAAGGAGGTGAAGCTGGTCGTGGCAAAAGGTGTTCACAAAGGGGTGAAAGGTCGTCCCAAAGGCGTAAAAGGTCGATATGCCATGGTAGACTCCAGGATGAAGAAGGAGGTGAGTTATATCCACTTTCAATGAGTCGTGTCTGAACAAACTTCAGGTAAGGGCCAAAAAACGAACAGAGAAGGCGAACAAAAAACGCAAACGGGCATAGGTGTTGTGCAAGATTATATTACTGGTGTATGTAGTAATAGTTACTTCTAGTATCCGTAGATTGGGTCATCGTATTATAATGCGATATCTGCGTCTGCGTCTATGAATTTTTTGCCCGAGGTTGGTATCCTCATGGCGCTCATGAAATCACACCCTTTAAGAAAAGCTCGCCAATCCTCATCCGTAGATGGTGCATGACAGTTGATCTGTGGGTTCGTTGTAAGATGTCCCACCAACAAATAAGGTCAACTTACTTTGCAAACCGTTGACTTATCATCCACTTCTAGATCCAGGATACTCTCGCTAATTGCTGGAATCGAAATTTTTGATTGGGGCGCATGCGTGTCTGCTTGCGTTTGTCGTACACTAACGCTGGAACGCAACCGGTATTCGACGTTGTTCAGAAACATTGTTACAGGCGCATTCGGTGGTGAAGCATTGGACTCGCCATCATAGAAACTAAACCAAAAGTTTGACGATAGCTTTAGATATACTGATAGAAATAGCAATTTATGACCCACAAGAATGACAGATCCTCAAAATATTTCTGTAGTTCAGTCGGCCAGAGTTTTTGAGGCAGGATAGATGAATCAAAGACTGAAAAACGGATATCCATGGGGCTATGCAATAACATGAGTTACTTGACACTTGGCATAATGATACTGACCGATCGGGGAGCATAAGGTCAACAGTGAACTGATTTCCAATTCTGCAAATATGATCCAAACGGGTGTGCGTTGTCCCCGTCGTATAGATCGATGATTCTTCATGGCGAGAATCAAAGTTGCTTCTCGCGAGCTCTGGAATCCCATTTTGATCGATCGTCGCTAGAGGAAGAACCATCTCGAACTCTATAATATGAGTGGATTGTTGTGTATTCCCTGAGGGGTGGGCCTCGTATAACAAACGGTGTAGAAGTTGCTGCTTTTGCGGAGTTAACTGAAGAACTGGGGCAGGTAAGCTTTGTAAAAGAGAATACGTTCAACCAAGCCGCGATTTAAGCATATTGGGATGTGCTCACAAGGGAGTAAAGAGGCGGCCTATGTGTCGTTCTCGGATCCACCTCGACAGGTTGGATAACGGCCAAGAGCCTTGCAAAGGAGGGATAAAAGAAGCGTGACTTGAAGGAGGAGGAGTCAACAGAACATGTCCGAAGCTAAACAAGGAATTAGCGCGCACTCCATAGTAGTGATAATAGACTTACGAGGCTGAGACAACTCTGGAATTGCTTCCCGAGGGTTCTGGCAAGTGTGAAAATAGTTTTTGTCGAAGATCGGCGGTGTTCCTACACGATATTAAACAAATAGCGTTGTATTATTTCTGATGTAAACACACCCTTCCATATCCAAAACTTGGCCTCGACCAAGCTCTAAACCACCTGACTTTTGCACATCTTCCATTGGGTTGATTCCGATCCATTCAGCTACCTTTCGAGCTCTGAAAGCCCCACTTGCGTTTACATTCCATGGCAATGAGCGTGTTGATAAAAATGGGTAGAGTGCATAACTGGAAGGAAACATAGCAAGTGGGACTGGCGTTGACTTCGGCGCTTCTGGAGGGATATGAACCAGGATCGAGCTTCCCGTTACAGTTTCTAACTATACCAAGTCATAGATAGAATTACCACAATGCAGTGAACAAAGTCATGAAAAATTGTACATCACAAAGGACGTGTGTCAGCAGACGTTTTGCAATGAAAGCCGCCCGAGGATCACTTTTCCTATAAGATATCCGAATCTACGATGATTGTTTATCAGGACCTCAAACGATAAAGCAAGACTTAAGTACCTGGCCTCCTCCAAAGGTCTCAGTGAAAGCACCCGAGAGACGTGAGATGCGGTGCAATAATTCAGCAGGAAAGGGCTTCTCGAACGATATGCCGTAGTACTCTTCCACGATATCCTGGGATGCCTATCAAATTCGATACGCTTTTACAAATAAACTGACATACTTCTTTGACGAAAGTTATATGCTCTTCAAGTTGCTTTAGAGCACCACGCAGGCCTTCCGCGTTTAAGCTCAATGGCCTCGTAGTAAAACCGATGTGGATGTTGTATTTGTTGGATAGAGCATGAAGATTGGCTCCGTCTAATTTACGGATCAACAGGGATTAAATCTAGTCAAGAAAAAGACGCGCCTTTCCCAAGGATGAGAAACGACTGCCGAGGGTCCAGAGGGAACGCTGGCCATACAGTCAACAGGATATTACATGCAGATAGAACGGACGGTCACGTACATTGAGAGAGCACTTCACTCCAATCACGTTTTCGCGCCTTCACCTTGGCTAAAGACGGCCAGTTCCACCCATCTTCAACAATCTGCACAGCACTGTGCCGTTTCGCACTCCCTCTTCGTGATCCCTCTATTTCCAACATTTTCACGAAAGAATACAGCTGTTTCTTGCTGAACGACCGGCACAGTCGGTCTATCAAAGCATTGTACTCCTCCTCATATTCCGGCGTTTCTGGATCTGAGTGAATGTTGGGCCGCAGCCTGGTGATATCCGCAAGAGTCACGGTGTTACCAGTCTCTGCGATGCGGTCGAGGTAGCTCTGTATCTTGCTCTCCTCGAGTAAGTTTCTACTCGGACCTTTCAACTTGGTGGCATCTGAGTTTTTCAACTCCTTCTTTGCCTTTTGATGTTCTGATACGGCGTCCGGTGACGTTACCGAGATAGCAGTCGACGTAGAGGAATTTGGTTCAGAGGAAGGAGAAGATTTAGGCTGAGAAGTTAGCTGAGCCAGCCTTTCCAGTAATGTCGACTGTGCCCGTCCATAAGCCGGGACATTTCTCAAGCGGGAGTTGAAACATAGCTGGCGCTTGAGAAAAGGCAAGGCCAGTGACATGAATTGACAAAAAACAATGCAACTCTAATTCGATTGGCTGCAATATCACATGACATATTGCGCCACAGGTCAAAGCAACAGTTATCACCCCAAAAAAGTGATTACTCATACAGTATCCGAAGCTATCCGAAGATGTAAAATGTCAAAGCAAAGCCAGTACGACATTAAGTATGTGAAGCTCAGAATATACTAATTCTTTTCATCCAAACTACCAGTTTCAACAGCAACAGTGAGTTCAGCATCATCATCTTCCCCCACGCGGCCTTGCCATCCATTGACAGCAAGATATTCCATGAACTTGGCATCCTCGTCCGCTAAATCAACACCAGTCATATCTGGTATGAAGAAGTAGGTGACCAGAATCCCAAAAACGCCACAGATGGCAGCGACGATGAAAGTCCATTTCTTTCCCAGATTAGTTTCGATGGGGGTGAAAGCTTGCGTACCGACAGCTGCGCCGACTTTACCAAGGGCAGCGGAAATACCATAGCATGTCCCCCTGATCGCCGTGGGATATGACCTGAAGGGGAGAGCGTTGATCACGATAAATAATGTCTGAAGATATACTTACTCGACGCTAACCAGACCCATCATATCACCAGGACCCTAGGATCCTTCCGTAAGTTGCCAAGTAGCTCAATCTTTGTGCGAAGGAGGTTTACCATATTTCCAGAAGATTGCATGAGGCCGTAGCTATACATCTTAGTCAGTCGAGTGCGTTTGGTGTCTGTGATCACTCCTACAATACGACGAATAAAGGCACGATTGACGTTATCTTGTCGTATGCACATCCAATAATTAAGCCTATACATAAACATGAGATCAATCGCCTCAGTCCAGAGTTTCACATGAATGTGGCACGTACCGAACACGAGATAGCCACTGAATCCCAGCATCAGCTAATAGTGTTTTTGAGAAATTTATTCAGACCACTCAATCCAAATGACAAGTCTTCCTAGCACAAACCGTGTTTTTTCGGCCAATGACATTGCAGAGCCACGCGCCACTTGACTTCATTCAGCACATAAGTCTGCACAGAAGAACCATTAAACTTACACAAAAATTCCAGGAAGTGCAATCGCTCCAAGTAGAAGTTGCCATTCAGCGGTCTTTTTTATATCGCTATCCTTGATAACGCTGGAAATGATGGTAGCAGAAAAAACCCCATTAGGGAAAGTGACCTCAACCAAAAGGAAATTAGTGGCGAAATGGTAAAGTTCTGTTGAAAGTTGTAATCACAAAGTCGTATAGAAACCTAGCAGCGCTCTGTAAGAACAATGTAGCAAAAGTGTTCTTGTTACTAACCAGGCACAGCATGTCCCAATAAGTGATTTCCAGTATCGTTTTACAACGAGGCCATAGGGAACGTTGTCTGCAAGGCTTGGTTAAGTCCGATGATGGCGACAGCATATTAACTAACGTTTAATGGCGCCTATAGGAGATACACAATGAGATCGATCTTCTACCGAACGCTGAGAATGCCTACCTTTCTTGTAAAGAATGGTCGACATCATTCTCATTCGTACAATAAATACCCCTACGATGATGTCCTGTCAGGCATGATTTCAACATCATGATGCAAAAGAGCTACAACGCACCCAGAGGTAGGATGATCCCAATACCAAAAGAAACTCTCCAAACAGTCTGAAGGTGATTTTTTCTGGCGGCACAGAGCACGATAAGAAATACTGAAACAGCTAGGGGGCCACCGAACTGCAATGATTCAGTGAACGATCATGTAATTGGGATCTTGAGACGGCAAGCTTACACTGAGGACGAAATTGGTGACCATAACAAAGATGGGCCCCCGATTTTTGGGCGATCTTTCATTAGCCGCTTCGGACGCACTGGTGGATCCTGCAGGATATTCTCCACCCACCCCCTAGATAGTCGTTAGGATCTAGGACGATCATCCTTGGAATCGAAGTCTTACCACACCAGTGATACCTCTGAAATCTATCAGCCAACAATGAGCTCAAAGGTTCACAGGGGAGCGACTCACCGAGCCACTGTTAGAAACCAGAAGAGGCCAGCCGGAGTTGAAGCATGAGCAGCGGTTGCAAGGGTCGCACCGAAAACAATAAGAGCCGTCGTAGCGAAAAGAGCAACCTTGCGGCCAATGCGATCACATATCAACCCAACGAAAACTTGTCCAAGAACCGCGCCTGTACGAAATGAGATAAGATACTAACGGATTCGACAGTACCAACCAACAAGCAGGGCGTTAGACACTCTAGTAGAGACAGTGGAGGAGTACTCTGTCCCATAGATGTTCTTGAATACCACCTAGTAAAAACCTCAAATCGTTATCGTGTTCTGATCCTGCGATCATGGTAGCACGTACGTTGGCCATGGTCATAAGGTTATTTTGATATCCGTCGCTGTCATGCAAGAGTTAATGTGTACCACGATTGAAGACGCTCGAGTTCAAGTAACCTGATAAGCCCTAGTCCTGCAGCAGCAATTGTGAACGTGCTGGACAGGTTCTCCTGTTTGCTTTTGAATCCAGGTTCTGTTTTGATTTTGACGGTAGCCTGCTCTTCAGATATAACAGGTTGGGATTCACTGACAGGAAGACTCCTTGAGTAGCTCAAAACGCTGTTGGCCATGACGTGGATGGGGTGAATGGATGCACGGAGGGCCGAACGCTTTAAAGCGCCATTTAATACTGTATCTGAAAGACGCACGTGGGGGCATCGAGGGGCATCGTTGATGGAGGATTCGGAAGGAGAATTTGTGCTTGCAGCTCAGACAAAACTAGTTTGAGCAAAGGATGTCATTCAAGGTTTGAATGAACCGAGGCAGGTTAAAGAGAGGGGTCACATTGCAAATCACCACACAGTGTAATATCGAGGAATGAACGGGCTAATGAACGTTTCTAAAGTGTGTAAGTGGCGCATCATGGACATCAATGATGATCGCGGCAGGCTACGGCCGACCGTGGCCTGCCTTTTTACCTTTCACAGAAACACTCCATTCTCCAAAAAAATCTCCAAATGCCGGGCCTGACCCAAAACGCAGACAACATCGAGGACATCGACTACTCCGATATCGAAGCCAAGTAAGTCTGCATTTATCACTTCTTTTGCCTTTGCTGAAGTAGATTGATAGATACAAAGTCGACTACGACGGCAGCTTCGATAATACGCTCATCGTTGACGGTGTTCCTATCATCGACAACTCGAAACTCGAGAGACTCCTCACCAAGATATGCAAAGAATTCTCTAGAAAAGGTGTGCCTGTCAAACAGGATGACATCTTTATACCATGGGATGAAGCCACGGGCAAAAGCAAAGGGTGCGTACGTTCTCAAACATATGCTTGAAGAATTTTCGATGCTCATATCATTGTAGATATCTCTTTATGGATTTCCGTAACGCGCACGATGCAAACAATGCCCTCCTGGCAATGAATAATCATCCTTTCGACGCAAAACACGTTTTCAAACTCAATCGTTTCGATGAGATTGAAAAATATGCGAACATGGATGAGACTTACGTCGAACCTGAGCAAGAAGAGTACATGCCCAGGGTCGGTATTGTTATGGTCCTTTAAATTCAGGCTTTCTCATTCCTTCATAGGAACACTTGCGAGCGTGGTTGACCGACCCTCAAGGACGCGATCAATATGTAGTCTATCGCGGTGATGATGTTGAAATCTTTTGGCACGGAAAACCTTCACAATGTGAACTAGCTTATAAACCGGTACGCTACATGCAAATTGTCTCCATCACCTCGGCATTAAATCTGATATAGGACTGGAAAGACTTTTTGTACGTCTCGTGGTCTCCGCTGGGAACATATATTGCTACTCTTCACCGACAGGGTGTGCGTCTCTGGGGAGGTCCATCATGGAAGCCTCAGCAACGATTTGCACATCCCTTGGTCAAACTCATCGATTTTTCACCTTGCGAAAACTATATCGTCACGTGGTCCAACGAGTCCATTATCGTTCCTGATGGCAAACCTCAAGGACCTCAGTATTTTTCTCCTGAGGACGAAGGAAACAATCTGGCAGTATGGGACATCAAGACAGGACATCTTCTTAGAACATTTCCTACCAACTCCGGTACCGAAGGCCCTGCAGGAAAACGTCAGATGCAGTGGCCGGCACTGAAGTGGAGTCCTGACGATAAATTTGTTGCAAGGGTGTCTCCTGGTCAAATGATCAGTGTCCATGAATTGCCGAGCATGTTCCTGCATGAAAAGAAGAGTTTGAAGATTGAAGGTGTAGTAGATTTTGAATGGTGTCCACTTAGCGACAAAGATCGGGATGAAGTTGAAAAAGTTGCGTCTGTGGGAGCCAAAGGTGCCAAGAAGGCTCCTGAAAATATGATTGCATACTGGACTCCCGAAGTAGCAAACCAACCTGCACGCGTCACTCTACTAAGCTTCCCAGGTCGGACCATTTTGCGCCAAAAGAATCTTTTCAATGTCTCGGAGGCGAGTGCTCTCTTTTGCTGGTATCCAGTTCCCATAAATTCCCGTCTTTCACACAGTGCAAGCTCCACTGGCAAAACCAAGGGGACTTCTTGTGCGTGAAGGTCGATAGGCATACGAAGACAAAAAAATCTATTTTTTGCAATTTGGAAATCTTTCGAGTTCGTGAAAAAGATTTTCCTGTGGAGGTTGTTGAGTTAAAAGGTTCGTCTGGTCTCGCTCCCTGTAGTGCAGATGGTTCGAATTGTTTTCTGCAGACACAGTCACCGATTTTTCTTGGGAGCCGAAAGGCGAACGTTTTGCCATTGTTTCAACTAACGACCCGAACCTCGGCAATCCTGGTCCTGGTATCACAATCAAAACAGACGTGAGCTTCTATCAACTAGACCGTGTCAAAAATGACTTCAAGCTTTTAAGTGTGTCTAGTCTCTCTTTCTTTTGACGTATGATTGTTGAACTTATTATAGAAACGTTACCAAATCGCACGAGTAATGCTATACGATGGAGCCCTCGGGGCCGTTTCGTCGTTCTCGCTACCGTGGGCTCCTCAACCAAGTCAGAGCTTGAGTTCTGGGATCTGGATTTCACGCTTGAAGACCGCCGGGACGGACAGGTGGTCAAAGAAGACTGGGGAAGTAGCATTCAGAGTCTTGGCATCGCAGACCATTACGGCGTGACCGACGTCGAATGGGATCCCAGTGGGCGTTACTTGGCCACCAGCGCTAGCGCTTGGACTCACACGGTAAGATAATGACCGTTCATTTGATTAAGCAGATCCTCATCCTTGATCATGATAGTTAGAGAATGGCTATGCATTATGGGATTTCCGCGGACAAGAGCTGTTGAAGCAAATTCAGGATCGTTTCAAGCAGTTCCTCTGGAGACCACGCCCCCGCACATTGCTTACGAGAGAACAACAGAAACAAATACGAAAGAACCTCAAAGAATTCAGTCGGGTCTTTGAAGAGGAGGACCAGAGAGAGAGCGAGAATGTGAACACAGAATTGCTTGCTCTTCGTAGACGCCTTGTCGACGAATGGAATGCATGGCGTGCTCGGAGTACGAAGGAACTAGCCGAAGACAAAGGCCACGACCATGTGAAAGAGAAGCAGTCTGAGGAAGATAAAGAGGAAATTGAAGTATGGGTGGAAGACATTATTGAACAGATTGAAGAGGAAGTTGAAGATTAATGTCTTTCTGTGATTTTCCTGGCTGGCAGTATATCACATCTGTCAATTCGTTCTTAACTTGTAGCACGGGATATGGAAGTAGAGCGAAGTTCTCTCACTGAACGTGGAAATTGCGATGTTTAAAACTTACCATTCACGATGCGCTTCAAGGGAGCGAAAGAAAGATCCTTCCGTCACAGGACACGACGGCCAAGAAAAGCACTAAAAGACTCAGGAATTGAGGCATTAATGCATTATATCCCAGGTACCATCTCTTTTTCTGGAGCCTGATTGACGAGTGATTCTCCGCGGAACGAATAATGTATGAACGGTACATGTGGCAGTAATATCCAGAGAAAAAGAAAGTTGGTATAATACTTTTATGGGATACTTTGGACACACTCCACTTGTGAGTCTCGTAGCATCGAGGTGAAAAGGAGTCCTAAAAAAGAAAAAAGAATTGATGCCTGTAAGCGTTGCTTTTACCCTTTTCGGTGTTTGCTCACGGCTCCGAGCTCCGCAAAATTCCGACCGCTTATTTAAGCTTATCTTATCTGGCAGCATCTTGCTTTCCTTCCAAATCTCGACATATATAAAGTGCTTCGCTCCTGTTCATCTCACCAGAGTATCATGGCTGCCACTGCTGTGTCCTCATCCAGCACCCTGTGGGCCACAGGTTTGTCGCAATCACCTTATCGTGTCTTATTGGTGCTCACTGCCAACGTCGCACCTCTTCAGCCTCAAAAGACTGGGTAATACAACCAAAACCTAAACCTGGGTACATATACATTTCCTTCTGCCGACCCACATCGCTTACTTACTAGATATCAGGCGTAAGCCCAAGAATGAAGTCGTGATTGAAACAGTTGAAGATGCAGACGGCAAAGGTCGACGCGTACAGAACAGGTAATGTATATCTTGTAGTATACTATATGTTCTGTACTGATACTATCACTCGTTTCAGGGCTGCTCAACGCGCGTTTCGCGAACGCAAGCAATCCCAACTTGCCGAGCTACAAGCTCGTATTCAACTATACGAACAAGGTGAAATAGAACGCAATGTTGCTCTTCAAAATATCGCCAAACGACTAAAAGAGGAGAATGAAGCCTTGCGTCGAGAAAACGCTCAACTTAAAGAAAGGCTCGACACTGCGGAACGAGAGCTTCGTACCATTGATAAGAGGCACTGGCGTGATGATTCGCCTACTTCCTCCATCGGATCCGGTGCTTCGACGAGAAAACGTCAAAGAATAGATGACAGAGTCCAAGACGACGCACTCCTTTCTCACCTGACTACCACTTTTTCCTCAGCGTCGCCTCCTTCGATGGCGTCGTCACCAGGCTCTAACGATACATCCGATACTCCGTTCTCTCCTATACCGTTAGACCACCACCACCTCACAGCGGCCCATTCATCTATCTTGAACCTATCGACTACAGACAAGTACGATAGTTACGCTGACCACTCAGTGTTCATGTCCTGCGGGTTCTGTAGCGAACATCTGCCCTGTGTGTGTCGAGACGCATTCCCGTCCTCGACTGATATGGTACCCAAAAGTGAAATATTTGAAAATACGGCACCAGGTATCATTAGGATTGGGTCCCCTGTACCGCATGGTACTCCCTCCATCTTGGATGAGCTTCCAGCGTTCCAGCCTGCAGTTCCTCTTCGTCGCCGCCAGGCTGCAGCCTCTGTACCTGTGAAGCCTGTCGTCCTTGTCCCAGCGCCTACGTGCTCTGGAGATCCAAGCAATTGTTTAGCTTGTGCCGACGACAGCTTCGGTAAAGCATTCTGTGATGCCTTAGGCAAGTCAGTAGCTGCTCAAGCTTCAAGTGGTTCTACCTCAGAAAACCTCAGTATCAATCCAGCCGAAGTGAGCCTTGGCTCTCACGAGTTAATCGATCAGCAACCAGAAGGGGAAAGCATCTCTACCAGTGATGCATGGAAGCAACTCAAGTCGCATCCTAATGTCGCATTCTCTGATTTAGCGCTTCTAGCGGACGTTGTTGCTCGCAGGTCGAAATGCACTGGCCCACGAGTTGTCATATCACCAGCTCCTGGTAGCATCACGCCTGAGCGTATAGCTTCGCCAGACCCCCTTGTGAATTCCCCCGAGAAATCAAATGATTCTGAAGCAGTCGTCCTCACTGATCCTCACGCCCTTTTCCGCAAGCAAGAGAAGGCTAGATCTTCACCCCCTCGCCTTGTGCCGCAAGAGATTCTCATGCAGTGTGGACAGGAAAGACTGCGTCAGGTTCAGGCGGCAGGGGTCCGAGAGGCTTTGCGTCTTCTAGATGCAAAATATGCCACTCTGTAGTACCTGACTTCGACACCTATAGTATTGTGTTCATTTTATCCTTAACATGGTCCCCATATCATTATCACCTGTACTACTAGATCTCTCCTAAGTTCCCAAGCATTATATTTGTTATGAGTTTTTTCTCAAGGTATGTTTTATTTTTTATCTATTTTGTAACAGAACCTCTCCGACGAATCAAACGTCTTCCATGCTGCTATAAGCTGCCGCAACTGCCTGTACAACCTTTTCCAGTGCGATTGGGTAAACTCTGAATTGGTTACGCCTTGGTCATTCTTGTGTAAAAGTCTAAATTGTGTGGCTAGTTCCTTTAGGGATGCAGATTCCAACTCGTTCGGGAAAGGTTGCACATAGGACCAAAGCGTTCTTAATGACCTTCGAGCCATCGAATATGCTCCTACCGCGAAAAATGCTCCGACCACTGCATCGATCGATGCGACATCTGGTCGAATATCGGCCTCTATCATCTGTTTGAACGTTGTTACTGCTTGTTCGGGCTGACCTTGGCGAGCATAGCCAACAATTAAGATAGTGTACATTACGCAGTTGGGCTTTATCCCCACTCGCGTCGCAGCCTTGAGAACATCTAGAGCTGCCGGAAGGTCGCCTTTGCGGGTATATCCCTCCATGAGAGCACTGAAATGATATTCATTCGGTTGGATCCCACGAGAAAGAAGAAGGTCAAACACGTCTTGCGCGGCATCCATGTCCACATTTATTGCCGCTTCACGCTTCAGGCGTAGACCAGCGAGCACTGCATCAACGTTGGTCTTTCGAGCGTTGAGTCGATGCAGAAAAGGTTGAGCAGCACGATGATCTATGGCCTGAAGGTGAATTCCAGCGATAGGATCAAAGGACTCGGTCGGGTTCTTGGAAGAAAACCCTTCCGATCGTATTCGGCGTTTGGCTTGACGGGTACGTGAGAACAAGGCCGCGGTGACATTCCAACCGACTCCAAACGTCTGATATCTCTCATGGCGAATGATACAGCTGAGAAGGACGTGAATATGCCTGAGTGTCGGTTCTAAGTCTGGGATATTTAGCAACCGAAGTAATGTCCTCGGACGCAAGTTTTGAGATTTCCCAGCAGAGGCTATCAGCACTTCAACAGTGGACTCATTAGGGCGGATGTTGTTAGCCTGCATGATTGTAAAAATGTCTCGGACACAGGCAAAACCATGAGTAGAAATACTACCTTTTAGCAAGGCATTGAACATACGTGGGGTGGGGATGATGTTGGTAGGCACAAATGGCAAATAAGCAACAGGGTCATAAAGACCCTGGCGCAACAGTGATGTAAAGGCCTCACTGGGGCGTACATGGCATATATCAAGTACAGTGCGAAAGGCAGCACTGCTATGCCCCGTCGAAAAATAGACGTGGATAAGAGCCGTGAAGATATCTGGCGTGGGAGGTATATTTGCTCGAACCAAGCCCTCTAGGATAAGGAGAGCGCCAGGAAAATCCTGTCGTAAAGCCATGTAGTGTAGAAAGGTAGCGAAGGTATCTGCGTTGGCAGAGAGGTAATATTCTCGATAAATCTCCTCCAGTGGTTCTGCGGAAGGATTTCCGCCGCCCGGGGTGGAAACGGCGTCGGATACAACTTTGATAATAGGACTGACCTGTTTGGGATCGAAAACAGTTAACATTCGAAGGGTAGCTGCAGGATCTTGAGCATCGAGGCGCAGCTGTATCAGTCGATTTAAAACCGTTACAGCTGTATTTTCCTCCAGAAACATCAGAGACTGAAGTGCCTGATCTTGTACTTGTGCATTGGGTCCCAAATTTCGATAGTTGGCTGCAATGACAGCGTGCGTGGAATTGTCCGGAGGAAAGCCAATTTGATCCATGAGACGAAGCAATTTTCGAGCTCCGAGTAGGTCTCGATTTCGGATGTGGCCTGAGATAAGAAGGTGAAAGGTACGTCGAGTTGGTTTCACCCGAAATCTTTCGAATTCTTCCAAAATGCTTCGAAGGGAAGCATGTTGGTAAGTCTCCACTAGTGCACGAATGCGCCAATTCAATAGTCGGACAGTTGTAGTCCTGGTATGACGTATCCCTAGAGAAACGACTGACAGAACTGCTGCCCATCGAAGCTTGGTGGAAAGGTGATGAGCGGTGCATTCGTATGCGTTTTGCTTCAGGGGGCAGCCGAGGACGTGAGCCAACTGAAGCACCTCTACGGCAAGACGAAAGTCCGGCGTCAGGGCGATCATCTCCGCTAGTTGGCGCGCCTTGGTATCGTCGAGAATATTTTCCGTAAGAAAGGGACTGGCCAAGATTTCTTTTCGAAGATCGTCCTCGGACAACTTTCGTGCTAGTAATGAGATAAAAATATGGACTGGAGGTGTTTGCGAGAAGTTTGTCTGCCGGAGAACCTGTTTGGTCATATTCCGCGAATGTTCGGTTGCTGCAGAAGGGGGATTGTCGGATATCTGGATACCGGACAAGGAAGAACGGAGAGGATTGGACCGGGTAGCTAGAGCAGTCGAAGGCAAGCATCTTGCAAAGATAGAAGGACGATGAGCAGAGAATGGGATCCGGGGGATATTCCAGAAGGATTTGCCAGATGGTGCCTGCTCTAGATATTGCCTGTGAGCAAGGCCGGCTATCCTGAGCATGGACAGCCAGGACTGCTATTAGAAAGATGCCAACGACCTAGTTGACAATAACATTGCCAATGGACGCGATAAACAAGAGCAGGTATAGAGTCAAAAGGAAGTTCGGCACTCACAGTCCACGACACGGTGGGTTATTGACACTATGAAGGTGACGCCGGCACATAACACGCTGGCCACTGTCAGTGTCGATGCCAAAAGAATTTTGAAGTGTCGACATTTGTGCCACGTGAAATGAGCGCCTAGACTTGGACTCGCCCAGACTCGCCCACTTGGCACTATAATTGAGGACAATCAAACCACTATACATAGGTAAGTATACTGTACATGTACATGGAGAAGGGACTACCTGAGATGTGTATATACAAATAATGTAGCAAGTACAGTATGTCAATTTCGAAGAATCGATAAACTTAATATCAGCCTGGTAAAGCCAAAAAAAACCCTTCTTCAATCTGGCTCTCCGGTAAAATGAATACCTTCAGGTTCGGGTGTCGCTCACCGGCATTCAGAAGATGCCCTCACTGTGCAAAAAAGTGAGCTGCGAGAGCGTACATACGGAATATAATTAAGGCCGAGACGAGCAACCAAACCCTCATAACTTCAGAAATGAGAACGTATGTAAGTTGTTCGACATGGACCTCGTATCTGTCCTAGCTCGGTATCCTGTGCATGCATATGGTGCCAAAAGATAATCGAAGGGAAACTTGAGGGGAACGCACATGTAACACTAATATGGTTGGTGGACTGCCGGCGCCGCAAGAGGCCGCAAGAGCCGCAGCATTGCTTTGCATGTCACAGTGCACCTGCATATCGTCCATTAATTCGGATCAACAAACCCTGTGGTGAAGTCGACAAAGAGAGACAAGTGATTAACAGCAAGGAACCCGCTCGAGTCACTACACAATTTCGATAAACATTTCGTGGTAAACGATGTTTAATCCGCCATGTGTGAAAAACCGTCTGGATATGATTTAAAAGTCGTCGAGTATACGGAATAATCGAGTTTGACGCCCCCCTCTCATTCTAGACATGTTGCGCCCTGATCTTGGTGGAATGATAAACGCAATACCCACACCGCGTATTGTTAAAGACGTAAAACAAGGTTGTACTAGTTTGAGGGAGAATCAAGAGAAAGGAAAGATAATAACTGTCTTCAGGTCATATGAGCTGCAATTCGTGGTGACGCTTGGAATTGAAGTTTGCAACGGGTCAGATGGAAAAGTTTGTACGATTAGACGGCCGAGTCGTGCGCATATACCGTTACAAGACCTCCCCATCCCAGTCGAACCAGAGGCACTTCAAGATTGATTCCATACATCGAGTGATTGCAGATCTTAATGATCCACTGCATCTCACTACTAGTCTCTAACACTTCGAGAGCAGAAGTCGACGAAAACACAGTAGTATCTCCTCTTACAACCAGAAGCATTTTAGTGTGGCGATATCGTTTACCGTGCCAGGAACCGGGGAGCTCGAGTATAACTTTGATGTTTAATGTTGATTTCACCTAGATAGCCAAGGTTAGTCATCTTCATAGATGCCTAGAATGCCGTAGCACGACAAGTTGAATTGAGTGGCGACAGGAATTTGAGAGACTTGTGGTACTAACTAGGAGAATGGAGTAGTAGAGTATAGCCTCGGCGATGAGGAAAGTAAGCCTCGCGGCGAGTTACAGAGTCATCGGTGGTGAAGATTGAGAGAAGTTCATCCAGTTGTCCGATTCTAAAAGATGCATACCATGCTCAACGTAGGAGCAAACGAAAAGCCACACACGGCTCGGACTCGGGTTGAACCTTGGAAAAGGTAGATACATTCGACACGTGGTAAGCAGCGCCACGAATTGCGTGGGAGTAGTACTGGATTCCGATACTCAATACATACGTGCCTTCCGTTAATTTTCATCCAGTAACAAATTTTTGTGATGCTTCCCGGGCCTCGCGGATAAAGTCCGCTGAATGGGTTTTAAGCTGCAACTTACGATCCATTCTGCACTTCGCAACAACGTCTTCTACAGACTTCGTGTAGCACGGTAAGGAAAGCCGGTCCAGATCGTCCGTATCCGTACAACAAACGACAAGGATTCCTCAGCAAATCTATATTGAATCTGTCCGCTACTCTCTCTAAATTTGCCGTGCGTACCTGCCTTGAATGTTTCAAATCAATTCGAAGACAGGTGAGGCTATTCGAAACTCACCTCTTGCATTGGACCCATCGTTGCTCCAAATGCTCGGCATTTTCTTTTTTGCACTTGAATCTCGTATTCAAAGCTTATAAAGGTCAGTTACGACTTAGAGATATCCCCACTCCCACTCGATTCCAAGCATCATGTTCAGGACTCATATTTCTGTTCTCGAGTCGAGTGCTGCACGTTTCTCTTCTTCGCCTGTGTTCAAAGTGCCCCTTCTGGGTGCACAGACGAATCAGTTAAGCGATTGGACGACAATCACCTATCGTCAATTCCATGAGGATGTCATACGATTCGCCTCTTTCTGGGCCAGAGAGCTTCGACACGATAATATTCCTCAGCGATCGGTGATTGGCCTCTGGTATGAATACAACACGTTTTCATGTTATTTTCGACGATTTGCTCATCCATTCCCTTAATATAGGATTGGTGGCTACACATACATTGACGTTCTTCACATATATGGGCTTTCTAGAGCGGGTTATATTCCACAGCTCTTCAGTCTCCGACTCCCAAATCCTGAGGTCACCTTCGAATTATTGGTAAAGGCCAACGCGAAAGCCTTGATCTTCGATGATTCTTTTACTGATGTCGTACAAAATTGCCATGTCCCCATTTATCCGGCCATGAGGAGGGTTGAGATTGATGGAAGTGGGCCTGTGCCAGACCTTCCCGTCGTCACGGAACGCGACATCGCGTTTGTATTCCATACAAGTGGCTCGACGTCTGGGAGCCCGAAACTAGTCCCATGCAATTACCGCTGGCTGGATACCACGATCGCCAAATCTAGCCAAATTAGCATGCCTCGGGATCCATCCCGTCAGGATGTCACTACGTGGATGTATGTCCTTTCCATTGTAGTTATGTACCACTGTTCCCATTCTAACATTATCAAATCGTCAAGGGGAAGCATGTGCCACATAGGCCAGGAATTTATGCTTTTGGGCAGCATTCAGCATGGTTCTTGTGTTATTCAACCTACAACAATTTCGTTTAGCTCCGAGGAGCTCATGGATATGATTCATACTTGTGGTCTCAACAGGTTGAACCAGTTCGCTGCTTTCCTTGCGATGCAGTTACAAACTTCGCGCAATCATCCCAAACTGCTTTCAATGCTCGCGAACCTAGATGAAGTGCTCTACTCTGGAATGCCTCTCGCTCGCTCGGAGCTGGAATGGGCTTTGCAGAACGATATCAAGCTCAGAGTAAGTTTGTTGATTTGGGCTGACGATTTCTAAATATTGACTGCATCCCTCAGAATTTATTCGGGAGTACAGAATGCGGAGCTACACTCCTCTCAATTGGGGGCGCTGGTAGTGACGCGACTCTTCTTCGTACCTTAGAAGGCGTGTCATATCAGTTCGTACCTGTCGACTCGGAGGAATCTGAAGCTGGACATCAGTCCACGGCACGTTTGCTTGAATTTGTTGTCTCATCCGAGTCTGGAGATTGCCCAGATCGTTCCCTTTGCGCGTCGGATGGCCATTTTCATACCGGAGATCTATTCCAACAAGTAGTTCCCGGCCGCTATGTATTTTGTGGACGAGATGACGACTGGATCAAGTCGGAAAACAGTCTCCGTTGCGATACCAAGTTAGTCTCGTTTTGCTTCTTTCCATATCTCGTCATTCAACAACTTCTCAGAGCGATTGAAGACAATGTCCGGGCTACTTGCGGGAACTTGATATCAGAATGCATTGTTGTTGGCACAGGTCGTCCCTCTCCCGTCCTGTTCATTGAACCCGCCAGTGACATGGACCACGAAAAATTAAAGAAGGACATCATACGAAAAACCCGTCACTTTCAATCACGGAGATATTTACATGAGAGAATCACCTCAACCAGAATGATTATGGTGGTGGCTCGAAACACTTTACCCCGAACCTCGACCAAGGGTAACATTCGCCGTTCGGCAGTGGAAGAGACCTATCGATCCCAATTGGATGTGATCTACGATGTTTCGCGATAAAAAAACTTTCACACTTGAAATTCAACACTTATCTTGATTATATTATTTACTTGACTGACATTATATACAAGACACCATAGCTCGGAACGACTGTAATTAGCTGTAATACTCGGTATGATACTCGCTTCTTTAAATCACTGTATCACTATTTTTATGTATCACTATGTCCTCTGAATTCTTGCTATCAAATACAACCATATTCCTTGTCCACTTATGCTTTTCCCGTTGGTTTCAAGAATGCTGTTACTTAATGCTGAGTAAATCCTGTCCATCCAAAGCATACTTTCAAACACCTAAATTGATCTTTAACTTAGTACCAAGCGCGTGATCGAGGTGGTGCATTGCTGAGTCATGCAGGTCAGGTGAAGCTGTATAGTTCTTGGCTAAACTTTCGCATCTCCAACAAAAGTTGCTGGAGCTCCTCGTCGTTCGACACATCTCTTCAATAAAATGGTAAGTTTTCCTTAGTTGCTTTCTAGAATATAACTGAGACAAAAACATCAAGGACTCTGGTAAATCCTCAGCCCCAGTCAAACTCGCAAAAGTCGTTAAGGTTTGACCAGGAAATTGTTGGAATGGAATCTATGTTCATCGTAGTGCAGGTCCTTGGACGAACCGGATCTCGTGGAGGAGTGACACAAGTCCGTGTCGAGTTCATGGACGATCCTAGCCGGTCAATCATCCGTAATGTGAAGGGTCCTGTCCGTGATCAGGACATACTCGCCCTGCTAGAGTCCGAGCGTGAAGCACGGTGCGCTGTTCTTTTGTTTTGTTTCGAGATGTTAGTTAATTTTTCGTCTCTTTTGCTCCATCTGTAATTGTCCAATAGTCGTCTCCGATAATACGCCATACGCTATATATGTGTTTCTTATCACCTCTGTATTCGATACAAGTTTCCCTGTCTGCTATGGATACTCTTATATGATCGTTCGAAGGTGCTCTATTCGACAGTTCCATTTGAAGCTCTTAGCTGAGCAATGATTCTGAACCGAGATTTCCGAGCGCTCGGGATTATCAATCAGAATGTCTCTTTTACCTCTTTTCACCTTACTCCCATCATGGCCCGAATGGCATTTGTTACACTCCTCACCAGAATCAGCTACTTGCCTGGAGTGTTGGTGCTAGATTATGGATTAAAATCAACTGGATCCAAATACCCACTGGTTGTGATGGTTACACCCACGCTCGAGGAGGATGCTCGTGACATCCTCACCCAATGCGGTATTGAGATGTATTCTATCAACTCTTTGGTGCCAGATAGTAGTCGACATACCGTCGCAGACCACGATGCTAGGTTTAAAGATACTTGGACCAAACTCAGGTATTGGAATCGTTGTTTTCACATTATCTTGCTCTGATCTGTGATAAGAGCTTTTGGACTGGAAGGCTTCGAAGTAAGTTAGGGTACTGTGAGTTCTCTTTTTAGCCTGATTTTTTCGGATAGCGCGTTGTACTGCTAGATGCTGATATGTTGATAAAACGCAACATGGATGAGCTTCTGCAAATACCTCTGGCACAAGATGAAATTGCGGCAGCTCATGTATGTGCATGCAATCCCATGAAGCTAGTCCATTACCCTGCAGATTGGTGAGCCTGTATGATATTCACCGGTTCATTTGAATACTGATAAAACCCCTTGCAGGGTACCTGCTAATTGTGCTCACACTGCTGTTGAAAATCCTCTCGGTCTTCCACCGGCTTGGACCCCAACCAGTCCTCGTCCTTACGGACAGTTGAATTCGGGGACCGTAGTACTCAATCCTTCTCCCGCCCTGGGTGAAGCCATTGTGCACTTTCTCAATACCGAAAATCTCGAAAGCTTTGCGTTTCCTGATCAGGATTTACTGACCTCGTTCTTCAAGGGCAAATGGAAACCATTACCGTGGTATTACAACGCGCTAAAAACTTTGAGAGTAATCCACCCACAATTATGGCGAGATGATGAGATTCGGTGTCTCCATTACATCTTGAAGGATAAGCCATGGGAAGCGAGGACGCCAGTTGTGCCAGGACCGTTTGATGAAGTTCATGAGTGGTGGTGGAACGACTTCGATAGAATGGCATCGGGATTGGATTCGCAAAGGAGAAACAAGATCTTCTCCTTGGTGGATACCAGTAAAGAAAGTTGAAGTACAACAGATCCGTACGCGTACATACAACTTCATTAATTTCTCCAGGCGACGTGAACTTCATCTGTACGGAACCTGGATAATGTTGCTTTCTTAGTACTAAAGTTATGGATGAACTTCAAATGACTGACCGTTGGGTACAAGTGCTTTTTGCCAATGGCGTTTCATAACCCATGCGATAACTGAGAAGCCCGGCTTGAGCGATCATGATCCCATTGTCTATGCAAAATCTGCACCTCTTGAGTTTGAATTATGCATTTCCAGGTGCCGATATAAGTACCTTTCATCTGTAGCAAAGACCTGACCTTGTCGTTCATGCGCCATTATGCCCATCATTTGTTGCAATCGCTCATTACCTGGGTTATCATTAACCATGGTAACTTCCAAGTATGTATATTCTGAATGTGAGCATACTCACTTCCGACTCCCCCAACAATAAGAACTTCTTTACTCCCAATGTGCGCCATAGCACGCTCTGTGATTTCAACAAGCATTGCAAAGACTGTTTCTTGCAAGGAGAAACAAAGATCTTGAGGGGTGATCAGATCTTTATCTTCTGCGCCTTCTTCATGTAATCTCTTGTCTAAGGTGTAGGCTTCCACTGCAGATAAAATTCCAGAGAGGCTGACATCCATTCCCTTAGTTGCGTACGGTAAGGATACTAAACGTTTGCCCCTAGTGGAGGAATACATTCAAGGCTTCAAAGAGACTGGCTGAACATCGTGATCTCACTTTTTTGCTTCCTGTTCAATGTTATATCCAGGACTAGGGTCATTGCTGAGATTGATAATCCGAGCAAAACGGTCGAGGCAATTTCCGACAGCGATGTCCAGCGTCTCACCGAAAATTCGATAGCACTGGCGCGAATACGCAATTACTTGAGTATTCCCCCCCGAGACGTACAAGACGACAGGATTTTGAGCTCCGGTAATCTCTCTACCCATTTCAATATCTGTAATGTAATGAGGTATGCATATCTCCATCTGAGCATCGAGTAGAAAATATCACATACGACCAACGCAATGATTCACGCCTACCAGGGGTTTGTTGAACAAGAGTGAAAGAGTTCGAGCTATTAGCGCTACGGATTGCAGTGGCGCGCCCATTCCTGGTCCTGGACAGTGTATTAGCACATTGTTTTCATGTTCAAAATGACCTCACGTACCTTTGGTAAAGCAGATACAATCAATCTCGTGCATAGATACACCAGCTTTTGCAAGGCAGTCATTTATTATTTTCAAGGCCCATTCTCTATGGTGTAGGGCGGTATCTCGAGGTTGAAAACCCTCTCCAGGCGGTGTGATATATGTATGTCTGATATTTGAAAGAACAGTGGCTGCACCGTCCTTGGGATGCTTCATGATTCCCGCACCGAACTTGTTGGCAGAACCCTCTAAGCCTAATGCCAGATAGTCCCGACCTAGGATACTTCAGCATTTGACACTGACCAGAGTGTATCGAAATCAACCTGCTTCCATGAGAGGCGTCTTTCGTATTTTGCCGGGCATGATTGTACAGGAAAGAGATACACGGCAATTTCAACTTTCGATCATTCGCACTTGAAATTCTTTCTTGCTCATACAGATAGATAGATAGATACACGGCACCACCCTAAGGTGTGGTCCCAAAAGCGGAACAGCCGGTCTCGAAGCACTGGCGGCAGCGAGCTCAACCCGCAAGGAGAAGGTAGACTACCGCCAGGTCAACGAGGCAAAGGTAAATAGTACAAGTACGTGAGTGTAGAGTAATAGTGATAGAGCAATAAACAGACGGCTTCTGCGATACGGAAATGTCCCTCAAATCTCCTCGTCACTCGGTCCATCCTCTTCCTCAACATCTAAATCCTGCTTCGTCAATTGCTTCCAAAGGATGATGGCGTCGTTAATGAAGCGAGCCGTTGGACGAACGGAATCCCAACCAAAGACAAAGGCCTTGAGGTAGTAGTGAGCTTCTGAGTTAGAAAAGATGCGAGAATTGGGAAGGGTAACAAGCGACGCAATGTCAGTGAGAAATTGTTCACGAACAATGCTGAGACCCGGGACAGACGTGCACTGAAGAAGTACATGCTGTGAGGACTCTGGTTGACCGGGTGATTTGCAGGCTCGGCACTGTTTTGTTAGGTTGAAGAGGATTGAGTGCGGGTAGGAGAAGCACGAAATGTAAGCGGGACCATGTCTCCACATAGCAGTCTGGTATTTAGAGGGACCAGTATTCCCATCGTAAAACAAATTTCAGTTACTACGAAGACTATAATGCCGCACTCAATCAAGAACACTAAGATTTATACTTTATCGGAGTTTGAGGAATCTGAATTATTCTAAGTACCTTATCCTGGCTACATCGACGTTTAGAACACCGGCGCATCCTTCAAAAACAACTTGCCCTCCTCCTTCTTCACCCACCGTGCAACTGCGTTAGCAGCTCCAACTGCGGCACTTTTGGGTAGTAGCGGGGACAATGTGAGGTATAACTCAAAGGGCTGGGTTATCTGAAATGTATATAACAGAGGAACACATATCAGTTCAGAAATAGACAAAGCGAGGGGCAAAGAAATGCGACAAGGATGCTCACCCATCCTAGAACAGCCTCAGTCTCAGTCCTCAAATACTGCAATTTCAAACCCTCCCTCACCTCCCCTTTACCTGGATTTGACATTCCTTTGGCATGAATCGCATCATGAACGAGCTGATACAACGTAATAATTCGCTTTTTTTCGTCTGTCTCTCCTTCATTTTTCTCGCCTACCTTCCCCTTATCATTTATGTCTCCACCTGTATTCCTGGCCATATACATTTCATCTTCCTCCCAAACAGGATACGTAACTTGCACCAATCCCCTAGCTTTATAGACAAAATGTCTCAAACCAGGTATGCCGAGCTCCGATATGGCGTACGATGAATGGGAGATGTGCGTGCGGAGATGATGGAATGACGATGACGAAGTGTGATTGGCAGGAGAGCTAGACGCACTCAACGTGGTTCCTGGTGCCGTCGCCTTTGACAGTGACGGCGATAACATTGATGATGAATTCGAGGTAGAAACGGATGAAGACGAAGAAGGCAAGGAAGCAGATAACTTTTCCACAGCTTCATCACACCATGCTCTAACGGAATCGAAATCGCTCCCACCACTGATGCAGACAAGTGTGATTGAGCGAGATGTAAGAGATTGAGTTTCCCTCTTTCTATTGACCGAGATCGCTTCGGTTGATACGACGCTATCATTGTTTGCGATGTTAGGTAAAATTAGATCATCCTGGCGTTGCACGATAGGATTAGATGCAAGTGAAGATGACCCGGAAGTTCCTTCTAATCCGCTTGAATTTGAATTCCCGCCAAGCATATACGGAATATTGACAACATATGCATTGACCATCCTTCCTTCATTCCATTTTGGAAGGCATAATGGCACCCACATAGCCGCTGCAGGGGAGTTAGATATGGATGGGGAAGCAAGGGTTGTTAAGAGGATATGAATGTCTACCAAAAGTGGTCAAGGGTGAGTATACGTAGAGACACAAATGACATTTTGTTTAGTTCGGATGAACGAACCTGCTGGATGAACTGAATGTTTTTTCGGTCGTACAATTGTGATGATTTCACCTTGGGTGACGAGAATGATATAGAGTATATCCTAGAGGGATTAATCTCCGTTAGAAATAAGACCAAGTAACGCATACCTTGGTGAATTTTCCGGATGGAACCAAAGCCTGCGCTAACTTGTTGCGCAGGAAAGGATCAAGCCGGAGACAGCGTAGTGCAGACATGGATATAGCGAGATCAAGTTGCAAACGAGCAATCATAGTAGTCAAGAAAGTATCCGCGCCACCCAATAGTCTCCTCAGATCGAAGTTCCCTCTGCGTTCAAATATCCTCTTTAGTTGTACAGAGGTAACGACGCTAAGGATCTGCAGATGGAGATACTCTAGCTGCGAGCGAGCCACGCTCTCTGGTTCACCCCATGTGGAGACACAAGCATAATACAGCGGCTGTCGCTGAAGGAAAGTGATCCTCGTCTTCCCAGCATTGATCGACTTTAGCTTGTCGCCATCGTCGATGAAGACGGAGATCAAAGCCTGCATTACACCAAGCATGGATGAGACGTCTATGTCGTCGGTGTCTGTTCCACGGCTGAAGAAAGATGAGTAAGGAAAGGAGGAGAAGAATTAGGCCATACCTGACCTAATGTATACTGGCTTACCAGCGTCAGTAAGTATAAAGTACTCCCTTGGACTGAGTTTCGAGTTAAAAGATCGCCGAGAGTCTGGAAGCCAACGGGCGGTACCACGATTTGTAGATGATGTTTCGGTTGTAGCATGATTTGAAGTTAAAGTCCGCCTCAGTTGGTCCCTTAGTATCTTTTTCGATTCCCCCTCTTTACTTTCATTGCCCGGTTTATTCTGATACACATCTTCGTTTATAGAATCCACTTCGGCCTCTACGTCTTGAACCAATATTCTATTTCCATTGGTGTTGTCCAGTTCCAAGTTGATAACAGACGATGCGGAGCTATGACTTCCTATACTCATTAACTTCGGTGGTATTGGCGGTACTGGCGGGACGTCAGCGTTGGTATCAGTTGTTGTTGTTCCAGCATTGTAACTATGCACTCGCAAATTAGACAGCGAAGGAGATTGACGAAGTGCAGGGGCAACCGCCAGTTTCGAGGGTGAGCGATGATACCCTATACCAGAAGGATTGGATGGTCCAGGGGTGCTTGCCCGGGATATGGATGGCGTTCTGGAAGAGGTACGGCTCATCATGTTAATAAGCGCCCAGAGCCCCACTATGATGTGCTTGGTGTCATGATGTGTAGCAGTTTTACTTTTGGTGAATCAACCTTTCAACAGTCACAAGAAATACGGAGAGATTCGTAAGGATATTGTGCAAAGTAAGTAAGCCTATATTAATCTAAGTCACAGCCCAATTTTCCGAACCACCGAGGACGTCTCAAAGCATGAACGTCAGAGGATTTTCTAAGTAACCCTTGAAGGCAGATAGCCATCTAGCAGCAATAGCACCATCCACGGTTCGGTGATCCGAGCTCAATGTAACCTGCATGTTCTGTACGACCTTGAATCCACGCTCTTCCTCGGGTGCAGGTACGAATTTAGGTTCCGTAGAGCCGACAGCGAGGATGCAAGATTGAGGGGGATTTATGATAGCGGTGAAATGAGAGACGCCGAACATTCCGAGATTGGAGATGGTAAAGGTCCCGCCCTGTGACTCCAAAATTAAGCAGAAAGTTGAGGAGTAGCCTAATGTTTCTCGTACCTGGTAGTCAGAAGGAGCCAATTTCCCGTCACGAGCCTTCTTGGCCAATGCCTTGGTTTCAGCAGAAATGGTGGCGAGACCTTTTGAGCCAGCATCTTTTACAATGGGGGTAATGAGGCCGGTAGGAGTGGCGACAGCGACAGAGATATCAGCTTTCTTGTATCTATTAGAAATGGTAAGGGATTCATCGCTCCAGGAAATAGACATAGACTCACGTCCGGATCACCTCTCCGAGCCACGCAGAGTTAGCTTCGGGAACATCGGACAAGGCGCAAGCAACAGCTTTGACGATAAAATCATTTACGCTGAGCTTAGCACTTTTGTCCTTCTCTGACAAAGTTTTGTTGAAGACCTCTCGTAATTTGAGGACCTTGTCCATGTTGATATCGACTGTGACGTAGTAGTGAGGAAGTTCCTGTTTCGATTGAGTGAGTCGAGAGCCAATGGTGCGGCGCATATTAGAAATCGGAGTGTCCACATAGTCGGGAAGTTGTGCTGCAGGTGGCTGCGAGGCAGCAGTTGACGGAGCAGCCTCAGCTGAAGGTTTGTACTTTTCAACATCTTCTCGAAGAATGCGCCCTTCAGGACCGGACCCTTTAACTTTCGACAAAGGAATACCACGTTCAAGAGCAATCTTTTTGGCGATAGGTGACGCAAATATACGGTCGCCAACGGGAATTTCGGGCTTTGACCGTTTGGTTTCACTCGGGGGAGGAGGAGACGTATCCTTGGAAGGCTCAGACTCGGTTTTTGGAGGCTCAGGCTCCTTTGCAGTCTCTTTTGGAGTTTCCGAAGATGCCTTTGCTGCCATCTCCGCCGCGCCAGAGAGGTCGTCGCCCTCCTCTCCTACGATAGCAATGACGGTACCAATTTTGACGTTTTTTGCGCCATCCTGGGCCTGAAGAAAGTAGTGAGCAGCTTGCGCAAAAAGTTGGAATCATGCATACAATGATTTTTGCCATGATACCGTCGTCCTGCGCTTCCACGTCGATTGTAGCCTTGTCGGTTTCCTGGTGCCAAATAATGTCAGCTGAGAAGTTTAACAAAGCATATTCACACACAATCTCAAGGAGAACGTCCCCAGCAGAGAAGGATTCTCCTTCCTTCTTTTTCCAAGAAGCAATTCCACCCTCTGACATGGTTGGGCTCATGGCTGGCATGTTAAATTGAGAAAGGACATTTCTCCGTGCTGAAGCGTGCAGACCTAAGAGAAGAGGAGTGTGTTGAATGTACAGAATTCGAGAAAAGCTTGGAATAAAGCTTACGACGCGCAAAAATCCGGGCAACAGAAGACATGGAGAGAGGAGGACGTCGGAAGTGGACGGGCAGTAAAAACAAGCGCTCAGGCCTGGAGGTGAATCGTGGTTACCGTGGAAATTTCCGTTTTCGGGTATACATACGAAGGTCGCTCTTTTTTAGACTGTTACTTAGTGTTACACCGACACTGTCTAAACAGTGATTCTTACTCTAACACTTCTCCCCCAGACCTATTAGAAAGTATATTTTGCTATCTCGCTGCCGTTTCGAAGGCAGTTGAGCAAAATTTTACGGGGTGCTACCCTGCTCTGAGAACAGGGTTCCCCGGTCTTCAATAGATACCTTCAATTGTTGCGTTTACGGCGCAAGAGTCACTTTACAAGAGAATGAGCCCTAACAGGCCTTGACGCGCATATATCTCCTCACCCCTTAATTGCGTATGCATTTCATGTAAGTACTACATACTGTAGAGCGAGCAGTTGTTTCTTTCGAATCAATAAATTTATACATGAGTCGACCTTCAAGCTTCAAATGTCACCTCTAAAAGATATCGCCAGTTCAACTGTACATACTGTAAATATCTGGATGAGGACCTTTTCAATGTTCATGTCGCGCGCTCGAACGCGTCGTTACCCGGCACATGACCGATATAAATTAAAGTTGAACCAAACATCTTCCTGAATCCTTGAACTCATGTAAATGTCTGTTACGGTAGATCCATACTGGAGAGTGAAGAGTATGCTGCTTATCGCTTGATGAGATATAACATTACTCACATTTCCACAGCAAAGCCATGCGAATTCTACAGGAAAGGCCGCTGCTTATTTGGTGAAGACCGTTGCAATTTTCTTCATGTTATGAACGACTGGAATCCGGATGAAAGCACATTCATTGAATCCAAATCATCACAGGCTGCGCCTGTGGTGAAGATATTTCCTGAGACTCCTCCTTCGGCTTCCCTGCATTCCGTTCGATCTCCACCTCGTTCACCACGAACTACAAATCTCTTGTTGGCTTTGAAGGGAGTTATTAGAGATGACGAAGAAGAGGAGGAGGAGGAATTTGTTGATGAACTGTCCTTTGAAGCAGTTGATGACGATGATAATGATTCTCCGAGGACCACTAGCCAAACTGTTCAGCAAATTGACACTGACGCCAATGGATTCGACTTTCATGACCCACTGTCAACCATGAATGATCAAACCGAGCATTCGCCACCTAGCTCAGTTCATTCTGGTCTTCTTTCTCCAGTCGAGTTCTCGGACCTTCAATTGAAGCACTTTTCCCATCTCCATTCCAACAGTCATTCTAGAACTCCATCTCTGGATCCAGGCTTTTACGATTCCATTGGCGCAACAAATTTACAATGGGTGTCGCCTTCGCCTATGGTTCTTTCGCCTCCGAGGAGCCCAGCTATGAGCTCGACGTTCGAATTACTGGCTTCCCCTTTCGGAAGCCCATCCGCCAGATTAATAGTAAATTCTGCTGCTGGAATGATGTCTCCTCGGTTGGGTGCCTTTACTCCTCGGATACCTGTCTCTCCTTCACCTCTTGCGTCCAAGTTCGATGACTTTGAAGAAGAAGACGCCCAAGATGTGCAGCCCGATTTAGGTCTTGATTCCCCTACCGAATATTATCAGAAGAAGAAGGAGGAGGCTGAGAGCGTCAGTCGACTGATACAAGCTCAAGAAGAGGAGAATGTTGCTCATCAGGATTTAATTGGAGAGCAGGATGATGATGATGATGATGGGGATTACACTGGCGCTTTGACAACCAGGTGGGATTCCGAAGATCAAGATACTGTGCGGCCTTTCTTTTTGGAGCCTGCTCCTCCTCCCCGGTCAAGGTTCAGGCCAGTATCCACGCACTCGCCAACGGAAGGACGGTTTGATCATACTCCCGAAACCATACAGGTTCAAGAGGACGTAGAGGAGGCTTTACGCCGAAGGTCTGCTAGTCCTCTAGACTATCTTCGAACTCCCGAAACGGTGAGGCCTCCCCCTGAATTTTCTCCTGAAGATGTAGAGGCAGACTCAACGGCACATATACCAGTCAGCCCATCACCACTTCGACTTGACGACGACGAGACGGCCCAATTAGCATATCTAGCTGGAAGCCCGGACGAGTATGATAATGACGAGGCCGAACATTTTCACGAAGAGGACGATACCATCAATTATCTTTACGACGTCTACTCGGATATCGATTCTGAATCTGAACGTGCTGAGGAAGAGGAAGAGGTGCAGGAGTTGCAGGAGAGGGAGGAGGAGGCGGAGGCGGAAGACGTGGCGCGAAATGATGAAGAAGGTGATGTTTGCGTCTCGAGGGCATTGCCGCCGCATACCTCCTTACCGGTATCTCTTTTATCTCATACCCCTTCTGTTATCCAATCACCTTCAACTGCTTTACCACAGGACTATACGAATGTATCTACTCTTCCGCCGAGAACTTCCTTCTCCAGTTCCAGATCTTCTGCGCCAAGACAGACTTCCTTCTCCACTCCACAGAGAAACTCTTTCTCCAGCTCTAGGTCTTCTCCACGAAGGGCTTCCCTCTCGATCCACAGATCTTCTCCACCGTCATCTCCGCCCACTGCCAGAGTTTTCACCCCACCTGTACATGCACCATCTACCCCTCCTGCATTAGCGAGAAATTCTTTCTCCAGCTCCAGGTCTTTTTCGCCGAAAAATCCCTTCTCCAGCTCGCGGTCTTCTCTACCGTTATCCCCGCCCACTGCCAGAGTTTTCACGCCGCCCGTACATGCACCATCTACCCCTCCTGCATTAGCGAGAAGTACCTTCCCCGGCTCGCGGTCTTCTCTCCCGAGGAATTCCTTCCCTAGCTCCAGGTCTTCTCTATCGAGAACTTCCCCCTCTATCTCCGAGTCTTCTCCACCGTCATCTCCGCCCACTGCCAGAGTTCTAACGCCGCCTGTACATTCACCATCTACCCCTCCTGCATTAGCGAGAAATTCCTTGCCTAGCTCCAGGTCTTTTCCACGGGCACCTTCATCCTCCAGCTCGCAGTCTTCTTCACCGAAGAATTCATTCTCCGGCTCCAGGTCTTCTCCGCCGCCATCTCCTCATAATGCCAGAGTTTGTACGCCGCCTGTACATGCACCATCTACCTCTCCTGCATTACACAGAATTTCCAGTTCCAGGTCTTCTCCACCGAGGACTTCCCTCTCGATTTCCAGATCTTCACCACCGTCATCTCCGCTCACTGCCATAGTTTTCACGCCACCTGCACCTGCACCATCTATCCCTTCTGCATCATGTCCCCCTCCTGCGCCCGTGCCAACCGATGAAGAGGAACGCATCGATCAATCAACACCTCTTTCCAAAATTTCTAACTCCGGAAGAAGCGCTAAACTGCGTCCCTTGAGACTGGTATGTTGACATTTTTAACTCAGCTGCGGCGTAGATACTGAATATTATCCTTAGTCGACAATTGCCACAGGTTCTGCTCTGATCCCGATAGTCTCTTCCCCAAATGCTCCCATAACTACTGAACCCAGTGACAAGCCACATCGTACGCATGCTGCACGCTTAACCTATCTAATTTGCATTGAAATGGTTCAATTAGCTGATCCTTTATCATCTACCGATCCGTTCTCTGATGACAATCGCTCATCTATTGCATCTACAAGTGTACTATCTGCATCTGCATCTATGGAATCTGCTCTTTCTAACAATCCTTTGGTATGTATATCCTTCCACTGGGAAAACATTAATTTTATTGTTCTAATATCACAGCTTTCGTCTACGCTTTCTCCTTCGTCTATTTACTCTGGACAAATTCAGCATGGATCGCTGGACCCTACAGTGTCTTCCTCAATACCACTTTCTGCACCGCCGGCGGCAACAGGCGGGCATCTTATGCAATCCCCTCCAATTTCTGCACCCATGTCATCATCATTTAAGATACCCCCATCTCAAAAACGGAGCAGCATCTATTACATTCGGAATGAAACAAACGGACTCCGAGATTCACCACCTAATTCGTCTGGAATCCATGAACCAAAATCGGCACCTTTAGCTCGACCACCCACTTGGGAGAGAAAAGACTCGATAAGGTCAGGATCCGTGCGATCATTCAGCACCTCGGCCTCCCGTAGGTTGTCTCGCATTAGTACCTCGGAGAGTAAGCAAGAACATACGAGGCAGTCGCAAACGCCGAATCGTCTTTCCTCTGTGACATCACATCACTCTGCTACAAGCCTCTCGATACCCCCACGTCCTTCGACAGGATTGTCTGAAAAAGCACCAGTACTTCAAGATGCTTCCCTCAGCTTAGCACATGACTCCTCCCCAGCCCGGGCTGATACGCCCCCTCATTCTAGTACTCCTCGGCCCACACTGTTATTCGCTATCGCAAGCGATGATCCCAAAGCGGTTGAAAGAGTCCTCGAACATGGCGACGATGAATCAAAAGGTCTTATCGATGCCAACGACACAATCGGACCCCAGGCTCAGTCAGCCCTTGAATTCACGCTGGAGAACGAAGGCTTGAAAAATAAACTTGGTATCGTCAAGAAACTTCTGGGATATGGTGCTGATCCTAGTAAAGCAAAGCTGAATGACAGCACGAGCAATGATGACGCCGAATTGGATCCTGCAACCAGGTATTTGCGCTCTGCCATCTTCCCGGTTCATCATGGAATAACATAACGTCAACATTTAGATATTACTTGAACAGGGCTGATACCGCAACAACACGGCGTATAGATGCTCTCATGAAACGTTCAGTCTTTCGACCATTGGTTCGCATGAGATTTGGGATAATCGGGCAGGACAGAGCGTTAGAACAACTCTATCGTGTGCTGAGTATTCACTCGGAAAAAATATCAAAGTCCCCGGTCGTCGTTTTTCTATGTGGTTTGTAACTGGTTCCCGTGTTCTGAGTTGATTGATGTGAACTCCCGCCTTCAGGACCAAGTGGACACGGGAAAAGCATGTTAGCGCATCAATGTACGTATTAAATCTGCAGCTGTTTTTATTTTTGACAACGCGACGCTCAAATGTATGGAACCGTCTAGTCGGTTCACTCCTCGAAGTTCCAATCCACACTGTGAATATGACTACTCTACGTTCCGCTGATGACATCTGGCGGTCCTATTCTATTAGTTCTGATGAGGTCCGTGTCCCATCTTTCATTGAATATGATTGACGATTGAGTAATCCTCGTAGGACGCTACTCCATGCACGTTAGTCGAGTTCTTAGCCAACAACGAAGGCAAACGATGCGTTGTGGTCCTTGATGTGAGTGTAACTGTTCTTTGAAGAATTTACATGCTCAACGACACAACAACATTTAGGAAATTGAAAAGACAGAAAGCAAGGCGCTGTGGTCGTTACTGGTTCCATGGGAACTAGGTGATTCCGTCTATCATTCACTCGATTGAAGCCTAACCTCGTTTCTAAGGTCGCTGTACGTTCGAAGCTAATTCACGAACCATAGACGTTCGAAACGTCATATGGGTCGGCACCTCGAATATTGGAAATGCCTTGATTCTTGACTATCATAAATCTCTACAACGGCCTGAAGAAATGCTTACTCGTAATGAATATGTCGAGCTCATGGGAACCCTCCGACCGCACGTTTCAGACCAGCTCGGTGCTTCAGTCCTCTCTCGTGTCTCTGCCATTTTACCTTTCGTCCCCTTCACGACGGCAGAGAAGAGAGCCATAGCTTCTGAATTTCTACAGGAAAGCGCTGCCGAACATCTAGTCCAAGAGCTGTCCAGGGAGCAAAGGGAGAGGGTGGTAGAAGATTCGCTAGAGGATTTTGTCCCTTCAGAAGGGGCAAGATCGTTGTATAGGGCTGTCTCAAACCTGCTTATTGATTCGATGGACTTTTGAACATACCTACACTTAAGTATTCTTTTTTATTGGGATGAGAAGTAACAGGGAATAATTCTATCATCGATGCCTTCCTGCGTGTTCTCTCCGACGCTGCCCGACGCCATGACCGGCGGCTGTTCTAGGCACTAAGCTGCGCTCCAGCGGCTGAAACTATACATATACTGTAAGCCAGATCGATATCTTTGATCGTGATGGAATGATGATTCGTAGATGCTATAAGTAAAATAGAATCAACCTACACAGCCTTTCTCTCCAGCTTTTTGTTCTCTGTCTCCCTTCTTTGACCCTTCTTTATTTCTCTTTGTCGTGCTTTTCGACTGTTCTTATTCGTTCTTTCTTCGTTCCTTTCTTTAACGACTTGAACAGAATGAGTCCTGGTCATCTTGGTCGCCGAGCTTCTGCTTTTCGCGAAATCAAGCGCGCTCCCCAGGCTACTGTTACTGATACGGATTCCGTATCCGTGACGACACCCACAGCAACAGATACGACCAATGCTTACGCCCAACAAATCGTAGGAAGCATACCGCATTCCACCATAGCCCTTGCTGTTGTCCTCAGCGTCTTCGCTGCGATTATCATTGGGGGTATGTATTGTATGAATTAGACCTTTGATTTCCATTAAAGTGTTTTCTGTGCAGTATGTGGCTGGAAATACAGAGCTAGAAGAAGAACAAGAAATCAAACTGAAAGCGGCGAGGATGCGTTGTACCGACCAGCTTCAAACACTAGCTTCGCCTCTGAGAAACAAAGTAGCCTCGAAAAGCCTAAACAAGCTTTCATTCCTATTCCCCACAAAGGTGAAGCTGCTTGGACTCCCCAGGTTCGGACATATCTCGGGGTTCCTCTCAAAAACGGAGAGCTCCCTAAGCATGTACAGACTGCTCGCGAAGCACAGAAGTGGAGAAACGAACCTTCTCCCCCTCCTTCCTACCAGGAAAAAGTGGATCCTTTCCATTCGTATCCTATGAAGGCTCCCCAAGGGCCTATACACAAGCAACTGAACGTTGTCACCAACAGCCAGTACCCCACCTCCCATTTCTCAAACCCTACGCCTTTACCTCTGCTCACCACTGTCACCGAAGAACACACTGATCCTCTTCCGAGCCCTGCGCGCACCGCCTCGTTCCCTCTCCAACATAAACATTCTCGTTCACGTTCGGTGTCTTCCAAACACCTGTCTGGCGAAACGGTTACGAAAATCACCCCTGCTCAGGCTCGCCGCAGCCGGGGCGGCAGCATATCAGAGAAAATACGTCTTATGTATGTCATCAACACTTTCCATCCCTCGTTGGATGATGAGCTGCCCGTTAGAATTGGGGATTGTGTTCGCTTGATAGAGGAGTATCACGATGGGTGGTGCCTGGTTCAGCACGTTAGCAACGCTGATTCCCCTCGCGGTGTAGTTCCGAGGTTCTGCTTGGTCGACCGTCAATCAGCGCCTGCAAGGTCACGGAAACGCTCCTTGACTCAGTCTATTGTCAAGGTTTGAACAATTCACGCTCGAATCATGTCATCTCATGACATCCCTCCTCGGCATCCTTCATGTCGTACGTGACATTTACACCACCCGACGACTTATACATTCCTTTTGGACTGTAAACGCCAAACTGTTCATTCTTTTTATCTTATCCCTCCTTTATTGCCTGCTCATTTATTTATTATTGGTCCTGTTGAACTTTTGAGTGACTTTTTGAAGCTATTTATGCCGATACTAGCTGAATGGCTATCGGTGATAGCTCATTCGCCGTCATCGGATTTCTCCTTCGCTATCGCAAGCCAGAAGCCATTTTTGCACTTCTACCCTCTACCCTCATAAATCCTAACTCCATTTCGTGTGCACTTGGTCACACAAATACACCCATACCCCAACGTAGTACGTACTGCCGCCGCTCTCTTTCTCGATGCCTATGTTTGCTGGACGAGCTTGATTAAAGGTATTTTTGAACCTTTACATATCTATGGGCTATGGCTTGCGACACAACCTGTGATAGCCATAGACTTTCACAGTACTTTTCTTGAATCTAATAATGTCTTGCTGTAGTAGCACATGGCCTGTATATCGGCAAGCACCTATTAGTACCGTACATATCAATCCACTGTTGTTGTGCTGCATGCTCTGTTTGTGTATCGTGAGCGAACATTTACCTGACCGAATGCAAATTCGTTGAAGTTGTACTCTTACTCTCATCATCGATTGGAATCCAAGAATCTGCTTGCATCGTTTTCTGTCTTTCATATGGCCTCAGACATAGTTCTTCCAGGACAACCTATTCCCCTACCTAAAGGTCCTGTCCCACAGATAGGAAGGGGAATTTACGAAAGAGATTCTCAAATTAGAGCAAGTCTGGTTGGTGTACCGCGTTTCGAAGGATCTGTTCGTCTATCTCTTTCCCAAATGCTACTGCTAAAAAGTTTATAATCACATTTTGCTGATGCGGTATATCCTCCTGCCTATCAGAGTCTAGTTATATCTCGCGTGCGACCTCAACCGCCTGCTCCAAATTCTGTAGTCCTTGGCTCCATCACACGGCTTTCACCACTTCAAGCGCTTTTGTCTATCACGGTAGTAGATGGTGTACCGTTGCCTCCAGGAGAAGAGTTCACAGGCGTCATTCGTTCGCAAGATGTTAGAGCAACTGAGAAGGATAAGGTCAAGATTGGCGATTGCTTCAGAGGAGGGGATGTTGTCAGAGGGATTGTTGTGAGGCTATCTACTGCTAGCTTCAGAATCGCAGAGTTCTCATTATCTTTGCTCAAGATATCACTTGGCGACGCTCGCAGTTATTTTGTCACTACGGCCAGAAATGATTTGGGTGTTATCTTTGCGACGAGTGAAGCTGGTAATGGATCCTTTCGTTTTTCCTTGACCAAAATTTATTCCTTTCATTTCCTCAGGTGCAACCATGGAGCCGGTTTCCTGGCAAGTAAGTTTACCAACGATGACTGGCGTAGGTCTTCACGAATTTGACTGTTTTATCGCAGGAGATGCGATGTCCCAGAACTGGGAAGGTGGAAAAGAGAAAATGTGCGAAACCTGAGGGAGTCCCGTAGCTGGTATATTGTATCATATAGTATCAATAAATATCATACGTCGTTCGTTCAAAACCAGTGCCAGAACATTGGCAGTGGTTCAAATAATCTGATATGATCTAGATTTGAAAGAATTCTGCTAAATTCTGTGAAGTCCGCATAAAGCGTATGCGCTGAGCGACAACGCAACTTGAATGAGAGGGGAACAAAAGGCCAGTTCCTCTAGGTTCCGCTTTCAAGTACACGACCACCAGGTTCCAAAGTCTATTTGAAGATACATCGACATTGTGAAGTCAGTCTCAAACACATTTTCAATATACAATCCGGTCAAGTTAACTCCCAAATACATTCTTCAAGAATGGATGCTTGATTAACTCCTTTGCACTAGCCCTCTCCTTGTAATCAAACTTCAAGCAGTCCCTGATGAAATTTGCCGCCAGCTCGATCTCATCCTTAGTCAAGCCAGGGATGTTATAGTTCGCCATGGCATCCTCGAGCTTGACTGGCACAAGATCAGGAATTCGGAGGAGATTGCCTGCCCCACGTCAGCCTCAAAATCAATGGGGAAGTTTGAAAAGGCTCACCATTTTTGTCAAAGTATTTGTCCCTTTCCTTTGCACGAGCTAGCATGGTATCCGGAAATTTCTGTCCAGTAAGTTCCATCATCTTAGCCAAGTGGTCATCTTCAACACTCCAGTCTGGTTGTGCATCTTCGGGGTCAAATAGCCAGCGCCCTACTAGGAGTTCGAATGTCTGCGCCATAATAAGGGTAAACTATGTTTTGAGACAAGAGAGGGACAAACCAAGCATCCGATGGCCCATATATCCATTTTTGGGCCAATATCCGACCACAGAATGACCTCGGGCGCCCGTAAGGCTTGTGCACTAAAGCCAGCTGCCGTTGGCTGCTCTCCTGCACGTTGCGCTATACTTTCGTTAGGGAAAAAGTCAATAACAGTAGAAGCAATAAGCACATGCCATGTCCCAGATCAACCAGCGCGACCGTCATCCGCTCTGCTTGAAATGCTTCTGTTTCGTATGTCCACTCGTGGGGGATTGGCTGTGATCTGGGAGAGTCGCCGTCTGTCTCTGCTGGATTGGCAGCAAGGAACGTGTCCATCGCATCGTCAAGCGAGTACAAAGCATTGGTGAAGAGAATGTTATCCAGCTTGACATCTGCACAAATTGTAAGCACAGCAGAAATGTAGATTTGGAATCATACCAGTGTGAATAATGTCTATTGAGTGGAGTGCGTCAAGAGCTTGAAGGACCATGTAGAGAATATTGCGAACCATGTATGCTGGGAGAGACTTGGTTGGGGCTGAACGGCGAAGTGCGGAAACAGAGGTGCTAAACAACGTTTGGACCAAACAAAGATGTTGGGTTCCGCCTGGGCTGGTGGCGATAAAGTTATCTAACAGTGTTGGAAGGTGTTCGAATCCTTCGTCATCACGTTCTTCAGCGTTCTTGGCGACTTCCTTGAGAAATTCGAGCTCGCGAATGATGCCCTGATCAACGTCCAGGGTAGCTTCAGCAGTCAGAATCTTTGCAGCAGCATATTTAGAATCGCTGGAAGCATTAAGCGTGAAGATTAAGATTGATTTGAAGTCATAAGAGTAAGAACCTTATGCGTTCGTCGCGGATAAGCCAAGTTGTCGCTGTCACACCTTCTCCGAGCTTCCTGAATATCGTGTAACGGCCACCTTGAAGAGGTGCGCCCAAACGCGCGGGGAAGTGAACATTAGACTCAGAATCAGTGGACATTAGGCGACTGAGTGATAAAACAAATCGCGGAGTGGTGGCAATAAGCTCGGGTTCTTTCTGGATCTCTTTCACTGATTTTTAGGTACGCTTCACGTTCATGATGATTTCCAAATGCGCTTAAAACGTGTTCAACTGAGGCAGTGGAAGCAGAGAGGATTGTTGAATCCCAAAAAGGAAGTCGTGGGAATTGTTTGGTTGTCGCTTACGACAACTTTAGTTCAGAATCATATAGAGGTTTCTTCCTCGATGACCGCCGTCCTCTCTCCGACAGATGCTCTCAGAAGAGACAGAGGGATGTCTATCGACGACTCTTCGATTAGGTCCGTATTTAAAACACCATTCCTGCCCTCTACCCTGCTCATTATCGCAAAGTTACTCTGCCCTGACCTCCACCGACTGGCGTGTTAAGTACAATGAGGTACTTGGCCGCTAACTTTGTATTATTTCTCATCTGAACTGTCAAACTCTAGGTGGCCGATATGCTGGCAGAAACTCGGACTGAGCTCGACGACTTTCATCACGCTAGTAAGGAGCTTGAGGCAGAGTTGGAGGCAGAGCTTCAGAGGACAGAGAAGGCCCAGCAGGATCTAAGGGTTAAGGTGGCAAGAGCAGAAACTGAGCGGGACAACTGGAAGGTGCGCCGAGGGCTCACAACTCTCCCCATAAATTCGGATTAAATCTCGCTCTAGTCCAAGTTCATATCTCTTCAAACGACTCACAATACAATCACGACCTCTCTTCAACGCGAACTCGATAGGCTACGACAAGAACATCAGACAGTCAAAGTCCAGCTGCGCGAACTCGAAATGGGTAACGATGACCTTGAGAGAACGGAGCGTGCAGTATCTTCCACTTTGGCCGATGTGGAGGGAAAATATACCCGTGCCTTGGAGGAAAAGATCCTGCTCGAGCACGAGTTGATTGATAAAGCAAACGTGGAGGAACAGTGCCAACGACTCAGAGACGAGCTTCGAGGTACGGTGTCATCATTGTGCCGATTGCTTATACTGACTTGATTGTGTAATAATAAGATGCCAATGCTGAAATCTCTCACTTGAAACACCAGCTAACCACGCGATCCTCTACTGCTTCCAGTGACAGCTCTCACTCTAGCGGACCCTCATTCCCCCGAATGTCGGCACCCTCAACTGAGGATCTGCTTAGTACACCAGCTCCCCCAGATTTGCAATTATCAGAACTCGATCTGAGTACCGAAACTCTTCAAGACTCGAGTACATCGGAAGATGAAGTAACTCCACGTAAACAAATTCCAAACTCGAAAGGTCATTCGGCACTCCTTCAACGTGCAGGCTTTATGCCTGCTCAGACTTCCTCCCTATCTACGCCTCCAAGCAGTTCTTCTATACCTCGTTCCAGGACAATTCCATCATTTTCGTCACCTCGAACTCCAACATCTCCTACCAAGCGTGCAGCAGTCGCGCGTAATCCATCAACAATGAGCACGAGCTCAACAACTAGCACAGCTTCCAAGAGCAGGGGTGTCCAAATGGTAACCGAGATGCGTGCTAGAGTCAAAAATCTTGAACAAAAGATTCACACTCGGGTTCCGAGACTACGAATGGGGAGCATGTCCGGACGACCAAACGCCAACGCGCTTGCGGCGTCTAGCATTGGGACCCCAACTCAACCGTCTAGCACACGAAACGTACTCAGCCGTACGAGCTGGGACAACCCCTTATTAACCAGACGCAGTTCAGAATCCAAACGAAGCACTGAGTCAGAATCAGAGAAGAGCAAAAAAGGTTCAGGTGATACTTCAGGCTGGGTTCTCATTATGGAGGACTCTCCTTCGCCACCAAAAGAACGACGTAGGGCGTCAAGTCCGAAAAAGACGTTTCGGGCCGCTGCATCTACTTCTTCTTCCCCTACTTTCGGATCATCAAGAGCAAGTCCTCTTTTCCAAAGTACAACAAACATAGGTGGTCCGGGTACCAAACGACCACAATCCAGGCTCTCAGGTGGAAGCACTGCCACTACGACCTCCATACCCACACCGACCTCTCGTCCCGCAACGCCCACCTTTCTACCGTTACCGACTGCGACCAGTACGACTATGTTAGGACAGAAACGATCTACTGGGCCTGGCGGTGCGAATCCCTACGCATATCAACCAAAACGTTCTTCATTGGGAGCCAGTAATGCCGCGATGCCACCACCACCAGGATACGTCGGAATTCGTTCAGGTTCTAGTACGCCGTCCGACAATGGCAAGGCCTTGCCTCACTTACCAGGTGGTCATGCAAATGTTACTGTCCGTTCTCATAACGCCAAGTTACCGGCATCTAACTCGGCCGCTCTCCTGGGACAAAGTCGAATAGGACGGCCAAGTGGTACTCGGAGAAAGAGTGCAGAGGCTTCACCTGATAACACGCTCAGGTCCGAACCTGCGCGGACGAGACCAGGAAGTGCAGCTGCTCATCGCAAGAGCAATTCTTAAAGATCAGAAGTGCTTCTTTCTTTCTTATTCGACATTTAGTTACGGTTACCATGTTAGTTGTATTTCATTTCCACTCCAATCTTGACTTATTCTTCTCTTACCTATATGTTTTCATTTTCTCATTGCCGCTTCCTTTTTCTTTTTACCTCCAGAGCCAGATCGTCCTGAGTTTCTAAGTCGATAATGGCACTTGGTAGTTTGTTGTATTCTTTATTCATTGCTTAGGCGATGCACTGACCGCACACCCCTCATTTGAAAACCCAGGCGTCTTCCCCTCATCCTCCCGCTCCTCCATCTGCTCCATCCATTTATCCAAGTCCTCCAAGATTTCATGCCTACGCGACCTTATCACGACACTGACCTACACTGCAGATTTTCGAATACTCGATCTCTCCAACGTGTAGTATTCTTCTATGAAACGTACGTCTTTTAGTAATAACACTATTTCTGCCTTATAGAAGGAACATCGGGTTTCTGTACCATACATACTTCGACGATGATATCGAGCGGATATCGTTGCAGATAGGCCTGTTACCCATTATTTTTTAGATACCATGTCGTACTACTTGGGTTGCAGTAGAATGTGTCCCTTTTTTCTGCGGAACAAGTTATTATCTTATGCCTTTTTATAATGCTCTCCTGAATGGTTACTCACCATAAGCCACGATGTCAACACCTTTCAGCAGCAAAAAGTGCCGCCTCCACACTATTCAATATCCTTGAAATGTCTTCCAACCCCACACTAAAACGAACCTACGAGGCAATTGCGTCAGACAATGTTGAAATTTCAGCTGGGAAAATACACTCACCAAGGCTTCCGTCATCCCGTGCTCTCTCACCCAATCCATTTTTTCAGGAGGAAATGCAATCGCAATGAACGGAGACAATAGGGTGACAACCGTCCCGAGAGTTGTTCCCTTGTAGCACTGAATGCTCTCATAGAACGTTTTCGCGGCTTCTAAAGAGGTGAATGATACAGCTACGATTCCGCTATAGCCTGGTTGGAACTTGTTCTCGGTACTTTCGAGATCGTATTCAAAAGCAGAGACAACTCTCATGCAACGTTCATAATTTTCGCGATGCTGGTACTTCGGGTAGAAAACTTCTTCGATCACTGTTTTCTCCTCCCCTCCAACTTTAGAGCGAATAAACAGCCAATCTGCCAGCGCTTCTGCATTCCTGTTGATCGTGGAAAGCCGCTCTTCGAATCCGCGTGAGTTGAGTTCCATTACAAGCGCGTCGGCCCCAAAATAGTCATCCTCATAGTTGGCGTCCAGATGTGCCTTGAATGATGCATAAAAATGCGAAGAAGGATTCAACAGCAGCCTAGTTCAACATGGATTTGAATACAAAGTATCTGAAATAAGCACCCGAGGACTTACGCTCCACCAAGGACATTTGCAAAACCACTGAAGACTTTTGTTAAGCTGCCGACAACGATATCAGCATATTTCAGCACCGAGACGTTGAGATGACATCCGGCTGTCTCGTCGATAATGATCGGGATGTTGTGCTTATCTGCAAGTCGTCGCAGTCGAGGAAGGTCCGCGCTTTTAAGATGTGGGTTTCCTGGAAAATCGGTAAATATTCCGAGTACCGGCTTCTCGTTGTTGTCTTCGAGAAGCAGTTCTAGGTCATCGAGTGTCTCGTTGGTGAAAATGTGATAGCCGGGATTTGTCGTGTCGAGTAGTTTATACGAGTCAACATACAATATACTGAAACAATTAGTTCAAAGAATTCCATGAAGGAGAATTCGAAAAACTTACTTCACCTGCACAGTCGTGAACGTCCTCGGGTCAGTACTAGTTTTACATACATCGTGAAGCATATGGTGAATATTCCAGATGGCATTCATTCCTGTAGGGTACAAATACACGTCGCTTGTACTGACACCGTCGACACCCCGAATACTGCGAGCACCACTGTCTGTATCAAGCCCGGCAAACCGTGCTTTGATTTTTGCTTTCGCTTCAGGGACGGAGCTCAGAGCTGAATGCAGAGTGTAATAGTTCGAATATTCGTGGTCAGGCTGGGTCGGTAGTCCCAATGTCAATTCGAGGTTCCCGTCATGTCGAATGATACAATTCTCTGCCAAACGCGTAGAAATCCCAGCCCCACTGAACGTCCAAAACTTCATCGCCAAGCTTCCTTGTTCTACGGGGAATAGGACTGCGAAGATATCATGTCCGGGAGGGGGATTGAGCGTTTCAGATACGCAATTAGATTCCCAAAGCTCAGAGGCGGATGAAGGAAACTGTAGACGCATGTAGGATTGGAATGCTTTCGCCAGTCTCAATGAAGGAAACAAGAGGCAAGTATGCTCAGGGGAAGCCTTCAGTGCTTCAAGAGACGATTTAATCAACTACAGTGACATCGTGTCGGTTTGAAGATCATCGAGTCAAGAGCAGTGCTTACCGGTCGAAGAAAAGGATGGATAGTGAATCGTGGATAGCACGTTTCCAAGTGCTTGCTTTGAGCTGGTTTCCCCACTGCTCGGTCAACATTATCTTGCCAGGTTGGAAGGGACTGGATCACTGAATGGGGAGTATTAGGGGGAATGCAGTGATCTAGAGGAGGGTTGCGTTGCAGGAGCATGATAGTCCTCTATAACCTTCAAATGAGGTGTGAACTTCAAAGTCGACTTTTATGCGGCGTTTTACTAGAAGTGGCGCAACCATTCGTAAACCGGTGAGAGATTTTGTTTCGGTAGATTAATCGCTCGCATACAAGATCCATCAGAACGAGTCTATCCGGGTGCGCTCGCTGTCGAAGCTTGAGGACGCCTGTCATGCTCGGCTACCATACGGTACACGTATTTGGAAAACCCGAGGCAAAATTCAAGAAAGAGCTTGTGCGAAATAGATAGTTTTGTGAAACGTTTGCATATGCTTCTTGAATTGTTAACAGTATCCCTTATTAAAAGGCAGGAAGAATGGTGTGTTTACATATATTTAATACAACCTTTCGCCGTCGCGGCGCGAACATTAACGAAGCCAACAATGATTATTCGAAGGATGCTCTGGGATCCGCGCCTTAGTTTTGCCAAAGACTGCAATTCAATAACTGTTATCTACAATATTGAGGGAATATTATTGTACATACCAAGCGATCAATCCACACCACCGTGGTCTCTCAAGGCTCCCCCGATTTCTTCCTCATCTGAGTCTGTTGAATCATCCACATTTACATTAGCACCAGCACCCCAAAGCCGTCCGAGTAGATTTCGGATAACGCGAACCGGCATGGGCTGTTAGTAAAGGGTGTCAAGTCAAGGCATTAAAAGGGCATCCGAGAAAAGCAGCGAAGCTTACAGCAATATCCTCATCTTCATCCTCATTTTCTTCATCGTCGTCCTCCTCATCCTCATCTTCACGCGCATCCTCTTCACCGATCGGTCTATCATTAAAGGCTTCGCGAGCGCCATTATTGTCAGCTCCACCAAAGAAAAAGTCATCCAATCCCGGCATTTGGCCAGGCATTCCCCTGTCACCGTTGTCCTGTTCTGCTCCTATAGCAGCAGCAGCGAACATATCTTCCAGAGCATCCGGCGGTAGCAACTCCATGGCTTGAGCAAACTGAACGATGCCACCAGGAAAGCGTTGTTGAATGTGGGCATTGTTCTCAAATATGGCCTGATGATGGTGTTATAACAGGGTAGTGCGGGTATAGGAGCGAAAGATACGGTACATACCTGAACCTGCCGCCTCTCATTGACGTCTGGAATCATCCTCGCTAACCTCCTTTCCTCCAGCTCTCTTTCTCTTCTTGTCATCCTTCGCCTCGTTCCGAAACCGAACAGCCCCTCATCTTTATCAACTCCAGCGAAAAAAGTTTCTCCATACTCCGACACCCGAACTTTATCTGGTGGAGGTAGTGGATCACAAGCTAAATTTCCACTGTTGCTATTCAGCACTGAATTCGGTATGAATGGAAATAGTGAGCGGAAAGATAAGGAGGTTTCTAGAACGATAATATGGCGGTATACTGCAAAGGAAAGTGCGGCTGTGTTCTCTTTCTCCGCGTACAAGGAGAGGAATCGATTTCTTCGAGTAGTAGGAGGCAGAGAGGAAGGGAGCGAAGAAAAATGGGATGACATAGTTTCGGTGAACCAATTTATGACCTTTGGATCCTTCCACAATGAGAATGAACGCTGGACATAAATATGCGAGAGGAGGTGAAGGATGGCAACCGGAGTAGATATGGATCTATGCACAGAATGTGAGAAGGGCATGGTAGTAGAAGATCGGATAAAAACAGACCTGCAATCCGTTTCTATTCGAAAATCTCTGTGACCGCGTATGCTCGCTGATAGCATAACATCCAATTTATCCGCCAGCAAGGGTACGACAGAGGGAAAAGAATCCGCCGCTTCTATAAGCGCTGCCGTGCCAGCACTTTCGCCTCCCTCTTTATCGGACAACTTCAACGCCAGTGCCTTGGCGTACGCCCATCCAGGTAACACGCTAGGGTCCACCCGTAACGATTTCTGGGGTGAGGTGGATGACTTTTCAACGAAATTTGATTCAAATAGGGCAAATACATCCAACAGCCACTGCGACATTCCTGCTTTAAGTGCCAGAAAATCGAGATGAAGGACAGCCCCGTGAGGATCACCCCATGGATCAAGTGAATATAGCAATTTGGCAAACTCGAACGCGGTACGCATGCACCCGCGCCGTTGAAGATCTCTACGCATTAGCTGGTAATCAGTTTGACTCAGTATCATAACAAGATAAAAACCCCGAAGGACTGTCCCAAAAGTTCTGACACTCACGATGCTTGTCTATGTAATGCAAGGAAAAATGGGCGGTTCTCCACTCTGTCAAAATCCAATCTATTAGTCCCATTTGTGAAGCTGAAACCACCGACAAAGGCACGTTCATATGCAAACATGGCTCGGTCAACGGCATCAACGGCAGAAGAATGCTCTGCAATTTTGTTGAACTGGAATTACAGGTGGAAACAGGAAAATGGCTGGCAATATACCTTCACGATGCCTGAATACTTCGGCTAGTTGTAGCCAAGAATCAGCGTGCCACGGAGCTCCTTGGAGGATATTATAGAATCCTTGTGGGTCTGCAGAACGCGGAGTCAATACACGTCAAGTGGAAGGAAAAGTAGAGCACTAGCTGACCGCCAGAGAGCACAGTTTGTAGAAACAACATCGTTATGCCCTTATACTTTTTACTGTATTCGACTGTCCACCATTTCTCTGAAGCGGCATTGGTATCCCATCGATTACGGGTCAATTTCTCAACGACTTCTTCCTCTGTCAACTGCCTTGCCGACAACCCTTCTCTCATATGTGCAGGAGCCCAGGTTGCCTGAGGTTTCGTCAACACCGATCGTTGAGAAACATGGGCGCGTTTGGAATTCCCTCCTGGTTTGTCCTTATTTGCCGCCACGACTTTAGAGCCAAAGAATCTCTTTAGCTCGACATCACTGTCGAGATGAGTTGGATTGACTGCTAGTAAAGATGTCAGCGACCTCGCCACGGAGTTGGAGCTTGACTCGGCCAAGTTGCGTTTGAATTCTGGGTGTCTAAACGAATATTCAAAATTCGATGATGAAGTATAATGAAGGTGGTAGACGCACTTTATTGAGAGAGCCTCTAAAGCAGCGTCGATCTCGTCCATCCCAGATTTCCTCGCTTTAGCTTTAGCTTTCTTCGCTGCTTTCTTCTCATTTTTGGGCAAGGGCTGTATGGATGTACCGGATCCGGATGATTTGATGGTCGCATCGGGTTTATCTTCAACGGCGGGTACCTTTTTCTTCCTCTTGGACTGTATATAATAGGTCAGTTTTTATGGGTCATCCTTCATCAGAGGACGCACGAACCTTCTTCGACTTCGATGACCGCGACTTCAGATGTTCATCCTCCTCTTCCTCTTCCCCTTCAACATTGTCCTCTGCAGCGAGGAGCTACAGCGTCAACTTGAGTATCTGGACCGGATTATAAGGAATTACACTACATACCGCCGTGAATCCTGATGCACCAGATTTGCCTTTGGACAATGATACGGTCTCCTCTTCGTCTGTTGAATTGATATTTGAATGACCCGCTAAAGTTTCCAGTTCTTCGAGTTCTCGCTGTTGCCTTTTGTTCACCCTAGGTGCCATCGCGTTAGCAGCAGATACGGAATATTAGAATTGTTGATGATTAGGTGTTGGGAGTACGAGTTCAAGTAGCTTGCTCTGTACTTGAATGCACTAAGAGGCAAGAGACAAAGATATGTACATGCAGACAACAAAGCGTCACAACAAAGTTTTGCTCTATTGCGGGCGATCCTCCCGTCGATAAAAACAACGTTACAGTAGTTACTCTATTTAAATATACCAGGTGTAGCTTGGTGATGGATAGACATGTAAATAGTCATTAATCTGACTCCAATTCAACGATTTCAGAAAGTCGCTGTCGACCACGACGATCAGGGACGATCAGGGTCATCAACCAAATTCCTCGAAGCATCCACAAGGTCTTGCTGTTGTTGCTCCGCATTGGCATCATCGACCCCGACAACGACAAAGCTCATCAGAACAAGCAGTGCGCCTGCTAACACAGGTGATCGGACTGGATTACTAAGGAAAAAGTCGCCCAATACTGCGAGTGGGATGGTGAGGCTGAGCCCGATAGTGACGACGAGTGGCGTGGTCTTGAGCATTGCCAAGACGTAGAGGTAATCACTGGACCAAGTTATAGCCATCTGTGATAAGTCAGAAAAGAAGGAACGCGAAACGAACAGATGCCTGACATTGACTAAGAGCGCACCCACTGCTCTCTCTGATGTGGGCAACTCGAATCTTTCAATGCCAGTCAGATGCAGGATGACACCGATGGGCCAACACAAGATGATATTGAACAGACCGACGAATCCAAAGAACATTTTCATGTCAATTCGCGATTCGGAGCGTATTCGGACTTTGAGGAGAATAACATAGAGAGCATAGAATACTGCAGAAAAGAGAGCAAGAGAATCACCCAATGCGTGACGTGTTGAGGTCGAGGTTGACACCAGGTTGTCGGATTCACTGGTGGTCTGAGAAGAATCAGATAGAGCGACCAGTAGGACACCTACGAAACTACCCGAAATACCTCAGAATATTAGGTATGTTCAATGATTGAAGAGACACAAACCTGGTAGAGACAGCTCCAATCTTTGCCAGCGTCAGTGTTTCGACACGGAATATTCGACCGAGACCTAGAGTAAAGAATCCTACACAAACAAATTAGGCATAAAGAATGGGGTAATACCGATAGACCAAGAATGGGGGCTTACCACTGGTACTAGACAGTATAGTTGCACTAGCCACACTAGTATAGTCTAATGACGCGTTTAATGTCCAGTTCGCAGCAAACCTAGTGTTAACTGTGCTTAGCGGCGTCATGAACCTCGACCCACTTTTTTCTTACCAGATGAAGCAGAAGATGAATGCGAGGTCAGCAGTCTCTCGCACGGTAAACGGGGGAAGTTCAGAGCTCTCAGATGGCCCTCGCTCGTGAAGATAAGTCTACGGACGACGTATGGATTCAAACGGACAAGTTCAAGTAATTGATGACATACTTCCACGGAGTTATCATCATCTGCGTACACGTCCTCCGAGTGTAAAGGCTCATACTGGCCGCTGTCTTGTGAACCAAAAGATATTGGAAAAGGGCGTTCTATCGAATGACGCTAAGCGACATGCGCACCGTATCGCGCGGTCTTCCGAAATCTCCATGTGGTGGTTATCTTCGGTAGGAAGGACTTTATGAGGAAAGGAAGTAGATATAAACTGAAGGCTGAGGTATTGAGATAGGTGACGCTGTCCATTCCAGGCCTTCAGATTTCCGAACGATTCGTATGTACGGAACTCACAGGAAAGCCTTCTCATATCCATCCTGGAATAGATCCTACAAGCAATATAACCTGTCAGCCACCCAGAAGATTGAGGCCTTATCAAAACTAGCCTGTGTAACAAAGTTGGACGTGGTCCAAAGAAACACCACAACTAGCAGCAGCAAAATTCCGATGGCATAATCCTTATTTCCAAGGAAACTCGAATCTGTTCTACACAAGGACGAAACTGATCCGGCATTCGCCTTTGAACGGGCTGAGCTGGTGTTCGTGGAGTTCAGGGACTGGCTCCGATTTTGCCTGAGCATTGGAGACGGAGGGATAGAGTCCATGCTGACGAACGGTGGAAGAGCAGAGGAAGGCTCATTTTCTGCGATAAGCCGAAATATGGCGCCATTCACGCAGCTTATACTGATACAGTGATTTTCGGCGTTATTTAAATTATTCAACAGGCATGATGATCTAAACTTTTTAGATATAGGAATCCTTGTCCGTCCAACTATCGTAGTGAGTAACAAAAGATACATTATGGTACATAGCAACTACAGTGTGAAGGAGTGACTGCCATTACGTTGGTATAGAACTGTTTGTTGCGAATCGAGAGGAAGACGGAAAATGAAACAACTGAACCCTGATCAACTGCAAATTTGCATGTTGAAGAGAAGAAAGTGATGAAGCGTGAAACAAAGAAAATGCAGATAGATAGCGAAAAGAATGCAAATACCCAATAAGGGGAAAGGATGATCATGGCAGGATGTATCGCATGTAAAAAGTGAGGGTAGCGCGGAAAATCGGAAGAAGAATGATGTACGGAGGAGTCGAGTCTTCTATCTATTCCTGAATCCAAGAGTTGTACCGGGAAGGTATTTTACCTTCTCAAAGATTCGGTACAGACTAATGACCAAGTTTGTGCAATACATCACCAAGCTTACAAACACCAAGCATATCAACGCCAACTGGCTGTCGCACAGCACATCTCCGACGCTACCTTCTACGGTAGGTAGGTTGTAGATGGGTCGAGGAAGGCTGTTGTACCACGAGATAGTAGAATGCGAGGCACAGGGAATGAGAGAAGTGAAGAAATTGTCAAAACAGAGGGAGAGTGCAGCAGACCAAGCGCAGATAAAGAGGACTTCGGATAACGTGTGCGCGAGCTTTGCGGACGTACGCCACAAGCCAAGGGGCCGACCAAAGTATTCGAGCTATGAGATCATTTGGCTGTCAAACACAATGCATGTGTGTAAATTAGAGCGATATCCACGCACGTAAATCGCACCAATGACATGCACGAGAGTGAGGGGAGCAAATATGATTATCAACGTTCTGTAGAGGTTGAAGTAATGCTGTGAGGTGCGAGATTATGAGTAAAGGATAGTGATACGCACGGTGAGCTACCGACGATACCCATGAGTCCATATCGTTTTTCCCAATTTCGTATATGAATAGCTACAGCAAGCGTTCCGGTAGTGAATGAAATGTTGACTAAACGAAAGAGCTTGGGGAGAACTTGCATGAGCAACAAAAAGAAGATAGGAATGATAATCTCACCAATGGCACATAGGGATTGCTCAGCAAGAATATTCTTAATCGTTTTCTTCTACTCTCCCATCTCGAATCGTCGTTCGATCCACTCAAACCAGAGTGACTTTCGAGATTTTCTTCGTCCTCATACCCAGGGCCCTCTTCATGCCTGGATCGAGACCGAAAAGGTCCTTGTGCGCCAACACGAGATGTCCAAGGAGTCTCCCATCCTGGTGAATTAGTCTGATTTACGGTGAACGTAGCACGAGGCGTGGGCATCGATATCGACAAGTTCCAATCTCTCCGCTTTGGTTGAGCTTCCCTGTTTCGTTCCGGATCTGAAGCATTCTTCTCGATCGTGTGTTTGGAAAATGAAGGGGGCGGTTCCCGTATACTCGAATTTGCCAGCCATGACCTGCGTTTGTCTTTGAATGTTGACGCCTTTCTGTGAAGTTCTCGAGCTGGTGTATCATCGCCATTCTGGTTTTGAAATGGTCTACCTGCCTGTCGAGGCATGGTGAATGCAAACCATCGACTAAGACTGCTTGATCCCTCTCGGCTATGTTTTCCATATTCTGAGGAAAGAACGGAGGCTACGTCGTTGGAAAATGTTGAATGAGGCAGCAGCTGAGGTTCAGAGGTAGAAGTTTCTTCCTTTGGAGATGGAGGTTCATCTTTAGCCCAGGCTACAAAGGACACATTGGAATTAAAAAAACGAGGTTACATGAGAGCGATAAGACGCGAAATACGTACGAGGAACAGTAGTAACAGTCGAAATGGAAGGTAAATTGTGTCCTGTGCTCAATGTACTGACGGCCTTTGCACTTGGGGTCGAGCGTAATGAGGGCGGTCTGGGGTTCGTCATAGACAGCTGTCAAGGAACAAACGATACTCCAAAAGGGAGAATTATCAGCTTCCGTTTGTGTCAGAGTCTGGCCAATCGCATCGAAGATGGCCGACGGCGACGACGACGACGGTACTGACAGTATAACAGCCAAAAAATCGTCGGTAGGTATAAGTGGGGTATAAGGAAGGAATGAATGTTGATTTACAGATTTAGATTATGGGCGTTTATAGACTATCGCTTTTTCACTCAATACCACTATGGAGGATTCCGCCGTTATACCCTCTCTTTCTATGGGCCCAGTGGGCTCTCGTTTTGTCTCTTCAGATGAGATAGAAACAGCCAAAGCTCGCAGAGACGAACAGTGGAAGGCCGCCTATGCCAGGTCCATACAATATTCTCTGTAATGCGAGGCATCGAAATTCATCGTTAATCCCCTACAGATTAGGCCAAGAACCTCCCCCACAACCTCAAGCGGACGCATACGATGGCAGGAGTCTAGCTGAAGTAATAACTTAGACTATTCTCTTTTTGTTTTGTATTGACATTCTCTTCTCCCTCTGGTGTGACGCCGTTTCTGTGTCCTTTCAAGAAACTTGCAGCGAACAGGGCAGCGAAACAGGAAGAATGGGAAGAAAAGTCCAAGCTCGGTTTGTAAACTCTAGAAATGGCTAGGGTTACCATCTGACTGTTACCCTCAGCTAACCAGTTTCGTGCCCTTGAAGAGGACGAGATAATGTTCCTCGATTCTCTACGGGAAAAGGAAGAGGCTGAAGAGAAAGCTAGGCAGGAACGAGACGGAGAAGAGGTCAAAGGCTTCAAGGAGTAAGTCTCGTTCAACGTCCTGCTACTGTAATACTTATTGAATCATTCATCCATCGCAGAGCTGTAGCTGCTCGCATGCAATTGTCTAATGCGCCTCCGCCGTCGATAGGGTCCTCATCTGCAACAAAATCGACAGTGTCGAAGAAGGATCCAAAGGCTCCAGCTATCGTAAAGAAAGATCTCAAGAAACTGTCGTTGAAGGGCGTTGTGGTGAAGAAGAAGAAGATCGCTTCTGCTGGTAAGACCGACGTTCCTGTAATTGTGGAGGCAGCAAAGACAGTAAGATCTTGGGACACCGATTCCAATACCGGTGACGGACCGTCAACCAAAAAGCGTAGAATATCCGAGTCGTCAGAATCATAGCTTAAAGACTTTGAGTGCTTGCTTGGGTAACATATTAATCATTTTATCTCTGTGCTAGCATTGTAGTACAGTCTGAGTGACACAATACAATCCTTGACGCATTTGTTTGATTCACCGTCCTTTCCCTGGAGTTGGTGTCCATCTAACCTTGTTCATATCCCTTTCCTTAGCAGAAGACCAACCAGCGTCCTTCTCCATAGCTTCTGCTCTTCTCTGAGCACCCGTCCCCATTGTCCTGTCAAGCAAGCGCTTTGCAGCTGGTGTTAGGTTTCCGGTAGCTTGTGATGAACGTCGAGGACCAGGTGTCCACGATGGTGGACCCATACTTCCTTTAGCCAATGTTGATGTCCGTGATGCTTGTAATGAAGATCTTATGCCAGGTGTCGTGCCCCCAAGACCAAACAATTCTGCTTTGGCCCGGAGACTTTTTGATGCCTTATTGGAAAGTTTGTGTGAAAGAGTTTCGCGCGAAGACGGAGCAGGGAGGTGAAATGGAGTCCTTGGTGTCGGAACGTCTAGAGCTGGGTCGTCGATGGAAGATATGATTCGTGGTGTCGCATTCAATGTTCCCCAGGTCATGAGTTGTTTTACAGCTGCTGGACCGAGTTGCTCAGGTGTCGGCGAGGGCAGAGATGGGACTAGAGAAAATGGAACCGATGATGAAGGGTCTCTGTGATGGTCTGCATTTTTTTGTGAGCAAAGACATATAAGCTTTCATGATGCACCTACATGGTGTCCCGGTGATGGCGGCAATGATTCTACTCCTAGTCGGACTCGGAGGTTCACTCAAAGACTTGTTGGCATCCGTTGACACCTCCTGCTCCGAAAGTCGAGTACTCCCGTAAGAAATAGACTTTTCTTCACCGCTAGGCACCGAAACCGAGGCTTGGGGCTTTGGGTGGTAAGGAGCAGAGTCGGCATCAGGAGGGAACATAAGCGAATTCCGAGCTTTGAACTTCCAGCCATCTACACCAGCGATTCGGTCATCTTTCTTCGGGGCCATCACATCTCTCTCTTCTTCTTCTTCTTCGCCTTCATTCACTTGCCTGAGGACTAGCTCCTTCTTTCCTTCGTTGATGTCCTTGTTCTCTCCGTCTGTCTCTTCCCCGTTACCCGCAGTTATTAAACCCACCGGTTTCGCAGGTTCGATCACGAGTCTCTCTCTGACTCCCGGATTCGACCCTGGAGGAGGCTCTATAAGCATCCTTTCTCTCTCTACACCTGCAATGAGTTTCTTCTCCTCTACTCGCTTCTGGGCGTCCCAAGCCCAAGCCCACTTTTCCTTTCGCTGCCGATTCTCTTCGTCAAGAATCTCTGTGAAACTGGAGTTGTCTTCCGACGTATAGCGCGCTTGGAAGTTATCTAAGGACAACGAGGTATCATACTTTGGTCTCTTCGCTGCAGGCTCGCCATCCAGGCGAGACGGTCGAAGGGGAGTGTCGGAAGGACCGGAAGCATACGGTGTTTGTCCTGGCGTTTGGAGAGGCACTCTTCCTCGATGGCTGGCTCCAACCATCGGGGTATTGTTGAGCTCCTCCAGTCTCTGCACACTGGCGCCGATGAGATGTGGATCCCGAGAGTTCAGTGCATCGAGATATTCATTGGTTGCATCCAGGTGAACCAAGCTCGGAAAGAAATCGCGCGCAATGATGTGCGAAAGAGAAGCAGTGTATTCATCTTCCTCTAATACAGCTTGGTGATTTAAAGAGCGTTCAGGTAGAGGGGTCGCATCCGGTTTAGACATTATGTATCATGAAGAGATTATTCGTGAACTCGTGACCCGCGCTTCTTTGATTTCCCACCGCGCCGGGGCTCTCGCGATAAACAGTCACTCAAAAAAGATGCTTCTATCAATAGTTACTGCACATTCATGGCTCCTACTCTTCGTATCGGCGTCGACGTTGGCGGTACAAACACTGACGCATGTCTCATTGATCCCTTCGCCACAACTTCGCCAAATCGCGGAATCTTATCATGGCACAAATCCGTGACAACGCCCGATCCTAGCCATGGTATCGAGAACGTTATCAATGCCCTTATCAAACAAGCAAACGTTGACGCTGGTAATATCGCTAGTATAACTGTCGGCACTACCCACTTTATAAATGCTGTTATTGAGAAGGATAGATCTAGACTTGCACCAGTTGCCGTGCTCCGACTCTGTGGTCCCTTTTCCCGCTCAATTCCTCCAGGAATTGATTGGCCAGCAGATCTGAGAGAACTTATATGTGCTCATGCCGCGTACCTCGATGGCGGACTCGAAATCGATGGTTCCGTAATCCGTGACCCAAGCGAGGCTCAAGTTAAAGAGGAATGCACTCGTATTCGGTCGCTAGGGATTCGTAGTATCGTAGTCAATGGAATTTTCTCACCTGCAGATGTCCTGGGGGAATGCCAGGAAGAGAAAGTAGGTGAATGGATCAAGAGCTATTATCCAGAAGCGGACGTTGTCTTGTCAAAAGAAGGTGAGCTAGTTGTGCGTCCTTTGGTATCTTGGTATAATAACTCTTCTATTTTAGTGGCCAACCTTGGGTTCATTGAGCGAGAGAATGCTGCTATGCTGAATGCATCCATATTGCCCTTTGCACGCCATACGATTTCCTCTTTCCAATTCGCCATATACCATCGCCTTAAACTCTCATGTCCGGTGTTTTTGACCCAGAACGATGGTACGATTCTCAAGGCTGAAGATGCTGCAAGACTCCCTATCAGGACATTCAATAGTGGTCCGACAAATTCCATGTGTGGAGCCGCCTTTCTAGTCAAGGAGAATGTCGAGAAAGAGTGCATGCTTGTAGTGGATATTGGGGGAACCACGACAGGTAACCGGGTTTATACCATATGTACGCTCTATAAACTGTTCCTCAGATGTTGGCATGCTTCTTGCCAGTGGGTTACCCAGACAAGCCTCAGCTTTCACTGAGATTGCAGGAGTTAGATTGAACTTTTCCTGCCCGGATGTCAAAAGGTAGTCATTTCTCTTCGTGGAGCATACGTATTACTCATTCATGCACAGTATTGGTCTTGGCGGAGGGTCTATTGTCCGCATTCAAGGGGATAGCCTCGGAAAACCAACACTCAGCATCGGTCCCGAGTCGGTAGGCCACCTTATCAACAAACACGCTATGGTGTTTGGCGGAGATGTCCCCACAGCTACAGACTACGCTGTTGCTTCTCAGGAAAACCTCCAGACATCTATAGGCACTAGGCAGCTTGCTGTAGACAGACTTAATCAAGTCGTCGAAAGCAAAGAATATACTTTGCCTGAGTTACTGACAGCCTATCAAACGACTACGAAGCGTAAGCTCGAGGAAGTCATTGATCGAATGAAAACTTCTGCAGAGAATGTCCCAGTGTTGTTGGTCGGTGGAGGCGCAATTATCATTCAATCATATGCAAACGACGGAAAGGTCACCTTGAAAGGTGCGAGTAAAGTGATAACGCCTGAGTATGCTGGCGTTGCAAACGCAATTGGCGCTGGTGAGGTCGTCACAACTTAGGATTGACTACCGGAATATTGACTACCTTTGCGCTAGCTATGGCGCGCGTATCAGGCATGGTTGACACTGTCCTCAATACAGAAGGAAGGACGACACAATCTGTGCTGCAAGAGGTGTCCAAGACAGCAATCGAGCGGACTGTAACTGCAGGCGCTGTATGTGATACTGTGGAAATCGCGGAAATGGACGCAATTCCGATTCCGGTAAGTCTGATTGACAGTACGCCCTTGTTCACATCCTATGTACTGACTTTCTATCATCAGTATGTAGCAAACAAATGTCGCGTGATTGTCAAAGCCGTGGGCGATTTTGACTTTTCTCGTGTCTCCAACACGACTCTTGCATCCCTTGGTTTGAAAGTTTCATCGGTTACGGAGTATTCAGAAAAGAACATGTCCACTAAGGCATCAACAACTTTTGACCCTCCTAGATCTACCGTCGATGCCGCCTCATACATCCCCACCATTGTTCCAACATTAGGCAGGTCCACTACGTCGTCGCTATCCAAAGAGTCATCCAACTATGAATGGCATTTATCTGAATTAGATCTAGAGTGGATCTCCGTTGGATGTTATATTCTGGGTACTGGAGGCGGAGGCACTCCGTATCCACATTTCGTGCGTCTACGAGAGATGATACGCAGCGGGGCTACGGTTACAATAGTCGAACCTGGGTGGGTGGGTGATGAGGATATCGTTGCTTGTGGCGGTGCTAAAGGCAGCCCTACGGTAAGCTTGGAGAAACCTCCTGGAAATGAGTAAGTTTTGCTTATGTTGTTGCGTCCATTTGACCTTGATGAGAATACACAGAATGATGGAAGCTCAAGATATCGTATACAATTACCTTGACGCCAAACCTGCGGCTGTGATAGCTCTAGAGATCGGAGGTGGAAATGGGCTGCAGGGCAAGTACTTGTGGTACTTGTAATTCGAATCAAAACTGAATGCTCAGCCCAATTCTCCACACAGGCTTGATTCTCGGAGCCTCCACTAATATGAATGTACCTACCATTGACGGGGACTGGATGGGCCGTGCATACCCCGTCGCATGGCAGATTACACCTGTTGTCTTGGAGGGAGAACGAGCTTTGTTTCTTCCTACTGCCATCTCGGATGGCAACGGAAATCATATGGTCATACTCCTTTTTCAATACTATGCTCTTATCAAAGTCTTGACATTCGTTTAACAACAGTTGATGCTCTCAGCGACGAGCGAAAGACAGATTGAACGTGCCTTTCGGGCTGCTCTTTCAGAAATGGGAAGTCACGTCGGATGTGCGAAAGGTCCTTGCCTAGGGAAAAATATGAAAACCTGGGTCATCGAAAATACCATATCCCTGTCATGGCGTATCGGACGTTCAATCGCGCTTTGTCGAGCGCGAAATGATATTGACCACGTCGCAGAGGCAATCATTGAACAAGTAGGTGGCAAAGAGGCAGCAAAAGTTCTGTTCAAGGGCAAGATTCTCGAAGTAGAGAGGAAGACTGTCAAAGGCCATTCTTATGGTGAAGTTGTGATCAGTGCTGCCGATATAACCGGGAACGTCGCTGGTGTTGCTGGAAAAACTGCAGAATTCAACGGCAAAATGAAGATCCCGTTCAAAAATGAAAATATTGTCGCTATCGCTATATCTGAATCCGGTGATGAAGTAGTCGCCTCCGTACCAGACCTTATTTGCGTTTGTGACGCCTTGACTGGAGAGGCAATTGGTACACCAGAGTATCGCTATGGGCTGCTGGTGTTTGTCCTCGGAATTCAGGGGTCAGAAAGGTGGACCTCGAGCATGAGGGGCATTCAGATTGGGGGTCCGAGGGCGTTTGGAATGGATATCGATTACAAACCGCTGGGAATATTTGAGAGACCTCGCAGCATCATCGAGGAGTACATGCATGCTGTTCATTAGTGCTATTGAGTACCTTGTATGGACTCTCTGATACTTAGTTGGTTAGTGCTTTCGTATTCATTCCAATTCTTACCACTGACGGGGATCACTAAGTATATTATACACTAAGCAGAGTCTCAGCAATATTAGTGAGATCTCGGGAGGTCATCAACCAGGCAAGTGCCCTTGATCTAGATTGACGTATGTAGTAGTCACAGATAAGTACCAGCAGCCACCAATAGCATTCTGCACCACGTAGTACCACGACAAGAGTCAACTACATACTACATTTGACAGAGTTCAACCTTCACTATCAGGTATGACTTTGCGTGTCAAGTTAGTAGATGAACTAATTCAGATATTTAGCAGGAAACAAATTTTCATACATTGATAGTACGATCAACATGTGAGAGAGACAACCATGGATGGTAAATCGACAGCGGTGCGAGCCACAGGTAACCTTTCTAGCGTACAACCACACGGATCTTTGTAATAGTAGAAAATGACTTGAAATTATGCGGCACTTAGAATAAAGCGCAGATACTACGTAGATAAAATCGAGGATGACGGAAAAAGGAACCGGAGTCGGATTCTGCGCCATGTTTGGTTAGTAATCCCTTTCCTCTGTGTCTTGATTTTTGGGGTAATAATTCATTGATAGAGACATAAAAACGACCAAGAAAAGTATGAATCGCTACATCTTCTTATGCTGTTGGTGTCCACCAACATCCTCGCAATGTCTCATACATCCCTCTTGCTTTTTGCATCCGAGTTGGGCTTGACGGTTTTTGCTTTGATGGTCTTCTTAGCAATGCATCGCTTTCAGTCTTCCGCGTCGAAGGGATCTTATCCTCCTGGACCCAAAGTTGTGAATATGCCAACTCTTGACGCATGGGTGAAGTATCGAGACTGGGGAAACAAATACGGTCAGTAGTCGCTCTAGGTTTTATCAGAATTGCTCTAAATATGTTGGAAAGCAGGCGACCTTGTCTACCTCCCTCGATGGAACACTCTGATAACCAATGATGCCGACGTTGCTATTGATCTGTTGGAAAAGCGTGCTCGTATCTATTCCGATCGAGCGATGTCTCCCATAATGAAGCTGTCAGTGAATTTGTGGTCTGCTGTAATATTGCTATGCTTACTCAATGATTCGTAATTTTTTGAAGCTGTGGAGGAGAAAATTTGTTGTCAGTTGAGGTAATACGACCAAGTTCTTGCATGGTTTACCAGCAAACATCTTCTATAGTGTTATTCCGACAAGTGGCGTAAGGACAGGCGGGTATTTCAGCAGACCTTTCGTCAAGCTGCAATCGGCCAGTTTTATCCGGCACAATACAATAAAGTTCACGAATTCCTACGCGAATTACTACTCACGCCTGAAGACCTTACGCAACATGTCAATGGGTGTGTTTTCACCATTTAGTTTTCCTGTAGAAGGTCACTGATTGCCAGTAATCCTTGTTGTCAGACTTTCTCAAGGACTTATTCCAAAGGCACTATATGGGCTTGACATTGGACCCGAAGATGCTCTGGCAAGCAAAGTTGCAGGAATAATAGATACATTTGGAAAAGCTCTACTTAGTGGCAGCTTCCCTGCATATGAATGGTTTCCATTTCTGATCTTTATGCCTTCTTGGTTCCCTGGATGTGGCTTCAAACGGATTGCCAATGAGTGTGGAAAAGTTGTGGAAGAGATATACACTGTTCCATTTGACCTCGCAATGAATAACATGGTGTGTGCAATGATCTTTCTTGCTTTGTTTTCATCAACAACTGTATCCACTGCTTTCTAGCAAAACGGCACTAGAACATCTCCCATTGTCGAACTGGCAATGCAGAAGCCTCAAGATATCAAGGAAATCAAGGCAATGGGTACCATGAGTTTCATTGGTAAGGCTTGGCTTTGTGCATTCATTGTTAGGTTGAATTCAGAGCCCACGCCCACTTAGGTGCAATTGACACGGTATATAAGCCTCTTATTCCTCTTACTATTGTAGAGACATTGACATTCTGACATGAATGGACAGACTATGTCCTCGATTTCTTCATTCATTCTGGTTATGTGTCTTCATCCTAATGCACAAACCAAAGGTCAAGAGGAAATAGATCGTGTCATTGGCAAAGATCGGCTGCCTACCTTTGAAGATCGCCGACATTTACCTTATGTCGAAGCCATTTATCGTGAAGTCATGCGGTTGCACCCTCCCGTTCCTCTTGGTAATACAGCATTTTGACAGTAATACCGTATCTCAGCTGAAGTAATTCCACAGGATTTCCTCATATATCAATGGAAGATGATTCTTACCGTGGATATCATATTCCAAAAGGTTGTACAACTATGAGACCTCCAACGATTTGTGATTGATGATTCTATCTTATGTATTCAGGATGCGCAGTGGTTGCTAATATCTGGTTTGTGTGCAATTCCTTATACTCCTCCAACAATGTCCAGGCTAACAATGCAACCCTTTATTGAGGGCTATGAATCGAAACCCAAATGTATATCGAGATCCTGATCGATTTCTCCCTGAGCGTCACCTCAAATCGGCTGCGGGTCCATTTGAAAGCATAGACAACATCTATGCATATGGGTTTGGTCGACGGTTTGTTACATTTATCTCATTGGGTTTTATCCTAGTTCAAAAAATCATTGTTATTTATAGAGTCTGCGCTGGACGTTATATGGCTGACAATACCATTTGGCTCACAGTGGCCTCTGTACTAGCTGCCTTTACAATGGGTAAAGCCAAAGATGGAAATGGGAATGAAATTGATATCCCAGGCAAATTCACCAATCATTTCTTCGTGTACACCACAATTCACAATTCTTTTTCCTCGCTTATGCTTTTTGCAGGTATCCCAAACCTTTTCAGTCCAGTATCATTCCTCGCAGTCAAGCTGCAGAGAATTTGGTTCTTGCTACAGTCGATCAGTGAATGTCAGGATTCACAAGTAAGGCCAAGTCCATAGGAGTCATTGCAAGTGAAAGCTAGCCTTTTTTGTGTTAATTTCGTACTGGATTCTTCATGACAGTCTACTTGTATGATTATTAAAGGGAAGCTGGAGCACTAGCGACCCAAAGAAACTTGACCGCACCACGAGCAATTATTTGCTAAAGCATCGGTATCAGTATACGCAGTGGCGATCTTCATCACAAGATTAACCCCTTCGCATTGCCGAATATCTTGCAGCTCAAGGAGGTTCAATACTGAGGTGCGGGGAGAGACGGGTAGCCGGCATGGCGACCTATTGTTGGGTGTCACCTGGCACCTCCGTTCCTTAGTTCTTTGAGGTTCTTTGTCATTGTATGGATCTATGTGGAGGGTGTAGCTATGGTGTGTGTAGATATGTGAGAAAGACGTGACACTTATAGCTGCAGTTTTTGGGCAAAAATGTTTACTTGGTTTCCTACTCTTCTCAGTGCCACTGTTCAAAGGTCCGAAGCTATCCTCACTGGGTACCCCTCGTTCGGCTCAGGCTGGCACACCTCCATGTCGAAGAATTAGAGTCATCGAAACTAGGTTCATAGGCATTCGAAGCAAGAGCGACATGTCAGGAATTCATTGAGTGATTCGTCGTAATATCATCACTCAACTTCGGTTTGTGACTCAGTGCGAGAGAAGACCGTCAGCGACACAGCCACAATTACCATTTTCACTCACTATCCATCCATGGTATGTCCAATGAGTTATTATATCCATAGACTACAGCCAAAACTGAACACAGCCTAAAGTACGGTCAAAGCGCTCAACCTCGCACAACGCCTCTGTAAAGTTTACCACCGTAAAGTCTCAATTTCTTGAAGATGATTCTGGATCTCCGGTGAATCATCATCTCTTTCTCTGTTATCTGCGCCTTACGGATGTCCGACTTCTAGGTTGCACAGACAGTAGAGTATGAATCAGACCCAGCTCCGGCCCTTAAGAAAAAGGACAAACATCAGATAAAGCGAGAGGCATTTTTGCAGAGACTCGAGTTAACCCAATCCCCGTATTCGAAATCTCATCAGCGCCGTATAAAGAAAAAGGCCAAAGAACAGATAGGCCATGGACTCGAAGAGATCCGGACGGCACTCGAATCTGTCGATGATAGCCGTGCTCTATCTACAATAGTCCAAGATGCCTCCGCTACCGCAGGAAAGACAGACAAATCACAAATGAAGGTCGATGGAGATGAAGACACCCCGAAATCAGTGCATCAGTCCAAAGTTAAATCCAACCAGATTGGTGAAGGAAAAGGCGCAACACTGTCAAATACTCAACGGAAGAACGCGCTGTTCGTATCCCGTCTTTGCTCGATGAAGTATGAGCTGACTTCGCTCTATAGAAAAATTGAGCGTCTTCGCTACCCACTCATCCTTTCCAATCCTCAATTCGGATCCAACCCCTTTCAAACCATTCGAACTCATGCCCAAAACACACTCATTAAGCATGTTCCGACATGAGATGATTCACGGATGGGCTGCGTAAAGAGGCTATGTACACAAACTACAGACTTGTATACTCAGTGTATTCCTTGGAATGCCGACACTCTGATATCGTCTTCAGTCCCGAACCTTGACGCGCAACGGCATTTGAATACCATCCATCCAATGGCCTTTCTTCATTGGGATCATCAATCCTGCCGGTACACGCTGTATGTCATCCAAGCCTTCGGGTCCAGGAGAAAATTCAAATTTCTCAAGGAGACCGAATAAGATCGCTTGAAGCTCCATCAACCTGGAATGTTATTCAGTTTGCCACCTACGCGTTGAAAGGAGAAGTTACTAACGCAAATCGCCAACCTATACATGCTCGAACACCAGCACCTTCAGAAATGTTATTTTGAATTTCGAAATATTAGTAGTATGTCCCACTCACTAAAAGTCATACTGAAAATCGTCTATTAGTCGATACTTGTCTGACATTAGTGTACTTGGAGCACTTACAGATTAGCGTAAACCCCCAGGGTCGTGTCCTTCTTCGATTCATGCAAAAATCTCTCCGGATTCCATTCGTTCGCGTCTTTGCCCCAAACTTGTGTCAACCTATCAAGCTGCAGTAAGAAATGGACATCATGGATCAAAAGTTTTTGCTCACCTGTTATAGACTGAGATGGAAACAGAAACTCGCTGCCCTTTGCTGACAGGAATTTGCGAAAGTTCTTCTCCAGACTCAGAAATGACCGGAAATTCCAACGGAATGACATCGTCGGAGGCTGCTTGGCGAATAAGTGCAGGTACCTACAGATACAGCATCCAGTGAATAAACATTTTGTTAATTGCACTTTTCTTGTAAACGTACTATTGGATGTAATCTCAATCCCTCCTGTCAAAGAAAAAATGTTAACAATGATCGTCTTCGCAGCACTATCAATAATATACAGCGAACCTTGATGACAGCATTGAAGAAAGGCATAGAATCGTAATCGCTGGCAGTCGGTTCTACGTCTGGACCAATACGGCTACGCATCTCTCGGATTTCATCGTAGACTCTACTTTGGTCTTTAAGCGACTTCCCGAGCTCATACAGCAACCATGTCGTGGTAGCTTGGTTAGTGATCTAAATTAGTTGGCGAAGATTGATTTGCTGTTCTGACACTTACAAGCGGTTGTCTCATGTCCTAGATACAAGCATCAGCATATCGACCAGTCAGATGGAAGTCAAGAGACTGACCAGCTAGAATTATCGTACTTTTTCAGGAAAAAAATGTTAGATGTTTCAACTTCGGATAAGTACTTGTCGCGGGACATACGCCATTTGGGAGAGTACCTCGTCCTCGTCAAGGGCCTTCTTTGGGTCGGCGGTCATATTTGAACGGAGTAGTACGCTGAGGACGTCCTTGCTTCCCTTCAGATCCTCCTCTCCATTTGTTTGCAGGGATGCAGTGTCAAACACTGACTTTGCAACCTTCTTAGATGCGGTTGAAAACTCCTTGAACCTCTTCTCTGCTTTGGTCGGAAATCGACAGAGAAAATCACCTAGAGGGGCCGGAATCGAACGCCGAAAAGCTCGCCACAGTATGAGTGGTCTCTGTTCAATTCTTCGATCAGGATGGATTGTCGTAAGGGAATTAAAAAACAGACCTCCGGGTAGAGACGAGAATCGGCACTGGATTGTAAGAGATAATGAGGATAGAGTGATAATTGTACGATTCAGAACACGTACAACATATGCTTGAAGATCTCTCCGAGTTCATTCGCACGGCCATCCAGTGCCCCGAAATCATAACCGAACGCGCCTATATTTTGTTAGTTTGGCATATCGAAGACATGCTAAGTATGGCCTTACTTTCTCCTATCACGTCCAATGTAATCCTAGGGAGCCAGTGCGTGACATTGATAACTTTGCCATTGCCCGTTCCGTCGACCAGTTCCTCTTCCTTCCATTTCTTAGCCAGCTGAAACCAAAGCGTGAGCTTTGATATTAAATTTGTGAGATAACGCTTCTCACTCGGGAAGTCGAACGCTGGAACAAATCGAGAAATTGGCGCAGCTGAGAAGCAGAAAATGCAGGATTGAGTGCTTTCCGTTGGCGGTTGTGCACTTCGCCTGTGATACCAAGGAGGAATCGATTTCCAGATAGTATTAAGCGATATGGGAGCACACCAGACCTTCAGCCCAAACAATTCCACGACCGAACAACATTTTTGTTACCTGCTGAGAGTCTCTCCCTTTTGGAAACCTAGATCCCAGACTTTATCAGGTAATAGAATATGAAGCAAACGAGCTACCTGTAGCCCGAAGTGTGGAATACGTATTGGATTGCACGAGGATCTGATCCATGGTAAGCATCACGATTGATAAATATGATAGATGACTGAAAGGACGTCGACGCCCATGGACACTTGGAAACGTAAATCGCAAAGATTATACTATACCTGCTATCATCAATGTGTCTTCCTGTAACAGTAGATATGATTAGCATATGTACATGCCTGGGAGGCCATTGAATGAAAGAATGGGCTGAGAACGAATCGGGGCCCGCTGTGTAAAAAATACTTACACCATAACAAGAGCTCGTGCGAAAGGCAGTACCGTACTCGTTGAACCACTTGGTCTCGAGAATGCCTACTTCCTTCAGAAGTTCGTGAGCACAATGATACGCCATATAAGTGATATAGAACTTGCCTCTTGGTGTACTAGTTCATCATCATTTCCTAGAAACAATGTGACTTTAAATGGCGAGACGCACAAATGTGATCATCATCATACCGAACAGGAGGGATGGTCGCGGGGGGCCTCGAAGAAACTTGAGAGATCTCTGGTAGTATCTATACACAAATCCGAAAATGATATATGCACTAGGTATGAAAACCAAAGCAAATGCAGCTTGAGTGAGGATTCTCAACATGATAGAGCAAGTAAGGGTTCGTGGATTTTGCCTGACTGCGACCTTTTTATATCTGCTGAATTGATCATGATGTTATGAGAAGTATCAATACCAGATTACTACTGGAAGCCAGAATGCAACGACTTCCGGCTTGTACGTTGACGGTTGATCTGTCGGTAACTATTCAGTTTTGTGGTGTTCTGTGGTCCCATGAACGGGTAAATCGAGCCGAGTACAAAGCGAAATTTGTCGTTTAAGGCCCGACGTGTTAACGGTAACGTATTGACCAGTCTCGGTGTCACGAGGCGAACAGTGTTATAATTATTATAAGCCTTGTAACAACACAACATATGATATGTACTTGGGTTACGGGTATAACGAGACGAAAGACCTTAGCTAGATATGCATGCTATCAAAATGTTATTGTAATCTTACTACGAGAAATCAATCATCATCTTCGCCAGTAGCACTCATACCGGCACTCCAAACGGTACTCCTCCCGCTCCTCCCACTATCGCTACCCCCTGCACTTCTGCGTCCACGGCGATTACTCCGTCTGATTTCAGTAAAGCCTCCACTGGAACCCTTCGCGATTTCTGAGGAGAGACTGCGTTCGTGTGCATCCAGAGCAGCCAGAGTATTCTCAGCCTCAGCATGTTCAAGGGCTTCCTGAGTGAGCTCTGTACCCTCGATACCGAGGCCGATACGCGATGAATTGGCGCTTAATGAAGGTGTAAATGTTAATAGCGGGGAAGAGGAAGGCTCAGACGCGGGTGTTCGAGAACCGAAAATCGAGAAACGCCTATTGGTTCCGGCGCTGGGAGGTGGCGCAGGGCCCGGCGAAGAGAAAGCTTTCTGCATTGGAGCAGGTGAAGCAGGTGTTTCAATGCCCATGAGTTTCATAGTGGCATTGATTCTCTCTCGTTCGCGCCGATCATTTTCGTCTTCCGTGGTATCTAGTTTTCTTGCACTAGTGACTGGACTGGCTCCAGGTTTCAAGGTGAGTGGACGCAAATTAGACTCTGGCTTCTTCTCAGCATTATTGAAGAGTGAAAATCCCTTCCAATCGAAAGACAATGAACGGCGAGATGCCTTGGTGGTGGCGCTAGGAGGTGTAGGGTTTCCTAGTTTTGGAACGTTGAAACCAGGACTATTCAGGTGAAGAGACTCGCTACCGGAAGACACTGAGGCTGAACGGCCAACAATGACAGATTGTGGTCTTGCTTTTGCAGTTTTGGGTGCTGCGGTAGAGGGAGTAGGAGGCTCATTCTCGTAATCGATTGCCAGAACATGCTCGAAACCTTCCTGAGCGATGATTCGATCAATGATCTTTGATGCATACAGAGAAAGGGCCTTATTAGCGTCTTTGAGCGCCTTCACTTCTGAGCGCAGAGCCAAGACGTCGCTAGTTGAAACACTGGGTTCAAGGAAACCAGAGGCTCCCTTTGAATCCTTTCTAGATCTCTTGCCTTTAGAATTGACTAGCGGCTCATCAACATTACCCTCAAGTATATCTTTGTTCTCAGCGCGACCAAGTTCTGCAGCTAGATCCAAGCCAGGACCAGTTATAGGTAAGTCAGCGAGTGACTCGCCCCTAGGGCCATCCGGTGAATGAGAAGTGGAAGACTCATGGCTGCGACCCTGTCGCACTCGCCCATGATGTGAATCAGACCCTTCAGGCATAATGCGCGCGCTGAGTTCATCAGCCAAGCTGCCAGTGGTTTCTGGCATCTCTTCCTCAACGCGATCCAGAGTACTGCGGCCAGTACTGCGAAGACTTCCCACGTCCCCGCGATCAGATTCTTCGTCGTCGTCGTCGCCTCCTCCCACCTGTTTCAACAGGTCAAATTGACCGTTTAAGGTCCGTTCCTGCAGTAATATCATATAGCTTTCGTTGTCCTCCTGCAGTTGTTTATTGACTCTATTGAGGTCAATCAACTGGGTCTGTAAGAGAACACAGGTACTCTGAAGCGAAGAGTATGATGTGGAAAGAGTGGATAATTCTAGTCGAAGGGCGGTCATTTCGGCTGGTTCTTGTTCTGGATCGCTCATGTCCTGCTTTGAAGCCACGTCCTCCGGCGAGGTGTTTACCTCCGTTTCCTCCTCCTCGTACTCAGTTTCGGATTCTACTTCCGGGTACGTGGGGCTTTCGGGTTTCCTCCGAACTTGTGATAGTGATTGGATACGAGATTTTAAATGTTGTTCGTTGTCATAGAAGGCTTGCCGCTCTGCATCGAAGGTAGACGTCTACAACGTTTGAGCGCATTAAATCTTAAAACAATCATCCCAGCTGACCTGTTCGTTGTATCTACGTAGAAGATCTCTCTTCTCCTTCTCTAATTCGCGCACTTGAGATCGGAGTTTTTCAGATATGTCTATTCTCTGCGCAAGTTCCTGTTCGGAACGACTCTGTTCGGCGTAGAGGTCATTTAAGCGTATTTCCGCAGCATGCAAGGCAGAAGTTAAATCGTCGTTTTCCTTTCCTAGAGTCGAGATTGTTTGGTCTTTGTCTTGAAGCTGCACCAGAAGCTATGCGGTGGGTTAGCGGAAACAACTTGTTGAAGCACAAACCAGCAAACCTTCTCCTTTTTCTCTGTTGCATCCTTCAGTTCAACCGAAAGAGCTTCGGCAGCCTCCGCGTTCTGTCCAGGGACAGAAGACGATTTTGAAGTGGGTCTGCGGGTGGCAGCAGAATTCAAAGAGGAAGGAGTACGAGGGCTGGCCGCTGAACGAGCCGTGGCACCTCTAGAGATTGAGGAAGATGGTGAGTGGGACGGAGATGAGGTGGTCGATAGACTGCGTCGTGAAGTCACAGGGCTTGTTCTAGGGGCGGTGGTCGTCATTGGTTTAATGGTCTCGTCAAAAAGTCGTGTTGGTCGTCAAAATAGTATTTAATATGTATTTATGGAGATGCGCTTGAGAGAGTGAATTATCTGTTATGAGAAGACCATGCAACAAGGTAGCTGCAGCCTGCAGGAGGTTTATGACAGGAAACTGAGATCGAAGTTGCTACTGTGCTGATGTAATCATAAATGGGCGTGTGCGGCAAAATTCTGGTACCATCATTGTCAATATCATCATGAATTTCAACAAAATGATTCAAGAAATTCATTCGGAGCCTCTTCAAACTGTCTGTGTCTGGTCTGGTCTCACTCTTGAAGTATTAGGTCTCAATCATGACTTAGCTTCTGTCTACAGCGCGATGCCAAGGTCGGTATCTGTATATCATTCGATGTCAAACTGCAATGACTTTTCACTACTTATCAGAATCGATTCCGTTGAACATTTACGCATCAGAACCCGATGCACTTCACCCTTCGATGCGTCAGGGGATGCCTTCTAATTTTCCTCGCTTGGGCGACGTACTGGAAATCCAAGGCCCGCCTGCTTCCGGAAAATCTCACTTACTATGTCTCCTCATGATTATCTGTATTATCCCGACCACTTACGCGTCGACATCGCTCGGAGGATGGGGCAAAGTAACCATCCTATACGACACATGCGCGACATTTGATCTAGCTCGCTTTAAACAGCTTCTGACCTCGCACCTGGCGACGACATTGAAAAACAAGGACTCAAACGATATACAGATACTAGTGAAGCGTTCTTTGCAAAATCTTCACATATTCCGTCCCAGCTCCTCGATACAGCTAGCTGCGACTTTATTTCGCCTACCATCCTATCACCAGATCAACCTGCCTGACTCCGAAATCGGCATTTTGGCTATAGACTCCATGAGTGCCTTCTGCTGGGCCGATCGCTTCACTGCTGAACAGTTGAGAGCCACACCCACTTCTAGGGTAAATGAATCTCACAATCCCTTGAAACATGTTATAGTGGCCCTGCAACGATTCCATCACACTCATAAACCGTTGATCGTCTTTACCAACTGGGGTCTAACTCCTGAGGTAATCGAAGACGAGAGAGGTTCGTTTTCCTATCGCCAACATCTGAACCCACCTCCTGCTCTATTTCCCGCCGTGGAAGTTAGCGCCACATCGGAGTACTCGTTCGCCAGCGCTCTACCTTTGACATTTCATATCACCCTCTCGATGGCAAAAGTACCACAGTTCCCTGTCGATCTCTCTTTCACAGATACTTCTATCCAACGGAGTTTCGCAACTCGTCAGATCACTGGTATCATTCGATCTGCCCGTAGCTCGCAGGCAAGTCGAATCGCTTTTAAGATTGAGGCTGACCACATGGATCTCCCAATTGTTCTTTCTTGATGTGCTATACATAGACGAATAAAGTCATACATCTAACTTGGAGTTTGCTATCGTGGCGTCAGTCGAACTGTTTTAGGTTTGTCGCTATGAATTGTATGTCTACATATTATTGAAGAGTGAATACATATGTGAATTAATGTTATGGGTTTACGAAGATATATTTGTTTCTAAATCTCCCGAGGCGATTTCCTGCGCCGCCAACTTGTTAGATTTCTTCTCAGAACCTTTACCGCGCAGTACATTCTCGATGTAATATTCGCCGGCCTGCGAAGGACCTCATAAATGTAATCGGTTGGAAGAGCCAAAGGAATCCCTACCTTATAACTACTGCGAACCAAAGGCCCACTGGCAACGTATAGGAAACCCAAGTCTTCAGCGACCTGCTTCCACTTGTCAAACTCTGAAGGCTCGACATAGCGGTCGACTTTCATATGGCGTTTGGTAGGTCTCATGTATTGACCAAAAGTCACGACGTCTACATCGACTTTGCGAAGCTCTGAAAAAGCATTCTTTGACTAGGGATCTAAACGATGGATATTAGAGCTTACCTTTCAACGCATTCAGGACTTGCGATTCGTTTTCACCGACTCCGAGCATGATACTGGTTTTCGTAATCCGAACACCTTCACGTTTTGCATGCTCCAGTACTTTGAGACTTTGTCTGAATGTTGCCCTCCGGTCTCGAACAAACGGAGTCAACTCTTCAACGGTTTCGACGTTGTGTGCATATACATCCAGCCCCGATTGTGCCACTACGGAGACATGGGCCAAGTTACCAGCAAAATCTCCTGTTAATGCTTCTACCAAGATATGAGGTGCCCTAACGTAATTTCGATTGGCATTAGTAATACTCTTGGAGAGGTGTTTGAAGAAACGAACTTTTGCTTGATCTTTCTAATGGTCTCTGCAAAATGATATGCACCGCCGTCTGCGAGGTCTAGAAGAGAAATGAAGACATGGGATGAATTTGCAATTGGCTTGGGGGCGAACCATCACGATCCACGCTGGTTAACACTATGTATCCCAAGCCCCACCGACTAATCGCCTCTGCAGTGTTTTCGGGTTCATGTGGATCCAGGGGCGGAGGTGCTCTGGATGTTTTCACAGAGCAGAATCGGCATCCACGAGTACATGTATCGCCCATTAACTAGAAAAAAGCAATAAGATCAATCTTTTGGACGAAAGAGCGGCGGACCATGATAGTAGCCGTTGCAGCACTTCGCCCTTCCGCTTCTGTTGCGCCTTCCTTGCCGCCCCAACAATCTCCGATATTTGGGCATCTTGCTTCCTCACATACAGTGTGTAGTCCAAGCCCTCTGAGATCCTTCTTGATTTTGTTGAACGAATTACCAGACGGAATAGACGTTTTCAGATATGACGGAAGCCGCGGACTGTCACGGAACAGGTTTATACATTGTTTTCTTCGAAATTTTCATACTACTTACCCTCGGGGATTACCCAAAACAACACGTTCCGGAGTATTTCCAGCTATAAAATCATCTAATGAAGGGCCTGAGCTCAGAGTCTCGGAAAACGTTTGTTTGGATACGGAAGGAGCAGAAGGAGTTGCTAAGAATCGGGTTCCAGCACGGCGAAGCGCCACGCGCGTAGCAGATACAGGATTCATTGTGATTTTCACAAAATCCAGGACCAGTCTGGGACGGTCTTGAGTATATGGTGATCACAGTCAGTGACCAAGGAGAAGGCGAGAATTACTAATTTACCAATCCGGGCTCGTTGATGAAGTCCGAAGCGGGCCGGACAACCGTTACTCTCTTCTGTACCAGGTCCTGCCTTGCAATGAATGCTCTCTCCAGAAGGGAGGAGGAAACTCTACTCAAAACAGTGAAGGCACAAGCTTTGAAGGAATGCGATCCCTTCGTTAAGGGTGTGATGTCAAGTTTTCATTTGAAGGTTGATTCAGTACCAACATAATGGAATCTCTAGACTTCGCGGATTGCATGTCTGGCCGTTTAATTTCAGTGGCTTGGGCTTGCAAGGATAAGCTCAAATTGGTTGAAGCGTGTATGGTGAAATAGTACGTGTCCTGTATGTCAAAATTGTAACAGTCTGCCAACACTTGTCCTTATGTCCAGTACTGGTCCGGAACCAATGGAAGTAGTTCGGACAGAGTATCTCAAGCTTCGCTATCAACAAAGGGAAACGAAAGTTAACGATTTTCAGGATGGCGGGACTAAATTACAATAACGGTTTTATATATTTCATGACCGTTACACGATTTTTTAAATGTGTTCACTTTTTACCGTTAACAGATTGCCACTGCTTATGACCTGCCATCACCGATGTAATCAGACTACGAGGGAAAAAATTTCGTGAGCTTAGTCCTCAAGACATTAGTAAATGCAACGAACCCAAAGATACCAAGGACGCCGTCGTTCATGCTTGAAATCCCTAGGGCTGTTGCTGGGATCCATAGGTCCAGCGAATCAATAACCAGCTGGTAACGCGTTGCATCTCGAGAACTAGGAACACTTTTAGTAAAGTTACAGCAACGAAGACGGACAAAACATACGCGATAATGGTGCTCAGCCTCATTTCTTGTTCTGCTTCCTGACCGACATCCTTTTCGCCGCCCAAGGCCTTAGAACGCTTAGACCTTCGCTCCTCCTTGGCAAGACGTACACTCTTGACAACAGAGAATGAACAGTAGGATCATGCATATGGCGGATCATACACACCTTTAACGCTCCATTGACAATGCTAAGGAGGATCCCTGCCAACCAGAATCGATTGGATAGTTTGGAAATCTTGTTACTTGTTTCCGTCGAGAATGAGTAGAATTTGACTGCATTGACCTGAACTAGAGTTCTTAGATCCGGTTTGGAATTCTACTACGCTAGAATACTTACCCAAACCAAAGCATCGAAACTCAGATATGCAAAATATGCTATCTGTTTGCCAATAGTAGTAATCTGCTCGCCAGCTGGACCCGAAACCAAGGCCGCTTTTAATCCAGCTTGGAGATGCTCAAATGGTTTGCCCAATCGTAATACTGTGAACAATATGTATACCTCAGGCTCGGGTTACAATATTAATGGCAGGCAACATACACTTTCTAGCGGTAGCTAAATGGGTTTTAAGCGCGTTCCAGCGAGCGGCTGCTTCCTTATCACCCTTTCTAAGCAGAAACCAGGCATAGAATCTAGCGAAGTATTGGATTGCTCGATACGCCTGTATAACGGAACGTTGAGCACAAATTCGGCGTTCGCGTGAAGTATTGAAACTGATTCGCCTTGTCTCTTCCGAGTGTGGTCCCCCCATATCTCAGACCCTGGGAAACGGTCGGATGGAGAACGACTTGAGAAGCAATGGCGGCCATAGTGAAAGTAAGAGGAAAGACTTAACAGCTTGGATATAACTATATAACTGGGCCCGGGTTTCATGATCTGATTTCACGTGAAATTCTAATCCTCTAAGCTCTTCCGAACCGAAATATTTTGCAGATTGTCATGGGCCGACTAAGGATTTGCGACGGAACTTGAAGGGCGTTTGTGACCATCTTGATGAGTGATGTCGATGAACAGTTAGATCTCTAGACGTTTATCCACACTTTCATGAAGCCCGAGTCCCGACCTGCAATTCGGACCGAGTCACTGGCCGTTACTTGGGCTCCTTTCGACCTCTATGCTTTACTTATAGAAGTTCAGCCATCAACCCGTTGACAGTGTAATCTTCCCGCAAAAAGTACCAGCTCTTTCGTTGTTCGCGCAGCTGTAAATCAACTCTATGTTTTCAACGGGATCCACGATTTCGCCGCACGCCGGGAAGTATCGGAGCATGCCCTTTCCGATTCGCGAGCCTTTAACTTTCTCAAACCACATTTTTCCTTGCCTACTTCATTCGTGTTTCCTTTATTATGCTTGCTGCTCGTCAGTATAGTCGCGTAAGTATCTTGTACGATTTCCGTACCACTCACTAATTGCCTTGCAGCATGTTCTTCTCAGAAATCCGCAGGCCGTACGTTTTCTGAGCATAAGCTCGACTCAGGTTGGTACTATTGGCGACAAAATATTCCTCATGCTCAGTCTTCCATATATGTTCAGAAGCAGCAGTATCGGGTCGAGAAGGACACATTTGGAGAGCTTCGGGTGCCTGCCGACAAGTATTGGGGAGCACAGACCCAGCGGTGCGTTTTTCTTTCGTAACTTGGGTATCTTCTATTCAGCCTGAATCTCCAGCTCTCTGCAAAACTTCGATATCGGAGGCCCCTCGGAGCGTCTTCCTCCCCCATTAATCAAAGCTTTCGCAACCCTAAAAAAGGCCGCATCTATAGTCAATACTGGTTATGGCATGGATCCTAAGATTGGCGAGGCTATTCAACAAGCTGCTGACGATGTAAGTGCGCAGTCTATGAGCTCGGGCTGTTCATGACTCGCTATGCAGGTCATTTCTGGCGAACTCATGGACCACTTCCCGTTAGTCGTCTTCCAAACCGGAAGCGGTACCCAGAGCAACATGAATGTCAATGAGGTGGCTCGATATTCACCAAATTGCGTCCCCACAATTGACTTATATGATACATATAGGTCATATCGAACCGTGCTATCGAAATTCTCGGTGGCGAATTAGGTTCAAAAAAACCTGTTCATCCTAATGACCATGTCAATATGAGCCAGAGCAGTAACGACACGTATGCGTCCACCTGGGATATCTGTTTTATGTAGGCTAATATACCCTTTTCTTCAGATTCCCCACAGCTATGCACGTCGCTGCCGTAACCGAAATTCATCATTCCCTTCTACCAGCACTCACAGAGCTACGCGATGCCATGGATACTAAGGCGAAGGCTTTTGACCACATCATCAAAATTGGTCGTACGCATTTACAGGTAAACGCTCAACTTGCGGTACTGTCAACTTGTCTGAATAAAACATAGGATGCAACACCTTTAACCCTTGGTCAAGAATTCAGCGGCTACGTCCAACAACTTACCAATGGCATTGCTCGTATCGAAGGCGTTCTTCCTCGTTTGAGCCTTTTGGCACAAGGAGGAACTGCCGTAGGCACTGTAAGATAGTCGAATTCATTGACCCTCTCCGATTGTCTTATCAATCACTTCATGGATTCAGGGATTGAACACTAAGAAAGGTTTCGACGTTAAAGTAGCTGCCGAAATATCAAAACTCACAGGTCTTGAGTTCAAGACGGCGCCCAACAAGGTAATCTCCTTCATCACTCCGAATCTATGCTTGTCCTGATTCCTCTGGTCACATCTAGTTCGAAGCACTTGCTTCTCATGATGCTATGGTTGAGACGCACGGTGCTCTCAACGTAGTTGCTTGCTCGCTCATGAAAATTGCCAATGACATTCGCTACCTTGGTTCCGGACCCCGATGTGGCCTGGGTGAATTGAGCTTGCCCGAGAACGAACCCGGCAGTAGCATTATGCCTGGTAAAGTCAATCCGACTCAATGCGAGGCGCTTACAATGGTCGCTGCTCAAGTCATGGGAAATCAGACGGCTGTTAGCATAGCAGGTGCCAGTGGGCAATTCGAAGTAAGTACCCGAGTTACTGGCCCTTTTTTGTGTCATTGACTAAAAGTTCTGTCAAGTTGAACGTATTCAAACCTGTTATCATCAAGAACGTGTTGCAGAGTATCCGCTTACTGGCCGACGGTGTGAATCATTGCCACTGAATCGCCAGACTTTTCTAAACAAAAGATTGATTTAGGCTCTCGCTCCTTCACCAAGAACTGCGTTGTTGGTATCCAGGCCAATGAAAGCAGGATTAACAGTCTTCTCAACGAGTCCCTAATGCTAGCCACCATCCTGAACAGTCATCTCGGATACGACAGTAAGTGAGCTGGCGCTGCCAAAGAAAAGAAAACTTTATATGCTGATGATTCTTACCAAAATCGTGATAGACGTTGCCAAATGTGCGAAGAAAGCTCACAAAGAGGGAACTACATTGAAAGAAGCTACCGTTGCTCTTGGATTCCTTACTCCCGAGGAATTCGACGAGAAAGTTCGACCAGAATTCATGCTTCACCCAGACCCCTAGATTGGTATAATAATATAGTCACTCGTATATATTGGAGCCGAAATCATAATAACATTCGATCAACGGCGGTTGGCGGTGTCCTAGTTTCAGTAGATTCGACAAGAACAGCATGATGGGATTTGTGAAACTAAAACTCCCAAAATAAAAGGCTGAAAGAGCAGTTACGCTATGAAAAGTATAGGCAAAAAGAACGTTGGGAATGAGGACGAAACGAAAAGAAGAGTTGTGACAGAGGAAGAAGTATTTTGAGAGAACTACGCCTGATATGGACAACGTGAATTGTAAATTGATTCGATGAGTTACTCTAAGTTTTCAGTGCCACAGGCCTGCACTGTGGGAGTCCGAATCCCGTCTCCATTTTCTCTTCTGCGGTCAATTGCCCCCACAACAATTTCGACGACGACGACTGTTTTTCCCATTTTCGACCTTGCTGATTCTTAGGAACTATATCGAATTGTGCCTGTTCAAATTTCCCATTCCTAGCTGTTCTTGGCCCCACGAGGTCAGCCCATCGTCACCTTCGTTGTCGAGCAACGAGAAAAAAGGACTTGAAAGTTTCGACAGATGTCGCTCAGTCGAATATTGAATGACGAACCATCGCCCGCTTTGTCGGCGCGCTCGTCGTTTGTTCCGCCTTCCAGGTCGATATCTGCTGCTGCTGGCCACACAGACGTGTCGTCGTCGTCGTCTGTCATGCCTGCTCCTCCTCTACGACCATTTCTTCATCGTTCTCACTCGGAAGCCTTTGGCGGACCGGGTCCGTCTTCCGCTTCAAGTCATTCCGAGAACGAAATCTGGGAGCCATACCCTCCCACAACGCAGTGGATTCACGATCCAAATGCATTGCCGCCTAATAATGTTCCTTTTGGCTCTTCTCACAATGGACATGATAGAGGTTCACATCTTCAGCCTATCTCTCCAATTGAGCATCTGCCGCCTCCTCCGCCAGTGCTAAAGGGGTCGGACCAAAGCAAGAACGAAGGTCCTTCTACGAAGAAGCGTCGGAAAGGTGCTAAGAATGATATAGATACTGCTGCATCCAATGGACAGCGACGTGTATGTGTTTTACCAGAGCATTTCGTTTTGTCCTTACGGTATTTTTACTACAGTCTTCACGGAAATCTCAACGGTCTACGAAGCAAACTCAGCCCGACGTCGATGCACCTCCCCAGCGCTTTGCTTCTGCTGCTAGCGACGATATTCCAGGAATATTGCGGCAGGATGAGCAAGCCTCTGTCTCATCTGATTTAGAGGATTGTAAGGAATTGTGGATGGATGAAGTTGATCATTATATGCTCGAGTCAACTAAACGATATCAACGTGTCGAGGATTGGTTTCACGCGAGTTTGAAGGTGTGCTCCTGTCCTTCCAGTGGTATTCATATGCTAGGCTAATCGTTCACTCAAGGAACGCACATCTCTTACTGCGCAACGCATGTCCCATTACTACTCGGAAAAGATAGCTAGATTGCCCCTACAACCGCCTTCCCCTTCACCGCCAATACCGCCTCCTCATGTTGACGAATATTCATACCCCGCCCATTCTCGCGATTACAGCCCACATGGATACGATGCGCCGTACATCGACGAGCCTTACCAAGAGCATGAAGCAGATGATCCTCCTCCAACATCACCACCACAATTACAGGCTCGTGCGAAACCGAAAGGGAAGATTGGTGAAAAGCGGCCAGCCGCTCAGATGATCGCTGACGGTGTGGATGAGATCGGCGTCCTTTCATCCACGACAAAACATGCGATCAAGAAGCGTAAGCTTGAGAGCGGTACAATAGATTTAGTCGCCGACGAAGAGCAACTTTTTGATTCAGAAGTACCCAAACTTCAGCCTATACCCCCCTCTGTCAAACTCGTGAGAGGGAAATTGGTGCCTTTTACTCCTCGCGATACTAGTCTTGATATAGTACCTCCTGGCAAATACTCTAGAAAGAAACCAGGCCCCAAAAAGAAAGTACCCATCGCACCTGAATTGGTGCAAGAGATGCCTTCTGTCCCGCCTTCTGTCGCAGGAGATGTTACACCTGTTGCCTCTCGCGCTGCCACCCCGGCACCCGTTCACTCCGGCGTCATTTTCGAGATGGACGAGGTGATACCCTCATTAAAAAAAGCGAAGAAGATGGATGATTCTGCCATACAGAAGCGTGTCAAAGCTCTAGAAGACGCACAGCGTAAGGTATGGACAACCATCGCGAGGCGCGACGTGGTTAAGGTAGACCTTCTCGACCTTATTTTGCCTAAATTCTAATCCCATTTTAGGTGTATAAATATCACTCAACGGGCCACCAAGCTCGAGTGGCTCAATTGGAACGTATTGCCAAGTTGGCGTCGCTTCAGGCGCGTCGACCATACACGAAGACGGTTAAAACAGGGAAGGAAGTTCAGGCGAAAGCTAAGCGGCTAATGCGTGAGATGCAAGTGTTCTGGAAGAAAAATGAGCGAGAAGAGAGAGATGTTCGTAAACGCGAACAGAAGGAAGCTATGGATCGATTAAAGATCGAGGAAGAACGTCGTGAAGCGGCAAGACAAGCCAGAAAACTTGAGTTCTTGATCAGTCAGACCGAACTCTACAGTCATTTCGTTGGAAACAAACTCAAGAGTGCGTATTGTTCTAATAAAACTATTTTCATTTTTCATATTTTTTTTGCCTCTAGCTGCGGAAGTCCAAGGGGACGAAATTTCGGCTGCCCAAGCCCCTGCTGGTGCTGAGGTTACCGATGTTGGACCTGATGATCTCAAGGATATAAACTTTGACGATGGTTAGTCGTGATTTCCTACTGTTCTATTGAAAGGCTCAGATAATTCACAGATGACCAAACCAATCTATATCGACATGCACGACACAATGCTCAAGAGGCTATTGAGCTCGCTAGAAATCGAGCACAAGAGTTCGATGCACAGGCTGCGTTAGAGCGAAGGAACAACGAAGCCATTAAGCTGGCCAAAGAACAAGATCGACCCGGGTCAGAGCTCGCTAATGACGCCAGCACTTCCGCTGAAAGACGATCATTGGAGCCGCAATCGAATGGTGATGCGCCTTTGGACTGTGAGTGATCTATGTTCACAACGGGAACTATTGAACGACTGCATCTGTTGTCAGTGGATTCGGATGAGCTCAACTTCCAAAACCCGACTTCGCTGTCAGGCCAGTTGACTATAAGTCAACCGAAGATGCTGATGGCCCAGTTGAAGGAATATCAACTGAAAGGTTTGAACTGGCTCGGTACGCTGTACGAACAGGGCATCAATGGCATCCTTGCAGATGAGATGGGTTTGGGAAAGGTCAACGGGTTCCGTTGCAACATGAACGTCTTGCTCATATTCATCATCTAGACTGTGCAATCAATATCATTGCTTGCCTATCTGGCAGAGACACATGATATATGGGGTCCTTTCCTGGTCGTCGCGCCTGCTTCGACCTTGCATAACTGGCAACAGGAGATTACCCGTTTTGTTCCGGGACTGAAGGCTCTTCCTTACTGGGGAAATGTCAAGGATCGCGCAACCTTGAGGAAGTTTTGGAGCAAAAAGGAGATCAGTTATAACCAGGACGCTCCTTTCCATGTGTTGATCACAAGTTACCAACTGGTGTGTCTCATAGTTGGTCCCGGTAACATGAATGATATCAACTTCTCTGTACGATAGGTAACGCAGGATCAACAATACTTCCAGCGCGTGAAGTGGCAGTATATGATTCTGGATGAAGCCCAAAACATCAAGAACTCCTCTTCTGTACGATGGAAAACGCTATTGGGTTTCCATTGTCGAAACCGTTTACTTCTGACTGGTACACCGATTCAAAACTCGATGCAAGGTGTGTGTTTTGAAAGAAGACCCGCGTCACTCTAACGTTCAATTTAGAGCTATGGGCTCTCCTTCATTTCATTATGCCCAGTCTTTTTGATTCGCATGATGAGTTCAATGAATGGTTTTCTAAGGACATTGAGAATGCTGCTGAGAACAAGGGCAGCAAGCTGAACGAACACCAACTGCGACGTTTGCATATGATCTTGAAGCCTTTCATGTTGCGTCGTGTTAAGCGTCATGTTCAGAATGAGCTCAGCGAGAAGGTGGATCATACCCAACAACAACTCTGTGCAGCACAAGTACTGACAATTGATTTTAGATCGAGATTGATATATATGTAGACCTTAGTGCTCGTCAGAGAAAGCTTTATCGGGCACTTCTAACCAACGTTTCCGTCGCGGACCTATTGGAGAAGGCCGCCAACATTGGTGATGTTGACTCTGCTAGATCTCTTATGAACTTGGTCATGCAATTCCGAAAGGTAATTCTACATATCATCCTAGGTATTCGTAAACTGACTAGCTTGTTAGGTTTGCAACCACCCCGAACTTTTCGAGCGTGCCGATGTGGTCGCTCCGTTTTCTTTCGCTCACTTTGGACAGTCTGGATCACTCAATCGCGAGGGCGATTTTCTCCTTTTTCCTTATTCAACGCGGAATCCAATCCAGTTTACAGTGCCCGAGCTCCTATACAAAGATGGAGGACTTATTGATGTTCCCCATGAAAATTCAGCGTCCTCCCAGTCGAGTTGTTTGTACAAGCTCATGAATATATGGCGGACGGATTATATTCATAAATCGTTGTGGGAGGAAAAATGTCTGTCGAATATTACTTCCAATCGTGATTTGACTGATAGACACTTTTTAGCTTCCTCATTCTCGTTCTTACGTTTGATTGGCACGTCGCCCCCAGAAGCTCATGAATTGCATACGGCCCCATTGATTCGAAGAAGGCTCTTAGCCACGCAAGCAGAGAGACAACTGTTAGATATGGCACCGTATCTGTCAGTGTGCAAATTAACTACCTGGAGGCTCTCTTCCTGACTTGCATATTTTCAGTGATCCTGATTTCGCGCCGTATTCGACTCAAGGTCCAATGAAGTTTACCATTTTGCCATCGTTGGTGAACCTCAATGTCGCTGAGTGCATGCCCGACCTGCGCTCTATATCAATCTTGTCATGGCAAGAGTCTTGTTTATCACGCCCATTATTAAAGTGGTCTATTCCCCCCGTGGTTGCACCACCCGTAACGATTTACTGCAAAGACCGTGCTTTCGTCGAGTCTCAACTTCGAGTGCTGGAAGACCCTGTTGATTCTCTGGCCTTGTACGGCCTTCCTCCGTCGCTAAAGGATTCGCAAGAAGCCTATGTCCGCTTCCAGCAACAATATCCAGGCGTACCCCCTTTTGGTCTTTTTGCTGCCTCTCCTTCCGACCAGATTCCCTTATCCAAAATGCAGGTTCCTGAAGCTAAGCGACTTATATATGACTCAGCCAAGTTAGCTCGTTTGGACGCTCTCTTGCAAGAACTTAAAGCAGGTGATCATCGAGTGTTGGTGTATTTCCAAATGACAAGGATGATGGACCTCATGGAGGAGTATTTGGTGTATCGCCAATATAAATACCTTCGGCTCGACGGTTCTTCCAAGATTGAAGATCGACGAGACATGGTCATCGATTGGCAAACGAGGTGATACTTACATTTTCGATCCTATTTAATCATACTCACTTTCATCCGTAGACCGGATATCTTTGTGTTCCTTCTCAGTACTCGGGCTGGCGGACTGGGTATAAACCTTACTGCAGCAGATACGGTCGTGTTCTATGATCACGACTGGAACCCTTCCAATGATGCTCAAGCTATGGACCGTGCTCACCGTCTGGGGCAAACTCGTCAAGTGACTGTTTACCGTTTGATTACCCGGGGAACCATAGACGAACGTATCGTTCAACTTGCCCGAGTTAAAAAAGATGTGAGTGCTACCCTTCTGGCCTGATTCCGCTTATTGACCGCAATGCGTATCGTAGGTGCAAGACATCGTGGTCGGAAGCAAGAATTTCACCGACGTAGCCAAACCAAGCGAAATCGTTCAACTCTTATTGAACGACGAGCAACTAGCTAGCTTGGACACTTCAAGCTCTCAGGGTGCCGCAAATAGCAAAGGAAAAGGTGTGCCTGATAGCACTCGTGATCTTTGGATAGAGGAGGGCGACGAATTTTTCGCTGGCCCACAATCTACTGCAGTGGGGGCTTCAGGCATTGAGGCCGCGGAGGATGAAAACGGCGTGTCGATGAAGAAGAGAAAGAAACCGGGCCCAAAGCCTGGTACTCGTCGAAAGGCGCCAGTCAAGAATTCGAAACCGACCACAGAGGTTCAAACTGTTGAAGAGGGTTAATCAGAAAAAAAGGACACACTACATACATCTAGCATTTGCATCTTGTTCTACTTCGCATTCCAAACTGTTCCATTACTTTACATAGTCATTTTATAGTACTGTATGATACTTGTCACATATATTGCGTTTTTCTTATTTAGATTATGGTGTATGAATAACATGGATCAGCTGGAGACAGTCGAAGATCTTCGGAGACATAGGATTTTACGCAAGCCGATACTCGGGTAGTTTGGCTTGAACATCGACGTGTACAGTTCTTCCCGCAGCTGTGAACAGCTATGCTTCTGAATACATCTTTAACCACCTCGCTCCTTTGGACAGTATTAAAAGGACCACGATTGGTTCCAAATTTCCAAACCCTCGATAGTGATGTTCGCCGTCACTGTCAAAAGCATCACTCTTGTCCTGCTTCCTCCCCTGTATATTCTGTTAGAATTCGTTTATCGATACTTCAGAAGGTCGCTCAAGTTTTTGAGAGGTCCTCCCAGGCCTTCCTTGCTCTTTGGTGAATTCAATGCGTTCTGTGGTTTGTTCAAGTCGCGTTCTGATTCAAGTTTCGGCACTTCTAGGAAATGAACTCGAGCTGACAGTTCAAGAAGTCAGTTGATACTGCTTGTTCCAAATGCTATTTCCCATTCTTATCTATTCTGATCGAACCTCAAGGAGGTTGGCGTCCTTGAAACCAAATGGTTCGACGAATATGGACTTGCTTTTCGAACGAGTTCTTGCTTCGGTGTGAGTCACGGTGTCTTCTTCGTCCCAAGCGACCACTCGATAATTGACTTTGCTCTTGTGCATGTTGTAGGAAGACACACTCATGATTGCAGGCTCGTATTTTGCGTTGTCAGTACTCTAAGCCCTTTTTAAACCCGTCAATGTATAAACAGACCCTCAAGCCTTGCGATACATTACCATGACTTCGGCATACGGCTATCCGAAAAGCACAGACTCAGCACAAATCACGACGTTGCAATTTGGGCGAGGTATTCTCTCTATCGAAGGTCTGTAACTAAATCGGTGTCCAATTGGCAATACTCTGAACCTTCCCAAGGTGAAATTCATAGCCGCCACAGGAAGGTGCTCAATCCTGCGTTTTCTGTAACCCAGCTCCGACAGTTCCTCAATCTGTTTCAACGAACAAGTGTTAGAGTATGTGTACTGCTGTGTCCCATTGCTGAGCCTGACCTGTGCAATATCGTGGTTCAGTTGGCAGATAAGCTGCAATATGAAGAGCTGGGCAACGATGGAAAAGTTGTCAATGTCACGCATTGGCTTCCAAGAGCGACGTTGGATATCATTGGTGAAAGTAATGAAATCGTCATGACCTCATCCGTGTCGTTCAAGCTGACTCCTGCGAATATTCAGGTGCGTTTGATTATAAGTTCGGAGCACTCGATGGGGAAGCGAATGAGCTCTCAGAGATATTCAAGCATATGTTGTATGTTCCTCTCCTACAGAAATTCTTGGGCCTTTCATGGACTGACTTTTCTAAAGTGCCGATGCCCGTCTTTATCCACAGGTCGAACAACTTCTTCTGAAATTGACATTACGGAGTTCTTGACATTTTACCTTTAGAAGCGCACTTTACTCTATCGGGCTTTCAGGCGTTCGGTCAATACCCCAATAGCAAATTTACTGTTGAAATTTCCTGGAAAACAAGACAAGAAGATGATGGAATTCTCGGTAGCATCCAAGAGGCTTGCCAGATCGTTATTCGACTCCGCTTTGAAAGAAACAAAGCTTGAAGGTGATACAAAATCCAGCAAAGACGTTCTTAGCGTCCTTGTACGCTCGAACGTAGCTGAGGATTCGAAGAAGGCCCTCAGCGAGGATGAAGTTTTATCCCAAATGGCGTATGTGGCAGGATAATTCACTTATGTTCGACTGATTTATGCTATTTCCAAAATGATAGCACCCTCATTTTAGCTGGTGTGTATTGTTCAGACTACTGTTCCTCTCGCATTGACAACAATTCCTTGACCCCAGGACACGAGACGACCGCCTGTCAGTTGTTCACTTTCTGCATACAATATCGTTCTGAAACTCTTGTCAAGCCACCATGTCGTGGCTCTTGTACGAAATAACAAGGAATCCAAAAGATCAAGAAAGGTTGTACCAGGAAATCAGCAATACCCGCGAACGTGTTGGTCCAGGCATAAATTTAACTGCAAATGATTATGATTCAATGCCTTTTTTCAATGCTGTGATCAAGGTTTGTGTTACTAATGTTAATTCTATGGCTCATGTCTCAACAATATGTAGGAAGGATTGAGGTTACACCCCATTGTATGCTTTCTGCTTTTTTGTAACCATTGTGGCGCTGATTTTTGACAAGGTCCCCAACATTAGTCGCGAAGCTGGATCTGATGACAATATTCCTCTGGAATATCCAGTCACATCCGAATCAGGAGAACGGCTTTCCCATGTACCAGTCGCCAAAGGCCAAAGAATTTCGATCAACATTGCAATGTACAATCGGTAGCTATGAATCCCTATTACTAGAATTTATGAATCCAATCAAGATTCAACAAAAACAGGTTAACTCAGGTATGGGGCGACGATGCAAATAAATGGAGACCTGAAAGATTCATGGATGAAAAGAAGAAGGATATAACAGTCGGAGTGTATTCTAATCTGTGAGTTCTACTAATGGAATGAGGATCTGTGCTAAGATTCTGTTCATCTCAGAATGACTTTCAGTGAGTGCTTATTGTCCGCCATAGTTCTGAATCTTTCAGAGAATTGAGACATTTTTACTATGAAGGTAGTGGTGTCCGGGCTTGCATAGGGTGAGCATTCTACTCCCGTAGTCCTTCAAGTTTCTTACTAGCGTGATTTCCCTCTTGCACGATAGCTGGCGTTTCGCGTAAGTATTCCCTTCTAAGGAACTTTGTTTATTAGTTGATCACTTGTCGGGCCCCGGTTTCTAGGCTCATGGAACTCCAAGCCATTTTGTTCAGTCTCCTCGAGAGGTTCCAGTTTTTCCCACCTCCGCCGGATGGATCTTTCAGAGGGCTGGATGATATACAACGTGTACCAGCTGGCTTGATGATCCCAATGAAAAGAGGTAACTGGAGGCAAGGTGTTCAAATGCCTCTACTGGTGAAACTCCGTCAACAATAATGAAGGAGGAGTTTTCAGTTTTAGCTTGAGTATGTTAATGTACAGGGTAGCACAAGAGTTATTGATAGCTTGTATATGGCTTCATCTATGAACTTCAGCTGAAGGATGTGGTGAGGTCCGACTCCCAAGCAACCAGTTTAAGAGGTAATTACAGGTTCAAACTGCATCGGCATCAGATAAAATCAGTGTATAGACTGTTACACAGTCCCTGATGGTGTGGTCCCAAAAACAGAACAGCCAGTCTCAACGGTCGAATGACAGTGAGCTCAACCCATAAAGGAATGGTAGACTGGCATCCAGATGCCAAGGCAGAGTACATCAGAATGGAGACAGAACTTGAGACAGAGGGTGATCAGAGGTGAAGATTTCAGAGTGAGATGGCAATTGATAGAGCTGATGACCGATGTAGTAGCAATGCGAGATTGGGAAGAATGAGCAAGCTGCACGGTGCGCCATATTCTAGAGAAGGATATATCAGTAAATTCAGCGGTAGTGAGAGCACACCTCATTGAATCCTATTTTGTGCAAAGCACCTAGTTGATGATGCGAGCTGCTCGGGCACTCGATCGATTGGTGCTGCGCGATAGTAGAGATGTAAATTGTGTTCGGACGCACACCAATCAGGGCAATGATAAATGGATAGATAGATTGATGCACGGCACCGTCTCATAAGTATGTATAAAGCAAAATTTGCATTCCTGGTCTTGTTTTTCGATGAATGATATAGAGTACAAAGCAGAGGGATGCAGGGGATAAGCATCATATTCCTTTCCAGAAAGAAACCAGGGGGATTTGTACCCTTTGGCTTCCCGTAACGAGTCCGGAATAGCTGCGGGGGATTCACCGTCCCAATATGCCGCCAGTGTTTCGAGTCGGAGCAGTTCAGAGCATCAAAGCAGGTCAGCCTTGGCCGTGCCAGTGTATCGTTCTCGGCGGTCGATACTGATAAGCGCTAGTCCGGCGTGAGAAGAAATAAAGAAAAATTCAGATCAACAGCGTTGGACAGGCTGTTCAGTTTCATGTTCACTCTTTGGAAGTTTCATGCTTATATTGAGGTTTTCTCTCCATCTACACATACAACACTGACGACAGATATTTCTTTTCATAAAAGGACGACCCACTGAACAAAAGCTTCGTTCCAGCATTTAGCATCCGTATCTACACCACATCGCGAGATACCGCCTCTGAGGATACCTTACAATCATCATAATCGAATAACCCCTCCAACGCGTCGAATCGTGTTACCTTGGTCCATCAGGGATGGCCAAGAAGAAAAAGACGCAGTTGAAGCCGGTTGCCCGAGGTTTTGCTACAACCTCTGTTCCGAAGAAAGCTGTAGAGGTGGAATTCGAAGACCCACTAAGTCAGCCTCCTCTGGACGATCAGGAAAGCGCAGAGGCACCATTGGCTGAGAATTCCAACGGTTCTAGGGAGCAACAGAATGTTCAGGATGAGTTCGGTCCAGACAAGGTTGAAGAACAGTCTCTGCAAAATTTGGTCGATAGATATCAAGAAAAGATAGAAAAGGAGATCGTAAGGTGTGACGCAGCATCTAATAATATTGCCGAGTCTCGCTCACTTCTATATTACACAGAAACGTTAAAGTAATGTACCTAGTTCAAGTCCGGCCTAACTGCGACTCATTCTTATATCCAGGCCATAGAAGTGGATCGTCGATTTACCAAAATTCTACCATCAATCGAGCTGGACTCTTTAATGATTGATCGCGTATTGGATTTTGCGAAAGAATTACAAGTCAACGAAGGTCGGTGATTCCATCGTCGTTGGATTTCGCTCACTCTTGTTACAGGTAAAAAGACATTGGAAGAATCCGAAGAAAAAGCAGTGACAAAGCTGGCAATTACCTATGGTGTTCTTCGACGTTTAGGCTTCTCTGAAGAACGCGTAATGGAATGTTTGACTGCTATAAATGGAGTAGATCTGGAAGAAGCTTATGACTGGGTGCGTGTTGTTCTTACTACGACGGAAGACATATAACGAAAGAACAACTAGCTATTCATCAACTGCCAGGAAGATGAGCTTTCCAATCCTAATGGCAACCAAGAAGAGCTTCGTTTACCAACAGCACCTAATACTCCCAAAGGATCCATGGCAAGAACTCCACGAACTCCACGAACTCCACGAACTCCCGCTGAGTTTCTTATACCTTCAACGCCTACGCCAGCTTCTAAATACTTCAAAAAAAAGCCTTCATCCAATCTCGACGCTAATGCCCCAGTTTTTATTCCCAGTTGGAAATCGACTGTCGAAAATGAATTAACGTCTGATTCTGCTTCTGTCCTCCATGCATCCCCTTTACCTGTAATCTCTTTGGAAGCGGATGAAGATCATTCCGACATCTCCATTGTCAAGTCACGCATTCTGGCTTCATTCGGAAATGGATCGGGATCCGATACAGATTCGAGTAGCGAAAACGATCTCAACGACGAGTACGTTCGCCTAAATTTGAAGATTGCCTCTCTTTCAACGCACCGCGATGTATCCACCTCTTTACAATTACAAGAACTCCAAAAGCGGCTCTTGATTCTTCGAAAAAACTATGTCTTTGATGAGCAAGAAGCTGAAAAGCTTTACGCTGTTGCACGCAAAAAAGCTGATATTGCATCCCTTGATGCTCGCCTTCGAGGAGTCAAGGCTGATACAGACGTCGCTAATACTTCGAAGTCTCCTAAAAAGCGACCAGTAGAAATACAGACTTCTACACCTGAGATATCTTCGACTGTAGACGTGTTCGACCAAGAAGATAACGCTGAAGGAGGACTACTCGACATTTTGGAGGAAATGCCCAACTCGGAGATCACCACCGAGGGTGTCACGGTGTCTGTCCGTGATATGGCCCTTCCAAAGCATTGGTCCGGTCGCACGTCCAAGACTCTTTTGGCGGAGACCGTAGCTAAATCAGATCGATATGCTGTCGTAACTTATTCGATAATTTCAGGACCAAGTCGCGTCAAGCGTGCTTCGGTAAGCGTGCGCTGGGAAGGCAGGAAAACGGATGAGTGGTTCATGGTAGATGTGGCTTGTCATGACGAGGGCCAAGCAGAGCAATACGTTGCAACCTTGGCGTTACATGCATTGACCTTTCCCTCCACCGAAGGATTTGCTGCAGGGAGTTCTGGAGGTCCTCAGACATTTTTTCGCTTACTGCCACCCGTGTATCGGGACCTATGGAGTGAATTAACAGATGCAAGGAAATTGAAGGACGATGCAATCAATAGAGGTGTTTGGGCTAACCTTCGATCCATTGTCGAGCCCAAACTCTCTGTTCCAAGCAAGGATCAAGGTAGTATCAAGATCCAGCGTGCGACCAATGAGAACCTTGAAGTTGCGTCGAACAGGCGTCTCTACCCTAATGGTCAAGCCTTCTCGGAGCAATTGATGTCGAACTTCCGTGCACGTCAGTCTACATCCGCGTACCAGGAAATGCTGGTGCGTATGCCTTACCCTCTCTTGGACCATTTATACTAAGTCAGCCCTTCAGGTCCATCGTAATGCTCTCCCGATCGCTAGCTACAGAGATATAATTATCGATACGTTGGAACAATCTCAAGTTCTTGTACTCAGTGGTGAGACTGGTTGGTAAGTAGTCTTTACTAATAGTTACTCATGTTGCTGACTGCTCTTTTGGCCTAGCGGAAAGTCTACTCAACTCCCGACTTTCATCTTGGAGGATCAGCTATCTCGAGGGAAACCTTGTAAAATTTATTGTACAGAACCTCGGCGTATATCTGCAATCTCCCTTGCGCAACGTACGTTTCAAACCTTCTTGGCTGCTCAATCATTCCTTGCTTACACTAGTCCTGCGTGCAGGTGTTTCTCGTGAATTAGGGGAAGGTTCGAACGCGGCGGGCACACTTAGTTCCCTTGTTGGATATTCTATTAGGCTAGAAAGCAACACCACCAAGAACACGCGTCTGGCCTTCGTCACAAACGGTATCGCTTTGCGAATGTTAGAAGGAGGTTCTGGACAAGGTGGACAGGGTACAGCTTTTGACGAAATCACGGTGCGTGAAGCTTTCGATTGCCTTGCAAACTGTTTCTGAAATCGCTTCGCAAAACCCAGCATATCATTATCGATGAGGTAGAAATGGAAACACCCCAGATCAGAGCTTGAACACTCATTCTCCATCATGTTCTAGGTTCACGAACGTTCAATTGAGTCTGACTTTCTGTTGATCGTACTCAAGTCGCTATTGGAGCAACGCTCGGATCTAAAGTAAGGACAACTAACCCATTGATGGAACTGAAGCTCATGTCTGGTTTTTGAAGGGTTGTCCTTATGTCTGCTACAGTGGATGCTGAAAAGATTTCCGAATACTTTGGAGGCTGTCCCATGCTTCATGTACCTGGACGCACATACCCTGTTGATGTACGGTATCTGGAAGATGCGGTGGAATACACGCAGTGGTCGATCACTGAGAACTCACCTTACGCCAGACGTTGTAAGTTCTGAACCTTCAGTTAAGTTATATCCGCTGATCTTGACGTAGTGCATGATAAATTCTACCGTACCAAGAATAGGACTGACTGGGCTGAAGAGCTTGCCATCAACGATGATGAAGACTCGGATATTCCTTCGGAGAACGTGAAGCTTGAAAAACGATACTCCCCCAATACCGCGGCTACTATCAATCTGTTTGATGAACGGCTCATACCTTATGAACTCATCCTGCGACTACTTGAAAAGATCTGCTTCGAAGATCAGTCGTTGTCAGATTTTTCGGCCGCAATCCTGATATTTATGCCTGGTCTGGGCGAAATCAGGAAATTGAATGACATTTTGACCGAACATTCATTGTTTGGATTGGATGATTTCAAGATATATCCGCTTCATTCCACGCTATCGAGCGAGAGTCAGAGCGCGGTGTTCGACATCCCACCTCCTGGTGTTCGAAAAATTGTTATTGGTACGTCTTTGCTTCCATCTTGAAGCACAAGCCCATCGAATTAGTTTACTTTAGCTACGAACATTGCGGAGACTGGTATCACGATTCCTGACATCACTTGTGTGATTGATTCCGGCAAGCATCGTGAAATGCGATTCGATGAGAAGCGTCAAATCAGTCGTCTTGTCGAGACCTTCATCGCGAGAAGTAACGCAGCGCAACGACGGGGACGTGCAGGGCGTGTGCAAGAAGGGCTATGTTTCCATCTTTTCACAAAAGTTCGACACGATAACCAGGTATGATTGCTTTCTCTTCATGTTTAAGCCCTTGTTGAATGCTTGAGTACAGATGGTGGATAACCCATTGCCAGAGATGATGAGACTGAGTTTAGCTGACTTGTCTCTTCGTATCAAAATCATGAAGGTCAAGCTAGGTTCGTCAATAGAAGACGTCCTTTCCCGTGCTCTTGATCCTCCGACTCCTGTCAATGTCCAACGAGCCATATCCATGCTAGTGGAAGTGCGGGCTCTTACGCTATCCGAGGAAATCACGCCTATGGGCCGTCTCTTGAGTAAACTCCCCACCGATGTTCACCTAGGGAAGTTCCTCTTGATTGCTACTCTCTTCCGTTGTCTGGATCCTGCCTTGACAATTGCGGCTGCACTTAACTCGAAGTCCCCATTCCTGACACCTTTCGGTTTGGAACAAGAAGCAGATCGTGCAAAGGCTTCGTTTAAATCAGGTATGCACGATGTACTAGCTGCAAACGAAATGGAACAGCTGATGCTATGCGCAGAAAATTCCGACTTCCTGACCTTGCACAACGTGTTCTCTAGCTGGCGCAAAGCATGTGCTAACGCTAACCCTGGTTTTGTGCGAAAGTTCTGCAGGCAAAATTTCTTGAGTCATCAGGTACGGTATGCTCAGTCATGTGCTCTAGATGACGATACTGACCGAGGCTGATCAGAATTTGCAACAAATCGAAGAGTTACGCCAACAGTTCTTGGGGTACATATTATCACGCTTCATCAACGATATAGTCATTGACTTTGATCCAGATATCTCATAGATGCTTCCTTCATCCAAGTCGATAAATCTTTCATTCGCGACCTGAATAGGTGATGCATGATGTTTCCAATATGGACCATAAAGCTGATGCATTTTCGCAGAGCGCGGTATAGCCGGAATCGAACACGTTTTGTCCTAGTACCACCAGAATTAGATTCTAGTTCCAGTAACATCACTTTGGTGAACGCAGCCCTTCTTGCCGGCCTGTATCCGAAAGTCCTTGCCGTCGATGTATCTAAAGGGCAGATGCGGACACTATCTAACAACCAACAGGCCTCTTTCCATCCTTCGTCGGTGAATTTCGGGAAGAAGCCGACTGACCTTGGAACAAACCATATTGCTTACTTCACCCTCATGTGAGGCTTGTTTTCGCAAGGTGCTTCATTGTCATGAATAACTAATTTGCAATGAAGGCACTCCAAGAAATTATACGCATGGGAAACTGGACCTGTAGATGATATGGCAATGTTGCTCCTTTGTGGCGAAGTTGATTTCAAGGTCCGCTCACAACTTTGTACATTTTTCCTCCTTTCATCTGACCTACTGCGTCCACAGTTAATTTCGAACGCTGCCTTCATCGACCGCAAGGTCAAGTTCCAAATCGCGCCGAAGACGAACATTGCATTGAAGTTCTTGAGAACGCAATTAACGTCATTGTTGTCGTATCAGTTCCGAGGCAAGATACTCACTGAAAGTCATATCTTGTGGAATGAGCTCGCCTTGATGGTCCTTGGGAAGGTTAAGATAGAAGATCTTCATGCACCGTCGATAACTATCAGCTCGTAGATTAATTTATCCTTCAACAATTTGAACTCTTGCGTTACAAGAACCTAGTTTTCGAGCGAATCCTCCCTGCAATTTAAAAATATGTAATCGTTCGCAGTCGTGAATTGGTGGTGCCTATCGAGGCACAACATGCGCTACCCATCCGTTGCAGAGCAGATATCTCAATGTCATAATGAATTCGATAGTAGCATGCATGATACACATAAAGTATAGACGGATGGAATATCTACTCTTCGTCCTCATCATTGTCAGTGCTGCGATTAGGAATGAAATAAGTAAACGAAGAATAACAAACCGAAAAGCACATACGAGATATTGAAGAACTTGAGCGTGTAGCTGTCCTTGGTAGTAGCAACGACACTGAATAAGATAACGTTGGTTCGATCTGGGTTCATTTTGGTAGAGTGATCATACCGAATCCAATCCCTGAGGGTGTTCTTCTTCAAAAACTTTTTGGTAAGGTACTTGAGGTATCGCTTTGACAATGGGATGTTAGAGGTAACAGTGATCTTATTATTTGAGCCTAGTGAGAGATATTCCAATTAGACCCTCCAAAGAAGACGGAACAGATATGAAATGTGTAACGCACTGTCCCGTGCAATTTTCACGTTGTCACCAAGCTGCCCTGCCTTTCCAGCAACCTTGATACGGTCGTGTAAGAACTTTTCAAAGTCGGCGCCATCGAAAACCTGGTCTCCAGCAGGCTTGGAGTAATCGATAACGAACTTGTGCTTAGTAGCAACTTTTCCGGCAGCGGCCTTGGGCTATAAGAAAACAAGGGAACAAAAAAGAGACCTAGGCGTGAGCCTACTGAGAAGATAACTCAGCAAAGCGGTACCCAGCTAACCATTGTGGAAAGTCTTGAGGAACCGAGAGGTGTCTTGACGAAAGGAGGAGCGGATGATGGGATGGAAGTAAATTTCTGAAGATGTAAACTGTACAGTTACTCTTAATTTTCCCACACCGGCGCTCAATTATGATTTTGCGTAACTTAAAGTTTCCTCAGAGGGTATCGGGAAGTCACAGTCCCCTCCTGGACGTCGGACCCTCAATGAAACTGAACATATTTGCCCATGAATATCGAGCGCGCACACTAGCAACCAGCGACGACACGGGAAAATGATGTCCCCTCTCAAGCAGAGTTTGACCAAAATCACTACTTTGATTTTGATAGAACATTAAAAATGTGAATTGTTGAAGCAGTTTTATTCAATCTTGAAATGATTGAGGTGGTTGTTGTGAGAGCACTGAGAGGTGTTGAGCTTCAATGGTATTGAATCGGCCCCCGGGCCGCCTTCTAAGTTGCGAAATTTTTTTTGCAGGTTTGAGTTCCGTCGCTACTTGGCATGGCTCCTTCACTTACACGGGAACAAGTTTCCTCAGCACAAATCAGTGGTGATTATGCCATAAAACCAGAATCTACAACTCCTCAATTGAACACTTCCGAATGGCCCTTACTCTTGAAAAATTACGACAAATTGCTCATTCGCTCAAGTCACTTTACGCCAATTCCTTCAGGCTGCAGTCCTCTGAAGCGTGATATCACATCGTATATCAAGTATGGTCAAGTCTCACACCTACAATGATCCATCTTATGCGAATACTTATCCAGGTCTGGCGTTATAAATTTGGACAAGCCATCCAATCCTTCCTCACACGAAGTTGTCGCATGGCTGAGGAGGATTTTGCGAGTGGAAAAAACTGGACACAGTGGTACACTAGATCCAAAAGTCACTGGATGCTTAATCGTCTGCATTGACCGTGCGACGAGACTGGTCAAGTCTCAACAGGGTGCAGGTGTGTGTCATTTCATGTCATCTGTGTAACTGCACGAACTTAACGTTTCATTTTAGGGAAAGAATATGTCTGTGTACTCCGTCTCCACGCTGGTCTTCCCAGCCCTGCAGCTCTCCCGAGAGCTCTACAGACTCTCACCGGCGCGCTTTTCCAACGACCTCCTCTCATTTCTGCTGTGAAGCGACAGCTTCGTGTCAGAACCATCCACGAATCCAAACTGCTTGAATTCGATGAAAAACGCAATCTCGGTGTCTTCTGGGTATCCTGCGAGGCCGGCACGTACATCCGGACGTTATGTGTCCATCTCGGATTAGTTCTAGGTGTCGGTGGGCATATGCAAGAACTGAGGAGAGTGCGAAGTGGTGCAATGTCGGAAAATGACGAAATGGTCACTATGCACGATGTAATGGACGCGCAATGGATGTACGATAACACAAGAGATGGTGAGTCCAATGATTCCTTTTTTGACACACACTATTGTGTATTGACTCGAGCGCCCCAGAATCATATCTACGACGCGTTATTCGACCTTTAGAATGTCTAATGGTCGGTTACAAACGTATCGTCGTCAAGGATAGCGCGGTCAATGCAGTTTGTTATGGCGCCAAACTAATGATACCTGGTCTATTGCGATATGAAAATGATATATCTGTTCATGAGGAGGTGGTGTTGATGACCACCAAAGGTATGTTGCTCCTTTAATGCGCAATTTTTCCTGATTAACTTCATTACGCTACTAAGGCGAGGCAATTGCTCTCGCCATCGCACAGATGTCTACTGTGGAATTGGCGACCTGTGATCATGGCGTCGTTGCCAAAGTCAAGCGGTGCATCATGGAGCGAGATACCTACCCTCGTCGATGGGGTCTGGGCCCTGTGGCCCTTCAAAAGAAGAAGATGGTTAAAGATGGCAAACTCGGAAAACACGGGCAAAAGGTTGATGGAGTGACACCCGCAGATTGGAGTCGCGACTACGTCGACTACAACCGTGACGAGGTGAGTCATTGTACCTTTCCTTACACTAGTGCCGTTGCTAAATGTGTGCTCCAGCAACCCACTGCTGGCCCATCAACCACTACAATTAAAGTTAGTGAGAGTAAAGTTGAAGTAGCGCAAGTTGCAATGTCAGTGCCTGAAGAATCAAGTCCTGTCAAAGAAGAAAAGGACAAGAAGAAGCGCAAGCGCAAGTCTGATGCTGTTGAGGATGCGGATGCGTCGATGGCCGTTGACGAAGATGATGCTGAAAAGGCCGAGAAGAAGAAGCGGAAAAAGGAGAAGAAAGCTGCGAAGGAGGCCAAGGAAGCGGAAGCAACAGAGGGAGATGACGAGGCACGACGAGAACGGAAGCGTCTCAAAAAAGAGAAAAAGGCTAAAGAGGAAGCCACAAGCGACTAACCGCCTGCTTGCTACATATCTAGCTCACGTCGTATATAATATCTTGAGTCGGTGACATTGTATTTTTCACATTTACCTCTTTCTGCGACATGTTATGATGGCAGCCCCTCACGCAGCAACCTTCTGAGTCGCGTATTGAGGAAGCATGGATACAGTACAACGTGCACCATCCGAAGTAGACACGGATAGTAGACAGCCTCGGCTACCGCAAATCAGTACTAAAACTTTCAAGAAAGGCTGAGTATATTCATGGAGTATATTCATTTCATCAAAAGATAACCATGCAGTTGTAACATCATCGTTGACATACTTGATAATGCTAACGGTTGCAGTATTTGGATTCAAATCTGCTGATGCTGACTAGAACAGACTTCGGGTTGGCAGTATCTGTAAGGAACGACGTGTTTCTTCGGATATTTGAGGTACAGATGATTCAGCCAAACATGTCGAGGATCAACATAGGGAGTCCCTTGAGGCGCTCCACTTTTGCGGGAGGTTGTAGTCATGAAGAAGGGAAGCAATGTTCAGTGTAGCATAAGCAGCATCTACAACATGATTTTGGCCTTTTGAGTCAACGGATACCTCTGAGTATGGACGTCAGCGCGATGCCAGAGTAATATCTTTCCAGGAATGTTCGAAATTCACAATCCTTGCTCAAGTCGGCGGAGATCTGTTATAGTATGACCGGTAAAGCCTGAGCCTACTGAGGGTTTGCAAAGGCGCTCTCTTGAATTTCGATTAGATCCCTGGTTTCCCGAATCCATGTCGTATGTATGTGGTGTAGTCCAGTTGCATTTACCACTGCAACCAAAGGTGCCTGTGTCGGTAGACAAGTATTAACAGCGCATCACTTCTGCAATTATACTGATGTAGGATAAATATTGAGTACTGAACGTTGAACTGTCAGAGACTGTCAGGCGCTTGCTCACTGCTTGCTCTCGGGGATTTGAAGAGAGAATAGATGCTTACTGCAGGTTTGTGTTTCACTAAAACGGGTACGCACGGATAGTCACGGATAAAGAGGAGGAGTCAACGAAACGTGGGTATGTTTATTCCCGCTCTCCGATGAAACACCCCGAGGCCGAAACCGCTCAGTGAATGACACCATTGATATTGACAAAAAGCCACAATTTGCTCCTTCTAGCTCTCCACCTCCGGGCCTACACCTAACTTGAACATTTGGATCTATGATATGCAGTGGAACTGACGGCGTGTTTGTCTGTTTATTTCGTTCGTATCATGAATCCCGTATATGAATTCTTAGGGACGAGTTTGCATCAACCTTGCATCGCCCGGCGAAGTGTTTTACTATAGACCAAGACCCATATGAATATCCGTGATGATTCTTGAGTTTACACCCAGGCTGTATGTATTTTCCGAAACTCACAGCCGGTCTCCACCTGAGGTCTCATCAGCCCCGATTTGGACGACCAATTTGTAGTAAATTGTTTATAAGAAGCCTTTGGTGCTCGGTATCCGCACTACCTTCTTGTGGCATTTGCTTTGGTTCGTAACCTCCTTCGCTCACAATCTTCACTGGCTGGTTCCAGAAATATATAATGTCTTCTCGCAAAACCTCCAAACCTCTTCCTGCTTTCGAAATCGGTGCGTCTGCCAGTGCGGTTCATCTTATCCTTTCTCCTCTGATTCACCTACGCTCCAGGCGAGGACTATCAACTGCTCCACGCTATCGGCGAAGGAGCGTACGGTACAGTTGCTGCCGCACTTCACAAGCCTTCTGGTCGACAAGTGGCTATCAAGAAGATCCTCCCTTTCGACCATGTCCTATTCTGCTTACGGACCTTACGAGAGCTAAAGTTGTTGAAATACTTTACCGAAACATGCGTCAATGAAAATGTGAGCCTTCTTTTTCGCCTTTGAAGATCTTTGGATCACTAATTGTGGACTGCGTAGATCATCACCATTCTCGACATAATAAAGCCTCCTTCTCTTGACGAATTTACAGAAATATACTGTGAGTTATGGCTGCGTTAATTTTACCGGAACACCTTCTAAGCAATTCTCAGTCATCCAGGAGCTCATGCAAACGGATTTGCATCGGGTTATTAGAACGCAGGTTTGTTGCACATCTAATTTCGATGTCAAAATCCAATTCTAAACACTCGATTATGTAGCATTTGACAGAAGATCACTGCCAATACTTCGTCTACCAGACCCTCCGTGCTCTCAAGTCAATTCATAGCGCGGATATTGTTCACCGGGACCTAAAGCCTGCTAACCTCCTGCTTAATGCCAATTGCGATCTCAAGGTCTGCGATTTCGGGCTTGCGAGGAGCATCAAGACTACGGCGGGCAAGGAACCGGGGGCGATGACTGAATATGTCGCAACAAGATGGTACCGTGCACCCGAAATCATGCTGTCTTTCAAGATGTACTCAAAGGTACTAAGAGAGTCTTGGTTCGATCCTATTGACTTCAACTGACGCGCCAATCGTAGTCTGTCGATATCTGGGCAGTTGGTTGCATCCTCGCAGAGCTCATTTCAGGGCGTCCATTGTTCCCAGGACGCGATTACAGTCACCAATTGGACTTGATACTGGACGTGATTGGGACACCGAGTTTGGACGAGTTCTATGCTATCACTTCACGGAGATCGCGAGAATATATCCGCTCATTACCCATCCGCAAGCGTCGTTCTTTTGCTACCCTGTTTCCCCATGCATCCTCGGAAGCTGTGGACTTTTTGTCGAAAACTTTGGTGAGGCTCAGCTGAAACAGCTTTTCTGAAACCCGAGGACTGATGTAGTTCCCCCCTCTAGGCCTTTGATCCTAAGAAACGCATGACGGTTGATGAATGCCTTGAGCATCCGTACCTCACTCAATATCACGATCCAGAAGATGAACCTGCCGCTAGTCCTCTCAGTCCGACATACTTTGAATTCGATCAACACAAGGACAAGTTGTCCAAAGACCAACTGAAGGAGCTTTTGTATGAGGAAGTACTTTCCTTCAAATCAGTTATCAATGAAACTCCTTGAGCGCAACTGTTCCGAGGTCTCAATCCAACCTCCATTAGGTTAAATTATCTTTACCTTTACCTATCTATTATACATCCCATAATGTACATAGTTCATGACCAAAGCAATTGATACGTGCCATTTCGGTAGTCATTTCCAGGAATGTCTACATCCTCAGTCTTTCCCTTTTCCCGAAACCTCCAGCATCAAAAATCCAACACTGATCCTAAAGACCACCGAGAAAGATGTAGATTATGCATCTACTTCAGTAGAAGACAAACGTAACATATAAGGGGTTACAACTTGGTGAGAGCTATTGACACATGTACTAAGTACGAAAGAAATGATACAAGGGGGACCAACTATGCAAAAAAGTCAAGTCAGAGATGATCGAATTGGTTGAGAAAGATATTGATAGGATAGTTCAAAGTGCCCATCAACTGTGTTGACTAATGGAAGGAGTCCCTTCAATATGAACCACTCCAGTTATAGTCTGAAGCCACACCTTCGAGCCCAAAATCACCGAACCGCGTTTCTACTTCTAGCTCTGTGCCATACATCGTGCGTTTCATGGCATCAGAGGAATCTTCAGGATGTGCAGCGCTTTCACCGCCCTCCCGATTATCAAAGGCAGCGGGATTAAGATATTGTCCCATCTCGGCATCCTGGCTACTAGTACGTAGTGCGGGCTCAAGGCGAGATCGTGGCCGAGTGGGCGGTGGTAAACCGAACGCCTGGAACACGTCCGTGCGGTTGCGATTGCTACTGCTGAAACCTGTGGGATTACTGTCACGAACGGGCGTGGGAGATTGAGGGGGTTCGGGATAAGAGAAGCCAGGCATAGAATATGGGTTCCCAGCTCCGGGCGTAGGAGGGACAGGTAAGAACGAAAATGAAAAAGGTGGCATGTTCTCAGAGGCATCCTGAGTGCTGGTCACACGAGGCCGCGATGGACCCGCAATATTATTCGGAGGTGTGGAAGCGGTGTAGAAGGCTGGCAACGGAGTAGTGGGTGGTGGCGGATCGACATAAGAGCCGTCTGGTTCTGGACCACTGAACACAGTAAAACTTGAACCACGGGGTGCTTCTCCGTTCTCTTCTGGAGATTTGAGAGAATCATCCTCGCCATCAGCATCGGGACCAGCACTGAGTTTGACCCGCTTCTTGTTGGGACGGAGAACGGTTTTAGCTAAATCCTCTTCAGAAAGACCGGTCCCTTGACCTTGTTCCACAACACCTGCAACATTGCTACCCGTAGAATCTCGGTGTCTTTTACCAAGCATGACCGGTGCGATACCAGGGTGTGAAGAATGATGTGCATTATTTGAAGTTGAAGGTTGAGGTTCGCTCATCAAAGCTGGAGCTCTCGGGATACTGAGCGCACTAAGACAGAGAATGTCAATTCGGTAAAAACCGAATATGAATGCATTGTACATACTTGGGTATGGACGTGCGAGTCATGATAGGAGTTCGATAACCAGAAGCAGCTTCCTCGGATATTGGACTAGATGTTCGCTGTGTTGTGATCAGTTCCCTTAACTGTTGAAGTTCATTATTCAGAGAGTCCGCCAGCGCTGCCTTTTTGCGAAGATCTTCCACTTCGGTGGAAAGAGTATCTACTTTTTGTTTCCAGACATCGATATCGGCAGCCTGATTACGAAGCTGCATTAACTCATTCCTTAGAGACTGCATTTGTTGGAGCTCAGCTTTGAGGGACTTCAGCTGCTCATACAGTGGTTTCAACTACGATGCACATTAGGCAAGAACTAGCGCTTTAGGTACGATGACATACCGCTTCCATTACATGTGTATCGATTTCAGTTGACATTGCTGGCACGGAAGGGGGATTCGGTGGTGATGTTTGAGGAAGCTCTTCGGTGAACATTGCTGTTGGATAAATCAACGTAAGAAAAGGGATATTGAGGAACGACATACTGGGTGCTGGTTCTCCTGCACGGTGTGGCTCTATAGTTTCGGATTCTAGCTCTAGTGAAAGTCAATATCCAGTCGTAAGAACATTCAAAGCGGCACGAACCCTCTTCAATAGTTGCCTCGGACGGCTTAACACTTCTGCTTCCCTTCCCTTTCTTCGCTCTCGAGGCGCTGACAGATTTCGTCACCGCACGGGCACCTTTGCCTCCAGCAGCCAGAGGCCGTCCGACACCCAATCTAAACTGAGTTTCTTTCGCCTTGCGTATACGAGGCAGCGGCGGCGACCGAGGTACTTCTTGTACTCCTGGTTGAATTTTTTCTTCTTCCTCCGCACCCTCAACGGATCCCTCTTCATCTCCTTCGACATCATGGACAATCATAGAACTCGTACGAGTAGACCGACTGGACATCCTTGTTGAAACAGATCGCTTTCCAGGCTCTTGTTTGGTACCTTGTCTGAGAGGAAATTTAGATGTATGCTGTGCTATGAAGATTTCACACTCACTGTGCATCTAGTAATAGGTCTATGAGCGCTTCAGACTTCAGGTTGGCTCTCAGACCATGATCCTATAAAAGACACAAAGGCTAAGGGCTTCGGACAAAGACCAGGAGGTGATTAGGACATACTTTGCATAATTTTTGAAGATCAGCACGTTTCATAGCCTCAAGAGAAGCTCTGTCTGTTATGGGAGTCATAGCAGCGTAATTTGAAGATTCTGCGGAAACGTTGCTTGATGCCTGTGGAAGAGTCAATTCAAGGAATTCAAGTGATACGCGGGTCACGGTTAGAAAGTGAACAAAGCACGTGTCGCCACGCTGACGTCATATGATTTGCGCAAGCGCTCAGCCGGGCCGCTTTTTAGGTTTAAATCAAATTTCCGCTCCGATGACCCGAATGCTCATGATCTCCCTTCGAAGTTGCAGCTATAAATTGGTACGATTTCTTTTCCCCATCCCACAATAATGCCGTGGTCCTTACAGGAGGTCTCTCAACACAGCGATTCCAAGTGAGGACTTACTTTTTGCCCAGCTTTTACAAGCAGACAAATTAATGCACCTTCAGATCATGCTGGGTTATCATTGACAAGAAAGTCTACGACGTGACAAATTTTCTGCAGGTAGGTGTATTTTCAGTATCAACGGCTAGACTAATGACTTCTGCATACAGGAACATCCCGGAGGATCCAGCATTATCCTCAAATATGCGGGCCGTGACGCAACAAGCGCGTATGAACCTATACATCCCTCTGACGCTCTCGAGAAGAATCTTGAACCTTCTCAGCATCTGGGCCCTTTGGACAACGAAGCAGTTCATGCCCTTACCAAAGCTGAGGCTTTGAAGAAGAAAACCAAGGATGAAATACGTTCAGAGCAAGCCATGAACAAACGGCCTCCGCTCAATCGTATCATCAGTTTAGCTGATATAGAGGCAATTATTCTTGAGCTGAGATATTGGTTCCTTCTAATAGACGTCGCAGGATGTTGCGAAACAAGTTTTGTCTTACAGGGCATGGGCCTACTACTGCTCTGCCGCAGACGACGAAATCAGTTCGTTTCTTTCGTTACATATGTGCGTTTGGACTAATGTAGTACACATCTAGGTATGCAAGAGAATGCTCGCGCGTTTAATAGGTTCTTCTTCAATGCCCGTGTAATGAGGCCTGTATCCAAATGTGATCCTTCAACGAAGATTCTAGGTTTTGAAACAACACTCCCAATATTTGTTTCTGGAGCCGCGCTTGCGAAATTGGGACACCCGCTGGGTATGCTCGAATCATGAACGCTTTCGCAAATGTGGGGATCATTAATTGATGTTCGTGCCTAGGCGAAGTTAATATCACGAAAGGCTGTGCCCCGTCGAAAATCATCCAAATGGTTTCCTCGAATGCATCACTTTCATATGCCGAGATTGCGGCGGCCTCCTCCCCTTCTCAGACATTATTCTTCCAGCTGTATAAGCACAAGGACGACGCGACGGCCTTGAAACGCATTCGGGAGGTGGAACAGCTAGGGTACAAAGCCATTTTCTTGACGGTCGATGCAATCGTACCTAGTAATAGGGAACGAGATGTAAGAAGTCCATGGGTTCTGGACGACCAGGAGACTGGAATTAAAGTATACAATGACGGGGAAGGTGCCGCTGACTCAGATCCTGGTCTTGGAGTCGCCGGGGCTTTGATTGTCAACGACGACCGTGATATGACATGGGAAAAGGTTGGTCTCAAACCTTATTTTCCATGCATTTATATTTAACATCTGTTCAGACCATCCCGTGGCTTCGTAGTGTGACCAAACTCCCTATAGTAATCAAGGGCATTCAGTGCGTTGAAGTAAGTTTGACCGGTCAAACTGGTTCACAGTTTTGATTTTCGGCTTTTAGGACGCGATCTTAGCAGCTGAGGCAAACGTCGATGGGATACTGCTTTCGAATCACGGGGGTGAGTAAAGTACCACATTTCAGAATAGCCAGAGCTCTTAGTGCGAAAAATACAGGAAGACAATTAGAATAGTGAGTTTTGGTGGAACTTCTAACAAAGAGCATGTGCCAGATTCTTTTTTTAGTGCCCTACCACCACTTGAAGTCTTGTATCGACTACGAATGCAACAGCAACATATATTTAACAAGTTAGAAGGTTAGTGAATACCTCCCTCCAGTTTCGTTTGAGTCATTTAAACTATTTCGTTGCTACAGTGTATATTGATGGTAAATATCTTTTCGAGCCTTGTCGTCGTATATCTAACGCTTGATCAGGGGGTGTACGTCGCGGAACAGGTAATCCATTTCTACAGCTGCCTAAACCTTTCGTTACTTACCTCTGGCTGGTGATGAGACGTTGTGAAAGCAGTGTGTCTCGGAGCCACAGCCGTAGGACTTGGTCGACCGTTCCTCTACGCTCAGAGTGTAAGAGTTCAATGCGCATGGTCTAGCCTTGCGGCTAATCATCAGTACAGGCATACGGCGAAGTAGGTGTACGCAAACTCATTAGTATCCTCGAGCGAGAAATAGTTACCGCGATGCGCTTAATGGGCGTTGCTAAAATCGCCGAACTAACGCCAGACATGGTGAGTAGGAAGCTCGTACTAGTTGCGAAATTCTGATTGTTTCTGTGGAAGGTTGAACGCGTCAATTGGCATCCAGTAGCGAAGCTATAAGCCAGACAGATTTGTAGGTCTGTACAATCACATTTATCGGTTCGTCTGTGCCTTCGACGCTCCTGACTTCACACTACAAGTCACTATTATCCTGGGGAAGTCTAAATGCCCCTGAGCGCTCAACTTCACAATATATCGAAAATCAACAAGCCGTACAAATATCAAGCCCCGAAAAATTTATCATAACTATTTCTACATCCAATCCCATGGTCCACGTGTGCGTTTACTTACTAAACCATCTGTGTTTGAGGCTTCCAAGTTCCTCGTTATTGTAGAGTCTAGACTATGAGGTCATCTTTCTAGTCTGACTCTCTGATCCTAATGATTTCTTCTTCTGTCTTGAGTTCCTGATTGTAATAAGATGTTGAAACGAGACAATGATCTTCCACGTCCATAGATGGACTAGATAATTCAAACTGAGTGACCAAGCGCGCCCAATTCCCAGTGTCGATATCATGTGACCGAGTTTCAACTTGTGATTGCCATAAACAGACTGCTGCTTTGCTAGGCTCAGACCGATTCGTCAAAGATTCATCATGGGTTTTTGCAGGAGATGTGGTGATATAGTCCCTGGTACTCGTTGCAAGGTATGGCTATTTATATGTAATAGTAATCTGAGAACTCAAGAAATACCACAGTGCGGGGGAACTGCTGTTGCTCCAGCGGTGGCTTGGAAAGAGTCTTCAGACCCATGGACAAAAACCTACGTCTCCAGAGAGAAAGTACCCAGTAGAGCTCCCCAGGCTTCTGTGAATACAAACGTAAGGACCGATACTACAGGCGTAGCCTCTAACACTTCACCCACCAAACGATTTCCTCGGCCTTTATCTTCCCACTCTTCATCTTCAACAACTGTAATCGGTAAACGTGTTACAGAACATATCACAGCTTCCACTTCTCAGTTAAATCGCCCTCCTTCGCCACTCAAGAACTCTACAGTCGTTTCCCCTGAATCCGATATTTTACCTTCACTCAATGCTCATAGCACAGGCTCACTCGCTAAAGTCTACGGATCAGTACTCCAACCGAAGGAATCCTTAGCGTCCCATGCCTGCGCCCTTTGTGGTACAGCGTTCCCACCCGACAGTACTATATATCCCGAACCTTATGGCGACACATCTCATCCTACCCGATTCCTTTGTCGAGATTGCTTCACGTCTAACGGCGGTGCTAAAGGACACTGTCCTGGATGTTCTCGTGCCGTCTTGGCCCTGAAATCCGAGGGACCATTTATTGAAGCCGCTGGTGACTACTGGCACAAGGCATGCTTCACTTGTGAGGGCTGTGGAACGAACGTAGGTGACTCACCAATGGTGGACCTTCTAGGAAAACCCTCGTGTCCAGAATGCTTTGATAGTTGTCTGAAGCGAGATCGTACACCGAAAAAAAATCGGAGTAGTACGACCAGCTTGAATAGTCCAGCACGCAATGTCGGTGGTGGTATCAGTAGCTCCAACCCCAAGAGTAGAGAAGGAAGTCCCACGATAGAGGAGCTGGAACAACGATTGGGGATTGTGAAAAGTCGCCAATCTAGTCCTGCTTTAGAAGACCTCTCTCGGAGGCTCAGCATGATTGCCTCGTCACCTCTGAGCCGCTCGCCCTCTCCAAGACGGTCTACTGCAACCCCAGACGACAGTCCACTTCTCAACCGGTCCAAGCGTGTTTCTCGTGCTGACTTGCTTTCTGAAATTGACCGGCGTGAAAGCCGAACTTCGCTTCTTATTGCCCAGCGAACGGGATCCAATAGTCCTGCCCCCGAGCCAACGGCTGATCAAATTGAGGAGATGAAGCGACGGTTCATGAAATCGACTTCAAGCTCTCAAGAGTTCCCGGTTGAATCCCCGTTGCCAGCACCGTTCTTCCGACCACGACTTCGTAATGCCAGGTCTTCTGGCTCGCTGAGCTCGCTTCCAAATCTTGCAGCTAGTCCCCGCGAGTCTCGAACTCCTGATCTACTCTCGGATTACTCTGATTCCGCCACACAGTCGTCTGTTAGTCCAGATTCGCCACCTCGCCTAGCAGATGCAGAAGACGATGCTTTCTCAATCGCAAAGCTGTACAGCAGAGGACTTGGCACTCGTTATGCACGGTCGGATTACTTGGAAGACGATGTGATTGTTGAAGAGACCAATAGTCAATTAAATACTCCAGATAACACGCCAAAACATAAGAATATCACCTCACAAAAGGCTACTCCAGTCGTTTCTCCAAGTGCAATCCCAGATTCCAGATCCCATAGTTCCTTACGCAGGCCACCTTCCTCAACATCCTTGGCAAGTCCAACTGCTTCGTCGTCGACCAGTTGCGCAAAATGCCGCAAGCCATTGTTTTCTCTTCGGGAGGGAGGTCGATACGTAACCGTTCCCGATGATGTCACTGGAACTCCAAACACATATCATACCGCTTGCTTTACCTGCTCGGTTTGTGGGCTGGAATTCACACAGGGCGTACAAGGGCAAGCGGCGTTCATGAAAGGAGAAAAAGGACCATGTCATGTCGATGTAAGTTCGAAAAAAAGTCTTCTCCTTAGTAGGACTACCGCTAATTTGAAGTGCGCAGTGTGCTCCCCCAGCTAAGATGACTATACATAAGATCCCGAGCCCTTCCTCTCTACCTTTACCTGCCCGTCGTACCCACACTTCTTCTAAATCCGTATCCTCGTTGTCATCTCCGCCGTCTTCTCCTAGCTCGGGTACTTATGTATCCTCAAGATATTCTCGGCCCCCTTTGAGCGCACCTTCGATGTCCAACTCGAACTCGAGCTCGGGCTCAGTACCTCGATTTGGAACTATAAATTCATGTCCCGGTTGCAAAAAATTAGTGCCACATGTGTCATTCGGCATCAGTGAAGGAGAGCGCAGCGTTCAAGGACCGAATGGTACAAGATGGCACGTCATGTGTCTGGTTTGTGGTGGAAAGAAGGCACCGACTAGAGGTGTTCTCCGAGGCAGAGATGAGCGTAGAAGAGACGAACCTGGATGTGGCAAAAGACTGGATTCTGGAGCTAAGACTGATGGCGGTGGCAGCGTTTTTTGCCGAGAATGTTGGGTAAGTTCTAAAAAATGTTCAATCAATTCAATATGTAGCTGACTTTATTTCATAGCTTCTCCTTCCGTCATCACCAGCTTCGCCTCAGTGGTCGCCTACTCGCACTCCTCTTGTACCAACACACACGGGCTCGTCGACCAAAGTTGTACCTCAGTACACTGGTACAACCACCTTGGCCAAACAGTTCACTGGCCTGGGTGGTGGAGACGCACCTCTTCTTAGACAGCTTACTGGCGGAGGACTGAGCCCAACTAGAAGTTTGAGTCCCACCAAGCAGATCAGCGCTCTAAGACCCCGCCCCAAAAGTGTTATTGGAATGAGGCCTTCAAAAAGCGTGGATGAGGGGCGTGGAATGCGTCTGGTACGACAAATGACCGGCTCTGGAGGTAAAGAGTGATCTTTGAAGGTTTGTAAATTTAAGGGAGGTATTCATAGACTACGTTCTTTAAGGACTCTCGATGGACTCGTCGTATTGCTTTGATCTGATAGCAGCTGTATGTTCTACGTGTGTAACCCCAATGACCAATGTGACCAACACTGGTTTCTTTGATGGAACTACATACCTAGCAACGGGAGCCAAGCTTGGAAATTGGGAATACGGTGCCTCACTGGTGTCTCGCCGACGGTGGCTTGATCGAGCTTGATGGTAGCTGTACTCTTTTTTTAATAAAGAATGAAGAGGATTTATGAAGGCACACATAATGAGCTCCTATGATATATATTAATCTGAAATCCGAAATGGATACGTTGGATAGATAGAATACAATGATTTGATACTTTCCGACAACAATGATATTGATCCTGTCGTCAAGTATGAACAGTGCCTGTTTCTTTCTTTCTCACTGCTCTCAGTACTGAAGAGGGGGGTTCAGACCGTCGTTCCTTTCTCTTGCTTTCTTTCGTCTTCTTTTGGTTTGCAGGTCAAGTCTTCCCGAAGGTTGAGCTGGAATCAACCCATTGTATCGTTATCGAAAGTCTTCACCATGTCTATACATACTTCTCCAGTTCATGCTCTGGTACCAAGAGCTAGTACTTTGGCTCTCACCAGCGATGCTGCGGTGTGTGATTGTATTCTGACAATTTCAGCCTAAACTGACATGATTGTACTTCGTCCAGATTGAATACATTCTTGCAGATATTCCCTTCTTTTGCATTGGACTGGTGGCATTCGCATTCTTTGCCTTCATGCTTTTTATGAAACGCGTCACCTTGTATGTCTTCGGAACCCCCGATGCTCAATGCTCTAATGCTAATATACGGCAATCCCTTTAGGCTTTCCATATATCTTTATTCCACTGCTTTATTTAGTTTCGTTGCCGCCGTGATCGACCTAGCCCAACTACTTGTTCGCGGTTCCGTCAAGGTAAACATGAACACAGGCATAACCTCAGGCGTCACAGCCCTGATCAACACTCGCGAAGTCGGTCTTTCCATTGCCATCGGACTCAGGTTCCTTTTCTTCTGGGCTTTCGTTGCTGAACGTCCACGTGGAGAACCACCTCCCACAACAGACCTGAGTGATCCTCGAGTCTACGTCTATCACGCCCAGAATTCTCATAGTGCCAGATGGGAGCGGTGGGGTTATTTGGGCATTTTCCTAAAATGGTTGATTCTGGCTAGTGTTATCTCGATACCCATCCTGCAAATCATCTGGAGGATTGCGGTGAGGCACTTTGGAGTCGTGTATATGGTTGAATCCACCATAGAAATCTTGATCTCTGCTCTTCTTCTGTTGAAAATGATCCTCAACGTTTTCCTGTCGCCGGTCTCTCCGTGGTGGAAACCATTCAGGTTCTACATCGCACCTCTGATTGCGCTGCTCATCAACCTCGGCATAGGAATTGGAGAATTGGTTTACTGTGAGTGTGGTTCGTTTCTGTTTCGGAGTCTTCTCGCTCAGTTACGATTAGTCCTTTTCTCTGAAACATCTCTCGGACGATTCCTACAAGCGTTAGAGGTTTATTTGATGATCATTTTTCTTATGCTTGTCGCCTTCTATAAAGTTCCAGTAAGACCCATTCGGCCAAGCGTCAGCACGTCATATATGGTGGAAAAAAAACCTCAAAATACTCAGTCCGTCGCGGAAGCCCCTGCTGTTGATGAGCCTTCAGCCGATAATGACACCCAGACCAGGCTGTCGATGGTACCACGAGTTACATCTTGGATAATTCCCTCGCGGCGGCAATCCAATGTGGGAAGGCAGAACCGGCCAAATACAGAAGATGTAGAAGCTGCACTTACGCTTCCATCATCTCAGCCTATCCAACAACCCAAACAACTTGAACCCCTATCGGTACGACAGAGTCTCCAAGAAACTCGAGATCCAGCACGACAAAGCGTTTGGGTACCTCCCCAACCCGAACCTGTGGACGATTCCGACCTGTTCGTCAGACCTATACCTACTCCTACCCCTGCAATTTCATCGTCCGTCCTCCTCCCAGAAAAAGACCAAATGGAAAGTGGGTCCGAAAATCGAACTTCCACTGGTGTTTCTCTCCGTTATTATGGAGTGGGTCACGACTCGCTCATGTCTTATCCAAATCCATCGTTCATGGCCAACGATGAGAGCTCGTTGAAAAGTTCTGGGACGGATTCTCCCATTTATGGTCTGGATGGGATCGTTAAACAGCAGAAAAACCGGAACTCTGCTGGTTCATCACTTCGACCTCCGCGGAGACCAAGTGTGAGTTCTTTCGACGAGCTGATTCAACAGCAGGCCGAACTTGATAGAAGTATCGCTGCGTTGCGATTGTTTTCCCCTCCCACGTCGTTCGCCGAGGCCGAAAATCCGTCTGCAGGTATACCCGATGGCACCTCCCTTTCTACCACTAACAACCGCACAGTCAGCACACTGACCTCCTCCTCTGCTCGCAGCGAGTTTTCACTGTCTATATTCCCGGATCCTCCGATTGCTGATTTCCCTTTGCGAGCGTCCTTTTCTACAATGCGCGCAAATAGAACGAAGCGGCAGTCTCGTCGTGATTTGCCTACTTCGTTTGACAATATATCATTGGATGTACCCTCTCTGCCAGATACGCCAATGCGCCTAGCGCCTGGAAGATCGTTCGGTTCGAATGCTACCCAGTATGATGTCACGTCATTTATTGGACGTGAGTCCATGTATTGTCTCTGTGTCACTGTTTGAATCTGACTTTTTTGTATCTCAGATTTGACCCGCCCTTCAGTGACCGAGGGGCTCGCGCAATCAGAATCGGCGAATCAGGCGTCCTTGACAAATGTATCAGAGGAGGTCAAGGCTGACCCGAAATCAGATACCCCGGTTGCGGAGGACTTGACTCTTACTAAGGAAACCTCGTATCCACAGCTTCGCCCGTTCTTCCTGGGAAACGTAACTACCTCCCCCGCTGTCTCGTCGCCATTGGCAGAGGGCGCACGGGGTCCGTCTACGATCTCTGTGGGACCTCGTAAACCTGTTCGAGGCCGGTTAGCGTTGCCATCTAACCCTCGACCGATAATAAGTGCACCAATGCAGTCTTCTCTGGATCAGGCGCCAGGTGCGTTCGAGAGTCCTCGACCGCCTCCTTCATTTTCGACATCAAGTATGGTGTAGATACCAAGTACTTCGTATTTCATTGATAGTATGTATGTACAAAATAGCAAATGCCACATGTTCTGTATACCCTTTCATGCTTTTATTCTGTGAGTTCAAACGGCTCGGAGTATGAAGAACAAATTGAACTACAAAAAAAGTTACTATAACATAGGGCGATTTGCCTGGGTGGAAGCCTAGTTTTTAAGGAGAAAACATGGATGAAAGTCATCGGGTCATACCTCCAAGTTCCGTTGTGCTGTACCTAGCGTTCAATGTAAGGTGGTGGGTCGAAAAGGACGAATAACTTGAAAGTTGCTTAGTTGAGAGGCCGTGATACCTAGAGTAAACAAAACAAGAAAAAGTCATCAAGCAAATGAAACCTACTAAGACTGCAAGCAAATTCTGAAAAGATACCACGCTTCTACTGGATTTTGCCATCCTTGAATGCAGATGGAATGTCGAAAAAGTCTTCAGGTTTAGCTGCTGGAAGTAATTGCAACTGGTCGGTGCATTCAAAGGGTTTCTCCAGCGATTTGCAGTGATGGTAGAAGTTTTGCCAAGTGATGTCCTGCGACGTTGTCATAGATGCTCTTTCCTCCCTCCATTGGTCTCGTCGATTTTGTGGCCACGAATAGGTTAGATGAGGAGACATCCATTTGCCTAGTAGTAGCCATGATAGATTGGAGCAGCTTATAAAGCTTTCTACTAGGATTAGATTAGATTAGATTAGATCACGGAAGAGGGCGCCAATCAATTTTAAAACCCCGCCATTTTGTAATGACGTAGTGACCATAACTCGAAGTCTGTAAGCATTTAAACTCACAACCTTGCACTTTATCACTTTCCCTTACCATTATGTCCCAATTTCCAGGTGAGTACCAAGAAATTAGTCGGCTTTCTGTATGCTCAAAGAACCCTTCAGACTACTACGCAATTCTAGGAATAACCCAGGTATCATCTTCGGCCTATTTTCGAAAGAAGTTTGAAACATGAATACATTTCCAGAGTGCCAGTCAGGATGACGTTCGAACAGCTTACAAGAAAGAAAGTCTAAGGTATTTTCTCGTCAAACTACTTCATGGGCTGTAAAATGATATACATATCTGTAATCTTTGCAGGACACACCCTGATAGGCTTGTCAAAGCTTCACCGGCACAGAAGAAATTAGCCACGGAACGATTTCAAGCTGTAGCAGATGCCTATTACATGCTTTCTGATGCAACAAGGAGAAAAGAATACGATTCTCTACGTGCATCTAAAACACCCAACGAACGCAGCACAGACTCCAAGTCTTCCTACAATTTTTTCTCGCAGTTTTTCGGTGGCAGTAGCGCTGGTACACAAGCGGAAGCCAATCAGCAACCTAATGCTGAAGGTGTGTTCACTGACGTCTTTGAAGAGGTACGTGTATCATCAATGATTCTGAATCTGAAACATATAATTTTATATAGCTCCTACGTCCCGAGGTCGAACGTCGATTCCCGCTGTGGGGTTACGTTGGTGCTGCTTGTGGAGGAGGTGCGGGCTCTATCTCGTTCTATACTATCCTTCCACCCACTCATATAACCATACTAGGTATTGGATTCATAATTGCTAATGTGCCCGGCGCCATGCTCGGTGCATTCGCAGGAAATCGACTAGGCTCTATTAGAGATGCTAAAGGAAAGAGTGTCGCTTCGGTTTTCAATGAATTAGGAGGGAGCCAGAAAGTGTGTTGGTTCCTTGTTTATTCTTCCTCTCATACTAACAGTTCATGTCTCATTAGGCTGAGGTAACTGAGTTTGCTTTGTATCTTTCATCTCATCTCATCTTTTCCTTTCTCATTACCGCCTCTTCTAGATCTTGCGTGCTTTAGCTATGAAGGTCCTTGGCTCTGCACTCTAATGACCTACTTTATACGGATGTATGTATATTTATCTCATTATTGTATGTCATATTTGGAACATTCTATGAGTATACAAGGGTTCAATTGCAGTTTATCCACAATCAATATGTATGTATGTTTGCGTAGAACCGAGTATGTGTAGTACATTTTGTGCAGTAATTTAAATAATAAAAAGCAATGCGAATAAAAATTATTGTAAGTTCATTTGTACGCAAGAACGAGTTGTTATTTCCCTCAAGTACCTTCTTCCAAAACTGAGAAACAGGCTAAAATACATGTTTAGCGAAACTTCGTGGGGTTTGTGAGCTTGATAATATCCGGTCGCAAAATCATCGACATCATCAATGCCACATTTCCCCGATCTGGGCGTCATCCATGGTTAAAATTGGTTGCAATGCGCGCAGAGCCTCATAATCTTCCGTAATGCTACCGGCCCCGTTCGCCATCGCCAGACTCAAAGCAGCGAGAGCCTTCTCCGAGCGCGAAGCAGAAGCATATGCTGATGTTGATGATGATGAAATATCGCCCGTCAGATGGAGATTGGCAGAAGGAATTGAAGGAAGCTGGAAAGAAATGCTAGATGTAGAGGAACTAGAAGTAGAGGATGCTGAGTTTGACGATGAGGGCGTTACGTCCAGCTGCGTAGGAGGAGGAAGTGATGCAATCTGAGCCAGATCAGATGAGAAGACATATGGTGAGTTCGACGAAGATTCGAAAATGTGGTAGGAGGAGGAGGAAGAGGAAGGAGAACGCTCCGGCCTCTGTATAGGGTCTCTGGGATCCTCATCCATATCATTCAGCGAAGATTGTCTCGGTGATCTGCTCATTGAAGGAGAAGAGATTTCTTTAGAAAGAAACGCCTCTGATAAATTTCCTGAGAATATTTGAACGTCATCCTCCTCTGAATCCGAATCGCGGCGCAAGGTCTGTGATCTTCTCGCAAGGAGTGAAGATCGCTTTCTCCCCCGTTTCTGAGCGTCTTTCACTTTGGAGAATGCGCCTGATCTGGCGCGAGACTGTTCATAATCTCGCATGCGGCGTACGAAACCCTCGCCGTTTTCGGCGACACTTCGCCTGAGTTCCCAGAAGGCATTCGACCTGATCCGAGCCAAGTCTGAGTAGGAAGAAGAAGAAGGAGATTGTGCGTGAATGCTGGGGTCCAAGACGGATGTGGTGGTGGTGTTATACATGGAGTGACGTTGTCGTGGATCTTTACGAGGAAAAATGTTGAAATCTACTGAGGATGAAGGTAATAATGGAGATTTCGGCGATAGTCCGACGACATTTCTTGTAAGGTTTGAAATCCCTTCTTCATCAGAACTCGTCCCAGAAGGCTAAGAGAGTAGATCTAGTAAGATGAAGTTGGGATCAGTTCTGGAAAAGTAAGACTCACAGAGCCATCCCTTCTCCGCCTCTTTGAATGCCAGGATTCTACATCTCTTTTGAAAGTTGTGATGTCTGGAGTACCGAAACTCGTGAGATACGCCCTTTTGGTCGCCCCACCCCATGAAGAATCCCGATTGACTGTTGGTGTAGTTAAAGGGTCGTAAGCAGATTGAGAGCGGCGTCTGTGGTTAAGAGGTCGCATAGACGACATAAAAATTGGTAAGAGTCTGCGGAGAGCGTGTGTGCGTATTCTGTCCTTCAAAGTATGGGTATGGGAAGGAATCAAGAAACACAAAAAAGGACAAGCTAGAGGGGTTGAAGAAGTATGTATAGTATTAGATTACCTAAACTGTATATCTAGTAGTAATAATCTATCTCTACTCCAATTGGTCAATGCGGATTTTTTTACCCCATTGTTCCTCGATCTGGCAGCGCAAGAAATTAGGAAGCAGTACGATGTATGACTTTTTGTATATGCACCTCCATTTTTCCATTTCTGATCAAGATAGCAGGGGTTCACAGCTTACGCTTAGCAGGTTTAATTTTGTCATGTCATTTTTGCATTACTAGTATGTATCATGGTCATTTCTCGTCAACAAAAATCAGGTTTACTTATTAGTGCCTTGGTCCTTGGTCCGGGTGGGGATCCACGAGGCTTCAATATGCAGATCGAATATTGTTAACGTACAGGACCAGGTTATGCACTGTTAAGCTGTCACTTTCCCGGCGCTATCAAACTTCTTCGGTGGGTTTTTTGTGTAGTTATCCTTTTGGTCCACCAGGTGATCTGAGTTTGACGGTAAGAATTGTGGAGCAGCTTGAGTATTCTGAGGATAGGCTTACACTGTCATTCGAACATATGAGATACCAGCAATAGTGTGTAATTAGGGTATTGACCATGATAAATCAATCGCGATTGAAATGTAGGCATGTCTTCCTTCATCCGAGCTGTGTCGGAATCAAGTTTGGAGCGAAGCTAAGTTGTCCACTTAGGTACAGGTCGCACGGAAAACGAAGACGAAATATGACTCACTGTGTCGAGTAAAACGGGCCCAATTGAGATCAGTTGTCGTTTCAGCAGTTGAAAATAATCGTTCTCTGATTCTTCCATCTCCCCTTGCAGTATCTTCTTGAGTTCGACACAGAAGCTCATGGTCCAGGGTGAAGATAATATGAAGTGTTCTGAGCAATGAAGAATCAAAACCGTGTAAGTTATCTAGACCAGTCCCGAGTACCTGTTGAAACATCCGAATCTAAAAGGCGTAGCAGTGCACCACATACACCCAAAGATACAATAAGCGCGACAGCTTGTTCATCTTCTAAGAATTGGCGACGAAAAATAAGAGTCATCGTATCTCGTAAGTGATTCCACGCTTCCGCACAGGTCAAAGGGTCTGGAAGACGCGCTGCGGCCATAACATGATGCGCAAAACTAGCTAAAGGTACGCTGGTCAGAAGACAGGTCAATAGATAGATAGAAAGTTCAAACCAACATGTTACAACTAGGTTCGAGGATCCGGCGTTTAGAGCAAATCTCCAGACATCCTCTTGCTTCGGACTCTTGAGGGGTGTGCCAGCTGGGTCTGTATCAAGAACACAGAACCCGGTGACTATGGCTTCGCGTAAACGGTTGTAGGCTAAAGGCGAGGCAATTTGATCTTTTAGAAGTCGATTCGTTAATGAAGTCAGTAGATTCAGGATTGGCTGTCGTTGTACGTGTTTTCGACCTTCGGCAGAGTGCCATATCCGCAATAGGAGATAAAGGACAAGTCTGACTTCGTCCGCTTGGGCATTGGACAGGTTTTGCTCGGATTCGGTAGATCGTATCAATCCTCTGACGGTAGAACGTGAAGTCGACTCAGTTCCCCGAGCGTGTTATGTGCGGAGCCGACGTACCGTCTCGACTGTAGAATTACTGAGCATAGCCTAGTATAAAGTCAGATCTAAAGATGAAACACTCGACTTACACTCATCAATCCGCTCCTTGAAATGAATTTCCTTATCTTCACAAATATCGTTTATGGCTTGTGCAAACGCTCCTTCATTGACCATGGTTAATGATTCCAAGATGGTCGATTTCACTATATGGCGTTCAGTATATGTTCATGACTGAAAGCTTAAGTATTAAGCATTTCAACCCACATTGTAGTCTTCCATCATTCCCTGTCTCCAAATGCAACAGAACAAAGACACCCAACAAACATTTTGCTGTGATTTCTATACCTGTCAATCCGGACCCACGAACCAACTCGTTACGGAGCAGGTGGTCGATGGCACGGCATGCATTAAACAGGACGACGTAAAAAGACTCCTGTAGAGTCGCATTTTGTCTTGCTGCCAGAAGGGAGGTCGTACTACGATGGAGAACTTGCTAGAATGATGGAAATCTGTATGAGACCAAGATTCGTCCAACCAGCTGTCCGCCTACTTGCCAGAAACGCATAATTAGCAGCCGAAGGATTTTTGTCGAGGAGAATATGCGGATTATGAATGTCTTGATATGGCGCCGAATCGACGCCAAGTTGTAAATGATACAACCAGGTTGCCGTCTAGCGAGCGAGCGTCAGTAATAACAGTTTGTTGACGGAAGCCCTACATACTAATTGAGTAACACACTCTGTGTTTGCAACTCTGTAGTCATTCCACGTTCCCCAGCACCAGCACATAAAATCTCCCCAATGTAACAACAAGATTTGTGCTGAATCGAGTTGTTGACATGGTCTGATGGGTGAATCGTTCGAATTTTGAACGATACTTGGGTTCATTATAAGCTGTATCATGTACAGGATACTACCCAAGGTACGTGGACGAAATGGAGAAGCCGGTGGGTCTAAGTTCAGACTGTAGTCGGAGGCCTGAAATACGTAGAATCGCATAAAGTTGTCTTCCAAAGTACCAAGTAAATACTCACAGTAAAGAGGGAAATGATCATGGCGTAAGTTAGACGCAGTTGGTCAGTGAGCGCCTGTGTTGAATAAAGGATCGAGGACTCATTGACCGGGATCAAGAGGATGTAATCGTTCAAGATTTTTAAAAGTTCCGCTGCTTGAGGACTACAAGAATTGTAAGGCTCCTCACGTCGAGAACAGGAGATACACTGTGTACGTATCGCAGTCACCCCAAGGATCGTAGCTCTGGAGGCGAGGTATAACAATGTAGACAGCAAATAATAACTGTATAGCAAGTCGCTTGGCAGCCGGAGAGGTATTAGGAGAGCTAATCGCGAAAAGCACCATCGACCACTTTTCTATACAAGTATTGGATATGAGGGGGTATGTAAGCTGGCCATGAAGCTCTAACCAAACCTGGAAGTTGGGCGGCTGCTCTTAGACCGTCGTCTTCCAACTGGGTCCTCATCGCGTCGGAAATAAGCGGATGTATCGACGATCCACATGCCACAATTATCGTGACTTCCGCCAATTTGGCAATGAGCCCGTCCGCCCAACAGACAATCGTAGAGGCGATAGCCCCAGGTGCCAAAGCCTTCACTGCCAAGTTGTGGAAAATTCTTCTTTGAGCGAACAATACTACTAGGAAAGAAGGTTGGGCTAACAAAAATTGCTAGCGATCCACACAAGAGACACGGACGAACAGGACTTACCTATGTATGCAAACAGGCCCAGGTTTTCCAGCGAGTCCTGGCGTTGCAACAGTATCCCATCAAGGTATTTCTTGATGGTGTTGGAGGCTTCTAAAATGTCTCGGTGGAGCTGGGCAGTAACGAATTATTTTTATCTTGAGGGGCTAGGATGAAGCTTACATCTTTAACATTCTGTAGAAACACTAAGAAAAGCAAGTTTTGGGTTCAGTAGCTGTGATTTGACTTACAGCCACGATGTCTACAAGCTGGGCATCTTGCAACGTTCGTATCGCTGTTGTGACTGCTTCACAGAGATTGTATGTAGATGGCTCAGGCGTGCTAGAGCTAGGAGCTGAGGACGATAGATTCAGCCATGCAACCATAGAACTCTCAACGTCAGAATCGTCAGTTTCACTATCGTCGCCGAGCATGATGAATACGCGTAGTGAAGGTAAGAGTCCAAGAGATGAACATTCCAATATTCGATGATCTGATTGACAGGTGAAAAGCTGAAAGAGAAGTCCATTCGCCGTATTCGGCCCAAGCTTAAGATCCCTACGCTTTTTGTGCAGCTGTAAGGAATGTAGTTACATCTGTACTACAGTGCAACTCCTCGCTTCTATAGGAAAAGAATTGATCTAGAGAATGGCCAGCTTCTTCCGTCTAAAGATAGAATTAAAAAGATGAAGGATATATTGAACAAGGGCAACGCACCGTCATTCCACAAAATTGGAGATCCTGCCAAGATTCGTCCTGCTCAGCGCGGATTATCGCAAGCATCTCTTTCCTAGCATTAGATAGCTGGGAAAGATTACCAGCCTTATCATCTGTTCGTCGGGCAGAAACCTGAACTTCCTTCGCGTCACCAGCGGTTGCCTTTTTCTCCTTCTTCTTGGCTGCTGTTACAGGGACAGGTTCATCTGGATCTGGTGGAGGTCCATCATCAGAGTCAGAATCAGAGTCATCGCCTCCTCGTCGTTTGCTTTTGCGAGATAAAATGTCAAGATAAGTAAGCGTGGGTCGGAACTGATGCGTTGCACTGATAGGATGCAGGTGAAGTTCATCTTGGTGGGTCAATGAATCTCTGAACAAAGGCGCGTAATGAGAGGCGTGCTTACTTTCATGAACAATCCCCAGCATTTGAACACCTCGATGCGGAATCTCTTCACTCCTTAAGCGTATTTCTGCCAACCGTGGCTCCTCTCCTTCTCTTCCTTTACCTCCCTTTCGCTCCTGGTTCTTTTCACGATCATCGTCCAGTTGACCTTTCCCAAATTCATGGCCTCGTTCGCTGTTGTATACTTCAGTACGAGTGTCGGCAGGTACGTGGATTTCCAGCACGCGAGATTGAGGTTTTATTCGCGCAGTGATCCGCTTCCCACTAGCTTCAGCGGAAGGAGGCGCTTGAAGAGGACGAGATAGCAGTGGAAACTGGTGAATTTGCAGGGATAATCTATTGGATAGTCGTATCGGCATTCTATTGATGATCTCGTCCTGTTCATTCATGATTCCAGAGATAGCGAATTTGGCGCTTTGCTGTTGTGGTCCGCGCGTACCAACGAACTTTGACGTTAAAGGCTCAGGAGAGTTCCTTCTGAGTCCCTTTTCGATTCTTTCTCTACGGTCCGAACTTTAGCGGGTTATTTATTACCATTAGTAATAGTAGTATCTATCTACTAGTCATCAATGATCATCTACAATCTATCTTACCTTTCTCTGGGTCATGACCTTGCTATGTATACGGTATCAGTCATCTGCGACTTGTGAAGGGTTCTGAAATTACAGCTTCAAACTCCGGCCCAAACAACACATTCGTAGAGGGCAGTAATCGTCGTCTATAGAACGTTCCTGGTAGTCCGCCCCCTTAGATTATACTCACTGCCAGCCTCCGCAATCGCATTACTACGAGATGGACAATCCCGAAATGTCAAACCGGTGTGCACAATGGCCGACTATCGAGCGAGGCTCTCAATATTATTGATCGGCTTTGATCGGTTTGTCTTTCGAAAATATCCCTCAATATCGTTTCCTGACTTGCTACTGGCGGATCCGCCTCAAATCCATACGATGACACAGATGAGTATCATTCTGTAAAACTAAAACTTAAAATAAATAGTAGACTTGCGCAACTCGCTTTCTATTTAACGCTGGTTCGGTATGTGGTTTTTTTGTTTGGGACATCCTTCCCACTGACTTCGATGTCAAGTTTGGGTCTGCAGTGCAGTTACAAAAAGTTACCCTTAGAAATTGTCAGGCTTATTGTGTTCAAAAATTTGCACGCTTAAAATTCGGTATGTATGTACCACTATAAATTCTTTTTCTCCAGCGCATTTCAATTCTAATGCAGACCCTTGTACATACAGCTCTACATCGGCATATCTCCAACTTCAAAACCCTATATCATTCTCACACACCTACACATTACGGATGGTCTTCTTCCCTCGTTATTTGCTCGCGCGTCTTTTAGCCCTATGCGTTGTTCTGCATGTCGCTGTTGCCATTCCTGTGGTTCACACTTCTGCAGGGACTTTAGAACGACGCAAGCCCACACAAGCTATACTTGGTAAGCATTCTTTAATCAAATCGTTTGCATTTTTTAGTCTGACTCATGAATGCCATAGACGAGTATCAGATGCTACAAATCCGAATTCTATATTTCCGTTTGGACGAAGACAAGAAAAAGTCTGATAGCGTAAACCCTGATTTACTGGGACAGTATGACAAAATGTGGCTTTGTATTGGTCACAACTGTTTTCGTGGTGAAGAATCGTCCTCTGGATTGTTACCCCAAGAAAAGATAGCGACCGAGAAAGACCTGGGCCCAGCTCTTCAGATTGGTGTCGTCTCCTTTTTGTCCCTGAACCAGAAGGATGAGATATTGAAATCCTTCGGCACAAAGGTTATCAAGGAGAAAAAGAACAACTTGTCGTATATCCAGGGAATGATTGCGGATTTGCGCGCTAGCTGGAGAAAAGGGATGACACTTGGGCTAGACAAAAGGCCTCCGTATACTACCCACGCTTCTCAGTAATTCTCAATTTGCGGACAGTTCATGTATGTACATCATGAAAGCCTGTAGTATTTCAATCATTTTATCTCCCAAAACGAAGAGTAAGTAAGACATTGTACTGCATGACCCGCCCCTGCTATCGATTAATCCCCCATTCGTGTACAATTGGTCACGGTAAATGTGCACGATCAAAGTATGAACAGGCTGTACCTGGAAAATATAAAAGATATACTTCAGTAAATCACAACCTATAACCTCTCCCCGAGGTGCTACCATTCCCACTGCTACGACTTTCTTCAATGATAAATCCTGTCCCTGACGGCACAGCTCGGGTGTTGTCTAGGGGAACCAACGGTGTGGTCCTACCAGATGTTGGGAGCTGTAACGTCGGAGACGGACAGAGAGGGAAACCAGATCTCAAGCTGAACGATCGTGGTGAAGACGGGGTATCGGAAGGCGACGACAACATCGAATCACTGTATGCAGAGGCTAAAGCCCGTGTATCGTCAAAGGGATTTTCGGAATCGGTGTTCCTAGTTGCAAATCTTCTGATCCTGTTGGAAGAAGCAAAGTTCCTATCAACACCTGTGACACGCGTTCTTTCGGTTTCCCATCTCCTCGTGTGAAGCGCTGCAGCCTGAAGCACGGTTTCCTTTTCATGTCTGTCAACTGCACGGCCAAGACTGTGCGTTGCGAGAATAGATGTAATCGTCCCTGGAGCCAGATCAGACGTCAAAAGGTCGGTGAGATTTGCGAACTTACAGTACAAGCAGGCCCAGCCCATGAACCATAACAGTCCCTCTGAAGTGACCCCTACCACGGCAATTATGGCTACGGTAGCGCAGCACACCGTGATCATTGCGGTATAGCATAACTGAGCAAAAATCAGTGAATAGATTGTGGAGTGGGACCCAGGATATCACGAACCTCATCCTTCATTACTTTTCTGAATAAAAAGGGCATGTAATGACTGATCCTACTGAATGTAGATGGTGCCAAGGAAACTGCGGGCCCGCTGGACAAGGGCCTGAGAGAACTTTCGTCTTCCGCTTGAGCTGCTGATCTTATTCTAAGTCTTGATGGCGGGAGTGCAGACAACTCTTCGCGAACGGAACTCTGGCGGGTAGGAATCTCTGAAGGAACGACTACTGCTGATTGCGGATGAGAACCAACGACTTCGTCTGGCTTGTGACCAAGAGTAAAGTCCCATCGGTCGAGGTGAAAGGGTTTTTCGCTAGGAACATATCCTTCGAAATCCATTGAGAGCGGGACTGAAATGCGGTCCCTCGCAACAACAGAGTTATGTCGCGATTTCCAGACTGCGAATAAAACTAGAAAGAGAATGATTAAGACACAGACGGGGCTTGACGATGGATACGTACAACAGCAGCATAAGAAGATAGATTGCGCGAGTTGAAGCATAACAAAGATTCTGATCCAACGCATATCATCAGATCGTGCGCAATTGCCTAGCGATAATGAGATACTGGAATGGGCCAAAGAAAGATTAATTGATACCTGATAATCTGGTGGTACCGCGCAAGGTAATATAGTCTGCCAAGCTCATACTAACGGCTCCTACGGTAAGAATCGCGAGGGTCGCCAGAACGAAGACAGAGTTGTCAAGACATTTGTACGCCTTGTATCCGAAAATTCCGGACATCTGCAAACATAGATAATGAGTGGCTGCTATACGGAGGGAAGAAGTGCCAGCGTACTATGAAAACGATAGATAGAGTGGAAGCAACACTAATCACAATTTGCACACTGTAGACTATGTAAATCCTTGGAAAAACAGAGGAATTCGCACTCACATATGGCAGTTCACGTGTGGGGTCAAGAATGAAGCAATCTTGGGAACCAGCCCGATGGATGCTATAACCTGACTTGCGAAGAGCATACGGAAGATGATCGTTCGCTGGACCTTGATGCGTCGAAGATAGTTCCCCGAAACCAACGCGTTCCGTAGAAAGATGGTTAGGAGGATACCCATCAAGAGCAGTACCCCGTTATCTTGCTGAAGCTCGTAGCGGTAGGGTGCTGCAATGAGGGATCCATCCGGCAGCGCTTGGTATCTCGGACTGAACTGAGAGATGGGCATGTGGTAGTAAAGAGGATAATCCGGTATTAGTATAGTAGTGGTGAGTGCGACCACTACTTCAGTGGGATAATCATCACTCGTGGGGACTGGCGTAATGCGTGGCAAAACATGCAGAGTCGAGGGGGAAGGGGCAGTCGGCAAAGAATCTACTTTTCCAGTTGAGGTGGGAGTAGAGATCGCGGCCAAAGTCATTCCAAAGGATTGAGATAGACGAAAAGGAAAATAAAGAATGAATCAAAGAAGCTCGCAGCCTCGCTGGGATGTCAACATCGATCTGGAATGGCAGTGAACAAGAAAATAAACACATCGAAAGTAATTATATCTCACGTCAATCATGTTTGTATGACTGAGAACACTCACAAGGTCAGAGCAAATTCTTCGAAGTAAATCCGGACTCAGAATTTATGCGCCGGCGGCAGTTCATCGGCATTTACCGGCGGATTGATTTTCACCTCCTTCATAAAAGACTCTTACTATGACCAACGCCCAATCCCCTGTCATAATCATTACTGGGACTCCCGGGACAGGCAAATCAACGCACGCACAACTTCTAGCAAATGAATCGCCAGTACCTCTTCGTCACATTAATGTTGGAGATCTTGTCAAAGAAAATGGGCTTTATGAAGACTACGATGAAGAGTGGCAGAGTTACACTGTAGATGAAGACAAAGTGCGCTATCGTAACCCAGTAGATGAACTGTTGTAGCACATTCATCATTTCTCATTTCAGTTGTTGGATGAACTCGAACCTATAGTCACAGAAGGCGGTGTCATTCTCGACTGGCACACCTGTGAAATATTCCCTGAGCGATGGCCTGATCTTGTAGTCGTTCTGCGATGTGAGAATTCCCAGCTTTGGGATCGACTAGAAAAGAGGTCAGCGTTCGCGGCACAAGCATTATTTTACAGTCATTCACAGTGTCACGCAGATCCTACCCGCTCAAAAAAATTCAAGAAAATAATGAAGCAGAAATCATGCAGGTCGTATTAGAAGAAGCGCGCGCATCATATCCTGCCGAAATCGTTGTCGAACTCAAAAGCGAGACCACAGAAGATCTAGAGGCTAATGTGACGCGCATAGTGGAATGGGTCAAATCGTGGATACGAGAGAGAGGAGTTGACAGCTGAGCGATTTAAAGAGCACGTATATTCAAAGAGGCATTTCGTTTAATACAATCAGGTGATGCATCGAATTTTCAGCGTCCAACAATAACCCACCCTTTCCGACGATTTTCGAGAGGGAAGCCATCGAGATACTCATCCTCATTCCGCATACGACCGGCAGTCTTCTTCTTCCCTTCAGCAATGCGGACTTTCTCGAAGTAACAATATCTGCAAACTTCTTGTAGCAATAGCAATCGATAAGACGAAGAGGAAGCTTACGCGGCATAGTATGTGCCATTAGTGGCACCGTCAGTACGGCTCTTTTCTTTCACTGAATTTTTTACATGAACACAAGACTGCAAAGGATAGAAACGCAATGCATACTGAAACGACCATAAGAGTTGCTGTTGATGTTACCAATCTCCCTTAGCCATGCAGTAATCTGATTGCTCGAAGTACAGACAGTGAGTGACTGCGCACAAACATTTTAGAATTGAGATACATACTTTGAACCCCGGCGTTTGAGTGAGAAGACGAATCTTCCGTCTAACTTCGGCACAATCATCACTAGAAGGAGTAGTGAGGATATACAACGAAGGTGGACAACACATGCTTACTACACCGGAACCTTTCCCTGAAGCGAGGATGTTAAATTCATTCAAAGTTAGCCAAGGCAGGTCCGATGACTTACATTGCTGCTAATCTCGAGCACCACGTCCTGCCATCTTGTAGGAGCAGGAGCCTGGTCAACAGAAGCCTTGCCTTTTCCTTTGGGTTTGACGGTCGATGCACCAGGCTCAGCACCTTCAGACGCGTCTGAAACGCGTGCTTTCTTTGGAAGAGGCGCGTCATTTTCCTTGGCGGAGTGACCGTCAATGGAATCGTCAGAATAAGAATCCGAGATTTCGAGGACGTCTTCGGAGTCCAATTTGCGTTTCGGTGCCATTGCGAATTCGAGGGGACTTCGTGGTGGAAGGTGAGGTATGAAGAAGATATTGATGAATATGATTTTAGAGTTTTTTGGGTATTTAAACGTACGGATTGTCAGGTGACGAAACGCGCCCCGAATTCCCGCGCTCCTTTGCGCAAACTGCTACCTTAGTACCTATACCACTACTCGAGAACGCGCTTCAATGTATGTAATGCAGAATATAGCTTTTGCGTTAAAAGTCACATACAGCTGACGAAGGAGTATAAGATCGAGGGATATTATGCATGAAATTGGAACGGGGATTCAAGATAAGTAAAGCAAACGAGTGTTATGTTAGAAGCGTCCAAAATGTCACGAAGAGCGATACTAAAATCAAACCAACTTCCATTCTCGTAGAAGTTCCGGCATTTACAGGCAAGAAACCAGAGTCATTAGCTGCAGCAGTAACAGCAACGTTTGAAGACCAGGCAGTTTCCGTCAAGCTGGCAGTGAGGGAAGCAATCGTGCAACAGTCTGTTAATTGAAATTAAGATTTGGTGTACGAACCGGACTCACGTCTTCGTTATAAAACCAGAAGGACCGGTGGTTGTTACAGTCTCCGTAGTCATAGATACTACAACCACGGTTGTGGGAGTTGCTGACGGTGTAACAGTGACTGTAGTAGGCATTGGGTACGGAAGAGGGCCAGTAATCGTGATCGTCACAAATCCTGACCCGGAGCTGGAAATTCCTCCTGGGAAGGGTGATTGAGTCAGTGAGTTCTGAGGTTGTGGTTGTGTTTGTAAGGGATTAATAGTGACACTAGTGGTTTGTGAGCAGGAGCTACCGGAAGGATTAGCGTTCTCAATCGGAATGGAGATGGGTGTGATGGTGAAGTGGGGTTGACCATTGATGCTTGCAGTTTCATACAAGGTCAGCTAGAGGTGAGGAATGTAAGATTTTAAAGGTGGAGTACAGCCTGGGGCATTACCACCATACATTATAGTTTCCAGCAGTAACACAAGTGGGAACAGGCCAATTTACATGTTTGACCGTACTTCCGGACTCTTGAGCCAAGAGTCCAGGACCATTAGACACTGTGATATTAAGACCTGTCTCGGAGGATACGAGGTATATTTCCAAGAGACTAAAGTGCGTCGAAGCTGTCGAGTTGGGATTCGAAGCATCGGAACTCAGCTGACCGTCTCCCGATATCTGACACGAGCTATATCAGATAAATATCATAGATTCGCAGATGAGGAATGCTCACATCTATAGCGATGGGAAGGACGCTCCCAGCATGACCAGGACTACGTTCAAAGTAAAACAAATTGCATTCACAACACCACTTTCGCGACTGACCTGCCGGAACTAGGTGCATCAATAATTGATAGACCATTTGTGAAGCCTTGACCAGCTTTGGCATGCAGAACAAGGCCGAGCAAAGTAATGAATAGCAGGAGCAGATGCTGGAGGCGGACCTGCACCAATTGCATCTTTTTGAAGAGCGTGAATGCGGCCAAAATAAGAGGCTATATGGAAAGCAAAGCAAAGAACGAACGAAAGGAACAGCAATATTCAAGTTCTGCCATTTTGTGTGCAACCGACAGCTTGGGACTGATTGAAGGAACAATCACAGTAACCAGGTTCGCGGTGTAATTTCGGTGAAGGCTTAGAATGAACCGGAGCGGTAGATTTGCCTTATTAGGCTCAGGAACCTCCGGCCTCAATGATCGGTTGTCGTTTCCTTTCTTTCTCTGCTGTTGTCCACCATCATGCCTTCAGTGGATGCACCCCCGCCGTCACCAATGAAACGACCTCTTTATGAATCCAGTACACAATACAAAAACTGGAGATATTCTCCAGAACGTCTGAGCCAAATTAGGTCAACGATGAACGAAGCAGCAGTTGGTGTGATTCGGAAGACCTTCGAAGCATACGAGGTGTGTGTTGGCGTATAATGGGTCTTCTTGCACAAAGAGGAAGACACTCAACGCTCAACGAGAATAGCCGGGATCATCCTCAAATGTCTCGTTTGTCAATGCCCACGAGGAGCATCTCCTGGTAACATTCTACGTTCACAAGATCAGTCAACTATGTGGGCATTTCCGTTTTCCCGAAGAAGTTGAAGCGACAGCTACGAGTTATCTGAAACGGTTCTATTTGAAAAACACGGTCATGGATTGGCATCCAAAGAGTGTCATGTATGTATCATATGTTGAGCGGTTGTCGTTTCAACTCATCTTGTCTGCAGGCTAACCGCTCTGTTTCTTGCTACCAAGACGACAAATAATCCGATATCCCTAGATGTGTATGCATCACATATACCCAATACTGTTGCTTCGGATGTCCTGGACCTTGAATTTCTTGTCGCGCAAAGTCTTGCATTCGAGTTTGCAGTATGGCATACACATCGTGCATTATGGGGTATATGGCTAGATATTCAGGTCTTTCTATTTGTTTCATCGTACACGCCCACCTCGTTGCTGATTTACATTTCTTAGAATCTTTCCGATTCTCTGCCTGATATTTCGAAAACGCAAGGCTCAATATACGAATCTGCTCTCATTCATGTTCGCGCCGCGCGATTAACGGATGCAGAATTCATCTATACACCCTCACAAATTGCTCTCGCCTGTATATCTCTCACCGCCCCAGACCTCGCCAAGAAATGGCTCGAATCTAAAGAAAATATACCGCTTCCGGAGAACCGAACAGATATTCCACCTCGACCTTCAGCAACAACACTATTTGCATCGATCGAAGCCATCAAAAGCATAATCACGAATGCCGGCAAAGTGCCAGATGTTGAAGCGGTGCGGGAAGTGGACCGAAGATTGAGAACGTGTAAAAATCCGGAAAAGGTGGTTGGAACCAAGGCGTATCTAGCACGAAAGGCAGAGGCTGAAAAAAAGGCTGAGGAAAAGAAGAACAAGAAGGCTGAGATTCAGAAAGCAAGTGGTGCTGCCGATACAGATCCGTTCGGGGACCCACTATCTGAGCCAGTCAAACCTGGTTTAGTGGATTATGATGATGATGATGATGATGACTAGAGGAATGTACATAAAACATCTGCCAGGGTCTGGCTTTTGAATTACATGTAGAACACCTCGGATATTGTATTGAATAGGGTATGTATGTTGCTCAGAAGCCTTGAAGAAAAATCAGAGTTTCGGCAGATGAGATGGATAAAAGATTTACAGCAGTCGCAGTCAAAGGGGCAAAGTGGTGTATCTATAGCAGAGGTGAATTTGAGCGGGAACGAGCAATGTCAAATATGGTTTACCTCCTCCTTCGTCATCGTCTTTGATGCCTAGCTCATCTGCCTTGTAGATTGACCAGCCTTCCTCGGTCTTGCGGCCTGAGTACATGTTTCGATCAGCACAGGAGGATGAGAAGTTATCCAATACACCCACGAGGACCAATTCCTCTAGAATCTTTGAAATTGTCTTCCTCCTTCTTTGCTTTCCCTGACTTCGTCTCTCTTACAGTTCCGGCTTTCTCGTTGGATTTTGATATCTTCACGCGCTTTGCGATGTGCATGCTCGCGGAAGAATCGATGATAGTTTCTGGTACTTTTTTCGGTTTCTCTGCTATAGCAGAGTCCTTTTCATCGCTTTCGTTTTTTCGTTTCCGTTTCTTGTCCTTCTTCGAGGATTTTGTTGGGGAAGAAGTCGAGGCGACTGGGCCGACCCGTGTTTTACCCTTGGACGCAAAGATGTCGTCTATTTCAGACTTGGCCATGAAGGTCCTGAGCAAGCTAGTGCTTTATAACGATTATTGAGATTATCAAGGCGGATGTCGGCAGTCGAGATTCGAGAATAAGCTTGTAACTAAAAGTACCAGAAGAGGATGGTTCCGATATGGGTAAATTCAATTGATCTGACAAACAAGTTCTTTACGGCGCTCAACTTGTTGATATACATTTCCTTTAGGCTGTAGCACAAGCCGATTTCTTGCAAAGAGTTGGAAGCTGGTCTCATGCTGTAAGTTTTTCTTCGTATTTTGATACTCAAACTAGTAGAATAACGAAAAAGTCATCAACATAGTTCCCAAAATGAACTTTCGTCTGGTTCTTCCTCAACTTTTCCTTTTGACACTGCGCTGCTTGATGCCGCACAAGCGAAGCAAATGGCAGCTCTGACAGCCGTCGGCCAGGCTAGAACTGCACAGGGAAACATGAGACCGTCGAACGGCGGCGGAAATTCGGGATCATTTCTCGGAGGAATACCACCTGGTCATAATAATTTCCAAAACCAGCCTTTGCTAGAACGCTCAATGTCACAAAATCCTGCCCCGCGTCCGAGTCAGCCTTCAAATACATTCAAAGAGAAATCTTCTAATTTTATATACTCGCTGGCTACCGTCTTTGCAAAGCGAAATCAGCCTTTGCCTCCTAGTCTCACCGGAATTTCGACCCCCACCTATGACCCAATCAATTCTCCATTCAAGGATATCGAAGCTGGCTCTGAACATGGCACCTTTAGGCTTGCTGGAAAGGACATCAATATCTTTCATCTGTGGACCATGATATGGCATCGTGGAGGCATGGGCAACGTGTGTAACTCCTGTCTTCTCTCGACCATTCTTAGCGCTGAATATCTTCAATTACGCCCTAGGTTGGCAAAGACAATAATGCTTGGGCGGCGATCCTACAAGTTTTTGACATTCCGGAGTCAGCCCTCCCCACACTTGTCCAGATATATTCCAAGATCCTTCTTCCCTTTGAAAGCATGTATCGGCAGAATCTCATGGAACAACAAAAGAAGGCTCAGGCCATGAGGCAGGCTGCCGCTTCATCAACTCCTTCTGCTAACAACCAGCACCCACCTACATCCACAAATACCGTGTCTCAACAGCGGGGTTCCGGCATGGGCTTTCCTCCTTCACAGCCTCCTTCTTCCTCCGTCCCTTCATCATCCATGCAAATCAGCACTGGCTTACCACCAATCGATGGAGGTTCTGCAATTCTCGACGGTCCTACTTTGGACCAGGACCTTCAAGGCTTGAAGCGGAAGTTGGAGCAAGAAGAAGAAGTGAAACGCACAAGACAGAAAACTGGTTCGTTCATCTTCTTTATACCAAACTCATATCGAAGTCGTACTTACATATTTGCAACCCCAGAAACCGCTGATAGCGTTCTCGTAAGTCCTTCTACTAAACCAAGCTTGTTTGAATAATCTTACGAGCCTCCGTTTCAGCCGGCAGGGTCTGCTTCCGATCAAGCGTTCGTGGGACCCTCAGATGTAAACCCTGGTCCTACCGCACAAGCGCCCACAACTGCCACAATGACTGGCCACCCACGGACACGACAAGAGCTCTCTCGACGAAAGATCGAATACAAGCCACTCGTCCGCGACATCGAAACGTATGGAGGACGTGATTTGAAGCAGGTAGAGGTTGAACTACATCATTCCAACCGACGACCTCTCCGAGACATAAATGACTGGGGAACCATCGACATAGACGCGTTGACACTGTCCATACGTTCTAAACTCTCGACAGAACTCTCGTATGCGTTGACCACGCTCACTTTGCTTTCTACGATGAAGGGTCAAACCCCAACTTCGGGCTTTCCAATCAACAATTGTCCCGATCTATTTGAGGAGGTTCTTGACCTCGTGGAAGATCTGGCTTTTGACGATGTCATAGACTCTCCCGAAGCCATCAACCTTCAGGACAATCCTCACATTGTAACCAACCGCGAAATTGTAGACATTGTCTACGAGTTGGAAACCCAACCATTTGCAGTTCTAGAGCGACGGCAAGGATCCAAACACCCTGATCTTGGACCACGGCAACGACCGGCGAACCTTATCCTCACTGTAATCAACATCATTCGGAACCTTTCCGTCTTTGGAGATAATGTCCCATTCTTGGCTAATCAACCTCGTTTACTCGACTTACTTCTGCGTGTTTGCGGTGTGTCAGAGAAGGCTTCGAGTTATGTTCCTACTTCTCCAGTCCTTTCCCTCACCGACTGCCTTGCCATTCGAAAAGATGTGCTCCACATCTTGAGTTTGCTGGCGCCTGCTATTCGCTTACCCGAGGGCACTACTTCTTTATCCACGGTCCGGCGAATATTCAAACTGGTTACTTCTTATCTGGTGGACCCAGCCGAAGCAGTTTCTCCGATTGCTTGTGTTCAGCTTGCAGGGGTACCCCTCGGAGGGAACTTGAGACCGCCATCTTTAGCCGATGTTGCGCTAGAGGTCTTCACTCGTTTGGCTCACTCTGATGGAAACCGCCTTGTTTTCTCCAAGGCAGTTTCTCGACCGTCCTTGTGGTGCCTCTTTGTCTCTCTCGTTCACCGCCTGCCACTGCAGGATCTCGATTTCCAGCTAATATCAAGGGAGATCTGGTTGAGTTACGTAGAAAAGATCGTAATGGCTCTGTATACCCTTGGGTTCATATTTCCGCCAGAGCTTAAATCCAGGGCGAAAACCGACCGTAGCTTAGGATTCAAAAATGTGATGATGCGGATCATCCAGAAATTATTCGTACAAAACGGCGCCGAGTCGAGGCAATTTTTCATAATTATTGTTCGCAGAATCATCGAAACTTTGAAGATCATCGATGATGCGGAGGACTCGTTTGATAATACCAAGGGTGTTGTGTCAACACTATCGTTTGGTATGGGCTATGGAGAGGTTGGCGAAAATGATATCGAACGAGGAACGGGTTTATTAGGAGGGTATACGGATATAGGATGGAATATCCTGCTATGCAGGGAGGTTCAACATGACGATGTGATGTTCTCCGAGTTGGAGAGCCTTATTCGGATTGAATATTGAGTGTGCTTGAGTGTGTATGTACTTTGACGATTTTGATTCTATTTTATCCTTGTGTTATATCGACGTTGTACCGTCTTGTAATGTTAAGTGTTATTGTATTCACGTTGCCATGAACTACATTCGGCTTACCTGATCTACAATATAATTCCTCATGATCTGACAGAAATCAGTCGAGATATATATCTGACTGGGACTATCCAACTTGCTGAGCTTTACTTTAACAATCATTCTTAGCCAAGGTAAGTTGGAGGTACACCTATGTAGGTACACAAATCAAACAAAGTCCCGCGAATGTATTGTATTTTGAGCGCCGCAGTGTGCCGGATCTGAACTCCCGGCAATGCTCTCGGAGTCCGGAGAATCGTTCTGAGCCAGTAGCAGACCAGACTGTGAAAAAGAGAAAAAGTCAATACTCCAGTTGCATGCACCAAATTTTTCAAAAGATCTATGTTGGAATAAAAAGGTTGAGTGGACCGACTGCAATTTAAGTAGAAAACTACGCGGGCAGTGCCTCCATATAAGGAGCTGTGCGCGCGAAACCGATTACAACTTTGATTCCATTCGATGACTTTACAACTTGCACTTCAATCCAACTTCGATGTCTGAACCTATTCCACCGCCGACTTACGATGTCTCTGCATCTTCAGACGTGACCGACTCTGCAGATGGACACTCTGAGCCTCAGCTGCTTATCGTGCCAACGGTGGATACAGTAAATTTCCAGAAGGGCTATCTCGGAGCAGAGGATGAAAGGGCAGCCATCGAAGGCGAACTGCAGATCAAAGGCGCTATTTCCGAGGTTTGGGATAAAGTGTAAGTCTATTCATCAATTCCTCTATATTTTTCCGACTTCGTGCGATATAGAACAGTGAGCTTGAGGACTATCGAAACAGCATTTGACAAAGAAATTGAGCTTGGAATATGCGAAATCATTCTTTGGTCTCGGTCGGCGAGTCCTTCAGTGACTACGGTGCCTTCATCGTTGCTGTTTGCCATTCCTCTCATGCCAGATGCCCCGCAATCAATAGTCACTCCCTGTTCATCCTTGTCCCATATCTTAACTGCAACTCTCCATCCAGTGAGCCCCGATCTTCCCGTGCTTTCCAAAGCCTTGAATGTTCACACCAAACGGTTCACCTCTCATCTGCACTCTGTCCCAATAGCGCCAGAAACGCATTCTTTGGATCAGCCCGCTCGAGTTCATGCAGAAGTTCCTCGAACTATCTATCAGGTTGGTGAACCCATTCCGGTCTACATCACTATTCCTCCACCGCCACGGGAAATTGTCGTGGAGGATGGTTTGAGGCTGCGTAATGTCAAAACCGAACTTGTGCAGATGATCAAGGTCAAACGCGACGACGCTAACGACGGGCTTATCCAGGAGTCTCTTTCTGACCCCAATGATGATGCGGAAGGTACATCAACTAGTACTATCACAATGCTGGCTCCTGAGAAATCATCGCAGTGCTCCAAGTCGCCTGTCTCGCCACCGATGGAAGACTGCAGCTTTCGGTCAACGCTGGCACGTTCCGGCGCATCTTGTCGTTTTCATTCATCGCGTCCAGTACGGTTGCGCTTCGTTATGCATCAAACCTCCCCGTTCTCGTCTCCAGTCAACAATATCTTGACTCTACCCAGTCCTGAGTATGAGCATCTCGATGGAGATACAGAATACGCCTCCATCACACAACATACGCTCCTCCATTCAGTTATGTTTCAGATCAATGTTCATGTTTCCTTTGTTCACGTCGGCACTCGAACGGAACGTATTTCCACCATCAGTATACCGGTTACTCTTCTTCCCCCTTCGGCTTCTCTGCCACAGGTAGGTTCTTCTACAGATGAAGCGTATCAAAAGAAACACGACCGTCCTCCAGTCCAGACAAACCGTTATGAAGACGATCTCGTGCCGCATTATACAGAGGGTGAGGCTGGGCCTAGTGGTCTTCCTCATGGCGCACCTCCACCTTTTGAAGAACGAGATGCACCACCGCCATTTTCTTCTTCAGCTTTAGAGGCCTCTTCCTCTGCTCGCCTGCCTACATTTTTGGAATCTGAACGGGAGATTATCATCCCTTCAGACTCAGATCAAACGTTTACCAACCTCCCGCAATCAATGCATCTTGTCAACGGCGAAGGATCTCTGTTCGGGTTCACTGTATCAGATGTATTCGACGGTCATTCAGAGGATATGCAACGATCAACGACACCACCGCCCTCGTTGGAGATGGCTAGCCATGATACAGATGTAACTCAGCTCGCCGACATAGCCCAGCCGGAGAGGGCAATCGAGGCCTTGGGTTTGGTGCTCACAGCCCAAACGCAGCGCGAGGATCACGCTTCAGAGCTTCCGCCCCCTCCACCCGCATTGGACGATCCTTCGGATCCTCCACCATCCATTGACTCTGACTTTCGATTACCAGATGCACCACGTCAGAGGTCACCTCCGAATGTGCCATCCAGATTACATTCTACCTCACCAGTGCCGTCTTCAGAGAATCAAGTGTCACATGGCCATGCACCACCTCCTTATCTCGTTCCGGAGAATCACGCTGAACATGTAACACGACCACCTCCTTACGTGGACTAGAAACAACTTAGAGTTGCCAATCAATGTACCAACGATGTAATGTATTGAACACTATAATGAACGAATTCCATGTGCATTTAGTCTCCCAAAGGCAGAATCTTTACCTCTTGAAACTTTCGAGCCGAGGTAACTTGTAGATAGATGGTTCGGTCATTTCAAGGACACATTACATGTACGTATGTCATTCAACGCAAAAGAAATGAGAAGCAGGAAAAATGTGGCAATGAAATGGGAGACAGACGCCGTAAAATCATAAACTAATAGAGGAAGAAATCCATGATATAGTGTGGATGGGAGGATAACAATCAATCTTCTAACAGTTGCAAGCATCCTTCGGTTTGTTGGCATTCTCTTCTAAATTCACAGCACCTTCTTGTGCGTTGCCTGATCGTCCACCGGGAGCACCTGGACGGCGAACACCGCCCCCTGCTGCTAAAATATGTTCGATAGGAATCTTTTTAGCTACGGACAGATAACAATCATTCAACGAATTGTTTGTCAGATATAAAGTGTGAGGCTCACCAATTTCCGTGAAGATATCCACGATGCCCTCTCCTGTTTTGGCACTTGTCTCAAAGAAGAGTAAACCAGCCTCAGTTGCGTAAGCTTGCGCCTCATCTCTAGGCACCTGCCTCAGACTTTCCGGTTCTCCAGGCGAGGAAGGAGTCTCTCCAGGTGTCGCTGTGGCGTCGTCGGCCTCGTCTTCTGATTCAGACGAGGGGGTTCCTGACTGCGAGGTTGAGGGTTGGACAAGATCGAGCTTGTTACCGGCAAGAGCGATAACAATGTTTGGATTTGCCTGACGCTGGAGCTCCTTAACCCATGACTTGGCCTTATCCAAACTAGATGCCTTTGTGATATCGTATACAACGACAGCGGCCTGAGCGTTGCGGTAATACATGGGCTGGAGCAGACCACGAGGTCAGACACGAAGATAAAGTGCGACGTTGAAAAGACGTACCGCTAATGAATGAAATCGTTCCTGACCAGCGGTATCCCAAATCTCATAGCGCAACACTCGGTCTTCAAGTCGGCATTTCTGTGTTAAGAAGGCAGCACCAATCGTCGGCTCCTTGTTGGCTTGGAATTCGTCCGACACCTAAATTGGAAACCGTAAGTGGATTGGCCTTTTCTAGTAAGTTGTGAACGGTTGATGAGCTTACAAAACGAAGCACTACTGAAGACTTTCCAACTGCAGCTTCCCCTGAAGAACGAACAAAAGTTAGATATCGTTAAGTATGCACCGTGAGGGAGATACTGCGCCGCCTTTGATACAGCAGTGTATTCTGCACCTCCAGTTGCAGCTACAAAAGATATATATCTTGCTAACCTAGAAGAACGAGTTTGACTTGCACAGATTTATCTGTTGAACCGGAAGCTGCGTCGGCCATAGAAAATAATGTGAAGTGAGAATAATACAAGAGAATAAAGTGATAATGAATTTCACAAGTGAAGGAACCGAAACGTTCAAAACAAGCGAAAACAGGGTGACCGCCCGGACGGCGTTACGGAGATAAGATTACGGATAACGTCCTAATGTAGATAATGATTATGGAATGTTATAATCCCGGGCTACATATCCACTGCACCGTCTGTGCGCCCCAAATACAGTGGTAATAGTTCCTGACAGGTGACAAAAATCCCGTCATCGATTTCCACCCTCTTATGTTCTTGGAAAATAGGCGGACACGCTGGGTCTACCGGGCCAGTAACTTCGTCGTCATCTCGTCCCCATACTACCGTCGATCTCTTGGAGGACCCAGCCTTGGATGCCGGTGCATGTAGCAACGCAGCAGGTTGATCATAAAACCAAAAGGGTTGATTCTGTGCACTTTCTTTGCTTAAAAAGTTAGTATAGGCTTGAGAAGGGCCGTACGCGGCCATGGCGGCAGCAACATGTGGAACCAGTTCCTCTATATTCTCGTTTCCTGGTTTGACACCCATTGTAAAATCAATGGCGGTTTTGATCGTCGCGCTGTTCGTGAAATCAGATCAGTTTTGCGTTAATGTATCAGACTGTAGGCCCACCCGTATTTAGTTTTTGTATTCCAGTAGTTCTTACCAAGATAGTCTCCAATCTTCGCCAAAACCTGATATAGCCCTGTGAGATGTAATACCAGAAGTGGGTATTTGTGGCTTACAATTAAACCCTCCTGATGCAAGGTCAATTCCACCAAAAGAGCATGATCAACGTTTTCAACATACCAGATTGAAACAGCGATAATGTAGTGGGCGCGTACGTACACTCTCAAATGGCTGCTCACCGGACTTTGCAATCTGTTCTTGGAACGTAGTTCCGAAAAATTCTTCCATTGCATTCACAGCATCTTGAGGCTTGTTGAGAGCGATGGATAACGCGGACATTGACATATAGTAGAAGGTACCATGGTTGCTGTAAAGCTGTTAGCAAACATAGCATAGGCTATATGGCATCAGTTTATATGTACTTGGGTCTAGAACGAGCTTTCTATCGTGCATGCGACATATTAATGGCAAGATAAAGAGAGAAAAAGATACGCCGTACCTTGCCGATCTCACTGTTTTTCAACCAGTCAAGGTAGTGACTCATCCAAGCCTGCATCTGCTGGTCGAGTTCCGGAGTCCATTCTGTGCTGTTCGACCTTTTCAAGATCATGATCGCGTTTATCACTTTGACCAAACCCCTCATATCCAGTGGACCAGTGAAGGTACCAACGTCGTTGCCGGGCCCACGTATCACTTGCCCAAAATCCATGTTCGGGTTCATTCTTGTATCTTGATCCAGGAAGAAAGCATTGAGGATGTTAATTGCTGCCTTGATATATTGACGATTTCCAGAAATCAAGGATGCCAGGACATTGCTCAAAAACCCATCGGAAGCATCGTTAATAGCACCAGCACCAGCCAGCGTACGTACGTCAGGATTTACTTGACCTGATTCTTATTCAGCTACGAGGAAACATCATGAGAAGGGTGGACTCATACCGTCGCGAGCCACGTAAGGACATGTTGTCCAAGCTATGCAGGTCTGTATCAGGATGGCAAGAAAATTATTTCAACGACAACCTACTGGCAGAGGGCGGTATGGACTTTGTTGGAGAGGGTGTACAGGCGCTTTTGGAAGACTTGTTGGTTTGAACAGCGGCTTGGGGAGCAGTTGATGATCCAGCGATATGCTGACTAGTAGTATGCGAAGTAGGAGTAGGTAAAGAACCAGTAGAAAGACCAGCAGTGGGTATAGAAGATAGTGTACCGAACGGTGCTTGAGGAAGAGGTAACACATCTAGGACTGAATCTGTAGCACGGGGTACACTTGAGCTAGAGGATTCTTCTTTAGGCGCTGTTCTACGTATACGAAGGAGACGATTGTGTCGGGAAGCAAGTTCCAAAATGCTGTCGACATGAAGAGAACGCGCTTCCGCATAACTTGCGTCGTCGTAGTCGTTATCATCGCCAGTGTCCTCGCCCGGGCCAGGATCTTGGTCTGGGGGTGGATCATCGGGCCCAGTATTGGTCTCGTTGCCCCCATCTCCAGAATGTACGAGATGGGTACGTCCGGTGCTACACCAATCACATTCTGGCCAATGACTTGAAGAGCGAGATGAGAGAACAACCAATAATGTAGGTAAATGGCATACTAGGGAGCCCAGCTTAAATAATCATGCTTGTCGCCGCTAGGAGCGGTCACGCCATTGGAATTGACAATGCCTAGATGAATCCATGGGTATATATAAAAGTGAAATTTGAGAACGATTATTAGGACTTACTATAAGGACCACTCTTAGCTGCGGCTTGAGCGTTACGCGTGATACTCGCCTTTGCAGAATCCGTAGAGGAGTCGTGAATATGTTGGAGAACATAATCGGGATGCACAAAATCAGTTGGGTCAGCTAATGCCGTGAGTAGCGTTAGTATACTCATTAGAAAGGAACGGATTTGTGATTAACCTAGCGTTGTATGAACAACGAGTAAAGCACAGAGGGTAGAGACTGAGAGCATAGTGATGTTCCAATACCAGATTGGATCGAATATAGGATGTGTACTGATGGCGTTAAGGAATAACCTGGAATAACCTTCATGTGGTGACCTTTTTATCTAAACTGTAATCTTATCTTATAGTTTTTTCACCGGATCAATGTTCCGAAGAGCCGAGCTTGGAGCCCCGCGTTTTTCAGGTGCGGGGAAGTGATCTTCTCTTTGTACCTATCAGCAATGACTTTCGCTACTAGATCAAATTCGACTACGTTCAATGGGTTTGAACCCACTCCAGAAAGTATACCACCACCCTACAATGAGCTCAGATTGAAGCTGCCCAGTAACCTTCCGGTCAACTATCATCCATTGGTATGGTCTGACGTTCTCTTGTTAATGAGTAAAACTCAAGCGCTTAGCAGAATCCACTTGAGTTTCTGCTGAGGGCTGCCCTCATTTATCCCGATAAACTTGCTGTCGTGCACCCTGATGTAAAAACGCCCGCATTCTACACTTATTCGGTTTGGTATGCTTTAAATCATGATCTCTCCTCGCATAGCAGCTTACTTTCCAGCCAGGACTCAGCGCGTGCAGAACCTTGGTTATGCTTTGGTAAAAGCAGGGCTGCAACCTGGAGATCGAATTGCCGTTATTGCTCCAAACGTGTGCGTCTAATATTGTGCTTGATTTTGCCCCGCGCTGACACAGAACGCTCGCTTACTAGACCAATGATGGCCGGTTGGAATCCCACCTTAAATTCATTGCTCTGTGTGGTTGACATACCCTCAACAGATGCACTGCAAGGCGCCCTGGCTGCTCGAGTGATCCTCACAGCAATCAATACCCGTCTTACTCCTCAGGAGGTGGCATATATTTTAGGTACTAGTATCAATCGCGTGCCTCAATGTCTTACCAAATTTCGTCACTCATAGCTGTCTTGTAGAACATAGTGGCTCAAAGCTGATCCTTATTGACTCTGAATATCTTCACCTTATCGAAGGCACTCGTATCCCGTTCGTGGTTTCTAATGATACCGGCAACAGCGGGGATCCATATGAACGATTTTTGAGCGAGGGGAGACAGTTCAGTGGTGAGAAAGGCTGGTCAGGGCTAGAGATGGAAGCAGACGAGAACGCCCCAGCTATGCTATGCTATACGTACGTCTATTCCAGTGCCTAGTTGAGAGAGGGTTAACAAATTAGAGGAACATAGTTCCGGAACGACAGGCAGGGTGAGTGGACGCGTTTGGGTGCCATAATAATGATTTGAAAGTAATTCTGTATAGCCAAAGGTATTTACCCCAATGCTCTAACTTTGACCTGTCCACCAAGTTCTAATGGGAGCAAGGGCGTTTTGACGACCTTACGAGGTCTGTAGAGTTGATTCCGCTTATCCACATCTCCTTTACCTGTGTTTTTAGGCACCTACTTAGCTGCCTTAGCAAATGCGTTCGAAGGACAGTAAGTGCAACGTCACAGCTTCATTAGTAAACCACCTTCATTATCGCATGTGCAGGATGAACGCAAACTCGACGTACCTTTGGTGAGTCATTTTGCTTCAGATCTCAACCATATTTACCACTCACCTGCAGGATTCTCCCCATGTTCCATGCCGCGGGGTGGACATTTCCTTGGGCAAATACGTTTGCTTTTACTACTCAAGTGTGTATACTCAAAGCATCCGGTGATCTTAAGGCCCTAATTCGTCCTCTAGATCACAATGCGCTCCGTTGACTATCCTTTGATCTGGAAGCATTTCTTGCATTCACGGGTTACGCATTACTGTGGGGCTCCTACGGTACAAATTGGAATTGTTAATGATCCTGCCGCGAAACGCCCCCCACAGCAGATCCGAGCTTATATCGCAGGTAATGTCTATCTCAATGTCAACGATATGAGATTAATGCACTGATTTGGGCAGGTGCTGCACCTACTGCACATTTGATAGGCTCGCTTGAAAAAATCGGGATCGAGCCCATACATGTCTATGGGTTGACCGAGGCAGGTGTTGCATTCGACGATACTCTCCCGCGAATGATGTATTCTACAGACCTATGGGCCGTTCACTCGGAATTACCCGCAAGAATCGTGGTCTTCCCTTTCCTTGGAAGAGCGTTCCAAGCTGATAGCACGTCAAGGTCATCCCTTTGTCACTGCCGGGGGCATGCGAGTTGTCTATCGAGCCGAGGAAAGCCCCGATCCAAATGGGGAACTCGTCGATGTTCCCAAGGACGGGAAGACGATGGGCGAAATTGTCACTAGAGGCAATATCGTTATGAAAGAGGTAGGCAATTGTTTCTTCTGTGTCCTTTTCGTTTAACAGTTGTCTCGGTTAGTACTTTAATGATGTAGAAGCTACTAATAAAGCATTCCGCGGAGGATATTTTGGAAGTGGAGACTTGGCAGTTATGCACCCTGACGGATCTGCGTCTATTTTGGATCGCAGTAAAGATATCATCATCTCGGGCGGCGAGGTGAATACCTGTTGATTATGATGAACTCTTCGAATCCTGATACCAACTGATATCCTTCAGAATGCTTCGAGTTTAGCGATTGAGCAAGGTACTTTGTAGCAATTTGAGCATGAACTCATGATATGTTTCCTCACACCGTCCTTCTTCCAGAATTAGCCTCCCATCCGCATATCCTCGAAGTTTCCGTCGTCGCACGTGAGCATAAGAAGTGGGGAGAACGTCCCATGGCGTTTGTCACCTTGCACCCTCAACATGCCTCGAAATGGAAAGGCCGACATGAAGACTTTGCAAGAGATTTGAAGGCACACGCAAAAAAAAGACTTCCTGGGTTTGCTTGTCCTGAATGGGTGGAGATTGTGCCAGAATTGCCAGTAAGCTGTATCTGCTATCCAAAGCTTCGCTACTCAAAAGTTCAATCAGAAAACATCTACTGGTAAAATTCTAAAAGCGCAACTGCGGAAAGTAGTGGCAAAGTTGTAACACCTATCTATGTAAGTACACTCTATGTCTTCTAACCTCAAATTTCTTCAACGTCTTGAACCTGTTCAAGAATCAATAGAGAACCGGACACATTAGATGAATGTTGTTTTATAGTGTCCACTAATTTGTACTGATCTATCGGAAATATTACAATTTGCATTGTGAGACTATTAATTTATATATATCATAAATGTGCGCTATACATGTGTACCAGAACAATCACGACATGAACGAAAACCCTTGAATGATGGTAATTGAAAGACGTCACGACGATGGGCACAGGCGAAGTATCCTAAAAGATCCTGAATTTCGCTCACAAATATAGATTTCATCATTCTTCCGTCCAAGAAAGAGCACTTCGTCAAGGAATTCCGGGTCCGCATCCCCAATATTAAATTCTGTTCGGTTTCCAGGTGACTTGGCAAGGCCGGCTCCGAGTTTAGGTTTGGGTAAATGGTTGCCTTTGGGCCGTGAAAGAACTGTAGCCGAATTGGTTGACGATGCTACGGGAGTCCCAATTCTCCAAACAAAGGGTGCCCGACGGTTCATATGCGAGGGCATAGGATTAAACTGAGGGAGGGTTGTCCGGGACTCGTCAGCAGGTTTGAGAAGAGCATCGCTCAGATCGACGGCTTCAACACCACCTTGACGCATAGCAATGAGTACAGAGCGGTCCTTGATATCTACTGCTTCTAAACGTTTGACATCACCCATTCGACCCATGAGCAATGCAGATTTGGTGTCGTCCTCGGGACGATCGTCATCACTCCACAGCAATCGTCCTTTGAGTACTGAACGTCCACGAGCATCGACAATAGCGGTACTGTGTCCACCGCGAGAGGAGTAGAACAATGCAGGAGGGCCAAAATGCTTTGGTTGAGCCAATAAAGATATGGGCTTCAACAGTGGCTTGCCCAAAGGCTGGAAGACGTTGGGCTGGACATTCGACGACAGTGATGGAGGAGGTTTGAAAGGTTGGGTAGGATCCACACTTTGTAATCTGAGATCTTTCAGAAGGATGTACTCGGCGTCTTCTTCCTTTCGAACTGGGAGGTCTGGGGGAAGTAATCCATCTTTGTACCAGGCTTGCATGAGTGACGGTTTCCATGGCCCTATCGATAAGTATGAGCAATGTACATCTTTACTACCTAAAAAGAAGCACAAACCGTGTACATTGCCTTTAGGATCTCGGTAGAACCACTTTGGCGGAGCACTTGGCGTTGGCACCGGAAGCCCAGGCGGCGAGAAGTTGACTTGAGATAGATCTACACTATCGCCTCGTTCTGCAGGCTCATGTTCCTCACGATATCCAATGAATTCGGGATATGTTGGAGGAATCACATATTCGTCTGCTATGGAAGCTAGTGGGAATTGAGGTGCAAACGACAGCTGTTGGAATGTGGTATAGGGACCCATACGCGCCGTTGCAAGAGCGATCAATTCCTCAGCTGCGCCAATATTGCTAGAAAGAACTTCAGCAGGAGTAGCTGTTCCTTCCGCACTGGGTTCTTGGACTGGATCGACTGGAACGGGAGGCCCAGGAGTCGCAGGGGCGCTTTGATCTAGTGGATGATCATTGGCGACATACTGCGGGCTTTGGGCACCTCGAGGGCCCGTTCCATTCGCAACGACAGTTGAACCAACAGAGACAGATACTCCAATGCTGACATTCACATTCGTGTTCTCTTCCTCATTACCAGGATTGAGAGCCGCCTCGGAATCGTTGGTGGGTGCACTCGTATCGGTACGCAGCTCACGAGCGCGTCGACGGGCAGCACGGCGTTCTGCGCGCCCGATTCGAACCTCACGAACGCGGACAGTGGCGGGCTCCAATCCAAATACGTTTTGAGAGAATACTAGGAACACTTCCACTAGATCATCTCCTTGAAGCTGTAATTCAAGTGATCGAGGTGAATCCGGAAGAATAAAGGTCCTTGATAGTCCCAATGCCGTCCTGTAAGTGCCAGCAAAAAGCTCAACTTTCTCCCCATTCTCTCCGCATAAGATGGCCAAAAAACTGTCAATGTTGAAGACTGAGTGTCGACAATATCAAAGGAGAAGATGTGTTACCTTTTCTTGGCTGTCTCTACGGCCTTAATCATTAAAGATCCCTTGGTGCCAGGTAACTTGACATATTCCAACTTAGGAGGGGGTGCATGTGAGAGCATAGGAGCGTTATTATTTCGTTTTGAATCAGAATCGACGCCACCAGTGGTTGAAGGCCGCTCGCTATCCGACTTCATGCTTTGAATCGCATGACTTATAATCCTGGGAATAAATCTCGACCGGGAGGATGAAGCAGATGCCACGGATGCTGCAGATGTGGAGGCAATCGCCGCAGCGCCACTAGGAAGTGGCGGCGCGAGAGAAAAGGCAGTAGTAGGTGTAATATCGGTGTTGGCCGATGAAGGTCTACGAGGCGTTCCGCTACGGCTTTGTGAGTGGAAGCTGCCAGATCGACCGGATCTTGTGGGCGTTTGTTCCCGCGACAAAGAAATGTCTGGAGCAGCTGAATGAGGCGGCACGTCGTTCGATGGCGACGACAAGGATTGAGTAAGCATCAATGACCATCTTCTCCGTCTGTTCCGTGATGAGTTTTGAGTTTCTGAAGATCCTGTACGCGAGATATCACTGTTTTGAGAAACAGAGTTACGAGGACTGGTAGGCTCATCATCCGGTGATGCAACAGGGTGCGAAGATGAGATGAGAATAGGCAGTTGGGGTCTTCTCGTACCTGGCGGAGGCAATTCTGGTAGCCGACTCTCCAGTAATGCTTGAGACAAACTGATTGAATTGCTGCCTCCGTCATTTTCATCATCATCCACGTCTACGTCTCCGCGAGGAGTATCCGGCTCAGGCGTCCTGTCATCGCGTGAGACTGGAGGGTGTGCAAGTGCTTGCCGAAGAGTTAGGAGGGTAGGGGCAGGGGACGGTTCTGGCGCAGGTATACCGCTACCAGAGCGAGCCAGAGAAAGGTCTAAATTTGCCGGTCTAGTACGGCGAGCAATGGAAGGAGAGTGAGCGTGAAGGAGGGATTGAGATCCAGAAGGAGTGTGTGCACTGAGAGTCGACTGACTAAAACTAGGGTTATGTCTGGGAGCTGTAGCACTGGTCCTTTCATCAAGGGCCTGACTACCACTATGCCCAGCTGCTACGACGTTTATGGCTTCATCATCACTAGACTCAGCCCAATCCTTTGCATCAACATCTCGAGGTCGTGTAGCCTCAGTAGTGAGGCGAGACAGAGGTGGAACGCTAAGAACATCAGATACCGAACCACCTCTAGACCTAGATCGCGTAGGCACTAGAGAGATCATCGAATTATGTGGTTGGATATGAGATCCTACATATTCGGAATATGGTGGCGGCCGACCCGACGGTTCCGGATCTAGAGGAGGTGTAGAGGCAGAAGGCACAGGAACCGTAAGATGTTTAGGTCTACGGATTGTGGGTGTTCTGGGGATTAGCGGAGCAGGAGGTATTTGAGAAGAAACTTGTATTTGGCCATGAGAACCCTTGCGAGAGACGACATGCCGCTTTGATGGCTCCCCCGGAGGTGGCGTTGACAAGCTCGTTTTGCGGAGTTTTTCTGAGGAGTTACGAACATCTAAGGTAACACCAGAGACGACTTTTTTGGCCATCTCTCTTCTCATACGGTCTCTCTCACGTCGGACTTCAACATCTATTCGCCACTCGACAGCCTTTCGTATTTCTTCTAGCGCGTAGACTCGTACACCATCTCTGCGCCCGGCGATAGCTACGAGTACCCCTCGCTGTTCCATGACGACGATGCTTTTGAAACTAACTCGACGAATGAGCGCATAGGGTTGAGGTTCTGGCGGAGAAACCAACGGTAACACATCCAATCCTTGAGCATGACAAAGCAAAAGATAATGTGGAGAAAGAAAAGCGCCACTGGAAGGTGGCGTGCTGAAATGGGAAGGTGAGAGGTCGGCAGTAAGGGCGGAGAAAGAAAGACCAAGCTCTTGCAAAGTGGGGGGAGGAAGTCGAGGGGGAGGAATGATAAGACTAGGCGTAGGAGATGAAGATCTCGTAGGGTCATCGTTAATTGACTTCTCGGGATGAGAAGATGAGGAAGCGACCGGCTGTTGCTCTTCTCTGATGGCAGCCCGAGTAGGCACATCGCGTCGATGAATTAAATTATTGAAGAAGCCAGAAATTCTCCGAGAAGATCTTGGCTGAAGGAGAGTCAGAGGCAAAGATTTATGAATAGTATAAAGCGTACATCTGTGATAGATCTCCTCCTACTGATACTCCGATCCTCGGGAGCAACTGTGTGAGCACTTCTTGTGGGCGAAGGAGGTAGTAAGGAGGATGAAACGTTGTCCTGGAGCCCGTCATCGTTGGGCCTTAGTGGTGAAGCGCTTTGTATGCTGGCAGCGTCGGACAAGCGCTCAGTTCTCGTCGCTGTCGTCGTTGGGCTTTCGTCTTTCTTCGACTCGCCAGTGACATTCTGGACGTGGACCTCTTCTACAATTCCAGCGGGATGTTCGAGATACTGGACTTCATAATTATCGCTGGAGTTATCGTCGACGTCGGGTGGGTTCATGGTGGAAGAAAAAGATATTAGGCGGCCAACATTTCGACGGTTATAGTTGTGCAAAGGCGTGTCACGTCGTCGAGATTCGGCTGTCACGACGGTAGTGTTACACTGTTACCTAATCGGCTATTTCTAACTTCCATTAGGACTTTGGCCATGTCGCGCCTCTGGCACTGGTCAAGACGGTGTTCACGCATCTTTACGAGGCCAAATTCATCTCTTGCTTCCCAACTAAACTCAGTTACCGACGCCGATGCACTTCATTTCTCCAAAATACTCTCATCTCCCTCTTCTGTCCTGTCCACTCTTCCCTCGATCTCAACTTCGCCTGAGGAACTGGACATCTACAATAATGACTGGATGGGCAAGTATTGTGGCAAGTCAACGACTGTCTTAAAGCCAAAGACAACTGAAGAAGTCAGTAAAATTGTCAAATGGTGCAATGACAAACGCATCGGCATTGTTCCTCAAGGCGGAAATACTGGTCTTGTCGGTGGTAGTGTTCCTTTAAGAGACGAAGTGATCCTTTCACTCTCCAATATGACCCAAGTTCGATCTTTCGACCCTATATCTGGTACAATATTTGTTCTGTCCTTCGCTTGTTCATCGTGTTTTGACTTTCTCCTTTACAGGCATCCTGGTTACTGACGCTGGCTGCATTCTCCAAACCCTCACAGGTACTTCATTATCCATTATGCCTGGATTTATTTTGTAATCCTGATGTAAATCTCCCTGACCCAGATTATGTGGCTCCGCACAACCATATCATGCCTCTCGATCTTGGTGCGAAAGGCAGGTGTGTATTTGATCCACGCTCTTCGTTGCGATCAGCTCATCCAATCCGAACACTATCTTTTCACTATTCTGTGTCTCGCTTTCACACTTGCGTTGTGTCGGTGAGAAAACTTCAGTTGCCAAATAGGCGGCAACGTATCCACGAACGCAGGCGGTCTTAGACTTCTTCGTTACGGTTCCCTCCACGGTTCAGTACTAGGCCTCGAGGTCGTTTTGCCTGATGGAACGATTCTCGACCAACTGACTACTTTACGAAAAGACAATACAGGTCATTCTCTTTTCATGCCAATTTGACCGGCTGAATGATAATCCCAACTCAACAGGTTACGATCTAAAGCAGCTCTTTATTGGTGCCGAAGGCACCCTCGGGATTATCACTGGTGTTTCCATACTCACTCCTCCGGCACCCCAAGCTTCGAATAATGTCATTCTTGCGCTACCTCGGTTTGAAAATGTATTACCACTTTACAAAACAGTCAAACGTCAACTTTCAGAAATCCTTTCAGCGTTCGAATTCATAGACAGAACTGCATACGATCTCGCCGTGAAGCATGGGCAAGGTCGCGCTTTGAGCGAAGAAGAAGTCGAAGGTGCTGAATGTTTTGTACTGGTGGAAACGAGCGGAGGTCGGAGAGAACACGATGAGGAGGTACTTCTTCTCTACATCCGCAAAGCTCATCCATTCAGTGAATTTGCGCTTTGACAGAAACTGAACGATCTTCTTGAATCACTACTGGAGGCCGAGGAGCCTCTCATCAACACCGGCGTTTTGGCCCAAAATCCTGCTCAATTTTCTTCCTTATGGGCCCTTCGAGAAGGCGTCACGGAAGCTGTTTCCAAGGAAGGAAAGGCGTACAAATACGATATATCCGTACCTCTTTCCACTTTCAAAGAATGTGTCGATCTCACGCGAGAACGTTTACGGTCAAAAGGTCTTTTGAACGATGATCAAGTTAGGGCAGTTATAGGTTATGGTCATGTCGGTGATGGTAAAGCTTGAGTTGCATTTTTCAACTCATAAAACCGATTCCGTCGTTTATAGGCAACCTGCATCTGAATGTAATCGCCAAAGCTTACACCCCAGAGATTCAAGACGCCTTGGAACCATTCGTATATGAACTTGTAGGCAAGTACTTTCCTTACATGAATTCAATTTATCCATCTCCCCGTCTAAATAATTCAACCTACTCATTATTATCCCGATATCAAACAGCATCACACCGAGGTTCAGTATCTGCTGAACACGGTATCGGAGCCATGAAGACACATGCGCTGCATTATTCGAAAGACGAAACGAGTATTGCATGGATGAAAAAAATAAAGGCGATTTTCGATCCTAATGGAATAATGAATCCTGGCAAGGTTCTGGAGTGATACTCTATATTGAGGGCCCATATATACATATATTTTCTCAATGTTGCTCCTTCATGATACTTAGCGATGGAACGAAGAGGATTTCTGAGGCACTACGTGACAACTTTGAGTGACTACGTGACTTTCCGATCTTCCGCTCAACCCCAACCTTGAACTTGGGTTAGGACTTATGGTAACATCATGAATGTTTTCCCCGGGAAGACATGCTGAACCATCGTGACATTGCAGACTATCTTCCAGGGTATCCATTTTTATCTTCATCCCGAAATCCTGCCAGAGGTTCAAAACACCTTACGCCAGTCTATAGCAGTAATGATCAATTCTTTTTTTTTCTTATTTGTGCTTAATTATTCAATGATACAGGAACTCGGAGGGCAGGTCGACGGGAATGTACCGGATAGAGGATACGTTTTAGCAGACTTGCACAATCCGGAATCGCAGCGAGCCTTCCAGCTTTTCTCAGCGGAAAGATGGGTCGTACCGTTAACTTTCGTGGAAGCATGCAAAACCGCAGGAGCCCATATCGCACCTATTTTCCTCGAGTCAGAAGGGAGACCAATGCCTATTCACGTTCATGAAAGCATTGCAAATGTAAAATTCAGAGAAGCTTTGTACGAGAAGATTCTGGTGCGTTTTTTCTCTTTGTCCTCGTTTAACTCATGATTGACATGATGGTCTGAATAGTACTGTGCTGGTTTTCCCTATGCATCGCTCGAATCTGCACGCGTTATCATCGCCGATTCGAAGACGGATGTTTTCAATGCTTTGGTGAAACATTACCAGCTCACTCCCCACAAATACATCGAGTCTTTGGAATGGGTGGATAGATGTATCGAACGACAAGGAGTCTCCTTCACCCCTCATGTATTTAAAAATCCAGGTGGAAGAAGAGCGGGAGAAGAGTGAGTTGAGTTGATTTTCATTCAAGGTATCAATCTGACATTCGCATAGACGTACGCAGTTCACTGAAGAAGACGAACAAAAATTGTGCGAATGGATTGCTGCAAAGATTCCGTTCAAATCCACCGGTGGAAGAACCGGAAATAAATTATATCAGCAACTATGCGAAATGGTAAAATTGTTTCTACGTTGTCATGTATCTGCTGGTGGTTGATCTTTTTCCGGTAGAGTAACCATCCTGAATATTCCTGGGTTACCCGTCATACCTGGCAATCATGGCGAGAACGGTACAAGAAGAACGCAGGTCGCCTTGACAAGATTGTTGACAAGATTGTGTCAACTACGAAACCCAACCAGGGTGAGAAATGGCAATATGGCTACGTCCGCCAAGACGACGATAAACCCAAAAAGAAGCGGAAGCGTCTTTCCAAACATGAGGATGGACAAGAATTTGTTGTCGGCTCAAGCAGCGCCGGACAGGAATCTGTTCATGCAGATCCACACGTTGCTGCTAATTCCTCGCTAGGTCAGCTTGCTGGTATACTACGGCTAGCACCTCCTGGCAATAGAGAAGACGAATGGAGAATCAGAGATGGTCATGACCCGCCTCCCGCTTGGGCAAAATCGAGAGGCTCAAATGAACTCGAGGAGGGTCCCAATGTGCAGTGCGCAAAATCTGAGTGCGTGAACTGTCGTTTTCAGACTATTGTCAAAACTGAGATGTTGAACCGTCAGGGAACCACCCACAATAACGGACGATACCTTGCAGCTTGCAATCACGGTCGCCGTTGCTGGTCATGTTCTTGAACAGGAATTATCCGAGATTGCGCTGCAGACTCGCTTTACGGTGGAAGAGGTCCGAGAGTATTACGACAAGTACGGTGGAGACCTCGAACGAACCAGCAGACGGCTCCAAAAAATGAGAGAGCACTTAAATGCTCTTCCTGACGATGACTAACCAGACCACATAAAACCCTTTGTATTTTTGTACCTTGGAATCTTATTCGATATAGTGGGATAACCAACTCAGTGACCACACTGAACGTACTACATATCCGGATCGAACTCGGTGAATAGTTTATGGTCTGCCGCACGCGTAGGAGCAGACGGACTATCAAACACTTTGCGCTTCCTGATGAAAACAGACTTTTTGTGATTCGCAACATGTACTGTGCAATGGGTATGACGCACTTTTCGCCCGCCGCAGCGGAAGGGAACGACCCAAACAAGTCTGGATGCTTTGGAAGTGGCGACTCCCTGGAAAAGTGTCAACAATAAGATAGAACTAGTATATGAGAGGAATGACACACGTGAAGTAAGGATGGTCCAGAGCCTCTTCCGCCGATATTCGCTGGTCGGGATCGTATGTCAACAAAGACATTAGTAAGTCGATTCCTGCGGCAGTCATGTACTGGAACTTTTGTCGGAACTGATGAGGTTGAGGTGACGGAAGATTAATGGTTTTTGTGAGAGGTAATGAAGAATATCCGGGCCAGGAATTGTTAGTGGGTGGACCCAGAAGCTTGAAAATCATTGATATGAGTTCAAGCTCATTTTTGGCTTGAAAAAGTGGTTCTTTCAAGAGGAGTTCCGCGAATATACATCCAACGGACCACATGTCGACCGCTGTTGAGTATTTTTCCGCTCCTAGAAGTATTTCAGGAGCTCTGCAAATACAAAAGTTGAGTGAGCAGCCCATTAAAAGAGCAGGAGGCATACCGATACCACAGCGTAACCACGAGCTGGGTCATTCCCCCAACGCCGACAGGGTCTCCGTAGCGTCGGGCCAGACCAAAGTCTGCAACCATTATGGTTCCACGGTTGTTCATAAGGAGGTTGCTGGTTTTCAAATCACGATGAAGAATCCAGTTCGCATGACAATGCTTAACGGCGGATAGTAGCTGAAGCATCAGCGTCTTGATTTCTGACTGCAGAAATGGCGAAGGCATCAAGGTGAGGAGGGACTTGAGATCGTGCTCAATAAAATCCATGACGATGAAGACTCTTGACATAGAATACAACAGAACTTGAAACATGTAACTTGTAAATCGGCGACGGTACGTACTGAGTCAATGTATCGCCAACAACGACCTCTCGAATACCAACCACATTCTCGTGTCTGCACGCTATCAGCGCGTTAATCTCACGCAAGGAAGTTATCGGAAATCCATTCTTTTCCTCCTCCAATTTCAGCTTCTTTAAAGCGACTATATCACCGGTCTGCTTGTCTTTGGCACGGAAAACGACGCCATAGGTTCCTTCTTCGATTTGGTTCAATCTCTCGTAGCAGTAGACTGAGCGTGATGGAACCATAGGCGGGTGGTGAGTTCGAGGTGGAACATATATACTGTGTAAGGGGTATCTGGGTATTTGAGCAACTGGAGGTACTGCTGAGGCTGTAGGCCACTTGCTGGGCTTAGGTTTTATGCGACGTTTAACCGGATTAATGGTCAATTGCTGAGCTTCTTCGATATCATCATCAGAGTTTTGCCATCTAGATCGTTTCCTGGAAGGCGTTGATGGGCCAGCAGTCGATTCCGACATCGAAGTTGGTGAAGAAATCTGGAAGAGGTTTGATTTCTCACGTGTTCTCTTTCTCTTCCGCTCACCGATAATCTACTGTAGCTTCAACGTTTCAACCCTGCGACAATATTGGGTTCTCTAATGCCCAGCGATCTAGACGGGTCAGGTCTTTTCTTTCATTTTTTGAACCAGACATAACACTAAGACATTATATCACTGCTGTTCCATGTATCATCTCATTACTGCTAAACCTTCCAAACAGACAGATTGAGCAGCTCAAACGTTGCGAACCAATATCTGAAGAGCAAGTCAAGAGATTGTGTTTGAAAGCCAGAGAAATCTTGATTGAAGAGGGCAACGTCCAAGTAATTGATTCTCCAGTGACGGTACGCGTCGAAAACAGATCTATGTCAATCCGGTCCACTCGTTGAAAATTTAACAAACATCTCCAGTAGATATGTGGCGACATACACGGTCAATTCTTTGATCTCATAGAACTATTCAAAGTTGGGGGTTTTTGTCCAGACACAAATTATCTTTTCATGGGTGCGTCTTATCGTCATCATCCTGATAGTTATTGACCCAAATCAATTGGTAGGTGATTTTGTGGACCGGGGCTATTATTCTGTAGAAACTTTTCTCCTTCTCCTTGCTCTAAAAGTGCGATACCCAGAACGCATAACACTTATTCGAGGAAACCATGAGTCGCGACAAATCACTCAAGTGTATGGATTCTATGATGAATGTCAAAGAAAATACGGCAGCAGCAACGTTTGGAGATGGTGCTGCGAAGTGTTCGACTATCTTGCCTTGGGTGCTGTGGTAGACGGACGAGTATTCTGTGTACATGGGGGTTTAAGTCCGAATCTCCAAACAATCGACCAAGTATGTCATTTCTCTCTCACGTATGTCTTGATTTCTGGTGCTCATATACCGCAGATACGAAGCATAGACCGAAAACAAGAGGTGCCTCATGACGGGCCAATGTGCGACCTACTATGGTCAGATCCCGATGGTAAATGCGAATTAAGCACCCTTGTTCGTTACTCACAGCCCACCTTCCTACTAGATATTTCGGGCTGGGGATTATCTCCACGAGGTGCAGGTTTCCTTTTCGGCGCAGATATTACCAAGGTCGGACCTTTTCCAGAAGACCTGCATCCTGAAGCTAATTGCTTCGCAGGCCTTTGCCCATCATAATGCCATAGACCTGATTGCTCGGGCCCACCAGCTAGCAATGGAAGGCTTCAAGATGATGTTTGACAATACAATCGTAACAGTTTGGAGTGCCCCTAATTATTGTTATCGGTGAGTATTTCGTTCCCCTTTCAAATGAAGCTTACACAAGCGCAGATGCGGGAACGTTGCGTCAATATTACACCTAGACGAACATTTAAGCCAGGAATATAAGGTTTTTTCACATGCACCAGTGGTTCGTGTCTCTAATTCTCTTGCTATCATGTACTATCATGGACCGTCGAGGCGGGCTGTTCCATTCTGGGAAAACACCTACGGGTGGAGCTGTAAATCAATTAATCTATCTATCCACAAAACTGATGTCTGTATTAGGATGTTCGCTCTGTGCCTGCGAAACGCCCTCCGGCAGACTACTTTCTTTAGAGCTTTCTCAACCCAGGAATGATATGGTTAGTTTCACGTCATATAAAAACTGCACACATTTTCTTATCCAAATACACAATAGTTCAAACCTTGTGTTACATATCTGTATAGCTCCATTGCTCAATCTCAATCTCCTTGCGAATAATGTTACGGTGTTGACATTCTGTACATTCTAACTAAGGCTTACTAGAGGATTCATGAGTCGTTGAATATTCTTGATTGGTTGCCTCCTCGCGGTACCTGCTTCTGAGTTTGCTATGACACGAGTAATCAGTAGGCAGCCGTTCAACACTTTCAGGCTTCGGGCATCCTTCTGAGGAAGGGACAGCAACCCTGAACTCGGGAGATTCACTCAATAACGCCATCTATAAGTGCAAGGCCACTTCGATGTTGGAAAGGTGACTAACAGCAAGATACAATCGGAGAATGTTAGCTGAAGCTACGTGGGCTTGCGTACGGATAGCGTGAGTGTTGAGACAAGGGAGCACCGTGGAGGAGAATAAGAACTGTACGTCCAGGAATTGCGGTGCACGAAAATATCCTCTCTTGAGCTCTCTTGCTTGCTCCATCATCTAGGTGTGCAGGTACTCATTTCATTCCCGCCCTCTTCATGCTCAAGAATTTTGGACCCCATCCACCGTCCCTTGTTCTCTTATCTTTTCGCTGATGATTCCCTCATTTGACCCGTCCCGCTTGTGTATCGGAGCCAGCGCACAGTCCAGCTTGGTCAGGACTCTCCATTCACTGCCATTGGCTTCCCCGCAAAGACAATCAATCAACCATTCGTATATATCCTTACTCTGATAATCAATTACAGCGTAAGTATATTTCTGACATTCTTGAAACTGTCTCTCGTGTATCCGACGAGGTGACGCGCTCTTGCTTTATCATTAGAATCTGGTAAAATTTTAGGCGTAAATGAAACATACAAGGTGAGGCCTAGTGAAGCCACTCTTTGTCGTTATGTTAATCTCCGCACTTCAGTCTCCATACATTTAACTAAATTTCGGCGAGTCTCTCCCACTGGCCAACCGGAATCGTTTGACGAAATAGCGTCAGCTTGGACAGAGGACGACTGTTTGGCAAAGAAAGGTTCGACACAGACTTTGCCGATGTCTGCAAAGAGGTCCTCTAATATCCAAGCCAATCTCGGACCAGTTAGCTCGATTGCAGGCTCTGCGTTGATTTCCAGTAGCTTGACTTCGATTTTTGATTCATTTTCAATGTCTTTCGAGTCCTTTACAACAAGGAAGTCAACCCCAAACAGTTCGAAGGCGTTGGGGATTGCCTAAAAAGGACGAGATATTGTTGATTGAAAGGCGGAGTATGATTTTATTTACCTGGAAATTAATGGGATTTTCCAACGCAGCTTTGGATGTTTCTGCAAGAACGACTTCTATCTGGTGTAGGATGTCCGACACATCTTCGGCAGTCAGGATGGTTTGCTGTTCTGAGCCAGTTGACAGTATATGACAGCCAATGAGCTCATTCAAGAGCCTCACACCCTCCTCTCCGCGATTGGTCTGCAGTGAGGTATTGGTGAGATGTGGTGCAAGGTCTAGTATTTTGTCTTGCGGGTTAGGAGAAGAGTAAGGCACCGAGGAAAATAGAGCCAGGACGCGATTAAAAAGATATAATGTGAGTGCACCTGAGGCAACGCAGTACGCCCTTAAATGAAACTACCCGTTACGATGTCAGTCAAAGAATATCAAGATGCGATGTATTATTGTTGACAGACTTTATGTCCTTGAAGGATGTCTGGTTTTGATGTGTCAGGCCCGATAGGCACTTCTCTTGGGTCAATGAGCAAAGGATTCAAGATGTATTCCTGTAGAATTAACACTGGGTTACAATTGGTGAAGTTGAAGTAAAGTGTATTCACTTGTATGACAAAATGTCGCAGCTGTGATATTATCACAGCCGTGTTGGGTTCTTGTTCTTCATCTTCTTCATCGTCAGTTGCACTCTCATCCTCGAATTCCTCGAGGATTTTTTCCAACGTCCCTCGATCGTTGAAAATCCTTATACCATTTCCGCGATCGGCCATTCCTCTACACTGCAAATAAGATATCATTCTCACTCAATGGTGCCATATCACTCAACGGTTTTAAAATCCACCATTTCTGAGTATCTCCGAGTTCTTCGCCTAGTTCCCAAAGCTCGTCCGCAAACAGTTCATCGAGCTCATCAGCAAATGATATTTCGATTTCATATGTTCGAGGCCAAGCTGTTTTGAGCACAGACTCGGGATGTTTGGTGCAGTAAGAAAATATGCATCGGGATAGAAAGTGCTTCCTGATCAAGCTCTTTCGAATGATGTACGATGATTGAAGGATAGAATCGTTCCTGGAAAATTCGTGTTCGATTTCATCGTAAGAAGACCATTGGACGAGTGGAAATTTTAGAGGTGCATCAGGAATGGATGTAAGTATTTGAACTGGAATGTTAAGGGACTCCAGTGCTTTCCGAACTAATGATTCTGTAAACGGCGCAGCAGGCCATATACATGCGACCGTCAGCATAACTGGTCAAAGCAAGCACTCACTGCCGGCCGGCAAAGAAAATCATACGCCAAATAGACCCTGGGTCATCGAGTTAGGTTTCTAAACTCTTTTTCCTCGGGCCATGGGAGCAAACTATGTCTTTTCCCTGCAGCCTACCTTCACTCAAGGTTTTATCTTTGGGCAATTGTCCATTCTTGTTCTGCTGGTCTTCGTTCTCAAATACCTCTTCATGGATTCAACCAAATACCCATTCGAGACAACTTCATACCATCCGAGAATAAACAGCGATTCTATCATGCGGTCACAGAAGCCATACAACCAAGCTAGCGATGAAAATGAACTGAACAAGGCGGATGAATCAGCGGAATGGTTGAATTTACTTTTGCATCAAGTGTGTGCTATCTTGCGTTAAAATCTTCTTCCTGTTCGATACTTACTATTCGTCAAGATCGTCGGAACGTACAGGTCCAAACTTCGAAATGACCTTCCTGGTGCAAGTGGAGATGAAGTTGCCCGAAAACGAGTAGAAGACTACGCGAATAAGATACGGCCTGCAAGCTTTCTTGTGAGATACCGGCGGCTTGCTCAGGAATTTTCGTTATCGCTGATGATATTCAAGGATACAATCGTCGTCCATTCTGTAGACCTTGGCTCTTCAGCGCCACATTTATGCAATGGACGTCGCGTTCATCCTTCACCATCTTCCAACCCACAAGTGAGCCTTTACATTTCGTCATTATGTACGCTCTATCAACTCGGTCCAGGAAATTGAATTTGACGTGAATTATGTGGACTCTGTCTCTATCTCTCTTTCTACTTCATATTTATTCAACTACCCAATGCCACTGTTTGCTCGGCTTCCCGTCGCCCTCACCATTTCATTATCACTTTTCAAATCTTCTGTGAGCAATTTGTTGTCCTGAAGGGCGTTCGGATTCCCTAAAACTCTCTGCAGGTAACCATCACACCTCCAATACACACTTCTCCAGCACCAACATTAACATTCTCCATATCACCGACGTTCACCCTCGACCTCACGACAATGTCTCTCATGGGTAGTCGAGCAAAGCTTGCCAACGTCCCAAAGTTACATGATTTGATACAACACCAAGTCCATCGTGTACTTGCCGCGAAGGGTGTTTGGAAAGTGGTTCTACCAGGATTAGCGACTGTCGACGAAGTGAAGCAAGAAGTAAATAATGAAATGGCGGATGCTGCTCCATCATGACATGTTGCTATACTAGACGAATGTGCATACCATACCTGTATTTAATCCTAATAAACCCGTGTCACTGTTCGAGTTCAACTGTATCTTCGTACGACATCGCATGAATGGTCATATTCCGATCTCGTCCATCCACTGTTCAATCTTGACAAAGGCATCTTGGCCTTCCACATCATTCACTACGATCCTGTCCACTCTGTCATCTTTGGCTAGCCTATTCCCAGCAACTTGTAAATTGGCCATTCCTTGCGGGGTATCCACAATTGCAATTGGAAACTTCAGTTCAAAGTTAAACTCTGGTAGGGCATGGGATAAAAGAGATTTAGATAACAGAGAATGGTTGGACGCAGGAGGTGATATGAGAACCAGTCCGGAAGCGGGATTGGACGAGATGTATGTTTGAGTAATAAGACACGCAGCGCCTCTAGCAAAGAAAACCGGCGGGAAGGGATTGAAGGACGCTCTGACAACGCTTTTGAGTTCTGTACTCGGGATATTAGAGCAATCAATTGAAACGTGAGAGTGGTATGCACCCGATTCAAAATCTTGCATTCTGTTCACGGAACTTGCATCGGTAGATAGCGATAGGTCAGTATCTAGAGAAGTATATCCCTTCTCAGAGTACATCTGGGCCAGAACGGTGAACTTGGAAAGATTTAGAAGTCGCAATTAATCCAGCTTCTTGCACGTAGTTCATTCACCCTTGACGAGAAGACGATTGGTCCCATTGGGTTGCAGAAACAAAGACCAGAGGTGTAGGAACAATCCTTGGCGCAGAGGAGGGCGGTTCTCGGACAAAGAAAGAAGATATCGGTCTCTGAAAACGAGTACGCGCTTGGGTTATTGGGCGTAAGAGGGAGAAAACCATCACGATGCGAGAATCCGGATTTGGTAATCATTTTCCTCCTTGCTTTCTTCCGCCATGACCTCCGTCTCGTCCAACGTCGTCTTTGACGACATTTTTAATATCAGTTCTATCGACAAAGAGGGCAAAAAATTCGATCGAGGTTCGATCTTTGAGAATATATATTCTTTTGGCCTTCTTAACACAACTCAGTGTCCAGGCTTTACGCGCATTCAAAAAACTACGATATGGATCTTACTCTAGACTATAATATTGAACTTTTCCCTCTGGCCGTGAATCAAAATTTTGCGCTGGCATTAGCATCCTCGTTGGCTCGTGGTCCTCCGACAACAAATCCAGATGCAAATGAGGACGAAGACAAGGACAGGGATGTTTGGCGGCCTGATGGCAAAGGACGCAGAGGTTTAGAAGAGGACTATGACTATGTCATGTATGGGAAGGTCATTGAAAAACGCCTCTCAACAGCTTTCAGCCTTTCGCTCATTTCGACTACATTTAGATCTATAAATTTGACGGAGGAGATTCCGATTTCGTGTAGGTGCTATGAGCTAAACTCTTGTCAAGTCCATTCCGGTTCATTCTTCTTGAACAGAACTGCATATATCTCATTTGGTGGCCTTCTCATGTCTTTGACCGGCTCCTTTCGACATATGACCAACATCGTTTTGGGAGATTCGATATACGTATTGCTACGGAGGTAGCGAATGCAACAGCATCAGCCTAAATGCGGACTTACTTACCCTGAAAACATATCTACATACGCCTCACCCGCCGCTGTTGGATGGCCATCGCTAAAGGCTAAAGCGTAAAAGCTCAGCAGGCAGTATTGAAAATCCAAATCCATGTAGGTGTAATAATACAAAACTGTAGAGCGAAAGGACATCTATCAAGTTTATCATGAGCATAGCAGTAATGTGAAACAAGATTACAATCCGAAGAGCAAAAGCAAGTAATGAGTGTTTGAGATGCTAGATGACTGTTAGACCAAAAGGAATGAGAAAAACTCGAAATAAATAACCGTAAATTTCAGATTCGTAAAATATCATGAAGCTCTCAATTCCCTCAGTTTCGGGATAACGTCGCCAACTTCCGCCTCTTTGAGGTTACCCCGACCACCCCAGAAACGTCGAGTATTAGTCCGGACACCGACTTGTACGCTGGGCTCGACTCGTACAGGCTCCCACTTTTCACTAGGGGCAATATGGTGCATAGGCTCCAATGCATGACCTGTAGGGGGCATCGAGGCAGTGATGTCCTGATACTCGACGCCGAAAAACTGGGTAAGCTTGGCTGCTCTACGCCGACGCTCCCGGAAGTTCTCGTCAATGTTAGAATCGATAGATGAGGATTCGGCGCTGTGAATGCTCGTTGACGAGGGAGAGATCGAATGGTCGACGTCGAGATTTGATTGTATATCGCAATCACGCAACGACGTCGCCGCAGACAGAATGGAAGTTCCACTTGTCTCAGCTGAATGAACTTGAGTTGAATCAAGTTGTTGAATTTGTACCGTGTCAGGGGGAGCAGGCGGAGGGGTAAGGACTCCAACAGCCTGTGTAGAGAATTGTCAGATATATTCATACTGGATAGATAAAAGACATACCGATTCAACGCCGTCCGGAACCTGCTTCCGATTCATACTTCCAGACTTTTGAGAAAGCTGGGGATAGAAATCGACAATACTGTCTACTTCTCCAAGTTTCTTCTTCCTGTTAGCACTGAGAGATCGGCTTCGATGCAAGGGTCCATTCGAAACCGCCTCATCCGACCGTGAAGCAGCTCTCGCCAACGAAGCGTCATAGCTTTTTCGAGCTTTGAGCGCATGGGGTGCAGTAGTCTTTGCTTTATCTTCTCCCAAATCTCGGCGCGGTTTAATCAGTCGACGGGTTTGCAGTTCGTCAGACATTTGAGGTGTTGACGAGAATATGGGTATCAATGCGCGCACATCGTCTGAAAATGGTTTCGGACGTGTCCAAACATGCAGAGGTGGTTGCTGGCGATGCTGGGTGGGTATATGTTCCGAAAACGCGTCGATACTCTCTCGCGGGAGTGAAGGAACGGGGGGAATCGCTTCTCGGTCCGAAACTTCAATTCGATTTCCGCTCTCCGACGAGCTGGCCAAATCGGACTGAGAGGAGAATTTACGCCCTGTGTGCTGTTTCAACTGCAGTTCCGAGTCAGAGCCATGTGTGGAGATTGACCGGCGGTGACGGGGAGTTTTATTTGGAACGCGCGAATTGTTAGAAGTAGGCAGAAGGTCTGGCACTTCTCCGAAAACTCTGCTGAGCTTACGAGCTTTCTTCAGCAGCCTAGCCTTTTCCTTCGCGTCTAGTTCGTTTGTCGTCGGTGGGATGGGCTCGTCAGAGAAATTGGCATCTATACGCATGGGCGACCGAGGTATAATTGGGATTGAACCTCCGGAATTGACACGAAATAGAGTCTTTGGACCACTGAAAGAGCTCGTCGGAGTGTAACGCTCCATGGTGTCAACAGTCGCGCTCGTGAGATAGGATTCGCTCGATATACCAGGTTGGGGGGATTTCTTCTGTGCCGAAAGCTGCAAAAAGAGGGAAAAACGATTACGAGATGGTTTGGGCTGAACATAATTCAGGGAAGCCATAAAAGTTAGAATCAGATGGTTGGTTGCTGGGGTGCAACTGACAGTGAATAGAATATGCTGTTCAAGAAGTAGCTGTACGAATGGTAAGGGAGCACGGCGTACGAAGCCTGGTCTCAACCGCGCACGATTCTCTTCAACGGAAGACAGTAGAGGTTCTGGGAAAGGTGGACGGTGAATGAATGAATTGGAAGGGGTCCCAGGGGAAACACGGCTTTCCACTTAAAATCAGCAATAAGCGAGCCCATTGATTTGGAAGCAAGATACTATCATTGGAAGAACCTGGGAAGAACCAAAGTCGGCGTGTCGGTGATGGGCATACATCGCGTTGTTTTTTTTTGACGCGCTCCAGGACCATTCCCCATTCCATGATTCCCATCCCAGGTGTTGGCGTTTCATCATGATCCATTAGTATTAATAGTAGATGGTACAGTCTACTTCCTTCTACTAATCTAGCTTTAACGATAACTTAAAAAAATACATAGTCAACATAAATCCAGTCAAACAAAGCAGCCTCATTCGACATTATCGGGACGGATCCCGCTCAAATTTTCGCGCTAGTCCGATAGCAGAAGGAACACGAACAAGCGAGACTCGGTGAGCGCAACGTGTTTTGTTCCATTCTTCAGCCTGCTCTTCGGCGCTCTCTCGGGCGCTGTAATACTTTTCGTGGTGATTTATTTCGTCGTGACTTGCCCTGGGGGACGTTACGTTTGAAAGCAGTTCCGCCGTTCTCGAAGGTAGCGGAACAACGTCGTCTTCCTCTCGGAACAACTCAGGATTCAAAGAGCCAGAGCTACTGTTTCTCAAGGAAATATCAAGTTCGTAGGGATCCGGACCCTCAGGAGAGAAAATATCATCATTCGAATTCCATTCCGGCCCAAAGTCAAAGGCGGAATGGAACGATTGAAGTGAGCCTGCAGTGGATTCTGATTGATGCACAGAAGGAGTATACATCTTCGGTGGTATAGAGACTTCCGGTGATGCGAGACCGTTCGACTCATGAAATGAGAGGGTCATACGAGGGACAGGTGGTCGCTGGTGGCTTTGTAGTGTTTCCAGGGCTGCTCGGAGAGCGATTTTGTTTGCCCGACTCCAATTTTGGCTTTCAGTAGTCATGTCATTGAGCAAGACTTTCCGATGGCATGTGTATTTTGCAAGATCGAGTCGGACTTGCATGACACGCTTAGCAATATTTTGTACGGCCATTGAAAGCCGTTCACGTGTGGATCTTTGGAAAGGCGTGAGAGTGGCTACGTTCTTGGCGAAGCGCAAGTCAGACTCGAGCTGACTCTGAGATGCAGATATCTTGGTATCCAATTCACGAATCTTTGACAGCACTATGCGAGACCGTGGCGGTAAATGTGAATCATCTTCAGGTAATGAATCTGTTCGTTCAACATTGTGTTCTTCAATTGGAGGTTCGCTATCGGGTGAAGCACAGCGTCCAGCCGCGAGATCTGCTTTCACCTGGTCAAATGTTGCCTTGAATTGGTCAGCCCCTTCGACTTCTGGGGCTACCGGAACGTCGTTATCTATAACCGATGAGGAACTCATCGTGGTAACTCGACGTTTGGGTAAAGCTCTTTTGAAGGGTGAATCTGACTCCCCAGAAAGCATATCCATGAGATCTCGTGATGCCTCGCTACCCCATTCCGACTTGGTTTGATTGTGTTGGAGATCGTGGAGGTGAGAAGTGGCTGCAGCGACACCAGTAAGCTGTACGTCTTTGCCGGACATTCCAACAGGTCGCATTTGGACCCCTGTGGACTTAAATGCACTAGCGTAGTTTATCCTAGATATCCACTCGTTCATTTCGAACTCGCTATCGGTTCCAAAAAGGAATTGCCGTCCATCAGCTAATGCGAGTCGAAATATGTTATCATGCTGCAAAGAAAATGTTTCAATAAGTCCTTGATATCTAAAGGGTAAAATGACATACCTTGAGATAGGACTGGTCATAGACAGCCACCGCATTTTTCAACGATATAACCTCATTAGGCGTGAATATAGCAGTTTGAGGGAAGAACCCAGATTCAGTGGAGGTCCCGTTTTGATTGAGAAACATGGTAGCCCAAGCAGGATCGCGAAGAAAAAGCAGTTGAGAGCCAGTTAGCACTACGCTGAAAGACTTCCATTTACGATTTGAGGCTTTTTTCCCTCCTTCCAGAATGTCCTCTTTCCGGTTCAACGAACCCACTTTCGTAACCTTGAGACGCCACGTCTCAGTTCCTGGTGCATATAGATCGCTGCCTGTTGCAAATGGCCCCGAGGTGCTGCCCCCTGAACTAAAAAACGGGGATGATGGTGGTGCTCGAGATGAGTCTAGTGGGCCCATGACAATAACATTGGGATTGACAAATGCACGTTGAAGTTCTTCTTCATTCCATGGACCTCCAGTACCTTGGGCTGAATAGGGTTCGGTTAAGGGAACGAATATCTCAACATCTACTTTAAGGTGACTAAGTAGATTCTACGAAGTTGGATAAATTACAATGCGATGAGAAAAGACTTTTAGTTACTCACATTGGAGATAAGGTAATATGGATCAACCTTATTGCCCTTTCCAAGAAGTGTCGAGCCGTTAACATTACTAAACGAGCTGCCGGATGGTAACCCTCGATTCCCGTCGACGTTGTAAATGTGCTGACCATTCACGTCCACAGGGTCTTCCACGAAAATGAAAGGCGCGAAAACAATGTTGTCATAGAAATAATCCAGTACCTCCGGCGCCACACCAGGCATGCGAGTATTCTTGATATAATCTGCTTTAGTCATTTTCCGTTTATTGCTTTTATTGAAAGCATCAGTGTGGAGCATAATACAGCTAAAGGACAAAACATATGGCTGGTCTATCCACCAGGTCTATAAGCAGGCAAGATCGGTAAACATTTGATGCTTACCTTCCGAAGTGAAGAGATTAGGATGAAGTTGATGATAATGAGAAGCAAAAGCTTGCATAACACGATCAATTTGTTGTGTCTCTCGAGGTAGACCGACATCCATAAGTAGTCTGCGGAGAGCAACATCAAGAGGATCATTGTCGAAATCAAAACGACCAATATAAGATCGTAATGCCTGAACATGGAACATATCATTGCTGCATAGAATGTGAGTAATTGCGAATATTTCTCCATCGAGTAAATTACCTCGAGGCTAAAATTCCACCAATTTCTGCTTTACTGACGGAGACCATCAAACGGCTCAAATAAACCTCTGGAGACTCTTCATCCATTTGAGGTTTGGGTATCTGCGTAGGTTTAGAAGTGGATATTCGCAAGGGTGAAGGAGATGTTAATATTGGAGTCGAAGGAGCGGGATGAGAGTGATTGGCTGAATAGGGAGAGAAGAGGTTCATCGAAAGACGACGAAGAAGAGGCGGATTTGTCTGCGCGCGCGGCCGCTTTGATGGTGATGGTGCTTCGAATATAGAAAGTTTTTCCCTTGTCCCTATGGCAGGTGAAGTCAAAGGTGAGGCAATAAATTCAGAAGAGCCTGCGGACGTGAATCTGGAAAGCTGGGGACGGGAATGAGAAGCATCTGCAGTCAAAGGTCTACGGACTTTCTCCGGCTGAGGGACTTCAGGAGCTGGAAGGATCAGACTAGGTAGCTCAAATTCTGAAGCCTTCAACAATGAACGCCTGTTTCGTTCGGAATGACTTCTAGAAAGAGTTCGAGCATGATCAGGCTTGAGCGATTGTGATGTAGACTTCACCATGTCGACGTTAAACGGTGACAAAGGAGGGAGAGGAGGAAGGGGTGTAAGGTTTATATCACTTTTACGAGCTACAGGAAGGGTGTCAGGGGATGTCGCCTTTTTCCTTGACCAGAATGAAGCTCTTCGGGTCAACTTGTTCGGGGGATGGGTTGCCGACTGAGGCGCCGTTTTCTCCGTCTCTTTGCCTTTCCCTTTCGAATCCGATGTACCAAGTCCAAGAAAGCCGGAGGGACCCAATGAAAGGCCGCGAGCGCGCCTCTGATTATGAGCATTGGATGGTAGTGACACTGATGCGGTAGAGATCGCTCGCTGTTTCATTTGCCCTTTTTGCTCCTTTCTGAGAGAAAGCAATTCCGGCGAAGAGGGAGTAGATATAAACGCGACGCTGTTAGTTTCAGCTGAAGACGAAGAAGATGAAGCAAGAGGAAGAACATGAGTTAAACTCAGTCCTAGGGACGCTTGCGCCAGAGCAGTGGTTGACGTCGGCCTCGGTGGACTTCCGAGAGAGAGTCTCGTAGGGTCGGAGGAAGGGAATAAGGTAGGCGATAAGGTCTCTTGTTCTAAGGAGGTTCTCTGCGAAGTTTCACGCGAATCGGCCAATGGAGTATCATGCCCACTGCTACTACTACTTTCTGGCGTTGGTGGCAATTCCTTGTCCACTATTAGTCTGGAGGAGCTTGGAAAGCCCATTTCATCCACGTGAGATCGTTTTGGTGGATGCCTTGGAGACACCGTACTGTTACTGTACGGTACTGGAGCTGCTCTCTTCCTCCAATGAGGCAATGAGAAGAAATGGGTCGTAGTCTGCGTGGTGGTGGTAACAACTTCAGTGGTCGTGACTGTCGTCTCTGCAAAGAGCAGGCTGGTAGGATCGTCTTCCTTGTACGGGGGAGGAGTTCCAGGGTGAACACTGTTGTGCCGCGAAGCGAAGGGGTTCAAACCAACCATGCAGAGGTAAGAACGAGATGGGCTGCGGAATTTCGATCAAGAAATCCGTTTTTCCGCCCAAGTTTATTGATACTGAGGTCGACGATGACAGTATATTAAAGGCTGAGAGTTAGATAGTGGGCTTGCGCGAATTACAGCGCTACCTCGTGTGACGCGCTCTCACGCCCCTAACTTCAAAGCTCAACTTGAAAGATCTACCAGATTGACTACATACAACAAAAATGTGGCAGAGATGTGAAGATGTACGTGTCCACAATGTACTGTAGATCAACTCTATGATGTCTAACCCAGTTTGCGTTTTTGCTTGTGAAGATTCTTCTTCTTTTCTTCCAATTTTGAGCGCTGAGGAATGGTTAACCGACGGATTCAAAAAATCTACGTTGCAGACATACCTCGAGATTGCGCTTGTCCTGGCTGTGCTTCACCTTCTCGTACAGCTTCTTTTGTTTGTTGCTCATCATCATTTTGTTCATGTCCGTCTCCGCCTCGTCAACGCCATTAGATGACGACTTCTTCGACTTGCGACGCGATTTCGCGACCTCCTTTTCGAATGTACTAGGATCAATGCCTGCTGCTTCCGCGGCTAGTTCCGCGGCTCTTAAAGTCGCGGAGTCTTCCGTAGCAGCAGTGGCTACTGCTTGTAGAACCTCGTTCTCTAAATCGGCATCTTCAATTTCGACATCCTCGCCCTCAATCTCGCTTTCATCTTCATCTGCAGCAGCCTCCTCGTTCGCGAGTGCAGCCGGATCATATGCACCCTCGTATTCTCCAAACGGACTCAAATGAGGAGGAAGAGTTTGCCCTTGAGCATACGGCGCTTCCAGGAGAATTTTGCCAGCATTTATTGAGTCTACAACCCATTGGGGTTGAACATATCTCCTCTTTAACCGCCGTTCTCGTTGTTCATCAGTTTCTGAGGGTTGTTCAATCACTGGCCGGTCTATGATAACATGGGTTATAGAGTCATCCGATTCATCGAATGGGGAGCCTCCGCCAGATGATGCCGGCCAGCCAATTTTACCACCGAACGATCGCACGAGGAATTCGAATATTGGGCGAGAGGTCTCACGTGAAAGCCAGAAGGTGTAAGGAGCAAATAGCGAGGTGTTGATCGACTGAGGCAGAGCCTTTAAAGATTGTAGAGTAGGTAGTGATGATGCCATTTCAGCGTCCGATTTCGAAGGCTGGACTATAAATTCCTCTTCGGTTTCGCCAAAGTTATTTTCGACAGTGGGTGCATCAACGTCCATATCATCTGCATTAGAAGATGATGAAGCAATATTTTTGATTGTCTTGTAAACATCCCTCCCTGATACCTGACGGCCTTCGACCTCCACGACCTTGACCTTCGTTACTGCGGGCTTGTCTGATTTTTGTGACGCCTCCTGCAAAAGATAAGCTCCGACACCGGCGGCACTTTCATCTCGTTTTGCGTCTAGAGGTGGGGGGTATACTAGACCGACGTCTGTATAAAGCTTGAAGAACACGAAACCAAGGAGTGTCTGATACAACTCCAGGAAAGTCAACATTACTCGAACGTCCACATCGACCGGGATCTGTGCGAAAAATTTGAAAATGGTTGAAATGCGAACAGTGGTTAGGACGTACGTTTTGTGTAAATTGATAGGGTACGAGCCATGTGATGGTTTGGTCCATAACTTCAGCCTGGTAATATACACCCTTGATAGACAAGAACGCTTTTCGCAGTGAATGGGAGCGCATAATATACAGTTGCCATTCAGCCGCAAGCCGAGAGCAGTTTTCGACCAAGGAAGGGGGGATACGAGGATTTGAAGGGAGCGAAGCAAAAAGAAATATCATGCAAAGGGCATCGTCGATATCCCGTAATGCGTCGATGAAAGTAGGATATCTTTAGAAATTGAGTTTACGAACTATGGTCGAGAACATGCTACCATAACATACCTTTCCTTGATGATGTGATCCAGCTTGTACACTGGCTTATTTTCCTCTAAACTTTTAGCACTGCTCCATTCCCCTCGACCAAGAGCTCGTGACAACTTTTTAGCAAAGGCCTTGTGTTCCCGAAGCTTCTTAAGGACAGGCTCGTGTGCCAGATAAGCAATATCTTTTGCGTAGTAGAAGGACGTCGGGGCAGAAGATCCTTTATTGGCACGTTTCCTACTTTTGGGCTCCCGGGGGAAGATACCTATCGAGATGAGTTAGAAGTGAAGGTGTATAATTTTCATTGTGTTACCCTTTAAAATACAGAGGCGACGGAAATCTGCAAGAGAGCATTGAAGCTTCTTGATAGCTATGGAGCGAGTAACATATGCTTTAGCTGCACCAGCGTTTCCTTTCTGCCTCAAGCGACCCATACTGAACGAGAGAAGTGCAAGTAGACGGTGAGAGAAAAGATTAGGCGTCTAATTTGACAGAAGGAAAACTTTACTCCTTCAGCTCAATCTACAATGAGGTTCGCTTTTCTCTGTTCTCTGCCCTCCTGTTGAAATCATCTCAGATCTTTGATTTTTTTCTTAGTCAATATGTTCACGTCCCAAAATCTGAACTAGACGAGGCCCAGTTGCGGCAGCTCGAGGAGCATGAAATCTCGCAGGGTCCTCTGTCAGTCCTGCAACAAGCAGTCAGAAATCATGCTCAAGTGCTCATCTCTTTGCGGAACGATAAGAAGCTGTTGGCCCGTGTGAAGGCGTTTGATAGGCACTGTAACATGGTGAGGTTGCGCCATGCTCCTGCATTAATTGTGTGTATTGATCCAATTTTCCTGTCAGGTCCTAGAGAATGTCAAAGAGGTCTGTTCCGACTGCAGCTAACCTGCATCGATGTAGATTTACGATTTTGAACAGATGTGGACGGAAATCCCCAAAGGAAAGAACAAGAAGCCGGTCAACAAAGATAGATTCATTAGCAAAATTTTCCTTCGGTAGGATCCCAAAATGATGTCTGATAAGCTGCTGACCGTTTTATCTTTTCTTGTTCAGTGGGGACTCAGTTATCCTCGGTGCGTCCATCTTCAAATTCTCGTGGTCCATACGGCGCTGATTTTGTTTACAGTTCTACGCAACCAAGCATGATCTGAGCGTCTAACGTACTACATTGTTTTTGTTGTATCAATATATGTTTTTTCCTAGTGAAGGAAGCGATTGAGCTAAATAAAGCAGGATAAAGCACGCCCCTAGGCTTCTCTTTGTTTTCCGACTGGCATAATATTATGGTCGCCTGGTTCTCTGCTGTACAAGACTGAATCTATGCATGTATGTACAACATTTCAATTACAAAAAACATAAAGTAACGAGAAGAAATTAGGTGGGGTTGATTGCTCGTCGATTCGTCCACATCATGTACGGTTCCCTAGTTATATCAGGAGCAGTCTTCGTGCGCGCACTACGGCGTGCCTCAGGGAGCTTTGCATGTACATTCAAGTCCTAGAGTGCAATGAATCAATGTCCGATAGGATACATGCTAACACATAAGCCTACCTGCATGCGCCGCCGGATGCCTGCTGAAATATGTATCCACCACTTACTCAACGCCTGCTTCAACGCTATTTCTCTGTGACCTTTGGGATTGAGCCAGGCAATGAACTGTTCGAGCTATGTGATTACAATATGGTCAACAATACTGGCCATCAAAGAAAACGGACATACCTCATCCATATCCGAATACACCGCCCAATCACCTGGACCTAGCATTCCTTCCTGACCCTCTTCCTCCAAACGACGGATTTGCACAGGAACCTCGTCATCTGTGCGCCTCATCATAAGCTCCAGGTCGAATTCACTGGGACCCTGGATGAAAACTCTCCCAGCACCATACTGTGTAGCCCCGCCACTCCCAACCAAGCTGGCTGACCCAAGTCCATCAAACCACCATATACGATTGTAGAACCGATCTTTGCCCATAGGCTTTACCCGAACACCACCCAGAAGTTTCCTAAATTCCCTCTCAATCGCTTCCAAGCGCCGTTCGAGTTTATTGACTTCCTCGTCCAATCGTCGGTGTTCTGCCATAGCTTGCTTGGCTGACGCCTGTTTGGCGCGCGCGGCTTCACGTTGTTTGGAATGTGCTTGAAGTTGAGCTTTTTGGCGGAGGTCTTTTGACTTAGAGGTGCTTTTCTTCGATTTTCCTGAATCCGAACCATTATCTGAGGCTGGAACGTCTGACATATCACTAGGATCCTCCATTCTGGCGTCTTCGTCTACAGGTTCCTCTTTGGCTTCTCCCATGAGCACGTTCATTTCCTCCAAACTATGGGAAGGATAGTTTAAAAAAATACGAAGCGTCGAGATATGAATCACATACTATTGTTTCTTCGTTCGATTGACCTCGATCTTCTCCTTTCGAAGCGAAGTAAGCTGCTCTTCACAAGACTCCATGTGTTGATGAATAGCCTTGCTAGATATCGCGAGGTTCACCATAAAGCTCAATATGGCTATTCGATCATGCACTGGAAGATTCATGTATCTTTCGCGTGGGGTAGAAATCGCGGAAAGACGTTGGGGGGGAGGAGTTGGTTCAAGAGGGGAAGGTGCCCTCGAACTTGAAGGCGATGTATCATGAGGTGCGGGCGCCTCACTCGGGTCTGGAGCGAAGAGCAGCTTCGTAAGAATTTCGCGCATACGAGGGAAATTTTCTCTGGTGGCGTGCTAATAGAGGAGGTTAAAAATTGGCGACTGGGTGAAAAAATGAAATTTTAGTACTGACATCTTTCAAACATCCGATTAACGCTTCCTCCCAGCCTTCACGACCTTCCGAATGTCGAAGAGGAACACGTTCCCAGTTGTTCCCTATATCTGACATGGCAGCGGATAGTTGGTCAGTGTTGACGCCGAAGTATTCTTCGTCCTCCATGCCATCAGATTGAAGGTGATCCTTCCTCTGGAGCAAGGATAAAACCGCGCTGTGCCGGGCGAAGGGAACAGTACGCAGATTATAGATTAGCGTTGAATGCACTTCTGCTAATAGTGAGCAGGGCATGTCCACGTCCGTATGCTTAATAGCATGCTCGAATTCATCAAGGGTGAAGGGAGATATATGTAGTGGTTGACTATATGCAATCAGTCAATGAGTGTAATAGCATAGCGAAGCGACGACTTACCCATAGACGACCATAAAGTTCCAGGCCATGAGAAAGGACTCAAACAGTCCAGAATGGTGGTTGAAGGGTAGAGCGTGTGAAGTGGGAACGGGTCTCTTCAACTTCATCCCCGCTTTGAGGTCCTTGTCTGTTAAACGAACATCAAGGTCTTCAGTGGGGTAACGTATGGGTTTCTTTTTTTTCTTTTCTGCGGCGATCCTTTCAGCTTCTTCTCTAGCTATCCTCTGTTGGTCCAGTTTCTCCTGAGCCTCACGGTCGCGTTTGAGAGCGGCAGCTTTTGCTGCGGAAGATGCGGAATTTGGTGAGTGTGCAAATAGATAGTGAAGACAGACATTATATTACCTTTTTCTTCTTGAGCGGCAGTCATCTTCTTGTGCTTTTTATTAGGCGGTCCGTCTTTGTCTTCCCAAACTTTCTTGCGTTTATCGTGTTCGCCTTTTTTGATGGCCTCGACATTGTTACGCGTGTCTTCAGTCATACTGGATATCACGCCGTACTTTTGAGCAATGGCTGGTTTAACTGTCCAAGGGGATGCTACTGCGGCGTCGCGATCTACGCAATCTCGGATGAAACGACGAAGGATAGATTTTGAGAATGAAAGGCGATCCCGACTAGTAAATCAATTAGGTCAAGGAGAGTAAACCAGGGACTGCCACGAAGAAAGCCATACCTCATGCGACCGCACTGAACTTCCATCAAACTGCCAATCATCTCCGCGCCATCGCTCGGCTTGCTGCCTTTGCTCTTGTCGCTCTTATCCCTCTCGAGTTCCGTGAGGAGAACCCAGTAATAATATAGGAATGGGTCATCGCGGGCGTTAACCTCCTTCACAGGGGTTTTCAGGTCGTCGTAAATCTGATGAGGTTCTTCGTTATCAATGGGTCGAGATGTTCCCTGTTCGACACCATCCACGTCAGGTTTGTTCGCGTCCCGCGCAGCGACGTCGGTGCTGTACTTCGGTGGATAGACGGTATGGACTACACCATAATATCTGTAGGGTCTTTCAGCAATGCTCGCCACACATCGGAATTACAAGGGACGTCGACACTCACTTGATTCCATTGAGGTCAATCAAAACTCCTGGGTAAAGTGTTAGAAGCGTAGAAACAATACAACAGATGTTGAAGACATACTTTCGCCCTTGTAATATCGATCCTTAAATCTTTCGTACACCGATTCAACGAGATGGTCCAGGCGACCAACTACCTCTGAAGAGTCGAAACGGAGAAATCAATCGCTGAACCGAGCACGACGTAAGGGACAACGTACGGAATTGAACAGCCTTGAGAATAGCAGGCTTGAGAGGCTCCGAGAAACGCGAATGAAGTGTCTCTGCCTCTGAACGTTCGCTTGACAAAGCCTGAAAGTAATCGAGACCACTTTTGCCGGTGACTTCACACTGGAATTGCTTCAAGCGATAAAAGGACATTCGCGCAGCATAAGCTCTGAGGACAAAATAATGAGCTGGAAGACCTGGTACATAGGGGGACCAGAACATACTCGTATGTTTCGAAGATTTCGCCGGTCTGCTGAAGGTAAAAGACATCTCTACTTGGATTACTCTTGAGAGCTCTAAGCAGGGACTCTGAGGGCTGGGTGAGGACAACACGCTTGCGACGGCACGTCGGCATATTAAACTACTGAAATCCAGGAAGTTTTGAGGCAGCCAGAGACGCTACAAGCCGTGCAGGACGTTGTGAGGAAGCTGGGGCAAGTATTAAGGACTTGGGACGGGAGATGAAAACTTTGGACTGGCGGGAACGATGGGGAGAAGGGAAAGATGGGAAGGGCTGATGGAACGGCGTGGCTTTTGCCTAATGCCTTTTCTTCCGGATGATACCCCGTCCTACTGTATCCAGCTGTGAGTCTGGGCGCTTTTCACCCTTTTTAACTGTTCTCTTTTCCGGGCCAAAGTTTCCCAATTTTCCATTGTGCTCTTCTTAGCTCTGCTTCTGTCCGTCCCTGCAGATGACCAGCACTGTCCGCTTTTCCGTATATATACGCTCAAGTAGGAGGAAAACAAGACAGACAAGTGCAAATGACGCCGACTTGATCTATTATTCAAATTGATACTCATTCTAAAATTTGTCTATAGCATTTCCTTTGCTGCAATTGCGGAATTCGAGGTCATCTTTTGTTTGAACTATTCGTTCAATAAACACTTGCAGTTGAGCTTTAAAATTAGAGTCCGCCGCTGCGACGAGGGAGGGAAAATTTCCACGTGACGGTGTGCAATACCGGACCGAACGGTTACTAGCTACGACTCCGAATACTGTCGCAATGACAAAGGCTATAATTACGAAGGCCATACTCGACTCAGACTTGTTCAATCATTTTACTGATATATACTGAGCTCCCAGCGCTACATACGAGCTTTTACCATGAAAGATGTTTGCAAAGAGGGAGTTACGTGTCTGGTGATGCAAATGATATTGGCACCGCAGTTCTGCCGTTCTTGTCAATCTACCATCATCACCCCGTATATCTTGACCCTTTTCTCCTTTCTTTACCACATAACGGAAAGCCTAAATTTTTCGCCAATTTGTGCTTCACGCCTTTGAAGACTGCACAATTGCGTGATATAGTGTCCTACTCATCATACGGCTTGAGTGATCCACTTTTCCCTCTGAATGAACCCAGGTGGCCGTGCTGTGGCTGTTGATTTCGTCGAGGACGAATTTGAAGAGATTGGGTATCCAGAGACGTTGCCAACTTACTCGCCTCATATGGACGAATCTGCTGCGGCCAGACGCCGACTTGGAAAGGGCAAACCGGAGGGTGCAGAAGAGAAAGTATGGTACGACGACGAAGACGACTATAAAGCGCCCTCCGTGCGCTCCATTAGCGGTGGTAGACCCGCCCAGCTAGCCTTGCCACCACCAACAACTCTCCGCGAATTCATCTTCCAAAACATGCCTTCCATACCTCCCCTTGTTTATACCCTTCTCGCCTGCTACACGCGCTTTCATCGAATCGGGCTGTCAGCAACGGTCGTTTGGGATGAAGCGCATTTCGGAAAATTCGCTTCTCATTACCTGAAGAGAGAATTCTACTTTGACGTTCACCCGCCTTTGGGCAAAATGTTGGTTGGTCTAGCTGGCTTGCTTTCTGGGTACAATGGTGGATTCGACTTTAAGAGTGGAGCGGACTACCCACCAGAAGTACCATATGTAGCCATGCGAGTCATGCTCGCAACTTTTGGTGTCGGGATGGTACCGCTTGGCTGGTTCACAGCCATCGAACTTGGTATGTCCCAATGGGCTGCGCATCTCGTAGCTTTGATGGTCTTGTTCGACGTCGGTTGGCTTTGTATCTCCCGATTCATTCTTCTGGACTCCATGCTCCTCTTCTTCACCTTCCTTACAGTCTTCTGTCTTTCCAAATTCCATAATCAACAGAGCCATCCGTTTGACTTCGATTGGTGGACGTGGCTTGCTATGACTGGTATTTCAATTGGATTGGTCACCAGTGTTAAAATGGTTGGGCTTTTTGTGACGGCTCTCGTTGGCATCTACACTCTGCAAGATCTATGGGATAAATTCGGCGACCTACATCTTACTCCAAGAGAACAGGCAAAACATTGGGGCGCTCGCGTCCTTTGTTTAATCATTATTCCTATTCTCGTCTTCATGGCCACTTTCAAAATCCACTTTTTGATCTTGAACCACAGTGGACCTGGAGACGCCCAGATGAGCAGTCTTTTCCAGGCCAACCTGTACGGAAACGATTTTCATAACAATCCTTTGGAAATTGCCATAGGATCGAAAGTAACCATCAAAAACATGGCTTTCGGAGGTGGGCTTTTGCACTCTCACGTCCAAACATATCCAACTGGCTCGAACCAACAACAAGTAACATGCTACCACTACAAAGACGAAAACAACGAATTCTGGTTCTGGCCTGGGTGGGATCAAAAGGATACCGTTTGGGACCCAAAATATGGCTCGCATGACCCTAATGATGAGGAAGTCCGGTTCTTGAAGCATCTCGATGTCGTGAGATTGGTGCACGTACCCACTACCAGGAACATCCACTCGCATACTATCCCTGCACCTGTCACGAAAGCCAACTGGGAAGTCTCTGGATATGGGAATGCAACAATTGGTGATGTGCAAGACCACTGGGTCGTAGAAGTTCTTGGAGACGTAGTCAGAGGCGACGTCAACCGCTACTTAGAGCCCAAATCTGCAACCGTGGACCCTCGCGCACGCATTCATGCACTCACTACACGTCTTCGTTTCCGTCACCAGGTCCTTGGATGCTACCTCTCTGCTGGCCGTACTAGTCTTCCTCAGTGGGGTTTCAAACAGATTGAAGTGAGTTGTGCAAAAGAAGAGGCTGGGTCTAAACCTGCTGAGGGCACTATCTGGAATGTTGAAAGTCATTGGAATACCAAACGTAAGTCAAGCCCATTGCGTTCCGAAAATTATATTATATTAACATTTACCTAGTACCTCCCGCCGCCCGTTCGCTTTCCCGCTCCCCGTTTTTGACGGACTTCATTCATCTTAATATTGCAATGATGACATCCAACAATGCATTAGTACCAGATCCGGATAAAGAGGACCTTCTCGCCAGTAAACCCTGGGAATGGCCGTTCTTGAGTGTCGGGTTGAGGATGTGTGGTTGGGGAGATTCACAGGTCTGTCTAATCCGCCTTCTTTTCCTAATATATTTCCTCAGTCTTAAGCGACGTGCAGATAAAATACTACCTTATGGGCAACCCTATCATTTGGTGGGGTGGCTCCATCAGTCTTATCATCGCTGCTTTTGTTTCTGTCGGATTGGTAGTTCGGAGACAACGATACGGTGGTGGCAGGGGAACACGCAAGCCTGCCCCCAATTCACTCAATGGGGATTCTGGCAGGAATGGCGCAGCGTTAGCTTCTAGGCCCGGCGACGGTCTCACACAACGTGAATGGGCGCAGTTCTGGCACGTAACTCGTATCGCTGGAGGCGGTTGGATCTTACATTATCTGCCATTCTTAATTATGGGCCGTGTCACATATATCCACCATTATGTGAGTATTTTCTTCCTCTTCCAGTCAACTGGCATATCCAATATCGCCTCATCCAGCTTCCAACACTATACTTCGCCGTGCTCATGTTCGCCCATCTTTTGGACTACTTTGTCTTCCAAGTCCCTTCCACTGCTTCAGCGAGCCTTCAAGCCGTCCCAACATCCAGTATATCTCTATCTGATCTCAGCAGTATACCTAAAATCATTCGCACCTTCCGGTCACTCCCCCGAATAACAAGAATCAAAGTGTACGTATTTTCTATCACAGTATCCGCTATATTTGGTACGTTCTGGTGGTTCCGCGCTGTTGCCTGGGGAATAGAGGGCCCTGTGCGAGACACTTGGGGGCTGGCATGGCGGGAGGTCAGTTTCTGCGTTCCATCACTAATAATTGACATTCACCTATCTCTGCAGAATTGGAACATATATCACTAAACGCTGTGTCCGCCGAAAAATAACGAGTATGGATATGGACACTGGATAGCGGGTTCTCTCTTCAATTCTATGGTTTGGCTCCATAGACTAGTTCTCATTCCCCTTGGTTTCCAATCTCCCTTATTTCTCTGGGTATCCCGTCGTTTAGTTTTCATCTGCCTCCAAAAAGTTCAACCTGCATACTATCCCTCAAGCTCAAGTATTATATCGTGTAGTTGTTGAACATTTAAATATACTCTCATATTATTGCAGTCCTTATCTCATTCTTACAACTTCTACCACCGTCGCCATGGTTCAAGGTCAGTGAGACCAATCGAATGTCACCTACTTACGAGTATCTCAAGCTATAATACAAGTACATCGTATAGTACGAAGGACTGGGAGAGTTTAATGGATGTAAAAAAGATTAATTCGCGAGAATTGCGACAAATAGAAGTAGATGAAAGAATGGAACTACATATATGCAGATAGTAGTGAAGTTTTTGCAAGTAACGTCGACATAGATATAGATATACATACGCTGACGATTTCCGAAAGCGAGTTGTCGTATACATAGGGGAAGAGAAAGGTATAGAGATTCCCCACACATACAGGATCAAGTGCTCAGAGATAAATCTCAGTCCATCTTACCTCAGCGATCATTCCTATTCCTTCGTTATTTCCTCGAGGAACCCCTCAAAGAACGTATTCGGGGGCGCTTTTCCTGTGCAAGGGATGCTTCTGCACTTATGATACTCTCTAATCGAATCGTGACAAAGGAGGGTAAAAACCAAACATGGTTGGTCAACTGCTTCGTCATTGACCGCGGGTAAGAGCCTCCGTCCTACTTACCGAATCGCGTCGAGTGATCGATAGCAGTCGCTTGATACGAGAGGAGTCTTTCTTGGTTTTGCCCTTCTTTCCTTCCGGGTTGTGGACAATCACAATGGCTTTTGCCTTTGGGGTAGAGGGGTCATCTACTGGTTTGACGACAGACTTAGAAGATGACTCTGCGGAAGGGGGGTGGTTGTCGCTAGAGCTAATTTCTCTCTCGGCTGAAGAAGATGCAGGACCAACTTCGGAAACAGGAGGCGCGACCGTCCCATTGTCATTCTTTCCTTCAATGTTAACCAATACCCAACCTGCACCCGACCCAACTTCACGTGGTTTCCCCTTCGGACTAGAAGGAGCGTCATCACTCGAGGATTGAGTAGGTAACGGTGGTGGTGGCGAAAAAGTAGCATTGTTGAGTTCTATCAATCCCGCTTCACTTTTTCTAGTTCCACTTACTGCCATGGTGATCTCAGGAGATGCCACACGAACGTCATAGACAGGCATCTCAGGATGCTTGTTCTGATCCAAATCGAAATTCAAAGACACTCTCCCTGTGGCATCGATTTCCTCCTTCTCTTCAATGGGCGAGGCCTCCCAACCTCCAGGGAATTTCGGTCCTTCTGAAATACGCTTCTCTTCCCTGATTTGCTGACTTTCTCTATGAGCGCCAGTCCATTTAATGGGAATTTCGGCGCTGACGTCGCTGTTGGAGGAGAATGCCGAATCGCGATAGATACCAGAGTTCTTGAAAACCCCGGGAGACAACAAATCGCCCTCCATCTCCAGGGACTTGATAGAGGGATCGATAGGCGTTGATTCAGAGGATGTATGTGAATGTTGGAGAGGTTGCGTCTTTCGAGGTGAGGCTGGTGGTGAAGCCGCTACTCCCGCATGAGGTGAAGAAGATAGCGGTATTGGAGCCACTGAAAGATCTCCAAATGGAGAGGTGGAGTAAAAGACGTCTGGTGTATGTGAAGCAGCGCCCACCCCTGTCATATTCACCACACCATCAGGTACAACGCTCGGCAAATCGACACGATAACCTAGAGTTTCAGGAATGTCTATATCTGTATCATGAACGGAAACAGGGACTTGAGCTCTGGGCGCTGCTTTACGCAGACCAGGGGATGGCAAACTGCCTGAAGATCCGCTAGGACTGTTCCGGCCCACGTTGTCAGTCGCTATACGCGCATGGTAGGAGGGAGGCAGTGGCGACGATGACAATATGGGTTCGGTGGCTGTGCGGGTATGAAGACCTGAAGCATGTTGTTGTTGACCATGGAAATCAGTGTGAAATGTATCATGAATGGACGGCGCCTGCGAGTTAAGCTCGTCGGGAGGTGGAGGACCTGTGAAAATCCAGAAATCTTTGTTCCTCGATCGGTTGGTCAATGAGATGGATGCTTGTAACGTGAACGAATGAGCATCTAGAGAGGAAAGTAGTGTAAGAATATATTGAAGCGAGTCAGTGGCAAATGTATCCTCTTGAAACCCTGTAAAATATGTCAGACCACATCGGCATATGGGTTGCAGACTGTTCTTACATCTGTATCCTTTGAGTTTGAATTCGAAAGAATTTTCGCCGACCTTCTTCTCTGATTGTACGCCACGAGGCCAAGCACCACGGACTGCCTGAAGGATAGCCGGCGTTGAATGCAACGGTGGGCAAATCACTCGGAGAACCGTAGCGGAAGGAAAAGAAAGAGCAAACGGTACTCTAGGTCTGGGTTGGTCGGGAATCGGGGCAAGAGAAGGAACCTTTGGGGAGGAAGAGCTGGAAGATGCAGGGTATTCCGAGGGAGGAGATGGTCTTGAGAAGGCTATTGCCAATCTATCGTCGCTTTCCCGTCCATAATCTATGGTAGACAGGTAGGTGAATCTACTCTGGTAGACAATGTTCAACATTTCGACCAGCAACCGCTCCGTCGCCAAGCTGGATGTTGAACGTCAGCGCCAAAAATTCTGGGGATGAAGCTAATTGATATACCTCTTTGTCGTCCATAGTTTACCCTCCAATTCGAACTGCGTAAAGTTATTATGGTGATCAGTCTTCTCCGCTAGAAGCAGGTAAACTTTAGAGGTAAGAAGAGTGTTATGACGAACTCACCGTGAATTCGTTTGTCAAAGAAGCGACGGAACGCGCTGACCACGCTGGATGGAAAAGCATACAATCTAAGCATGTTGGAACCTGCAAAACATAGCAGGGAAAACGAAGAAGGGTTGCGTCTGGGAGCAATCTGGAATTCTTTACGAGGGACGAAGGAACTATTGTCCAGTTTCAAGGCATAAGGTTGCGAGTTTAGTGGTGAGGCCATTGAGCAAAAAGGGAAAATGGAATCGTGAAGGTCGTAAATGGGTATTGGTATATTGAATGATGGAGCTCTATAGCGTCAAAGCAGAAAATGAATGGGAACCTCTAAATGGGAACTATGACCTCAACTAGTTCCTGGCGGCGCGCGTTTACAGTATGTTTTACCGAAATATACGAGCAAAATATACGAATGTAGACAAGTGTGCAGACTTCAAGCTTCAAGTGTACAGTTACTGAGTCAGTCTGCATATCGATAATCGTCCAGGATTTATTTTTGCCAGAGATATTTCAATTTGGTGAATCGGTCCGAGTTGAGAACAGATTCCGGCGGTAAATGCCGGGCCGGTTCATGTGTCCTTTGCTAGGAACTGCTTCGCTATAAAGCAGCTACTTTTCCTCCATAAACTCCCCGGAGTCCCCCCAGCTTACAAAATGGCCAACCTCTCCAAGATCAATGTTCTAATGTGTATGCTCTTCCCCTTTTGCTCTTGCCTCCTTACTGACTTCCGCTCATAGGTGGTACCGTATGTAGCGCCATTCAGAAGGCGCCTTTGTTGTTAATGCCAAGGAATATAGGGTGAATATACGACCGGATGGACAGGCTCTGGTGCTTCCAAATCCGATAAGAAGGCGCGTGCTCAATTCCTTATCGATGGACAATGAGCTCATCCGTCCTGTTCAGATCGGTGTATGTATCGAAGTACTTGTAAATTGGTGATTCTCACCAGCTTTGAAGGTCGTCGGGCTGACTCTCTTCGATCTACGGAGGCTTGGAAAGGTACAACGCGCATTCATACAGCTTCTGTGGACTACAGTCTCATGCATACATGTATACCTTCAGGTCGACAAGCTTGGAATGGCTGGCGTGAATGGAGGAAAATTCCCCGCTATTCGCGAGCATCTTGACAAGAATATCGGCGGGGTATACAAAGACATGGATCTCACGTATGTTTTTGATGGTTCGCGGAAGATTTGCAATTTGGGTTCTTACATTGGTATAGTTTCGATGAATATCCGAAAGGCGGCAAAGTCGATCCCGAGGCTTGCAAGTCTTTTATGTATCGCACGCATACCTATGAATAACCTACTCATTGCAATATCCAGATAAGGAAGCCATCGACAGCATGTCTAAGGGAGACGCTGTGATTATCTTCACACCAGATCGTAAGTACCAAAGCCTCCTCAATCCATGAAGATGTTGCAAGTATTTGCTCACCCCTTTCTAGCCACGCACTATGCCATCACAATGTACGCAATAGAAAGAGGGATACACGGTACTCAATAGCTTCATAGCTCAACCTTCTGCTCTAATGTACTTTGCTTGATAGTCCTCGTCACCAAGCCTGCGGTGCAATTGCTGTCGCACCATAACGAGCTCATCGCCGCCGCTAAGAAGTACGGCGTCGTCTGCATGGTAGAGCACCACAAACGGTGCGATTCGGTTTGGATTATCTTCGGACCAGCTAACCTCTGGATTTAGATTTGATCCTGCGTATTCCGATGCAAGAGCAAAAGCAGAAAGCCTGGGCGAGTTCAACTTTTTCAGTGCATGGATGAGCCAACCAAAGAGTCAACTTGAGACATTCCGAGCATGGGCTGGAAAAGACTCTGATATCAGGCAAGCAAAAACAAAAACACATTAGTATGAAATCGTGTTCTGACTAACAGTAGTTATTACCTGTCGTCGCACCATATCGACATTTGCTGCTGGATGCTTCAGGACAAGGCTATCCCCACAAGGGTAGTGGCAAGTGCCGCAACAGGAATTGCCACAAGCGAGCCGTACAACTGTGTCCCACAAACAGAAGACACTATTACCCTCTTGGTTGACTGGGAGTCAACCACTAGTTCAAAGCACAAAGGGACCGGTGTCTACACGGCTAGTTGGACAGCTCCTCTCAAAGCCGGCGTTCACTCGGCCCAACACTGGTATTATATGGGAGAAAAAGTATGGTTTCCCTACGCATATATTGAGCCTAGCTCACGACCACCAACTCTAGGGCGATATTACCGTTGATCAAGCTCACCGTGGATATGATGTGACCGTCGACGATACCGGAAAGACCTGGTACAACCCTTTCTAGTAGGTCGCATTTATTCTGTCTACCCTATTTTGTAACGTGTCCTGTGTGTTTCAAGCATGAAGTACTCTCCTTCAGAAAGCGGACATTTCGACGGTCAGCGGGGATATGGTTATGTCTCGATTGAGAAATTTATCGATGCTGCAAGGAGGTTAGTGCGTTTTTTGTTCATTCTGAACGCTTAACCTGCTAATGATCCTACCTACCGTGCAGTGTTAACGCCGGTCATACTAAAGTGGAAGACTATGATAAGCATGGGCTGCCCACCATCGCCAACACAGTGCTCACAACCGCCATTCTGCACGCTGGACGAATCAGCCTGGATGAGAAGCGGCCGGTTGGAATCAAGAAGAATGGAGAAGAGTGGATTCTGGAATGAGGGAATTTGCTGAAGCCGGATGTCGGATACGAAGAGGAAGCAAGCAGGGTGTCTAAGATCTAATTATTGTGGGTCCCAATTTTCCGCTTAATATGTTTTCAAGCTGTGCGGACAAGGTTCTGGAGCACACTCTTCTGTACTATATTGACAACGAGGAATCAACTTCTTCAGGTCCATGATGAACTAAGTGATGAACTTCGAATACTGATGAAGGGTGTTATGTTGCCACTCCACTAAGAATATTCTTTATAAGTGGAGATATAGGACGACAACGGGGCCGAGCCTTCAGAGTTGTGAATATGGTATTCTTTTCTCACTACAGCGCGACACGGACGTTCTGTGTTTCCGTAGGATCTGAAATGATGCAAACCCTTTACACTTACTACATACAGTGAGATTTCGAGCGACATCACGCACTTGCACGATGTGAAGTGATCATCGTGAAACTTCCAACAAATGAGTTCCTAGTGTGTACTATGAATGGCAATGAATTAGCAGTTGAGTACATGAAGAGTACATGGACCGAAGGGAACTCGAGACGATGCAATTGGCTTGCGCGCAAATTATAGCTAAACAAGGGCAAACAGCGCTTCCTGCCGACCCTTTGGGCCACGAACCCCAAGTCTATCTCTTTCTTGAGGTCTTCTGAATCATTTGTCTTGTCTAGCTAACGTTGATTCTTAAGCTTGAGTATCTGAGCCTCGAATAAGGTAATAACATCCGCAATTGCAGCATCATACGGCAATAGAAGACCTACAACGGAGGCTTTTAAGTTAGAAATGACTTTCGCTCCCTGGATGAAGGGTGATAGGGAACCGTACGGGAAGAAGTATCTTTCTACGCCACCGCCATAATGCTTGATGATTCTAAATTTCCATCTTGGTCCCCAAGCGTACGTCTCATCTGATTAATGCACTCTCCATTTGTGACATTGATTTACCCCAGAAAGTGAACGTAGTGGGTTTTGAACCAAAGTCAACTAGAAACCCAGACAAGATCTACACATTCGTAAGCCCCCATCAGTGCCAGAGCCCTCAATTACTTGGGGTGTGTCGAGCAGTACTGTAAATTGGGCGCGCCGCACGACGTGATGAACGTGAAAAGCACTTACATACGATGTCTTCCCATGTCCACTTCCTCATGTTGTAAAAGTCAGTAATCAATCATTCCATGGTAATGCATACAGTAAAGTGTATCTGCGGAAGGGCAACGTTCATTTTTCCATGCACTGTTGAAGACAACGTCTCCCGCGAAAATACCGGCTTGATGGATATTGTAGCCTAGTGGCTCCTATGTAGTGGGCGATCGCACACCCATGTGAAGTATCCATCCGATGGCCCTCGAGTGCCGGTAACTAGAAAGAGTCCGAGAGAAAAGCAGACAAAAATTTATTTTTGAAATACTCAGGTGGGGTTACCGAATAACGGGCATCAGCGCACAGGATATCCAGCGAGTGGAGCGATTCACAAAGATCTGCCAGGGCCTACAGCGCCAGTACTTGAGCTTCTGGTCGACATACAGAGGCTAACCAGAGAAACGCCAAGACACTTTGAGAACGCTTGCAACGTTTGAAATTGGATGAAGGACGTCAGTCGATTGTTGCCATACGACGACGATATATGGAATAAAAGGAACGGGAGCGGAATGCGGATGCAGATGGGGAGGATTTAAGAAGGTTCAAGGATGATAATAAAATAAACAGTTGTGAATATGTACGATGAAGGAGAAGGTATTGTAGTGTGCAGTGAAAAAACCCGAGGAAATGCTATTGATTGAAGATGCCGATGAGGATACTTGTACTATGAAAACAGACGTCTTTGCTTTGATACCAAGGAGAATGAACACGGCACCGGCCAGTTAATGTGTAGCCAGGCGATCGGCGAGAAAATAGAACGAGAACGGGGACAAGTATAACATAAAATAAAATGAAGAATAATGGATACTTTAAGTAAGAACGAACACGACAAGGGCCATGTTTGACCAAGGAAGTGATTGTGAATGAAGGGGAGAAGATGTGCAGGCAGTCGTCCTTATTGAGGACGAACAGAATTTGGAGAGGCTCAGGAAGTGGACGAACCAGGAGTAATGAAGGGATAATGATTGATGAGAGGATGCATAGAGTAGCAAGAAAGGAGACGTGGAGTGAGTGTAGTTGGTCGAGGAGAGTATAAGGTACTATGATAAAAGGATAGGGATGATAGGTCGCTGATGTGGCTACTCTTCTAGTAAATGAAAGATGAAAGAAACGAACCAAAAGAGTCAACACGAAGGCAGGTGGTAATGTAAAGCTGTCCTTGAGAGAGCTGCAGCCCACCATGATCCCATTGGATAGGTTGTGAGAGCCTGTTAGCGTTGGATGAGTGCGGTGATGATGACAGGAGCGAAGTGTCGATTGTAAAATGAAAGAGGCGAGACGAGATTGCGAATGAAAGTGATATGCATGGATGATTGAGAGTGCAGAAAGAGAGAAGGAAATTGCGCGGGGTGCCGTTTTTCGTCGACGGGATGGTATTACATTTTTGATATATAAACTTTTTGGACACGGAACTTGCGAAGACAACGATGACAACGAGGATGCAGGAATGAAATACAAGATGCGTTTTTGATGCAATGGGCTATGAATATGCACGTGGGGATGAAGAGACGTTCAGAGAGTGGAGAGCAGGTCGACTGAACGTAACGAAATCATGAGGCAGAAATTGCTCTGGCGGACTATCGATACGATGCTTGTTATACACGGGCTCGAACGTCGTCGGCCTGTTCTCTTTGTCGTCGTAATCGCTCGAAGGATGGAGAACCGGGGTGATGGGTGTAAGTGGGAAGTCATCGGATCCATCGGATACAGAGGTTGAACAACTCATGGGAGTGCTGACAGCTGATATGGGAACACTACGGGTAGGAGTGACTGGGAATGCAGCAGTTGCGATACGATTAAATTTACCACCTTGCAGGTAATATTGAACCACAAACGTAGCTGCCTTCGAGTAGAACGCATACGAGTACTTTTTAACGAGGGTCTCGGACAGATCGTTGACGTGTTTGGCCAGTCGGGTGTCAAGCAGGTCTACAATTTCCAGACATTCATCTGTTTCTTCCCATACTCGCGCAGGCTTCCCACACAGGAAGCGAGCGAGGGTCAGTGCTGCTAAAGCGATTGAGGAGGGCGCATATTTGACAAATTCTCGGTAGAACAGTGTTATCTCCATAAGAAAACGGGCTACGTGTTGTACCTTCGGCTCCTCCATGCAGGGACCACAGCACATCAGTCTGAGCCATGCCTCAGCAGTAGGATGTCCGAGTGTCCACTGGATGGTTGAAAGAACGTGACCTTCCATTTGGAGAAATGCTGATTCTTCGTACGCGTCATGACACATTTGAACAAGGTCTTGAACAGTCGGTACACGCTCTTTTGCGTCTTCGAACTTGGCAGCAATCCAGAGGGCAGCACACCCGACAAGCTGGTAGTGCTTAATGAAGACGATGCGGCGAGATACATAACGATCGACGATGTTGAGGGTCAAATAAAGAGTTTCTGGACGAAGACGAAAGCTGAAGTGGATTTCAACCAAAAAGTCTACCAGACAAGGACGCATATGCCAACGGATCTCTGGCTGTTGGTCCATAGACTGAGTAGAACTCATTGTGTAGTTCTGAGTAAAAGCGAGATGACACAAGTGTGGATCAGAGAAAGACGAGAACGAACCTCCATCTCGTGCATGTAGCAGCGAATATCCTCCCGATACTCGTCTTCTAATATAACGCCATCTCTGCGTAGCTGCTGACGCTGCTGGATAAGAGCAACCTTTACAGAACGCGGAGATTTTCGCATCACGTCCTGAGAGTGAAGTGGTGATTTATGAGATTTAGAGACGCCATGGGGAGATGGACGCTTCTTGGGATAGATAAGGGAATTTCGAGCGTGTCGGCTGGAAGACGAAGTGGAAGAAAGATCTTTCATTTCTGGGAGAATCGAGTCGGACTGGGGTACGATCGATTGAGGACTAGAATAAATGGTGGCGCGGTCAGTAGGAGAACAAGAAGCCATGAAGATGATAGTAGAAAGAAAAGAAGAAAATCGAAATCAACATGTCTGAGCAAGTCGGGATATAGAGCTACCGCGGTAGACTAACAGTAACATACAAACTCACAATCAAGGAGATATAAATCATATAACAGGAAAAAAAAGTGTCTGGAGCACGAAGAGATATTTTGTAAAGTCGTTGGCAAGCGTTTATAATCGTGAAAAAAGGGAGACACGTCGAGCACAAGGCCTCTATCCTCGACGTCAAGAGGAAAGAAAAGAAAACGAAGGGTGTGGTAAATTATAGTGGCACTGCCGGCTTGCCGTTAACAACCATCATATGCCTAATCGGGAGCTCGATCTATCTATCTGCCGGGCCGTCACGACACTCCCACGATACACGTTTTACGTTCTTCAAGCACAATAATAGAAATAACGTCATGGGCAGTGTCCTCACCTTGTGTTTTGGACGCGCTGGATAAGATGATTTTGTTCAGTATTGTCCTCATAGACGACAAGGCCCAAAAACTCACCAAATATTCGCTTTCAACGACTCTGTGAAGGCACTAATTTCTCGGTTTTTGGCACCCAGAAACTCCGGAAGGAATGTGAAATTATTGGTCGGGTGATTGGAATGAATGACTGGAGTGAGTGCTTGTCTAGGAATTATTATCTCTCTCTCGATCACAGGTAGGTCGAGGAGGGGGGGTGATGTAGAATTAGAGGAGTTCTGTCACAACAATACCAGCACTTCGGATTGTACTGGTATCGCCGAGGAGAGAGACAACGAAGATTGGGAGGTTGTGTCGGCTCTTCGACGTCGCTTTAAGAGAAAATCGGGCTAAGCAATGCGTTTGCAGCGTGCTTCGGTTGTCCCTCTATTCAGGGCTAATAGCAAGTTCGGCAATAATTCACGTCCTGTTTTGTTACCTGGCACACCACGTTTCTTGCCTGCAGGCAAGAGAATTTTTCGACATTTCGCCGTTATACTTGGCTCATTTATGTAACAATTCTCCCCTACGTATTTCAAGTCCGGAAGACCTAAATATTTATATAGCTGATACTAGCAGTGAGCGTAAAACTGTTCCCTTTCTTCGCTTGCACCCTCTTGTTTCTAACTTATGCGACTTTGCCGTAGGTCTCTTTGCCCTTTTATTCTTTCCTTTTCTCTCCTTCGTTTCTTCCGCCGCCTATTCAGCTAAAATGGGCCACACGAAAAGGTCCGATAATTTCTGGGCCACCATCTGCAAACGTGAGATGGGCGTAAACGGATTCAAAGTCACATAAACCTTCCATCAATCACTCTTATCGCCCAAGATCATTAGCATGTTTGAGCATCTATTGCTTTTTTTACCCTGATCTCACGTACAGTAGCGTATAATGCTCAGAGCCTCTCAGGCTCTCACTGGTAGATGAACAGACTGTATTGGACGTGACCTCCCTGTTGTCAGTGGCGAACGAAGCAACTTGGAAGTACGATCGCTGTGCCATTTCTCTCATTGACCTCTACTAATACGCAGATAAGAGGACCATGAATTACTTATTCTCGCTCCATCGAAGGGCCCGAGTTACAACTGAAATTCGGCAGCACACGTCAAAAGACACAGCACTTTTCTTTCAAGATTTTCGGTTTGCATCACTCGTTATCACTGGATGTTCAGAAACTGTAACATGTACTGTATAATGATTAAACGGTGGGTCCACTGGCAGCAGAAATTGTCAAGGTACTTGCGTCTTCTAGCGAGGATTCACTCACCACTTCAGTTGCTGTCATTGCGATAACACATGGTCAACCATGGATCATCATTCGTTCAAAGCCACCAGCCGTCAAAACACCCTCCTCCCTTCTAGATCCTTCGTTGTGGTGCAGGTACCTTTCATTTGTTAGCTAATCAAAGTAGTGCTCGTTCACCAGAAGCAAGAGTTACTTCGATGTGACGGCGAGAGGCTTTACCAGGTCATTACTCTCAATCAATGCACCGTTAATCGGTAAACAAGTATCTTTATTCTAAATAATGTTACTTGTGGGCTAATTTGTACTTTGTTCTCGACTTTACAAGCTCGAAATCTTCCAGCCAAATTTCGTATCGAGCCCTAACAAGGCGATTGAGTACTCTACACCTCAACCTTCTCTCTTATTCGCGAAAGCAGAACAAAGCAAAATTTTCAGCAGTCGTGTGCTTCTGTTCCTCGGATTCGCGTGCTTCGGAAATGGACTTTTTCTCAAGCCTAAGGGCATCGCCCGTCATCGCGAAACCTGGATCGTCGTTCTCTGGGAATCACTTGTTCCTTTCCAGGAATGTTGAAAGGGTACCATAAACGGACAGATGTTTTCACTTGATTATCCGCTGGTAGACACTATATACCCTGGAAGCCTGGAAAGATGAATAGTTCCTGAAGCCGTCGCAACTGCGCAAAGAAGCTAGAATGCATGTTTTACTGTACTGTATCATTAGTGTCATTTTTGGTGCAGTCATGGCGCGACAAGCTTATTTAGTGCTCATTTCCTTTGGCAACCTCATATTTGCACTGGTTCAGGACTTTTACGGTTTCACCGTACCCACATACAACATTCTGATTCCTGAAGCCTCAAATGCACGCATAGGCCTATGGGCTCCCGTAGCTTTGTTGCTTATTTCATTGCTCGAATGATGTTGCTCGTCGGTATCCGGCCCTGTTCGAACCGTGAACTTCGGATTTCGAAACCATATTCAATACAAAAGACGGGGAAGCAAGAAAAAACCTGGAAAAACCTGGAGAGAAATATCATCATATGGTTATACCAGTGAATACTACTCCCTTACATCTTCGGCACTCAGATATTTCCGAATTCCGCAGAATTGACCAACTCGGGCTTCCAGCCGGTGTCTGCTCTGTTTTTGCCAGCATTTACTAGCATGCAGTCACAGGGGTTTTTATTGACCAGCCGGGATGACGTCGAGCAATGTCGAGCAGTACGAGGCAGTATGCGATCCTGCAAATGTCTTATCAACTCTTCTGAACCTCGTGAGATAGAGTTTGACGACACGCGTGTAATTCATGTACATAGCTCAGGATCAAAGTTCAACGTAAATTCTGCTGTATGTTGTATGTATTCCGAGCGCTCATTGGAAGCCTTAAGCAGGTGTCAGGTGTTTCCCTGTGTTCCCCGGTCGCGTCCCATGTATTCCCTTGTATTCCTCAACGGAATCGGGCTCACCATCGGTGTAGATTGATGAATCTTTGATACCGTCAATATCTTCAAGCTGTATTTGGTATGTAAAGCCCGAGATAGCAGAGACTGCCTTTTATTAAGAGAGGGCCAACCAGGGGCCAACTTCCTGGTGCAAAATAATATCTGCTGCTATAGGCTTTGATAGATAGATGGAGTAGATGTACCTTTGAGATTTAATCTAATATCTCGATAATTGCTATAAAACGCACAATCGCACATCTTCAGACGTTTCTTTTCTGCGCAGTGCGGTTTCAAACCCCCCTATGTTTCTTCACATTTCACAGATTGTGATTCGGAGCACCGACCCGAAGGGATATATGCGTTCCGACACAGCACCGTCGTTGACAGTACACCGCGCGACGGGTATCCCAATAGTATCCCAATTCATTGAGAGGAGTTTGAAAGAGTGTTGTTCCAAGGTTTTCAAAGAATAGGACCTTGGTATTGGTCTGTAACAGTCACGACTAAGGATCGGAAAGGGATCAGAGTGGATCAGAGTGGGTCACTGATTGAAACCAGCAATATAATTCAGTTGGAATTGAGAGTATTGTACTGTACGGAAAAACGGACAGGGAAATGGTACATCGTAAAAAGGAAATCCAAGTGAGAAAAATCAGTGTTACTCTCGGTGAGCACCCATAAGGAGGGCCATAAGGTCCTGAGCACTCGTTGTTTGGGCTGTAGGTACCGGGGGACCCTGTTGAAGATGGGGAGGCAAAAGGTGGTGAGGCAACATTTGCGGATGGAGCTGCTGCTGCTGCGCTTGTTGACGCATGGCAAGCATTTGATTTTGGAGAGAATTTCCCGCCTGGTGATTAAATCCACCTCCACCTCCACCTCCACTGATGTTTCGCAATCCGCCAGCTCCTCCAAGTCCCAGCGCCAACAGTTGTGCATGCTGATTTGCATTTCGAGAGTCCAGAGTTCCCGGATGTCCCAAACCTGCCAACTGATGATGGTTCATCGTGTTCTGGAGTTGGTGGACGGGAGGGCGCAACGGTCCCTGAGGACCACCAAAACCACCAGTAGGATGGAAGTTATTGAACGATTGCTGTGGTTGCTGAGGAGGGCCATTGATATGCAGACCGTTGTGGAGGGGAGCGGGTATAAACTGTGCCGGATCATGGGGAGGTCGTGCGCCGAGATTAGCAAGTCCAGGAGGCATTCTCTGCTGTTGGGCAGTATGTAGCATATTTTGTGAGGCAGATACCGGTGAGGGACCACCACGGAATTGAGGCGCTTGTACCGGTATTCCTGCGATACGCGCAAGTTGTTGTTGCTGTTGAGCGAAAGAAGCCGGAATTGAACCGCCGAACAATTGTTCAACCCCCCGCTGTTGCTGAATTGGGAGTCGTTGCTGTGCGTTGAGAAGTAGCGCATCATCTAATGGATCGGCGGCGTACATTCCACCGTTGTCTCGGTTTCGCGGTGGAGGAGCAGAGCGTAAGCCAGGAACTAGGTTGTCGGGCACGAAGTTTCGACTCTCGTATAGTGGCTCGAGCCGCGCCGCATTATGTAGTTGGTTTTGCAGCATTTGTTGATGCTGTTGCTGCAAGGAATGCAGCTGACTCTGAGCTTGTTGGCTGAATGGCACATGATTCAAAGACGCAGTATTCGGGCCAGATACAACGCGTTGGCCCTGGAGGGGAAATGAGTAAACACGTCCAACAAAAAAAGTGGGATATACAACTAACCTGCATCGGATTCATATTCAACTTAGCAAACAGCTCGTCTACAGTTCTATGCTGCTCGAGACTAGGGTTTGATATATTCCCGAAACCGCTGTCCGGCCTGACGTGAGGTCCTGGAGACGAAGAAACAAATCCGACAGGGGTGGGCGCTTTTGGTATGTTCGGTGCCGTTATCAGCGTCTCCTTCCCTTTCCCGTCGAAGAATTTGGCAAACCGACTGCCCTTCCCCATAGCATGCCCTGCATTGGTAGAATCGAGAGGAGAAGGATCGGGCCAGGTACCAGCCGAGTCAGTGACGAAAGGACTTCGTTCTCCTACTTGACGACGTAAAGTATCACCGAGTTCACGTTGCTCTTCGAACGGAGAGAAACTGGAGGGCGTACGCGGAGCTACCTTTGAGCTCTCCGTCGCCAAGGTTAGTGGATTAGAAAGGTTGACAAATCCTGTGAGTGGGGGTGGGATCTGAGGTTTGGGCGTAATCGTCGATGCGGAAGTTGGTCCGCCATTAGGAATAGCAGAGGGCATATATTGAGAGCTGGGAGCCACGGGCTTCGCAGGGGCCCGATTACCGAGAGCTAAAAGGCGAGAACCTTGGGGAGGATTGAAACTGGTATCAATGTTGAGTCGGTCAGCAGGATTGTCGGCAAGAGGTAACCTAGAATGAAGTTTCGGCGCGGTGAGATCAGTGTCCGTTGACAGGGGAACATCATGGTTAGAGTTCAGCAAAGACAGCAAGGAGCGTGATGGATCAGGCACAGAGGCGATGTCAAGCTTGGAAGATGCTGAGGCGGCGATCACCTCACCACCGGGGTTTGCATCTGGAAGTTTGGGTATAGAGACATTATCATTGTCTATTCGTTTGTTAGTACATGGAATAGTACAAGTAAAGTAACGAGCAAGTGCTTACCTCGAGTGGACGACAGCTTTGGGGTATCTGTTAAGCCAAGAATAGGTCCGACCATCATAGGAGGATCAGAACTCTGCTTCTGCGCGACTTCCATCATCTTCTTGAACCGCTGTATCTCATCCATAGGCTCCTCTAATATAGTCACTGTGGGGGAATCGTTGGAAGAATCAACCCCAAAAGCCACTGGAGCAGTCTTGGCTTTCTGTTCCTTCTCCTTCAAGTTCTTCTTCCAAGCTTGAATTCCATCGAGCTCTCCTTCATTGCCTTTGCTGCCAAGGATACCTCCCGTAGAGGATGATGGGACATAAGTATCCATCCAGGCCGGTTCCTTCTCTTTTTCGCGGTCGCCACGACGATCATCAGTTCTAGCTTCTTCAGGAAATGACCTTTTATCCCTTCCAGTGTTACGTTTCGACCTCGCATCACGTTCCTCTACGACGGTCCAGCGACGATCATTCGGGTTACCGGCATTAGGGTCTTTGTCTTTGCCGTTGCTATTAGGACCACGTTCGCGCTCTCGTCTTGAAGCCAATCTCTCGTCCCTGCGACCGTCATCTCTCCATCGTCTAGATTCGTCGTCGTCGTCACGATCCCTATCAACACGCTCCCGCTTGTAATCATCTCTTTCTTTCTCTCTTTCTTTGCCCTCGCGATCACGCCTCGTAAGCGACGATTCCCTTCGGTGACGTGAGCGAGATCTAGGACGCTCGTCACGGTCTCCTCGATCATTACCTGTTGAGCGATTGAATGCCAACCTTTACAGAAAAGGGAAAACACATACGTTCCGACCGACGAGTTTCCACACCTGGTAAAAAATCATATATAAAAATTAGATAGAGCAAAGAAGCAGAGCCATACCTCTCCTCCAATCTTCATTAGATTCGCCTACTTTCTTCTTCGCAGTTTCTCGTGTCTCTGCACGACGGGCAGCTATTGTCCCCTGAGATTGCGAAGGAATCCGATTTGAGCTAGTTGCAGCAATGTTCCTCTTTTCCGTCCGTATATTCAGTAGAGGTCCATTCAAACGATCCCGGTCGAACTTTTCTGAAAGCTGAGAGGAATACATGAGACAGTATGGTGGAAAAGCGACACATCGTGACCTACATTGCGCAATCTTTCTTGGCCTTCTCTTTCCAGATCTCGGTCATTCGTACGCATGGACTGATGTTTGAAATTGCCCATCTGAGACGGCTGGGACATTGAAGAGCGGAAGGAAGGACGAGGTTGGTCTAGAAGGATGACTTAAAATTGATATGTATCAATCATTGAGGCCGTTCAACGTACCGTTCTCTTCGCCATCGCGTCTGAAGCTGAACGGAATGTGAGAGGACGTATGAGGACTTCATGTTGAGAGAACTGCACCGTCTTTCGCGACCACTATTAGGTGTTAACGGTTCTGATTCCTTTCTTGAGAGATTTTGTTCATTTTCCGCACTAAAAGATGGCTCATTGAAACGGAAAAATTGGGTAGTTGACAGAATGACGAACCCGAACCAATCCCTTAGTTCTGGCATATTTGGAGGCACACATACGAGAGGAGATTTGGATAACGCAAGAATTTGAGGTCGAGAATATATTCTGAGAGAAGGGGAAGGTTGGCTGTACACCTGAGCTGGCTCTTTATTAACGTCTTCAGAGGCATCTGGCGATGATTGGCTTTCACTTTTTGGTGGCTCGAGTTCGTGGTCGTTATCAGTGATGAGAGGACCGTCTGTTGGGGGTTGGACTGCAGCCATGATGTGGTGAGACCAAGTTATTGAAGCATTCAAATATTGTGACTCTGAGAATTATAAGCGCCACCAACAAGAGAAAACACTTCTAATTTTATGCCACATCTTAGTCTCAAGCACTTTATTCTTCGACAGCAAGTACTTGACCTCTATCGACAATCCGTTCGTGCTTGCAGAGGTAAAAGCTATGTTTTTTCAAAAATGTAGCTCATATTCAATTTACCAGTCATACCAGACCGTAACACGCGTCGCGAAACACTTAAATGGATTCGCGGCGAATTCGAACGAAATAGAAACCTGATAGATGTGGTACGACTTTTGCTGTGAATGTAGACTGCTTCTTATTGCTAGGTAGACCGATATCGAGGAAAAACTGAAACTTGGCCGACGAGAGTTGAAACAAATATTGCCTTGGACTCGGTGAATGCGGCTGCGACGTCCTGGTACAAAGTCAGAACGATGAAGCAGCTTTGAGATGGATTGCACACGGACATGCCGAAAGCAGAATATTAGGTGACCACTGTCAATGCAATAGATGCAGGTTGGTTAGTGGCACTGTCCTCCTTCAGCAAGGATCTTCAACAGTCAAAGGCTTTGGTCATATGTGCGTATTTTCCAGAGCCTTCCATGTTCTTCCTACAACAGTAACATGTACATACGTCGAGCATATATACGTGAGTCTTCTGTGCTTAAAATAAACAAGGAAGAATATAGCAAGCAATACAAAATGATGTAGAACCTTACAAGCTTATCTCTCGTCTCTCTTAGTAATCGTCCACAGATCACTCTCGAAACTTCAAGAAAAATGAAAGGCCTGAACAAATGAGGAAATGTATGCACCTAACATTATCCTGTCAGGGCACGACTGGAATGACCGCGGTGCCTTTTGACAATGACATTGATAAGATGATGTTTTTGCAATGATAAGAACACCATTTCTTCGTTTTTCTTTCCCCTGTACATTCCACTCCCTAAATCCAACATGACATCTTGGGGAAGCAGTAGCTTTCCTTTTGGAACGCCTGTCAGTGGAAGCAGTGTACGTGAAGTAATAGCTTCTTGTGAGTGATAAACGCTTCATGTATTCAATCTATCTTCTCAACTCCGGATTTTCGACCTCATAAAGATCGTCGGGCGCAGTATTTTGCGGCGGGCTCTACTGTTGCTTCAGTGTCTGACGAATCAGATGAGAGGGACGATGAAGAGGCACAGATAGGTGGTGCGTTTGAGGAGGAAGAACCAGAGGATTTTGAGGAAGAAGACCTACAAACTCCAACCGTACCATCATCTCAGAACGATGTTTTTGTTGACCAATTCCAATGGGACGATTTTGATAACACTCAGGCGCCAGGCGAAGCTCCAACAATATCCTATGCTCCTCGAAGACGCGCTTCGGAACGTCAGCCAGCTGCTCATGAAGGAACCCCTCTTTTAAAATCCAAGGCCTCGCGTCTTTCTACTGCCAGCGGAACTCATGCCGTGAATGAGGGTCCTTCCTATGGCTTAAATGATTCCGGTGAAGTTTCGCATTCACATACCATCAGTGCGAGGCGCTTGTCCACGACGACCAAGGCTGAAAGTAGACATCATAGCGGTGGGAAAAGCACCTTTGGTCAAACGGTATGTTCGTTAGCTGTTCACAAATTTACCCATCGATGATACTAATATTCCCTAGCTTTTCAACTCGATAGCAATTTTACTGGGAATTGGGATGCTGTCTGAACCGTTGGCTTTCGCTTACGCTGGATGGATTGCGGGTACAATACTCATCATCTTATATGGCCTTATCAGTTGCTACACGTATGTCCAGATTTTATTATCATTTCATATTTCACATCGTTTGATACCGACCTTTCTGTAGAGCCAAACTCCTTGCTCATATCATCTTAGCGGATCCCAGACTTCGTTCGTATGCCGATGTTGGTAGAAAAGCCTTCGGAGCGAGGTCTACCGTGGTCATTAGCATCATGTTTTGTCTTGAGTTGTTCGCAGTTAGGTATGTGACTGTATATGAAAATGTCCTCAAACATTTTGCTAATCTATGTGTAGTGTCATTCTAGTGACTTTATACGCCGATTCTTTGCATGCTATTATACCCAAGTATTCCTCTGACACCTACAAAATATGGGGTTTGCTTCTGTATGTCCTATTTTTTTTTCCGATGTTAGTTTGCATGTTCAATCGGATTGTCTACTTCCAGCTTGATACCAATGGTGTTCTTACCTCTATCTCTCCTGTCGTACACCTCGATTCTGGGCATTATATCTACGATCATGATGATAATCGTGATTCTATACGATGGTCTGTCAAAACCAGACGCCCCGGGAAGTTTACGCACCCCCGCTGAGACTTCTTTCACGATCTCGAGCTGGCCCAACTTGGGAATTGCGTATGGACTGTTCATGGCAGGAGTATGTGCTGTGGACCAACCAATCAACGCAGATACATGTCTGACTGGTCTTAGTTTTCAGGGCATGCAGTGATCCCATCTCTTGCTCGCGACATGATCGACCCCGAGGAATTCGACACAATGATAAACTGGGCTTTCGTAAGTGGCATTCCCGTCATTCAAGAACTAAAAACTCACCTCAACATGTCTTTCATAGCTTGTCGCCACCACTGTTTATGCCCTCATCGGCTATGTGGGATACCTCATGTTCGGTTCAAACGTGAGCGATGAGGTTAGTGTCACTTTGATTTTAACACAAAGCTATGTTGAAGATTAGGCTACCATGTAGATTAGTATGGATCTTCTGAAAACGCCAGGATACAATCCAGTCATGAATCAAGCAGCCTTATGGATGCTTGTCATAAGTCCTTTGTGAGTTGGATAAATAGCACATTACAAGGCGTATGTTTGTAAACATTTTTGTTAACAGATCCAAATTCGCTCTTACGACGCAACCGGTGCGTAAATTAATCTTAGCAAATCCCTCTAAAGATTCATTCATCACTCTGTTTTGCTAGCTGAATGCGGTCCTCGAAGTGTTATTTGGTATCGAGCCTGCCGCTGCATCTCCCGAAGAAATGGCGCTCAAAATGTCTACTCCTGTTCCTTGGTCCTATAAGGCCCTCTTGGGCGGCACTCAGAGAGTTATCGTGACGATAGCCTCTGTCGCAGTTTCTGTCGCCGTTCCTGAATTCAGTGCGCTGATGGCTTTCCTCGGCTCTTTTTCAGCCTTTATGATCTGCATCATCGGGCCTGTCGCAGCGAAAATAGCGGTCGAGAGGAAGTGTGGGATTTTGGACGCATTTATATTGGGGGCGGGCATAGTGATGGCCAGTTGGGGCACGGTCGCAGCGTTCTTAATCGCCTAACGATTCGCAACTTCATTCTAGACAGAAATTTTTGGACAAAAGAATATATACAGTACACAGGTGCAGGACAATGTTTTTAGAGGCGCAGTACGTAGACTACGCCATTTTGACCGTTAATTGTCATTCGGAGCACTCGACGCATTTTAGCTATCTCCAGTTGCTCATGAGATGCCTGAATGTGAGACAAACGCAGACAACCGATGAAGATAGTCTGCACCCGTTAGATCGAGGACAAGGGTTGTTGCGAGCGAAGCGAAGGTGAAGGTGAAGAATACCATCACAGATCCTACGAGGTCATAGCCACATCCGTTTTCGAAGACTTTGCCACAAGTCGCAAAATCATCCAAAACTAAAACTTCGAAGCGAAAGCCAAATGTTGAAGAAGGACTTGGTCGCTAACAAGCGTACTGCACTAAGTCGAAATGTAGCGACTGGCATATTGGCTTGTACTGCCTTTAAAAAGCTCTTATCATCACGACCGACTGAAAAAATGTTAAGAGGTAAGAAAGATTCAATTTTGCCTTAACCTTCTAGAGCCTCAGTCGGTATTCTGAAGGAAGGTGATTATGAACATTATCATTGTGCAGGTAAATTTGTTCTGTTTCGTCAACGGTATTCGACTGGCCGCAGCTTGCGGCGATAGCAGACAATATTGTAAGTACATGAAGAATTATTATGATTCATTATCAGAAACAGCATCGTACGAATCAATTTTCAGTAGTTGTTCAACGCATTCAATACATCCTAGGAAGATTATCAGTCAATGATCGTGAAAGGAAGACGTTTGTTAAATACCCATGCATCATCATCCCAAGGTTTCACTCCTTGGCAGAGGAGTTCGTTCACTTCATCTTCAGTAAAACCCATATTTCCAGCTCTTTCCTCCATTTCCCTCTCAAATTGCATGTCTCTTCCTCTAGGTCCACGAGTTATTCCCAGCCCATAGAAATCGTCGTCAGAATCGTCATCAGAGCCGTAATCAGCCGCATTCTGCCAATCATCTACCAACATATCCAAGTTGTCACGAATGCGCCAGATATCTGCGGTCCCGTTCATCGCGCTCCCAATTCGGTCAAATACGCCATCGTCCATATCATCCTTGACGAGATCGTAAAGCTCTTGCCAGCCACCGAGATTCTCTTCATTCCACCATCCATTCGGAGGGAGATACATTTTTTCATGCGCATACCAGCACTGATCACCGAATTTACATCGGTCAATGAGGAAATGCAAACAAACATTACGACCTCTGCCGAAACAGACTCTAGTCAGAACCGAGGATAGATTAAGGATAATCCAAACTCACAATTCATCTCTGATACTTCTGTCGTCTGGGGCATGCTTGTAACGACACACTTTCCCAAATTGACAACCCTTATGGTTGTAGTATCGACAGGGTAGCTTGACCCCTTTGCCTTTACCTTTGCCTTTATGTTGATGTTCTTCCGAATCTGATGGACAATCCAGGACATGCACAGTACGTTCCGGGGCAAAGTCCCGTCCCAGATTGAAGACCAGTTTGGCTTCGTAATCTGAATCAACATCATAGCGGTCAGCATCATCCTCGTTATAGCCTTGGCGCTTGTTTTCTTCATCGCGTTCTTTTCTCGCGGCTTCTAGTTCAGTTTTAAACTCGGCACAATTTGGGTCCATTTCAAGGCATCGTTCGAAATCTTTACGAAAGTTTGTATCAGGCAACGGATTCGACGAAAAAAACGGAAACCCTCGATCTCTAACCTCGTACAGCGCCCTTTGGTTTACCATAATGCCTGCGGGCGACGCCTCGGCGAAAATATCCTTTCAAGAGAGTCGGATCCACGAGAGTGGCATGATCAGCTGCCATTTCTGCCTCGTCCCAGCTAAAAACATCTCTCCAGTGACGTCTCAAAAGCCATTTTAGGTATTAACTCACCGTTCTAGCTTGATTAATGCGGCTGCAAGATTGGACATATAGACTGGTAGTGGTTTGTACATCTTGCAGGCTTGTTTGTAAAGATCGACCGCTTGATTGTATTTTCCAGCCTTGAACACATTGTTACCCTACAGATAAACAGTAAGATCTCCAAAAATGACCACGACAAGTCGCCGGAAATTATACCTTGTCTTTGAGTTTTTCAGCTGCGGCCTTCTTCCTTTCATTGACCTGATTACGTCGCACTGCTCGAGCTTTGACTTCTGCCTCCCTAGGTCGAGGAACGGATGATACAATCCTAGGAGGAATCCCGCGGGCTGTTCCACGTCTGCCCTTTTCGTATTTTTCATACGAAGAGCTACTAGATGATTCAGACTCAGAATCATCAAGCTCAGAAGTTTCGGCTTGGGGGGAAGAGGATGCAGCTCCAGGACTTTCACTCGCTGCGGTGGTACGAGCATTCATCTCGCTCTGTCGAATCTGTCTCATCACTCCACCAGGACCAAAAGATACACCAACTATTCTGTCTGATGTATCTGGCACGATCTGATTGATAGGCAAATGCAACATAGCCATGATGACCTTTGTGGTAGGTTCCTCTGCGTTCACGTCACCGGTATAACCCATGTAGCCATCTCCAATTGCTGAGTAGGCAGCCGGCGTCTGAGAAGTATCAACAGAAGTAGCAGCGAATACATGCGACTGGGTGCGAGAGTCCTGGGAGGGAGAATAGACAGCGGAGGTCGGGAGGACTTGGGCCAAATTCAAGGCTTTAACGCTGTAAGACGATTCCATGCCTGTAAGATCCATTCCTTGTACACCATCAGCATTGAGATACACGGTAGTGCGATGATAGTCCCCCAATTTCCAAGGCACGCCCCATGCGCGAAAGAAACGTTCGGCAGTGTCGAATGAAAAGTGGTTGCTGAAATTACACCCGAAGACGACAACGCCACCGGCTCTAGCAAAGCGCACAAGCTGTTCATTCAAAGAACGATACTTGGATTGTGTCGGCGCGGCATCAATTGAGAGCACGGCAGTTGGAGGCGTGTTAGAAGAAAGGATAGCTTTAGCCTCTTTGATGCGAGTGACCGATTTGACAGTTGCCACTGCACGCATCGACGACATAAGAGGTGAAAACAAGTCGGAAAGATAGTCTTCATCCATGAGACCAAGGACGAGGATGTTCGGTCGAGACATGTCGATTTAAGAGTCAAGGTAAGGAGAAAAGATCTCGCGTCCTGCAAACACACTTCAATTTGAATTTCAATTATTTGGGAGCCACGTGACCCCGATTATACGCGAGAAGTGCAATTGAAGCGTACTGTAATTTAAAATCTAATTGTGAGCGTTCATCTATGTTCAAATTGGAATCAGTACCAATTATTCCTTTGCTATTCGCAACTTTGTTGAGCGCCCATGGCCTGCGTAAGAAGTCTCTTTCGCCTGGAGGTGCTGCTACCGCGTTCATTGTTGGATTGTTGATGATGGCTGGAGGCGTCAAGGTCTTTGGTGTCTCATTAATTGTGTTCTATCTGACTGGAAGTCGGGCTACCAAACGTAAGTTGTTCGAAAAATAGTCCAAATCTTGGCTGAAATTTTCGCAATCAGTCGGTAAACAGCGGAAAGCACAACTCGAGGATGGCTACCATGAAGCAGGCTACCGCTCAGGCTGGCAAGTTTTGAGCAATTCATTTGCTGCCTTCGTCGCCTGCGTGCTATGGAACATTCTGTTCTCTCAAGGAAGCCTCCAGACCTCGCTCATTCTTGTATTCGGGACGGAATTTCGCGATGGCTTGATCAACATATTGGGATTGGAATCTCAAGGGCTTCCCGAGTATGGCGATGGTGGTTCTTGGTGTCCTGTTGACCAGCAAATTGCTGGTGGCTGGAGCAGGCTCTTCATATTTGCTACGCTGGGGTGAGAAACATGAAATGCTGTATACAGGCTGCCTCATGATAGTATTCCAGGCATTTTGGTTGCTGCCTTGGTGATACTCTTGCTTCGGAGTTGGGGATATTGTCTCCTTCCAAACCTGTCCTGATTACGAGTTTAAAACCGGTCCCTCCGGGAACCAATGGGGGTATGAGTGTTGGTGGCACGTTAGCTTCTGTTGCCGGTGGACTGATTATAGGCACCACTATGAGCACATGTCTGATATTGGAAAATTCCAGATGTAGAGCGGATTGGATGTCGCTTCTCCCAACTATGATATTTTGGGGTGCAATGGCAGGAGGAACGGGTAGTCTGGTATGCTTTGCGGTGACACTAGAGCAATTCTTTTCTGAAGTTTTTACAGCTTGACTCGTTTCTGGGAGCCACGGTGCAGCAGACGAAGTTCTCAGAAAGTAAAAAGTTGATTTTACAAGACAATAGCACGCCCACGGGATCTCTCAAGGTTATCAGTGGCATGAACATTCTGACGAATAACCAGGTAGGCGTTCGTTATATATTTGACTGACTCGTTTTCTGATGGTACCAACATACCTACATAGGTCAATGTTGTCTCCAGTATATTCACCAGCATATGGATGAGTCTGGTGTAAGTGAATAGAAGGAGGTGTTACAGTACAATATAATTTGACTACGACCTTGCTGCTTGTGCGATCACTTTAGTGAGTTCTGAGGTCGGGTAAACTAATCAGATCGGGTTCAAAATAAGTGGGAGCACTTACGGGGAAGTTTGATGCTCTCCTGAACTACGACAGCCTCGATCTGGTTATCGAGGTTGGCAGGGATATTAACAACGGTCCCTTCAGAATTCAGCGTCCATCCAAGCTTGTCAATGTATGATTTCAACTCTTCTGGTGCTACAACCGAGCTTCTAAGCCGTATTCCAACGTTGAGAAACGGATGTCTACTCACAGTCCAAATCGAGATACAGGCCTAAACGATCGGTGCCAATGCGAGTGAAAGTTGATTTCACAGCACGAATGACAACTTCCCGTATCGAATCCTCGAACCCTGCGCATTCGACAGTGTAATTGTCCCGCAGACTCTCCAGTTGGTCTGACCGGTAAGCCCTCCAGAATGCAGGGAACCGGCAACGATAGAGAAGGTGATGCAGTCCGTGAAGAACAGGAAGAAGAACAGGAAGTGGATCAGGCTCATCAAGAGAGGCATTTGGTGGTCTCTCATCGAGCAGTGATATGCAAAGGTTGAAGTCAGGCAGAGGAGAGGCGCCAAGGGCTTTTATGAGGATGTTTATGACCACGTCGGGGTTGTAGAGATCTGGGTTGAATTGGTAACTAGTAAACGGGTCAGATAGGAAGGACCATCGTTAATGAAGAAGCGCACAGCTTCAAGATTGCAAGATTAGCCAAGCAATCGTATTCCTGACTCCGTATTTGGTGATATAGATAGTCCTCGAGGATACCGACGTTGGAAGGGTTGTAACGGTCTATATAGTCTAGTTAGTACGGATGTTGAACAGATTCGAAAACTACTTACCTACACCAGACACTAGATTTTCAATTAGTTCCGTTCTCGTTGGAGGGGTGATCCAGGAAGCTGCCATGTCTTTTTGGTGATTCTGGATTAAAAGTTGAGGAAAAAAACGTTCGTTTCCCACAGGTTTCCCACGACTTGATCTTTCCTCAGTCTCTTCCTCAAGGGTCATCTACTATCCGATACTCATGGACCAATCTACATCTGAAGTCAACGATCATGAAATGGAAAATTACACCCAGCCAGATAATACTGATGCACAAGCTACTAAATCACCAAGTCCAAACTCGATCCCTCCAAAAGTCGAAAAAAAACCGCGCTTCAGTCCAAAATATATCCTGAGCGGCCATACAAAACCTGTGGCTTCCTTGAAGTTTAGCCCTGACGGGTCTACCTTGGCTTCATGTGGTATGCGACATGGAACTTTTGTGGCATTAATTGGATTTTATTCAAAACATACTCTCGAAGGAAGGCGCTGACAAACTCATCAAGCTCTGGGACGCATATACTGGGGAAATCTTGCGTACACTCGAAGGACACGAGGAAGGCATATCAGATATTGCATGGTCATTTGACGGAGAGTTTCTTGCGTCTGTCTCGGATGACAAAACGGTCAGGATATGGGATTTTGGTCTCGTACGTGCGTTTCATTTTCTTCGCTGGTTTATGCGACTAACCAATCATAGGGAACCGAAGTAAGGTGTTTACAAGGCCATACGAGCTTTGTGTTTTGTGTCAACTATAATCCGAACTCGAATCTGCTTGTATCCGGAGGCTTTGACGAAACAGTACGCGTCTGGGATGTGGGAAGAGGTTCGATCCGTTGTTACATCCATACATGTTGCCTTTCTGACACCCATGGCAGGGAAAACGCTCAAAGTTCTCCCTGCACACTCGGACCCAGTTACTTCGGTTGCATTCAACCACGACGGGACTCTGATCGTATCTTGCGCAATGGACGGTCTAATGTAAGATCCGTTCGAGTCTCCGAGAACGCGATATTGACTAGTAATGAAGTCGAATATGGGACACAGATTCAGGTCAATGTCTGAAGACCTTGGTCGACGACGACAATCCCATATGGTGGCGCCTTCTCCACCTCGCGCTTTTATATTACTAATGCTCATGTCCTTACAGCTCTCATGTAATATTCTCTCCCAACTCGCGCTTTGTTCTTGTATCGACGCAAGATTCCACCATACGGTTGTGGAATTATCATACATCACGATGCGTCAAAACATATGTGGGACATATGAACCGGACATATTGCATACCTGCGTGCTTCAGTAACACAATAGACAAGTACGTTGTGAGCGGGAGTGAAGATCACAAAATTTATGTTTGGGATCTGCAAACTTGTCAGATATTGCAGGTTCTAGAAGGCCATCGAGGTAACTCAACGCGTTTCCTATGTTCATTCTTCCATCATTCTATGACTGAATGAGTTTTACAGATACGACACTAGCTATCGCGGTGAGTGTTTACCTAGTCTGCCCACCGTTCTTTTTTTTGACGGAAGAGCAGACGCATCCAACGAAAGACATGATTGCATCTGCGGCGATGGAGAAAGATCTCACAATTCGTTTGTGGATTGACGATAGTACGTCGGCGTCTAACCTCGCTCCTTGAGTAAAGTATAGATATACTTAGATGTACTTAAGAACTTGAATCAAAGACGGGATTCCTCGAGTTCCGAGACGGTGACCGTTTGCCATTGGTGTTGAGTGAGCGCTGACTCAGAACCGGGTAAGAAGGTTCGAGACTGTTCGGGATATCCCGGCCCGTGTAGTATATAAGCAAATAATCTTGCTCAGCCACTCTACATCTCTTTGTTTCGAACTATAAACTCACTCTACTCTATAGCACATTCTCGGTATGCAAATCTTCGTAAAGACCCTCACCGGGAAGACTATCACTCTCGAGGTTGAGTCCTCTGACACTATCGACAATGTCAAGGCTAAGATCCAAGATAAGGAAGGGTACGTTGAGTCGTTTGTGATATATTGAGAACGTCGATTAATCTCTCATTCTTCCAGCATTCCTCCAGACCAACAACGTCTGATTTTCGCTGGAAAGCAACTTGAGGACGGACGAACTCTCTCGGATTACAACATCCAAAAAGAGTCCACCCTCCACCTAGTCCTTCGTCTTCGTGGCGGTATGCAGATCTTCGTTAAGACGTTGACCGGCAAGACAATCACCCTCGAGGTCGAATCGTCGGACACGATTGACAACGTTAAGGCCAAGATCCAGGACAAGGAAGGGTAAGCATCAGTCGTTATATTCGGCGGTGGCAATCTTCTCACGGCTTATCTCGCCCAGAATCCCACCTGACCAACAACGTCTTATATTTGCGGGGAAGCAGCTCGAAGATGGTCGAACCCTTTCCGACTACAACATTCAGAAGGAATCCACACTTCACCTTGTCCTTCGTCTCCGTGGAGGCATGCAAATCTTTGTTAAGACCCTCACGGGCAAAACGATCACTTTGGAGGTCGAGTCTTCAGACACGATCGACAACGTGAAGGCCAAGATACAGGATAAGGAGGGCATCCCTCCCGATCAACAACGACTAATCTTCGCTGGCAAGCAGCTCGAAGATGGACGCACCCTTTCTGACTACAACATTCAGAAGGAGTCAACCCTTCACCTTGTTCTTCGTCTACGTGGAGGCATGCAGATCTTCGTTAAGACTCTCACGGGAAAGACGATCACTCTTGAGGTCGAGTCGTCTGACACCATCGATAATGTTAAGGCGAAAATCCAGGACAAGGAAGGTATTCCGCCTGACCAACAGCGTCTCATTTTTGCTGGCAAGCAGTTGGAGGACGGTCGCACACTTTCTGATTACAACATTCAGAAGGAGTCAACCCTCCACCTTGTCCTTCGTCTTCGAGGAGGCATGCAGATCTTCGTCAAGACCCTCACAGGAAAGACGATTACTCTGGAGGTTGAGTCGTCAGACACCATTGACAATGTAAAGGCGAAGATCCAGGACAAGGAGGGTATTCCGCCTGACCAGCAGCGTCTCATTTTTGCTGGCAAGCAGTTGGAAGATGGTCGTACGCTTTCCGATTACAACATCCAGAAAGAGTCGACTCTTCACCTTGGTGAGTCTTACAGTATTGTCGGCTTTCCGTTTGTGTCTAATATTAACCTCCACAGTGCTTCGTCTTCGTGGTGGGAACTGATGTCTTTGGGTTATATAGATAGTGTCACATTTGTACCGCCGTGTATACATACTTAAACGCTGAGATCTGAACACTCGTTTATCTTCCATTGTACATGGCGTATAATTTTCAATGTTTTGGGTCCTTGAGCTAAGAATTCACAGGAGAAATCATTCTTTCGCCTTCCGTCTTCTTTTTCGTTTGCGAGAAGAGCTGGTGGTCTCGGCTATAACGATGTTTGAATCCTCTACCGTTGCATCTGCCTCACTCTCCTCCGTGCGTTTTCTCTTCCCTGTGTCAACAGAAATTTCGTTGGAAACATGCTTCTCTCCATCGCCTTCCACCAGCTTTCCAATGCTTATGCCTTTTCCTTTGCTCTTCCCATCCGAATGTACTTTGACCAGACTCTTCACAGGCTGAGTGGGCATATTAGATGCCTTTTTCTTCTTGATGCTTAGTGGATTAGGCCCTTTGGGTCCTCGTTTCTTCTTGGGCGGAGGGTCCGTGGACGATGATGCTAGTAAAGCTTTTTCGGCAGGTATCGTAGACGTGAGGGCTTTTTGCTCCATCTGCGACCGATTAGTCTTATGCATCCATTAACAGTCAAAGTAATGCATACCAATGTTTTAGCTCTTATTGTCACGTCGCTCGGGGGTTCCAGAATCATTACAGAGCGGTTTATATGCACGATCGGCACTGCAGGAATCAGCCTGAGCTTTCCCCTAAGAGCATCGGATTGGGTAGCGATAACGTAGCGATGCTTGTTCGAGTCCCCTATGACGCATGAACGCCGCGCTGCTCGTTAAATGAAAAACAAAACTTTACCGACGACGCTTGCTAAACAATCATCTCCTGAAATAGGTTCCCGATGATTACACTTCCTGCGCTCGAATGTTTTGGCTAAATCCACAGCAGGTTGCTGTCCGCGCTGAAGATACAATTCATGTATGCAACATTGAGTGATCACTAAAGTGCTTGTGCGTGTTCGGCATCGAGTGCACGGAGCTAAAGCTTTGGAAAGCTTACTGGGTTTTACTTCCCCTTGGAGGACAGTTCCTAGTTGTTTGACAAGCTCGATTTTATGATCTACTGAAGTCTTGCATAGTTCTGAGTCGACTGTAGATGTCACGACTTAAAAAACGGTGGTAACAGGAGCTCGAATGAGAGACCAACCAAGTACTTGATACGGTTGTCGAAAACCAAAAGACATGGAGTAGAGACTCATGAGCTTCCTATAAGTTTTGGCTCGTTTTTGCCTCATGATCAAAGCTCTAACGGAAGACACAAAATTGAAGTGGACTGCGAAAAGGAAATATTGGGCGCTAAAGAACATTAATTCTTTTCATTTCTGCGTCATGACTCTACCTATCATATTTATACTATTTCTTGGGTATGTTCACTGGTCGTTCAAGAACGCAAAGCTCAGCTCAAGAAAAACAGCTTTCTGTATATAGGTAGCAGTGCCATCGATGTCAAGGGTCATGTTTCTTGGAACGACGTTTGTCGTGGTAAATTCCTGCCTTCGTCAGCAGTCGCGTCTTTGACGATTCAGTATCCAGGATACAACCAACTAGGTCACTCCAGAGTCGTATTGGACAATGCCAAACACAGCGGTGGAATCTTGAAGGACGGTTCTTTCGTAATGTGAGCAGCGCCTGCTCATCCGTACGGTTGCTCGTCGCAAAGACTTAGACAACGGATATTCATTGCCACAATTCACAACAGTCCAAACGTACCTTCCGGGAAATACTTGCTTTCTGTCATCTCCCATGACTATCAGTTCGAACAGGTGCGTGGTTTGAACAGTCGAATGCCGCACTCTTGCTGAGTCGTATACAGATGCGTGTAGATGTAAAGGATAGTATTTCCTTCGAAGAACCTGTTGTTGAAGTCCGACCTTACGTCCTTGGAACTCCCATGAGTCCAGCTTCTACGATCCTACTCCCATATCCCATCAAACTCTCTGCACGACAGAGATTTAACTACTTTGTGCCTCGAGAAAGCTTCAACATTATGGGAATGCTCAAGAGTCCTATGATCCTGATGATGGTGTTTGCTGGTGCACTTGTTTTGGGCATGCCGTATCTCATGGTATGGTAGTTTATGATCTCGTCGCCGACTCACCCACACCGAAATAGAAAAATATGGACCCAGAATCTCTGGCAGAATTCAAGAGAGAGCAGGCGAAGATGTCACACGCACAGAGTGCTCTTCAGAGTGGTGATTTCAAGTCTGGGTGAGTTCGACAATCAACCTAGATCCTGATATAGTCAATTCTGATTCTATATCTCAGACTCTCCGCACTTATGACTGCTGCATCCGGACAGGACCAGGCATCCTCGCAACCTCCTCGTGTACAGGCCGCAACTAAAAGTAAAGGCAAAAGTAGAAGACGATAGGTAGTGCGCCCCGCGAAATCATCGGCCTAAATGTATACATATAGAATGGTACCCAACGAAAATGAACGTTATCTTTTGGATTGTTGAGGCTGTTGTCGAACCTATGGTTTTCCAAGTCCTTCAGGACAATTGAGAGCTTGACGAATAGCTAGATTTCTGCAACTTCTGGTAATAATTCAATCGATCCCCTTGTCAAACAAGAATCACTTTCCTTTGTTTGAACTGAGCAATAACAGCGTGAGCCGAGGGACGTTCCCCTGATAGCTGGGTTCTGAAGTTTTCCATCAGTTACACTGACAAATCACCCGAGTTATCATCACGAACTTGTCCTCTGCTAAAACTGTAGTTGCCTCTATGATATACATCCTGTCGTTATGCCTATCCTCAGCCACAGCTGCGCCAGGTGCTTCTTCAACTTTGATGCCAGTCACAGCTAATGTTCTTGAAGTGCTGGTCACTGTCGGCATCGGCGAAGTTTGGTCGTATTTAAGCAGCAAGACGTGCTCATCTGTATGCTGAGGGAGTAAAGCCAAAGGTGAATCATCTGCATAGTGATATTGAATCGTAGGATGCCCGAGAGAAGAGGAATTTGCAGGCTGAGTGGAAAACAAGATGTAATAGGGTGGATCCATCATGGTAATGGGCAGAACCAGGCACGCCGACAGTTTTTGTTGGATTCTGTTGGGTCTTATGGCAACATGATGGACATTTAATTCAATCGCAACCACAGTGTTGAGTCCCGTTATAAATGGTCGAATCACACACGATTCCTCTTCACAACGGCTTCTATACTTCCCCTCTCATTCCACAGGCGTCCCCGACGACTTCACCTCCTTCTTTTTCCCCGCACTTTCTTTTATTATTGTTGCTTTACAAGCAATTGACATGACCCGCATCGCTGTGCTGTTTCCTTTCGTTGTTTATTTCCTGAGTGCTATACCGTATGGGTCTGCTGGGCCGGCCTGTGCCAAAAAATATTGGCAACAACAGTCGTGTGTTGAACAGTGTAAAGGCAAGTGGGGATATCCTGGTCTTATGATGGGCTCCGGTCCTTGGGGTGCTGTTATCCAAAAGACGGAAGAGAATGACTGGGATTCTGTGATCGCTTCGGCGTGTGGAATGCCTGTTTCGTCGTAGGTCAAGTTTGAATACGTACTTGAACATTTCTGACGCGATACACAGTACTGCCAGTGCTCCTGCTGCGTCTGCGACAATTGCGGGTGCTATAGGCAATTCCCCCCCTTCTTCCAGTGTCAGCTCTGCGGCTGTGTCCACCACTGAACCTATCTCATCTTCTGCTATCTCGTCGTCATCTTCCCCTGTTTCCACGTCTCCCTCCATCAGTATCTCCAACGCGACATTTTCCGTATCCCTATCTTCTAGCATCGCTTCCTCATCCGACACATCTATTCTCCTTGCTCCTACGACTTCTTCAACAGAAGAACTATCTTCTACTTCCCAGTTTACTCCTCCTGCCACGACCTTTAGTGCTGACTCTAGTGCCGCGGAGGCTCCTTCCCCAGCTACGACATCCACTCCTGCACCTGCACCTCCCCTAACTACGTCGTCTACTCCTGCACCTGCACCTACAACCTCTTCCGTAGTCGCCGCCGTCACTAGTTCTTCGAGTTCTACTTCCTCAGGATCAAATGGCTCAGGTGCCTCGGATAGTGATGTTCAAGAGTATTTGTCAGCTCATAATTCGGTTCGGGCTCAACACGGCGCATCCGCTCTTACCTGGAGCAATGATGCTGCTACCAAAGCTCAGCAATGGGCTGACAACTGTGTTTTCCAACACTCTGGAGGAACCCTCGGACCCTTTGGAGGTTTGTTGGTCTGCGTCTTTTTTAGAGAACAGGATCCTGATCGTTCTTTCAGAAAATTTGGCTGCTGGCACTGGGAGTGGCTATGGAATTGCTCAAGCGATCGACTCCTGGTCAAGCGAAGTTTGTATGTACCCTTTCTATTTGTTACATTTCGTCAGTCTCATGATATATATTTTCTTAGCACAATATGATCCCAGCAATCCTGTGGCCTCCCATTTCACTCAGATGGTATGGAAAGCGACTACCCAAGTGGGTTGTGCGGTAGCCTCTTGTAGCGGAATATTTGCTGCCAGCTTCGGAGTAAGTCGTAGTTTGCATTCGCCTGATATTGCATACGTCTTGTGAAGTCTGAATGTCTTTTCCCTCCTCTTAGTTGGCCAGTTTCTACGTATGTGAGTACTCACCCCAAGGCAACGTTATTGGCGAATTCGCGTGAGTCTCGGTTCCCTTGCGATTTATTTTTCGACTGTTGACTAATCACTTCACGCAGACAAAACGTTCAAGCGTAATGCAGGTCATGTTTTTCTTTCCCCTTCGTTCGCTTAGCTGTGCTTGGCCCTATTTCTTTTGAAAGTCGTTCGTTGTTAGTTGCCTGTACTTACATCTAGGATGTAGCCTCTGTAGCTTGAATAGTTGACGTTGTGAAAGTCAAAGCGCCGCCGGCTCAAGGTTGAGTTCATCGTTTCTATTCAGGAATCAGGTAGTCCTGACTCCTGCCGTTTCGGTACACGTATCATACAATTATATACAAAAGGTCCTTTTCAAACTGATTAAGTGCTGTACATTATAAATTTCCGGCTTTCTGCGATCTCACAATTGGAGATAAGGCTTCCTGAATTCGCATATTTGCGAAATAAGTGTACCAAAATGATTCACTACTTTTGCGACCTCCACTGCGGTTGTCTTCATCGCCCTCCAACGAAAGACCAGAAGAAGGCGGTGTGGGAAGTAGTGGAGAACTCGATGATTCAATGTCAGTATCAAAGGATGAGTAAGCGCTATCGAGCTCGAGGTCCGGCGTTGAAGGAGACAGTGGCACGAAGGAAGGAAGTGATACTGTCGGCGAGCAAGAAGAGCCAACTTGGGGTAAGCAGATAGGCAAAGTTGTTTTAGACCGCTGGTAGGGGAAGGACAGTGGAGAGGAAGGACATAAACCGTCTGTCTTTTCCTCTTCATTGTGAGGACATGCAACCGACTTGGATGGATATTGGATAGAAGACGGAGTGATGTCTGGTGCTTCGGGGAAATCAATGAGTATGAGCGAATCATAATGGACAAGCAGGTCCTCCTCAGTGAGGGTTAGGTCCCAGTCAAGAACCTCGAGGAACTCTCGTTCGATGCGACCGATATCGTGCTTCCCGAACAGGCGACTGCATTGTGCCCAGTGCATATTCGGGATACAAGAATCATTGAGAAACTACAACCCACAGTAAGCTCAACTTGAAGAGAAGCCATGCATGGGCCTAAGTATACCGAGGAAAAACATACCTTTGTTGCAATGATCAATGCCCCAAGGAAGACTCTTTCAAAGGGATATTTAGTGTCACTGGAGATCTGTAGGAATGGCCGTGCTCGATTGATGTAGGCGAGGGCTGCGAGCACCTCTGACATTTTTACTCGAGCTTTGTGCAAAACCCTTTCAACAAAGGATGTTGCATCAGAGCAAGGAGATATTTTAGCTGGCCTCCGATGCCTTCTGGATTGCGAACGCCCTCTGGTCATAGGGAACAACATAATTAGTTGATCTGAAGGGTGATCCACAGGGTGGCCAACTATGTACGAGACATATTCAACAACATAATCTGGTAGGAAATCACGTTCAATTTCATTGCAGTTGAGCCCGGGTGTAAGAATCATACCAATAACAGGTTTAGAAACGTCAATGCTCAGGAGTTGCATGAGATATAGGGAGTTTTGTGTGTGATTGACTGAACTGATTGATCTTCGAGTCTCAGAGGTTGAAGATGACGCTGATGGCGAGTTTAAAGTGGACATCATTGTTAATCCACTTGAAGGGGAACTGGTGATAGTACTAGGTATTGATTTGTTCGGACTTTGAGAGCTTGCATTATATGTATGTTCTTGTTAAATCGTGATTGTCGAAAGAGACATCGTGCAAAGGCCTCGAGCCCTATCAGAAACCCAGACCCGCTCGAGCCAGTTCAATGCGGATCTCCGATAACATTCTAGAACTGCGATACTTACAGCTTTGACCTTCTAAACGTTTTAGGTAATCATTTAATTCTCACAGGGGTCCGCGACTCGCCGATTGTACATGTGGAGATGCTCTCTTCGCGACTGCTGAAGTATCTGCTTCAAATCAGCTACATATCATTGGTTTTAGGGACTTTCTGTGCTACTCTTCTCTCATGTGTGGCCCTTCTATCCCAGGCCGTTCGAACTGCACCGAGTAGATCTTGGAACAAGAATTTCAATGCTCTCATCATCGGCGCCTCATATATAGTGTTGGTTCGTAGTTGACATGGAATTTTCCGCACCCAAGCCTGATTTTGTACTTTCATAGCTGATTGCATCCTTATTCTTCTGCTTGAAGAGAACATTGGCCGTGCGACTGAAACTCTCGAGACTCTCGAGAACGCACAAGACCATTACTCGCGGGGATGTTCCCGATGTATAACGAATCTCTCTTTTCCGTTCCATCATAGCTGAAGCTACTCGCACAGTCCGTCCACAGGTTCATCACTGAGGAATACGCGCGGACATGCTTGATTGCACACCAAAGTCAACCAACTGATGCATTTCATGAAGGATGGGGTAAACTAGGTATATCTTCTTCATTTCATGTCCAATTGCAATCTCATAAACCGAAGGAGGCCAACACGAGGGCGTTTATTTCAGACGTGCTCTATTGGACACCATCCCAAAAATCGGTGAGATGCCCATTATCAACTCCCGAGTCGAGCTAATTCGACGTGTCCAGATTCTCTGGCTCGCCTTGTCATTCCTACACACCCAGCATTGAAACCTCACGCTCGCATGATACATCATTTTCGATTCATACTACCTCTACTTGCCTCAAACGAGGATGAGCTTACGCCTTTACACTACTACGACTCCATCATACAACTTGCCAGAGTTTCGCATCGAGAGCCCACGGAAGAAGAGTTTGAACTAGGTATTCAATCAGCGGAGACTATCATGCAAGTGTGCGTCAATATCCTCTTTGGGTCACTCTTTTTTCGACTGACATTTGTGCAGTCTGAACGAGTGTCGACTCGAGATGCTCGAAGATTCTTCGACACAGCTAAATCAATTTTCGGAGGAGTCCATCCATATACGCTCTTAAATCTGATATACATACCCATATATCCTTCATGCGTGTTGGCCTATACTTAACTAACACCAATTGAAAAGTTAATGACTTCAGATCTCTTCAGATGAGGTTTCACATTCATATTACGCGTTTCCAATTCGGGTCCATGCTGTACTGACAATCTACATAACGAATTGTCTATGTAGTCTCGAATCTTCAGATCCAAGAGGGGTAGGGAAATTATTAGTTCGTCTTTCACAGCCGGGTGCGCACTCGCTAAACGAAGTGGGGAATGACAATACATTGAAGGTGAAGAATCGCCTTGAAAATCCTCGCCCGGGTATCTCTACTGAAAGTGAGGAAACAATGTATGACACTAGTCTTATCTAACAATGAGAAACCATTGAATTCAAATATCTGGCATTTTCCAGTATCTCTCATTCGATTACGATCCCAGAGGCGCTGCTAAACTATCTATCTATTCTATGGACATAGAAGCTTTTACTTTGCAATTCCGAAACTTGTGGAAGGCTACTTTGAACAAAGGAAAAGCGGCCTGTATCGTAGTGGAGAATCTCAATCTTAACATCTAGTGTAGTTCTGGATACACTTTGATCCAACTCGGTCTCTCGGTCCAAGCCCGCCAATACGAGACAACTTGACCAGGGATTGGCGCTCCAAACCCTTTTTCAAAAGCGGGAATTGCTTCATCCTTGTTCTTTGCACCCAGAGCTGCAGCAATCCTCGTAAGCCATGCACCCAGATGATAATCATCTACGGAATGCATGTGTGGTTAGAAAAAATACAACATCGACGCAAGACGTATGTACCTTCGCCAGGTATTTCCCCACCTATGAACCCATTCTCAGGAAGGTAAGAAACAAGAGATTCTTTGAAGAACGTCGCGATATTGTGAAAGTGGGTATGAGATTGCGCGAAGAATTCGTCCTTGGATGCTTTGCCTTGATAGAGCGCTAGGAAGGCACCGTTAGACGCGATCTTTTCGTCATAGAACGCTTTGTGCGGTTCCGCTTCGGGATGAACGGAATATTTCCTAAGAGCGGCTTGACCTATGGGAAGGAAAATCAGAGGCTCAGACAATCAGCATGCGTATGTTCGATTCAGTTCAAACACTCACGTCCACCGAGGAAACCTTGACCCAATTCAGACTTTGCCTTGTGTTCTTCATCGTCTCGCTGCAAACAGAGCTGTAGTCAGCACAGCATAAAAAAGGCGGACGAGAAGTGAACAATCTTACGAAAAGAAACAAGGCGAAGTTGGGGTCAATCTTATCTGCATGGAGTATCTCGATGAACTCGGGATTGGCAGCCTTCACTTTGGTCGATGATTTCTTCACGAAGTAAGATGTGACTTCGGCTGTAGATGTGTAGGCTTGACCCTCAGCTTCAAGAGTAGGTAGCGTGGCGTTAGGATTCTTCAATGAAAAGGAAGATTAGATCAATAGTTCATCTAGCAGATCGGATGGCATCTGTGAGTCTATTCACCTTTTTGATGAAGGAAGGTGCAAAGTTTTCTCCTTCCATGAGGTTGATGGTCTTGTATTCGATATCACCGTCTGGGAAAAGCTCCGCGCTACGCGTTGGCGTTAGTCGATTTCTATAAAGACGGTAGATGTAAAGCATACGCAGCAAGCTCAGCGGCTGAAGGTGAAGTGTTAAAAAAGGGATCTTAAAGGATCAGATATTCATACCTGCAGACCAAACAGAGCCTCCGAAGACGTACAGGACAGGCTTGGACATTTTGCAATCGGGTAGAGCGAAGTAACTTGAAAGTGGAGGTAGTGAAGAGAGTTTGATGACTTATCTGAACTCATATGCCGACAACAATCCGAGCATACATCTGCATACAATGATACATGCTGCCATTTAAAGCGAAGGCTTATCTCATATTGTCATTATTCGGTTTAAGCATCAGGACAAACCCAGTGTCAAAAAACGCACGATGACAACGAACGGCCCCACAATAGTCCTCCAAAGAATCTTTTCCAAGATAGACAGAAAAGAGTTAGAAATATCAAAGTAAGGCAGAACTTGTGCAGGCACCAAGATGAAGACAAAATACAAGATATTGAAGGGGGGAGGAAAGGGATAGGGCCTTGAATACCGAACCACAGAGCGATAGAATTGAGCCCGAGCCATTTGACCATTTGAAGCAGAATATTGGTCCCAAGAAGAATATCCTCGTACGTAGGAAATGGAGGTCGGTATTAGGACGAGAACAGAAAGAAGTATTATGATGAAAGTAGAAGCTACGAGAATAAAGGACAGTTCCCGCGTTGGTATCGGGGCAGGCACCAGGACAAAAGAAGATACCAAGAATACATCCGAGAGTGCATATGACAGCAAGAGAACTAACAGTAAGAGGACAGGTAGGAAAAATAGTAGGACCTTCATTATTGGGCCGAAAACACTATTTACGATGAGCGCAGCAAGAGGCAGACATCGTTCCGGCCGAATGAGTAAAAATGGACTGGGACAGAGAGGAAGGTGCAGTTGGATAAGCAGTAAGACGAGACTTAGGAGGAGAATATTGAAAGAAGATTCCGAGGGCAAAGGCGCTGACGGAAGGTTGAGAAGAAATGCAGCCAGCGTTAGTGCGAAGGGCATAGACGCAGTCCAGGCGTGAAGTATCGCGGCTATAGAAAGGACTATGAGTACGACTTCGCGGTATCCGATGTATTCCAGTGGTAGACTAAAGAATGCCGGACGAGGTGGATTGAGGACATAGGATATCAGGAGAAGTAAGAAAGCAATTTGAGAGACCAGATCAAAAGCGTGATAGATCCTATGGGAGAACGTCAACCCACACTGGGAGGCATAAATAATACAAGAATATCTCACCAAGGTGTACACAGCACGTCGTATCGGGAGGTAAGATACTGCCTGGAAGATGAAGGATCCAAGAGAGCACCCCGCTTCCAGCGGTATTTCAGGGCTAGTTCCACTACCCTGTCATTAAGCAGCTTTGGATGTTTGGAAACAAAGTCGATGACTGAATCGAGGTAAGATTCTAAAACGACGCGATAAGTAAAAGAATTGACCTCTGAAGGCTTTTCCTTTTTCATCTACCAGAAATTCTGTCCACAGAACAATCTCCACGTCCCTAGAGCTACAGAATGTGCCCAGAAAAGTAGTCCAAATTTGTTCGATATTTTCGTCTATGGTTTTGACCCATTGATCCGTGAGCATTTCATGTTTCCAGTCGTCCCAAGGACTATATTGCGAAGCTTTTTCTCGGGTCTTCTGCTCTCGGAAAAGTAGTAGAACAATAATAGAAAATGAAGTACGCAAAGCGCGGTGATTGGAAAGCTGAGCGGGTTGCAAGACGTCTGTTTGAACCAAGTCTTCTAGTGAAATAGAGTTCAGCCGCGAGATAAAGTCGCGGAGAAGTGGCAGATGCGCAGAAGATACATCTTGAAGGAGGGCAGTTTCTTCAGTGGCCTCGTCGGCCATATGATCGTTTGAAGCAAAAGTTATATATTAGACGCCTAAGTCACGTTTCTTTCGCACTTCCAGCTCACCGCCAACATGAGCGTATCTACGCCTCTTCTGGACACTATCGAACCCGATGAAACTCCAGTTGAACTCTCGGGAAACATTTCATCTGCAAAGATTAATTCAAATGCACGGAAACCTGTTGTCCTCACTCCTACAAACCGCGCACAAGGTTCCCAAATGGCTACTACACAAAGTGATGCAGAATCTGGTGTGTCTGCCAATGCATTTATTTTGTCATGATTGTTGACAGGATATTCAGGCATAGCAGGCATATTTCGTCAAGTATATCACGTTTATATTTGAAGGATTTCGCTTCTAACAACTACCACAGTCTGCGCACCCGATGGCTTTATTTTTCCTCTACTTCTTCCGTATTTCAGCCATCACAGTATACGTCATATCTGGATTTCTAACGGACGACTACGTCCTTTCGGTGCGCTGACGATTTCCTCCATACTTTAATATGCAATTGATCCGAGAATCCTATAGACAGTAATGGTTGTAATCCTGTTAGCTATGGATTTTTGGAATTGTCGGGTGTGTACCCAAAGCATTATTTCGCTCAGGATGGACATTCATTTCAGCTTCACGCAGAACGTTTCAGGAAGAACCCTTGTCGGTTTACGGTTCTGGAACCAAGTATGCATTACCACATGTCCAGCTTTCCTTATAACTTATGTTATCCCGAGGTTGACGATGACGGGGAAAGCTATTGGGTTTTTGAAAGCCGAGACGTCAGTAACTTCATATATCGTGAGTTGAAATTTTCATAACATAATAATTGTGTAGCCCTCAAGACCTGCAAATCCAATCGATTCAAAGTCAGTGTTAGATTCTGCTTGACATGATGATCCCTAACCATCGTTCGTGTATGTCAAGGATGTTCTGGGTACGTGGAATCACGTCGCTTTCTGACCATATTTGACTTCCCACATTAGATTGCCCTGTACGTGTTTCCTGCACTTTGGACAAGTCTCCTAGTTGTCTCTATCCTCAAACTCGGGCTTTCGTCAGTTTTTGAATTTCTGACACTCACCTTTTGAGCTCCCTGACACGATCATTAGATTTATCCCTATCGTCATTTTAGCATTGGTTTTCAATGTAGCCAATGCTGTCGGCTTTACTTATGCTGACCGAGATGCCAAACAGCGCTGGGCAAATAGCGTTGTGGGAGGAGGATGGGGCTTGGGTAGTTTAGGCGGACAGCTCATTACAGGTGCTGTTCAAAAAGGCGTCGGAAGGATGTTCGGTTGAAATGAAAGATACCCAGTGCTGACCCAGTTAGACGGTTGTATTTTATTTTGCACATTTGGTGGCAGATGCCTGTGTAGCATTCGACTCAGATTCGACTAGAGAAATGATGAAATGATGCATTCGAAAACAAAGACACGAATAAAGACGAATAAGGAACATGAAACGACCATGCTTGCATGTAAGGGTTTGAAAATAAAGGATTTGAAAATAAGAACGAGAAGAAGAGCAAATCCCATCGTCCTCAGCGCAAGAGGTCGCAATGCAAAAATAAGATCTAGTAATACACACAAGAGTCCAATGCAGGGACGATATATATAAATCTGTAATGGTTTGCTGCATACCATGAATAATGCGTGAGCGGAAGGAAGTGGTGCTATTGCCCCAGACCGAGGATGAAGGAATGAAGCTGGGAAGCACAACCAAGTAGATCGACGAGAAGCATGCACAAAGCAAGCCAAGTGCGTGAACATTAAATTTGCAAACTGGAAAAATCTGTGACGAGAGCTCAAAACATAAGAGGATTCAAAAAAGAGAAGGTGAACGCGGAAAGGATCGGATTAGAAGAAGACGTGTAGAAGATCGTACGACTAGCATGAGTATCCCGACACCAAGCGTAACACCAACATAAGCATAGCGAATGTCGAAACGTGAGAGAACTCAACTCCCAGTGGCATCCGTTCTGATTTTATACAATTTGCCTGATCGCATGAGCAATGAGATGTCAGCCCAAAGCCTCGACATAGCCTATTGTTAATCACTTCAGCGCAACATAACCTCGAACGTCCACCCTGGAGAATCCCGTCGTCGGTGTGGGGGGCGCGCTTAGTCCAATGAACGAGCGAGTCTTGCCTTGATGATTCCGGAAGGTCGACACTCGAGGAGTAGCCAAGAATGAAGGGAAGGGAACATTCAGATCGCGTGGAGTGGCAGACGTTAATGTCATGGTGGACGGCGTCCGTGTTGTCAGGGTTGGACTGGGCGGGAAGACGAACAAGGTTTGAGAAGGGGTCGAAACTTGCGACGACGGTACAGTGCGTTTGCCAGGTTTGGATGCGAAGCTTCCACTTTGCGATGCCTGGCTCTGCGCTTTGACTTTCTGCATTACACTATGGCGAAGGTGTAAAGGTGGTGGGGCGGGTTTTCGGGACTCGGTGCGCATTCGCGGTGGCGCCGCAAAGGGAGAAGTATACTGAATAGAAGAAGCGGAAGCAGAGGATCGGCGGCTGCTTGCTGAAAGGATGGATGATGAGGATGACACGACGGACGTAGGCCGTGGAACCTTGGATGGCTTGTTTTTTGGCGAAAGTGGTACTGCATAGCTAGACTCAGTTTCACTAGCCTCGTTGGAACTGTCCCCTTCAACAATGATGGCGATGGGAGATGGGGGAATAGGAGCAAGTGTTCCCAAAGGAGTCGGCCGTCTTTTATTTGCTTTCGGAGTTGACAGATCAAACGATGAACGGAAAGCTGTTGAAGGAGGCGGAATAGATACACTGTTTCCAAAAGACGTTTTCCAAACCGGGGCTGAAGGTGGGGGTTGCGCTTGGGAATTCAATTTGGGAGTGAATGGCGGGAGCTTAGGGCGAGCAGTCCTGGGTGTGAAAGAAGACAGCGAGCTGCTTCGCGGAGGAGAGATTACGTCTTGAATATCCTTATGTGGATTGTTGGTAGACGAAGAAGTCGAAGTCGAGGATTCCAGATTGTCTACATTTTCTTTTTCATTGCCGACCATATCGGAATCTGGGCTGTCGGATTCGAATCCACCGCCTACACCCAGCAATTCCTGTTCTTCCTCTTCCTCAACTAGATCTTCGCTGATCAAGCTCCCGTTGGTGGTGTTACTTGCTACTGAACCCGTACGCTTGCGACTGTATCGACTGCGCCATGCGGGCCCCATACCTACGCCGCTAAATGACGAACCATGAGACGACATGGACGATGCAGAATTTTTACGTGCAACTACACGATCCTCCATAGCCTTATCGAGTGCCTGTGCTTCCTGCATAACAAGCCGGCTTTCATGATCATCCTCGTCCTCATCTTCCATCATCTGTCTCCGGCGACTCCATTCCGCTTCCTCATCTGCAATCATTGAAGATCGATCTGAGGAAGGAGAGTTGGCGTCCTGTCCTTTGAGTTTACGTTCATAATCAAGCAGTTGATAAATAAGTCTAGAGCATCCTCAGTCAATGTAGTGAGAGTAGAGAATAGAACACATACGACATATTTGGGCCTATCCATGCGCTTTTTTCTTTGACATAATCATATGCAGGTTGCATGCCTTTGAGTGCCCATATTTCAGACGGTACAAAGGAGGAACGTTCGGCTGCGGCCCGCATCACAATGGCAATGGTCAGCGTTGCAGAGCGTGAGATACCACATTGACAACTACATGCAACGACCATGTTAGACATATTGATTGGCAGAAACATAGGAATGATACATACTGGATGAGCACGCCGTCCCCCCGTTGAAGAGCTTCATCAGTGAATCTCATGGCAACAGGAAAACCGTCTGCAACCAGATCCCGCTGTCCATGGGACCATGGCAGCTTTAGATAATGCAAACCAGGCCTGCCTGTGGCAGGATGTGGTGGATGATAAGTGGCTGTGGAGTCGAGTGTTTTATTCAGATTGGGAGTTGAGACAGCGACTCTAAGCGAATGAGGTTTGGCTGGCTCAAAAGGTGAAGCAACCTCTTTAGCGACATTGAGAATCGATTTTATTCCACGCTCTATGAGGCCGGTCCAGTCACGAGCGTTATCCTCTGAGCCCAACCAGATGCCTGGGATTATCTGAATAGGACCGTCAGCATACGGGACAGCTGGATCACCCTCCTGCTCTCGGTTGCGCTGCAAAAAAGACACCACGGTAGGATTGGCGGTGGGAGGTGGGAGGGAAATAACAGATGGCCGCCTTGGACGAGGACCAGGAAGCTCTGGTTGAGCTGTACTGTTAGCACTCTGGGGCTCAGACTGGAGACCCAAGGATAAGGAAGACGACTGGGCCGAAGGTAGGGTCAAGGAAAGTTTCTTCATATTCCTAAGGGACATGGGCCGTGGACTAGAGGTATGATCCGAGTCAGAGGCACTTGCAGGATCACCTAAAGCAACAGCTATACGAGAGTGTTGTGGCATATCGGTTTTTATCGCGGAAGGAGGCCCCTTTTTGCGCTGCATTTTGGACATCGTGGGGGTTTATGAGAGGAATGGACCAGCCAGTTACGATGAAGATGAAGAGACAAGTAGAAGAAGATAACCAGGACCACAGCCGTGTCCACCGAGGTCAAACAGTAAGAGCTTTACACGTGACTGACTGATGTGGCAAATTCGGAATGATTCGGCGCTTGTTTCAAGGTTGTACCTTCTTTTGGACGCGTCCAGAACTTCACCTGGGTCCCCAACCCCAAAATTCGTATAAGTATGCCCAGCCATAACCAATATCTCTTCCTTCTATCCTTCTCACTCACCTTTGGTATCCTTCTGCTCGTCAGCTTCTGGGTGTCTGCTTTCCTTACTGCGAGAGATATTCACCTTCGGAACCTCATTCTCATCGGCCTACCTAAAGACCCGCAGCATCCGGAAATGGACGTTCATTCAATTCAGGACTTCATTAAAACCTTCACTCAGGAGGACGCCATTGCCTTGGTGCAGACACCAGCATTCCTCGCTTCTGCAGGCTTGGCTGCAGTCGCCTTCTATTGGCTGGCGTTCAGTGGTGGTCAGTCTTTCATCCCTATCGTCGTTTCGCGTCTATTAATGCAAGCGTACTGTAGAACGTAAGCCTGTCCTCAACCCCAATGAGTGGAAAGAGTTTCCTCTTGTTCTGAAAACTCAAGTTTCGCCCAACACTGCCGTGTACGTCTTGCGATCGCGTCTCAGAGCCTCAGCTTAGTCTTTCTGACCATCCGATTACAGCTACCGCTTCTCTTTGCCTAGTAGTAAAGATGTTCTCGGTCTACCTGTTGGCCAGCACATCCAAGTTTCAGCGGAAATTAACGGCAAGGACATCATGCGTAGCTATACCCCTACCACTTTGGATCAGTTTGACAAGGGTCATTTTGACCTTCTCATCAAGGTGAGCTTAACGCGTCGATATGCTCGGCCTTAGCTCACTTTAAAATGTTTGATTCCTTTCAGACATACGAGAAAGGCAACATCTCCCGTCATTTCAGCCTTCTTAAGATCGGCGATCGCATTCGTGTCAAGGGTCCCAAGGGCGCATTCATCTATAACAACAAACTCACTGGTCACCTTGGTTTGATTGCTGGAGGTACCGGAATATCACCCATGTACCAGATCATTCGTTCTTCAATTTGGGACCATTCCGATGCTACGACCATTAACCTCATTTACGCCAACGTTAACGAAGAAGATATCCTCTTACGCGACGAGTTGGAACACCTTCATCACAACAGTGCTGGAAGGTTCAACATCTTTTACGTCCTTAACAACCCTCCCCCTGGCTGGAAAGGTGGTGTCGGTTTCGTCACAAAGGAACAGGTTGCGCACTACATGCCGAGCCAGGATAAAGACTGTAAGATTCTCATGTGTGGGCCGCCACCCATGATGTCGGCCATGAAGTGAGTTTTTCCTTCGATTCCTTTCCCGAGATTTGTTCATTCATTGCATTCTTCTCAGGAAACATCTCGATGAACTAAAATACCCTGCCCCTCGCACGGTCAGCAAGCTCAGCGACCAGGTGTTCTTGTTCTAGAAATAAATATCTCAGTATATAGCTGGTATATAGATTGGAGGGATGTACTTGAATAAATGAACCAAATGCTCGATTTCAACTAAGATATATACCCTGGGTAACCCAGAATAAGTTGAAGAACACTACTGTCCATGGACTTGTATTTCAGTATTACATACCGTTTCGTTCAGGAAAAGCCTCTGCGTCTTTTTTACCTGGGTACGTTTCTACAAACTGATTCTGCTCAGAGTCATAACCCGGATCCTATATTCATGGTGTATGTATACATATTATTATCATGTTGGTTTCGAGACACAGAAACTAATCGTTCCGAGATATATCGACGATTGAGATTTACTCTGAGATAAGGGAGCTCAAGGGAGGAAGGACGTCGCCAGCTTACATGTAAGCTATGCTTCTTACCATTATGAATCAAATCCCATAGAAAACCAATCCTGAATAGAGCGTTGTAGTATTTATCACAGAGAACTAAGAACTCGCAGATGATTTTACTTCTTGGGCTATATCTTCACTTCATACTACATTCCAATCTTGGCGCCAATGAACTCCGGTGGCAGCGGTGATCATCATCATCCACAGATATAGCGAAGTTTTTTGAAAATAGTCCCGCAATCAACACTTTGAATGATCCATTGAAGCCGGCCTCAGTCTCAAAATTCCAAAGTGGGTCACTGGATACTAGTATGTAGGTACTCGCTAGGTGTTCTTTACCAGTTTTCACCATTCTTGTCATCGACCGTGACGTACTCGACCATTCCAACGGCACACATCGCGTCCCAACATTCACATAGCTATTCCAAGGCGCGATCTGGACAGTGGCAAGCAAGGGAAAATTGAGTAGCCTACTTTGACCGATGCCCGAGAGCCAACAGTTATATTGAACGTGTTTTTGTCGGACTATCATTTCCGCATCTTGTCTCCTGTTCGACGATATGCCAAACGCAAACGACCCATTCAGACTGAGTTCAATGGCCCCGCAGCTTCCCCCTGATGTTCTCAAAAGCCAGCCAGGTCTTCCCTCTCCTCCCCGGACACCTCTGTGGCGCGATGACCCGGATGTTCCTTACACACTATCCACGCATATTGTCGACGCAGCACCGCTCAGAACATTCCCCCAAATTAAAGCACTGGATGAAGTGTCGATGCCAACTTACGCACGAATGCAGGCGGCCAATCTGGACACCAAGGGCCGGCAGAAAGTGGCTCAGGAGCAGGTAGGTTTGATGTTGAGTTGGCGGAAGGAACAGGAGGAAGCAAGGCGTGTTCAAGGGACGCCAGGTTATGAGCGTCGCTTGTGGCTTTGCTTGAATCGATATGTCAAGAAGGACCTAGACAAGGTGCCCCGTAAAACCAAGGGGTTGACACTGATATTTGCACACGCGCTCGGTACTAACAAAGAGGTCCGGAATCCTTACACTTTGATTTCTATCTCTAGTTCATATACTATTTTTTATAGACTTGGGAACCTTTGATCATGCGCTTGGTGAAGTCTCCGGCTGGTCGCGACATTGAAGAGATATGGACTTGGGAAAGTGTAGATACCGGGGACTCTGCGCTCCTCAATTCAGGCAAGCTCAATCAACTTTGTGAGTTCCTGAATACAATCCATCAAGAACGGGGAACGACTGAATTGACATTGCAGCTGATTGGTACGACGGTGCCAGAGACATAATTCACTTCCTTCTACACTACATGCCCTCTAGAATCATGTCAGACGAATTACCGGTACATTTACCGCGCGTTTCTGCCGCTGAATTCGAGGATAGAGGTCACCAAGGCTTTTCAGAGCGTCAAATCATTGGTATTGGCCATTCATATGGTGGAAATGTTTGGTGCGTGTGAAGAACTTTCGTCAACCATCTTCAATAACCGTAAAGTACAGCGCCCGTGCTTGCTTTTCATATCCTCAATGTTTTTCCGCTCTGGTTATGGTAGATCCCGGCATCGTCAAACTCAATGATCCTACTCTGAGACCAACATTGAGGTATATGGCCCAAGGCGCATACGCCCGAAGGGACTCTTGGAATTCAAGGTAAGCCTCTTTATTATTGTTTCATCTGTATATAATCAAGGTTTATTTAACATTTGAAAGGGAGGAGGCTCTATCGTTGCACAAGAAATCTGCATTCTTTGGTGCCTGGCACCCGGATGCTCTAAATCTGTTTATTGAATGCGGATTATACACACCATCAGGCTCTGACGCAGTACACTTGAAAACACATCCTGTATTAGAAGCTTTGGCATATACTAATGGCATAGAACCATCCGAAGATATGTATGCTAAAGCACCCAGCTTAGATGAAAAGGTGTATATCAAGTGGGTAATGCCGGATCGAAAGAAGGGTGGAGGGTAGGTTGCTCGGGACTGTCACCTAGCGTAATGCTTAAAGCTTGGTGTTCTCTAGTTTGGCAGGCGTCGAATCCTCGGATAGGCTGGTCAAACTTCGGCCAGGAAATACGTCTAGTGTCAATATAGCAGGTGCATCGCACATGATACCTCTAGAGAAACCAGACGAAGTGGGTGAGTAACGTTGAGTTTATGTACTGACAGATAGCATGAAGCTGATGCCGTTCTAGCTCGAGAGATTGCAAACACTATCGAGATAGTTCGCAGAACTTCACCCAAGATGTAATCTTTGTGTATATACAAATAAGATGCTACGCTTGATTGACTACTAGTACTGGACGGCAATGACAGGTCTAAGAATGGCTACATAAAGCCTTGCAGATCATCGTAAGACTTCAATATGGAGAACTCATATTGAATCCTATACAACAAAAGACATTCAATTTGTCTTAAACTAGCAGTGACCCGTGCGATGCACGTTGAGCAGCTCAATTCCACTCGGGGCACTCGCTCCCTTCGCCCGTACAGTGACTCAGTGAGCAACAAAAAAAAAAGAGTCCCGCAGACGCCGGAAAGCAGCAGGCGCCTGATTGTGCTTCGTCAAAGCCAAAGGTATTGATATGTCACCATCACGCTGTGACGTGCGTCTACCTGATCCCGACTCCCGCCCCCACAATCAATAAGATGTCTTCAAGGCCAACGAAACGATCTCGTACTGGAGATATACCCCCATTCGGTGCACCTTCCGACCTCGAGACTGCTATCTTCCAAGTCAACGAACCCTCTTCCCGCACTCTTCCTCTTACAACTGTACCTACTCTAGTCACATTTTGTGATTGGCGATTCGTGTCTTGCTTCAAGAGACTTCGAGAACATAATTCTCTATGGGAGAGTCGTATATCCCATCAGCTTCAACTTCTTCCGGACTCTGTTCTGCCTCGACTATTTACCCTTCTCAAGAAGTCGCATCCAGGATTTCTTCCACATGAGATCATCGTCACCGTGCGTTTATAGAATGCACAATTAGCACAGCAGACAGATGTATAACATGTAATACTATCAGTACTTCCTGCGTGGTTTCAACCTTTCTCTATCTTCCGACTCACTGCCAGGTGCAAATAGAGGGACAGTCTTGGCCATTCCGCGACTCAACCCTCAGGTCCGCGAACTTAATCTATCCGGATTCAGCAAACTTGGCGATGATGTGTTCGCCAAGGTTGTTGCCCAGTTACATTCCCTGAGATCGCTCGTTTTACGGTAGCGATTCATCTCTTCTGAATACAGTAGCACACGATACTCAGTTTTTTGCCATTAGAAATTGCACTAAAGTAGGACCAAAAACGATCACCGCTATCGCCAAATCTTGCCCAGAAATCCGAAGTTTAAATCTCAGTGAAACGTCAGTTTCGCCTGTTGCTATAGCTGAGTTACTCGTGGCTCATGGAAAACAACTTGAGGTGCTGAAAATTGCAGGCTTACAACGTTGGGTGGGTTCTCTATCGGTGTTCTTTGCATGCTTGCTCATTGCGCACCACCTAGACGGATGCTACCTTCATGGCTCAATTGCACCCATACTTAATCGAGCAGCAAGTAAGCATGCCGAAGCTACAAACCCTCAAGCTGCGTGGTCTGCAATTAGCCGATTCATCCATAGACTTCCTCGTATCGCTATCCCCGAATTTAAGACGTTTGGATATATCCTTCACCGCTACCAAACGCCCAATTCTGTTCACCTCTCGCCGAGATGTTTTCAGTGTTTGCGCTCATCTTTCAGCACCACCGCTTGAAAAATTGTCTCTTACATCAACTCCAGTAGCTATTTCAGAACTCCTCCAGACCATTACCTCATTCTCCAATTTGCAAACTCTATCACTTGGTGCTCTCGGAGCCGCAGGGTCAATGGGCGTTGCTTCCGCAACAACTTTGAACGACGCCACACTTCCGAAGCTGACAAGTGCATTACAATCTTTCCCAAATCTACGCTCTGTAAACCTCGTGTCCAATACCAGGTTGTCAAAAGCTTCATTGTTTGGTTTCATACAACGAGTTGGGAGAAAATGTCTAGTGAGCCTTGACCTTTAAAAACAAAGGTTTTTACATAGCCTTATGTGATCTCGAAGTACTTGAACTTGGCCGGAATTACAACCATGCGATCTGATGCATTGGCAGCGCTTCTTCCTATGGATGGAACACATCCAGCATTGGAGACGTTAGTTCTCAACAACACCAGTATAGGAGATGATTCTGGGGCTTACATTGCCTGCTGTTGCGATCTCGTCAGACTTGAGGTGGAAGGAACAAAGTTTACGAGTAAGCACTTCCGTTGACACTCTTGATAACATCTCACTATCTACTTAGGTGAGGGTCTATTTCCTATTATCGATGCGTGTTCGAAATTACAAGTCCTAAACCTCACGAGCTGCAGAGGGGTCCGAATTGCAGATCGCAGGCGATTTTTCGAAGTACAATTTACTCTCCCCTCATTTTAGCTGTAAACGTTGATGAAATTTTTTGATAGGTTTGGCAATCTCAACAAAGCTACGCAAATTGAGAACCTCTGTGCAACGACTCTCTCCAATCCCTTATTTCCTAATTATTTGCCCTATTCAACTCCGAGTTCAATGTCTGCAATCACGATGGGATGCATTGCGAATAGACTACGTTCATAGCGACGATCAGTTCCGGTATAACGATAAAAATGATATGACTCTTACAAGTGTTTTGTGCGACGCAAGTGTATCCAGCCACACACGCTGTAGGACCGGTCCATCCAGAGCCTATAAGCCTATAAGATAATCCCTCTTGCTCCATGAGTCTGGATATACTTACCACCACATTGTCCATAAGCACTAGCTGTCGAGGTCGAGGTAGGAGAAGAAGAGGATGTGGTAGACGTCGTAGTCGAGTGCGACGAAGTAGTTGAAGAAATGGTTGTAGGGGTAGTGGTGGTCTTGCTTGTCGATGAGATTGAAGTGGTGGAAGTCGACGCCACAGTTGATGTAGGAGGTGGAGCTGCACCGGCTGGTACACCGTAGAATATACCTCGCCCATTGGTACCAATGAAAACGCTTCATTCGATGAAGTCAGGAATCAAGTCAGAGTACTAGAAGGGCGGAGTATTTACCGGCCATAAACCCGTAAATCGGCAGTTATAGGGTTTGAGGAAATACTACCGAATCCATGAGCGGCGTCGTTTATCTGTACCCAGTTTGTACCTTGAACAAATGTCAGTGAAAATCATCGCGCGACAAGGGGCATTCATCACCTTGATCATCGGTCCTGAAGTATCCGATCGTGCCTCCAATGTTTGCGGCTGCATATAAAGAAGGATACCCTCCAGACTAAGAGAACACAGTTCACATATATTCAAAGTGACCACAGGATGATCAGCTTACCGTCGCCGGCGCACCCAATGCAATAGCTACACAAAACGAGGTCATTCAGCGTTGAACAGATATCTTCTGAAGAGAGGTTGGATTACCCCAGGCTTCAGTGACACCGGAGATTGTGGTGAAAGTAGTACCGTTGTTGGTGGAATGGAAAAGACCCTGGGAAGGAGCGATTAGGTTAGATTTAGAGAAACCATCAAGCTACGGCTTCACCTTGTCAGTGGAAACCCAAACGTCACCAGTGACATTGGGATGCATGACGATTTTGGCAGGAGAGGTAGAAGAGCTGAGCGTTGATTTCACGGCAAAGGTGTGTCCGGTATCTGTAGACATATAGAAATTTGCACCAGAAGCAGCAAAGAAGATTGCATTGTTGCGTTTGTCAGATGCAATAATAGACCCGCTGGGGAGGGACGAGACAGCAGTAAAGGCTGTATCGGGGATGATAAGCACAGAGCTAGAACCGGAATTATGAGACAGACCATCAGTGTATTGAGAAACCAAGACACCGTTCGTTGAGCTACTCCAAAGTACGGTGTCAGCGTTGGCGGAATAGGCGACCTTTCCACCTGGCGAACATGAGGGATTAGTAGAGACGACCGTACTAATGGAACACACGGATCGTACCGGTGACATTCAAGGCTTAGATGTCAGGGCAAGTTAATCAAAGACTTCGGCGATCAACGTTAGGTGAAATCAACACACCTGCGCCATAATCTATATTCCAAGAGTTACCGGAATCTAAGAACGACGAGGTTCAGACTGAATCTGAACGTATAGAAGAACTACTTGTGCAAACCTGTAGATACAGCAACCTGCTGAAGGGTAGAACCAGCGTTGTTCCCAATTCGTACTATGTCGGTTGGGGTATTACCGGCGTAGTCAATGTCGATTGCGGTAGCCCATTCTGGATTTTGGAACTCTTGAGCAGGAGGAGTTGTGAGGGAGGTATGCTCAAAGCCTAAAAATAAATGAGCCGCAAAATACAGATGGCTATCGATATTTACCTTCAATATCGCCTACTACAGACAATAAAAGAGGTCCGACAGGGGGTGCAATAATGTTCTGCGGGGTATTAGCACTATGCGGTTTTCGTTTTCTCTGAAACATGCACCTGTACGGAAGTTTCTTCGATCCCATCTGCCAATGATTCGAGGGTAATCAAGTGTTCGGAATCCCACTATGAGGATGAGTTAATATCGGAACTCTGAAGTCATTGCAACGACAACAGACCTGAGTTAAATCGTGGCTGCCATAGATAGTCGCACCAGTTCCATATAGGAAATGATCAGAATCGAAGGGGTCAATAGATAGAGCTGAAGATGATCAATAGGTGTCAACAATGAACGGGGAGCTCAAACCGAAAAGGACTAACACTCCATCATCCAGCCGATTTGCAGATCGCCAAGAGTCAGGTCAACAGAATCAGGTCCTGAAGTACAAACTGATCAGTACAACTATAGACAAACCTAAGAATTGTTGGTTACCGAGCCATGGCGCAAGTGCATCAGAGTAAGTGTAGTACTTTGCGAGCGTAGGGTATGAAATCCATTCCCAAAGCGGAGACCAAGTAGCACCACTGTCCGTAGAGCGGAAGATCTGACCATCTGGCCTAAGGGCCGAGTTGATATTTATGATCCAATGAGAAATTTTCAAGAGCACTTACCACCTGGAACACAAAGCAAGAATTATATGAAATTATCAGGAAAAAAAAACAAGTATTTACCATCTATGAAAGTTCATAAGGCCCGTTATAAAATAAAAAAGAATCAACACTTACGAGTTCAAGGCAGCCACCATCAATGTCCCAGGCTTTTGGAGATCGACAGAGAGACCACCGAAGCCAAAGTATAGGTCAGATCCAGAAACAGGTGTGATATCAGTCCCTGAACGAAGGTATAAGCATGATGTAAAGTGTATTGGAGGCAAGTGACTCGCATGTTGACGTTGCAACGTTATATTTCTGTACAATACCCAATGTACCATCATAAGGGCCAGCACCATTACTAGAAAGAATGTTTATAGGCGCTGCATTGTTTCCTGCTGGAATTAAAGGTAAAAATTACTTACCTATAGCTGACGTACAGAGTATTTTCAGCAGGGGATAGAACACCTTTGTGAGGAATATAGGTGTTGTTCTGACCAGCAACAGCAGCCCCTTAAGTTAAATATGGAAAGTGAGCTTTATACAGACAGGCGAAAAATGAGAAACTCACAAGTACTGCCTCCATCTTCTGAGACGAAAACATTGTTTGAACCCATGTTTGCCTGAAGCGCGATGAGAACGAGCGATGAACGTTACTGTTACCTGACTTACAACTCCGGCAAAAATACGAGGCGTAGCTTTTCCCGTGGAACCAGAGGTAGAGTCGAAGGTAACCCAGGCAATACCAATGATATCGGAGTTGTAGCCAGTGGTATCTGTTGGATCAGGAATATCTGAACCAATCTTTCAGGATTTGTTGAATGCTTATCATAGGGTAAGCGACTCACAGGTACCTATAATGTGATGAGGATTTTTCGTGGTAGGAGCAGAAAAATGACTCACCAACGCTGGGGAAAGATGTGACCTGCGTCCAAGTGACGGCAGAGTTGGTGGATTTCCATAAGCCGTGACCACTTCGTGCGCCGAAAAAGAGTATTGAGTTGTCATTGGGGTCTATAGCTAACCGTTCGCCTAATCCTCGACCCTACAGCTGAAAGTCAGGACTGTGACACAATCGGACAAGGAAAAATATTAGTTCTTACAGGCATGTTACCACCGACCTGTATAGTAGATCATGAGTGTATAGATAATGGGTGAAAGAAGACCAACCTTGAAGGGCAGTTCTGAGACAGTCCAAGTATCTCCCTTATCCTTTGAGATGAGGATTTGGCCATTGTTTGGGTCCCAGCTATTAGTGTACATTCCAGTGGCCTGTGTAGAATCGGAAATGAGTATCAACATCCAGGAACTCGGAAGGGGAAGGATGATACCAAGTACAGGTTGCTTGTATCAATCGGGTCTGTGGCTAAAGCATCAACGCCCCAGTAATTCCAGCGAGAATTGTCCGCAAAATCGAGAAGGGGTGTCCAAGAGTCATCAGAATTCAACCGGTATGCGCCACCGATGTCTGCACGAGCATACGCAAGTCCCTACACAAATCAACTATCAGAAAGCAAAAGACAACCGTGTCCTTTCATTATAATACCTTCTCGTTAGGGTTGAAAACGATTCCAGGGATGAACCCTCCTCCTCCTCCGATCTTAACATTGTTCCACGAATAACTTTGAGTAGACACAGCGGAAGCCAAGGGGCTAGTCGCTAACGCGCAGAGAGCCAACAGCTTAAATCGAAGCATATCCTTGCGAGACTAGGAAGCAAGCTGAACAATTCCATAATACCTGGTTTTATACCTGGGTGGTACACGTCGATTCGACGAGTGGCTAATAAAACCAGCCGAAATAAAACCGACTTTGCGACCGAACAAATAGCGTGAAGAATGTAGAAACACTGTTTGGTATGTGCGCAAGGGTAGAATTCAGGCACTGTGTCTCTGAGAGGCATAAGCTACTGATGATATTTCCGAAGACACAACATAGGATTGTCATCTGGTACGCAATCAGTGTTCAAAATTCAGTTGATTTCCGAAAGGCACAGTTCACCTACATATTTACCCGCATAATGAAGAACATTGAATGTCACCAGGACTGTAAGTACTAGCCATTTGTAAAATAAAAGAGGCGACTTCTTGAATCGGGTTTAACGCTGGTCAAAACCATGATTCTAATGCATCCGGTGAAAAGAAACGCGTAGCTAAGAAAAGATATGTTGCCAAATGAAATATGGCTAGCACTGGGGGAGATTGTCGGGTGAACAGTGCAAACGCAGATGAAAGCCGGAAAGTCAGTTGATTTTGAGCAATGTGCACCGGGCCGGTGATATAAAGAGATGTGAAGATGTTGTTCTGTTCTACTTGCGAACTTCACATCTGTACTGTATACAATCATCTAGCACATCGTGTTTTCGGGCTGTTGCCCAGACTTTCATTTTGATCTTTTCATTTTTCTTCAATCACAACTTCAACGATATGCTTCTACAGAACGACTTTGAAAGTTGTCTTGCCAGCCTAGACAATCCTGTCTTACTTCACTTGAACCCTACATCCCGTCGCCCTCGGTCACCTTCGCCGTCAACGAGGAGCATCGTTCTGAGCTCTTCGAGGCCGAGGAGCGATTCTTTTCGACGACCATACACTCGTTCGCCTCTGGGAGAGTTACCACTTTCTGACAATGTTGTATGTACAATGTCAATTCCATGATCGACAACTCGACTAACAGTTACATTTGTAGCCAACTAGACCTAGGTCATCTTCGCGAGCGAGTAGCTTCTCAGGATCCTTGATTATCCGTCATGAATCCAGATATAGTATGCGGCCTAGCATTTCAAATTCGTTCCATGCCCTTCCTCCAATTCTTTCTGGTTCGAGTGTTCATTTCAACTTTCAATCGCTCATGATTTCTTCTGGAAAGACTCCTCGGTCTCGTCGTGCCTCACGACTGAGTGAGAATCCCCCAGCACTACCTCCTTTACCTTCCTTATCCCAACCATTATTTCCACCTGCTGCAGAAACAGCACAGAAAGATTTATTCCAGATGCCTTCATTGCGCCATCCCAACAGTCCCTATGTACCCTGGGACTCGCCCATGAGGCGCCAGATCTTCCCTCCTTTGACCACTGAATCTTCTGAATCGTTATCGTCTCGGTCAGAATGTTCTCGTAGTGGCGCTCGTGCTCCCGAACCTCCAAATATTTCTGACGACGACCACAAACTGGTTAGAGTATCTCGGGGCATTAGAAAAGTGCATCGAACGGTGAAACATGTTGCTGGCGTTGCCAAGCGTATGTTTATGCGGCAGAAGCATGTACAGGCCTCCTCTGTTCCACCATTGACCATAAACACCCATATACCCGATCACAGCGTTCATCCTCCCGCTTATCCACCCTCACCAGGAGTTGCCTCTTTAGACTCTTCCAACACTCGATCGCTAGCATTGTGGCTTGATGCCAGACACCAGGAGATTCTCGACTGGGACGCTGACTCTTGCCATTTCATGAGTTTGGAAGATTACGAGCGACGAGGCAGTTGGATCAATCTCGCTGGGGAAAGAACATTCGTATGTTCGCTTCTTGGTTGTAGCATTCATTCGCGGCTTTCCAACGCCGTCACAAGCTTCGAGTTAGAACCCGACACCCTGTGTTACGAACAAAGGGCCGATGAACAAAATGAGCAGGCAAATACCTGTTCAGGTCGTGCCTCTCATGACTCTGACAAAACTGCTATATCTGAGATCCTCCTTGATCAAAAGACGAAAGATTTTTCTCGGACCACTTTGCTTGTACAGACATCAACTTGCGGGCCTTATTAGAACTATACAGTCATACAACGATTCTAAAACTGCTATCATTCATTCCTTATAATCAATAGGCATTACTTAGACTATTTTGTATGTACAGTAACTTGACAACATTGCTTGATTTGAAGAGTGGTACGTCCAAGTATGTCAACTTTTTTTGTTACGTAAGGCCAGCTTTGACCAGTTGACGCCCTTGTTGAGGCTTTGTTCTTAAACTGGCAACACCTCTGTTCTTGTTCCCAATCCGTTCATAACATGGCGTTCGCTGGGGAATATATATTTATACCACCTATGAACTGGTCAAAAGTATCGTCTCTTTTCGTCTTTCATCATAATGCAAACCAACGCCAATTGTTTAGCCAAATCTACTTTAGATCCTGACTCCAACTTCTTCAAACAACTTCAAGAACTTCTTCTTCCAGAGACAAAGGCCCCATCTCAATCCCCATCCTATCTTCCTGCTCCAGGGACATTTCCTAGCTCCAAATGCCTGGATCTGCAGCATGTCATCGACTCCGCTTCAAAATCCCAGACGACCTTGGATTTGGAGCCTGCAAGATCTCCTTCTCCTGTGCCAGAAAACAATTCAGATATTATCGAATCGTCGAATCTATTTCGACAACTATATACACCGTCCGGGAAATGGGAATGGATGGTGGGTCATGACATCGAGGACGAAAGTTCTACATTTCTGTCAGGCGAGTTCCACTGTCACGGTTGCGTGGAGAAAACCATTAAACACCATACAGCTAGCACTATGTGTTCAACATACTACAAGAGAGGTAGAGTATTCAATCGGAGTCTCCCATATATTTGTAAATCGTGAGTCTACTTGGACCGTCCCCTTTTTCGACGGCATAGAACTCAATCAAACTGTCGTTATTCAGGTGGGAAATCGTACACTGGGATAATTCCTTTTATTCCGAGGTTTGAGCACTCTAGCCTCAATGTCGCCTTTCGACTGACGTCTGCCCATCCAGCTCGCCTTGTACAAGAAGCAGCTTAGATCCCTGCAAGGTAGATGCGTACCCCACGTCATAGGTATTTTCACTGGTCCAGGTGCCATAAATGTCGCAATGGAGCCACCCCATAGCTCATTCTGGATCGAGGCTAGCACTGACATGCCCTTATCGCTGAAGGAGCGATGCGTAGATGCCATTGCCCAGATCCACTCCTGTGGAGTTTTCCACGGAGATATACAGCTTCGGCACATTCTCATAGGTGGCGACGCACGGGTAACGGTTATCGATTACCAGAAAAGTGCTGCCGTTGAGCCCAACGAGAAACTCTTTCTATCGCCTGCTACCGAAGCGGATCTCCGGAGGGAAATGCGAAAGGTGAAGATGAAGCTGGATTTTCCGGGCGCTCGAGCTTGTGAGAAAGACAGACGGGAGCGATGCCTAAAGCGGAACAAACATAACGCGGCCGAAATCCGGAAAAGCAATTTGAGCCCGAGCTATATACCTCACTTGGAAGAAGTGCCTGAGGACGACGCGCTGAACCCGCCCATACTCGATATGCAAGAGTGGCAGGATTGGGTAGCTGCACCAAGTCTTCCCCGACTGTTCATCGTGCCTGGGCAATCGTTACAGCAGCGAAAGGGCGCATACGAAGCATTTCTAAAATCTCTGGAATCGGTTCAGACCTCGGCTGATTTCTATTCGGGCACTTTCGATAATAAACCTAATAACGGAAGTTCCTCGTCACCACATGAGGAGGTGGCACAGACGGGACTCCGTGAAGCAAATTTGCCCCTCACTGAGCTTATGGAATTATCCCCTCGGCCCCCATCAGCACAGTCCAGACCGCCTGGTGCTTCATACTCGATTCTGGGCACCGAGCGAAAACAAGGGACCCATAATGCAATAGACACGCCTCCTCGAGGACTAGATCCTTTTCACTCTAAACTAAATCAAGCTCCGCATCCCTCACCGAGCGCGATTTCTGAACGACTAGCGCTGCTTCACAGTTTGGCGGAATCTCCTATACAAGCTCCGGGTGACCTCCTTCCTTCGCTAGCTCGCCAGCTTCTGAATACAGAGATGACCAAGGTACAACGCAGCTGGTTGACACGGAAACGCACAGCATCCTCTGACATTCAAGACTCAGAACGTCCTATCAAGCGGACTCGTCTGGATGATGAGGTCTCCAAAAGCAGTGTGCCGTTCACAGTTGCGACGAAAGGTCCCTCCTTGACCTCGGCAGCTGTTCCTTCACCGGCGGGTTGGGATACTGTAAATCCAGAAACCTCCTCTTCGTCTGAACCTGGTTCAATTCTCATATCGGAATCCGATCGCCTAGGATTAGGTACATACGACTGGCTAGCTAACCTTCGGTATCCATCTTTGCCCCCATCTCAAAGAAAACATGAAACTTGGACTCGAGTAGCGATGCAGAATCTGGGCAATTGCGCTCTGCAGGAGCTACCACATCCTGATTTAATTCAGTTGTACCCGCACCACCCTCGATGGGTTGAGCCGGATGTTCAGGTGTTTCTTGGACGACTTCATAAAGTGGAAAAAGGACTCGCTTGGGCCGCGTTGCAGAATCCTGACAGAAGAATTACAGGCCCACGCCATCCTAGATCATTGGGTAACTTGAAACGTACTCTTAGCGAAATACAACACAACCTGGAACAATCGAGTGCAGGTGCACTGATAAGAGGGCAGGAACATTCACGACACGAGATGAACGATGCTCACGATGCGGCGGAGTGTGCTGTGTTAGGTCCATCTGACACTGATATGGCCAAAGTCAAGCGGCCAAATCATCTCTCAAGTCCATATGATGCGCCGTTAGATTATGATGGGTTACCCCGCAAAGTTCGCTTTGCTTCCCCGACCTCAAACGCAGGGTCAGAAAATACGAAAACACCTCACGGATGTAGTCAGCCTTGGTACCAGAGACCCTTCAGTTTGTTGACGCAAGTATTCAATTGGGTATAAGAAAGGTGTATACTAGATTCTGATTACGTTGAATATACTGTAGGCTACTGTAGCTTTCTCATTGCAACAGACGTCTTGGAAAACCGTTATCTATTGCTGTGTTTGATGCGGAGCATGGGGCATTGAAAGCATGCGGTTCATACATGTGCGGAAGTAAATCATTATCGGTTTTGGACAACTCATTTTTTAATCATTCGCCCATTTGTCACTGTGGCGCTCTTATTTTGTACAAGGATCTTCAAGAGATACGTTATTCTTTGGTGCATACTCTTCATCCCGAGTAGATTGTGAGCTATTGTGAGGTGGTCGGTATTTTACATAGGAATGTGGTCTTTTTGCTCAAAAAGTCCGGGACTCACCTTTGCGGATCACTGTATTCCATCCTGAAAAGTCTGGGCGATGCGGCTCGCGCATTGCCAGAGATAACGAGACGATTTAGCGAGATCCACTTTTCAGATACAGATTTGATCATACGGTGCGTTCTATGTTTCGATGTATCGTACCTGACGTTGGTGTATGGATATAAAGGTTTTGGGCCTATGCGTAATTTTGCTAAGCTCTCCTCTTTCCTTCCCGTCTTCCTTCTTTTCCAATGGCAAGCAACGAAAAGATCGACAAAGCGTACTCCCACAATGGCTCTGACGTTGAGTCCAACAACGCCTTTCATTCAGGGGAGACTGGGCAAGGTCTTCACAGACAGCTGAAGAACCGACATATTGCCATGATCAGGTAAAAGTCTCTTCATCATATGTATTCCTTCTGTTCGTTGACGACCTCGATTCTCTAGTATTGGAGGTAAGCAGTTCGGGTCGATATATTTTCTTTTATGCTTATCGACGTCTATGAAGGGGTCATCGGAACTGGTTTATTTTTGGGTAAGTCTTATCTCGACTTGAATTCCTTCTATGTGATTAAACGTCTTGTGTGTAGGAACTGCAAATGCTTTGCGCCATGGAGGCCCTGTCGGTAAGTCGCTGAGAAATCTTTATTCATCATTTTGCCTAACTCGTTGTTTCAAGGTATGCTCCTCGGTTACATTACGGTTGGAACAGTCTGCTGGGCTACTATGATTTCACTTGGAGAGATGGTGAGAATACTCATATCGCACCGTTGATATACTTGCTGATCTACCCACTCCCTAAGGTTGCATATCTCCCTATCAGCGGTGGACACATCAAGTTGGCAGAACGTTTCGTTAATCCCGGTTCGGTCGTTTTCTTTCCTGATAAGATTATTCCTGCTGATGGTATCTTTAGCATTCAGTTTCACAATGGGGTGGAACTACTGGTACAATTGGACTATCATTTTGCCTGCTGAACTCAGTGCCGCTGCCGTCCTTATCAATTACTGGAATCAAAATACTCAGCTCAACTATGCATGGATCACTATATGTTTACTGGTCGTCGTTGCCATCAACTTGTGTGGTGCAGGTGAGCATCCAAGCAACCCATAACTTTCGTCTAGTCAATTTGGTCTAGGTGTTTACGGAGAAGCGGAGTTCATCTTCGCCAGTATCAAGGTCTTGACTATCACCGGCTTGATCATATTAGGTATTGTCATCGATCTTGGAGGTGTGTTCTATTAGTTTTGTCTTTCCTCAATGGACAATGTCACTCATAGACTTTCAGGCGGTCCCAACCATGATCGTTTGGGCTTCCGGTACTGGAAGAACGTGAGTTCTCGTCTCAGACATCCATAATATTCCTTCTGATTTTTTTTTTGCTTTAGCCTGGACCGTTCGTACAGTATGATGGTATCTCAGGCAACACTGGTAGATTCCTTGGCTGGTGGGCCGTCATCACCCAAGCTGCGTTCTCTTTCATTGGGACAGAAATTGTCGCTGTATGTGGCTCTATAAACTGTGTTGCGAAGGCGATTAATTGAATTTGAATTTCAGATTGCTGCTGGTGAGGCTAAGAATCCTAGACGCAATCTTCCCAAAGCCATCAAACGTGTCTACGTCCGTATCCTCCTTTTCTATATTGGCGGTACCTTCGTTATTGGTCTCCTCGTTCCTTCGAACGATCCTCAACTCGTTTTGGGTACTGGAACCGCTGCATCCTCACCCTTCGTCATCGCCATTCAAAATGCCGGCATCAAAGGTCTTCCTTCGGTGAGCAACGATTTCTATTGTTGTTGATGATTTATATTTAATAACATACTGATCCAACCTAGCTGATCAATGCGTGTCTTCTTACCTCGGCCTGGTCCGCTGCGAGCTCTGATCTGTATACTAGTTCGCGTGCACTTTGTAAGCCAATCGCAAATCGTTTTACAGATTGATATTGATGACTTCTGTCTAGATGGTCTCGCTCTGTCTCACAACGCTCCTCAGTTCCTATTGCGGACTACTAGGAGAGGTCTTCCGTACATCTGTCTCCTGGTTTGCGCTTCCTTCTCCTTACTCGCTTTCATGGGCGTGAGTTCCGGCGCCGGTACTGTTTTCAATTGGTTCTCCAACATGACTTGTAAGCGTTGGTCAATTGGAATCTAAAGCTCGTACTAAGCCAACTATTCACAGCCATCGCCGGTCTGCTTACATGGTTCGGCATCAACCTCACATACATTGTGCGACGCGCCTTTGCTACCTTGTTAATTCTGTCACTAACTTTTTCCTCAGAGATTCCACAAGGGTCTTAAGGTTCAGGGTTTCGACCGAAGAAAACTTCCTTACATCGGTCCTCTTCAGGTATGACATTTGAATCTCGAACTGCCTGGATAAGTTACTTATGATTGTGTCTCTAGCCATATGCATCTTGGTATGCCTTGTTCATGACGGTTCTCTTCTGTGTGGTATATTGGTCTCTTCTTTCACCCTGTTTCTTCGTATTGACCCAACTCTGTATCACAGTTCAGTGGATTCGACGTGTTCCTGAAAGGAGAGTGGGACACAGCGACCTTCGTCACAACCTACCTTCCTCTCGGCTTGTTCCCTGTCTTATACATTGGCGCCAAAATGTATTACCGTCAACCTATAATCAAACCACAGGATATGGACTTTATATCCAATATTGCTGAGATTGAAGCTGAAGAGTACGTTTTACTTGGTCACCGCAGCTTCAGACGGGGCTAATTCATGAGACTTGCAGCTACGATGAACCCCCACCCAAAAACAAGTTTGAGGCGTTTTGGCAATGGCTGGTGAGTGTAGATTTTTGGCCGAATCTGATATTCGAAGCTCATCGATATTTCTGTAGATGTAAGATATGTATAGACGCAGGATGTATTTTTTTCCCGATCATGAAAATTATTTATATAAACGCACTTAATGTTAATTTTATGCTGAGCATGCTCATAAACTTGGGACTCGTCGATGTGTGACGGAGTCTTGTTACCCCTAGCAACTTGTCGTACTGCCTCATGTCCAATTTCTTTTGGAGAGAGAGTGGTGGAGATTGTTTCTCAAATCATTCCCGCTAGTTCCCGCTGTTCAGTGACGTCGCTCAGTGATGTTTGGAATTTCTTCTTCATCCATTGAGACAAATTTATCCGCCTGCCTTCGATCCTGGACTGTGTTACTTTAGGGAACTCGCATCTTAAGATGTTAAATTTCCATTGGTAAACTGTCTTCAACTGCATATCAAACGATGGTGTTGTGGGACACTAACCTTACTTGAGACTCAATGTTATTTCAACCCTGTGACTCTTCGTTGCCACCTACTTCCGTATGTCCTCTTCCAGGGGGCTACCGTTGGAGAATCCGTGAATCCAACCACTGTATGAAAAGCTCATGCGAGCATTCCCATACCTTCCGTTCTGAGCGAAATCAACACTTATCTGCTGAAATGCTGCTACAAAGTGATTTTGCTTTGCGCACAGCCTGAGTATTAGCATCAGGTCCTGCGAGTTCTAGGTATCAATACATACCTAGGTACTTTTAAATACTGTTGAGTGCATAGACTCAGAAATATATGTTGGACAGGCTTTCGGCACTAAGCTTGCATTCTACACCCTCAACGTACGGTAGCGTACGGTACGATAAGAACACTAAGGCAAATCGAATCAAGGGGTATCTCCGATATTACTGAACATGCCGGGACCGAGAGGTTATATTCTTTTCCGACCATCTCCATAATTCAGTGATTGGAATTTGAAAGCCGTAGGTCCGTAAACACAGATTCTCAATAACAATTTCTGGTAATTAACAAAGCACAGTCAAAAGCAGCTATAAGAATCATAAATTGTGATAATAGGTTAAGGATTGATGAGCGCAACACAATGAAAAACCGAGGGAGAAAAACAGCAAATCTAAGCTATGTATGCTATAACATGAAGATGCAAAGGCTTAAAGGAGCGTCGATAGAATGCAAGATATGCAGATGCCAATGAGTCTATGTCTTTGAAGCCGGGATATGTAAATTGATTGCTAAACTTATAGTCAGTGCCGGATAATGGAACTAGTCGGTTCTTCGCCTTACCTCGATACCAATTCAAAGCATCAGATGCAGACGGAGCATCGAAATATAGGATAGCTTTGTTATCTACTAAGCGAAGGGCTGGGGGCACTATTGAGCCCAGAAAAATAAGGACGAGTTCGAAGCGCATACCGTTTCCATGGACAATACTGGCTGGTTGAGGCAAAGTCTGCATCCGAAGAACAGCCCAGAGATCTACTGGAGAGTTGATATCTCGCCCTTCAGATGGATCTCTACATAAAACCAAGAGATCATTACAAAGAATCCCAAGGAGCGCCCTGGGTGTTAACTCTGGAGCTAGACAATCAACATCGACAGTGGCTGCGTCACCTTGAGCATTAATTGCTTCAAAGGTGACGATGGCTTTCCGCACGACTCTCGTGAGCATCAGAGGGCCGTCCATAATCAGACGTCTATAGCAAATGTCCAATGTTAGATGAGATATCGAAATTTGGCGGATCGACAACAAACCTATGTGGTTGAACTAGCGGACTAGGGAATTTCCCTCTGATTCGGGTCTGCCAAGTGACGAGTTTACGCCGCGCCTCAGCTTCCCGCTTGCCTTCATTCATGTTATTCGCTAACGAAGATATTTCGTTCAGAGCACGGTCCAGTTGGTCTTCCATATAGTCGTATGGTAGTGGGGTGCTCCGTCGAAGTTCTTCAAGCTGAAACAAGAATATTAGTGGGCTCCAAACGTTGAATTTCAAAAACTCACCAATAAACGATATCTTGGTATCCGCTGAATAGGCAACAACAGATATCCCTCGAGATTGAGTTGAGAGTGTTGAGGGTTTAGTCGACATCGTTTTAGGTATTGACGTATTCGTTTCCGCTGGCCACTGGAAAGATTGGGCGCGCCTGCATTTACTGCACCATCTGCAACCGCGTTGGGATTTGACATGGCCGACATTGCTAACCCCATGGTAGCCAATTGAGAAGTACTTGATGAAGGTGACAAGGTTGTATTTGAGGGCGAGGAAGAAGTCGACCAATGCTTCACCCGTTGGACGGCACTATCGAAGTTGCTGAGGTAGATTGTCTGTTAGAGTAAAATATCATAAGTATATCCCGGGTAACGCACTTTATGTACGTGGAATACATTCTCATGAATGCGGCATACTTCCAGAACATATCACCGACTGATGTCGCGACGGCTAACGATAGTTGTCCGTCTAGGTCTTCTTTACTTGAGGATGGTTTCATGAGAGGTGCTACAGCCTTCTCCAATGAAGGCAAGAAGCTCTCCTTGTGAAAAGAAATTAACGCGTCAACTGCACCAAATACAATCTTCCGCTCTGGAGCAGGTACAACAGTTTCTTTACTCGATCCAACGCCACTGAGGACGGTGACGTTTGCACAAGCAGGTTTGATGTATATGTCCATCAATTCTTGTAGTCCCTTGACATAGGTTCGCTCAGTTCTGATAAAGGTGCACTGTGTGAAACAAAATTATTTGAGAGCAAAGAACACACCACATACGTCAGAATTTCTTTGGCAACCATTGCCCTCTTTGCCTTATCATCTTTTATTTTCCTCTCTTCATTGGATCCTGTACTGTCGGTTGTAGCAACACTGAGGGTTCTGAGGGCCTCTGAATTCGACACTGCCGTCGAGCCACTCAACGCCATGGAGTTTTCTCGAGACCCTGGGACATCTATAGCCATCGTAGGCCTTCTTGAACGTGGGCCTTCAGGAGCAGAAGCACCTCCGCTTTGAGAAAGACCCAGGTCGTTCATGTCTTTTAAATATGCCATAACGCTTCGTAGAGCACGAGTGTAGCTTTCTCTCGCACGCTCTTCTTCTTTTCTGAGGTAATCGTCGTGATCAATGGTGTACATGTACTGGCTGGGAGTTGGCTCCCTGTTGTCTTCTGACACATGGTCATTGTGATCTAGGCCCTCGCCGTTGGTAGCAGTGACCGCTGGAACGAAACGAGAGTTATCGGGAATGGGTATATTCAACGAGCCAGGTCCATTAATATCTATAGGTAGGAAACTTCGTCGTTTGCTTGATCGAGGGGTCGGTGAAGGAGGGTGAAGGAGTGAAGAAGCGGATCCAGAGCGGTCATTGGTAGATGCGAGCAAGGAAGGATTAGGGTATATATTCAGATTTTCTCTGGAAATCTTTCTAGCGATTGAAGGTGGTGGCTCATCCTCATCCTCTGCCACCTGTTCGATCTCCGGAGCGACCACAGTCGGTAAATGTCTCGTCATGACGTCCAGAGCTCCAGTCGTCGATATTCTCATGTCGATCTGGGGCAACTGGTTTGACCGTTCAGGACTACCGATAACGCCATTACCATTCCTCAACTGTGGTCGGGAGGTAGTATTTATTCCTGAGCCCGGACTCAAAGGGCCATTGCTTGTTCCTGGCCTAGAAGGCGGAATATCAGGCCTCATCTTTCCCATCGACATCTTTTTAAAGAAACCCCATCTGCTGCCCTTCTCTTTCCCATCTTTCCGTGACCGACTGGGCGTCTTGCTATCAAGGCCTTCCTTTCCCGTGCCGGATGATCTTGATGGGGGAGAGGTACGAGCAGGGAGTGTGGCTTGCGAACCGCGATTCGATGAGGGCGAGCCTCCCACTGAATCGTCCGTTTCCGATATATCATCCCAAATGGAGTTGGTGAGAGCCGGGCGAGAGGATTTGTTAGGCCGTTGCACTGGCTCAGGTGTTGATAATGTCGTAGCTGCGCCTAAACTCGCAAAACGTTTTGGCATACCGGGTCTCTCTGAGTCAGTCAAAGATCGGCCAGGTGAGCCCGTATTCAACAAGTTAGAGCTAGAACGAGACGTTGTGGCGTAGTGCGACAGCGTAGGTCTCTCTGGAGGCGAGGGTTCCAAGCCAGCAGTTGCAGACCTTCCTCTCCTTAGATCCCCTGCACTCTTCATCTTCCGAATCTCATGGTCACCAAAATACCCTGAATCTTCGGAATGATGTGAATCGATTGTGGAAGGAAGCGGGCTTGGCATTGTAGAACTGGTATTGGAAGGGGGGTGATTAGGAGATATTGGACTTTTGTTCCCTCGATTCTGATAATAGGACCGATTAGGCGTAGTACGGGTCCGAGTCAATGGACGAGGCGAAAGTTGCTGAGGTTGATTCCGCAACGCGCGAGAGGAAATGCGCGAGGATTGGCTAGTACTCTGTGAGTTGACGCTCTCGACTTGTGAAGGCATCCTTCTAGCTAAAAGTGGTGCCTTGTCAGGGGTAATGGTATGGTCCTCCGAATCATCTCCACGTAAGGCAAACCGATTGTCGTTTTGAGCAGAGCTCGGGGGTTCACTTAGCTCGTCCGGATCAATATCGGAAGTGTCAAAAGATGAACTCTGAGCACTTGAAGATGGAAGCGGAAAGGTGGGTGTGGAAAGTGGATACACGGGAGTCATTGGTATCCTAGCCAGCAGAGGTTCGACGAGAGCATTCCAAGGACCTTGAAAAGGATTTCCGTCGACATAAAGAGCCTGCAGAGCAGGAAGAAGACAGAGCCAGCTGGGAAGCGCGTGCATCTTATTTCTTCGAACGCTAATTGTGTGTAGCTTATCCAAATCAGCCAGCGGGTCGGGCAAAGTTGCAATGCCGGTGGCGTCCGCGATGAGGACCCGAAGATTGGTCAAGTCGGCCAAAAAGACGGGCAATACCCGGAGTGGGTTAGATGCAATGTTCAGCTCTTCTAGACTGTGGCACAGCGCAAGCACAGGTGGCAAAGCGCCAAGAAAATTTGCAGAGATATCTAGGGCCAAAAGAGATATGGATATTTGAGGAATAGTGCTAGTCAGAAAAGAGGGCATCGCGTTTGGCGTGGTAGATGAGCCGATGAGGAGATGTGTAGTCCCTAAAAAAAGACGAGCGATTGTAGACAATATGAGTTGAACTAAGGCGAGCTAAAACATACCAGATTGAACCTGCAACTGAGGAACAGGCATGTTATTTGCTTGCACGATCAATCCACGTCCTTCTTCAGCGACGATGACAGCGGACGTCCGTTCTTCCTCTCCCAACTCGTCATCAAAATCGTCTTCAGTGAGGAGGTGATCATCATCAGTCTCGTCTTCACTTATTCCCACCTCGTCGCGTTCATCAACAGTACTCCAACTCATGTCATAACTGGATTGTTCTCTGAGCTTTGGAGGGGCGTGTTCGACGGGATGATTGCTGGCAACAGATGAAGATCGCGACCGAGCACCTGAAGAGTACAGGTCTGACCACCTAGTCTGGTCTATAGGTGCTCTAGATTGACCAGGGACTGTATCACCACCGAGAAGTTGGACAACAGAGTCAGAGGTGATCCCAAGGCCGACTAGATCATCAGACTCTAGGATATGTACATGTGCTAGGTCATTGATAGTGCTACCGAAGCTGGTATAAGCTGAAGAACGAGTCGAAGCAGTAGAAGATTCTGCTGATGAGACTGCGTATGGAGTATTGCGAGAAGGATATGGGTCCGGGTAAGTAGATGGATCAGGAAGTTGAGCGTGCATTGATTTGGTTGGGCGCGAAAAGGAATGTGAACGAAGAGAATCTGAGCGAAATAAAGGCCCTCCAGCTGAAGCTGAACGAAGCAGCGGATTTCGACTTGGAGGCTCTGGTGGTACAGGTACCCGTGACCGGCCGCTCCGTAGTCCTTCTGCAGGTTGATAGTGGTGGTAAGAGGTCAACATTGAAAATAATAGACTGGCACAGACCTTCAATTTCCTTGTCTGAAATCATCCACGAGGATTCCATGGACCGAAAGGTTATAACTATAGTAGCAAGTGACAGTCACGTATTATATTTTATCATCAAACTGTTCGGCATTTTATTTCCATTTATATCCTCACTCCTAAAGGCTCAAAAATTTCTACAACTTTTGGCTTTTTTGGTGTCCCGAATGTGAGGCATTAACCCGAATAGCCCCTTGACCCAATATTCCCGCCGTATTCCCGCCATACTTCCTCCTGACTTCTACGACTCTCTGGAGCTCTCTGGTCTCCAACCCAGTATTTCCCGACAGCTGACCTCATATGCCCTTTCCTGGACCATCAGGTAATATCAAACGCAATCCCATTCCTTGTGAGTATTCGGGAAATACCAGGTTGTAAGTCCATCAACAGACACATCATCAATTACAAAGTCTCAAACATAAGTACGGCTTTTCAAGATAATTGCCCTCAGCGGCATTGCTCATAACCCCCACACCCCACCGCTCGCATCTCTAATGACTCTCAACTAATCGCGACAAAAGCAAATTCGTATTGGAGTTCCTCACTCAGGTCAGCTGTAACGATTTTTCCATCCTCGGCAGTACCACTGGCAAACACTATGGTGCTCAGCTTCTTACAAAGAAATAGCAAAGCCGCGGCAGTGGACAGCCTTTCAAAACAGATTCGACTTGCAACCTGTTGCAATCATGATGGTTACACTGATAATGAGCATACGACATACGTAGCCGCTGTTAAATGCCTGAATAGAAAACCTATGATGGAACCTGGATAGATGAATATGAATGCCAGAGTGTTTTTCGCTCGCCGAAGACTGCGCGTTCGTACAACCTTGCAGAGCTGTCAATCCTTCGCAAGAGCCACCAATGAGCTTGATTATGTAGAGGCAACATACTCATCAGGCACATAACCCCTTTCCGACCGTAGTACGAAATCCCTCAATGAAAAATCCAAGATAATCCACTTGTTATTCATCGAATATCTGAATAGGGCTACCCCGTCCCGAGAGACTCGCATCTCTCGACGTCCCGGATGCAAACCGCGGTAAAAAAAGGGACTGTTTCGTCGTTGCGTTGCAAGCTTCATCCGACTTCATCCTGTCATGGCAGTAGATACTTGACAGGAAACTCAACATTGCTAAGCTTGTCCAGACATGCCAGGGTCCCTCCTGCAATCATAGCCAACGAAACGGTAGCGATCTTAGACTTTGCTCATACACCCTGGCAGCTGCAGCATGCGAACAAACGGCATAAGAAAAAATAAATGAATGCAATCATGGACAGGCGATGACGATCTGAATTGTTCACTCATCTACATAGTCAATCGAGACATTGGGCTTCAGGCAGCTCAGTGGACAGGTTATTCATAAACTTGAAATGTGATTATAGAGGCTGACTACTTAAAGGAAAGAAAGTCAAGCTTGCTCTAGTAAACGTTCGAGAGGGTTCCAGTTGCTGGCGATAAGGTCGGATGCGGAGGTTGGGAGGAATACGACTCGGATTAATCACCCCTTCGGAAAGCCGTCTCTTTCAGCCGGCAGGGCTCCTCGCTGCTGTGGATAACCTACTTCGAGAGGAGTCTTCATAACTTGAACACAGTAATGAGTCATGAAACCGGGATTGTAATGAGAAATCATGAACTGGTACAGACCATTTGAAAAGTCAGGATATCCTCAGACGTAGGTAGATCACTGAGTTTGTTCCAATTGTCAAATTGACGAACAAAATATGTGACCTACATTTTGAGGTAAATTAGGATAAAAATTAGTATGTTGCAAGTTGGCTGCAAGGCAACGTGAAGAATGGCTGGGGTAGCTTCGCTGTGAGAAAAGAGAAGCAAAAGGATATAAAGCGTTCTCCTCTGTCCACACTTACCGTGTGGTTGCATATTGATACAGGTCTCAGTGGCGAACATGATTACAGAGCTTCCTTGGCGATTTGACTGGATGAAATAATAGATCATTGGTACCGGTGACTTGTGCAGGCATCATAGTTAGAAACCCACTGGTCTCAATCTCTGCAGTACAAAAACAATTGGGAGGGTGCCATGTAAAGCTTTCAATAGGTTGCGTTGTTTGGCCTCTCAACAGTATCAATCCATACTAATACTATCATTGGCTTCGTTGTTCTTCGCTGGTAACTCCGTAAACCCGCAATAAGTTAGGGATCGTCGTGAATTATCCCCGGCCTTGCCATTTTATCTCTAGACGGAGATGGGCCACAACCGGGTCAGATGATCCAACGCCCGAAGCACGTCGACCCCAATGAATGCACTCAGCGGTATATGGGGAATCACACGGCATTGTGATTTGATTGTTCTTCATCCGAGTTGAAGGTGAACTATTCTTCAAGTTGAAAGGTGTTGTCGAAATCGATCAGGTGGGGATACTGCTGCCATTACAGGCTAGTGAGAACATCGCACCTGGGTCTTAGGTATTACCGAATCATCCCAGCCGATTTCTTGTATTCCTGGCCAAACGTAGACGAAGGGAATGCTGAAGATTACGACAAAAGATAGGCAGAATGATACCGCCTATACTCGTATTGGGTTTTCAAAATTAGATTAATCAGTTCATCTTCATGGTATTTATAAAAGACTCTTTGAGGCTGGCTACTTTAAGCCATCAAATCTCGAAGAAACTCACGAAAAAAAATACAGGCCTATTTGTATCTGCACTTGCTGAAGCCGCAGCAGGAGATCCCATCTTTCGTAGTCACATGAAAACGGAGAAGTCATAACAGTCGAGATCGATGCGCTTGCAGGAGTAGCAGAGAATCATAAGTCCCAATGAATCTAGGATCGCCAGAGTGTTCTGTTTTTCTCATTTAATCAAAGGGAACATACAGGACACCGGCCATTATGAGATTGGTAGTATGGTACTTGCTTCTTGATCAAGACTGTGAGGTTTGAATATCAGATATAAGTAGGGCAGATACAAAACGTGATACTTGCAGCAGCTGTGTGACTAATCCAGATTAAAAACTGCAATACGACCGACAAGGGTGAACGAACTACGAGCTCCAACTCCATTTATGAGCAACTTACATATCCTCATCTACCTGTATAATCAAAGGATAGCCCATTAAGTATTGATTTCATCGGTAGAACCCTAACGCCACAAAATTTGAGACGCGAGAATACCGAGATAGTACATTATTATGACGCGTGAAGTTTCAGTGTCAGGCACGTATTCTGAATATTCTGCTCAGAAAATATCAGCACAAAGATGTCAGTTGAATGAAAAACTTGGGGCACTTGGACTTACTTGTTTTGGAAACTCGAGTTTATTACCAGAAAATAGTTGAGGCTAGAATAGAGGGAGCTCGACTTCAGCTTTTGTTTAATGATACTCATTTCGAATAATGATGGTCATTGCAACCATAGCCACTGTATGAATGAACAGAAATGTTGCTCGGCTGCAATCCACATTGATAGGAAGTGGTACATGGGGTGAGAGACTGGTTTAGAATCTAGATTGTGATTCACTATAGCAAAAACGCTGATAAGGCGTCAAAAGTCATATAGATCTGGTCGATCCGAAAAAAAGGCTACTGTCTTTTTAGGTTTCTTCAGTCGCTGCTTCCGTTCCTGAGCTTCTTCGACGACGCTACCTCCGTTATTGTCAAATGCAGTCTCGCTCGAGATACGGGCAGCTTTGACTTCAGCCACGGGCTCCAGCTCGACTTCGATTTTGACAGAAGCAAGTGATGTTTCGGACACCGGTACAACAGTAGTTACACGAGCGCTGTTATCAATGACGTTGGTGACAGGTGCCGGTGTGATCCTTCGTTCTCCTACTCCACCCTCGACATCTAGATGCATAGTCTCAAAGATTAATCGTTTCCTCGTACATTTGAACGCGAGGTTATTTTCTCCACTGCTATTTCCACCTTCGGAAACAGAAGCGGAGAGACCGCGTAAAGTTGAAAACCGATCACTTGGAGACAGGAGTGTGTGTGGGGAAGGAAGTGTGTGGATATACACCATGCCGTGGTGGGAAGGGAAGAGCGATGAAAGAGAGGGATTGGCTAATGAAAGTTCTAGGTCAAATCAAATCAGCAAATAAAGAATCGAGTACTTACTAGTAAATGCATCCAGTGTGATTAAACCGTCACACATCCACCCGAGTTTTTGTATCCAGCCCGGACCACCCCATGCCTCCGTCGAGATACGAGGGTCAAGACTGATGGATGCACAGGCTAAAGGATTTCGTCGAAGGAGCGAGCGTAACTGATGAAAGAATCGCAATACATCCTGATAGAATTGTGTCAGCAAGAGTAGTAGTAGCTATCAAGAGAATACTAAAGTACTTGACTGCGCAGCTCGTCCCATATATGATTACCAAGTCCTGGTATACAAATCCTCAATGGTGTGTTTGGTTTCGAAGAACGCTGCGACAGAATCTCCTCGATACGAGCAATGATCTTGTGTATCGCTGGAATAGGTCCTGACGATGGAATCGAGTCGAAAATATCGAGCACGTCACAAGTGATAAGCCGTCCGTCTTGCAGGGCTTTTTCAATTGTAGAAGAAGGTATACGAGTTGTGAGATCAAACGTGCGACAAAAGTCTTCAGAAACTCTGCAAACTGAATATGACAATCAGAGGCCAGTACACCGAGGCAAACTTACATACGATGCCGATCCGACTGTAGTCTGGAACTGTTTCATTTGTTCGTATCTCCAGGCAATTTTGATTTTCTGCTCTGCATTTTCTGGCTCCTGACCCTCATTACCCTCTTCCAAAGAAGAATTAGAGGATACGGAGTTATGGAACCACATACAACCCTTGACCCACTCCAATGCATCTTGATTACTACCCACGACAAGGACATCTTGCGTACACGCCAGACCTTGAGAAACAAAGGTCTTTTGTACCAGCTCTCCGTACGATGAATGTGGATCTGGTGCAGCGACAACCAGTGAACATGACAGAGGCAGTCCACCTCCAAGAATGTCGTCCAAAGAAGGGACACCAGTAGATGTGATGATATTGGTGATTGAGCCAGGGGAAGTTCGAGTTCCAGGTAGTATCTCTGTTTTTGAGGTCGATTTTCGTTTGAACGAGGACATGATAATCGAGGAGAAAAAGGTTTGCCGAGTCGGGCCGCTTTTTACGTCTTTCTCTCAGTCTATTCATGATACGAACATTGCATCGGGTTGCTGACGGAATCAAGCATGCAAAGTCCAGCTTCAAGCCGCCATATAATATTACCAAGAGGATTGGGATTGCAAGTTTCAAGGTAAAGAACGACATTATACACACCAATGTATAACATAGATATTAAACAGATCGTAAATCTTGCATGCGCCACTCATCTTTTCCTGGAGTACGTGGGGACTGTATCATTGGTATGTGAGGGCTTTTACCCTTCAGGTCAGCGTTTTTAAAAGGTTGCAGATGTCAGGCCCTTCAATGTTACCCACACTTGCTGCAAGTGGTGAAGTAGTCATTGAAGACCGACTCAGCCTTCGCCTGAATCCTGCTTCGCTGGCTAGAGGAGACCTTATTGTTGTGAGGTCACCTATCGACCCGACTGCCATCGTTTGCAAACGCGTTATAGGTCTTCCAGGCGATGTAGTTTGTGTCGACCCAACTGGTTTGAAAGCACCCTCTACAGAGCACGTTCTCGTACCGAAAGGCCATATATGGATTTGCGGCGACAATATGACACATTCGCGAGACTCGAGAGATTATGGTCCGGTCCCCATAGCTTTGATCCGCTCGAAGCTTTTCGCTAGGGTGAATTCGTGAATATTTTTTTTTTTCATGCAAACTCCTAATGTTCATGCTACTACAGGTATTGCCCTTGAAGGACCGCATCATATTTCGGAACCCTATGCGAGTACTTGATTAAGGCCTGGATGCAAATAGCGTCGATATCGGAAGACTCCAAAAGGTTATCCTTCGTATTCTCGAAGCCTGCCGTGGCCACAGAAATTCTCCGCTATTCTCCGTCTACTCCAATTGGTTACAATCAAGACTAATCAAAAGCGCACCGAACAACCGTTATGTATTCGATTGAACCCTCTACAGGGCATCCATCTGTGGCTTCTGTTCATGTTTATGGTTGGAGTTTTTTTGGAATCGCCTATCAACTCTTTCCTTTCTTGTCATACGTGCTTGGTAAATGTATATATCGTCTCTCCGATGAAGGCTATATGTCTGGTGCAGAGCAACATTGATATTTCATTTTCTTCCATAGAGCTATACACAAATGTATCTAGGTGTGCGTACAATGAACGACCTAAAAAGTACAATGTCCATTCTTGTCACAGTCTTTCTTTACTGGCTGAAATTCATCGAATATCCACCCTGTCCATTCGGAATAAACTTGAAGTTGTCAGTCGATAAACCAAAATTACCTGACGATTGATTGGTTCAGAGCGGGGTGAAATCATGTAGACCTAGAGTGCCTACCCAAGATATTATTCCCTAGGCCTTTCAATTTGTCCAGCATCTCTGCAGTTTCTTGTTTCTGGGCTACCTCTAGTCGAGGCTGTAAGAGTCGAAGTAACCGCTGAACTTCCTTTGAATCCTTTGAAGATTTTGGAAGAATACTAAGCAGCGTGTTATAATCTGTACTCGCGGGTTCGAAGATATTGATTGACATCATAGTATAGAGACGCACCTTCCCGTGCAGAGGACAATGATGACCATGTATTTAGTTGTTCGTTTGAAGCCGCACGTCGTTGTAACGCCTTGACATAATGTGGATCATCGAGAAGGGCTATAAATTTATGTTAAGGAAACAGGTGCATGTTCCAATCCAAAATCGTCACCTGCAGTACAAGCATTCACGGTTTCTTTATGTTCGCCCTAGATCGTATATGAGCAACGAAACAGATTTTGTTCCAAAGAAGAGACGCACCAACTTGACATAACAAGCACCAATGTTGGCATTCAACACGGACCGAGCTTTGGCTACCTGCATTTCTTCCTCCGTGAGGGGCGTTTCATCGACCTCATTCCTTACTGGACTTTCGTTCGAACTTTGACCAGAAGAATTGGGGTCTGGCGAGAGTTCATCTATGTCTACATTCCGCTCTGACTTTGGGATAGGCTTGTGTTTGGGAAGTCTGCCAAGAGCGGAGCGATAGGCGGCCAACGCGTCTTCCCACCTTCGAGCTCGAAAATGGTCGTTCCCTTCGCCCTTCAATTCTTCCGCATACCTGAGAAGTTCCTTTGGATAAATCAGTTGGTACACGGGGCCAATGCCAAAAAGTTTACCTCGACGCTAGTCTCGGTCATTGGAACGTCGGCGTCGTCAAAGGCGCCGATATTTGATCATACAGATAATCCACGTGGGGGGCCTGAGTCATCCAAATTTTGCACGGGCGTCAAATATTCCTTGAATCTTATACCATGACTCGACCTGCGTTTTGGCTGCGATGCGAAAAAAAGGAATTCGAGAGACGCGCAGCTCTCACTCCTACGACTGCAAAAAAACTCATTGACGCAGGCTTCCAGATCATTGTCGAGCGTGATGAACAGAGGATTTTTGATGACTCTGAATACGAGGCGTATGTCGAATTTCCACTTCAGTCGACATTGATCTATACCTCATCTATAGTGTTGGCTGTGAACTAGTTGAGAATAACTCATGGCCTTCGGCTCCAAAGGAAATCCCAATCATCGGTCTAAAGGAACTACCGGCATCGACCGATCCTCTTCCTCATTCTCACATCCAATTCGCCCATTGTTACAAAAATCAGGCTGGCTGGGCAGACATTCTATCGCGTTTTGATCGCGGAAATGGCACCCTTTACGACTTGGAGTTTTTGGAAGACGCAAATGGCCGTCGTGTCGCGGCTTTTGGTTTTCATGCAGGCTTTGCGGGTGCTGCCGCAGGCGCCCTCGCGCTTGCTGCTGAGCGTAGAGGTGAAAAACTTGGCCAACTTAACCCATACCCAAATGAAGAGGCCATGATTGAAGATGTCAAGAAGGCACTCGGAGGCAGTGGAAAAGGCGTGAAAGCTCTTGTCATCGGCGCGCTTGGCCGTTGTGGTCGAGGTGCTGTGGACCTTTTCAAAAAGATCGGTCTTCAAGAGTGAGGTTTTGCTTTCTTGATAGATGTTATGGACTAACGCCTCTACTCACAGTGATGATATCATCAAATGGGACATGGCAGAGACAGCCAAAGGAGGTCCCTTTGAAGAGATCCTCGATGTCGACATTTTCATCAACTGCATTTACCTCAGCTCCAAAATTTCATCATTCATAACTCGCGATACTATCTCTGCTGCTGGCAAAAATAGGCGGCTGACTGTTGTCGTAGACGTTAGTTGTGATACGACTAACCCTTTCAATCCAATTCCAATCTACACCATCAACACTACTTTCTCGGAGCCTACTGTTCGAGTTGATCTACCGTGAGTAGGATGCACATGTTGCCTTTGGAAACTGCTGATTGATGCCCACGATGCCAGGTCTGAACTTCCCCCTTTGTCCGTCATTTCTATCGATCACTTGCCAACTTTGCTTCCAAGAGAATCTTCGGAGCAATTCAGTGCTGATCTGCTACCATCTCTATTGGAATTTCCAGACCGAAATACCGCTCGCATTTGGACCGACGCTTACAAGCTGTTCCAGAAGAAGTTGGGTGAGGCCGCTGAGGCGAAGGCTGCAGCATAGATGTTTTGGTACTAGGGAAAATTGATCATTTACCATCTACAGTTTCAATGGATGACTTCCCATCAGGACTATTGGACAGCGCATTTCTTCTACCATCTTCTACCATCCTATAGCGAGCTCGTCCGATCAACGGAAAGGAAATCGACCCGGTCTGCATGGAAGCATCCGGACAGGGACCCCTGAAAATTCACTCGTTACTGGTGCGTATAATATGAGGGGTTTTGGACCCAAATCTACGTCGAAATGTTCGTATAAGTCCAATAGTGAGCAAAGCCGGGTGAGTGTCGTATAAAGCTATGGTGGAACTGGTAGAGTGGCCGTTCCAAATCTTAGGGGAAGAATTTTCAATCTACAACAGGCGAACGCTCAATTCCTCGGAATCCAGGACAAAAAATGAAAAAAAATCAGTAAGAAAATCCTAAGCGCCCGAGCCTCGTTGAATTGGGTGTTCGTATAATACGGGATATCTTTCTTTTTAAACTCTTCATTAACCGCAAGTAAGTAAATCTAGTACCAAGGCGCGGGGAACCGCGACGACCTTGGTGGTTTGTCGCCCAGTTCCATTCGTTATTTAATGGTGAATACGGGATATCTTGAACCAACCAGGAACGACCGTAGGAACCGCAGTGCGTTTTTATAGCTGCAGCAGTCAGCAGGACCAAGCTCAGGCTGGGCCTTGCTAGACCTGATTACAATCTACATAAGATAATACTTTCTGCGACGCTCAAGGCATCACATAACCGTGGTTATGGGCTACAAGCTCTCTATCGACATTGTCATTGTCAAGGCCAAGGATAACACTCGAGCTGTAACTGGCTGTAATTTTTCGAGTATTCCAAAATTCACAGTTGATAGCAGGTTGATAGCAAAATGAATTGACAGCACACATAGCCGATGTTGCTAGGCTGAAAAGGCGTGATGAACATATATAAATAAAGTCCTTTTACAATTATTTGTGATCAACACTCCATCTTTCTCTTCTTGTTCTTCTGTGTTCGGGGCATTTCTCGCTGGCCCTCCTTCGGTCTTCGTCTCTTTTTCGCCGTGCAGTTCTTGATTTACGGATTTATTCAGGTGCTGGTCGCCTTTACAACGTTTTGTATTTCAACATACGCTCTTTCTTGTTTGGAAATGGTCCTCGCTGCGGAACTCCCTCAGATATCCATCTCTTTAGCTCCTCCAGAGCAACCTATTGTTGAACCTTTCTCGCCGTTTTCCTGGGTAAAAGCAGTTGTAAATGACGACGACGGCTTTAGGTCCACCCATCTGACTCCTCCGCCTACTCATGTGAAATTTTCCACAAACCTGCCTTCTCCTCTCGGTCCCACCGATAACAAAGCAAAAGGTCTTGAGCGCGACCGCTTTGAGGCCCTTTTGAAGGCTACGCGCGAAAGAAATGCGTTTTCCGGAGGCAAAAAGGATAGCGATCTTCGTAAAGAAATTGCCCTTAAAGCACATAAGAACAAGCAAGGTTCGTGTCACGAGTTCGCTGTATCATATCTTCAAACTCATTTCCAGCCAGTCGAGCGAAGGGCTCTCTTTTTGTCCAAAGTGCTTGCCCCTCCATCGCCGACTGCTACGAACCAACCTGTAACTCCTCCAGAATCACCCGCTGTATTCCACTTTCGATTCCCTTCGCCTGGGCTTGTGTCTCCACTTGCCCTGTTTGAATCTCTGAACGAGGATTCGCCTACCGGCCCTCTTTCTTATCCTGTTGATCCATGGGTAGAGCAAGTCGATTATAGACTGCCTTACCAAGAATCATTTGTCAAAGTCAAAGGGCCTAAATATACGAATTCCAAGCAGTCTCTTCCTTCTCTCGAGCAGATCTCCGCTCGTTTAGGTCCCAACCATGTCCGCATTATGAGCTCCGAAAGTAATGGGCGTACCACCCGTCTTCCCAATTTCCTCGCCCAGCGTCAGGTTTCTGCACCTGTGGGCGAACGTTCGCCCCTTATCTCGGGCATTGGCAGATCGCAGCTTCCTATCAAAACACCTCAGCTCTCCAAGGTTGAGCCAGCAACTGTCTTGCCACCTCCAAAGTCTCCTTCTTCGCCCTTGACGCCGCAACTTCAAGTCACAACTTTGGTTGTGCCAAGCTTCTCGTCTCGGTCTCCAACGGAGCTGTCCGAGTCTAATTTGAACGCTTTGCAGTCGCGCGAACGTAAGGCCAAGGATATGCTTTCCACGCTCCGGCGTCGAGTAGCCCCGTCCGACGATGGGGTGTTGCAGGGCCATGAATCCGTTCCAAAGCTAATGCTTGATCGTCGCTGGAAACGCCATTCTGCTCCTGCTGACATTGCTTCGAGACCCCGCGCAGGATTCGAACATCCTGTGCTTTCAATTAAAGGAGCGTTCTGATGTCGCGCTAATGCCTGTGCGGGATTCAAGACTTGTGTTCCCTATTTCGTTCGCAGATCATACATTTTTCAATCGATTGTACATTACTTATCTCCGGGTGTAGAGTGTACGATACGGGTTGGGTCAGCATTTTTTTAAATCTTGTGATTGCCTGACCGGTTTGAGCTGGTCTCAACCGTCGCTGGGTAATTGCTCACGTTCTTTACTATTCACACAAAGGTGTTTGCCTACTACACATTTCTACATTTCCGACTTACATCGTAGATTGTTGTTCTGAAGGTGGTAGTATTATGATGGGCTAGTCTATTCATTTTTCTGCTGCTTCCTAAAACCTAGCTCGATTAAGAGGATAGTGTGTGGTCGTATGATCATACAAAACTAGAAGGAATAGACTGGTATACAATAGTAGAAGTCCTTGGCAGCACATGAGAGTAGAAAATAAGTTGGTCAGTCCCATGATTCCACGGGTTGCCAACGTGTAAATGTTGTCGGTCGACGGGAAGACGAATAACTAGGTTGTATTAAATGTGAAGGGTGTTCTGGTGTTGGTGGTCGGCCTCTTATGGCGGAGATGAGGCTCAGGCGTTGCGCTATCAGATTAGTATGTATGAAGATTGCGTTCGACCACCATGGAAGGAAGATCTACACACCATAGTCAGTACGAATGTCTCCGTCGTCTCCATTCTCCTCGTCAGAGTCTAACAGTGGATCAGACGTAAGCACAGACCGCCACGCTTCTATTAGACATGCAATGCACAATGGACCTGGTCAATGTGTGAATCAAAGAACTCATGGAGTAGAAACCTACGCTGAAGTAAGGATCTACCGTCAAGATGAAGATCAGGAAAATAAGGCATGTCTGAGAGGGTGGGTGTCGGAACTGATAGCGTCCGTCGCTCCTCCATTTCGACTACGGGGTCCGGAGAGTAGGGTAAAGGAATTGATGATGGCAGTATAGGAGAGGTCGCATTGCTGTAAATGCCGCGGCGATGATGTTTTAAATCATTGGACACAGATGGGTCTTCTCCCGGGACATAGTACATGAAGGGACCATCTTCCTTAGAAGGTTCCGGATGTCGACGAGTCGATCGTGTGCGATGAGGGTTAGAGATTGACTGTGGTGCGGCTGATAACGATAGTCAGAACGAAAAGTCGCGAGGCACAAAACGAAGAACGAGATACCTGTCACAAAATGGGGTGCAGCAGGCTTCGACTTTTTCTCGCTCTCCATGGCGCTGACAAGTTTCTGTAAGAAAGAGTTCCTCTGAGCAGACATCTTTCTCCCCCATTCCAGCTCTTCCGGTGTGTCCACATTTTCTCTCCTCATTTCCGCACGGGTCAAGGGGCGCATGTAAGGTGCTTTGCCCGGTATTGGACGCGTATTTGGGGCATCGAATGGGTTCGGAGACTGGTCCGACTCTAGGTAATGGTAAATAACCCATAGGAAAGCTTTTGCACGATCGGATGAAGCCAATGCTTTTGGTAAGAATAAATCCAAGAAGTTGACGGTTCCATCGAAATGGATGTTGGCGAGAGGCTGATTGTTTAACATTGAGACATTGTAGAAATGAGATAGACAGCAACCTTACAGCTGCGTGGTTGGAGAGAACAAAGATGAGGTTTACGATGCTTGTAGGAGGGCATTGACCGGCTTTCTAGTTGTGTGGCGTAAGTCGTGCTTTCCCATGAGGCTCCGAGACTTACTCTTTTTTCAAGAACCTCTTCCGGACTTGATGGGGGAAGAGACTTGAATTCTGATGGAAGAAGGGCAGCCTTGAGACAGTTTTTTATTCGTGGGGCATCTTGCGCGTTACCGTCTGTCTTCTGGAGAGATGGGACAGGATGATAGGTGCGGAGAGCGGTCTTCATCTCTGGAAAGACTTGATAGATTTCAGCAACTGAATGGAACGTATGCCAGATCAAAACAAAAAAAATTCACAGGCCATTGTAGTGTTTATCCGTCCAACATTGGTAAGGAGAGATATTTTGGCTAGTTCAACACCAAATTCGGGCGTCTCGAGCATCTTGTCCTTCAAGACCTTGGAGCATTTGTTCGAGTGGTATAAGGCATTCACGTAGAGTTCGCGGAAGGTGATTTTGGAAGCAGAAGCAGCGGTTTGGGGCGTGAAAGCAGCGGTCTCGTCCATAAAGATATAGTGTAGAAAATCATATTGAACGTCTTCCCTAGTGAGAATTTCCGCGTCGTTGCGTTTGATTGGTAGGGCCTTCCTACTTAAATAACCGACACTGAACAATGTCAATCAAGAATCGAACACCGAAAGAAATCATCAAAGACGCACGGAGGTATGGGTTCTGGTGGTACGTCTGACATATTTGGCTGGTATATGGTATTCGCAGTGATGATAATAAAGGAAGACGAGCTAAACACGAGGCGATACTGAAGATGCACGGGATAGAGGTGTTTGCATTCCTTTAATCAAAACAAATCGTGTACCAACGGCGCGCACATCACACGCGCAGTTTATTCCACAAGGAGAAGAATTATATCTCCTGGAAATTGCAGGTCTCTTAATGGAAAGACGCACATATATAATCAGAACTGAGCAATCAAGTGAAGAAAAGGCAAAGCTGCTCTTACCAAGATCGATGTTGGAACATAAAAATCAGTTCGTTGATTTGACACTTGACAGTTCGGAAGCAAAAATACATCGAGTCGAACGGCCCGGTTAATTACAATACACGAGTTATTTTTTTTCGTCAGCTCACGACCACCATGGCAGACATTCCTAAATTCGACGAAACGACTCAAGTCAGTGTGCAGGTGTGAAGGGTTACGCTGCTAATATATATTCTACAGAAAGAACTGGCGACCTTTCTCGAGAAGGAACAAACCCAGGCCAAACTGCATTCCTCGATTCACAGCCTTACAACCATGTGTTGGGACAAGTGAGTCGCAATTCTATATGGATTTTTCATGTCTAATTTTTTGCATTAGGTGTGTCACGAGCACTCCCTCAACTAGGTTCTCTCGGGGAGAAGAGAGCTGTTTGCATCACTGTGTTGACAGGTTCTTGGATTCGAGCATTTTCCTCGTTAAACAAATCCAAGAACGGAGAGACCAGTGATCAGTCAAGCTTGTATCCTAAAGTACAATATTACGCCTTCAGTTTACTCCAAAGATATCCTATGACGGTAGCAGGTAGAAAGAAGCAGAACGCGTCGAAAATTTCCCTTGTGCGTCTCAACTTCAATGGAACTTCGAATACCGGCAGTTTCTCCTCAGAAAATCTGCCACTCCTGTGGAAACGCCCGATAGACTCGTCTTTCTCTTGCCACAAGTTTCTCAACCACAAGTCGAAGGCTTCTTTCTCTGCAGTCGGAATTTCTACTTCGACCGCATGCTTGTCGGGTGAAGTGTCGGGGATTTTCGAGGACTCTGTGTCCGATAAATCGCCTATCGGGACCTCTTCCACTTTGAACAGACGCAGATGCATATGGACGGCAGGAGGTGCTACGCCGTCGAGGAACATGGATCTCAGGGTATAATAATCTTGCCCATAAGCTAGAGGTGGAATTCCTGAAGGTTCCAAATGATGAGCTACTCGCGAAATGGCAAGAAATAGATTTAAACACTGTACCAGGATAAACCATTGTCACATCGATGAGATGTAAGTTACTGATACGAGGACTCAGTGAGCGTAAACTGTATAGTAGGCCAGTTGATCTTGGAAGGAGAACATGGGACATGTCATTCTAAAAAGACTGAGTTAGTCTCCCGTTCGAACTTGACGCAGAAATCAATCTTACTATTCCCATTTTGTCGGCGAATTTCTTTGATATTGGACGTGTATCTTTGCTCACAAGCGTTCCTTCAGGATAGAGTATGAACGCAAGGGGCATTTGATCTGATTCTGCAGTTTTGCCCAATGACGAGAGATGTACGGCTAACTGTCGTCGGTCTGAAGCCCATGAACGGGCAAGAAAGATGAAATCGAAGAATTGCATTCCCTTTTTTTGATTATCAAGTTAGCGTTACTTGGTATGGATGAGAGAGTATCGGATTGTACCTACCCAGCCAACTACAGGAACCCAGCGCAAGCTCTTCTTCAAAGTGATATAGATGTACCGGTGCGCCTCGGAAGACATATAGTACAGAAAGCACCAAGCGTACCACCAGTCTGCATAAATCTTGCGTCATGTTAGAGCAAAGCAAAATGGTAAGGGGAGGACGAAAACACCTGATGGTTCGCAATATAAACGAACTTGCTTGGCAGGTTCAAGGACACCACTTTATCCTCCTTATCTCGCACAAGTATACTTTCTACAACATCCTGAGGAATTGCTCCTTTCCCGTTCGCCTCGAAAGTGATCTTCAAGCTGGTTGGAGAAAACCATTGACACATGAGGACTACATGATCGGGGATCAGTCGATGAATGTACAGGCGATGAAACGGAACGCACCGAGAAGACAACCAAAAGCGCCCTTCGTGTAACGAATTCCTTCATCATAAAGTGACCTAGACCATTTGAAAGGAAGAAGTCGTAAAGGCAGAAGGAATACGAATTGCGAAGCATTTATCATCGAACATCCTAGATTGAAGATAAAGAAGAAAGCAAGAGCTCGTAGTTTCTGCTTCCATGATGTTGGTGGGCGTTGGGAAATGGGTAACGAGTGGATTCCAGTGGTAGAATCTACGGTCATGATGAGGCCTGTGAAGAGATGATGATACCTGCTGTTCGGGCTTTTCGCCCGATAGCTTTCATCAACATGAGTTTTGTGACGCAACCATCCTCCTGTCAGGGGCTAAATATACTTGTGAACGCTGCTATCGAGTTCTGGCTGTACATCCTGAAATTAGAAATGAGTGAAATTTCTGCAAGTGTCACGAATCATACAGTTGCAAGTGGTAATATGACTGTTCTAATCGCATGACCCTCCAAGGATTCGAAAGGTTGTACTATAATAGCCATATATTTTGCAGTGTCAGAAAATTAGAATAGACCCTTCTCCGAATAGACATCAACCGTCCGTCTCAGGCCATAATCATATTTTCCTTGTGATGTTCGAATATTTTCTTGCAGTTAGAAGACGCGACGAATATCGTGAACGCGTATACGGGTCACCGGGCCGGTACTCGGTCACGGGCCTCAGCGTCTCCACGTCAGAGACTCTCACTAACTCTTTCTTCGACTATATCATATCTTCCTGAAGCATTATCGAAGTCTGCCGTACGCTCATTTGAAAATAATCCTTGGTTTCTACTTCTCCTAAATTCCATACACTCTTCTCACAACTCCGTACTGAGCAAATGGGTACAACACAATCTTATTTATCCCCTGAGGCGCTTGTTACGGCCGCTGTTGTTGCTGGTGCAGTAGGTTTTGGTTACAAACAAGTAACCTCTTCTGAACCTGCCAACGGCTCTACATCTCCTAAAACAGTCGGAGGAGGAGGAGGGAAGAAAGGCAAAGGAAAGAAGAAACCGAATACTACCTCCGGTACTTCAACACCAATAACGGAAGGTATTAAAACACCCGAGAATATCTCCATCTTGCCTTTCCCTGCAGTTGTTCCGGGACAATTTGATGATGGAGCTCCAGATAGCTCTGCAGGTAGTGGAGCAGAGGGAAAACCCAAAGCCAAAAAAGGAAAGAAGAAGAAAGCCGGAAAGGCAGCGGATGCTCAGGCCAAGAGCTCGGCTGCTCCGGACACAGCTGTGGAGGAATCAGTAGTATCACCTGCCGCTGCCGCGGCTTTGGCAGACTCGAATAGCAGCCATGTCACTAATTCCAGCACAAAACTTTCTACCAAGTCAAAGAAGAAGAAACAGCAGGCTCCCTCGCAGGTTAAACCTTCCGCATCATTTTCCAGTACGTCTACTCGAGATGTACCTACTCCTTCAAAGGCGAACACTGCTCAACAACTTCAAGAATCTACAGCCTCTCTAGCTTCACTAGCAACTGATACCGATGGAGAATGGACACGAGTCACTCATCGAGCGGACAAGATTCACACGTCTTCCATAGCCGGAGGCACGAGTGACGTCGGTCAAGCGACTAGTATTACTACAGGATCTTCGTCTCCAGTAGACACTCGAACTGAAGAGGAGGAGGATGGAGAAGATGAGGAAGAGGATGTCCTCGGTGGGTCTAGCGAACGACATCCTCTTGCCAAACGACTTCTTCCAAAACCGAGGAAAACCGGTGTCGAAGAGTGGGTATTTTTTATTTTACATTTCGCTCTCTTCTCCCTTTAACTTTCTCTTTCTTTCGTTCATTTCCTCGCATCCCCTGTATTTGATGATATTAGCATTTCATCAATCTTCAGCTTGCCGCGTTCATTTTGATCTACTTATTAAATGCGGCCGAATTTTTGTTGCTCTTCTTCCCCGCTCCGTTCCTATCGAAATCCTTCCATTATGGTTAGTCCACTAACCAGCCTCTTTGTTTTTTGTTAGCATGCTCGCCAGATCAGACTATCCGTCGTACTCCCGCGTTATGCGGGTACAACCCGGTGACAAACCCGCGGCAGGCTTTTCTTGGGGTGATTATGAGGATGTTGTTGGTGGTGATGGACCAAGTGGTGAACCGGACGCGGATGGTGCCGAGGCAGATAGGGAAGATGATGGTTGGGGTGTGGTGAAGCGCGGAGGACGTCCCAGTAGGTTTCATTTCGATTATAAGTATGAATCGTAGTCGGATGCTTACTCGATCTTCTAGAAAATAAGGTCTCTACCTCCTTTGAACAGACCGTTCCAACAAGCAGAACTGCGACTGCACCGGAGACGATGAACAAACGTCAACGGCAAAATGCTGCTAGACGTGAAGCAGAGAAATCTGCCAAGGCGGACTCAGAGCGAGAGCGAATCGCAGCGCTTGCTAGGCACCAACGTGAACTGGACAGTGCCAGAATGGAGGCTCAGTATGGGAAAAGCGGAGGAAAGAAAACCACTAGCGGAGGAATGAAAGCTGTGATTGACGAAAAGGGAAAGTTAGTTTGGGACTGATTTACTACGCCTTCCTTTCACCCGGGACTTTTCTATGAAATGTTGCACAGATTTTAAAGTATGCATAAAGGATATATACATTGTTAATTTTCTTCTGGAATTAGACTGATAGGTGCATAACTATACGTACCCCTTGAAGTCAGTGCAACCATTATGATGGCCTCGATATTCCCGTGTTGGCATAGTTAAAATCGCGCTCAATTCGTGGGTCAAAGGCGCACCCTGCGTCTAGGTCATACTCTCATTTAATATCGACTTTGTACGCAAAACGGCGTTCTATGAATTAATTTCATTCAACTTCCCCCAGTTCGCGATCGCATTAATCCTATCCCTTCCTATCCTTATCCGACGAATTGATGACACCTACGGGCCAGGATCCTGTTTCACAAGTTCCGAGCTACAATGATAAAGACTTTGTACCACCACATCCGGAAAAAAGCCGCAGATATGCTTTCCTCTTGGATAATGTTTGAAGATTCCCTCGTTGTAACGGAACAAGCCTTAACAATGTTCAGTTCACAGAGGTTCACAGGCCTTGAACTCACCTACATTTTTGGTCTCAATTCACGGATTTGGGTACAGGACTTATTATGCGAACCGTCTCATTATAGGGGAAATACATAGTCTGGAATCCTACGGCGTCGGTACGCTGATCAACGCATTGAAAACTACAATAAGTATTACAAGCTAAACGCATCGTCACAGATCATCAACCGCGAAAGTTATCAGCGCGTAGGAGTAGACGAGCCGGATCCAGGGGTGCGTACTGCTCCAGTGATATCGCCAGAGCTCATCCGGGTACGTCCGACCGGATTTCTCTCCTCGAGTGGTCTTATTGATGGGGAAGGAGGTATGGAATGAATTCCTGGCAATGTTGGGTCGAGTTCCATGCCCTCAGAAATTCTGGATTGTCTTGTTTCGGAAGGCTGACTATGAAGTAGTGAAATATCGGTTGACGGTACGGTGACCGTAGATGATGGAAGATGGCTGAACCTTCCTCTATTCGGCCTTGAGGCATCAACGTTGCTGTCAGTTGGATCGATCTCACGGCCGACAGCGCCGCGATTACTCTGTGTTGAGCTAGAAGGAAATGGTGGATAAATAAATGTGTCGTAAGGATGTGAAGCATAAGCAGAGAGAGAGGGCTGTGTGGAAGGATTGCGCAGGGCTTGTGGCGGATTGGAATGGAGAGAGTGGGGTAGCGCAGACGTTCGCCCGGCCTGAGCGTCTGCGCGCAGAAGTTTTTTGACTGGTTTGAAGTAGGAGAAACGGTAAGTCTTCTCTGTGTAGAGATTGGGTGTGCCGACTTGAGCACTTCCGATGGCAAGGCACCAGCGCGACTTGAGAGTCCCGGCTCGCTGTCATAAGGAGAAGTGATCGATGCCAGTGACAAGGGGGATTTTTTGATTAATGATGGCGAAGACACAGTCATTGAAGGAGATTCATTTGGGGGGATACGAGATTGTAATGTAGGACTGTTGGCTTTGGGTGTACCACCACCTTGAGGGATCATCGGGGAACGCATAGAGCCATGGGAGCCTGTAGATCCAACGGAGCTTCGAGAGCTCTGACGAGCGTGTGTCTGTGACCGACGGGAAGAAAACTGAGGGGTAGACGATGAAGCTAGACCAAAGGGCAAAGAAAGACTGTCAGAATAGGAGTATATCCGGGTTAAAACCAGGGCAACATACCCAAAAGTCCCTGTTGTACCTGCTGATGATGGGTGGCAGATTCAAATTCATATGTTGAAGTGGTGTTGGGTTGCTGAGGGATTGAAAATTTCCGAGAGGACATCGAATGCGAAGACGCGTTTGAATGATGCGTTAGTAGGTTGAAACGAGATGTGGTAGCAATGTTCTGGGAAGACGGGGATGGTGAACGGGTCGCAGGCACAGGCTCATTGCCGATTGTTCCTGCTATGCCATATCCCGTAGATGGAACTGGATAATCCGGTCCCGCTATTGGAGTCCCGGTGACATGTTGAGCACTGCCCACTGCCGCCGGAGCCCCAACTGACCCTGATTCTGAGGATAAGTGTGCACTAGTAGCACTGCCGAAGGAGTTAGTCTCACTAATTATTCCTGAATTCGCGGCTATGAAACGATGAACAGTGTTTTCGAGGTGATCGAAGCGCATTTTCAACTCGTCGTACTCTGCACGGCTCACATACTTCTCGCTGGAGGAAGAAGGGGAAGGAGCAGAACGTGGCATTAGTCGACTGCATCGGGATGAAACGGCAGCGAGAAATTCAATTTTATGAAACAGGAATTTGTTGACGATGGAGTGGAGCGGAATGAACGACGGGTATAGAATGAAGTCGAATAATACGGACGTACACAGGCTCCACAACATGCCATTGACATTTAGCTTGTTCTCCTCTGCGCGTGCAGGGAGCGCAAGGTTGATTTCTATCGTGAAGAATACCCAAATATCAAAAGTCAGAACTTAACTGAAACTCTGCAAACGCACCTGTCGCACTTTATCTTGCGCCGTTTACATTCTTCATAGTATATGATATTTGAACAGAACAAATTAATAGAATGTTGAGGGGAACGAACCAGTACAACTAAGAGCTTGTCGTCGCCGTTTCTTTTTGGGTGGACCTTGAGTATCGGCATCTTCGTTTTCGGAATCTATAGCGTGCTCATAGGCATTGCTTTCGAACTGTGGTGTTGCACTCGGATGATATGCAGGATGCGCGATATGTGACGATTCTCCATGTTGTGACTGCTGGGACATACCTCCCGATGGAGGGAGGTAAGGATGAAGCTGACGGATAGATGGCAGTGACGTCTGGAACGTTGCCAACGGGGCGCGCGGGGAATCTACTGCCGAAGAGGAGCGGCCAGCGGAAGATCTGGACGGATTTGCCATCGAGTTAGCGGGATGGGAGTCGGGATGGCGCGCGCAGAGTTGGGCATTACATAGACGAACCAGAAGAAGCAACACAAACCTTTAAGAGATCCTCAAATAAGGAGATCTATAGTAATCTCGTGGCAAGGGCCAAAAAAGGTACAAGTCAAAACACCAATCCGAAATGATTTAGTCCCGTTTTGACGGCTTAAAACCGGGGACAAGTACATCAATTTCAGCTACCGGAATCACCGGTTGCCACACCGAAACGATTCAAGAACGTCATTGAACAGAAAACATGCTAATTCATAGTGCTGAAACAGTAAGAAAAGGCGATTTCTCGGAATGTCGGCACGTTCCCCATGGCATAGTTCGAGCGTTTTCGTGACAATTTCCGACATCCAGAACTTATCTGTACAACAAACCGCAACTTCAGGTCACCTAATTGTTACATCGAGGAGGAGGGAAGAGTTCGCCACGTGCTACTTAAGCTTTTAAAACTCGGACCTACTCGGACTCCAAGTCCGCCAAACTCCGTCCGTATTTCCGTCGACTCTTCTGAACTTCTTTTATTCACTACCATTTACTACCTCAGACAGTCGGCACAGAACGCAGCAAGCTACTCTCCATTACAACTATAGCACACAAGGTCATTGACTGAGAACTTCTCGGTGATTCTGCAGTCAGCTCTGATATCCTTCGAAAAGCTTCGAAAAGTGTGCCGTGTACCTTGCAGTATCGTTCCCCTATCGCGCGGTATTATCTGGCCATCGCCGAGCACAATCAAATCAATTGATCCTTCAAGTTGTTGTACTCACTCTGTGGAGCTTTCTGGACTCTGCAAAATAGTGATCATGATTAACGTTTGGATCCGTTCGTACACACCCATACCACGAACATTGTCTGATTTCACTTCGGAGGCCATCCTTTATCCCTAGTAATCATACTTCCTATTGACGTTTTCTTTGCCAGATCCTCGTTCCATCCTCGTTCATATCAGACTTCCAATAGGTCGACGAGGCCCGTGACTGGGATCTCTGTGAGCTATTTTCCGAGTTTTCTAATTTTTACCATTCGCAGTGACAGCGATAGCCATCCAGTCGGTAAGTACATACAAGATTAATTACTCGTGTCATTTGCGACTTGTTATCCTTCAATACCAGCCTTTCCCAAGTTCTAGTTGGTGTCAGACCTGACCACTGACTATTTGAGCACAAGCAACATAGCATCCGTCAACGTGCTGCATTCATGGTATTGGTCCAAAACCCCTTCCCAACACATATCTAGTACTTCGATCTCAGCTCCAGAACAAGCCGGGGACCCTTCTTGGAACATGCAATGTCCACTCTCTACATCTCATCTCTCTCTCTACTGTCTACTCAGTACTGATCGTAGTTCAATCCCGAGTCTTCATCTGTCTTTATTCTGCGCCACTCTCGCCCTGAAACGCCTCTTTGTTCAATCAACCCTGTGGCTTGAATACTCGGCTGAACGCTCTACCGTCGGCCAGTAGCGGCAGGTAGCGGCCTGTCCGCCTGTGTATGTACCATGACAACCCCTCGCAACGGCCGCATTCTTTACAGGCTAGCAAATTGAACGTTGAGGTTCAAGACATTGTACTTTCTGTTCGATTGGTACCACTCAATTCCTGAACAGCTGATACGCATCCTATTCTAATATCTTTCTTTCCTGCTCGTGCTTTTTTTACCCACCAATGATTTAAAGGATTCATGTCAACTCTTGGAATTCAATGCAGGTATCAAGAGCCAAGGGACTTATCAGCAATATTCCTTCGGAAACAATGATTGCGATTCAGCCTATCTCTGACGTACAGATTGAAAATGTACCTGTGGTCTCACCACGCCCCAGCACGCCCCTCCCTGCTTCAATTGCTTCAACTTCCATACTCTTCCATATTTGTCTGGGTCGCCTGGCGTAACCGTTCGTTGTAGCTCCATATGGCACACTCTTGGTTTGCTCCGCATACTCATCGAATTACAATGTCCGTAAATATCGGCGCATTATCGTTGTCCTATCGCAGTTTAAACGCGATCTTATGAACAGCGGTGAACGATCTAGCTGAACAGCGCAGAAAATAGCGTGTTTGAGGTGAAGGGGATAAATACATGCTCCTTGCACGCTTCTCTAAGCTCCGTCAATGTATTCTTGGACAGTGCCGACATATCCGCGAGTCGTGATACATTTTGGCAGGCGAAACACTAGCAACACTCATAAATCCATATGCATGAAAAGAACCGCAATGAGATGAAAAGGACACTCTCGATGTCTTGCTCTTCTGTAAAATCCTGTCATGCTATCGTCATTTGACACGACAATTGAGATACGGGAGTTATCCATTTATCGTCCGTGCACCGCAATTTGCAGGTTCACAGTCGAGACTCGACACTCGTGTCAGATGGTAATTCAACTCTCTCAAATAATTCCTGGTCATGCAATTGGCCGATTGCAATACTCCGACTTGCGGTGCCAGCAATTTCATGATGATTGTTCTTTCCTCGAAGGAGTTAAAGTCCAATCAGCCTGTATCTCCCGACATCCCTCCCTCACAAAAACCATGTAAACCCAGGGCGAAGCAATGATCTTAGTCGTAGAAAATTTTCACCAAGTCCAATAATCTTCGTATCTATCGCTTTGGCATACTCCTTATTAGGCAAGCGCGTAAGCTTGGATAGATCTTATACATTGATCGATCATACCGTACGTGATTATTCTTTCGACTTGAACTTGCAAGACCGTTGGTTTAATTTCTCGACATACGGAAATCTCTTATAGGTATGGGCTCTAGGACTTTAACGCTCATAATTGAAGCGCTGGATCTCAAATTAGGCATTGAAAAATTCATAGCGTCTTGAATTTGCCAGGAAACGAAAAAAAACCTCCAGTAAATGTTTTGCAAAACCGACATCATCACTTCTGGTTGTGTATAGTCTCACGGCCTTCATACAATTCAAAGATAGTCTTCACCAAGCCTTCAGTACTTTCGCGTTGCCAGAAATCATCAAGGTATCCCTAAATTTCCAAGGGTTAAAATAAATTAATTTCTCGCCACCGTAAAGCAACGGACTTGGGGCCTCGAAGCTGTATTGGCATGGTATAAGAGATACTTCAACCCCGTTTCTGAAACGGATTTGCAAAACATCATCCCCAGGGAGCTGCGGCAGCAAATGGATGAAATGTTTGCGGTATTTTTGGAGGTGCTTCGGAGGAAAGGTTGACTGGTACGGTCCCATTGAGGAACAGCCCGATTCGACCGCTACAGACCGCTACATGCCGCACTCATGCAGTGTCTCTGACAACGTTGATTCCTTGACTTCGGACCTTCTGGGTTGGCATATCGTTGCAGGAAGTCCAGGTACCGAAATTTTATCATGCATATTAAATTTTGTCTAACGATCCAATAGTCACACCAACTTGAACTGATGACCAACTTGATAATTCTTGGGAAGGCCACCTCTCGTACAAGCATTTACATGTCGACGACAAGTCATCAAGAGGCTCTCGATTTCATTACTCGAACTCGAGATGAACATCATTGGCCAAAATTCCGAAAACTTATGTGGTAGTCTACCGGCAGAGGGTGACCGACCATTGGCACTCCACTGGCGGGAGACTACGAGGTCAAAGTCCTTAATTCTATTTAGTCATATCGATCATTGTCATGAGATGAGCCAAAGCTTACACAAAGAGTTTATTTCCTAATCGAGCTCACATCGGATAACCGAACAATGGGCGACAGGTGGTCGTGGAAGCTTGAAGGTCAAAGGTCGTGGATGGCTTTTCTGGACGAACAATGGTGTCCGTAATTCTGGATATAAAATCCCTTCAACACTTCAGTTGATTCAGAGTAATCGATTCGATATTTTGCTTGACGCGCCCGTGGTCATGGTTTGTGCCAATCACTCTCATTCAATTCACGACTCATGATAGTCTCCAGGATTCAAAGTCTGCTCAAAGCTTCCAAGTACTTTTAGACAACGATCCTACCTCGTCTGCAAACACATCCCAAGAACTCACTGGTTATGGTGATATCTCCCAATCAGAGATCAACTTCCTGCCCAGTTTGCCTTCCGAAATAGTCATCGAAAGGGCTCCCTCGTACCGCCGTAATGCTAAACGACCCTTACCCCCTACAATTTGCAAGAACATGACGACAGAATCTGAGGTCAGTGTAATTCAGAGTTGATGGCCACCGTCAGTCCGTCTTCTTTCAGTTTAACTGGTTGAACATATAGGAATTTGATGGCCTTTCGGCTGTGCTTGACAACCTACGGACCGAGCGGGAGAATAGCATGTCTCAAGGCCGCAAACCATCTCAGCCATCTGTCAAGGCGGGCATCGAACAGCCTAAATTTACGACTCGAAGGATACCAGCACCTCTGCAAATTAATAACTTCAACGGAGCTCACCGAGTGTCGGCAAATCCGCCCTCACGCGTCTCTCCAGCCAGACCTTTCCGGGGTAATGCGCCATTGCCTCGAAGGTCTCCTTTACCCCGGTGGGACTTGCTTGATCCAGACGTGTATCTCGAAGGGAAACAGTACAAAATACGTTCCTCGCATAGTAGTTAATACTAATGAATAGTGGACATGGGGGTTTTCTACATTCCGCACGGACAGTATGTGTGTATGTATTTTTTCTGCGATGATCCACCATGCGCACTGAACAAGCGCTAAATATTCATGGGCATCTCAACTTGGATCCAATTGAGACATACTCGACAATTTGATTTATTTCACAAAGCTGATTGTACATAGGCACACAAGATGAAGGCCACAAGATGAAGGCCACATTACCCAGCATCACCCCTACAGTGGCGGCCATCATATTAAGCTGACAAGACAGCTCCGAAAAACATTCAGAATGATGCACTGCCAATGGTATCTTCTGGTATCTTTCCAAAAACACATGTTATGTTCTACCTTTTTTTGTTCTTTTTCGGACAATATCGATGGAATTATTTCCTTTCACGATATGTATGTATGCATGGTATGTTCTTAAATTGAAAGCCACCAATTGTTTGATTTCATATACTCAAAATAAAGCGAGAGCTGTCGACAATATGAGCAGGATATGGGCGCCACGATTATATAGTACTCACCTGGTACTCACGAACACCGCAGGCAAAAAAAAATCGAACCCGTGTGGTACTTCAGACAAATTTTGAATTGATAGGGAGTGGTTGGTGTACTAAGGATATAAAAATACCGAGCCTTTCCCTGTCCTTGCAGTAGCTTGCAGTGTAGGACCAGTGTAGGACTGGGTCTTAAATCTTGGTCTACGTGGGGCCCTCAAATTTCTTGAGGATTCCCGCATTCGAGAGTCGAGACTCGACATGTAGTGTGATCACGCCAAATAGCCGGTACTATTGCGCACCCAAATGTAGAATTCATGACAAGGTTCGTCCTCATATGCAACATCTTCATGTAAAGTTATACTCACGGAAGGTTCTGAACTTCTCCGAAAAGAAGTACAGTTAAGGACGCAGAGAATCACGGGAATCATGCCTCCTAGCAGTCTCCTAGTCCAAGGTTTTTCCAAGACGGTAGACCTTTTTCTTTTAAGTAATACTGTATTTCAATGGGAGGACTTCAGCGGTGACCGTCGCAATACTCCTTTTAGGTGTGCCCGGAATATGCATTGAGCGTTCACGGAGACCGCTGTTTTTGCTTACCGAAATGTACAGCTGAACAAAGAGAGTCGAAATAGTTCCATCGATTTTGATCCTTCTGTATCTCAACCAGCCTTCAACGACTTGTTTTGTTTTAATGAGAAACAATATGTTGCATCACACTTTAGAGCAACCAAGTAAACGAAGTCTCGCTTTGATTGTTTGTAGAAATATTTTGAATGGCAATTGAGTGCGACTTCGGGCTTGTCAACTTTTCAGCAACATCTTGACGAATTGGGGGAACAGTGCTTGTCGCGGTCTTGTACCTTCGAGCACTAGTCTACAAGATCATGCATATGGGAGAGCCACAAGGCAACTGACCTACAGATTCAAGCACATGACTAGCTTGTCCCGGGGAGTAGCCAAAAAAGAATGGAAATCATGTAGATCATGACGACCTTGAAGAAGGAAACAAGAGAATTACCGGTATAATTATTGGATCAAAATCCAGCAACTATTGTCAAGATCGACCCTGATGAAGGTTTAATGAAGTTTGTATACTTATTATTACTTCAATTCCGTCGCCGTCGAGCATCGACGAGCATATAATGAGGAGGAGAGTAATGAGTACCGACGTTTGGCAACGTTTGCCGAATTGCGCCCCATTGCAGCTCACTGTAGGTTTTGCCAATGTACTTTACATAGGTTGTCTGTGAGGAGTGACATTTCCGGCCCGAAGCATGTCCCGGAGTCTATAAAATTCAAACGCCGCTTACCCATAAGCGCCCAGATCGCAACTTCCGAAATCTCGCTTACACACAGCAATAATATGTGTACAAAAATCCGAGAAAAATCCAAACAAGAAGTTTCGAAGAAGAGCGCGAAATTGAGTACGGGAAATTAAGGTTTGCAGGTTTATAATTTCTTCATTTCACTTCGTACCATCTTACTGCATATGCTACTTCTCTATACGGCACCCTTCGAAGGACATCTTGAACTTTGAAGGTTACTTGCTTCATCCATCTTTTCGTTTATTCGGCATATCAATCGTTTCCTCAGTCGCTCACTCTTCGTTCTCTGTTTTGACTTGAATGTCTGGCTCGACGCCCACTAAAAGACTTCAGTTGAAGACGTCTGACTTGACGGACTTTTTCCGTGGTTCTTCCAGCGGTCCTAGCAGCACACCCAGCACAGGCAGCAGTAGTGAACCCCCATTACCAGTCCCTGAGGTCAACCGTCTCTCATCTTCCTCGGCCTCCCCTTCGAAAAAAAGATCTTCAAGGATTCCATTCATTGGAAGGTCAAGGAAAAAGTCTATTCACTCAGACGCAGATGTTGACACCTCATTGTCGGACGCCACCAAAGAGAGTAGAGCGTCTGTCGCGACAGCGGGGTCTAACTATAGATCGGCGCCAGAACAGTGAGTTCTATTTTTGCAGTTTCCTGTTATACATTTTCCCTTGAATTATCAGACTTTGTATGGGCATTGTTCATCGCTTCGTTCCATCGTATTGTCCGCGGACTTTCTCTAACGTATCGTTCCAGACACAGTACCTCACTCCCGCATGCCTCCACATCACAGCAATCCCTGAAAACTGCTGCAACCTCCACCAGTTTTGGATCGAAGATTGCTGCACATTTTGTTCCCTCTAAGGGTGGCCTACGTCTGCAGAGCCGCAAATCTCAGCGTTCTGCAAAAAAGTCGCATGAAGAACTGTCTGACTATACGTCGGACAGTTTGGTTCCTCCGAGCTTGGGAGCTCGGTCTCCGTCCATTGAGTCAAATATCTCTCGCATTAGTCGCTCGACCACTCCACGGGCCAGTCAAGCTCAGGAGGAACTTCGTCCACAACCAACTATCACTGTTTCCCGTCCTCCTGTCGATGATCTCGATAACATGGAAGAATATAATGATCTTTTTACCAAGCCACGGCATATAGTGAAGTCTGTGCCGATAGACACTGGGTCGATGGGAACATATCTTTCCCGTTCCTCTCTGCACAACGATACTTCTCCACTCTCTCCTACCCCTCACACAATTTCGATGCTCGCGCACGCGCCCGCCTCTTCTGCCATACCTACTCAGACCGCTGATGATACCACGGCTAGTTCCATTCGTCGAAAAGGGTCGAAGGTACAAAAGCTTTCTAGAAGCTTAGCGGGTGATTCCGATCGCGCGTCTTTCAGCGGAACTTCAGTTTCCTCTTTCAGCGCACTGCCTTCTAGGCGGAATGCGAACTCCGACCTGCAGCAGGGCATCGATATTGACACAGCAGATGAGTCAGAGGCCATGTCAATAAGGTCGGCGATGTCTATGCCAGTTTCATTCAGAAGCGTCACGGCCTTGGATAAGCACCGCTCTCTGATTTCTTCGCACTCTGTCCGAAGTACAACAAAATCGAAGAGCTCCAGAATCACACTACCATCCAAACCTCCATCTATACCACTTCCTGCCACTCCTTCATCAGATGAAATCTCATCGCTTTCACAAACGCAGGCTTTTCGACAGCGCGCACATACTATTGCTTCCAGCCGCAACTCATCAGTCCCAGAACGATCTTCTGGCTCCTCGAGAGCTAATTCAACTTTGAAACAAAACACCACTACAGTCAAAGCTCTCGGAAAGTCGTCGTCACTTTCCAGAGATTCTACTATTCAAACCCATGGTACAGACAGAAATTCCTCCTCTTCCTCCTCAGCTTCTTCCACGCCAACTCCAACTAAAACTTTCCCTAACTTGAAAATGCTGCAGATCGATGTCGACACTGCCTCGATTGAAGAGCTCCGCAAAGCTCTCCGGTATCGCAATCAGCAGTTTGAAGAACTTTCTGGTTGTCTTCTCCGAATGACAGAGACGCATGCCACCGAAAAGAGAGCATGGGAGGGAAAAGTAGCAGAGCTGGAAAGGGAAGGTATAAGAAGAGATAAAGAGATCCAGGGACTTGCCTGGCTGGTGAAAAATACCCCCGCGCATAATACTTCTTCAAGCGATACTAAAACGAATACCTCACTCCAGTCCGGCTCTCGAACTCCAAGTCTTCTGGAAATGGAAAAAGAGCGAAGCGACGATTCATCTGTACGAAGCAGCATACCCACTCCTTCTTCATCTGTGAGGCTCCCCATAAATAGGCTTCTTCAGAGCGAGGATTCAGAATCCTATCCTACTTCTACTTCAGAATGGGGCTCAGGCACATCGGGGGCTGAAGACGAGACACAGATGGCTACAATCAGGCCAAAACGGACCATGAGGAAGTTGAAATTAGTGGAAAGTGTGAACAAATCATTACCTGCCGCGCGCTTGATGTCTCCCAGACAACCAGGATCTGGGGCAGGAATGGATGCATCAGGGCATGCCTTTGATACTTCATATCCACGTAAACGCTCGTCGGCGTCGTCTTCTTTCACTGTCGCTTCCTCTTCCTCGATTTCACCCAATCAGAGTCCAACTTCGATTACTTTCCCTCCTTTGCAAATATTAAATCCAATTCCCGAATCTCGTCTTGTCAGCGATTCGAAGGAAAGTCATGTTACGTTCTCTTTGGACAAGGAAGATCACAAGCGAGAGCGAAAGTTATCGAAATCTTCGTTTAAACCCACCGGGCAACCTTCTACCTTCAGTAAATCAACTTTGAGCAGTTCGATACCTTCGGTAACGCCGGGATCTAGATTGACTCCGTCGGAGGCATATATCCGAAATTTGAAAAAAGGTCGACCTCCTTCGATTGCTCAGATCCTAGACCAAAACGAAGAAGCAGATCAATCTACGACGGGCAATATCGAGGAGTCGTACGGGGGTCGTTCAAGGGCACTATTGGCAGGGATTGACCCTGTCAAAAAATAATTGTTTGTTGTCCTCACAGGTACATTTCATTACGAGTAGAGACTCATACTCAATATCTTGGCCGGATCCTACCTACCTTCTACGGAACTCCTCTTTTGCATCCAAGGACCCCTTGCTTTTCAACACCACTCTTTTGACCCACTTTCTTTCACGCTTGAATATCATCTCCGGGCTGTTGTTTTTTTCTGGTTCCATTGTATCATACCATCACTGCATTTGTGGGCCTCATCATCCGGATCCTTCATTACACATAATCCTAATTAGCTATACCCCTGTTAATGCACGTCCTACATATATCATCGAATTCGCCCTTGCAAGTTTCTCGTAATTGACGATGTAAAAGAAAACTCTTGGTCTATCCAATGGGTCTCGGCGCTTATTTGATTGAAAATTCTGAATCTTATTCTTTGACTACGATAATGCATATAATTTCGCAAGTGGACGCTCAAATAATCGCGGAGATTCGAAGATGCTTGAAAGACACTACCGACCGAGGCCTGATCGTTGCTTCCAAATGGTGTGTTCTACTTCCATAGTGTCCGTGGATCATTGATGAAAGGCAGGCTTCAGGCTATCCGAACTTTTACTCTCGATTCCTGCATTCAAGCGGAATACAGGCTCGGCTGCAGATATGAGCTCTGTTTCCATGAACATCTCAGAAGAACTTGATGATCAACCAAACTGGCGTAACAGGGAGGAGCTGGACGCAGAAGAACAGGATGCAGATGTCTTGGACGTAGCTCGAAAATGCATGGAAGCGCGTCAGTATCATCGGGCCATGTACTTTTTGCAGGGTCATACGAGTGCAAAGGCGCGGTTCATTTCTGTGTATTGTCGCTTCATTGTACGTCTGAACCTATGTCTTCTTACGATGGATTGCTGATCTCTGAAAGACAAGTGAGAAAAAAGCTTTGCATGACTGGCACAAAACAGATAGTATCTATTCTTCTCTCCTTCCGCGAATGCTACTTATAGCTGCCGTCATTAGACACGCGGCATCAACCACCTCTCCCTGTAAACACAGAAATTAACGATCTACTGGACTCCGTAAAGAACTCCACTGATCCTTGGCTTCAATTCCTGTGCGTTCGTATCATCGTGTTTCGAAGATCTCTCTCCAACTTTGCACTGATAGCGAAGCGCTATTCCTTTATCGTTTGTCGCGAATACCGGAGGCTCTCGACCTCCTCTATCATGCAATTTCAATAAATCCCTGGAATTGGGCTGCATGGACATTACTCGGGCAATGTCTTGACTCTTCAAAAGCAGTATGTCATGTATTCCTTCGGCGGCACCGACACTCACTCCGTTCAGCAGTTGACTGATGCGCTCACCAACATCGACCTCCCACTGGATCATCCATTACCACAGATGTTCCAAATCAAAATCATGAACGAACTACATACCGCTACAGACGTAGAGCTGCAACTTTGCGACAGGCTTCTCGGTACAGATTATTTTCCTGACAATTTGTGGTTGATGGGACAGCGAGGAAGAGCGCTGTATGACACCCTTGGTAAGTTGGTACGTCGGCTTGTTCATTGGCACTCACGAATATAAGCTCGCAGAGCTTACCAAAGCCGAGACTCAATTTGAGAAGATGTTCACACTACACCCAGATCGGATTGAAGACTTGGACGTTTATTCAAATATCCTTCATCTTCGTGGAAGCAGAGAAAAACTTACTGCATTGGCAGAAAAGTTTCTGCTCATAGACAAGAACCGCCCCGAAGTTTGCTGCATAGTCGGTATAGAACTTTATCGTACTGAACTATCGACGAATGATTGAAGCTTATACATGTAGGGAATCACTATTCTCTGCGAAGCGAACGAGACAAAGCTGTAAAGTATTTCCGACGAGCTACGCATCTAGATCGGACGTGTTTAACAGCTTGGATATTGATGGGTCTTGAATATCATGAATTGGCCAATTACCCAGCTGCCATCGAATCGTTCAGAAAAGCGATAGGTGATGACGAATACTGCTGAACGAGGATCTCGCACTCAATTTTATTACAAAAGATGTCAACAAGAAAGACTCACGACCTTGGGCGGGACTTGGTGCAGCGTATGATGCTATGGGAATGCCACAGTATGGGCTTTTCTATTACCAACAGGCCATGAAATTGAGGTCAGTGGCACTCTTACCTTTCACAACAAATCATTCATTTGCCCATTCTAGGCCATGCGAATCTTATATCTGGGAAGGTCTCGGAAGCTGCTACGAACAACTCGCAAAGTGAGTCTTAAGAGACGCGCAGAGTTCAACGTCTGTTAATCAAGTTATTTATCAGGCATCGCGACAGCATCTTCGCCCTCGAACGTGCTATAGAACTTTCAAAGGCTTCCGTACCTTCGAACCGAAAGATTGTCATTCGTGCCAAGATTGTCAAGCTTGCACGGCTTGTAGGTGACAAGGAAGAAACGCTTGCTCAAGAGCTCAAATTTATCAAAATCTGTGATGACGAATGTAAGACAATTTATCAGGACGCTCATAACACGAGTACTTAATTTTTTTTTGCAGTATTTGGCGTAAACCTTAGACCACCGCGCGACAATCTCGCCGAACAGTACATCACCTGTGTATACAGCGTCGCTGAATACCACGAATCAAACGATGGCAATCTCAAGCTTGCCTACGATTATTACAACTGGCTTTTTGTGTTAGATCCTTCTACAGTACGAGCCAAACCCACTATGCGTGAACAGATCAAAAGCAAGGCCTCTGCCAAAGGATATGACTTAACCAACACCAACTCTCTTCAATTTGGTTACTCTCTGGACTATAAAAAGGGCCGTTGCTTGTTGTTGGAATTTTTGCAGCAAACAGGACAAGTCACTGATGTCTAGTAGGTAGGGAAAATTCACCTTGAGTAGTAGTGGACCAGAAATTCTAACAATTTCACAAATGTATGCGTCGTCCGAAGTCCACGCCTCCAAAAATCCGAATATCAAAGCAAATATGGTACACCAGCTGAAAAAATAAGAGATAAGTAAAATCCTTTTGCGAAAGGGAATCAAGAGTGGTTGATGTCATATGCATATTGAAGTACAGTCCATTGAGCTAAATAAGCAAATAAGCAATGAGATGCAATGAGAGTTTGAAAATATTAAGCAGAAAGAGAAGGAACAGATAAATTATAGGTAGATGCATTTGGGTATCCATAATCGTCGGTATATCATGATATCATTAAGGTAGCTTGTTCATCTTCTTCCTCGAGTTCTTGACGTTGTGAGACCAGTTTTTCGACGGCGGTGCATTGCTGTAATAATTGTCTAACGACCGGACGCCCACAGGTGTTGTTGACGAATGAATTCTGAAGGCAAATCATTGATTACAATACCCAAACGCAATGAGAAGGCCTCTTACCTTAAGTAATTCCTGGGCATCCGGACGAGACGAGGCCGGTTCTGAACATAAACGCAAAAATTCGTGGAAGGCGGGGGAAAATATCTCGGGCTTGCTGAGCTTAGGCCATCTATCGGTGGGGGGATCCGTTGAATCTGCAAAGGGGGGTGCTGCTTGAGCCAGCTCCCACACCGTCGCGCCAACAGACCAAATGTCGATCTTGAGCGCATTGTAAGGTCCTGCCCGTACTTCGGGTGCCTAAGAAAAAGTAAATCAATTTACCATGCGGCAGGGAAAGGAACCGGAATTTCGAGAGAGAAACATACCTGCCAGTACAAAATGCCCACCGTGTCATGGACAATGGGCGAGTTTGTGCTGACTTTAACAGCATTTGAAAAGTCAGCTTCAACAGCCTGGTCATTAGATGTTCCTTTGAAAATTTCCAATTGACATACTGAGTTTTAGCATTCCCTGACTGTTTAAGAGTAGATTATCAGAACGAATGTCGCGGTGGGCTATATTATGTGTGCGCAAAAATTGTAGCGCCTCTAGCGTCTGTCAGTGGCAACAAAAGTTAGTTTCTGATACCCTTGTTGACAGTAATGGAGACATACATCATGTGTAAACCGTGCAATGACTCTTTCCTGCAACACCAAGCCTTCCTCACATAGAACCACAACATCGGCTAAGCTTCTCTCCATCAACTCCATACGAATCCATAAAGAGTCTTCCACTGAATCCACATATAATGCATGCATTGCCAATATGTTCCCGTGCATTATTCCTCTGATCATATTCAGTTCCTTCCTCAATTCGTCAAGTTTCGCTGAGCCGGAAGGCAATATGGGCACAGTCTTAATCGCAACGAACATGGTCTCTCCGTTGGCTTGACCCTCGACATCTCGTGCTTTGATTAGCGGTGGGAGTTTGGAAAGTCGGGCAAGATTGGCATTATCGGATATACGTGCAGCATACACAGAACCACTCTCCCCTTCGGCGACCTCTGTTAAGTCGAGGTAGTAGTCTCGTGGATCAATAGGTTCATCGATAAACTCCTCCAAGGGTTTGACGATCTCGGAAAGCCAGCCGCGATAACGTTGATTAGGTGTGATCGGCGTGACACTAGAGAAAGGCGACGAGCCGGGGATAGGAGGGGCTGTGAACGGACCACCGAGCGTCATGTTTGTGTTGTTGCTTATGAGAATCGAGGGTCGGACGGGAGCTGATGTCATTGAAGGGAGGCAAGAATCAGAATTTCCAGTGCTTCGCGATGATATTGGAGAAAGAGTTTTCTGCTCTGCTTTTTCGGTAATGAGTGCCTGATCTTCATTGCCTTCTAGTGTATCATATGAGTCCTCCTCGTCAGGATAGACTCCGAAAGTATCCGACCTAGATGTGGGGAGCCGATGCTGTTCGTGAGGTACGCCTATTACCGACTCAGGTTTGTGTACTTGTGTTGTAGTCCGGTCAAACACTGTCTGTGTTGGGAGCGGACTATCCAAGTAATAAACCAGCCCTATTCCATCCTCATCATCTTCCGTTTGAGTGTCAGTCTTAGGAGAAAGCGACGAAGATGTACTGGTACTGGTACTCCCAGACATTCGCGACGAAGATGCTGACGCTTCCTCTTCTTCACTGCCCCCAAATATAGAGCTTTGGGGAGAAGCAGGGACCATGAATGGCAGTTGAGGCTGCTGAAGAGACACTGGGGGAGACGGCAAAGAAGGAGGAGCCGATCGAAGCGGATTCTGCAACTGATATTGAGTGGGCAAGGATAAAGGGCCTGAACCCGGTACCCCGACTGTAATCTTCGTGGCTACAGCACGTTGAATGACTGTGCTTGTCGCTGTTACGCGAGTTGCTTGGGTCACGGTGGCAGCAGAGAGTGTCGAGACAGTTGAAGTACTACTGCGACTGGAGTTCCTAAAGTTATGGTGATTCGCACTGAGTGAAAGTGTTGATGAATCGCTGGTAGCATCCCCGTCATGATTCCGGGAAGAGGAATCATCATCGTGCTCTCTTTTTTCACCCTGACCTTGAGTCTGAAACGCAGGTGCTTTGCTCTGATATTGCCGTATGAAATCCGGGCTCGGGGGCGGGAGCGTTGGACTGAGACTCTCGCTGATTGCCGGAGAGGTCCATCTCTCTTCAGCTAAGGGATCCTGTCCCTCGTCCTTAAAATCATCTTCGTCCTCGTGATCCTCATCATCTAAACCGTTATAACCCCTCAGTCGTTCGATCGGAGTCAATTCTTTGTCCCTATTCTTTCCATTAATTCCCCTCGATTGCTTCTTCTGTCTCCCAGGAAAATCAGATTCCGTAGAAGTCATGCCGCCAGGTGCAAGCATTCCTTGAATTTCATTGAACAGCCCCGATGCGTGAGTAGAGGTGGAGGGCATGCCTACGCTCGTCATTGTGGATACAGTGGAGCCTGTCAATGGAGGTTCGGGATCCTCAGAAACAGATACAGACTGAGGTGAAGATAAAGGAGTGAGAGGGGGAGAGGGCGATCGAGGGAAGGGATCGGTTGGCGAAGCAGGTGGACCAGTACTAAACAGAGGAGCGGCAAGTAGGGACGACGAGCCATGACCAAGATAGGAGCTGTAAATAGGGCTAATGGACATCGATGAGGGTGTGATTGTTGTTCTTTTCGTCGCGGTGTCGTCAATAACAACGGGTGGAACAGCGAACATTGAGGGTAGTTGTAGAGAATTTGATGAGCTATCGCCCCGTCCGTCCGAAAGAGTTAGGTCGAAATCAAACCCAAGATTGCCCAAACCCAAACCTGAGCCGATATCGGGCAAAGTGAGCGGTGTAAGCGGAATAATGGATGGAACATTCCTATCGTAGTTCGGAGGGCTAGTGTGATGCCTGTGTGAACCGCTATCGGAGTATGAGTCACCTTCAACCTCGTTACAGCTCTCGTCTGTTTGTTCGTTCTTTTCCGCAATGTAGCCGTCTTGAGAAGCCACGTTGCCTGCATGATATGCAGGTGGTGGTGATTGTACGACATTGGCGTTGGCAACAAAATACGCCCTCCTGGGCGGTGTAGATGGCCCACTCAAGTTGACAGGTGCATTGGTGCCAAGTGGACTGCTTTTTTGCATCTGCGGCTGACCACTGAAACTCCCATTTGAACGATGATGAGGTTCTGCTTCGTCTCTACTCTGTTCTATAACGACATTAGGGCGTAACTTGGCATCTGACGTAGAGTCTAAGGATATAGAGAGAGCATGAGATGAAGATGAAGATGAGTTATTTCTACTTCTTTGCTGCACTTTACGGCCTATGAGTGGATTGAGGGGCACAGGTGGAGGAGACGCGAGAGAAGAAGCGCTCCGGAGCGAGGTGTCAGAGTACTGACGAGGAAGGGAAGTTGAACGAGGCGCAGGATTGATTAAAACAGCGGGAGAACGTGTCTGGTCGAGTGCAAATGTTCCTCCTTGTTTTCTCGAGTATATGGCAGCGATTTCATCCGGTGTGAAGCCAGCTTCAGCAAGAGAGACTGTCCATGAGGGGGGCATACCACCATAACCTTCATCTATATGAATATTATGCTGCGCGATCTTGTTAGAGAGACTCTTGCAAAGATGATATTCTTTTACCTGAAAATTCCAAGGCATTGAGATGTTCTCATCCTCCGGAGGCTTCACTGGCTCATTCTCTTCCGCGACACGCTTCTTCAGGCTGAAAAATCCCGATTTCTTTTGTTTAACCCTCGCGGAAGATGGTGGATTAAGCAGAGCATCCGAGTCGGCTGTGGTAGCTGAAGATGCCAGAGACATCGTCGAGCTTGCCGGGTGTATTGAGCCAGGACTGGTTCTCTGAGCATATTGGGTCGAAATGGAAACGAATGAACGATTGCTATTGAGATAGTACGGGTCTTTTGGTGGTGGTGGCGGCGGTGGACTATCCTTCTCCTTGTTTTTCCCGAGTTTTCCAAACACCTTCAGCGTCGAGAATCGTGACGCTCTGTTCGCACCAGATGAAAGGGAGGAAGACGAGGAGGACGAAGGGTCCATGATAAATATGCAGCGAACGAGTCGCCGTGATCGTTGGAAACAACAGTCACAAATGGGCAAATATTTATAACTGTCACGTTGTGTCACGCATCATCATAAAGTTCTCTTGAAGCACTCTCAGCGTAAACATAAGATCTAACTCGACCTCGTACCTACCGTATCGAGTCGAGCTCGAAAGATTTTGCACGCCTATGGTGATCCTTTCCGGCTGCAGTCTTTCGCAGTAATGAACGACATACGATCTCGCGCGGTTATCAACATACTCGACGCAGCTTACCTTACTGTGAGCTAAAGTGAGTCTGACAACTTCTTCACCTTTCTTCACGCTCATGACAATATCTGACAGCGATAGCAAGGAAACTATCACGAGCAGATCCCGGAAAAGTTACCATAGTTTTAAAATTCAATCTGTCGCCGCTCGCTAGTATGCAGTTGATTGATACATATATGATATAATGACTTCCCTCAAGGTTGCAGGTGTGCTTTCGACATAGGGTGTACAAGGTACTCTATCCTCACATATAAGGGAAAACACTCATTGAAGATCCTGGACTTTGCTCTAATCCTTAGTATTGGACAGTAACAGAAATCTCTATCGACATTCGCCACCTGCCGCGTGTTTTTATTGATATTTGCTACAATCGGTCCTTCGCATGTGGGAGAGCACGAATTGCCTCGGACTCTTCAGCACTGCACTCATCATGATCTCTGATGAATAACTGTAGGGATCATATGGCAAGCGCAAGTATCGTCGGGATGGGATATCGGTGTCGCGATGAACAACAGTTTGTTTCCTCGAAGCAGTAAGGTTGAAGATCAAGCGACGATTTGGCCGTGAACAACCCGAAAATTTTAATGAATACGATTAGGATAAGCGCAGGGGCAACTTTTGTCAAATTTTGCAGTGATACCAAAGCTGACTCTGATTCTCGCCTGTCAGACGCAAGAGAAAATGGAAGAGACAGCAATTCAATTGGGAATGCTTCCCGAGATCATTATTAGCATTGCAACGAATTAGGGATCTGTTGACTATCATGACTGTAAGGATAATTTGACAGAGATGCTCTTGTTTTGCCTCTTCGCGTTGTAAAAATCTGAGCTCAGAATTTGAATTTCGATCTCATGAATGCTAGTCTCAGAGCAGTCGGAAATCCTCGGAAACCTCGGAGAAGCCGGGCCTGAAAACTTCGGTGTCGCAATTTGTGAGAGAAATCACCAAATGCTGAAATGCGGAATTTCCACATTCATTGGAACTCTGATATCGACCACCATGAGCAACGACTCGCGCTCTCCAACTCCAGATCCTCTTGTACCTGCAGCCATCAGCTTCAAGGGCGATCTGGGGATGGCGGTGATTGTCACCTGATGACACTCCGCTGTCAAAATCGGGCGATTCAAAACAACCTTTCAAGTTGGTTTCTTCTTTACTTTCGTCTCTTCACTCGCCACTACAACTGGCAAGAAGCTCAAGAATGTTGAGGTGTCAGTTCGTTGAAGATTTGATTCCAGAAATCCTCGGTTTCAATGTCTGGTGGCCACGAGATCTCCTTCAGCTCGCATTGGTATCACCATCATGGCTTTTCTATGCGCGCAGGCTGCTTTATTCGAAACCCAATTTACGCTCTTTCTCTGCTTGCACGCGATTTGCGCGCAGCATTCAGAACAATCCTCACCTTCAATCATTGATAAAAGGGATTGAGCTTTGCCCAAATGATTCCAGACATTTGGGATTTGAGGAGATGCACGCTATACGAGTAATCCTCGGTCTAGACGGTCTGCGGTCTGTCACATTGGGTGGGGAGGTGGCTGTATCCGCTGAGCGGTTCCTGAACTGCTTAGCTCATTCCCATAGGGTACGGGAGCTAACTATCGATGGAAGCCTCATTGCAAACTCGTTGAGCGCACGACCGTCTTTCGAATGGGACGAAGTTATAGCTTGCAAATTCTCTGCAGTCCGGAAAATGCGTCTTGTGCATCTCGATTTAGACATTGTGAACACCTCCTTATATCAACTACAGCTTACGGAGTTGGCCCTCGAGAACGTAGACATCATATCGGGGAATCTTCCGTGGCTTTTGCAGAACACGACGACTTTGAAGCATCTTCGGGTATCGGGCGAATCCTCGCGCGAACTGGACGAGCAAGTATCCTTGGTTTTGGAGAGTTATCGTCTAGAAAGTCTCCATTATCAGATAGGAAATAGTCCATCGTGGAACTTGCTTCTTTTCGACAGGAGCTTCGCTAGTGCTGCTTCCTTACGGTCGTTGCACTTAGAAGGCGTACGTGTTGATTTTGAGATACTGAGCACCATCCACGCTCGATGTCCCGCAATGGAGCATCTATATATTTGTGGCAGATATGTTCCTTTGACCCTGGAGGAATGGGTTGTATTTGTTGCGTCGGGCTTATTTCCAGCCTTACGCATGCTTGGTCTTCCAGAGGGGACATTCGGTCCTCCTTTTACCAAGTGGACAACTCCTTCGAAGCCTGCTTTACAGAAGGCATGTTCACGTCGAGGTGTGCTTCTACTTGATTAAGTTTCTGAGATCCGAATGTTGAGGTTTTCACAAATTGATTTGTTCTTGTGTTCCACTTTACCTTACAATGTAATTAATCAAAGTGATCAAATTTTACAATGCAGAACATCGCAAGGTTAAGAACGTCCTTTACTGCATGTGCATGTATAACAGCAATAATCTGCTTTACCTGATTTACCATTCATGCCGCATAAATTTCAAGCCATAGCACATAGACTAAGAGTACATCTGCATTTTGAACAACATGGTAATATAGCAAAGAAGATGAAAGAAAGGAAAGCTCAAACAGCAAAGCCTTTAGTAGCCTTCTTCCCTCTTAACTTCTTTGGAGGTGCACCCTTGGGCTCTTTTTGTGCAGAAAGGAGAGCAGCAGTGCGCGCAAGAGTTGCCTAAAATACAAAGGCAGAGTTAGCATACAGGCTGTAGAAAGGGCTTTCCAAAGGAGTTTATGGAAAATGATAGTACTGTAGATATGCAAATGTAATCGCCAAAGAGTCGGCTTTACCGCATCGCGCACTTGACGGCTTCCGATAGCGACATGGCGAGGTGTCCATCAGAGTTTGATCGGCTCTAGATAGAATTGGATTGATCTTGCAAACATGTCCACGCCCAACTTTCATACCACTTTTCAGTGTTTATCCAGCGGGTTCTAACGAGAGTGCGTTCGTGTATGAAGTAATGAAATGAAGAATATAGGTAAGGTGATAGATAACGAAGGAAGAAGAAAACATTGAGTAGAGAGCAGAACAGGTAGATTGCCCATCCACAAATGCGAGCAAAGAGACGTTCGCTCACCTTTCGCAAGTCAGGTCTGTATCCACGCTTAGCGGTGCTAGAGGCGATACCGAGTGCACGACGAGTGCCAGATCGAGAACGGACGGAGAAGGTCGAACGGACAGGAGCAACAGCGCGAGGCGAGACCTTAGTCTTGTGAGTGGTAATCGTTATTTTGCCGTTAACATCCGAAACATCAATAGTCTGGAAGAAAAACGTGAAAGTGGATTCATTAATAAGAACAGCTTCAGCAATACTTAGGAAGCCGTACCTTGGCATTGGCAAGTCCAGAGTATTTGTGCGAATGAATGTTGAGAAGGTTCCCCTATTGAGGCGAACTCTGCAGTTAGTTGAGATGACCATACAGTCAGTATAAGGCGCGCATTAGACTCACAGGCTCTTTGGAGAATATTGGGCCCTCAGGAAGGCCTTTGACCATATAAGAGTTGGATTTCTGTTCACAAGTTTCAGCCGCTGAGTAGAATCGTTGAAAACAAGCATTACACGGAGCAGGAGCCACTGGAGATCGGAGGACATGTTTGGATGTGGACGGATTCGAAACACCGGATGAAGGGAAAAAGCAAGGGCGGATTACTTACATAAACTGTACAGTAGCCCTAGTTAACCCTAACCAGTGATTTTGACATTCTGTGACCTGACCGGACTCAGACCAAAGCGGAATTCGCCAATGATTCTGGCTCATTGAAACAGTTTCTTTGCTGGTTGGTACGGGAGACCTTGATTCAGAATACTTTTCGAGACGACCCGTTGCTCACAGGTGTGCCTACCGAATTTGCTTGATCAAAGCAAATTTTAGTCATTGAGCTACTACATCTTGGCCGCAGTGCTACTTACAGTAACGCCTATATATAACTTCTGAATCATGCTCACTGCTGTTCGTTGAGATTGCAATACTTACTGATAACCCGTTCGAGCACTGTTCCGGAATTGCTATGACTTATGCCTTAGGACAAACGAATTGCGCAAAAGCCGTCGACAGCCTTGCTTCCCTCATCAATTGTCAGTCAAACCTCAAGAACTAGAGGCTTCTAACAGCTCACATTCTATTCACATTTTCATTGGTGGATGTTTCTACTTCCAAGTTCCAAACTTCCGCTTTTCTAGTCCGACTTTGAATATTGAATCTTCAAAGCTAAGTATCTCTAAGTATCTTTCGACTTCTTGGTCTCCTTTTCCAAATCGTCCTCAGCTGGTCGTTTGGCGCGACCGCGATGAGTAACTGCCCCTGCCCAACCCTCTGTCGCACAATGAACAAAGGCCTGCTGCCAATCTGAGTAGAGGGAAGGATGAAAAGCATTCTTGAAATCGATTGGTAGAGACTGCTGCAGCGCACGATACTTTTCCTTCATGACTCCAGCGAACTTTAAAGCACATTGATTGGAATATAAAATCTCTGGCATGCTTTCTGAAACGAGATCAACCATTGTCAGCCATTGTCTCCTTGCCGTCTAGAATCTCTTTGTGCTTTTCGAAAATGAAAATATGAGAGAACACCTCATCCCGCGCTTTCTGTTGTTCTTCGTTTGGAGAAGGCCCTGAAATCGGCCATTTTGTCATGAGAAGGTAGATGAAAACCCACAACACTGATTCAAGATCATGTACATATGTGGTGATACCGAAATGGGAAGGATGGCACGGACTTGTACTTCGACACATATTTTTAGGTCTGAACAGGGATTTGCCTTCTACCACTTCGACGGGCATGAAGAACTAATTAGTCAGATCACAAGAGTTATGTATTAGACCCACCGTTTTGACATCGGACGTCCCAGAGCGAGGTTGGACTTCTGGTTGAATACGCTTGGAATATTCCAAGTCAATAAGCTTGGCGTTCCCATCTTTTACCAACACATTCGCAGCGCTGATGTCGCGGTGGACAAAGCCAGCAGAATGCATATACGAAAGAGCTAGAACTATAATCAAAATATTATTCCAGAAGAGGCTTACCGATAATTCTCAAATGCCTTCAAAACAATAACCCAGTTCGTTATCTGATGCAGCGGTTCTCCCGCATATTCCGATAGTTGTCGACAATGGACTTTGGGTGCATAGGTCCTACGATAGAGTTTCGCAAGATGGACAGCCGTAGCTACGGAGGACACTTTCCTGTTGTTGGCGTTCCGGTCCAGATTCCATCATGATCGAGGCTGGAATGCTCACACTCATTACTCGTCGGCAAGTGGAGGATTGTGTTGCAATGGTGAAATGCTTGACGTCGGAAGGAGTCAGGAGTCTGTCCCTTCTCAGTCGTAGAACGTACCTGAACTTTCTCGCAGGCTTCAATCTTGACAAAGTATCTATTGAAAGTACTCCGGTCTACATAGATTTGGGACGACGTTAACCTTCTGAACATGAGCTTAGAAGGCCGAACGGGTTTCTAGTTCCGTGGGAGAATCTTCAGGTAACCAATAGTCATTGATCACCTTGACCTCGCTATCAAGGTCTCCTTCGTCATGAAGAACTTGCTGAACTTTGAATACACGAGTTGCGCTCCCGAGCAGAAACTTCGCCTTTCGAACGGGGACAAAGCAAAATAGATTAGGTGTTTGGCGTCCTGTCGAAGTAAACATTAAAAACGGGAAGTACAGGGAAATTGAAAATACTTACCGTGTGCAGATTCATCGCCTCTGTAACGAATACATGCGACCGGGAGAAGAACCATAGTCGGATATTAAATTTATCAATCGTTAGGCCAAACATGAATCGGCGTGTGGGATCAGCACCCATAATATGTGTCGCATTAGACAAGACTTTCTTGTTATTCTACGCACATTAGCATATTAGAAGCCCGTATGAAATTCTTACTCATATCGTCGACGGTGTTCGGTGTGGACTTCTTCTTCAGCTTCCCCGTCATTAAGACATCGCACTCGTATTCTGCTCCTTCAGCAATAGGAGGAACTGCTGTGGTTTTGGTGAGAAGGCCGTTGATGTGCGCTTTATAGTGTGAGTGATCGCCTTCGGAAAGCAGATTTGTGTCTGAATTTTTCAAAAATTTGACGGCAGAATCAGCCCCCATGATACTGTTTAGGCCCTCGAAAGAGGGGCATAGAAAAGCGACTCCTTTTGTACCTCAATTTCCTCCACCTCTATCTCCATCGTTACCTTCAGCTCCTCCTCTTCCTCCTCCTCCGCCTCTTGCTGCTGCTCCTGCTCATCTGCACCGAAATTTATCCCCTTCCAGCCTTCATCGATCAAGATGCCCCATTCTCGAAGTTTTTGGTGTGCTTTTTCAACGGAAGACTCCCCCACGTTCGGGAGAACTGCTTGCTTGAAGAGATCAAAGGTTATTTCCGGAATGCTGATAGGAAAGTTCGTTACCACCTCGCTCCTCAAATAATCTATAAAGTCTGGCATAGCAGGAAGTTAACCGCCGGCGTCGTCCCTAAGTCACGCTCGTACTAAGCGCCCAAAATTTCGATTTTTCTGACGAATTTATGCTATAGTAAACCCCTGCGGGGCCCTTGCTACCTTGCTGAGTAAACTTTTTAGTGTTCGTGCTGATACTTCTGTTCCGGTAGGCTTAATGCCAGCTGTAACCTGTACCCCCATGTAACGGATGTCCAACAATGAACAATTTCCCAACCACCCTCCCTAGAAACTGTTCTGAATCTTCAAGTCAAGCATGGGAATCCTCTGACGAGAAGAAGAAATTGATACCGAATACTACGATTGATATAAAAACTCGGGTCACGAAAACGCCAGTACGACCACCAGGGGTATCCGTGCACGGAATTACAATTGAAAGTGGATGGAGGAAACTGGAACGCGCAGAGAAACATGAATGATCCAATTTGAGGTGTTAGGCAGCGATAAAAGGTCCATACTTTAGCTCAGCCAATTGTACTGGTCACACCTGGCACAAAGTGTTCGGCTGAACAGTGGAAGAGTCTAGTGCGCCTGATTCATACGACAGCGCAAGAGTACTACGATAACATCATTTAAGGAAAGAAGCGCACATCGTGGGAGCCAAATTGCACGCGCGCCTAAGATTACATAATTTTAGGAAGGTGATCGGCTTTTGTCACCGACGGTCATCGTCTCGGTGGGCTTCCAGTTCCACTACCAATCCACTCATTTACCGGTCTCTTTCGCAGAGATTACACAGTAACTTCCTTTCATTGTACCAACATGCACACTGTCGTTTCTCTTCCTCAGTCTACCCGGGCTCCCCGCAAGAGTTCGTCCTATGCAACTCTCCGCCGTGACAAGCAACAAACAAATACTGATCCTCCCTCTTCCTATTACACCTTGCGTCCTACCTACCTTGACTCATATCCGACCAGTCAGCGCAGCACCAACTCCAAGTCCACAGTCACAACATCCAAATCCTCCAGCACCTCTTTCGATTTTCATTCATTTCCAAGTACTGAAGACTTCGACGGTCCATCAGCGGTTCCAAATCCTATTCCTCGGGAGAGGTCTAGAACTGGTCCTTCATCCCAAAATCCCAATTGGATTGACCGGTCAATAAGCCCGCGCATTTCTGTAACCTCGACTTTGACAGAGGGAACATCTCCTGACACTCCGGTCGATAATGCTTCCTTTAGAGATTTTGACGTGTTAGTAGCTGCACCAGTATCAGGCGTAGAAATGATGGATGCACTTGTAGATGGTATGAATGGAGGGGAGGAAATTGGTCTGTCAAGTCGCAGTCGCTTTGGCATCCCCAATCATCACCCTCTATATCAACCTCCGTTGCCAACTCCTCCGCCAGGCGTAGTTCTCGGCGGCGGCAAGTCTAGGCGCCAAAAGAAGCCGCCAAGGCTTGTCCATCGGTCAAGTTTTTCTGATCAGGACGATGACCAGGATAATGGTCCTCCTACCGCAACGCCCAAACGCAGACGGCCGTTTTCACCAGGCCGTTCGACTTCTAATGCCACCATTACCCTTGCATCACCTTCGAGCCGTAGTCCTCAGTCGTCTGCCCCTCCTACGCCCATTGATACCGAATCATCACTTTACTCTGCTCGTCCTCGAACAGCTCCTTCCACTCCATCATCAGCAGACAAGCGGAAGAGTCTTGCCCCATCGATATCAGACATCATTCGTGCCCATGCTCCCCAGGAAGCCCAAGCCCGCGCTCGAGCTTCGCCTTTAAGTCGTGCTCCCTCGTATTCGCGCAGTGTCGGCCATACAACTGTACGTGAAGAATCCGAGCCGGAACCCGAGCCCATAACGGCAGAGGAAGAAGCCGATTTATTATCTCGTTCTTCGATTGATAGCATCGCAGACGAAGTTCGACGAACTCTTCGTCATCAAGTTAGTATGAAACACGTAGCTCATCCGCCACCTCCGCCCCATCGGCATTCTTTTATCTCTGACTCTGCAAGCATCATTTCCCCTCGGTCGGACGGTTGTGGAACAGCGTCCTTGTACTCTTCATCTATAGCTTCTTCTCAACCTCCACTGTCACCCTTCGATACTGGTTTCATGTCGAAGCCCACGACACCCTCTCAAGCGGTCGCTCAGTATCTGCGTTCAACGCGGCTCACGACACTGCTGAAGTTGACTCGATCCCCTCATGCCTCTCATGACAATCCACTTACCGTCAGTCTATCCGACCTGGGCTCCCAAAATGGTTTTCCGGTATTAGTATTCTTGGGGCTGGGTTGTGTGCGACATGTAATGGGGTTGTATGATGAGATGGCGCAGTGCTTGGGATTGAGGCTCATTACCATTGACAGGTCCGTTGCAGGGGAATTTTCTATGTAGAACGTCCACTGACTAACTCAATTGAAGGTGGGGACTTGGCCGAACAGAACCACGAGCGAAGTCTGCTAAAGGAATCATTCAATGGGCTTCGGTTGTAGAGGAAGTTTTGGACCGGTTACACATTGACGAATGTAGTGTCATGGCTCATTCCGCCGGCGCACCTTATGCGCTTTCCTTTGCCAATAAGCTCCCACACCGTATACGAGGAGAAATATGCCTGCTGGCCCCGTGGGTCGGCGAAAGTGGTTAGTGATTATCGGTTTCTTGTCTTTTTCTGATATACTTACTCAATTCATTCTGTCCCTGTAGCTGGATACAAGTGGCTGAAATATGTTCCTAATGGAATACTCAAGACTGCCCAGGCTGCGGAATGGAAACTGCAAACATGGATGATTGGGAAGCCTCCGACGTTGGCATGGGAAGGAATCGGTTACACCCAGCAAGCAGGAAAGTCATCGTCGACATCGTCGCCTGGATCTTCGTCTGTTTATTCTGAGTCTTATCCACGACCGAGTCTGGCCTCGAGTTCGTTCAGCGCGTACGACGATCTCCGAGATTTCGACGGTCGATTCGAGAGTATGAGCACTTTGGGAACCGCACACCCCAATATCACTCAGTGTGGTAACAATCGGAACGAGAGCAAGATGCAGGTCACACGAAAATCTTCCCGAGGTATTCTTGGCCGATTGAAATCGACGACACCTCAATCACCCAACGTCAATGATCAATCGCCACCGTCAACTGGAAAGCGATTGAAGGCGTTGCGTTCGATGGGATCCCTCAAGTCTAAAGCATCTCACTCTTCTTCGAAGAAACAACAATCCTTGCCCAGCCCTCAGTTACCCCTATCGCTCAAAGTTGATGTAAGTTTGGGACTTGATGACACGACTTGGCCAAAATCCTTCAACTCCGACTCTTCTTCAATGTCAACACCCGAAAAATTCCCTAGATCCGGTGGCCGGCGATCGTTGTCATTCTCATCCTCATCCAGACCTTTTAACACTCAATCACTTCCTCCTTCGCCTAATCCCCCATCGTCTCACGACCTCCCTTCTTCCTCTTCGGCCTCTGAATTACCCTCGTCACCTAACAACGCATTTCAAGCCGCGGTAGGCAACGCATTGATTGCTGCATCACATTCGGAATCAGCGAAAGGAACACATAATGATTTGTTGCAGATCTTGAATCATGACCACCATCCGTGGGGATTCTCATATGAGGCCTACCCGCATAAGGTGCAGGTGTGGTATGGGGATCGAGATGAGAAGATTGCGGAGAATGCGGTGAGGTGGATGGAGAAGACTATGGGTGAGGGGATGTGCTCGGTGAGGGTGGTGAAAGGCGCAGATCATGGGCTAATGTATAAAAGCGGTGTGGTAGTGGATGTGTTGGAATACTTGCTTAGCTTTTGGCATTGAGGCAGCGTATAGTGATCATCTTGTTCGTTCTTGTCGGTTCCCATGATTTGACTGATATCTCAAAGATTCATGATGGTATCCTAAAATCCTTTCTCTGGCCATTCATTCTAGTATTCGCTTTTTCTGTGGTTCTCTGATACCATAACAACTTGTTTCGATGCATCTGATCTTGTTCTTTCTGTATACTTTTCCTTGGAAACATCTTGTGTATTTTTGACTTATTCTACGTTGTTGCATTGACGCTTTTTGCCTGACATCTTCTTCAAGCACCTTACATATTACATTTCGCAGTATTAATCTACAGGAAGAATATATACTCTTAAGTTCATCACCTTGTGTTTCACCGAAAGCTCTGTACATTATCCGGAAATTAGATACGATACTTTACATGTAGATAACACATCTATAATTTCAACAGTTTAGCGAATTGACTGGCTAGCAGCAATTACATAGAATATAGATAATACAATAGATAGTCCATAAAAATACTCGTACACCAGTTCTTCAACCAGTTTCTAGCCTTCGGACAGGAAAAATGGGACCATCTTGTGATACAGGAAAGTCGTATGGATACGGTTCTGGCAGACGTACTGGAGGTCTCTGTCGTCCTGCCATCGCAAGAAACCCACCAGAAGAAGAACTAGAAGGTACAACAGGGGCTAATTGCGTTGTTGGAGGATCCTCGATTTCGACAAAGTCCACAAATGTCGCTTTCCGACGTTGTTTTCGAAAATAAAAGAATAGACCAATGACGAGAGAGAGTACAGCAATCACCGTGGGTACTACGATGACTGCGATTAGGGAACTGCTCGTTTGTGTGTTTGTAAATACGGAAGCTGATGAAGAAGCTGCTGCTGCGACCGAGGCCGTGCTTGAGGTATGATCAGTAGAAATGGCTACTGAGGCTATCATGTCTGTTAGGCACAGCCCGAGTTTTGTAACATAGCCTAACTCACTTGATATGGCGGTTTCCGAAGTGCTGGAACTAGATGTAGGTAAAGCACTGCTGATACGGGTTGAGGTACTAGAAGATGAGGTGCTGGAAGATGAGGTCGAAGAGGGTGGGACCAAAGTATTTGTAGGTGAAGCTGGCCAGCACATCAGTATCGTATGGTACATTACAACCTTGGGCATACCTTCTTGTACAACGATGGAAATGAACGTTAGCTCACTCTTTTTCCCAAAACTGCTGTCTCCAACATTTGTCACTTGTAATATATGCGCCTGGTCAGGATTCACGTCCAAAGAGAATATCAAGGCCTAGGGAAAAAATCAGAGATACGACCAATCACGGTTGACGGATGTGACCCACGGGCTCAGCATCAGCATTATTTGCCAGCGTACTATCATGCCCCGAGAAGAGCTGCAGATTCGTGACACTACCGCTGGCACAGTCCACGCATACACCATACAATGAGCCTCCCGTCCTTTTCAAGCCGACAAAGTTTACCATCGTAGTGGACTCTGTGACGAGCATTCAATTGCAATGACTATTTAATTTATGGACCAGACTCACCTGGAATCGTGACAGTCAGAGCATGCCCAAGGGTGTCTGTGAGAAGAAAGTTGTCCGTAGTTCTTGACAAGGAGCGTTGCCAGCCAGAAGAAAAGATGAGAGCCGAATCCGGAAGAGTACCAGAGACATTTGCGGCGGCAGATAAGATTTGAAGATATAATAGTAAAAGAACAAGCAACATCCCAGAGAAAGAGAAAGAAATAATGAAAGTTAAATGGCGCAAGGTCTATAAATGCTCTGCATTCCTCCCTTGGCCAAGGAGATGGAAGTAGAGGAACAAAATTGACTGTGTAACTTTTTGCGATCCGAAGATTGTACATAAACTTCTTGATGATATCATTTTGAACATTAAATTGATCGGCGCAATAAAAGCCACGTGCGATGGCACTGCTGGTTGAGCACTTTGACTTTTAAGTGCAGTTGTTGCGCCGTTGCGGGAATGTTGCTGTCGTCAGTTCATTATGTCGTCCAGGAGGCAAAGTCCAAAAATTCTCAAAAAGTCAGACAATGCCCCCCTCACGCGTGCTGACCTTCAATATGATCTTTTGGCCTCTCTTTTTTCTGATACCAATGAGGTCTTTACAGACCCTTTTCCGTCTCAACTCGATAACCGGGCTGCGCGTTCTCGTGTCACTTTCCGGTCGGTTATTCTAAGCTTTTTCTTCAGGCTTTAGGCTGATGATACGGAATAGGAATTTGTATGTGAACGCTATTATGAATTCTCCCAAGGCTTCCAAGCTTCTCAAGGACAAGATGTCTGACACTCCTGAATTCGCTACTCATTTCGCAATGCTTTCGTTGCTCACTAACGTCGGAAGGATCAACACAACTATGAGCTGTGCGTATTCAAGCTCTTCTGTTTGTCACCCTTTAATCTGACGAGCGAGCAGTCTTTCCCGAAATGAAAACCACCATACGAACATATCATCCCGTACCTGCTCTTCAAAGGACCTCTGGAAGTCTTCAGGACGCTCCCCGACTGAAAAGTATCCTCAAAGCACTAGTATATGACTGTGATAGTCCCAAGCTTGCTACCACCTTACGCGACTGCCGTTCCCGCATCGTAAGAATGTGTTTCGTCGTTTCGCCCAAGTCTTTTCCAAACCTATTCATTAGGATACGGGTATCTCACCGCCAACACATATAGCAAACCTTATATTTATACTGGCCAATGAGACCATTGTAAGCCCCATGTCTCCGAATTCTTATCATTTATCTTACCGGCACTAGTCAGTTAGCAAGTTGCATTTTTCCGGTGAAGTTGACTTTCTCGATCTCTTCACATCTATACGATTCTCTAGTCATTCACGAGCCCGCGCTTTCCTTTGGCTGGTTTACAACTACTATGAAGCGACCGCCCAATCGTCGAAACCGCTTGAATCCGACACTGTCCGTACTGACAACAACCCGTTTTCGGACCCTTCAAGACCTGGAGAGCGGCCGTTGCTTGAAGAGCTTACGGAAGCTGAATCTGCCTTGGAGAACGTGGATCCTGATGACGAGAACGAAATTTCGGATAAGCTGATCTCGCAACGGATGCAATTCCTTGCTGCACAAAGTCCTAAAGAATCTTCCAAAGTGGGCAAGAATAGCGTCAAGGATGACGAGAGCGTTATGAGTATCGAGTCTACAGTGAAATCGAAGGGGAAGCGCCGTGGTGCTTTAGGTACTGGGAAGGCGAAGAACGGAAAGTCAGCTGCGGATGCGACCGAAGGCTTTGTCGACCGTCAGTATCAACCATTCTTTTGAACCTTGCTTATACTCATTCCCGTACTTACGCCAGACTCAACTCCTATCCGGTTCTCCGACGTTCAATACCGCTCTTCACTTTACCGGTCGTCTCCGTTGCAGATGAGACAAGCCAGACTCATTTCTGCGCCTATGCATCGCTATTCGCCGTATGCCCGTTCACATGAACGCCATTGGACTAATGTGGCACTGACGCGATCCCCTCCGCGTACACTCCTAGAACGTAAGTCATTATCTTATTCCACTCTCACTCCAAATGTTTACAATACTTTCGATAATTATGTAGATGCTTGGCATGTTGTGGCGCGCACAGACCCATTAGCAGACTCTGACGAAGAAATGGAGGACGAACATTGCCGGAACGATTATGGTTTGTACCGCCTCTATAATACATTCTTTCCTTCATCCTTTCTTCCCCGTAAAGTTCGGTCGTTGATTTGCCCATTTGTTTCATACAGTGCAACGATTGAATATCGTTTGTCGGCTTAGAGGGAAGAATCCGACTCCAGAACCAGAATGAACGCTTCCGAACAGTTTCATTTTTCTTCATCTTACATACATCCTACTATCATTCTTGTTTATATACTGATTTATTCATATTAACATCAAGTAACAGTAAAATATTTGCACTACAGAATGTAAAATATAGCGTACATAATAAACACAAACTACTGGATATTATGGGAACTTGCAGAGACTTCACTATGGCTAACTTGGACGCATACATTTGCCTTTCGTGAACTTTGGTCTAAAGAAGCAAACGACATATGTATTCTAGTGGTATTTGGGACGGGCTCTATTCTGGTTCAGTTTCAATGGTCCAAGCACGAAATACGATCTTGATAAAAACAACAGCTCAATCTGTCTATTCAAGCAGCGGAAATTGATTGGCACACCGCGTATGGTGGGTTCATATAAACCTGAATTACATGCAAAGATTGAAAACAGGAAGAAAGATGGGAGCGAACGGTATTTACAGTAAGTAAACGATCCTCGAAAAGAAATTATAAACGTCGCAAAAAATGAGTCGGACAAAGGATGCAAGAAGCATGAAGGTGCTAGGATCAGTATCGCAAAAAAGGAAGAATTCGAACGAAACGGAGGGTTCAAGGTTGAACAAAGAACGGTAAGTAAGTACGGTGTAAACGGCTATGGCTTTCTCGACTCTAATCCAGATGTGATATGTACTGATAAAATACAAGGGAACGATAATCCTGACAAGACAAACTAGTATTACCCTGCAACGGGGATTTCCAGAATTACAAAGATGAGAGAAGGATATAGTACCTGGCCTGCGGTGCCCCAGCACTCGAGCAATTGCAGGGAGCGCAAATTTACTCGGCAAGCCATTTTTCGCACTTCTTCGCATACTTGTCAAGTAGCATTGACAGATCGCGGATAACGAAGGTGAGAACCACGCTAGCAAAAAACTCTGACGAGCGTTTCAGTTTGATGTCGGCTGCTGAGCGGATTTCTGAAGGGAGAGCGCCATAGGCAGGGGCCACTGGTGTGGAAGTGATAGCTTGCGTGTGTTCATCCAGGAGCTGTGCATGCAAGAACAGTCTCTTAAGACCCTGAACATAGGCTGCAGGTGAATCAAGGCTAGAGAAAAAAAGTTCATCATCAGACCATCATCACGTTTAGGAAAGCGTTGAGATTTACTTTTTCCCGTTGGTGAGCTTATCAAACCTTCGACCAAGCTTGTCTCCCCACGTCGTCTTCTTGATGACGAACCCTTCCCCAACCCCCAACTTTTTCCCAAAGTTCGCCACAACGCCATCACACACAGTCGAAAAGTCCTCCAACTTTGCAATCCACGCCTCCCCCTCTTTTCGTCCAACGCTACCAATGCCAAGTGCCATTCCGCTGCTGACATTACCGGCACCAAAACATTCTGAGCTGAAGCCTTGGAGATCTTCCAAAGCCGTACACAAGATATCTACGACGCGGACTTTTTCCATTAGGTTCCCTAGCTTTGCACCACCCTGGGACCAGACTTCTTGGGGCACATGTAGCCGTCGTGTGATATATCCACCAGTGCCAGAGATCATCGTCGTTCGAAGGAGATTCATTAGGTGGTATGGTTTTCTCAAAGGGTCAGTAGGCGGGACTGGAGGCAGTGGAGAGGTGGGCGTCAACGGTACACCAGCCATCGCGGACAGAGGCGCAGCTAGCGAGTTCGTCGTCAGATCCGTTTTCACAGTGAGAGATTGTGCATTGAGCGGAGACCTAGAAAATCGTTGTGGATGAACAGCAGGAACTCCAAATACGCCATTCGCAGTACTCGGTAGCGGTGGCCTCTCGTCTGAAGGTGAGATCCGTCCGTTTCCAATCGAAGGGCGACGACCAGGTGGTTGAGATGAAGACCTGCTTCGAGTGGTGACCAGGGAAGAGGTCGAGCTAGCGCCAGGGAATGAAGATACAACTGATTTAGGTAACGGGATGGATCCTGCAGAGGTGGTAGACTCTGCTGGTGAAGAGGAACGAGGGGTAGACGGCCCAGAGGTTTTGGGTCTTCGTTGATAAATTGTACCCTGACTGGGTGTAGGATTGATGATTCCTGATGCATCTGAGCGCGTCGAGATAGTTGATGATCCTCTCGGCCGTGATGCATTGGCCGGACGAGGAGATGGTGGAAGTTTTGAAGGAAGAATTAGAGGGCGTGCAGTCCCGGAAGTATCTGAGGGCAACGGAGGAGAAGGCAAGGGAAGAGCTGGGAGTGGCGGAGAATCGTATGCATGGCCAGAGGAAGACTGGAATTTCGAGTCTCTGATTGTTGATTGGCGACTACTGATGTATTTTTCTTCTTCTTCCTCTAGAGAAGCCAATTTGCTTCCAGAGCTTGTTCTTCGATGCCCGACAACAGATTCTCCTCGCGGACGTGGCGCTACCAAAGTAGACTGTGATGTCTCGTGCTGAGAGGAACTGGGTGCAGAGGGTGGCGATTTAGAGGGAGGGGGCGGAGCAGCAGAGAGTGTAGACTGCGTCCTTGTTGTTGTTGACCGTCTGATGGAACTGCGAGCAGTAGGATTTGAATGTAAAGGTGCTGGAGGAACCGCGGTAGGAGGTGGGCTATCTTCGTATATGGCTGGAGCAGAAGCATACGGGTGGGCTCCAGAGGATGGAAGACCCGATATCTCAGATCGGGTCGGACTAGCGAGGTCTCTCATAAACATTGCTGCACCGATAGCAGTCATACCCTCATCAGCTTGGTGGACACCCTGGTAGTCGTCCTCGGTATTATCACTATGGGAAATTCTGACAGGTATCTGGTCAGGATTGTCATCCGAAACCGGTGAAGAAGAGTTTGTCGGTGAAGTCGGAGCGGTAGAGCCAAGGGAGGTAGATGGAGTTGCAGTAGTTGGTGAATAGATGTTGGTCGAATGGTATGGCACTGGCTGTATACTGTAGATGATGCTCAAAATGTTCATTCGATCCGCGTAAGTATCATGCTAAAGAATACCATTATGAGGGAAATTAATGTACATCAGACTGAAAACTTACGATAGATTGCAGCCTCCTGATTTCGTCTTCTTGAGCAAATACACTCCTTCGACGACCGTTCCTTCGCCGTGTGGATTCTGTGCTTTCCTCGCCGTTCCTTACTCTTTCCATCACCTCACTGAGCAAGGCTACACTCCTGCCATACGCTGCTACTGCCAACTCTGGATTGTCATTCATTGAGTCTAGCTGGACGGCTTCTCTTGCTAGTTCTAATGCTCGAGTAAGAGCTCGCCTCGGGGAAGGTATTCGAGTTTCTGTTCTTACGTCTGGAGGCATGAGATGGCCACCATTAGCTAGATGCTCTGGAACAGGAGCTGGAGGCGGTTCATGGAAACGCGATGATGGATTCGGAAGAATTGACTGTGGAGGAGGGTCGGACAGATCGTCAATTGAAGAAGACACGGGAAAGTTGGCTGGGGACTGGACAGTCAATCTTGGTTGAACCACATTTCCAACAAACAACGAAGATCTATTTAGTCGTGAAAAGCCGTTTGTTGAAGACACTTCTTCAAGTGACTCTGCAGGATCCTGTGGGATATTCGGTATACTGGGGATAGGAAGATTCGGGGGAGGGGCAGCAGGCCGAGTATGAGCAGCTGAAGAACGGCGGCGCTGTGAAAAAGTTGAAGAAGTCTGAGGAGGAGAGGGATATGCAGAGATAGCGAGGCCGCCGAGTTCGCGACTGTCACCAGTGGCCCAGCTCATGGCTGAAAGTGGCGCTCCGAAATGGTAAGGAACGACAGGATCGTTGAGAATAACGAGCTGAAGAGTAACTTCAATGTTCTACGTTTTGGTAACCGTCGGGGTTAAGTCCAGATCATTTTGATCCCGGTCTACATTTCCCATCTGAAGCGCTGATTCCGAATAATATTCTAGTCGTTTCTATACTTCAGTCAAAGTTCTTAAATTTGTACTTTCCGACATACGGGCTCGCTTCAGTATTGGCAGTCAGCAAAAAGCCACAAGACTGCGCGGTAGTATTTATTAAAACCAACAAAAGAACAATGCCGAAACAGTGAAACAACATGGAATATTGGAATAGAAGTAGAATAAAACTGATTGTATTATCCGTAGGAGTCAAAAGAGAAAGAACGGGTGGTTTTGAACAAGGGAGGAGGATTCAGGAAAGAGCGTCTCTTGTTGATGGTTCGATGAGGGTATATACCAACAACCATTTCACATACTGAATATATTTGCAGGTCCTCGGTTATTGCGGATATGAACAAGGCCAATCATTCCCGGAATTCTGACTGGGAACCCTGCGCGGCAAGTCGACTTTCCAAATTGCTGTTTTTGAATAGAATCAAATCAAGACTATGAATAACACGCTCCACAGTGAATAGACGTACCGCAGGGACTCTTCTTTGGCTAGCAATTCCTGCCTCTTTTCGTTGATTTCTCTTTGGACCTTCAGTTCGATTTCTCGGAGCTGTCAAGGACATCAGTATTTGTCAACATTGAACTGCGTTAACAATAAACCTTTTCTTCCTCACGACGCAGTTGCTCCTCCTTGAGGCGAACACTCTGTGATGCCAGTTCTTCCGGCAGAATGGAAGAATCACTGTAACAAGACACATTTAGCTTGGACTTTCAACCATCAGCAAAAAGAACATACTTGTTGTCTGCGTGTACGGTTCTCGATAGCTTCTCTGTACGGTATGTTTCGTACAATACATCATGGGTTAGGGATTTTAGGTCACCCAAATGAGAGCTAGTACTCGAAAGAGTCAATATTCGATTAGTAAAGATATTCATCCACGACTCACTTCAAGAGAGCGCTCCTGAGGCGGCTGAAATCACTGTGCTTGGGATTGTCCACCTCGGCAATACCCCATGGGTAGATTCGTGCACGGACAGGCTGGCCGTCAATCTCAATCTCCTCCTCAGACCCGATGATGGCGAATGGAAGGAGCGCCTGTGGCTAGCCATTAGACAAGCTCGGCCACGAGTGCAATCAAACTTACACGGAGCTCGCTGTTATCTTGAATAGTCTCTTCGTCATCTTCCTCCACATCGTAAGGAAAGTTATACACAGGAATGTCATAGTGCTCAATGTCCTCCATGATCTGTAGTTGAGGCTGAGCTTCAGTAAAACAAAAATAAATGATAATACATACCCTCTTTTTGAATCCTCGTAACTCACTAGGCGTCAAACTATCTGCCTTCCCAACGACAGGAATGACATTGGCACGGGGAGAGAGGCGGCGCATCAGTTCAATGTCCATTTCTCGAAGGCTAATACGATCACTGAATATGACTTGGGGGAAGATGCGAAAACAACGTACGAATGACCAGTGGGAGGGATGAAGTATAACAATGCATGTACTCGATTATCTCTAAAACGAGGGTTACGCTTGATACGAGACTCTTCAGCCAAGATGTCGTCGTATTGACGCTCTAGATATCCGACAATCTCCTGGAAACTGTACAGGCATCTGAGTCAAAAAAAGTTCTACCCAATATGATCCAGGACGTACGCGAATTCATTGTCAATATTGTCACCAAACCCAGGAGTGTCCACGATTGTCAAGGCAATGCGTACACCATCTTCCTCGAGCTCTAAGTAGAATGCCAATTCTTAAGTACAGTCCTAACCGAACTTCACGGTAAGCAACTCACCAACGTTGAAAGGCTTGATTCTGATGCCTTCCTCGACGTGGGCAGTATCAGGAGAATCAGATATTTTGTGCGCAAGAACCTCCGACTCGCACAATGTGTTGACAAATGTAGTCCGTCCGGTGCCAGAAGCACCTATTCGAGAAATTTCATCAGTATAAGAACGGAGAAGAATGCTACGTCTATGGAAGCAAAAACGTACCGACAACCATTACGGTGAACTGAACACCTTTCTTGACTTTGTTTCCTCTCCTTCGACCGGCAAACGACATCTCTTGCTTTGAAAGAAGGACAAGAAGAAAATGGGGACAGACAGGCTGGCGGACAAGACCTTGACAAGACCTGACTTCAAAAATTAAACCATGGCACGACCAATTTCTAAATACGTGCGTTCCCACACAGCCACTATGAGCGCTTCTTTTTTTTGGAATTGTTCTCTTGAATCTCTTCGGATTCCACCTCGAATGGTGGGACTGCCTTCAGCATTTCTCTGTGCAAAGCGTGCATCTAATGGCCCCATCACTCGTTATTGTACTAGCTTCACCTTGTTCCACAGCTCTTCTCGTCAGACAGGTAAAAATAAATTGATAGACTTCGAACGCAACGAAATCGAACAAGGAGATAATGAAAGCGCGTCTGTCGCCAAGCAAGTTGCCTCGCAGACTGATCACGCAATCAAAGTCACAAAAACAAAGAAGAAATTCTCTGAACTACCTCAATTTCGCGTCCTACCCGACGGAAGTGTCGCAAAACCACTGGGACAGTGGCAAAGTGGTGATGATACGCCCGGTGAGTTTTCTTAGTATCTGTGTGGCCCATCTCACTTAGAACTACAGTGGAAAGTTTGAAACCTGACTATGCCAACGCCAGAGATCTTCTGCAGCAAGTCCAGATAGGGCAATCTTCGATACAGACGGGAATAGAGGAGAACAATGTGGATGCTGAAGGCCCTTATAGTCAAGGAAAGAGAACTTCTCGTGATCGAGTAGAGGAGATCGCAGATGCAGGTGAGAGACAACTGATGTTTGTTGTGCAATTTCATAGTTCTAGACCAGATGAAGTAGTTCCTAAGAAAAGCATCCGCAAAAAAATACAAGAAATTGCTGAAGAGGAAAGGACAACTAAGAATAGGAAGCGCACACGCAAGAAGAAAGATATTGAAAATGCTGAAAATGAGTCTGTCGTTCAAACAAAGCCCAAACGTGCCGTGAAAGCCAGAAAGGATCCACTACTTGACGAAGGTCAATGATCCATGATCCTTATCTCAACTTTGGATTCACCATGTCAATGTGTAGGATCAGACAACCTACCGAAGAGTATGCTTGCACAAGAAATTCGAAATAATCTTTCCAAATTTCCCCACTGTCTTCTTCTCACTCGAGTTGGCAACTTTTACGAGGTATTATATCAATCGTCAATATAAAGATATTAAAGATTGATATGTTCTACCCCTCAGTCATACTTCGAGCAAGCCATTGAAATTTCCAGAATACTCAACATCAAACTGACTTCTCGGCGATGGGGAGGAGGTCGCGTTCCAATGTGTGGCTTTCCACTCCTGCATATGGACAAACACCTCAAAGTGATGGTACAGCAGCACAAACGCTTCGTCGCCGTGTGCGAAGAATTTCCGAAATATACAGCGTTTGGTGCACGAGAGTTCGAACGACGTGTAGTTCGGGTTATCACACCGGGAACGCTTATTGACGAATCGTTCTTGAATCAATACGAGAACAATTACCTTTTAGCTGTTAGTGTACCGGAAGGCGATAGTGCCAAAAATCCTACGCTTGGTTTAGCATGGATAGACGTTTCCACCGGAGAATTTTACTCCAAGCGCTCGTCGCACGAAAGTGTACGCGACGACATTGCTCGTATAGGCCCTCGAGAGATCCTTCTCGACAAAATCATGGAGACACAAATTTCGCATCCAACTATGAAGGTGGTTACTGAAGAGAGTAGCGTTGTGTCCTTTGTTGCCCCATCACATTCAGTTGATGGGACCGACAACTTATCAGCTCAAAGTCCCTCCTCGACTCAAAAGCAACAATCTAGCTCCCAAGCATATAAGCCAGAGACTGCTAATGTGACAGACGAAATTGTTACAGCCCAGAATGGGTCCCCAGCTACGCCTTTCTTGTACACTCCTGAAGAAACATGTGCTATTGATCTTTTGACAACCTACTTACGTGCTAATCTGCTTGAACATATGCCTATCTTATCGCTACCTAACCGCGAAGACACTGAGGCAAGGATGCAGATCGACTCCCACACCATCAAGGCATTGGAAATACGGGAAAATATACGAGAAGGCGGAGTCCGCGGCAGTCTCATGAGCTCCGTGAAACGTACAATCACCTCCAGCGGTACTCGATTGCTCGCAAGATGGCTTTGTGCGTGTTTTATCTAATATTCCAATAACCCTACTGATCTCAACCCAGGTTCTCCCAGTACCTCGATCCAAGAAATCAATGCTCGACAGTCTCTGGTTGCGTTCTTCCACTCACGCCCTCACTTTCGTGCAGATCTACTTGTGTTCCTGGCCAAAGCCGAAGATGCCAGTCGGATCGTGCAGAAATTTCTCCTCGGGAAAGGAGATCCAAGCGACATGTTGGCTTTGACCGCAACCGTTAACATCTGGAGTGGGATTCAGCAGAGGGTCAATCACGAGCGGGAGATGGAGTATTTGGAACGACGATCTTTCAGTGCTTCAGAGTGGGGCAGCTTGGACTCGTTGATGAATCGGATGGTTAATCTTGAGGATCTCGCACAAAGGATCAGCCTTGCGGTCGAGCGTCCGGTCCCTCCGCAATATGACGAGTCGGCTGAAGACGCTGACCTCGAAAGCGATGAAAATTCAGGCGCGAACACTTTGCGTGCAGAATGGCGATATGGTCGCGTGAAATTTGGCATAAAAATTAAACCAGAGTGTGTAGAACCGCTTTTCATCGTAGCTGTTAACATCTGAAGACTACTGCTTAGATTTTCGACGACACTTCTGGAGCTCAATAATACCCTTAGGGATTCATGGGAACAAAAGGCAAAAATGGAAGAAAGGCTTCAGCTTAAATATGGTAAATTTCAATATCATACCTATCGCACATTTGGCTAATTTTCTACCGAATCAGACGCGCCATCATTGACTCTCCGGTCTTCGCCAGGTCAAGGCATGCATGTTCACTTAGCCAAAGCAAAAAGAGATCAGAAAAAAATAGCTGCTGACCCCGATTTTGTGTCCATAAGTGAAACGGGTACCACCCGATCTTACTTCTTTCAGGTGCGCTATTGGCCTATATAGCTACCACCGTTTGATGACTATTACTTTTCCATTAGGACTGGGCTCAGCTTGGACAGAAGATCTTCACGACATCGAATGCGATTGCTACGTCGGAGAAAGAAGCATTCGAGATATTGCGACAAGAGGTAAGCCTTCGGCCGCCACCTGATCTTGATAGTTGAACTGATGTTCGGTCAAAGGTCAACCTCCGAGCACCAAGTTTAAGGCGCAACGCTCGCGTCGTTGACGAATTAGACGTAACTTTGGCGTTTGCCCAGCTTGCAACGGACATGAACCTCGTCAGACCATCAATACAAGAAGAGTGAGCGCTGTTTTCGTATCCTAGTATTCTTATCTTCATACAGCAATCTCAGCACGACCTACAACGTGATCAACGGCCGACACCCCACAGTTGAATTGGGACTACTCACGTCTGGGCGTGTATTTACTCCGAACACAGTAGCACTGACGCCTTCTTCCCATTTCCATGTCATCACTGGTCCAAATATGGCAGGAAAATCGACCCTTCTGCGTCAAACGGCTTTGGTGGTAATTTTGGCGCAGAGTGGATCCTTTGTTCCGGCTGATGCGGCAGCATTAGGCATCGTGGACAAGCTCCTCTCCCGCGTAGGGGCTAAAGATGATTTATTCCACAACCGTAGTACATTCATGGTGGAGATGTTGGAAACAGCAGAAATACTGCGGCGAGCTACTCCCCGAAGTCTGGTCAGCAATATTCACAACAATCTTGAAGTATTCCTAGTTAATGATTTTCAAGGTGATCATGGATGAAGTTGGAAGAGGAACAACTGTAAAAGATGGTATTGCTTTAGCATTTGCAACCATTCATCATTTAGTTTCTGTCAATCGATGCCGAACGCTGTTTGCGACACACTTCCACGAACTATCAGAAATGCTAGGTTACAAGGATGGTGCGCCTTCTGGACAAGGCATATTTGAGAACGTCGCTTTTTACTGCACCACAGTGGATGAGATGGAGGTAAATTTGTGATTCGATCCAAAGTTGTGCTTATTCATTTATTATAGAGTGGAACATTTTCTTATTCTTATCGTCTACGACCAGGCGTCAACCGTGATAGCCACGGTCTGAAAGTGGCACAATTGGCTGGAATGCCGCCGTTAGCCATTACGGTAGCAAAAAACGTACTAACAGCCCTCAAAAGTGATACAACAGGAGCTTACAATGCTAAAGAGCTCGCATCCATTGGACGAATATTGACTTGTAGTTAATTGATCCCTCGGAAATCTACTAGACTTAATAACATAGTAATCACACATGCGAAGGTGGGCGATCGCGCGGCAGGAATGTGTCCTCAAAACATCTACTGCAGATACAGTAATATTTGGATAGCACTGAAATTTATCTGGACACGTAGCAATGAGTTAATAATAGCGAGAAGTATGGTGCCCTCCAGGCCCCCTGGGCACTCAGAAAAGTATGTTCGGTTTCATGCTTCTTGGTAGATACTTTAGATAGCTGCCTCCCAGGTGCTGCCAATGCCAATGCAATTTGGCAAGATGAGCAAGGAGTGAAGTTCTGAGTCACTCGAGCTTGTAGATATATGCTCATTCGACCCTTTCCCTGCATGAATAGGCTGACGGTAACAGGCAATGCTGTCAATGCTTGTTACCACCACAACATCACTATGTATTTAATGAAATTTTCCCCTTGCCTTCACTGAGAAATGCTAGTAATAATTGACTGACCAGCCAAGGCCCAAGCAAGGTATATTCCACAGTGGAGCCTAGTAATAATCGAGTCTACATAAGTGGCTCATCCCTTATATATGAGCAATACGGAGTTGAAGCACTTGATATGTATGCTCCCTAGAATCCATGATACTGGCATTGTAGCAAACTGTGTTCTCGAAGCGTTCAGGTGTTCCGATGTATTTTCATGGAATTAGAATAAGCAAAATGATATGTAGGATACTTTTTCGATTCAATATTACTTCATCTGCGAACGGATATGGTTCAAAGCTGAACCAGCGTGAAGCCACTTGATCTGATCAATTGACATAGTATGAGTGGTGGGTATCTCAAAAATCTCTCCTTCGCGATTAGTTACCCTCAGTTTGATGATTGCGTCTGGGTGGCCTTGGAGAAGATTAACCAAGCCAACGGTTTCGATCATATCGCCAGAGCCTATACGGGAGTAATCGGTCTTATCCGCGAACCAAAGGGGAAGAACACCTTGTTTCTGGATTCACAGTCAGCCACAAGTCAATTTGCAAAGTGCAGACCATACCTTCAGATTGGTCTCGTGAATTCGTGCAAATGAGCGAGCGACAATCAGATTACAGCCTAAAATCCAATCGCGTCAGCCGTACTTTTAGCGATCTCCTTGAGATATGCTTACCATAGAATCTTGGTTGGAGAGCTGCATGTTCCCTGGCACTACCTTCACCGTAATTTTCGTCAACAACAAGGGCCCAAGGTTGATTCCTGCCTTTCAATCGTTTCGCTACACCGGGTATGGTGCCCGTCTCGGTGATTCCGCTGGGAGCGTCATGATCAAAAGCAACGTTGACATCACCACCTTCGTCGTTGACGGCCTACGTAAAGTCAATGGAGACTCGCGATGCAGAAAATCCTCAGACGAACAGTTATAACTAGTAGTAGTGGACATGTGTGAGCGAGTTGAACAAAATAGGATACAGACGACGTACGCAGGTTCTCGGAAATGTTAGTCAAATGGCCTTTGTATTTCAACCAAGGACCTGCTGCTGAAATATGGTCGGTAGTACATTTTCCTGGATTGATGGGATAATCAATATCATCAAACGATGTAAATGCGAGAGCCAGCTCACCGCGAACTCTCATCAAAACTTTTAATGGTGGTAATTCCAAATTCCCGTCATTGAAAGGACTGGTGAAGGGTTCAAGTAATTCCAGTCGTTGTGAGTCTTTCTGAATGACGACTTCTGCATCCGGTTGCGGTTCCGGGGTCGGTAGTGGATAGAACGAAGTGTCGCCAGGAGTAAAGCCGGTCGAGGGAAGATCTTGGCCAGAAGGGGGAAAAAACTTGAAGCGATTACCAGAGTCAAGTGTCAACGAGTCAGTCATAGGGTTGAACGACAAGCTCCCGGAAAATGCCATCGCAGTAACTACAGTCGGCGATGCGAGGAAGTTCATGGTATAGCGGTTTCCGTCATTTCGTGACTTGAAGTTTCGATTGAAACTGGTCAGAATGGCTATCGTATTATCTGTTCAGCGAGCAACCTTAGATACAGGAGCAAAAAACACTGACCATTCTCTTCTCCTTTCTTGTCTTCTCGTTTCCACTATAGATGTTTTACTTAAAATGATGTCAACGCCATCCATATATATGTGACGTACTTGACCGATACAAGGACCACATGCGTTCGCGAGAACAACGGCACCCACATCTTGTAGTGTTGAAGTTACATTGTCACGCTCCATGGTAGCCCGTATCTGTTCAGACCCTGGCGTACAGAGGAAAGGGACCTATATCTATTATATGACTTGCTGCAAAAGAAAGATCTTCAAATCTACCTTAGTTGTCAGTCCTGCAGCCTTAGCCTGACGAGCAAGGTCTGCAACCCTGGTCTTCTTGAAATCAGCATGTTGGGTGCAATCCTCACAAATGATATTTGCTCACCATGTCTTCGTATGAGCTGTTCGTGCATGAACCGATAAGACCGGCAGACAGTTCATCTTTCCAACCTTGTTCCTTCACAAAAGCGCCAAACTTAGACAGTGGGGTAGCGAGATCGGGCGTGAAAGGACCATTGATTGTTGGCTCCAAATCCGATAGATTCTATTTCCGCTTTCAAAAGATCAGAGCGAGTGAACAAAGTCAAATACGCACGATTTCAATTACTTCGTCATACTCGGCACCATCGTCCGCAGAAAGGAAACCCTTGCCAGCAGCTTCATCGGCAGCTTGAGCTACTGGTCCCCGTCCAGTGGCGTGAAGATAGCCTCGCATGTTACTGGTGTAAGGGAAGGTGGAAGTTGTCGCACCGACCTCGGCACCCATGTTAGCGATAGTAGCCAGACCTAGTTCCTCCTGTATGAGCCTATACCAGAAATCCGACCCAAGATCGCACACCTGTACAGGATTGGCTATGGACACCTGGCCCAAAGTACTCGATAATTCGACCTGTGCCTCCCTACATCACTTCAGTACCATGATAGGGGACCTGTTTCTAACTTACTCGCACAGTCAGTTTGCCAGCGAGGTGTAAAATTAAGTCCTTCGTGGTAGTCCATCCTGATAAGCTACCAGTAAGGTGAACGCCTGATGAAAACCAAGGTTAGGTAGAGGTAAAGGTACATAGTAAGACGGGGATATTACCAACAATCTGAGGTGCTTTCAACTCCCAAGGCGTGCCAGTCATTGCATCAACCGCGTCAGCACCGCCAACACCAATTGCCAACATACCAAGACCTCCAGCATTGGGAGTATGAGAATCTGCAATTAAATTCAGAGATGCAAAATCTTCAGATTCGCAAGGCGCTGACCTGTACCGAGCCTGCCAAATGTCAGACACGAGAAAATACAAGAGGTTGCTTGCACTCACATTAACATTCCTGGGGCTGCGTAGTTTTCCAGGACGATCTGATGAATGATTCCAGAGCCTGGACGCCAGAATTCGATACCGAATTTGCGCGCTGCACTTTCGAGGAAATCAAACACTTCCTGATTGGATATGATGGACCGCTACTGGGTCGCGTTAAGTCATTAAATGTGTTCAGACAGAGGAGGATATGCACACCTTTAGATCAGCTTCGGCCCCGTCTGACGCTTGAATAAGGTGATCGCAATGTATACTGGTTGGTACAGCACATCGGTCTAGTCCAGCACTCATGAATTGCAGACTGAAGTAAGTCAGCGACTCCAATCTTGTCATTCGGGCCAAAGTTGCTTACAGAGCCATTCTGTCAGCAGGAAACGTCAGAGATTATGATTAGGGATTCTGAAGGGCCAGGACGAACTGTGCAGATGCATCCTGCATGGCTACTCTCTCGGGCTTCAGCTGCAAATATGCCTCGCCTCTGATGCGTCCGCCGTCGCCAAGGCCATGAACAGGATCGTGAAGGTGACTGTAAAGTATCTTTTCCGCTAGAGTAAGCGGCCTTTTGAGGACACTGCGAACGTGATTGAGATTTTGAATAAGAGTCGGATACGGAGGTGTTATCGAAGGATAGTTGCGTGGAATAGAAGATGTATGAGTGGCAAACGAGCGTCCCCGAGCTGCACCTCGTATAGCTGGTCGTAACATGGTGAAAAGAAACGACTGAACGCAATTAACAAAATTCAAAAATTCTCAATCGGTAATTCGGCCGACAGGATTAGCCAATAATAGGCTTTAGATTTTATCTATGTTTTGATGGTAGATACTGTTGCAGTGGTGCTACGCTGTAACGGGCACGCTCCATTCACTTGGAATACTTCCCATCTGTCTACCAACTAGCTCTGTCCAGATTGGCCTTGAGACAGGTCCCATCCCATCCTCGCCAGTCGGAATATGGATGTCCTTTCCAAGATACCCAATCCTATTCACTGGGGTGATGATAGCAGCCGTACCAGATCCAAACAGCTCAACAAGATTTCCGGAAGCTTCTGCCTCTTGGATTTCCTTCATTGTGATCGGTCGTTCGGAGACGATAAGGTTAGGAAGGTTGGGGAGTTTGTAGTTACCAGAGACATGATTCCGGGCAAGTGATAGGACGGAATCTCGAGTGACACCCGGCAGAATCATACCGTCGAGTGGTGGTGTGACCAGTTCAATGGCTGAAGTAGACTATGTAAGCGAACAAAATGAAAAGAATGCTGAGGAATACTCACCATCGCCCTTCTTAAGAACAACAAACAAATTCATTGTGCCCACCTGATATCGAATAGAGATCAGTAACCGACATGAATGCCCGCTACCAATTATTTACCTCTGTAAGATAATGCTCGGGTCCATGAAGCCACAGATTCTGAGTGTATCCTAGTTGAGCGGCATGTTTCTGCGGCATAACTCCAGGGGCGTAGTTAACACCAAGCTTATAAGCACCGGTACCTTAGAAAACTAAGTAAATAGTCGAGTAAATCATGACAGTACGATACCTACCTCCAGGAGCAGCACGAATGTATTCCGTTGTTCCGTAAAGAGCGATAGGTTTGAAGCCATCGGGATAGTAGGGACCTACAGGACTACAAATGACAAAGAGTAGTGCTTCACTAGGTGGAGCAATGCCAATGAATTTCTGTGTACCAACTACAGCGTCAAGTGTGAGTAGTGGTTCGGAGATGGAGAGGATTCGAACGTACTCATAGTAGGCCGAATATATAGACTGTGCCCAGGTTCTTTTGGAATCCAATCTCGTTCGAAATGGATGAGTTTCTTAATCAGTTGTAACAGTGCATCACTATCGAACGTCTGAAAGCCCATCAGTAAAAGTTGAATTGGGTAGAGATGAGGATACAGACTGGTAATGCAACCCGAGCAGCACTAGTGTTCATACGCTTCATGTTCATATCCGGCCGGAAAAGCGTAACGTTTCCATGTTCGTCGCGATAGGCTTTCATACCCTCAAAGATAGTTTGAGCATAGTGTAATACGGTGCTGCTTGGTTCAAGGGAAAGAGGACCGTCTAATATTTAAGGTCAACATAGTACAAAGTGTTAAGAAAACCAGGGACTCACAAGGCTCGATTTTGGGAGCACCCCACCCTTCCAAGGAGCTCCAAGGGATCGTGAGCATATGATCTGTCTGCGGGAATGATTGATTGTTCCAATATCTATCAGAACTATAGAGAAGAACACGCACAAAAGTATGCCCAAATACAAGGGATTTCGATGGCGGAGGAGTCCTCGGCTTCTCCGTCTTAATATACTGAAGGCGGTCGGGCTATCGAAGTGGACAGTAGTGTATATGCGTGATAAGGGACATGAGTTCGCGTGGAGAGGCGCGTAAACTTGCCTGGATGTTGGGCAAAGCGACAACCTCGCCTGTCATTGTATCCGTTTGGTAGAATCTTCTAGGTAGTGCCGAAGCTGAACCACATGAGCCAAAATAGCCCCGAAGACGGAGGGAACGGAGAAGCAATGAAGAGGACATCGTCGAAGTTAGAGGTAAACCTCGCGCTCTGACTCAATCAATATTTGGGCCGGACCGCGGTCCACCGCATATGTACAAAACTTGTCACGGACTGCCATTATCTCAGTTTGTGATTGTATGGCACGTACAGTACATAGTACGACAATTTGAGCAGAGTAGAAGTATGTAGTACAATCGGATATCTTTCCATCCAGTTCAACCCGATTCCATTCCCGGCTGGAAGAAACCGGCGCAGGGTACATAGCATATAAAAAAGCAGCATGATAGAGTCTGATAGAGTACACAAGTAGGGTTCATTGAGTCCGTTCATTTTCCGCGCTAAACTTCTTTCCCAGGTGAAGTTTCCCCGGAAAGAAAATTGTTGAGGATTCTGGTGAAGTAGCAGGTCCCGAAGTAGTTGAAATTGTAGTCGCCATGTCCGGAAGAGCAGAGACTAAGATGGGTGTGATTTGGGTCGCGTTTGTCCCAGATGAGACTCTTCGAATACTTTCTTTCGCAATTTGGTTCCAAAACGAAGTGAAGGCGCTTGCACTTGAGTCGTCACAATCAGTTGTCAGTTTTCTTCCAGGCCTACGAGATGTCGAATGAGTGACTGTCCGTTGCATACAGAACAGACCCACCGAATGAGAAGTGGAGTTAGGATTTTGAGTTTCAAAGGACTATCACGGTTCAACGAGAGCGTACGCCTCAAGTCTATACGAGGGAACGATTGAATCGTGACAGACGGTGAGGATAAACAAGCGCGAGAAGGTAGACTAGAACAAGACAAATCGGAGGACGCTGAGTGCTGAGACGCATCCCGTTTGTGAATTGGATCCTGACTCTGACTCGGTAAGAAATGATTCTTGCTAACGGAGTTGTCGAACGGCTTCAAGTTTCTAATTAACACCGTAGGGAATTCAGCAAAGTGGTTGTCGGGATCGTTGACGTCAGAAGTGTGTAGTATACGTTGCCGTTTCTTGGGGCGAGTTCTTGCGGGAGAATAATCATTTTCTTGACTGGGTGAGTTCATATCGTAGAATCGACGTTTGAGGGGTAACACAGGCTCGGAAGGTTCCGAAGTTGTACTAGCAGAATGACTGGAAGAGGCATCGGTCCATGAAGATGAATGATGTAGATTGGACGTAGATGGACGACCGATCTGATTAGAATTCAAGTAGTCTGTAGACAGCTCAGTTGAGAAACAACAAACTGTGAATGCAGACATACCATCAAGAACAAAAAGAGAGATTGGCATCGAGAATTGCTTTTCTACACAACGAGAGACCCAAGACGCGTGAAGGACCTTGAAGAAAGAATAAACGTCATATACGGAAACATATTCTCCCTATGAGGAGCGTGATCATACAGTTACACTCTTTTCGGAAAGCCTTCGAGTCAATGACGATTCAATAAGTGCTGCAAACGAAACGGAATTCAACGCGCCCTTTCACCCATGGATCATCCATTCCAGCGCAAAAGAAGCACGATGTGTGGTGAAATTCTCGCTCGGATCGCATGATTGAACCGCCATTTCGTACTGTTTTGCGAGCATATAAGCCGACTGTACATGTAGAATCAATTTGTCACTGTCAGTGTACGCACCCCAATCAGACAGTATCGAAGCAGAGATCAATGGGCTGAAGCAGCCTAAGCTCGTCAATCATCATGAGCTTGAGACATGCGTAGGAGATACAAAACTGCGTGAGGCATACCTTTGAGCCCTGTAAATAGCATTTATATTGGCAACCTTCGAAGATGCCAGTGGTGGTTATAGAATAAGATGGCAAAAAGATCATTTTGGATATGACAGGTACAGAAGTTTTCTGTGAAACTCTTATTTGGTCAACATGTTCTAACTGCCGGTCTATATACAATGATACTGTCCATAATTCCAATCCGATTCCAATAGTGCAGAGTAGAAGACAATATATCTAGTGGACGCCGGACGGAGGATACAACTCCCGCTCATCCGTCGTGTTTACGTCATCTGCACGTGTTCCGGGTCGCTGCTCCATCGAATGTCATCGTACGACTTCGCAAAAAAAATTTCAAAATAATAAGTCCTCTCGAACGGGAACTTTTGTATTCCCTCCCACTCACTCCTTCTTCCCCTTTTTTGCTCTCAACAATCAATATGGGTGCCACCGCATGGTTGACTCTCCTTCTTACACATCCTCTCGAGTTTAGAACGCTCTTGCAATTCTGGCTCTTTCACGAACAGAAACGTGATATCACGTCCATGAAAGAACATGCAACATCGGGCTGGGACAGACAAACTATGCGACGATGCTGGGAGTTCTTGGACATGACAAGCAGGAGTTTCTCCGCTGTCATTAAAGAAGTGGAAGGAGACCTAGCCAGAACGGTGAGTCTGGTTTCAATCCATACAGTGTATTTCGAGGTACTATCATTTCATAGATTTGCATGTTCTACCTTGTGCTGAGGGGCCTAGATACCATTGAAGACGACATGACTATACCCGACGATGTCAAGCAGCCCATATTGAGGTCGTTCCACAAATTGACGATTACCCCTGGATGGACATACAATGACAGCGGACCGACCGAGAAAGATCGGCAGTTGCTGGTCGAGTACGACAAGGTCATAGAAGAGGTCAATCTTCTTGATCCAGAGTACGCGCTTTTTTAAAGTCCTCAAGTTGTATCAACGTGTCTAAAACCTTCCATCTAGGTACAAATCAATCATCCTCGACATCACTGAAAAGATGGAAAACGGTATGGCCGACTTTGCACACAGAGCTGCTACGGCAGGTGCGACATATATCGACAAAGTTGAGGACTACGACCTGTACTGCCACTACGTTGCAGGATTAGTCGGTGAAGGACTTTCTCGTTTGTTCTCTGCCTCGAAAAAAGAGGTTTCATGGCTGGGTACTCAACTTGAAATATCCAACTCAATGGGACTTCTACTACAGAAGACCAACATCATTCGTGATTACCGTGAAGACTGTGATGACAAGCGATATTTCTGGCCGAAGGAGATTTGGGGAAAGAAGGAGTATGGCTTCCAAGAAATGAAGGATATGTACCTTCCCGGAGCCGAAGAGCGTGCACAGTGGGTGCAGAGTGAGATGATACTGGACGCAATGAGGCATTTGACCGATGCTCTGGACTACCTCCGGTTACTCAAGAACCAAAGTGTATTCACCTTCTGCGCTATCCCTGCCACCATGGCGATCGCCACATTAGATCTTTGCTTCATGAATCCTGCAATGTTCCAACGCAATGTCAAGATCAGAAAAGCAGAAGCAGCATCGGTAAACTTTCTTCGTTCGTCTTCTGCCCACCTCGCTGACTTATTTGATCTTCAGCTCATCATGCGCTCAGTAAATCCTCGAGATGTCGCCGAAATCTTCCGACACCACTGCCGGAGTATCCATGCAAAAGCCGTTCCTGAAGATCCTAACTTCCTCCGGATATCAGTCGCATGCGGAAAGGTAAGACTGAGTCATCATATAATTTTTCTTCATTTGAACGACATTTTTTAGGTCGAGCAATGGTGCGAACACAACTTCCCATCCTTCGTTAGGATGCCATCAACCGCTGGCAATCCCCCCACTTTCGATCCAGAAGATGCACGAACGTCAATCCTGAAAAAATCACAAGAGATCGACCAAACCATCACACAGCGAAAGCGCGTTGCTCAGCTTCAGGAGAAGCAAGGGTCCAATGGTGAGGCGAAACCTGCCTTAGCACAACAGGGAGTACCTTGGGAACTTTTTGCCGTCGTTGGAGCTATTTTCGGTATCCTTCTAATCTCTATTCTGGGCGTTGTTTGGATCGTTGTCATGTTTTCAGACAAGTTTTGATCCTCGGTACGTGAAAGATGTTTGGAATTATACCTTTCTTAAACTCGTATATAGTAAATTATACACTATTGCATTGGAACTCTGGGATAATCATTCTCGATATATCTTTACTTATAGTTTGTGTACGATACAAATACGATGCTAACGGCGACTTGAGCTTGAGTCTCCAGTGAACAAGTAAAAGAAGCAACCCAGAAGTATGCTTGTCTAGAACTTGAAGCTTTCCCTTGTGAGTTAATAATTGAAAAGCAAGCAAACGTCAAGACTGCATTACCCAGCTTGTGATCAAGGCCTCAAGGCCTCAAGTTTGAGTTTCAAAAGGTCTGACAATGTTATCTGCTCCCACAGGGCGGATCCTCTACGAGGATCATACATAAATCGAAAGTCTTTCGCGCGTTCAACAGATCTGGAGAGAACGCGAAATGTTCAAGGGGTCGGAGGTAGGGGAAATTTTACCTGAGTCGAACGTGACGTACGTCTGGCTGCATCAGTCCTCTCCCGCACCATATGCATGTACAAAGTAAGTGTGTACTTACATACATCCTTTCCAAAGACTCGTTCCTAATGGAACATGGAACTCCACTGTGACGCTGTTCGACTTCGGGGCTCCGAGTCGTCTGAACTTGTAATCATGAAACATGAGCTGATTCTGCGGCCATGATTCATGATTTTTGCTGTGCATTCGGCTCACAGTTGGGTGGCGTTGGGAATCAAGGGCTGAAGGACCGTGAGCCCTTGTGAGTGATATTTAGTGCTGGGTATCATAAAAATCTGTCTGGTATGATACGGTATCAAGAATTGAGCTTGTGGTATGATAAGTATCACTCGTATTATATGTATTATACCAGTATTATGTAAGCGCCGCAGGCAATTTTTTTTCTAGGTATAATACCGTATAATACACGTATTATATCTTGTATCATAGGTATTATAAGTATTGAACAACTAAATATCTACCAGACACTGTCAAGAGACCACTCGGAGTCCTTCGCACTCCATTTTTTTGATGCTTGTTGTGATTGAGTGTTCGATGGCTTCTCCTTCGGAACATTCTTCATCTGCGATGGCGGATCGTAGCGCTCAAGCAGTTTGCCACAGGACAAATTGACAAGCGACTCGATTTTGAGGCGGTCAATGCTGGCTCGAGTAATGATAGGAATGACACCCGTATCATCCATCTCTTCGTCGTCTTCGTTCTCCCCATCTTCAAGTGCTGTAGCCCCATATGGATCAGATATGTTGAAGCTAAGGTTTTCCTCGTCTATCTCTGGACCGGCCGGGTTCAGAAGATCGTTCAAAGTCGGAGCTGGGAGCTGGATAGAGCTGGAAGTGGAAGGCTGGTCCAGGTCAAGTCTTGCCATGTGTGTATATTTCGGATCCGAAAATCCATACCGCCAATATTGTTGAAGCTGAGCCATCCAAATTAAGTTCTGACCAGTCAAGCCATTACGCTTCGCAGTATCAAGGCCTGACAACTTGGAGGCGCCTCGCTCATCGCACATCTCGGATGGTGACACACTAAAAAGTTTGATACCGAGTTTCTGAAGCAGTAGAATACATATAAGCGAGGATGCAATAAGTTAGCAAGAAACCCGCACCAAAACCTGACAAGCACCACTGTCTTTTGATATGTGATTCCACCATTCAAGCCGCTTACTTGCATCCTTCACAGGGATATCAAAGGGGGATTCGCGATACAGATATGCTGCAAAAGAATAACTCAGAAACGGTTGTCATAGAATCCAGAGTTTCTCACCAGTGAGCTCTTTTACCATCGTGCGCCCATCTTCCTCGGTGCCCAATCGCTCTCTTTTTTGTTCATTTTGAAGCATTTGAAGAGCCGATCCGATTAAGCGCCGGACTAGAGGTGTACAGGAGCTCTGCCTGAATTCAGATCGGGGAGGGAGTTCAAGGCGTAGAGCTCCATCTGGGTAGTACACTTTAGAAAGTTAGTTTCTGCTTGTCCTCCATAGGGAAAAATACGCACTGGGGTCAAGCAGATAAGCAAGGATAAACATATCTTTTGTACAGTCATTGAGGAATATATCAAAACGGCGGTCAAAAACAGCAAAAGTCTCAGCGCGATGACAATAAACATCACTAGCTGCAGTACACAATTTGGTCATATACAAAGCAATAGATTTGTTCATGACTTACTTGGATCTTGAAACACACGGGTGAAACCAATCGCAATGCCAATGAAGACAAAGAAGACATCGGAGCACATTGTGTTCTGTCCTTCGAGAGTCAGTAGGCCGCGTGCAATAGGTTGTAGTAGCAAATTTGCATTGTGAAGCTGAAGTTGAAATTTGAAACGATCAGAGCCATGAATGATATACTTTTGTAACTCTTTAGTCTGTGATAGACATGAATATCTGGCATAAACTATGATTTATGGAGGAGTACTTACCGCGGGTGTATCAAATTTGATACGGTCCTTTGAAACACATCTTTCCATTGCATCTGAACAGCGTATGATACTCTGGACGTGGGTAGTAAAAGTCGAAAATCTTGTTGCACCGCCAACCTGAATTCCGCGTCAGCTGGGTTCATTCTTGAGCTCATCCCTGAGCTGATATTTGCCATAATTGCTATGCGAGAAGTATGTGGTGATAGCGGAGACAATACGCATAGGCTAGTGGAGACTATAATAAGTTTCTGAAATGGATGAAAATGAAGTTGAGCTGGTCTTACTTCCGTAAATGCAAGAATTTTTGGATATTTTTTTGATCCAACCATAACATCCTTCATCATGAGGTTGAGTTGGTGACAGGGATCAGGACAGTTGAGTATCCATGGCCACTTTGTACAGATAAGTCGGCGACATTTCTTGACATTTCCAGTTGTGTCGGAAACAATCATGGAAAAACGGTAAACAACATAGCGGATAATGATCTAACACTGATATAAGTGCAAGCGATTGAGCATCGACAATTACTTACTTCTCCAATCCGTGTAAATAAGCTTTCGGCATCAGTAGACTCCCCAGTTAAGATCAAACCATCCACCAGAAATGAGTGTCTCATAGGTGTAGTGATGTGAACAGTATAGATTTCATCACCGCGTTTGCTTGACCAACCATCGAATGAGATTGTGAGGTGGATGAATGTTGCCAGGAAGACAAGAACTTGGTTTGCCACATTTGCTGCTTCAGCGGCAATATGGGCAGTAAAGAAACTGGACCGATCAGGAAGCGAGTATGCCGGACACCTGGAGAAATATCAGATATAGAAAGTTACTAGAATTAGTCACTCACAGAGCATGAATGAAGTCCCGGAAAAACCCATTGTCCGTTATTGAAAATGCAATTGCGCAACATATAATGAAGCGGAGTAAAAAGTAATCAATCCGAGCCTGGCGAGCAGCTGTAAGCTTTGTAACCTCACCCCATGAGGCTTCAAGAGCTGGCTGAGCTGCAGTATCTAACCCAGTCTGGGTAGATGTAGGATCCAATGGTGATACAGATGTGAGAATTGGCTCCCGCTCATGACTTTCATCTTCAATCTTGCGCTTCTTACCTCGGACTGATGGAGCAGTGGATTTACCTGTTGAGGTTTTCTCCCCTGATTGTTTTGCCATCTCGGCTTGGACTTTCTTAAACTCGCTGGGCCAGTTCCGTTCCAATGACTGGGCAGAAAGTAAGTACAGGACATATTCAAGACATAAGATCTGACCTCGCATTGAATAGCATGAGGAAATGCTCGAGTACGTGCATTATTACTGCGGTCTGCATCACAACCAATGCAATAGTAGATTTTAGTAGCCTTCCCATTCTTTCCTGTGATTATCCTCTCTATTGCTATACTGACACAAATGTCACAAGTGTCATAAAGTACGCAGCCCCTATCATTTTCCTTTTCTCACCGTCTCGACGCCTTTACTTGTACGATACATCATCCCATCACTGTCAAACCCCCATCGATTACTGATCCACCTGACCCATCTTCTCTTTCTACTGGCTTCCGCCACCTTCCTTGTTCCTAAACTGTACAGTATTACATCGTTGTTTCTCGCAGACCGGATTATGTATATATAGCCAACCCTCCACAGCCTGATCCCTTATCTTGACCTCTCTGTCATTATCTGGGACCAGGTATGTGCTTACTTATTATTACCTATGACTATGATACTCAATATATCTCTGTCATTATCTGGGACCAGTTTGCCTCCGCTCCGCTTAGTTGCTCCGCCTTGCTGACCTGCTTAGTCGCTCCGCCTCACCGTCTTGCTTAGTCACTCCGCCTCTGCCGTTTCGTGACATTAGGTCAAGATCCATTACTGCACTGACAGCCTACCGATAAGGTTGTCCTTGCAGGATCTATAGACACCACGTCTTCCCCAGTTCCGCCCGATTCTGAAACACCTGTTGCCAGTATAGACTGCTCCGCACTCCCGCACGCACTTGACCCCAGAGACCAAGCTCACGCCCATAACAACGACGATACTTGGCGCGATTGCCAGTCTCAACCCTGCCCCAACGCCCTTTCGAACTCAATCCGAGAGCCACTCACTGTGAGCAATATAACCTTCCTGCCGATTCCTCAGCCCCGATTGCCTACTCCCATCATGTCGACTCCTGTCCCACCTGCTCCAAATACCTCTGCGGAGGATCTCATGGCTCAGCTCATCAGACAAGTAGCCAACCTTGCTACAGCTATGGAGGAACGCTCATCCTCTAAGTCAAGCATGAACAAACCCGAGGTCTTCAAGGGTAAAGATGGCGCTGAAGCCCGTCGCTTCATGGCTCAGTTCCAGAATTGGGCGTCAGAACAACCTGATCTCGCCAAAAGCCAAGTCAAACTCATCAAGTCCGCCTTGGGCTTCTTCACAGAAAGTGCCGGAGATTGGGCAACCCCCCATCTGCTACATTTCAATGCGGAAAATCCCCCTTTCGGAGGAAATTGGGAGGCGTTTCTGAAGGAATTTAGCCAACGGTTTGAACCAATGGACCCAGGTATGGAAGCCCGTAGCGAGATCAAGAATCTCAGGCAAAGTAAAGGACAGACAGTTGCGGAATTCGCTCAGAAGTTCAAGGACATCGGAGATCGGACTGAAATGTCTGATATTGACTTGCGGGAACGCTTCTTCACTGCATTACTCCCAGAGATCCAACAACACCTTATCACCGTAAACATTGCCCAAGGAATTGCTCCGACTCTGAAGGAGGCAATCAAACGGGCCATATCGGTGGATGTCTACCTGCACGATCCCACCATGACCGGCCGGAATTCTGGATATTCCCCCACACATACCGCTCACACTACTCCTGCTGATCCCCACGCTATGGACATTGATGCAACCCACACCAGTAATGGGAATACTAGGGAGGCATTCCTAGCTCGCATGCGAGGACGATGCTTCGGCTGCGGTGCCCAAGGTCATGTCAAGCAAAACTGCCCACACCGAGAAACCACCTGCCGTTACTGTGGACGCCGAGGACATCTGGAAGCAGTCTGCCAAGACAAGTTCATGGGACTTGGACGAGACCGAGGCCGACGCCAGCAACCTCGACGCCAACAGATATCCGGTACGGTACCCGCGCCATTCTCCCTGTTCCCAAATGAATCCGTCCAGATCGCGTCCTCGACCCCAACATCTGCTCCTGCACCCGTAGCTGCTACTCCGAGCCCCCCTAACCAGGACTTTTCCAACCAGATTGGTCAAATAAGGGAATTACTTGATCGTGCTAATGCTATGTCCTCCTCGTCCTCTGGCTTTCAACAGGGTTTTTAAAGAGGGTACCCGCTTCGGCTGCACCGAGAGTACCCCGTAATCAGTTTGTTATGTTCGCTACTTCCTCGTATGACTCGCACCCATCATGTACAATATCGTCGATCCGGGAATTAAACTCTACTTCCCCAAATTTCCGAATTCATGCGAGACTAAGAGGAAGGAATCACAGTATAACAACTGCAGCCATGGTAGACTGTGGAGCTACCGCCCTGTTTTTAAACCAAGACTTTGTCACCCGGAACCATGTAAGATGTGCACCCCTCCATAAACCGATCGACGTCTTTAATATCGATGGAACACCTAACCGAGCTGGACGGATAACCCATTTTGCACGTCTAGCACTCACAGTGGATAATCAAGAGCGATGGATGGACTTTCTGATCACCAACCTAGGAGGTGAAGACATCATCCTTGGACTTCCCTGGCTACGGAAGGTAAATCCGGAGATTGATTGGGAGAAAGGACGACTTTCAGTAAAGCCTCCTCGAGTAACGATAGAAGAAGTCCCAGACGAGGAGATCTTGTACTCTCATCTAGCCGCCACTCACACAGAAACCCCAATCCTCGAACTCCCAGAACTGGAACCTCCCGCAGAAAACCCCCACATTGAGGTGCCACTAGAAGCGACCCTTGAACAGAGTGAATCAGTAGCGGTGGAAGAACCACCAATACACCGAATTCGAGCCAATCATAAAACTCGCCGGGCATGGGTAAAAGCAGGAATTCTAGAGGAACAGACGGAGGAAGTCTGGTGCGCCGCAGGATTCACTTACTCCCAGCAGCTAGCAGAGGAAGCCAACCGAGACAAACCCGTTAAAACCTTCGAAGAAATGGTCCCTGAGCAGTATCGTGATTTCAAGAAGGTTTTCTCAGAATCCGCCTCCGAACGATTACCTGCCCACCAACCTTGGGACCATGCAATTGATCTCGTACCTGGAGCACCGGCAACCATGCGTACCAAGATTTATCCCATGTCCCTAAACGAGCAGGAGGAGTTGGATCGTTTCCTAGAAGAAAACCTGCGGAAAGGCTATATCGTACCCTCAAAATCACCAATCTCATCACCGGTCTTCTTCGTAAAGAAGAAGGATGGGAAACTCCGTTTTGTACAAGACTACCGGAAACTGAACGAGTACACTGTGAAGAACCGATACCCTCTCCCATTAGTTGCTGACATCATTAGCCGACTTCAGGGAGCAAGATACTTCACGAAGTTTGATGTCCACTGGGGTTACAATAACATACGGATTAAGAAGGGGCATGAATGGAAAGGCGCGTTCGCAACAACCCGAGGCTTGTTCGAGCCTAAGGTCATGTTCTTTGGTCTCACAAATTCCCCTGCCACGTTCCAAGCACTTATGAATGCTATATTTGCTGATCTCATTGCAGCCGGCAAGGTGGCAGTCTACCTAGATGACATCCTTATCTTCAGTAACGATCTCGAGGAACACCGACGAATGGTACGGGAAGTATTAACTCGGTTAGAAAAGCACGACCTCTACCTACGACCCGAAAAATGCGAATTTGAACAACAACAGATTGAATACCTCGGACTCATCATCTCAGAAGGGGAGGTGAGAATGGATCCGGTAAAAGTAGCGGCTGTTCGTGACTGGCCAGTCCCTATTAACCTTCGGGAACTACGAGGGTTCTTGGGATTTGCAAACTTCTACCGACGCTTCATCCGGAATTTTGCCAAAATAGCACGACCTCTGAACGACCTGACAAAGAAAGACACCAGCTTTACCTGGACTGACACTCGACAGAAAGCATTTGACACCCTTCGAGAAGCCTTCATCTCCGCACCGATCCTTGCTCTATGGACACCAGACAGGCCTACTCGAATCGAGGTAGACGCATCAGGCTTTGCCACGGGAGGCGCCCTTATGCAGAAGCAAGACGACGGCCAATGGCATCCAGTAGCCTTCAGATCGGCATCCATGCAGCCAGCGGAACGGAACTACGAAATCTACGATCGAGAGATGCTTGCTATCATTGAAGCACTGAAGGATTGGAGGAACTTTCTAGAAGGACTCCCTCAACCATTCGACATCATTACGGACCATTCAAACCTCGAATTCTGGCGCACTGCACAAGACCTCACCCGCCGACAAGCCCGATGGGCCCTCTATCTGTCACGGTTTGACTTTCATATGATCCACCGCCCTGGCAGAGTAAACACCCAAGCTGATGCTCTCTCTCGCATGGCAGTTCATCATGTATCGGACAGCGATGATAACCGGCAACAGACAGTCCTTAAACCCGGCCACTTCGTAAAAATTGCAGCTTCGATCCTACAGAACCCCTTAGAGGATCGTATCCGGAAAGCCTCAGAACGGGAAGCACAGGTATTGGAGGGTCTCAAAACAGTCAAAGAGCACGGACTACAGCGCTTGGCCAATGGGATAGCCGAATGGGAAGAGGACAATGGGTTGGTCTACTACCGAGGTCGGGTATATGTACCAGCAAACGACGACCTACGCACTGAGGTACTCCGTCAATGCCATGACCATCCAACTGCAGGACACCCCGGACTACACGGGACACTTGACTTGGTCAGTACCCATTTCTGGTGGCCCACGCTGCGCTCTTTCGTGGAAAAATACGTTGAGGGATGCGAGGTTTGTGCCCGTAAGAAGATCCAACGACACCCACGGGCCGTAACACAACCATTAGATGTACCATCTGGTCTATGGGAAGAGGTAGGGGTTGACCTGATAACGCAGTTACCTAACTCCCAAGGCTACGATGCCGTCTTGGTCTGCACAGACCTGTATGGAAAACAAATTCACGCTATTCCTTGCACCAGCTCCATCACAGCCGAAGGCGTTGCCGATATCTACTACCGAGAGATCTTCCGTCTCCATGGTCTTCCTCTTCACTTTAAATCCGACCGCGGACCCCAGTTTGCAGCTAAACTCATGCGATCCCTTCTCGCTAGGCTAGGAATTAAATCAGATCTAACCTCCGGATACCGTCCTCAGTCCAATGGCCAAACCGAACGAGCAAATCAGGAAGTAGAGAAATACATCCGCCTCTATGTGGGACGACGACAAGACGACTGGGCAGAGCACCTCCCCATGGCTGTCATAAAGTACGCAGCCCCTATCATTTTCCTTTTCTCACCGTCTCGACGCCTTTACTTGTACGATACATCATCCCATCACTGTCAAACCCCCATCGATTACTGATCCACCTGACCCATCTTCTCCTTCTACTGGCTTCCGCCACCTTCCTTGTTCCTAAACTGTACAGTATTACATCGTTGTTTCTCGCAGACCGGATTATGTATATATAGCCAACCCTCCACAGCCTGGTCCCTTATCTTGACCTCTCTGTCATTATCTGGGACCAGGTATGTGCTTACTTATTATTACCTATGACTACGATACTCAATATATCTCTGTCATTATCTGGGACCAGCTTGCCGCCGTTCTGCTTAGTCGCTCCGCCTTGTTACCTTGTCCAGTTGCTCCGCCTCACCGTTCTGCTTAGTCGCTCCGCTTTCCCGCTCCGTTAGTCACTCCGCCTCTGCCGCTTCGTGACAATGGCGGAGTTTGTGATTAACTCACGAACTCATTCTGCTCTAGGCATGTCCCCGTTCGAGCTAACCTATGGCTATCTTCCCTTGTTCAATATCCCAGTGGGCCAACGCAGCGGTATTCCAGCTGTGGATGACCGTATACGGATTCTCCGAGAAGCGCGACAAGATGCCGGGGCTGCCTTACACCTAGGAAAGAAACAACAGAAGGAAGGATACGAACGCGGGAAGCGGAAAGCTCATCAATTTAAAATTGGAGACCTAGTCTGGCTCAGTGCAGAGGACATTAATCTTCAGCTTTCCAGTGAAAAGTTAGGAGATCGACAGCTTGGCCCTTATCGCATTCTGGATAAAATTGGCCCTTTAGACTACCGCCTTGACCTCCCCCTATCCCTAGATCGCCTCCATCCCGTCTTCCATGTTGACAAACTATACCCCTGGAAAGGTAACTCCATTAATGGTGAAATACCAACACCACCAGAGCCGGTATACTTAGAGGATGAAGACGAACCGGAATACGAAGTAGAGGAGATCTTAGACAGCCGGGTTCGATGGAAGAAGTTGGAATATTTGGTTAAGTGGAAAGGTTACGATGCAGGGCACAACTCCTGGGAACCCGCAGCCAACCTCAGTCGAGCACCAAAAATTGTTCGGGCCTTTCATAAAAAACACCCAACAGCGGCAAAGCCTTGACCATCGAGGACAATGGTCATAAGGAGGGGGGTAATGTCATAAAGTACGCAGCCCCTATCATTTTCCTTTTCTCACCGTCTCGACGCCTTTACTTGTACGATACATCATCCCATCACTGTCAAACCCCCATCGATTACTGATCCACCTGACCCATCTTCTCTTTCTACTGGCTTCCGCCACCTTCCTTGTTCCTAAACTGTACAGTATTACATCATTGTTTCTCGCAGACCGGATTATGTATATATAGCCAACCCTCCACAGCCTGATCCCTTATCTTGACCTCTCTGTCATTATCTGGGACCAGGTATGTGCTTACTTATTATTACCTATGACTACGATACTCAATATATCTCTGTCATTATCTGGGACCAGTTTGCCTCCGCTCCGCTTAGTTGCTCCGCCTCGCTGACCTGCTTAGTCGCTCCGCCTCACCGTCTTGCTTAGTCACTCCGCCTCTGCCGCTTCGTGACAACAAGGTCGTTTCCCAGTTTTGTGAATTTCTCGAGGTGAAATGTTGCCATTTGACAATTGCTCCTGTCGTTCACGTTCACGATCAGCTACAGTGTTCTGAAGCAATGCATTGCTGAGCTGAGTTTGGCCTGGTTCTTCTGATTCCAATTTGTTCTGGTGCTGAGGTTGGCAGGGTCTGTCTAAATCTGAGTCATCTCTTGAGTGCGATGGAATCTAACAAACATTCAGTAATTCAAGCTTCGAGAGTTGATGGATATATCTCTACCTTTGGTGGTGGCCCAGTACTTCTACCTTCTTGAGCTTGCTCTTCATACAGTGATAACTGAGTCCAGTGCATGGACCAGGCTTTTGCATCCTCCCCTCCTCTATTTTGGCCAAATACTTGATCCATAACTTCCTCAAGCTCTACTATTCCAAAGTCTTTCCTCTCCAAGAAGGAGACAGAAGCCTCCAGGAGCATCTGATAGTCTTCATCTGTAAGCATTACAGGTGATGAGGCAGATCGACGCGACGCGATGCGACAAAAAAAGCAAAAATCTTAGGCAGGCAAATCAGATACAGATATCATCGGATCGCTTTGGCCTTACACCTCTATAAGTGACAACAAGATTTATAGGTAAATAATCTATTCACTACAGAAGTACTATAATGCACAAGATATTGTAGCAACTCACAGTAAAGCTCAAGGGTTTTAATACATATAATACATCAGATTTCTAGGCCTCATGGTAGCAAAGGTATAATACGGTATAATACATGTATTATACCATCCTGTATTATACCACCTGGTTCAATACCCAGCACTAGTGATATTCAAAGACAATCGATGTAGGAGATGCTGGGAGATCTAGATGGCGAGGAGAAAAGACACAGAACTTACTAGTGCACTTCCACAAGTTTCCACAACCAAATCGACAACACCGCACATGCGATATGATGAGGCCCTGGATCTTTCCCTCCTCTGAAAGGCTCGAGGTCCCGCCTATCACCGACTGAAACGTTGAAAGTTCCGTGTACTTTATTCATTATCTCAGGCTGTCCACCTTCAACTGCAATAGGCTAAAATCGCGGCGGTATTGATATACCTATAATGGGGACACCCCGACCCCCATTGGGAATTTCCTTTCCTCCGATTTTATTTTATTTTGACCTTTCCTTTGCTGAAGTGACAAGGCTGTAAATTTCCCCCTGTTCTGCCCAGGTCCTACCTTTTCAACTTCTTATACGGGCCTACTAGGAACTGCAGCTGGTCCTGGACGCTATCCTTTCTCTTTTTATTTATTTCGTCGAATTCTCCTTCTTTAATCTTTTCACTGCTTAATAGAGATGGTTCAGCCTCTCAATGGGAAACCATTGCCCAACTTTGAAATAGGTGAAACAATATCTCAGAAAATGGCTGGCTTACATCCCATGCAGGCGACGACTACGAAATAACGCACACAATTGGGGCAGGAGCATACGGGCAGGTTGTCGCAGCGGTACACACACCCTCCGGTCGTAGAGTTGCCATCAAGAAGATCATGCCTTTCGACCATGTTGTCTGTGCCCTTCGAACATTGCGCGAACTCATGTTCTTGAAATATTTCACCCAGTCGTCGTGCAATGGAAATGTACGTGTGTCTTCTTCTTTCCAAGTTCACTGGACGGCTCCGAATAATACGTACACTGCAGATCATCACTATCCTAAATATCATCAAACCCAAATCGATAGAATCATTCGACAATGTCTACTGTTCGTCGATGCCATTGCTCTGCCTTGTTCCTTATGTGATCTCTTCCAGTTATTCAAGAACTTATGCAGACCGATCTACACCGCGTCATTCGTACTCAATGTCTGACCGATGATCATTGCAAGGTAGTTTTACCTGATCTACCCACCTTTTAACAACATGTTTACCTTGCCGGATTAGTATTTCATCTACCAGATACTTCGAGCTCTCAAAACAATACACGGAGCTAACATCGTTCACCGTGATATCAAACCTGCCAACCTTCTGGTCAATGACAATTGCGATCTTAAAGTGTGCGATTTCGGGTTCGCGAGGAGTATGAGCACTTGTGAAACGTTCGGGAAAGGCTCAAGTCGTGATGGGCCTGGAGTCATGACCGAATACGTTGCAACTAGATGGTATCGTGCTCCAGAAAACATGCTATCCAATAAGACTTATACGAAGGTGAAGTTGACGTCGAGCATGTCACCTTGTGTTCGAGCTCAACGGAACATAGGCAATCGATATATGGGCTGTAGGATGTATCCTTGCTGAACTGCTGTCAGGGCGTCCTTTGTTTCCTGGCCGAGATTATGTCCACCAGGTTGATCTCGTCCTCGACATTCTTGGTAAGAATTGTGCCTGAGGTCTCAACCTTTACGAGTTATAACGTTCCTGTTTCAGGGTCACCCTCTGCGGAAGACTTTTCTACGATTACTTCTCGTCGCGCAAGAGAATATGTGCGCAGTTTGCCTTTCAGAAGACGCAAAGATTTTCGGGTTCTGTTTCCTCATGCTTCTGAGGATGCTACTGATTTCTTGAGCAAAACTCTGGTATGTACTCCGGCGCTTCAGGTTCAGCTGAAAATTGAAAGTTATCGATTGTTCACAGACCTTCCATCCTAAAGAGCGTATGACTGTGGAGGAGGCGCTTGAGCATCCCTACGTCGCGCCTTATCATTATCCTGAGGACGAGCCTTGTGGTTCACCTCTCGCGGCGGAAAACTTTGAGTTCGATTGTAAGCAGATTTCGGGACCATCACATCGATATCCTTGTTGACGATACTGCTATCCACTCTAGTGCAAAAAGAGCAACTCTCCAAGGCAGAACTCAAAGAACTCTTGTACGAAGAGATATCGTCGTTCCATTCTGATTTCTCTACCTCCGCTGTTACTTCCACTGCATGAAAAATTAACGTCTCGATTGATTTTGATTATGTATTTATTCTTGAACGCGTATTTTCGTGTTCTGTATCTATGTGGTCATGACCACACGGTTGTATCTGTATCCAGGTGTTATTTATGCACTTGCAACTTACACAGAGAGATGGTTCAGTGTAAATATGAATGTCGAAGAGATAGGTGAACGATATAACAGTGTCCTCGGAGTAAGGTAGATCTAACATGAAAGACTGCATGCACAGAGGGGAACCAGCGCCTGTGCTCTAGCTTGAACTTTGTAGTATACGTAGTTGAGGCGGAGAATGCCACCCGATTATGCTGGCGTGTTGCACAAAATGATCGTTGCGGACCAGCGAGCATCTAGTTGATAGCAAGAACTGTACTCGATTGGAGAAGGCGAAAATGATTTCCCTCCGTCTCTCGCGCACGTCAGAGGCACTTGAAGAAGAGCGCCTTTTTGTTTTCTGTCGAACCCTTGAAAGTTGTGACCCTATAGCATCTTACATACTATAGTCCATGGCTTCGATGACGACCATGATTCCTGCTTCTCTCTCTGGGTCGCCCAGTTCGTCTATCCGCCTGGGACGCCAAATCTTCTTGTACCCAATCCGAATTGTGGAAAGATTGATTATGAGTAGGGCCACGACTTCTACTTCTCCTCCGTGGTGGAAATTCTGCACCGTCTGGATCAGGATACGACGAGGTAGAAACTGTAGCAGTGGATTTGAGTTGCCCGTAAACGGAAGGTATACGCGGAACAGGGGGCGGCACGGGGGGCGGGAGGATCAAACCCTGAGAAGAAGGATATTGAGATGGCATGGGAGGCACTGGCAGAACTTGATAGGAGGATGTAGTTGAATAAGGTAAGGAATTTGTTCGAGCCCTATGCCGCGCGGACATGTCTGGAGGGCTAGGACGAGAGTAATCGTAAGATTGATTTAACGATGAGCGAGAGTGAGATTTAGATAACGATTGGGCGCGTGGACGAGAACGCGATCGTATGGGTTGGCCTAGTGAGTAAGGAAATTATGGACCGCGGTGAAAAACGAAAGGGAAGCAAAACGGACTATCATTTACAACATGCGACGCCCATCCGTCTGCGACACTGTTCCGAGAGTATTCTACAGTCGAAGATCCTAAAGGGGCAGGAAGAACTATTTGTACATTGGAATTGGGAGCATGAGGGATGGCTCGGCTGAGATTGGAGCGAGAGGTATGAACCGAAGAGGCAAGAGACAAAGGCCTAGGAGGCGCATGGCGATTCTTCGAAGAGATCCCCGGGGGTACTGGATAAGTCACAGTGTTCGCCGTAGAACTAGATTCAGAAGAGACGGCCGTTTTTATTGTTCCCAGTTCTGACCATGAAGGAGCGATTTCGATCTGAAGAAACAGCGATCTTTCTCGCTCCTTCTCCGCTACTAGAGCATGTAAACTGCGTTCCCGGTCATGAGCCAATGGTTGTACCGGAGGCAGGGGAACCTTCCGCTTTGATTTGGAGCAGAATATGTAACTGACCAGCAGTGAAGCCAGAAGAATAACAACGGCGATGACAACGATAATGATAATGAGCGTGGAAGAGAAGGCCATTTACAGTGAAAAAAAAAAACCTAGCGGAGACGATGGTTGTTTGGTTGTCAGTGTTAGAATGTCACTTCGAAACAAAGGACAAAAAATAAGCGCTTAACTTTAACCAGAACCCCACAGATTCGGAAGTGCACTTCCCTTTTTGTAACACCATTCATGTGTGGTATTTTTACTCAGATAGTCCACACTGGCTTCCAGCATCGTGAGGAACTCACTCAAAGGCTTCGAGAAGCAAACGCTACCCGTGGTGATTATTATGCCTTTTTCCACTGAAGTCAATCGAATTCAATCTGGCGTATTGATAGGACCCGATGCACGCAAATCCTGTTGTATTTCTTGCTCTCAATTGAACCTTGAATTCTTTTCCTCTGAGCTTCGACTTAGGGGAAATGATCCTGTCGTCCAACCGCACAAAAGCGAGTCTGGATCTCTCCTATGCTGGAATGGAGAGGTACGTCAAGTTTTCCAATGGTAAGCTGAACAGAGGTAAATCGATTTTACGATCCACAGATTTTTGCCGGCATGGATGTAAGCTTCTTTTGTGTGATGATAAGGTCTACTTTCTTCTCAGTAATTTGTTCAGGTCCGTGCAGATGAGAATGATGGAATAAAGCTCTTTGAGCAGTTACGTTCCCTAGAGACAGGCGACCAAGTTCGACATTTTTTCGCGTCTGTTGAAGGACCGTATGTGTTTCCTCCTTCGTGATCATCACACGCAATTAAAATCATGCATCAGATACGCATTTGCGTTCTACAGTGTGAGCTATCCGCGACTTGATTTCTCTGATAACAATACCAAAATATACGCCAAGGCAACCGCTCAAAAACTATTCTTCTCCCGAGATCCCTTAGGTCGCCGTTCCCTGTTGATTCACAGACCATCTGCCACAAATCCATATTTTTTACTAGCCTCTGTATCCGCAGGACCGGATCCGGGATACTCTTTCGAAGAGCTTGATACGGGTCATATACATTGCCTTGACATTGCAACACTCAACAAAGCAAACGATGTGAGTCGTCCTATGATAGCTACTTTAAACCGTTCATATGTAGGATTTTGGTAGATCGTGTCCGCTTTTGATGGTTGTCTTTCACTTTTTTCACGCTCTGATTCGGTGTCGAGTTCATCGATCCACTACGCTTATGTGAGTACGTATTATCACTCACAGACTGGAGTTACCGTTGTATTCAAAGGTGAAATTTATGTTGTTTTAAGGCAGAACCCACAAAGGTCAACACAAATTTACCTCCGAGCGATTTGCCTTTACCACTAGGTGACAACCTGGATATTATTCCAGCTTGGCTGGAAGAACCATTAGAAAATTTGATCACACAGTTGAATCACAGTGTGATGCTGAAAGTTCGTGATATACCGCAGGATTTGTAGGTTTAGTGTTTTTTTCTGAATTTGCTCTTCCTGTTGTGTTAACCTTGTTGACCTCAAGGTCGTTGAAAGGTCAATCCAGGGTAGCAGTCTTATTTAGCGGAGGAATCGATTCTACAATCTTGACGCTTTTAGCGGACAGGTGGGCTTTGTATTCTTTTTTTTTTCAACTGACTGGCATCACTTTGCATGTTATCTGATTTTTGAATGTAGACACGTACCTCGCGACGAACCTATTGATCTTCTCAACGTCGCGTTCGAAAATCCCCGCAAAATCAAGGTGCAGCAAAAGGGTAACATAAATCCGAACAAGAAGAAATCGAAAGCAAAGGTTTCTGAGTCTGATACGGACCCTACATTGTCAAATTCTACTGTGGCGGAATTTATGGTTCCCGATCGAGTTACAGGCCTCTCGGAAGTCGAAGAGCTGCGTAAATTATGTCCAGGGCGGGTGTGGAATTTCGTAAGTCTGTTCCTCTGCTATCCATGTATTGCTTTTGACATCGGAGACCTTATATCTCAAGGTCGAAATTAATGTGCCATACCATGTTCGTCGATTAGCTTGTTCTTAATTTTGACTTCTCAGCTTCTGATTCATTACCTTTATTGATCTCCTATACGTGCAGGAATCGCAGGCTACTCGCCAACATGTGGAGAGTCTGATGAACCCCGTGAGGACGGTAATGGATCTGGTGAGCCTCAATTCTTTCAGTTGTCTTAGTGAAGGAGAGACTCAGATTTTCCCCAGAGTTTGGCATTAGCCCTCTACTTTGCTTCTCGCGGTATTGGGCAAATACGCTCAAAGCCAGAAGATGACCCTACTCCTTACACGAGTACAGCTAGAGTGCTTATAAACGGTCTTGGCTCTGACGAGTTGTTAGGAGGATATGGGCGACATCGTACAGCATTTAACACAGGCGGGTGGGCGGCTGTGGTTGAAGAGGTATGTAACATGCTTGTATATGACAACTATAAGACGTCGAATGATACTTGGTATTTTTTATCCTCCCTTCTCAGCTCCAGCTCGAAATTGACCGTATACCCACCCGCAATCTCGGTCGAGACGATCGCGTCATCTCGTCTCACGGAAAAGAAACCAGACATCCATTTCTTTCCCTCGACGTGGTGTCTTTTCTAGCGAGACTACCCGTTGAGTACAAGATGGACCCGAGACTTCCTGCTGGGGTGGGTGATAAGATGTTGTTGAGGCTTGCGGCTAGAAGACTTGGACTGGTGGAGGCAAGTGGGAGGAAGAAGCGTGCAATGCAATTTGGGAGTCATTCAGCGAGGATGGAGGGAGACGAGAAAGGTGATAAGCTTTTGGAAAGCTGAAGTATGTATATAAGTGCATAAAAGCATTACGAGCTAGATGAGACTAGATGTAGTATCGATTTGTTTGGAGCAGGCAGTCACTTTAGCGCTCAAGGCTGCCGCCAGACGCGTCGAGCCGGCAACAGTACATAATAGTCCGAATAGTCCTTCAGTTTCCTTCCTTCTTTCGATGGCACTTTCTCAAAATCTTTCACGGCTTATTGGTATGTAAGACTTGCTGCTCCTTTGGAGAAGTCACTCATAATGCTGATAGTGCCACTTGCCATTGGGATAACTGGAATTCAGGCTAGTATTTATGATGTTCCGGGAGGTTACCGGGCAGTCATGTTCGATAGGTTTTCTGGAGTGAGGAACATTGTGAGTTGCTGCTAGTCATTTTCCCAAACATACTCTTACTATGTAATATACGACGATGCATTGAAATAGGCTTCCGGAGAAGGAACACATTTCCTCGTTCCTGGGCTTCAGCGTGCCATTTTGTACGATGTCCGAATTAAGCCTAGGGTACGCAATTGTTTAGGGCGACACTCGATGTCAATGACAAATATGGCGAACGCTCTAGAATATATCCACAACTACTGGTTCGAAGGATCTTCAAATGGTTTCGATCACCCTCCGTGTTTTGTCGCGACCGGATGTCGAGCACCTGCCCGAAATTTACCAAAGTCTTGGACTGGATTATGATGAGAGAGTGCTGCCTTCTATTGGAAATGAAGTCCTTAAAAGCATTGTCGCTCAGTTTGACGCTGCAGAGCTCATCACTCAGCGAGAAGTGGTAAGTAGTTTGTTTTTGTCATTTGTGATACTGTTGACTGGGTAATGTCAATATAGGTCTCCTCGAGGATTCGTGAGGATTTACTTACTCGAGCAGGGGAATTCAACATTCTGCTTGAGGATGTGTCGATTACACACCTAACATTTGGAAAGGTACGCACTGTGCTATTCAGCAAAAGCCTTTCGTATTATTGTTACTCATTTGAGTTTTCAGGAATTCACATCAGCCGTCGAAGCTAAGCAGATTGCACAGCAAGGTGAGCTACACGCTATTCCTGGGAGGTGTATCCGCCAACTTGATAATTCCTTCTAGACGCTGAAAGGGCTAAGTTCATTGTTGAAAAGGTGCTTATCATTCCGAACGTCGAGTTTGTCTAATCTGGTTCTAACTTTGCACTTTGTTTTTGTTAGGCACAACAAGAGAAACAGGCTGCCGTTATACGGGCAGAAGGAGAAGCGCAAGCTGCCCGCACGATCTCGCAAGCTCTGGACAAGGCCGGTGAAGCGTTTGTTACTCTGCGGAGAATTGAAGCAAGCAAAGCAATCGCGACTTCTTTATCACAGAATCCCAACGTAACTTATGTACCCAGTGGAAAGGGTAACCTGCTACTCAATGTACCTACCAAGTAGTCTACTAGTGTCGTATTCGATACAAGCTCGGGAAGGATCAAAAATTTAAAAATAATCTGATTCCGATTACCAGAAGCCGCAGCCCGACACGCTTGCGTGGGAAGACCGATATCACTCTGACTGTGACTTGTCGCTTCGACTTTTACTGGCTCTAGGTTTCTGTCTTCAAATCTTTCTCCTTTCTCTTTTCCTCTCTAGTCTCTCATCTCTCTCCTCTGCTTTATCCTCTCTCTCTCTGACGGACTTGTCTCTCTCTTCCTGTCTTTCGTGCGACTTTTTTCTGTCTTTTCTCGACACCCCTAGCTTACTTATCCATTTCAGATCTCATTTCTTTTCATCTTTCCTCAATCATGAATCCAATGGGTATGGGAAGCGTAGCTGAGGCACCGGTACGTTTTTTACTTATTTTCATGCCTTCTTATCGCGCTGATCAGTTTGTGCTGTGTCGCGTTACCGTTGTCAACCACAGAGGCGCGCCCACCTTTACGTCGGCAATCTAAGCCCTAGAGTCACAGAATACATGCTCACCGAAATTTTTGCTGTCGCTGGTCCTGTTCAGCACGTCAAAATTATTCCCGACCGCAATTACCAGCACGGAGGCCTCAACTACGGTTTCGTTGAATACATGGACATGCGTGCCGCAGAGACTGCTCTCCAGACTCTTAATGGCCGCAAAATCTTCGACACAGAGATTCGCGTCAATTGGGCTTACCAAGGTCAACAAAACAAAGAAGATACGACTGGGCATTATCATGTCTTCGTCGGCGATCTCAGCCCGGAGGTAAACGATGAGGTACTTGCCAAGGCTTTCAGTGCTTTCGGGACTATGTCGGATGCGAGGGTCATGTGGGATATGAACTCGGGCAAGTCTCGTGGCTACGGTTTCCTGGCGTTCCGCGACAAGACAGATGCTGAGCAGGCCATTGCCACAATGAACGGGGAGTGGTTAGGTTCTCGCGCTATTCGTGTAAACTGGGCAAATCAAAAGACTCAGGGTAGTCCTGCCATGACATCCAGCCCTCAACATCCTGGAGCAGGAAATCTCGGCACTGCGCCTGCTCCAATCAACTTCCAAGGCGGCCCCCTTTCCTATGAATCTGTCGTCCAGCAGACTCCTGCGTATAATACCACCGTCTACGTTGGAAATTTGGTGCCTTACTGCACTCAGGCGGACCTTATCCCGCTATTCCAGTCTATTGGTTATCTTTCCGAAATCCGCATGCAAGCCGACCGAGGCTTTGCGTTCGTCAAGCTTGATACGCACGAACACGCTGCAATGGCCATCGTTCAACTTCAAGGTCAGATGGTGCATGGACGATCTATCAAGTGCAGTTGGGGTAAGGATAGAGCTGATGGTGCTGCTCCTGCTCCTATCAGTCCGACCGCTGGTGCCGCTGCTCCATATGGTAACATGGTAAGTTCTGGGATTTTCATACAGTACAAAAATGAAAGCAAAACACTTATGATATTCATTGCTTCAGCCCATGTACGGAATGCCTCAGCCTAATACGTTTGGTCAGTACGCATATGGTGGGTACGGCGGTTTCCCGAACCAGGCTGCGGGGACTCCTGGTGCTGGTGCTCCCGGCGCTGGTGGTATGCCTCAACCTGCTGCTGGTGCCGCTGGTCTTGGTCTCGCTCCTGGTGGCCAGGCTCCTGGCGCTGATGCTGCTGCGGCCGGACAAGCTGGGCAAGCCCAGTGGGCTGCTGACCCTTCGTCGTATTATTCGAATTACTGGGGAGGTGTGTAATCACATGTTTCTTTGAATCTAGCGAACACTGATTGCGTTTAGGTTACTACGGACAGCAGGCTGGTCAGCAGCCTGGCGTGGATACCCAGATGGGTGCTCCTTAAACCCAATAAACCTCATCAATGCTACATGTGCGATTTCACATAATTACAATTTTGCCTGTCTGCTTCTCCTGATTGCGTGTTTCGACTTGACCACATCTGCACTAAATCTCGTGTATCGTGCTTCTCACTCGAAGTATATCTTATTTCTCTCTTCCCTTTCTAAATATATAGTCAGATTCCTCTGATATATTCGAATGCCTTTTCTCTTTCTCTTTATCTTTCAGTTCCACTTGTTCATTCTTGTCCCTTCTGCATCATAGTATATCAGGTTTTCCTCTTGTCGTCCATACTGTCTCTCTCATTGACGTATTTCTGACGATTCTCGTATTTTCCTGTGACTATGCTTGTATCACTGCAATGTCTCCTTTGATCCAGAACAAATGAATCCGTTTTCTTTTATCTTTTCCCCTCCCTCTCCAATTTTCTCTTTCGTACTTCAGTATAAATTTTGCCCAGTTGTTCTACCTAATCGTGAAATTGCTCGCCTCTGTACCGAAACATCTTGTTCCAAATGAGTTTTTCTGTATCTCTGAACGGCGCCTGACTTCGTTTCCTCATTCTGCAGTATTTAGGACAAATAATCTAGCTCAGTAACGTATAAAGCCATGCTTGGTGCCTAAGTGAGTGATAAGATTGGATTGCGAAATCGGGGATATCATATAGATACAAGGGTATGGACACAAAGTAAACATCCAGGGTACAGAAGACTGAGCACAGAAATGATTGAGCTAATCATCTTCATCAATCATCAACCATTCTGTGTCTGATCCGCGTGCTTCTGCATCGTCGAGGGTATCCCATCCTTCATCTCCGCAGACAGATCTGGGTCCCTCGCCTCCCCGTTTCCCGACACCGAACTGGGATTAGTACCGGTTTCCCCTGCAGCAGAACCATCTCTCCAAGTAAGCACCGCCTGATGTTTCGACCGCATATCCTCGTAAAAATCATTTGCCTCGTTCATTTTGTTCGCCTCTGTCTGTTTGGCATCCAGCCACCGCTGGAGGAGTTTGGCGTTGTCTTTGGTGAGGGTCGCGTTCCGCTCTTCGATTTGGCCGAGCTCGAGTTGGAGAGTGCTAATTTCGTCGTGAAGGATCTGTATGATAGTGCGAATAATCATCTAGTGAAATAGATAGAAGGAATTGCTCAAAACATACCTGGACAGTCCGATCCTTTTCGGTCATAATCTCATTATGCTGGTCGACCTTTCTCCGGAGGATCGTAAGCTCGTCTTTTGATTTTCTTAGAGCTTCCGCATCTACTCTCGATAACTCCTCCTTCTCGCGAAGAGTCTCTGTCATAGCTAGGAGCCGCTGTGTATTCTGACCTTGGGTTTTGTATACACCGGCCATTTCATCGCGCATGGAGGATATTTGGGACTCGAGAGAGGTGATGTAGGCTGTTCGGACGGGGTTGTTGCTGTAGAGGAAGAAAGGAAGTTGATTTTAGACTGAGTGCGATGATAGATGTGGACGTACTCGTCGCCTGTTCCTGCTACGTATACCGTTGAGCTGCTGGGATTTCCTTTGACCGAGGTGACTGCTCTTAATAATGAGGAGTTGCGCTCTTTGAGAATCTTAGTTTGTTGAGCAAGACGTCGGTCTAGGAAGGGAAATCAATTGAAGTGAGTTGGATGGAAAGCATGATAAATGGGTTAGGAAGTACATTGCTCGATAACAGCAGAAAATGAAGCTTCGTTGGCATTGCGCTCTGTGAGGCGGATTCGGATGAGTTCTTGCCATGCTGGGTCAGCCATTGCAGACCCAACTGAGGTGGTTCTGCAAGAGGTCTGATTTTACTTACCGTATCAGGCTATTAGCTGAGCGTCTCAACGGCGCTTCCTCGGTTCACCACTTACTACCACCCTCTCTTACTACAAATGGGCCGCGTTCTTCTCAAAGTATGTCTTTTGCAGAAATTCTTTATCCAATCACCCATGAACATTTACAGGTTATCATTCTCGGTGACAGCGGGTTCGTTCTACCACATTTCACACATTGGCACTTGAGGTTCAACTATTGCTGTTATACAGTGTCGGAAAGACATCTCTCATGAACCAATATGTGAACAAACGGTTTAGCAACCAGTACAAGGCCACTATCGGTGCCGACTTGTGTGTTTCTGCGCTTTGCAGCACGATTCACTTGAATGCTTATCATCAATGTCTTCAGTCTTACGAAAGAAGTAATGGTGGACGACCGGCTTGTTACGATGCAGGTGCGTGGTTCTATTCTCTCATTCTACATATATTGAGAGTGAACTCTGTTTCTTCCTGCTCTTGCTGTAGCTTTGGGATACAGCAGGTCAAGAACGCTTCCAATCACTTGGAGTAGCCTTTTACCGAGGAGCAGACTGCTGTGTATTGGTGTACGACGTAAACAGCGCCAAATCGTTTGAGACGCTTGACAGTTGGCGGGACGAGTTCCTTATACAGGCAAGTCCACATGACCCAGAGAATTTCCCGTTTGTGGTGTTGGGGAATAAGATTGATGTGGAGGAGAATAAACGACAGGTGCGTGGTTCGTAAGGACTTCCGTGGATTACATGAAGCTAATTTTTCTTCTTTTCTTTTACTTTGCAGGTCACCCAGAAACGTGCAATGACATGGTGTCAATCCAAAGGCAACATTCCGTATTTCGAAACCTCTGCGAAAGAGGCTATCAATGTTGAACAGGCGTTCCAAACAGTGGCAAAGAATGCACTGACTCAAGAAGCTGAAGAACAATTGTCAGTACCTGGGTGATAGTTTTGTCAATGTCTCACAAAAGTTCTCATCGCTCCTCTAGGTATGTCGACTACCCTGACCCCATCCAACTGGACTCTGAGAGCTCGCAAAGCTACGGCTGCAACTGCTGAGCACGAGGAGCTAGTTTGTACAAAGGTTTACGTTGGACCTTGTAGCGTTACCGCCTTTTTCTTTTCTTTTCGCGACGCTGCCTCTTCTCTTCATCTGTCGTACATATATAATGACCTTGTTACTTGTTACCAACACTGTTAATGCCAATTTGATATGATATCGGACGGACGGACGGTCTTGACGGAGATTAGAAATAAGCGTGTGATGACGTTTTTGAATAACTTTTCTCTCCTTCGATAACATCCATCTCGGAAATGTCGCATCATCCACCAAACCCGCCTATCATTCATTCTTTTGCCTCGCCAGAGGTTCTTATTTCATCTCTGGCATCATTCATACTCAAAGCTCAGAAGGAAGCCATTGACAAGAAAGGAAGATTCACCATCGCTTTATCCGGTGGTTCTCTTCCGAAGCAGCTCAGTGGTCTTATAGGTAATCCTGCCGTCAAATGGGATATGTGGCAAGTACCAACAGATCTTATCCAAAGTTAATCTCAAAACTAACACTATCGATTTAGGCAAGTATTCTATGCAGACGAACGCGTTGTGCCACTCACCGATCCGGACTCTAATCATCTACTATGCTCAACCGAGCTATTCAACAAAGTCCCAATCCCTAAAGAAAACATCCACACTATTGATATCTCTTTACTCTCCGACCTCGAAGAGCTCTCAGACGCTTATGAGAAAGAGCTCATTAAAGAATTCGCACAGAAAGACGCTGCCCGGTTCCCTGTATTCGACGTTATCCTTCTTGGAATGGGTCCCGATGGGCATACAGCCTCTCTATTCCCCGGCCACGAACTTCTGGCGGAAGAAGATCGGTGGGTAGCGTATATCGAGGACTCGCCGAAGCCTCCGCCGAACAGGATTACGCTGACTTATCCGGTGATTAATCATGCGTTGAGAGTAGTGTTTGTTGCTGTGGGAGCGGGTAAGGCGGAAATCCTGAGTGAGGTATTGGATAGTCCCGAGAAGGGGTTGCCAGCCTCTAGGGTTAAGCCTGTGCATCCTGGGCAGTTGTTTTGGTTCGTAGATGAGGCGGCGGCGGCGAAGTTGCAGGTGGCTTCGGCCGAGTTCAAGCTTTGAGATTTTTTGGGGAGTGAGATCGGGGTTTTCTTGGGACAGAGGGTGGGGAAAGAACCGGTATGTTGGTGGTAAGGAAGGATCAGAGACAGGGAATGAAGAAGCTTTTCCAAAGTTGTATCAATATCTGACTTTACCTAAAGTTATACCTATGTTTTTATGATTCCTCTTTTCGGACTGTTTTTCGTACTTTGTACGCGTCGCTTTTGCTGGTACTACTAGTATTCAGCTTTGATTTTACCTATGTATGTCCTTTAGATTCTGGACTCCAAAGCTTTTTTTCCCTTCACTTTTGACAATCATTCAGGCCATCAGATTGTTATAAGTATGGAGGAATTCATGTACAAGCCTTGCTCTTCCTTGAACAAGGGCTGATTCCATAGATAATTACTAGAGTAATAACGACGGAGATGGATATATTTCTGTTCAAATTTCAGTGCAGTACCTTCTGCCAGTCATGCTCCTCTCTACTCGAAACCAACGCGCGACGGTCTGTACTCGATACACGATTCGTGCAATGTGAACGCGCGCTTCTTGACCGAAATCCTTGTAGCCAGATTTGAATGAACTAGGATATCCCGTCACTAACCTTGTCTGAATTGCCTTTGTTCTACATCGCTAAATAAGCGGAAATATTATGGGCAGATGTAACCTATTGTAAGGGATAAGGGTGTTGTAATCACAGTGTGATATCGTAACTACCCCGCAATAGTATTTGGCGCATTACATTGCACCACCACTTTTCATAACTCTCAAAGTCAGATCACAATATTATTATGATACCCTGTATAACTTACACAGGATTCATATTCTCTCGACCTCCATGTAGTGAACAAGCAATCCCATGTCAATACCATGCATCAAGTATGTAGATGATACAATCATAAATGTTATTGGGGAGATAGGTATTCTGATCTCAAACTGATTAACGTACGGACGAACATTCACTGAGCAGATTGGGAGAAATAGATAATCATTCACTACATCATAAACATAGTTACGGTACGACTACGCAGGTGACAACAATAGACCACCATTTCGGTGCCACGGCTGTTGGCAGCAGAGCTCATGCCCGTGAAATATGACTACAACAAACGCGAGATCAGAAAACAACAACTTGGAAAAAAAACTTGTATACACACTCAGCTTACCATTTGAGCAGCTCTTCCATCTCTTCGTCAATGGGTACCCCAAAAAATCAATGGCAAGTTCAATCAGTCTTGATAATTGTCATCATTGTAAGTGTAGTGTAGGAACAATATCAAACTGAAGAATTGTCGTGAGTTTAGAGACGGGAACCCAAGATGACTACTCACACGGATAGTCACATAAGCAATAGACCACAATAAAGGGACAGAACTAGCAAAGCCATGCTCGGGATCGGACACTTGTTACTTTTTATTAGTGATATTCACCAAAGAAAAAGGTGAAGACAACGTACATCTCATCCAATCTCATCTAGATTGCAAACACTTCCAGCTATATTGTGTCAAGCCCATGCCTCGGGCCTCCATTCCGCCGCTCGGCATTCCGAAGATCCACCTTTATTGTAATCTCTTCCTTATTGTTCTTTCTCGCTACACATACCCTTTCACTCTAGTTCCTCTTTATTGTCTTTTACTTTACCCTGCAGGACTACACGTATAACTCCTAGTAGTTAGTCTGGCGCTCCGCCCCGCTGCGCCGCTCCGTAGATATAAATACTGCTTGTACGCTACTGTAGTTCCTCAGTTTAATTATCGACTTAGATTCCCTCTTCCACTCTGTGCTCTCTAAGTCTTCAGGCTCAACGCCTTGAAGTACTCTCTGCGCTACCTTAGGACTAGACGTCCTCTGGCTCGCTCCTCGTCACCGGCGATACCGCCGCTCCGACTTGGCTGCTTCTCAGTTCCTCCCTTCTCTACTCTCGATCTCCGGGGACTAACAGCGTAACGGCGGTGTTGTTAATAACTTCACTACTGTCCCACTCGTCTTCCGCACTTAGACACCCTGTGGCTCTGGCACGGTTACACGGTGTACATGATCTTAACAGTATAATTAAACTCAATCCGTTAACGTCGTACTGACATATCATTTTTTATGCCTCCGAGAACTCGAGCTCAATCTAGAGCTAACTCCGAAGAAAACACTTTCTTCACTACAGCTCAATCATTTGCCCCATTCTCCGACTCTATCTCTGCCATCGGTCAACCACGTCGCCGTAATCGCGGTTTCGGTCCAGCCACAGTTCCTACTACGTCGACTCTTCCTGAAGCCATGGAAGAGGAACAACAATTTGAGTACAGCACCTTGTACACTGGTGACGGACAACCTGTTCAAGTCCTGACCCCTCGCCGTGGACAACCCCCCGTGGTCGCTCCGGCTCGGGGCCGGTCTACTACTCGAATTGATTCGCCAATCCTCCAAGCCTTAGCCCGCCGTACGGGGAAACAACCCCAACGTCGCGCTGCTTCTGAATCTCCTCGTGACCCACCTCCTCACTTCGATTTGGACACTGGTGATCACGATGATCAAGACCCTCCTGTCGACCCCGACGATCCGGGCGTCGATAATAACAACGACGATCTGGATGACGATTCCGGCGGTTTACCGCGTGGTGAACCTGGTGACCCCAGTGGACCTGGTGGTCCTGGTGGTCCCGGCGGTCCCGGCTGTCCTGGTGGACCTAGTGGACCCCGTTCCCCAATCTCTCCTGACATCCCCAACGAGCAACGTGCTATGTTGGAACTTCTCTCGGGGTTCAAGGGTTCCATTGAGACCCTTGGGACCGTCCTCGCCGCTCTCGGCCGTCCCTCTGACAGCTCTGAATCCAAGAGCAAGGTCAAGGAGCCAGAGGTATTCGACGGTTCGGATCCCCGAAAACTCAAGACGTTCTTCGTCAATCTCGCCCTGGTCTTTAATGACCGCCCCAAGTACTTCACCGACCAACGGAAGGTGAATTATACTCTTTCTTATCTCAGTGGGTCAGCCAAAGAATGGTTTGTCCCTGATATCCTCGACCCGGACCTCGACTCGCTGCCGGCCTGGACGTCGTCCTTCACGGCCCTTGTAAAGGAGCTACAGGACAACTTCGGCGTTTACGACGCCCAAGGCGAGGCCGAGGACGCCCTTGGTAACCTTAAGATGAAGGAAACCGAGAATATCCGGAAGTACAACATCCGGTTCAACACCCTGGCTGCTAGCACCAACTGGGATTCTGCCGCCCTGAAATGGGCTTATGGACGAGGCCTGGCTGAACGTATCAAGGATGAAATGGCGCGGTTGCCCGAACCGGCGACGCTCGCCGCTTATCGTCTGGAAGTTCTTCGCATTGACAACCGTTATTGGAAGCGCGAAGAAACCAAGAAGCGTGAGGCTGGTAAGCCTTTTATTGCTCGGAACCCGAAGAAGGGTTCCTCGGACTTCAAGACTGGTTCTACTAACCAGCACAACAATTCTCAGCCTTCGGGCTCTTCGGCGCCGTTCACGCCGAAACCTAAACCCTTCTCTGGTGGTAAGCCTAACAACAATGGTAAGCCCCAGAACTCTTCGAATTCCGGCCAATCCGGCGGTCAGCGCCCCGCATTCAACCATCTAGGAGCAGATGGTAAGGTACTTCCCTCCGAACGGGAAAGAAGGATGAAGAACAATCTTTGTCTCTTCTGCGGTGGTAAGCATCAGATTGCTGACTGCAACAAGCGAAAGGCCCGAGAATCGAAGGGCCGCGCTGCCGAGGTTGAAGAAACCCCCGAAGCAACCATTGAGGTTGTTGAAGAGGATTCAGAAAACTAATCCGCAGCTCTTGTTCCCCGGTACGAAACGGGAGCTGCGTTGATCAGGTTCGTACCTCACCTGGGGAGTTATATCTCAACGCGTCCGCTCTTTCCTCCATTGAATGATCTCTTGTAATATCATTGACTACTGAATTTCCTTTATCCGATTCGGCCGCGCCGGCCGAACCTATTTCTGCTCTTCTTAAATTTCCTACTCTTGTTGATTCTGGTTCTACTGACTCTTTCATTGATACTCGTTATGTTTCACAAAATTCTATCCCTACGACCAAAATTTCTCCTGTTAATCTTCGTCTTTTTGATGGTTCATTATCTTCTAAACCCATTACCGATATGGCGAATATCGCCGTTCGGTTCCCTTCTGGCGAGCTGCTTCTATTACCCTTTTATGTTACTCATTTAGATTCATCTTGTAAAGCAGTATTAGGTTACAGTTTCTTATCCCGCTACAATCCGTTGATTGACTGGGCATCTCGAAACATTACGTTCCGTAACACTTCACACCTTGATTCTCCACAGACGTCTGTACCTTCTGCTATCAACCCCGTTGTTGCAAAGGTCGCTGTTCCGCTACCGGAACCTTCGCCGTCGGTTTCACCGACAATTCAGGAGACCCCTCCTGGGGACTCACCTCGCTCTCGCTCTCGCTGCCGCTCTCGGACTCCACGGGCCAAGCCCCTTTTGTCCAAATTCCCCTTTGAACCCATCTATTCTTATCCTACGGTCTCTCAATTCGCTGCTCAACTGGAAACTCCCGAGGTCGACATTGCACTCGTCAGTGCTGCAGTCTTTAACAGGGCTTGCAAGGACGCTGGTATGGAACCCATTCTACTCCGTGCTATCCACTCAGAGGTCGCGGCTCGCGCCGCCGACCGCTCTTCCACCACTCCTACTGTCCCTCCACTCCATCCTTCTATCCCCGAAGAGTACGCAGAGTTTGCAGACGTCTTCGACGAGATTGCTGCAGATTCACTTCCTGAACACAGACCTTACGACCTGAAGATTGACTTGGAAGAAGGCGCTTCGCCGCCTCTCGGCCGTATTTATCCTTTGTCTGAAAAGGAGCTAGTCGCCCTTAAAGACTTTATTGACAAACAGCTGGCTACTGGTGCCATTACCCCATCATCCTCTCCTCACGGCGCTCCGGTCCTTTTTGTCCCGAAGAAAGACGGCAAACTTCGCCTTTGCGTTGATTTCCGTGGACTCAATCGTATCACCAAAAAGGATCGTTAC